ATTTACTGTTATACCCCAGGATGGCACTATCAAATGGATTTATGCGGTCCTTTTCCCATCACAACCAACGGCAACACATATATTCTGGTTCTCATCGATGTCGCTACTCGCTTTCTTATTCTACGTCCCATTTGTGATAAGTCTGCTAAAACCGTGGCTGAAGAACTCATTTCCATCTTTTCACTTGTCGGTTATCCTCGTATCATTCACTCTGACAATGGCACTGAATGGAAAAATCAGATCCTCAATACTCTATGTGAGGCTATGAAAATTGACAAACGTTTGAGTACAGCTTACTATGCTCAAATCAATGGTGGAGCTGAACGTGCCGTTCAAAACACAAAGACATTGCTCTCTAAACTAATCCTTAGCAATTCTGAAGACAATTGGGATATGATGATCAATTTTGTACAATTGATGCTCAATTGTAAAATATCCAAACGTTTACTTACTAGCCCTTTTAACCTGATGTTCGCTCGTAAAATGTCCAATGAGTATCCATTACTCCATGACTCGAACGATAACATTGAACTCATGTCGAATGATGAACTTCTGCAACGTATACAATACATGTCAGATGTAGTCTTTTCCGCAATCAAAGAACGTACTGAGATATACAACACAATGATGAAAGGTCAGTTTGACAAAAAGCATCGTTTGATTGATTTCCCAGTCGGTAGTTATGTTGTGGTTCAAAAGAAAGGCATTCAGAAATCTCTTACACCTCAATATGAAGGTCCATATGAAATCATTCGGAAAACTGAGGCTGGTAATTACACTCTCCGTGATGAAATGGGTGTTGCCTCCTCTCGCGATTATTTACCATCTGAATTAAAGTTGGTTTCGCAAGATGCACTTGTTTCGCAGGATGAGATCTATTTCGACAACATTGTTGGTCATCGGGGCTCTCCAGGAAAACGTGAATATTGGAAGAATTACGGTCCTGAAGACGATACATGGATTACTGCTGAAAACTTCACTGATCCACAATCCATTGTGGAATATTGGCGTCATGTTAAAGGTAGCGTGCCTAAACAAGATTCTGTACTATTAAACCAGTTAATGTCTGGTGAACATGATTTCTCCACGGTTGAATTGACAAAGAATGGCCCGTTGATTGAACATGTTGAGCAATTTGCTGATGCGATCACGGATGTACCCAATTCTCCCATTCCTCTTCAACAACAACAGAAATCTTTTAAACGTCCCACTCGCCGTACAAAAGTGGTAGCGAATAATCCTGCTCATAAAGCTTTTCGTCGCAGTCCTCGTGGTCGTTCTATGCGCACATTTGAACCTGCCATTGACAAAACTCGCTTCCGCAGGTAATCAATCACTTCTGTAATGTACTTCTAATGTCTTTCACTAGTGAAATTAAGTAAAAACAAAAACAGTACAAAACCAACAATGAACCCTACAATTTTATTTTATTTTTGGTATTCCATTTGCACAATTGCAATACGTCACACATTTTGACAACCTGCCAATTGCATTTGTCTACAACAAACTCATTTAAACCATCTTACTGCTTTCCCATCTACTCATCTACTATTCTCATCGACGCTAAGTTGCATCTTTTCAGATCAACAACCGTCTAACGGGGGCGGCAATGTCGTATTTGAGGCACGATGGCAATATTATATGAGTAAATCACTCAAAACGTCCAACGAAATGTAAAATAAAACTTGATCTCAGATATGAATACTGCTCATATCTTCGTTCCCGTTTGGTAAGCGGTGTGTTCGATTACATACATTTGAACCTTAGATCAAATGTATAACAAATAAAGATAAGATAAGAAAAGAATATGGATTAAGGATAATTCTTATGTGAGATTAGCTACCTCACATAAAATTTGAATAGGTTATCTTTATGAAATATACTTTACTTAGATTATCTATGGCTATATGACGTTTAGGTATATAGCAGGATTGGTATATGTACTCGTAGGATATATTGATTCAACAACCAGAACATAGTAGGTCACGGTACTGCTCCCTGCTCTGGAAATAAAGTATGGTTGGAGATAAAAAGGCTCAATCACTCTTTATTAATACAATAACTGTTCATGCAATCAAAAGAACACCACACACGAATATCTCTTCCTAGCTAACATCTATAGTCATTCCCACAGTGTCTGAGCTACACAACTGGTGGCCGATAGATATTGGATTATAGATGTAGCTGCATGATCACCCTGGATCTGCCAGGATAGCACATTACAAATCAATCCGCTCTGGGATGGACGAGTAATTATCCACTTAAAGGGAAGACCTATTCTTTTACGGAAACCTCTGATTCACTGAGTATTATCTGACCATAATACATCAGTGTCGGCTATAGATCCCGATACAATCATTTCGTAGACAGCAAACGCAATAAGTCTTTATTAATAGCAGTAATTTTAGTTGTCTTTTCTTTTTCTTTAGTTTGTTTTTATAAGGAGAAATAAAGACGGTGGTTTGGTTTCCGTTAAGCTTTCGTATTTATTTCTCTCGTGCTATTCTTTATTGTTGATCTTAGTTGAAATCAGCGAATATCACAGAATCAATGTATCCTGCACGTCCGTAGATTGATTGTACTATACAGCCAATGTCATATAGTAAAGTATTATAGTAAAATAAGTAAACTATATATCCTAAAGGACAACCTGTTTAACCTTACATGAGGTAGTTAATGTCGTATAAGAATCATCACTTATTCTTATTCGTCTCCTATTCTCCTTTTATTACTTCAGCAGTAATGAGGTATAGCGATATCGTATAATTTGTATAAGAGTTCTTCACATCTCATAGGATGCTGTCAACTAAACACAACACTTAATTCGTACTCAAATATTGAAATTTATGCAGTTTCTGTTTATTTTCTGGTCTGCAATATTGTATACTTCATCTTTACCCTGAACAAAGTAAATTATAATCTGATAGTTTTTATTCATCTACCCTCAAATACGACAAAGAATCTATTTTATGGAAATTAACATAACTATGATATTTTTGCTGGCCGTCTACAGAATGATGTGAAAAGGTCGTGATTAACTTTTCTATAGCGTTCAAAGTACAGCAAAACGTTCTACTCAGCTCTGTAACCATAGTTTTATTGTATTTAATCAAATGCATTGTTGCAAGGGCTTTCAATTCTCAAATACAGCACACACGTTTGTAAGATTAATTCTGAAGAAATCGCTATTTATTGACGAAGTAAACAACTTATATTGAGCTGTTCCTATTGGATTAGCAATGCTTCTGTCATCTACTATTTAGCAATTTTGATTATTGGTATCATTAAGAAAAGTATTTGTGTTTTCTGCGGAATTCTTATCTTTTTGAAAAGAGCAAGAAAGATGGTGACTTCATAGTCGATAAATAAAGGCAACTCAAGCAAGAGTCAAATCCAAATGTATTTGTGTTGAACAGAGATTGTGCTTGGCTTAAATTGAAAACAGCATAATGGCGTGGTGGCAACGGTGAATTTTTTCAAGATTATCGAATCAGATAAAAAAGGCTAAGTTACGAACTCCACGACAAAATAATCACATCATGATTTCCGCATAAATATAGGCGTGCTCCAAAACATGAGCAAACTTTTGTATGAAATCTAATCCACGTTACTCATTCTTCTCTTAAATTAATCATAAGGTTTTGCTGCGAAATTACAAACACTGAAGGAATTTCATCAGCAAGCGATTTCTTGAAGTATGTCTTCATACTTTTTCAAGAACTTTAAAAATATTAAGTTACTTCGATGTTGCAATCATACACAAAATCACCTTCAATTATCAAAATATGGCGACAAAGACAGCTTTAATTTTGCTCAGAAATATTCTTCGCTAATAAGAATACAGCAAAAGCTTAACTTAAGGAGCTCAATAGGCCCAAAGCGAATCATGACAATTAGACAAAAGTATATACCCCACCATAAACAAACTTTTTATAACAGTAATATAGCAGCTGTGAACAAGCGGCGTATACATCTACCTCACTTACCAAAACGTCCCAACAAATACGAATTACTCCTGCAAGCGCGTGGGTTTTTGGAACGATTGAAGATCAGAATTAAGTACCCTCTCATGAAGCAAATGAGGCCTTTCAACTGGGACGACATTTCAGCAGTTATTTCTTGGTTGCTGCTAGGCAATACCTTATGGATTTTTATTGGTACAACAAGCTTTATAAGTTTCAGTCTATGGGCAGCCAATTCGTTGCAGTTTGAAGGTAAAAGAAAGCTAGACTAGAGAAGAATAAAAACTGTATGTTGTTATGGAGAGTTTACCTTCGTCCCGTATATATCATTTGGTAGATTGGTTTACGAACAAGATGGGAACATTGTTGACAAATAGTTCACAAGCAATTATAACATTCGAATCTGCTACTCCGAATTGGAAAGACGGAAAAATACGGCTCTCAAACGTACATGTTGTTTCTATGCCTCGCTCCGAGCAACGTAAATTTCAACTGTATCAACAAGAAAAAGAGCCCACTATTATACAAGGTGATTTGCTCGCCAATATTGAGCTTGATGAAGATGAAAAGACTCCTGCGGCTTTGAAACGTCTCGTAAGAGTACCCTGGTTTGATCTGACTGTGGATACAATTGAAGTAGAAGTTAGTCTGTTACGTCTGTTGGAAGGGAAAGGTATCATCAAAAGTGCAGATGTGAGAGGAGTACGCGGAATCATTGATAATAGACGTTCAGGATGGAACAAGCATTCGAATTGGGATGCAGAAGCTGTTCGTAAAAGTCATATACCCGGTGATTTCGAAATAGATCGGTTGAGCTTGGAAGATCTATCCGTTATTGTGTTTATGCCAAAAGGCTTCCGACCTTTTCCTCTATCTGTTATCTACGCCCATCTCAGTCGGTTGAGGAAGCAATGGCTACTTTACGACTTTCTATGTGCTGATTCAATTATCGGATCGATAGATTCTAGCCTTTTCAGTATACATACTCCATTGACGGAAAAAAGCGTTTTTGAATTTTCTGATCTAGAAAGCAACAAAGACAATACACCCAGTCTAGCTATGTATTATCCTTTCAATAACAAAAAGGTGAACCCTGCAGGTGTTTTGGTTGGAGGAGAAAATCAAGCGTTCGGGCTTTTACTGGATGATGGTATGAATAACAAGGGATACAGGCGAAAATCGAGATTACGAATAGAAAGCGTTAGCGTTGACCATATTCATCGATTCGGAGATGGCCCACCGCAATGGATAACTTCTGGTACAGTCGATTTTTGTGCAGATATCTATATACCCAACGATCAGAATATTAGCAGGAAGCATCCAAGCTTTGTGCAGATATTTTTTGAATTTGCTCGAAAAAGTTTACCCAAGAGTGTAATTATAGGCATTGGAAGAAATCAAAAGCATTATATTATAGGCGAAAGTCGTGTGAGAGATAATGACAAAGAGGGAGATGAGAAAACTATCGAAGAACACAAAATTGGAAAGGAGAAAAATGTTGTTTTAGATATAGATGTACGGTTTAAGGATGTCAAAGGAGTTGTGCCTTTGAAGATACCAGACATAAGCTATGTGAATAGTGCAATGGTCCGTCCTTTGATTGCATATATCAATCGAAACAAAACCATTGTTCCCATCAAAGGGCGAATCGTTATTGATCTGGATAATTTTAATGGCGCGTATACTGTATATGATTCCACATTAGCAGAGCGTTTAAACAAAGCTGTGACCAAAGGTTTTCTCGATTTGGTTCATGATCAACAGGAAAGAAACAAAAGAATGAAGCAGATCGGTTTTTGGAGTTTTAGGGAACTATTTCGAAATATTCAAAATTTTCATGATTGCCTATATGGAACTGCGAGAGGTTTTTGGAATTACCTCGGCCGATAACTCGTCATCTGTGAACAATTATTTCTTGTGAATAGACTATTATATATAATTTATTGTAGTTACTTGGTTTTGAAGTGTTACATTTGTATCTGCTTTTATCATTTATATGCATTCATGGTATGATCTAAATGAAGACACAGAACAAGAGTAACTATTATTAATTAATAAATAGTGTTGATTGTTAACCATTTATACATATCAGAAAGCATTGCAAATACTATCTACAACCGGAATAGGATGGACAAATAAAAAGTTAGGGTGAATATGCCTTTTGTTTGCTGAATAACTCCTCTTGATAGTCTTCCTTACAATATTATAGTTGGAATGTATAATACCTGCAAGGCCCTGTGTTTGACCGTCTTAATCTTTTTGCCTTAGGGCAACTCCTACCGCACTTATTAAACTTCGAACACTGTATGCGCAATAGAAAGCTCTATCTTATTCCTACTCCATCTGCGCCTTTGCCTTCTCAAGTTGATTCCGATAAACCTGCGAAATGTCAATTGATCTATATTCTTGGAATCAGTATCTGAAGTCACAAATAATAACGAAGCTCAAACAATTGCTTTCCATCTTACAAAATTAATCTCATGAGGCCTTCCGTATGTAGGTCGTTTTTTCTGTCTTTTTTGGGCCTTTTTTTTTTTTTTTTTTTTTTTTTTTTTTTTTTTTGCATCATCCTGCCTCACCTGTCTTTTTCCTTTGCTTAGGTTTTGGAATTATTTTTAGGTAAGATTCTGCTAGTGCCAAGGTATAAAGCTGTTATGAAAAGGTAGGGTACAGAGCTTTGTGAAGATTATGTGCAAACAGTATAGAGAATTCAAGAAATAAGTCCCGACTTTGAAGCCATTAAGGCTGCCATTGTTTCCGGGTATTGCTATCGCTTATCTTTGAAATATGGTAGTGGATAATTACCCATAACATCAATTATATGAAGTTTATAGTTAGATACAGAATTTTCCGTTATATTTGCAGCCGTTGATTTTATAGTTTGCGCCTCTTGACGTTTTTATTTGCAGTATATGATGACTCTGTTTCAGGTTACCTCAAAAGATATGGAAAAGTGACATTGGAATAAAGAAGAATTTAAGTTGAAGAACTTAAGACATCAAAGGTCGGTAACAGGCAATTTGCATCAGTCAAGCCAATATGTAATACTAAGGATACAGCTTCCGTTATTTCTAGGTCTGCAACAATTGTCTGGAAGAAGTATAGCAAGAAAAAAGGTTTGTCTACGATACTGTAGCAGCGCAATGTGAATGCCGCAAAATATGCTTCATATCGCAGCTTCCATTGGCGTGGTCATAGTCAACCCGATCCTTTCGACCAAAATCGCCTTAACGAAAATGGTGATGCTACTTCTTCAGATTTGGCAACTAAAAGATACAGTGTTTGTCAAAATGATGTCGCATTAACAAAATTTAAGTTGTCGCATATTTTGAAGAAATATTGACGCATCAAAAAAATAGAGTGTGTGGCACTCTGAAAATAAAAAGTGTCTCATAACCATTAGAAAAAGTTGTCGAATTCATATATGTAGTATAATACTGGTTTATTGGATGGGATGGCTTGCTAAACAGTCAGCAAAACGTTTAACAGAATGTCAAGCAAATCCCTCGAAAGAAGAGGCTAAAACCAGCAGTAGTAATTACTTTAGGAAGCCCGTCTTTTTTGAGAACAAATTCTCTTTTCACTTTACTCTTAACGACCGGCCAAGACTGTTCAATGGGGTTTAGTCCGGAATGGTGGAAGAAAAATATGTATACAACTACGCTCTTCAATTACAGCTCTGATTATCTTGTTCGTATGTATAGGCGCATTATACATAATCAAGACACACCCTTTCATCTTAGGGAACTACAAAAATATAGCTGATGAAGTTCTTATAATATGTAGTATTTGTACCTTTCGTTTGTTTCTCAGTAATTTCTGCTAGCTTTTGTTTCTTGGAACTTGGAGGAGGAACAGACTTTTTAATAAACAGCGCCTAAAATAGAAATAGAGTTAGTCCTAGCCGTCTTTACTTTCACGATAGAAGTTTCTCAAATCGATGCCCATCCTTGGTTTCTTCTCAAATTAGCAGACCAGCTTCGTCAATAAATATGCAATTAGTCATGTAATCTACACTCATATCCTGAGCAGCTATCACCCATTCTTTTCTTTTGTTGGATTTGCTCAATGGGGTTTCTGTCTTCGGGCTTCATGCGAACACGCTTTAAAGAACAAAGACACAGATCAGCCATGTAACGATATAACGTTCTTTTAGAAAGTCAAATCAACGAAACTAGTATTCAGTTGTTCCATCAATTGATCCATTGTAGATGTGAGCTGTTTGAAGTAAAAGTCAGACACCACCTTTTTCGTTGCCTCTGCTAGTTCTCCTTTTGGCTCGATGATCTTCGGTCGGCTGATAGTCAAAAAGTAACTCTGGGTCGTATATTCAAGTCTTATACCATCTTTGCAGAGTTCTCGGCTTTAGCAACAACTCTTGCGTTGTTTTTTTGGATCTACATCGACCCAGTGGCAGAACGAGCCTTAATTTCGTTGCTGATTCGATTACCTTTGGCGTTTTGAATCCGTCCTCTATTAGAAATTTTCTTTCCCCCCATCTTCTTTCTTTTTTGGTTGAATCTTTGGAACATTTCAGAATAGTGATTTTGTCTTCACCGTTGAACACTGTATCAACAAAATGCCAGACGTGGGCTATATAACAGGCTTCGCTGTGATCCTTCTCTAAGCTGCCAGACTCGCACTCTCTTAGTAAAGCATAGATAGTAAATTGGACCCAATCAAGATCATGCGAATTATGTGGCTATATTCTTGATCAAACTCTTGAGTTTGAAAGATTTGGGTTCTCAACTCTTGGATGCTGTTCTTAATGAGGAAGTTGATATAATTACGCAGCTTCGATGGCATTACGGGTAATTTTTCTGTTTAAAAGCTTTGATCTCGTCGAGTTCAGCTGGGAGAAAATACTTTACATGTCTTGTAATTGTTATCTCTTGCAACGATGATGGATGAATGGGAAGGGTGATCATGCTGGCACTGCATTCCGAGTGCAAATAGCTCATCTTCCACACATTTTCCAGTTGAGAGGTACCATTTACTTTCCGGCTTCATGGTCAAGAAGTTTGATCTACATCTTTTTCTCATCAAAAACACAAGTGTCTAACTTCTCTTCTCCTACTTCTTCTTCTTCACTCTCCTCGTTATGCTCTCTTTTTTCTTCCGCCCCGATCTCAAACAACTCTTCATAAAACTCTTTTTCTTCTTGAGCGCGTAGGAGCTTTTGGGAAGCGAGAATCGACTTGTGGGTCACCTTGTACTAATACAACTTCGCTGAAGTACTTTTTATTCAACAAGAAAGAGTTAAGTATTGAGGAGTATCAGCGTGTATAAAAATGGTTTTATTTGCAATGTATTTGTACTTCCGAACATTTCTTACCCATTTGATAAGCTCGGGCATTCTTTCTTTGTAATATATTTCTGTCCGCTTTTTTAGATATATCCTTAGCAGCCTTAACACTTTGTAGGTTTAGCTCCTTCAAAAATTTGACTTCCCTAAACGGCTCGAAATTGTTTTCGATGCAAGTAATAGCTTCTTGATGATTCATGGTCTGATTTTGTTAGTTTTGCTGCCTGAGATTTTGTGGTGTTTGCTTATTGAAAAATTGATAACGCTTATAAGTCGATAACTATGAACTTTAGTGTCTTTATTGTTCTTCAAATGAAGTAGAAGGAGAAGAAGGAAAAGAAAGATTCATTACTGATGAGAATTTATATTATCGTGGGGACGAGTGTGTTAGTCATTGATTTCAGGTTTAGTTGCGTCACGTGTCATTGTTTATACTTCAGGCTCTATCTTGTTATATACTTGTACAGACCGCGGTAGATTGTATTCTCTACCTGGTTGTACGTATTTGAGTATTGTAGTTGTTATCTCATCAAACACGTCAGATCTTATAGAATTCTCGATCAGTGCGCTTTTTGCAAGTTATTTTTTTTTCTTTTGCTGTAGTTGTAGGTAACTGTTAGTCGCTTATGACGCTGATATCTTTAAAGCTTAAACTCTTATTAGCCACATTACTTTTTTATATAAATAGTACTAACACTTATATTTACAAGATTTCCTCAGCGGATGGAAAAAAAAAGGGTTTTTTTTTGTTTTGTTTTTTTTAAAAAAAAAGGGGTTCTCAATGTTATAAATACATTATCATGGGACTAATGCACGACGGGGAGGTATGTCAAGCGATAGCAGCATAATTATTTAAGTGTTAGGCCTATTAGCTTTACGGCTACAGTATTCTTCGGTTCAATCCAGATTCTTTGGAAAAAAGTAATTGAACAAATATCAGTGAAGACGTGTTTGCCTGGTGTAGGCAGATCTAAGCTGAGAATCTTATTTCTGCAAGTCATTGCGTGCTATATATTTTTCTTGTCTCGTCATCAGTAAGACCCGCATGAATCATACACGGTAAATACCTTGGTATTTTCAAATTTTTTTTTTCAATTTTTAGCTGGGGAGAATTAAATACTACTTTACCATAATCGCATTTATCAAATTTTCCAATTTCAGTAATTTCAGAAAAAGGGGGTTCACTCTGCTGATATTTATGGCTCAGCTTCAAAGATTCCATGTGCTCTCCCGTGGAAAAAAGAAAACTATACCTATCAAAATATCTGTTTACATCAATTGATCCTCTACATTGCCCAAGTTCCAGATGCATTGCATATTTGCCAAAAATAAAAGATTTGTTACAGTGTTATAACGTTCGTTTTAAACGACTTCCAATATTTGGGCAACTTGCATTTTAATTTTAAATTTACTTACAATTTTATTGGAACAATTGCGTATAACTTCCAGTTCATAAGGCCATGTTCTTTCTGTAAGTATTTTTGCAGAGTGTTTCTGCATGCCTAGTCCAGCCCAGGCAATCATCAGGCATAATTGTCTCGTACGCTTTCTGAATTTGAAGCGATAATTCATAACCCATCTGCAACGAATTGCGTTAGATATTACTTTTAATCCTTGATCAGCATTCTCAATAAGGTTCAAAAATACGAGTAAGAAGGCATGAATAAAAGCTTGTATCCACGCTTATTTATACCCTCTACAACAAATTTACAATGGTAAACTCTACAATTGTCCATGACTACAAAAAACCCTTCTATATCGTGTTTATCCATTAGGTTTCTTTCATTTTCTAGCGATGATTCAGTCTCCAGTCTGTATCGCATGTGAACCATGTAAGAAGTTTTAATTGAACAGTTTTGAGTTCGAATGGTGCTTGCTGCCTTACGCAGCAAAGATATCTGCATAGCATCGAATCAACTTTCCAATGTCTGCGTATTTTAAACGTGCCATTAAACGCGTAAATCATCTTGTTGTAATAAATGTTGTCAAACGAGAGCTTATGTTGTTAAATCTACTAGACATATTTATCTTTCAACTTCTTCAACTTTCTTCTTCTTTTCTTCTTTTTCCTCTTTATAACCTCTCGCTCGGCGCTACCTCTATACGCTTGTGTAAGAGTATTATCGAGAATAAAATCAATTCAGTGAAAGAAAAGTACACCAAGAACGAAAATTCCGTTCGGTAAAGGCAAACCACAATACAATGTGTTGTTTGGGACATTATTAACCTTGTTGTGCACTTATTCAGACCATACTAAATGTAACGACTGTGATGAAATGGGTCACTTCAATAAAAGCCACCCGAAATGCATTATCATAAAGCTGTATCCGCTGACGATGGTAAGTTGAGCATCGACCTGCTTTTAGTCACACAAACCGAGTAACAGACCATCTCATACTCGTAGTTGGGAGTCGCAATAAGAAGAGAAAAACAGAGCACCAGTAATAAAGCAGAGAAAAAGGCAGTGAAGAAGACGAAAATGGCATCACAAGCTGTAGAGTGTCCAAGTTGTGGGAATGATAACCATGGTTATTCTCGTTCGCCTCTTAGTCCTAATCACATACAATCAAAGGAGGAGGCCATTTCATCAGTCCTTGGTTATAATCCTACTATTTTTGTAACGAATCTTCCTATCGACCGTGCTGCTTTGTCACAGTTTCGTGAAAAGTTCAAGGAAAAGGTCATTTCGTGCTGCAAGGACATTACAGCTATAGTGTTCCGCTGCCAACTATTCGTCAATGCCTATCTTGTTCATAACAAGAATGACATTCCTTGAGAAGTCTTCACACAGCAATTTTGGTATTCCATTGAGCAACTCGTTATGGGTAAAAGTTTACTCACAAGAAGGCGTTGAACGACAGCATCAAAATTTATTTTGATGACTTTAAGCAAAAGCATCCGACAATAGTAATTAGTCATGGCTTCACCAAAGGTTATAGTCATTGTCTCAAAGAAGCTGCCAAGGAAATAAGCGTTTCATATACTTACTCCATTGTTGAGCTTTTCGAGAAGCGAATGCTTAAATATTCAACCTATAAGCTACAAAACATGTTTGTTGTGGGTCTCCTTTCTACTATTCTAATTTCAATTTCTACCTTTCTAATTGTGAGTATTTTTGTTATTATCCATAAAACATGAAGTAGGTCGATGCAGCAGGTTACACTACTTTCCTTATCATCCGATCCCACCAAGTTTATTAAAGCCTTATGGCACATCCAATCCTCGTATGAAAAGGAAATGACGAACATGCAGCTTATGATGTCCGTAGGTTACCATTTACCCAAGCGCTTCTTCCCTTTCCCTTTCCCTTCGCTCCATTGGCGTTTCATTACGATAAGCATCAATTCGCTCGTCCCATTCTTGTTTCCTGGTACGCCCCCTAAAGGCTATTTGAATCAACTCGAGAAGTTTCACCAAGTGTTCAGCTTCAAAACGATGGGAATTAAAAGGTAAACGGAAACAGTTTGGGCTGAAATACTGTCTTTGGTATATATTGACTTTCGTTTTTTATGGCAGTAGTTTAAATGACCTCAAGACAAGCCTGGAAACATTATTCCGTAATATTGTGTCCGTTCAGATGGCTTCACTGTCGATTTCATTTTCAGTAAGAAAGGGAAAGCAAAAGAAGAGAAGACCATCGAAAACCATCGGTTGACTTTAAAGGACTTTGATTTAGCCGAAATCGAAGCTGGTTACAGGCCCTGCTTGATTGATCCCTGGGAGAAAAGACGTCTCACAGCAGCGATAGGGCTGGACGATGAAAAGCACCAAGTGCGAAGATGCTCTACCAAAGAGTACTATCACATGACTGGTAGCACCAGGTACTCTGCAAAGCTAGAGAAGAAGAAAGCGGGTAAAATCAAGGGCATCGAAAGCAATATGCCAACTGCCAAGAGAGGCTCTAGTGCCCAATATCGCTGTTATGCAACATACATCCTACAACACTTGGAAGACTTGTTTTCTTCTACGGTGATGGCACTGCCGAAGATCGATTCCATTTGTACCAAGGAAGGAAACGTGCTGCCGACAAAATGGTAAACATGATTATCAATGGCAGTACAAAGTATAATCTGGATGCCAGATTGAAGAAGAGAGAAGAACAAAACAAGGTCGCAAAGAAGAAGGATAATGGCAGGATGGCTTTAAAAAAACGACGCAAAAAAAAAAAAGAAGAAAGGAGTAGCAGAGAAAAAGAGTATGAAAGAAGAGACATCAGAAATTAGGGTGGAATTGAAGACGAAAGACAGGTAAAGTTCATAAACGATATTCATCAACCACTTATAGGAAGTAGCATGCTTTTTATATTAGTGCATCAAACGCCAAATGGAAATCGGAACCCTTCAATGTGGGTGATATAAAAAAAGTGCCTCTCATCGTAATAGCATGTTTGGTAAGGACAACGTTGTACTGAAGAGTCACCGATGCAGAACGGTAGGTGTTTTGTGGCGTGCGCTTAAGCGACGCGAAGTAGCCGGAGATCTGCTAGTACTAGAAATCGATGAATTCAAGACATCTTGAATATGCTCGTGCTGTTTCAACGATACTTTGGAAAGGTTGAAAGGCGTCCAGACCTACAGTATACTTGTTTGCAAGACTTGTCATATACTGTGGAACCGAGACATTAACGCCTCAAAGAACATGATGAAGATCAGTAGTGCCATTTGGAAGAATTTGGAAGAAGTTGGGAAGACCGAAATAGTTTATGCGACCAAAAATAAAAGACTCCCCTACCTTCAACATCGCTGGAACGAACCCAGTTTAACGAAAGCTTGCACTTTCTAGTGTTGTGCAAACTGTCTAACATTTACTCTTAACGGTCTACTATCATATTGAATTCCGTTTAAACATAATATATATATTGTCTAAAAATTATGTTTGTGTTGTCCAAATATAAACTGTATTTGCAAAGGTTTGATCACAAAATTAAATCCTCTCAGGCCTTTTGACTAAAGATAGTGTAAGTATCACAAAATTAAACATGTCGGTAGACGGACTTCAATTTCCGGCCGCTGCTTAAACAGCAATTATCATCGCCAGTGCTCAATCAGTAAAAGTAGAGACTGTGCAAATGCAAACGATGTCTGACTCTTTCCTACTTTCTCTTTCAGATATTAATTATATCTTTGATAACCTCTTTTACTTCCCTTCGTTTACAGCACAATTTGATTTCAAAACCCATAGTCAGGAAGCGTATCGTTAATCAGCACAACCAACGATTATACAGAATCAGTATCCGCATTTGCAAACGCATTTGCCTTTTTCTATTCTCTCTTTTTTTTTCTTTTTTTTTTTTTTGCTTCAAATAGATAAAAGGCACAGACACTTATAAAAGGAAGCAGTTTTATAAGCAAATTTATCAACCCTTTAAGGAAGGACGCAAACGAGGAAGACGAGCAACGGAAAACAAGGTTCTTAAAAGCGAATAACTTGGAATCATCCCAACCTTATGGAGCCCAAGTCTAAAGTTACCACTAAAAGAAGAATTAAACAACAAGCAGAAACTTCAAACGACGATAATAGCCACTCAAATAAATCAGCAACACCGAAAAGGAGGAATACCGTACGAAAACTTCATAATAGTAATCGCAGCAATAAGGGAAGTTCTGACGACACAGTTACTACGACCACTGGCAAAAATAGCAGTCAAAACACTACCACTAGCAACAGTAGAAGATACAGTTTAAGAAATAATCAAAACGACACCTCTCCTTCTGCTACCGATACCAAGACATCATCAAAAAAGTAAATCTAAAACAGGCACACAGAAAAAAATTAACCTAAATCAGGACTAACAATTTCTCCGTTTCTTAACTCTTTTTCATCTTGCTTCTGTTTCTCTCTTTTCTTTATATCATTTTTATTTGCTCTCTTTCCGATAAAGAGCACAAAAAAGAAGAATAAATCAGTCGGCCATAGAACAAGATCTAACTAAAAAAAGAAAAAGAATGAATTCGAAAGGAAAACAAAAAGAAGAAGTAGCATCAGTCCCCAAGTAAAGATCTTTTGCGTATATACATTGGAAGGCTACTACCTAACACTAAATTCTCTTTTGTGATTAGCAGTTCCGTTAACAAACAGCAGCTAATGGAAAAGGAGAAGAGTAAAGGCTCAACCAGTAAAAAGTATAAGATGGAGGAAACAGAAATAAACAACACAAACAATGATGATGATGAGGATAACCAGAAGAACGATAGAGAACATAATAACGAGGAAGAATTTAACGATGATGATGTGGAAGATGAAGACGATGATGAGTTAGATAGTGAGGAAGAGCGTGCTCGGGTGAGGAGAGTTTTGGGTATGCAAATGCAAGGTATATTTGGTAGTAATGGTTCGGGCGGATTTTTATCTTCGGATTTTGGACGATTCAAGCATATATTGAATGAGTTGAGGAACAGTAATGACGACCCCACCGTGCAATTGGTTGCTTTGCAAGAATTAGCTGAAATCTTATCAATAAGTAGTGAGGACAGTTTACCGGGTTATTTCTCAATCGATGCGTTTGCGAAAGAGTTGGTTAGGATTATGAAGGGCCCAGTAGTTGATGATATTACATTAATGCAACAAGAGGGTGATATGGATCAAGATATGCTGTTGGCTTTAGCCATGAGTGAAGGGTTAGTCGGAGGCAATCCAGAAGTCATGTTGTTAGCTTGTCGTTGTATTTCAAATCTTATAGAAGCAATGCCTACTTCTGTTACCAGTATTGCGTCCCATGGTGCTGTCCATGTACTTTGTCAAAAGTTGAAATCAATTCAGTATATTGATTTAGCCGAACAAGCTCTCTTCGTAAATATACCATATGCTGGTAGAGAATTTCTTACTTGTTTCTGATATTTATATTCTGTTTATCTGTGTGTAGGCTCTTGAGAAAATCTCGGTTCAGTTACCTAGAGCTGTAGTTCATGAGGGCGGCTTGACTGCAACTCTTATGTATTTTGATTTCTTCAATATACATGCACAACGTACAGCTCTACGAACAGCCTCCAATTGTATGCGTGGCCTTGATTTAGAGTCATTTTCTCAAGTTATAGAAGTGGTTCCCATTCTGATGAACACCATTGCTCACTCTGATAGATCCATTATTGAATTAACTTGTCTTTGCTGGGTGAGAATTGCTGAAGGTTATCGCAGCCACCGCGCCTCCTTTGAACGTGCTATCAGTAACGATTTATTGAAAATATTGTGCAAATTATTGCCCGTTCCCGGTAATACAAATGCTGTTCATCCTGGCACTTTTCAAGATTTATTACGTATCTTCCGTGCCATCTCCAAAGCTTCGCCACAATTAAGTTTTGAATTACTTCAACTTGGTATCATTGACAGTTTCTATCAGATTTTGATCGGCTCAGCCACTCTTCCAGATTTGAAATATGTCAGCTTAGCGGCGACATCCCAACAACATATAACTTTAGACTCCAAATGGCGTGATTCAGTACCTTTGATAATGAAGATTATTGTTGATTTATTACCGCCTTTACCAAAAGATGACTTGTTCAGTTCAAAACGCTTTAAACAACAACAACCTACACCTTTCTCGTCGTCCACAAGCAGCCATATGACAACACGGTCTATGTCCTTAGCAACAACAGCCAATGATAATGAGCAGAAAGATACAGCAACTACAATAAGCGATGATCCTCGTGTAAAATGGTTACAAGAGGATCAGCATGCTATGTTGAAAATGGATATTGTTCTAATTCCATTAATTTTGGACATGTACTCATCGACTGTTAATTTACGTGTACGTCAACTGGTCACTCATACACTCGTTAAATTACTTCATTACTCAGAAGGCAATACACTCCAAACTGTGCTTACTGGTGTAGGCTTATCTAGCTTTTTATCCGGAGTTCTTGTTCGCCAGGAACATCCTGTACTGGTTGTCGATGCTCTTTACCAAGCAGAAATTCTAATCAGGAAATTACCAGACATTTATCGCACTTCATTCGAACGTGAGGGTGTGATACATGAGATTGTTGCTATCTCCAAATTGCCACTTGTTGTTAATGACGGCAAACAGCAACGAAAAGAGGAAGAAATAGCACACCCAGAGTTGGCTTCTTCATCTCAATCAAGAAATAGTAATAATAGCACTGTGAAAAAAACCAATTATGAAGATGACTTTTTCCAGTCGATGCGGCTAGATTACGATGAAAGTGATGAGGCCACTGCCACAACTGATGTTCAAGGAGGAACCGAGGGGATTGAGACGGTGACAGACGACGAAAAAGATCAAGAGTTTAGAGAATGCCAAAAGACAGCAACGAGTACATCGGTTTCTTCAACCACTCGAAAGCAAGAAAAACAACGTAAAAAATTAAATAGTTTTCTTATTCGTACTCAACAACTGTTACAGCAACAACAGCGCTCTTCATCTTTTCACGCCAAATCTTCAAGTCGCCATAGTCACCATCATCAATATCATATATCTGATAATGAGAAAGGAGTAGGTCGTGGTTCTACTCGTAAATATATCATTTTATTGGCTCAATACTTCGTTGAACATTATATCAAAACAGAGCAAGTAAGCGGCGATGTTGTGTCTACTAGTAATAGCTTTGTGGAAATCTCGCAATTCACAAAAGACCTGTTGAGGAAATCTACAGCAGCACAAGCCGAGGAAAGTTTGAGATCACTTTCTCGATATCTTCAAGCGTCAAATATGGGCATAAGTAGCTTTGAATTGATCAATACTGGGCTTCTGCAAGCCCTTTTGAGCTATTTGACGACAACAAAAGATAACGAGCAGTCGTTGCTTTTAGAGGAACGCACACAACTTTTTAAAACTGTTTTCATAGAGAACCCCGATATCGATCACAATACACAATCCTCATCTTTGAAAAAGTTAGTTATACGTTTACAAGAAATTTTGAGTCGGTCTGAGTCATTTGATGTAGTGACACCCCTCGACACTACTTCGAGTGACAATTTGCGGAATCCTACAAGTATGCTGGCCAAACAACTTAGGTTAAGACTTACAGGTGTTGGTGCACATATTCCTGGTATATATAAGCAACTGATGGTGTCAACTCATGCCGTGGCTACCTTCAAAATACTTGAAGAATATCTTTTAGCTCGTATACAAACTTCCAGCTTATTACGTGCTGATGATGGAAGCAGTAGCGAGAGAGAAGAAAATAGTCAGGAACATTCAGAAATGGAGAACTACGACGAATCAGATGATGATATGGATGTTGATCCTGAGCTTGAGGGAGATACATTGATGAGGGAAACAATAATAGTCGATAAGAAGGGGAGTACTGAGGATACAACTTTGAAAAAATCAGAAAGCGACAATAATGTTTCTACAAGCCATGGAAGCAGTAGGCGGAAAAACCAACACCAAAAGAAAGAAAATAATATTCAGGAAAAAAGTGTTAAAAAAGAAGGTGAATGGAAAATACGGTTCACTGTTGACAATATGCCTATATCCAATGAATCAACTGTATATGCTGCCGTACATCATTCTGCAATGGAAAAAAAGGCTAAGAATCAGGAACAACATGGTAATCTTGATACTGCAGCAGCAACAAGTGATATCCGTAACATTTGGACCGTATCACATCCCATCACTTACGAACGTTATTGGGAACTTTCGTCTCACTCAGAAAAGAGCAATCATCATACCAATCAAAGCAAGAGCGTGCGCCATGATTACCTACATTCTGCTAAGATCCCTCAACCAAAAGAATTACAACAGAAAGGAGAAGACTCGAATATTTGCTTCCAAGTGCTTTATCTATTAAAAGCTATTTCTTCTGTTGTTGAAGAGAAGCAAACAGATGCTATTATAGCGGAAGATTTTATCAACAGAAAGCTGACGGCCAAAGCTAATCGTCAATTAGAAGAACCTTTAATCGTGGCCAGCTCTTGTCTACCCAGCTGGATTTACTGGTTAATGCATCAAACTCCTTTTCTATTTCCCTTTGAAACTCGGTATCTTTTCATTCAAAGTACTTCCTTTGGTTATGCCCGTTTGATTGCTCGATGGCAAAGTCTTCAAATGCGTAATCAAAATAGTCAAAATCATCACCATAATCGTAGTATCAACGATGAGCAACAGCTTGTCTTAGGACGTATGGAAAGACAAAAAGTTCGTATTGCACGTTCCCATATTCTTGAATCCGCTATAAAGGTGATGGATATGTTTGGCAGCTCTCCTAGTATACTTGAATTTGAATATATGGGTGAAGAAGGCACAGGTTTAGGCCCTACGTTGGAATTTTACGCTTGTTGTTCTAAAGAATTTACTAAACGCTCATTGAATATGTGGCGTGGGTCTTCTGCTTCTGTTGCCGGCAATAGTGGTAATTATGTAGATGCCCCATTTGGTCTATTTCCCAAGACGATTTCCAAAAATATTGGTAAATCTTCGAGAAAAATCATCTCTTTATTCAAGACATTAGGACAGTTCGTTGCCAAAGGTTTACTGGATTTTAGAATTATCGATATACCCTTCAGCCCAGCCTTCTTTAAAGTTGTTCTGCATAATGTTGAGCCCTCCGAAGAACTTTTAATGGTAAGCATTCGAGTTTGTAGATAGATAGTCATGATATAAGAAATAATGGAAGACTTACTTACACATCTACATCTAGGATATTGACCCGCAATTGGCCAAGTCGATTCGTTCTTTACGTGCTTATGCTGACAGAAAACGGGAGATTTATGACGATGTCATTAAAACTTCAATTGAAGAGAAGTTATCGTCTATCAAAAATATTGAGATCAATGGAGCCAAAATAGATGATATGTGCTTGGATTTCACTCTAGTTGGTGACGCTACATTTGAACTAAAACCTGGAGGTGCCGACATCCCCGTGACCATATATAATGTAGAAGAATATATCGAACTACTGCTGGATGCTATTGCTGGATCGGGTATTTCTGAGCAAGTGAAAGCCTTCATAGAGGGTTTCAATGGATTATTCCCTATTGAGGATCTTAAACTGTTGACCTCCGCTGAATTGGTCTCTTTATTTGGCGGCAACGGTCAAGATAATGTCGATTGGAGCTTTTCTACATTATCAGATACCATTCGAGCTGACCATGGCTTTACAAAAGAGAGTGAGCCTGTCCGATACCTTCTGGAGATCCTTTCAGAATTTAATAACATAGAGAGACGACAATTTTTACAGTTCACTACTGGTTCTCCACGATTGCCTATTGGGGGCTGGAGAGCGCTTCGACCGACATTTACTGTAGTTCGAAAAATACCTGAGGCACCTTTAACACCTGACGATTACTTACCCTCTGTTATGACATGTGCTAATTACCTCAAAATGCCTGCTTATACTACGAAGGAGATTATGTTTCAAAAATTGATCATAGCTATGAAAGAGGGACAAAGTAGCTTTTTACTTTCGTAAAACCTTGATCACGAATAGGTTATAGTTGCATTATGCTTTTGCTCGGTTATTGGTAAATAATAATAGTGATAAATCAATAAAGAATTGTATTGCAACAGTTACATTTTGCTGCTGTAGGTAACAAGTGATAGAACGCTTAGACATCCATGAGGCGATGGACTTATAAGGTACTCAAATACGTTCAGAGAGTTTTTATCACTTTCGATTTCAAACACCAATGCGGGCAAATCCAGATGATTATATAATGTAACACTAAAGAAACCCTTCGAGTGTCAAGGATAAAAAAGGTTTAAGCAAGGTTGGAGGAAAACGGGGAGTCAACCATTGTATTTGGTGAATCAAGAAGAGGCTCTGGTTGAGGGGGTTTAGCGCCATGGAACAAGAGATCCAGTTCATATAGTGATCAACAAATGATCGGTCAACGGATTTCAATCCACGATTGGTAAGTGGTTGGTGAGCGAGGAGGGTAGGAGGCAAGGAGGATATACAGTAAATAAAGTTTTTTATATTTTTTGTTCTGAAAAGCCAATCATATCCTTTATTCTGCATTCGAGTGTCTTATAAAATTCCAGTAGAATTCATTCATCGCTTGAATTAGTTATTCAGACATAAGAATACAGACTAAGAAATACGAATTTCCTCCCTTCCCGCTAACTGACCTCGTGGGTAAGTCATAGTAGTAAGTACAGTTTTGTGCCGATTGGGTCGTCCCTTTGGTCAATGCTGATGAGATTTTGCTGACCTAACGTCAGAAAAGTGCAAAAGGCAACCAAAGGGTTCAATGAATTGACACTTCGATTGTCGATAAAAAGATCGATACTCTATTTGGTTACATGAAGCAATTAGTTGCGAATTGGCAGCAAAGTGTTTACAGGAGGTAAGATTTGCTTTGAAAAGGTTTAAGAGGCCCATTGGATTCTGTTGTTGTTGTTTTTTGTCTATTATATCTTCAAAAAGCGTGTCCCAATAGCTTTTTACCTGCTTAAAGCAAGAAAAATAAACAATTGTTTTTACCTATAAAAGTATTTAGGAATTTCAATATTGTTTAAATACAATGTATCCATGCTATAATACTGTAAAAACACTTGAACTGCAGAAAGGTGTCATTTTTATGGAGGCCTAAGCGAGGCCCAAACGCAATCAATTTGGTTGACAAATGCGAGGACCGCGGCAATCTAATTTACGAGTAATTGATATAGCAAGGCGTCGGTACTGGATCTGTAAACTTACTTACTACGTTTAAACATAGATTTTATTACATAATATTAATTTTTTTAAAGCCCAATGGACACGAGATATTAAGCTTATCTAAATTGCCCGGGACAGCTCCAAAGGCTGAAAAGAATCTAAAAACCCCTTAGGGCTCAAGGGTAAAAAGGATTATGTACTAAAGGATTGTGGGAGGGGAAGAGGGTAACCAGTCGAGCAATAGATGCCCTAACCGAGGAGTTGTAGGCGGCTCTTGAGAGTGGTGTAAGTAGTCGAGTTCAAACAAAATGTGACAAAGTGCTGGCCATAGAAAATGCCAGTTTTGTATTTGGGATGGGTTGTTGATCGGATGTGTAGGAAGACGGCTGAGGACATAGAATATGGGATCACAGACTGATGTGGGGAGTCGTAGGCGGTGGTGCACGTTTAAACAGGAGATAGCGTGGAACTTTGTAAGTAATGACGAGGGATGTTTAAAGCAATAGGTTCGGTGGCCTCCAGGAAGCCAACTCAAACGCCATCGGATATATCGGCTGCTCTCAGTAGTTGACATTGGACTTGTTTACTCAGTATTTTCGGTTTTAACTTAGACTTTTTTGTACACAAAATTGGATATTTTGATTGATTTGATTCAGAAAATTTAAGTTATTATTTTTGGACCAGTTACTTTTTACATTTGGACATTTGTAGTAAACATCTGAGGCCCCCTCCTTTCTGTACGCATTTGTTACAGTAAGTTTCGTTGTTTGATCGGCCCAGAAGAATTACGCACATTCTCCTTAGCTTCCATGTGGGCTGGTTGTCCAGTAGAATTCTATGTAAATGACTCACAATACTGTATTCTCATTGACTGCTCAGCATCTCTCTTGATCCAAAATCATGTCACTTTAGTGTCATTTTCGCCTTAAAGAAAGCAATAACAATAGGTGATTGTATAAATTAACTTAAAAACGCCTGTTTGTTGTCAGTGATGAAGTGATAAATAAACGTGTCTTGATTTGGTGTCAAAATTTAGCACGTCCGAAGAAATCTGTATAGATTGTTTTTGTTGTCAAAACTTCTTTGTTGTCCAAATAACCTTCTAACAAAAAGTTTCAGTTTCGTTGATACCTTTTCCTCTTTTTCATAGAATCTCGTTATTTTCTTTAAAGAATTATTAAAGAAGTGTTAACAGTGTATAATCAGGTAGATTAAAATAAGATCTCATCACGAGCTACTCACAACGACTGTACTGTACATATTTTGTTTGTAACTGAGTGTTTATATCTTTTGAGTAGTTTTTTTATCTTGTCGTCAAGAGAAGCAAAAGTTTACCTTGTAGCAAAGTTGAAGAAAAAGCAGCAAGAAAATAGAGAAAGTCAGTTCATGCTTGCTGTATTTCGTTTACTATTCGTTTATGCACTCAAACAGAATCGTTGAACCATTAATTTCCTAGAAACATGTTTTGCTTGCGGACGGGAAGGACATGTCCATAAGGGCTCATACTTGTGTCCAGAATATAATGGTAACAGATGGCTGAAGAGGTAATATTTCCTGTTCATTTTCACTGATATTCTGTTCATACGCTTTTCTAGCCAAGAAACGAAAGTCCGGAAAAGATGAATACGAAACAGAGCAAGCTAAATAGAAGGGCAAAAAGAGAAGGTTAGAAGCGAAAAAAGCATCGCCATCGAATAGTGTGAGTTTAAAACCTCAAAGGTGGATCCCAAATTGCCAAATCAAGTGCCCTTTCGTTAGAAGTAATGTCATTTTCGTAGGTTTGTAACAATTGTAATGGTGTCGAAATGAAAGAAGTACGAATTTCGGACGGCTCCAGCGTCTATGGTACCAAGGCCTGCAAAACCTGTGGTATAATATGGCAAAGAGACGTCAATGCGGCCAAAAATATGCTTACTATTGCAAATTCCGTATGGGAACACAATGGCCGCCCCGACATTTTCTCTCGCCGTCGCCATAACGAAAATGGTGCTGCAGGTTCTATACCGACGGCTTAAAGATTTTTACGCGTTTTGGTGAGTTCATTTGTGAAATTTGTCACTGTACATTTGTGGAGTTTTATTAACTGCTGCTTGACGTTACTACATACTCAAACAGGGTAGATATTCTGTGCTTTGGCACAGTATATTTACCTTGTATGAGTAATAGTAGTTCGCACATTTGGCATTGAGCATTTTGACAGAAAAGGTATGATCTCAAAGACTAAACTTTTCATCCAAAATAATGTTCAAACTAGTCTGAATTTTAATTGTAACATAGTCTCAATTTAATAGCCATTTCGTGCGAAAGTCAAGCGACAAAACAGTATCACATAGGAGGCTCTTTCGAATCTAAGAAAAAGAACATTGAAAACAAAACGACAAACTATCTTATTTATTTTAAATTAGCTTGATACCTCATTTCTCCACGCGGATTTTTGAAATTTACATGAATAAAGAATTCATCCCAGCGTTTTCAATAGGTTAGGCTTTATTTAAACGCCTGATCAATTTATGGAGATCAACAGCGTAAATAACTCTAATTCACTAATACAAGTCTTAAGTGATGAAAGAGGTGTTTTAAAACTTTATAGGGCTGGTATTGAAGAGATAATTGCTGTGCATTTCATTGTGCCTTTTCATATTCGAAGCAGTCACTGCCTGAGATAGATTAGTGTACATTCTTCATTTTTTTGGTTACCCTTCTTTCATTCTGTAATTTTTTTAACGCAAAGAGGCATGTCAGATTCTGAGCTCGATAAAACCCCAATCGCTACCAAACGAGCAAGAGAATCAAGTGTTGGCGAAGAGATAGAGCAGTGTATGGTTGAAAAAATAGAACAACATTCGTCTGCAAATTCAGAAGTATTAGTAGAACCCAAAGATCACGTTTACATAGTTACAGAACTTCAAAAGCAGCATTTGAATGACGGCGAACTATGGTGCTTAATATCAAAGGATTGGTGGAACCGCTGGACAAAATACTGCGCACGCTTAAATAGTCCTAGTTCTAGTGCCAGAAGATTAGGCGAAAGTACACCTCCTGGCCCCATTGATAACCGTCCAATTTTGAACGACAATAATGATTTGAAGGAAGGTTTAACATATATGGCAAATGTCACTGCAGTACCTGAACAAGCTTGGAATAGACTAGTTAGTTGGTAAGGGCTTCGTCTTCTTTCCCGTTTTTGCTAAAAAGTGTTTTTTCTGGTTCTTTTTCTTTTCTATCTCAATTCTAACGTTTAACAATTCGTGCTATTAGGTATGGGACGATGAACCCAGAGATGAATAAACCCATTCGACGAGCTATCATCACACAAGGATGCGGCGATAACGAACGAAAGCCAACTGTGGAGTTGTACCCACCACAATTTAAAGTGTACATGGTCGAAACAACAAATAAATCAGCAAACCATCAACAAATCAGCGGATTAATAACGCGCTCTCCAGTTATTACTTTATCGACAACAAATACAGCACAGGATTTCTGCAATGCTATTCGCGACGCTTTTGATCTTTCAGTTGATGCAGAGGTACAATATTGGCTTTTGCAAGATGAACCAGCTATGGCATCGTGTCCTAATGTGGCTGTTGAAGTATTAAAGAATGCTCAAAAACTCACAGTGGATAGCGACGACAGCAAGCTAAATTGCAGTGGTAAATTTTATATTGCCATTGAAGTAAAAAATAGATTGACCGGCTGTTTCCCGTCCGATACCATGGAAGCGACGCAAACGCAGCAACCATCGCCTTCAGATACAGCATCCGACATATCATCTACATCGAGTGTATTCGCGAACGGTTTTAATAATCTATCTACTTCCGTGTCTACCACTGCTACTACACCTCATTCTATCCAACGGTTCAAACCCGGTGTGTGTGGTTTGCAAAACCTGGGAAATACTTGTTTTATGAATTCAGCTCTTCAATGTTTGAGCAATACGGAAGAATTGACAAAATGGTTCTTAGCAGATAACTATAAGAAGGATCTCAACAGAGATAATCCTCTAGGTATGAAAGGTCAGGTCGCTGAAGCATATGGTGAACTTATTGAAAAGTTATGGGGTGCTTCAACCAGACATGTTGCGCCTAGAGACTTTAAATATACCATTGGTCGTTTTAACTCTTCTTTTAGTGGATATCAACAACACGACACGCAAGAACTCTTAGCTTTTTTACTAGATGGCTTACATGAGGATCTGAATCGTATTTTAAAGAAACCTTACATTGAACTGCCCGATTTTCATGATATGGAAGATGCTGAAATTGCTCAACAAAGCTGGGATTATCATAAAGCTAGAAATGATTCAATAATTGTCGATCTCTTTCAGGGACAATTCAAAAGCAAACTAGTCTGTGATGAATGTAAAAATGTAAGTTCATTTATGCTTTACAAGGGTATGCGATTTATTCTTGTTTATAGCTCACTGAATAGTTTACATATACTATAGGTGTCCGTCACTTTTGATCCTTTTATGTATCTATCGTTGCCTCTTCCAATTAAAAAGAAAAGCAAGACTTCAATTGTTTATGTTCCTTATGATCCTTCTCAGAAGCTGCAGCGTGTAGTTGTCACTTTGAGTAAAGAAGCGAGTATTGCTCATTTACAAAAGGAAGTAGCCCGTATGTTTTCTGTTGAAGATCCTAATTCGGTAATTATCATTAAATAGTCAAACATTCTTGGGTGAAGCTATTTACTTACTTCTGTTTATGTAGCTGCTGGTAGTAGAATTATTCAGCCATAAAATTTACAAGATTTTTGCACAATATGAACCCGTGGCATCAATAGGAGCTTCTGATATTATCTATGTTTATCAGCTTCCAGGACCTATACCACCTGCACCGAAGAAAAGAAGCCAATATTCTTACAGAAGCAGCATTTTGTCAGACGATGAAAAATCTGACGACGACATTTCAGCAATTGATGAAAATCAATTGATTGTTTTCCCAGTATATTGCGCCACAGTAGTAAAGGCAGAAAGTGCGTACGCTAGTGAGCGGATTAATCAATTCGGTGATCCAATTATTCTTGCTGTACCTTATAAAGATGCTTGTAATAAATCTGTTGAATTTTTCTATCAATTATTGTCTGAACACATTGAAAGATACACTCAATCCAAGCCATTTGAAGAAGTCAAGGACGAAGACGAAGAAGCTGATTTTCCTGAGGACATAGTTACTGATGAATCAAAAAAATTGAATGATGATGAGACCCCAAGTGAACCCATTGATCAACAATCGCCACCGTCTTACGAATCTGTCATGGAAGACCAAAAGGCTACTGACCTTGTTACAAACGAAAACACAATGCCTGAGTCTTCAGTTGATTTTGATGAGAAGAGTGAGATGGACATAGACGAAGAGGAAGCAGATAGAGATAAGGAAATTGATAGTATAGAGACAGATGCAGCAATAATGTCGACAAAGGATAAGCAAGTGGAACGTATAAACAATTTATTTACAATGAAAATATTTTCAAATACTCGTTACAGCAGATACGGGAATGAGGATCTTTTGCCTTTAGTGCAAAGTTTCACAGGCTTGATTGACTTCCGTGAAAGAACAGAAACAGAGCAAGCGCAAAGGGAAGAGTACTATAAGTTGCAAAACGGTTTTACTACTGAAGCAGAAACTGAGCAACAGATACAACATGATGTTGAAATGGTTGAATCTCCAAGTCCAGCTGCTCACCAAACTCCTGTTGCTGGTGATTTAGCAATAGAAACAGTGGAAGCAGATGATCAAGTTGAAAATGCCGCTGCTATTTTTGGTCTGACCTCCACATCCGTCGATAGCAGTATCAGTAGTAGTTTGGTGAATATTGATGATAAGGTTGAACCTGGCGAAATACTCAATGATAACGATACAATATCTTCAATAGACAATGCTTCTGTTGTTGCTGCACCTGATGGAAATTTGTCACCGCTTATTTCCTCTCCTACGTTAGAATATCAACCTTCTTCACCTCCTGCTGCTGATATCCTCAAAAAATTGCCGAAACGTAAAGTGTCATGTCCTCCGGATACAATCATTCGTCAGGGTGAGGGCATTTTACTCACTTGGACACCTAAAAGGGCTCAACAATTATTCGGTGCCACAAATAGTAGTGGCAATGGTAGAAACGGTTATTCGTATAGCTATAGTAATAGTGACAATGCTGGTGTTTGCACAGATGCTTGGGAGGATATCGACGATTTAGGCGACCCCAATGAGGAAGACACAGATATCACTACCAAGAAAAAACAAGTAACATTATCTGATTGTTTAGATGAGTTCACAAAAGAAGAAGAATTAAGTGAAGAAGATCTTTGGTATTGTCCCAAATGTAAAAAGCATCAACGGGCCACTAAGAAGTTTGATTTATGGCGGATGCCCGAAATTATGGTTGTGCATTTGAAACGTTTTAGTCATTCTCGTACTTTCAGAGATAAGATTGATGCTTTCATCGATTTCCCAACTGAAGGTTTAGATTTAACCGACCGAGTGCTCAGTACGAGAGCGATCATAAATGAGGATGAAGAAAATGCAGATAATAGGCTGATATACGATCTTTATGCTGTGGATAATCATTATGGGGGCTTGGGCGGAGGCCACTATACTTCCTTTGCACAAAACTTCGAGGATGGCCGCTGGTACAATTTTGATGACTCACATGTTAGTGAAGTGGCAGTAGACGATGCCAAAACGGCAGCAGCCTATCTATTGTTTTACAAGCGTAGGAGATCAAAGAAAGCCAACTCTAAATCTGTTGAGGAAATAATCCAGGATAAAATTAGCATACAACGACAGCAGCAGGCTGCTGAGACGATAGAAACAGTGAACATGGGGATGGAGAAAGAAATACCAGTAGTAAGATCCTCAACATTACCGAATGATCCGGAAGAAAACTATAACAACGACGACGATTCCACAATCAAAAAACTTGAAGAACCAGATCACAATGTAACTACCATCTCCTCCAGCACTACAACAAGCAATACAAATTCACCTGTCGTTATACCATATAAATTATCAACGGACGAAAATGCTGAGGATTCTAACCACGACGAACAAATCTAAAATTTAGTTATACATAATATTGCCGTTCAAATAGATAGGATAAAAACTTTCATTCTCAATATCTAAGCCCGTCTGTTCTTCGATATCTTTTCGAAAGAAATTGATTAAGTGATAAAAGCCATGTGCAATGCACCAAGTCGAAATTCTTAATGGTTTTTAATTATCGGACGTCTGCTGGAATAAACTGAAAAGAAAAAATTCCCCTCTATATTAAGATGAAAGGACTGTACAACTGTTTTAATTACTTAAGCAGTTTGCTTCTTGGCCTTAAGGGCGAAACGACGCTAAAAATTAGAGAAAGGTTATAAAGGAAGATTAGTTTACTGAACAATGATGCTTTCGAATAGAATTATGATTCGTGAAATTCTTACTTGGTTCTTTAACTTCAATAATTTGAAGCGATCAAAATCGGACAAACCAGCACGAATGCTACGTTGTTCGATCTTTTTAGCCCAAGCAGTCTTGTTCCAAGCGCCGATGATGTCATTCTTTTCAATGGCCTTCTTAAGAGCAGTTTGACCAACATTGCGGGGAAGTTGCTTGAGGACAAGAGGAGTCAAGACCATGTTACGGAAGGGAAAGGCCTGACGAGCAACACCAGTGGTAGGACCTTCAATAAGAGCACGGTTGTGGTCGACAATATTAACAATGACAGCCAACTTGCCAGCATCAACACCAGCGTTGACGAGAACAACACGACCAACTTCAACTTGACGCTTGAAAGAACCCTGCTATACAAAAATTGAGATAGACATTAGCCGATGCAAACGAAAGGGTAACATTGAATATAGAAATGGCTTTGGAGGAAGAGAGAGAACTATTCAAGAGTACTGATGTGACATATTGACGCAATTCTATCTACACTTAATAATCAATTTGTGTCGAAGTTGTAACTATACAGAACTGCTCAAATTCTACATTCAAACCGAGAGTATGGATAGAATACTCAAAAAAAGGTTGTAATGTTGTACATTAAATGTTTTAACGACATCAGAAATTAGATTGTTGCTGCTGCTGCTGAAATGTGATTAAATTTGTATGTCGATACTTATGATGCTGTTGGTAATCCATCCGTCCATCCATCCATTTTATTGTCTCAGATCTGGTGCCGCTCTATCTTTGACTATTGATCTCTCTTCCTCTGTAGTTAAGTGTGGGATGACATACCATCTTTGATGTATTCCTTCGAAATGGTAGTAAGAGAGATGATATAAAGTACCTTTGAATGTTCGATAACAACGGCAGATCCAGCAGCCCGCTTTTATTTAAAGGCCGACATAGGCACTGTTTTATCATTGCCATTCAAGATTCTGATATGAATGAACTAAGCGTTAGGACTCAGCAATAATATACCTAGCCTGTGCCTTTTTTACCATTGTGTCCTTCTGAACATGCTCACATATAACAGTTCTTCTGGCTGTCATTTTATCACTACAATTTATTTTATTTCACTAGATTTCATATTATAAGAGCGGGATTCATAACCAAGCAGAAGGATGCATATGTTTATTGTTGCTGTGATGGTTTTATACGGAAAAAAAAAAAACTAACACCATTACATTAAAAAATACCCAAAAACATATGCAAAGTTGTCCAAGCTCAAGGATCGCTCTTATGCTACTTTTTTAACGCGCGCTAAATATTTGCTCTTCGGTTCTCCCTTACCACAACCTTTCTGTTTTAATTGTTTGTAGCAAAAATTCTATCAGTAACGGTAGGGGTTGTGGTATTTGACGACTTGCTAATTAGCAGATAGCACGGGAATGACACTAAAAGCTTAACGAGATCAAACTAGTAAAATCTTATTCGAAATATAACGCTCGAATGCTGTATTAAGCAGACATTTCATCATTATTGAGTTAAAGTGTGTTAGTTAGTACGAATGCGGAGAGTATCAAATAGAATAAGAGGGAAACTAACACTAAAACATGTCTTTGGCCATAAGAACAGAACAAGAAATGTAGTTAGCATGTGCTTGCGGAAAGTTCCTGAGCGATCCAAAAAAAAAAAAAAATAGCCTAGTATATTGATGTAAAAGTACCTTTTGTAAATTGAATTGAATGAACCCTTAAAAATAAACAAAAAACCTCTTTTTATTGGGCTTTTCATTAGATTTTGCATTCTGTATTCCGTAGAGTAGTCTCCAAATATCTATATAATCAAACAACGAGAAGCGCGTACAGTAAAAAGTTACCATGATTTTGTCTGAAAATTGTATATTGCGTTGTATTATCGGCTTCAATTACCTCTTATTATCAATCTTTGGTTAGGATAATCAGGGTTGTTGCTTCGAACCATTAATTTTGCTCAAACATCTGGTCAAAACTTCTGGTGGTCGTGGATGCTTCTAAATATACAAACTGAAGGCATCGGTAAGAAAAAAATCGATGACAATAAATCTATTAAAATAAAGATACAATCGCAACGAGGTTGCTGTTGAGGACAACCCGCAAATGTTGGCCACGGTTATGTACTATTATCGAAAAGTGTACACTCTTATTTTTATCACTTGACGCGAAGAGTGATTTGCCGCCTTTCGGCTTTATTGTACGTTTTAAGAACCAATGTAAATGACAGTTTATCAAGTCCATTTTCACCTACCTAGTGTATTAGATGGAGGAAGCTTGTCCATAACCCTGTGCCTTGCAAAATGCAGGTTTGATACATACTTACTATGTGGGAGGCCATGTACGTGACTCTCAATCACTTGTAGAAATTTAAGAAAACGCGATGATTGTTTCACAATTTCTATGTATATAACGACGAAAGATATTTTATGTTCGGTCATCCAAGTATTCCTGCTATGGTACGATTCTTATCGATTTTTTCAAAGCTGTACGCTTTTGTGTAGTTTAATGGATTCACAGTTTAAACACCCCATCCTCCGTTTCAATAACGAGAAAAATATCTCTATGTATGGAATGTTTACAGATAGTTTTAGTGTGGCGATACTCTTCGCTTAATTGAAAACAAGAGCGCGCTTTCTCATGTTCAAAATTTCTATGGATCGAGGCTGAAATGCAATCTCTACAGTAGCTGTAGCACAATCTTTCAGGATTCTGAACAATCTCCTGCAAATACAATGTTTTAGCTTCAACTTTACACTTTATACAAATTTTATTGGACAATATATATATTTAATTTAAATAATTTTAAATTACTTTAGGATGAAATGGTATAATATTTTTGGACGATTTATTAAATAAATAATTGGAGACATTATTTTGAAGGTCAGTGGACATTTTTTCAATTGATAGTGGCATTATGTTAAAGTACTACGAGACGTACTGAGTATTTTAGTGTGACACGCTTATCAGCAATAGATACAGGGTTGTGGTTTACGAGACTTTATTTATGAATCATATGAATTGATTAAACTAATCCCAGACACGTTCTTCCGCCACGTAGATAACGGTTGTTGTTGTCAATCGTAATAAAAAATAGATGTTGTCAAACTCAAAGCATTTACAGAAAATAAGTTTGACGTCTTTCCATTAATTTCCATCTTCTTCGTCTTATTCTTCTTTCATACTTCTTTCTTCATCCTGATAGCTACTACTCACCATGTACAAAGCCAAAATCTTGCAAAAAATCAAATCGGTGGGCAGAAGCCCATAAGAATAAAGTCAAAGATGAGTCCTTCCGTAAGTAACACATGAGCGCGCTGCCACAAATAGGTTATAGTGGCAATCCTCAATTCATGTTTCGTATGACTAGTAAGCATCGAGTGCAAGGATTGCAAAACACGCGGACATTTCAACAAGGCATACCATGAATGCAAGTTTAAAAAAGCAGTTTCTGCGCGTGATGGTAAGTATCATGCTCTCACTGCAAGACAAGTTTATGTTTGCTTAACGGAAATTTAGTTGGAAGTAGCGGTAAGAAACGTAAACAATCAGCTACAGTTAAGGAAGAAAAGAAGCAAACAACTGGAGATATTAAGTGCATCAGTTGTGACTTAAAGGGTCATTCTACTTCTCGTTCCATCGAATGGAAAAATTGCCAAGGGTCATACAGCCCAACTCAAACAATTCTGTAAAGTCTTCAACTTCAAAAAGTTTGGCTTTAAGAGATAAAACCTATAGAAGAACTTCTTCAGCAAAATTATCCCTAATAGTAACCACACCCATATTTTTGCTTGTGGCATAGTCTAACCGCTTTGAAGGAAAGTTCTGATGTAATGTTTCGAAACATGGTTAGGTCGGACGGTTTTACTGTAGACTTTCTGTTCAGCCGCAAAAAGAAAACAAAAGAAGACATGACTATTCATAATCACACCTTGCCTTTGGAAGATTTTTCTTATAACGAAGTACAAGACAATTACAGACCCGCTTTCCTTGATCCAGGGCGAAGATCTGTCTTCACAGCGGCAATCGGACTAGATCATAACAAACATCAAGTACGGAGCTGCTTTACCAAGGAATATTATCATATGACCGGAAGCACCAGATACGCTGCAAAGCTGGAAAAGAAGAAAGCAGGCGCGCTTCAAATGATCGAAAGTGGCATACCAACCGCCAAAACTTCTAACATCGAACAATATGACCGTCATGTACAATATATATTGAAGCACTTTGAAGCCTTGTTTTTTTTTTACGGCGAGAGAACTGCTGAAGACAGATTTCGTTTATACCAGGGTCAGGAGCGTGCTGGCAACAACATGGTCAATTTGCTTATTAATGGAACTACAAAGTACAATAAGCAATTGAGGTTGAAGAAGAAGAAAGATCGAAGCAAGTGGCCAAAGAAGAATACCTACAGAATGGCCTTTTGAAAACGTAAAAAGAAGAAGAAGAAGCAAAACGTTCCTGAAGAGAGGGAAGAAGCAGATGCGAGAGAAGTAAGCGATGTTCTCGCTAAGAAAGATAGGTAAGGTTTTCAAATGATAAGCAATTCATCCACTATTCGCAGAAATATTGATAGAACTCATGCTTTCTACAGCAATTCCCTGAAGAACAAGTGGAAGCCTGAACCCTTTAGTGTAGGCGACACTAAAAATATCCCTTTGATTGTAGTTGGTAATGGCATGTTCGGGAAAAGTGCAATGCCCATCAAAGGTCATAAGACTGGTGTCGTGGGAGTCCTTTGGCGTGCCTTGAAGCGAAGAGAGGCTGCTGGCGATTTACTGACGATAACAATTGATGAATACAAAACCTCTCGCATATGCAATAATTGTCAACAATCTTGAAGCATTGAAGACAGTTCCCGGCCAAAGTATCCTTGCCTGCAAAACCTGTTCGATACTTTGGAACCGGGACGTCAACGCTGCTAAAAACATGTTGGCAATTAGCGTCGACTGGAAGTCAACGGAAAGACCTGCTGAGTTTTCTAGAAAACCAAAATCACCCACAACAACCACGTAACACCATCCTCTATCGCCAGCACGAAGCTGGTTTGATTTTTACAGGTAAGCGTCTCAATTTTTGTGTAGCTCGATCTTGAATCCATAACTTAATGGTCTCAAAAATTTACTTTTTTCGTCTATTTATATTGCGGCTTCGTCTAAACCCAAAGCCAAAAAACTGTAAAGACAAGACTATCTCAATGGGCTTAAATTTGATAAAGTGTCAGTTTTTTAGACACCGATATGCCTATAACCAATTTGTCCTTCTATAAATTTTGTAAACAAACTCAAATTGATACCTTTTCCGTCTTTTATGGTTTCCTTTCTGCCTTTATTTGATCAAATATTCACCAAGTTTGAAAAAGATTCATAAGAAAGTGCTGAATTTCCTCCAAACGATGGCTAAAGTGTAATAAAGCAAAACAGGGTAAAAGAGCTAATTAAAAAAGAGTAAAGGCAATGGCATTAAGAGCAAAAAACTGTTCGTTTTACCGATTGCCTACTGTTTCCATTTGCTTGTTAAGCACTTTCCCTTGTTAACAAAGAAATTACCAAGCAGCTACTGTTAGTTGACCTGAACAAACTAAAACCATCAAGGTATAAATATTATCAATGTGAAATAAAAAGTCTTACTGAGCCTTCAATACGACTTGTTCACATTTGAGAAATTGATTTTTAACTGACTCCTTCTTGGAGTTTGGTACTTTTACAATTCAAAGAAGATAAACATTCAAAATAGAACAATAAAATAACCAAAGTCTCATTTGACTGCATAGACAGTACTTTTTCATTTTTGAGGCACACAGTAATGGTTGTTAAATACGTTCAATGAGGCCCGTTACACAGAAATACAATTCTTACACATGCACTATAAAAACTGCACCCCTTCATCTTTTGTCTTTTTCACCATTTCAGTCTTTTTTTGTTTCTTTTGTATCTTCCTTTTCTTTTTTCTCTCAACTGTTTGTTTTCATTAATTAGACCTTGTATTCATCATATACCCTAGACATACATGATCTTTTATACATGTTTCGCATAGCAAATTTAATAATGCTTTTGAGCTTACTTTCATACATAACTGGTTCGGTACAACAACAGCAGACTATAGGCTTAGGTTCTATACAAACAACCGTGCCATGGAGGGCTGGTCATGCTGCAGGTAAAACAATTACTACACCAGTTCTTTCACTTACGTAAGCCTTTTGACCAAAGTTGAATTTAGCATTTCAATATCCTTATGTTGTTGTATATGGTGGAACACAACAAGCAATTACAGCAAATACAGCTACTGCTATAGGCTCAAATGATGTTTGGATATGGGATAGTCGCAATGGTTCATGGTATAAGCCCACTATTCAAGTGCAAGAAGGAGTTAATATGCTTCCACAAATCTATATCAAAGCAACATCCTTGCCAAGCCAAGGACAGATTTTAGCTCTTGTCAGCAATATAACTACGGTAGCAAATGGACCTGCAACGGGCGTATTACAAAAACTTGATCTCAATAGCTGGTCTTGGAGTTTTCCTACAACAAGTAAAGATTAATAGTAGAAAGAGTAATAATAAGCTATGGCTTCAGTGCAATTGGAATTCTCAACCAATATTTTTGCAATTCTACCTTCTAACAGACTTTCAAGCCTCTGCACGAGTTGTTGGATATACAATGGGTACTATCAATAACACTGTCTTTACTTATGGTGGAACTTCAGCCGATAGTCGTGGATATCCCATGTCGAATGCTATGCAAAATACACTGTCGTTGATGGACGCTAACAATTTCCAATGGACTCCCGGAGCCAACGGTTTAGGGTTAGCTGATCACTCTACCTGTTTTTTGAAAGCATGTAATTGTTTGGTTACATTTGGTGGAACACCAACTGGAAACCCTACTGATGTTACAGACTCAGTCAGTTTTTATGATTTGAACAGTAAAGTCTGGAATGTGCAGGGCATTCCATCAGTACCCGGTTCAAGCTCACCAGCAGCAAGAAGACTGCACACTGCGACCTGTTTGGACAATATCATGGTTGTATACGGCGGTGGAACTACCCAGCCGACAGCAGATACGGATGTTTGGATTTTGAATGCCACTGCTTATCCTGCGCTTGTATGGCAAAAGGTTAGCATGGCAAATCAAAACGAAGGACCCAATATACGTATGGGTCACTCAGCTGTATTGGACGAGGCTGATAAAAAGATCTATATATTTGGAGGATGGGGAATCAGTGCTGACATCAACGATTCGAATATGTACATTCTGGATACTGATAAATGGAGCTGGACACGAGTATTACCAACAGGATATACTTCTGGCACTTCACAAGTAAATAATACCAGTAGCAGCAATAATAGTGATCGTAACAATGACGGCCAAAAAAATGGAATCAACACTGGTACAATAGTAGGTGCTGCCGTTGGAGGCAGTGTTGGCCTCGTTTTAATTGCATTCGCCGCGTTCATTCTACTGCGAAAAAGAAAACGACAGCAAATTGCGAAAAAGGGAGATTTTCATTCGAACAATTTTTCAGAAAAAGTCCCTCCAGTACATGGCTATAATAATGATAAAGATGACAATGGGCCTTATTTATACGCAAATGAAACACGCCAACCCCCTAGCGATGATAGTGATGACGACGATGACAATTACTATGTAGTAGGTGGAGGTATGATGAGGGATAATCAGCGTAGAAGCCATAATCAGTTATCGAAAGCATGGACAGGAACACAAATATCACTTGCTAGGCATTCAGAGATTGGTGATTACAGTGATAAAGTTAAAACAGGAATACTAGAAGCTATGAATGACAACGAAACAGTTGCTGCGACTCATGGATCGCGGAGTCCTCGAGTCTCTACTTCATGTAGGGCTTCCAAAGTACTCTTAGTCTCACCAACAGAAGATATTCACAATGGCCAAGTACCGAATGAGATAATATCACAGAAACCAAATGAATTTTCGGTACAGGCTACACGGCATCAACCGCAACAGCAACATCATTATCATGACAATTATGACGTGCCAGTTGAGCACCTTACCGTATCTAAAAAGAATAATGAAGGGAATTCAGGGTTAGTAGCAGGACCACTATCATATACCTCAATGGAAGTAGCTTTATCTCCGTCAAGGCCACTTACAACAACTAATTCTTTGTCAGTAAGTAACGACGACCGACAGGAGACAACTCCAATACAGTATATATCCGAAAAATTTTCAACCAATCCGTTGAACACTGTTTGTAATTCGACGCAGACATGGGACACTAACAATATACCACTTTTCCATCATCACCAGACTGTATACCCATCCTCTACTTTAAATATGCCTATGGCACAAACAGCAACTCCTTCGGTTACTACTAATAATAGTAGTAGTCACCTTCAGCGCGTGTGCGGCACAAACATATCACCACAGGTCAACATCTATAATACCGTTAGCCCTCTGGATGCTCTAGCTTCACTTGGTCAACAGCAACAACAACCGGTTGCGACGACATGTAAAAGCAGCGATAACAATAAGGACAACACTGTTTCGCATAATGCTTCTTCATCAACAACAATTACTACTACTATTCTCTCCTCTACTTCTACAGCATCATCAGCTTCCTTATTACCACACGAAAAAGAAAAGATCGAAGAGACTTTCTCTCAGTTCCACCCTTTAATTTCTGCTTTACCTCAAAAATATCAAATTGATAAATCAAAAAAGCCCATTAGTGGCCCAGCAAATACTATACTGTTTGCTACGCTGAGCAATGATGAAAACAGCAGCAAACGACAGGTAGTCATTAAAGTATTTGGTAGACGTGAAGCCTGGGAAAGAGAATGCCGAACGTTGGTCAAATTAAAATCTCCGGATATAGTGGAGATATTGGAAGTACTGACTATACAGCAGCAAAGCGATGCTGTTATGAATGAAACTAACAACAATGAAGATTCAAAAATCAACTATTTAACTGTAATGGAATATTTGGATGAAACTCTCAACGAATTCATTAAGCACAGGAAAAATAAAAGAAGCAGTACTCTTGATGATGATTGCAGCGTTAATGCAACAGCAGCAAACGGTAAAATTGCTAAGGACATTTTGAGATGCTTATCTTGGTGTCATAATAGGGGTATTGCCTTCTGTGATTTGAAGCCTAGTAACATTATGCGACAATTTAAGTCAGGAGGCTGGAAGTTGATTGATTTTGAGGGAAGTCGCACTATCAATGAAGAGTGTGTAGGAGTAATTACAGCACGATATTGTTCTCCTGAGGTGGCTCGCGCAACCACTTATGGGCTGGAGGGCGCTAATGGCGTAGTTGCTATGGCCAGTATTGATCTATGGTCACTAGGTTGTGTCATTTATGTAAGTACGACACTCCTACTACTAACACTTATAATGAAGTCCTCTTTTTTAACTGCGAGAAATTTGATTAAAGGAATTGGAAACTAAGAAGGCGTTGTTCTCCAACAATATGAAAGATGAAACAATTCTTCATTTCTTATCGCATCCATCCCCTACAACACCCATCCTTAATAATGGTCTTCGATGGAATGACAATAATGAGTTAGAAATTCCTCAATTGGAAAGGCTCATCCCTGATATTCAAACGAAGCAGTTAATCGAAATTTTACTGAGCACAGATCCGAATAAGCGTGGATCAGCAGAGCAGCTACTGGTAAGTATAAATGTGCCTTTTTATTTACATACAAGCCCGAGCAAAGAATGTAAGCTAATCAGTTCGTCTTCACTAGCAACACCCGTATTTTTGTTAACCTAAAGCTGCTACTACTGCTATCAACTAATTTAGTCTGCAAACTTGGCTTTACTAAAATCCATCTCTGGATGCTGTTTTTTGAATTTTTCAAACATTTCTTGTTTCTTCAACGTATCGCTGTCGGGTTTTCCCATCGCTTTTTGTCGTTGGTCAAACTATGGTTTGAATAATGAGTCAATAAAATATATCCATGTACGAAAGAGTTTATAGATGTATTATCTTCTTTGATTAAACTCTATAAGTAATGAATGTTTACCATCATCTTTTCTACCATGGCTCTTGTTTCTCCATCCAGATCGCTCAATTTTGAGTTTTCAGGCTGGATTTTTTTTGTGTCAATTTTGGGTGCTCCCACTACGACACTATCCCACCATTGGGTCTGGTTCACTTTTTCTAAGTGCACCAAAATTTCCTGTTGATCTTCGATTGTCCACGTACTATCATCTACTTTAATAACATGAGTTAATTCCCCCTGTTCAGATAAGCAATTCAATTCAGTCAATTGGAAGTTTGTCCATAAGTCATCTTTTGTTTTCTACACCTACTTCTACAATAGGCTGTTGTCCTTTGATGGCAACCTTAAAATGCGACTTTTTAATGACGATGTCTACATCACGAGCACGAGTTCCTTTGGGTACAGGAATTGATACATCGACATCTTGCAGCGTTTGTTTCCAACTATAATTTTGTTGTACGGAAGAAGATTAAGCTTATTAGACAAATACAATAACATGCAACTAGTTCGAAGTAATAGTAGTTTTTACTCTGAATTGGTATGAGACGAAAAGAGACACGTTCTTACCTATAAGGTAACTTGTCTTGTTCTTCTTCTTCTTTCTTTTTTTCTAGTTTTTCTTGAGCCTCTTGTTCAGCAGACATCACGTTATCAATATGTTCATCAGACATTTTCATCAATTAATGCTGTAAGAAAGTTGAAAACAAGCTTTAAAAGGAATGATTCTGGTAATTTCTCCATTGACGTGCGTAGACTGCGTATTTTTATCGTGAGATTAACCAGTACTGTATTTTAATTTTTGTGCTACCTAACATTTCAAGCTGAATGAATCTGAATACACGATTCTTCTACAATAATATTCTAAAACCCCATTGAATTCGAGATACTTGAACTTATCTAAAGTGCCTGGGGCCGATGCAATGTCATACAAAACCCCTTTGGAGTTAAAATTAAAAAGGGAAGGGAGACTATTGCTGTAACATTGGGGAAGCAGGTAACCAGTCAATATACTGTAGACTGAGAAGTGGTGGCAGAGGAGGCTTTTTGTTATTTTAAGGATAACGAGTTCAAATAAAATGTGATAGAGAGCGGATCAACCGTAATACCGCCTCTAGCTCGCTAGGGGGAAATTAGTGAACGTCTTATAAGGCAATTAGAGGTAAACGACAATGGGTTAGGAAACGAAGATAACTAAGGCAGCGATATACATTGAGACAGTATATAGCATAGGTTTTGAATGCGGGTTGTTCATAGGTTTTATAAAACAATAAGTTTGATGCCCAGCTAAGAGCCACCGGATACAACGGTTGCGTTCGGTCTTACTTATAGAGAGCCACATGATAGGACTTATAGAAAGGTTAGAGCGGCATTAAAAGATAAGATTGGAGTTGACGGCTTCGCTTTGTGCAGATGTGGAATTTGAGTACAAAATAAATTGATGACGCAGCACCGGATCTGGTTAGGATCATTGATCATAAGTAAAGGTATACGATTTCCAGATTGGATAGAAGGCGAGCTGAATATACACGCATTTATAAGGCGCCTGGGAGCTTAATGGAAGAAGCACTTGTAGTAGGGCATCAGTATGTGGAGTCCCAGCTCGAAGGAAAAACTCATGTACAATGTAATGGCATTTCTCTATGGACAATAGGTTTGCCAAATAGAGCATGATTTTCGCCGTGGAGTGAGTGGAATTCCTAAAGATTTTGTGTATACATATGTTTTGGATTTCTCTCAATTGCTTGTATTACTTCTTAGTTAGTGTGGCTCTGGCTAAACCATACTCCATCTTTGCACAAATTATTTGGGCATAAAATCGTAAAAAGGAACGAGTCGAAACCACCGGGATTAGCACCAATAGCACCTATTTTAATCATTATACTGTCTTGATACGGATTAGTCCCTTCGTATTGATGCTACCACCTGGTTGAAAGGGTACTCCAAGGTACGGAAACAACCGTTGAATCACATGAGCAAAATTTTCTCTCCAGGGGCAATCTCGACCTTACTGATTACGCTCAGTTTATATTCCGGTCGTAGGAAGTGCCTTATAGGCAAAATAAATAATTGCTGTAAAAGCAATAAATTGTAGGGTATAGACTCGTTTCCTGGATGATATACTTCAAGAGGATAAAAGGAATACCTAAAAGTAGTAAGTGGGGAAAGGATAAGATGAATTGGTAAAGTACAATTGCAATGGTCAGGAAATTATTACCGAATATCGATTCTAGGTGATGGATTAACAGTATGAAAATAGATACTAAGTAAAAACCTAATATCCCATAAGGAAGCTATTATGAAGTCTTACAAAAATTGGGTATGTCATAATCTCCATAAGGGCAATTATAGACTAAGCTTAATAAGATAATGTTCGTAAACTTTCATCACCTGGGAGCAAATGACGAAGCGCATTTCATTCAAGTATCACATATTTATTCAGCATTGGTATCGTCATAGATACAACAATTTCCTCTCTTGGAAACTTTGGAGGTGAGCTTTTCCATAAAAGTTTATTGTAATAGAATACAGGTTCTTTGGATAGATAAAACAACCTTCCAGACAACTCAGATCTGCAGAAAGCGATAGTGCGCGGTATACAAAGAGACCGTTTGGACTTTTTCTTATGGATAATTTGCTGAGCTTCCGGATCGCTTATCGGCTATATTTGTGTTGAAATTTTTTCTGCAGACAAAATGTTGAGTTTCCTTTTCTCCATCCAAATGGAAAAGTGACGCAGTCAAGAACTGAAGAGTTCAGCTTCCTTATTACGATTAAACATGATTATTATCAAATAATTTTGGGCACACAGATAAACTACATATCAGAAAATTGCCCTGGGCAGATCAAATATGGGATGGAATTGAAAACCCCTAAAAGGAGACAAAGAAAAAAAGATAGTGGTCACAATGCAGACTAGGTAAAAACGGGGCAATTAAGTAATGATGGTAATGGGCGCATAGAGCCAGTCTAGCAAGGGCTGTCCTAATGTTTCTGATGGGGTAGGGGGCATTTTCTCGTGCTGAAGTTAATCGACCTCATAAAGAAGCATTTGGACAAGGGCCAAGTTATACTCCAGTTGACTGAGGAATTGGCACGCTGTTTTATGGGTCGAGTGGGGAGTGGGAAGTTTAAAAGATAAAGTGGGCTCTACCACAGATGAGCGATTGTCGCTTGGTATTAAGTCTTCTGGCCTAAAGTCGAGATCGGCGTCTGCACAAGCCGCCATATTATCAAATTCCACGTAATCATTCAGTTCAGGATCGGTATCCTTATCCGAGTCATCAATGTAGTTGTCTTCCGTTCTATTCCATTCCATTTCCGTTTAAAAGAATATGAAAAAAGTGAGAATTTGATTTATTATACATTTTTAAGACTTTAATCCTTTACGCACAAATGAGCTTACCCTTCCTCAAAAAACGCGTCAGCTTTCTGTTTCAATGGTTTAACAAGTGAGAAATGGGGTCAACGACAGTTGTTGGAAGTTGCAGGCGGTTCCCATTTATACGCATTCAATGACGTGGGCTTTAGTGAGAGTGCATAAGGGGCGAAATAGGCAATGGGCTGAGTAGTTGTTGGGGAGCCAGCCTAGTCTCCAACGAAGACAGCGACTAGACCCAATAAAGCTCATTGGGAGCCAAAATGCAATCAAGAGAGAGTTCAGGACGGCATTGTTTTATTAGCTTTGAGCTGGGCGCTGAATGGATGGTGTCAAAGTTCTCTTGACGATATGCTTTGATGGCCTTGTGCAAAACCTTCCTATCGCGAAATGGTGAATGCCTTCTCCAATTTGGATTGGAGTGTGACAGTTGGAACCAAAGATATTTGCTGGTGGCTTGACTAATATAAGGAAGTAGACACTTTAGCAGGGCGTTGGCAGGTAGGCTTTGGGACCGCAGTAGAAATCTCGCCTGGAGAATGTGAGGTCTCTCATCAAGAGGAGACAATCATATTGGAGATGTCGCTTTGTTAAGTGGTCCGAAGATGAGGTCGAGTGAACTCAGCAGGCCTTCTTTCTCTTACCCAGATGGCTTCAGGATGCTAAACATATTCTTCGCCGCGTTAACGTCACGATTCCAACAAGTATTACAATTGTTGCAAATAAATATCGCATGGAGCGTCTGTCTATCTGTGGCAATTAAGGTTTTTATAATCTCTTGTCTACATGAATTACAAACCTACAATCTAGTGTTAAAAACAAATTTTAAGCGAACGAATAACAGTTAGTAAAACTATCTTGATCTTTGTTACACTGCCATTGCAATGGTATTTACTCAATTGAAACCACAAGCGTAACCTATTCCAGGGTTTCTCCTATTATTCTTTTTATTCCGCTTCTTTCTGCTATGGCTCGTTCTAATTCTCTTTTTATTATTGTACTTCTTCGAGCTGTTCAGCAAGATGTTCACAGCAGTATCTTTTGCAACTGAGAGCTACGAAAGTTTTTCCAATTGATTTCCGCCGTTCTGTAATCGTAGAAGCTGTAGAACTGATCTATAAGTTGGCGCATATACCCAACATGATTGCGATAAGCCATGATATCAGCAGTTTTTGTGGTCGGTATGTTTGTTTCGAGCTCTTTAACTCCGTCCCTTTGCTTGCGTTGATCCTCCAATTTAGACCTTCCAGGAAAGCCAGAGATATGATAATATTCCTTTGTAGAGAGTTTGCGAAGTCGTTGATCACCGTGGTATGAGATATAAACATCTCTACGGCCGGCGTCGACGGTAACAGGACGGAAAAATTGATCCATCTCATTCTCTGTGAAATCTGCTGACTTGAGTCGTTCCATTGGCATAGAAACTTGTCTTGTTTGGGAGAAAGAGACCCTACAAGTGTAGCCATCAGTGAAAATGCTGTTCAGAAACATCCTGCCTTTGGCTGAGGGAAGAGCCTGCAGATCAGGGGGGCTAAAGATATATTATTGAGTCACAATTATTGTAAATAAACGCTAAATGTATTTAATATACTCACTCAATGATTCTTAGCAAGGTGGAAAAGTCAAATAACCGGAAAAAAGCATCAGTAATAGAGCTTGTTCTCACCTCTAAGTCTTGTAAGACGTTCATGCCCCAAAAAAGGGAAAGATGTCCTCTGGGTCAATTATTGATCTCCATTCAAGGCTGGAATTTGGGAACATAGAGAATTTGCGAGGAGTGCTTCGCTGCTGGTGACGCACAGTTTCCAAGTCATCATGAAGAACTGCAATATCTTCAGCACTGATTTCTCCATCGTGTGGTACAACAATACGATCAACAAGCTCTGCTTGAGCGTCCGCTTGAGCAGTTTCAAACGCTCGATAATTCTGTAAAAGTTGACGAAACAAAGGTATGATTATTTGAGAGGCGTCTATCAGAGTTGCTTTGGGCACGGGAATCCTAGGCAACCTATTGCGGATCTGAGTCAGATGTATATTGAGTAGTACTTGCAGGCGAAGAAGTACAATAATATCATCATTGTTGACGTATTTGGTGAGATAATAACTACAATACTCGAGTACGTACAACCTGGTAGAGAATAAATTCTACCGGTCTATCTATATTGCATCTAATATAGGTTATGTACAACATAGAACAAGATACAGGCCTAAGCATAATAATCACACACCAAGCATTGGAACCTGAGATTAGTGACTAGCATACGCGTCCTCAAATAATATAATTCCCATTAGACCTTACAGAGTAAATAATCTTTCTACTTCAACCAAAGAATAATAAAGATACTAAGTTCATAGTCATTGACTTACAACTGTTATCAATTTTATATAGACAAACACCACAATTGTGAACCATCGGACTAACCTCAAAGCGTTCCCAATCAGCATTGAGTGAATAAATGGTCCAGTAAACGATCATGACAAGGTCTTTCATCGGCGTCATTTTGATACTCTATATAAGCAGTCAGTCTAAGATTGATTGTTCGGTAGTGTTAGACACAATGAGTTCATGTACTTACAGGGAAGGTTGCTTTAATGAAGAAAAGCAAGTATTTAGCAATCAGGTCCTCGAAGTTTTCAACATAATAATTCTCATAACTGGTTGCTAATGTTTCGCATGCTGAAAAAATGACCTGGCTATAGCACCTGACCTGGCCATAGTACCTGATAGCGGGTTGCTCCACTGTCAACGTCACATGTGAATGAAGTCCAAGTTGATTGTAGACTTGGCCGAAGTTGACGAGGGCAGGATACCGATCCTCGATTTCATTTATGTTCACAGCACCGTAGACAAAGCGACATACTGTGTACCAAAAACTCTGTTCGAAAAGGGCTTGCGTGATGTTGGCAGGGTTCGTCAGAATGTAGTAATTTACAATTGGTATTGAGCCTTGCTTATGACCTCTCTCAAAAAACTTGACTTCTCTGTTATTTTCTCTAGAATATCTCCCAAGTACTCTATGTTTCTTCTGAACATTTCTAGAGGAATAGATAGCGTATATCTTTCATGATTGTCCACAAGTTTGTAATTAATAGACTCCTTTAAGGTATATTCGAGCTCTAGACGATCCAAAGTCGAATCGTGCGGTTGCGCTGATTCCTTTTTATGCTTCTTCTTGGTGGTGCGTGGTTTGCTTCTCATCAGCGGGCTCTTTCCATTTTCGACCTTAAAGGTGCTTTTGCACTGAACATCTGCCATCAGTTCCATTTTATCTTACGAAAGCGTTCAGAACAGATGGCCTAATTAGTCCGATTTTATTTTTCTAAAAGTCCAAATCTGAAGCGAAAATACTGTTGATCCATAGGTCAGCACCAGAGTAAATCGGTCTATTGCAAGCTTGCTCGTTCTCTAATAAGGCAAGATTACACTTCTCCACTCAATCAACGATCCGGATCAGCTGCTCTGCGGCGCTGTATCGCTAACTTCCGTACTAGTCTCCTTCACATCCAGCAATCGAACTATCTCAACTCCAAACTGATCTCTCAATGCCGTTTTCGACTATTGATCGACCCGATCCTTTAGGTACTAATGTCAACTAATGAACGCAGCCGATGTATCCGATGGCATTTGGGTTGGCTTCCTGGAGGCCACCAAACCTATTGCATTAAACATCCTTTGTCGTTACAAAGCCCCATGCTATCTCCTGTCTCCACATGCACGGCCTACGACTCCCTCCATCTGTCTGTGTTCCAATCTCACACGTTCTCAACCGTCTTCGTACACGTCCACTTAAAGCCCATCCGAAGTACAAGCCTGGCATTTTCGATGCCCGTACTTTGTCACATTTTGTTTGAACTCGACTATTTACACCACTCTCAAGAGCCGTCTTCGGGCATCTATTGATCAGCTGGTTACCCTATTCTTCTCCTCCTCCCAATAGGCCATAACTCTTTTTACCCTTGAGCCCAACGGGGTTTTAGATACTACTTAGCCTTTGTAGCTTTTCGGGCAATTTAGATAAGTTTCGTACCTCGTGTCCATTGGGCTTGAAAATTAAAAAATCTTGTTCGATCCCTTTGGATCCCCTTCCTCCTTTTATCAACTGCCGGCACCGAAATTTCAAATTCCGTGCACAGGGAATCTACCTTGTTTATTCCCCTCCACAAAAACTCTTTAAACAATTTCTTTTTTGACCATAAACTCATAACATATAAACCAACAATGTTCCTCCGCCCTAATGTCATCCTAAATGCCACTGCTAAGGCTGCTGTTGCTCGTAACAGCTTTGCTCGTATGGCCACACCTGCCATGTTCTCACGTATGTACTCTGTTCCCAGAGATGATGTTCAAAGTCGTGTTCTTGAAGTCGTGAAAGGCTTTGATAAAGTTGATCCTACCAAGGTAAGACCAATGTTTGGTATAAGCTCAATAGCTTGTTCTGATACAAATAAAAAATGAGCGAGAGACAGAATAAATATGAAGGAGTCAAAGATTGACTATGGATTGGCAACTGATTAACGTGAAGGATTCGACGATTACTAATATATTGATTACAATTGTGATTTCTGTTCTAGGTTACAGCAGAATCCAACTTTATGAAAGACCTTGGTTTGGACAGTTTGGATACAGTCGAAGTCGTTATGGCCATTGAAGAAGAGTTCTCTGTTGAAATTCCTGATAAGGATGCTGATGCTATTCACAGTGTGCAACAAGCCATTGATTATATTGCCAAGCGTGAAGATGCTCAATAATAGACTAGTTCAATAGTAGCTGTGGACACGGGTTCTGTGGTCGGAATATAGGATTCCTTCCTTTAAATAAGTATTTTATTTTGATTGTATAAAAATTATATCGACAATATATCTCCCAACCCCTTTGTCGTTGTAAACATGAGTATAAATTATTTACTTTTGCAAGCAGCATTATTATGGTTTTTCCACGTCTGTGCTTTCCCTTACATTCTACAATCGAGCTTATCGATGAAATTTCATGTCATTTTCTACGCGCTGTTAGGGTAGGAGGGTAAATGTTAAGGAAATTCCCAGAGTTTACTGCTTTATTCAGCCTATATCAGCATATAATAGAGAAACGTTGTTTCTCATCGATACAGGCGTGCAAATATAGCATAGAAAGTGATGATACTCAAACATTTGAACACTCATGGTACATGAAAGCATTACTAAGCAATGGAGAGCTGCGGGGGTCGACTTTACGAAGAGGTGCGTCTTCGTCGACAAGGCTGGCTTCCATTCACAGAGGGTGAAATGTCGCGCTTGATTAAAAGTAAGAACACCAGATGCAGTTTCAGTCAAAAAGTCAAAGAGGGGTTAAGATCAGCGTCGCTAGATGGTATTCGGCTTAATTGGTTAATTTCAACGAGTATAAATCCGTAAAATCTGGGTAATTAGGATAGCCTACGTTTACAATAATCTTTTTGACCAGAGTCAAAAAAGAGTAAAGTACCTCAGCCTGTTCCCAAGAGTACTACTTCTTTTGTGAAATATTTCAAGTTTATCATATATTTATTGATTAAATGGTACTCCATTGTACGAGATAGTTGTAGAATAGATGACGCCCCTTTTTTAATTGACGTAGTAACAAAAAGAGGATATAGACCTTCATTTATGGCACCCTTTTCATGATTTCTGAATTTATCTAAAGAATATTAATTGAAGATCAAAAAAAATGAAGAATTTAGATAATCACGATACGTTGATTCCGTGTATTTATGAAAGCTTGCAAAATCAGTAGCTGAAGAGGATTGCTAAGGTTGGACAGAATATGCGGACACATATTGGAACGGATGCCTTAAGCTTAAGATAGAATTCGCACTCATTGATTAGTAATACTAGAAGCTTCAATTGTACACATTTCGCATGACTTGCAATGGCCGCTCAAGCGATGATCACTGAGTTCAAGCTTGCTCAACAATTGGAATCGATACGTAATATTAAAAGTTTATTCATTGTTTATTTGCAGGTATAACGGTGTTGTCCAAATCAAAGTCATCAATTTGTTTGGGCAAAATGATACCGTAGTCGCTGCCTTTTAGAGGCTTTTGGATTTCCTTTTCTACCAAGGTTGCTAAATTTACTCTTGACTGATTGTTCGGGTTCAACTGTCGCATGGTCAGATACCTCACATGCTCCTCCTTCATTCTATTGATGGTTTGGTATGATTTTCGCAGACAATCCTGTAATATATAAATATATATATATGTAATTTATCAGATACAAAATATTACTTGGTTTATTTTTTACTTACGCTCAACTTCCAAACAAAATTCCCAAGGTTCAAGATTTTATCAACTTGGCTTACATTTGTTGGAATATCAGTATATGATAAATGCTCCAGAACCTGGACATCCTTGGCCGGCATTTCTAGCGACCACAGATGGATGCGTTTGCCTCAAACCAAAACAAAAAGGGGAGGAGGGGATATTGGTGCTGTCGTATTTGAGGGTAGATGATATAATTCACTTTATGAAGGATAAAGATGAATTATACAATATTGCAAACCAGAAATAATTAGAAACTACATAAACTCTAATATATGAGTACCGTGAATTAAGTGTTGTGTTTAGTTGACAGCATCATATGAGATGTGGAGAACTCGTATACAAATCTCGTTAAGCTTTTTACTGTTTTTAATTAAGTGATATTTAACTCTACAAGTCGTCAAATACCACAGGTGCAATGTTTAAATCAAAATTAAGCGGCAGCCTTACTTCTTGCATGCACAAATAACACCTTCAACTCGCACAACATGTCTTCAGTAGCATAGAAGCATGTTTTTAAGATTTTTCGCAGAAACATCAATGCGCCAAACGAACCCTTTACATGGTCCTTGCCGAAACGACTGTTGTCTGAGATTCCATATGCATCGGATGTTTCAAGTAAACAAAACTCGATACCGTCCAATTCAACAACGCCAACCGCCTTGAGTGTCTCATCAGAGGAGTCCAGTATAACTTCACCAGTTTTAAACAAAAGGTTTCTGATTGGTAAAGTTGCCGTCTTTACTGCTAAACTTAAGAGCGGCCAAACGAGGTGGTAACTGAAAATGGACTCGCTTTTTTCAATCATTGAGCAATTTCCCATATACCTATTTATCACAATAAAAAAATCATAAACGTATCTTGCGTTGGCTGAATTGCTCCCGGCCTCAATCTCCTCCCAGTGATTGTCATCTAACAAAGCCTTCATAATACTTCTTTCATTTCCTTTTTTTAGTTCTTGCATAAACTTGGTGGTGTATACACCAAAATCCATGAACGGTGACTTTACCACCTGGTGTTTGTTGTTGCCTAGTTGCTCATACAGATCAACATCATAACTTGGCTTACACTGAATAGTGTATCCGCACTCGATAATGTGATACTTCTCCAGACAGTACTTGTGACATTCACATTTATCAAAGTGCTCTTGCCAGCTACTCCAAAAGTCATCGTTGCTGTTGATAGCCCAGCAGTCATCATTATCGATTGCTATCTTTCTTTTTTAATCGGCTTGGGTGCTGGGTTGTGGCTGATGAGAGACATTAAATGTCGTATCACCAGCGATAATGATGCCTTTATTGCTTTTAATAACTATTGTACTTTTCCCCTTTTCGGGCTTTTCGTAAGAAACCGTTTTCTATAGAGTCAAATGTAAGGACATTGTTAGAAAGAAATATAACTAAAAAGAATTGAGAATATCTCTTTTACCATATTTCCAAGTGAAGATATGATTTCTCTAGGCAATTGATCGTTTTTTTTTAATTTCTCCAAGTCGTTTAAAAAGCTTCGCCTGATTGTAAAGAATTTCAATTTGGGAATCATTTTCTCTAATATAATGATAGTAATTATCAAAATTCCATTCAGAGAATTCAGTTTCTTCAAAGAAGGTTGAGACGTTTAGATCTTGAGCAGAGTTTAGCTTGAAGGTTGAATAATCCGTAGGCATGTGTAGACATGTAATTAATTATGAAAATGAGATAAAGGAGATAGGAAAACAATATGCACTTTTTTTTTGGTTGTATTTGGGTCCCCTGCATTGTAACACGAGTACTGAGAAAGTACCACAGAAAGAAGAACATGGACCTTTTCCTGACATCATCCGAAGAGAAATTGTGCTTTTTTTGGTGCTCGAAGTGCCCGAACGTAGAAAAGAGTATCAAAATAGCGAATTTAAAGCAAGTAAATTGTTTTCAATTCATCATTGAATTCGTCAATATCGTCTTCATGGAATGATTTGACAGGATAATGGTCCATGTCAATCATGTCAACGTCGTGTTCCTGTAGATTGTAATTTTTATCCTGTTTAACAACCATGTTGACGCGTTTAAATTCGCTGTTTTGTTTATCATATGAAGGAGTATAATTCCTATGATTATTACCACGATTGTCATTCGTATGAGAATTGAAATTGCTGTTCTGCAGCTTGATGTATGCTGCACAATTGTTTCTGTGTACCAAACTAAACGGCTCTTTGTTGCAATAGTGGCAAATATTGGTCGTAGTCGACCTGTTATGAGGCGCCCAGCGAGATGCATTACTGCCATTAGGACCATGCCTGAAAGTCTTTTGCATCCGAGGATTATGATTATCAGCTGCATGCTTATGTTTTCTATCAGGATGTTTGATGGCATCATGACGACATAAAGAATTATGTTTCTTATTGTCATTGCTAGCCACATCAGTATCTGATGTTGGTTTCGCTTTTTTGTCCTTGTTTGCTCCCTGTGCGTAGCTGTCTTTGTTACCGAAAGACGCATAAACCTTTTTCAGTCCATTGCTGAGCATCACCTTATGTTGGTTGAAGAGTTCTGCAGTTTCTCTCCAGGTCGCGGGAAAAGGGTCTGTTTTATCAGATTCGTTGCCAGTGATAATATTTGTTTTTATTTTCCCAATCCATTCTTTGCTCAATTCTTTTTAAGATGAACCATCCATATTATTATTATCTGGAAGAATCTCTCTATCAGTAATAAATTCACTAACGTTGCGCATGTTTGTTCTAATATTTGAATAAAAAGAAAAAAGTAACTGAATCGTTTACAATCTTTTTTATCTGATTTCTTGGCGCAAAATTTTATTTCATGTCGAACCTTAAAAATTACATGTCATTGGTTTAAGATTAAAATATTTGGATTTTCATGATGTGATCTACGCTTATATAAAAAGACAATATTTTTAAAAAAGATTTGAATATGCACACAATGGTTTTTTTTTTTTAGGTGGGTTGCCTAGGATACGTCAAAGAGACAACGACCCGAATCTAAAAATAGACATTGGAGAGAAAAAAAAAAGGAGCTCTTTTTCCCTATAGATTATCAGAAATATGAGTCTAAAACAAAAAAAAAAAAAAAAAAAAAAAATCGAAACCAAACAGAAACTCTCAACCCTTTTTTTATATTTTTTTTTTTCATCATTTATTTTCCTTGTGGCATAGTGTCATCGATAGCCCCAATTTGTTTTATTTTTTTGGATTTTTCCTTTCTTTCTTTCAGTAGTAGTTTTTGTGGGATAAAGGGTATTTTTGTTAAAAGTACAATAATCTCCTCTTTTTTTGTTGCATAGCTATTATCAATAGAATTCTTGCTTTTTTTTTTTTTCCCCTCTCCCCTTATTTATATATATATAAAAAAAGAGCCCCTAATTTTTCACCCGGCATAAACCCAAATCATAGGAAAAACCAAAAAAAAAAACCAGAAAAAAAAAAAAGTAATGGAGGAAAGGCTGTTACCACCCTTTTTAAAACACGATAATGTAAATACAAGTCGCTCAACTTCAAATTCAACAGAATATATCCCAAAGCATAGACGACCACCAAGTCAATCTCAGAATATATATCATCAGCACCCACAGCCACACCATCCTCATCAGCGTCATCAACCCGACATGTTGTCGTTGGATCTAAGCTCTTCACCTACAAGCACTCTCACAACAACAGCAACAACCAACAAAAAACCTCCACCCGCTATTTACTATAAAGATAAGAAATTTCCACCCACCATTCGACGTACAGCATCCTCCTCGTCCTTCTTCCTATATGGTGGACAGCACGCAAAATGGTTCAAACTACTAGCTATCCTTCTAGGCCTATTATTCATATTCGGCTATTTGCCTCTCTATCATTTCGTTACAAAAGGAGGTGCCAGTGGGAATGGTCATAGTAAACAGCAACATCGCTGGGATATACAACACGGAAATCAGCAACAGCAACAAAACTTGTTTCATACAGAAAGAGACAAGATCATTCTATACCGTATCATAGGTAATGACTTACCACCACGACATAAAGAAGGCCAGACGCTATCCAACCTACAATTTATTCTGGATCATGAACCTAACTTCCCCAACACACAGAAAATATTCCTACTCAACCGTATCATTGATCCTGTTAACGAGGCTACCATCATTCGCTTGTTGGATAGGTACAATATGGACTATATTCGTGTTCCTTTCGATGAAGAGGAGTATAGTAGAATAGACTTTGATCTGGAAAAGTTCCCTGATGCCGATTTCCTTCATTCGGACGATTACCGAAGATTCTCAAAAGTTTCTAAACTAAGAGCTCTCGACTATACCTATCATCTCAAAAATCTGTATGCTATGAATAATGTAAGTAGACACACCATCCATTCCAAAGTATAGGAGTATGGGATAGGATAAATGGCAAGAGAATAGTGTAGCTATGACTGCCATAGGTTACTGGATCAAAGCTATAAATAACCCTTGCTTTTTTGGTTTTTCTGTGTTTAGAATGGTGGACGTAACACAGCCATCAGACATGGACGTAGTTTGCCTTACGCTAAATGGATTATGCCCTTCGATGGCAATTGTTATTTAAGCAGAAATGGATTTAAAGAGATCACAACTCAGTTGGAAAGATATGGTGACGACATCAAGTATTTTATTGTACCCATGACGAGACTTTTGAACAACTCTGTATTATTGAACAATGAAGATGAGAGGCCGAAAACACCAGAAGAGCCACAAATCATATTCAGACATGATGCAACCGAAGAATATAATTTAAATATGAGATATGGACGTAGAAGCAAGGTAATAAAAGGACAGTACTAACGATAGAAGTGCCCACCAGTATCAACTAACATCATCACTGTCACTTGTAGCTCGAGTTATTATGGCGTTTAGGTGCTTTAGAAAATCGTCGTTTAAATAGACCTACCGTGCCATGGGAACCTGTTGAACGACCTTATAGTAAAGATAAGGGTAATTTTAAAAACATTGGTTGGGTCTTTAGACTTTTCTCCGGTAATCCTTCACAAGAGGAAAACAAAAAGGAGGCCTCCTCTATACGTGCTTTCAACCGTTTAATGGCCATTCAATCTTCATTGGACAGTTTGGATGAAAATATCGCGAGGAAAACTTTCAATCACAACAAGCTGTTCATCTACAATGAGCAGCCCATGAATCAACTCAGATATGAACATTGGACCAATCATTACGAAATTAGAGCTGCTATCGATAGATTAGAGGAAAAAGCAAAGATCATTTTGGAAGACTCACAAAAGAGGCTCGCACCGCAGATCACCACCACATCCACTCCATCTTCTTTAGACCCATCTTCAGAGCGGCATCCACAAGGCGCAGTGGCATTCGACTCGACCATGTTGTCAACTGCGTCGCACTCTTCTGCCACAACGTCTGAAAAAGATGAGTTAGGCCCATTATCAAAGAATGTCACCATCCTCACTTTAGCCAATTATTTCACAGGCGAAGAAAAATACGGCCGAGCGGCTGCTAATCTCATTCGAGTCAACTTTCTCAACGAATATGCTGTAGAAGACGAAGATGAATACAATTCTGCCCGTCGTATACCTGATGACAGTCATCTACTGGACTTTTTGTCTGATCAAGGCTATTATTTTCCTAGCATGAGTCGTATCTCCCATGTGATACCGAAATACAGCCATAACCGTATTCTGAATACCTCCGATCTCACAAAGACAGATATCTCTTCTTTATTGGATTGTTTTCGTTTACTGAGACACATGCAAGCACTCACACATAAAGAATATATCGATTTACAAGGTATGACAGCTGAATTCTTGGAATATCTTGTCACTTCCCCGACCGGTATCCATTTGGCTCAAATGACGGATCATCGCGGTGTACTGTATGATCTCCAAGTGATAGCCATGGCTGCATTTACAGATGACGTTCGATTGTTCTTACGTGTTGCAAATCGATGTCGTATGCGTATCGGTAAACAGTTCACAGAGGATGGCGCTCAGCCTTACGAAGCCAGTTCAACACGGGGTCGTATTTTATTGTTATCAGCTAGCGCTGATATCGATGGAAAAACAGAATGGAAAGCCTTGTTGCATTATGAGACTCTTAATTTACAATACTGGACACTATTGGCGCGTGGTATTCAGAATGCTGGCATAGCTAAGGATATCTGGCATTACGCAGCCGCAAACCGTGGCCAAATCTCTCATTCTGTTGTACAACACCTCAAGAAATACTCGGAATCCTTGCCTAAGCTCACTGCAGGAGATGCAGCTTTTGTTAAATCACGGCTACAACCCTTAGCCTACATGGCTCAGGAAGCATTCAGCTACAGTCACTATGCCAATACACCTGTAGACAGTTCTGTAAGAGCAAGAACAGAAGCCAATCGCCTCTGGATGGTAGAACATATGACAGATTTTGGTGAGAGATGGGACAGCAATGGTGGAGAAGAATTGGACTTTAATATGTTTGACATTGAACAGGATATTGCCAAGTTGATGTATGATGATGAAGCGAAAGGTCGATTAGGAATACCGCCTTTTTGGATGTTGACTTCAATCTCATAGACACAAATACACATGCACACACGCACACACACACACACACACATACACACACACACACACACACACGCACATACACACTTACACACACACACACACACACGCACATACACACTTACACACACACGCACATACACACTTACACACACACGCACATACACACTTACACACACACGCACATACGCACATACACATAGATAGATGATATTGATATATTCACAGTTTATACTTATACTTTCATATCTTTACGCAACAGTCAGAAAAACACACGCAAACACCGCCTCAATAACGCGTCCTTCACATCACGCACATCCCGTTAGAATCACTAGAACGCTCACACAATAAGAAATTTATACATATCATAATTCACAAACACTCATACAGCAATCGCCCTTATCACAACAATAGGATTTGCCTTATCTTAATCCAAACATCACCTCTATCCATCCTTTTCTTACTTTTACAGGAAATTATTCTAATTGTATATGTAGTATACGAAACCGAAAATAAAGCAATAGTAATTTATTTATTCAATAATCGCACATCACTTTTCGGAGGTTTCCCAAGTGTAAAACCGGCAAATTCTTCAAAGTTTCTCTCTTTTTACATTCTTATCCTTAACAAAATAATTAACGAGACCGGAAAAACAGTGAGTTTTTTTTCCTCCTTGAACTTGATTCACTTTTTTTTACGCTAATCAGTACTGGATGAATTGGTAATGGTATTGATATGAAGAGTATCTTTTTCATGGTACTGCAACTATACAATTTGTAGATTGATTGGAGTTGCATTAGCTATTGTTGTTATTGCCTACCGTTTATTGTATGATACCAAATGCTTGTATCATTTATCGGAAGTGAAACTTTTTAAGCTATGTGTGTTCTGCCTTGAGTTATTAGAAGGCTAACATTCCTGTGGTCTGTGCCGTAGGTTTACGGTGCAACCAGGTGGTAATAGCAGCCATCATGTTTACAAATTGTACATACAATAGCTATTACAACAGTATCTGCTATTATAGTCAAATCAAAATAGTCAGATCAATTGTCAAAAGCGTTAGAATAAACAGTGTGAGGTTGCAACAAATTCTTTAAACGTTTTATTGAGCTGATGATGATTGCTACGAACTACCTACTACAACGGATCTGTCAATTCATCAACTGATGGAGAACTAGTCTTACAGTCGTCCTGGATGTTGTTATTTATGGTAAGGCCTTGCACAATTAGAATACTTTTTAGAAATAGCGACAATTTTTTACTTTGCGCATCTCTATGTGTCGCAACGTAAGTAGACAAGGAGATTATTAGCCAAAATCAAGGTCGAATGAGCTTACTTAGCTTAATATGGAGCTCAATACTGATCTTTTTCCTCATTTAAACGAACAGATTTCAGTTATGCATTTCATTGATATTCATTGATATTGTCGAATGTTTAACTTGAATACATGTGGCTAGTGTTTACCGATAAGGATGGACTGAAACAAAATTAGGATATTCGAAACAGAATCTGAACTTTTTTGCCTCTACTTTCCAACCTTAATTTGACACATCAAACCCCAGAGTTTCCTTGCACTGCTTTATCTAATTTTTACTCGGTCATTTGTTCAGGGGCGTATCTTGAAGAGTCCATCAGGGAATAGACACGAGCATAACTGGGGATAACGTTCAGGTTACAACGCGAGATGTCTCTTCAAACTCTTTTGTTACACAAATCCATGTATGTCTACAAAGACACAGACACAGACACAGACACAGACACAGACACAAGTGATCATGGGCATGAATAGTAGACTCATTTGGTAACTTTTTTTCCAGCTCTGAAAAAGAAACCGTAGAAAAAAGGTATATTTCCTGCTTTTCTTCTTCTCCCTTTTCCCGTTATGTTGTGAAATTGCAGGTCGACATCAATTGGAATGCCTCTCAAAAGCATATCCAATTTATTGACGTTATTATTCAAGACAACATCGAATGAACACGGCCTCGAAAACAATGAAAATGGAACCCATTGTAAAACAACTCTGTCCACTTATTCAACTATTCTGAATGATAATGATCAAGACGCACTCAATGAAACGATAACTTTTGACAATGAGGATAGAGTGCAAGCGTATCAACAGCAGCAAAAGACAATTTTCACGTGGACCTCCTCCTTCATAAATACATTCAGTCCGTCTCAAACGCTACAACATTTGTTATGGGATTCTGCTGCAACCTACAAGAAGAAAGCATCGGGAGATATTAGCACCACCGTTGGCAAACAGATGTGGATAGCACATCAGGAGCAACTAAAGTACTGGCAAGATCAAGCATCCGAATTTACACCTTTTTCAGACTTTGGTAAGGATGACTACGAGTTCCTAGAAACAGTAGGTAAACAAGTCGGATGATCGAAAAGAAATATCACATGCATTAAAGTAGTGACGACTCATATTGAATTACCAACTTAAGGGACGGGCACTTTTGGTAGAGTTTGCTTAGTGAGACAAAAGAACCACAGTAAGAAATATTATGCTATGAAGGTCTTGAGAAAGGCAAATATTGTCAAGTTGAGACAAGTAGAACATATAAATTCAGAAAGACAGGTGCTGTCAGAACTCAACTTTCCATTCATTGTCAAACTGTAAATATTCTTCCTTTTATCACTACTATTTCAACAAGGCACTGATTTTACTGAAAACAAAATAGATATCTTACGTTTCAGGATCATTTAGATCTATTCATGTTGCAAGAATATGTTATGGGAGGGGAACTGTTTCGGCATCTGAGAAAAGCAAGCAAATTTGACAATGACACCGCTCGATTTTACGCAGCACAAATCATTCTCGCAATTGAATATCTTCATTCCAAAGATATTGTCTACAGAGACCTCAAGCCTGAGAATATTTTGCTCGATCACCAAGGTTACATTAAAATCACAGACTTTGGCTTCGCAAAGAAATTAAAAGACAGAACATGGACACTGTGTGGGACGCCAGAATACTTGGCACCAGAGATCATCCAGAGTAAAGGGCACAATCTAGCCGTAGATTGGTGGTCTCTCGGTATATTGATTTACGAAATGTTGGTAGGCTATCCACCCTTCTACGACGATAATCACTTTGGTATTTATGAGCGTATTTTGCGTTGCACAATGCACTGTCCAATCTACGTCAGTGAAGCTGCAGAAGACTTGATCAAAAAGTTATTGGTTAGCGATTGGACAAAACGATTAGGAAGTTCGAAGGATGGAGCGACGGACATTAAACAGCATCATTGGTTCAGTGTTGAGAAGAATCCAATAGATTGGGTGGCAATTTTCAACAAAACGATCCAAGTAAGTATGCCAATCGTATCAGCATTCGTTGATAATTCGTCAGGAGTTTTAAATTTTCGTAATTCGATTAATCGATTGCTTTTTTATATGTCAATCGCTTTCTTTTCGGAAACTGACAGGCACCGATAATACCACTATGCTCAAGTGAAGAAGACACAAACAATTTCGAAATTCATCCTAATGATAGGACTCTATCTGGTTCAACAGCTGTACTAGACGATGGTGATCCTTATCATGAGATGTTTATAGATTTCTAAAAAGATATACTCCTAACTGTAGATTGATGTTTTTCGCGATAATTCTTAATACAAAATACCTGCATACGCTATCATTATATGTTTTCATGTTGACAGATAAAGCTATACATGATGGATAATCTGCTCAGGTTGGGGTTGGTATCTCGAACATGTAGGGATGCTTTTTTGGTTTGGTTTGAGTACATACAGGAAACAAGGTCTATGTCTAAAGGTCGGCATGGAACGTTGGCTCACCATGCAGAGCCATAGACGCAAGATATCACTTTAAGGCTTTATATTGACTCCACTAGGCTAAATAGTACTGTATAAGTCAATACTGCTCAGTCTTTTTGAGAAGATCCAATCGGTTTCAGTGAGGACGAATCAAGCAATTTTGATTTTGAATGACATTTACGTCACCGCGTTCAACAATAATCAACAACTAGTCGGAAGATTTAAAACTAAAGCATTCGCTTTTTCCAGATGGAAACCTTATACCACTAGACACATCTGCACAATAATTCTAAGCTCCTCTCTATGTGTCGATCATACATTAGTTTAGACCCTATCTTACGGCTTCCAATAACCTGCGATGTACGAAGCTAATGTATCCGGTAGCGACTCGGTTAGCTTCCCGGCGGTCAATAAAAAGAAACTGATGCGCATATGGGGACTTTTGAGATTTTCCAATGTCACTTTTGTGATATTTATGGTTGTTATTTGGTTTGATGAACGCGACTTATAATTTATACATAAACTGAAGGTGAGATGGGTCACCTTCAGTCTTCTTCTTATATACTAAGGATGAGAGAGTGGAGCGTTCATAGCGAACTAGATATTTGTATTTGACAGCAAGGAAAAGGAAGAGAATGTTAAATACTCGTCCCTGAAATTCTCAACCAGTAAGAATGCAGCATTATATGGGCATGTCTACTAAGATGTACAAGCTTATTATAATTCTATGATCATAATAACGCGTCTAGTATTTGAAGGTGTGTCTAATTCGTGTTTGTATATTATAGGAGATATGGAATTACCCCACTTTCTACCGTTGTGCAAACCGTCTAACATAGACTTTCAATTGTCTACTACTATATTACACTCGTTTATCGCTTAAAAATTGTGTGTATCTCGTCCAAATCTGAAATTATTAGCTGTAGCCGCCTTTGAGCATCCCAAGCGCACTCTCACGAAATATCATTCATTGAATGTTTAAATAACCGTCTGCAGCTACCACCAGCCGTAGCTGGTCTCATTTCTCACCTGTTAAATCAGCTCCCAACCAGACCAATACAACAGCGCGCTAACACTCACATCAATTGGAGTATATCATGGCCAGTTGTACAAGTGCTGCTATGAATAGATTACCTTCGACATGAGAAATAGCCTCCCTTCCCATCAGAAGTAATAGGATAGCTCTTAATTAATTAGCTTTCTACAGCGAACAAAACTTGGTCGTCTCATTATCCCATAGTAAGCTTCATGATACAATGCCTCTATTCCCTTACTTCTTTAAGGTTCTTAATTTCGATTCTATATCTTTTTTATCTGCCTAGAGCATATTTCTGATAATCAGTTTATCTGTGTGCCCTTTAGGTTTCAACCATCTTGTCAATAATACCTCTGCCGCCTTCTCACTAATAAATAAGGGGCATTCACATGATTACAAACCGCCAATCATTTGTCGACTTGCGTTATTCATTTATTGAGAGGATCGCCATGCATTTGTTTTTCGAAACAAAAAAATAAAACTTTTCGGAAACGGACCCACATGCCACACAGTAAGAATGATTTCCCGCTCTTAAGTCCGCAAGCAAGGCTGTTGTTGAAACATTGGCGGATCAAAAAAAAAGAAAAAAAAACCCCCCATTTAAAGCAGATTATAGCTGCGCAATGAGCATGTTAGTCTTGTAATGAACATTGCGAATGTCAACTTCTTCCAATGTTAAAGCAGAGAAAAAGCGTAAATTAAAAATCAATAATAAGGATTCGACATCACCAAGAAAGCAAGTCAAGTTTGGGCGAGCAACGTTGCAGCATTATTTCAACTCGACAACCAGCACATCTTCCACAGCAAAACAGACAGCAGCAGTAACTTCGTTCAGTTGTGTAGAGGAACCAAAGGATCATCACGAGCAGAAAATACACTCTGACAATGAATTGAGCTGCCCAATTTGCTATCAGCAGTTCAATAGTACTATATCAATGACAGATATCGAAAGCCATGTTAATGCCTGCCTCGACAATTCTAAGACAGTCGCTGTTGATAAATGCAAAGCGAGTCTATCATCGACTAGTCTCTACAAAGCACCAGTTTTTGACTCATTTGAAATCGATCAGCAAGCAAGCAATTATGGCGAGGCAACTTTTGATAAGGAGGATGCTAAGGAGTCTAATTGTGATACTACTAATGAGTCAGTTAAGACCAGTAATATCGATAGTGTCAGCGCTTGGTCTAAACTTTTTGATACTGCCAAGTTCAAGATACGTGGTATATGGAGCTCCAGCAAGACAGATATTGCTCCTGGTCTGACCGAAAATGAGATAAGCTGGTTTGGTGAATCCAAGTATTCATCATCCCCTACAATATCGACAGAGAAAAGAAAATCCCGTACTGTACCTTATTACAAGCGTCTAGCAGGCACAAATATGGTCGTCGACGCTTTTTTATTCGGCCAGATACCAGATTGCGAAGGATACTTCTTGTCTCATTTTCATAGTGATCACTACATGGGCTTATCTGCAAATTGGACTCATGGCCCTATATATTGCTCCGAAATTACTGCTGAATTAGTCAAGATGAAGTTAGGCGTCTCTTCAGAATTCGTGATTCCACTTCCTTTAGATACGCCTCGCAACATACCTACCAGCAACCCTGATGATAAAGATCAGCAAATTACGGTTACATTGCTGGATGCTAACCATTGTCCTGGTGCTGTTATTTTCCTTTTTCAGGTTGGCAAGTTCCGGTATTTACATACAGGTGACTTCCGTGCTTGTCCAAAAATGTGTTTGCATCCTATGCTGAAAGATTATCCAATTGATATTCTTTATTTGGATACCACCTACTTGAATCCCAAATATTCGTTCCCGTCCCAGGACTCCTGCATTAAAGCAGCTTGTGAAGTAGCTAGACGGCATAATTTGAATGAATCAGTCAGGTACCAAAAGGATCAGAAAATCGAGCAGTGGTTTGTGCAGCAAAATGGAAATAAACATACTCTTGACAGTACCGCTCAGCCTGTTGTTGGAAAAGAAACGAAACGACTGTTAGTCGTGGTTGGGACATACTCCCTTGGCAAAGAGCGAATATTCATCGGTACTTATTACGCAATGCCATGCTTTTTTCTTTTCTTATTGTTTCAAGCAGAATTTAAACTGATCTATTCAATTTATTGATACTATAGAAATTGCAAAAATTTTGAATTCCAAAATATTCGTACCAGACAAGAAAAGGGCAATTTTGGAAACCTTTGGTGATTCAAAATTGATTGACCTTTTAGTAAACGATCCATTAGAGGCTCAAGTTCACGTTATCCCTATAAGACATATAATACCTGAGGTAATTGGAATTGGTGATTCGTCCTTTCTTTTTCCGTGTTCATCCATTTCATTCTGACTAAACGATCTCTTTAGAATCTCCTTGCTTATTTCCGTAGCTTAGAACCGAATTTTACTGAAATGGTTGCGTTCAAGCCCACTGGTTGGACTTTTCGTGCATCAGCTGATCCTAAGGTCCAACAACAACAAAAATCACTTCAATCGATAATTCAGTCTAGGCCCCCTGACCTCACAGCAACTGCGCTGAAGCCTTATTATGACGCACCCTCTTTAAAGATTTATGGGATACCATATTCTGAACACTCCAGTTTCCGTGAATTAGCCTTATTTATTGCCAGTTTAGATATTCGTAGAATTGTGCCTACAGTTAACATATATAGTGAAAGGAGTAGATCAAAAATGAGTGATCTGTTTGAGAAATGGAATATGGATAAGAAGAAGATGGTTGAGAAGAATGGTGGCACTATTAAGGTGATAGATTATCCTAGCGTAGATTATTGGTAGCTCCAATAATTGGTCCGACTCTTTATCCTTTCATAACTTCCTTTTTTCGTCACTGGTACTTTTATAAAATGTTGTTTAGCACTACTAGCAGTTAACAATGAAGCTGCTTGTAAATCAAATGTAAATAAAATAAAGCGCTGAGCGATGTTGTGAAACTGTAAGTTTTAAAGTAGCTTCAGCCAAAAAAAAAGGGTCATATGAGTCGATTGAGAGATCGAATACTGTAATTTCGAAAGCACACATGTAGTGGATTATAATTGTAGGTCGTATTACAACTTATTGAGCATTCCAATGAAATGATAGTATCGAACTATAAATTTTCCAAGATAAAGTGCTTTAATTTTTTCAGTAGTACCTGCTGTGAACACTAACATAAAGGCGAACAGAAGCGGATGCAAGCCATAAATGGTAAGAAACTTGTCAGCTGCTATCTTGCGAAATATAAGAGTGGTAACTTTTCACTCTGTTCGTCCTTTCTCAACTTCTTCTTTTTTTTTTATTTTTTTTAACCAACATCTTACCACCTTACATAACAGAATGTATAATAACTTGGATCAACAGCAGAACCAGCTGATAGCAGCTAATTGTAGAAATGGGGTTATCAACAGCTCAAGCAATATGCAATTTTCATCGTCTTCCCCACAGCATATGAGATCGTCATCTTTTCCAAGCACATTTAGCATTCAACAGTATCAGTCCATACCTATTCACCCTTCATCCAATTCGTCATTCCATAATGTGCCTGTATACCAGTTTAATAGCAATTCACCCACTGCTGCAACACAATGGTTTGGAACTAGCTTAGACTCGAGTAGTTCCTTCGGACAGTCTCCTGTGTTCACAGGTCAGGAGTTACAGGTTACACCATCAAATTCATCGCAACTTTTCGATGAAATTGCAATGAATAATAATGAAGAGGATGAAGTGACTCAGAGGAAGTAAGTGAAAGGATTAACATGAATATTCAAAAGGTTATTAAAGCGAACGATATTTAACGTCATTCAGTCATCAAGAAATCTATGAACGTAGAAGGAAGCGAAGAGAATCACATAATGCAGTCGAAAGAAGACGACGTGATAATATCAACGAAAGAATACAAGGTAATGGATGAGACCAAATACAGTCATAGAAGGATTATTGATGAAGTCCGATTTTATTGCGTATAGAACTTTCTACGCTTCTTCCAGATCATTTGTTGGAATCTGTGCCTGCCAGTGCCAATGTAATAACTCTGACGACTGGTCAAAGTGGGACAAATGGAAAGCCGATTAATAAGGGCACAATACTGAAGCTTTCAGTAACATATATAAAAGAATTGAGGGAGGAAGTGGTTATGTCAAAGAGCAGGATCGATGAATTGCAGCAATTAATTGAAAACGCGGAAAGAAGTAAGGGCTCCAATCCTACTGTAAGAGCAAACAATAATAGATCAAAAGAAAGTTCTGGTTCGCTCCTCAACTTGGGCTCATCAATGCAGTTTCAACAGCAATTTGGAAGATTACATATCGCTGCTGGAGACGAATAGATGTTTAATAACGACTCGAGGAAAAGCCGTAACAAAGTGAAATTTATAAAGTACAGTTTATCAGGGATAATAGAGTGTTATAGATGTTTGTGAACAAATACTTTGTACAACTGCAAAGGCAGTTTTCTGTAACATAAAGCTACTTCGCATTCTGTATCACACTAAAAGCATCAGATTGTATTGTTGACTTCCTTGTAAACAGTGTGGCTTCTGTAAATCGAGAGTATACTTAAAGTGGAATTTTACTCATGTCTTGACAATGAGTGAGACGGTTTGACAAACAAGGTATATTTTTTTATGAAAGCAATGATCTGCCTTTGGATGCTGATTGCTGAACATTAATCGATTCATGGAAAGTAAGTGCCTGGCGATGCTGTATTTCTATTCTGCTTTGACGGATTTTTTCTCTTTTTTGTATTTTTTTTTTTCTTTTTTTTTTTTTTTTTGCCTATTGTTCAAAACCAACCCATTAAGATTGACTGAATTTTTATTTCTACTATTTCCCTGCCCCTTATACAACTTCCTACCGGTAAAACGAAAAAAAAATGGTGCTGTTATATAATTTTCAACCCAGCAAAACGAGTATTTGAAGCACAGCTCCCTTTTTTTAGCCTTTCCATAATCTTCTTTCTCTCTTTTTTTTTTTCTATAACTTTACCACAGAAAAGATAGACATTTGAACAATGGCTTTAAAGCGTATTAATAAGGTATTTAATTAAGCTAGTTTTGGGCTGTTTTGCATTCTAGAAGAGGCTTGTGTATAATGTTTGCTATAAAACGGGTTGAACAACGCATCACCAAAGACTGAAAGTTTTTGTCGAGATCTTGGAATCTCGACCAAGTTAAAACTGACACTTCTTTTGTTTGCTAATTGAACAGGAACTCAAAGATCTTGCGCGTGATCCTCCCTCTTCTTGCTCTGCTGGCCCTATTGGCGATGACTTATTCCATTGGCAAGCTACTATTATGGGTCCTGTAAGTGATTTATCTTTTTCGATATCAATCTTCTCGTTTATGCCCTTCTCATTCCAATATTGCTCATCGCGGTTTTAGGAAGACAGTCCTTATCAAGGTGGTGTTTTCTTCCTGTCTATTCATTTCCCCACTGATTATCCCTTTAAACCCCCAAAGGTAACTTGAGTAGAGACAAATATGCGCAGTAGTATTGCAATGGAGACTCATATCTGGTCTTGTTTGTAGATCAATTTCACCACCAAAATCTATCATCCCAACATCAACAGTAACGGTAGTATCTGTCTAGATATCTTGAAGGATCAATGGTCACCTGCACTTACAATCTCAAAAGGTAAAAAAAAGGAAACAAAAGGGCCAGCTCGTTATTACAGCGTTCTGAAAAATCTTTTGCTTATATCATATAATTGATTCCATTATAGTCCTTCTTTCAGTCTGCTCCCTTCTCACAGACCCTAATCCTGATGGTAACTTAAATGCTTGATGTTTATGAAACAGAGTGAGCGATGAAGACTTATTTTATCTATTCCATTAGATCCGCTTGTTCCGGAGTTGGCCCATATCTACAAGACTGACCGTGCACGTTATGAAGCTACCGCAAGAGATTGGACCAGAAAATATGCCAGTAAGTGATGCGTATTTGCAATTTTCTCAAGCTATATTTCGGTATACTTATTTCTTTATTGCTTTTTCTGTAGTGTAAAATTTTATTTTTATTCGAGCTTAAAGCAGAAGAAGTTCAGAACTGTACATATGAAAAGAGCTGTATTTGTATCCATTTTTCACTGAAAAATAAATAGAGTTTCGCAGTTCAGTTTTTCTTCCCACTTTGATGAGATTTTCAACGGATTAGACTTACAGTTTCAGCCAGAAAAGGGTTGATAGCATCATTTGTTTTCGCTCAGTTAAGGGAGCGTATATTCGCTGGAGCTAGCGTTGCTTTTAGCAATCATTTATTATTAGCTAACTTGACACACGGATACCAACCTGAAAGCATTCTTGTAAGACATATTATGCTACGAGCAGAAGTTATACGTTGCTCTCGGGTGAAATGTTAGGTACTGTAAGCCAATCATGAATTGACTTTTCTTTCTTGATATTACTTTGAGTTAGTCTTTTAGGGAGAGCTCATTATTCATTAATGATGTTCAGCATCGCACTTGACTAGGAAAAATTGACAATGTTCTATTACATAATAAAGCTTCACCAATGGAGATTTACCACTGATAGGATCAAGTGAAAAATTGTGTCGTAAGTCAGCCCCTAACACCCCTTACAGATTTTGAGAACAGACCATTGATGATTAAATTATCTGTGCATGAGAGTCTGTTTAGGCGTATATTGCACATTAATCGCTTATACGGATGACCCCTGATCTGATTGGAATGTGATTTCGACTACGTATACTGCACTTTCCCTACTAGTATCTAATAGAAAACTCATTGTTACCATGGTACGATCACCAGGAATTGCAATACATGTAGCATAACAATAGCTACCTTCAGAAGAAAACTAGCGAACAACATTGTGTGAAAGCAAACTTTAATAGCTATATATATACAATGATCACCAACGACAGAGCATCTAGGCTTGAAAATTAATATAACCTAGTAATCCCTGAGGGTTAGTATCCTGAAGAATAGAGATAACTATCTTACGCATATTTTTTAAACACACTATTTCTGTCTCTCTTTTTTCCATTGTATCGTATGTGTTGCATAGTATAACTTTTCATATCCAACCATTCAGTATCAATTGGCTAAGTTCAGCAACTTTTGGCTTTTCATAGTATGACAATACCTAATTCTTTGTAAGAGCCAAAACTAGTCGTGTTTTTTTAGATTATACTTTTAACCATACCTATAATCCATCTCGTATTCTAGAAAATTGGGCTATGATGAGGATCAGTCAAATATAGGTACATATTGCGTAAGCTTACTATCTGCAAATTGGTATAGCTGACATTTTTTTTAATAATGAAAGGCTCTATCTTTGATAATTTTTTAATTGATGACAATACTTTATTGCAAAATGAAGAAGGTAATTCACTGAATGCGGCAGCAGACGATCCTAGTGCGATTTTTGAAGACTTGAATGATATGCCAAGTGATACTACTACTGCTTCTCTGTCATCATCATCATCACTATCCACACTATCCAATAGCCCTTATGAAAATATTCACCCTAATTGGGATGTTCCATCTGCACCAGTGTCTATGAACGACATAAACGATATATTTCTTAATTTTGAAGCAAAATTCGGCTTTCAACACGACAACGTTAGAAACATGTATGATCATCTGCTCACTATGTTGGATTCTCGCTCAGCCCGTATGTCGCCTTTACTTGCCTTATGGACACTACATGCCGATTACATAGGGGGCGAGCATGCTAACTACAGAAAGTGGTATTTTACGGCGCAGCTTGATTTGGACGATAAATTCACCCCTCCCAAAAGCCCAACGGGCTTGCTTTTAGAAGAAGCTAAAAGAGAATGGCGCGAAAAAATGCAATCATTGAGCGATCACGAGCGGTTTTCGCATTTGGCACTGTATTTGCTGATCTGGGGAGAAGCAGCCACATTAAGATATATGCCAGAATTGTTATGTTTTATATTTTATGTAGCCGAATGTTATCGATGGAACGAGGAAGTGGTAGAAGATGAGAATGATGGGGTAACGCCAGTAACAAGGACCTATTTTTTGGACAGAGTTATCACGCCCATTTACAACTTCATCCGAGATCAGAGCTACGATGTGATAAATGGACACTATGTACGACGAGAAAGGGACCATAGCAGTATAATTGGGTATGACGATATCAATCAGTTTTTCTGGGATAGACGAAATATTGCTAGCCTGCGTTTGAAGTCATCTGAGCAGCAACATCAAGGGGAAGCTCACTATTTAAAAGATATACCTAGAGAAGAGCGTTATTTATTTTTGGGTGATATTGATTGGAACAACACTTTTAAAAAGACATTCTATGAAACGAGGTCTTGGTCCCATGTGTTAACAAACTTTTCAAGGGTCTGGATTATTCATGCAGCTTCGTTTTGGTATTACATGGCCGCAAGCGTAGATTTCATCTATACAAATAAGCATGATGACGAAGAGGTAGATTTGCCATTGAGGTTGTCCATTATAGGTTTAGGCGGACTTGTGGCTATCGTTCTAATGGCATTATCGACCTTAACAGAATTCCGTTATTTGAATGTGTCAACGATGACCGCAAAAATTTTGTTGAAGCGACTTTTGATTTTAATGCTTTTTGCTTCCATACACGCCGGCTGCACATTCTATATAGTCAACTTCGATCGTACAAGCATCATAGCCTTGACTATATCAAGCTTACAATTAGGATTAGGCGCCTTACTTTCTATTTTGCTGGTTATTTTTCCTTCATCGCGCCTTTTCCATCGCCAGAAATCAAATCATCAACTCAGCTGTCAGCCTTTTACAGCCAACTTCCCTGAAATGAACAATGATGACCGGTTCTATTCTATTATGATCTGGATCTGTGTTTTCAGTTGCAAGTTTTTAGAAACTTACTTCTTTCTGGCATTATCATTCCGTGAAGCTCTGTATGTTACTGTATCAATGCACGTTAGCAATTGCAGTATTGATCCTCTGCTGGGGCGTTGGTTGTGTCCTGTGATGCCTGTTTTGACTACTGTCCTACTATTTCTTGTGGAGTTGATCCTCTTCTTTTTGGATACATATCTATGGTATGTAATTTGGAATACGGTTTTCTCAGTTGCGCAATCAATGCGTATCGGTATCTCAGTTATGACGTCTTGGAAAGAACTTTTCACCAAACTACCTCAGAATATGTTTGCCAAGATCACTTCCACTAACTTTCGCTCACTGCATATGCGGCGAATGGCTTGCTCACAAATGTGGAACGCAATTGTGATTTCTATGTTCAGAGATCACTTACTTTCCGAAGAAAATTTACAACGATTGCTTTATCAAGTACAGATCAAAGAAGCGGAAAATGGTGATAAAAAACGAGAACTGCATCCTCCACCCATTTTTGATCCAGCTAAACCTTTCAATGGTGATTACTTCCCAAAGCATTCTGAGGCGGAAAGAAGACTCTCATTCTTTGCTCAAAGTCTATCCACAGATTTTCCTTCGTCATGTTCTGTGCAAACAATGCCGACATTCACTGTATTTACCCCTCATTATGCCGAAAAAATGGTGCTTTCCTTGCGAGAAATTATTCGTGAGGAAGATTCTAGTACACGTGTCACTTTGTTGGAATACTTGAAAAGATTACATCCTACTGAATGGAACAACTTTGTGAAAGATACAAAAACAATCGCTGAAGAGCAGCAAGTATTATTACCAACATATGAGAAGCATAAGAAAGGGGAGCAAGAGCCTTCAAAAGCCGCGATAGGCGGTGAAAAGGATGACCTTCCATTTTACAGCGTTGGATTCAAATCTTCGGCACCCGAATACACAATGCGTACACGTATATGGGCTTCTTTACGTACACAAACACTGTATCGTACGATCAACGGCTTTATGAATTATGCTCGTGCATTGAAAATCTTGTATCGAATAGAAAATCCCAATCTGGGTTCAACAATGACCCCCGCTGCACCATTAACTGATGAAAATAGCGGCGTTACAGATACAAACAATACAAACGATGGCGATCCTTTTATAAATCAAAAAAAAGACACATCAAGTACATTAGACTATATCGCCCATCAAAAGTTCAGATTTCTTGTAGCCATGCAACGTTATGCTAAATTTAGTAAGGAAGAAGCTGCCAACTGCGAATTTTTATTGCAGGAATATCCTCAATTACAAGTTGCATATATTGATGAAGAAAAGGATAGAGTTACCAATGAAATAGCGTATTATTCTGTACTGATTGATGGTCATTGCGAAACATTACCCAACGACAAGAGGCTACCTAAATATCGTATTCGACTACCAGGCAATCCAATTTTAGGCGACGGTAAATCTGATAATCAAAACCATGCTTTGATTTTTTATCGTGGTGAATACTTGCAGCTTGTAGATGCTAATCAAGACAACTATTTGGAAGAATGCTTAAAGATACGCAGCATTTTTGGTGAATTCGAACAGCAAGAAGGATCTGAGCTCTCGTTGGGCAATGTTTATGCTTTACATACCAATGCTGCAAGATTAGCGAAGAAAAAACAAGATTTCAAAACGGATTCTCCTGTGGCAATTGTAGGCGCTCGCGAATATATATTTTCTGAAAATATTGGTATGCTAGGCGATGTTGCTGCTGGTAAAGAGCAAACCTTTGGTACCTTGACACAGCGTATCATGGCTAAAACAGGAGGTCGGCTGCATTACGGTCACCCAGATTTCTTAAACGCTGTCTTTATGACAACTCGTGGGGGTGTGAGTAAAGCACAAAGAGCTTTGCATTTGAATGAAGATATCTATGCTGGTATGAATGCTTTGCTTCGTGGAGGCCGTATTAAGCATACAGAATACCTACAATGCGGTAAAGGTCGTGATCTCGGCTTTTGTTCTATATTGAATTTCACCACCAAAATAGGCACTGGTACGGGTGAACAAATGCTTTCGCGTGAGTACTACTACCTTGGGACGCAGTTACCGCTGGACCGCTTTTTGACGTTTTATTATGCTCATCCTGGCTTTCATATCAACAATATCATGATTATATTTGCAATCCAAATGTTCTTGTTCTGTATGGCTTTTGTTGGTACAATGTCTATTGCATTACCTCATTGTCAAGGTGACGACTGCTTCGATGTCAGACCAGTGAACGATTGGTTGCAGCGATGTGTATTATCCATTTTTATGGTCTTCTTCATAGCCTTTTTACCATTATTCTTGCAAGAACTGACAGAAAAAGGTACAAAGCGATCTATTCTTCGACTCGTCAAGCAGTTTGTGTCCCTTTCCCCATTGTTTGAAGTGTTTGTTACTCAAATTTATGCAAACTCGGTTTTATCCAATTTGAGTTTCGGTGGCGCACGGTATATAGCTACGGGTCGTGGATTTGCCACCTCTCGTATACCTTTCTCAGTGTTGTACTCACGATTTGCCCATCCAAGTATATATTTTGGTGCCCGTACTATGTTCATTCTTATCTTTGTGTCATTAGCCCTGGGACTACCACATCTTATCTACTTTTGGGCCACAGTTGCTTCCTTGATGATATCACCTTTTGTATTTAATCCTCATCAGTTTGTCTTTAGAGACTTCATGAATGATTATCGCGAATTCTTAGGTTGGCTAGCAAGAGGTAACTCGACTCGGTATCATGAGCACTCCTGGATTACATTTTGTCGACAAGGCCGTACATTGGTAACGGGAATCAAAAAGAAGGCCGGTCAGCAGTCCTTTGGAGCAAATGAAAAGCCTAATCTGAACGCTATTCCTAGAGCACATTTATCAAGCATCTTCTTTACTGAAATATGGATGCCTTTTGTTCAAGCTTCACTTTTTGTGTTTTGTTATGCATTCTACAAAAGCCGGGAGCAAGTGGATACTTACGGTACGCTTCTATCGCCGTTCAATACTTCGCTAGGTCCAATTGGAGCTTTAGGACGGATTCTATTCATTTCGATTGCACCAATATCATTTAATGCTGTAGTGTTGATATCTGTTCAGATTTTTTCATTGTTGAGTTCAAGGTTCAAGCGAACAGGTTACTATATGGCGTTAATAGCTCATGCAGGTGCTATCTTCGGCTTTATCGTAGTGTACGAAATTTTATGGACTTTGGAAAATTTCCAAGTTTGTTCCACATTGTTAGGCTTGTTATCCATGTTTGCAGTGCAACGTGCTTTTTTCAAAGTAATTGTTGGTCTATTCTTAACAAGAGAAGTTCATGACGATGCAACAAACAGAGCATGGTGGAGCGGCAACTGGAAGAATAAACATGTAAGTTTGATATTGTAAGCATACTATTATATATTACTTCTGACAAAATTTTTCCTGCGCTTAGCTTACTTCGTTGGCACCAAGAGAATATGTTTGCAAGATTGTTGAAATGTCTTTGTTTACGATTGATTTCATTTTGGGACACTTAATATTGTTTGCTCTATTTCCATTCACACTTATTCCTTCGGGAGACCGGTTCCATTCTCTAATCTTGTTCTGGTTGAAGCCTTCGAAACAGATACGTCCTTCTATTTTGTCTACCAACGTCAGAAGGAGAAGACTGAGGATAGCATATAAGTATGGTACCCTGTTCGTTCTTGTTTTATTACTTTTCACTGCTCTCATCGTCTTACCACCAATGCTAACTCCCAAATTACCTGCGATTTTCTACCAAGTACTCTTCAAAACCATTTAACAGAAAAGTGTATAAATTTTTTCCATACATTATTATCAATATATAGTAGTACCGATTATAAGGGATCCTTCTGTAGCATAAACTCTACGCAATAAAGATGCCACAAAAAGTTATCGATCAGTATAAAGCGGCTTACTCGGAAGGAAATTTGCATGCATAATTTGGTCAAGTGAGTCGCTGGAAACAGGATTAAGCCAAATCAAATGATCCGTGGTAAAAGTTAAAATTCACTTATAAAAACCCGTATTTGAAGCACGTCCATTCTGCGAAAAGATTTGGATAAACAATTTCTATTTCTTGTTGATTTATTGAAGTAACACGCTCATCAGAAAATCCATAAATTTCAGTACTTTTCGATTCGATTAATGATTCTAATCACATCTGTAGATGAATATCTCGGCTATTGCATTACGGCCCATTTGTCATCTATATCATCGATTCGACCGTATCTTCGAGTAGTTTATTCCAAGGAACGTCAGAAATACAGCTACAAAAAGACAACGGTAATCCAGAAATCTCCATGGCTGCTTACATTTGCCTCTAAAGGAATTGATGTCAGAGAGGTGGATTATATGCATCCTAATGATATGTCACACGCCATGAGAAACGTGGATCAGATAATTCTTTCTTTGGATAGTTATCCAAATCGAGTAGAACGCTGCAAATACATTTGTGAAGTGGCAGTAAGGTCACATGTTCGTTCCATTATCTTTTTGTCTCATGTCGGCGCAACAACAACCTTAATGGAAGATGAGAACGGAGGATATCAAGCTCTGTCAGATTACGGGAGAATTGAAAATCATCTTGTGCAATTGCAAGAAGAAGGCGAGAAGGACATGCCACATTGTACGATTTTGAGGCTGGATTGGTTACAGCAGCATTTTCACTTATGGAGTTTTCAGACAGAAGCAACAAGAACAATCGCACTTCCCCTTTTCGAGGACGTTAAAATCTGTCCTATTGATATATCAGATGTTTGTCAGGTGATATTTCGGCTTGTCACTGATGACAATGGCAACATTTTGACAGATTTAAAAGATAGTCATAGTGGGCAAGTGTACATTTTGGCAGGTCCTTGCGCAATGACAGTTAGGGATATTGTTGGATATTTAAAGGAGGCGACTGAATACCAAAACTTTGGTCTCAAAGACAAAACTATAACACAGTCGATAGACACCGGCCATTATTTAAAGCACCTTTCACAAAATTTACGGTTTGATAAACGCTTGAAAATGGATCGGATAAAGGCATACCAGGATAACCTTGATGGACGTCTGGCTTATAGAAATTATATTCTATGGTCACCTACAGGTAAGAACCCTCTTTCTTACTCCTTTTTACGAAGCGAATTAAAGCCGATTCATCCATAATCTTATCAGATCTTCAGATACAAACCTACCTGGATTATTTTGATTGTGTCAACAAGACTTCCGCAAGCGTTGATACTAATACTATTGAATTTCTCTTACGCGGTTATGCACCTAGAACATTACGGAACTTCTTCTTTGAGAATGCTATCAGCTTTAAACCTAGAGTGTAACTTTCAGATGCGAAGGAATAAGATGCAGACGAGTTAATGTGCCACAGTCTATAGATGCGGGAAATCAATTTATATCTGATAATGAAAATAAAACAAACAACAGTAAAACCGGCAACTCCCATCATTTTGTGCATTTATTCTTTGTCCTTTTGCCTGTATCTGTCTTTTGACTCAATAAGTACTTTCTTTAAGAAAAAGAAGAATGGCAAAATCAGCAGCTTCGGTCGAAAAAAAGGCCTGGTTTGATCTTAAGTATTGGGTCTACATCATACCCATTGCTTATATTATTTCGTTTTTGAGTAAAGAGCTACAATTAGGAACTATTACTTTAGCTCAATTACTATCTTTGATTGACATACTTTGTTTAATAGTTAGATTTATACCATATACTGGCTTTTTTAACATAGCCCAGGACTTCAATATTGATAATTGTGTTAAATTTGAAGGTAAAAATTATTATCTTAAATTTAACTAACGTATTTTTAAGAGAAGTAAATATGTAAGGATTGTAATTGCGAATAACTACAAAATTGTAGGGCCAAGCGATTTCATGAATTGTGAAGACTTCGTTTTGTCTAATGAAGCAGGCATTGCCATTGTAGCGTGCGATCCTGCTAGAAGCAAGTTTAACAAAGTTCTGAAAGTCAACAAACTTCTGCCTGGCGAGCTTATGACTCAGGGCAGCATTTGGAAAGTGAATTATGCCCAGGTAAAATGATAAGATTACTGCCTTGCTTACCTTTTTGGAAGAAGTAGGGCAATAATGAATGATATCTTACTGTTAAATGGTGTTTAGGAGCCGGGAAGCATTGACAAGTTCAGTATAAAGGAAAACAATAGTATCACAGCAGATTTCCATCCTTTGGGTTTGGCTTTGGATATACATCCTACAACGGGAAAAAAGACTTTGCTTGTTGTCAACCTACCTCATCATAGTACGTCGACTGTTGAAGTGTTTTCCGTAGATAGTTCCAACGAGCTCACACACAAGCAGACCATTCGTCACTCAAAGATATACTCGCCCAACTCTATTCACATTATCAAGAACGCACAATACAGAGCAGCCGATGGAACACCTTCCTTCTTTTTTACTAATGACCATTACTTTTCCCACACTCTTTTGAAATATTTGGAAAGCTTTTTCTTCCCTTTAAGCAACGTTGGATTCTATAATGCGCGTACGAGAGAAGTAGAAAAGGGCGTAAACGGATTGATGTTTGGTAATGGACTGGCCGGAACAGATGAAATCCTTTTTGTAGCAGAAACAAGCAAACGACTAGTTAAGCAGTACAAGATAGGGCAATCAGTAGATGGACAAAACGTGCCTCATATGTTTTTAGATTACGCGACAGAAAAGTCCTTCCCAATGGCAGTAGATAACTTACATTATGTCCCTTCAGAAAAACGGTTGTTAGTCGCCGGACACCCTAAACCTCTTCAATTATTGAGACATGCAGTGAAAACAGCAGACCAGGATGTGGACGTCAAACCACCTTCACAAGTATATGAATGGAATATTCGAAACGGTGAAAGCAAGATTTTAATTCAAGATGATGGTTCTTTGTATGGTACTTCAACTTCAAGTGCTATTGATGTGGAAAATTCCAAATTGATTGTTTCCGGCCTTTACGAACAAGGGCTTCTGATTTGTGAGATATAAGGACCAACATATATTTATTTTCACATTGAAATATTGTTCATTTAGATATTGTATTAGCAGTGGATTTTGGATCTGCTGGCGTACGCTTCTCCATTTTCTATAATTCTTCTACACATAATTATCTACACCATCAGTGAAATTGCTGAATATAAGTAAGCTTGTATAATAGACTATGAAGACCCGTAACTAACAGTGTATTCCTTGTAGGATCTAGTATTCAGCTGTTAAATCAACTTTTCCTGAAAAGTCTGAACATTTTTCGTGTTATTCTTTAACTATATGCAGCCCATCAACATGAAGTGAACATAGTATGTCTTTTTATAAATAGTTTCTTTACATCATTTTATTGTATCAGTTGTGAAATAACCCGAATGTAACTTTTGTGTTGTTACAAAAATATTACCGACTCAAAGCCTTCTATCGTTGATAGATATACTTTCCATACTGCTATCTCAATATAGAGAAACTGAAGCCAACATTGAGTAGTTTGAGAGATATATGCTGATGTGGCGTGTTCTTCCCACATTGCAAGGTAATGCACATTTTCAACAGTACGTAAAAAAAACCATTTAAATAGTCAAGGTCATCGAGTTCAAAAAGCGATTTAAAATGTTCGTGACAATGCAACTTTACGCGAACAGTATCAATTGGGCTGGTATATGACGTAGAATCAAAAAGGCAGAAATTGACGATATGAAATTCTAAACCTAATATAGCACTATACAGGTTGTAATTGATGTAATCTGATGCGTTCTGAGAGGGGTGGTAAAAAAAGGAAAACATCTAGTCCTGCTGCTTAAGGTTAATTACTCGTTTCCATACAGGAATATAATTACTGATTGATATTCTAAAAAAAAAAAAAAAAAAAAAAAAAAAAAAGAAATTGAAGTCTTTCTTTATGAGCCATAAAACTCATTCAAAGCTGTTGAAAAGCTCTGTCAAAATGCTGATTTTGTACAGATTTGCATGCAATTCAGAGTTAATATATGTATTGATTGTGGTTCATTGATGCTCAATATATGTTAAGACCCACATACTGAGAAGCAGGGAATAAAAAAGTACTACAGAAAAGGAGAAGATTTTATCAATGAAGCTGGCCTTGATATTGGTATGTGCTCAAGTAAAGTATGTGCATTAAGGAGTCAGACGGGCTTAGTGACAATGCTTTCAACGAAAGCTATCATCCCTATGGGGCCATTTCATCAGTTGATGTGCTAAATTGGGTTTTCGTATAACATAGTAATCACCGAATTAATAGATATTTAAGATGGTAAGCAGCTTGACAGCGAGACAAAAGGAGCCGCTGCTGAACATTATTTGACATTTCGAAAGGAAACATTGGATAACATTGTTATGTACAATCAAATTGAAGGTTTCAGTATAAACAATGCTTCTGTTCGTCTGGAGAAGTAAATGTAGGAATTGGTAAAAGGAATAAAACAGATACTATTAGTATAGCTCACCTTATTTTTCAGAATCAAACCCTGCTGGATACTTTTTAGGCTTTGGTTAAATAGAAAGCACGCAGTATGATCTCCAAGATACAGAGATACTTTCAAGTCGAATCTTCATAAGCAACGTGAAGAACTATTCAGTTTCAACGAGTTAGCATTGCGTCTCAATTCGAGTACTTTCTTCATTATTTTATCGAAATAATTCACTCCAGAAAAAAATCATCTTCCAGCAATTACTTTCATTTCTTTTGGTAAACGTTTGCGCTATTATTCAGTTCCTTTCGAATGGTTAAACGAATGTGAACCTTCCTTTCTTTATTATGAATATAAGAATTTTATATTCATTGAGCTTTTAATAATTCTTTTCTTGGGTGTTTATTTTCGCAAACAATATTCTGACCCTTGCTAATCAACAGTTACATATGTATTGAATCAGTTATAGGTACTACAAGTTTTTATTTAAGCGAGACTAGACATCAACTGGCTTAAACTGGCAAACAAGCGTAGCGAATTTTAACGCTGTAGTTGTTATTAAAATGTTGTTTGGAATGCTCAAAAAAACATTATTGGATGCAAGGTGGATCATCATTGACCAATACTGTCATAAATGGTATAAAAAGATGAATACTTTCAAGATTAGAGCCGCGTTAGCTTAAGTTTGGCCATCAGCTGTTGGTTGGTTTATTGTCAAACTGAATTTCAACTACATAATATAAAGACATAATAACTGCAAAAAGAGACAGTTAAAGGAAGTTGGAAGAGAGCGAAAACGAGTAGAAGCCCTACACTGGTAATAGATCTACCAGAACTGAAGAAGGCTTCTGCGCATTACCATAATCGTGAGACGTTACTATGCTTGTAATTCACAACATCTTACGTTGTGAAAAAAAATGCTCTAGGCGAGGCTCGAACTCGCGACCTTCGCGTGACTTCAGGTATATTTTATCAATATAAGCACGACGCTCTAACCAACTGAGCTACTAGAGCTGAACTTGCGAATTTTGAATTTGTATAAATGATATAGTGACATATTAAAAATTTTCACGTGATTCTTTACATTCGGCATGCTTCTTAGTATGATTAATCCGCTTCAGTAGGTTATATATGGACGCTTTGGCGAACAGATTGGCTGATATTTAAGATGAATGTGCATGGCAACTATCCTGCCGCCACTGTTGTCATACCCATATTCTCTGGTTCTCCTTGAAAATTCCATGGTTGAATTCCACTCACTGTGATTGCTTTCTTCCTCGATTTCTCAGCTGCATTTTATTTGATTGAACATGATGGTGTAAGTAGTGGTAATTTTATGTAAAGTCAACAACATAGACAAAAGATGCGAAAAAAATTTCTTTTCGAAGTTGCAAAGTACTTTATCATGTCGAAGTGTAGATGAGGCTTTAGTAGAATGTGAAGGTGATGTTTAGCGTTCTGACGCAATTGAAGTGAAAGCACAGATTCAGTTGGCTTATTCGAACGATGAGAGGCAAGAGAATGGTGTTAGCAACGGCTTTGAATAGATTACAACAATAGAAGTAAATATCTATTACAAAATGGCAAAATGATAAGGTTGTCAGTTCAGAAAAGCATTAACAATCTCATAATATTTTATGCTGCCTATTGATATATTTCACTTGAAATTGTTACCTGACAAGTAGAAACCCATCTAGCGAACTCTTGGACGATTACGTCGAAACTGATTCATATATGTACGAGACCTTAATCAACACGAGGGAAGTTAACATGAGAAACTACCTGCTGAGTTATTCCAGTCCTCCATAAAAATTCATTCGATAATAGATACAAGTAGTCTTTTACATAAGCGTACAATAGTCATTTATTTCATACAGAATATGAGAAGTGACATGTTTCCGATAACATTGTATTGTTTAATTGTATGATTTTTTTTCGGTTTCTTTTGGTTGAGTTTATAAGTGTGAATGTGAATGCAAGACGTTACAAATGTAGATTGAAAAGAGATCTGAATGGACTCTTCTTTGCCCTTGTATGATAAGTAAAAACTATAGTGAGAAGCAAATAGGATGTATTACTTTCAAAAAGAATAAAAAACTATTCTTTGAATTCTGAGCCAATAAGAATTCATTATTAATGATGCTGTGTAGGCAGTACATATATGACGTGTACGACTTAAAAACAACAAGTAATAATATGATTAATTGACTGGCATATTTTTTGCTGGAAACGCTATCCAATTCATATTTACATATTATTAGAGGTATACAAATGCCATAGATTGTAATGCAATTTGGTTAGTATCGTCAACGTATTTATTCGATAAGTATAGCGATGTCAACATCAATTAGATCGTTAATAGTTTTTATGGGTTGTTTGACAACATCGGCCTTTTCCAATGTTTCCAGAGTAACTTGGAGAGCTTCAGTAGATACATGACGATGGTTTTTTGCATAGCTAACTGTTTTGAACCATGCACGCACGTCTTGTTCATCATAGTCTAAGTTGTCCATCACTCTTTTAATTGATTCATCTTCTTTTTGTTGTATGAAAAGAGCAGTTGCTTTTTGAATGGATTGCAATACCTCGAGTAAGGCTTGCTTCCTGTTATTGTCGCGTAATAAATCTGTATGAGCAGCAAACATAAATGCTGGCCATTGTGGGGTGATCTCACCAATTCGTTTGACTTCACCTGAATCATGATAAGGCTTGGTGGTAAAGGTTTCCCACATGAAGAAATCACTAGTCCCATCGTTGACTGCATCGCGCATTGCTTTAAAATTGTTCAATACTGTAAAATCAAAGGGCTTCTCGTTATTCTTTAACCAATGTTGTTGATTAGCTAGTACAAAGGCCATAATATGTGATCCAGAACCATAACGAGAAATAGCCACGTTTGTTTTATGAAGGTTGTCAATAGAGCTATGATTAGAGTTTTTGCCAGCAGATAATGCCCAACCTTTGAGAAATTATCAGAAAACATCGGTTTTAGTTATTCGCTGGTTTTTTTTTTTTTTTGAGATTCACAGTTCGAAAATCATAAATTTTACACAATGGAGCGTCAACATAAGTCCCAACAATTTTATACCAATCTTGTCCGTTATTGATACCAGCAACCAGACCTTCTGTCAAAGCAATAGCAAGATCAATTGATTTATCATGGAGTTTTGATGTCATCTCACCAGTACCGCCTGCAAGAATCAGTTAAAACGTCAGCTTCATTCATCTACTTCGTTACAATACGTGGTAATTTTTATTATGTGGATGACTAACCTGGGCATAAAACGAGCTCAACTTTTACACTTAATTGATCAAAGTAGCCAAGATCTTTTGCAATATATAAGGGTGTGGAAAAATGTTCAGGTACTGCAAAAAATAAATAAATAAATCAATGAACCATATGCAAAAGCAGCAGCGATGTTTGAACGGTATCTAAATGATTGTATAGCTACCATATCCTATGCGAATAATATTAGTGACCTCTGCTGTATTCGTCATGGTAATGACTCTTGAGTAGGTATGGGCTGAAGAAAAAGGTGAAATGAAGGAAAAAGAGTGAACAGGACAAATAACAGTCGTTTCCGTTCACTTAAATAGCCATCTGAGTTACACAAAGTTTCTCTTCATCACATCTATCAAAAAATGACTGATATCTACGTTTCTTGATTCTAAGTGTATATACACTGAAGCGTCTACACATTTCAATCCTATTACAAGTAAGAAGCCTATTATATTGTAGATGGCTGATGACTGTAAAAGGATGAATGGGGTTTATACTACACTTAAACGACATTCAAGTTTGCTTCTTCATCCTCTTTCAAGGGCGACATACTATGGTAGGGCATTCATTTGTGCTCGATGTATTCTAAAACAATAGCACAATAAGCTATAGGAACCAAATTCAACGTTTGTATGGTTAATGATGGCGAGAAATTGAATGGCTTCCATACATGATGATAAGCCTGGAATAAAGGTGGTAAATATCTGCAATCTGTATATAAGCTTAACTTTTGATTGTTTTAGGATAAGAGATTATGTACTTATTGCCAAAATTCTGTATCCCTGAATGAACGCTATAAGCTTATCAAAAATATAGAATGCTTGCTTATTGCTGTATTTCTAACCTTATGCTTTGACTCTGAACCTTGGAAGACAGAACAGTTTCTTCAAGATAATCTTACCAGTATGCTTCTGTTGGTGCCGTAATAACTTGAGGCATATACGACTCTTTGAAGCAATATTCCATCGGAAGATTTGAGCGAAGAGCTATCAATATTACAGCAATATCTCAAGTATAAACAAAAATTAGATTTCCACGAAAACGGATTTCAGATAAAACGGGTTTTGTCAAAAACTAACTGATTTTTTTTGATTATTTATTTTTTTTTTTTTTGTTGCCACAAATTATTGATAATCGTAATAACTAATGCAGAAACGCTCTATATTCTATATCATACTTACATGCATACAACTGACTAGCCTTGGTAATTCCTATATCTGATTTGAATGAATCAGCAGTCTTCCATGGACTCATCCATTCTTTTATGTCAAATTGTTCCTTATCGCTTAAACAAATTACAAGCCTATTCACCTGGTAATGAAAGGAGAACAAAGGCCAACCTTTTTTTCATATTGTTTCTTTTCTTTTCTCGTTTCTCTCAACAAGGCAAAACTGACTTTTGTTGCTTGTATTTGTATATCTAGTCGTATTATGGCATGGCATGGGAGATGATTGTTGCAATCCCGAATCCATGGGTCGAATTACTGAATTGCTTAAAGAACATATATCAAACGACGTTTTTGTGCATAGTGTAAAAGTGGGTAACACAATCAACGATGATCACAAAGCAGGCTTTTTCGGCAAGATAGCTGAACAAGTTGACAAAGCTTGTGAACAATTATCAAATATACCGGAATTGAGCGGTGGCTTCAATGCAATTGGGTTTTCACAAGTAAAGACGAAAACGAAAATAAGACTAGAATGGAAAGTCAAAGTCAGCTATAGCTCATCCACATTATGTTTCTCCTAGGGTGGTTTGTTTTTAAGGTACTGTTAATTTTGCTGTTACTGCGTGCATTTCCCTTTCCGTGAAAAGAGAGCAGCCAATGACACAATTCCCGCCTATACTTGCCGCTTGTTGAAAATGGACTTTTTTTTTGATCTACGCAATGTTTATTTTTTAATTAATCCTTACTTTTAAACTTTATGATGACTATGGTATTCGTTCGGTTTCTCGTTCTAGAGCCTACGTCGAAAGATGCAACAAACCTCCAGTTCACCGCTTGATTACCTTTGGATCTCCTCATGCGGGTAAATGTACAGATCAGCGACGCACTGCCTCTGCTTTGCCATTTTAACACTTCTTCCTCAAATTACTGCTGAATGTAGGTGTATCAGATATACCAAATTGTATGAATCCTAAAGATTTTACATGCAGAATAATGAGGTCCATGGTTCGTGGAAGTGTTTACTCAGATTATATTCAGAACCGGGTAATTCAAGCACAATACTATCGAGATCCTAACAATGAACAAGGTTTGTGCATAATTTACAAAATAACAAGCTGCTACTTTTATAAACAATTTGTGAATAATGCTAGCCTATCTGAATCGAAATATCTTTTTGCCTGACATAAATAACGAAAACGACCGAAATGAAACGTATAAAGAGAACTTGTCTGCATTAGACAAGTTCGTTATGATCCGTTTTGATCAAGACGTCATGATAAAGCCGAGTTTTACAGCAGTAAGTTCTGTAAAACATACTTATAGCAACGAATTGGAGAAAAAAAAAACTTATTATAACCTCCCGTTTTATAGTGGTTCTGGAGAGAGCAAGAGAACCACGATTTATTACCTCTAAAGAATCAGAAGCAATACACAGAAGACTGGCTAGGGTTGAAATCTTTAAATGATCGAGGACGCCTAGAATTTTTAGTGTGTCCAGGGCAGCATGTAAGGGACTTTAGATACCAAAGAGTAGAGTAGGAGAAATTGGTGGTGGGGGGGAAATCGATGTGGAGGACGATTTGCGATTGTAGAAAAAAGTTTGTTCTCAAGGACTGTATTTACAGAAACAGCAATCTTTCGGATTTTGTGCTTGACACTCACCCCTATTTTTTCCCGACCAACAGATGCAGATTCGCGATGAATATTTGGTCAAACAAGTTATTGAGCCGTACTTAAAAGATAATGACGGCATAAATAGACTGCACTTACTTCATCAAAAGCCTTTTGAGTTACGCAAAGCCTAGTTATAGTAGAGTTGCAGAAGCACAAGCATATCGAACGGCTATATCTCGATAATAACTACTATATACTATCTTGGTTGGAAAAAAAAAGCTTATTCTCCCTTTCATAATTTCTTCTTCTTTCATCAATTGTAGTCGACTATACACCAACCCCTTATTTCTGGATATGTTTTATATATACATATAATTGTCACCCTTCAATTTTTATTTTTTTATTTTTTTATTTTTTTTTTATTTTTTATTTTTTCACGTTCATTTCAATATATAAAATTCATTAAACCTCTCCAAGATACAATTTTCTTTTTCGTATCAAAATAACGAAAATGAAAGTAAATTCTAATAATTATTATTTATTGCTGTTGTTTTTCTATTTGAGCACCATTTTTTTTACTGTTCAGACATTGCCTATCTTCTCTTCACCAACAGCATTCATATCATCATTAGCGGTTAAGAAAAACGTCAACGGCAAAAAATTGCCTGCCCTCCAGCAAAGCTATACCGTAGAGAGCGATGACGCAGACAATGAAGCAATCATAGTACCCCATATAGTAGTAGAGACAGTAGCAGCAATCACACTTTCGGCTACTACTGCCCCGCGTAGTCATACCGTATCATCTAGTAGAAGTGATCCTACTGGAATAAGCGACACTCATTATTGCTTAGAAAAAGAAGGAGTAGACCATAATGTACCCTTAGAAAGACTTGCTCAACTCATAGCAACACATTGGCAGTTTGATCATTTAGACTCTATCAAATCTGCTACTTACAAACTCATCTCTGAACAATTTCAAAAGCATATATCCGTGTCTCTAATGAAGCCTCAACAGCATGACTATCATTCTCCATTGCTTCAACATCATTTCCAAAAGCTTAGTAGCAATAACAAAAAAGAGCCCTTTGCAAACTCTTCTCCACCCACCACCATCACTACCAGCGCTACTACTACTACTACTACTTCTTCTACTACTTTATCTTGGGATACAATGGATTTGGAAATTTTACATGCTCAAATTTTTGGTGCTGTTCAGGCACATACGGAAGGTAGTTTACACCTCGCCTGGGATAGATTAGCAGACACCCTAGGACAACCTGCATTAGAATCTTACATTCGTGGAATAATATCAAGACACTGTTTGAACAGCACCATTACATCTCCTGCGTTAGCAAAAAGCATCAATACAAATGCGAACCGTGGTAACGGCAGCGTGAATGAAAATATGGTTCTGTCCAGCTGTTTGAAATCTAAAGCTGCTCAGATTTCAGCCGAATTGGATGGCTATGTTCGAGATAATTTGATCCAGATATTTACAATCTTAGATGAGGATATCCTACCACAGCTACTAGCAAACACATCTAAAGATCTTACTGATGTACTGGACTACTTTAATCGACTTTTTTTCAATAACAATGAACATCAATACACTCTTCGCTTAGAGGTGACTCCATGGACTCATCATTCACAAACTAAAGAAGAGGAGAACCATATATTAAAATTGAAACTGATCCCATTATTTGACCATTCACTTTCGAATGATGACCATTTGTCGGAATTCTTTTCTAACTATGCTTGTCTATCAAGTGCTTAACAAGCTAAAAGGCTCGTATTCAGGAGCAAAGAAAAGCAAAAGAAGGGCTGAATCGACAATAACAATAACAATAACAACAGCAGCAGCAGCAGCAACAACAACAACAACAACAACAAGGTTATTCAAAACGACTTTTTTGTTCTCCTTATTCAGGTCGTTCTTTCTATATGAAAGCATACACCGTCCAACAACTTTTTGCAGGCGTAACAATAAGTAAGCAGTAATACCAGATCGAATTATTCACCTTGCTGATCAATTCTGTAAAACTTGTCCATTTCGTTTGTCAAGAAACAAAAAGAGATAGCTATTTATCAAAAGATTTAAAAATTTAAATCTACATATTATCATATACATATATAGATCCGTTCCCAGCGCTTACTCCAATCTTCTACGCCCCTCTCCCCCATAGAATTCCCTTTATTGCTCTCTTTTCCTCTAAATGTAACTTTATTATAAAAAGTAGTATAAATAAACGTACAACGGAAGCATCCTATGATATAATTTTTATTGAAAACTAAAACATTCTGTATAATTATCATCCATACAAATAAAAAAGTTGCGTTCAACTCACTCCTATGAACAGAAGGTATTTGTATAGGGAGAAGCAAGAATGGGTAGCCCTCCTACTCGGAATAATGACATTGCGTGCATATTCAGATATACAAACATAGTTAGAGGCTTTTCTTTCATTTTGAAGATAATGGGTTAGGAGAAATCGTCTTTTTTTTTCATTTTTCTTCAAAGCTGAAATCAATCAAGAATAATCCGTATAAAATTAAGATGCAATTTATGCAGGAGAAGGGATTTTATAAATAAGAAATGTTAGGCGTAGCAGAATAAGTTATGTAATAGGATCAAGAGGAGGCTACAAATAAAGATGTGTGCAAGGGTTTTCTTTGCTGTGTCCTATTGGCGTCATATAACGACTGTGCTTTTTTTTGCTGACTCGTCATCTTTTCGGAATGGTCAAACTTTTTATGGCGAAATAGAAAACTGGGTATCGTTGCATTTTTATTTGATCTCTTCTTTGGTTGTGTATCTACCGGCAATGGTGCACGACGTAGCTGCTGTGGTTGTAATGGTTTTTGCTGTGTTTCAAATGTCAAAGCGTCTTCTTCTTCCTCTTCCCCTTCTGATGAAGAAGATGATGATGAGTCACTGTCAGTTACAAGTGCGGGTATATTAGCGGTAGTCGTTGTTGCCTCATCCTGATATTCGTCCGAGTGCTGTAGGTCTTGCAGAGTATCTTCCATTTCACTCACCATATCCTATTCGTGTAAGCAAGAGAAAAAAATGGTGAGACGAGCAGTCATATTAAAGTAGGACAAAATTCCTAAGTCTTTTTTGTGTATTACATTGATTCGTTTCAAAAGGTCATCACTATCTTGATGGCTGTGGATCAAAGATTCTTTCGCGATTCTGTTGGCAATCTAAAATTCAAAGTCAGTCTCAACGTTCCTTCCTACATGCACAAAAAAAAAACCTACTTCTGCTTCGTTGCACAGCTGGCTTGTATTACTTATTTTACTCTCTATTGTTGGTAATTGTTGTTGTTGTTGTTGTTGTTGCTGTAATTCTGATGTTTTTTCAGGAGAATCGCTCTGATATGGAAGTAGTGTGGGTTCATTGTTACGGTTACAATGGGACCTCAACTCTTCGTTCTCTCGTTCCAACTGTAGTATAACCTCCAGATTGCTGTTGATTTGGTCAATTTGGGCTTTTGATAATGCTTCCATCTCTGCTGTATGCTGTTTTATCAGAAAACGTTCGCGTTCTGTACAAGTAGCAAATACTCAGTTATATGTACAGTATTCATTCCAACCTAGTTGAACAGACATATACCTTCAGATAAACGCTTCAATTCCTTATATGCATTATCGTATTCAACAGCCTTTTTCTTCCATTCCATAACAATCGTCTTTAAATTATTGATGGTTGACTATATATATTTTAATAATCAACGCGCTTGAGTTTGGCTGCTTAGATCATTGTATAGCAGTGTTGTTGAGCTACTTACATCCTTTTGCTCTAACGATTTATGGCAGTTGGAGAGCTCGTTATACCATCTCCTTTCTCGTTCTGATAAGGTATCGTAAGCAGTCTCGGAAAGTAATGAATGGATGGCGTCATTGACGTTGGTATATTTTGTACTTGTGGCAGGTGTAGGTGGCAAAGGTCTCTTCTGTTGTTGCTGCATAATAGATAAGCGGTCACTGTAAGATTATAGTAAAGGGACAAGAATAAGTTAGAAAAGCCGAAGGGCAGGTAAAAAAGGCATTGCGTATTTATATAACTCTCGTCCTACCGTATTTCCCCAGCATCTCTGAAAGCATTTAGAATAAGTAATGATCTGTGCTAAATCACACTATGCCTACAGGAAATTTTCGCATTGTTTTCGGTCATTTGTTTTTTCATTCTCCAGATATTCCTTTTTCGGACCTGACCTGAAAACTTTTTTCTTTTAGGAAGTCAGCATTTCCATAAGACACAGGCTTTTCAAGCGAATAATGACTCTTATTCAAGTGAGAGCGGCGACTTACATACGAATTGTACCCTGGAGCAACCCATTTTCATAAGGACAATACCTGGTAAAATCAATAGAACGCGCATACAAGGAAAAAATAGGTATTTTCTGAGATTTCGATATTCATGTGGATTGCCATCATCATTTCAATTTGTTTTACTCCGCAGTCAATGGATGATTCTACCAAAAAGTTGGGTAAAATTAAAAGCGGGCATGATTAAAAACTGACAAGTTGAAAGAAAAAATTTTTTTCTGAGCAAATCTCTCCATAGCCGTACAAAAACAAAGCGATGAGAGTAAGCGGATCCATCCTCTTCTAAGCGATTCAGCAAGGGCGAATATAGTGGAAATATAATACGTTGTGCCCATTTTAGCCAATCACTTCAGTACTTAGAAACGTTTTGCGATTTGTGGTATTAATACATTACGATAATCAGCTAAATGCGATCGTAGTCTATCTAAGGCTGCTGTCATTTCTTCTAAGCAGCAAAAAATGATTTCATAGTTACTTTTTCCTCTTTTTTGAATTCCAAATACTATTATTTACACTCTGTGATACTGTTCCTCTGCTGGCTTTTCATTGTTTCTTGAATTTGCAAGCCATGTCATTCAATACTAGACTTTTAGCATCTTTAGTAAGCTTCATGATTATCACTTTTGATGGGTTGTATTCGATCGATATTTGAACCATATTTGGAAAATAATCAAATTCTTATTCTTTTTCCCCGAAGGGCGTCTGAACATTACAAAGGCTCCGTTAATAAGAAATCTTCTCCAATAGATGCATTCCGTGCAGTATATTTCGGTTCATATCCAGCATCTTTATCGTGAATCTAGTCACGAACAAATTCATCGAAGGTAGGTAGCGGGAGAAAGCAAGTGTATTTGTCATGATTGACCTTGTCTATTCAATTCTGACATGCTCGCCTCAATAAGCCATTGAACTAGTTACTATTTTGAAATGTTGTGTTTGTGTCTGTGATCCAACATGCATTCGTGTGTTTGTACTACAATTTGACGTAGTGCTTCAGTAGTGTCTTCCCCCCATCTCTTCCATTCATATCACTTTAATTTGTTTGCTCATTGAGTTACTCCAATGTTAGAACATTCACTATAGAAACTGCCCCTAAAACAGTAAGCAATTGAGCCCTAGTATTCAGAATCGTCCACATTCTAAGATCCACTCGTTGACTAAACCACAATTCATTTTCTTTTTTTTTTCTGAAATGGAATGAAAATTATTAAAAAATCGACAACAGGGGCTGGAAGGAAAGGAAAAAAACTAAAAAAAAAAGCCATGTATGATATTACAGAATAGGGACATAATTAGCAAAATTGGGTCTCATCCGTCACAATAAAGTCTATAAGCATATATAAAATGAAACAACTATTGGCCATACTAGGTCTTCAACTTATTCTCGTGAAATGTCACGACCCCAGAATGCCTTCTTGGTCCAATCAGTAATGACCAGCCACTTGTTTCGTGCAGAGAATAAATTCGATATATAAGCGGAGCGCCAGAAGGCGAATGTGGCGACGCCACCTGAAGCTAAATTACCGGGGCCGAACGGTAAATCAGCAATTGCCTTATCTGATCCGATATAACAGAGTGAACCTTGATGAGAGTAATGGAAAGGCTTGATATTCTGTGCTTTCTGCAATCGACGCATTTTCTTTGCCTTTTCTTCCTCTGTCTTTGCTTTTTCCACTTCCGCTTCATATTGCTCTACATCGTGCAATTGAGCAAATACGCGAGCCAAATATTTGCCTTGCTGAGCCGCTACTTGAGCTGTCGGTGCATATTTCGTAGCTGAGGCATCGCCCATGACATAAATATCTTGTGAACCTTCCATTCGTAACCAATCGTCGACTGCCAAACCACGGCGAATCGTTTGTTTGTCAGGATAACGCGCCATGAGCTTCTTTATCAAAGGACGGGTTGTGTTACCAGTGGCCCACACTAAAAGACCGTAAGGAATAGCTTCCTTTTCACCATCTTGGCCCTTTTGCACAATGATTTCCTTTGCTCTCACTTCCTTTACCGCTGTCTTTGTCAAAATAGAAATGTGTTGCTCTTTAAAGGTGGATTCAGTGTAATCGATCAGCTGCTTCGAGAAAGCTGGCAACACATTCGGCATGGCTTCAACAAGTGTGATCTTGACTTTTCCGGCGAGTTCTATTATTAATGATCAATCCAAATTTGGTAGTTTTCAGTACGGGTATTCCCTTTTAGCCCATACGCTCATCTTTTGCCCCCTTTTCGCTGGGTTTTACCTGGATACCAATGTGTCAGATCTTCTACCAAGAAATCGTGGAGTTCAGCTGCATACTCAATGCCGGTAGGGCCGCCACCGACGACGACCATATGTAATAAACGTTCAATTTCCTCAGGCGTCTGACCTGGGAAAGCGGCTGTTTCAATACAATCCATCAATTTGGTACGAATCTTTTGTGCATCCCAAACTTCTTTCAAGAAACATCCATACTCTTCTACACCCTTAATACCAAATGTCTGACTTTGAGCGCCAATACCTATGACCAAATAATCATAGGGAATGGTGCTCGTAGCGCTTTCACCTTTAATTTCGGAGTTATCTTATTGTTCCAATACCGGATGTGGGCACAAAAGCAGAAGAGGAGGTGGGGGGGTACAATGGAACATAAAAAATTGATAGTTAGATAAGCGCTTTATCATGATGACATAATCTTTTCCCTTTGAAGAATGACAAATGCCAGAGAGTTCACCTACCAACAATTGTAATGACCTTCTTTTCAGGATCGACATCAGTACATTCAGCTTCATAGACTTTCACCTCGTTCGGCTTGTGTCGAGTGATGAAACGAATGGGCTCGACCAAAGAACGAATATCAATCGTACCCACCGTACATGAGGGCAAAAGAGGCGTGAATAAGAAATAATTACGAGGAGATACGATCACAACGTTATAAAGGTTGGTGTCAATAGACTTTAACAAAGAAGTACTTGCCCAACCACTGCCGAGGATAACCACCGTTTTTTTGTTTGGGTCAGCAGGGATGGGATTCTCTGTGGGATGGCGATGATAATACATGCCTAATGCATTGATTCAACCAAAAAAAAAAACGTTTATTTGTGTTAGTACAGCCCGTCTCTTTTCTACCGACAATATCAAACTCTCTCTCTTATACCATAAAAGGTGAGACCAACAAAGCCTGTAGCGCCAACAGCAGCTACTGTCTTGACCGTCTTCCACCGAGAACGCTTTGGTTTGACTACTGTAGAAGCAACGGTTGTATTGAATCTTTGTTGAACTGTACGTTGCACAATAGGAGCCTGCCGAGAAGCAACTTTGATTCACCCCCCAAAAAAGAAAAAGAATAAGATTGCATATACATTAAATATATCGACAGTGAGCTGATGATATAGATTACCTTTAAAGACCCTCTGCACGGACTGCATGTTGTGTGTTTAGGTTGTTTATAAAAGTGGGGTAAGAAACAAAAAAGTGAATCGAGGAAATGGAAACCCAAAAAAAATTAAATATTGTAAAAAAAAAAATAAAAAAAAATAAAATGGAGATATAATTTTGGGATTGCCTGTGTTCAGAGAGATAAGGGAAAAAATTAAACACTGACTAAAACAATGGGCAGTTGTGGAAAACACAGGGGGATACAATCAAAAAAAGAAAAGGGCTTTGGCTCCGAAACAAATGAAAAATAATTTTCAGACAATGAGAAACATGTATAGCTATTTGGAACGTCTTTTTTATTATGTAATGAACATTTACATTAGTAATGGGTTGATATTTTGGCTATATTCATGTACAAGTTTTAAGAATGTTGTGAACAATAAATAGAGAGGGGAATGAGGATGATGCGCTTACGTTGTTTTTTAATAGTGTGTGTGTGTGTGTGTGTGTGTATATATATAAAGAAAATGCTATGTCAAAATTGTGGAAAAATAGTAAATGAGAGTGTTGTAACAAACTACTTCTTCTTGTTGAATTCTGCAGCTTTCGCATCAAATTCGAGAGAACCATCGTATGTGGAAGCAAGAGCATCTGCTTCTGACATAACCTGCATGCCGTTACGAAGCACACCCACACGTAATGATGTCAAAAGGTTACGAGCACCATTCGAATGATTGTAAATACCACCGTTGAATGCAGTTGTCATATCCTTGCCGACAGCGGTAGAGATGTACTTCATACCGCCGGGATGCTCTTTCATAAATTCCGACACGTCGTAGAGCACGCCTTCAATCAAGATCCACTTTTTGTTCTCATTCACGACGAGGTTTTGAAATTCTTCCCAAGTATAAATAGGCAAGTCCTTAAGAGGTGTACCATAGCTGAGCTTTGCCTTTTGAGCAGCAATACGCTTTTCTTCCATGAAAAGACGGCCCTTCGTTACTTCGTTGGTAGGGAATTGCTTTAAATCGTAGGCAAGACCGAACCAAGAGAGGACAATAATAAGCCATTTGGTCGGATCATATTGACCAAGCTTGATAGCATTGCGATAATCTTGAGGAAATTGATGATGGAAGTTGTGATAGCCTTCACCCAACGTACAGAGAGCAGTGATCCAATGGTCACGAGGAGTGTTATGGTCATCGAACGTTGTCTCACCCAAGTAGTGTGCCAAGCTGTTCACGCAGAAGGTGGCATGATGAACAAACACAAGACGGAGGACACCGGCGTAAAAGTAACCACCTTTGAAATCACCCCAACCAAAACCTGCGACAAGAGTAGGGAAAATGAAGCCCATGAAGAGAGCAAAATAAGGATAGTACTTGTGTTGGAAAGCAACAACATGATCCGCCTTCAAGTCAGCCACATCAGCATAGCCAATGCGGTTCTTAGGTCGTTGAACAAGCATCCAGCCAAAATGGGAAAAGAAGAAGCCGCGATGAGCACTATAGGGGTCTTTGTCAGTATCGGTCCAACGGTGATGAGCACGATGGCCTCTTGACCACCAGTAAACAGAACCTTCCACAGCACCCGCACCAGCAAAGCATAAAAGCCAACGCAATAAATTAGTGCCTCGATAAGCGCGATGCGCCCACATACGATGATAGCCGGCGGTAATGCCAAGGCCTGTGATGAAGTAGTAGGTGATTGCCCAAATGAGTGTCTTTCGACTGAGTTCGACTGTGAAGAGACCATAGAGGGCAATAAGTGGGGTAGCAAGCAGTAAAATAGATTGCGGCCAATTAACAAATTTGGTCCAATTCTTTGAAGTGACTGGCTCGTCGAAAAGAGGAGGCATCTTCGTTTTAGGAAGAGGAGGCTTCATTGACTCTGTTTTTGTGCGTTCCATGGTTGCTGTGATCGTAGCTACGTTTGACATGATGCTATGGTATATTTATATATCAATTCAGCGACTTTTTGCTGTTTGTTTTGATAAAAGTTGATTTAACAGAGAAAAATGGAAGCAGGTATTCTAATCCTAATGAAGAGCGATACTGATTAATATACGTAGAAAAGAAGAGAGATAGAAAGCAGATGAATGAGGATATATCTATACAAGAGAGTCTTGGAAAAAACTTTGAATGCGTTCCTTTTATAATAAGGAAACGTTGGCCATAAATTGTTGATTCTGGGGTCAACTTTGGGGTGCTACTATCCAATAGAAATCTTGTGCACGACCAAATTTTCTGGAGTTTACCCTTAAACTTTATAAAAGACAGTGGGTTAATGCTGCTCTATGATTCGCTCAATTCCCAATCAAACAGAAGAATCAACAAATAGGCGCAAAGGCAGGCTTTCTATAAGTAAACAAGTGTCTAACAACGAATAATAAGTTCAGCTTTTGCGTAAATCTGAGTATAACTCTCCTCTGCATTAAACAAAACAAGTGATATTTTACAAAGCGCGCTAACAAATGAGAACCTCTCTATCCCCGTAGCCTTTGATTTGTGCTATATACATAGTAGCTTTGGCTCGAACCGTACATTGAGATATGGAAATTAGGTCCGAGTGTTACAGCATGCGGCGTGTTTATCTTGATTGTGATCGACTCAAAATATGCATAATTAGGTTTTTTCCCTTTTGCTCCAAGCTATTACATAACTCTACACTGCAGAAATAGAGAATTTCATTTCCCCGCTTTCGTCACCCCCGCACTATTTGTCAATTATGAATCGAGGAACCAGCTTAACAATTGTATGATCTGAAACCATTGAAAAGCAATAAAAAAAATTTCTGCTCAAAAATGGAAACAGCAAGGTAAAAAAATTGAATCAGGATGATATAATACAGTTTTTGATTGACCGCGCCATCATTTCGCATAAATACCCGCTTAATTCATGCCTTAAAAAACTATTTTTTTTAAATATTTCTTTTAAAACAAATATTTAGCTCTTGTTCATCTGAACAATCACAATTTAACAATAATGAAGAAGCTACTTCTATTATACGGGTTTTTAACTGTTCTGTTTATAACGCAGACCCTGGCTATAGGTATGGTTTGAATTGTGCTAATGCACCGCCTCTATTTTGAAGAAAGATATATATAGACAGTTACTTATCACACTGTAAAATTTTATATAGTTCGAACAGAAGAAGTTGAAGAATGGACTCGAGATGATGTGGGAACCTACTTTAATAGATATAAGGATGTCTATGAAAGAAAGAAAGATTATCAAACATTTGGTGAATTGGCAGAATCATACAAAAATGCTGCTGCTGATAATGTAAAGTATTTTTTTGGAACCACTGTCGATCAAATCGTTTCTGGATTCTCGGCTACATTGCATAAAAACACCAAGCTCGCACAAAATGACATTGATGAGTATATCTCAAACCTAAAACACGACCTTCGTCGATTGGAAATCAAGGGCCAATTGACAAAGGAACACATTGGAGCCGTTTTGGATAAGGCTCACCATGAAGCCATTCGCAAGAAAATCATGACGGAAGCAGAGTGGAAGGAAGCTTATGCCCGCTTCGAATCCTACTTTACACAACCTACTTGGTACCAGCGCGTTCTAGGTCGCAAATCCTTTCTAGAACAAAGTGCATCCGGATTTAACAATTGGGTGCAATCTGTAACAGATCGTGTAGCTCATGTAGGTGGTTTAACCAAGGAGCAAGCAAAAGAAATCGGTGAACATGTACGCTCTAGTGTGACAAATACTGATCTCCAGAAGTTGGGTGACAAATCTTGGTTGGACAATATGACACGTACTCTTTCTCGACATTCACAAATCAAAAAAGACCAACTTGATAAAATTGTTGAATCTCTCAATGAAGATATTCAAAGCTACAGATCCTATGGACTTGAATACACTGGGCAAGCCACGCAAGAAGTCAAGCATTGGTATTATCGTATTAAAGTCTTTTGGATAAATGTGCGCTCTCGAGTTGGTTCTTTTGTTCATCATTGCAAGCACAACTTCTACCGTACCTTTAACGAAAAGAATATCAAGAAGCATAAAAGTCATCTCTACAACACTGCGTCGTCCGTCAGCTCTAAAATGAGCTCTGCCAGCTCAAAGGCCAGCCGATCAGCCACTTCTCTCGGTCATAAGGCAAGCAAATCAGTTACTTCAATTCGATACGAGGCTGGTAAAAGTGCTTCCTCTGTCTATTCCAACGCTGACAGGGCTACCTCTACATTGAAGTCAAATGCTCATATGGCTACTAATTCTATCCACTCTGCTGCCAGTTCCATCTCAAGTGAATACGATTCTTACACAAACTCTGTAGCCCGTTCACGTACCATGCATTCGCTCTATGCAAGAGCCACCAATGCCCCAGCAAATGCCTATAACAGAGCTTATCACAAACTTCACGACGGCAAAACAGATTTGAAAGGCTCCTTTGCTTACTTTTGGCGCCAGAAGGAACAGGACTACTACCGCCGCTTGGGTTATACCGAAGCCCATATTGATTGGATTCAAAATTACCTTTACAAGACCTTTAAGAAAGAGAAATCATCCGTTCATAGTAAGGCTGACGCAGCATCTATTGCTATTAAACGTTATCTGCATGGATTGGGAATTCAAACACCTGCACAAATCGATCAAAACGTTCACAAATTAATACGTCATTTAGAATCTTGGAGGACACTTGTCGTTTAAGAAACATGCCGACAGTTTGGAAAAAAGAGAAGACGAATTTTCTCTTTTTCTTTTAGGCATCCGTTGTTTACGTAATATACTTTGAAGCTGTTTTGCCAGCTTCTCTTCTATTTTGTATATAATTATTTACTTTAGCTAATGATTCTGCTTTTTGTAATATATTTCTCAATAACTTTATAATTCTTTTTAAATAAACAAAATGTTTATTTGTAATAAAGTATTTTCATCAATTTATCAAAGGTAACTAACTGTTCAGTTGTCAGTTTGTGAATATTTCAACAAACCCTACACGGGCATAGTTCAACTTGGGTTATTTATACGCCCGTAATTGAATTCAATTTTGCAGACTACTACTTGACCTTTCAATTTTACTGCTTAGACTGTTAAAATATGCCGTTACTAATTCAAAATGAAATATGGCTTACTGTGGGCTATTCGAAAAATGTACAACAGCCTAATAGTTTTGAGTTGTGGTGAACTGGCTGATAAGAAGACAGAAAGCACACGAAAAAGGAAATTGACAAAATATAAAACTTAAGGCGCATCCTCCATTAATAAACGAATGACAGTAAGAGTAGTATTTGTTCAAATTGAGTTGATGAACCAAAACATATCTCTTACTTTGGTCATACACAATTTAAAATATTGGGATCAATTCCCTTAATAATGGCTACAGCTCAGCAAATGTTCTATTACATTGATTGAAAACTTAAATGGAAAAGGATCAATAAAGTCGACAAGTCTGATGTTTGCACTGAAAGTAATAGTCGTCCAGGGTAGCAATACTTTGTCATTAAATAGGGTGCTCACTTTCAAGTGGGTATAATCTAAACCCTAGTTGTGCATTGAGTAGCTGTCGGAACCCTTGATATACAAGGTACTTCGACAAATGTTCCGATGCTTAATTATGCTAAAGTGTGAAACTATTGATAGGGTTATCTTCTATTGAACTCATGCTTCAGCTTCAAAGCTTCTTAATCATGCTCATTGATTAATAATATACCCTTGGCTGTCCTCTTATATTCGTTATGACTCTGATTAAAGAGTTATGAAATTAAAAAGGCATATGCTGCATAATTCGCTTGCAGTTGTGGTACCTTTATAATTAATTCTTAAAGTTTATTACTGAAGAAGGAGTCCAGAGCAGCAAACACGTTCAAACTTACTGAGGTTGAGCAGAGGAGTGAAAGCTTTAATATTGTGGCCAAAAAATAGATAAAAATATATTGAACGCTTCAGTTTTATCGTTGTCGTAAGACTTTATGTAAACGTCATCAACTTTTAGATTCTTTTCGTAAGCTTACGAATTTATCATTTTTTTTAATCGACTTTATAGAATGACTGTCAGAAGAAGGCTACATTGACCAGCGAGGTTGATTCTCATGAACAGTAGATTCATTTGAACCAGGATATTTTTCTTCTACGTTATATAAATATGAATGAATCCTAAATTGAAATCAATTTAAGAAAATAAGGGAAAACTGCAGATAAAACGTTGTACTTTTCAATAACGTCAACTGACACAGTGAGAATGAAATGCTTTTGCTTGACATAAAGGAACAGGTTGGGCTTTTGGAAATTTGTGTTGAGCATTTTCTATACATTGTAGCTGCTCCACAATGGTACAAACACTTGACAGAACTATCAACCTGTATTCATGTTAACAATTGTATATGTTTGAGAAAGCGATACATATATATTTCAGATGAATAGAAAGAATTTCATGGCTTGCAATTGAACCATACAGCAGACCTTCGTATGCCGAAATTTTAATAGAGTTGAATTTCATTGTGAGGTAGAACAAAGAAAATACAGTACCAAACTCCTGAACATCCTTACGAAATGAATACCACCAAATTAAGCGAACAAAAGGTAATATCTGGATATATATGCCCCGCTATAAAGAGCGCATGATGTAAAATAAACATAGCAACATAAAAAAGTTACTCAACCTTTTATAACAAATGCTCTTAAAACTGCTTTATATAATCTTCACTCTACAGTATTTGTTCCACTCGGGACAAACTTATTGCGTCTATAACGATATGACGGATGGAACAAAGATTCACGTTGTACAAATCAATGCTGATCGTTTGTAGGTAGCCCTATGATAGCATTTTGGTGGAGGTGAATGAGAACCATCTCACCGTTTTTAAAATTAGTTCTGCTTTCAAAAAATGGATATCACCTGGAAATAGAGAATGTTGTCCCTTTACAAACCATGATTGTTGTTTCTCTCAGGTCAAATGGGAACTCACCAATTTCAGGGTAAGAATAAAAACGTGGTAGGGTACTATATTACTGTAACTTAAAAGGATGATTGCTTATCTTCATAGGTTAAGTTTGAGTTTCCGTTATATACGAGTGAATACAAACTAATCAACTGTAGGGGCGGTGGTGCCCTTGTTTTGAAAGGATCACTTGCAGGAGGTTATTGGGGAGAATGTACTGATGATGAAGGAGTAACTCGACAACTGGCATTTGGTGAGGATCGTGTATACTAAGATACGCTTTGGTTTACAACGCTGATCTAAGTGCGTTGAGCATAATATTATTCGGGCATCTATCAAGGAATTGCAAAGGTTATGGCTTATCTACATGTACTTTATCTGAATGTTCATTCTTTTTTTGGTACCTAATAAATAATAATAATAAGAACACCTACTGATTCATCTATTTACAATCATGAAAGATACATTACCGATGATTACAAATTGTTCACGTTCATTTCAGGCACAGTTCCTCTCACTGGTATACTATTGGAACAATAATACTCTCTTACACTGTAATTTAGGAAACTTCATAGGCCTGAGGAATTCAAAGTGAACTGAGGCGAAGGGAGCAGTTTTACCGCGTTTGTCATACATTACAGCATTCACAAAAAGATGCATTATACACAGAATAGGATGGTTCTAACCGTGAAAAAAAATAAAGTAGACTCGCAGGCTCGCACGAAATTTCTGCAGACGAGGCGATGTTTCACTCGACTTGCAATGCGGAATCTAAACTCTGAAAGATGATGGATTAAAGGCCAGTGAAAAGAAAAAAGTAATCAGTGGCAATTCATCTTTCTTTTTCACTTTAAATTGATTATCTCTTGAAATGCCTCGCCTTCAACCAGCAGATATCAATAACAATACATTTGACTTTATCATTGTGGGTGGTAAGCGTACATAATTTTGCTAACTATGTAGAATATCAAGACTAAACACTTGCTGTCTTCAAAGGTGGTACCGCAGGATGTGTACTTGCAAATCGATTGACAGCCAATAACAAATACAAAGTATTAGTGCTTGAAGCAGGCATAACCACACAGGAGGAGCTTTTGGAGGCTCAAGTTCCTTTACTGAACAGCAAAATGAAAAACACCCATGTTGACTGGAAACTTCAATCAGTTCCCCAGACTAACGCTTCGAACAGAAGCATAGGCGTTCCCTTAGGGAAGCTATTAGGAGGATCAAGTGCTTTTAATGCTTGCTTATACCACAGATGCTCACCGTCTGACTATGATGCGTGGAATGAGAAAGAGTGGACATATAAAATTTTGCAGCCTTATTTTCGTAAAGCAGAGACTTTTCATGACGATAAACACCCTGTCCCAGAAGAAATCTATGGTACGTCAGGACCTTTCCATGTTATGCAAGCAAATTACGACACAGAACTCGGAAACAGCTTCAGAAAAGCTTGTCAAAAAAATGGAATACCCGAGTATTATGATATGACAGATATGCCTTGTCAAATTGGTGTAACAGGGTTGCAGGCAGCTATTTACGATGGACGACGTATTTCAGCTGGCTCAAGCTATCTACCTCCTGAACTTCAACAGGAACGTGCCAACCTGTTCATCGGTTTGGGATGTAAAGTCCATCGTATTATTCTAAATGAAGCCAAAGTAGTTACGCATGTGGAATACAGTGCAGTTGATGGTGAGGGAAGGGACTCGCTTTATCGTGCTGCTGTGTCTCGCGAAGTTATTCTCACTGCTGGGGCTATTCTTTCTCCTTATCTTTTGTTATCCAGCGGAATTGGTCCAAAGTCGGAGTTGACAAAGGCTAACGTAGAAACAATAGTCGATCTACCTGGCGTGGGCAAGAATCTACAAAATCATTGGCGTGTGCCTCTTGTTCATGAAACCACCAAACCCGAAATGTCCCTTCATCGTGATCTGTTTCAAAGGGAAAAGGAGACTCTTGCTCAAGCTCTTAATGAAAAGACTGGAACATACACGCGATTATGGCCTGATGCTGTAGCGTATATGAAAATACCTGTAAGTGAAACTGGAGGAATAACGACGTCGAGGTACAAATGTGTAACCGAAGTTGCTATTTGCATCGATATAGGACACGCCCGATAATAGTAGTAGTGCTGACAATACGCCTCAAATAGAATTGTTTGCGGGCGGCTTGGCTTTATGTCGCGACTTACCTCGATTAAAGGGAAGTGATTGTGCCACTCTGTTGATGGTTTACGTCGCTCCATTTTCCACTGGCTCTATCACACTAAGCAAGGAGAAGGAGTTACAGATTGATTTAGGTTTATTGAAGGATGATAGAGATCTTGAATGTCTGGAAAAGGGACTATCTCTCTCCCTGAAAATCGCAAACGAAAGCGAATATAAGGATAGTTGTGTAAAGCGTTGGTTGATTTACCCTCAAAATGAAAGAGATATCCGTCAATTCATTTTAGATAATGTTGAGACGCTTCATCATTATGCTGGCACTTGCAAAGTAAGTTAGAAAATCTATGTGATGTCTGGACTGTTTAGATAACTTAAAACAAAATGGGTCTATAGATGGGTCCTGAGAAAGATAAATCTACAGTGGTAGATAATCATTTAAGGGTTCACGGCACTCGTGGTCTCCGCGTAGCTGATGCATCATTTTTCCCAATTGTTCCCGCTGGCCAAATTTGCTTCCCCATTATAGCATGTGCTGAAAGAGCAGCTGACTTGATATTGAACGATAACAAAAATTGCTGAGCGCTTTGATTCTGCAAAAATGTCTAGACTACAGTTAGTATCTTTTGTATTTATTTCTACTCTTAAATTCCAAACTCAAAAAAATTGAATTCAGAAGAATGATTGTAATATCTATTTTATTATGGTATTTGACAGATTACTGTTTGAAAGGCTGCTCATAAAAGCTGTAGTTATCAGTGATGTTCCAAAAGTTACTGCTTTTCGTTGGACAATAGACTTAGCGCCTTGCAGAAATATAGATAGTGCCTTTGGCTTTTTCGATGTAAATAATTCTCCGTATGAGGTGCCAACACTAAAGTCAATTGATGATGCTATAAAATGGGATAGTGTATTACCCATTTCTAAACAGTTTTGGGACACATAGGGTGGGTGCAATAGGAGGAAAGTAGAATACTTTATAATGGACTTTCTGAGGTTTCATTGTTTTAAGGCAGGCAAAGGTACACAAATTTTAGTAGAATTGCATGACAATTTTATTGAACAAGGACCTATAGAAGTAATACTAGCATTCTGCAACGAACGATGTCACATGCTTATAAAACGTTGAATTTCCTGAAGTAGCTTTCCGATATGAATTACAGTAAGAGAACACTTGTATGTAATGTTAAGCTTTTAAGATAATGAAGGGACAATCAGGAGTATACGTTATATACCAGATTCTTGCTATATTTTATTTCAATAGACCAAACTACATCTAAGAAATATAGTTGAATACCTTCAATACAACCAGTTAAGGTGCTTGAAACTATCAGTATCCATATGTACTACAGATTCATTAACAAAAATGAGTATGAGCAATGTCAGTTCCATAATTTCATTGTTGTATAACTTTCTTCTGATTTGCCGAACTTTGCTTTGTTTACGAAGATACTCAATTTTTCTTTCCCCAGTAAAATAGAAGACGAGGCTCCTTAAAATTAGAATACATTAGTCGTTGTTCTGGATTAACCTTATGCCTGTTTATTGCCATTTCAAGAAAAGCATGAATGTGCGTAGGATTATGCCCAAACCTTACTAATGATAGAACTTAATAGTAGCGAATTGTGCAAGAAAGGTTGAAAACAAAAAAAAAAAAAAGAATCTTTTTCTTTTTTTGACATTGAGCAATAATCTGTATTAAAAAAGTGCTGCATTCCTCTAAACTAATAAATAGATATATACTATAAAACGGCCAACTTTTGTTCGCCTTGGAAAAGAGATAATTTTTTCTTTAAAAAAGGAGATGATTTCATTTTAGCCAGTAAAAACTCATCAGTATTTAGCATCAGTTACTCAATTCAGAGCATAAGAGCAAGGATACCAGCAACACCAGCAACACCAGCAATTGTAACTTGGGCAGTCTTGGAGCCAGCACTTTCATTTGATGGAGAAGGGGCAGCGGAGGCAGAAGCAGAAGCATTAGTAGAATCATTAGCCTTGGAACCAGCATTGGTAGCTGTAGTGGTAGTTCCGGTAGGCGAAGTAGCCGCAGCGCTAACAGATGATGAAGTAGTAGCATTAGCATTGGTAGTACCTGCGGCCGCACCCATGATTGTAAAGTAAGTAGAGTAAGTAGTGGCACCATTGTTACCCCTCAAAGCAAGTACATCTAAAAATGTCAAATATTCTTTGTTATGCGACTTGACGTAGAATTTAGAGAACAATCGAAATGTTTGAGCTTACATGAAGGGTTAGTTTCGATATTAGTAGGAATGTTCCAATCATAAGAGGGAGGATTGATGGGAATAGGTGCAGAAAGGATGTTAACAATAGCTGTTTCCAAGTTAGCAGAACCGCCCTTCATCAAGGCAATTGAATCGATTGTATTAGAAGGGTTAGCGGTGGTAGAGTCAACAGTCCTAGTGAAATCAACGACAAACAAGCCAACGTCAGAATTCTCCTCTTATTATTTCAGTAACTCTCACTAGTGTTGAAGTTATACTTACCAAGTGATTTTGAAGGTTGTACCAGCATTGAGTACTTGCTTTTATTTCAAAGCAGACAGAAAGATAGGGTTAGACACAGCTATTTAACCTTCGACAAGTGACGTCCTGTAACAGACTTCTATACTTACTCCAAGTGAGGGCAAATTAACAGCAACACCAGCATTAGCGGCGGCTGTGGGAGTCGTAGAGGTACCTTGAGCAAGAACTGTAGAGGCAAGAGCAGCAAGAACAGTAACCAGAGTGAACTTCATAATTGTTATGTATTAGAAGAGGGGGGTTTTTTTGGGCAAAGGGAAGAAAAGGAAGAGAACAATCCTATATGTCTTATTTTTTAAAGAGGATCTTTGTAAATGAAAAAATTCAAAATTTTAATTCTTTGTGCAACAGAAAGACCCCCGTGCACAGAGGTTTATGTATGTGTAGTATGGGTTATTTATAGAAGCAGGTATACCTACAATTTAAGTTGCATTTCGACTCGATTCCGGTTTTCAGGTAGTTAGAGTATCGTCTGTTGTGAGCAAACAGAAAAGGGTCAGTTACGCAGCCTTTTTTCCTATCGTACAAAGTAACATGTGCTGAACAGCAACTGTGCTTTTTGGTACGAATATATTAAATTGCTGCTCGTACAGTAGTTCCAAAGCAATATTCCCAACCATTTAAAATTGATATTCCTGTTTAATTGGAATTTGACTTTCGTTAGCCAACAACAATAACAATTTTCACTTTTCTAAAAACTGTAAATCGTTGAATTATATTTCCAACTTTTCGAGTTATTGTCGTGTCACAATTGCGATTTCGCTTTCAACAGCTTAAATACAATAGTTTCATTCGACTGATTAAGTCTGGAAATGTCGTTGATGAGAACGATAGCCATGACGTTCCTATGGATATGTTTTATTAGATCAAGTGTATTGCGAAAACAATTGTCACTCTCAACTGAATAATTTGAACGTGCGGCCTCCAGTGAGTTTTCTCGTAATTGATTGAAGCTACTTGGAACGCTAACAAACAGAAACATACGTGAAAAGATAAACAGAAAACAAATTATGTATGTACGCTTTACAGTTCGAGAGATAAGATCAGGCAAGTCGGCTTGAAGTTGGAGAGTTCAACAACAGCAGCAAAACAGTCGTACACATAGAGGATGGCTGAACAGTATACCACGTGCCATGATAACATATTTGACAGTTTTTTATCACACACTATAGGAAACTTATTGACAATTTTACTCATGCCTAATTCTCTGGCATTGCCTTGAAAGTGACTGGGCATAAAATAAAACGATAAACTGATCTCAGAGGTCTGCAAAACATTCGTTAATATTCTATTAGAAAGGAATGCAACCTTCCGTTACAAACACTGATCATTCAATCGATAATACTATCGGTTTTTTTTTGGATGGGAAAATGCAGTTACAATTTTGTAATGAATTGCACATTGTTTTAATGTTTTGATAAAAGGCACACGGACCTGGGTTTAGTGGAATTACTCTAGCTACTGTTATCAACCTACTGTTTGAGTATACACAAGAGCCTTAGAAAGGTATATTAAATACAGTGATTATAGATGTATGATCAACTGATTAACATTCTTGTGCTTGATCCAATAAAACAATTATGGGGGGGAGTAAAGCAAAATATCATCGGTTTTTGCCAGAAGATATTTCGTCAAAAGGATAACAGAAGCCAGGAAAAATGTGGTGCAAAATCAGTTTAAAAATTTTGTTTCGCAGTCTTACTGTACAAGTCTTTAAATGACAAAAGTCAAAACAGGTAATTATAGGATTTTATACGAAAAGGGCCCTACTAATGTTATGCATGGCAACTGATATAATGATAGAGAAAGAATACATTAGTCAGCCTTCAAGGTCTCAAAATAATCAAGGCTCAAAAGATGATTTACACTCAGTTTAATCGATTCGAACAATTTTTCATACCTAGTGCCATGAAAAGAAATTGATATATTTTCGATAGTCTTATCAAAGCATCATCAAGGAAATGTTCGTATCACTCAGAAAAATAGGACGATAAGTTTATCCAATTGTCAAATTTACTCTAGAAACACATATGCATCTTCGACGCGATGAGATGAGCCGGTATAATCAACAATGATAGGCTGAATTCCCTTTTGTGTGTAGGTTTGCAAATTTCTGTCAGTAAATTATAGCACTAAAAGCCAATGTAATCTTTTAGATGCTCACCTGTATTATCACCTTAGCATCTCTTTATTCATATTTCGGGCTTTGATCGAATTTTAGATGAATTTGTTCAATTATAGAATGGTTTACTAAACAGCAGGAAGCAACAAAAACCACCTCACAACTGCCATAAAAGTACAGTTTAGAAAATTTCAAGTTACAGGAAGCAGACCCCCAAGGTCTCCGTCTCAGCATGTTGAACGTGAACCCCAGTTAGTTGTCCGCCTGTTGTATAACAGTAATACACATGAGTTCAATTTAAAATAAATGATGAATGTTGCGCTATTGTGATTCTTCTTTTACAATCTGTAATCGCGTCATTCGTTTTATGCTCGCTTTCAGCACTCCATATACCAGCTTTGTCTTTTTCAATAGTGTCGAGTGATAGACTCGAAGCAGCCTGAAAGAGCATTCAAGAAACACAAGTCGCTATTTTTCCTGCTACATGCGATTGACTGACTATATCATTCTTCCAGTATATATTTCGAATGGAACAATACTGAATTAATTTGGTTTGTTTTGCTTGCAGTGCACTGACTCTTTTATCTCGCATGCGATCCAATTCTGAAGTACATGTATCTGCATCAAATATCTACAACTTTTAAGTGACATTAATTTTTGAAGCAAACGACACGGTATTCGTGAGTACTACTTCCATTCTTCGATGCGAGACAATTGTAATTGGCCCGCGACAACGATTTTGTATGAGCAGTGTTATCAATTATAATTGCTGCTTCGGAAGCACTGAGTCCATGAGTATAATAACGGTTGGACTGTGCGACAACTATAGCAAGATCTACAACGGCTGCCAAGTTTAGCTGTCTTCATCAACCCTACCACGTGCTAGAGCTTTGTGTACCGTATAATAATTCTGAGCAGATGACTAAGGTAACACTAAATAGAAAAAATTCATTTTATTTTACACCAAAGTTCTATATTGACTGAATAGCAGTCTATAGTTGAATTATTCGCCAGTGTCATTCTTTTCAGACAAGAGCAAAAAGACGTTCAAGTTCGTTTGACCTACTGACAATGAACTATCTGCAGAAGCATTTTCCATAACTTTATCCATGTCATCGAAGCTGAGATGAGGACCAAATGTAGCCATGAGTAAGTAACGATGGCCTTCAACTTTAGGTAAAGGAACAAAGCCAGGAATCACCAGCAAAGTTCTTTCAAACTCGGTGTCTGAAGATTTAGCAAAATCAACTTCCATTGTTGTTTTAGTATGTCGAAGAGTTACTCCAGGTCTGTTTACCATTTCGGCTACTGCATCCTCTAAATTGCTTGAAAAATCCAAGACTCTGACATGATGAGACTTGCTTTCTATAGGTATAGGATTACTTTAATCAACACGATACAATTTTACGAATGATAATGCATGTACATAATACTTTTTTGGCTGATTTACCTTTTGGAGTCGTCAATAAATGCTGTGGGGGCATATACGTTTTGTAAAAAATCATATTTGTAGTAGTGCTGAATTCTGAGTATTCTACCGTCTCAATATTGGTTTCACCAACTGTGCATGCTAAATCGCCTGTACTAACTAAATGACAATCGTGAAGACCCGTCGTTTGACGCTGAAGAAAACCCACAGCAGGAATAACACCGCCTTGATGAACGACACCGAATATATAAGTAGTGACGATATTAAAGACGATCCAAAGAAGCCAGAAATAAACAGAGATACTATACTGATTTTCTCTCCAAGTGTAAATTAGAATTAAAGGGACGAGCAGAGGGCATAAAAAGCGGGCCTCTTGATGTGGAATGATAGAAAGCCCTACCAGTCCAGACAGCAAGACACCTAAAAGAACATAAAACACGTGAGCATTTGGAGATTTGGCAATCTTTGATAATGCATTGGGAATATAGAGCAATCCAAAAATAGCCAAAGGACCGAACAAAAGTGGAAAGTTGACAGCGAAATGTGTAAACCTTGGATGGAGACCATGTTGAGCCAAGTTCTCCACTTTGGAGTTATACAGGAAATTGTTGATTGGTGTTATTACAATATCACCGTACGAACGAACTGAGGCCAAAGAAGTTGGGTTAAACAAGGTAGTAAAGACGTGGCTGACATTCTTGAAAGATTGACCGTTGACAGTGAATGATAAGGTTCCATAGAATACTGAGTCAACGATAATATTCAACGCTGAGAAAGAGACAAAGCCGAATGTCAATGAGAAAATAAATGCTGTAAATTGATTGATATTATCGCTTCTAAATTCGCGGAAAATATTATGAAGCATTAAAATGCATTTAGAAATGATCGCAAAAGAATCGTTGTGATTAACAAGTAGCTTACTGTTTATAAGCCTGATAGATCAATGCAATACCGATAGGAAGAGCATACAATGGGAATGTAATTCTGGTGAAGATCCCCAAACTGAATACCATACCTAAGCGAAATGCGAGCTTATTGGTTGCCTGCATAGATCAGTAGTGATAAGAAGAATGTATTTCAATACCGGAAGAACAATGCTTCGAAGATAGTTTCTTTGAAAATTGAAATGATTGGCTTACCTTCTCAGAAAACTTAACATAAGTTAACAAAGAAACACAGAGTAATACGCTTTCAAATGAGTTAGAGAATGGTCGGGTATGATAAGCCAATGTAACCTGACTCGTGGCGAGTAAAATCATCGGTATGATTGGTTTAATCGATAAATGCTTACACATTCTGTAAGTGTAAAAGTCTGATATAAAATTAAAACGATTTGTTAAAGAGCATAATCAATTGACATATTTTGCGAATGATAAATGTAGGACTAACCTATGACAAGTGACCAAGCAAAAGCGCCTAGACGCTCAGCTGCAAACAAGGAAACGGTAGTAGGCACTATTGGACACAAAAATACCGCAATAAGCATCAGCAGAAGCATCAGCAAATAGAATAGTAAAGAGCTTTATCGACTCACGTTGATTTTCAGGCAGCCAATTTTTCAATATCCAAAAAGGAATACCAGTTGTTAAGAACCTATAGGTATATCATATCGGTGTAAAATTGAACAAACGATATAATATTAGGTACAAATAGTTGTTTTACTCTTATGGAGGTACAGTTTTTACGGTGGAATAACTGATCGTATAGCATGCTCCGCTTTATACTCCCAAGGGATGAAGGACTCGATGTCGAATATTCGTGAGCTGGTAATTTCAGCATTCTGAAAGAATTCATCAGGGTGTATATAACCTGGTAAGGTAGCAATTAACCACCGCAACCATAAAAATAGGAATATGGAAGCGATCGTTACTTTACTGAACATTTAGCTTTCTTAACAAAAAAACAAGTCAATAAAAAAGTAATAAAAGCTGATTTCAGAGCAGCATAAATTTATTTTGTATGTAGGACGTCAAAAAAAAAAAATTTCATGCTACCTCTTCTTTGAAATTTGCTGCTGCTTCAGACGGAAACTAAAACTTTTCTACTATTGAATTAGTCAGCTAATTGAAGGGAAGGAAGGGGTGATCTACGATAGGGAATAAATTAGCGTTGCTCGTGTCATTACCGACATATGGCATTTCATAGGGTATCATCCACAGGTTGCTACTATTCTGCTGATGAAGCATCATATTCAATGGCTGTAACATGTTTATGTTACCCTTTGGTAAGGGTCTTACATGTAACGGATCGTTATATGTAGCGGCATCATAACTGACGATTTGTTGTTGGGCAATATCGATACAGTCAAGATTATTTGAGAAGATTTCTTCTTCATAAAATAGGCATCTTATTTCCTTGTATAATGAGACGAGCTTTTGACCAATCGGTGTGAATACATAAGGTAATGGTGTAATATCTGGAGGAGTCAGATGTTGCAGTCTTGAAAGAATCTATGACAAAATTTGTTAGTGGGTTAATATTGATTCACTACAATAGTACAATATGAAAATACTACATCACTTCATGAGGTCTCGTCTGTGCTGAAAGGTCAGCTAGAGTTGCCAAATAAGTCAGATTCGATTGCAATCTTGATGCATAACTATATCAAACGCGAGCCATTTATTAGTTAGCTCAAGTCTTTTACATACCGCGTTTCTTTCCTCGACGTATTGAGTTTTACAGTGTATCACACTTTACATTGAGAAGTCTGGTTCGCTGATAGAGTTGTCCTTACAGTGATTTTGTTGTGCAAGGAATAAACGGATAATTTCTCGATTGATCGTTAACAACTATGATGTAATTCTTTTAAGCTTAGGATAAACTATGCGTGAAATTTATATTTTATACGATGGTGTCATACCAATTCTATCCTTTTCTTCAGCATGAATACAGAGTTTTCCTTTGGGTTATTCACAAACACTGAAGAGGACGTATTTGTCGGTGATGCTACCAAGGAAGGCAAGGATTGAGCATATACGGGTGAAAATTGTTTAACAGTAGTATGAGCAGAAATTTCCTCTGTTATCCTTGCCTGCTGCTCATATTCATTCAATTGTTGGAATGTCATCTGATGGAGAGATTCAGCAGCTGTTTGGTATAGCATTGAAGTAGAAAGGGCCGGATATGAATATTGCTGCACCTGCTGCTGTTGCTGCTGTAATAGCCGCATTTTTTGCATTTGTAGAGACTGGTGAATTTGTTGGTGATATTCAGACACCTGTCGCATAAGTGGATACTGCTCCCAAAGCTGCTCTTGATGTTGTTGCAGAGCCATCTGCATTTGTAATTGCTCATTTTGCTCGTAGTCAACATTAGGCGCAATAGGAGCAAAAGATGTAGTAGTCGAGGGGTGCTCTTGATTTGAGGACGTTATCAGTGAGTATTGTTGAGTTGCTGCATCTGGTCCAAAGGGTAACACGTTGTTGCTGCTGAATGAAGTATCAGGTACAACAACAGAAACATCATTTGTGTTCATTGTTGAAAACATATTTACTAAATGAGGTGGTATCGATGACAGAGATGCATCAGTTAGCATCGACTGATCTCTGAATTCAACCTGCTGCATAAAGCTCGAATCAGAGACGTCGGTGACAGTGGATTGTATAAATGAGCTCATTCAGATCAGAAACGCTGTGGGTATAAAATTTTGAGGTATAAGAAACTTATTGAAAGGAAATGAGGGTATTTTTTCTCGGTCGTAACGAGAGGCAACCTGTGCTCATTTTATAGGAAGATGTTTATTCAGTTACATCTCACTTCCGATCCGACTCGAAATTGATCCGCTTATTGGAGACTGTACTACCCCGCATTTTTTTGGTCGAGCATTCCCATTCGTTCGCATCTAACCCTTCCTTTCAAAAGCACCGACAGGCGACACTCATAATCAAATCGAGTGTACATGACTTAATTAACAAATACGACAATGAGTCGATATAACTTGATTGATAAATTGATAACCCATTCAAAGTTTTGCCTGGATTGGTTTTGGATATTGAGTCATTTTATATGTGAGCAATTAAAAGCAGATCTAACAAAGATAAGAACGTGTCAAGCTGAATATAGCTTTTTTCCACTAAAATAACAGCTATTGAATTGCTGCTTGCGTTTCTTAAAATTAAATTTGCAGTCTCTCGCAAAGTACTCTGCTAGTCCTATCTCTATTACCCACATTTTGTAAAATAAGAACAATGGTATTTTGATGCTCTCCTGAACTTGTCAGCTTATGGTGTCTCGATTTGTTGTCAAAATTTTTGTTGTCCGGATAATAGCTTCTTTCATCATTTTGGGCTTTGGAGCACTTTGTCATCCAGTCTAATGGCTGCAGCAAAAGGTTAGTAAGGCAAGCATATTGAACTATTTTCAGTGAAAGACCACTAACTTATTTTTAGTACATTGCAAACAGCGCAGTTTTTTAAGGAAATTTCAATAAGATACTCATACAAGTAACAATGTTGCGACAACAGCGAAGATACAGATCGAATACTATTGAAACATCGTTGAAAGAGTGAACAGCAGTCTTTATTACTCAGAAGATCAAATGGACAAAATTTGACTTTTTGAAATTCCAAGTTAAATAGTAATACAGTTAGTGATAGTCCCAAAATTATAGTCTAGTGGCAGATACCGAGTGTATACAACTTCAGGACCGTCAGGCTCTTCACCATCTATTAGCAGGCTTTTGACATTCCATTTAAAAAGTGAGCGACCTTCACTTCCAATTGAGCTTCTTTAGTTCATTTCTCATCATATACTGATCTTATTATTATTGCTCTTCCAAAAAGAGTTATTGCTGGCTTAATAGTTATTCTATCCTTTGAAAAAAGAATGTGTTTAGACATGGAGAATTATGCGATTTACATTGAATGGTATGATACTTGAAAAAGAGGAAAGGAACATATATAGAATTTCTTTTCTAAGAATAGAGGGTTGCCATAAAAATTTAAGAATAAATAAATAAAAAGGAATGCACTTACTAATTGTCTATAATCTGATATGAATGTGCTTGTTGAAAGCTTATTCATTGTGCAGCTGTGTTATTTATTCACGTTCTGGTTGAGGCATTTTTGTTTGCTGAGATTATTCTAAATCTCAATATTGAGTGTGTCTCAATTACATATTTCTACACCGTTATTATTTCCTTCCTCATTGGTCATATTCCAGATGGCCGAACTCTACTGCTTATTACAGTGGCAATCATTCACATCCATGCCTTCTTCTTCTTCATTAGAAAAATACAAACAAATAACTGTTAGAAAGTTTGAAACAAACATTCTTATTCTACCATAACAGCTACCATGAATGTATCTCTTGCTATTGCGACTATAGCTCTGGAGGGTGGGTCCATAGCATTAGGATTCGAAATGGCTGTTAGAAGTATATTCAATGAAAGGCGGGAAAAGACCACTTTAATCAATACTGGAAAATTTTTTCTTGGTTTATTCATGGCAATAAAAGCTTGCTTATTCCTGACGTTTCATATAAGGTAATTTCTCTGATGATAGAAGAGCAATAATACCGTACTGTGCTTTCCTGTTCTACTTGAACAATCGCGCTCTCAGTTTATTTGAATGAGAAGAATCACTTAATGTAAGACTCATATATAGTTTGTGGGACAAATGCGATGCCGTCGGCAGGGTTGGTGATCTGTTCTATCATTTAGCCACGACAGCAGGTAATATGGTGCTGCTTATGCGTGTGCAGTCAATCATGCCGATTGCATATAAGATGAAGACGCTTATTTTGCATTGCTCAGCACTGTTTATACGAATCATACTTGGTATTGTCGATGTTATTTTGATCCATATGGATAATTATGCTGACGGTACTTGTCATTACGTTGTCAAAGAATACGTAAGTACTAGTTTTCAAACCTTTGTTCTTCTTAAACAATATTCATGATAAGATGTTAATATGATTTGCGTATACTATACAGTGGGGTCCAGTTTATACGTTATATGATACCTTTATTGATCTATACGTTTCAATCATGATAATAATAATTATTATCAATCACATCCGGTCTCTCAAGTCTGACAGCTTGCGAGGGAATACGATTCTTTACACATCTGTCATCTATTATAATGCGATACGAACAGTGTGTTTAACTATTGCAAATTTTCTGTCCGCTTTTTTTGTCATAATGGTAAGCTTCTACTAGGGTATTCAAACAAACATGCCTGTAGCTTTTAACATATCAATAATTTTTTTCATAATGTCAGGATGCTAAATTAGTTATGTTATTGTGGCCTATCATCAATATTGTTTTTGTCGTACTAATAGGATACGATGCAGATGTTATGAAGACAATACAAAAATTACGACAGAAAGACTGGCAAATAACAGCAGCGGCAACAGCTCATAACGCATTCATCGTCGGCCAGTTGCCATCCGTATCACAACCAAATCAAGCAATGAATGGATCATTAAAGAAAGGTATTCAAGCGAAATTTTCCTAATATTGCCATGAATGATACCACTGTCTATTCAACAGAGGAGTGGAAGCCTATAACGGTTATTTCTATGGGACAGAACCAAATATCTACTGATTCATTGAAGCATACAGCATTTCGTGATGCAATTGATAGACAAGTTGATCACGTTCAGATTAATTGATGCTCTCCGTAATTGCATGCCAATTTGTACCCCAGCGATTATCTATTATACTCCTTCTCCATAAAAATACCATCAAGATTACCATAAAATCACTCTGCTCATGCGATTACACTGTTTTAATTGCATAATTATCAAAGTGGAACAGTTCGTAGTCTATAGTAGTCGTGATTAGCATATTGCTGTGACGAGACAAAGTAGCTTTTAAGACAGTATAATACTACTATTTACTCAAATTTGTTTATATTTGTGTATAAAGCTTAAAGTTAATTATTACTGTTCAAAAGTTTCAATATACTTCCCAAAGTCATATATCTGATTTAATGTTAGCCCTGTTGGCCCACGAAAATAGGAATAAAAAATCTTTGGTTTATAGAAGAGCCTCGATTTTTCTCAAATTGGTGAAAGAGACAGTAGCATCGTCAAACCCATGTTTCGTCTACAATTTCTAATGAGTGGCATTTTTTGTGCCGGCAAAAAGACGAGCCAGAGAAGTCGTGTTTGATGGGAATTAGAAGGTCCTTTGAGTTTATGGCAAACATTTTGCTAATTATAGTATGTTAACTTTTCGTATAGTTCGTTACGTTTGGCTTTGAAGAAATTTCTATAAAAACATTAACCTTATACATAGCAATATGTGCCTTTCGCTTTTCATTTCAGTTTGGCAATACATTTTCATAAGTAATCAACATTGTTACTTGTCGCCACGATGCAAATGATAGCTTACTACGATTTTTTTTTTGAACAACCTCGCTATACCTCCGTAAATAGTAGTCTAAAGATATTGAAAGTAATCTTACATACATATACAAGGCTACCTACAAAGAACTTGTATTATATACTCAAACGATTCATTTTTTAGCATCTTATCACACACTTTCAGGAAGAACTTATATTGCAGGTTTTTATTGTTAAGCATGTATTCTATACGCTTTACTGATTCAGAAAGCAGCCATAGGCTCAGACTCAGTTTGAAAACCATCAGGTACAGGGTATTCGTTATGCATTTGCTGATACAATGGTCCTTGTAGTTTCCGATCGCATGCAGTATTGCGGATGATTGAGGGCGCATTTGATTCACTTAACGATTTAATAAATAATTACAAGCTTTAAGTAATCAGCCGTTATAAACCGGATTATATTATGCCTATTTTTTATCAGTACTTATTGTAGTTTGGGCTCGAACGGCTGGTATTAAGGTTGCTTACAAGTTGTATAAATTGAATAAAAGTACAATTACACAAATAATTGCAAGATTGAATTTCAGATCATCGAACGTACGGGGTTCATATGTTTTAAATTCCTAATTTCTGTAGTTTTCAAACACAAACCACCTGTATTTCTGTTGTTAGGTCCATTCAATTGATAATTTATTTTCTATTATAAAAAGAAACACAGTATTTGGTCTATTACAGTACTGAAAGAGGATCATTAAGTGAACAAATTACTGTCCACCCTATTTCATTAATTGTTGCGCCGTTTGTTCACCATTTGGAAGCATCATCTTGAACGATCATCTTAGAGTCTCGATTGCACTTTGAAACAGTCTTCAGCAGTTAAGTCAAGGTAAAGGCTTGTTTTATTATATCCAATGCGTGTACTTGAGAGAAATTACAACTTCCGCTAATGTTTCAAATACTCTTATTTGCAACAGATCGAAATAGGTTTCAGCACATCTATTACATAATGAGTGGAGGAAACATCAAAGTTGTAGTACGGTGTCGTCCCTTAAACAGCAGAGGTACATGGTTATGAAGAAATAGAAACACATTCTGTGAATTGGATATCCTCATCTATATATTCATTTAGAAATTGCTCGTGGAGCGGTCGGCTTAATTCGTATGGAGGGTAACCAAACTATTATCAGTAGACCTTCTGACCAGAAAACAGGCAAAGAAAATGAGGATGTGAAAGCATTTACTTTCGATAAATCTTACTGGTCTGCAGATAAAAGCCATCCCAGCTACGCTGATCAGGAAACAATATACAATGATCTTGGTGTAGACTTGTTAAACCATGCTTTTGATGGTTATAATTGTTGTATCTTTGCATGTGAGTCTATACATAACTTTTTAGTATGTCCTTATATAGCATGAGCTGACGGTCACCAATTTCTCTTGTACTTTTTCCAGACGGTCAAACCGGTTCTGGTAAATCATACTCTATGGTAGGATAACGACAATTTTTTCATATCAATATACGCACTTGCATATCAACTAATTCAACAGTTGCATATAGATGGGTTATGGAGAAGATAAAGGCATTATACCTCGTACATGTTCTGAACTCTTCAATAGAATACAAGCAAATCAAAAAACTAACCTCAATTATCGTGTGGAAGTTTCCTACATTGAGATTTACAACGAGAAAGTACGAGACTTGTTAAATCCGAAAAATAAAGGCAACCTGAAAGTAAGAGAGCATCCTTCTTTAGGTCCTTACGTAGAAGATTTATCTCGATTGGTTGTGACATCTTTTGATGATATTGAACACCTTATGGACGAAGGAAATAAAGTAAATGAAACACACAAACGCATACACACACACAGAGACCCCACAAACTGCGTTATAATTAGCAAGAATAACCAGTCATCTCTCTCTAGGCAAGAACGGTTGCAGCAACAAATATGAATGAAACTTCATCCAGATCTCATGCAGTTTTCACAGTTTTTTTAACCCAGAAATGCTTAGACGATCTAACGAATCTTGAAACGGAGAAAGTAGCAAGAATAAGGTACCACAATGTGTTACATTCTTGTAAACAGAAAAATAATCGCTTTGCCCTAAGATTATTTTATTTCGCTTCATCTTAGTCTAGTCGATTTGGCAGGCAGTGAAAGAGCCAATAGTACAGGCGCTACTGGCGCGAGACTGAAAGAAGGAGCCAATATCAATCGGTCTTTAACTACTTTGGGTAAGGTTATAGCAGGTTTAGCCGAACAATCAAGTCAGGAAGGTAAAAGAGGGAGGAAAAAGGAAGTATTTATTCCTTATCGTGATTCGGTATGTTAGTGATATATTCATTATGAATAAGTAATATTCATTTTTGTACTAAAATAAGAGGATCGCTGTAGGTCTTGACGTGGCTTTTGAAGGACTCACTAGGTGGCAATTCCAAGACTGCAATGATAGCAGCGATTTCTCAAGCCGATTACGACGAAACGCTCAGTACATTGAGATATGCAGACCAAGCAAAACGAATTAAGAATAAACCAATTGTAAACGAAGATCCCAATGCTAAGCTGATAAGAGATTTGAAAGATGAGTTGGAATTGTTACGTGAGAAGTTACGAACATATGCTCCCGAGGAAGTGGAGCAATTAACTGCTGCCAGCGCGTATAAATCGGCAAATGGAAACTCAAACAGCGCCATTAATGCAATGCAAAAACAAACCACTTTAATAAACAAAAAAAAGCCATTAGCAGAGATTGAAATTGTAGATAGTACTGGCAAAACAAGGAAGATGACCAAAGATGAGATTATTGAACAGCTACAGACATCCGAAAAATTATTAGCTAATTTGAATGAGAGCTGGGAAGAGAAGCTGAAAAAAACCGAGGAAATTCATCTGGAGAGAGAGAAATCACTAAAAGAACTGGGCATCACAATAGAGAAGAACGAAATGGGTGTCTACACTCCAAAAACGATTCCATTTATAGTCAATCTTAATGAAGACCCACTCATGTCGGAATGCCTCATGTATCAAATCAAATCAGGAACAACTTGCTTGGGAAGGCAGGATAGTGATATACCCGCCGACATCCGGCTCAGTGGACCTAACATTCAAGATAACCATTGTATTTTTGAGAACAAAAATGGTTCTGTTACGTTAATTCCTGGCAAAGATTCACTTACAATGGTAAATGGCATGAGGATAACAAAACCCAGACAGCTTAAGAGTGGATATCGCATTATTTTAGGTTATTATCATATATTTCGTTTCAATAACCCTGAAGAAGTACGAAAGGAACGTGATTTACAGAAGCTTGCAATTGAGAATAACCTGAATGGTCAAAGTCTGCAATCAGAATCTTTGGATGATGCATCAAGACCGAATTCTCCTTCGGCTGACAGTATTAACGGAACGGAAGTTATTGATTGGAACTTTGCCCGAAGAGAAGCAGTTTTGAATTATTACGCTACGGAATCAAATTTTGGAGACTTGAAAGACGAGGAATTGGAAAAACTTTACGATGACATTACGAAAATTAGAAACTCTAGACGTACACGTTCGGAAAGCCGAACAGAAAATGATGATGACGATTCGTACACAACAAGGGATTCCTTTAGAAATTCATCCACAGCAATTATGTTGGAGGACGGTGTAGAAAGTATATGCACTGATTTATCAATTGCTCAATCAGATATACTGGAAGAGAGAATAAAGCAGGAAAAGGAACGCATGCGAAAAGAACTTGACAATCAGAAACGTATCTATGAAGCGAAAATGAATCGGATGTCTAGACAATTTTCTCAACAACAAATGCAAACAAATCAAAATTTATCTGTTTATACTAAGGAACAAATAGAACTTATCCAAAAAGTGATACAGCAATGGAGAAAGCAAAGAACAGTAGATATGGCTGAGATAATATTAACCAATGCCATCATGTTGAAAGAAGCTAACATTATTTCTCGAGAATTGAATAAGGAAGTACTTTATCAGTTCACTGTTATAGAAGATGAGCCTTTCTCCAACCCACGATCATTTTTGGAAACAACGTCTGCTTTGCATCAGTTTGAAACAGATGAGGATACTGCACTAATCTCTACACCGAAACCTTGTATCGGTGTGAGAGTGATTGACAGAAAAAATCAAGTAATCTATGTATGGTCATTAGAGAAACTGAAACAGCGACTCCATAAGATGCGAAATCTGTATAACGTTATGGATAAACCGTTGTATAGAGAGCATTTTAATTTGGAAGATCCATTTTTTGAAAATCCATGTCCGAAATACACCTTTGTGGGCGCAGCTACTGTACCTATGTATAATCTAACTAGACAACAGTCTTATGAAAGCTGTACTGAAATCATTTGTCGTAACACGGGCCAGATCAAGGGGAAGTTACGGGTACTCATTACAACTATTGCCGTTACCAATAATTCAAGCTATGGAATGAACAATCATACACAGACAACCTATTACGATAATGAATCTATCGATAGCATAGAGGATGATGAAGTTGAAAAAATTATCGATAACGATAATGATCAAACCATACTAAAAATTGGACAGAATCTCTTATTTGAGGTGAATGTAATTGAACTCAGTGGACTTAGCGAAGCAGAATATAATGATGTTCATGTTCAATACCGACTTTCCTCATTTGGAGGTATACCTCCATATTCTCCAGCAGAAAAATTTTTTGTCACTGAACCTATCAATTATTTTGAGCGTAACCCTGTTACTATCAACTTCAAGCAAGCTATATCGATTAATATTACTCCAAATGTACTGAATACTCTACAAAATGGAAGTCTTTCCTTGGAAGTTTTCGGTCTCGCACTACCAACTGTTTTAGCGCAACAGCAAAACTGGGATGATCACAGAGAAAGGTCTTATGTTGTAGATTATATGCATGAACAGCATTTGCAGCAGCACCAGCAGCAGCAGCAAACTCCGTCCATGAGTTCATTAGAGCATGCATCTAGTGATTCGACACACAGTAGTAGCGATGCAACCTTAGCTTCAATGGAACGTAGACCTGAGGAAGAACTCTTGGCAGCAGAACGACATGATGTGGTTGCTTGGATAGAGATCCTGGAGCTTTCTCCTTCTGGTGAATACACACCTGTGATATTGACAGCAAAAAACCCTATGGATAAAGGTTATTTTACGTTAAGGCAAGGTCTTCAGCGAAGAGTTCGTTTTACGATGTCACATACTTCAGGCCATCAGCTTGAATGGGTCCGTATTAAAAAAGCAACTGTAGGTCGTGTATGCTTATTAGATGGCAAAGGTCGAATTTTGCAGTCTCCCGCTCAAGAGAATATTCCAGTCAAATTATTGCACAAGCAGCATTTACATTATTACTCAGATGGCACAAGCCAGTTGATAGCAGAAGGGTCTTGGGATAGCTCACAACACGATTGCGTGTTTTTGAACAGAGTGACAGAATCAAATAGCCGCGTACTACTGAATTTACGTTGGGAAGTAGATGTTAAAAAATGCGAAAAACCTATCCTTTTCAATATGGATATCGCACTTCAAATACAAGGACGCGCTCGCTCTAATGGAAACGGTAGATTTAGTAACTTTAAAAAGTTGCTTTACTCTTCTGGAAAGCATTTAAGCAAATATAGCGCCGTTTTTCTTGTTCATCTAAAACCACCCATGACCAGACGACTAAGCCAACTGTGGCGATTAAATACAGCTTCAAAACACATTCATGGTGAGGAGTTGTTGGGTTCTTGGAAACCACGAGGTATTTCATTAGTGAATGATCATAGACGTATACAAGGCATGATCAAAAGGAAATATCAAGTTGCTTTCACGAAACAAATCTTAGAAATTAGAGGATTCAATAGTGATAGATCAACAACAGTTTCACGGACTATTGAGAGAAACGAAGCTCTATTAAAGCGTGTACTAGATTTATGGCAGCTGAAGATTGGAACTGAAAAGGAAATTGTCATCAGTCAAGAGCCACCGCTTACACCTGAAAGTCAAATACATCTAAACCGAGGGCCACAATTCTCGTCCAAACTGGTTGCTGAAGTAGAGAATGTTTCCCAACCGTAAGTATGGATATTGTGTTTATTAGCATTTAACAAGCACTAACAGCTGCTTTATTATGGATGCGAGTAGAGTGAGCATTTCAAAACGAGGTTATTTGCTCTATCAACAGGATGCAGCGAAAGACTTATGGGTAAAACGATGGTTCGTTATTCGTCGACCCTACATCTATACCTACATGGATGATTCTGAAACAGATGAACGGGGAATCATTAACATCACTTCCGTTCGCATTGACTATAACGAAGCACTTGAAGAGATGATCCAGGTAAAAATTGGCAAGCAAAAAGATATTTGAATGCCGAAAATTAGTACTAAGGATAGCTTTCTTACATAGCGTACCAATGTGTTTGCCCTTTATACCAATAATAACGCTTATACCTTTCAATCAAGTACCCGACAAGATATGATTAGTTGGATACAATTGATTGACCAGAAATTCCCTGTCGAAAGTCTGAAAATTCAAGACTAACGAGCCTATCCGATTTGAAATTCTTAATATATTTACTGCAATACATACAACTTTAAATTAATGTATTATATACCGTTATAATGACTGTAAAATTAAGTGATTGGATCGTTGAGTAATGAAAGAATCCACAATAGAGGTCACTATCTAAACAACCATATGTTTTTGATAGCATATTCAGTCATTAAAGACAACTGTGGCAGGTTGAAATTGGCTTTCAGCATGAAAGTGTAAAAGGTCACAAGTGGCTTGGATGCCCGCTGCTTTTTCGTAGCCTCTGGGTTTCAGGCAAAAGCGAGCATATATTCTTCCAGTTAATACATCCTATTCAACATGGCTAAGAAGAAGGGAGGAAAGAAAAGAAATGACGATTATTGGTATGACTAATTTTCTTTCAAGTCTTTGACTCCGGTATAACTTTTTTTTTAAATCGTGTTGTATTTTTGTTTACCCTTAATTTAGGGATGAAGCATTTGAAGAAGATGCTGTAGCTACTGGTGCTGCACCTCCTGAAGAAACTGAAGAAGAATTCGCTAAAAGAGCTTCGAATTTTAATGCACTTGCCGAAATAAACGACGGCGATGACGACGGGTAATATACTTACTTGACGCTACTCTCGTCGTTGGGAAATACACCGTTAATGTTATTCATCTTTTGAATGTCACCCCTAGTTTAATGGCTATGGTCAGTAAAGCTGCTAATAACAAAATGAAGAAAAATAAGAAAAAGAAGCAACAAGAAGAATTAGAGGAAAACGAGCCTGTTTCTGAAGAAGTGCCATCACCAAAAGTGGAGACGCCAGCAACTGCAACACCAGCAGACGAGATTGATGAGTTTGACTGGGTCAACGACAATAAAAAGAATAAGAAGGGCAAAAAGGCAGAATCGCCCGCTGAAACCGCTTCACCTGCTGGAGAGACAGAGGACGGCGGCGAGTTCCGTCTCTTAACCAAGAAGGAAAAAGAAAGATTGAAGAAGGAGAAACAGAAGGAAGCCAAACGGTTGGCTGCACTTGAACGAAAGAAACAACAAGAGGCCGAAGAAGCTGAATTGAATAAGATTCTTGGAGTGGAAGGTAAAAAGGAAGATGATAATGATGAATCTGCGGCAGCAAACGATAGTGCACAGCCTCAACAAAAATCGAAAAAACAACTGCTCAGAGAAAAGAAGGCTAAGAAACTTGCTGCTAAGGAAGCAGAAGAAGCGCCTGCAGTTGAAGAAACACCCGCTCCTACCCCAGCTACTCCATCACCGAAGGGTAAGAAGGGTAAGGGCGCTAATGTCGCTGCTTTAAGAGTAAGTTGAACTATTGTCATTATGCCCGTGTTGAACAATCTACTGATATTTTTTAATTTTTCAGAAAATGATTGAAGCTCAACGTGCTGCCGAGGAAGCAGAGCGTCAGCGTCTTGAAGAAGAGCGTAAAAAGGCAGAGGAAGAGGAGAGGAGACTCGCCGAAGAAGAAGCAGCTCGTGAAGCAGCTCGAGCTGCTAAAAGAGAACGTGAAAAGGTATAGGTGGATAACACATTTTTTAAATGGCTTTTAGAAGATATACTGAAGTTTCAATTTTGAACTGGTTAGGCCAAGAAAGAACAGCTTCGTAGAGAAGGTAAATTACTGACCAAAGCACAAAAAGAAGCCCAACGTAAAGCCAAATTACGTCATGAACAATTACTTGCTTCCGGTATGGTTCGTGTGGAGGCTTTGGAATCTGACGAGAATAAACCCAAGAAGATTGTTTACAACAACAGGAAGAAGAAGGGCCCTTCTAAGGAAGAACAGGAAAGAAAGAGGCTAGAAGCAGAGGAAAGAAAGCGTAAAGAAGAGGAGGAAAGAAAACGCAAAGAAGAAGAAGAGGCGAAGAAGGCTGCCGAAGCTGAAGAATGTAATGTATTCACTTTATTTCTGTAATGCTAGGCCAGCTTGCTAATTTGTTTCTCCAAACTTAATAGCCGAAGAAGATGATTGGGAAAAGGCACTTGAAAGCAGTGATGAGGAAAAGGAAGACAAGAAAGACGAAGAAGAGGAAGAAGATCTCAAGAGCGACTGGGACGCTTCTGATGACGAAGAAGAAACCAAGGAAAAGGCCGCTCCTGTCAAGACTCCTGCTGACACTAAGCCTGCTGCTGCCGTCAAATCTGCTACTGTCGAGAAAGCCAAACTTGAAAGCGAATCTGAAGAAAGTGAAGAAGATTCCGAAGAAGACTCTGACGAAGATTCCGACGAAGATTCTGACGAAGACTCTGATGAAGAGCTTACAAGCACTCAAAGACTGGCACTTCAAAAGAAGGAAGAGGCAGCTGCTCGACGTCTTCAACGACAAAAGGAAGCTATGGCGAACAGATCTGCCGAAGACCTGCGTTCACCAATTTGTTGTATTCTTGGTCACGTAGATACAGGTATGCAGTTTTGTCAGCGCAATATTGAAAGCCGCTTGGTTTAGTAATTAATTTACTCAATCAAATTCTTTTTTTAAGGTAAAACTAAATTGTTGGATAAGATTCGTCAAACCAATGTTCAAGAGGGAGAAGCTGGTGGTATTACTCAACAAATTGGTGCTACTTTCTTCCCTGCCGAAGCAATTGAAAAAAAAACTGCTGTTCTTGGCGATGCTCGTGTTGATAAACTTAAGGTGCCTGGTATCTTGGTCATTGATACGCCCGGTCACGAATCTTTCACCAACTTGAGAAGTAGAGGTAGTTCCCTTTGTAATATCGCTATCTTGGTTGTTGATATTATGCACGGTCTCGAACCCCAAACTCTTGAATCTATCCGTTTACTGCGTGATCGTAAGACACCTTTCATTGTTGCTTTGAACAAAATTGATCGTCTGTTTGAATGGAAGGCCATACCCAACAATTCTTTCCGCGACTCTCTTTCTAAACAAAAGCCTTCAGTCAAACAAGAATTTGAAAAGCGTGTTGCTGATACCATTTTGGCTTTCAATGAACAGGGTCTGAACGCTGAACTCTACTATAAGAACAAGAACCTTGGTAAATACGTCTCTTTAGTTCCTACATCTGCTCACACTGGTGAAGGTATCCCTGATATGCTTAACTTGCTCATCCACTTGACTCAAGCTCGTATGAGTGAAAAGCTTATGTACATCAGTGAGCTTGAATGTACTGTTCTGGAAGTCAAGGTTATTGAAGGTCTAGGTACTACCATTGACGTTGTTTTGGTCAACGGTTGGTTACATGAAGGTGATCGCATTGTTGTCTGTGGTCTAAATGGTCCTATTGTTACACAAGTCAGAGCATTATTGACACCCCAACCTATGCGTGAATTGCGTATCAAATCTCAGTATGTTCATCATAAATCTGTTAAGGCTGCTCTGGGTATTAAGATTGCTGCTCCTGAACTTGAAAAAGCTATTGCTGGTTCTAGACTTCTTGTTGCTGGACCAGATGATGACCTCGAAGATTTGAAGGAAGAAGTTATGTCTGACTTGACTAATCTGATGTCGTCTATTGATAAAACAGGCCATGGTGTATGGGTACAAGCATCCACTCTTGGTGCCTTGGAAGCTTTGTTAGAATTCTTGAGAACTTCTAAGATTCCAGTTTCAGGTATCAATATTGGTCCTGTGCATAAGAAAGATGTTGTAAAAGCAAGTGTAATGTTGGAAAAAGCACGAGAATTTGCTGTTATGCTCTGTTTCGATGTTAAGGTAGATAAGGAAGCCGAAGAACTCGCAGAAGACCTTGGCATCCGTATCTTCACAGCCGATATTATTTACCACTTGTTCGATAGATTCCAAGAATACCATGCTTCTATTTTAGAACAAAAACGTAAAGATCAAGCTGGTGAAGCGGTTTTCCCTTGTGTTTTGAAGATGATTCCTCGTGCTATTTTCAACAAAAAAGATCCTATTATTTTTGGTGCTGATGTCGTTGAAGGCGCGTTAAGACTTGGTACACCTATTTGTGTGGTGAAGACAGATCCTGAAACAAAAGCGCGTCAAATTATCACTCTGGGTAAGGTAACAGGTATCGAACAGAATCACAAGCCTTTAGAAATAGTGAAGAAGGGTCAAGCCGGCGCTGGTGTTGCCGTCAAGATTGAATGCGCACCTCACGAAACACCGAAGACATTTGGTCGTCACTTTGAAGAATCAGACGAGTTCTATTCGAGAATCACTCGACAATCCATTGATATCCTTAAAGAATCCTTCCGTGCAGATGTTTCGAAGGAGGAATGGGCTCTTATTGTCAAGCTTAAGAGAATCCTGGGTGTGGATTAACCTTAATATTTACATATTGAAATTTTTATATTGCTCAGTTGTATTTCAATTCAGATAAGGTTGGAAGTATTGCCAATAAATATTGACCGAAATCCCGTACACACTTGTCCCTCACAATTATAAAGGTTAACATCACTCGATCGCTTCTCCTTTTGTGCCAGTAATATAACAGTGCAATTCTTCGTATTAGCTGTAGTCGTTTTTCCTGAGTTTGTGCGTAACATTATTATTATTTCACTATAACGAATGGATAAGTATATGACATTGTTGCGTACCGTATCTTCTGATTGTTCTTTTCAGAGCAGAGCTTGCTTAACACCAGCAGCGCTTTAGCTTTCAAATAGCAAAATGAGAGATGCAGCCTATAATACATGATTTACGCCCTGTTGAGAAATTACTTAATGTATACAGCCTTTCCACCCTATAACCATGCGTAATCTCTAGTCCGCTACATATAGCTATCAGCCTCAACCGTAAATACATACATTTCATTGACAATCAATCCTTGCATAGAAGAGAAGATTGCAAGAAATAACTCCGCTCATTTTACTTATTCGGACGAAATCCCAAAAAGGCGTCGTTCCTTCCCCTTCGTATCTGATTTTGTTGAAAACCCATAACCATCGAATGGTACAGATGCTTAATAAACATCATCACAGTAAGGGAAAGCTTACAAATTCTATTTGAACATTGCACACTAGTCTCAGCAAAACGATCTGGGCTTCACACATTCCTCTGCCGATCGAGATGTAGAAGCAGGAGGAAACATAGCCACTCAAGTGAGCAATTCAGACAATTCAAATGCAGTTACTGGCTATTTCAAACAATCTAGGTACTGCAATATTCAGTTAATGAAAGCTGTCCATTTGATATGAAGCTTGACATTCACACAAAAACGCTAGTCACCCCATTGCTGCATTTTTCTTTTTGCTCTTCAGACTAGGTGCATTATTGTCATATTTATTAGGCTCGATTTTCACAGACAACTTCACACTGGTATTTGTGGTGACTATTTTACTTTTATCATTCGATTTCTGGACTGTAAAGAATATATCAGGAAGGCTGTTGGTAGGACTACGATGGTGGAATGAAATTCAACCAGATGGAACCAACAAGTGGGTATTCGAGAGCGCAAGTGTAAGTGTATGAGATTCTAACAATAACCGTTAAAAAAAGAGGAACCACGACTAAATGCTGTTGTATCAAAATAGCCCAGTAGAATCAACAATGCAGCAGATACACGATTGTTTTGGTGGACTTTATACGGAACACCTGTACTGTGGGCTTTGTTTGCATTCTCTTGTATTATGACGCTGAAGTTTTCTTGGCTAATTATTGTCGCCATTGCATTAGCATTGAATTTAGCCAACGTTTATGGTTACACACAATGCGATAAAGACGCTAAAAGCAAGTGGGCTCAGAATATGGCGACCAGGACAGCCCTTGGCTCATTGGGTAGTACTGCAACTGGAATGGTTGGAAAAGTATTTACAGGAGGAATTAATAGAATGTTCAGCTCGCGATAAACAGTAAACTATTTCAAATAAAAGTAACTCTTATACTCTTAATCAGCTATATTAATTTATACATTGAAAATGGTTGGTAGAACCCTATTTGACCTTATTCACTTGACCGTTTTGTTTCCTTCTATAATCACATGCTGCGTTCCAGGAAGCGCTTGGGCGAAAGTAACCGTACAAAGAAAAACAAAATACAATAAGAAAAAGAACCAACCTCTATAATAAAATGTATTGTGTAGTTCTAGTAATATAGATGAGGTATGAAAACAGTTAAGCTGATGATACTATTACATAAATAGAGAAATCAAAATGTCTGATCGTCACAATAAACTGTGAGTATTTGCTTTACTTGTGCATTTTACGAGGCGCCTCATTGAAACGACCAAGCAAATCTTTCCATAGTAGTGTATTGTCACAACTTCTCGATTATTCATTAAAATGTTGCAACATATTTTTCAAGAAGAGAATAACGGAATGAACTGGGTAAACTGCACTGGTTTATGAATTACTTAAATATGATTTAATATTGTCGCTACAGATATATATTAATATAACATGTCAATTACATCAATGCTATCCATATGGTAACAAACCCTTTCACTTCATTCGTGCTATCTGCCCAGTGCTCAACCATTCAATTTCTTCCATTGACTGTTCATAGCCATCAAAGAGGTAATAATACTAAGCATAATATAAATGGGTGAATTTATGATGCTTTCAGTTAAGTTTTTCAGTAAGTTAATGTTGCTTTACCCTGCTAAACCAACAATTCCATCATCGGCTTTCAAGTAGCCCAAGTTAGACGAAGGGATAATGATATCCACAGCATCTTGAACAAACGCGTATTTAGTATTGTACTTATCCCTAAATAGACATAAACAGATACTGATTAATCGAAAGGCTGTTTTTTTAACCATCCATGCAACTGTATCCAATTTACGTGGCTAATATCTTCTCCTGAGCTCTCAAATCAGCGATTTGTGCATCTGATTTCTCTTCAGTATTTAGCAGAGCTTTACGAGATTTGTCGAGTATGTGCTGACGAACGCTTAATTGCTTAAGCTTATACAATCCAGATATCAAAGAAGCAGCAATGGCAAACCACCAGCATCTTTGTCCGATTGTAGCAATTTTTTGGAGGTTTTTAGGCTTATAAAAGTTGATAGCAGATGTCTGCGAAATGGAAGGTAGAAAGTTCTTAATACCTCTTTTCTTCGTTTTCAATGAAGATTGCCATACCCCATTTCAGAGTTGAATACTTTACCAATACAAAGACTTCACTGAGATAATAGAAACACATACCGAATTGCTTTGCAAAAGCAGTAATACGTAAAACTTCATCCTGTAAAGCCAAGCTCTTGACACCTGCTTGGGCAAATTCGACGGGCTTTAATAAACGAAAGAATTTACGACCGTTTGCAATATGTGATTTGAGGTCACTCCAGCGTTGAATGGTTTCCTTTGGGGCACCATTACGGAGAAGGTAAAAAGCGTAAAAGCGAGCGAAATATTGAACAAGACGACAAAGCTTTTCTCGTCCTACTGTAGTGTTCAAGTAACGGTTAAATGCATCAACATGGGAATGAGTAAGCATCTTGGGTTAATTTTGCTGAACTGTGTTTCGATGGCAAAACAGAAGAACAGAAATAGAAGAAAAGAAAAAATAATGCAATAAGGAGGGAAGAAAATAGAAATAAAAAAGCAGAAGATAGTACCGTCTGCATGCAGTCTAAACATTTTGTCATTGTGTGAAGGCTATGATTCCATAAGCATCAATCGACCCCTCTCCGCCACATAAACCGTGAAACCTCACTTTTTCCTTTTCCAGATTCCTCTATGACTAAATCAAATGGATACAGCCTTGTGTGACATACTATACCGTCAGATTAAACTGGATTACGTTTTGCTCTAAAATTCCGTCTGTATCATCCCATATATTGCACTAATTTCTTTGCAATGTGCCCAAAGAGAGAACATTATCTCAATTACCTATACCAACAAACGCAGAAGTAGTAAATACCTTATTTACTAAGAAAAGGGTATCAATACCATTCAGAGGATTGAAGTTAATTAATCTCAGCTGAGCAGTCATTTGTATTTTAATGTTGAGAGTTAGAGCTTAGATATTTCATTGCCTTTAGCTAAACTATCATTTTGATCGTCAGTGGAAAGACAGGTTATTTTAGAATCTAATGCTTCTCAATGGATAAAGAAGGTGCAGTAAGTACATTATTCTTTATTTGATGTTCTTGACGAATAGTAAAACTGAAACACCTTCCCACCAGTTGAAAAGGAAGGTTGATAGCTATCACTACGCTTTACAACTTATCTAATTAGATGTACATCAGTCTGAAGAAGCCTGTTCCCACCTCTAATTATACTTCTTCTTCCTCTAGACCGGTCAGGCTGCATTATATAACGTACTCAAAGCCAGTACTTTTAAAATTTCAACAAATGTTGATACTTAAACATACATAATAAAGGTTCGCCTGAATCGAGATGCTATGTTAGTCGAAACAAGCACGCACGTTTCCACCAAAAGCAAAGCTGAAAGTAAAATTGAACTGTGTGATAGTTGGATGAGATGAATGGCGTTTGGTTGTTTATTAGAGATAATAAAAATAGGAAATTCATAAATTTTTGTCGAAATCGTAACTCTCAAGCTATATCAGTTTTGTGCGATACACTTGGGTATATGGAATTGTACTATTGTAGCTGTTCAACTGTGGGTTTTATGCAACTTTATAGTGAGGAACCAATAAATAAATTAATTGTGTTAAAGTGTACTTATGTCGAGTTGGCTCTTTTCCTTTTCAGTTCATTATTATCAATATCAAGCGTAAAAGAGGACTCTGCCATATGACTTGCTGATTCGGATATACTCGTGCTGGCGGTAATATCATTATCATTTTGCATTTTGCTTGAGCTTCCAAATTCATGCGGTGGGCCATATCTTTGTATATAATAATCACGTCGTGACATCCAATGATGTATTTCCTCTATATTTTGTAACGGACTTTCCTTTTTGTTGTAGATGAACTCTTTACTCTTATTATAATTGTCGAAAAATTCAAGATAGGATAAGGACGGTGAAGGTTGTTGACTGTAACTATACGCTTGAGAATGGTGAGTATCAGCTAGGTTCGTGGGAGCAAAAAGAGTATTAAGTAACCGTTAGTTATTATATTGGTAACTTTAATGATAGTTACATATTATCCGGCGACTGATGTCAGTGAGAGAAGCTTCATCATTATCACTAATCGTACCGACATCGACGTCGATTTTATTGCGTACAAAAACTGAACCTTTATCAGCAATAGGTGGTACCAGCAGTTTGTTTAGATAATGAGCTAACGGTGAGCCGAAATCTTCAGCTTCACTATCGCTTTCTATTAAATTAACATGTCGAAGCAAGCCCTCCTCTAGCTCTTGGCCAAATACTGTGTTTTGAAGGCTCAAAATTTAGTACCTTTACTACAACAATAAAGAGACTCTCTAATATATAAATGGGTTTACCTCGATTATTGTCTGGAAGATCATACATAAAAAGTTGCTGCTCCACAAGCGTCAAATTGAATCCATCTGGTTCGAAGACCTGAAAAAATTCTCTTGTACGTTCCATTTCGTCTTCATCTGATGTACTTAGCGATCTGGTTTTAGATTCAGAATGAAGATGACTGCTTGCTATTGACAAGGAGGTTGCAATTGATTTGGGAAGCTCTGTAGAGGAAGGCAAGGGTTGTAGTTGAAGGGGGATGGTCGCAAAATTTGATGCAGGTGTTATAGAAGGTCCTCCATTCATCACTTTTTGAGTTTGTTGGTTATAACTACGCTCCAAGTATTTATCTAGCTGCAATAGCGCTTGCTTATTGAACTTTCTTTGCATTTCGTACTGTTCACTGAGAGTATCGTCTGTTTCTTCATGCCATGAAGTGGGCCTAAATGCGTCAAGAGGAGTTTTTATGATTTGAACTGGGTATTCATGTCCTGCAAATGATTCATTGTTGATTTTGCGCAAACTGGATCTTATGTCTTCTTTATGGGTAGATTTACGCCACACAAGGAGACCAATAGTTATACCAGCCACGGCAAGAACGCCACAAACACTGATAGCAACCGTTTCGATTGTGTTAAGGCCACTGTGGGTGGGCGATCCTTCTTCATTAGGATGAGCTTGGTCGTTCACGTTGATGTCATTATTCTTATTTGTGCCGCTATTTGTTGTGTCATTGATGTCATTTGTTGCCATCATTGGTTGAGGGTTAATGGCTACTGAATGATTAGGCTTTTGCACTTTAGCTTGAAGAAAGCTTGCTCCTAATTCAGAAGCAGAAGCTGAGTTGGACCAACGATGTGTAGTGCTGGCAGTAGGTGAATTGAAGAGAACAGAGACCGTGGGTACCAAAATAGAGCTGACAGGAGAAAGTGCGTTAGTTGTTGCATTCGAACAATTTTCTTCTGATCCGCAAGAGACTATAAGGAATTCTGGTTAAACATTGAGGAGTTATCGTTGAATTTCTCTACTTTGCATACTTAAGTCTTGCTCACCAGTAGAGGAAGACAAAGGGTAACATTCAACGTAGAAAAGGAAAATCCAAATCCACAAAAGTATATTGTAAACCAATATCATAAAGTTGTACGTATGAGCGTAGAAAACTATGGAAAGATATCAGTTGTAAGAAGAAGGAAAGGAATGCAAGCATTTTGATAATTTTAATTCTGGCAGCTATTTTAAAGAATTTATCGGGAAAATATGCTTTGTATTTCCAAATGCTAATGTAAATAGTTAGGACATTTTGAAAAGAAATAACTGAGCAAAGAATAAGCTTGAACAAGAAAATGAACCATTTGATACCAATGACTCTCCATTGCACTGCTATAGTATACGCTCGTTGAGTCTGATCCGAGTTTTTTTTTTTTTTTTTTTTTTTTTTCTTTTGTTGAGTGATTCCCAGAATTATGGCTTTACCTTTGGCGTTAATATGAAATAGTAGACATATGATGATGATGATGATGATGATGATGATGATGATGTTCTGATACACTAGACAATCTTTTATTTTTCTATTCACACTTCTTTTACCCAGGATGACTTTGCTGTAGTTGCTGTTGTCAGCGGCAATTAAGCTTCTCCGCTTTTTTCGCCCCCTCCTCCATCAAAGGAAACGATCTAGAAGGTTTAAATTTTTAAGGTTACGAATCTATCGTTAACGCAGAACTAAGCATTGCAATGGAAAAGCTATGGTCCGTTTGTGGTAAAAATGAAGATTTAATGATATGTCATGGTTATATGGAATCATATCCCAGGCTCTGCAACGGCCTGTTCATTAAATTAATTATGTATATGTACAATTGTCTATTTACTTGAGGAGGAATAACTTATGGAATTTATAGGATTTTGAAAGACTTTTTTAAAAATTTGACGAAGCGAGTGTTTTCGACCACACAACGCTCCCATAGGATGGTTGCCAGCGAATTGCCAAGCACGAAGCCCCACAATGCCCAGCGAAACCGTTTGGGTAAAACATTATGACCCAAGGGAGAGTTATAAGGGTCAATATCCCAATGAGGATAAGGGTATCCAAGAGATTGTAGCACATCGGGCGAACCACAATTGATTCGGAACTAAAGGTAGGAGAAATGGGTCAGCAATGCCGTCTTTACATACACACACACATACAAAACAAAAAATCTTTTCCTGTCCTACTTACAATACAACTGTATGGGTTCGGGTCCGCTAATATTAAGAAACTGGTATGAATGAAAAAGCAACAGTAAAAGATTACAAGTACATAATTGCGCCACCAGGATTGACGGTAGGTGCCTCCAAAGTTGACGACGGCTGCATTATTGAAGAATTGGAACATGACTACTAACGAGATAATCTCAGACTCGTAGTTGTCACCCAGGAGCCACCATTTAGCAGCATCAATAGAAGAACTATCAAATTCATGGCAAATGAACCAATCTTGTTGGAAAAGCCAGATAACACTAAAAGTGAAAAACGATATTGCCAACAATTAATATTGCATATACAGAATAGTCTCTTATTCAGCAAACATACCTGCAAACAATAAACCAAAAGTTGATAAAAGTGACACCTAAACAAGACGCTATCGTCATGGGCCCCAAGGGTTTGGCTGTTGGTCGAGAAGGTTTTAAACGATCTGCAGGTTGTGCTTGCGTGATAGCAAATGTCATGGTGGTAGTGATAAAACCATCAATGGTGATCCAGATGGATTGAGGAGCAATCACTGTGAAATAGAACATGAGCAATTCCCAAAAGGCCATTGATTCACCGTAAAAGATAAGGAACTTGTAGTTTGAAAAACTGGTTGCAAGAGCAGCACGGCCCTGCTTCAGGAGTTCAACACATTGCATGATACTTCTATTGCTCGTACTGAAGGGCGATACCATCGATGCTTCAGCTTCTGATAAGGCAAGGCCAACATGTGCGGCACGGAGAGCACCACAATCATTACCACCATCACCACACATGGCTGTGACCCCTCTTTCCATATGAAGTTGCACGCATTGCACTTTATCATTCGGTGTCATACGCGCAAAAACGCGAGTGTAGAAAAGATAATTGCGCATTAAATTGTGAGCATTGAGAAATTCAAAAGCACGTCCTGTGAGAGCCAGCTCTATCAATTTATGCTCATTTTCTCGAGGATCACTTGCCAACACTGTCTCAACATCCTCATAACGATCACCTGTATCGACATTGTGCCAGACCATGCTTCCGTTGACCATATCACCAAGGTAAACATGACGGTCCGGCTCAATCATACCGCATTGACGAGCGATAAAAATACCCGTTAAAGCGGTATCACCAGTAATCATCACAGGACGGACATCACCTTCCTTCAACTGTTGAATGGCATCCGTCGTATCATCCTTCAACATATTTCTGAAAAGGACAAAGCCGATAAAGTGGCAGCCAACTTCCAAATCATCGCGACTCCTACTCTTGATATCTTCCATGAAAACATCTTTGCCGAGCACACCCATATCACGGTGAGCCAAAGCAAGAACATAGCAACCTTCTTGAGCAAACTTGGCAGAGACGGTGTCATAATTAGCAGGGATAGATTCTGGGGTGGAGTAATGTTTTACCCGTTCAAACGAGCCCTTTAAAAAGACATGGACATGGTTATCGTGTGGATCAAGAACAGCCACAGACTGGGAGGCACGAGCGTGAACAAATTCACTACGGCGAATGACGCTGATGGGAGAATCTCGACTGCTACTTCTGTTGCGAGAATTCGCGGGTGGCATTAAACTATCAAGATAATCGGGACTGCTCGTAGGCACAAGATCCCAACGCATAGCATTGTAGGATTCTATATCGACAGGGTTACCAATGAACTGATCGCCCACCTTGGTAACAGCATGACACGTTGCAATACCCATCGCCAAAAGAGGATCCATGATCAAAGGGTCTTGTACTCTATGATCGAGTTTAGGAGAAGCAACGGCGCCAAAGAATTCCAATCCCTCGCGTGTGAGGGTGCCAGTTTTGTCGAAACAGAATATACTTACTTTGCCAGAAAGATTGATACGAGGTAGATCAATACACAAAATCTGCTTCTTTCGCAGTCGCGTGGCACAGACAGACTGATTGATAGTAAAGGCAGCAGGTAGCAGTGGGGAAAAGATTTGAGACATGATGAAAATACCGTAAAACCAGCTGGTGATATTACCACGTCCCATCAAATAGAGAGTCAAACAGAATGCAATGAGACCCCATATCAACAGAATACAGATGGCCACCTTGATATGTTCGTCAAAGATAAAGCTTACAGGAGAGGGAAAGAGAATCTTGTGAATGAGCATACCCTTTTCGCTAGAGATACCGGTACGGAGCACTAAAGCACAAACGCGTGGCTCTAATTCACCCGTGCCATCATCTTTAAGAGAGGGCATGACTTGAGATACTAAAGTACCAGCAAACAACGAGTTCACCTTCCCGGCACCATCCATTTCATACAAATTGTCGTCGTCGGGTAAGGCGAATTTACGAATGGGCATTGCTTCACCTGTCAAAGCCGATTCATTAACAACCACGGCACCCGACAAAAGAGCACAGTCGCAAGGAACGGTAGAATGTTCGTCAACTTGAAACACGTCTCCAGGGACTAAATCTGCACTAGAGATGCCTTTTTGCCATTGTCCATCACGGAAGACGGTAACGTTCGTTACATATTCTGCCATAGCTTTGATACGTCTTTCAGCTCTGAGGCGAAGAAAGATTCGAATAGCGGCGGATATCAGAATGATACATGTTTGAACCAAACCCATAGGATAATAATTGAAGTAACTAGGCAATATAACAAAATTGTGGATTTTAGTGAGCATCGAGAGCTAAACGATGATAATAATGATGGAAATGACCACATGTACTTACTACCACACCCACATACACATCATTTGATATAAGTATAATAGCGAGCTGAATCTGTTTACATGAGGAAAAAATAGCAAAGGTCAGAACACCAGGACTGACGTTTTCTCCCGTTCTAATATATAGATCACTTACTCTTGAACGATTGCCAAAGGAATGGGTGGTACATAAACAGGAATAATGTTGGGCCCCAAGAGTTCCTGACGGTATACAGCGTCTTTGGTGACGACACCATTCGCCCAAGCCCTCAACTTTCTGTTTGTTGAACCAAGATCAAATTCATAAGGCTCGAAGCGTTTCTTTTCTGAATTATACACATATCTCATGCATTGATACTCAAAATAGCGCAATTTAGTTGATGTTGTACGGACGGGGCAAGTTTCCACAACTATATTCGTACTTGTGTTCAAGAACGGGCAATAAGATGAGAAGGAGGTGAGCACGTCTTCTTGATAAGCATAAACGAACATTCCATCGTTTCAACTTACTTGAACCTACGAACAAAGTACTGCTCAATAGCTCGTAATCTAGCAACCCATTTGTTCCCATCATCCAAAAATATTAATTCTTCTTGTTGACGTTCTACTTGAATAATAGGGCAGAGATGAGGAAAGGATTCAATGCGAAAGTAATTCCGTATTTTTTTCCTAAACACCATTACAGTACAGAACCAAGCAGCTGCAATGTGCCATACAGCACAAAATATCTTTGAAGCAGTATCAGATGAAAGGAAGACATGATAAATTTCACCTGCTTGTAACTTGCCATCTAGTGATGATACGAAAAGCGGTAGATGTCAGAAACCAATAGATTTCCCCTTCATTCGTCAAAGAATACTTACATGTATCTCCCACAAGACAACCTAAGAAGATCATGAATAAAACTGTCACGAAGCATACTGAAGCAAATGCAATCAATCCAAAATAATCACGGTTAAAACCTCTGAACCTTAAGCGTTCGCAGTCTTTGAGGGATGAGATGTCAGAAGTACTTTCACTCGTTGTAGAGGACACTGAGGTGGTGGCGTCTTTTATATCGGATGGTGTTTCGGTCATCTTTCTAAGCTTTTTTTCACCGTTTATACTAAGGCCGTCTGTGTCAAGACGTCCTGAAACTGCTGTGAGTTTTTCATCAATCAAATCTAAGTTACGACTTGACACCTGATTTTCCAAGACGAGCTTATCACTTAGACGTTGTAATCTCGAGTTTTCTTTTCTAAAAGAAGCTTCTCTTGCAGTTTTATAAAGATGCCAGCTTATTAAAATGAACGCTTCCAATGCTGTGATAGTCCAAACCGCGATCCACATGGGTTCACGAAAAGAAAAGATTGCTGGAGGTGTTGGAGGGCATTGGGCCCAGACAAAGTCTGATGTTGAGGCGTTGGGGTAACCATAAAGTCCAATGGACGCGCGGGATATATTGAGATTTGCAGCACAGAGATTTCGTGTCTGTAAGTCTTTAATGTCAGGATTGAAATGAGTGATGTTGATAAGCTGTGAAGCAGCGCAGGGTAATAAATTAGAGAAGGGTGATGTGGAGGGATTGTCGCCACACAGACAAATGTTAGAAATGCTGTCACAAGAGGTTTGACAGGTGCCATCAAGGCAAAATTCAAGTCCTTCAGGACAGGCTGGTGTTACTGAAGATGGGCATAAACTGTGATCTGTTACACATAATACAGGGCACTGTACATTATATTGAGGATATAGTGGACATTGTCTGCCTTGTTTATCAAAATCATTTGCTATAAAATAGGCGTGGTGAGTCATCATACAACCTAGAATGCCTCTTTTCTTTATCAACCTACGTTTTTCAAATACAGGCAACGCCTTTATCACAGAAAAAGACGTTAACAAGGTGACGAGAATGGAAGCAACTCTCATTAGCCTTCTTAAAATAGTTAAAAAGGATTTATATAATATAAATTCTTTTTGTAATTTTTGAAGAGAGGTTGCCTTGGGGTTGTTTGTTGGTTCTTGTCTTGATTTTCGTGTTTAAATGGGTTTTTTTTTTCTTCTTCTACGTTCTATTCAATCAAGAGAGGGCAAAAAAAAAAAAAAAAAATTAAACAAAAAAGGTTCAAAAAATAAAAACAGCAGGTTTCTTCCAACAACGACGAATCTCGTCACAGTCTCTTTTTTTTACCTTTATATGGTAAGTTTATAGATTACTTTCAAGCACAGTGGCCACTCAAAGACGAACAGATTTTCGTTGAGCCGTAGATTGAAAGTTTCAAGCGGATATTGCTTGCATTTTTCAACATTTTGGGGAAGGGTTCTATCCACGGTGGTTTTTCAGGTTTGTATACAATTGCTACCATTCACAGACACGATGTAACAATTGAGCTATTATGATACGTTTCCATCTGTCTTATTTGCCATGTAGTAACATAGTTTATTGCATCAACGAAAGCTGGGATGTCCTTTTTGTATCTGTCAATAAGAAACTTAGCGGAATTTCAAAATGTATAAAAATAAAACATGCTGGGAGTACCAACTAAACCCATTTACCAGGAGTAGCTTTATTTACTGAGCGAAACAGGCACAAGTATAAAGAACGAAGAACAATGAAAAAAAAATTACCAAATGCCACTTAAAAAACAAAGTCACTTAAGGTAGAATAACTAGTGCGTTTGAGCGCATAGTTGCCTGCTCATTATTAGGCAGCGTGGATGTTCTATGAACACAATCCTGTATTCGCGAGGGAAACAGCATAGTAACTTTTTTATTCTTTTCTCGCTACCATTGGCGAATGGTTAGACAAGCCTTAGGCCATAAAAAAAAATAAAAAAATAAATAAACATACAACTGAATCTCAATTTATGGTTCTCCACCTCAAATCGTCATTTTCACCATGATAATTATTGTTTAAAAGCTTTCAAGGGCATCAAAATCACATGCCAAAAGAAAGAGATGTTACGTTGAAACAGCGTGTGGGCTTGACCTTCTTTAGTAACTCAAGCAGAAAAAACAGGACAAACGCGTCTTAGTGATTCTAGCTCGGGGATTATAGAGGAAAGTAAAAATACCTATTGTTTTCCTTTCATATCAGAGGTATTTTAAGTAAAAATGCTGCTGCTGCACAGTTAAACGACACGACTTTCGAATGACGTGAAACACGACGATGGTTCTAAAGTTTTGTCAGCTGAACTTTTAAAAAAGGATCTGCTTCACGTCAGAAATTTGCATCATTTTTTGGTGCGGAGTATTCTTGATAGTCTGTCGTCCCTGCAGTCCATACTATTGAAAGCCTCTCAAAAGAGATATGGCTTGCTTTGTGGGTTTTTGAATTTGACCAAAGTACAACAATTTTGTAAATTCAAATCAGGAACGCCTTTGCCCAACAGAACACAAAAAAGGATCGTTTAATGGTTTACCGCAGAAAAGGGTGCCAACTGTGACGTTTCTTTTTCTAGTTTAACTAACTTTGCATGAAAACCGTTTTCTCAATCAATTAAACATTTACACACAACAGTCTTGTATAAAAGATATACACAGTGCAGTAAGTTTATAGAAACAAATGCCCAAGAAAATTGTTTCTGATGAGGAAGACAATGAATCTACAAACGTAAAATTATCAAAATATCAGAAAAAAAGAAAGAAAGTTGCGACTATACCTGAAGAAGACTATCTCTTAGAAGGTTTGCTCGAACAGCCCAACTACAGGTTTATATTATACCATGAGGCCAACTTGAAACTAATACAGCTTGAATAAAAACCAAATAAAATAGAAAATATACCACAAGCAGATATATCATCAGTAAACGATCATATAACCATGTTATCAAACTTTGACGATACCAATGAGCAACAACAGCATCTACCTTATGGAGACGATTTTCAGGAACTCGGATTAAATGACAAAACTGACAGAAAAAGAGCAAAGAAAGAGAAACGGCCAAAGTCAAAACCTCCCTTGCCAAAAAAGAAAGGTATTTATTACAGCTTTTTGAAAACATACGCTCCATTTCATCCAATGCGAGAAAAAGCTAATGTTCAAGGACGTACAATGTTCAGGTCCCTTGAATCTGGACAAACAATGTGGTGTGTTGATCCTACCAGATAATATAGTCTGTACAAGATCCTTGACTTGTAAAATACATTCAATGGGAGCAAAAAGAGCTGTAGAAGGGCGAAGTCAGCCATTTAATGACCTGTTGGCTGCATACCAAAAGAAGAATACGGGTAGAACAGCGCAAGGTAAACGACCACTTTCTGCCATTTCGCCATAGTGATATAAATGTGTAACAGTTTTTTTTTTTCTTCTTCTTTACGTAGTCATAGGTTCTGCGTCTCATCAACAAATAGACAAAACGAATCAGCAAAGATCCGCGGCCACACGAGCTAAACTAGCATCTGCTACTACTACTACTGCTACTGCTGCTACCGCAGCGTTAACAACAACAACAGCCCCAACAAATGCAGTGGTGGAGGTTGATTCAGATGAAGAGACAGAAAATGTCTTTTTGGCTATTAAACAATTTCAACCTATACCGCTGGGTCAAAAACGATACTATCATGTTCGTCGTCGAAGAGCTTATGTCAGATTACGCGATATCTTATTGGATGCTATTACACCCAAATTGTCAGGATCAGCAGCAGCCATATCTGCAACAGACCCGCCAACAGCCATCGGTGGCGAATTTACTTGTTTATAAGAAATGTATCGCGTTTGAGCGCTCATCTGTAAACTTATTTATTATTCACTTGGCCTAAGGACATTCATCATGGCCACGAATAAAAGAGTGAGTATCCTTCTCATGCCGCAAAGATTCAACAACATCTCCGACTATAATTTTCTTCATCTATGTTGCATCCGTTTCAATAATTTGCAATATCTCTCAATATCTGCAATGAATATATTGCAAAAAAAAAAAGAAAAAAAGGATGCCATGTTATTAATTGCAGGATCTTAATAGAACGGATGGTCAACAGAAAGCCATTGTTTTCCAATTTCAGGAACAAGACACATACATGTTCTTTTGGTGGCTATACTGTCTGTGACTCCTTAAAAAACTTGTTTCTGTCAAGAGATGACAAAAAAAGAATAAAAATAGGAGATGGCCCCGGATGTGTCAACTAAATAGTGTTCACAAAAACGTCAAATGAAAATGATGTTGCTTTACTTTTCTGTGCTTGTTGCCCCACCCCCTGAGTTACCTTCACCAAAAGACAACAGTTTTAAAAATAGCTTTCTAAGCAAAGGGACAATGTTTTCAATCGAGGAGCCTTTTAAAGTAAAACAGAAAGCTTAAAGTCTCTAAGAGTTGCCTAAAGGAGAAATGTGGCCAACTCTTGTGTTTTTTTCGTCGCCGCTCGATAGTCTTTTTCTACAAAAGAAGATCCCTTTCGTTATATGTGCGGTTTCCTATGACCCTAAGCGTTACAACAGCTAACTATTGAAAACTTTGAAATAGCAGAAAACAGAAAACCCCATGCGCCTACAAAGACATAGCAGCACAAAAAATAAGGGCAAACCACGCAACTACTATGACTGTCATTGATTTGAAAATTGGAACGAGGCAATTCCAAGTTGATTGCATCAAAAGAAGAAACGAACTCCGGAAAAAAAAAAGAAGAAAGTTGGACAGGTACAAAACCTGATATATTAATCCCATAGTGTTAGACACAAATTACATGCTTCTCTTTTTCCTTCTTTCTTTCCATTTTCTACAATCTGTCAATTTATTCTACAACACTTACCTATATCTCTTTGTTAGTGATTTCATTGTTTCCTTTTTATCCGTTTTCAGTGTTCAATAAGCACTCCATCAATTAGCCTCCTTCATTTACGAATTTCGACGCCAGACATCGAAATTTGGGTTCAGTGAATTAATAATTACTACTGCTACCATCCATCATGGGATTCAATACAGTTACCGATCAGTTTAAAAAGTGGAAGCGCCATTCTTTTAGTCAAGAAGAGTCAGGCACATGCCATAGAGATTGTGCTCCAGTTGAACCATCCTTGGATACCAAGGAAGACAGGCGAAAAGCAGCATTTAAAAAGAATGGAATGATCACAGTTGCTACAGCGCCATTGTCGCCACCTCAGTCTCCTACACCAACGCCACCTATGACGACTCCAAATAGAACTCGAACTTTTCCTCACACCACTAAAACGAACAACAACAACAACAACAACAACAACAACAACAGTAAGACAAAAAAGCAACATCCTTGTAGTCCGGATACCTATCTTCAAGGCATTGGAGATTATACCTTTGTTCGACAAATTGGACAAGGAAAATTCAGTCGTGTTATGCTTTCATCTCACTATGCCACGAAAGAACAAGTGGCTATAAAGATCATTGATAAACGCCAACACGATTATCGTGTATTATCAAGGCTCACCCGCGAGATTTCCCTTATGGAAGTTCTTGACCATCCCAATATCGTGCGGCTTTACGAGACGTATGAAACCACCGACTCTCTTTACATCGTGATGGAATACATCGCTGGCCAAAATTTAGACGAATATCTAACACAGAGAGGTGGCAAATTGCATGAAGAGGAAGCTCGTCATATTTTTAGACAGATGGTAGCAGCGATCGATTATTGTCATTCCCGCTGGGTAGTACATCGCGATTTAAAAGCCCCTAATATCCTTTTGACAGAAGACGGCCAAGTAAAAGTAGCCGATTTTGGCTTGGGCAACAGATATGGCAGAAGACGATTAAAAACAATTTGCGGTTCCATGCTTTACTATAGTCCGGAGATTATCAATGGACAAGGCTATACAGGGCCAGAAATTGATTGTTGGTGTTTGGGTGTATCTTTGTACCGTATGACGGTAGGTGAAGAGCCATTTGCCCGTGCCAGAAGTGAGTAGAACAAAATTTTTTCGTCGTTCATATCATGACCTGTGTTCTAACAGTCATGGATTTTCAGCTGTAGGTGATTTGCGCAAAGACGTAACTCTTGGGAACTATAGTATTCCCAACTTTGTCAGTCCCGCATTAAAAGATACGATCACAAAATGTATGTCTGTAGACCGAACAAAAAGAACAAGGTTACATATTGCACTGCGAAATGACGCGTGGTTAACAGAAAATGGAACTTTACCTGGTATATTTACTTACGGAACGTATATACCACGGAGCTCTTCTGCTATTCTCAGTAGCGTTACTGCTTCAGCAACCACCACTACAACCATAAGTAGGAACTCAGACGAAGATGCAATGGCCATGCAGAAAAACGACAAGGACAGGATGAGGTTTTGTCAAATGAAGGATATGGAAGAAGAAAGACGCATCAAAAAGCACATCAAAAAATCAGTGATATGCCATCCCAAAACCCCCTCTATTTATTACACGAGTGTCATACCTCATTCACCAAAACTCGAAGACACATTTGCCAATAGCGAAGCGCATCGTCATATAGTTTTTCAAAAGCTCAATGAACTTTCCCGGCGAATTCAACTTTCGCCAACAATGAAAACTAGCAATAAATCACCTGTTCGCCATCTGTTACGAAAATTAAAATCACCAGGTACTGGAACAGCACCAGCCTCTCCCTCTACTTTGACGAGTGGTACATTACCGGATCAAACCAAAAAGAATCCTCTTCGGAAATCCACATCCAGCATGAGCCTAAGTCAGTTATACCAACGTGTGGCTAAAGATCAAATCCATTATTACACGTTTCAGCTCACTCCGGATTTAGCCATGCGATTACACGCCAGTATGGGTGAGTTTTCATCCGCATCACTAGCACAAAATGGTATGTATTTTGCCCAACAAGATGAAGCCCTCATGATGCGTATTTTGAAAGGCCTGTGCGACATTATGGGCATCACTTATCATCGTGATAAAAGCAACAGAATTATCTGCGTGATGGCTTTGAAAGACTACCATTATCAAAAGCAACATCAACGGCAGCCACAAGACGATCCCCATCGAAGATCTTCATCTTCATCCTCCTCTTTTTACAAACTTAACATGTACAACAGTAAAAGAAAAGACAGTAAAATCACATCATCCAATCAATCATTAAGATCTTTTTTCCAGCATAATACCAGTAGCAGTGCAGCAAACACAGGCCTGTCTGACATGACCATCATGAATTCACAGTACTTTGTAAATGGCAACAGCAATAGCAATACAAGTGTGAATGGCAAAATGAGCAAATTCAAAAGAATGACAAGTCATGTATTTTCCAGCGTATTTCCTTTCCAGTCATCTACCTTGGTACAGCAACCACAGCGTCAACAGAAATTTGCTCAGGAGAGCCATCCTCGAAATTCAATAAAGTGTCCACCATTTCCACAGCAAACACAACAACCAGTAACCAACAAAGATCCAATACAACCTCAGCAGCAAATTCATACGACTTCCGTGACAGATTCAGCGGAAGACAGCGATAACAAGCCTGGAGTTGCTGTATTTATTATTGAAATCATTTCATTGTCAAAAGACCTACAAAACCGTCTGGTAGGCATCAAACTTTCTAAATTAGACGGTTCCTCCAAAGTTTTCCGGATTGCATGTGGTTGGATCACAGGCGTCATGGGTCAGAATATAGGTGCATCTCAGCTGGGTGACCCTACTTTATTGTCACCAGCAAACGTAGATATGGATAATGCAACATTGTTCATGGATGATTATGAGGAAGATGATATCAATACTAACAATATACATCCTAACCTTCCGGCCAACACTGCTGTTCCTACTACCATGAAACAAAGACTTCTTACCAGACCAAAATCATTCGCTACATTCAATAACTACGCACCAAGTACCACTGCTACTACTGATCATACCTTGAATACCCCAACAGCACGTTCCCTAACTCCTACCACATTTTTCTCATCTGCACAACCTGTAGCTGTGCAGCCATTAGTCACCAAAGTGTGAATTATCAAGTCATTCACATTGTCTTATTATATAAATCAGTCTCTGTCTTTCTTTATTAGTTCTCTTTTGCTTGATTTTGAAATGATTGTTCAGGTGGAATGGATAATGATTCCACCGTATCATCAGAAAGAAATTCTTCAGAGATTTTGTCATTACTGCTTTCTTTACTACTACCAACACCATTTGGTGAGGTAGTGTCATTTCTAGTGTTCACAATGTCGGTATTGAAAACGTCCTCGTCCTTTTTCTTGCTGTTGAGTTTTTTGTTCTTTGAAAAGAATTCTAGCAATAGAGAATCCGGTGGTAATGAAGTTTCTATTTTATGCAGAGCCCTATCCGTTCCCAAAGAAGCACCACAACCCATACCAAGAAGTGTTCCAGCTTTTGAGGACGACATTGAAAAAGGAATGGTGCAGAAACGTTTCGTTTTCAATATGGCAACCTCTATTTAGGTACAGGTAGTGTAATAAACTTACCAAAAGTGAAAAAGCCTGTTGGTACTCGTCTTGATTTTGCCAACAATCTTGCAGCTAAACCAAGAGATGCCGCTCCCACTGAAGCTATTACCGTGTGTGAGTAAGAGAAGAACAAAGGGAAAATAAGAAATACTTATACGCTCAGGCAATGGCAATGGCCTGATCTTTCGATTTTACTCAAGGTGACAAAATTGAACATGGCAGACCTCATGACCATGTTTTCTTCTGGTGTATATTGATGCTGTTCCAACTTCCTTTTTAATTCTGCGTTTTTATTGTTATTATCTGCCATACTTGTACACGTCAGCTGTTGGTTTTCTGCTGTCAAAAGCTATTTGGATTAATGATTTGCCCCTGGCCTCCTCTTAATGCAAAAAGAAAAAAAAAAAATAAAAAAAGTGGAATTAAGAAATAAACAAACAATGAAAATGTGCTTTTTCAAACAGCCCAGTCGGTTGAAGTGCAGCAATTAGAGAATAAGGAAGTCTGTATCAGCACTTTTATTATTCTATGCTCATATTGCTTTAAAGAGTGCTTCGAAAATAGAAACGGGAGGTTTTCTTATTTCTTCGATTCTTTCGAACATTACTTATTGCTAAATTCATAACTGCAGAAAATAAATGACCTTCATCAATACTATAAGGATGAAAAGCAATAAACTATACTTATGGTTACTCCTAATGCTTATAATGATGCTATTGGGAAACACTCATGGCCAACAACAAGCATCTAGTAATTCTTCTCTAACAACAGCGACAATGACAGTAAATGCAGGCACGTCACAAAGGTATACGATCAAAGATCATCATAAAGAGGAAGAGGAGGCAGAGATCAACGACAAGCCAACAAAAACGTTATATTTCGACTCGCTTCCATCGTCTACCACCACTATTGTCGTCCTAACTACATCCTTACCGTCATTACGAGAAAAGGATCCTCTCAGACAAAGACGTCCACATATCATTTTCTCATCTTTTGTATTAATGTTCTCTGGCGTTTTCATGTTGAGTTTTGGATTTCCTTTCTTCAGAATAACTATGGCACTTGTTGGTGGGGCTGTTGGCTGTAAGTAAAACTCACTTTATATTTATCACATTTTCAAGCCAAAAGGAAACTTGCATGGAGCAGTTCACTGATCTGATATTGTATTTTATGAAGGTGTCATTTGTTGGACTGCTCTTCAAGCCCGAGAACCTATTAATAATTATCCAAACTCTGACAATCTCTATTTTGGTGTCTGCCTCAGCGCTGCCGTTATATTAGCTATTGTTTTTATCAACATGTACAAAGTAGGCTTATATTCTCTTTGCATCGTGTCAGGTATTTTATTTCCGCTTTATATATGCTGCTGGAGAGAAGACTTCTTGATCCAAAACTTTGTTCATCGCAGTTTATTCACGTTGGTTTTCATGCTACTGTTTCTGCTGGGGTTGATTTTCCTCGAATTTGCTACTGTGATTGTCTCCATGGCGCTCTTGGGTAGTTATCTGTTCATAGTAGGGTTGGATCTCATCATCCGAACTGGATTCAATACGGGCCTGACCATTCTTTTGGACTTTAATGATTGGAGGAATAAGCACAGTACTTATCATCTTAATTTGCTCTCAAAAAGAAATGCCATGGACGAATATCACCCGGATGACTGGCGGGTGCGTACTATGTTAGGATCTGTTTTGGGTATAACGATATTGTCCATCCTCTTTCAAAGATGGTACAATAGAGGAAATCGATTTGGCCTTCGTATAGTCCGGAATTCTAATGATACTTTGCATAAGCACAAGTAAATATCTGAATGTATACTGTCGTCAATAAACGCCTTTTGTATCTACAAACTTTTTTAAGTAATACATAATGTGCATCGACTTGTTTGAAGAAACTGCATGGCATTATTTAACTTGTATGTATCAAACGGAAATTGTGATCACGACCTGTGAGCAGAGGTCAAAGGCACAGTATAACAGCTACTACTTAAGCTCTGTATGGTTATTGAAAATATCTCGGTGACTTGACTGAAGTATTTTTGACAGTGATACATCGAGCATCAATAGAATAGAAGAACTATTCAAGACGAAGGACAGCATCAGCTAAGAAAGTATCGTTTAGAGCTGTCGTGCAGTTCATTTAAAGCGTTGAATATCATTGTATATGTATTTTTATTATACATACCACTTCAGCCATAGACTCTTTTTCTCATTCTGAAGCATTCAACACTGCCAGAAAATAGAAAAAGTTCGTTTTTGGAAGATTCAGGCTTAGCATCCAGTTGAAAAATAGATAAACGATTTGATTTTGCAGCTTTGGCTTTCAACTTGAGGCCTACTATAAAAAAAACAGACGACCTTGCAGACTCATTGTTTCAATTATTGACACTGACGGTATAAAGCTTATTAATCCCAATGACAGAGTTAACAGGACGATTATATTTATATTGGAATACCCTTTTTGCTTCTAGTGTTTCGTTATCAATTATAGAGTAGGACATAATACTGTAGTACTGTAAAGAAAGAGTAGGGAAAAGAAAATGCTGAAAAAGGTTCTTTATTGGCCCGGAGTCTTTGTAACCTCAGCCCTCTTTGAAGCCAATCGAGACCCAGCGGATAATACGAAGAAAGGTGCCAAAACAGTTTAAAATGAATTCTGCATTACTTTTTAGCTTTGTTCAACTATGCCAAATGTACATGTGTGTGAGTGTGTGTGTATGTGTCTCTTTCTTTGCCATCTGCATTTCTAATTCAGAAGTGAACAGTTAGATTATATATACTTGAACACCATTTGATACTTTAATCGAATGACAACAGCTGCAATGACCTTCATCGCTTGGAAGGTTTTTCCAACTCATTAGGCCAGTTCAGCAATTGGATTCAGACTGGTCATGTCATATTTAAGTAAAACGGAAAAGGTGCTTCGATTTGATTATAGCAATAGTTGCTCGAAGACTGTTCTTATTCAACTCTTAAGACTGCCGAGAAAGATACGCAACATTTTTACACAGTATCAAACAAAATACAGTACGCAAGTTTTTTAAATTGAAGTAAAAACGGAATCACATGAAAATAGTGTAAAATATTTATTTTTGTCAATTCTTCCTTTATTATTTTTGTAAGTGTATCAATCGACACTTTCAGGTATACTCGTCGTTCTTTCAGTCTTTTAGCGGCTTCTCCGCAAGGTGTACGCTCTTCAGCTGCTTTCTTCTCATATTCTTCCTTCCTTCTACTGAAAAACGGGATTCCTTCCAATTCTTGCGCCATATAGTACCAAACTGCTCCTTTAAGATCTTCATAGAAGATCCATTGCCAGACTGACACTACACTTTCTCCAGCATCAACTACAGCTACAGAGTTTCCATTTAAATGTAGGTGGGTTTGTGAGCAGAGTATGTTTTGAACGAGGAGCACTGCTATAAGTAATATTTTGAACAGCTTCAGTAGGTCAATCATGTTTGATAAAGGTCATGCATCTCTAATAGTAACATCGTTCATTTCATTAACTGCGTTACACCCGATTTCATGCAATTTTGCGAGAAACGTTGCAGATAGATAGAACGGAGTAGAAGGATGCAAGTTTGCAGTATGATGTTACGCATTTTGTGTGCAAACGTGCAAATTAATTACTTTGCCTTATACTGTTTATATATGCTTCTAATTGGGAATTATGATCCATTTGATTGCGTAGTAAATATACGTTATAATACGATTATATTCGTAAGGCTATTCGAGCTTTATATGTACCTACTGTATTTAAACGCTATAATTCTCAATGTGTCATCTATTCATCGACTTTTAAACGTACTTTTGGCCTTGACTCACAGATATGGCTTTGTTTACTTGGTCAATTTACTTTGTGTAAAATCCCCTAATCGTACTTGTGGAATCACCAAACACATAATAAACCGTGTTGGTTTCCATAATAAAGGGACAAAAGAAATCACTAATTACTCGCATCTTTTCTGTAATGTTTCTCTGTCTCTTTTTAATTGCAATATAACAAAGAAAAGTGGAAAAGACAATATCCCACAGTGTTATCCTATGCCTACAAATTAGAAAGTACTTGATCTGTCAACCATCGTAAAGGCATTGTACATTAAAAAAAAAAAAAAAAACCTTAAAGGAGCCAAAGGACACCTATTGCAACTGTACATTTTTGTTTTGTCAATAAATGGTAATCAGTGTATGATCAGAGCTTAATTGTAAGCTATAATTAATTGTTTGCCCGCTGTAGAAAACTCTCAAATTATCCTAAAAATGTGGTCTCGAAGCACAAAAATAGTTTTGGTTTTTCTCATATCAGTCTACTGAGCACTCACCAGGATCACCTCTCGTTGATTGCGTATGAGAAAAGAGCAAGACAGTGAAACAGAAGACTGCATAACCACGGCCTTTATATAGTTGTAAACTTTTTTGATTTTTCTTTTCTTTTTCCTTGTTGCTGATTGACTGGCAAAGCCGTTTGTTACAGATGCGGCTGCCTTAAATTATGTTTCTCTAACAAATCTGGTTGGCCCATCTGTATACCAAAATCTTACTTTTGGAAAGTAATACCGTAGAGCTCCTCCTGACCGTCGTTAATTGCAGCAGAGTCGTTCGTTTGAGAACATACAGAAAAACAAGCACATGTCAATGTGTATGATACTGTGCAAATCCAAAGCCAACTTCTCAACAAATGCGTCTTTAGAAAACAATGTGTTTGTATGCCTACTAGTGTTGCTTGTTGAATAGTGTGTAAAAAATGCGTAACACTAAATTGTGAATGCTATGTCAAATGCGATAGCAATTACAAGTCAACACCATCAATATACCACAGCTCTTCTACTTTGGAGAGAATGTATTAATATAGAACCAGAAAAAAAAACCCATCCAACAACATAAGATTTTAAGCTCGGCAATCTTATACGACAAAAGCTAGGCAAAACACTAAAAAGCGAAATTCTGTGAACTGCAATTTGAAAGATTTCCTACTCTGGTAAAATACCGAAGGAAGCTTTTGCTGGTATCAACTGAACAGCGAATTGGGAGACTCCGTCAATTCCGATAGAATATCAAATTGTATAGGATGAATGGAGCCTAAACAAGAGAAACACCATACATAAAACTCATGTATATGTATATGTAAAAAAAAAGCTAGACAAGAATATATCATCTATTTTGACACCACATTAGAGGAACCCTTCAGGTGATACAAATGTGCTACGCATATGACTGTCGGTCGGTTCGGATGATGTCCTCTTTCCATCACAAAACGATAGACTACAAATATGATGAACAGGATCACTGCAAGTAAATACAATTGTAACAACATATGGACGAATAAGTGATATTTTAAACTTCAATGTATGAATTGATGAGTGGACAGCATATAGGAAGTTTCGACTCTTTGTCAAAGCCAAAATTGTATCAACAAACGCCAGTCTTACTTAGAGTTTTAAACTTCTTGTAGCAGATCGCGATATCTTTTTTTTTTTTTCAATATAACCTTTTTGAACCTTTGTGATTCTTTTTTGTATGTGTAAGAGGGGCCAATTTAGCTATTGTCTTACAAGTTTATTATTCATCCGAGTGCCCGATAATAGCTTATGAAGACCTAGACTTGCGATATAGCATGGTATATTAGCCTACTTAATGTAGCGGAGACTATCAGTAATTTGTAAGACATATATACTCAAACACTTTATCATTCACACATTGAAAGAAGAGGTTCAGTTGACGTTGAAAGACCGTGGAAAGGTCGTTCAGCGTTCAATAACGAAGAAAAAAAAACTTTAACTCTAATGAATACTTTGGTACATCAACAGTCGCCAACTATGATTTGAACCTGTTAGAGGACAGTGAATATTCTTTTTGTACACAAAGTAAACAAAAATATAAACCGACAAGAGTTTCTTAACGTTTGACATGACTTTCTCTCTGGCTCAGGCATTTTTCTTCCCTTTTGAAGTCGCATTTCCCGTTTTTTTAATCTCGAACTTTTTGTTCTTTCTCGTTTCTAAACTATCTGCAACCTTATACTTTTTTGCCCCTTTCCATTTTCAAATTCAGTCAGAACTTAGAAAAATAAATTGCTTCAGATTTTTTGGGCTCATGACAGGCAATCTAAGATGGCACTCATGTTCAACGGATGACTTTCCTTTAAAGCGTCATAAAGTGTCAAAAGCATGTGAGACATGTAGAAATAAAAAGATGAGATGTGATGGCAGTAACGTATCTTACAAAGAAAATTGGGTCTCTCGAGCCAAAAAGGACTAACTGAACTCTTGCTTGAAATGAAACATAAAAAAAAACAAAATTGCATAGAATTTCCCTGCCAACGATGTGAGCATAATAAAATCAGCTGTAAATACAATGATAAACCAGCCAAAATGCGTACGACGAAACAGCGGCAAACGCTGATACCGACAGCAACGCCTTCAACATCTTCTATTTCTTCCTGTGAGAATAATAAAGTATCAATTGCATCTAAAACTTATAGTGCCAATAGCACCGTTGCCATCACAGCCACCAATACTACCACCATCAGTACGACAGCAATCAGAACGACAGCAACTAGTGAGGTAGGCAGTGAGCACGAAGGCATATGTATAAGGAATGATCTGTTTGAAACAATACTATCTGATGCGCCACAAAGCAATACTTCTCACAACTCCTTCTCACCGCCGTTGCTACTTGATTTTTACAATCTAACAGCTCGACCTGAAGACATTTGGACATGCTTTTCAAACATTTTCGAAAAATTTTGCAGCTTGCATCAGCACAACGATTACTACAATAGTGTGACAGTCCAGCAAATGCAGTCGAAGAACGATCTTGTAAAAGAAGCCATCAAGCTATTTGTAACACATAACTTACTTTATGGCGCCTTCATTCGTGCTCAGCTTCTATCATTTGTTGTACACAGCAACACCATGTACCTTTATTTGCAAAAGAAAGAAGAAAAAGAATTATTTCCGGACAATAGTCTATTTATGATGGACGAAAGCTCGTCCCCATCACAGTCTCCAGAATCATTCCCTTTCGATAAAAAGCATCACCAACGACAACAGCAGCATCAGCTGCAGCATCAACTGCAATGCACCTCTGTACTTCTCAATAGCATTTTAGCATTGACTTTTGGAACAGCGTTTCGACAACAGGCTTTTGTTCACGATTTACACAAAAAAAAACTTTTACAAAGTTTTGCTTTCATGCTTTATAGAAGAGCGCGGCAACAGTTTTTCGAGCAATGTTTTTCAATTGATGCGAAAAGCTCAATATTCTCAACCTTCGGGTCAGAGTACATCATTCAAAGTTCCATTTTATTGGCCCAATTTCAATGCCAAATAATGAACAATCCAAAGCAGACCTCTTTAATGATAAATTTGGGGTTCGATCTCTTGAAACAAACCTATCTGGATAGCCCTATCTCTCACGCGAGCCGTAACGCTATTAGCTGCGGCAAAATAAAATCTAATAACAAAAACGAACGTGAGATGCATGATTGTATGACCATTCTCTCAAAAATTCTCGACGCGTGGCGCACTTGGCTTATGATCTATTCTTCAACAATTATAACTGCATTGCCGAGTTTCCCTTCAGAATTGTCGACGACAAAAGAGGCAGATAACGCTCAACATTCTGGCATTTCTTCCAATGAATCGGAACTCCTTCGAAAGACCATAGCAACAAAAATATCCTTTGCTCATCTTTCTAAAGATCAGAACTGGGCGCTTCAAATAGTTGACGCCTATAATCAGTTCCTCAAAGCGATTTTGATGAGAAAAAACAATCATAAACTAAATGTTAATGCATTAAAGGTAAAAGGGCTACCGAACATTGCATTTTTCTCGTCGAAACTTTGATCAATACTAGCTTTTGTGACTGAATAGTGAATAACGATCCTTTCTCGTAATAGCCCGCTTTAAAGGAGATATCCAGGATGCTTAGAATAAATTGCGGCTCATTGCCGTCTCCACCCGAGGAGCAGAATGAAACAGAAGGAGGCAATAGTAGTCCTTATACCAATTATACCCTACAACTCTATCATTATACTTTAACATTACAATGCTTTTTACCTCATATTAATCTTGTCAAAATAGAAGAGAAATTCTTATCGATGAACAAGAGCATTAAATCAAGGCAGAGTTCTCCGAGCACAATTTCAAGTGATTCTATGCTGTCCTTGTCTACTACTAGTCCTTCAGTTGAGCTAACAGAACATGAACTACAGCAGCAGCAAGCAGAGAATGATACTTTAACCTCGAACTTTTGGAAAAATGACATGCACAATATCGGCCTCTGTGTGCAAGCCTCGAGCAATATCCTTCAAACCCTTGACCACTCTTCCGAATTTCTTCAACACGATACTACACTGAGTAGCACTTTGTTATCCAGCATATTCTATTCCGTCAGTCTGATAATTCAGTTTCTATTGACACTACAAACGAGCAAGGAGCTGATGGTCAGAATCAGGCAAACAGTGATGGCTGCTCAGAAGAATCAAGCTCTCCATTATGAAAGAGAGGAAGAGAGAGAATTGGCTCCAATTGCTCATTTATTTAAACAACTGAGGACAATGCTTACAACCAGCCCTCCAGAATCTTCGCGCCATCCATTTTTTGAAGCTTTATGGGACAGACTTTCGCATAGCAATTGGGGCTTGATAGAAAGCCAGTACCATAATCTACTTAATCAACAGCAAAAAGATAATAACGATATGCATAACAATACATCTTCTTTATCACCTTCACCTCCGCTCTCGCCAAAAGTGGATAGTTCCGCAGTGGGAAGAAGAACAGAACAGCAATATATACAGCAGCACTCTATGCCCTCTACTTCTACTACCACCATGACTATAGCGTCAAATACTTCTAGTGCTAATTGCACAAGCGAACCAGTAGTAGCGGGGTTATCCAACTATATTCCTGATGTTGGCAATCTGATGTCCAACGATATTATAGTGACAGATTGCAACAGTGCGAGTGCTAAGGTAGCCTTAGACCATATGATGTCTATTCCGCCGCCTCGAGCGGATATTGATAAGGAGCAATTAGAAAAACTGTCTTCCCATCGGTTTCCATCTTCCACTTCAATTCTTAACCAGCAACTGCAAATGCAGCAACGACAGCAATATCAGCAATATCAACAATACCAGCAACAGCAACTCATGCTGCAACAACAGCACCTAAAGCATGGTTTAAATGCTTTTACAATACACCAAAATAATCAGTACGCTGTACCACCTATTGTTTCGAATAACTCAACCAATTACATGTTCGATAGTAGGTATATGTCTGGTGCACCAACTCCATTTCCTACCTCTCCAGTGGATGGAGCGTCAAATACTTCTACCTCGGTGAGCAATGAGTATTACTTCTTTCCACCACCATCAAAACGCTCTTTAAATAGTCAACAATTGCAAGAATACAACAACTACAATAGCCTGCAGCCTCATGAGCCGTCTAGTAAACGTTTGAGGTCTGACACACTAGCTTCCTACGAACAATTTATGCCATCCACAACAAATCAGCTCAACGTTGAGCATGCTAATTCGACAGCCAGTACTACAGATGCAGCCTTAATGTACTGGATGTTAGATGGTGGCGCTGGCGGATCATCTTTTTATCAACCCAATACAGCGACAACTACCACTGCTGCACAACAGCAAGAACTACAACAGCAGCAACTCCAGCAACAACAGCAACATAGGGTAAACAATACAAAAGAACATGCGCACCAACAGCAATCAATGCAGACTACCACAGCTACATCCAAAAGTAATAGTTCCTTGCGTCTACTCACACATCAGCCGCCACCCTTACTCGAGCATGAGCCTGAAACTGCTACCACAGTCACAGTGCCGATGATTAATAGTAATGCCAACAATATAACAAAGTTACCCTTACCACAACCTTCTTTAAAGTCTATCACAATGCCGCTTAAGAGTTGGTCTTCATCAGCACATGCACCCGCACAAACTTGGTCTAAGTTCTTTTTTGCTTCTGAAGTTCAGACTCTACATTGCCAAACCCCTCCACTTATCAATTTTGAGCCGTCCACTGCGAATACGACTACTACGGCTAACCCCACTACTTTTCCAATAAGCTTAAGGGTAATCAATGAGGACGGTCAAGAACAATTATCCCCAACTACTCCCGATACCACTACTCTATCTACTACAGTCAGTCCCCACCATCAGCACCAACGTCAGCACCATCACCATCGACACAAGAATTTCACCTATCCCACGCATACTAGTCATACTACTACAATTTTTAATAACAACAGTAATAACAATAATAGAAGTAACAATCTCCATCCTCAGCATAACCATTCTCAACATCATCATTCTCAACATCGTCATAGTATTATTTCGGATAAAAGCAGCACTAGTAGTCATACAAGTACGGCTACCAATTTACTTCATACAACGACAGAAGCCACTCCAAATACTGTAGTAGGAGCTTCTACGGAAGCAGCCGAAGCCGCAGCAGCGGCAGCAGCAGCAATGTGGGTATCCACTGCAGCAGCCGTAGCAGCAAGTCAGCAACGGTCACAACAACAAAAGCAACCTCATCAGTATGGTCACACTAGTAATAGTAATAGTAATAGCACTCATCGTTATCAACATAACAATATGAATGATCCATATTATAGATCCCAACAGCATTCTCACTATAACAGTAACACTACTAGCAGATATGTTGAACAGCAACAGCAACAGCAGCAGAAACATAAGGTAGCCACAGGTCATTGGATCAATTCGGAAAAAGTCGACGATGATGAATATTGGGAATAGTAACAACGCATTGTAGATATTTTTTTTCTATTTGCTTCCTTGTTTAAAAAAAGGAGAAAAAAAAAAAAGAAAAAGAGAACCAAACTTGTAAGCTATGTTCTGTTATTTCTCCCTTTCAAAAAGTTAACCTGAAGGTGGATTAATTCGCAAGTAAATGTGTGCTAAAGATTATCCAGTAATTAAGTGGTCATTTAGGCAGATCCGCCCTTGAGTAGTTTTCCCCAAAAAAAAAGGTCTCTGCTGTAGACAAGCTGAAAAACCATACAACAAACAAAGCTTTTTCTTGGTTACAAACAAACTGAGCGCACACAATCATAATAAACTAACGACTGCTTACTTAATTGTGAGAAATGTAATATAGCGTTAGATATTCATGAACGATATGAAAAGAAAATGTTCATACGTGTTCACTGTTGGGAAAGCAGAAGCAAGCTTAGCATGGGTAATTGCCCTCTTTAAGTGATTTCTCGTCGGACAAAAAAATTGCCGCTCCCTTATTTAATGTTTGTTATCCAATGTGATAAGCCTAAACAAGACGGCAGATGATACAGCTGAGATACAACTAAAAAGAAACAATAAAAATGCAAATCAAAACACATTGATTAAGCTGCTTTTTTCTCATCCTTTTTCCATTTTCTTTTTTCCCTCTTCTCCATACTTTTCATATACAATAATGCTAAATAATTGCTGTTTTTGTATAAGTCTTAGGTATAAATATAATCGAACGTTTATAGACTGTAGTTGTTTTAGTGGTTGATGTTTAACACTTTTTGGAAATTCTAGGACTGCAACCCTTATCTTGGCAGTATTGGGTGCTTTCACTCACTTATACGGTGCCATGACCTTAACAGCTCTATCAACTGATTTTGATGACGCTGATACTGGAGCCATTTTAGGCTTAACAGCTTATTCTTATCTTTCAGGCTTTGCTTGTTTGGCTGGTGCTATTGGCGTGATGAAGGTAAAATATTTAAATTGCGTAGTTGTGTCGTCGACGCTATTACAACTGATAAGAGACTTAAAAATAGAAACATAGAAAAAAAAAGCACTTATACACTAACCAAATTAATATGTTTATTTGCACAGAATAATATAAGGCATCTTAAGTTCTTTAATGCTTATTATTGGGCCGATCTAGGAATGCACACTATGTTTTCCATTGCCAGCGCTTTCATGCTTTTCAGCCTTCACTCTGAAATTTGTAAAGAGATTGTCAGTGAAGCCAACGACGACGAATTTGATATGAACACATGTGAATATGTATATATTCGCAGTGCCTGGTTTGTCATCATTGCTATGGCCATCAATATGCTGTTGAAACTTCATTTTGCTTTTGCTATCCATTCCTACACTAAGCGTGTAAAGCAAACGATCGATGAAGAAGAAATGATGAACCATGTTGTTGTTGCACCTTACCCAACCGCTTATATCTCAGCGGATACTAAGGAACAGCCTCCTATGTATGTTGCTGGTCAAGAATTCATTCCTGACGAGAAGAAGGCATCACAGCAGCAGTAATAGGCTCTCTCTTTTTTTTTTACATATATTCCAGTAAAGTCTACGTTTAGCCCATTTGGTCTAATTGTTTCATAGTTGACCCGCTTTTTCAATGTGATCTATTTATTATTTGTGACCTGAAGATTTTATTTTTCAAGCTTTTCTTATAAAAGAATAGTAGTTCCACATCTTTCTTAAAATATGTACCGATACTGTAAACTTGTGGAAGTGCCCGTCACAAACAAACCTGTCAGCAAAGTTTGATGTTAACACAGTTTGAGATTAAAAGGAAACGCTATTGATCACTTTTTAATAACAAGTGATAGCGATTTCTTGCAATGCTTATCCATAGTGAGGAACATGCATGATAAAAAAGACAAAGATGGTGCAGACCGTTAATACTGCAGGATACAGTGTTCGAGTAATGAAATCCTTGGTTCTAGTATGAAGTGTTCATGCACCGTTATCTGCTCATCCTTTCCTTCACTTTAATTATTGCTCAGATATAATCTTTGGTCAAGAAGAAGTAAAACTCAAAGTGCACCACGAATGTCTGCAGAGTTGCTTGACTATATCCTTTATAAGCAAAAGAAAACTCCTCAATAACATGTTAAAGAGATATATTTGGTCAAAAAGGAAAACGATAATCGGGTGACGTATACAAATACAAGACGTCTCTAGAACTTTTCGCACTATACTACAAATAAAAGAAGCAAATGATTCCTAGTAATATTTGCTTACTTTTTCTTCTCTCGTTTTGCCTAGTTCGAAAACAAGCTGGAATAGATACCAACATGCAAGCTCACTATACATAATGCTATTGGAATTTCTTCGATACCAACGAATGCATGAGCAATAAGTGTATGATGCAAATCACGCAACTGCAGGCATTGTAAATGATTGTCAATATGTGAAAGCTTCCATCATTAAAGGGTATAACCTACCCTTTTTTTTTAATTTGAAAAGTTGCTCTTCTTTTACGTATATTCTTACAATGAATTATCCTTTGATTTGACTGTACTCTAACTTTTGTTTGTTGCACATCAAGTAACAATCATCGTAATTGTTAACAAAATAAACATTTAAAGAGATTCCCTTCCGTTTACTGATAAAACAATTGTCACCTAGGTTCTTACAGGCCACGACTTGAAAACAAATGCATGGTAGGTAGAATATCAGTGGCAAGAGCACGTACTGATTTGTACACATCATCTTTTAAAAAAAAAAAAGATAATATGCCCTTTTATAGTGAAGGATGGGAAGCAGTCTACTATTTCATTCATTGTATGAATAATGCGCGACGTGCAATAATAATATAACCCTCCCGAACTCTACTTTCAAAAGGCAAGCAGAATACCATAGCGAAGGATTTTTATAGCCACAACCACCATTACACCACCACGTTTCTGAGCAACAATATTAACAGCATTTAGCTCACTGACTTCCGCTCAGGATGACTAGGATATTGAAATGAAAATGTTGCAAACAAATGGGCAGGCAATTGGACCGTATGTTAACATTTTCTTCACGCACAGTGTGAATTATTGGGTTAGTCACAACAAGATGACATGGTGGACTGAAAATATAGAGGAATGATTTCCTCGTTGAGTATTAGACTAATGCCTATTTTGCAAATAAAAAGGTAACTAGGTTATAATAGGAAAGATTTTAGTAACCGAAAGAAGCATTTGGGCTCATAGAAATTCAAAATAGCTTTGTTGGCTTCATCAAACATTTCTTGAGATAGCATACCAGATAACAACTTCTCTGAATTCTGTGCGTGAACGCGTAACAAGTTTAGGTTAAAAAAATAATCACCTCAAAATAATGCCATAATCGTTTAAAAACATACAAATTCAAGCGTACTACAATGGCTATATTTGCTGGTTATACAATTTTTGTTGTAATGTATTCAGAAAGAGTATTATGCTATGTTCAGGTATTCAAAAGGCCCTCAATGTCGTTGCGGTGATATTTTAAGATACAATGACCCGGAAGCTTATTTGTTTTTAGGCCCCAATTTGGAAAGTCTTCATATTACACTGTGATATGAAAGGTAACGGTTACCAGACTTTTTACATAAAGTAATAGGTAACGATTAACAGATTATTTTTGACCATAATGGACTTTTATCTCCACAACTTGTAAGCACTTACACACTTGACGTAGGAAGATAGTACTCTGGCTCTGCTCCAACCCCATTTTTGAAATGAGAAGCGGCGAAAGAATCTGAAGGCATATTTCTGGTTGTCGGATAAAAATGCGTTTAATCATATCGTGTATCTGAAAAGTAATTTCAAGAAATAGCCGTTTACACAGCAATTTTATTTTGGTGCACTAAAAGGCTTATCTGTAGCTTAGTATCTTTTTCTAGTCAGAATTGGTTAAAATGGTCAATACGTATTCGTAAGTCACCAGTTTGTCTGAACGCCATTTCAAGATACGTCGGTCACTTTACAGCCTTTATAACTTTGATACACATGCAGATGTATTAACCAATACCTTTGAGCTACCTTTAGCATTCTACTTCAATCAGTAACTTCTTAAAGATTGGAGGTCAGTTGTAAGTGTAGCGTTGTTTTAGAGAGAGCTACTCCAGCGTCAGCTTATGAGCAGTGAGGATATTATTATTTTTTTTTGTTTATAAACTTTTATCATCCTTTTTATTCAAGTTTTAATACATTTTTATAACTTTACAAGTTCTGTAGGGGGAGGGATTGTTTTTTTTCCAAGAGGTAGAAATGAATTTCATGACAAGAGGAAGCACCTAATTGCTTTTCTTCGTGATTAGGCACTGCTTAACGTAGGGAAAGCATTGGCATCAGACAAGTTAACAGAGCCTTGATTGTTACGTCCGCCATTGTTACGGTTATCACGTCCGCGTCCACCGCGTCCACCGCGTCCACCGCGACCTCCACGGTCATTACCACGATAAGCTGGTTGATCAATTTCCAAATGAACCTTTTCCTTCTTGGCCTTATTTCTTAATTTGGCTTCAGTTTCCTATGAAGAGCAAGATAAGATTGACATCGTTAACATTTTATTGCTAAAGAGTGACATCTTTCCCAATAGCAAGTATGCTTACCTTGCTGCCTACAAAGTAGTTATCTTCATCCTTTTGAAGAGGGACAGCATCCTTCCATTCAGCATCGTTAGAACCTTCATTAGGCTTACGAGCATGCTCAAGGCGGAAAGAAGACTTCCTTTCTGCAAGATATTCATCCAGAGTCTTTGTATTATCATCGGCTTCATTATCACGCCTAGGACGGCCTTCAGGTGCATCAGGGTCTTTGGGGTCTAAGGTATCATGTGCACTGTAAAGAGCAGAATTCAATGAGAAAACTATCAAAGCCATTGATTGATTGCCGTTCTAAAAAAAAAGTAATAAATAGCTTACCCTTGGAATTCAGCAGTGCCAGCTTCACCCCAACCTTGTCTAATCTTCTTTTCATTATCGCTATATAGATGCAGTGATGCAGTGAAGTGATTAGATACAGAGCTCACTCGTAAAAGAACGTGTAAAAGCAACAACACCTCTTTCATAATATACTTACATAATACCAGTACCACTGTGACGATCATATTGGCGACCACGGTTGTTATATTCCATACGACCACCTCGTTCGGGTCTGGGGCCTCTTCTATCATTTTCAGCAGAAGCGGGGGCAGAAACGTCTTCACTGGCTTCATTTCTGCGTGGGCCACGGTCACGTCTTGATGGTGGGGAGACTTGATTTTTTTTTTTATTAAGAAGATTTATGCAGAAAAAGAAAAAGCGGGAAATGATGAGACTTTTACTCCCCTTTTAAAAACGCAACAAAACCAAACCCAAAAAAAAAATGGAAAAAACGCGCTACTATCTTGCAAGTCTTTTCACTGTTACTTTACCAGCAAGTCTGTTATTGGCACTCTTACGAACTTCCTTACGAGTAGGAGCTCTCTTATTATCGTCGTCCTTCTTCTCCTTAGGCTTGATATTACCAAGCTTATCAACTTCAGTGTCGTCGTCGTTCAAAAGAACGTTGAAACGATTTGTCACGTTTGCCATTATTTATGACAGATATGTAATAGAAAAATGAAGAAATGTGTAGTAAAGTGGAAAATAAAAAAGTAAAAGAAAAAAGAGAATTGAAAAATTTGAAAGGAAAAAGGGAAAAAATGGGCTAGAGCGTTAACGTCATTTCATGGCTTTTTTTTTTTTTTTTTTTTTTGTTAAAAAGCTACAACCTATACATCTTTAATATGCTACTGATTCAACCAATAAGATGACTTACGGAAACTGAAATACGGCATTTTGCACAGAACAGAAAGAAAGAAAAGGCCCCTGTTCTCATCGCCACATATGCATTTGAAACAAGAATCTTTTTCTGCCCCAACCAGATTGTTTGCATAAAATTAGCCATTTACGTGGAGTGATGCCTTCCTTCACGACACCTACAGCAAATGGGGAAAAATACCATATCGCTTTAGGAGGTGTTAATAAAGGGAAAGTCCTGCCAGTGTAAGTTTGGTATAACACAAATGTGTGAATGACATTTTAATACCCAAACACTTCAAACTTTATTATGGTTAAAAAAATGAATTCTTACGTCAACATGAGTAACAAATTTGGGCCATTTCTCTTATCATAAAAGCGTAGACAAAACTTTTCCAGCTATATTATTAAAGGCAAAATTTCTGCTTTATTACAGATCAGACGCGACGTTATAACGAACCAACGGCTTTGCTACTATCTTCGTCATAAATGCAAGCGTGAAGGTTCACCTTCAAGTGATTGATAAGAGTCCGAAGAAAAGCCTGTTCGTGTTTTGAGTTCTCAAACACTGTGGCTAGACTCTCTGATGGACACCGTAAAATGTTGGGAGCAAATATCATGGCAAGGTTATTCACATTCATAAGGGTACAATGTATAACTTCAGCTTTTGCAAATTCCTAAATGTAACAAAGGAGAGGTGTAAGAAGACGAGCGAAACATGCAGAAATCATGAATAGGTTGTCTACGGTATACCTGCAGAAAACTAATAGTAACGAGAGCAATGCGTCTGTGAATGTCTGGCAAACGGTTGATTATACCAATAGCTGTCTTTGGGTCTTCGGCAAATTGGATGCAGTCTGCATAGTCAGCTGCAGGAATGAGAGGTTCAGCCAGATCGCGCAACCAAAATTTGAATAAAGCAGCAGGCACATTAGGATCCTTTATATCTGCAGTATCGTAGATGTCATTCTCAATACGTACACGCTATAGAAGAAAGTGCGTTGGTTCTCTTAACCCCTATTGCAAAACAGTGTATATTGAATAGTTACCAGCTCTGTAATACCGTCAGGATCTCCAGGTACACGGAATATACCTTTTGAAGACTTGCCATTCATATCCAGTACAGCATTTGTCAAAAAAGGAATCAGCTTGGGAATTTGAAGTCTTCGAGTACTACTATCTTGTTCTTGTTCTTGTTCCCGTTCACGTTCACGTTCACGTTGTAATTGCATTATAAGGTCAAGTGATTCACCGAAAACAGACGGTTTGAAAGGGGCTTCTTTGGCTCGAATGATTTCTGCGCTTGTCAAAACCTTTCCTTTCGCGCCTTTTGAACATATCTTTATCAATTTTGCAGAAATATACTGACTATATACATTGAGCTGATGTTGCTCGTTCTGATGATGTTGCTGTACGAAATCATTCAAATAAGCTTCAAGGTTTTTCGACGGAGGGAATGTAATACTAACTATGCACAAGAGCTCCCACCCTTTACGGATACTATCACTGTTTTCATCGTCAGTCGTGAATGACACACTGGAGCAAGAAAATCAAAAGAAAGCCTCTTTGGCCATAACTACCTTTTAGGATTGTCTTGAAGTTGTTTGCAGATCTGAACATAAATTTCATCTCGCATTTGTCCTTTTAATATACCACATTCGAGTACATGTTGAATGTCTTCTATCCTGTCTGAGTGTCGGCTTTTCGTTCTGTCGCCCATAATGACCTGAATCAACTTGAAACATTTAAGAGCATCTTTGTTCAAATCCTTATTGATCATAATAAGTGGCTGTTTGATGGAAGTCTGAAACAGGAATTGTTGAACGCATATCAAGATCAGTTTCTTAAACATGATATAGACTACGCTCGGTTCGTCGTACAGATACAATTAATTACCTTTGACCATTTAAGCATATCGCTCATAGGTACTTTTCGCCGGAAGAGGCCACGTTTATGTGTAGCAAAATATTTCTGGGCAAATCCATCGATGGCGAAGCAACTGATATCATCTTTTAAACCAGGAGGCAATGATGGTCTAACCGCATTAGAATAGATATGGGTTAATAATTGCGTGTGATACAACATGAATATTAAAATGCCTCAATCAACATACATCATACTACTTGAACCGTTGTTGTTTGCAGGAGTGTCATTGGCGCATCCTACTTGAACTGAAGTAAAGAATGCGTTTTTGTAAAGCGATAAGAATGGAAAAGAGTTAGAAAGAGTCAATAGTAGCATGGGTTGGTATTTTGAGTCTCTTGAAACGAAGAAGAAATAGAAAACCTATTCCATTATAACCCCTACCTAAAGATTGCTTTAATGGCGCACTGACAGTTACGGTAGGTTTTATGACGGAGGGGTTCTTTTCATTGTTCTGTACAGTTGTTGTAGCAGTAGTAGCAGTAGCAACAGCGGCAGCATCAGCAGGAGAAGCAGCCGCCGTACCTAATGATCGGGACACAAAGTTTTTTAATGCATTGGTTGTGTTACTCGTCGAAATTTTTGAAATGTTCGAAATGGCTGAAAATGCAGATCCTCTTCTTGCTGTTACAAATGCAGGCTCCTAAAACAAGAACAATGAAATGTGTAAGCCTTTACAGGGAGGACAGTATCATTGTACACGTAGATAGGAGCTTTTCCATTTAAAGCTTTTTACTACTAACCTTAATTACAGGAAAAGCTGAAGCCATGCTTAGTTTCCTGAAAGAGGGAATTGATCTGTTCCTATCATTTTTATAACGATATGAATGACTCAACAGTGAACTTGTGTTGTCGGAATCAATTGCAGAAGAGGTTGTGCTTGACTCGAAAAGGTTGTTGTTTGTTTTCGTTGTTGAACTTTTGAAAAGGAACTTGTGAGGCTTGGTAGGCGTAGTAGGAGTTACTGGCGATGTAGGGAACGCACTCGTCAGAGTATGCTCCATGTAATGGCCCAATGAGGAAGGGTGGATGCTCACACTATCGCTGTTGTTTTGATGTTCACCTTCCCTGCCTTCAGCAATGTAGCTCTCGTCACTTATGGTTGACAGCTCATATTCACTCTTCACTCTAGTCGGTGTGATGGGTGGTGAAGGGACTGTTTGTACAGGGAGATGAATCGATCGACTGTAACGCTTCTTTCTGATACTATCATATTGCTCGTTTAAGGTTGTTGTTTCTATAACCTCTCTTGTGGTACTGTTTGTACTGATAGTGCTGATCATAGTTGTAGCATCAGTATCGATCATGCTTGTGTTGGAATGAAATGTTTTGTCCAAAGGTGCGGTTTCGGGTTCCATCAACATGAATGTAGAATACGCTATTTATTCAATGTGAAATCGCAATTCTTTTACAAATAGGGTTTCTAGAAGTTATTCTGTAATTGAAAAGAGCGAAGAATGAATTTACTTATTGAGATATGGATTGAAAAAGAATGACAATAGGAGGTAAAACGTATAATAGAAACTCAAAGCCTCTTCAAGTCCCTTTTCTACTAAAATTTTGTCATTGATATCCACGTACTTTGCTATTTATATACGCTAGCACGTGTATTGAGCTAAGTAACAGCAAGAAATCCACTAAAAGTCGTTGGCTTGGCCTTGAAATGCCTATTTTGTGTCCTTGAGACCTGCTTTATCGGGAGTGGACCGATTACCTTGGGATGGACTGCGCTTATGCAACTGCGTCTTAACTGAACTAATGCAGTAAGAAGTTGAAGTGTGTAAATGAACCTGGCATCAGTAAAGAAGCCGTTTCTTACTAGTCATCTGGCCGTCAAGCTAGCAGTATATGGGAACAGCCCAGACAGCAAGTGTTATGACTGGTAGAGAAAGGATGCAGAAAAACCTTTATTGTCAACCAAGTGTTCCAGTGAAGTAATAGCAAATGGAAGGCATTTTACTGATTATGGTAACATAGAGGCAGATCCAGGCACGCAATTAAAAAAGTAAAAGATGTGGAGCAAAGCCAGCAAGTGCTATGTACAAGCAGATCTAATGATTGTTTTTTTTTTCTCCGCTTTTTTTCTACTTTTTTTTTTTTTTGCTGAGATTGATGATATTGTTGATGTCTCAATCTCCTTCTTTTCTATAGTCATATCGATTACATTTTTCTCCTTGAAAATAGCACCTATTAAGGAATGAGTACTAAAGAACACGATATCTATCAACTCAAGAAAAAGCTGGAGGATATCAATTTGTCTTCCTCGTCACCGGCGGAATTACCTTCTGGAATTGGAAACTCGTTATTAAAGTTTCGTTTACATCAACAGGAGATCGACTCCAATCCTCCTAGCAATTATAACAGTGACACGGATGAACCTACACCACGTAAACGGCATGAGCATGAAAAAATCAAACAGGAGGTATTATTGGACCAAGATTATACAGTATCAACAAAGGAACGTCGAGTGAATCGGGATGACTTTCAAACAATTTGTGTCTTGGGGAGAGGAGCGTAAGTTATACATCGTAAAGGTGATCTCTCGGTTGAGCAATAATGCATTGCAAGTAGAAGATATACTCGCCATGCTAAGACAAAGTATCCTAACGATATATTTCGCTTTTATTGCATTGATTTAGATTTGGAAAGGTGTACTTGGTTAAACATAAAAAGAGTAGCGAATTATACGCCATGAAAGTGTTAAAGAAGGCTTCTTTGGTTGTTCATGGTAGACAAGCGATACAAGCCAAAACAGAGCGACAAATTTTGGAAGAAGTTCGACATCCTTTCATTGTCAAATTATGTTATGCATTCCAAACACCGATAGAGCTACATATGATTTTGGATTATGCAGTTGGGGGTGAACTCTTCCGTCATTTAGATCATGGTAAAGAAAAAATAGTGCAAGGAAGATTAGAAAGGGAGCAGTTTTTTGCAGACTGGAAAGAGCACCACTAACGTACACTTTTAATGTAATAGAGGGGATGTTTGAAGAGCCTATGGCTATTTTTTATGCTGCAGAGTTAGTATCCGCGTTAGATCATTTACATTCTTTGGGTATTGTGTATCGAGATTTGAAGCCAGAAAACTGTCTGTTGGACTTGGAAGGCCATGTTGTTTTGACAGATTTTGGTTTATCAAAAGTTGCCATTGACGGCAAAACAAACACAATCTGTGGCACAGCTGAATACATGGCGCCTGAGATTTTGATGGGATTGGAATATGATATTACTGTCGACTGGTGGAGTCTCGGCATCTTACTATATGATATGCTAACAGGATCTGTAAGTTGATCGAATACGAGTCAATCATGGTCAGAATTAAAACCAACAGAAAAGACTAATTCAAGATAATTTTTTTTTTAAAAAAATAGCCTCCCTTCAATTCAAATAATCGCCAAAAAACAATTGATTCCATTTTATCAAAAAAGATACCTATGCCATACTATTTAACACCAGACGCCAAAGACATTTTATCCAAACTGTTACGTAAAAATCCCAATGCACGACTTGGGGCAAAACCAAAACGAGTAGATGCCATTCGTCGGCATAGGTTCTTTCGATCAATCGATTGGGATGCTTTAGAGCGTCGTGAATTAACACCACCCATTATTCCAATTGTAGTAAGTTCTAGCAAACGTAGAGGGGTTTTTTTTCTTTGACTTTTTGTTATTAATACACTCTGTGGTTTTTTTTTTTTTTTCAAGACCGATCCTGAGGCAGCAGAGGTATGGGCATGCAATTTGATAAATAGAAAGGTATGTGTTAGTTGGCTAATGCTTCTATCTATTCCCTGTAGAACTTCGACCCCATATTCACTTCTGAGTTGGTAGTTGGTTCACCCAATATTGAATCACCCTTGGCAGATACAGTGAATAGTCATTTTCAGAACTTTAGCTACGTAGATAAATCTGTATCGATGTAAAAAAAATGTAACAGAAGATATAAGATCATTTACAATGTAAATATCACTATTCTCTTAAAAAGTGTAAAGCAATACAATAATTATAGTAGTAATATCTAATAATAATAATATAATGGATAGAAGTATTCTTTCAAATTGACTCCAATTCTCAGCTTGCATATTATTTGTTGCTTATCGAGTAAGGAGATTACCGATAGATGGGCATTTCGCTTCGTTCTATGTTCATTTCGTTAGACTTCTTCTTAATAACAAAACTGGGAAAGTATTAAGTATTAGTGATGATTAAAAATGACCTGAGAAGATCAGTTGCAACAGAAGATCAGAAAGCATAATGCATTACTTTTGCTAAAGATACAATAATGCCTCGAAAATGATTCACAGGTATAACAGTTACGGAAGGTACGGAAGAAGACAGAGAAAACAATAAATATACTGCGTTTAACGATAATCAAAAAGTTAGCAAGGGCTGTCAGTTCTGTTAATTATGATCGGTAGTAGGAGATATCTCAGAAATCGGGAAGCTGCCGCAATTGATTGATCATAATTAGGCGTTTGCGTTGGCATGGCCATGGGATTGTTTTCCATTGGCGTTAGAGAACGACAATATAAATTCGCCATATCTGATATTTGCTCACTTGCTCGATAGAGAGGTAGTGGTTTATCGGACACTTGGCTTCAATAAAACCAGTCGATGTAATTGTTAAGCATTACAGTCTCTTTTGTATCTATTTTCTAATATCTCCTTGAGTATACGCATGTATCGTTTGAATGTACGAACGCATCCTAGAGAGTGAATAATATCGACCATGAGATAGATCAGAGAAGCCAAATGTTGCAGTTTAGAACACTATATAACTGCTTTTTGCAATCAACAACCGATATGGTAATCTCGATTTCTATGACATCTGTAGCTGTCATTAGCATAATCAGCTACCAATGCCTCCAACAGCATAGGGTTAATTTCGCTTCATAAGACCACTTTTGACTTCTCCGTAGCTTAACAACGATTGAAAATCTGAACAACACATTGTGCACGTATCACTCAAAACTGGCATCTGCACGGTATTTTTCTATTTTTTTTTTTTCTGCTGCTGAACTGCTTCAAGAAAAACGGCCCATTATAACAAATTATAGACAAAGACAAAAAATTTCGAATGAAAAAAAGACAGGTTTTTATTCTTGAGCAATGCGTTGTAAAGACAAATAAAAGTGGCAAAATCCGGTTTTTATTAATTTAGTAAAATGAGTTATAGATTGTTTGACATATTGGCTCATCCTTATACTATAAGCATAAAGACTTAACAGGTGGCACCACGTGTAGGTTTGTCAAATAGCCACCCACACCCGGCCGTCGCCGCCCCAGTTCTGAGGGGATATTAATAGGTGGGTTAAGTTACATTCACGGTCAGGGAACTTCCAAAAGCACCGGCACCCGGCCGTCACCGCCCCAGTTTGCATGTGGGGAAAAAAGAGGTGGGATAAGTTACATTCCCGGTCAAGGAACTTCCAAAAGCACCGGCACCCGGCCGTCGCCGCCCCCAGTTTACCTGTGGGGGTAAGAGGTGGGTTAGGTTACCGTTTCACGGAGGGAACTTCCAAAAGCACCGGCACCCGGCCGTCACCGCCCCAGTTTGCATGTGGGGATATTAATAGGTGGGTTAAGTTACCGTTTTATGGAGGGAACTTCCAAAAGCACCGGCACCTACAAAAAAAAAAAAAAAAAAAAAACTAACCCACCGTATCTAGCCATTATAAAAAGAAGGATACTTCAGTAATCAGACTTATTTGAATGGACATAATAAACGAATAGGTAAATGTTAAAACCAATACTTACACTGAAAAATTGCTGAAAAGAAGTGTTTGAAAAAAGAGATGATGAAGAAAGAAAGAAGAAAACGAAAAAAAAAGAGCAAAAATCAGCTTATTTATAAGAAAAAAACAGGCGTATTTTCTTTCTTAGGGAGGAATTTGCACCGTCTCCATTTTGTTGATATTGCATCTTATTAGCTCTTGTTTACATGTGAATTAAGGGGGTCATCATCATAAGAAGAGAAAAAATTTTTCTTTGCTCTTTCGATGATTGTGTTACAAGATAAGGCGAAAACGTCCAATTTTGGGTATTAATGCAGTTACTTTTTGCAAGTCGTTTTGCAGACCTGTAGCGTCGTCGTAGTAGCGCTTCAATAACTGTGAAAAAAATAGATGCAAATTTACTTTTAACATCTTCTTTGTCTTAAGAAAAGAGATAGTTACTGATGTTGAAGAAATGCACACTTTTTCTCAAAAGACAAATAGACTTTTACATCTGTACAACAGTTTCATATATCCTTGCTTTTTTTACGCCTCCTATATAAATAAACAGCTCTATAAAAAAAAGCTCATTCTATGCATTATGGAAGCTAAGCATAAACTTTATTGGCTATACTATTCTAATTTAAAACAGAATGCTATCTAATCCATCGAAAAAGGCATCCTAATAAGTACCAAAGGACCATAATAGTTTCATAACTTTGTAACACATCTTTAATAAACTCATCAACTCATCAGCAACTCAAGGTCTTAGGGATAAATACCTTCAATTAGCTACTGTAATCTAAAAAAGTAGGGCAGCATTTACACAACACCTCAATAATATACATGAAGCACTAAAACTCTGCCATGCATAAACGTAAATTATCTTTCCTTCTTTTTCCTTGAGTTTTGCAGTTGCAAATCGTTGTTTAACAAAAAAACCTACAACCTTGTTGAATTTGAGTAACTATGTTATTTAAGAATCAATAGCAGAAGCTTGAAAAAACGCATTATCGTTATAATGATCACCTATGATTTCAATCACATACACTACAGCTTTTATCAACAGGTAAGAATGAAAGGATGATGCGAGTCATTTACGTCTTTCGAGCAATTGAGCAGGAGAAGGAAAGCAAAGAAAGAATTAGCTAAGAACATTTCCCTATGTGAGCAAATTTTTTCGGAAGAACAGTATTGTAGAATGTATGCCTGTGCGTATTATTTATTATAGCAGCATCGCAATGTAAAAGGGGGAAAAGCCTACTTCATAAAAAAAAAAGGGCACCTTCTTTGGCCTTCTCTAAAGTGCCGCGAAAGTCAATTGCAGGAAACATAGCCTCCATTTTAAACATGATATAATAAAAGACGATACCTTATGGCATTTATTGTCAATACACCCGGTACTCAAATCAATACACTTTCCCGTAAAAGCTTTAAGTTAAACTATCACTTTTGTCTTTCGTGAATTTATCTGCTGCCTTTTTTCCAGTTGAAGGTCATTGAGGCTCACCGATTAACTGAGAGCAGTGTACTATTCATGGTAGAAAAAAAAAAAAAAAAAAAAAAAAGATATATGAAAGTCATGCTGGCATGAGATCTGCGTGGTAGAATGCATAATGCTCGCAAATCCACCACGCAATTTGCGTGCCACCAGAAAGTGCGTTGGTATAGCCGATGCTAGAACGCAAATTGCGTGCTACCATGTTTAATGCACGGTAGAAATGTAAACGGTGCTGCCCCTCCACCTCCGCCACAATTTTCATTTTTTCCAGAATCAATGGGCGTTAAAGATAATCACTGCTAAACATTACGTAACAAAACAGATGTACTCTTTAAAAACTATTGTAAGTTGTCCATCAATCATGAGAAGTACAGGTGGATGAGATTTATAGCCCGCTAATTGGATAAACGAATTGCGCCATTGATACAGAGAAAAAAGGGAAGAGTTACTAGAACATATGTGCCCGCGAGATTTATTTCATTTTATTTTAGAAGACTTATACAATTGTGAAACTGACACAATTTCTTTCAAGATTCACTAACTACTCATCAAAAAGGGAAATCCAGCTGTAGCTGACATGATTATAATAAATGAACGCTTTGAACTTTTAAAAGCAATTAGCACAAAATTGTAATCCATATGCTTTAACGTTATATAGAAACGAGCAAAACCAGATTTTTCACCTTTTTTACGTCAAACTGTCTTTTCAATGTTTACGTTTTCCTTTAGTAAATTCTGCGTAAGCGGAAATTCTAACGAGCCGTTAAAGATTTGCTTATAAAAGTGTGTTTAGGGAATCACAATTGACGGCGATATACTATGTACAAAATGAATGGTATAAAGATATACATATCCATAGTATATGTATATTTAAAATGGATATGAATAAATAATGGATATTTAAAAGAGGAAGTGCATCATGATCTTCAAACCATGCCTCTCAATATACCCTCTTTACTTGTTACGACAACTTCTTTTCCACCTATAACATTCACGTCAATACCGTGAATTTCATTGAGCCCGCTCCTACTACCATCTGGTGAAGAAGCTCCCTCCGCAACGTTATTTACAGTGCCTGTGATTTCCCCGGTTTCGATATCCATCACCGTCACTTTACCGTCTTCCGTCAGCAAGAATAAAGACGTATATAGAACGTTATAAGCAGTATATCTTACAGGAATATTCCCTGCACGGTTATCCGCATTGAAAGTATCGGTAACATCAACCGTATCAGTAGAAGCAGGAGGAAATAAAGTGGTTCGTTGCTGATGGCTTTCTTCTTGCTGCTCATCCTTATCAAAAGTATGACATAGTAGCATAGATTGATCTTCATTGACGGGTGAGTAAGGCAACTTGAAGCTTTTAGCTTCATTTTGTTCTTTTTCCATTGATAGTTGTGGATTGAATGGTGAAGCGAAAGAAGTTTTAGGCAACTCACTTTTAATCATGTGAATCGCTAATCTAGAAAGTTCTTTTGTTCTTCTCGGCCACCATGGAAATCGATGGAGTATTCCCAATTTTACGTGCTCTGGCAAGCCTTTCATATCGTCTGCCTCTACATCTTTCGTTTCTGTTTCGGCTATGTTATTGCATTGCTGGTCATCCTGTGTCGATCTTTGCTCGGCGTGGTCTTCTGCTAAAGGATCCCACTTTACATTCAATAAATACGATATATCCCAGATTTTGATTTCGAGTTTGCTTCTAGGTCCTTCATTTCGAGTATCTCCAACAGCAATCAACCTTAATCCATGATCTGCCAATGAAGATGTTGCAGTATCACTTGAAGACCAATAAGCAGGTATAACAAATGTAGACTCCAGACCCCAAGGTCTGGCATCTACCTGATCCGTTACAATACCTTCGTCTCCTTCTTGTACTTCTTGTTGCTGGTCTTCTTCCCTTTCTAGCCCCTCAATAATCATATTATCTTCGTTGGTTTCATTCCGTGCAGCATTAGCTACTAAATCTCTTAGATTTCCCCCTAACAATTGTTCTATTTCGTGCATAGTAAAGTCAGCTCCACGCAACGGTTGCCGAACGTCATCGTTTTCAATGACGACATTTAATCCTTGAGCATCAAGGGCTGCTTCTGCTCTTGCTGCTGCTGTGCGTAAGTCATCATTGTTAATGTTATTCTCATTATTCATTGCTGCAGATTCAACTTCATTATCAACTCCTGTTGGCGGAGTCGCTATTTTCCAAGGCAAGGAACCGACTTTCAACCCAAATCGCCAGTCATAAACTGACAATTCGTCGTCGTCATAGGAACCTGTACAGATTAAGTGATTTAACTGTGGTGGGTATTTGAAGTGTATCATGCAGCTGACGGATCGTCCCAAGAGAATTCTTTTCATAATAGATATAGGTCGATCACAAGAAGACGATCGGCTGTCATTGGTGCTACTACTGCTAGTACTGTTGCCTTGAGTGGTCGCCATTGGATTCCCAAATCGGTCTCGCTGTGAAGTACATTGATAAAACTGAAACATACTGACTTCTTTCATAGGCACTAATTCGCGCTTATGTCTGTCCCATACACAGGGCACTCTTGCTGGATCTAATACTTCTTCTCGATAGCTAGAGCGAATATCAAATTTGGCAAGCTGTATACAACCAGTAATTCTCTGATACACAGGTCCCATTGCTAAGACGAATATGGTATAATTAGGATCATAATCGATATGTTCAGGTGATATGATTTTCAGCCAGTCTTTGACCTTTGAAGTAGTTGAGGTTGTTGAAGCTGTAGACATGATGCCGCTGCCACCATGTTTATCACCAATTATATTTTCGTCGTTTAATTGTCCCCAAGATGCTTCAGAGAATAGAAAAACTTCTCTTCCCAGAAACACATCAGAAACTTTAATATGAGCCAAGCATTCCGTTGAGCCATCATCATTCAATTGATATATAAATAGCGAGTTCCATATGTCCACTCTATCTTCTTGTTGCTCACTTAGCGGATTATCCAAAGGTATACCTACTGCAATAGAAAACAATCTAACCTTTTGGTTATTGTGTAATGTCACTGATTGGATGCCAATGATTTGACATGAATGTGTATTTGGTACGAGTTCCAGTTCAAATTTTCTGATTAGTTTCCAAGACGGGTAAGCCCAAAATAATATCATATGCTCAGATTGGTGATCCCGTTTACGATGCTTTCCTGTCGCTACAACACCGGTTTTTGTCACACGATCAATATCTACCACAAGTGGATCTTGTATCCAGAACGGTGTTTTGTCATGAAGTTCAGTCTGAGGCAATGGTGGACTGGAGGAAGTATAAGGGAATGATTCTTCATCTGAATCACCGGCGTGATCAAATGGTCTCCAAGAGCTGTTAGAATCTTGCATATTGCTGTGAATATCAGTGTGAGACAACGGTCTCAAAGAACTAGTACTAACATGGTGCACATTATCATGCAAATGGTTATTGTCGCTGTGTGCTGTGATTCTTGCTCTAGTTCTTCTGACATCTGGGGCAAGAATATCCCCTTCAGTAAACGTTCTTCTTAAAAGAGGCCTTGGTCTCACTCTATCTGGGATATCCTCTTCTTCTACTACTACCATATTTTGTTCGTTGTTGGCTTCCATAAGCCATTGGAATTTTCGCTTTCTATTAGGTTCTCTTTGTAATTCCACTGCCCTCTTATTTTCTTCTTTCACCTCTCTTTGTTCTTCTTCATTTATAAATTTGAATGAAAACTGTTTTGTTGATTCTTGCTGTTTTATCAAGTGTATCACATAATCTCTCCAATTAATAAGGTCGATCGAGTAAAATACATTCTTCGACCATGTAGGATACTTATATTTGAAGACAAAATACCATAGCTTTTGATCCTTAGCAATTCTAAAAGTAGTATAAACAAAAATCGTTAGCTACTAAATATACTTTTTACTCTCTCTCTGTCTTTTTCTTGCTCTCTCTTCTTCTTCTTCTCAGATTGTCTGTGGAGTAATCCATAACTTGATCAATTACATGTTAAATCGCTTGCATACTCGTTCGAGCCTGCTGAGTTGCTTAACGTTGTGAGTGAAGTATGTGAACGTTTGTAATAAGAGTTCGTCGGGTAGTTTATCCATAAAACAAATGCCAACAGCAGTATGGAGGGAATCTCTGCTGCATTTCAAAGACTTGCTGTCGTTGCTGCTTTGATTTGAAGGACTAACGGATGTAGTCATGTTCTCAATTGGGTTGTCGTCGTCCTTATTGTTAAATCTTATCTTATTAGGGGAGAACAAAGTAAGTGTTTCTTAGATACACGCTGTAGCGAGAAGGAAAGATACTGTGACAAGAAACGAATTTAAAAGACGAAAAGGAAAACTGAAAAGAGAGGGGGGCAACAATTTTATTCTCCTCCATTCCTCTGCAGAGTGAATTGGAAACTGTAACACCTAATGGTGGTATGACTTTACCGAAATCAATCAATATCGTAGTAACATACTCATTCGTTTGAGTAGTAGTCATCTTTAGACAACAAAAGTAATCGTAGCAACCATGAATATCTCACTTGTTTCCTTAGAATGAACTTACACATGCTGTTATGAAACCAAGGGAAGCACAGATATAGTATGTTCATTTAATGCAACCTTTGAAGACAGACAATATGTTAGCGTCAACTTGAATCTTGATTATCTCTTCAGACTTGTTTTATTGTTCTCCTTTCAATTATGATCAGTGTACACATGTTGTAAAGAAGCTGACCTTGGAATTACTCGCATAAATAGGTTGGGCCCTCAGCGTTTTTTTTCCTATGGCGGCATTTAAACGGATTTCATGCAATACAACAGCAGCGGTCGTCGGTAAGAAAACAATATGTATGTTCTTCGATGTTTCATTCTTGTTGGCTTTTCTTGAATATGTAGGATTGTTGACTCTGCATAGCAACTAAGCATATGAAGCAGGTCTATTTAGGCGGTTACATTATATAAGACAGTTACATACGGCGCGTACTATCAGAAAAAGCAGCCTGTTCTACCGATCAAAATAGCCAGTTCAGACATCCCGCTCCCACTTTGATCTGAAAATTAAATGCTTCGCTCAGAAATCTTTCTGTCAACATAGATAGCTTTGAAGGGTTTCATAATTTAAAAAAAGGCAAACAAACTCCCTGTAATTTATGATCACTCCTTTTCCCATTATCCAAATTGTATACAGTCTGCCCTATTCACGTTTAAAATAGGAATTGATAAAAACTGTTTATTGCAACTCTTGCTTGATAAGAAAACAATGCCTCCTTGTCTGTATTTTATAGAAAGCGCTTTTCATAATGCATATTTTACAGGCCCTCTAAGTTGCGAAAGAAAGTTGGACATAGTAGAATTGCCTAAGGTTTGAAAAGACGGATTTCAAAATGATTATATGATGCAAGCCCAACGTCAAAGGAAATAGCACTGTCTTACTATCGATAATTTGCAAACACAAGACACTGAATCTCAGAGTTTCTAACAACCCCTTTAGAATTGTCATGGATCTTTCCCTGCCATGAATTTCAGTCAATTTTTCTATTAGGTTGCTAGTATGAGGGGTTTTATTTTCGTCAATATGTTCTTCCACTAAAAACGAGACATCTCTGATTTTGTCCCGTAGATTACGTTTAGATATTGCCAGTATGCAAAATTTATATTTTACATATTAGATAAAGTATGCATGGATCTCAAATGAACTTTTTGTTTTAGTTGGTTAATCTCAATTCGAAGGGTGGAATAAAAGTATATCTAGCATAATTGCCACCTTTTGGTTTCATAAGTGCGAGTAAGTTGCATTTCTCAATATGAAAACCATGGCTGTTAGGATCAACTATTGCGCATATGTGCTCCTTCTACCAACATCTGCTTGAAGTAGGAAGAGCTCAGTTCATTTTATTCTCAGTGTATACTCTTTTCATCAATGGCCTCCAAGTCGACACCATAATAATAATTGCTCCAGTGAATATTGGGATATTTATTATTCTTCCTTAGAGATTTCTTCAAAAGCAGCCGATGCGTTTGAGAAGGTAACGATTACCACAAACAAAATATGCAACTACAGTCGTGCATACAGTCTACTTTGGTCTGATACAAACTATATTTTATGCAAACTACATGATAATGGTCTGAATTTGACAGATACATACATACGTAACTTCTTTTGGAGGCACGTTTCCACTTATGAACTGTTACTGATAAAAATTGCCCGATTGAAAACTCTAATCCTGCTTAAGTTAACTGTTCAATCTTTCAATTTTGCATAGTTTATTTTTGTAAACGATACTTTTCGATTAAATGAACCTAAAACATAAGCCAATAAGTCCACTTGATGAGAGCCTTTGTTACTAGTTCCTCCCTACCCTTGCTACATTAGCTATTTCATAAGCCAATATTATGATTGAGGAGCAATGATGGATACGCAAGCACGCAGTATGGACTCCTGTTGGCCTTTCTGCTAAATCTATTTTGAGATGGGCAAGTTGAATGTCGCAAGTCCTCGGAAATGGCTGTAGGGATCGCACGGATCTATTTTTAAAACAGACAGCTAAAATTGCAAAATGACCTCTTCCTCGGAACAAATAAAGTGGCATTCACAGCCATTAACGAGTTACTTTAATCAACCGAATGTCTTCCGCGGAATGCTAAAATAAACCAGCATTTTAACATCATGTATCATTTAATGACTTAGACATGGATTTTTCGTATATAAATAGGGCCACTTCGCTTTTCAAACAAACATTTCCTGTCTATTTTTCACCCAACAATTCTTATTCACCATTCTGTCGCTACTTTGGCTAACTTCTTCATCCGTTTTTGAATTCTTGAGAGATCGAATCACCCACTATCCCAGCAAGAACAACATGACTATCATCACTACAAAATCCGCTGAACTTTATACAATTTCCGCCAATACCATTGCTTGCTCCACACCTTTTTTTGAAGAAGCCTTGTTTGACGGTAGCAAATATCTTTCACCGGAAGTGCAAGCCAATCTACACGAAGGTTACCGATTGTATCCTCTTCGATCCATGGACTATGACAGAGGGTATCTTGACGTGCTATCCGTCTTGACTGAAGTGGGTCAACATACGAGAGAGAGCTGGAACAGCCAATTCCAATTTATGAAAAAACACAATGATACTTATTTTACCATCACCATTACTGACGAGAAGACAAACCGTATTGCTGCTACTGGTACCATCTTGATTGAGCACAAATTTGTTCACTTCAATGGTTGTGTGGGTCATATTGAAGATATTGCTGTTGATGCCTCGCATCAAGGCAAAAAATTGGGTCTTCGCGTCATAGAAGCACTGAAGTATATTGGACAAGTCAATGGCTGTTATAAAGTCATTTTGGATTGTAATGTCAATAACATTCCATTTTATGAAAAGTGCGGTTTCACACCCAAAGAAAGTCAAATGGCATGGTATATTCCTCAAGACAAGCCTCACTTGTAGAAGTAGAAAGCCTAAACCATTTAAACAAGTCAACAAGATATTATATCAATATTTCAAACTTGTCCTAGATACCCCTTCCACACCTCCGCCTTCTCTCATATAATTATTACATATTTATTTACCATTAACAATCATGTATTCTAATTAATCTCTCGCAATCCGACCCACCTCCTTATGGAATACGCAACTCCTAAAGTGTCAAGTTCGTATTTTGCACAATGCACAATAAAATGCTACTATACATGTTTGCAGTTTATCTATGATTGCTGGTTTTTTTCGAATGTAAGTGATATTGATCTGATCATTCTTTAATAAAGGCGCTATGGATCAGCGAATAGGAAGGGCCCATTCTCAGCAACATCAAAAGAATGATGTGAACACGACCGTTCATGGAAAAATCCTAATTGTGAAAATTCAAATTTTTGCTTTTCTTTTTTATTTTCCCAGTTTATTCAAACTACTAAAAGACAATGAACCCTATGAAAGGTCATAAACAGCAGCAACAAGGGCAGGATACAGCTGCTTTAACAGGCGTCTATTCAAGTACGGGTTTTGACATGATAAATATACTTGTTCGACTTACCCAAAGGTTTCGTAATTTTCACACCCCACACACACAAAAAAAAGTGACTCTAACTGCTGCATAAAATATAACATATCACTCAACAGATAATTAACATTGCCCGGGAATAGGTCAAACCCACAAATTCAATTGGGACCCGTGGATTTATCTTGTTCTTTTGTTGTATCTGATGCGAATGCATTTGATCAGCCTGTCGTATATTCTTCGCCGGCGTTTGAACGATTGACAGGTTATACAAACAGTGAAATTGTTGGTAGAAATTGCCGCTTTTTACAGAGCCCTGATGGCCAGGTAACATGTGGTTCCAGAAGGCAACATACAGATAATGAAGCAGTATTTTATGTGAAATCACAACTGAATCAAGGAAAAGAGCATCAAGCAAGCATTATTAACTACCGAAAAGGTGGACACGTAAGTACTAGGAACATGTTTATTTTTGATGAAGCCAATAAACGAGCTCTACGTCATTAAGTGTCCATGTTCAGCCTTTTGTCAATTTGATTACGATTGTGCCTCTTCTGGACGCCTTTGGGAAGATCGAGTATTATGTTGGGCTTCAAGTGGATTTAGTAGAGCAACCCAATGCCATTTTAGAAAGAATGCAGAGTAAGCAAGCAAAAAACTTTATTGAATCAGCATAGGTTCAGCATTACTGATAAGATGAATTGCCTATCAACGTAGATGGGACCTACGTCATGAATTATAGCCTGCCAGTACATTTTGCTGACTATCCATCCCCAAGTAGGGTTTGTTACAAAAGAAAAAAATGTTTTACATTTGATATTTGCCAGACTGACTTACGGATTTCCTGTTCCAGGAAACCAACAATATAGCAATGTTACTCAGGGCATGCGTGACGTAGTAGATACTTATTTCCAAGAATTGCCAACTGGAAAAATAAGCATCGGCTCTAGTAATAACAGCTTGCTCATACAGCAACAGCATGTTCCGAGTAGTATCAATCTACTGCCGCACACATCAACAGCAACAACAGCAGAAATGGATGCTGATACGGTACAGAAAGAATGGAACCATCTTTTACTCGAAGAAAGCTGCGATTTGATACATGTAATATCACTCAAAGGAACCTTTTTATATGTGTCTAATGCCAGCTACTCTTTACTCGAATACGAACCGGCAGAACTACTAAATCAGTCCCTTAGTACCATTTGTCATCCGTCCGATATCGTCCCCGTCATGCGTGAGATCAAAGAATCCACAGCATATCCAGACAGAAACATCTCCCTCTTATTTCGTGTCCGCAGAAAATTTTCCGGATTTATCTGGATGGAATGCTTTGGACAGGTCCATATGGATCAAAGCAGGAGCAGAAAATGTTTGATTCTATCAGGGAGACAGATATCAGTGTACGCGCTGGCAAAGAAAGCATTGATGCTGCAACAACCAACAACCCACAAGAAAAAAGAAGAATTTTGGGCCAAGCTTTCGGTAGCAGGTCTATATTTGTATGTGACAAAAGGATGTGAGAAAGTAGTTGGTTATTCACCATCGTCACTAGAGCAAGAATCTGTTTTTCAATATGTTGATACCTCCGAAATAGTTGATGTCCGAAAGGCATTGGAATGGATACAATACGATACTATGGCAGGCCGAGAGCAGGAAGCCGTAAGGCTATCGCATACATTCCTGAATGCGAAAGGGAACTATGTGCCTGTGACAAGTACTTTCTGTCGAGGAGACGCGTTAAGTAACAACTCGACGGATGTTGAAGGTAGACTTCAAGCTTCATTTATTTTAATGCACGTCCAATTACAAGACTCGACGGCCGGTAATGGTGGCATGACTACGAACAACGAAATATCGACGACCAAGTTGGCGATGATTGCCTATCCTACTAATAATGCAAAACATGAAAACTTTTTTGCAGAGTTAGAAACGACCAGAGGTACGAGTTGGCAATATGAGCTGCACAAATTACAAAGTTTAAACGAGCGTCTCAGAGATAAAATATCAAATTATAACAAGCCAAACACTCGAACATGCCAACGAAAAAGGGTAAACGTTTTTAAGCTTGTATCACTACTTTTATGGCGAATGTGATGAAAGTAACCACAATGAACTCCTTTCCATTTTAGCAGAAGGGAACGAGTACCAACAATGACAACAGGTATGGAGTACAGCGAATCTGCGCCAACTGTCAAACAACCGAATCACCTGAATGGCGAAAGGGCCCCCGTGGCCCGAAAGAGCTGTGTAATGCTTGTGGAATACGATATTCCAAATTTTTATCACAAAAGTAAAATAAACAGGCTTAAAAACAGTAGCTGCTGGGAAAAGCTATTGGATGGATTTAGAATAGCATCCTTCTAATAATGGACTGAATTCCATAGCGTAAACTGCAGTTCTATCTGCTAGAATCCTACACAGATGGAGGGCTGTTGGTAGAAGAAGGCAGCTTCTGTGAACAGAGCTGCGGTGGATCTCTTTTATAATTTTCCTTTTTGCCATATACGGAAATTCAGGACATGATGGAATGAATTTTAGCCGATGAATCAGATACTTTCTTGTCTATCAAAACCAATGCATTTGAAGGTCATTGAAGTGATGCGATCCGTATGAAAACAAACATGCAAAACGGTTGAGGACAACAACTGGCGATGATAACAGCCGTAGCAACTATCTAATTTGACAGGATCAAGTGACAAGCAGCTTCAGCAATGAGAGCTTCCCTTTGTGTACAGTTTTAACGTGACGGGGAATTTCTGAGTCATGATACGCAAGACCATTTTCCGGTTGCCAAAAAAAGAAAAGAATATAAGGAAAAAAAAAAAAAAAAAAAGAAAAACCAGTCAGAGGACGACTTTTTAAGACGTTTCTATTACACGAACTGTAAAGCACTATATGCACTTTCAATGAAAAAAGTTGTGTCAGAAATGATGCTTATTATCTTTCAGTCGATGTAGCTTTTTCATACTCTCGTGTACAGATTTGCTTTTCATTTTTTTTCTTTCAGTTTCGCTGATGTCGGTGATCCAAATTGATTCTTATCCAATGATAACCGTTAGAGCCTTTTTTTTCTTATTCGATCCATTGGATTTTAGTCGCCGCTCCATGAGTCAAAGTAACGTACCTTCCCCTTTTTACCGTTGGTTTTTTTTTTTTTTTTTTTTTTTTTGTGATCTTTCTATTAGCGTATAACTGTCTTTTCATTCTTTCATTTTCTTTTCTTTTTCCTTTTTTTTTCTCTTTTCCCCAGTCAACTTCGTTTTTCATTTCAATATGTGCGGTATCTTTGCTGTTTGTAACTATCAAGGCGATGTCGATGCTTATCGTCAACGTGCCCTTTACCTCTCCAGAAAGTAAAGTATCGAATGATCATACCTGCAGTCACAACAGTAGAAGCAGAACTTTGTCATTGACACCTATCATTTCTTTTCAATTGTTAATCCATAGAATCAGACACCGTGGTCCTGATTGGTCCGGTTGTCACGTTGCTAAGAACAACATCTTTTGTCACGAACGTTTAGCCATTGTTGGTGTTGGTAAGTTTGAGAGCAAGCAGGAGAAGGGAGAGAGTTTTTTTGTAAGGCACACAATATGAGCTACTGCACAAGCAGTGTTCATGTGTACATAGAAGAGAGTTTGTGTGTAGACGAGTGAAAGATATAGGCGGATGAAGCTAATTCTTTCTCTTTCTTAAAAAAAAAAAAAAAAAAAAAGATTCTGGTGCTCAACCTCTTGTCAGCGAAGATGGCAACCTTGTCCTTTGTGTCAACGGTGAAATTTACAACCACAAGCAATTAAGAAAGCAATTAAAGAAATCACACACATTCCAAACACATTCTGATTGTGAAGTTATTATGCACTTGGTAAGTAGAATAATGAAGGGCTATCGCGTGTGGGCGTCAAAATAGAACATTTCCGGTGCTAACTTATCATCTCATCCTTCTTCTTCGCCCACAACAATACAAAGTATGATGAAATGGGTACCGATCTTGTTCAACATTTGGATGGTATGTTCTCCTTTGTCCTCTTAGACGTCAAGCGCAACCGTGTCATTGCTGCTCGTGACCCTATCGGTATTACCACTCTCTACTATGGTTGGAACTCCAAAATGCCTGAAACCGTTTATTTCTCCTCTGAATTGAAGTGCTTGAACGAAGAATGTGACAAGATTCTTTCTTTCCCTCCTGGACATATCTATGATTCTGAAACTAAGGAAACCACCCGTTGGTTCAACCCTACCTGGTGGGATGGAGAAAAGATTCCTACCAAGCCTGTTGACTATAAATTGTTGAGAGAATCTCTCGAAAAGGCCGTTCGTAAGAGATTGATGGCTGAAGTACCTTATGGTGTTTTATTATCTGGTGGTCTTGATTCTAGTTTGATTGCCTCTATTGCTTGTAGAGAAGCTGAAAAGATTGCAAAGAGCGGTGAAGCAGAAGATGAAGATGGTTTCGATAACAGTAAGTACAGGACGATGAAAACAAAAGTTGAAAGCGGGGAGGAAAAACAACCTACTAAATGCTTACCCTTGATTTTTTAAATTGATAGGCGGTCCTAGATCTTGGGGTGGTGTCCATTCCTTCTCCATTGGTCTTCCCGGCTCCCCTGATTTACTCGCTGCCAGAGAAGTTGCCAAGTTCCTCAAGACCATTCACCACGAATATACATTCACCATTCAAGAAGCCTTAGATGCCGTCAGCGATGTTATTTATCACCTTGAAACCTACGATGTCACTACCATTCGTGCTTCTACTCCTATGTATCTTTTATCCCGTAAAATCAAAGCCATGGGCGTCAAGATGGTATTGTCTGGTGAAGGTTCTGATGAAGTCTTTGGTGGCTACCTTTACTTCCATCAAGCCCCTGATGCTGCCTCTTTCCATACCGAATGTGTCAACCGTGTCAAGAACTTGCATACCTCTGATTGTCTCCGTGCCAACAAGTCCACCATGGCTTGGGGTCTTGAAGCACGTGTTCCTTTCCTTGACAAGGAGTTCTTGGAAGTCGCTATGAACATCAACCCTGAAGAAAAGAGACCCAGCATTGCACAAAAACGTATGGAAAAATACATCATCCGTAAAGCCTTTGATACCTCTGACGATCCTCAAGCCAAGCCTTATTTACCTGAAAACATCTTATGGAGACAAAAGGAACAATTTTCAGACGGTGTCGGTTATAGTTGGATCGATACTTTGAAGGCAGTGAGTCAAAACAAAGTGTCTGACGAAGAATTGGCACAAGCTGGTTCCCGATGGACCAAGGACACACCTGATACAAAGGAAGCTTATATGTACCGTGTCATGTTTGAACAATGGTTCCCTCAAGCTGCTTGTACTGAAAGTGTTGTTCGTTGGATTCCTCGTGCTGATTGGGGTTGTCCTTCTGATCCTTCCGGTCGTGCTCAAAAAGCCCACGAACAAGCCTACGTTAAGGATAGCAAATAAATGTAATCTCTCTCGCCCTCCTTTGTTTTTTCTTTGCTTATTTCAGAAATGTAGTCTATTGTATATTTATGTAAAGTAAACAAAGGAGACTTAGAATACATTTCTCTTTATTATATTAATAGACTCTTCTTATATTTATTTGCTTCTCCAAACAAAACAAAACAAAAAAAAAAAATGTACAGAAATAAAAAGTAATTATGCTCTTTTCCTTTTATAAATCATGGCGTTATTGTCTGCAAACACGCAGAATCACGCAGTCTGAATGGAGGAGAAAGTTGGCTTTTTCTGGCAGAGTGCCTTTACAGTAGAAGCAGAGATGTTAACAAAGGTTTAAAAAGGTAAAACTCGTCGTACTTTGAAATGCTAATATGACCAAGGGAGGATTTTCTTTTATTATTATCACACGAGGATATAATAGTGAATGTATACTATGTATAATGTGTCAAGTACATATATATGTTGAGCATAAGTGCATATATCAAAGAAAGAAAATCTAGGATTATGTAAAGAATGGCAAAAAGTTTAAAAAGTACAGCAGAAAGAACACAAGAAATGTACAAATAAGGTAGTATTTAAGAACAGAGGTATGGATCGTAAGATCAAGGATGATTTTTTATCTGATGATGATGGAGGGTAGTCGAGAAGCAGAAGAATCTGTTGTAGCTAAGGATAACAAGGATCGTGCCACCTGTTGTTCTTGTGTTGTATCATATTCATATTCTGAAGAAGAGCATTCAGACACACTACTGCTGCTGCTGCTGCTGCTATAGTGATCATTGTGTAATTCTGTTGTTCCTGGACGGCATAGAGTAGTCGACTTGCTGGCGATTGCGGTGTCTAAATCAGATAATCTGGCTACTGTGTTTGATAAAAGCTGAGATAAGCGACTTACTTCACTTTTGAGTGATTCGCGGTGGAGCTGTAATGCTTCGATAGAAGTATCTTCATTCTTTTGCGCTAATTTGAATGGTGGTGGTGGTGGTGGTGGTGGTGACGATGGTGTACAATGACTGTGAATGGATGATAGCGGTAAGATATTTCGTAAGGTTTGTTTGAGAGGAGGTAAAGTGATATAGTGACGGTTCTCTTCAGTTGGAGAGAATAAATGCTTGTGAACGAATGGATCTCCGTTGTTATCTTCCACCATAGAAGAAGGAGTAGGAAGAGGAGGAGGGTATAAAAATGGAAGTTCTGGGCTATTATGTAGACTATTGGTAGCTTCAGTACTGTTACTGCTATTGCTGCTAGGGCTATAATTTGTTCTATTGTGATGATTGATTGGGCTGAGTTCTTTTTGAGGAGAACGGACTAATGGCGACGAGGTAGTTTTACGGATAGAATGAGGTTTCTGTTTCGGCGAATGGATTGTGTATTTCTTGATTTTTCTCAATTCTTGATCGTCAGATAAGTCAGCAAGATTGTTGGAAGTATTCGAAGGTGGAGGTGAGTTTGGAGAGCAGCGTTTTCTACGACGGATCACCGTGCGCATCATTGTAGGAGGTCGATGAACATGATGCAACTTGTAATACAGGCCACACGCATTGCAGATAGTCTTTCCGGCTGCATCTCTTCTCCACAGCGGTGTTGTCGTGGCTTGACAATTTGCACACACCATATTTTCGTTTTTTATTGTCGTTGTAATGCAGGAATTGGAAGCATCCAAGATGAATGCATTGCTGCTATTACTGCTGCATTGTGAGGACAAGCCGTGTGGTCGTTGATTTGTCTCGTCTTCTAGAATGCTTGTGTACTCGTTACCGAAAGAGCACTTATCGCACACAGGTCCTTTCCCACTTTCACGTCCCCACAGTTGAGGACGGAATAGTGTCTGGCATTCAGCACAGCGAGTAAGAGATCGCTTACGAGCTTTCGTTTGATGCTGATGCTGTCGTTTTATATTATTGACAGGCTTAACTTGAGTTGCAAAAGTGAGCATTGGAGTTTGTGTGGGCGTTAAAGAATCAAGAAAAAAAAAAAAAAAAAAAAAAAAAGAGAAAGATGAAAGGAAGAGAAATGGGATTTTTGCAGCCTTTTGTTCTATATCGTTAATGATAACAAAAATAGGTTCTGGGATACTTTCAATTTGACGTTACATTTCACCCCTCAAAAAGGGCAAACGATAGATAATACTATCCAATTACAAACACGCAACTGATCTATAATGTTCCCACAATAAGTTAAAAAATTGGGGGACATTCCAAATCATTATAGACGGTTTGACGGACGAGCCTTCTATATTTTTCATAATCAATCGACATATATCCTTTCCATTTTATACAGCTTTGATAGGTCCTAAACGCAAAGAAATAGCCAATCGTAGGGTCGATTTGTATTATAAATGCTCTACACATCGGAAAAAATGTAGATCTCTAAGCCCACTCGTTCGAATCGGTCCTATACTTTTTAGCTCCTTGTTGTTCAAAAGTGGGCATATGATACACCACCCCCCAGGTTTGCCGAAAATATAGGCTTTTTCATATATTTAAAAAGATAACAAATTTATCTCGATCATCCAAATAAAGCAATAAATTGAGATTTTTTTCTGCTCCATGTGGGGAAATTATACATTTGCAAAAATATACCCTTTGCCTGTCGTTTTAATGCCCATCCGCAAAAATCCAGTTTTGCACACTTCTCAAACAAGGAGGCATTTGACCATCATAGACTAACAGCCAATTTAACTTTGAGTGCTATATTGCTAGATTGCATACGATCATGTCATTAGACTCAATTCGACTGTATTTACTTGATTTAAAATCGCTATATCAAAAGAGAAGGGATAAAAAAAACCCAATGTTAAAGACATACAGATTAGATTGAGCACACCAGAGCATATTCCGTTAAAGACGTCAAAACCGAGCTGATCTTCAGTTTCTCTTTTGGTACTGAAGAGGGCTTTAAGCGAGATGTTTTTAGCTCGAGTAGAGTTGGTTTGACGGTGCGTTGCCTTTATGAGAATTGTTTATAAACTCTAAGATAAATACGAAATTATGAAGGTGTCCGAGACTTACTGTTGAAGCAGCTCTACTTTAAAAACGTAAATAAAAAAAGACAGCAAAAGCCAATGAAACAAATATAAAGTGTACCATGACTATCTATGCATTAGCTAACGTGCACTATTCACTTCGTTCATTGCCCAGCAATGTCGACGAATGAAACGGCATCATAGTGCTTGCAAAGTCAAAACTAGTTTGAACTCCAACGTTCACTTGATCCCAGCGTTTCATCTCAGCATCAGCCTTTACATCTTTTAATTCTTGCTCCAGTTGTCTTTGCTTCCCGAGTTCTTTTAAAACAGCTTCTGTATGAGTATCCTTCACTGTAGACATCAATTCACGAAACTCCTTTCTTAAGCTGCTCTCCTTTATTGTCAGTACTTGTTGATCTGCTATTTGCTTTTCCAGCTGTAACTTCTCTTTATGTAACCCTTCAATTTCATCTTCAAATTTCTTGCGTTCCGTGTTAAAATCCACAATATTCCGTGTAAGTCGATCATACTCTTTTAGAAGACGCTCTAATTCAGCCTCTGTACTAGCAGATTGTAGCATGAAGGCAGATTCTCGCGTTGTGTATATGTGTTGTGCTTGTCTAAAGGCTTCACGCAGCTCTTCAAGTTGTTTCACAGAATCTGCTTTTGACATAACGCCTGCGTTATCATCAACATTCGCTGTGACAGATACTTTTTTATGCATCTCAAACTTGAGCTTCTCTTCCTCAAATGTTCTCCTTTCAGCATGCAGCCGCTGCTTTTCTTTTTCGATCTGCTGTTTAGACTGTTTCAGAAACTCTTTTTCTTTCATCAGTGATGCTCTTTGACTCTTTATATCATCCTTCTCTTCCTCTATTAAACGTTTCATATGTTCAATCTTTTGCTTTTCTTCCAGTAAAGCTTGCTTTTCAAGCTCGGCAGTCGCTGCTTTCTTTTCTTCAGCCTCTTTTTTGGAAGCCACAGCCTTTTGTTGCTGGTTGAGACTCTTCACTTTCTGCCTTTCAGCCATATATCGATCTACCAATTTAGTGACAGCTTCTTTATAATCTGTACTACTACTTTCATTATCGTTATCAAAGACGATATTGCATTTCTTCAATATGAGTTGCTCTGTCAATGTCCAAGTATGTTTTTCTGCCGCATACTTGTCTGTCACTGCCGTCAGTTCTTTTTGCTTTTCTTGATAATGCAGCTCTAGTTGTGCTACTCTTTCCCTCTGTTGTTCAATTTCCTGCTTGTGTTTTCGTATCTGTTCTTCTGCTGCCTCCTTCATCTTCTTTGACTGCTCAGTGTTTTCTGCGGCTGATGTATTAACCAATGCTTCAAGAGAAGCTATCCGTTCTATCAACGATTGCCGTTGCTTGGCTTCTTGCTGCAGTTGGCTTTTAAGACAGACGATGGTTTTCTCATCTTTCATCAGTAGATTGCGTTGTGAACGACTGCGTTCGAGTTCCATGACTAAATGAGCGCTACGTTCGCGTTGGCGAGCAAGCTCTTCTTCAGCTGCAGAAATGGGTGGGTTTCTTTTGTTATTACCATTCATGAGTTTCTCTTGTTGCTGTTTTCTGTAACAAACTCTTAATTTTTCAAGTGCTTGTTCAATTTTTTGTACCAACACAGAAATGCCACTGTTAGCCGAAGGGCTTGATGACAATCCTCCCTCTGCACCGCTAAACCCAAATGTGACAGCTGTGGCTGCTGTATCAACAGTATCATCATTGGACAATACAGAGTTAGACGCCGAGGACCAAGAGGACACAGAAGAAGCGCAAGAGGTTGATTTCATCGACGAAGAACTGACAGTCAGTTGCTGCTGTTTTATAGTCACCTCAGTCTCATGATGAACCTCCTCTTGTAGAAGCAATTCTATTTTATTTAGGATATGCGTCAATATAGCAACTGCTTCTTCATTGTTAATTCGATTTTGATGGTGCAGTGCTAATGTGCCAGCCAAATGTTGGAGGTACCGTAGTTCCATGTTATGGACAGACTGGCTAGTGAAGAAGAGATCATCCAATAATGCAGAGGCTTGTTGACTTGTTTGCTGAACATCTTTTAAAAACTGCAATAAATCATCTTCTTCGCTGTCAGCCGAACAAAAACTACTAGGGTTGTGTGTTTTATACATATCATTGCCGCTGTTCTGAAGCTTCAGTAAAGTAGCTGACGCACGTTGAGTCTCTATGTGTATTCGAATACGCTCATACAAGGATCCTAATACGGGCTTCATTCTCGTTAATTTCTTTTTTTTTTTTTTTTTTTTTTTTGTGGAAGCAATGGACGGGGGTTAGCAGGCAATGGTTCTCTTTTTGAAAGCTCAGAAAAAAATAATATATATATATATTCTATCATCTCAAAGAAACACTACCTTTTTTACTTCTTCGGCTTCCGTAAAACTTATCGTTTCAAACTGTAATGCTGTCACGACAGCATGGGAAGTATTTAAATCTTGTGTTATCTTCTCATAATCCTCTACGTTAAGAACGGTATTGGCTTCTACATTAGATCTGCAGATATTTGTATTATGGATGCTTGTGGAGATAGTATCTGTGTATTGCCTCCATGGTAAATCGCTTTCCTCCACCTCTTTGACCTTTCTAAAGACTGATATTGTAGGTGTGGATTCGATCGAAGCTGCTGCTGCTGCTGCTGCTACAATGTCAGTGCCAGCGCTATTTTCTACTGAAATTGATCTACTCATTTCATTCGGTTTGTGTATCTGTTGTCTTTGTTCTGCTGGTTTATTTTTCTCAATTATACGGGTGATATCTGCTTTATCATCATTGACCACGATAGATGCTGTTTTCTTTGTAGACAGTTGCTTTCGAATGTATGGAAATTTCTTATTATCGCTACTGCTGCGAACTTGATTGACAGTGACATGCTGTTGACTATATTGCTGCCGCTTGTTCACATTCTTCGTGCCGTTATTTTTATCCGCTGATAGCTGATTTGACAATGGGGATGCAGTAGTATGCGTATCCTTCCTTAAAGCGAGTTTGCTAGCTGCAGTTGCAGCCATAGTGCTATCAGATAAACCGGTCTTCGACTGATCTTCAGTACCCCTTAGTGTAGAGTTATTACTGTGGCTCGGCTCTGCGGCTGTAAGCTTAATAATCGCTTTGTGATTTCTTAACGAGTTTGTGCGAATGGGTCTCTCAATACTTTTTGTCTTGGTTAAAACGAAGAAGAGGCAATATTCATATTCGATGAGAGTCGTCCATAAAAACGAGATAAAGGGCAAGTGATGTATATGTTAGTAATTGAAGCGCATTGATCTGTACGCAATAGGATAATAATGCGAACTTTGAGCTAGACTCTCCCCAAGAAAAAAATCTTACCAGAACGTCGGTAGTATTCATTTAAAGAAGAGTTACGTTATATGTTCCCAAAGACAGATATGGATTAAAAGAATGTAAAGAGGCGAAAAGAAACATTGAAGAAAGAAAAGGATAAGGAGATCCAAGCAATAACGAACCGTATATAGGTAATAAATAAGCGTCTCGTTTGCAACTTGATTTTTTTAAATATGATTTTATTTTTCATATATTAACTTGCCATTTCAAGCAATCTTTTACAATTCCCGCAAATTTGTCACTACAATCTTCCTCAGCAATGCCCTTACTTTATCATCGCTGGCAATAATGGTAGTGCTTTGCCCATCCATCATTATCCGTGCATTCATGTCCTCAGGTAGCTCAATGCGAACTACGCCGTTTGTATCTTTTGTTATATTCACCGGGATGGAGTACTAAAACAAATTATATCAGATTTACCACGTATACCATCTCCTTTCTTCAGTCTTTTTGAGTTGTCTCCTTATTTTTTTACCTCTTCAAACTTCTTCATAATAGTGCTCAACTCTATGTTTAGCTGGTAATCACTTTGGTTATTCAATACCACAGATTCGTCGTCCTCTAAATTGAGACTAGGTTGAATTTCCAGGCGGTTGTTGTAGTAGTTTAGAGTGCCTTTGATGGATGCCCAGGCAGACATGGGCACTCTGCCATCCTGACTTGGTAGCATCGTGGGTTCAATGGTCCTTGCCAACTGTTTGAAAAAAAAAGCAGATTAAAATAAGGATTTAGGGAGCTTTACTTACTATGTACGCGCAACCATAATCGTCAAAAGGCATCATAATTACCTTTTCGCTCACAGACACTCTTTCCCAGTTCCTATTAATATCAATACTAATGACTTCCCCTGGTTTAAAATATTGCACTTGTGTCATCTTATTTTCCATTGTTTCAATGGGCGATTCACTTATATGACTGTGCATTATTTTGGGAAGCAATAAATATTTAATGTTGTTTTCATGATGATGCCAATGAGGAATGCATAAGGGTGGTATATCTTGTAATCTCAAGCGCGTATCCAGAGGTATATTAATGACGCTCATTTTACAGTAAGCGGGTATATAATCTTCATTGAAGTGAGGTGTATCAGGATCTGATGTCGTCAAGGGAACGAATAAAAGAACATGCTTTGAATATTCTGAAACTTCCTCAACGTACTAGTGAAAATGCCTTTTTCTTACCTATCATTGCGCACATATTCATTTCTGAATCTCCCCAATGCTTTAAGAACCACGATAGAAAACCTTTTTGTGGACAACTAGAATCACCTGTAAACACAATGCAAGGCTTGCGCAATAATTTGTTTGTAGTTGAAGTTGTAGTCGCTTCCAATGAATTGACGGTTACCACACCTCCCGTAGCCATGAGTCCACCGTGCGCCAATGGCATTTGCGGTAGATACAATAAATCATGACGACCAGCGTTCATCCATTCACCGCAAATATTAGCATATTTCAAACTTTGATCAGCAATAGGACTGACGACGTAAATGGGCGTCTGGTGTTGTTCACCACCTATTTCCATACCAATCGATCTGAAATATTCATTGATATCACCGATCAGATCAAATAAAAGACCAGTAGAAGGTGTTACAATAACAAAATTGCGTTGGGCCTGTATTGTACGTGCTATAAAATCATCATTTATGAGTTTCTTAATGCTTCTTCGTTGCCCCATACTTCTTTCAGTATTTACCGATTTGAACCAATAATTTTGACTTGGCCTTATCAAAGGACGATGAGGAGCCCTCTTCTTGTTCTTCATCTGCTATAGACGTCTCATTTAAACCGCCGACAACAACCACGTCCGCATTTTCTAGAATAGATGTATCCATTGGTGCTGGATGTAGTGTTGAATGAAGCGAAGAGTCAGATAAGAACGCAATTTTCTTAAAACTTGTCTCTAGCAACCAGTTGGCACTGCCTAAGGAATATCCGGAACTGAACGCGACAACATGCAATGTAGAAAAGAGGGACAGAGATTCGTTATATCCTACAGGCTGTATTTTCTCAATGCAACTAGAAATATCTTTCATAGAATAGATAGATCGCCAACCACTAGCATTTGTGTTATTTTGACGAGAACTCAACAATTGGGAAAAATGGGTCGCGTGCGTCGGCTCAACGCGGGATGATGTGAATTGTTGTCCATGTTCTATCACCAACTCCTCCATTCGCTGTTTGCCATATTCAATGGTAGGTTCGGTAGCTAATATCCGACCTTTATATCCTGAATATTCTGTTAAAAACGGTAAACCGGCTATACACTGACTGTTGGCTATGAGTACCAAATCAATAGACTCGATATCAATCAAGTCAAAGTCAGGTATTCGAAACGTAGTCTTTTGATCGCAATGAGCGTAAGTGGTACTCAGTGAGGAGTATTGGGTATCAGCGACTCTTTTGCCCAGTGTACTGAAAGATGAGAGTATACTACCAAGGTCATTGTTTCGTTGTCGTCCTTGTTGTTGCTCGTCATCTTGCTCTGGTTGGTGCGATTCGGGTTGAGGTATCGTCATCTGTTCCAAAGGACAGTTGATAAGTATAGTATGCTGATTAATTTTACATAGGAACGTATTCAATTTTGATCCTTCACGGTCGATACACTGTATTTTCATTTTTGTTAGAGTCTTCTGACAACTCTATCGCTCTCTTGCTGTCTGAGCAAAATTGTTGATTGTGTTCCGCATGAATTTCGTACCTAACGTATAGAAATGTGGCTTGTGAATAGCAGAAAGAAAGTCACCAAAAAATTCCCCGTAATGATGCTGAATGGTTTGACCATATTTTTCATTTTTGAAGAAATTTGAAAGCAAGCCTTCACAGTTGTTTATTAGCAATTAGAATTCAAGCAAGATGTATTTGATGTACTATTTAAACGATAAGGGTGAACGTATTTACACTCTCAAGGTACCTATTATTACAATGTCGTAGATAGATAGTCTTTAAAACTTTTTACTTACTGTCTCGTTTGTATCAGAAAACTGATCCCAAGGGCATGCCTACTAAATCAGCCCACCCAGCTCGTTTCTCACCTGATGATAAATTCTCTCGCCATCGTGTCACCCTTAAGAAGAGATACAACTTACTACCTTATCAACGCCCTGCACGCGCTTTATAAATAAATCTATTCAATAGCCAGAAAACAGCTCATTGGTAACCTTTCATTTGCATATCCCTTATTGATAAATTTGAGGATTCGGTGTCCTTTGTAACAATCATCTTATGTAATCACTACCTTTTGTAAAATACGTACACAACTTCGAACGTTTGCTTTAAAATAAACCGTTATTATTTCTCTTCATGCTCTTGTAATGAAAAAACCTTTTTCGACAATTTCATTTCTGTTGTGACTTTTGGGCCGCCCTCTCAATAACTGAATCGAATGATTCACTTTTGAAGGATTTTCAACTTCTCTTTCAATTAAACAATACCGTTAACAAATGGCTAATTCAAAGTATGAATATGTTCGTCATTTTGAGTTAGCAGACAACTTGTTACGAAGTACTTGGCTTGTGGTTCGTATTGACGGTCGTGGCTTTCACAGATTCTCACAAACGCATAATTTTGAGAAACCCAACGACAGAAGAGCCATTGACCTTATGAATCGTTGTGCTATTGAGGTCATGGGGGATATAGGCGATATCATATTAGCCTACGGACAGAGCGATGAATACAGGTAAGCGACTGTCAAGTTATTAAGTGGTAGCAATATTACATACAGTAAACTCTGACAGCACTATACTTTCTCCCTTGTTCTTGTTTCTAAATCGTTGTTTGTTCAGTTTCATTATTCCAAAGTCATCCAGCTTGTTTTCACGTAGATCAAGGTGAGAAAAAGCTCGAATGTTGTCCTCACCGCGGAAAAAGAGTTGCTTAGTTTCGTATTTCATGTAACCGTAATGATCCACTAGTAAAATATCTTCGACTATTGTCAGTCTATTCGCCTCGAATTATGTCATGCATTGGAGCGAATATTTTGGAGACAGCAAACTACAATATGCGCCATGTTTTGATTCAAGAATTGTCTGCTACCCTAATGACAAGATATTAAAAGATTATCTTAGTTGGCGTCAAGCTGATTGTCATATCAATAATCTGTACAACACAACATTTTGGGCACTTGTCAAATCAGGCTTATCAGAAACAGCCGCTGAGAACAGATTGATGGTAAGAGCAAGTTGAAAGAATAACGAAAACAGCGAAGCGAGTTATTTATCTCTTCAAGTAATTTAACTTCAATTAGGGTACTTTCGCGAAGGATAAGAATGAGATTTTATTTACAGAATTCGGTATAAACTACAACAATATTGAGCCAATTTATAGGAAAGGATCGACCATTATCCGCAAAATGACAGAGGTTACTTCTATATCACCAAACACAGGTGAAGAAGTGAAACGAATTAAATTAATACCTACAGCTATTTATGTCGATATTATCGGAGAAGGTTTTTGGCAAGAGCATCCAGAATTGTTAGAAGAATAAAGCAATTTTGTTATAGAGTACAACTACTATTAGAAAATTGCCATGGCATCTTTCATTGTGGTGGAGGTTGTTGATAATATAAACTCATGCTGGGCACATCCGTTAGGGAAGTAGTATTAGTTGTTGCAGTGGTTGCCGAGTCATACGGTTTCATCATAGATGCTCCTTGTGCAGATGATGTTGGGACTGAAGGAGGAGGTGGATAATTCAGATTATCAAATTTAGTATTGGGTGCTGTATCAAATATAATTTGCCCGAATAAGTTGGAGTCGTATAAGAACTCACTACTGTTAAAATCGATATTTGTGAGGTAACCCAGTTGGTGAAAAAGTGAATCACTGCTGTATGAGTTTTGCTGCTGATGAGGGTTTGACATAGAGACAGGAGGTGTTTGTTGAACGTGAGCTGTACTTGTTGGTATGAAAGATGAATAAGATGAAGATGTAATGGAGGATGCATTAATAGAAGAAACGTTGGTATTTAAAGGGCTGCTCAACTGTTGTACTGGTTGGCCTTGGAACGGCTGCTGCTGCTGTTGTGAAAGTGGAAATGGCGCTTGATTACTATTGTTCGTGTGTATATAATTTCTTGTATTGCTGATAGGATTATTTTCGCCATATTTTCGATATTCCACATCATACAATCTACTATGCGCTGCTAACATATTACGCGCAGTGGTTGATAGCCTTTCACAAATTGGCCAAAAGGGACGTAGTGACTATAATAATTGTAACCTCAGTATTCAAAATAATTTGTAAATGTTATATGTTGTTGGCAGAACTTACTTCTAACAGATCATCAAGCACAGCCAAGCCAGCGTTACTTTTTGCGTATGATTGCTGATCAGATGAGAAAAAAGACGTCATCAAGACCGTTGAAAATATATAAGCGCTGTATCCGAGATACGGTAAAAAGTTAGCACCACAAATATCACGAATAGCCTTGAAAACGTCTGTTGCTATTTCTACTGCCATTTTGCACGCTTGTAAACTTGTTTGGATATATTTATAAATAGTTGCAGGTAGCTCAGCTGTCGTTATTTCACTATAAGCTAAACTTCCTCTATGTAAAGCTAGCATACCCGCACAATAGATTGCATGTGAACACAACCAGAAATTCAGATAATTTTGACTGGCGCTATCACGATAAAGATTCAAGTGTTTGATGTCAAATTGATATTTTTCGGGTAAACTTTCGCGCCAGTGGCGCATCATGGTATCCAATTGACCAAATTCGGGTATTGGCGGCCAAATGACGGTAGATGAATCAGTCTTTGCTCTACTCATATATTTGACAATTTCACCAAAAATCTCAATTACATTAAGAAAAGCAGGAATACAGCCCATCAAAGGATCATTTTCGATGGCAAGATGGTTCACAGTGTAGCCTTGAAGTGGATCCAGTAATACACGGCTTTCTGATAACGATGGCGCTAAAACATCATAGTCATTAATTTGAAAACCCTGAGGACGGTTGGTAGCTGTACTTGCAAACCTGAATGCAATCAAATGAGGGTAAATTTCACGATATCGTTAAAGTTAGAACTTATAACACTCACTTATCAAGACAAAGACAACTCCAAAAAATACGTCTTCTTAATGCCATTGCAGCGTAATCAACAGTTCCATCTGCTGATAAAATAGGTGCTTTCAAGGTAGACTCCTTGTTTAAACCCAATTCTTTACACATTCTCACCGCTATACCACTATATACATAAGCTCTTAATAGAGCAATAAACCATCTTGTTATCAAACTGTATGATGAAACGAATCTCCATTTGCTACTTACTTTGAACCCGAAGCTCGACCATACTCCAAGCATGACATAATACCCCAGAACTGTAAATTAGGTATTGTTGGCTCTAATAGAGTAGCATCGATTAACGCAGCTGCTTTCGCGGCAAATCTTTCACCTGCTAGATGAGGAGGATCGGTTTTAATGTCGGGATGATCTGAAAATCTACAACGATCAAAAAGGTAAACGTAAGAAAAATACTATATTTGGTGAAATTATCTATGCTTTTCAATCAGCGATGATTATTACTTGGCTTCAGTAACTACATGCTGTATGATTTGCAAGTATCCTTTCAACAATTGCTTGATCTTACCTTGCTGCTATCGCCATCACTACCCAAAGAAGAGGTTTTGAGACGTTTCCCTCTTTTATCAATTGCTTCATACGCATACGATTTACAAGTGGAAAAACAGAGTTAATGTACTGAAAAAATAAATCGATCAAATGTGTAACGATTTCTGGCGGTGGGATGTCGTCTTTGAATGCATCGCTGTGAACTACCAATATAAAAGAGTTTATGATCAATACTTTTGGTAGACAGTATTTTATCAGACGCTCTTTACCTTCAACAGCATTGTAGCGCGACATATATGTAAACTGAGGTGAGTTTTCGTTACTGCTTGTGGTTGCTGTTGGTACGTCCACAACGCCGTTGTTCGTGAGCCTTTTCTCAAGTTGTGCTAAACGTTCTTCTAATAAACGAACATATCCTTTATGAGGACCCCTTTTCTTATATTCTGTATATTGACATTGCAATTTTGCTTCTTGACAATGAAGACATTCCGGCTTTGTGCCATCGCACTTGATCTATAGAAAAGAGAAAAGAATTAAGTACGTGTGTGACTCAACTACAAAATTGAGAAAGCTGGTAAACCTTTTTCTTTCTACAGATAATGCAAGCCTGTGTAATTCTTCGTTTTTTTTCTGGCTTCTCATTTGTTGCCTGATTTTTATCGCGTTCGGATGATTCCAATTTACCGGTTTGAAGTTCCATAATACACGTATTTTACAGAAAGAAGAAAAAGCTTAAAAGATAAGGGAAAAGCATAATTAAAGAGAAAAAAAAAAAAAAAAAAAAAAAAGGAAAAAAGACCATCAAGAGACCAGAGTCGGAGCTTTACACAAAAGTAGTACGGAGTTTTAAACGAGACAGCTCGCCTATTGCTTATTCAGCAAATCTAGGGTAAATATAACCCCATTCAGGCTGTTCCTCGGCTTACTTATGTGATAACTTTAAAATGCTTTATAATCATTGAAACATATATTGGATATTCGATTACTAGCGGCGATCGGTATTTAGATAAGTTTCTGGTGAGAACTCAATACTCCAGAATCCTGGAGGGGTAGATGGACGCTGTTGTCGCTGATATCGATGGCGAGAGTGGGCTTGAATACGTTCATCACGAGTTACATTGATTTGCTGCCCATTCAGAGCGGTTGTTAGAGTTTCATCAGCATAGAACTATAAAGAAAGGGGTTCAAAGGGAAAAAATGAATCAGTATTGTTAGTCTACTACTTTCTTTTATTGATTCTAAAATGCATTACATTTTGACACGCAATGCATGTCTCCCCTTCTAAGTGACCTCGGCCATGTCGATGATGTGAATCAAGGGGAGCGGGTATATTTGCATTTGTTGAATATGTGGTATCAGTTGAAGATGGAACAATAGAAGTGGTTTTTGCACGAGTTAATTGCTGTCGTTGCTGCTGCTGTGGCTCTTCTTTCTTGATCTTCGGAGTAATAGCAGTTGTTGAAGTAGTAGTAGTAGTAGTAGTAGTCGTGGTAGTAGTTGTAGTTCTAGACATTTTTACACCGTTAGTAGCTCTACGTTGTTGCTGAGGCTGATAATTCCCTATATCACTCAAAGGTAAACAACGATCTTGCGCTTGATCTGCTATTTGCAAAGGTCGTTTTTGTGGAGTCAAGGTATTAACATTTGCTGTTGCGGAAGGTGTAGATGACCTAGAAAAAGAAGAGGATGGAGAAGGAGCCCTGTGGTTTTCATCATTATTGCTTCTCTTTGGTTTAACACTCTGACTGCTAGGACTCTTTTCCAGATTGCCAAACATTCCACTGACCGACCGTTGCATCATGCTGGGCGTACGTGAGTAAATTGCTGTTTTTGATGGTTTCGCTGCTGCTTTCTGCATTTTCAGCTCTTCAATTCTAGATAAACAATAGAGATAAAATTATATGCAATATGTAATTGCTTTTTATCTGAGTAATGAACATACTGCGATATATAGTTCTTGCTATGCTCGTTTGCTTTCTGATTTTCATCCATTAACTGAACAACTGAATCGGACAGTCGCTTATTATCCAGCTGCAGGTTCCTGTTTTCTTCGTACAAGGTTTTGTTTTCCTGCAGTAACTCTTTGTTATCAATGTAGGTAGACTGCAGCTTGCTGTTTGCTACATTCAAATCCTTTTGCAAGTCAACATTTTTTAACTTGATTGCATTAAGCTCATCTTGACAACCTTCAAAAATAAAAAGAAATAAAAATTAGTCAAGCCGTCCTTGTAGTTTTACAATAAACAACAAATATAAACTATTTACTATGAAGCAAATCAAGGGCCCCTCGAGACCTTTCCCGCTCTTCCTTAAGTGAAGACTGTACATGTTCAAGTTTCCTACGGTATGCTAAATTTTCTGCGCGAAGCACTATATAATCAAATTGATATAAAATGAGCAATACGAAGCACAGAAGCAAACAGCTGCAGGGACTGACCACTAGTTTCCGTATCTTTCTTTTTTATTGTTCGCTTATGTTGTTTTATCTCTTGCTGAAGCAACCGAACAGACGTTCGATACTTATCAATTTGATCTTTGTATCTCTGTTTCATATCTCCGTAGTGCTCAACCGAAGATTCTAACAAAAAATCAATTATTAGAGCCAAGGACAACTGTTTGAATTTTAGAAGAATTGATCTCATCTTACCTTCGACATCGAATTGCTGTGTATAAGATACACTTGCTTGACCGTGTTCCAATTGATGTTGATCATCGATCCAATGTTTCACCTCTGTTATAATTTGATCAGAATGAGGAGCTACAACATCTCCTGTCATTTCTAGGATATTAATAGAGGAGAGCTAAGAGATGTTGCAAGGTTGTTTATTGTCAGTGGAAACAGAGATACGAAGTGGATGGTATTAATCTGATTGCTTAAGAGAAATAAGTCAAAAGTAGAAGTGAGTTACTTGTTCTCCGCATTATACGTCGTGACTGTATCGTAAAAGTTCAGAAATCTCAAATTTGAAGCAAAACTGAAAGAGTAGCTTTTTTTTTGACTATCATTCCTTTCTATAAAATATACCCAAAACAAATGAGCAAAGCCGTTATCATCGATGGCATAGCATACAACGAGTACCAAAGCGAATTACAATTGCCTGAAATTATACGGTTGATCGAAAATGATTTGTCTGAACCATATTCTGTATACACATATCGATACTTTATACACAACTGGCCGAATTTATGCTTCCTTGTCAGTAATTCAAAAATTGTAATGATACCTTACAGAAACGCGAACGATTCGACTAAATTGTTCTGCATCTGTTGTTATGTATGGATATTTGTATAGGCTTTGGATGGTGATGAGCATGTGGGTGTCGTCATTTGTAAGTTAGACAGACATAAAGATAGACTTCGTGGATATATAGCCATGCTTGCTGTAGCCAAGACGCACAGAAAAAAATCCATAGGATCAAATTTGGTGAAAATGGCTATTCACGCGATGAAAGAAATGAATGCAGACGAGGTAAAGAGTATCGTTAAGCGAGAGCTACCTAACATTTTCTGACTAAACAATATTACAGGTTGTTTTAGAAACAGAATATACCAATTCTGGGGCATTACGGCTTTATGAAAGACTAGGCTTTATTAGAGACAAAAGGCTTTACAGATACTATTTAAATGGTGTGGATGCATTCCGGCTAAAACTGTTTTGTAAAACAATGGTGAAAACTAGATTAATTTAATTGTATAAATCTGCATAATACTACAATAAGCTGTAAATATAAACTATATGTAATGAGCCAATGATACACTATGTACAAATGATTAAATAACAAGAAATATGTCTCCAACATTTTAAGTTTATAATTCTAGTTGTGTTTTCGTCTTCGCCATCAAAAATTCCTCTGCTACCACCGGGTCTGTTATCAACTGTGATGCTAACGTGAATACGGTAAAAACGCCCTCTCTCATATTGCTAGCAATCCTCACCATACGTTCTTCAAACTGCTCCAATTTTGTCTTCACAGGAATATTCGGATCTGTAATTTCCTGCTGTTCTTCAGGAACTTCTGTTTGAGCCATTGCGTCCATTGCAAGTTGCGAGCTATTACTGTTCTTCCTATATAATTGCGCTTCCTTGGATAAGAATTTGACAATCATTCGATAGTAAGAATCAGGCTTCTCTTGTTGTAATCGATCCGCATTTCTCGCACGTAGTGATGTGACATCATGAATAAATATTTTAATAACCTGTTGTGGATATTGTATGTAAATTTGCTCGTAACTATAAGTAAATGAATAAAAATAGAAGTAAAGAGCTGTTTAATAAATGACAACTGCCCTATCAAGATGATTAGGTAATAACCGCTTACATTTCTGGATCGATTTCGCCAGAGTCACCCACCAAAATGAATTTACGGTGCGGAAAATCTTCAAATATCTGTGCGATAACTTCCAATTTGTGTCTACCTGGTTTGCCACGAATCAGCTGTTGCGCGCTTACGGCTCTCAAATGGACACTTCCTACAGGAAACTTTTTATCCGTCATAAACTCGCTCAAGGCTGGATAGACTTGCCACGGTGAATTAGAAACGTAGTGAAAATGAGCGCCCTCATCAGCCCATGCCCTATACACGTCGTTCATATGAGGCACTTCTCTGGCTGTACTAAACAATGTGTTCTTCAAAATAGCATCTTTGCCATCCAGTACATCTGTTATTTTAATTGTATCATCAATATCTGAGATAACTGATATACCAAAAGGTTCAATAATATCAATTAAGCCAGCAAATTGAGTAGGTGGTGTTGAACCGTAAGTGTTCACAGTCCTCAATTTGCTGCTTGTAGTATCTCCACTACTAATATCATTGTTATTGACTACTTCATTATCATCATCGCTGCAAAAACTGGCCTGTACTGTTAAATATTTGGATTTTTCTTTCAACATTTTAATAGACCCTTCATTCAAATAAATCACTTCTTGAAATCTTCCACTAGGCCCTGTGTTGACTGAAGCTGCAAAATCACGGATTCTTTCTTGCTGGCCCAGTGTCAAGTGTTGCTCATTATCTTGTATTAACTTTTGAGCCAAAATTCCCGGCAAGGTTAGTCTGACGCTCACCATTCGCATAGTCTGACATCGAAATTGATTCAAAAGTGTAGAGAAATGATTATCTTCTACTGAGTTTCTAGCCAAACCGCCGTATTTTCTACCAGCGGCTTTTTCAAAGGAAAAACAATGTTTAACAAGCTGAATAACTGACAAAATAACAACTCACTTTGATCAACTTCCACTCAATGTATAGCTACTTTGCGGTCAATTTACCCAACAAAAATCTATCAAGTCGGCTAGAACCTGGTTGTGCAAATGCCCAGCCTGCAATGATTACTTTATACTTCCTGTCCTCCTTATTCTTTCCTTCTGATTTTACTTGGCATGCGTAAGTCGGAAACAGCATGCATTGAGGCTGGACTGCTTCCGGTAAAGATTCTTCTAAAATAGCCTCTATATCCTGTGTATCCGTGCGTTGTTTCAGTCTATTGCTCAAAGGCTTCTCTTCTTGTCGAGTGAGCAGTCCTCTTTCTCCGCTGTGTATTGTTGCTGGGTTGTCATCTCGAATGGCAGGCGATGCATAATAGTAATCTTTGATGGCGCGACTCTTGGACTGGATAAATGATTTGAGTTGGTCTCGTCTGCGCAGAAGTTTATCATGGTCGAAAGATGACATAGTAGCAAATCATAAATTTCATGTGCAGAGCGAAAAGGAGCGATAAGATTCTGTGGGTTGCATACAAGTGAAAGATGACCAACAGTAAACCTACCCCAAAAAGGAAACTCATCGCTCAAAATATTTTTTGTGTCACTTTAATCAGATGCTTGCACAAAATGTATTCAGTGGAAGGGAAGTTTTATTCAACAAATTGTTCGATTTGGTTTGTTTGCATTAGAAGATTATAAAATGAAACCTATTTAAGCTAACGCACCCATAAACGAGTTTTGAATAACGCAAAGGCAAAACTTCAGTAAAGGAAGCTCATAACAATTGCGCCTTACGGATAATGACAAAGAATAGTGATGGACTCAAATAGCACTGTCTACTACACTCTTGAGTACACATCAATTTCCATTGAATAAAATTTGTGATATTTTGATAGATGCAATTAAGATGTTTCCATTGGTGATGCGTTTAAACCCTACAATGAATGAATTATCAGAAGGCGTATTCAAGACAGCATAATCACGCATTGCACTTACATAGTTTACATATTCCGGCGTCTCACTTGCCAGGTATTCATCAATCAACTCCTGCACAACATTCCTTGAATCCTCAAACTCATCCAAGTCATCCGCGAACATGCTGTATTTTCTGTATTGTTCCAAAAATGCATTTCGCTTTTTCAGTTTGTCATATTGATCGCATGTACGCTGAAATAAAGAGGTGATACCAGTATGGTTAGCCAGCATCAAGCCACTCACACGATGCTCTGCGGGGATATAGGGTGATTTCTTAGATAGGGCCACTTGAATACTAACAGGACCCCATGGTATAAACTGAGCTAATCTTCGTTCTCGAATGCGTAGTAAAGATTTATGCACCTCAGTAGGGTCCACATCGCCTTGGATAATATTCAAGATGGATATGTAACAGCTGGTTCTCGATAATCCTGTCGAAACCATACGAGCTTTAGGTCCTAATAATCGCCTCATCACATCTAATACTGTTGTTTTTCGTACTGAGATAGCCTAAATAACCAAACCGAATATAAAGCTCAGAGTTGGCTTTTTGTGATTTCTGTGCCACAGGTGTCGCTTGCTAATCCATATATTTATCTTACCTTCTCAACTTGTTCACTCGAAAATGGTGTATATGCTGTTGTTAAGAAATGACAACGAGGTGTTGGTATTAGAGATGCCACAATGCTGACGAGATCATTATTCATATAGCCTGGATATCTTAATGTCGTAGTACTTGCTGACATGACGGTGGATACAAGTTGATTGGTTTGTTCGAAAGTAGGCTGATGAATGTGTAATCGATCTGTTGCAATACGCGCTAGAGCAGCATTATCTAATACTACCACACAATCTGCGTTATTCGTGAGTCTTTTAAGCGCTAGCATACTGTTATAAGGTTGAACGACTGTATCGGATACTTCTTCAGAATTGGGAAAGACTGAATAAGTCTGAATGAGTTTTTTTGGATAATGATCGTTGAGTTTTTCTAATAAGAATGACCCAAGCCCAGATCCAGTACCGCCTGCGATAGAATGTAATAACATGAAACCCTACAAGCGAAATGTTGTGTTTTAATATAAATAATATCTTCAACAACATGCTTATTGAGGTTAATTTACTTCTAATGAATCACTATTGTCTGCTTCCCTGTCCACCATCTCCAGTATATCTTCACACATTCTTTCGCCTTGTGTATAGCCATTCGGCCATGTGTTTCCTGCACCACCGCCGTCTTTGGAAGTATATATATTTTCTGGGTTGTATAAATTCGCGAATGCTCCAGCTTTGATAGTGTTGATCACCTATAAAATAGTAGATGTTGCATGATTTAGACTGTGGTTGTAGTAAAAAGGGCGCATCCGAAAAATCCCCCAAAACACATTCGCACCCATTCAAATAGTCAGTTATTCATACTCTTGGTTCAAGGTCTAGTAGAAGTGCTCGTGGTATATAATGTTCATCATCGGCCTGAAAGAATAATAAACTTTTCATGGTTAGTAACCAAAAAAAGAGAAGGAAAGATGCAATCTGGAAATTCATTGAAGGTTGATACCTGATAGAAAAACACATCTTTTCTATCGCCACCTTCTGTTGCAAAATCTTCCAAGGTACCGTCATTACTGATCCCATGCTCTGCACAGATCTGCTTCCAGAATTCACTACCAACTGCGATTGTAGTTGATGTTAGCGTCTATTGCAGATTCTTATCCAATCTTTTTTGAAATGATACACTGTAGTGACCAAGAATAACATACTCTGATTACCACATTGGCCTGCTTGTAAAGTAATGATTTCCCTTGGCATCTTGAAATAGTAGATTCTTTGAATAAGTGATCTTTTGGGCGTTTACAATTTTATTAGAAAAGAAATCGAATGATTACCCAATACCGACTCCCGCTTAATCAACTACTTATCAATTTGATTGCCCGGTCCTTACATTTTTTCAATCAACTTGATTGCGTTTGGTCCTCGGTTCGGTACTCCAAAAAAAGCATAAAAATGGTACTTTTTCTGCAGTTTAAAAGCTTCTACAGTTTTATAACATATATAAGTATATATTTTTTTGATTATATTGAAATCTATATATTCGTTCATATGTGAGAACGATAGTTCATTTTTCTTGCCTTAAGGCAGGTAAAAGCTATTTGAGACACATTTTTGAAATTGTAAAACACAAAATTTGAGATAAAATTTTTACATTTTTTCTAGTATTTGAGATACCTTTTTAGGTTTTATGGTTTTAGGTAAAGATTTTATTTTTAGATATTATTTTCTCTTTTCCTGCTTTTTTACAAACTATTTCTGTTATTTTTCGGATAAACTTTATGCATTATGATACAAGCTGCAATTGAAATTAAACCAGCTCACCACCATTTTAAACTCTCTTAAAGCATTACAAGAAACAATGATTACTATGTTGCCAACAGTAATCTTTGGCGTCATTATTCGGCTTCAACGTTTAGACTTCATCATCACATCCAAATGCAACAAGCATCAGGTATAGGGGTGATCCCCAAACGGATGTTCACCCTGTTCTGGTCCCTTCCTTTGTTTCTTCCGGCTCGTGACCTAAGCTATCGCACCATTTTGAAAAAATTACCATGCTTATCAGTCTTACAAGCCGCAGGGGTAGTTTCATCTGCTACCTGCAGACTCTGTAATCATGATATTGATACGTTCGAACATTTTACAACCAGTTGTCCACCACGCTGGCAGATATGGCAAGAAGGCCTCGCGATATATTTCCCATCCTTCGACTTTGATCCTCAAAGCATCTCCACCGCCCTAAGATTACACTCGCCACCATCACTATCTTCGTCCGAGCAATCTCGATTTTTCACCGTCTGCTTCAGTATCCATTGGGCTATCTGGACGTCATTCTTTCGAATGATATTCCATGATATTCCTTTTCATCCCCCATCCGTCTCTAGTAAAGCATACAACATAATTTCTTTGAGCCTGTCTTCCTCGCAGCTCATGCGGGAAGCGGCTGCTTTCGACTAATTTACTTGTCATAGAAATCTTCTTTTCCTTCTCCATGTTCCACCCCTCAGCGATGTGTGACTAATTTATTATTTTAAAATAAAATAATCTACAAAAAAAAAAAAAAAGTAGTAATGGAAAAGAATGTAATGGGAAGAGTAACAAGCTCTTGAGTGGAATATCCTCCAATGGGAGGGTAACATTCAAATGGTCAAACGCTGTGAACATAATCGGTATAACCGAGGTTGGGTAACAAAGATGAGGAGTTCGATGAATAGCGCAAAAGAAAGGAAGTATGGGACTAGTAAATGTGATGCCCATCATCCGGAAATGATGGCGAAGGAGTACTTGAACTAGGGAAGGCTGTGGTGAGAATAACATTATTAACCATTTCATTTGCAGGATTAAATGTTGCATCGCAACATTTAACAAACCAACTCCTCCTAAGTGTCTGGGCATAAGCAGGCGAGCATAGGAAACTAATGGGATTTTTTCCACCATACAAACTGATAGCTAAGTTTCTGTAAGGCTTTGATAAAGGTTTTGGTAGGATGGAATATACGAAGACAGTACCAAATTTTGGACAATATAAGTGTATTCATTATCGTTACCCGACCACGTAATGATAATTGTCTCGGTGAATAAAGTGCCACTTGCTTTTGAACAGATTCTAATAATATATCTTGAACATAATTTCGTTGGTGAGTCGTATAAGGTAAATAGAAGCCTAAATACCGGAGAGGGGAAGAAGAGAACTTAGTACAGAAAACAGAGATATTATGCGACTGTAATAAGGATGTCCAAGACATGGATTTATCCTCTGATAGAGAAAAGGCTTCCGTCTTGTGTTGGTTGAACTGAGCGTTAGAAACTTCTGCGTAGCGTTGAAGGTGCTGATTTAACAGTTGAAAATCATTCGCATCTTTAACAAATGCGCAGACGTCGTCTGCATAAGCGAGACATTTGATTCGCTGTGGTAATCCTTGAACATGCGAGTAATAACCCTGAAATGATTGATCCTGTTGGATAGATAGAAGCAGTGGTTCAAGTACGAGGTTAAAAAGGAGAGGGGATAATGGATCCTCTTGTCTCAGTCCCCGGGTCTGGGCAATATCATCGGTGAAAAACCCGTTGGTGTTGATTTGAACAGTATTGTCAAAGAAAAGTTGTTGAACGCAAGTAATTATTGATACACTAAGTCTTCAAAACTAAAGACTTTAGTGTTCAAATTTCTTCTTGCTTTCGTACAAAATCTGTCTGTCAAAATAGTCTGAAATTCCGTATTTGAACCGTCTTTTTTATTGAAGTCCGATCACACTTCTGGAAAAAAAAAAAAAAAAAAGTATTTCTGATTGAAATAGGGCGAAAAAAGAAGAAAAGGAGAGACGCGTTTCTTAATCCTTCTTTCTTTCTATTTTTCTTGTCTTTTAAGCAAGCAAAGACTATGGATTCCGAAAGTAAATCAATTACCGTTGAAGAAACCTTCACTACGACAACAACAACGACTGCTTCTGACAACATGAGCAGCACTCCCTTTGCTAGTAAAGCATTAACTGACGATTCAATTCCAACAACTACTGTTGATGAATCTGTGGCGGAAAAGAAAAAAACCTCCGGGAATCTTGACAATGATGACGTGAATAACACAAGTACTGACGAAGGAGAATCTCTGGAAGCAGAGATAAATGATGCAGTTGTTGCTTCTGACATTCCTCATGCTGTTGATACTGAAAAAGGCGACTCTGTGATTGTCGAAAAGGAACAGAAGAATGACGATACAGAAGAGGAAAAGACTGCTGTTGGTGAGAAAGATGCTTCGACTGCTGCTGCTGCTGTTGTGGCTGAAAAAACTGAGACATCAACTTCAAATGCTGAATCCAAACTTGAATCGCCATCTTTGACTACTACAAATGAAATGAAAGCAAATGATGTTTCACCTGTTGCTGATATTAACGATCGAGATACTCTGGATATTGATAGAAAGAATCCAATTTTTGAAACAAAAACGTCTACCGAAAAAGATGTAAAATTGCTGGGCGAAAAGGCTGACCCTTTGGCTGATGACGATGTTATTGGTATGGAAGTCTCAGTAGAGAGTCGTAACAATGACAATAAGCCTGCTTCTGCTGTTAGCTTTGCTGAAAATAATGAAGCTGATACGAACGCGACTGCTATTTCTTCACAATCAATGGAAGACGAATTCGATAAGCGAAAAGAAGTTAATTTGGAACGAAGTTTGAACGCAAAACTGGATGTAAATGCGAACTCTGCTGATACTGTTGATGAGGATATTGTTATGGAAGATGGTTCAATAGAAGCTGCTAGAGAGAGCAAAGAAAAAGTTGAAATATTAGAAACAATCACTATTACTGAGCAAGCATTAACAAGAACATTAAGTCAGACAGATAGTGATACCTCTATGGAAGATGATGAAGATATTGGTATAATCACTCCTAATATAGCTAGTGGCGATAACAAACCAGAAAGCGTTATGGAAACGGATAATAATAAGGAATACACCGACGCTAGTGCTGAAAATGAAGATAAGGATGACAATAACAATAAAAGAGATAGTAAGAACAGAAAGAAGGAGAGCAACAGTAGCAGCAATAGCAATAAAGGCAATAAAAAATCTGACAAAAAGAACAAGAAAAGGAAGGCAAATACTGTACCTGAGCCTGTGAAAGAAGAGGAGCCTATTGAAGAGGAAGAGTATGAAGTGGAGGCAATTGTTACCCACAAGATCTACAAGGTAAGAAGGAAGACAAGAAGAAGAAGAAGAAGACGAATATGCGAAGAATTTATATTCTGTATGGATTAGGGTAAAGTCGTAAAGTACGAAATTAAATGGAAAGGATATCCTCCAGAGGATAATACAATGGAAAGCGCCACCACCATTCACGAGTAAATAGCTGTTTATTTTATTGTTACTAAAGAACAGAATAAGGAGACCGGGAAGAGTTAAGGGAGGAGACGCATTATTATTTTGTATACTTGTTTACTTACTCTGCATTTTATATGCCATTTTTACAGTGACGTACCTGACTTATGCATTGATTATTGGAACAGGCAGCCACAAAACGTCTCAAGACCCTCCAATATCCCTAAGCCATCCAAATCAAAAGCTACTACTGACGAACCATCACAGCAGAACAGCAGATCCGAGGAAAATGTAAAGTCAAAGGAAACTTCAATCACAAGTACTGAGGTGAGTGATCGAAAAGAAGACGGCCTCAATGCCAAGGCTGTAGCTGATAACAAAAAGCCGATATCACGACAACAGCAACAACAGAGAGGGAAGAATGTTACAGGTCAGAAGAGAACCCAGGCTGATGTAAACGAGGACGAACCAGAAACAGACGATGCTATGCCCAAAAAATATCAAAAATTGATGGAGCATATCCCACCTTATATGGCTGACTTAAATTATATTTTTCCTATCAACTGGCCAAATGACAAGACAAACTGGAGTCTAGATGTAAAAAAGATATGCGTACAACAATCACCCTTAGATAAAAAGAAACTTTTTTGCTTCATTGAATGGAATAATGGTAAAAGAACGATCCATAATATGAAAGAGGTTCACCAAAAAATTCCAGAGAAGGTAAAACTATAGTGGTAAATGCATCATCTCAATAGAAACACAGATTCGCCTAATTATTTCCTAACTATTATAGTTGATTCAGTACTACGAAGAAAGATTGCAATTTGTCTAACCAAAAAACTATCATTCCTACAGCATAATATATTTATCTATGTATATCCAACATAATTCTAAAGTTTCGTAGAAAACACACATCTACGTTTTTCTTTTTTTCTTTTTTTTTTTTATCTGCTCTCCTCTACTCTATCTTCGAGGGTAAACCATTGACAATACCAAGGAAAAAAAAAAAAAAAAAAAGTAAACTGAATTTTTGCACATGCTGTGTTAATTAAACATCCATGCTGTGTTAATTAAACATCCGCACCAATGACAAAAGATTTTCATCTGTACTTTTCCTGATCTGTGCCTACTTCCCCTGATGGTATTGTTTGTCGTTGATTGATACCATAAAGACTTTGGCTTTTTGAATTCTTTTCCAAACTCTCTCCTTTTCGAAGAAAGAAAAGTTATTTTTGGCAAAAAGAAAAAAAAAAAAAAGGATGAAATTCTTTCCTTCCGTTTTTCTACCTTTTCAATTTTTATAAGCACTCGTCTTTATGTACATTCATCAAAGCTCACCATCGTAATCAATATCTCCATCTGTATATACAATACAATGAATTTATATTTAACAAAGCATCAGAATAACAATAATAATTCTAATACCAGCATTATAGCACGTATAGTAAGTTATAAAAGAAGTCAGTAAAGCGCTACACAGCAGTAATTCAATCAATTCTTCGACTAGTTTGGAGACTCTTTTTGGACACGCGCAATCTTTGTAACAGTGCTTTTGCAAGCCCTTCTGGCTATTACACTCGAGTCTGTTATCTTTTCACACCATGCCAGCGAAATCACTATTATCAATGAACAGAGATTGAATCAGAAAGCATTTGGACAGACGCTAACAATGGTGTATGCTAATGCTCGATCTTTACTCGTTTACTATGCATTATTTATGATTGCTCAACTGTTCACTTTGACACTGGTTCTAGATGCAGTAAAGTTTGATGTGTAGTCATTCAAAAGAGAAGAAATAATAAAAGAAACAGAAGTTCATCGGCAACTAACATTCATACTACTTCATTAGATTTGTCAGAAGAATACAATTCAATTGATTGCCCTTGTCGCCTTTGAACTAGGCATGAGCGCTTACACTATTATTCAATTCCATCAATCCTCAACATTATTCACAAAGTATAATGACGATACGAGTATACAACTTGTCATAGCATTCCTAGGAGAGGACAGTTTACATGCCTCCAGATGGGCCGAAATATCACAAATTTGCGTCATGTGTAGTGCGTCGACTGTCTTTATCTTTTTAGCTTACAAGTTATATTTGGAGTTCGGATGGCAGATATACAAAAAGATAGGAGCCGATCTGGCCATGCGAGGTATATAATATCGCACAATTTCGAATGTAAGGCTAGTGTGTTATTCTACTCACAACGATTTGTTATACATGTACGTAGACCGCTACAAAATGTATCAAATATTCATGATGTTGCTGAAATTTGATTTCTTCTTCTTTATCGGATTCTCGATTCAATACTTGGTTTTATTGATAGTCACTTGGCTACCTGAAGCAGCACAGGACACAAACGCTAGGTCGAGCATTATCAAAGAACTGATTGCTCATATCGTTTCAAGTTGTTTGGTGTCTATAATCATGCTAGTATTAGCGTATTTAGGGGTAACGTTAAAAAAAATCAATAGTTTTGCAGTAATGGGATGGAACGATCACGCCAAAATGAATGACAATATCGTTCTTTGAAATATTGTATATATGTAGCTACGGAGGGAACTCAAATTGCACATGTACTTATTCATTATCTTATCCATGGCAAGTATGGCCTACTTTATCTATATGCTCGTGACCATATCGAAGAATCCAGAACGCTTCTTGGGTTCAAAAGTTTTCTTGACATTCTTCTGCAAGTATACTTTACATGGCAACCTTAGTTTAGATACAGACGTTAATAACAAATTTTTTATCGTTCATATTGTAGTATGTGTTGACATGGTGTTGATATTGGCTTCTGTACCTTCTGCCATCCTTTGTCTTAGAAATTTTAATCAAGGATTACTTCACCATAGTAAGATTTAAGCATAGTACTTGTCATCATGTATTTTTGGATGCTTTATCAGCATTGACTTTGATGTCTACATCTGTATAGTATCACACGGCGGAACTTTTTTCTTGGGTGGCAACCGTCGAGTATCATCCTCAACTACACGAATTTTTGAAAAGTCAAATCAGCCTCGAGATGACGGAGAGGAAATGGAAAGCGCTGAAGGAAGAAATTTGGAAAATGAAAGAATAATAATAAACAGAAGTAGAGGAGAAGAAAGATGGTCCATAGAATAACTATAGTCATGGTTTGGTTTGCTCAATTATCCTGAACTATAACATTTAAATCAATTGATACCAGCAAAATAAGTGCCTATTAGTCTGGCTGAGAGTTTATCGAACAGAAAAATTTAAAGTCGTTTGCCTGCAACAGAACAGAAGAATAACATAAATAGAAATATAATAAACAGAATGGCAGAAAAGATAGCCCAAGCTCTTTTGACCAATATTTTCTTGACTTGGTATTGTAAGATGGAATTGAAATGAAAAGGAACTGTTTCGCTATTTCATAAAGTAATATAGCTATATTAGAGACTTTGTTTTTGTTGAAACACGTTGTAAATTATATTCATGATCTTCTTATACCTGATATTGAATAGGAGTACCCAAAGCGGATCTACGCCGGTAACTGAAGAAACCATACAAAACACACCCAAACTTATAGGCAATAAACCCTGATGCGTAAAATAACACATGAATAATATATACTTTTCGTTAGCATCCGTTTGTAGTCTGTATCAAATATTAACCAACTCACCCATAATCGTTTATGCCATGGTTGTATGTTTAAAAAGATCAATGAAAATTCCATGGAAAAGCCAATCCATAAGCTCATCAATCCTACCACAAATCGTCCAATTTGTTGAGGTAAGGTTAAATTCATCTTGACTTTGTATTTGATGAAGAGCGGGTAAGTGAGCTTCAACAATATCTGGTGATAAAGGTAGTTTTGTGCTTCATCAAATATATCCAATGTAATAAGAACTTCGTCACTGTCTCCTTCTATTGCTGTTCTACTTATATTTGCAAAATTTTCCATCTTATTTTTGATGGCTTGCTTGATTTGTGATGGTAATTGAGTAATTTCTTTCTCTGCGCTCGGAGCAATATACTTTAAATAGATGCGGTCTAGTATATTCAACAAATCGGTGTGTGTGGGTGGAGGAACGCGTTTCTTGTGCGGTTTTGTTGTTGCTCCTGGTGTTAGTTTATCCATTCGATTTTGACTCATGCTGCTATTGTAGAGACTGTCATAGCTGCCAGACATTGTTGTTAATGCAGTTGTCGCCAAAGAAGGCCTTGGATCAGCGGTTTCAGCAGCGATAGTGCTAATAGCAGTTGTAGGTGTAGCAGTAGCTGCTGACATGGCTGAATTGTCTGTTATGGTTTGCTGCTGCTGCTGCTGATTCACCTTGTTTCTGTATTTCAGATATTTTTTATGTAAAATATGCGCTTGAGACACATCTAACCAGAAATCTAATACATGATCCATTTTCAACCGATCACGCAATATGATATAGTAATTGTAGAGGCAAATAGGTGGTCGTGTCCTTCTGTGAAGTACGTCATCTAACGTTGGTAAAGTGGAATAAAAGTCTTCTTCTTTTTCTTTCTCTTCGTCTTCTAAGGTCCCCTTCTGACCATTTTGTATGGCTGATATAGGTGGAGGATGGTGCCAAGTATTAAGAGTGAGGCTGTTTATACCTTTTTCCTCGCTCATATTGGTATCAGTCCTGGTTGTGGCATTGAAGAAGCCCATTATATCTATATAGTATGGGAAATGTTAGGTTTAACAGAGAGGAAAGGAATGAGAGAGAATTTGAAAGATAGAATTGAAAGTAGAGGACTAAGTTGTGGAAGGAATGACAAATACGCTCAAAGGTATGCAGTAAAGATAATGGTGCTAATGATGATGTATGATAAAAGAAAAGAAACATTCATCAGTGAGGATAGTAAAGAGAAAAAAAAAAAGTTTAAAAAAAGTAAATAAAACGTTTACTTTCTCGCTTATCATAGTTTGAGGGGAATAAGCAAAGAGGTTATATTAGGTATAAGTGCTCCAAAAGTGTTATATTTACTATATAACGAATAAAGGAGACAAGTCAAAGGCTATATGCTTTGGATAAACGACGACAGCAGAAGGAGGTTATTGTTTCATCAAAATTCTGCTTCCTAATAAGGAGCATTGATTTTTCGCTGATTACAAGAAAATCGACATTTTTACTTTCCATTTTCGCCTTTTGTGTGCCTGAACACAATTTATATAACAGATAAGAGACTGTCGACATCTGACAAAACGACTTGTCAGTAACATGAAATGACTTTGTACAATACCATTTCCACAACTTCCAGCCAGGATAACCAGAGATGTCCATATGCAGCAGCATTACCACCAGATCCTCTAGAAAGGTTCGGCTCAGCTCATCTCGACCAAGATATCTTTGGAGTTACGGTTTCTCGACTAAGCCTAAAGCAGCAATTAGGTATGCTTCTAAACAATGAACAAACCACTTATGAAGGAATGAAAGGCTAATGATGGTGGCATTGTTAAAAAGAGTTTGTTAGAAATATATTATTGATAACAACAAGTCAAGTGTCTATAACTTGCTGTATGGTTGTGTTCATAAGTCAAATATGCCCTCTCTATGATTGGCTAGAAGAGAGGTTCGTTTTCATATTAACTTACATACATTTGACAGGTTCACGCAACTTAAAACAGACAAACCCTGGAATAACATAGTATTTGGGTTTGGTGGATTCCTTTATTATCTATTTTCACCTTAGGGGTCATCTTTATATGGCAGCTTTACACACAATATTTTCAACTGACAGATCCAAGCCGAGTAGTGTTATTGTCATTATTCACCGTCTGTACAAGCATTTTCGTTTCAAGTGTCGGTAATTATTGAGAAAAAGGCATAATGACTAGCACTGCCAAAAGAATGAGAACTGATCGAAGGCGAATATGTGACTATAGTTGCCAAGCTATTTTATGTGGAAGGATTATCGATTATTGTTATGACATTATTCGGTCTTTTTGGATTGATATTTTATACCACCTGCCAGCATAAATATCAATTTTCTGGCTTTTTACCATTGTGAGTTTCACTGATTTGGATTGGGATATGGCATGAATGTTAATTGTTAAGTTATATTTGATGATAGTGTCATTGGGTTGGGCGGTGTTTCCATAGGTTCTTTATTCTCAAGGTACTTTGTATTGGAAATGGATCCTCTAGAGATCTTATTCCCATTGTCACTCTCCAGCTTCATCTTGATATACCTCATACTTGAAATCTTTTTCTACTTTAAACAGGTGACAAAGGAGGACTATATTTTAGCCAACATTTTATTTTTTATCGATATTTTATATCCTATACGATTTATACATCATTTCTGTGAACTAACAGACAATTTAGATATTTTCCATCAAGATCATAATTTTGTTTAATAGAAAGAATTGGAGACTATAAATACTAGAAAAAAAAAAAAGGAAAAAATTGTATAGATAAGCATAGAAAGAGGACTACCAGTCTTTCTTGATGTCAAAAGACCAAGTCCATTCCATGTGTGACACACCATCATCGTCAACAAATTTGGATTTAGCTTCATAATGTCCTCTAGCTAACATACCGCTGGGTGCTTCTTCAGATGCGAATTTCTTTTCATAAGCATCGGGTGAAGGACCATAACTGCCGATCATTTCTTCAGTTTTGTCAACTAACAGAAAGAGTACGAAATGACGTGTTATTGTGTTGTATCAGAAAAGCTTTGTTTGTCACACAGAAGTGAACTATTCGTTTACCTCTGATGCCCTTTCTCTTGACGACCTGCAAATATTTCAAACCAGAAACAACGTCATGTTGAACTCTGAATTTAACCTTCATACGATACTCAACGCCTTCCTTAATTGTGAAAGGTGTGTTTTTGGCTTGATCGAGAGCATCTAAAAACCAAATGGTTAGCTCTATCTCATTACTTGTAGTACAACTGCGAGTGAAATAATACTTACGTTGGGTAGACAGATCAACACGGACATCTTCACGACCTTCAACTTCAAGAGCAATGTATTCAACAACAACCTATTTGTTGAAAGAGATCGTGTCAGAAAGACAATGGTTGAGATAGACGCGCAAATAAAACGAGGAGTGGCAAAGTAAGGATGGGTGCATATTCACAATGACGCGAAAGTAGCAAAAATATAGACTTTTTTTTTTATGAAAGAGCAGTTGAGCCCCCACCCCCTCTCTCGTCTTGTTTCTTAACGACTCCTACCCCTCCCTTCCACCCCAACCCCCGTCCTCCTTCCATATCCTATTTCTTCTTGAATACTACTTACATTACGAGGATCATCTTTGGGACCAGCTAAGCAACGTTGAGTAAAATAATTTAGTTCATACTCATACTATAGCCATGACTTAAATACGACTTTACTATAGTTGGCGGACTTGTTCAAGCCAAGAGATGCTTTCCATTTGTTCAAGGACTCATCTTGAGCATCTAAGTTTTGGTATTCAGCAATGGACTTTTTTTCACCTGGTTTATAACCAGAAGTTTGAGTAGGTGTAAGGTCATCGTCCTCGTGACGTTGATTGTTTTGGTTATCACTGGCAGTCATCATATATTGTATAGTAGAACTCTGTGTCTCAGAAAGAGTAGGGGAAATTAATGAAGAATCAAAGTTTGAGAGAAAAGAAAAGAAAAAGGAAGAAGAAAAGGGAACCGAGTTATTAATGGGTCCTATGCTGCTACTGTTGTCGTGTGTGCGTGTGTGTGTGTGTGCGAGAGCTGAGAAAATATTTAATTATTTGCAGCGAAAAAGCAGACTTCTCGCACTCTTTTTTTTTTTATTTTAATAAAATGCGTTTTTTGCTGTTGTGCAAGCTTCCAATTAACTTAGACCTTTTTTTTTTCAGTTTCAGGGCAAAAAAAAAAAAAAAAAAAAAAAGTCAGTTACTAATTTCTTGTATATAATTTATGATTGATGATAGAAAAGAATACGACTATGTCTACTTCATTAACATAAAATAATAGCAGGCAAATGTACTGAAGGCATACATTATCATCGACTTTGCTGTTGTCTACCATTAATATACATCTTAAAATGGGGAGGGGAGGGGAGGGGCATACTCGCACACATAACCTTCAACCTACACAAATCAAAAGACGCATGGAAGCTTTACTTTTTTGGTAATTGCAGTTAATAATCTTTCTATCCCCCAATTTAACGTTTTCGTTCTATCGCCATTCCTTTAAACGCATCATATAACACATCATTAAAAATAGATTTTCTTTTCCCGTTTCATTACAACTTCTTTATTCATCAAGAATAGGTAACATGATTTCAAAAATAAACGGTATCACAAAGCAATAAGAAAACAGAGAAAAGAATAAATACAGCAAAAATAAATGGCAGATAAAAGAAATACTTAAACTACGACTATCACCGTCAATTTTCCTTCTTCCAGCTTGGCTCTTTCAAAGGGTTCATCTGTGAGCATTTGACCAGATTTGCATCTTATTTGCGGCAAGTTGCTGACTTTTGTTACAGTCATTAATCGATCTACAATCTTCGACTTCAATTCGTCTAACGAACTTGTCATGGGTATCTTGATAGCAAACATTTCATCGCGATACATTATTTTCACCTTCATCATTTTATTGCTGTTGTTGTGAGTTTCTGTTAACTCAGAAGGGTGTTGCTGTCTCTGTGGCACATGATGATTCTGTTGTTGTTCATGACAATGAGCTTGTGATGAGGGTTTTGTAGATGTAGTAGGTGTGGTGGGCGTAATAGGAGTGAATATAGAGGAGGATGGTGAGGATGTGGATGATGTGGGTGACGAGGCTGGCGCTGTTTCTGCTGCTGCTGTAGTCTGCACTTTAATACTAGGATCGATGTCTGTTTCAATATCTCCTTCGTGCAGTCCAAATAATTGTTCCTGAACCAAGTAATGATGGGATAGATAACTTGGTAAATTTAATAAATCATGGCAATACTTTGATAAATCTTTTGCACGATCCGCTAATATAACAAAGAGTGAGGGAGTTAGTTTCCGCGTTGATCGATAAAGCATAATTAAGGAGGAGTATCCAAACATATTTAATATTCATTTAAACGTATAAATTGAACTTTCTATCTTATTATTTATACTTTACCTGTAATGTCCTCATTGACAGTATCAAGAGGTCCAGGCATATACGGTAAGATTCGTCCACTATGACCTTTGTTTTGAGTACTTGCTGTTTTGCCTGCCTCGACAGGAAAGGCTTGTAGGAAGAGTATTTGAAAATCATAAAAATCTTCGTAAAGTCGATAAAGAACTCTATACTTTCCGTTCTTCTTGAGTTTAGCAAAAATGATGAACCAGTAGTGCTCTCCTTCCAGAATATAGGAATCGATATAAGCCGATATAACAATATTGTTACTAGGTTGAGCTCTACTGTTGCCGTTGGATAAAGACGGAACCGATAATGAAGGCGTAGGTAATGTTTCTGCTGTTGCTGCTGTTGCTATTATTTGCTTACTACCACTGCTATTACTACTATTCAATTCATCGTCTCGTCGTATTTCTACAAAGGAGACGGGAATTAATCCAGGACCACCTAATCTTCCAATAGGTTTCGCAATAAACCATTCTGAATTCGATTGAGCCATAATCATAATAGGTTCGCCTGCTTTTGCATTCAATTCATCTGATCTCTCTGCTTGAAAGTCATAAAGTACAATGCCATAGATCTGTTGCTGGTGTGGATGTTGTTGAAACTGTAACTTTTTCTGCTGTTGATCATTGCTGTTCGATTTTGTGATCGTTTTATTTGTAGTATTCATAGTTGCAGTAGTTGCAGAATGGTTTTTTTCCACCAATTCGAAATAACTCCTTGGTACTAATCCCCGTGTATTATTAATAGGATTGAATGCCTCATAATAGCTATCATATTGATGAGGATACTGCTGTTGTTGACCCTTGACAGGGCGGTTGGATAGAAAGAAAAAATCGCCCTTTTCGAATGATAATTCATAAGGTGATTTAGCCGTATAGTCATAAAGTGCTTTTATAACTGTGGTTGATTTTGTTGCGAAAAATGAAGTAGATGAACTGTTATTGGCAGCAGCAGAAGCAATGCTTGTTGGTATGGTATGCAAGGACGGATGTGCATGATGAACATGATGAACAACGTTGATAGGTGTTGAAATATGCTGTTTTACGACGCTTACACGTGCAGAACGCAAATGATATGGTGGCTTTACTTTTTCCTTTGCTGGATACGGTAGCGTAAACATGAACAAAGAATGAATGCTTTTTTTCTTAACAAAAAAAAAAGGGAAAAAGAAGAAGTTAAAAAATAAAATAGAATTCGCAAAGCAAAGAAAAGACAAAAAGCAAAAGAAAAGATTTTATTGCATGTTCATTGTGTCTGTTGCATCTTAAAAAATGGATATGAAATCCCCCTTTCGTGTAACTGGTATTTCATGGTATTTTCGCAATCTAAAATTTTACATTTTAATGCTAAACTGAAGGATATTACTGCTGCTCTTCCGCAACAGCAGTAAAGGCATTTTTAAACGCCATATAATATGCTCAAGCACATTTAGCAACATGAAGATAGCTGCCAGTCCTTGAATGAGGTATATTCATTTGCTCAATGATAGAAAACCCAAAAAAGAGATTGACGTAAAACAACGTGCTATGGTATTTAAAAGGGAAAAGCATTACCTAATAACCTAATTTGAACAGGAAAAGCACCCTTATTACATAATATAGTTGTTGGAATACTTCTTCCCTTGGTTATAAGTAGTTGAGAATGGCCCATTACACAGCATGTGCTTTGTGTTTCCTTGCATTGGCAAAAGTTGATTGTAGCGGTCCATTTTTCTACAAGAACAGAAAAAGTGAATTATTGCTTTAGCAGCTGTACTCTCATGAATCATTCATTTAATAGATGTTATCACAAGTTTACTATGAACTGCTAGTTCCAATCACTAAAAATAGCAAGGTTGAGGATGATAGAATAGTCTACCATGATGATTTTAGTTGTCCCAATTAATATACAATTAAGAAAAGAATATTTTTGAACTATACATAACAATTAAGAGAAAAGGCTATTTATAAAGTGGTATATTTCTGATTTCTATTTTACAATTTCTTTGTTTCTACAACAGCTCTTGTTGTCGCTGGTATTTCAGCCATGAATATATTGACTTGGCAGATGCTTGATCGTTGACTTGGGTAAATGCCTTCATAAATAGATTATAAGTAGCTTCGTTAGGTTCTTTGACATTTACAAAATAGTCTATAAATCCGCCCTCGGCCTTCTTTCTGCTGCTGGTATCATTAGAATTCAGCAATGTATGCCAAGCCGGTATGCTTAAAGTAGATATACTCGTCGGTGAAGTGGTTGAGTGTACTAATGGTATATTCTCTATTGTATGGCGAGTATAACCTGTCACCGATTCAAATAAATTCCAAATTTTATCACTTGACATACATTTGGCGTATTCTTGTTGGAAATTTTCTCTCACTTTCCATTGATGTTGGTATTTCAGTAATTTCAATGCTGATACAGTTTTCGGATTCAGATGTAAAAAGCATTGTACCAGCATATTAAATGTCACAATATCTAATTTATCTCTATGATCTTTGACGAAATTTTCCACCTTATCCCATTGTGCTTGGCGGATCCAACCGCTAAGCAATGTATTGCTAGTATACAAGCGTACGTTGCTGTTATTATCCCCTTTGTCTAATACTTGCTCCTTGATCATGACGTCAAACAGTTGATGAGCTGCATCCATATTACCACAATTCACAAATGTTTTGATCAAAATATTGTATGTAACTAGATTAGGTTGCAATCCTTGTTCTAACAGTCGCTCATAAATCCGGCTGATACGGTTAATATCAGGTCGGGGCAATTGAGAAGCATAACCATTCAATAATACATTGAAAGCCGCCAAATTTGGCTGCTCCTTCTCAAATGGCTCATCAAGAAATCGACATTTTCGATAACACATCTCATGCCACGTTCGTTCCAGCAAATCCATTCTATTATTCAATGTTGCAGCTGACATCATAGCGCGATAAATACGACTATCACCTCCACGTGCACGTGCTACGGCATGGCCACCCTCTCGAACATATCGATAGAGCATATGCGCCTCCCGACATTCACCACGATGACCCAGTTTTGCAATGATACGCGCCATTTTTTCAGCGTCTAAATAGACATGCAGTGTACTTTCCATGATCCGCAGTGATTTGACGATCTGACTACCATAGATTAATGGGTACCCAGACTTTTCAGATTCGAGTCGACACAGATTGAGAGTAGTTTTATAAATATGTGTGGGAGTCATTTGATTTCTGAGTGATTTCAATAATTGAAGGCTGCTATCGATGTCGTGCTTGGCTAAATGAGCCGTAAGAGCACATGAAACCAATTTACGATGCGTGTTCATCGTTTGTCGACCATATTGTTGTTCCAAAGAAACGTAATATTGGATCAGAGAGTTCCATTGACCTGCTTGTAACAGTCCTTCCAATAATGTTGCGTAAGTATCCAGGGTAATTTTACACTGCTGCTGCTGTTGTTGTTGTTGATGTTGTTGATGCTGTAGCCATGTCCAACCTTTTTCAAATTCTTTCCTACGTATAAATCCTTTAATCATCGATAAAGGATCAATGAAGATTCCTTTTCCTTTGGCTTCAATTTCTAATTGATATACATCCTCACACGGCAATAACTTGACGAACGCATTACATAATGTACGGCTCAAATTCTCACTTTTCCCTGTTGTTGTTATTGTAGATTGTTCTTTCAGTATTTGATACAGCTCCTTCGCTCTTTCCGGTGTTATAATTTGAGAATAAGACTGATCTAAAATAACACCAATTGTTTCTGCATCAGGTTGAATATTTGAATTCTTCATCCATTGAAGAATTGATTTAAACTGTTGCTGATCGCTGCCGCTCAATTGGATTAGGGCATTGCATGTTTTCACCGTTGGCTGGACATATGGATGGGCTAACCGAATCAAATTGAATAAATCTTGCTGCAAAATGGGTATTCCACTCAGTACTCCTTGCTGTTGCATTACGGCATACTGTTCTACGAACGTTTCTAAAGATTTTGAAGTTAGAGGCACATTAGTACCATCTACAGGTATAAGTGCATGTCCATCGGATATTGAAGTTGACGGTGAAGGTAATGGTAAATAGGTCAAAAAACCTTGCCATAACACTTGAGTTATATATAGTTTTGAGTTCGCATGCCATTTTGCATGATGTTGTTGCTGTTGGCTTTCAATAAACTCATCTGTCAATTTCAAAGCTGCATCAAAATTGTGATTTTGAATCAAGAAAGGTAATATTAGCGCTAGGCATTGAGAAACGACAGGTTGAAATTTTAATCGAGGATGACTATGGATATCTCGAAAAATTTGAATGGCGGTTGGTATGTCCTGACAATTGATGACGGCTTGCATATACTGTATATAAGAGCTCATTTTCAACCGATAGTTGAACTTGTAGGTATTGAAGGTATTGCGTACCTTGTTGATTTGTTTGGTATGGCTGTAAGCTTCCAGGGCTGTCAAAAACATTTTTGGTGAAGGTCTGGTGTTATTGAAACTTTCGAAAACTTCAATTACCTGCGTCCATTGTGCCTGATTGCTTAGTGATGACATCAGATCTTCCCAATGCTTTGTGCTCAACGTGGATGATGTCGGTATACCCAATGGTTTTGTTTGTGGTAGCTGTGATACTTGTGTTAGCGGAGACCGTTGATGTTGCTGTTGTTTACACGAGAATACATATGCCTGCTCTTCTGCTTGTTCATCTAGAAATCGTGGTTCGTTAGGAGTCGTTGTAGCTATCTTCATACTCGAAGAAATAAAGCGACTCTGAATAGTAGCAAGGGTAGGCGGGGGTAGAATTGTTCCTCGAGTCGTTGTAGAGTGAATGAGCCAGGCTTTTTTACATCTTTGTAATGAACGTAATGGCTCTTTAAACTGAACAGACATGTCAGTTTATTTCTCTTCGAAATGAGTCAAGTAGTCAGTGTCAAGCACTTTTATTTTTTTTTTAGCTTGAGCACGTTTTTTCTCTCTTATTGTAAGAATAAAATATAAAGGCAAAAGTAGGTTTCAACTGTCAAGTCTACCACCCACCCCCACTTTTGCGCCTATCAAATTGGACTGGCTTTCATTACCCCAGATTGAATACCTTTTCGGGCTGTCATTCAGGTACAGTTGTTCCAATGCCGAAGGGCGGTATGATTTCTGTTTACGGAGCTTCGAGCCGGAAATTGACAGAATAAGACAAAGGAATTCAATGAATAGAAGCCATAAGTCTTTATCAGGTTGAAGTAGCTCTGCTAGTCTAAGAGATACAATGTTATCACAGCTTACTTGAATTTTGAAGTAAGAGAGTGCAGATTGTAGGCTTGTTTGGTACGAGAAGTAATCAAGATCGAAGTAGAGATAGAAGTGTTATAACCTGGACGCAAGAGAGCGGTTTGTTCTTAAAGAATAGAGATAGAGGGGAGCTTTTTAGTGAATACTGGTAGAGACATGAAAGAAATGTACCTTGCGGCCGTACATAAAAAAAGAAAAAATTTAGGCGCTTTTTCTTTCCAAATTACAAAGGCCAAACGGTGAGTTTTGTTAATTTTTCATTTGTTCCTACCAATATTCCTGACGTGTTTGGTGAGACTACGACTAAATACTTGAGTACATATAAACAGGTAGAAAATACATTATACCGCGGTCTATCTATATTACATCTGAGAAAGGTTATGTACAAGCTTACAACAAGATAGAGAATTGAAGATAAACAGTACACAAGAAGCATCTGAACCTGAGATTAGTGGCTAGCATACGTGTCCCCACAATAATTTATTGTAAAATGTTAGTTTCTACCAAAGACATCTATGATACAATGCCAGTATCTGCACTTGAAGTTTGAGACTCAAAAAGCGGTTAAGACATTCTTCGTTTGACTATCCACAGATCACAGTAGAATAGGCACAGTACATTTCATCTTTTATTTCTGAGTTTGCCAATTTCCGGCTCTAACCTCTATAAAGATGGAACACCCTTCAGCATTGGAACGGCTATGGATGTACAAAGAAGGCAAAAGAGATCCATTAGAAAAATAGTTAACTGTTTTAAGCAGTAATCGGTTGGTGCGTTTTTGATTGCTTCTCTTCGAACATAACACCGGGGAAATCTATATTATTCTCTTCATTTTCGATGATTTTGGATACGGCTTCTTCTACATGATTACACACGATATGGGCAGGGTAATCTTCTGCATTGTGCTTAGGACCAGTGAAGACACCGGTACGAACAAGGCAGCTGATCCATCCATTGGCATTAGCACCCTTAATATCTGCAGCAGGATTATCACCAATGGCATAGATACGTTTCACATTACGAGGTAATATTTTTTCAGCAAACCTGTAAGTAACAGCATGGGGCTTTCCAAACGAAATGGAGTTCAGAGGACGCTTTGTGAGTTCTTTATAAAGTGCCTCTAAAGTTATTTTCATAGCTCCTTGTCCTAGACGTGGAGCTGGGAAGTCAGTACTCCAAATCTATATTTAAGAATAGAAAAATAGATATCAGCTATCGTTTGTATGATCAGCTATTGTCTCTTACCACATACCAGATCATTCTATACATAAACAGAAAATCGAACGCGTTTGGTAATTTTTTAATGAGTACATTTCTTTGGGAAGTAGTTGTTGTTCACCTTTCAACTTACACAAGACCAATACAGAGGTATTTCCTGAGCTTCGTAAGTATCCTTTCTAGTACCCACAATACCGTCTTTTGAGCAAAGCACATCCAACATAATTTGAACATCTCTTCCCACTGGCCAGCAACAGAATGATCTTCAATAATTTGATGGCTATTTACAAATGTAATTGACTGTGTACACTTACAATCAAAACTATCATTGAAGACAAATACTGCGTGAATAGGTTCTTTTGAAAAATTATAGGTTTTCTATAAAACAAGGCCTCAGTACACCAAGTTACAAGTAACTGTTTGAACAGAGGTAAAGAAACTCACTTCGCCAAAATACTCAGGTTTAGGTAGGGAGTAAGGAGATACAGAGCTATTCCAGCACATAATATCATGAGGAGTCACAGCCTCTTTAAACCCATATCTTTTTTGGTTATCAAACGGTTAGATTGATCGTCAGCCGTAAAACTTTCTGTAACAACCATCGATATAAATACCTTTTTGCTACTTCAGCGCAATTTCGTGCTTTACCGCCCACTACTAAAACCTTCTTCGATTCGTACTGTTTGGCTAAACTTTTCATGGGTGAGTGAGACAAGATGACTTGATCTGGGTTGATCTATCAGATATACTTGTAAGCTTTATGTATGTTTATAGATATTATACTTTGATCTATTGTAATATTACCTCAACACCCAACAAATCACTGATTTGCTTCGCCTTTTCTTCTTCAGTAACGCCACCACCGTTCGTCAATAAAACATAAGGAATACGTCTATTATAGATTAATTGGTTAGACGGCAAAGGCAAAAAGAATAGTTGATATGTATTAAGCGCCGTTACCTTTTAACAGGATTATCCCCATTTAATAACTTTAAAGCACTGAACAAGAATGTGTCAGAAATAAGCTATCTACTGTTATTCATAGCGGAGAGTGCAAGCGACAATAGCTCTTACCGTGTGGCCTCTGGAATAGGTTTTTTGCCCTACAATTGTCAAATGTTTGGTTTCAATACAGCTCTTTTTTTTTGAGGAGGGTGGCAGATAAATTTTTAAATTTTTTTTCCAGGCATAGAGCGACTGAACTTAATAGTTTACCTTGATCAACACTCCGTCGATGTCAAAAGCGAATGCATAATTGGTCGTCGTATAGCTCGGTTGAACAGTTGTAAAGCGCCTCTGTTTAGAAACAGATTTTGCAAAGACATTCAAAAGAGATCTACTACTATTCTTCAACAGGATCATCAAGGCAATGTCAATCTTTGACAAAAGGGAAATTCAGAAGTTAAAAGCTGATAGTGAATGAGTACAAGGTGTGGGGCGGAGAGATTTTTTTCCGCCCCATACTGGGTGGTTACATTAGGAACAGGAAGGTTGGTGGCTATCCATTCATAGATATTACAGTAAGCAAGATCACTGTTGGCACAAGCCATATCAACAATGGGATACTGAGCATAGTCTATGTAATTTGTGCGAATTGCAGCGAGGATACACTATTTGGATATGATGGAATTGAGAAGGTTTTATAAAGGTTATTTTATGTTCAAATTACCGACAACCAATAATCTGGATTGTCTTCATTACAATTAAGCTGGCAGTGTAAATTAAGGCGAATTTTGCAAGAAAATTTTGAAAGCTAAATTAATTTACTTACAATCGAAAATGAAGACGCAAAGGAAAGTAATATGCTGTATTATCATTTCATTATAGTAAAAAAAAAAAAAAAGGTTATAATGGATATAGAAAACGGTTTTGCTTAGTGTTCGAAAATAATTACAAAATATAACCTTGATACTACAACGGAACAAACCATGAGACCGTAAAAACCATCTGATGAGAAAAATTCAAAACAATCTAAGGTACCAGTAAAATCGTAAAAACTTTCTCTGAAATGCAGCGCGTTAGTGGCAGAAATAAGCAGGTGGTATTGTAATAAATGATATATGTTTCAAAAAAATTGTATGAAAGCGTTGAATCCTGACATCTTACTTAAACGTGAATGCCATTAAGCTTGACCCAAGGGTACGATACTATATCCGCTGCAAATTTCTAATGGTCGATTATTGTCATTGATTTGCATTGAGTTATATTATCGGTAACGCGTCTGCCTGCAATTAAAGGGCCAAATATTTTATAGCGTGATACGTTTCTTTGTTCCCTCCTGACTATGCTTTTCAATCTCCATGTTACCTGTCTTTTTTTCTAGAATCGCTGCATACTTTCATTTAGACAATACAATTCATTAAGAGCTCAGAAAGTAGCACTATGGTGATGAAAGCAGCACCTTTAAGGTACAAACTCGTCCAATTCATTCATAGCAATGGCTTGATAGCCTATTCTACATTGTCTTAGTGTTTTATACAGCATAGGAAGCCCCTAAAAAAGCTAATTACATTCTTATTCTTCGTAACGAGATGAGGCACTAGCTTTCAACCTTCTCGGCTTTTTGCATTTTAATGCTTTTTCTTTTTCAGGCATCGTTTTTTTGCCCTTATTCTTGGCGTTTCCTTCCGTTGAGAAGGTTGATTGTGCTTTCATGATAAGGTATTTATGTAATAAAAGTTGGTAAGAAAGGAAACGTAAGAAGAAAATTGAAACTGATGAATTTTAAAAGTGGAAGTGCTTAGTCCAAAAATGATTAATTCCAACGTGTCAAAGTAGATATGATCCATGACAAAGAATTAGATGGTTGGATGTTTCATGGTGTTTGAGAACACCATTACAAATAATTCCTGAACAAGACGCTTAAGCGTCAAAATGATATTCAATTTCTTCTTCATAGTAGCATAAGAAAAGTCCATTGTATGCCTTTTTCTCAATATCAATGCATTAACGGCACTAAAGAATTATGGTGACTTATACTCGTATGAATCCAACTCCAAGCCGCGCCTTCACTCTATTGACTGTTGAAACATCAGCAATACTATTACTAGCGGCTACATTTCGAAGGTTTTCCTTTATTTTGTGAATGCTTTTAAAAAAATTACTGTTCTTTTCTCTTAAAGTGTTAAAGTTTGTACTGCACCCAAATTCTTAGTTTAACATAATTTCATCAACGAATAATCCTTGAATATCAGTAAAAATGATTGAAAATGTTAATCACACACAAGACTTGTAAATTCTTGCAAAAGCATTGCACTACTTGGATTGATTGGCTTACAGACAAAACGTACAGTTTCGCGCTAAATTTTCGGTTCTTTATTTATATATTTACTGCCTAACTTCTTCTTTTAGTTTGTTATTGTCACTCGCTTGATGTCATGTTTGAACCAGCGCTGTTGAATTCCTCGATACTGCCCATTGACACTTCATTGTTTTTAGTTGCCTTCTTTTTGCGTGATATCTTCGTCTTAGGCTTCTCTGTATTATTTTCTTTTACGACAATTTCTTCAACTTTACCACCAGTTTTCTTTTTTTTATGCGTAGCCTTCGGTTTCTTTGTTCTCTTTACAGCCTTATCATCAGTCAAATTATTCTTCGCATCAACAACTGCTGGCATTTCAGTTCTTTCGGAATTCTTTGTCTTTTTCCTAGAGACTCTTTTTTTCTGTTGACTTTGTTGTACTTCATTTACCTCTTCTTCTTTCATCTTGAGCTTTTGCGCAGCAGCAGCAGCAGCAGCGGATCGTCTAGTTGTTCTGCGTGTTTCTGTCACTTCGGCAACTGCTTCTTCATCCTCGATACTTCCGTCATCGTCTGCCGCTTTTCTCTTTCTTGATCTTATACTTTTACGTCCCTTTGTCTGCTTAGATTCAATTCCAGTCTGCGGTATCCAAACCTCATCATCAACTGTTCCCAAACCATATGTCTTATACAAATGAAATACAGCTTGTTCTAAGAGAAAAAGTAATTAAATATGTTGGGCATGAAATACTATAGAAAATCTAATTATCTGTACCTTTATCTTTGGCTTCTATCATAAGATCAACATCATCAGTAGTGGGTGGTAAGTTCTAATACATAGCGTTTGAGTATCTGTGTGCATATTACGACTGAATAATCCCTTTTATACCTGGACACGATCACTGTGGGCTCTTTTTTCCATCAGCGTTACAGCACCCTTTCTGGATTCTGAGTAATGCTCCTTCAAGGAAGTAAGGAATAGTTTTTGCAATTAATGTAATAGCCACCTAGAAAATTTATTTTTTCAATGGCTTACCTTGGGGTTTATACCCTTATCGTACCATATTCGGTGAATTTCAGACAGAAGTGCTGGAAGATCTGTTATTGTACCTGGATTAATACTACATTTTTGCTGTTAAATAAGACTGTATCATGAGCAAATATGGAGGAGGTCACTTACTAATGATGGTGCCAATCTAAAACAAGGGGTATTTTTAGTTTTTGGCAAATAGGTAGCAAATCCGACACAGAATAGCCTAGTTCATCATTTTCCAATACAAGCCGCCTTTTGATATGATCTGGCAACGTTTCATAAACATTTTCGAAACGCTATAAACACAGGTTCAACACATTAGTTAGCTTTCTTATTTAGGTGCAAAAGCGTCATCTTTTTGTGTTCGCTTACCGAAAGAGAAGCATTCTTATCGCCTGATAATGTTTATGAATTCAGTTAGTACTCCATTAGCCCTTTGGATGACATAGTGAAAGCTTACCATAAACACCCCCCATATGGCTTTAAGAATAGATGTACAGAGTCAGTGATATACACGTTCAATAGTGATTAAATTTGCTTACTTACATAATCATCACTGAGTCTTGATCCAATCCCATTAAATCCATCATGTGCGCATGATAGTGTAGTTCGCGAATGGTATTCTCTACAACTGTAGGATTTCGCGATACTAATTGGTTATATTGTCCTGGATGCATTGTCTAATACATAGTCGCATGAAAACAGTCAATAATAAAACCAGGACAACGCTGCTAAAGCTTGCATTCTCACCAATCTATGATTATATTTCTTGGCTAAATTTCCCACATCAGCTAATTCTTTTGCTGCGAAATCGATTTCATATCTACAAAAAAAACATTGTTTAAATCATGAATTATGAATATTCATTATACTTATTTTGTCATTGCTTCAATTTACCCCACTTTTTCATGACTTGCGAAAGGGAACATATCACTTGACATACGCATGAACTTTATATTGTGGTCTAATAGAAGAATAATATCAGATCAGAACTACATTCACTGAGACAGAAAGAAAAAGTTATTGACCTTCATTCCACTGAATCATAGTTTTAAGATCAGCAATATTCTATATACAATGTTCTCATCTTTAGTATAATATTTCATTTAAATGATATCAATTTGCAACACATACTGCGAGTGCCAGCTCTCTGACATATTCATTGCCTTTCTTCAAAGCAGTATCTAGAAAGAAGAACAAAAAAACCACAAATATAAATACTCTTTCTTTTACTATGCGAAGACTCATATTCGTCGTATACCTAGTCTACAAGTTCTTGCGCAGAATACTGAGGGCTTCTGCTTTCTCAAATAAGTATTAACGCATCTAAATAGATTAAAGGATATCATTTATAAGAAACGACTTAAATGTCTGATCGATATTCTCTATTTACGCATATCCTAATCTTCCTTTAAACAAACGTGGATTGTCATGGACGTATCTATATTTCTCAGGATCAACTATTTCTTCTACTTCCACAGCATCAATTGTTTTCGCTATGGGATTTATGGCATTATCATCTGCTGTTTCTTCAATCTTTACATCATTTACTGTTTGAGTTGTCTCCATAATAGATACTGTTGGTGTTACAATGGAACTTGTTTTCATTGTCATTGCTTCTATTTCCACTTTATTCATCCTTCTCGTAACTGCAGTGATCCTTCTTGTACTAAAGCGTAAACTTAGGAAAACGGGACGAAGCATATTGTGAAGAAATCTTTTATTTTTTTTTATGAAATCGTTGGACGCTTTAAGAAACTTTAAATGCGGATATCTCTGATTCACTCAGATTCACCGATCTGGAACAAATTACGTGACTCCTTGTTATCAATGCACGCACATAAACCAAATGCTATACTTAAGAGAGGATTGATGGTTCGTTTGATCTATCTTCTTTCCTATTGTACTCCATCGCATACTGTAAAATGTCATCGGCGCTTGTAATTGTTCTATCAATATGATTATCATACATATTATGCAAAAGATCAAACGTTAAGATACTATAAACCATGCGAACAAGCTCATTAAAACTCCTCATCAGAATATTTCTTACCTTATTCTATCTAAAGGATACTCTTTCTTTAGTAAATTTGCTAAGACCTTACCGGGTCCAAAACATAAAAAGTCATCCACATCCTGTCGTTTACAGTATTTTATGCTACGTTCCCATTCTACAGGCGCAACCACTTGCTCAAATAATCTTTTTCGTATTTCCTCCGCATCTATATACTAAAGTTATCGAAACGTATTCAGAATCTAAGCACAACCTATTCATTAACTTTTTGAATCACTTACTGGTTTAGCAGTAACATTCGATACAACTTTCACACAAGGCAATCCAATGCTTATCTTTTGTAACGCGTCCTTCATAACGTCTGCTGCTTCTTTCATAAGATCACAGTGAAAAGGTGCTCTACATTATTCACATCATTAATTTATGTAAGATATACCAGAACTTATTACACTTCAAAAACGAAAACGTACGATACTGGTAAATCGACTGCACGAGCTGCGAGCTTTTTCTGTTGCAAAATCCTCGAAGCTTGATCAACTCCTTGAGACGTACCGCTGATAACAACTTGAAATGACTATTCGAACCACAACATATATAATGATTAAGCATCCTTCAATGACAAACTATCTGATTTTGATATCCTTGTATTAGCAAGAGTTACACTGTTTATGTTCGCAATGGATACAAGTTCTTTCTGAGGCAATTCTGTTTTCTTAATCTCTTCTATGGTTTTAATCAATTCATCCAGTTTTCCCTTCCTCACTACTAAAGCTGACATAGCTGTTTTTCCTTCCTTATCTGCAACAGCCTTTGTCATTGCCTTGCCTCTAAGGCGAACTAATCGTACTGCATCCGACAAGGACATAGATTTTGTGGCCACTAGAGCAGTGTATTCACCCAACGAGTGACCCATTGCATAATTACAAGCTTTGGTGATATCGAAACCAAACTCAGTTTCCAGGACTCTCAGCATTGCAATAGATGTTGTTAAAATGGCGGGTTGGGCATTTTCTGTCAATTTAAGTTGTTCTTGTTGGCCTTCAAAAATGATAGCTCGCAGTCCATAGCCAAGAGCTTCATCGGCTTCGTCAAAAACGAGCTTAGCAGATCGAGGGTAAAGGTTGTAGAGGTCTTGCCCCATGCCGACATATTGTGATCCCTGGCCTACGATCCCAAATGCATCCCATAGTACAGTCCATCAGAATAACTTTGAAGACTGTTTACAAAGATTATTCTTTAACTGTACCTGGAAAAAGAATAGAACGGTGTGAACGTTCAATACCAGCTGTACTCTGTAAGGATAAACAAGAGAGTAGGAAAGTTTTACATGTCCGTATTTTACGTAAATTATGAATATTAAGTCTTACTCGTTTATTACCATCCACGTACGATGACCAAGCACTTTATTTGTTAGTGGTTTGAGTCTGTTCATATTGTTATAGTGAAGAGGAAGAAACAGCTACAAGAACGGTATAATCCCAACTTTATATCGTACAGATTTAAACTCATATCACCGATTTCAGGACTTTGGCCAATGCAATGTTGGACGACGCTGCTTTCCGTACAATAACGAATTTGTTGATTTATTACAATTTTCGGGGAAGAATAAATAGTTGATAAGTTTTATGCAAATGATGGGTGGCGAAGATACAAAACTGTAACAGAGTAAGGATAACAAAAAGAACGAGCTATTTACAAAAGATCAAAATCATCCAACTAAACACAGAAGAAAAAAAGTGAGTTAGAATGCTTTTTTTAGCTGATACCACAAAAACCGCAATTTACCTTGTCATTATACTTCATAATCTTTCTCTTAATCTTGGAAGTATCCACCCAAGTAACATAATCTTCCATATTTCTGTTCACTAAGAAGGCAGGATCTGTGATAGTTTGAGGGCCCACACGAACATGACCTTGTTCAACAAAGGTAACGGCTTCTTTCACTGTCTCGGCCATTTTTAATCGACACATCACAATAGGCAAACGACGACGACAGAAAGCTGATACAGACACTTTACGACAATCAGAAAATTTGGTGGTCGCAGTAATGATGCCCATATCGTACAATTTCTTTAATAGTGCCTTTTCCTGTTCAGCTCTGAAGGGATCACGAGAATCTAACAGTGAGATTTTGTTGGCTAAAGCTCTAATTTGACCGACCAATTTATTATATCTAAATGAACAAGGAAAATAAGATTTCATATAAGTAAACATATACGACACAGCGGAAGTAGCTTTAGTCACGGCTTTTTCTGTTTACTGTACTTGTGATAATCTTCTCTCTGCTGTAAAAAGTATTTGCGGATGACCTTCATCTCACGCAGGGTATCCTCTTTCTTCCAGTAAAGAAAGTCGACCTTCTTCAATAATTTTTGTTCATGATGTTTTAGTTGTCTCATCTTTAATCTGTTGATCTATAAGAAAGAAATGCTGAAGGGACAGAAATTATTAAAATTGAAATAGTGTTCGCTCACCAAGCCACACGGATTTTAAAAGCAATTCATCTGCATAAATCTTGGTGACTGCAATGAAATTTGGACCCTGAATATCAGCAGACGATGGAAAATCATCGCTCTTCTTATACGACTTATCGACCTCCACAAAAGTAGAATGAGACAAGCCTTTACCCTCAATGTCCTGAAACAAATAAACAGAGACACAGAGCTATTGCTTTTTCGCACAAGTGCTATTTTTAATGATAATTTGTTACGTACTTCGAACGTATGTCAATATCGAAAATATGCCCTTATGACCAGGGCGAAGCTACGAGCTGGTATCCCAACCAAAGAGCCTATTAAACCAGTGCCAAACCTGACTGTATTGAAGTCAAGAATAGACAAAAAAGTGCTGCAAGTAAACGAACCCATAGTCTCAGCAACAACCACTCACTCTAAACCACATCATAATAATAGCAGTATTGCAGTAAAATCAGAAAAAATGGCGATAAAAGAACTAGACGAAAATGGGAAACTTAACCCTCCAAATGGCAATTCAAATATATCCAAAGAGACGATACCCTTACCAAAACCGAAAAAAGATCTGAAACCTGCTGGTAAGTTGAAGGCGCCTGTATATTGTGCCATATGGCCATTGACATTAAATCAAGACTGGTGTTCCTTGTAATTGTAGGGATTGAGCATAGACTCGTTAAAGTTCCAAAGGAAGTGCTACAGCCAAAAGAACCTCATCTAATAAAGGTTGCGGTTATTGGTGCAGCAAATGCGGGAAAGTCGACCATTATAAATAAGCTTGTAGGAGAAGAGGTAATCAATCACGTAATTGATGTCGTACGCAAGCACAAAAACAGAGAAAGAGACGATTCACTATTCACTATATTTCACGTTTTCGTGCTTTAGGTATCGGGTGTATCGCCAAAAGCCCATACAACGAGAGAAAGAGTCTTAGCTGTGATGACAGAGGATAAATACCAAGTTGTATTTTTGGATACTCCAGGAGTGATTGCTGATCCCAAAATTGCCAGAAGAAATAGTGAGCTAGCAAGCGTAGCATGGCGGTCTTTGGATGAGGCAGAACATTGTAGAGTGAGAGTTGACAAATGATTTTCAAATCGAGAACATGGATACTAAAATCAATTATCTTCTGTTGCCACAGTGATGGTAATCGTAAGCGCAAAGCGAGCGCTTCAACCTCAAGCTCGTGCTGCAGAAGAATACATTTTGAAGCAATTATCAAACATACAAATACCAGCCACATTAATTTTTAATAAGGTAGGAAATCATTGCTGATTGTAGGTTATGCTGGAAATACTGAGGTTGATGCCCATCAACATAACTTATATAGATGGATCTTGTGAAAGACGAACGTAATTTACTAGAACCTGTTGTGAATCGGTACCTGGCAGGTTACAAACACTTTACAAGGACATTATATGTTTCTGCACTATTTAATGATGGATTGATGACAGTTAAGGTTGGTATAATATGCACTACCAAATATCGGACAGCTCATCCAATCATCCGATTTACCTTTTTATTATCTTTATTATCTTACAGGATACATTATGTTCAAAGGCTTTGCCAGCTCCATGGCTTTATCCGCCCACTCAAACATCAGAAATGGCTCCCTTAAAACGTGTTGAAGATATTATTCGTGTGGAGTTTTTCAAACGGCTCAACTACTACCTTCCATACAGCTTGAAACAAGAAAATGCAGTTTGGATGGAAAATGAAAAAGACGGATCTCTCATGATAACTCAGAATATTTACGTTGAACGCGACAGTCAGCAAAAAATTATTATTGGAGCCAAAGGTCGCATTATCACTGCCGTAATTCACGAAGCACGACAAAAAATAGCAAATGCTTTGAAAAAACCGAAAGTGCAATTGTTTATTAAAATCAAAACAAGAAAAAGGCAATAATATTATTATAAGGTGATGAGTAGTATTGGTATTTGAAGTAAAAATGAAATATTTGTAAATAATGTAAATAGCATACATAAATGATAAATTGGTATACTACATAGCAGCGGTGGTCTGCTTTTGTTGCAATTGTTGTTTTTGAAGTAGTATCTCGTCGATCTTTGTCATGCCTTCTATAAATGCCTCTTTATCTAATAAACCTTTATGTTCAGGATCACATTCCCGCCAGATATTGGCCAAATCTTCATTGGACAATTTACTCTTTACCCATATACACTGAACAGTCTCACCATCAACGTAACCGTCATCATGAACAGAGTTAAATAACATTTCGTACCGATTCTGCCCTCTGTTGTTGTTGCCTTTAGGCGCTCTGGATGGTGGAGGTGGGGGCGGAGCAGGTTTCTTTTTATTATTCGTGGTAATAGTAGTGGAAGTTGGTAACGACGTTGAAGGAGAATCGGTTGTTTGAGATGCTTCGTGGGAGAGGGGTTTGATTGATCGAGAAATAGGTGACTTGGAACGAGTTGATGGTGGTTGAGTATGCGGCTGAGGAGGTGCTGTTTTGTTTGAAATAGACGACCATTCTGCTTGGTTGTTAGATGTAAGAGGATTAGTAGCGGATCGTGTTCTATTGAATAAAAAGGAAGGCTTAACAGTAGCATTTTTGTTGCTATCATTGTTATCTTTCACCCATGAGCCTAAATTAGGTCGAGCGGGTAACTCGGGCATTTTGGTTGATAGTGCAGAAGGTTTTTGTGTCAACACTGGGGGAGTTTTGCTTTTCGTAGGAGGTGTTGGTTTCTGTTGCTCATTTCGTGAAAGTAACAATTCAATAGATGACATGGACGGTTTAGATTGCAATGGAGGTGGATTAGAGGAGCTACGAAGCTTGTTATTGGGGCGAGGTGGAAGGTTGGGTTGCTGCAGTTGAGAATTGTTATTTCTATTGTCTTTATCACTCTTATCATTATCAGTGCAAGTTTGTGGTTTTGGTTTCAAAGTAGGTAAAGTATTAGTAGCGATCTTTTCAAAGGCGAAAGACAACGGTTTACTATCGACTTGCTTTGTCACTGAAGCTGAAGGTGCAGATGGAGATGATGATGAAGAATTTGCCGACAATCTACTCATACGTGCTTTTCTTCCTGCAGCAGATACAGGACGTGATGGTAAACGAGGCATAGGACTGTTGGAGGAAAGTTCATCTAAGTTGACCGACGAAGACGTTGATGAGGGCCTATTTTTCGTTGAGGATGGGCTACTGGTTGTTCCAGTCGATAAAGAGGTAGAGTTATTGTTTAAGAGCGGTTTAGAAGAAGTAGCTGTTTTCGGTCGCGGTGATGAGGACACTGGAAAACTGGGTCTTGTCGAAATGTTTTGACCAACGGATGAATTACTGTTTAGCCGTTGACGAATTTGTGAAGGCTTCACCATTTGGTACCCATCCTCATCTTCAACATCGTTGCTATTGGACTTTCCTTCATTCTTTTTGGCTAACCTTACAAGTGCAATACCGTTGGTGTTGCTACCGGTTGATTTGTATGACGCTGTTGCAGTTTGTCTTGCAGGAAAATTGCTCAGGACGTTGTCATTACTGTTATTCCTACCAAGCACTTTTTCGAGCGGCGAGTTACCTTTAGCCAGCTCTGATGGTTTTAATACACTTTCTACATCCTTTTTATTTAATGGTTTGAGTTCTGATTTATCAAAAATGGTCGCTGCTGAAGGTTTCATTCCCAATCCCACTGTTGTAGCAATGCTTGGTTTCGGACTGACAATAGGCGGAGGTGTCTGATTGCTGCTATTGGAAATATTGACAGAGGGTTTAGAGTCTATTGCTTTGGAAGCGAGTGATAGTACATTTTTCGGCTTATTCATTCGTCTAGTAGGTGACATAGCAGCCTCAAAAGCATCCACACGCTTAAGGGGCTGTGGTTGTTGTTGTTGGGCCTTATGTTCTTCTCTCGCCGTACTATTCTTCGAGCCAGTTGTTTCAATTTCAAGCTGTGGTAACTGTTTTTTGTCTTCAGTATCTTTGTCTGATGACAAAGGAGAGACATAGTTAAACGGAATCAACCCAATCTTCGAAGTGTTTTGAATTCGACCTTTGTACCAACCCTCTTCGCCAGATTCTACTACGTCAACTAAAATATCGCCCTCTTTGAACGAAAGCTCACCAGGTTCGTCTGCTGTACAATCATACAAAGCTTTGAATCGCGTTTTAGTTGTCATCGTTACTTCGGTTAAAATGAAGGAAGGAAGGAAAAAAAGAAAAGCATTAAGAAATCGTTGGGTAAGCCCAAAAATCTCAAACACGACAAAATTGCTGGATTCGGAATCATATGTAAACAGAAATTGGGACCTGGCGTACATATATTTATTTTATCCAAGCATAAACTGAGAAAAGTTATGGATAAAATATTAGAAAGCCAGCCTCTCATATGTGCAACAGACGAGAGATTAGAGAAGAAAGGATAATGGCAAGCAATCTCATGGTTAGCTGAGAACTCTATATTCCAAAATACGTATAAACTTAGCCAAAAAATTCCACACTATGGCAATCTAAGAAAGGATATGTATAACCATTTTCTTTTATTATTTTCTTGACTTCCCTTCTTGCAAGACTTCTGTCGTAATCCATTTGTCTCCAAGTGTTTCTATCAATACTTCGGATATTGTCGCTACCTCGGCCATAGCGCCTATGCCAATATCACCACAAGCGAGCTTCTTGCTTATTGGATTGACAATAGTAAAACCGAGGTCTTGGTTTAATGTTTTAAGATGCTTTGCTGTAAATGGATGATCCCACATATGCGTATTCATTGCAGGGCAAGCTATCAATGGCTTATCCATAGCCCAAGCCCTCAATATGCATGTAAGGAGATTATCACACAGGCCGTTTGCCACTTTCGCTAGGGTATTTGCGTCGAGGGGTGCGATAAGCATTATGTCTGCCCAATTACGAAGCTATATCATAATTTCTATAAGCCTCTCATACTATAGTCTAGGATCATTCGTAACAACTCTTGCCTCAATATGCAAAATCGGATCAGTTAGCTTTTTCCAAGACTACATCGTTTTAGAATTGTTCATTTGAGTTGTTAGGACTACTTAAGATTAGGTTGTGAAAAACAACTTACGTTCCATTCATCCTGCTCTCTATATACTTCGCAATCAATTTTCTCATTTTTCACAAAGAAGTAGGCCGATTCTGTCAGTACAACTTTTACGTTGACTCCAGAATGCTATACGAGGAATGTTCTCTTTTCCTGATCAGACATTTTTCCGATTAAGTTAATGAAGGCTAAACAACGTTACTTTTTTTAGAGAGTCGACAAGTAGAGGGATTTTTATTGTCGCAACACTTCCTGTTGCGCCTATAAGGATGTTTACCATTTCGTTATAGAAAACTATGAGTTATCTTGTTGTACTGACTGTGAATTGAATCAGTTAAAAAGAGCAATTCCCATTCGGGGAAGGTCTCTGGAAGTTTCGATTCAGTTCCTCGATAATGACGTTCCTTCGGGGAAGAATTCAAACTTTAAAGAAACTTACTGCTACCTAATCATCATTTCCGGCTTTATGGTTAACTATGATAGATTATATAATGATTATAACCCTTGAAACTTAGCAGTTGTAACTGCGACAATTGTCAGTTTTCAAAGGCTGTGCAAAGATTATATATTTTTGGAAAAAAGAAGTTAACCAACAATTAACGTTAACTAACCGTCATCCACAGGGAATCTTTCCTAAATGTCAACTGTAATTGGTCCCTTTTCATATGTGTAATGCTATTTACATACATCATCTTTGTGGTACCGTACTAGTTTTTTGGTGAATGCTTGCTTAAAAATTTGTTACCGACCATGAAAGACAAAGAAAGCAGAAAAGGTCTGGCTCCATTATTCATTCTCCTTAACACGCTTTCTTTTTTCGCCCTCAATCGATACCAATTTCTTTGTTTTCCTTGCTTCTCTTCGTAATACGTACTAGTTTAAAACAAGTTTAAAGAAAGTATATTATGCTGGACAGAGGTGAAGTAATGGATGGAACACGTGTTTGGAATTAATTTTAACGACGTGATAATGATTTATAGCAGAGTCTATGCTGACTAGCCAACAAAAACTATCAGTTTCAGTTTCGAACGAGCACTGTCAACACAACAACAAGCTCGCTGTAGCGCTTCAATCCATGTTCAGTAAAATAGCACTTTTTCCGTGCATAGTACGCCGAGCCTTGAAACGGAAACAACGAATTAATGACAAAAATCAATAGCCTCCCTTCAACTACAATTCCAGTTTGAAAGACTGCAACACTGTAGCGATCAAAACAGACACTATAGGAAGCATTTCACCTTCCAATGCTAACCTAGCCACTACAGGTAACATATTCCATTCTTGAAGCAGCGCATTTATTGGAACTAGTATTATTAATAGACGATCAACTTCGCATTATAAGAATGGATTTATAGAACAGGATGGACGCCACAGCCAGACCCTTTGGCTATTCTTGATAGTGGCTGGTGTGATCAATGCTATTTTCATGTTAGAAAAGAGGTCCAAAGATGTCCATCTTGCGGGATACATCCCATCATATTTTCAGCACCCCTTATCAGCAGCCACAACGATGATCGAGGGGACCAAAAAAGACTTGCGGAGATTAAAGAAACAGATTTTGATCGGTAACTTAAAACGGTTGCCTGATAGGAAGTGGGTGCATAAGAATTTGAGACGTCTCAAGGCAAATAGGGAAACAGTCCACCGTTAGTAGAATACCCATAGGATGTTTTGTAAATAGATCCAATCGCTCGCTTCGTTTCTAATTCGACTTCTTCTGTGTAGACTGTTACATACCCTCGGTAATTGCAATTTAAATATCAAATAAACCCAACAGTCATTAATGCAGAAAATCCAATTTCCTAACGATCTTGGCGTTTTAACATTTAAAAGTTAATTGCAGTGCTGTACTAAAAATAGAAAGTACCCAAGTTACGCGCCTGGATTTTTTTCAATCAAATCAATACATGCTTATATTAAAAAGAAAGAAGAATAAGCGTTGTCTAACAGACAGAGTCCCCAGACTTTCTCAAAGCAAAATTGAATAAACGTGGACTAAATGAAATGAATGTGCCTGCTTTACTAAAAAGACCTATTGTATGATAAAGTGAAACTGTTACTTCAAATTCTACTCTTCATCCCATGGATTCTTCTTAGAATAGCGGATTGCAAAAATTAGCAGATGTTACTATTTTTAATTTTTTGAGTGGAGGATATAAATGCCTGTGTTTCGCAGTTTCTTGGTTTTCCAATTCCGTGAGCTGGCAGAAGCGCAAATGACGTTATGGACGGTTACTCATTGATTATGTTTCTGGGATAGTCCCCAAGTATTTGCTTCTAGTTACAGTTTTAGAATTGTGTGATTAAAATTCCAACAGATGGCCTGAGCTCGGTATTACACCAATTGTTAAAAAGTAGGCATCGTGAACCGGTCCAAGAAGTCGGGATGATTTGTACGACTGTCAATGGGTACATCTTTTTATTGACCAATGTTTTCAACAAGTTATCTTAGACTCATTGATAGTATATATATCGATATCAAAGTTCACAAATATGGCAATCTATTCATGGATTCATTAATTGAAACTCCATTTGTTGCGTCCCTCTTTCATTAAACCAGCGTGTTGTTCTATAATGAGAATAGAAAAAAAAAATTTTTAAAACCGATCCGACCGCCCTTAATATAAATTGACAGGTCCTTAAGCTTTACCTTCTATTTCTGTTTTCCTTTTTCTTCTTTGTTCTTCCTTTCAACCACAACAAAACTCCTTTCATTCTCTCGTTTTCTTGAGCACAAGATGGTTTGGAAAGTCGCCCTTCTTTCAGCCGCTTCAGTTTTAGGCGTCAATGCTGTTACTACCAATTACACTTCTATAACCAATCCTTTGAACGTTACTATTCCCAACATTCCTCAAACCACATCTCATGATGAAGTTACTCAATGTACATATTATCAGTCACCTTTCACTATTAACCAAGCTGAATGGCCAACTGTCTGGGGTACAGCCACTTCTAATGGCATGAATAATACTGCTGAATTCAAAGCTTTATATAACTCCATTGACTGGTCGAAGGCTCCTAATATCCCTGTGAGACAGGTAAATGCCGAAGGTGGCCTAGTCACTGAGGGTTATGACGCTGCCAACGATCCCGATTGTTGGTGGTCTGTCGCTCAATGTACTCAACCCAAGCGTGAAGGCATTAACCCCGATATCCGTAATTGTCCCGAACCTGAGACCTGGGGCCTTACCTTTGATGACGGACCTAACTGCTCCCACAATGCTTTCTATGATTTCTTACAAGAAAAGAAGCAAAAAGCTACCATGTTCTATATTGGTTCCAACGTTTTGAACTGGCCTTATCAAGCCCTCCGTGGTGTTAAGGATGGTCATCATATCGCTGCCCACACCTGGTCCCATAAAATGATGACTACTCTTCCAAATGAAGAGGTTTTGGCTGAACTCTACTATACCCAAAAGGCTATCAAGTATGTCACTGGTGTCACTCCTAAGCACTGGCGTCCTGTAAGTATCATTTTTCTTGGTTTCAGATTAATTTGTTGGGTTAAAAGTGGGTGGGGTGCGAAGGAAAGCAATAGGAACCTATCAAGGAGAAATCGTAAGTGCCGTTTTAACTCACGATGCTTTTTTTTTTTCAATTTTCATTTATAGGCCTTGGGTGATTTAGATGATCGTGTTCGTTGGATTGCTACACAATTGAACTTGACTGCTGTTATTTGGAATTTGGATACCTTCGATTGGGCTGCTGATGTTGCTGAAGGCATCACTACTGCAACAGTTGAAAACTATTATAATCAATATATCGAAATGGGTAAAAATGGTTCTTTCACCAACTCTGGTAACATTGTCTTGGCTCATGAAATCAACAACAATACCATGAGCTTCTTTATGAAGTATTATCCTGAAATTAAGAAGGCTTATAATCACGTTGTCGATGTTGCTACCTGCTACAATATCACTCATCCCTATGTTGAAGAACAAATTACTTGGGCTCCTTTTGGTGCGAATCAAGGTGCTAACACCACTTCCAATGCAAGCGCTAAGGCCGATATGTCTGCTACTAAATCTGGCGCTAATGCTTCTGCTAAGGTGAACGGTGCCTTATTCATTGCGGCCATCTTTGGCCTCTTCATGCTTTTCTAAGCTTGCTTCCCCTCTCTTCTCATTTTTATTTTATAACATAACATACTACAACTCATCAATATCTTTGTCATCGTTCAGATAGAAAACTTATTTAATACTTATTTGCACTTGCTTTTTTTTTTTTTTTCTTCGTTGTAAATTTTTCATATTTATGTAAAATAGTAGAATAAACTATATATTCCATGTAAATGTACAAAAAACTGCACAAACTTCCATATGTTAAGCACATGCTTCTTTTAATGAGCGGAAATGGCTCTTACTACAGTATTTGCTCAACAAATTCTTTCTGTTCTTTCAATTCTAGACGCGCGGCTCCTAGATTCTCCGCCGCTAGTGCATGTTGAAAGCTGAACTCAACAAAGTTACCACGCTAAATTGTCATTTTATCCTATCAAGGCATTACCATCCATAAAAAGAAATAAAAAAAAAAAAGAAAGCATACTTCAAAAACGATGGTTCGCGGCCATATTATTTACATATTTACTGATCTTTCTTTTATATAAAATTGTAAAGCACCTGAATCCAACGGACGAATTGGAAATTCAATCACAAGGAAAGATACAATAAACATTAAATAAAGTAACGACCGCATCTGTCGATTAGATATTGAATACAAAAACAGAGCTTGTTGAGCTTTTATTGAAGAACTAGAACCGCCATTAACATAAAGCCATAGAGAGCCATTATGCTGCTACTCATACTTATCGCATCATTTTTAAAATTTTTCTTCATACTTGGTGTAGATGGAAGCTTGGAGAAATTGTGCGATACAGTTGATCTGCCAACTCTACTAAAAGAACTGCTGCTACTGCTTTCAGGCGCCATCGTCCAAACACTGAAGGAAGAAGCGCTGCTATTTTTGCTTTTCGAACTTGTTGTAGCTGTAGCTGCAGCATTGATAGGTGAAGGCGATGGTATTGGAGCAGACGTAGGAGTAACAGACCAAGGTGTAGTCAGAACTTGCATTTGAATAGGAATTGCTTCTTCTTCGATATTTAGTTCTTCGGTGTCTTTGGATGTGGTTATTGTGCTGGGTTTACCGTTAGCGGTGACTGTAACCGTTTTTGTAGTTACCGACACTGACACTTGTATATCAATTATGGAGTGCGAAAAGATAGTGAGCACAAATCAAGAGGATCGTTGAGGGAGCAAAATAATTTTTTCTACCTTCTTTCGGCAATTCGTTAGATTGAACGAATGATGCACACAGATAGATGATGGCACTTAAAGCAAGTAATTTTGATTGCATCTTAACCAGCGTTGAGAGAGGAAGAGAAGAAGCACTTTATTTTAGAAATGCTCTTATATTCCTGTCTCATTTTTCAAATGTTTGTACCGTTCGGAAAATATGCAAAATCAACAGCCCAATGGCTAATAAGCCTAGGATATTTAGACATCTTCCATTGATGTGGTTTTCACGTTTGGTTTTATTCAAGTTACAAAGATTAGGATAATTGAAGAAATACAGTATTTTCGTTTCCTTAAAATCGTAGTTTACATTTAGGGGAGGGAAAAAAAGCAAAAGAAATATCTAACAAATTAAAGGAAACGAAAGAGAAAGTAACCAGGACATTAGACTAGCGGTTACTGGCCAGCCATCATGGTTTCCATAGAAGCGTTTCCTTCCATTTGTTCTCTAATAAACATTTCAAAGTATTGGAAAATAATGGTAACAGCCATCAAAATACCTGCACCAGTACCAATACAGCCAAAAATATCAGCGACAGAAGCAATAATAGCTAAAGAGGCACCACCAAAAGCAGCAGCAGGAGGAATGATACGCTGCAATTCCTTGTGCATTGAAACATCACGGAAACCAGCAATAGCCAATTGTTGATCCTTTAATTGACGAGCGACATCCCGGGAAGTAGAACCGGAGATATCGACCCAAGCCTTGGACAAGTAAATGCAAGCCACTGTGCTAAAAATAATGTAAAGAGCGGTACGCAAAGGGCTGGAAATGGCTTCAGTTAAACTGTGAGGAGCAGAAAGATAGTAGACGAGGCCACCAGTAGAATAGAGTTGATTTACAGTTTCTTCCTTGATAGGTTCCCAAATACCGAGGAAACGGATAAAAAAGTGATTGCCAAAGAACATGAAGAGGGTTTGGGAAATCAAATGGATATTGGCATAAACAGCGGACAAAAGCATGATAGGCATGCTTGAAGTGTAGAAGAAACGGATAGGATAAGATGCACGTTGGCCACGCATACGGTTGGACTTGACAGGTAATTCAATTCGGAAACCTTGAACATAGATAACTAAGCCAAAGGTGACCAAAGTGGCGATCAAATCCATCATGTTCGTTAAATCGGTACGGTAAAAGGCATCTTTAAGAGCACGGACTTTGTTGGAACGATTCTTAAGCAAGCTGAAAAGAGCAACGATGGCGCCTTCCTTTTCAGAGCCACGGAAAGTTTCATAGCTGACAAAAGAAATAGACTTCCACAAGAAGGTTTGAGCAACGTTAGTAGCAACGAAAAGGTTGATACCGGAACCGATGCCATATCCTTTTTGTAATAATTCATCTGAAAGTAAGGTAATAGTGGAAGCAAAAACAATTTGAAGTACTAAGGCACCACAACGCAAGGGACCTAATTCAGTAGGGTCACCATAGAAACCAGTGAAAACAAGAAGAGCAGCTTGGCCGATAGCAATAAGAACAGCAATTACTATGTAAAATGAAACCATGAACGTTAAATATCATGCCATAACCCAATATTCTTTACCGATATTTTCGACTGTCTTGCATTCAAGATTGCACATCTCCAACACTGGACAGCCCAATTTTACTCACAAGAGGAGGCAACTTACATTTTTGTGCACCACAGAACAATGCACGTTCTTCTTTCAAACTATAATCGACATGGATCACTCTAGCAGCAGCTGTCAACTGCATAACCATACCTGAAGTAAGGATAGGTAACACACCCAATTCCATCAATGTGCCGCGGTGAGCACCCAAAACAACACGGAAATAATAAAGAGGATCTGACGACTCCTTGGAAATGACGCCCCACAAAGGAAGCTGTGCCATTACCAAGTAACCAATAAGTGCCACAGCAGTATATAACAATCTCTCATTTAGAGGAATCTATAGAAAATACAGTAGCCTTTGTGTTTAATATTCACTATTCGTCTTTTTTTTTTTTTCTTCTGCGATGTCTTTGGTCCCTGTACAAGAATATACTGAGAGATCATCGTCATCATTACTCAACTATTGTACTAGACATTTACTTTTCCAATGGGTGATTCAATTTCTGGTAGAAGGCCCATAAAAGGCTTTAAAATATGTAGCACCCGGACTATAATACAATTGTAAGCGTAGGTTAGACTTATCAGCTGCTATACAAGGATTTTTATGTTGAACTTACGGCCCATTTTATGTGATTATTGACGCGAAGTATAAAGAGAAGCCAAACGGGAAAAAAAAAGACGAAATAAATCTTCCGGTGATACAAAATAGAGAAAAAAAAAACCAGAAAACCCTCGCCCAATGAAGTTTACCAACTGAAAGCGGACCAATCATGGTTCTCTGTCCCACAGGCAAAAGCAAGAAAGAGATAGACTGTGTGATGTTCAAGTATTTGTGGGGAAGGAAGACAGTGTTTGATTTTTTAAATATGAACAAAGAGACGATGATTAAGTATTAATAAAAAATAGTAACTTATGGATATGTAAGGAATTGTACAAAATACTGTTCAAGAAAACATATGTATTTAGTTAGCTGAAAGGGTTTCCTGCGTCTGTTGTTGACTACTACTAGTATTATCATCGTCAGTAGCAGCATCACGTAAGCATGCCAGCAAATGATAGCAATCTTCCAGCAAGTCCACACATAAAGCTTGGCCTAGTATACAGTTATATGAAACGCGATGGTGAGTTTCTGTTATATGAAACCAACCACAAATCTTCTCTTCTCGTTTACCTTCTGGAATATGTCCTCTATCGTCATAGAATTTACCATCCTTTCGTAAACTCTCTATACTCGTCAACTTCATTTGGTATCTATTTGTAAAGCAATAACATCATTTAGTTAAACGCATGCATACGCGATCAAATAAAACGTCAGGATATACGCACGGATAAAGTTCTTCCGATGAGCATGGTGCGCCGGTCTTTTTGACTGCTAATAAACATTGACGCACGGTTGTCAATTGATTATACACGGGCGTTAATGCCTCAGAAACAGGTACACTCTCACTCAACAAAATGAAGATCATTCTGTAACATCTGTTCAGCAAAAATTCCAATATTGTTTGACCTTCGGGAGCCTGTCCATTTTGGTCTACGAACTTGCCTGCCAATTCGTCAGACGAAGCATCAACACCTTCCTCTTCGTCCTCACTGCTCACTTTCTTCATTTTTACAATGTCGTGGAGTTGATGTTGGTACGTAAACAGATCGGTTTGACGCAGAGTCCATTTATGTGTCAATTCTAAGCGTTCTAGATGATTTTTAATTTCCAACAAGCGCTCGCGAATACTTTGAAGCGACGGAGAAAAATCTTCGCTGCAGGCGATGACTAAATCATGCGACCAAAAGTAGAGATTTTCCAATAAGCCTACTAACACAGCTTGGCCTGGAGGAATGGAATTGTTTTGCCCAAGAAATTTGCCATTCTCTCGCTTATCATCTATTTCTTTAATCTTTTCCTGTAATGGTATAATATCGCTGGGCTTATATTCGCTGCGGCAACATATGCTCGTTAACTGATGTCGGATACGTAGTAAACTGTCTCTAATAGGAATGCTACAACCAAATAAAATGCAATATTTTAGGAAGGCTACATCGAATCATCTTCGTTTCTACGAATTCATTCACTTACAGTTCAGGGTCCACTTCATGAATTGTATCAATCAAATGTTCGTAGATTCGGACTATACACAAGTTGCGCTTCTTGAATACTTTTTTATTCAAACTTTCCGTATTGCTTACAAAGAATTCACTTACCACATTGTCTATATTTGTATTTCAAGACTTGCATTACAGTCTCGGGCAAAACCTGACTCTTCTCATCCACATTCAAAATTTTGTTTATTTCGTCCAGCTTGACCTTGTATGGTTTGAGATATTGTTCCTCATACACACCAAATGATTCTAAACGATCAAAAATGTGCTACCAAAGAAAAGACGTTTATTAATATATTATGCACTTAATGTTTTTCTTACTGTCATTCATAATTACCTTGATGGCGACTACTTGCGAATAAATAGCAGGAAGTTCTCGCTTTTTACCAAGTGACAGGAAGCATAAACTCACCATTTGCAGAATCTCGTCCAACACATCGTCCGTTCTGTTCAATTCGCGTGATTCGTCCAACAGTCTACCACCTCTCAGTTCGCTTAACGCCTTCATTTCAGTTTCTGCCTCTAGTCTTAAAGGCATAATATCCTCTACTTTCAAGTAGCTGGAACGGTCACGCTTGACAGCTGACAATTTTGCTCTTATACTTAATAGCTTTTCAAGGATAGGAAGCTCTGTTGAAATCATTAATGAAAGCTATGTTAGCCTATTGTTAAAGAGAATAAGCTCAAACTTTTTTACTATTACCTTCAGTAGGTACTTTGTGCGGCATTCGATAGGATAAATAATAACTTTAATTGAATGAATGAAAGAGCTTTCTTTTTATTCATTTTTTTGTTCGGTTTTATCATTCTTTTCCCGACAAAAACATTCATTGATACAGTGACATGCTGTCTCACTACGTTATCTTGTCCAATCAGATAAGGATTACCTAAAAGAGGAAAATACTTCTTCCATTCCAAGTGTAAATCCACAGAAATGATATCGTGTTCATGCGGAAGGTTGAAGATTATCAGCGAAATGTAGCCCTACAAAACGGCATAGTACTGTTGCAGAAGAGACGGCAACCAAAGAATGGAAGGCTCTGAAAAGTAAAGTCTGTAGATATATTATTGTAATGTAAAAAAATTAGCATAAGACGAAAGCAAGCCGAAGTCTGTCACCCATACAGGGTATTGTGGTAATAATGGTATTTTTATATAAGATAATGGCTAGTTTGTTTGCTGTGTTTGCTAATAAAGGTTTAGAACATTCATATCTGTATTTATTACGTATTGTAATGTGGTACTCAGAACATTGACGTGTGCTAAGTGTCGAAGTGACACTGATAATCCTTGTCATTCGACATCATCTACTGCGGCTTACTCGCTTTAACCGTAACTCTTAACGATCGCATTTATTCTTTGATTGTCACATATTAAGAGAAAAAAACAGGCTGAAACCATATAAGCAAGTACTTCTCTTTCACTTCAAAGTTGTTGTTGTCAGCAACAACCTTCTTTTCTTTCTTCTTTTTTCTGTAGTCCTGTCTCCGTCTCTCGTGCTTTCTTCCAATTTCGCTTTTTTTATCACTACAGAAATTAGCTACAAAAAGATGTCAATGATGTACGAACAGTTCAGTGATGAAGAGAAGAGGATAAGAGAGTGGTTGAGCCAAGAAGAAGCTTCCTTGGAGTGTCTCGCGCCTATGGCTGCCTCTAAATTACCACTAGAAGGACAGGAATCAATACCATCACATACAGTAAGCCTCATAATTTAATCCCAATAAGGGGAAAGCATGCTGATATATTGCGTACACAGCTGCGAGGAATAGAACCTTTTTCAGTCGCTCCACCATCACCGCCAACACTGCATGGTAGATTGATACATAAAACTATTTGTGACAACAATTGCTTTCTAGAGCATACAATTGAATGAATTATACTTTCATCCTGATAAAATAGTCAACAACAGAAGCTTCTACGGAGGAAGACTGCAGCAAGCAGCTCCAATCGTAGGCGACACACAATTGAGGTCTACAAGTGAAATTCGTATGTCGAATAGATTTCTTTTTTATGAACTACTATAAAGCTGTATCTAATAATGTTTGTGCAGCTCCTCCTTTTAATAGCATATTCAAGTTCGAAACGTTCAATGTAATTCAATCGAAATGTCTTGATGATGTAAGGAGGAAGGCTAGTGGTGGCACATATTGTATAACTCAATCTTCTTGCCCTTACTATTTTTTCTTTTTTTATTTAGGCGTTTTACGAGAATAACAATTTGGTTATTTCAGGTATATACGATAAGTGAATAATAACATAAAGCCGCGGACTGTAAGTTTTAACTTAAACTCAACTGTACTAGCCCCAACTGGTTCTGGTAAAACGGTTCTGATGGAGCTAGCAATAATTCGTACAGTGCTGCAAAAAGGAAGTAATTGTAAAATCATTTACATGGCTCCAACAAAAAGTCTCTGCAATGAAAGAGTCAAGGACTGGGAACAAAAGTTTCACACTTTTGGTATCAAATGTAAGGCTATTCAAATATGGTATTCAAAAGTCGTGGAAAAAATCTCAAAGTATTCTTGTTATTCATGACCTGCAACTCTAGGTAAAGAATTCACAGGTGATACACATAATCATACTATTGCGAGCATCAAAGATACTACTATAATGTAAAGGGTTGCTCTGCGTGATACTGTTATCAGCGATAGTGTCTCACTTATTATCGATGTATTAGAGTTACCACACCAGAAAAGTGGGATTCTTTGACAAGACGTTGGATCGATCACAAACAGTTGATGCAGCTCATCAGTCTTTTCTTGGTATTCAAACTGACTATATCCCTTTTTTGCGTATATACTTTTACCACAAAAATAACTTCTTACATTTCTTTATCTATTTCTTGAGGTCGATGAAGTGCATATATTGAATGAGAAACGCGGTGCTTGTCTAGAAACCTGCGTCAGCAGAATGAAGGTAAGACTCCCGATCAATGCTTCCTCAGAACATTAGATGACACGCTAATTTTTTATTTTTTATTTTTTTTTTTGTGCTAAAGACAATGGAAACCAGTTTACGCTATATGGCTGTCTCAGCAACTGTACCTAATTTAATCGATATTGCTACTTGGTTGAACGCTAAACGTAAAGTCATCGTCATTCGTGAGCATAATACTTTCTTAAAGGTAGCTACAGATGTGTTATTCTCTTAAACCAATCATCAAATGATATAGCTATTGCCTTTTCCGAAGAATATCGTCCTATCCGTTTAGAGCGCTTTGTCTACAGCTATCCTCAAATGGACGGCAACATGTTTTCCTTTGATCAAAAGCTTAACTGGAAGTAAGACATGGAACTTTAATGAAAGCGAAGGGGTTTTCACTCCAATGCTTCTTTATTGTAAAAATACCCAACAAAAAGTACTTATGTATGATGAATACCGCTTTGAAATCGATAGGCTCTTAGACATTATCCAGAAACATAGTCAAGAAAAACCTGTTCTTGTTGTAAGTAATATGTTGCCTAAAATGAACTGTATCAAAGTTCATTTATTTTTGGTTTTTCTCTTGGTTTTTCTTCTGGGGGTGGTGGTTTCTCATATAGTTCTGTGGTACAAGAAAATCTGCTGAACAAGCATGTCAGGCCATATTAAAAGTAATGGATAACAAGAATATACAGACGCTATTAAGGTATGTGGTGTTAATATGTTTGTGTGCTATACAAGTACTGGAAATAAAAGATACCAGTAGCAGCAATAGCCTAGTATTCTAATGCTACTACTATTCTTACTATAGCAATGAGAATACTCCGTCAACCATGAACAATCCTTTAAAAAATAAGATTCTTCCGAAAATGGTAGAAAGAGGCATTGCATTTCATCATGGTATGTCTCATCTGCAAAGTATTCAGACGACAATACTAGCTGCGGTTAAGGACACCTTTCATATTCTCAATAGCTGGCCTTGACGTCACTGATAGATCTATTGTTGAGCAGCTGTTTTTGAATAAGCAAGTCAGAGTAGTAGGTACGTACAAAAGCACATATTAAACCTTTTGATGTTACAACTCAGTATTGGTACCTCTAACCATGAATATTTATTATTTAGCAACAACATCAACTTTGGCGGTCGGTGTCAATTTTCCTGCCTATTTGGTCATAGTAAAATCAACTCAAGGTATGACGATGTATTTTCTCAAATAGAAGCACTGATAAAATCTCTTATTATAATATCATTCCAATTTACTGAAAGCGCAGGTTATCAAAATGGCTCTTTAAGCGAGTATTCCGACGTTGATATGCTACAAATGATGGGGCGTGCTGGTAGACCAGGATTGGAATCATCTGGCTGCGTTGTCATATTAACGACAACTTCCATGGAGCGTCGTTACAAAACGTTAGTATCAGGTACCACCAACTTGGAAAGCAGGTATGAGTTTCATTAAGCATGTTTTAGTTGTCAGGACCTGAATTTAATTTCTAATTTACCTCATCACCGTATTTAGACTTCACGAAAACCTGATTGAACACCTATTATCTGAGATATGCTTGGGAACAGTTACTGATGAAGAAACAGCAATCAAATGGTAAAGCCAAGTGACAACTCTTGCTTTTTTTTACCTGCATAAACATTCCCAACTGTCATTTTCGTATTATAGGCTTCGGTCAACCTTCCTGTTTGTGCGTGTTAGCAAAAACTCAATCCATTATAAGCTAAATTCATCAGCAACTTCTGCAGATACCATATTGCAAGGTTCGTTTGGAACTGTCCAAACTGAAGAATGAAAATCTGACTCACTCGTTGGTTTTTCTTTGTCACTTGCATTTATAGAAATCTGCGTGAAAAACTTGGAATTGTTAGAGAAAAGTAACTTAGTGCAGAGAGCCGCATATTCGAAATTAACAGCGACACGTTAGTACAAAATCTTTGGACAAATGGCGTTTACATTTTATAATGATCAATGTAATGTTTATTGGACGAATTCTTAAACATCCAGTTCTTTGCATGATTGTTTAGCTTATGGACTGGCAATGGATCGCTATTACTTAAAATTTCTTACAATGATCAATATCCTCGAAGCTAGTAATCCAGCCTCTGTTAGAGATACGGTATGCGTAACAAATACATGCTTATGAATAATAGCTCATCCATTTGTGATGATCATAAAATAGTTGGAACTGTTGAGTAAATCACATGAAGAACTCGATACAGTTCGATTTAACGCTGGTGAAAAGCAGTTCCTGAACACTTTGAAGAATCATGTTAACATGCGTTTTCCGATTGACAAAGTCTCTACTGTTGCAGACAAAATATTCTTGCTAGTACAGGTGATAATCTTATGAGTTTTTTTTTTTTTTTTTTTTCTGGGCAAGCAAGACTAACTGAAATTTTACAATGGCATTGACTTCATTCTCATAAAAAAAAGTGTATTCTCGGCGACATTCCTCTTTATAATAGTGGAAGCAGTATATTACTATTAGAAGCAAATACTATTATCAAACACCTGAGTCGAATTACTAAATGTGAGTCAACTTTATTCCAGAAAAAGACACTTTCCTGCTTCTAATTTTTTTTTTGTTTTTGCTTCGACTGAATTATATATATTACAGGTTTGATTGATTGCAGTGTTCAAGCAAGAAACCCCATTAAGCTCAAATATGCATTCGAGTTATACCAAAGTATTCAGGCTAAACGTTGGTCCACTTCACCTTATATATCTCGTCAAATAGATGGTATCGGTCCTCAGTTTGCCAAGGCACTTGTACAAGCCAATTTGACAACTTTTGAACAATTGCGGAACTGCGATCCAGGGCACTTAGAAATGGTGCTTCACCGAAATCCACCGTTTGGTATAAAGGTAGCTTGAAAGAAGAGTAACAAAAAAAAAAAAAAAAAAAGGAAAAAAAAGCAGAATTTTGTTCTTTAAACTTGCTGGTTGTTTCTGGGGATGCGTATAATGTGTAGATCAAAAAGCAGATCAACTGTATTCCTGATTTTTTTTTAAACGTGACAAAGGTATTCGAATTGCTCTGTTCAGAATCATTTACATAAAAGTGAATTAACGCACAAATATCACTACAATGGCAAAACTTATAGATACCCCAGCAGTCTAAAAGGCATCCTCAAAGCGGTAATGAGATCCTGAGACTACATATAGTCCTTGGTTTAAAAAATGACGAAGTTATCCGCGGTAAACATGGTAGAATCTATCATGCACAATTCTGGGTTTATACTTCACATAGAGAATTAGTGGATTTCAGGCGTATCCAGTGAGTATACCGAAATTTCCAGGGAGAGGTGATTTCGCATGTTACCTGACTATATAATTGTTTGAAATTCACAACAGATTATCAAAACTTCAAGCGAAAAAGCAGGAATTCGACTTGGCAGTAGAGATCAAGGTGTCTGATACTGTGCTATATTTCCAACTGCAAAGCGAAGATATTGGTATGGTGAACAGGAATTCATCATTTGCTATAGCATCCATAATAATTAACATTCTCTGTGTTTCTACTCCAAATAAGTGGGTGTCGATGTCAAACAAGAAATCAAGCTAGTCACAAACCAACATCCTTTTATAAATAGTATTGAAAGCCCCTACCGCAAATCCTTGACTAATTTGGCAGATAGCAATACAGTTCATCACTATGCTGATAGAAGTGATACACCATTTTCGTTAGGTCAAAGTGCTTCACAACAGCCGCAACAGCAACCTTTGCGAGAAAAGTCTTTGAATGTATTCGTCGACAGAAAGAGAAAAGAAGAAGAAGACAAAGATCATGAATTTGATTTTGATGATGAGAATGATGATATTCATATCAATACCCAGGTCTTAAAAGAGCTTAATGATATTACCAACAAGAAGAAAGCTTCATCGTTATTCGAGTCAGCTAAGATTGCAGTACAAAGCGAGCGGTATAATCAGCGAACAAAAAATATCAATAGTAATATGACAATGGGAAACGATAGTAGCAGCCGCTTCAATACAAAAAACCAGAATGCCAGTACTAGTAGCCAACAAATATCAGGTACTTGTCAGCCACAACTGAATCAAGAAAAGAGTAACAATAACAACAAAACAAAAGCTGGCAATGTGAGCGTCTTAAATGAGCCGTAAGTGATTGATATCAGACATGTACACGATGACTTTCGTCTACTAATTCCTTATGCCTCGTCTATTTATAGTTGTAAGCATCATTGTCGAGATAAACAAAAGTAAATTTCACTTTTACTCCCCATTACCCTATCTCTTGTGTTAATAATGATTATTGTATGCGCTATAGGTGTGCTCATAAATGCTGTAAGCGGCATACAATAACCGCTGCTGATATTACGCCTACCACAATCGCTGCCACTAATTATAAAATTGGTCTAAAGCGCATCAATGAGGACGAAGAAGACAGTGATTCTGATAATGGGTGTTATGATGTGACATCTGACTTTTCCGTTCATAAACGGTTAAAACTATCTAGGTGTAAAAACCAACAGCAAAAGTGGGCTAATGGCGGCCATACAACGGATGATGATGAGGAATTTCTCCCAGCTCTCACAAATGATGGTATGTAAGGAGAAGAACTAATTTCTTTGAGTTCTCTCCTAAAAATTTCTTATATTGTTGCTTAGAACTTAGCGTGCTGAATTTAAACGGCATAGAATCAAATCGAGTGCTGAATAATAGCAATGACATTAATATCAGCAATATCAATCTTTCGCACGGCTTGAAAGCTAGAGAGAAGGTGAACTTTGATCCGATTGATGAGTTCGACGGTTCATTTCCATTCGATCAACATCTTATTGATGATATCAATACCAGCGCCTTTATCGACTCAACAACTAAATATAATTGTAGTAAAAAGAGGCAAACACTAGCTGTTGAGCCGCCTATGCCACCGTTATCGATCAACAACGATAATGACAGCGAAGATTCTATTATCGAAGCGTGTGATTGTGACCAATTATGGGAAAATGTTGGTAGAATAGCTCAAAGAGCCTTTGAGAACTCCCAGCTTGTACCAGGTAATGGTCATAGCAATCTTTTGAAGAAGACCGAAAACGACTGTGGTGTAGTCAGGAAACCATTCAAGTCTCAAACGCTGGCTGAATGGATCGAACATAATGTAGAGATTATACCTTAAATTATAAAGCTAGACAAATGATCAAATACTTTTATGCTTACTATTTGTTCAAAGAGATATACTGCAGCAAAATGGCTCTTGCAACAAATAAAAATAGGGTTTAAACCTATTCTGTTATAAACGGACCCTGAATTCATTTGGTGGAACATTAGGGTTATTCCAGCTGCACAAGATGTATCTGTTCTGTCCTCCTGCCAATTTTTGCATAAATTCACAATGGCAACTGTCCAAGATGGAAACAAAGTACAGTTCATAATGCTCTCTTAGAAACTGAAGACGCCTCATTTGCTAACCTCGACATATCTATAAAATTTTGTAAAGCCACCAGTAATGTTTGGCTCGGTCAATGCATCAACTTTCAAGTACATCGCTGCTAAGTTCTACCATCCAAGCACGCGCTTTTATGATCTTCATGGGCTTAGCAGTAGCAAAGGAGGAGAATGTGACCTAATTCAGGTAAAAAAATGATCAGCTCCAAATACCTCTCCACCCTTTGATAGTAAAAGGCTTGAATATCTCTTTTTTATATGTTAACTATTAGGCCAATAACAAATTCATTGCTCTGCCCTTGTCAGGGCCTGGCGGCCGAATTGGTATTATCAATGCTAAAAAACCTGGTAGACTTCCAGCGCATATACCTTGCTTGCTATGTAATTCGGAAGTAAGCAATTTCAAATTTGACCCATTCAACGAAAATATTCTAGTTACAGGTAATTGGATAAATTCAGTATGGATGTAGCTTTGTACTTTCTCTTTGTTCAGTAAGATGAACTTGAATTTTATTAATAGTGTCTAACGACAATAAAATAAGGCTATGGGAGATTCCAGAAGATGGCATTGAAGAGGATGTAGCAGAGCCCAAGTGTGTTCTTAGAGGTAAGTTAATTAATAGTCAAAAGTTACAATGTTTCGAAGAAAACGAGACTACAGATCGACTAAGCATATATTGAATCATATATTGAATATCCTCTTCACAATCAAATACTTTAAAATTGTATAGCATCAAATATGGATAAAATTCAACTGATTGAGTTCCACCCCAACAGCAAAGATGTCCTTCTCACTACTTCGAATGATTTAGGATCGCCTAGCATTCGCATTTGGGACCTTCAAGCTCAGAAAGACGAAATAACACTCACTGGTCAACATAAAGACATTATTCTTAGCTGTGCATGGAGTCCTGATGGCACAAAAATTGCCACCCACAGCAAAGACAAAAAGGTTCGTATTTTGGACGCTAGAACAGGTGATGTGGTAGCCGAGGGGCCCTCTCATCAAAGTATTCGCCCTTCTCGTCTTGCCTGGGTGAACGGTCAATCCATTGTCAGCGTGGGGTTCGGATTAGGCTCATCTAGAGAAGTTTTGCTTTTCAAGACTCAAGACCTCTCACGACATTTAGCAAAGAAAACAATTGATATTTCACCAAGTTTGATGAGTATACATTACGATCAAGACTGTCAATTGTTGTTTGTTGCAGGGAGAGGTGATCGAACAATTCATCCCTTCCATATTATGGGCGATGAACAATTGATATCTTTACCAAAGATCGAAGGGGCAAATTTACAACAAGGATTTGCCTTTTTACCAAAATCACAATGCAATGTCAAAGAAATCGAAATCGAGCGATTTTACCGCTTATCGCCTGATCAAATTGAGCAAGTAGGTGTTCGCGTGCCTAGAGCAAGGGTAAGTTTCGATTATGTCTTCCGAAATGCCTAAAAGAATCAAACTAAAGTTGCTTTCTTTCTATCGCTTTTTTTTAGCCTGAATACTTCCAGGATGACATTTTCGTGCCCACTGCAGATATAGAGAATCCAGCACAAGATGCTGCAAGCTGGTTTAAGGGTGAGAATAAACAGCTAGAGCGTATACCTTTGAAACCAGAAGATATGGAACCATGTAAGGGCACTTCAACTATTGATCATGATTATCTATGCTCACAGTATATTTAAAATTGTAAAATATTTATTTTGCAGTGTCATCTGCTCCTCCTCCGGCTTCTCAAGCTCAATCGAAAGCAAAATTTGAAATGGGAAAGCAGGAGGTTACTGAGGAACAAAGAAAGAAAGAGCAAATGGAACGTATGTTTGCTATTGCTAAAAGCGTTGAAGGTGACGAAGATGAAGAAGTGCAGACGAAAAAGGCGGCAAGCCAAGAAGACGAAGAAGTTGCTGATGAGGAATGGGATGACTAAGTCCACTGGCATTAAATAAAAATGTGAAGAAACCAAAGATATTCCCCAAAAACTGTTAAAGGTGATGGTTAAACGATGCTGATGTGTTTTGTTTTATTGCTTCTAAAAATGAGTTTCTTTTTGGCCATTATATACGGTCTATGCACAACTTTATCCGACCATAGTCCTCTTACGACCTCTCATTCTTACTAAAATCATATTGAAGAATTCATATCAGTAACGAGTCCTTAAATTAAGCTGAATAGTGCAATTTTTACCATCTTCTAGTTTGTGAGAAATTTGTTTTTGCTGCTTTGATGTTTTAAAATAAGACTCTAAAATTTTTGCAAACTGAAAAAGGGGAGAAAATATACATATCTGATGAATACTATATCCATTCACAATCATTCCATTTTTAATGCATTGTTAGTTACCAGCTGCTCTGTTTGCGGATGAGTACTAGCAAAAGCACGTTCTAGCACATAAAGATCAACCGCTTTATCCTCTGGCAAATTCGAGTTGTAACTTAAACCAAAATCAATAACAACAACTGCTGCATCACCCTTATCCTTCCTTAACATTAAATTCGACGTTGTCAAGTCACCGTGAATGACATTCAAGTTGTGCATTGTCGCCAGTGATCGACCAATCACGTCTGCTAATGTATCAATATCGACAGATTGGTAGTTTTCTTCTTGGGTCTCTAGCAAGCGTTGTTTGACAGTGATACCGATCACATTTTCCATAAAAATGGTTGCATTGGCCGTATCCACATAATAAACCGTGGGGGTATCTAAGCCAGCTTTCTTCAGTCGGTAGAGACTACGTGCCTCTTGGCCAACACGACGTGAAGTAAGATATTGGTCAAGATCAGGGTGTCGATATGTCTTTTTGAATCGCTCTTTGGCGATGCAGCCTTCTGGTACTGTCAAAAAGGAAGGTACATGGAAGACACGCTATTGACAAATGTGAAAGCCGAAAAGAGTAATGAAAAGAGACAAATAAGTTCAAAAGCTTATAGTTATTGCTGTAAGAGTTAAGCGAAATACTGTACTGCTTCAGCGCCTTGCTTTATTAAAACGGCATCGTCGGGAATCATCCTTGTCTCCAAGTTGTAAGTACAATAGAGAAAAAAAAAAAAAAAAGAGCTTCCAAATTGCTTAGACAATAAATGCATATCGTGGCTTGAATTACATAAGCATTGATTTTTTTGATATTCTTGACTATGGCGAGCCAAAAGCCTCTGCACTATGCATAATTTGTAATTTGCTATTTGCTTTTCTATACTATTCATAAAGAAATTGTTCGTCACTGTATACAAGACGTTGGTTATGCAATATGCGCATCGTCTCTTGAATGTCGAGTTGGACATTTGTTCCCCTTTCTTTTGTCTTATGCTGGATTTCAACAATTGTCGGGCAATTTTGCTTCTTTTTTCCTTTAAAAGGTCACCCAGCTGCTCATCACCATTTCCTTTTTCAATTTGTGGCAGCTTTGTGCATAAAATATACCCCATACCACAACCAACGACAACAATAAAGATCACTACTTTACAAACATACAGAACGACGAATGGCTTTATCAAACGGTGTCAGCTCGAAACGAAGCAACAACAGTCATAAGCGAGGTAAAATAAGATCGTTTATATTACCTACAATGGACTTCCAGTATGCTTACATTCGGTTGTTCAAATAAAAATATGACATCGATCATCACAACATGGCTCATCTAGAATACTTGACAGAAGAGCAACAAGAGATACTTCGTACCAAGTCGAGCAAAATAGAAAAGCTGCAAGCAGGTAAAAAAATAAGCTTAATACAGCTGTTCACTCGACTTGGGAAAGCTGACACAACAAGCATTTCGTTTATGCAGAAATCTCACAAATAGCGAAACCGTTATCGCTAGCAGCATCAAAGGAGGATGCGCAGTGGACAAATTTAATAACACCTGGAACATTATCTGTTTTTCAGGATGAGAAGAGCTGGACTGGCATAAGCAATACAGAGATGATCAATCCAGATTATCCAACAAAAGATTTCAGACATGCTACTGGTATGTCTTGGTCTGCTTTGAGAGAAACAATGCAGTTAGACTCAGAAGGTTGGTATAAGATGAGACTACATTTAGATTCTGTCTTGTTGCTCATGGGATATGTTGCTAATATTTCGTTCTATATATCGTAGATGATAGCTTTTCAGAAAGTGGAGGTACATCCACAACGACGACGACATGTTTGGACTCAAAAGATATGGATGTATTTGGAATGTTGCCAATGGAAGATAACAGAGTCATTATCAAATGTAAGAACTGCCAACGACCTATATTGCCAAGTAAATTTAAGAAACATTTAGGTAAGCTATATTCGGGATGAAATACGAGCTATTGATAAGTGACGAACAAGGTTAGTTAATGCTATTGCGGTTGTTAATTAGTGAGCTGCATTGGCGATGTTGAAGGCTCTAATTCTTCAAATATATTTTCGGACGAAGAGGACGATATGCCGAAAGCGAAGAAGAATGCTAAGAAATTGAAAAAGAAGGGCGGGGCTATATCAACAGCAGAGGAAGGTAGGCTGCTTTTTTTTTTTTCTGCTTACGGATCAGGCGTTCATAGAAAGGAAAATCAATTAATGAATCTTTTTGACTACTACAGATGAGTTACTACGCCCACCATCAACATTTCTTGACAAAGCGACTGCAACATCTGAGAAAAGCAAAAAGTTGAAAAAAGAGAAACCGCTAAAAAAGACAGCTAAACAAAAAGGTAGAAAACGTTGAACCATGAGAAAATGGAAACGAGCGAGTGAAGTATATATGCGTGTGTTTTTGACAAGGTTATACATAATATAGCGCCTTTAGATTTGGATCGGCAGTGTGGTGTTATTCAGGGGCCTAATAATCTACCATGTACGCGATCGTTGACTTGTAAAAGTCATTCCATGGGAGCCAAAAGAGCAGTTGAGGGTCGTTCACAACCCTATGATGTATTATTAGCGGCTTATCAGAAAAAATCCATAGGACGACCCAATGCTAAAGAACGGAAAGGTATTTTACCGATTATTAAGAACACTTTAAGGATCGGTGGACAATAGCATTTACCACTCTTTTGAATTGATTAAAGGAACGCCGACGGTGATTGGATCTGGAGTTACTACCACATCAATGGGAGGAAAGACAGCGGCAACATTAAAAACGCTCAAAAAATTACATAGTTCACATTCTTTAAATGGGAATAATAATCAAAATAAGGCAAAGTACTCGGTGCAAGGATCAACAACTCAGACAGATGAGCCATTCATTGACTCGGATGAAGAAGTAGAAAATGTGATGCAAGCGATTAGGCTCAGTAAACCAACACCATTGGCTCAAAAGCCATTTCATTTTGTCAAACGTAGACGTCAGTGTTTCCGTTTGCGTGATATCTTATTGGATGCAATCACGCCAAAATTAGAGCCGACCTTAATGATGGGAGGAAGTAGCAATATGAATAATCACGGTGGCGACGGTGATAAGGTCAATGCTACTGAATCATTGACTGATATTGTTACACCGCAGTTTACAGTGCAGACTCAGCATCGCCAACCACCGCCAGATTTCTTATATAACCATCAGAATAGACTGTACAATAGCACTAATAATATGGTAGAGAATAACAACGTGTACATTAATCCTCCATGAATATCCACTATTCCAGACGAAGCCTCTCTTCCTATAAACTAACCCACTTGCAATTATTTATGATTCGACTTTTGCACAATTTAGTATAGATCATTTATTGTTTTACAGTATTCTGTAAGATAGATTTTGTAGATCAGATTTTGCATATAGATAAATGATGAAGGATACTTGCATGAATGAAAACCTTCCCTCCACATTTTCCGTACTCCAATCGGAGCTCATCTTCTCAACTTATCACGAACTAATCAAATGCATTGCAGAGACGTAAATCAGGTACCTGACAATAGCATCATGGAAAGGAAAAGGAAAAGATAATGCTCTTTACACTTATTCGTTCTTGTTGTGGGTAAAAAAATGAAAAAGAAAACTCGACGATGACCAGTTTCACAGGGCTTATGGAGAGATGATAAGAACGACTCACCACATGTGATTTATTAGCTCATTTCTTATTACTGTTCTTCTGTTGTTTTTGTACAACTATTAGCTTCTTTGCCTCCTGTTTTTTGGTATTTTTTTAAACTTTCAGATGAGTGAGATACAATGTCACATACAAGAAAATAAACTTTTCATTTGATGAGATCAAACATAATAAAGCGAATGAATAAAAGCCTGTTTGATTTCGTAAATGATGATAGCGTTTTTCTTCTACTTTACTTATTTTTTATTTTTTATTTTTTTTTTTTTATTCTTCTCATCATTGACCTTCTTATCATATCATCTGCTGAGAGTTTTATTATTCTAACGAACTGAACATAATTTAATGCTATCAATGGCATCGCAATCTTTAGCTAAGTAAAGTTTGCATAAATCTGGTATATTTTCTAAGCTCGTCTATTAACATTGCTGTTTTCTATGGGAAACAATTCAGTGATATGGAACATGACTATGTCTCATTAACAACTGATAACGCTATCGAATCCAGTGACAATAACAAGAAAAGGCCAACTTTGCCACCCATCTCATCAATGAGCCAATGTTTTGCCAGCAAATCATGGCCACCACCTTCAACTTCGCTGTCGCTAGCACATTGTTTGCCTTCTAATAATACCACAAATTCAAGTAAAACTTTCTTGCTAAGCCCTCCGCCAACAAGTTCGTTTTACCGAACTGACAATAGTAAGCTACCATTATCACCTGCAACAGAGGGCAACGAAAGATCAACAGACTATTTTAACAATACCCAGCAGAATTACCGTAGCAGTGCCACTACAAGAATACCAGCTTTCAATCAAGTGTCGCCATCCCATCTTTCATCTCAGCAACAGTCAACACAAGGCTGTTTATCGCCCAGTTCACCATCTGTATATAGCCCTCCTCACTTCTTGACCACGGCTCATGATTGGCATGGTCACTCCTACCGATCAACTTCATCTACTTATCAGCAGCATTCAGATCCTGATACCAGCATTCATCCTGACATTCCCACAACCACTACTAGATACAATTCCAATATACCCAGTCAAGCACACCCTGCAGCATCCTATTCGTTACTATCGACATCAACACTTCAAAATATCGATCGAGAAATTGACCAGGTTATTAACAACTGTAATGCAGTCTCCGAACATATGCATCTGAAACGTGCTTCGATCTATCGGATCGAAGACTATTTTTGTGATGCAAATTTAATGAGACCTTGGCTTGACGACATGATCGGTAAATCTAATGAAATACTTAATGCATTATTACGCCTCAGAAAGCATCAAATTGCAGCAGAACAAGCCCGGCTTCATCGAATCACCACCTCTACTTCTGTCGCTGCTAGCCATCACTACCATAGCCACCAACGCCACTATAGCCACCCACAGCACAGTCATGATAATCATGAATCTCCTGATGGTGGCAGAGGCAGTAGCGCAAGCCATATACAGCAGGTAAGAAAAGAAATTCACTGGTCTATCAACCAATTCTGTTCAGAATGACTCATTCCATTTAATTTTCACTTTTATTGGTGATAACATGTTCATCACTCAAAAAAAAAAAAAAAAAAAAAAAATACACTATGTACACACACTCGCACAAAATTTTTCTATAATGAAACAATATATTGCTACGCATTTTGTTTCTAGGAAGGGGAAAATTGGGCGTCTCTCAATTTTGCTTCTTCGAGTGGTGTTTTGGCTTTGAATTCGAGTCTACGAAAACGAGGGGTAAAAATGTCGTGAAAAAAAACTTAATCTCAAACTTTATAGCTAAAGTTTTGTGGCCTGTGTGTGGTCTAGAAAGATAGTTAACTCATTTATTTCTTTGTATTTATATAGAAACGGCCCGGGTTTCAAGGAAGGTGCCATTCATGTAACATATCAGAGACTCCGGAGTGGCGGCGTGGACCCAATGGTGCAAGAACATTATGCAATGCCTGCGGTTTACGTAAGTTTTTTCCACCTTTCTTCTGATATGACTCATCCTTACAGCGTATCCATTCGCGTTCTTATTCTCTTTTTTTTTTTTTTCTTGTCTTTTGTGAATCTCTAGATTATGCAAAGTTGAACAGAAAGAAGAGTAGACATCAGCAAGAACAGCAAAATAGTAGTAGCAACAACAACTATGCTATCAAAACAGAAACTGTCCATATGATGGACGAGGACGACCGCACAATGAGATAAGCCTTTTCATCATGTCCTTATGTAGTTAGGTATAAACATAGTAGGCGCAAGACCTGCTCAAACAAATGATAAAGATCAAAAAGAAACTTCTCTTTCAAAGCATGTGTACAACTTAGAGTTAGAAGAAGTATACTTGTAACAATAATCCAAACTATAAGAAACGCGGATATCCCCTTTTTGGCAATCCTCTCACTGTTTTGGGAAATAATGTGGTCTTTTTTGAGATTTGAATGGGCACAACAAACGGCCAAAGTTTAACTTATCCTTCTTCTAACAGAGTCTTTTGTCAGCAGACGATCACTCTTTATCTTGAAAGCAACAGAAGCTGCTTATGTTTGTTATACAAATGATATACACTATCTCAATTTCATTTACATTGAAAATAATTAACATAGAAATAATCAGTATAAAAATGGTATTCTTCCTTTTGTCAGCTCGCTTAAAACCACGCCGTTTAGGGTGATGAAATGACTCCAGCGTGGATCGTCATATCTCCCAAGACAACCAGAAGTCATCGAGGGAGGGTGATCGTGTACTGAGTCGGAAAGCTCATCATGCATTCCTGTCAGGAAGATTTGTCTAAAGAAAAAAACCGCAAATTTCCAGTCGTTGACGCCCCTTTTATGCTTTACGCGGGGATTGAATCATCGCTGCAAAAAGGGACTGTTTAAGCAAATAGCATCCATGACTTGATTTTGTAAGTCACGCGTTCCACTGTTTTGTTGAAAGATAGTCGACAGCCATTCTTGCCTTCTAGAGGAAAATCCTTTTTTTACGGTAAACATATTCTGGGAGATAGCATCTTATTTATAATCGAAACCATCACTATGAGCTTTTCAAAATTTTCGAAGGTTCTCTAGCTTAGAAACGAACAGTAGCAACAATCCATTTAGTTTATCCATATAGGGAAAAGATATGGGCAATTTCGAATAAATCAGACGACAGCATATCACAGCCCAATAGCCAATTCATGCACAAAGGCTCTCATGGTCCAATGATATTTTTCGGTTTTTTTTTTTTTCTAATGGTTTGTTCCTGCTTTGCCCCTTTGGAAGCGGTCACGTCTGTCACTGGCATAAAAAAAAAAAATCTTGGGATAAGCAAAGGAAATGAAACACAACGATCGAAAACTTTTTTGGCCCTTCCTTTCTTTGAGTATTTCTTTCTTGACCTCCTTCAAGTATTAACTACAACAGCATGTCTCCTGTCGACACCAGTGAATTTACTAGCAAAGACTATTACTTTGATTCATATGCCCATTTTGGTAAGGTTCTTTAAAGCAATATCAATTGGTTGGAGTGGTTGGGTGGTTTTTATCCCCTTTTTTTCTTTTGGTGCTAATTTTGTCGTTCTATGTTTATTCACTTCAATCTGGGTAACAGGCATTCATGAGGTAAGCCATCTGATAAGGGATAAACAGTACTGAAAATGAATTTTTCAGAGACTTGTATATTTATATCTGGCCCCGATTCTTTTATAGGAAATGTTGAAGGATGAAGTTCGTACCTTGTCTTACCGAAATTCAATCTACAACAACAAACATCTTTTCAAGGATAAGATCGTCCTTGACGTTGGTTGCGGTACTGGTATCTTGTCTATGTTCGCTGCCAAGGCTGGTGCTAAGCATGTCTATGGTGTAAATTAGCCCTCTTTTGCACTTATCAAGCTGTTGGATTTATTTTAACAACTGTTCATTTTTATACTTGGCCAAAAATAGATTGATATGTCAAACATCATTCACCAGGCTCGTGTGATTGTAAAGGATAATGGTTTCGAGGACAAGATTACACTTATTCAAGGCAAAATGGAAGAAGTTCAGTTACCTGTCGATAAGGTGGATATCATCATTTCCGAATGGATGGGTTACTTCTTACTATATGAATCTATGCTTGATACAGTCCTTGTTGCTAGAGACAAGTACTTGGTAGGTTTTTACGCTTTTTTCTTCGTTATGAACCAACAGGAAGTACTGGAAATGTTTTTAACAATGGTATTGCTACTTCCGCGATTTAGGCACCTGGAGGTTTAATCTTCCCTGACAAAGCAACCATGTGCATCGCAGCTATTGAAGATGGTGATTATAAAGAAGAAAAGATTGGCTTCTGGGACAATGTGTACGGTTTCGACTATTCCTCCATCAAGAAACTTGCTGGCAAAGAACCTTTAGTCGATGTAGTGGAGTCACGAGCTGTTGTGACAGATGCTTGCGCTTTTAGAGAAATTGACATTGCCACTGTCAAAAAAGAAGATTTGACCTTCCAAGTCCCTTTCAAGATTACAGCTCAACGTGATGATTATGCCCATGCCTTTATCGCTTGGTTCGATATTGGTTTTACACATTGTCACAAGCCTGTATACTTCTCTACAGGGCCATTCGCTAAGTATACTCATTGGAAGCAAACTGTTTTTTATACAACAGATGCCTTGATTTTGAAGCAAGGAGATACGATTGAAGGTCAATTATCTTGTGCTCCCAACAAGTCTAATCCTAGAGATTTGGATATTGTCATTGACTACAAATCCACAACAGAGAATGGTACTTTCCAAGAAACCTGCGCATACAAAATGTCATAAATTTGTTAGACACGTTATTTTATTACTATTATTACTTCTTGCTTTATGTAAAAATTAACTTTTCCGTAACTTTGTTTGTCCCTTTTTTTTTCGAATTTTAAAAGTATAGCCAATCTGATATCGTTGTAATACATATGCCCATATTTCATACATAGCATATAGTTTATAATTTAGGAGTTCTATTATCATGAAAGACTTTTTTAACCATTGAAAACGTAATATGTTTCAATCTTTTGGGTGTGTGAAGATTCAGTTTGGTTTTTAATGGGTCGACTTTTCCGATTGGCTGGTTTCTCTCCACACATTTCAAACTTTTTCTTGCATAATCGTCCCAAAATTTGTCCGTGCCATATTTGTAAAAAAGTATGGGTTTAAGGAGACAGGATAGACAGACATAGATCTTCAATGCTGATAAAGTATATTTGGGATTCCCCTACAAGTTCCAGTCACCAAAAATGTGGGCTGTCGTACCTGAATCAATGATTAGCTTGTCCAGGTAAATTATATGCTTCATGAAAAATAGCCTTTCACATCTCTGCAGATTGGTAGAGTTGCAGTTGAGTCGAGAAAGTGCCTGTATTTGACACTCAGTTGCTTACCAAAAAAGTTGGTTTTTTTATTCCTTTTTTTTTTTTATCTCTCTCTTTCTCTTGTACATAATTGCTTTTAGCGTGGTTCTTCAGTCAGACGTGGAGAAATGTCAAACACAAGTAAAGGATATTTCGATTATATTTTGCATGCTAGCCGTATACTAAGTATTCTTTTTTTTTTTTTTGGCTTAGATCTTCGTATAGCTTGCGTGGTAAAGCAAAAAGCTATTCATCAGCAATTATAAGTTGCACAAGAAAAGCAAGTATGAAAATCAATCTGACAAAACTAACGATACAAACCCCATATTTTATCTCGCATGCGCAAATAGATGGTTGGCTTGCCTGCCAGAGGAAAAACTTTCATAGCGCAAAAAGGTTCGCAAGTTTATTTTTATGGCCGACATGCCTCTTTTTTCTAACATTATATATATATTTATATATATAGTTTGCAGATACCTCACGTGGTTAGGAATCAATACTCGAGTATTCAACGTCGGTAATTATCGTCGAAAGTTATTTGGAGCCAAGCAAGAGCATTCTTTTTTCGACCCTAACAATCCTGTTGGTATACAGCAGAGAAAAAAAGCTGCCGAGGCAGCGCTTGAAGATATGATCCATTGGTTCATCGAGGACGACGGTATTGTTGCTCTCTATGACGCTACCAACAGTACTCAGCAGAGACGGAGCTGGTTATGTGAGAAATTATCCAATGAGAATGTCCAAGTTCTCTTTATTGAAAGTATTTGCAAGGATGAAACCGTTATCATTGACAATATCAAACAAGTGAAACTGAGTTCGCCCGATTATGCAAGTGCCGACCCCGACGAAGCTGTCCAAGACTTTAAAGCCAGAATCGATCATTACAAGGATCAATACGAAACGATCACTGAAAAAAATTATAGTTACATCAAACTGATCAACGTGGGAAGTCAAGTAATTATCAATAGGATACAAGGCTATCTTCAGTCGCGCATTGTCTATTATTTGATGAACTTACATACAGCGCCACGAAGAATTTATATGAGCCGGCATGGTGAGTCCATGTTCAACCTGGAAGGCAAAATCGGTGGTGATTCTGGACTCTCACCTAGAGGACGACTCTATGCGCAGAAATTACCAGATCTCATCAAACAGAACTTGAAGGATCAAGAATTGTCTGTTTGGACTTCAACTTTAAGAAGGACAATAGAGACAAGTGCACTGCTGGATTATCCCAAGTTGAGTTATAAAGCATTAGATGAACTTGACGCAGGTGTATGTGACGGAATGACTTACGAAGAAATAGAGGTAAATACACATTGAAAGTAAAAAAGGAAAAAAAAAAAAAAAAAAAAAAAAAACTGAACACAAAGGAATTAATTATCTGTTACTTTCTAGGAAAGATACCCTGAAGACTATGCAAATCGCGATGAGGATAAGTTTAATTATCGTTATAGAGGAGGAGAGGTACTATTTTTTTAATTACCCTTAATGAAGTCTTTTAGAGTAGCATGTGAATTGATCGTCTGTTGTAGTCTTACAGGGACGTTGTTTTACGGTTAGAACCTATCATTATGGATCTTGAGCGTCAAGGAAATATTTTAATTATCGGGCACCAAGCCATTTTGAGATGCATCTATGCCTACTTTATGAATTACAAACAAGAAGACCTTCCTTATATAAAGATTCCGCTACACACCGTGATTGAATTAACACCAAAGGCCTACGGCTGCGATGAAAAGAGATATAAAGGTATATTATGGTATCACTCATTGAGTCTTTTGTTAGAAGAAATATATGATGACATTAAACCTGTTGTCTTCTTTTTAGTTGATATTGAGGCTGTGGATACACATCGACCAAAACCTAGTAAAACATCAACTATTAAGAAAAAGGGAACCCCTGTTGATCTGAAAAAAGCAGCAGGTGCAAGTGGTGAGATTGTTCAAAATGGACGGAGCCCCATCTTACCGTTAAACGCGCAATTACGTTCCTCTCCTAACGGCAGTAGTAATAGTTCGAAATCGGCAAATAAGCTCTCTCCATTGCAAATTTAAACGATATATATGTAATTGTCAACAAAAATGGCCTCTTTCTGTATATAAATAGTTTATTTTAACGATTGAATAAAATATTCATGAAAGTAAACGAAAAGAGTGAAAGAAAACAGAATTGTTCATAAAGGAGGATGTGTTAAAAAGTTACTCTATCTGTGTGTGTGTGTATGACATGAAAAATGTTATAAATGGGATGTATATGATGTTATGGCTGTTAAACTCGAACAGCATTAAAAATATTTTCAATAAAAAGTGATGAATAAAAAGAAAGAATGTAGTATTTTTGCATGAAAAATAAGAAGGTATAACAAATAGGGATATCTTATGCTGAGTAAAGTGTGCATTGTGACATGTTCATGGTATTGATGAGTAATACTTAGTATCCGGAACTACTAAATAAGGAGATGATAGACAAGCTATTGGTATTCTGGATTGGCTATACTGAGGTCAGCTCATGGTATGCTGCCATTGGTGATGTCGTCGTTTGTAAAAGCGAATGGATCGAATTATTACTACTGCTAATTGGTTTTGTTGACTTATTCGTGTTCGACACAACTTCATCATTCGTCTGCAGGTAGTCCAACATCTCAGTATCTTCATAAATTGGAAAAACTTCATTGCTACTGTTTCGGCACGTCACTGAAGCTGAAATGATAGCTGAACGCCTTTTAGAAAAATAAAAAGTAAAGCTGGTCAGTTTTGATAAACGCCAATGTGGCAAAAACAGTAGCGATCACTTACGTATTGTTTAGAGCTTCGATTTGTACATCTTTATCATTTTCTGTTGGGCATACGATCATGAAAAACGGCAGTGGAACTTTTTGTTTTGTACACGATAGGTGTTTGTTCATTGAGTAGTTTCTGTTGATAAGCGTTTGAATCTTTGAATGCTATAGTAAAAGCAAGTAAAGACTCAATGATAGGAACAATGCGAAAAAAGAGTGCAGATTATATCTTACTTTTTGGACTTTGCCCTGAACAGTAGAGCGAAGCTTGTTAACAGAACTCATCAATTTTTTTCCACGAAGCTTTGAGAGGGAAATCATTTAGAGTGGTAATTTAGCTGAACGATGTTCCTAGAAGTCTTTCAATAGCGATAGGAAATGGATCTTACCTCTTCCTCCTGGATTTTATGCAGAAGATAGCTTTTTTCATCTGTAGAAACCTTGTCACAACGATGTTGTTCACCGAAGAACGTAGGTATACCAAGCCATTTGATAACCTTCTTATCTTTGGCAATAATGTTCATAGCCATTAATACGTTTAACGCATCATACACACGGCGACGGATATTTTTCTGGTCATGCAGACGGTCCTGAGTTGAGAAGAAGTGAGCAAAAAGATACATATATGTTCAGGCCAGCTTTTCATTCAATACCTCATTGTTCGCGCTTTTTTGTATCTCTAACGCCAACTCATTAGCGACCTGAAGGATTGAAATATTCAGCTGAATTTTCATGTGAAAGAATAAAAACGCTAATATCATAAGAAATTTAATTACCTCATTGTAAGTTGTTATGCCTTTTTCAGCAACTTTGTCGTACACTTGTTTACTGAAATGGCGCAAACCTTTTGTTGAACGCGCGTTATCTGTATTCAATGTTGTCGCTATTGCTTTTGCATCAGTGCAGGTTGCAGGAGTAACATCTTCAATAACAAAATTGCTGGATTGACAGGCCTGTAGGCAATCCTGGAAACTTTGTTGCTGAGAATCGCATAAATGCGGTACATGAGATAATGATTCGTAAATAGTTCTTCTATCACTTGAATAATTGGTCATAGTAGGCTCAGGCATGATAGAAGGTGTAATTCTTTGTTTCTTTGCAAACAAGTAATTGTGTAGATCATTACTGTGCGCTATCGATTCTAATTGATCTAAGCGAGGTCGACCGCGTTTTATGGGTTTTGTCAATTCTGAATGTGATCGTTGCTGCTGTAAAAAATCTTTGTTACCAGAATAGAAAGACTGGTAGTTGACTTTATGATCTTCTGCATCAAGCATTTTAAGCTCCGGGTCAGAATTCAATATGGAAGCGATTGATCCCTTACGACGTACATTGATGAGTGTTTGTTGTTTAGTCTTGTTACCAGTACTATTACTACTACAGTTAGCATCAGTATCTTCTGCATCATCATCGATGGGTGATGGGGAAGATGCGATGGAAGAGACTGGAGAAGTAGAAAAATTACGGTAGCTGTCGAAGGGGGGAGATGGACTTTCCACTTTGAGAGGAGAATTATTACTCATGATGACATCTTGTATTGGAGGTAATTGATAGACCTCTTGTGAAGGAGTAGATGCTCCATAGTAAGAGTGTCTGGTTTGATCGTTTGTGGAACGTGTCTCGGAGATTGACCCGGCTTGTTTACCGTTGGCAAAGAGTGCTGGGGTATGGTTCACTGCATGATAAGTTGGCGCCTTTTCGTCCGCTGAAAGGGCTAAATGTGATGACTGCGGGAGAGATGATATTGTCTCAATCAACATATTAATATTTCTTTTATAGTTGTTATTGTTAAACTCAAGTATTGTAGGTAAAGTCATGTATTAATATAACTAAAGCAATGTGAGTTTAAGTGGTTTAGACTGGCTTTCTTCTAAAGGATTTCGCTTACTTACAATGTGGTTATTGTAAGCTTTGGATTCTCTCTTCTCTGGAATGTACTTGTTTGTAAAGGACAGTCAAATAGGTGTTGTTTATGCAAAGGAAGGTTTTAGAATGTGTGTTTGTACGTGTAGTTATAATAAAAGAGCGTTTAATGGGCGACTTTGAGAGTTGCAGAAATTTCAAAAGATTGAAAGAATGGGAAGGCTAAAGAGACAGGAGAGAAAAGAGAAGGAAGGAATATAAACTCTGGAGCGCAAAGAAAAACTAGCAAAGCTAAACTTTTGCGGAATAAGGTTATATGCAGTCAAGTGAATAACAAATACGGATTGAAATCCGTCTCGCATTTACTGAAGATAGTGGGTTTAGAGATATGTCGTTGTTGAAAGTTAGTCCGATTACAAAGTGAAGTATCCTCCGTTACTCGTTGTCGTTTACAGAAATCGCGTTGTCTCACTCGTGCCAAGGCTTTTGACCTTCATACTATTTGCTCCTTACTGAGTGTATGTTGTTAAACGCGATGGTTAATGCTTGTATCAAATGAACAGATACAGGACAATCTCCGCTTTTTGTTCATTACACAAATTCTCACAAATAAGGATAAATATACAAGCGAAGTGCGTTCAAAGAAGTGGCAACAGCATCCGGAAGCGTTCCGTAGAGGTATATACGTTGCGTGTTTTGGCAACCAAGTATTATTATTTAAACTCTTCAAATAGAAGACGTCTAGGCAACATTAAACTTGTCTGAAAGAGTGCGAACATACTATTTCATTTCGCATTGTAAAAGATAAACTCCCAGCAAGTTTTGCGTCCAACAGCGTTTAGCCAACTCTATTGCGGATTGTAGCATGATAGTGTTTAGATTATGTTTTAACAAAAGTATAAAAATATACTGTCAACACCATATGATATTTGTTAAAACGAATGTTATGTACGCTACAGTCAATAATCCAAAGGTACAAGTACTACTATCCTTAGGTTAAGCGTATTGCACTCAATAAGTTGTTTTTCAAAATATGTAGATCAGTTTCTAAGTATCTTACTAATAGGTTGATGATAACAAAAGAAAACTAAAATAAACGGAAAGGTTACGATTTTCAGACGAGTTACGTATCATGTTGTACGACTGTTGTAGTGATAAAGAGGAAGAATAAGAAGTAAGCACACGTTAATCATTTTTGAAAGAGAGTCAGCATAATCTGAAAAATCAAAAAATCGTGACAGATACCACAGACATTTCTAACATTTGCACCTTTCCTCTTTTAAAAATCCTAAAAGACATGAACAAATAACTTGTAATATCATGCGATGTTGACACTTCTTGTTTCTTCTCGAATCGGCTTTACCGAGAAAGGTAATTTTGCTTTATACATACTTATCTTACGCCGCTAACTTTTCAATTATTCTTTGTCTAGACATAACATGAAGATCTTTATTATTATCAATTGTGTGAGCAGTAAATCAGAAAATAAATAGAATAACAAACGTTTGCATATGAATAAATATAGATATATACAGGAAGAATGAGGACATAGATCTAAATGCAGCAATGATATAGTTAATGAAGAAGAAAGGTCATTTATACTTGAGCTGGAGTCAAGAGCTGGACGACGCCATCCACGACCTTTTCAGGGAATTTTTGTTCACGCATTTGGTTGACAATGTCTTTCACTTTTCCAATTTCCCCATTTTCTGCGTAAACTTTAGCCATAGCCTCGTAAGTGCTTGGTTCTCGGTTGACTTGACCAGGCTTATCCATTCTGTTGAATACCTCCTCGGCTTTTTCCATATTACCCTGAGCCCCATAACCAGTAATAAACAAGTTTTCAATATAAGGTGACGATTCGGTTCCTTGCTGTAACATCTTTTGGTAGAGTTGTTCAGCACTGGACATATCTCTATTTTCTGTGTAAGTATTCAGCATTGCTTGATAAACCGTTTCATTGGCTTCAACACCGGCTTTTTCCATTTCCTTGTAGACAGCTATTGCAGATTGAACATCTCGATGAAGGCAACCGTAGGAACGAATAAGGCAAGCATAGTGCATGGGTTGTGGCTCAATGCCGTATTTCTTGCTCATGTCTGTGAGAATTTTGTGAGCAGTTAACATATCATAGGGTGGGATATTCGCATATGCTTCCATCAATAATTTGAGGGTGTAGTCAGAAGGCTTCAAATTATACTGCTTTAAATAATTGTAGTATTCCAAGGCTTTCTCTCTATCCGGCTTTTCTTGAACATAGAATTGCACCATGCTGTTGAAAGGGCCCACACGAGGATAAAATTTAGCAGAATTAAGCATTTCTTGGAAAAAATGAATAGCACGGCTTTCAGAACTGCAACGAAGACAAGCAGAGATGACAGAGGCGTAGGTAATGGAGCTGGGAATCAACCCATTCTGCTTCATTTCGTTAAAAAGCTCCAAAACATTATCCAGTTTGCGACTTCTAGATAATTTTGAGAGAATCACATTGTAGAAATAGACTGTAGGTCTAACATTGTATTTCTTGGCTTCTTCGTATATAGCAAGTGCCTCATTGGATTCATCAGTATTAGCGGTTGCTGCCAAAAGCGCACCGTAGCCATCTGCATTAGGACGTAAACCCAACTTAACAAGCTTTTTATAGAACTCCCTAGCAGATTCTAAATCGCCATGACGAGCATGAGCAATCAACATGGCGTTGTAGATGGTCTGGTAACCACGTTGTTGACGCACACCCTCCAACTTTTCCATTGATTCGATGACAGTATCATAAATATCTCGTGCACTGTCTATACTGTTGACCTTTGTGGCTTTAGCAATCATATCACGTACAGCTTCAGGTGTAGGTGTTTTGCCTTGCTTGATAATCTTGTTATTCAGAATGTCCAAGGCGGTATCAAAACGGTCCTCAAGTGCAGCAGTTAGAGCCTCACTTGATAATGCATCGGCTTCTACTGCCACTTTTGAGGTTGCAACTGTTGACTGACTACTCTTGGAAATAATCAGTTCTTCCACTGTTTGTTTATTTTTGATAGCTGTAGATGTGTCGATATTTAAATAAGCCGTAAATTCTTCTTTCCAACGTCTCTCATAGTCGGCGACCCCATATTTCTTCATTCTTGACAAAACACGTACATATAAGCCCGAGGTGAGAGGTAACTTCAGATCGCGCATATCTTTTAAAAGTTCGAAAACCAAGTTACAGAACTCTTCTGGTGTATTTGATTTGTGGAAGACAGCATCATACAAATGAGTAAATGAGCGTTCGTTCAGAGTACTGAGTGTATCTTGCCACTTTTCTTTGTTGGATTTGGCTTGTAAATACTGTTGTGTAACCACCTCACTGGCTGCTTTTGTAGGGTGGATGCGATAGTTGCTGATTGAAGTCAATACGGATAAGCTAGACTGAAGTTTATCGCATTTACGTACTAAATCCAATGCAAGTTCTGCAATGGGAGAATTTTCAGCGACGTAATGAGTCTTCGAGTACATCTTTACTAGTGAGTCAAAAGCTTTGACCGCCTCGTCTATCTTATTCTTCTCGGTGTAAGCCATTACTATATTGCGGCAGATTGAAGAGTCCACTATCAATCCTCGGCTAGTCATATCCTGAACAATCTTGAAAGCCATATCCGTTTTGTTATTTCCTAAGCAAGCATAAGCGTAATCAGCAAAATGGCCATATTGCTTTGAGATGTCGTATTTTAACAACTTTTCGTATGCTTCTGAAGCCTTGTCGAAATCTGCCATACGACAATAAGTTGATAATAGAACACCATAAGTGGAAGCATCGGGCTCGACCAAACTGTTCGTTGATTCGAGCTTTGACAAAAGAGTATTGACGTAATCCATATTTCCATCTGAGCAAGCTCTTCGTAAAATTTTGTTGTAGGGTAAAATAGAGATTTTGACGTTATCTTGTGTCATAACCCTTTCCACGATATTTAGAGCTCCTTGTACATCGCCAGCATCACAATAAGCATACACCAATGCATTATACACTAAAGACGCATCATGTCGAGGCAACCTTCGCCTAAGACTTTGATATTCTAAAAAGCATTCTTGAGCTGCTTTTAAATCACCAGCAACACCAAATAATGCCAGCAATGCTGCAAAGGTGGTGCCATTAGGCTTGACATGTTGTGACGTTTCTAATTGTTCTAAAACGTATAATCCATCCTGAACATTGCCATTGAAGGAAACGCCACGAAGTAAATTGTTATAAACATCCACATCAAAAGCCTGCGTAGATCTTCGCTTGACGGCTTCGTTGAATAATGACAAAGCCTTTTCCAAGTTCCTTTCGCTTTCTAAATCAGGCAGATTATTCACTGTTCGGCCAGTACGAGCTACTTGTCTCTGCAGCATCTTAATTGTTTTCTGTACTTCAGCATCGCGAGTGCAAAGAGAGCGAATTAAAAGTGAATAAGTTTCAGATGAGGGTTGTATGCCAGTAGAAACCATGTCTTGGTAAGCATTGAGCATGGGTGTCAATGGCTGATTCTTCTTTCGCAATTTACTGTACGCTTCAATGACAGCCTCATATGTCTTTGTTGAGAAAGCTGGTGCGACTGTTTCTCCAGCTGCAGACTTATGTTTCATAAAGATACTCACTACCTTTTCTAGGTTATTCTTCCTCGCTTCTTGCAAAATAACATTATCGGTTATATCCCCCGTCGCTTCAATAGCTGATGATCTCCCGTAATTATTACTTTTTTGAGAAACAGCAGAAGTCCATGCATGTTGTTGTTGCTGTTGCTGTTGCTGTTGCTGTAGTTGAGGCGGTACATTAATAGGAGCTGAAGGTGCTACCACATCTTTCGGCTCTTGTACCTGGTTGAACTGTGTTTGGCTTCTAGTTGTATAGGAGAGTTTGCCAACTGAGACTTGGCGTGTAGGTAAATTCGCAAGGAAAGCTGTAGACTTAGGAGCGACTAATTGTTTAGTAAGAACACCTTGTCTTGTGACTGAGTTAAGTATTGTGGATGTTCCTTTTGCCCCGTACATATGATGTATTGTAGTTGCAGAAAAATACGAATTAATTAAAAAATAAAATAAAAGGAGGTGAGTCTTTTCTTTTAAAAGAACTAGGGACAGAACCCAGCACCTTTAAATTTGATTGCCGCGACATAAAGAGATGGCCTGAAAACCTAATGTTTCAAACTCAATTCACCGACTCCACCTTTGTTTTCCTTTTGACTCAAAATTCGGGAAGTGCGTGGGGTTTATTTATTGCGTAATTTCAAATGATTGAATAATGCAAATTGAGTTAAGATTGCATACGTTTGATCGATGTACTGCATAATACTTTCACGCAAAGGAGGCATAATTTTAAAAGGCTGCGGCCATATCAGATTTGACTTAATCGCCAGTTTTTGGTTATCAGATTGAGCTTCTCACGTAATATTCAAGGGTTCATACAAGGACTCTTTGATTGGATGAGCGGGCGTATTGAAAGTTCAAAGGGGCATCCAATTAACATTTTATGGTTAGAAACGAACCAATTAAGCTGTTCGTGTTGGAACTTTTTATCATTACAGTCCAAGTTCCAACATTCTGGATATCCAGCTAGAACGTTCAACAAAACCGACATATCATTTAAAGAAGCGGATATCCTGTTGCTCCTACTTTCATCATTCAAACTCAATGTTATCGCTTGAGGATTGTATGTCATATATCCGTTTGTTTTTTGTAGTGCTACCCTTTGCCATGTACTATGAAGCATCATATTTTAAGTGAGCAAAGATTAAACGCATAGCGCTTACAATTCTTCCATTTGGAAATGTCATTTCGTATTAGAGCGCTCCTGATATTTCAAAAATATAGGCCTGCTCATCTTAAACAAAGCAGTATCAAAATTGGTGGGCTGCGTATAATGTTAGGGTATTACATAATCTAAAGTATTACAACAAAAATTACTTAATTACGCACAATCCTCGATCTCCACTCACAAGGACATTAATATTTGCAGGTGTGATAGTAAGGAATATGTCCTTCGGAACAACTGCTATAGTTGCTTATATGTTTTTCGATGATGCAGCATAATTACTAGCAATTTCTTCCTCGACTCCAATCATGGCTGACGATGGTGTTTGCTGCTTGTCTGCTGGTCTACATATGAATTTACCGCGTTCGCCAGTATACAGTAAAATATATGGGGCACACACCAACATAAATAGGCCGAAAATTAATGACATGTAGAAGAACCCAATCTTACCATATAAAAAGCCACTTTTAGAGATAAAATAGAATTCAGCACCATTGTCTCGTTTATCAAAATGGTAATAACAGCAACATCAAAAAAAAAGAAAAAGCTGAAAAGCCTTACCCGAAGAGTGGTCCAACCAAAGCGCCGAGGCCAAAAGCAATATTAAATAGAGCATAGCTCATTCCTTGACCGTCGTCTCCATCATCACCGTTCAGAGATTGAACGACAATGGCTATTTCGGGAAGTACTGGTGTAATACAAGCAAAAGCTGAAAAACCCTGAATAACCAAAAGGACAATTAAGGGTGCAATGCCTCCTGTTGTGTTTTGGTTGGGTATGCCTATCAACATAGTAGAAACTGCACAGATCAATACTGTCGAAAAAGCAACCACTTTGGCACCGTACCTATCAGTAATATAACCTGCCAGAGGTGACGCAACAAAAGTTGGAATTGCTTGAGCCAGAAGGACAGCACCAATCTGGCTCGAATTGTATCCCCACTCGGACGACAATCTGACAGGTAATGTCGGTTCGAATACATTAAATACACATCCATTAGAAAATGCGATTACCAAGGAAGCAATTAAGCGATTTTGACGTAACAGCTTCAATATTGTGATTCGTTCCTTTACTTTTTCCTTTGTACTATCAGGGGCAGGGTTGACAATTGTAGAAGGCTCAACGGCACTGGTTTCGTTAGAATCATTATACCATTCTGGCGGTTGATTCCGTCGCTCTACTAAGAATAAACGAAGGATAAAGTCCAATCCAGCCAAACAAATACATAGTATGAATGGTGCCTTATAGCCGATGTTATGGAACAGCGCTAAATGTAATTTATGAATGCTTCGATTAGTCTTCTAAGCTCCAAGATAATGATAGAGTGATTTATGAGTCATAGGTGTACGTACCACCTAGAAAAAATGAATCGTTAGCTTTTCTAAAGATTTTGATTAAACTATTTAGCCTGGCATACCTCCGATTGGTGCACCTAAAACTAAACCACAAGAGTGAAAAAAGAGAACAATACCCATCTTTGATGCATGTCAGTGTAAGTTAGTTAATATATTAAGAAGAGAAGTCATACTGACAATTGCAGTTATTTACACAAATCATATGCTATTCGTACCTTTGAACCTAACTCATTTAAAGGGAAACTATCGGCTATTAAACACATACCCAATGTCCAAACACAGGAATCAGAGAAGCCTTGTAAGAAACGGGCCAATAACAATTCCCAATACGCCTGAGCAAACAGGAACAAAAAGGTAGAGACTAGTAACCCAAGAATACCAGCAACCATAGGCCATTTTCTATGTTTCATGCGATCACCTATGATAAAACGAAATGATCATCATTGATATAAAGGGGAAAACGCTGTGCACGGAATATTTGTGTGCTCTATTATACCTAGATATCCAAGAATTGGTGATCCAAGAAGTAACCCTGCAGCAAATAGGGCCAGCAATACACCAGTATCTTTGGAGACAGCACCATCATCTGATAATTTTGTGTTATCATAAGCATTTCCATCCAATTGATTTGGCGAGATACCCTTGTGTAAAGCTTCGATGGTGAAGGGCACTTGATCGTGAAATGAAAATTTCGATAAATACATGATCCAGCATATATAAATATAAGATAAGCTTGCGCTACCTACTGATAGGTACGATGATACTATAAACCAGCATCTATCAGATTGAATTTACAAGAAATAAGGTCAGAAATCAAAATTTCTGATGGCGTGACACTTGTAGAAGGGAGACCCTCATATTTACATCGGTGAACATTGACAACGCAACTGTTGCTAGAATATACCATTTTGCGGAGCGGAACCTAAGCAAGATCGGCTTCTTCTTGATCATGGTTACAGGCTTAACTTAACAACGCAATTGATGGTGATAAAGGAATTCTATGATGCGAATCAGAACTTCAACCTTCTTATAAACAAGCAATGAATTTTTCGTTCCCCGAAATCGGGCAAACGTGGGATCACTGCATTTGTATGCGAATACGTTGTTTTTTTGTGGTTTCACATTAGTTCCATTTTGAAAGTACAACTGGTAGCAATTCTTTCATCATACTTCAAAAAATTGTTTTGCTGCGGCGATTGATAGGTCGCACTACTCGGCAATCCGAGTTATTTTGCTTTTGCAAAATCTGTAGGATATTTTCAAATAAACATGAAACAATCTGGTATCGTTTGTTTTCTTTGTCACTCCTTCCAACAGTTCCAAGAAGCAGTAACTTCGTAAGAAACACAGATTTTGTGGAATATAAATCATGACAGAACTCTACCAGACTTTTTGCATACAGTACTTTAAAAACGATGGATAGGAAAAGGTATTTCTGATAGATGGGAAACAAAAGAAGAAGGGATAAGATGAAAAGGGAACATGATTCCTTAAATAACTTCGGTTTAATGTCTTCTATATTTTAAAAGTAATTTTTGAGTCGCCCATATTACAGTAGTAGTCTGATAATACCATCTGCGCGGCTATAGCAATTTCTTTCTCCTGCTCAAATTGATATAGCAATGGCCATCAATAGAGGAAGCTATCTGGTTAGGCACGACACGTCCGTCCAAATCAAACGAATAAAAGACTGCACCCAGCCTTTTACAATATCAGAACAGAAACATCTCACGAAAATAAAAATAGTAGAAAAATTAAACGAAGCTACCAGGGGTCGGACCTGGAATCTCCTGATTCGTAGTCAGACGCCTTATCCATTGGGCCATAGCTCCTTGATACATTTAAAAAAACGCTATATAATATATATAGAATAGTAAACAATTTTGTCACGTGACATTCAAGAATTTGGTTTCAGTTCGAATCGGGCATGATGCTGAAAAGGAAAGACAGGAAGTAACATATGTTAAGTGCAGTTTATTTTAGGTAATTTAGATACTGTTTTGCTACTAGAAGCGCTAAGTCTGAAGCAGTACAAGAGAGATATGGCGAGAACGGGTAGAATAAATTGACTTAGTAGTTGTAATTGTCACGAGAGAAATTGGGGTCTTGTATAAAAGCAGCAAGGACTTTGCTTCCGGTTTGTAATAAGGGATGTCCTGCAACTCTATAGACAAGGATGAGACAGTATTTAAGAACAAACACCCAATATTTCTACATCATTGCCTGCTTAGTAGTAAGGTAAAAGGATACTTACATCTGTAGAAATCTCTCTAATCCTTCTCTACGCTGTTCAATCACCTCGTCTGAAAATCTGTTTGTAAATACTTTGCCTGGTAAAGGAGGAATATTTACTCTCGACGATTCGCGTTCTAACACATCCCTGAACCATTCAAATTCACTATAGCGTCTTCTCACAGCAGACTGTTTTAACTTAAAAGCCGGAATATTTGTCTAGTTGCATCATAGTAGGTTTAGCCAACAGCCTAAACTTCTACAAACTTCTATTAAGCAACTGCTAACTGAACTTACTCTGCAAATAATTTCATAGTCGGTATACATTTTACGTCCAAAACCTTATAATAAATTGTCCAAGAAAGAAAAAAAAAAAACGTTAAAGAGCTGGGTCATATCCAAGCTGAATTGAATACTGAATGAGTATGTAATCACCATGTGTTTGTGGGTTTTTTACTTCAATCTCAAGAAAGTTTTCGGGAATTCCATAGCGTTCTTCAATAGTCTGATCTCTTGTCGTTCCACCAGTCATACTTTGAAACGATTGGAATTTATGCTGACCTGTCGACATTATATAAGAGTTGTTCAAATACTTTACTTTTTTCCTGTTGATAAGAAATACTGATGAGTTTCCACAAAAGAAATAAAAGGGTGGAGAAGAAATGCTTATTGATAAACAGAAGAAAGCACTAAAAAAGGTATTGAAGGCGTATAAGAAAAACATAAGCACACATCTCTGGGATTAAAAAGGGAAAGTTTATTGTTCGTAGAAAAGTTGTAAGATGGTTTTTAAAAGACCTGTTCATCTGTCTTTCGTTTTTGACCAGCTCTTGCTTTGGGACCCCAGTTGGGAGTAGGATTCATTTGATAACGTACCAAATGTTCAGCCTTTGATTCTGCAACAGCGTTGGGATGTTTGGTGAAATTAACTTCAATGGAAGGTTCTTTAGCAAGAATGGTTCTTGCTGGAGAATTTTCAGAGATATTATCCATCACCACAGGATGCTTCTTCACCCAAGCTCTCATGATATCCCACATTACCGAAGGAGGAGCATCTGTTTTGATGGTTTGCTTACCACAGTGAGAGGCAGATACCTTATATCCAGCATTCAAAATAGCAGAGTTAAGGTCAACCATAGGAATGCTGTTACAATGAATCGTGCCGCACAGTCTTGCCAAAGTCCAATAGAAAGGTACATCGATTTCTTCTTTAATGACAGAAAGCATACCCTTCATACGAGCCGATGTACCATAGCAATCCTTATTGTCGTTCACATGCTGTAGCATTTTTTTTACAAATTCATTGTTGTGAATCTTCGCCCCCCAAGCAGGGCCACCAATATGGTGAATACTGTTACAACTTTCACAAAAACGACCGACTACAGGCCCAGTAGCGGGTGTGTGTCTTTCTGCACCGTTGCTTTCCTTGACACTAATTTTACCAAGAGGTTGTGCAGTATATGCATGACAGCCAGAGCATTCATAAACAATGGCCATGTTGGTTGCGGATTTCTTCACTTCTTTGGGCGAAGTATATACACGTACAAAAACACGCAAATAAAAATCAATACTGCAAGATACAAGGGGTACAATATGTCGCTTGTATCGACCAGCCGATGTTTGCAGCATCTGTAAAACCAAACGAAGTGCCATTTCATGAGGGAACATATACTTCAATGGCATACCACCATATTTACCAAAACTAGGAATAAAAACCAAAAAAAAAAAAAAAGTTAGAATTCGCTCGTTTCGTCAACGTTCAACCCCAAGCTAATAAACGCCCAATTTACCAAGTCTCTGGATGCATGGAACCAGCAAGAATAGCAAGATCGGTACATGTAACACATAAAAGACCGCCTTCAGCAACAGCCTGAACAGCACCGTCCACAAAAGGTGCAGCACTGCCGTAAGGATCTAAATCAATCACGTCGAATTTCTCGTTTGTGCCTACTTTATCATACATCACTCGCATTGCATCACCGTGATTGGGCCTCACTAACTCCTCAGATAAGCCATTATACGCTATATTTCTCTTCATAGCTTCAATTGCTTCTTCTTCAATATCATTACAAACGACTTGCTTTAACTTTGGGATTTCTTTGGCGTAACGAACTGATCTAAGACCACTAGCTGCCAGCGCTTCTAAAATTGTGAAATTATCATTGTTCTTGAGATCATCTATATTCTAAACAACAGCATTAAATGATAATATTAGGCATGATCATAGTTTGATTTCGAAAAGCCATTTATTCTCTCTGATATACCTTCTGGATGGCTGCTGCTGTATTTTCATCTATAAGAACACCAGGAAAAATTGTCAGTTAAATATAACGAAGCTTTCCCATTGATTTATAGAGCTAGAAACCTTTACCTTTGGCTCTACTAAGTTTCTTTTCTAAGCGATCTATCTTTTCTTGAGTGTAAATCTCGCTCCACGTACGGATCGCAGCGATGGACATGTCACGATTGAATTGCTGTACAGGGTTATAAAATACTTCATTTTTCTTTGGAAAGAGAATAGTTGCTTTTCCTTCAGTGACAGTATGGAATTGTGATATGTCAATCTCCTGGGTTGGTTGTGCTGCTGCTGTTGTGTTGGACATGTTCCGTTTGTTTGCAAGTGGAAGTCTAAAGCTTATCAGACGAAATAGATGTTTTCTCATTTACATTTTTTTTATGGATTTTTTGATTAAAGAAATCTTTTTTTTTTTTTCGTTTTCTTTTTTTTAGCCCAGATCTGAGCTGGAGACTGGTTTTTTTGGGGTTTTTTTCTTTTGTTTATTCGCTTTAGGCATTGTAACAATTTTCAGCCAAAATTTGAACTGATTTAGCTAAAAAAAATGTGGATGGTAAGCATAGTTTCTTACCAAATATCTTTTTTGTCAAGATGCTCAAGGTCAAATGTGAGTTCTTGCAGACTCAAACAAGGTAATACGGTGCAGCTGCTGCCCATCGATCAAAGTATCAAATGGTATAAACGTATATACAATCTAACTTTAGGCTTCTCGTATACATAGTGCAGACGATATGAAATCAAAGAGAATAACTCACGTACTTTCTCTAAATTCTTTTGAAGCCTTTTTACTTTTTTTCAATGGACACCAGGAACAGTTCAAAAAGGTGTGCGTTTGTAATGGAAGATGATAAAAGGAACCTGATAAATGAAGGAGTAGACACTGTAATTTTAACGGCCTGGAAGGTAGATGATCGGACTATGAGGATAAATGCCTCCAAAGAAACCCAGAAAAGATAGTATCGATGATTCCACAGGAAACAGAAAGAATGCAGTAGTTATTGGTGTTTATGCTGATGCTGAGAAGGAGAAGCTGAATATTGTTCCAGGGATAACACAAGCATGAATAGGGAGGAGGTCAAAAGCCTCCCAGTGATTGATTGAACAAAAAGTGGTAGCTGTCGTAAACCTTAGTAGACCAACCATTCTTACAGAAGATTACAAACTATTCTTAACACAATTGACCGATGGCAGTCCAAATGTTGCATTGGACGAATGATGGATAGGTTGACGAAGCAGTTGTCTAATAAAGGCCTTTAGCAGCCCTTTATACTTTGTAAAGGACAAGTGAAGAAAGTATTTGAAAAGGCTCATTTACAATCAATAAATTGTCAATCCTGCCTTTCAAATCAAATATTAGAAGAACGATGGTACGGCCAAAGGAGGACAACAAACAAACGAAAAGGCAGGTGGTTAAGAATGACAACTCATTTCAACCAGATTGATGTGTTGAGACAGAGTGGTGATTCTTATGATAAGCGAACTTAATCCCTAGACGAAGTGCTTAGAGGTGAGGGTCGAGCAAGTGTTGTCGCCGCCTTGATATTTTATTGGTTTTTATTTGAAGAACGAGTCTAAATACTATCAGTTTTGCTCTCTATTCTGATGTATGTACATCTATACTTGAGCATCTTTCTATCGATATAAAGAACAGTACTTTTTAAAGGCTGCTAATACTTCAGGACTTCTGCCTTTTAATGGAGCGGTAGCAAGAGCGGTTGGTATATTCTCTGGTTGTTCTATCCATTTTTTGAAGGAGATGTTATTTGCTGCCAAGGCGTTAGCGAGGTTTTCCAACGACGTCTCATTTTTTGTCTACATCAACGAACGGCACGCTTTTCTTTGAGGAAAGCTGAATTTAATATGTAAACAAATCATTCTTTTCTTACTTCCAATACAACTTTATGCATATTGTCTAAATCATTCAAATATTCTTTTGTATTGTCATCCTCTCGTGTCAAGTGCAAAATGGCTGTTGCTGCATGACAAGCTTGTGTCATTACACTGAAGAAGCAAAATATCAAATACTATTCAGGTCTGTGCCATAAGTTCATCGTTCATACCTCCCTGCTGGCCATTGCAGTTTCTGTGGGTAAAGGATGACTTGTTCAGCCTTCAGTCAATTACAGAACATCCTAGATGAAATTAGTTTACCTTGGCGAGATCTTTTCTTACTACAATAAACATGGTAAGGGGCTCGACTACTGCTGCCATTGTGAGTTGGATGTTAAACTGACTGGTTCTAGGATTGGTCTGTTAAAGATGAGAAGAGCAACATTATCTGTATTTCACCTAAACTCAGTCACTTATTGAAAAGCCTGGGCAATTATGAAAGTGATATAGAGTATTCCTAACGTGACAGTACGTCCCAATAGGACATGTCTTGAAAATAAAAATGTATCAAACCGTGTTTTGATGGATCGTAACTCGAACAATGCTGTGTACCAACGTCAAAATGCAAGTTTGTATTTTTCCCTTTTTTTTTTTTTTTTTTGTAAGCTTTTCTTATTTAGAGGTCGAGATTCTCAGCTCTGCAAACATCTACTTTTTCCGAAATCCATCGATTGTAAAAAGGAACAACGTTTCTGAATCCTTCATTCGTTCAATTGACAAAAGAAAAGAAAAATAAACGGACATTCACGACTGATAATCGTTTTCTAGCCAAAGCCTTATGCGAACATATGAAGATGCGCTCATAAGTGAAATGCAGTCGCTGGTGGAGAACATCAACAAGGTGAGAAAGACGTGTACGCTTAAGAATGTTGCCTAGACTTGACGAACTCAAATGTCATGGCATCTGTTTTTATTCTCCAGATCAACGCAGCGGTTTTAAAGGTCAACGAAGGCGAAGTGGTGGATATGGTTGACAAGTTGCGGAAAGTTGAACAAAAGATGTCACTAGTATTCACTTTCTTTAAAGCGTCTATGTTTGCCAACAAGTTTTATGAAAAGGAAGAAAGCACTAATCGACCCAGTTTCTAATGCGGTCATCGTCTGTCTATTATCTCTGTGTTTATTCAGTATTTTATTGTTAACGATAATAATAATAAAATAAAATTCGATTATTTATTGCTTTATCAGATTAATTGTAGAAAGATAAAGTGGAGAGGTGTTATCAAACTTTGGATAAAGAATGATGATAGTAAAAAAAAAAAGAGATGTATGATAAGGGAAAGAGAGTAGCTTGTTTGAGCAGTCAGGATTTCGCTTAATCCTTCTTTTCTTCTTCCTTCTTGTCGTCCTTCTTATCATCCTTCTTGTTCTTGGGGTTCTCGGGAGCCTTACTCCAGTTTTGAGCCTGTAAACAGAAATTTAACCATTTAAGTAAATTGAGAAGAACACTGAAATTTTAGCTTTTTTGCACTTACAGCCAACTTGAAAGCCTATTTTGTAGAATAGGGAGGGAGAAGGGGAGACAATAAAAATCAGTCAAAAGATATTATTCTTCATTATCATTTCAGGCTTGAAAAAAAACAACAGGCTCATGAAGGGGGAGGCAGACACGTCCACGGAAGAGATATCAAAATGATATATTTCCTTTGTCGATTTATCCCTGTGAGCATCCTAATACTTACTTCCTTGTGTGCAATACCGGGATTAGCTTCCTTAACCTTAGCGAGCTCGGTCTAAGCAAAGTAATAAAAAAAAAAAAAAAAGAAAAGTTAGATGTGATAGTTCTTTAAGAGACTCTGTACCGCTACCCCTCGTCTTTCGCACGTTCAAACGCATGGGTGTGCTTACCTTCATGAAGTTATTGTAAGGGGAGACCTTCTTGGTGGCTGTAAAATAGAGAGATGATTTTCTCTAGTTAGAAACTGAGACACGCTTTTTTTTTATTATTTTTTTTTTTTTTATCAATCATTTAAAGAGATAAAAGGTAGAAGGATTTATATAATCAACGCATGGATATTAAGTAGAATAAACTTACGAGCTTTCTTGGTGGACTTCTCTTTAGCCATTTTTGAAGTTAGATTGACTTTTTTTATAAAAAACGAAAAAGTTTTATTATAAAGGTTTTTTCTTAAGTAGAAAAAGGAAGATATAATAAATTTCCTTGTCTTTTTTTTTAATATCTTGCGTGGATGCTTAAAAGAATTTTTTTTTTTTAGTTTTAAACCACCATAATTTTTTTTTCTTAGGCGTTTAAACCAATCATGTTTGCTTATTGCCTTATATGACGTGAAATAAGGATAGAAGCAGTGGTCACAGAGACAAGTATAACGACACACACGCGCGGTGAATTTAAAATGCAGAAATAAGGGTACTCATTGTTGAGGAAAAACTAATGAAGTAGACGTGGCCCCAAATGAATTCGGGTCGCAAATGAGCCCAGACATACGAGCTCCCTCCTTTGGGCGAAAATGACTGCCGTATCAACACAGACGACATTCGGTAGCCATAGGCTGTTTCCTCATCAGCAATTGATTAAGAGAAAATTAATTGTTATACATATCACCTGAAGAAGGCGTTGTTGTTTATTATTGTTTGACTAGCAATCAACTCCTCAAAAAACGAAAAAACAAAAAAAATAAAAATTTTAGGCAATTCATTTACATTCCTATCGAAGGCGTCCGTTACATGATGGTGAGAAAGTGTGTTTTTCTTACTATGAAAACATGTAGGAGACCAAAGGCTTATATTACCCAAAACATGAAAACATGCGGAACATTCTAGTAGAATAAAATCAACCAACCATACTTAACTGTCCTAGCATAAAAGAATCAACAAACAGTCTTATGTTCCAAAAGTAAATATGTCATGTTTATTCCGTTAAGAACAACTGTTAAAGACATATAGAAAAGCGTCCGGATATCATATCGGTTTCAGCCGCGTTTCTCTAAACTATTTGTATTCGAACAGAAATAGATTGCATCTCACAATTTATTTATTACAGTTAAACAAAAAATCAAATATCCTCCCATTATAGCTAAAATCTAGGCCACACACAACTCCCACCTTACTTAGAAGCTTTCGCGCAACCCGCTGAGATTCAACTTGGGATTCTCAGAAAGAAACAAAAAAGCGCAATTTTTTCCAATATGCAGCTTTTCTCAATGATCTTCAGAATTACAGTTTTCTAACATGATTCGGATTTTCATACTGTCTGCTTCAGACGAACAGAATAACGAATTTTGGAAATACCATATATACTTTTTAGATTTTGATAATTTTAGTTTGAGATGAATTTTTTAGAATTTGAACTCAGGGCACTATAAAAACGGAGGGGTGACGAGGAAACAAGAGCAATAACCAGCGCGCTTAATTATCGTGTGTAATATATTAAGCATACTATAACATCAAAAAACTAGCTGAGGAGCAAAGATACGCCACTGTCTGTATATAGCAATAATTTTTCAGAACTTTGGTGCATGTTGGTAAGAGCCATCACTTATTGAGTCAGTTGATCGTGATGTTGTCAAAAAAAAAAAAAAAAAGGAACGCGATATACAATAGAACACACAGTGTACTTTTCCTTTTTGCTTTCTTTCTTTTAAACAAAAGTGGAAAGGCAAACAACGCCTCCCAGCTCAGAACGGCCCTTATAAAGGCCCCAGCTGCACATAGGTAAGACTATCTTATTAAGACCTATCAAGAAATCATCTACGTTGCTCCAGTTACCCACACACTAATACCAATGGCATACAATGATTCTTTGAGTGCTTCTTCGTCTAAGCCAGCGTTGTCAAAAAGGGTGTAAAAAAAGAAGCTCCAAGAATTCAAAGCTGATAATAAAACAACGAAAATGATTACGTATCCGTCCTGTAAGCAAGCCACACATGCATGGCCTACAAGCAATCTGTGTCCGAACAAGAAGGGAAAAGTACCTATTGATGGTGAAAATAAAAAGGTAGAAATCTGCTCCATCAATGAGTATATGACTAGCTGTAATAAATGCAAGCATTCGACATTTGGAGAATGTAATGACAGCGACGTCAACGCGAAGAGTACATGCTGTATTGCAGTGTAAAACTGTAATACAATTTGGAATCGCGACGTCAATGCTGCCAAAACCATCTTTCAAACGAGACCTACATGTGTGACTGATATCACTCCTTCATACATCCCTACAGTGTAAGTTGTAATATATTCATAAAGTAATCAAATGCCGAATACTTACTGTTTCTACCTCATTTACTCAACTCACAATTCGATAACAATTTGGGTAATTTCTGGTAAGTGCGTCTGAATTTATTATAAAATTTATCTAAAATATGTAAATATTTTTTCTCATACATATACTACATTTTCTCAAAGTTGCCTAGTAGTATTTCCGAGTTTAATCGAAAAAAACTGTATTGAGAACAGAGATACCCTCAACGCTTTAACTTACTCTTTAATAGTTGATTGATCCCTCCTTTTTTCCTCTAATTCCTTGACCTCCTTGTTTTTGGCTCTTTCAGCGTTCTCAATATGGACAATACAGAGATTGACCTACGAGCATTGAAGTTTGTCGATGTCGTGAACGTGAATCTTATATGCTGCATTTGTCAAACGGCTTTTATTAAACCTGTCATATCCACTTGCGGGTAAAATGATACCACCCTATACATATATGCATACATCTATCTATCTATTTATCTATTCATATATGCTACAGTTATGCAAAAGACACTTATCACATGAAAGCATTTTTCATTAGACATACCTTTTGTGAGCATTGCATCTATCAAGCTTTGGAGTTGTCTACAGTTTGTCCTATCGACAGAACTCAACTCTCAATAAATGATTTTCAGCCCGCTGCTAAAATCATATCCAATATGGTGAATGAGCTAATCGCTTACTGTCCTTATTTTGAAAAAGGTTGTGATTATACTGGACAACGACAATTCATGGAATCGCATGTCAAGAATGACTGTCAGTATACGTTAACGTGTTGCCAATCGGAAGAATGTAAGAAACTTCTACTAAGAAAAGACATAAAGCATCATTCAGAAACTTGTAAACACAGAATTCTGGAATGCAATATGTGTAAACAGAAAGTACCAGCTTATGAAATGGAGGTAAAATAGCACACTTTCATCAGTCAAGTAGACCCAGCTGTGGATGCTACAATTGGATCACTAAATAGTGTGCTTATATTCATTAGAAACATTATGATGCGTGCCCTTCTGAAATAATTGATTGTCCATATTGTGGAACTTCTCGACCAAGGTCAGAACATACTTCACATACAACCGAATGCCCTCACTTCATTATATCATGCCCACATCATAATGATGGATGCGTATGGACTGGTAAACGAGAACTATCAGAGGAACACCTCAGCTTGTGCCCGTACGAATCAATGAAGCATTACATACAACAACAAAAACGTACAGAAGCAAAGTTAAAAGATGATTTACGACAACTTCGTAGTGAAAACGAGTCCTTGAAAAGACAGCAATTGGAGTCTCGTCAAAAAATGAATGCTTTAACGAATCAATTAGAAATGATGTTCCCCGGCCATTTCACAAATACCATATTGATGTTGGATCACGATATATTGACAAACGAACAAATGCACTCCACACCAACAGACTCCATTCACTCGCCGCCCATCCGATTAGGAGATGAAGGAAGTCATCATGGTGAACCCTCCTCTACTGCAGCAGCACCTGCTCTTGCAGAAAGCCAGCAAAGAATGAATAGCGAACTAGAAACATTGTCTGCGAATATCGCATCATTAGAGCTTAAGCAAAACATGGCATTGATGACTGAAACATTCAGATTACAAGAAGAGCTGCAGAGTTTAAGGGCAGTTTGTCACGGTCTAAGGATGCAGATGCATTATCTAATGACCGATAGACGTAATGCATCGACTGGCGGTACAACAGCCGGCAATGGAAATGGAGCAGCTGGCTCTGGAGGAACCAATGCTACTAGAACTGGTGCTACAGGTAGCAGCGTCGTGAATTCAGGCAGTATGAATACAACAAGAGTTTTACCGAGAATCCATGCGTACAATGCTACTTCTGCGGCTACTGCCTCAAAGCAAGAGACAAAGCTATAAATCGTTGCTCTCTGAGCTTTTTATATTTTCAATAGAATTCATCATTTTTTACCCAGCGTATACTATAATATCTGATTTTTTTTATTTCGTTTGTAACATATGTATTTCTATTTATAAACACTGGGATTAGCTAGTGGCAATATTTCCATTGTCATCTGCTTTCTCCTCCACGGTTTTACACTCCAATCAAGCCATTTGACTCCCAATGATACCCTCTTTCTCTGCTTCTGGTTACTAGCATCTTTTTTTTATTACTATTTATAGCTCTTTTTAGACAAAGTTACAAAGAAGCTCCGTATATTCGAAAACACCTTCTTCATATACTCTTTATCCATTATAAATAAATCAAAGTTTTTCGGGAATGCCATTACTTGACTCATTTGTTTGCTGCTTTGGTTTGATAATCATATAATATGATAAATATTGGTAGGACAATCAATAAGAATGGAAGATAACACAAGCTGAACCAATTGGAAACAGCTGTATGCATTCCCAAGCTCTACCTTGGAGAATCAAAATACTAGTTGACAATTGCTTAAATCGCACGCCCCTTTCCCAAGTGCAATATATATAAAATATTATTATCTCATATACTATAATTTAGATTATAGCGCTTACTGAAGTTGTCATATTTAGATAATCGGTAAGGCAACGAATACGAAACCAGGAATCTGTGAGCGTAAGTTGTTGAGATGAATTGCTGTACTGGGCGGCCATTGATGTACGATGGTGAAATCCTCACTTTTTCACCATCGATGATAGCGTTCCCACTCCATTAGCCTTTCCTTGATAACGCCTCTGATGTGGTTTGGCATGCTTTTAATCACTTTTCGGCACTCTTCTGCTGTGATATTGTTATTCCAAATACTCACTACGCGCTCTATAGCTCGTTCATACCGCTAGGTGGAGTGTTTGAAGTATTCGCTATTGAATAACGCACAAGGCCAGCAGATCGCTCTTGAAGTGCACAAAGACACACCAAAATAATGGGCTGTTGGCAATAATCATTGAAAAAAAAAACCAGCCGTTTTTGACTTACTCTGATTCACGTCTTTCACAAACATAGAGGATCACTCTCGAACAATTTTCTCTTCTACATAGCTTGCAGAAAGGTCTATGACCGATGTGTTTTTTAAACATATTTGTCAAGGAGGCAAGCAGCAAGAATTACAGAGTGTGATCTATGTTTCGAATAAGAAAGAAAAGAGGTGATCGCTTTAGTTCTTCTCTCTTTTTCTTATATTGAAGCTTTCAAATCAGAACCCCTTCACTTATTCCCTGTATAATTGATTTTACCCTACGGCTATTCCTTTAAGCTCCACACAACCTTCCTAAAGCCACCGAAGGATGTTGGTGCTGCCCAATTTATTTATTTTTTATAATTGACCTTTTATGCATTATGCACAGCTTCCCGCAACACCACCCATTTCGCCGGTTTTCGAGCCTCAACAACAATGTCAACATAATGCCTTCAACAGCATGATAAAGAAAAATATTGACTAAATTGATGGCATGTTGCAAGCCTGTAATGAGCGGCTTTGCTGTTATTAGTGGGTTTTCAGCTACAGTTATACGATTTATTCTACGTCTAAAGTTTAGTTTTCAGTGTTTTTTATCCTTTTCTTGACGCTCTTTCAATTAACAAACTCTATCACCTTGTTAAGACATTGTCCTTCTTCTTGTTGTAACCTATATTCTGGGATGTTAATAACACCAATCTGCTGTCGTGTCTTGTCTCAGGTAAAGATCTCATAGTCAGTTACGTAAATCACTTGCTGTTACAAAACCTATGAAAAAGAGAAGAAAGTCCTTCGAAGAGCTGTTGTATGAGTAGTTATTTTCTTTTTTATTATTATTAATAAATATTGCTCTAACCATCTGTTACAAAAATATAATTGTAAGTGTTTAAATAACTCTGTTTGTCTGCTTTCGAAACAAAAAAAAGAAAAAAAAAAAGAAGAAAAGTAAACAGCTTCAAAGAAATACCAATAAAGTTTATGCTAAGTTACATTTAATTACACTAAATATACAGTTTAATACTAAATGAAAGAATGATTCTATTCTACAATGTGTTTACGAGGGTTATTGTTGCTTCGCTGCAATTTCAAATTCAAACAAAATAAAGTCTGAATATCAGGCCTAGATAAGTGGGTCATACAGCCTTGAATAATGGTTAAATCATTCATCGTTTGATAATTGGTTAGTCTGATTTGGTCGCCAGGGATGATTTGCACGAGATCGCCCTATATGTAGAGGAAACAGAGAAGAAATAAGAAATCAATTCGCAAACTAAAATAGTAGGAGGAGCGAAACTTACAGTATCTACATGACGAATTTCAATAAATTGAGGGTCAAATGCTACAATATAAGGGTATTGATACACTATATGGTCAGGGTTTCCTTCCCACTCACACAAGACAGGTGGCCTAATAGTAAAATACAACAGTTGCTCAGTTATATCATCATAGTAAAAGGAAAAAAAATATACTTGCTCCTATTTACTTTTGCGGTCCTCGTTGCACCAAGGAGCCATTTCGATTGTTCACATAAAATGCAAATTTGTTGTAACATAGCAAGAACTTATCGTGAACGCGATACATGGCTAGTGGTTTGTTGGAATCAATATTTCGATGTACAAAGTTGAATTGAGGATCCCCTTTGTCAGGGATATCTCTGCCACCCACGCTTAGGTTCTCAGGATCAATGATTTCAAACCCTCTTTCACAAACAATGAGTAATTTCGATTTTAAAAAGTGAACATTACTTGATTCCGCGCCCACATAAAATTCCTACAAAAAACAAAAAGCAAATGCAGAATTAGGGACGCTTTATAGAAACAGGAAAAAAAAAAGAGAAACCAATGAAACTGTCAGTATGCTTTCTTTTTTTACCTTGTATTTTTTAAACCATGAATGATTCGACCTGTTCGTAAGCTTGAAGCCTGGTTTTTGTCCAATATATTTCTGGTTTTTAGGATCCCTTAAATCATAGAGTGGCTCCAGTGCCGTGAAAATACTGGAAGTATTTTTCTTCTTCTTAAATAAAACAAGGTCTTTATCATTACAATGTCCCACTTGAAAGAAATGAACATGCTGCGCTATTTCTTGACCCAGCTTTTCGAGGGAGGTTTTCCCATTAGAAGGTGACGAATCGATTAAATCTAACGGATAAGCTTTCAATGTTTTATCTATTCAAGGCAATAAGGGAAAAAGAAAGCAATATCAAAAAAGTGTAAAGACGATAATTAAACTTTACAGTTACTAGGGGGCAACAAACCTGCTAGAACCAACAGAATGTGGCATTTGTCGAGTACTGCCAACTGGGTCACAGTTTCACTGGAAAGTACTCTCTTTATACCAGGACTATCGAATGATTTAAGATACACCCCTGTATCGGTACCTACTGCCAACATTTGTATATTATTTGAAGACGCTTGGAAAGAGAATGAATTACCATGTCAGAAAAGCGCGCGCGAGGTTGAGGACCGTCATCAAGAGCGAGACTGAACGGATAGTTATATTACACTTACCAAATGGGACAGTACAGTTCACCCTTCCATGTTTCGATGTTCCATTTGTTGCTGCTACATAACGGAAAGAGCTGTCATCCAACAAGATCAAATCAAACACATCGTCGCCCAATCGCTTTTTTAAAGACAGCTTAGCTTCTTCAAAGGCTTGCAACCATTTCTGCTTCTCGTCTAAACTACATAAAAATGTATAGACCCCACCTCGCTGACCTAAATGATGCAATGTCAGAGGCGTTAAGCCTGAAGAGGACAAATAAGAGGAACCATGATGAGAGTGATGAAAGCTAGTTGCTGTGCCTCCATTCTGATGAGACGTGGAAGAAGAAGAAGATATACCGCTGTTGCTTGGTACAGTGAATGCTGACCCACTCACAACATAACCTGTGGATATTGATAAATTAAAATTCCTTGGCGGTGTCGATGTTCCTGTAGCAGCCCCTGCACCAGAGAAAGATGACTGATTTGGAGAACTATAAAAGGTTGAGGAGCTTGTACTATAATCTGAAGTGACACCAACGTGTAGCAGTTGTAACGGAATGGGTCGTCTCCACACTCGATATTCATCGTACTGAGGGTAGAGTTGCTGCTGATATGATGGCAATGACTGTAGAGTCGTAGACGACGAAGATGAATGAGAGGATGCTGTCGATTTTCTTGGTTTCGTCATCAATACTATATGATCAAAAACAAAAATATGTATATCTGATTTTTCTGTTACTTCGATTCCGTTGCTTCTGCGCTTAAGATCGCCTTGATAGTAAAGTTTACGCTGTGGTTGTGTAAGCTGTAAATCTTGGAATTCGCCTTGCTTAAACGTAATAAGATCATTGATCTCTAGAATGCCTACTCTTCGCTTGTAGATTTCTGCTAACTGATCGGACATGGATGCAACTTTCTTTACCATATCGATAGCCTTAGCCAAGTACAGATAATCAGCATGCGTATCTTCTGTTTTTTTGATAATCGCATCCAACAGTAAAGGGTAACGCTGCACACGAGTTACGGGGTTGAGCAGAAAATGACGAAACGCTAGACGGCGCATACGCTTATTTCGCTCAGTATGGACGATGAACTTTCCGAAATGAGGGTTGTGCCGTTCTTCTGCTTTAACCAAGTATTCAGCCAACGATACTCGCGGGCAATATTTTGTGAAGGGCTCCTCGAAATATGCAAAATGTTTCAATAAAATATCTCCCACCGTTGGTATACATTCATGATTGTGTTCATGTTGGAGCTGTAGAAGATCTTGATATAAGGCATTGCTGGTTTCGATCAATTCTCTATAATTCGCGAATACTTCTTTCACAAAATCATCTCTCTTGGCAGTGGGTATAATTGTCTTTGTCAGAATGGGTTCGATAATGACTTCAGCTAGCGTCTCCAAATCTCTCTTATAGACATATTCAGAATAAATCAGTTCATTGATGGCTTCTTGCCTTTCAATTTCCTTCTTCGTCAGTGATTGCAATAGCTCTTTTGAGACACGTTGTGACCAAGCTGTTTGCTGCGCTATTGCTGCTGCAGTACTACTTTGATCTTCTTGTTGCTGTCCGGATGAAAATAAAAGCCGCTTCGTATTAGTCTCTGTATTTTCATATTGATTAAACTCTTGCTCAAAAACGTCCGGTTTATTAGGGCATTTAGGGGCATAGCAACCGCCCTTGCCTGGCAAACAATCAGCAGTATAACAGTCTAACAAATTCGTCAGTATGCCGGTGGGAATATTTCCTCCTTCCCCCAGGGGATCAACATCATCATGAAGTGTATAGTACTCATCCGGCGAGTTGAAAAGCCTGTCCTGGATGATTGATTTTTGAGAATAATGGATCGGTTCGAATAAGGAAGGTTTTGCGTGCATTAATGCATTAGCGATGGAAACACAGTAGCTTTCCCGTATGCCATCTAATAAACTGTTCAATATTGTCTATTGAATAAAATGATCAATGTTATCAGTGACGAAGTGACGAAGTGACAAAGTGCAGGAGTAGAAAAGAGTGAAAACGCGGCGATTTTTCAAACTTACAATGGCTTCTTGTCCTGTGAAAGATTCTGGGTATTCATTAGCGCAAAATAATTCTCTTACATGCTCTAAGCCTTGAATACGCTTGACAAACGCTTTGCTCAAGTTGGAAAGAAAAGCGTACGAATTAGACTGAGCGTGTACGGAAGAAGCGATGGAATTAGAAGAGGAGGTATTGGATGAAAAATGCTTTAATCGTGAAAGAGCAAAACCGGGATTGATGGTTGAGAAGTTACTTCTTTCATCACAAATCTCCTCAAGATCGTATATATTAATCTTTTCTTGCTGCTGCTTCTTTATATATGTATCTACGTAATCTAATGGTGGAATCGTTTGATATTGTGAGTGATTTTGTTGTAATTGCAGTGGTGACTGATCGTGCAAACCGGTATTTTTATTGTTGTAGTAGTGATCTGGTGTGGGCATAGCTATTGATGGTTCAATGATAGTGGCTGAAGTGTTCATCGGTGGGTATGTAAGCTTTTGCTTTGATTGAGAATGATAGTTGAGTGATGAATAAGGATGATATGGTTCTGGCATAGGTAGGTTTATGTCATCACTATATTTATTGCTGCTGGTTAAATAATCCGTACTAGAATTAACAGAATGATGTTTCTAAAGTTAAAATTATAGACAGAGTCGCTAAACATCAGTAAATGGCTTCTCAAGGAAGTGATAACGTTATTCAGGAGTTTACCTCATGATTGACAGACGATGAAGAGGACGACCTTATGTGATAGCCCGGTGACAATTGATGCTGATATTGACGCTGTGGGTCTACATGCGGCATAGGTAGTGGGTACGGAGTAAATGTATTAGTATCCATGTATCCAAAGGAAGTGCTATCATTATGATGGTTTTCCAGTTGTGGTGAATATTGTTGTCGATCAGAGTGATGTTGCTCCTCATTCAGCTCTGAAATGTATGAATTTACATCTTGCATCAGCCCATTCAACGACTTCTTAACAAAATTTTCAGTATTTCTGCTATCGTAGACATCATGCTGCTGATCAGTGGTTGGTTTATACATTATTAACTAAGATATACAGACATAGAGACGCTTATGTGTACAAGAAGAAATGTCAAAGAAAAAAAAAGATTCGAAAACACACAAAAAAAAAAGGCTTTCCTAAAATGGCAATCTTGTATGTAGAGCGCCACGATCACTTAAATTGTGCAGAGTTTTAAGGTTGAGATCTTCAACATTGCATGAACTTGAGGGTAACACGGACAGACTATCCTTGGGATCTGACAGGTCGGGAAAGGAAGAGGCACTCAGTCATTGGAATGTGCTTCTGACATCCTGATTCATATAGGTCTACTACAGGCAGTGAATCATCTCTATAAAGCCAAAAAGACATTATAGTTCCCCTATCTCTATCTCGAACAGCAGTTCCTAAAACTTCTATATCTAATAGAAAAAAAATTATTATATACTTTCACTATTTTGAGAAACTATACCGCATTCGTCAATTATAAAGTACCTACTATGTTATCTGAGCAGTTTCCGAACTCGAGAACGTTCTCCAGTTGAAATACCGGAGTTATTTGACATGTCTGCTTTTTTTTTTCTTTCATGTGGGATGGAAACACTTTTTTTTTTTGGAGGGTAAATTCCCCGCTTGCGGTCCGCTTTCAAAACGAAGACGCGTGGTTAATCCTATTTACGGAACAAACGTTTTGCTTTACCTTCTTCTACAATCTGGAAAATATGAGAGAGGGAAGTGATGAGAAAATGAACACTTTTCAAAAGGTACTGAACACCAGTGAGCCCTGATCCATTTTAATGGACCTTTGTTAAATGGTAACTGTTACATTTTTCGAACCCAACGTCGTCTGAGCTTCGATAAGTTCCTATTTATGATTCTGTGCTTCAATGTTTTCTCATTTGCTAAGTTGGTATAGCTAACACGTCCCATAATACACAACCATAAGATGTTTATCCTTGTAACGTAATAAATTAACAAATGAAGGTTGAGAGTGATTCAAGGTTTATAAGTGCACGGCAGCCTACTTTTGCCGTCTCAGATCTACGTGATGCTACTCTTCTTTCATAAAGAAACAGGTCGGTATGTCAAAATCACATATGATACGATTGCGCATTGTTGCATGCATAAACGCTCATAAGAGTGCTTTATTTTGACAGTTCCAACAGGACATTGTTGAAGTATCAGTTGTTCAATTTCTCATTAGTTTTCTGAAGATGAGGGAAGCAAAAGGCGTCGAAAGGCATGAATAATATCTATCTGACGAATAGAATGTTCCTTGTAGCCTAGCTGTTCATTTTACTCGAGGCGTTCTTTTCATATTAACATATGAAAAAGCTATATCCCGATAGTCAGCTGAGCTAGTTACTTATGAGCAAAATTCAATTAACAACAGATGAAAATTTCGCCATCTCATCAGTTAAGCAAGGGACAAGGTATCACAAAAATCGTACAAATGTTCAGGGTTAACAGAGACGCAGAGAGAAAAATTTTCAATTGTTGCACCTATTAACATTGGCTTGGCTTTTTTTCAACGTTTGAATGAACAAGATTGTTTCTCCATTTTGTAAAAATATGCTTATCACGATGAGCCAGATTCGAGACTAATCTGTTCGGAAAGGTCATTTCAGGGCATCAGAAAAAGGGAAAGGGCACGCGGGGACAAACGGTTCCAAGAGTGGTAAATTGAAACGAAGCAAATCATGATTCGTATCTCCTACGTTAAATTGTACGATATTTTTTCTGAGATTAATACTTATGTACATGTGTGTATTTTTGTCGGGTCGAAACTCATGACACCTGAATCAGAAACTGGATAAAGGGGTCATAATTATGGAAGAGCTGTGTATCACACGTACAACAAATAGAGCTCACTGACCCTCACTCAATTTTTAAGGAATTTTTTTATTTATTAATTTTTTTTTTCCTCTTTTTCCTTCTATTTTTCTTTTATAAACTGACAAGCCTTGTTAAAGGACTCATACATCACAATAACCTCGATATGCGAATAATATCAAAATTATTCGTCACAATTATATATCTGTCAATAAGCTGGACATATGCCCAACAACAAGATAAATATCCTAACAAAGTGACTATTGGTAAAAATAAAAGTGATCGGGCCCGTGCGATTATCATTCGACAAGAATCCTTAACTGTTATTTTTGCTATTTATCTTTTGTTAAAGGCATTCAACAGGGTTATGGATTTACAGTAGAATACTTTGATACATATAAAGTTGTTCAAAACCTAATAACGAATGAAAAATATGCATTGGTTTGCTGTAATCAATCACTAGCCAACTTTACATCAGCAGCATCAACAAGCTACACTGCTATTGTAAACACGCCATTGAATAACGTAGGCATCGATAATGAGTTGGACGCACTTCCGTTTTTCGAGGTATTACACGATAAGGACTTGGTTTGTTAATTATTATAAGTGACTCAGATTTTCCCGCGCCCGCTTCAGTTATTAGGTTTAATAGATAAAGTCAAATCAGCAAAACTTAGTGCCAATATCACCTCTCCCTGCTTTGCAGGTATTTCAGACTCACCCAATGCAACAGTAACAACAAACCCTATCGACGCCATCTTTACTACCACCTCCATCACAATGGGGGATATTAATACCAAACCTCAATATATTAGCTTCTCCGCTAAAAATGATACCTTAACACCACTACAACAATCAGCATGGATTTTATACATTGCGCACTTTTTCGATCTTGAGCAACATGGCCAGGATGTTTATAATAGCATTATGGAAAAATATAGCTGTCATAAATCAAATTTGGCCGAGTCGGGTAAAAAAAACATTGCATGGACTACGTTTGATAGTGTGAATAAAGCATGGACGACGCATTACGAACCATATGTGCAACAACTTATCGCTGATGCGGGTAATGATATAACTCTAAAATTTACTTCAGATTCATGTTTTAACACAATGTTTGACTAGGCATGCAACTGGTCAGTGAGAAAAATCAGACCTCTGTGTATACAGATTTGACATTATTCCATAGTGCACTGCAGCATGTAGAATATATCATTGACGATACACCTGCGGCCAACTTCAATAAGTCTGATTTAACATATGCAGAATGGCTAACAACAGCAGGGTTAAATCCTAATACGAACGCATACCCATTTTTGGTTGGGTTGAACCTTTTCCGCACAGATCGATTCATTAGCACTTCAGGTTTCTCAGGTATTTGTTTTTTTTTTTTTTTTTTTTTTTTTTTTTTTTTTTTGGTTCAAAAAAAGAAAAGAAAAAAAAGTCTTCAAAGGCATGCAGCACGAAGAGTGAGGATTCTGGGAATGGCGTGTAACTCACAAATACCTGATGTTTCTACTGAAATAGACTGGCCTATTCGACATGCCGCTCGCGCTGATTTAGCGATTGCAGATGTCATTCACATGGTTTACAACACTTACGAGCCCACCTATAACATGACTTGGTTACGTGCTTTTGCTCAAATGGAGGATTCCAAATTTATCAAAAACACAAATTACCCTACCTGCAGCATGAACACCACAGCGGTAGCGGAGCGTCTTAATTTAAATAGCTGTCATATAAACCCTTTTAAACCTAACACAACCATCTCTGCATCGCCTAAGCATTCTAATAATCACTCTCTAAACCATAACTTGAGTGTAGGAGCAAAAGTAGGCATTGCTATTGGTGTGATTGTAGGTGTAGCAGCATTGGCTGTCATTGGCACTTTTGCTTATAGAAAAATCAAATATACAGCGGCTAAGAACAAAGAAGGCGCATTTTATAGAATGAGCGATATGTAAAGTCACTTATCAAGCATGTCGCTTCCTCTCGTTACAAACAATGTAAATAATAATGTAATAGTATAGACGTACGTACATTGACAGAACATGTATTTTTATCTAATTCCGTAACCTTTTCCCCACTAAACCCCAGTTTTTCCAATCAAAGAAATCCCTATCCCTTCAAAGACGTTACTTCGTACCGAGAATAAGCGGAGTCCATTTTTTGACAAATCTGTAAATACGCGGGCATTCCACCATCAATTCGTAAGCTGTTGTCGTTATGAGAAAGGCGTTCATAACAAAAGTCAGTGCTCGTTCCGATTTTTGCACCATTTCTGGGCTACACACAACTATTTTGTTGCCAAAGTAGAGAACAGTACAAGCCGTTGAGAGTGTATCAATGATCTAAATTTTTGAAGAGAATGTCAAAGAGGCAGCTCTCAGTTGGTAGCGAAAGGAGTTTGTACCATACTGACCTGCGGTAATAGACATAAGTCTTTTTCCTCCAACAATAATTGAACTACTTGTATAAATCCATAAGCAGCATTCATACTGCGGTACAATCCCTTTTCTACTTTGCTCTGCTGTTCGTTCAGCGGTCTTTTCTGTTCCTCTACCACTATCTTGGGGTCTGCAAATGCGGCAGTGAAATAGTCTGTCCATTTACTTTTGGATTGCCATATTTCTGTATCTGACTCGAAGCCTTCAAACATAGATTGTTGGTGCAGCTCCAACATTCCAGCAAAATAAAGAATATGCAATCTCAAGGCGAGTTTGTCTTCAATCGTATATACTTCTTCCGAGCGCTGCTGAGCATTGTCATCGATAGTATCAGTATTTTGATGTCTTTTATAAAGAAAAGATTCCAAATATTTTGACCGCCATCTGTTCAGATCGTGACATAGGCTTTTGATAGGTTTTTTGTGCCTATGCAAGAGAATTTGTAAGCCTTTCAGCTTGAACTTCATCGCTTTAATATAAAGTCTCTCCGCTTCGGCCTCTTTTCCCTCTTGCTTGCCATTGCTGATCTCTGGATGCATAGTTACTTTGACGCTGTTTAATGACGCGTTGACCAATTGGCTATTGATTATGGGCGCATTATTTGTGGTAGCAGCAGTAGAATTTAGTCTAGTATTAAATATTGTAAACGACCAATCTATTTCCGCCATCCATAAAAGTAATCTGTATGCATTCTGCTCCTGTTCCTGCTCTAATGGTATCTTATCTGAAGATGATGAGAGTGATGCTGACGGCTGCAAAATGAGTTCCATTTGTTGCTTTGCCAGGCTGAAAAGATGGTGTGCCTTTGATTCATATGATGTTCCTGTTGTAGTTGTGCTCTTCCCTTGTTGCCATTGCTGATGTTGCTGCGCTATTATTAAATATTGATACATAATGACCAGTGTCTCTACTGTCATTATATCGTTTACTGAATCAAATTCAACAAGCTCATGTGCTACATAATACGCATCTCGAACCAGCTCATTCATGAAAGAGTACACACCGTAACGATCCGAATGACAAATGAGAGTGTGTAAGCCAGCATAAGCGTAAATTGCACTCACATAAGCCGGGTCCAACTTGCCTTGACGGTGCTGATATAACAAATTTTGACTTCCCATACGCTTAAAACAAAGGCATTCGAGATAAACTTGCATTAGCTGTTCAAAGATAAAGGAAGGGTAAGTCGACAGCAGCCGTTCATAACCATCGCCTAGTGATACTGTCCAGTCTTTTGTCAAAATAGAAGTTGCTGAAGGGGAGGACGATGAATCAACTTCCGCAGATGTTATTGCATCATTACCACTGTTACTAAGGCAAAGTGAGTTGGTTCTTACAGTTAAACTGTCGGTTAGTATAGAGGAGGATCTCCTTGTCAACCCCAGTTTCAAGCTGTTGCACTTTTGCTTTTCTTCTTCTGTTTCAATGTCACTAGCCGCTGATACCTGTTCACGAAGTTTAATAAGACTACTATATAGTTCGCTGAGAGTGTGTATGTTTGTTTCTACTTCAAAGATGGATCGTTTTCTCTTTCGTATTGTCCAGCCTTCTGGAAGCGACGATGTAACAGTATTGCTTTCATCAAAAAGCATCCCATTATTATCAATATCATCATATATACCTGCTGAAAGTTGCATTGTCTGCTGTTTTCGCTGCTCAAACGGATGTAGTGGAGATTGTTGCTGTTCTACATCGTAATAATAGCCATGAAAAGTGAAAAAAGATATATCAGTAGAATTGTTGGCAATGAAAACAGCATCATCCAGAACTGTATTCTGGTAATTATTGCTTTGGCCAATGGTGTCATTATCTGTTGAGTGATAAGTGGTCCAATCTGTTGAAGAAAAAGTGATCGATGTTGCAGTGGGTGGAAGCGAAACAGGGGACAAAGATAGTAAGGCTGCCGCTGCATCATTGGACGTAGCTATTGTTGAATCGTATTTGTATCTTTTGGACATTATTAAATATGATATATAATTAGTGATTGCTTCTTTTATGATAGTTCTCGACTATTATGCGTTAGAAAAGAAAAACCTTAAGAAGGAAAACCAAGAGCGAACAGGAATTCGGACGATTTAATATTTTAACAGAATGCAGAAAATGCTGATCAGCAAATAATTTGTAACATGTATCAACAACAACAGGTCGATAAAACGCTCCCCTTTTGTTTCAACCTAAATCCATTTCTTAAAACAGAGTTTACGGTTATTATTTGCATGTATCTTGACTTTTCTAGCATTTCTGGATCGCGGAATTGACACAAATAATGTTTGAGTAGACAAAAACGATGCCTTAAACTGTTTATTGTTATTTTATCTGTACATCATAACCACATCGCTAGGAGACAGTATATTCTTCTTGACGTCTGTATAACAGGGTATAGGCGATATATGGGATTAACCTGGGTATAATGGAGGGATGTTTTGCTCACTCTTTTAAGTAATGTAAAAGGGCAACCCTTTGTTTTGATTCCACTTTTGCAGTTCTTGCAATCATTTTGCCTGGTTTCTTTTGCCGTTCCTTACGCACACATTGCCGTAATATAGCCTTTCGCTCAATTTCACTGTGTTTGTGCGTAATCAGTTTTTTGCCTGTCTCTTTGTGTCCGACGGCTAGTCGATCATGCTTTAAAACAGTAGCAATGGGATGTCGTCTACCTTGTCCTTGTGCTCCTAAACCTTCTTCGTATTTCCAGCCCTGAGATCGAAGCATTTTGAAGCCGACATTTTCTGCATCAATCGTTAGCATATCAGGAGCAGAAGGATACTGTTTACTGCTGCTGACCATATGGGCAGTTCCTTGTATATGTCGTTTGTAGTCGGAAGAAGGGAGTGTCGTATCGCAAAACTCACAAAACCACAAATCTGTCTTTGATGGTACCGCTGCCTTTTCTGATAAACTACTTTCATTATTACTTAATGTCCGCTCCTGTTGTTCAAATTCTCTATTTATTGTTGTACTAGGTGATGAATTGGAAGCATTGTTATATGCTGCTTTAGAGCTGCTACCTGCAGTTGACGGTTTTGAAATGATGCTGCGGTAAAATGAAGCTACTTCATCGCCAGACGACCTTGCAGATTCATTGTTTAAATCATTGACGCTGACGGGATGAGGCTTATTACTCCCAATAACAAAGTTAACAGGCCGATTATATTTAGACTGAAATATCCTTTTTGTTTCTAGTGTTTCGTTATCAATTATAAAATAGGACATAGTACTGGAGTACCGTAAAGAATAGAGTAAGGAAAAGAAGAATGCTGAAACCTGGATCTGCCGATAAAAGGTTCTTTATTGGCCCGGAGTCTTTGTCACTTCAGCTCTCTTTGAAGCCAATCGTGACCCAAAGAATACAAAATTTGTACTTTTGGAAAGTAATACCGTAGAGCTCCTCCTGACCGTCTTTAATTGCAGCAGAGTCGTTTGTTTGAGAACATACAGAAAAACAAGCTCATGTCAATGTGTATAATACTGTGCAAATCCAAAGCCAACTTCTCAACAAATGCGTCTTTAGAAAACAATGTCTTTTTATGCTTACTAGTGTTGTTTGTTGAATAGTAAATAAAAAATGCGTGATTCTAAATTGTAAATGCTATGTCAAAAGTGATAGAAATTACAAGTCATGCAGCATCATTATACCACAGCTATTTTACTATAAAGAGAATGTACCAATAAAGAACCATAAAAGGAACTAGTAATGTGTAGTTTTTTGAGGTATAAAAATATGGAAACAGCACATTCACAATCTTACATTCATCGCCATTACTATTCAAAAATGCATTGTATTAGCAAAACACACATCAGGAAACAGTTGAAGAAAGTTTACAGCTGTCTTCAGAACGAATATGATTCTTGCTGTTAATGGAAATCGACCAGTTACAAGAGCGCATCATGAATTGCCTGAAGGCACTGATAACTTTTTGGATGACTCCTATGCTCCTGAATGTAATAATGATGACATATTCGACAAAGAAGCCTATGTGAAGCTCTTGAATACTTTGATGCACAAGCAAAGGATAATATTAGAGTAATTGTATAGGTGCTAAATAATATCGATCTGTGAACTTACTTTTTTAACGTTTCTGGACGAAGACACCCCTATGGCTCTTTCCTGTTCTATCGATAGAAAAAGCCCCTTTATCGATCGCCATATACAAGTATCAAAGGCCCATTACAATGAAAGAGACCCATAGCTTGCAGATGTTTGAGTTGGGTTAAAAGACGTAGCTTCAGTGTCGAAAGATGATTGTGAAATAAACATTACTGTCAATGAGCATGTCTCCGAAATTCTATCAAGCCGGAACAGTATGTGTGTAAGGTGACAGTTAATTCCTATTCTATAAGCTAACTCGACACATAATTCTTGTTTGCAATAGTCACTGCTCAGTCTATTCGGTATGATCTCCTGTCCTCTCGAGCATGTTTAACGATGTAAAAGAAAAGACTTCCTACAAATTTTGTGCCTGAAATCTTATTTGTTCCAGGATACCATAAATGGTTAAGGCATTAATTTTTGAATCAGAGGTCAGAACGTGACAATCATAAAAGTTGATAGTTGACTCTAATGTCTTTCATCAAGCTGCGCCTTTGGCCTATTGACTGTGTTGGTTTATGTTTCCGAGATATTCCAACCTTTGTGTTATTGGAGTCTTTTGCCCATTTCTGTGCTGTTCTTCGGTGATTACTCCAGCTAATCTACTAGATATAGCAGCATAGATCAGTTTATCTCATTGTAATAGAAAAAAAGCAGTTTCTCTTCGCTGGAGTAGTCATTGTAACGCCTTTTCTACGTTTTGATGACTCTTCCAGCTTCCTCCTTTTCAGCATCTAAACCTTCACCCACTAAGTTTTGCTTTAAATCCTCTGTTCACAATATTATGTGGTTAGACGTTTCTAGGTACTAGGCGTGAACTTCTTCCCATTCCATTACATCGCGCTTGTTCTCGTCAACAATTCTTCCCTTCTCCATAAAAAGTTACATACTCAAACCGACTTCTGAAATTTTTTCGGACCCATCCTTTCAAAAAAAAAAAAAAAGAAAAAAAAAAGCCCTTTGGTCGTCTGTTTGGCAATGCTCATACTACTTATTTCGCTTTTAATATCATTCTATTTCTGTAACTATTATTATATCCGTATCCGACTCTGAATTATCCACCGAATCTCATTAGTAATATGTCCCATCCCATTTTATTTTTTGAAATAAAAGAGTCATTGGGAATATATTTTCCAAATTAAAACTAGTTCGTTCTTCAAACTAACAATGTAATACACCATCCATCAGGCCATAAATTTTAGTCCATTTTTATCGAAGAGATTATCGTTCCCATCTTCATTATAAAGAAATATCATGTCAAAATTTTAAAAAAAAGAGAAAGAAAAAAAGATAATTAAAAAAATCAATAGGTAAACGTTTATTTATACATAGGTTATTTATTGTGCCATAGCGACAGCAACAGAGTAAGCACCACTATGGCTGATGGACACAGAGATATTCTTAATGCCAGCAGCAGAAGCTGCAGACTTAGCATTACCGCTCAAGACAACTTCAGGAGCACCAACATCATTGCTTCTAACTTCAATATCAATCAAGGGTGCGGCAGCGCCTGCGGATTCAATTTTACCATATGAAGAAATAGCCTTGAAGACAGCTTCCTTGGCTGACCAGCGACCTGTGAAACTAGCCTGGGGATCGGGACGAGATTGACAGTATTCGATTTCAGCCTTAGTGAAATTGCGTTGAATGAAGGTTTCATTTTCGATATTGAAAGTATTGGTTAACTCTACGTCAACACCAAGACCTTTCTTACCGGCTTGTTGTTCAGCAAGGGAGGAGAGAATGCTCTTTGTAACTTCAGCATCACCAGCTGTGGGGGCAGCGAGGTTAGCAGATTTGCTAGTGAAGTGCCATGACTTCTTCTCCTTCGAGTATTCAGTACGAGCACTAGGGTTCAAGTAAACAGTATATTCAAGGTCATCGGTATAAGGTGCTTCATTCTTGACTTGGACAAAGTCAGCGACACCCGTAAGAGAATCATGGAGATAACGGTAGGTCTTAGCATAACGTTGAGCGTTCTTAGCCTTGTATTCATTATATTGTTTCTCTTCCATTGCACCAAAGACATAATCAGGATGAATAATCAATACTTCACCACCAGCTTGACCAAAACCGAAGGACTTCAGGAGACCAGCCTTGACACCATCAGTTTGAATTGAACGAGAAGGATAGACAATGAAATCGAACTCCTTCATCACTTCATCAATGTTATCAGCATTGCGGTTACCAGGGACAAGACCAGTAAGCATACATTGCATTAAACCGTTAGCCATCCAGGAAGCAGCAGGGCCCTTAGGATGACCAGTTAAGTATTTCTGAGTGATAGCCAAAAGAGCATTACCCTTAGTACGGCCAAGGTGCTTCAATTGAGTATTAACGACACGAGATTCGTTCTTGTCATTAGCCTTAGTAGAAGTACCATGGAAAGAGGCAACACCGATGTCATCAATAGTCAAACCATAAGTAGCAAGAGCACCACGGATAGGAGCGATGGTAGGATCATTCTTGTAGAAGTGGTGACTATAAGTGCTAAGGACTTCCTTTTCTTGACGCTTGGCTTCGTTGTGAATAAAGTTACTGCGCTCTTCAATCCAAGCCTTTTCTTCCTCAGCAGTGAGTTGACCACTGGACTTGAGTTCTTCCAATTCTTCACGTAAGAATGAGAATTCGTTTTCAACCCAAGTCTTAATTTGAGCACGGCGAGCCTTAATTTGTCTAGCACGGTACTTGAAGTCCAACAAAGGAGAGACTCTCTTGCTATTTTCACGAGCAGTAGTTAAAATACCGGCACCAGGAGCAGGGACGGAACGACCTTCCTTATCAGTAGCAGTACTACTGAGAGCGACAATACCATAGATAGGACAACCGATTTCAATAGCAGTGGCAGCGGACATAAGAATGTGATTACCAGCACCATGAGCTTCCATGAAACCATTTCTGGTGGAAGTAGCGGGACGAGACATTTCAGCAGGTGTACGACCATGTTCCATCTCGTCAACAGCGTTAGAAGTAGCCTTCATATTGGCGAATTCATAACTAGATTCTTCGGTAATGTCTTCAGTGGCACCAGCTATCATGATCTTAGCCTTACCAGTTAAAAGAGATTCACAAGCCAATTCAATTGAAACGGCTGAAGTAGCACAAGCGTTGACGGGAGTCTTGATAGGACCAGATGAAGAAAGGAGCAACATATTGATCCAAGCGGGCATAGTGTTGATGAAAGATTCTTGCAAGATATCCTTTTGAACAGGCTTATCAAGAAGACGATCACGGAAGAGACCTCTTTGAGACATTTGACCACCAACGCCAGAACCAGTAGCATTACCGATTTCGGAAACATGGACGTACTTGAAGAATTCATAAGGATCAGTAATACCAGCAGAAACAAAGGCTTCGACAGTAGAAACAATGTTGAAGAGAGAGACAGGGTCAACTTGGTCGACAATGTCCTTGGGAACACCATAACGAGTAGCATCCCAGCCAGTGGGAATTTGACCAGCAACAAGACGATCGAAACGCAAGGCCTTAGGAACATATAAAGTGGCACCCTTACGTAAGATGACACACCAGTCGCCATTGGCATTTTCATAAACATCAGCCTTATCGCCTTGTTGATGCTTGAAGTGCTCAGCTTCTTCCTTAGAACATTCGAAGGGTTCGAGATCGTGATCAACAACAATTTCTTGCATGAGCATCTTCTTCTCAGGGTCGTAACCGTGCATGACAGTAGGGTCTAAATTTTACAATCAAATGAAGGTTAATACAGATGGTTCTCTATTAAAAAAACCAAAAAAAACCCAACCAACCAAATACATACCAATCAAACGGATACCAGAGTTTTCCAGAATTTGTTTTTCATACTTGGCCTTGATATCCTTGTCTTCAACAGGCTGTTCAGTCTTAGCATCTAACCAACCAGAATAGAATTTACCATTCTTCAAGTTGCCATCATGGTGTTTGATGTAACCCATGATCCAAGCCATTTCAATACAACCTTCCAAAGAGAATTCACCATAAGCCTCCATCTCCCAACGGGTTCTAGCATTACCCCAAGGAGAAACTTCACCGAAACCGGCAACAACAATGACTTGTTCGAGATCAATCATACCCTTAAGGTAGCTAAGATCCTTGTAAGCTTCATAACTCTTGAGTGTAGGGAAGTCGAACTTCATGTTAGCACGAGGAGTAATATTGTGAGGCTTCTGTTTACGTTCAGCTTCTTCGCCAAAGACAGTCTTGTAATCAAGAGCATTTTCAGCATCGATAGCCCTACGGATATCGGCAGTATCACGGATTTCCTTACGCAAGTTAGCATTGAATTCCTTCAAATTAACAATGTATTGAAGACCACCGTTAAGATCAGCCCAAACAGGTTCGTTTTGACAGAGTTCAACAATATCAGGGTGCATGAGACCAAGAATGTTGAAGGAGGTTTCAAGAGGAGAGAAGGTTCTGACACCAAGTGACTCAATACCTTCGGCAACCATGTTGTTGGCACTCATCAAACCAGTACCACGAGTCCAACCAATAACGGCACCAGCAATGATCAAATAATCAGACCAGCTTTCAGAGTACCAACGGTTGAAGAGGGTTTCCAAAGAAATCTTGGATTCACCATAAAGACCATCAGCACCAAAAGTTCCGTGATTAGGTGACAAAGGAAGGATGACTTGAGCAGGGCGAGTATCTGAGCCGATCTTTTGCTTATGCAATTTGACGTTACCCAACAAGCGAATAACGTTGGTCAACATGATACGATGAGCGAGTTCAGATCTAGAATCAATGGCATCAATTTCACGACCGTTTTCAGGAATGGCGGCGAAAGGAATAACATAGTCGAGATCCATGTTAAGACCCTTAGGATCATAAATGTATTCAACTAAAGCATCGATATCTTGCTTGGAAGCTTGGTTGTAGGGAACAAGGATAAGTTCAGAGCCCTTAGAACCATAAGTCTCGTACATAGATTGATAGAACTTTGTAACTTCGCGGTTGAAATTGACAGTAGTAACAACACATCTGGCACCACCGGAAATAAGACCCTTCAAAATTTCAGAAGCAATGGAGCCTCTACCGGCACCAACAACGAGAGCACACTTGCCAGCGAAAGAGATACCCTTTTCAGCGACTTCAGTCAAGGCGTTAAGGAAAACAGAGGTCAACTTGTTGCTGTATTCCCAGCCAGTAGGGTCATTGGGGTTCTTCTTCTTAAGATGCAAGAAAGGAATAGTTTCAGTCTTGGCAGACTTTTCAGAAAGACGCTTGCGTTCAGGAAGACGGCCGACAGTAGAAGTGCGACGTTGACGAGGCTTTTCTCTGACGATAGTGTTCGACATGGACATAGCACGCAATACATCAGTATAGAGTTCCTTAATGGCAACCTTGGTGCTCTTCTTCATCTTATTTTGAGTACGGAGGATCTTGTAGATACGGCCAAGATCTTGTTGAACCTTAAGACGGTTGGAGTATTCAGTGACCTTAGAGCCAGCGGCCATATCACGAACATAATCAGCCAATTTACGGCAATCAGGACGAGGAACTTCAGCATACTTAATGTCACCCTTTTCAGTGACAGTAGTGCTGGGGCCGGTAGGGAAGCTAACATTCTTGTAAACAGGATTTTCAGCAAGAACTTCGACACAGTTTTCAATCAAAGCTTGGCCCAATTCCTTAGCCAACTTGTAGCTTTCACCCTTATCACTGGCACAGCTTTCGACCTTATAGCGCATGTAGTCGATCAATTGAGGATAAGCACGGTTCATGATACGCAAACACTTGGCAGTGACTTCACGATCAACAACAGCCAACTTGCCAAAGATAATATCGTACCACATTTCCAAGGCATCTTGACGAGACCAGTTCCAATAGGAATCATAGTGACGAGCCTTAAGAGGAGAGAAGATGGGCTTGATGCCTTCAGCATAGAAATCGCCATGTTCAGCAAGCCACAAATCGAGTTCAGCTTGCAATTTAGCAGTAGCGATCTTTTCTTGTTCGTACTTTCTAGCGCCTTCACGCAAGTCCTTTTGGAGATACTTGGCGTAGAGGTTCAGTTGTTGGTAAATCAAAGCATCTTGCTTGGCCTTCATAGCATCAAATTCGGCACTGTTAATGACAGCAACGTTAGCACCACCAGCGGCACCACCAGCAGCTCCAGAACCAGGAGCAGATAAAGTAATACCGGCCTTCTTGGCATAAGTTTGAGCAACCTTATCTAACCAAGCCTTAGCATCAGCTTCGGCACCGAGACGAGCAGCAGGTTCCATGGTAATGGCAACCAAGAAAGCACCATCCGTACGACCAGGACCAAGGCCGTAAGAATCCTTAAGGTAGTTCTTAGCATTATTCAAAGTGAAACCACCAGGCATCTTTGAACCGATCATCTTGGCAATCAAAGTGCTAGAGTGCTTACCAAGAGCACCAGAGAAGCCGTTATTCAAAGCAGCACCAAGTTCATCCAAGGGAGTTTCTTCGGCCTTTTCAGGAACGTTGTTTGTGAATTCCTTTTGTAAATCACCCAGAATTTCGTTTTGAAGAGTAGACTTGCCACCCACTAGATCCTTGATAGCCTTAGACAAAGGAACTTCATCAAGACTCTTCTTCAACTTTTGAGCAATAACAGAGTGAAGAATTTCGGTAGCAGTGACAGGAGCATCCGTGACAGCTGCAGCGGGGCCAGCGGCGGCAGGAGCAGGAGCAGCCACTACAGGAGCAGCAGCGGCTACAGCAGCGGGAGCAGCGGCGGCGGGAGCGGCAGAGGTAGCTTCAGCAGAAGCTTCAGGCTCTTCCTCAACGGCATTTTCGAATTCATAGTAGATTTCCTTTGAATCCTTGGCAATAGACAAGTTTTGACGACGGTTACTCAAAGCATTATCATAGGCTTGGTACTTGAGGTTCAAAGTACGAGTAGCCATACCACTGAGAGTAGGAGAAGGACCGACTTCAACAAGACGTTCAATATTGTAGTTCTTGAACAATTGATCTTGTGTTTCAATCCAACGAACAGGAGAGGCAAATTGATAAGCCAAAAGTTCGATTAAGAGGATATAACCGAGACGTTGCTTTTGAGCAGCGGTAACATACTTGTCATCAGACCAGTTCTTGAGCACCTTAGCTAAACGAGGACTAGAGGTTTGTTTGTAAACATTTTCGATATAATCCTTGTCAGCCCTGAAAGGTTGAGCAGTCAAGTTAGGAATGTACTTGGCAGTTAATTGGGCAACATCAATATCAGATGGATTGAACTTCTTGGCCAAGAAGGTACGGAAAGGAGTAACACCACTGAGCAAGAAGGAAGAGTGGAAAGGTACATCAATACCACCGAGAGGAACGGTAGCATAACCACGTTCAAGGACAACATGGCCCTTTGCTTGCTTAGCCTTGGTCTTTTCAAACGCACCATCAATGATCTCAGTCAAGTGTTGCTTGACATCCTCAATAGACATAGTTTCCATCAACTTTTGAAGATCGATGTTGGAAGTCTTGATGTAGTTCAAGACGTTAGCAAGGGCATCAAGATTTTGCAGAGCACCGGCAGCAACATATTGCCAGTTTTCGACGTTGAAATTGACAATTTCCAAGACATCGCCACCACGACGAGCAATAGAGTCAACGACATAACGAAGAGCTGTATCGTTGAAAGTCTTGGAAACACGAGCAGGGTTCACAGCGACCATACCATAGTTGGAGCGACCTTCTTCATCACGCTTCACAGCGGATTGCATGGTCATACCACGGTAGAAAACGACATCAACGAGAGAGTTCAAAGGTAAGACATCAGCGACAGAGGCCAAGGCGGCATATTCTCCGAGAGAGTGACCAGCGAAAGCACAGTTCGTTTGGATCAACTCCTTGGAACGCATATCTTCGAAGGCAGCCTTTTCCATCAAAGTCAAGGCAGGTTGAGTGAATTGAGTGGCGAAGAGAAGACCGGTAGGAGAGCGGAAAGTGTAAGAAGTGCTGCGCTCGTGAATGCTAGGGAACAAAGGCAAGGTCTTGGTGGTGCCATCGGCGTCAACAACATCGTAAGACATGCTCATGTAGTTTTGGCGGATCTTTTTACCACGAGGACCACCAAAGTGAATGGTCTTTTCCTTGGGGTTGTTGCGAACAATATCAAGAATGGAGAAACCGTAGTTTTCCATGAAATGCTTATCGGCTTGATCCCAAATAGCCTTAGCGACAGGAGAGCTGTCATACAAAGCCATACCCATACCTTGTTCTTGAGAACCTTGGCCGGTAAAGACATAGGCGGTGATGGGTTGTTCCACTTCAGCGGTACCTTCAATCACCTTTTCGTTGTTTTGATTCACGGTTTCAACCTTGATGATCTTACGGCCATTCTTCATACCAACATGAGAAAGCTTGGTTTCAAGTCGATCGGATGGCAAGACCATGCCAACGAATTGAACGTCGTAGGCAACAACACGACGAGGAACATTATCGGCAGCGAAGATTTCAACAAACTTACGAGTAGAAGCACTGGTCCACATACCGTGAGTAATAGTACCGGGCAAACGAGCAAGGTCTGCAAAGTAAGGATTGACGTGGATGGGGTTGAAATCTCCAGAGACGTTGGCATAAGGTTCATTCGAGACAGGAGCGTGAACAACGGATGAGTAGGTAGATTGGCTGGGCATAACGGAGTAACCACCATTTTCAAAGAAGTGGGCTTGTTCAATTTCTTGAGCATTACGCTTCAAGTATTCAATGACGGGATTACCGTGGCTTTCGCCTGATTCGTATTCAACCTTGGCAATTTCAACAATTTCCTTGGTAGACACTTGCATAGAGACTGTACCGGTGGTCTTGACCGAAGCGAAAATCTTCTTGTTCTTATATTTGAGTTCAGTGTTCAAACGGAAGACCAAAGATGAACCAGGAGTGATTTCATGGGTTTCCAAGGCTTCTGTCCAATGCATCCATTCCTTGGATTTGAGGACAGCAATATCCTTTGTATCCTTGATCTTGAATTCCATGGGTGTTTCCACCTTGCGCTCAAAGGTATGTTCATAGTCATTGAAATCACCACGGTAAAGGAATTGACTGGTGACTTCGAGAATAGGCTTTTCATCACGGACAATGACACCCTTTACTTCGATCACCTTACCCATATCGTTGTTAATGATAGCATTGATGTTGGCATAAGTATCGACCACATCACCGACCTTCAAAAGATCAGCACCATCCAAGAGACGGAAACCGTTGCCCAAATGAACCAGTCTAAGGAGGTCACCATCAATGATCTTGGGGAAGATAGCCTTCATGATGGCTTTCCAACCGACAACGATAGCAAAATCCATGGGGGCATTCACCACCTTTTGACCGCGGTCAACAAAGACTTCGGCTTGGTTGCCAACGGTTTGACAGAATTCCTTGATTTCTTCGGATTTGACAGTTTCACCTTTACCGATCAGTTTTTCATGAACAGGAATATTCAAAAAGTCATCGGTACAGTCAATGCCGAACCAGAGCTTGTAATAGAACTCCTTGATACGATCGTTACGGCCTTCCATGACTTCGTGAATAGGAGCATAACCCACTTCAGGCTTGTACACGAATTGTAAACGCAAAGGAATGAAATGCTCGGCTCTCTTTTCGTAAAGAATGAGATCGATGTTTTGACCACTGATAGAGGCCTCCACGGAGGTAACATAGTCTTCTGTCTTTGTAGTAGCACTCCAAGGACGCTTATCTTGGACCTTGACAGCGGTGATCTTGCCATCAGCGCCAGTAGAAACAATCACTCTTTGACCGGCACGGGGACGGAAAATACGCTTGGCAGCATTGTCACCGAAACGTTTGCCTTGAACAACGAAAGGTGAGGTCAAGAGAGCACGGAGCCAGTTGAAAGAAGGGCCTGAAATAGCTTGGAACCAATCTTCTTCGAAAGGAAGGTTGGCATCACCCAATTCGTACACACGCTCATTCGCGTTGGAGGATGTTTCTGTAATGGCGGATGGAGCGATGGAAGCACCACCAAAGTACTCGATCTTGGGGATAGGAGTGTCCTTATAATAGCGTTCCTTCAAGCTTTCAATGTGGCTGTTGTAAATATCACCAAGAATTTCGCCGACCGGTTGATCAGCACGAATAGCATACTTGGCGGCCACAGGACCGTGAAGAATACAAGTACGTTGGACATCTTGGTCAACGACGGCAGCAAGGTCTTCCGATTGCCAGAGAGAATCCTTCTTGAACCAGACATCAAAGTCCTTGTCCATGACAGGGATGAAAGGAACAGGCTTCATGGAGGGGTTCTTACAGAGAGCAATGAAATGAAGAACGTCTTCAGAGGTCAAGAGTTGGTTCGCAGCTTCAGGGAACTGAGCCAAGAATTCGTCCACCAAAGGATAAGGCTTGTCCAATTGAGTGTAGCTTTGAAGCATGGAAGGAGCTGAGGCGGTAGAGAAACGTTCTTCGACACGACGCATAAAGTCACCGACTAAATTGCGAAGAGTGACATCGATCCAGCGGCACTCAAGCTCAACGTAAAGCAATTTGATGAGACGGTGAAGCACTTCAGAGTAAGTCATATCTTGAAGATCGACGGCTTCACCCGTCTTCTTTTGACCGAACCAAACCTTTTGGAAGTCAGCATTGAGACGCTTGATGATATAATCCTTCTTGGCCAACAAAGCAGGCAAACGCTTTTCCTTGGGCAAGTTGAAAATGCTTTCATCAAGTTCCTTCCAGAGACGAACACCACGTGTGGCGACCTTGTGAATCGGTTCACCCAGTTCAGAACGAACGGTGATGATACCACCGGCAGGACCCTTATAAGTTTTTTCCCAGTCAGCGTCATCGACACCGGGGGCGTCGACCATGGCTTGCTTAGCAGCAGCGGAAGCCAAACCTTCCTTGGCCACCATCATACGAGAACCAAAGAGGACACCATCGAAAGGCATAGGGGGATAGTCGAATTTAACAGACCAATCACCGGTAATATAAGGCAAGGTGTCATCGGCACCACCGAAACCTGAGCCAGCAACAAGAACAATGTTGGATTGACGACGAATGGCAGCATAGGTTTCAAGAATAGGTTGATGGACATCTTCGAAACCGTGATGGCCACCGGCACGACCACCGGTCCATTGCAAAATGATGGGCATGGTAGGGTTAGCAGCAGCAATAGCTACCACTTGACGGATGCTTTCAACGCTGCCAGGCTTGAAGGCGATGTGGCGAATACCAGCTGCTTGCAGATTAGCAATAATTTCGTTTGCGTTGTCCAAACTAGGGACACCAGCAGCAATACAGAGGCCCTCCATAGGCAAACCTTCCTTACGCATGACTTGAATAAGAGGATATTGGAAACCCCATTGACGAACGTTCAAGAAAATAATGTTGAGAGAAATGCCAACACCAGGATGGGTGAGGGCCATGATCTTGTCTACCTTTTCACGAAGGACCCTTTCATTGAAATGACCACCACCAGCAAGTTCAATATGGTAACCAGCATTCATGACAGCAGAAACGAATTTTTCGTTGACAGTGGAAGGAGTCATACCAGCTACCATGAGAGGAGGCTTACCCAATAAACGGGACATTTTGGTATCAACATGAATACGGCCGTTACTAAAGATAGTAACATTCTAGATCAGTAAAAGAAAAAAAAAAAACCCAAAAACACACCCACCCACACACATATATATATATATATATAAATATATAAATAAATAGATAATGCTCGTTTCATACCTTGTGGTTTGGACCAACTTGGGTCTGAAAACTTCGGCCCAATTTTGAGAATAAGTAACAGCACGAATATCGGAATCGAAAAGATCAGCCTTGTAAGAGACATCACGGTTAGCACCTTCAAGGGCACCGGCTAAAACAACTTGAACGCCGGTTCCCTCTTTATTACGGTGAGTCAAACCACCAATACCAGAGGTACCACCAGGTCCAAAATCAACAATGTGAGTCAATTCCTTTGAAGCAATCGCGCTTTCCCAATGAACATGACGTTCACAAATAAGTTCCAATAATGCTCTGGTGAGATCTGTTGACTGGCGAAGATCATTGCCTAAATGGGTGCAATAAAGAAAAATGCGGTCACGGGTAAGTGAACAAGGTCAAAAATAAAACTCAAATTGAATTACCCCAACACCCCACTGCAAAATTGTGATCCCCCATATACTACACAACTGTAGAACACTTACCAGAATCAGTAGCATAAACAGGAACCTTAAGATCCTTAGCATCGAAACGGAGACCGCTCTTTTCAGCGTTTTCCAAAATGATGGGAACAGCGGACTTCAAGTAAACACTGTGGAAAGGAGCGGTAATAGGCAAGAAACGGGAAGAGAACTTGATCTTTCTTTGAGAGAATGGAACACGAGATTGATCAAGACCAGTAGGGGCCTTGAGCTTACGCAAACTGAGATTCAAACCATACAAAGATTGAGGGGGACCAGTGCAGACAAAGGAACGCGGTCCATTATGCAAAGTAATTTCAATTTGACGCTCGGGAGCAAGATGAGCGTTGGTTGCCTTAAGATGCTTGATGACTTGGCTTTCTCTAAGACCAGTAATGGCCAACATAGGAGTAGGATTGCCTTCATTGTTGCTGATAGAATCTTCGAGAATAGCAGGATTCAAGGTTGTGGTAGGGAACACTTGCTGAGCACGAGTACCAATCCAGAAAAGAAGACCCAAAGCCTTTTCAGTGTTGGTAATGAATTCTTCTTCTGTTGATGAAGCAGAGATGACGACAGAACTGATGATACCTTGACTATGACCGGTAGTACCTATAAGCAATCAGGGTTCAAGAAAAAAATAAATCATGAGTTATTTACACAATCTTTTAGCTTTATCCATTTCACCACCTCATATCATTCACAAGCGATTCGATGTTTGAATGCCATGTGTCGATTTCCAATTTTTCCCTCCCCCCCCACCTCCCCATTTTCAAATGATACATACCCTCAAATAAGTCGCGCACTTCAGAGAATTCACGGTTGAGGACGCGTACCATAACGTAGTATTGAAGGATTTGAGCAAGACCGATCAAAGGAAGACTGACAGGAGCAGAAATAAGGTATTGTACATCAGGTCTCGACTCAACATCGTTTAACCAACGCAAAACATCCAAACCCTTGGAGTGAACGACCTTGGCATCAGGGCTGCGAGCATAATCAGCCAAGACAGTGGCCATACGGTTGACGAAAGGCTTCACGAGTCCGTGGTATGTTTCCCAAATATCAGCAAGTTCATCAAAATATTCTTCAATGTTACCTTGACCACCAAAGATGGCAAAGAGTTTGGCATCACCACGAGCGGCGGCCTCGAAAAGAGCAGATTTGGCTGGAGCAGCCTCTTCAGCAGAAATGACATTTTGTTCCTTGAGGAGGACAAGGGCATGATAGTAGCCTTGGATAACCACCTTCTTGGAGTCAGGAGAAAGTTCACGAGTCACGGCATGGACATCGTTGTCTTTTAAATATTGAGCACGGAAATCAATAAATAGGGTCTTAGCAACAGGCAAAAATTGAGATTGAGTGGCTGCACGATCAATGGCGAAATGCAGAAATTTGGCAGCAAGTTCAATTTCGCTAATTTCTTCTTCGATATTGTCGCTAGATTGAGCTGGGAATTCTTCTCTAAGTTGTTCGGCAGGAACCCAAATGTTGGTGGGTACAAGCACAGAAACTTCAGTGTTGTTTTGTCTAACTGATAAAGGACGAAGGACTTGTTGTTTCTCCATGATGGGTGAGTATATTATGTAAGATGATAAATAGTGGATGTAAAAATGTGCGTAAAATGTATAATATTAAGAAAAAACAAATACTACAAGCGCGCCAAAAAGAAAAAGAATATTAGACCAAGGACATAGAGAAAGAACGAAAAGCTCAATGATTGCGACAAGTTACCTTTCTTAATAGAGAATAATATAAACAAAAAAAGTCTAAATGGCAGAAAAAACACAAAAAATTTGACAGCTTCTGTTTGTCTGCTTTTTTCTTTTTTTAACGTATAACGTTTGATCTATTGTACGAAAAAAAAAAAAGGCTGTATAATACAAAGAAAAAAATAAAAATAAAAAAAATTGGCCGTGGTCTTCTTCTTTTACGGTAAAATAGGATTTCTTAGATTTTTGCTTCCCCAAACAAAAATAAAAGAAGGTAAGTATGAATACGAGTAATTCAAAGAAGAAGTAATGGTTTAAAGAAAAGAAGAAAGAAGGAAATCAAATACGATTTTTTGCACAGAAAACTTTTTTTTTTTTTTTGTGTGTCTTTTTTGGCTTACAACCCCCCATCAAATTTCGCATACCTTTTTTAGACGCTTGGTAGGGGCAAAATTTTTTTTTATTCGGAGTGAGCTCGGACTTGCTTCGTATTTACGGACTTGTAAATTGGCTCAAATGAACCTCGTCGCCCCAAAAATGACTTGCTCTTTGTCGAACCGTCAGCAGCAAACCGGTTTTTGACTTCTTCACCGTGTAACGAACTGATTTGAGTTTTCCATTCTTCAATAATAAAGTAAGTGCTTGATCCCCTTTAGCTTATTCACCCCCAAAATTGCTTTGTTTGTGTGCATTGACCTTGTTGGTTAACTATCAAAGCCTATCCTACATGATTGCAGCCTCGTCCATTGTGGAAATACATTGATTGTTGAATTCCCAAGCTATTTTTTTTTTTTTTTTTTACTCAAACACGTCAATTTGCAAAAATATACACTAGAAACTTTAAAATAACTGTAATTTTATTCATCAGCTGAGATTTTTACCTATGAAACATGAAACATGAACAATCGCCGTCATTACTATTAATCGCTCGTCTCCATTTTTTTTTTTTTTTCGTATGCTTAACCAGGCAAAAAAAAAAAAAAGCTGTCATTCGGTTCGAGCGGGGATCATCTGTTATTGCTCAGCCTTGGGATTCACCGTACCTTAGAGTGTGCCCTTTTTTTCTAATTAGCCCAATCAAATTTGTCCACTTTTAGGCCAAGTGGGGTTCTGGTGCGGTCAGTACAAAGTGATCCTTGTCGGGCCGTTTTTAACGTGGGGGTGGGGAAAGGGTAACGCGAAATATCAATTCAGCTCAATGACATAGCGACCTATATGATGTGTGGGTCATCGAAAGCAGAAGGTTCAGGTTTTTCATTGTCGAAATAAAACAAGTTTATCCTGTGTAGGCGTATTTTGAGAGCTTCATGGCTTCTTCTTTGTGGGATGTTGTGGTTATAGAGGCTTTGAGATTGAGGAACTCATGAGACGTCTTCCTTTGCAACACATTGGTGGATGTCACAGAGGAAACGTGTTCAAAAAATACAAGTACTGTCAAGTTATGTCGACGAGTTGACTTTAGATGGATTGACAAAATACCACCCCATCACCTACTTACAAATGCGTAGTGATAATACTATTCATCCTCCCCCTCCCCACACACACCATACACACACACTAAAGTTTTCGTTAGATTCTGGTTTCAGCTATGGCTCGGTCACGACGCATTTCATTGCTTGCCGCGGAAAAGGAAAATGAACTACTTTTAGCTCTTGTTAGTCGACGTTTAAAATACATCGGTGCATTGACAATAGCTAAGTACTGGACAACATAGCGCTGCTGACTTTCCATGAAAAGGTACTTAAAAGGTATTAAACAAATTGGATGGTAACAAGATGAAGGAAAAATTTATTAGGCTAACAGCCATTTCGAAATTCGTATAGAGTCGTTGTCAATTTTGGTGATTTTGTAAGTGTGTGTGTGCGTTTAACGCGAACGCAAGGCGTTGTCCAGAAAAAAATTATAAAGGACATACGTAGCCAAACAGAAGATGGTATTGTAAAAATATTTGGCCTCTTCTTGAATCATGAGCTAGTAAGCATGCATTATTGAATACAAGGCCGTTGTAATAAAGTATGAAATACACAAACAACTATTATGCAAGTCCTATGAGCATTCTTTTATCGTAATGGCATGCTTTTATGGCAAAATGTAATCTATCGGTTCTCTGTAAGCAGTAGAGGAAAGTTTCATAAATTCTTCTCGCATATTGTGATACCTTTCTATTACGGTAGATCTATTCGCCACTTTAAATTTATTATCCACTTTCTAAGCAATACCAATAACGTACATTGACTTTTCAACAGATTTTCTTCATCCCTCTTTTTTTCTTTTTTTTTTTTGGTCAAAGCTCACAGCTACTATGCCTCACAACAAGTGCTTCCATTTTTTGACCTCTACTTACCGAAGCAAAAAGCGCATTTGAAGCGCGTATATTTATTTGTTAAATTTCTCCGATTAATTGAAAGCCTACGTCTTTCACGTTTTAGAATAAACGAGCACAAAAGTCAGAAAGTCAGCAGAAAGCTCGTTTGGTTTTGCTAAGATAGTCTACCCCATCCGGAACCTAGCAGGATTTACACCAGGTAAAAATTGTAGACATGATACTTGATCAGGTTTATCACACTGATTTTCTGTGATAGGCTATGTCATCAAAGCATAGATCGCTTTATTTCGCGCTTATATATGTTGATTACTTTCCAATTCATTGAATGACTCTCTACAAGCTCTATGAGAGGATCTACAATAAGTAAATTGAAACTGTATGAAAAGCAACCTGCAAGATATTAATACGCTGCGTTTGGCTTTTTGCCCACCCGCCCCCACCTCCGTAAACTGGTTTGTTCCCTTTGGGGGTGATCCAGTGAAGCCCAATCAGCGGGATTCTGCAAAAGTAAAAGGGCATAAACTTAAAGGGTTGTTGCACCCCCATCCCCACTTTGGCTTTGACATATTTGGATATAACGCGCACAGAGTCGCATGTTTCCTTTTTTGGCTCGTTTATCAGGTTCACTTTGTTTATCATTGTCTGATTAGCCGTGATGACCGTGCAATTTATCTACTTTCAATCAACTGATTGAGTTTTAAACTTATCATCAGCTAAATAGCGACTTAACCTCTCCTGCTTTCGCTTTGATTTTGCTGAGCCCTTGCATGAAATCAAAAAGTTGCTTTGGGGCCCTCCGTCATCCGTAAATGATATTTCGCTTATGTAAGCTTCAGGAGAGGCAATGATCAAAGGTTGGTTCGCGAAATTGTATTCTCGACAATTTCATTCGCCCCTATTTGATTGAAATGATGGCAAACATATTGTTGATCATATAACCTGTATGAGTACGCCTGCCTATGCTTAACATAGGGCAGATGGCAAGAATGAAAGATACTTTAATTACCATGCAACCTACATTTGTGGAAAGCCTGAACAGCATTGCACGACCTGTACATATGAATAAAACCACACGTGTGATCCAATTTATGGTTCTGTAAAGGGAAACACTCTTACATGAAAATCACCCGTATCCCTTTCATCTGGTTTCGTCAGTTTTGCCAAGTAAAAAAAAATAGTCGTCTAGCGACTCTGCAGTTACGTAAAGTTCAACGGAAAATCAGCTAGGTTTTTACAGCATCCCTTTATTGCTTTTTACTATTAAAACATCGCACTTTTCAAGTACCTTAAGCAAAGAGAATATTTGAAATTACATAAGGCTTCAATTATAAACAATAATTGGTAAAGAACTTTGAACGCAACGAACAAAAGGCCCTGTTGGACTTTCTTGATTTCGTTTTGATCCCATTTCAGCAAAGCTGGATGCTTGGTGCTCTTTCATAACTTTCAAAACGGTGGAACAGATGGACCTATACTACGTATATATGCGCATCTAATTTGCTGCTTTGGGCAGAATGTTAGTTTGAATGAAGAGAAGCGTAGAATGGGAAACCTCTCGTATGGCTTGCATAGGGTAGTACGACATTAGATATTGCTTTCTCAGTGAATCTAGTGAGGAAACCAGTGATGTCTGCCATATGCTCATTGTAAAAAAAAAAAAACTTCCACGCATAGCTCCTATGTTCATTGCAGTGTTTTCTTTAAGCGCATTTAGAAGTTATTGTACGAGAACTAACTCTCATCTTGATTTCAGAAATTGTAAATGCAATTACTCGTTTTCTTTTGAGAGACTGCCAATGGTTGTTGCGGATCTGAGACGAATTATAGCGGAGATTTTTTGTTGGTTTTTTTTTACTCTCTGAACCCTCTAGTATGTTTGTGCAAGCTTTTATTTTATTTTTTTTTCTTTTTTCCTTTATCATTTGATGGAAAGCATTGTATTCTCTTACATCTATAATTACTCGACAACTATTTAGATAAATAGTCTTACAATCATCGTCTCACTGTTCACCATTTTGGATCAAATATTTCCCATGAAGATACATAATACTGCTTTTCTACTGTCGGCTATCATTCCAGTATTGTGTGCTGTCAATGTTCCAAACCCCGTTTTTTGGGAACGTAGTTTCGTTATGAACATTAGTAATGAGAACAGTATTGGTACTCTAATTCAATCGACTTCAAACATGGCAACTTCCCAAGACTTTCAAGGTATACACCTCGATCCGAATCCTAGAAATGCTCCTGATGTAAGAATGCTTGGACAAAAAATTTGGTTTTAGACAAGTTTTTTTTTTGTGTCTGTTTTTAACTCAATTTCATTTCATCTTTGTTTCATAGAGGATTGTCTTTAACTTTGATGAAGGTTGTCCCTCTTCAAATATAACGATGGATACAATTCAACAGTTGAACTTTGATAGTATACAGGCAGCACCTATTAGAGACGCTCAGAAAATAGCTCTTGTCAAACGAGGAAATTGCAAATGGAGTGAAAAAATTGATACAGTCAATCATTTAGCCTTAGCCAATAATATAAACATCACAGCCATCTTTATTTACGACAACGAGCCACACGGTTCCAATGTTACAATTCAACGAAAAGCAGTGGTTGGTTCAGGGAGTATAGGTCCTCCTAGTTACCCAGATCCACTTCCTGCGAGCCGCTCCATATTGAATATGTCTGATAATGATTTGGACTTGACAAGTCCTTCTACAACAACAGTCTATTTTCTTCCATTTATTTATGGCAACACCTTTGTCGACAGAATCAACAGTTCATACAATGCCTCTAATCCAGCATTAAGAGTGTTCTGGTTAGTCACGCCTTATTTAGAAGAAGTGAGTTGGGGCTATGTATACAGTGATGGCTTTTTTGCAACGGGTCGAGGCTATTTATCATATATCATTGCCTTAGCAGCCATCTTTATCCTCGGTAAAATTGATTTCCCCGTCTACCGTCAATGTATCATCTTATTCCATTGTAGTGACTAAACCTTATTTCTTGTATTCTTTCACATTGGTGGTTTTAGGCGTGATTTTCCTTCGATGGTGGCGGGTTCGTCGTCTCAGAGGTGATTATGCAAATGGCAGCGGGAATGGTTTCCAACTGCAACCTAGACCAAACCAAGTAGATCCTTTACCTGTCGACATTGTCAACTCTTTGCCTATTGACAAGTATTCGGAAGGTCTCATAAAAAATGTGAATTGTGCCATATGTTTAGAGGACTTTGTACCCAACAAGAACGATATCAGAATCTTACCATGTGGCCATGGCTTTTGTGTCTTGTGTATAGGTACGACAAAGAGAAAAAAAAACAACAAAATAGTTCGAATGCGGAGAAAGTTCGAAAAATGCATCAGTTTCGTGTACTTATCTGATTTTTTCTTCTTTTCCCCTGCCTTAATGATCAGATCCTTGGTTAACTCAAAAATCAACTATGTGCCCAATATGTAAATGGGATTGCTTACCGGCTGAACTTCGTCGCGAAAGAGATGCACAAAACGCCCAAAATTTCCGAAGGGAACAAAACCAGTCAGCCAGCCAAGTTGAGAACAGTGGATCTAATAGCAGTACCAGTGATAGCACTGTAATAAATATGGATGTGTCTGAATCCCATAGGCAAGAGAACCAAGGATCAACGGTTCAGCATGCAGAGTCACAAAGTCAAGAAATAAACCATCAAAACATAGCCCAAACAATGACGCCTCCCACTCCTCCACCATCTTCACCCACAATGAACCAACACAATGAAGCACCATTATCTGCAAACAATGCTGAAATAAAATATTCAAAAGTTGCTACTGATGTTCCGTCGAGATATTCAACGAACTGTTCTATAGATGAGAAACAATCTTCGAATCCTTTTGAATCGCAACCCACGTCAGGGTCGAGCTCTTCACAACATGTGCCGTTCACTAAAGAACGCAGTAGTATCGATGAAAAAAAGTCCTCCAGAAACTAGTCTTTCATCATCTCAGCTGATATCTCTCCATTTCCTTTGTACATATACACGTTTATTTTATCTAATCTTACAAGCTCCCATATATACACTGTATTATTCCTATTCTTTCATAGATCGTTTACCTGCAAATATTTATTTATAGTGTTCCTTTCATTTGTTACTATTGAATATAATCTCTATTTTCCTTCATCCTCAATAAACCTCCACAACTTTACTGAGAGAGCTTTTCTCAGTATAGTTTGCTTTGGCTACATCCACTCACCCCCCCCCCCCCGATGGTTTGTTTTCTTTTTTGCAAATGTAGACCCAATACAAGTTATTGCAAAAAAATTTTCGTAATCTTTTCATTCGAAAAAAGAGTATAACAAACTAGTGCCACATTTAACTTGTGGCACTCATAATGAAGTGAGAGCCCTTTTAATTGCTTTGTTTTGAATTCCTTATACGGTAACTCTATCAAAAGCTCCCCCCACCCTCCCTTCATTTCTTTTACAATCCAACACGTATTGGAAGCAGTTGTTCTTTATCTTTCATTTTATCCATTTGAATTAGGCCCACTATGCAAGAAGTATATCCAAATTCTAACGCTCCACCAACACAGCGTCGATTTCTTATCTGCTTGCTATTCAACATGAAATATGGTGGACCTGGAGTTTGCTTTCTTTGGTTGGTAAAAAGCAAATCATTGGTTGATTTAACATCCCACTAAACAGAGAACTTACGCAACGCTCATATTCGAATATTTTGGTGGCCGTTGCTATTATAGCTGATAAATATGTACGCTTGTGTGTTGTCTTTTCAAAAACGAAGCCGTAAGATGGATACTGAATTCGACAAATATGTTGACGGATTTTTATCTTTTTGTTTCAGGCTAATCAAAAGCTTAAACTAGCCATCTATTCCTATATCAATAGCACTGCATTGATCATACAAGGTATTATATGTTTATTATTTGTCATATCCGCGTTCTTTTCTTTGACTGCATTTTCCACGGTAATAAAAGCAAAATGATTGCAATTACTCTAGCTGCCCAAAACATACTCATTTCTTTGATTACATTTAGGATAGGCCAAGGCATTTACGACTATCACACAGATTTACTTGGACCATTGTTATTCTCTTTCTGATGAATTACTTTGGTAACCTTGTCGTTTTTGGTGTCCAAAAAGGCGACTTTTTACAATGGTGCGTTGGCAAATCTCGTCAAGAAACGGAAAGCTATCTGTTCAACAGCCCTCCAAGCAATCATACGTTCTTAACCAGCTCACACTTAAATTTCATTGATCGAAAAAATGGGATGGGCCTTTACAACTGCAGTAGACTTTGGGAAGACGAAATTAAACTATCCGTCATTGTTTTCATAATCATGTTCATTACCTACGTATGTGTGTAAAAGAAAAACATTTGAAAATGGTATCACATCGTCCATTAATACGGAAAATGATATGTAGATTCATTTTGCTGTCTGTTTCTGGTGTTATACTCAAGACCGAATGCGTGAATATGAAGAGGCGTTGGCTTTTGAATTAACTAACAGTAGCATGATGCACAACCATAACAATAACATGATGATGCATAACCCTAGTATGATGGGTGGACAAAATCACAACGTGATGATGAATATACCACGAGCTGCCAAAACGAAGGGTCAGGACAGCAAGAGAAATTTAGCCGATATAACCAGGAATTTCTTTGGAAATTTACGATACTCACCATAGGTGACTAGCGCGAACATGAGTACAAGATATACCTTTTTCTTCTAGTCAAAGAGACGGTCGATTTTAGCATCAAATCAAAATATTTCAGTCTATTGACTATAGCGTTTTTCTTTTTCCCTTTTTTTATATATATATTTCTTTTTCAATATTATACATAGTAATACAACGGTTTGAGTAGCAAAATCAAGGTACAAACTACTTTATGGAACAAACATTAAAAACAAATTTTGTCTGCTGCCGGTCCACTGCATCTATTCATTAGTAGTACGTTTGAAGTGATAAACTTTTTCATCGCCTTTAAAGGGTACGCCCAGCTCGAGTAATTTGTTGAAAGCAGCGGCGAAATCTTCGTAGAATTTATCTTGATTCTTAGCATATAGGTCAAAGTACTTTTTGAATTCCTTATCATTATACATTGAGATTTCAACAGGCAACATCATAACATCTGGGTTATTCTTGTCTACCCATTGCCATCCTCCATTGGGCAGTGATTTCTTTATCCATGTACGTTCCGAGATAGCCTTGAAATACTCATTGGAGAACAAAGTAGGAGCCTCTTGCCAAGGGCCGTCAAAGCCACTGCGGTCTGGGTGGCAACGACCTAATTTTGATTCAGTGTGTGTATGGGAGGTAGAAGATAACGAAGTTAGGCTATATTTTTATTATTCAACCAGTGACGCAGAAAGAAAGGCTCTTTACCTAAATTATGAGCACCAGTCAATGCAACAATTTCTTGGTCATTGAAACCCTAAATAAAATTAGATTCTTTTGAGCATGACATCAATCCCGGAATAGATTCTGTTTGTGCAACCTTCTCAACGATGCATTTCTTTTAATAAACAAGACTTACCATTCTGTAGAAAACTTCTCTGATGTGATCCTCCTTCTTGGTAGCATCAGGAAGACGGCCATCAGGTGTACAGCTGGCGGCTTCGAGAGCATCTTCACGGCCTGGCCTCCAAGGAATAGTAGGGCCACCCTAGAAGTGTATATACACATGATTACATAGTTAGTACGACAACTTGTATCATTGCAAAAGTATTCAAGCTAATTACCGCTTCTTGGATCGCACAGACACCAGCTAAAGTCCAAAGGTCACCATGACTGATTTCAGGATATTTCTTGTAAATTTTCTCGAGCAAATCACGAGCAATGGCCAAACCATTATTAGCTGCATGGCCAGCTTCAGGATTGAAACCTGTTGTAATAAAATTATCGTATAAATTTATACATTTGAAAGAAGGTGTACATTCCACCCTGACGAAAATGCTACTTACGCATAGTTGCACCATTGCTTCCGCCAGACTTAGTCTCTACATCATAAGTACCGGATGCATGCCATGCAAGACGAACAAGAACAGGTCCATAAGAGCCATCGTCATAGCTATAGTAAATGACAAATTATGTCAAACACCCAATTGCAGCCAATGGAGGGTTGATGTTGTTCTGTTTGCATTTCGTCTTTAGAAACTTACTCTGAGTTTTCATCCAACATTTCAGCAATATCATTATATACTTTTTGATAGTCAATTTCTTTTCTCTTTTCAGCGGCAGTTTGAGCTGGAACAGTCTTTGTCTGGAGCACCTGAGAAGAATTATAATAATAACCGGCACCAGCACCGAGAGCAGCAATAGCTGTATAATCACTCTTAGAGTCAGCCCATACAGTGTCAAGAAATACAAGTTGCAACAATTACACTTACTTAAAAGAACTAAGCCCCTAGAGCCACCTTTTTTGTTACTGGTTGCTTCTCCAGTTGCGTAACCACGACCCTGCATAATGGATATACGAGTGCCTCCAATACGTGCAGCATTCACGGTCGCGGCGGTAGCTGTAGCACCACCGAAAAGGAAGAAAGAGGTACGTTGCTTTAAACCAGTTCGCAAAAGAGTTGAGCGGAAAAGAGGATTCATTATGAATGATAAGGTAACGAAAGAATAAAGAGAAAATTGAAAAAAGAAATAAAAAAAAGAGGCAGAGACGGTGAGAATGTAATACTGTTTTAAATAGCTTTCGATAGGTTGCTGTTGTGTTGCCTCTTGCGCCTCTGGTTTCTCGCACTGCCACAATTTACATAAAATTGACCTGAAGAACGTGTACCTAAGCCGAATCTATTGGCCAATCAAAATCTTGATGACTAAAGCAGCATTGATGGTAATAGGTCACAAGAGCGATCGAAGGGTAACCGTAAGCGATTTCATATGGTCTTTATATAATCAAAAGTCATCGACCGTAAAGCTAATAAATCATGGTTAAGCATCACTGTGATACTTGGAGGAACGTTGGACAATAGGGAGCGCATACTTGACAAAGAGAATAGTCAAATGTTGTTTCATGAGGAAGCTTGTCAAGAGCCCAGAAGGATTATCGTACATGGCATACATACAAACGATGATGTGGTGTTTATCATCTAGATAACCGTTCCAAAACATTTTTATGTTGTTGGACAGTGATAGCTGATAGTGTATGGGTAGCTAACATCAATGAGGTCCCTCTGCATCTGGTACAGAAGTCTTCATCAAAGTTGAAGGCAGAAAGGAGATATCGCTATATGGACTTTCTCAAAACGAACCTAATCGAAGGTAGCGTACCTTTCTCCTTTGGGCGATCTTTCAAATCTGTTTAAAGAATATGACACGAACAGGAGAAGGCTGTCAAATCCATTACCACCGTAGACAAAGGCCCCCTAATAGCCTAAACTCGTCGTTGTTCGTCGGACGATCATTTTTTTAGAACTGTAATCGAACCCATTCACCTTTCAATGTAAATCATTAGGAATGTGACACTGAAGGTAATTTTTTAAAGTTCGAATGTTACATCAATACAACAAAAAGGGTACCAGAAAGGGGTCGCTGGCTGCATTTCATTCTCAAAGGAGACAAATCAAGAATTTTTGTCAAACCCCATCACTTGCTTATTTTTCCTCAGTAAGTTTTCTTCTTCCTTCTTTTCTTCCTTTTCCCTTTTCATTGACCTTACTTGAACCTCTTTACGTGGATCTACTCACTTAAAAAAATGTCTCAAGTCACTTTAAAGAACGATATTATACCTACCTTTGAGCCTATTGATCAACCAAGACAGAAGAGAAAGATTATTGATATCTCTTCCGACAATGAGGATAGCCATTCTTCAACAGAGCAAACTAAACAGACTCAATCGTGCAATAAGAGAACGAAAGGTAGAATACTTGGCTGTAACGGGAAGGAACTTCTTTGTAATCACAGAATGAACTAACATACAAAAAACACACACAACCACGTACACTGTGCGCTGATAAATCATTGCTATAAGCTGACAAGGACATGAGTATATCATCGCTTTACACAAATACTTCGAGCGTCACGAATGTTCCCATCCTTTCAAAAGCAATCGTATGTATATAACCGAACATTAAGCCTGTAAAATGATATATATTTATGCACATACACAAATATAAATGATGCAGACCAATGTGATTTATTAAGCATCTTTATTTGGTAAACAAATAACCGTTTTCGCTCAATAATAGGCCAATTCAGTCGTCTGGATTGCTGCCACATTTTCAATGCAAGATAAAGATGAAGAAAAGCAAATCACTGAACAAACTAAAGAACAATCAGCGACAGCTAATCAAATTGCAGCCTTTAGTGTATACCATGGATTGGATGACACTCGTAACATAGCAGAAAAAGTGACTTTGAAGAAAGATCAAGACTTGAATGATGTGTATATTATGGTAGGTTAAGAAACAGTCTTGACATACTTATACAATATATAGGGTGTGCATAAAAGCGCTGCAGCAGGATTAACAACAAGAATAAAACTCCATATTGCTGTAGGGGGTTGAGCACATCTTGGAACAATTCAAAAACGATCCTGGAGATTTGGTGATTCACACTGGATGTGCTTTCTTACAAAACTGTAGGTTATAACACAATACTTTTCCCAATGTTCAGTTGAAAAGCAATTCTAACTCATATTCATTCAGGTTTGGAAGAGCAGGACAATAAGAGTACTAGCAGTACTGGCGACAATGAAAAGCATTTGGATAACATTAGAACTAAAATTGCTAAAAGAAACGGTGATACATCATTTGTAAGTACAAGTACATTTAAATTCTTCCGTCAATTTTGATGTAGAGGGCAATGCTAAATTCTAATTTGCCTTTGACAGACAACATCTAGCTTAGAAGAGGACGAGTTCAAAGCAGCATTAAAAATGGCAAAGGAAAAGTTAACAGAAAAAGAAGAGTAAGTATACGTGAAATATTTGTTGGTTAAGATATAGTCAATTAATGAATGCTTTCAAAAACTACAAAAGTGGTGACGTGGCAGTCAGCAACGACTCAGTCTCAGAGTTTTCTCCTGAGAACATACGTTCAGTTAGAGTAAATGTCACGAATGATATCGTAGCCCCTACACAGGACATTGATGTATTTGAAGACTCGAAGGAAATGGAAATAGAACAGCATGAAATAGAGTCTGCTACTGAAATAATCGAGGTATCATTAGAAGAAGCAGCGAAAGAATTAACGGCAACTGAGGATTCGAACGATGAAGACAATGATAACTCTTCTGTCGCAGATTCTTCTTGGGGCTCGGGTTTGAGTTTAAAGAGCTTTTTTGATCTTTTTAAGCCTTTCGGTCGATCCAAAAAGAATTAAACTACTTAAGTGTTACTCTTGGCTAATATCAATTCGTTCACATATAATAAGGCTTTTAAAACTTATCATAATATTATAATTAAATGACAAATACATTGCTTCAATCTTGATATGAGTACTCTGGTGTATCCGTACACATAAGGAATTGGATGCTTCCACACTTTTTTACGGTCAATCTGCAACAATCGAAATGTTTAAGTGTGGATAAAGTACGAGAAAAGTTGCATGAACTTAGCTAAATTTTAATCAAAGACTGATAAACTCAGTATCTCCTCCCTCAGTAAACCCTTTTTGTGCGTGTAACCAAAGCTGTCAAAGAGACACACCAGAGGCTGATCGGTTGTTGTTTGATATTTTTCTTTCTCAGCCAATAAAAAAAAAAAGGCTGTGGAAGACAGAGGATGAAGAGATACTCGTACCATCTAAAAAACAAATACTGAATTGGAACGTCCCCTCTAAAACGAACTCTTCAGAATACAATGTCCTCTGCTTTTGAATCATTTGTAGTTGTGCATCAATATCAATTAAGCACTATTCCTAAGGAATTATGGGAGGTAATTGATTGCTTTATACACTTTACAACGCAGCGTTATACTTAAGCACTGTAAACTAGACTCTATTTATGAAGCTGGGCGAAGACTATCTTGATGCGGGTAAACAAGAATGGAAGAAAATGTATTGGGTTAACTGAACTGACAGCTTGTTCGGCATTAGGAAATTTTGTTGAACTTCATCAAGGTGATCGTGTTGAAGGATACTCTCTTCACGTCAAAGCAGACCAATGTTTGAAAAAACATAGGTAAGATAGAAATAAGTCAATGATATAGTATTACCAAAAGACGTCAAGCATATAACTAAAGTTTATCATTCAGTGATGTTTTCCTTATTGATCACGCTTGGACGACTTCACCCGAGACAGCAAAAGAAGAATTACGTGCGAATGCAAATCTATTAAACCGTTTGGAAAACTTGATGGACATCGTTGTCGAGGATGCACCCGCGGATTCCGATGACAAGAATGACGAAGATATAAAACCTGATTCAGATCTTATTGATTTAGTTGCTGAACAGGCCAATGTCAGCAAAAAGGAAGCTGAGCTTGCATTGATTGCCGAAAACAATGAAATTATCAACGCTATCACGGTAAGAAGACCAATAATCTACATTATTTTGAACTGGATCTGGTGTTTAAAGACTAATCTGAATCTCTTTCTTTCAAACAAACAGCGCTTAACTATTGACCCTGATGTTAAAGCAGAAGCGGATAGGTTGCAAGAACAAGTGATGGGTCAAATGCTCGCTAGCGGGAGACCTCAAGAAAAAGAGGAGAAAGAGAACAAAGAAAGATTAGAACGAAGAGAAAAAAGAGAGAAAGAATGGGTTGAACGTCGAATTGAAGCTGTATATAGCAAGATGTGGTCTTTTATTCAAACATACACCTATAGTGTCCTTCAACAAGATGGTCAACTAGCACCTCAAACAGCTTGGTATGTGAATGATGAGGTTGGCTCGGCTATTTGTCATTCAGAAGATCCCAACGTTGTTTGCGTACCATTTATCTTTTCAAGAGGTGCGAGCGGTATGATTCCTTACAGTGTCTTTTTCCCTATCAAGGATATTGAAGGAGGCGAAATTATCACTTGTGATCTTCTACCCAAAACGCTCGATCGGGAAATCGACAAGGTTGCCTATTTATACGCTATCAAAGAAAGACTGTTGTCTCCAAGCATAATTGAGGAAAAGAGAAAAGATCTTATCCAGCATTTCGAGACGGAGCAAGCAAGATTAACCGAGCAGACGTTGTCTTCAAAGTCTTCAAAATCTTCAGAAATAACTTCTACTGAGAAAGTACTGGAATTATTGAAGAAAAATTCTGGGAGTGAAAAATCCACGCCTATACATGTATACACAGATACACCATTTATTCAACAGTTCCTAAAGCTAGAGAATGTTGTATTCACGAACGACCAAAGTAAAGCTGATATTATTTGGAGTAGCAGTGACTTTAAAGATTGGGACGCTGTCAAACCTCATCAAATTGTGAACCAAATTCCCAATGAACAGTGTATTACGTTTAAGCAAAACTTGGCTGAATTGATCTGGTAAGCTAAGCATTTGAATATATAGGATACTAGAATTTCTTTCCAGATTTAATGATTTGTATTTAGCAAAACCTACGGTTCCCCCTCTTGGTTCCCCCGAACTTACAACTTAATGACACAACTGGCAGAATTTGTTGGCGATTATCTTAATGTGAGTGCAATAACTTTCTTTAAATATGAGTTGTTTACATAATCTTGACAGCCGCTTTATGAACAGTGTGATAAAACCAGCTCAGAAAATAATCTATGGATCACTAAACCTTGGAATATGGCCAGAAGTCTGGGCCTTGATGTCACTAGGAATTTAGCACAAATCATACGCCAACGTGATGGATCAGTGCCTAAAATTGTTCAGCGTTATATCACAAATCCTTGTTTATACAATGGCAAGAAGTTTGATCTTCGTTATATTGTATTAGTTCGACGTACAGAGCCTGAACTTGTTGCATGTGTTTATAATATGTTTTGGACACGTTTAGCCAACAAAAAGTTCAGCTTGGATGATTTAAACGACTATGAGCGTCATTTTACGGTGATGAATTATTCCAATTATCAAATGACGCAGCTTGATCACAAGAGTTTTATCTTCAACTTGGAGAAGCAGCACGGTCTGAAATGGGATAAGATTCAAAAAGATATTAATGCTGCCATAAAAGGTAATGTGTTTTTGGAGGAATCAGTATACTTGTTACGCTCCTTCATATCAATAGGACTAACTCTTTTTAAACGTCTACAGATATCCTAGTTGCAGCTACCAGTACCGAGCAACCTTTAGGCTTAGCTGGAGAAAATGCTAAATCAAGCAATACTTTCAGTTTATATGGCTTTGATGTCATGCTAACGGATGATTTCAAACCAGTCATCCTCGAAGTTAATTTCTCGCCCGACTGTACGAGAGCTTGCCAGGTAAAAATTTCAGTTACTGTGGACATGAGTGCATCATTTTAACTTCTTTTAAATTTTAAATCATTGCTGCCCTGAATTAGTACGATCCTGAATTTGTGAACAACATTTTTAGTCTTATTGATTGCAAGCTGGGTGATATCAACAAAAGTTTAGATGCTTTCACAATTTTGTAGAACGGGAGTTTTATTCATAGAGACAGAGGCTGTTTTGTGCAAAATAAAAGAATGACATAAATAATAAGTGCTGAGGTTTATTTACTACAATTATTCTTCAAGTTTAATAAGGACGTTATCATTATGGTTATCATCAACAGGTTCAACAACCGTGATGTTGTTATCATTATTTGCATTCCCTCCAATAAAATCGCCCTGGGGAGCAGATTCAGCAGCAGGAGTTGTAGCAGTAGTGACAGATGGAGCAATCGTAGTAGGAGAAAGCACAGGGAAAGAATCAAGTAAGGCTGATACGTTAACGCTATTGGGCGGATTATCAAGAAGGCCTTTTTTCTTCATATCTTGCTGAATATTATCAATATCCTTCGTGACAATGTTACTAATACCATTGGCTCTTAATGATTTCACAATATGCCCTGTACTAACATGCTCCTGTAGTAACTTGTGAACAACTAGCAAATATTCTGGAGGGAGGCTTCTGTACATAGGATACATGGCAGGATCAGATGCGATAGGATGGTTATGTTGGGGTATACTCTTTTTGATCATCCAAAGTCCATCACGGCACTTTCTAGCGTAAATCATACATTCACATCCAGTCTTTTGGGAAAGTCGAACACGCGTTTTCACTTTTTTCGGTGTTGCCAATGCGGGAGTGGTTGGTGCAGCTGCAGCAGTAATATCGGACTTCTTTGTCACTTTTCTATGTTTACCACCGTGTTTGCATAGTAGATAGACTTTCGATTTGTCTGATTTACTAGTGGTAAGTGCAACATTATATTTTTTACCGTACTCGAAGACGGCGCCACGCAGGGCTTCCAGTGACTCGAATACACGGCCTACACCAAATCTAGTTTGGAATTCGCTCATTAAAGGATGAGTGGGGTCTGTAATGATATCTGCACTTTCTGTTAATGGAACATCCATATTATCAGATATGTTGTCATAATTTGCTGTAGACGAAGAGTTTGCAACAACAGTAGTGGTACCCATATTATTGCTATTACTGCTATTGAGTTCATTCAGTGGGTGGGATTGATGTAATAAAGCTGATGATAGCTGTTCACTAATAGTAGAAGAGTCGTTAGTTTGGTGTTGTGGCTGTTGTTGTTGACCGTAAACGGAATGAGCAGCCAATAGACCTGAAATCAAAGGCTGACTGTTCACATCGATTAGCGTCTGTTGAGTCAAGTCGACGGCAGATGTTGCATTTGTTGCATTTTTGACCTCACTCAAGAGTCGATTGGCAGCTTCAAAAGCCCTTTCGGCTGATACAGGTATATTAGTAGAGGTGACAGCATTGGCTGTATATGGCTGACTGTTGACTTCGGACAAAAGACTCTTCTCCAGTTCTTGTTTGTTCATTTTTTATCGAGTGCTTTTTAGATACACACCACCCACAAAAAATGCTTTGAAGAGGGAGAGGAGAAAAGTGGAAATGGGAAAAAATCTTTTCCTAAATGCACCCATGATTTGCAGACTTTTCTCTCCTTTTTCTTGAATTCAAAAAACAGATATCAGCCAATAAACACAGTTCCTCATTGAAAACTGGTTGGTCAAATGACTTGCTCCTAAAGGGCTCATATTCATGAACGAGTTGATGCTTATTACAACACTCTCAGAAGATTAACTTTAGAAGTTTTATTCATAGAAAATGATTTTACCAGTTTACTGCTTTTTTTACCGCCAGTATTACTGTAAAATAACTAACAAAACTGGTTCATTAACCACTATTAATAATACATGTGAAGAAGAACTACTACAGTACCGTGAGGTGTGATAGTGGTGCTGAATTGTCTTCTAATATCTAATGTCCAATACCCTACAAAAACTTACTCAAGTATATTTCCTGGCGCCTTTCTTCTCAATATGAGTAAGATAACTCTTGATGATTCCCATCCGCTATAAACAGTCAATGTGCAATTTTTGACATAGATAGATAATATCTCAGGTTGATAGGTTTGACACGGTAGGTACTTTGCCGAAACAACGTGCCAAAACGATACTGACAATGAACATATCTTCGAAAAAAATCTGGGGATTTTGTTAATAATGCTCATTTTATATTGAGAACACAAACCTTGAGCGAACTTTCTGAATAGTTTTCTTTGCTTCCCCCTTTGATGATTTCATATCCAATAAAAGCTAATAACCGTGTACCTTCGGAATTAGGTTATACTTATATCTCACTGTAAGCATTAACATGTCTGTTCCTACTAGTAGACTCCATTTCTCACACAGTTTCTGTACATAAAGGATATGTTGCTTTTGAGCTCAAACAATGTTCGCTGTCTAAAACATTAAATGCCGTATTTTTCCCAGCTTTTGCAGAGCAACATTAAAGTCATTAAAAATTGCCTTTAGGGCATCCCTTCAGCAGTTTTAGAGGAGAGTAATAATGCCATCGTTTCAGCTTCAGCAGCCGCTCGTTGTATAGAGGTCATTAAATAGCTGTATTACAGACACACGCAGCTACAGTTTATCTGGATTTATCATTATTCTGGCGGACTATTCGCCAAATGTATAACGTGCAGATTGATGGAGTAGGCTTTTACGCATGATTGAATGTTTTTTCTTATAGGGGACTAATTGCCTAGCTACTATTCACAAAGGTGGCTTAATATAGAATATGATTATATCCTTACATGTGAACAGCGTGAAAATTTGACGCTATCCAGTTGATTCACAAAAAGCAAATAGAATACATTTACGACAATGAATTACTATACCCTAAGTCACAGTTGCAAATAAAGCACTTGTACATCCTTTCAAATAGGATAAATTATCTAGACAAAGACTGCTTAAAGCAGCTGATGTAGCAAGAAATGCGCTTCGTTGTAAATTTAATTCATACAGAAGATGTTAAAGATTGTTCTTGTTTCCTGTAAGCACTACTGAGCGTTTTTTGTTGATATATTTGAACTGGCAAGCCGACAATCGAATGGAGAAAGTTCGACTTGAATAAACGCAAATGCGTTTACAGCACCATAGCAGAAACTAGTAATACTCAATTGCACAGCTTATACTGATAAACGAGCAACAATATTCCCGAATATCCAAATGCTTTCTATGGGCATTGCTATACCTTTGGTGAAAACTGCTAAGGGAGGCTTTACGGCTCTTAAAGGTCCGGAGAATTACAAAACACTTCAATGGTTTAATATAGAGGTTTTCCTTCCTTATCAGCTACAATAGGACTCAACCTTTTAAGCATACCCAATCTGATGGATCGTTCCATCTCGTGTCAGAAAACGGATAACCATTGAAATAATTCAAAAATGCAACGTTTGAAAAGATTATTGAGTTTTGCTCATGTAACACATTCAAAACGGGTGGTCTGTTATTCAGTAAGACTGAAAGCATGGGAAAGAACCATTAAGGAAGGGACTGATAAAATTAAACTATCAACAACTGTTGAGGATTTGTATAACATTTAGAATGCCAAATGCAATTCAACGAACAAGATACAAGGTAGTTTCAGTAGGCCAGGCTCTAATAGTTTGAATATAACTCAAGCCGTCATACTGCCATCGTTCCTGAAAAGCACCATTGAACTAACAATTACAAACAAAATGTAACGTTCTCGTTGAAGCAAAAATCTCAGTAAAGTCAGAACACTATTACGGTCATCATATACATAAGACAACAACTCCTTAGTAAAACAGAAAAATGCTCTCGGTGGTTAGGCCTGTAACTTTCCCGTTTCCTGCAACCAATAGCTTATTCAATAATTCAACAGATTTAAGATATGACTTTTTTACTGTTGCCTAACAAATTAGCATTAGAGACCGTCTTTGATCAAAAATTTAAGCGGGAATCAGTAGAGCTTGAACGTAAGGTAAAATGTTTACTGATATTGTTATGCTGCAAGCAAGTAGCCTTACTCTAATCATTTTGCTTACTGTAGGTATATTATGTGATTCAATTGGGCTATCTTCCGTCGTTGTCCTGCGTTGCAAGCTAGAATTAGTCTGTCCCGGCTTCTAGAACTTGATTTTAGCGGCTTTATCAGACGTACATCTTTGGGCTTATTAGAATTCTTCACTATACAAGAATTATATGTAATTTTCTTGATTACTTGCCTATACATTCGATTACGAATCAATTGCCAGTATATTCTACTGTTTTATTTTAACTATCTTCAAACTCTAACTTCTTGGCTCTAATCTTACTGCTGTAATAAACACATGGAACTGCTACTTACACGTATTCAGGTCAAATGCTAGTGGTATGAATGAATTTAAGTTGGCGACTGCCTTCTAATCACTCAGCAAATGACATCATGACTGTGCTGGAAAGAGATAAATTTTGAGCTTTTTTGAAAGTCTGCAGAAAAAGACAAAAAAAGAAAAAAGAAAAAAAAAACCATTGCTCATTTTATTAACGTAATCTGTTTTCGCGAAAAAGTCCTTAAGTTGACAAGAATGGACGACAACGGAGGTTCCAATATTGAACAAAATATCAATGGAAAGAATAGTACAGAAGTGAAAGCAGAATCAAATTCCATTAACAATGTTCAACAACAACAGCAAATTGATGTCGTGTCAATAAAAGCTGAGGAAACCTCGGCTTCTACATCGGCATCGACAGCTTCTAATTCACCTGTTACTACAGTCTCGACTCCGGTTTCCAATCCTGTATCAGTATCTTCTTCGTCGTCAGCCCAGATAGGCCCTATAACCGTTCCAACACCAACATCCTTTGTGTCAAATGCTAATACATTGGCACCTTCACCGGCAGTAGCGTCTCCACGACTACCGCAGGCAATAACACCTAGACCTCCACCAACTTCGCAATTACAAACATCGAAACCATTGCAGCAGCCGTCGCCCCAATCCCACTCGCCTGCAACTACCTGTAAGCATTCTTTTTTGTGCTCAATAAAGATCTGTTCTCATTTAACATAACTGCTCTAATTTACCCATAGCACAACCTTCCTCCATGACATTACTGGATAATCTCACATCACAGCTTTCGCCTGATCGTAAAGAAAAATTTCTCGAATTATTTCGGAAACTCCAGGTACACTACATTTGATACAGCTAAACAAACTTTTCGATATGATAAACTTTTTAATGCCTTATTTTAACAGAATAATGCAGTTTCAGTACCTGATTTTTTGTCACAAGCAAGAATGCTATTAGATCAACAGCAATATCAACAAATAGAGAATTTAAAGAATAAACCTTCGCAGCAGCAGGGACAACAACAGCAGCAGCAGCGGCCCCGCAATGTACCATCACGACCACCTACGATACAACCGCAGCAACAAATTCCTCAGTTACAACCTATTAGTAGCTCTCAAGTTCGCGCTGAAGATGCGCAACGTGCAATGATGCCTGGTTTCATAAATGCTCAACAGGGCAAAAAGTTTAAAGCATCTGATATACCCAAATCCTTACCTATATTTAGACCAAATAACGTAGCCCAAGGGGCTCCACAATTAACCTTACAACAGCAACAGTTTTTACAACAGCAGCAAATGAAACAGCATCTTTTACATCAGCATTTGATGCAACAACAAAGATTACAAATGCAAGCTCAGTCAGCAAAACAGAGTAAAAAGTCTACTACACAGCAGCAGCAACAACAGGCACCCCCTCTGAACACAACGGCGAATGCTACAAAACCTCAGCAAGAATTAGATGAAGTTAAGAAAGAAGTAGTAGAAGAAACAACGAAGCAACCTACCATTACACAGAACTTCATGAATAGGGAAATGCTGAAAGACAAATTAACAAAATATACCTCATCCAACCATCTTGAACTGGAACCTGATGTTATCACGCTAATAGCACTTGCTACAGAAAAACGATTAGAGCGGCTACTTAAGCACATGATCGAGGCCTTTAAACATCGTACTGAATCGCAAACCTTCACTCAGCCTCCCGTTGATGAGAAAACAGGGCACCACCCTTTCAAGATTGTCGACGTGCAGGATATAAAAAAGCAATTATTAGCTATTGAACGAGTGGAAAGAGAAGAAGAAAGAAAACGTAAAGAGATAATATTAGAAAAAGAAAGAAAAGCACAGCTTGGGGAGGATGGAGCTCATGACGGTGGCGATGGTTCCGGCAGTCAAGGAACAGGCGGGGGCGGCGGTGGAGGTGGAGATGATGGCGATCGTCCTAAGAAAAAGAAGAAGAAAGAGATGGGACCTAGTGTATCAGCAAGGTATATGAGTGATGATGTACGTAATAAGACCACCAATGAAACAGCTTTGATGATTGCAGGCGGCGTAATGAAAAGCTGGATGTTGACAGGTATGAATTCGTCGGCGCCATCTCCTTCATCTTTCAGTAGTAGTCGAGAAAAGTTATCAACAACCCCCATTTCAAGGCAAAGTAGTAATAGTGCCAATATGGCAGCAGCTGCAATAAAACCGGAATACACTAATGACAGTCCAAATTTATTACCTCAACATCAAGCATCCAACAATTTACCTACAACAACTATTAATGCCAATGATGCTGCAATACAACAGGATGATCAATCGCAGCAGCAACAGCACCCACAGCAACAGCCTTCAAGAGGAAGAGGAAGGCCACGAAGGCGCAAGTCAGGTAGCGGGCCTGATGGTACAAGTGGAAAGAAGATGAAAGGGTTTCCGAGATTAGCAGGGGATGGAGGATTGTTCTTACCGCCCTCTACTATTGGCCGACCGCATCGTTTAGGAGAACAAGCAACAAGAAAAATAACAGTGAGAGATGCTATTTATGTATTGGAAGAAGAATATGAAAACAATATGTTTAATGCGCGTCGGACACTATTAAAAGTGTATTCTAATCATTTGAATTAAAAATATCCATATATTAAATAGTAGTTTTTATTCCATTTGTTTCCGCAGAGATGTTAAGAAACTATTAACGCTATCTTCTGTAATGTTCACTGCTGCTGTCTCGATGGCATTGCTATTAGTATCTGATTTTAATTTTTGGTTTTTCTTGGCTTGCAGTACAGCTTTTCTTGCCCTGATCTTGTCTGCATTTTTTGCCAGCATTTGTTTCCGTTTTGATGCAGCACTGGCGGCTGATTGTCGAGCATTCTCTGTTTCAGCTCTTAGTTTGTTTAATTTATCTAACTGTCGTTGACGTTCTTCCTCATCTTTAGCAAATTGATAGAAACCTACACCTTTCGTTCTTATTTCTCGATCTGCTTCGTAATGGTTCATATCCGTCCTTTCTGCTGCTCTAATCCGTTCTTGGGAAATATGCTTCTTTCTCTCTTCTTCCGAATCATAATCATCCTCATCTGTTCCTTCGTCTTCTATCTCTTCCTGCTTTAGATCGGGCACTTCACTACGACGCACAATTCGAGTACGCCCAAATTCATCGACATACTCGATCCATGGATCATTGTCTTCTTCTTCCTCAATTCGACGTTTTTTGCTGTTCCTTTTTTCTTCCAGTTCACGCTAATGGAGCAAAAGTAAGTTGTTTAGTCCTAAGACAACTATAGTGCTCCTGTTCACAAGCGTTACCTCTTGTAAATATTTCTTGTCGAAATCAATAAGTGGCATTTCATCCTCGTCAACAGAATCGATATCAAATTCATATTCTCCCCTTTGCATTGCTTCGTATATCTTTGCCTTTCTTTCTAGCTGTTCTCGACTCTTTGCTAAAGTATTCGACTCAATAGCTTCTAAATGGTGTTTTTCATCTCTTTGATTTCTTTCTTGAACGCCTTTGTTTTGCCTTGACCAAACTGTCGGTTTTTTGTCTGGCCTTTTTGCCGTAGTTTGTTTTCCTTGAGTCGCTCGTAGCTTTTCAAATTGTTCTAGGTGCTGGGCTACTTCTGCCTTCAATTCAATCGCTGTAGAGGCACTCACATTGTCAATTGCTTTCCTCTTTTGCATATTTAACAATGTACAGAAGAAGAAAGTAAAGTTTTCAGAAAATTGAAATTATTCAGACTGAAAATTGCATAAATAACCTCAGCTTTGTAGGCAGTCCAAACAATTGCATATAACACAAAGAATGATTCCTCAAGCTATACAGTAAGCTATCATCTGAAGTATGGTATTTAGTTGTAAACTATCTGTCCAATATGGCATTAAAGAACGGTGAGGAAGCCAACTGACGGTTGAAGAAGCGAATGCAATATTAAACATCCAGAAGCGAAGAGAAAAATTAGGAAACCAAAATGTCAACGCTGATGCAATCGTGAAAATTTCACGTTACTTATAATATGGCTATTCGAACACGGATCCAGTCGACAAATTACAGTCCAATCTGTCTCTTCCATAGTTTTGATTTGTACTGATATTTAAGAAACGCGGACCACCCACTAGAGTAGAAATGCTTGTAGCACTTTTAACCGAGTATCACCACAATACTTGGTGATGGAATTAAACGCTGGATTATAATTCAATTGTTCGACAATAAATGACCGTTTCAGTTTTTACAAGTAGCGAATCACATGATTATGAGAGCGTAGTCGAATGCTTCTGAAAGGATAATTCAAATCATTGATGTATTTATCAAAAGGCAGGGAATTAAGGGCTCGTTTTTGGTAAGATGTTTAAAGAAACTCTTTGAACGAGGGGAAGGCCAAAGAAAGATTACAAAATATCAGCTCTCCGAAATGGTGGCATCATTCCCTATCAATTGCTGTGCTTCCGCGTTTAGTCAACAACGTGCCAGCAGCCTTTTCTTTTCCACAAAATACAAATGTTAGCAAATACAAATCAAGAAAGGAAGTAGTTGATTAATGTTCCAATACTACAAATCCTTTGCTTCTAGCATTACGAATATCTTTCTTATTGTCGCATGACATACAACAACAGGTGTTATTATTGGTTAATTGATGGAATATATCAATATTAGTGTACTTAATATGATATGATAGTATCAACAGTTGCATAAAGAGCGTTACTATTCGTATAGTGCAGTTTGAAAGAAAGACTATTTTAAAATGCAAGAACCTGATCAATCAGATACCAACAATAAATGGAATATTTGAATTACATGCGTTACAATTATAATCTGTTACTTTCTCTTACTTTATTGAATATAAATATTAATTTAGTCTTACCTTTGGGACAAAATGCTATTATACGGCAATTAACTCATGACAACGGTTTCATTATAGTAATACCTCTCATTTTAGACTGCTAACATTGCCACTTATCATCAATGCTCAAATTGTAGGAACACATAACTTTCACATACAGTTTTTTTAAAAATCGAAAATACTATAGTATTTTCGGTTTTAATTTAGAACTTCTTGTATTAAAAATTGGATATTTTGATTGACTTATTTCAGAAAATTTAAGTCATTATTTTCGGACTAGTTACTTTTTACATTTGGACACTTGTAGTAAACATCTGAGGCCCGCCTCTTTTTGCACGCATTTGTTGCAGTAAGTTTCGTTGTTTGATCGGCCCAGAAGAATTACCTACTTAGCTGCCATTTGAACTGGTTGTCCAGTTATATTCTATGTAAATGACTCACAATCCTGTATTTTCATTGACTGCTCAGCATCTCTTTTGATCTAAAATCGTGTCACTTTAGTGTCATTTTTCCCTTAAAGAAAGCAATAACAATAGGTGATTGTATAAATTAAGTTAAGCGCCTGTTTCTTGTCAGTAACTGATGAAGTGATAAATAAACGTGTCTTGATTAATAAACGTGTCTCGATTTGGTGTCAAAATTTAGCGCGTCTAAAGAAATCTGTCTAGATTGTTTTCGTCGTCAAAACTTTCTTTGTTGTCCAAATATAACATTCTAACAAAAAGTTTCAGTTTATAAAAAGATAAAAAGTTGGTACCTTTTCCCTTTTTTTATCAGAGTCTAGTTGGATACTCTTTAAAAAATTATTAAAGAAGTGTTAACAGTGGATCATCAGGTAGATTAAAATAAGATCTCATCACGACCTACTCACAACGACTGCACTGTACATATTTTGTTTGTAACTGAGTATTTGTATCTTTTGAGTAGTTTTTTTATCTTGTCGTCAAGAGAAGCAAAAGTTTACCTTGAAGCAAAGTTAAAGAAAAAGCAGCAAGTAAAGAAAGTCAGTTCATGATTGCTGCAGTTTGTTTCTTATTCGTTTAAGTACTCAATTAGGATTGTTGAACCTTTAATTTCTAGAAACATGTTTTGATTGCGGACGGGAAGGACATGCCCATAAGGGCTCATACTTGTGTCCTGAATATAATGGTATCAGATAGCTGAAGAGGTAGTATTTCCTGTTCATTTTCACTGATATTCTGTTCATATGCTTTTCTAGCCTAGAAACGAAAGTCCGGAAAAGACGAATACGAAACAAAGCAAGCTAAAGAGAAGGGCAAAAAGAGAAGGGCAAAAAGAGAAGGCTAGAAGCGAGAAAAGCATCGCCATTGAATACTGTGAGTTTAAAACCTTAAAGGTGGATCCCAAATTGCCAAATCAAGTGCCCTTCTCTAAAAGTAATGTCATTTTCGTAGGTTTGTAACAATTGTAATAGTGTCGAAATGAAAGAAGTACGAATTTCGGACGGCTCCAGCGTCTATGGTACCAAGGCCTGCAAAACTTGTGGTATAATATGGCAAAGAGACGTCAATGCGGCCAAAAATATGCTTACTATTGCAAATTCCGTATGGGAACACAATGGCCGCCCCGACATTTTCTCTCGCCATCGCCATAACGAAAATGGTGCTGCAGGTTCTATACCGACGGCTTAAAGATTTTTACGCGTTTAGGTGAGTTCATCTTGTGAAATTTGTCACTGTACATTTCTGGGGTTTTATTAACTGCTGCTTGACGTTACTACATACTCAAACAGGGTAGGTATTCTGTGCTTTGACACAGTATATTTACCTTGTTTGAGTAATAGTAGTTCGCACATTTGGCATTGAGCATTTTGACAGAAAAGGTATGATCCCAAAAACTATACTTTTCATCCAAAAATATTTTTAAGTTAGTTTGAATTTTAATTGTAAAATAGTCTCAATTTAATAGCCATTTCGTGCGAAAGTCAAGCGGAAAAACAGTAACTAGGCAACTTTGGAAATTGAGAATATTTATAAGAATATATACATATTTTAGATAAGTTTTATTATAAATTCACGTACTTACCAGAAATTTACCCAAGTTGTTATCGAATTGTGCGTTGAGTAAATAAAGTCAAAACAGTAAGCATTCGGCATTTGGTGGTTTCGTTCAGGTTTCGTCCAGGTTTCGGTTTCGCTGGCTTAGACGAAGAAGCACTCAAAGAATCATTGTATGCCATTGGTATTAGTGTGTGGGTAACTGGAGCAACGTAGATGATTTCTTGATAGGTCTTAATAAGATAGTCTTACCTATGTGCAGCTTGGGCCTTTATAAGGGCCGTTCTGAGCTGGGAGGCGTTGTTTGCCTTTCCACTTTTGTTTAAAAGAAAGAAAGCAAAAAGGAAAAGTACACTGTGTGTTCTATTGTATATCGCGTTCCTTTTTTTTTTTTTTTTTGACAACATCACGATCAACTGACTCAAGTGATGGCTCTTACCAACATGCACCAAAGTTCTGAAAAATTATTGCTATATACAGACAGTGGCGTATCTCGCTCCTCAACTAGTTTTTTGACGTTATAGTATGCTTAACATATTCCACAGGGTAGTTAAGCGCGCTGGTTATTGCTCTTGTTTCCTCGTCACCCCTCCGTTTTTATAGTGCCCTGAGTTCAAATTCTAAAATTCATCTCAAATTAAAATTACTAAAATCTGAAAACTACATATGGTATTTCCAAAATCCGTTATTCTGTTTATCTGAAGCAGACAGTATGAAAGTTCGAATCATAAATTAGAAAACTGTATTTGCATTTTTGGGGGCCAAGCCCCCCCGGTGGAGGTAGTTAGCACCTTGGCTTTTCCAAACCAACGATTGCTGGTTCGATTCCTGTACACCGCTGATATTTTTCAGCTTTAATCCCTTTCTCTCTGCTTCCTAGGGTTTTTTAATAACGCTATCAAGGTGGTTGTCGGTCGATGTTGGTGTTTAAACAAGTTATGAATAATTGCGGTGCCCGCCCAGGCTTAATTAAGCAAGATCCCGAACCGCGCCCAAAGTCTTAGCCTATCAATTATAATGATTAGTTTAGCCCCTTCCCCCTCCCCCCCCCATTTAGATAGTATGCTTTTTCGCCCACCACGGCACCCTGACCGACACTATGCATCGCTCTATTTTCAAAAAATCGAGCTGCGCCGGGCAATTTAGATAAGCTTTAATATCGTGTCCATTGGGCATAAAAATGTCAGTAATAAAAATCCTTGTTTAAACGTATTTGCATTTTTAGTCCCCGCTTTTTTTTATGTCTGCTGTATAAAAAGATGGGGTAGCCCTAGCTCAGAATCATAATTTTGAATAGTTTAATCCTTCGTTTCGATATTCTGCAATGTCTCTATTAAGACAAATCACCAAATTTGCCTCGCAACAGTTCACTAGACAGCAATTACCTACAATGACAGTATGGAATCAGAACACTAGTAATCCAGCTACACTAACCTTAATACGCACGATGAAAGTTCGTTCATCAGTAAAAAAGATGTGTGAAGGATGCACAACAGTGAGAAGACGGGGAAAGCTCTTTGTAACATGTTCAAAAAATAAGAAGCATAAGCAGCGCCAAGGCTAATCTCGTTTGATTCCAACGTAAAATTTGACAACAGAATATTGCAGCCTACTAGCGATTTTATATATGTACAGCGTAACAATATGTATTCAAAATAATATATATATCCCATGCAAGACAAGATAATGTAGAGCAATTCTAATGTATATGTGTACAGTTCATTTTATTTGATTACAAAAAAGCAAATATATAGTCTTTTATACTATTTCTATGGCCTCAACCCAAGGAAATTTACACGGTAGTGGGAATATAATAAAAGTTTATATTTGAGAAAGTCTAACTACAGTTCTTCTAAGGGAATTTTAACACTCTGTAAACCAATGCCAGTGGTCGCAACATGAATTTCGCTACTATTTTGTTAGAAAGACAAAAAAGAAAAAAGCAGTTTGAGTATGTGACTAAATGACCTTATACAGATGTGATTCAAGGAATGGACTTACTTATAAATGATTGCATCAAGAGCCGAAGGATCGGGTACGTCCATGTAAGCGGCTCGTATAAGTGAAAGAGTGATCCCTTTCATGTCATTATCCACAATGCTCCATACATTCAAACGCTGGTCTGTTGAAACAGTAATTAGAACGTTGTGAATATATTTGATGCCGGTTACAGAAGATGCATGCGCGTTGGCTACAATAAAAGGTTGTTTCACTAGAGTCTGCTCCTTTGCATTGAATAGAGAAACTGCTACTGCATTATCTTCACCACCTGTGAAGATTAAAAAGTGATCTTCATCTATTACGATACGTAAATAAGCAAACTTGAATTTACAATTGAATTTTAAACGCATTCTATCCTATCTTACCTTTGTACGGTACGATTTCTAACGCATTCACGCCTGACATATGCACATTGAAATATGAAACAGGCTTTGTTAATTTGAAATTGGCATTAAGTGGTTCATCTTCTATCTGTTCAGTAGCGCTTTCTGTCATCGCTTTACGTAGATCCTCATGAATATCCCACACAGCTACTTTACCATCCGTCGCGGAAGTGACAAAGTAAACATGATCGTTGACTGTGACGTGTGTAATTTGAAGAATGCATTTAGCATGCCAAGTACCATCTGCCACCATAGAGAACTTCCTTGTTTTCTCGTTAAATAACCACAGTCTAATCATGGCATCAGAGTAAGCAGCACCAACGATATGTAAACCTGGTTGGAAAAGATATACAGTAGTATCCATGATTCTAGATTCAATGTCTTCGCTGATAGTAGGGCATTTCGCCATGGCCAAACAACTCAGATTGATTTCCTCTCTAGAATCTTTAGAAACTTCTGACTCTATTTTCCAAGCTCTTAATTCTTCTAATCCACCGCTTGTGAATAACAAGAAGGAAGAAGGTGACAAAGCAGGACTGTGAGCAATATTTTTGATAACTGTAGTATGTCTCCGAATATTGACATGCGTTTGTATTGTGGATAGTGATGGTATATATTGCTGTATGCGAAGTATTGTATCTTCACCTCCGGTAGCAAATACCATTGCATCTGAGATGGGTAGGAAACATAGAGCTCGAACTTCTCTTCCATGGTAGTAGTCTTGCAGAATACTGTCATGGAAACCGTCTGCTTCACCAGACGTATTGCGCACATAAGCATAGAGTGACTCTTTGCGGATGAATGCAAAAACAGACTTATTCAACTTAGCATCTTCTGTATAGAAATTCCAACGGCGGTGCCCTCCTCCACAGTTGACAGAAAGCATGTTAAAGTTTTTCTTTTCATTATAGACAAAGAATTTTTTGCGGAAGAAGCCCAAAAGTAAAAGTTCATTGTTCACGAAGCGAGAACCTTCTAAAGTGCCTTTGGTAACACGATTTCTATACAGTTTCTCGAGAATTAATTGATTACCAGATATAACAGTATCTCCACGACTTGCCACACCCAGGAGGGTCGCGTTGGTTGTTGCTCCTTCTTCATTATATTTTTGCTCAGTAGGCGTGCCATCAGAGGTACGTAATCGATATTGTATATAGCATCCATCGCGTCCGGTAGTCCAGAAAGTAAGGCTTGCCTCATTCTCAAATTCTTCGGAGCCTTCTTTAGATCGATTACTATTATCTTTAGGCTCTTTAATCAAGACACTGGTAATGGCTTGTTTACCATGAGACTTTCGAAGTTGTAATACTGGTTTTACATTCTCCATGTGGTTGGTTCTGGTCGCTTTATTTAAAGGCAGTTGATAGATCACAAGCGCCGATTCTCGCGAACCGCATATTAAAATGCTTTCTTTTTCCGCGTAATCAAGAGACATTACTGTTGTGCGCTCAGATGGCATTTCGATATTGTATAATGTTGATATAAACGGCTATGTAAGAAGCTTATTAGCTAACGTTTGGACTGTCCAATTGCTAAGTAATTCTTACCTCAGATTCTGACAGGTCAAGCTTGTGAAAAAGAACGCTATCATTATAGCCGTTGGAGATGATGTACAAAACATTTATATCTAAACAATGAATAAATCAGTAGCCTGCTTAGTTGAAAACTAAAATTTCTTGAAGAAGCTTACCAGAAGATTGTTTGATGAAAATTTCAAAGAGCTTTTGTTTATGAGCAGCAATTTTGAATGGCTAAGAATAAATGCAATCCGATAACGATGTAAGTTAATGCTAATACCTCGTCGAGTCAGTTTCTGAGAGGTATATACCTTGAATTCATCTGTTGGGCTTATAAATACAAGTTCTCCAACAATATTGCCTATAACCACAACTCTCCCGCATTCTGAATTCTGCATAATAGCGTAATTTCTGTAAGACGCATCAAATTCAACTTCTCGCCAGTCAAGGGCTAATGAAGCATGGAGATCGCATTTCAAGATATAACCTGTTTCTGTAACGGCTATTATCCATCGACTCTGAATCACTGCAAAATTGCGAATGTTGTCCTCTTCTCTGCCAAGCGGTAAAGGAAATTCGATCAAATCTTTGTCACTATCAATTGTAGTATTCGTGACCGAGGTCAGAGACCACAAACGTATACCAGAATCTTGTCCGCCTGTTGCAACAATTTTGCTCGTGGGATTTATGGCACAACTCCAGACATTTTTGACTGCATGTCCTTCCCAACATGCAATACAGCTACCATCATCTTCATCATTTTCATCCTTCTTATCTTGCAACAACGTATTTCGCCAAACGCGGCAAGTTGAGTCCTCGGATATACTGACGAGATATTCGTTGACAAATTGACAATCCCAAATACGAGCTGTATGTCCAAACAGAACCAGCGGTCTCTTGTTTCTACAACCAAACGACGATTTAGCACTGCGTAGAAATACACGAAATTTAGTTCTTTACTTACTTTTCTTCCTTTAATGGCCAAATACGTATTGTTCTATCGTCAGATACGCTGGCCAATTGGCTACCATCTTCATTGAATCTTAATCCAAAAATGACACCTTCATGGCCCGTCAGTTTTTCAAAAACAATGGCATCATTATTCGCATTTTTGACGTGCGGCTTCCATAAATGGACTTCATTAAAAACTGTTCCTGAAGCTATAATCATCTTCTCCATGGTATGTCCATAGATTCGTGCGGAATATAGAATACATCTCGTTTCGCATTGCACAGAATAGATCAATTCTAGCTCTCTTGTTGTTGAACTGAATTCGTACACCTCAGCAAAGTTATGAGCATAAACTAACATCATTTGTTTCGGATCTTTTCTACTTGCATCGTCATAAATCCAATTCGCATCCATAATCCAATCTTGGAAGGGGCCAAAGGAGTTTTCCACTTCAATAAAAGCTTGCTTTTCTTTTACTTTGATGTTCACTAAAGACAGGTATTTTGATCCATATAATGCATATTTTCTTGTGTCGAATCCATTATCATCAATAAAGTTATAGGGAGCTACCAGTTAAAGTATTTTAATTCAACAGATTGCAATGTCATTGAACGTTGAGTTATTCTTTTTTACCCTGAACAATTCTGTGTATACGGTTAGCTTCCAAAATGCATCGAGCTGCTAACAATTCACCTGTCTTGACGTTGAATATCTTTAAGTAAGGACCGTGCCCCGCCAGCAAAATAGACTCGTTATGAAATTGAAGACTGGTAACGATGCCACAATAGATCTCCTTTTGCAACGCCTATATTAATATAACGGTTAGATTTAATGTTTCGGTGTGCGATTGAATATGACTTTACTGTGCTTGAAAACATGTTTTGATGGCTTCGTACGGGTGATCATATAAGTCATTTCCCGTCAATTTACCTTTTTCCATTTATAAGTTGTGATTTCCAATGTCAAAATTTGGAAATACAAACTCAGGTATTCTCCTTGATTGATATTAAACTGTGGCTTATAGTCACATAATTGCATTAATCAAATATACCCAACTTTAACAAAATTTGGAAGCAAGTTCAAGTTAAAACAAAAAGAATGAAGTCATTGTAAAAAGGCAAAAGGCTAATGGCAGTGCCCATCATTTTCTTCTTGAATATTGACCGTATGTAAACGTAAAGCCATTATCCACCTGCATTTCGTGCAGAAGTTCTCGAGTTACATCGACTATAACCATAATAGTTCAACAGCCTATTCTATATGAGCAAAATGTAGTTTCGAAAATCTACAATCTCGGCCTTTGTCGAAGTATTTGTTGCCTTTTATTTTGTTCATACCGTTTCTAAGTGTCATAATCATTCATTGAAAACTGACAACGAATAACTCAAAGGTAAAATATTAGAAGTCAGATTTGTATAAATTTGATCGAAAAAGTTTTGTCGTTTCAGGTTCCTTCTCGCTCTCACAGTTGACCATGTCCGATTTGAAGGAACAAAAGCAAGAGGCACCAGCTGCTGCTGCTGCTGCTGCACCCGCTCCCGAACTTGATGCTGCCGCTGCCGCTAAAAAGGCAGCCAAGGAAGCCAAGAATGAAGAAAAGCGTAAGGCCAAAATGGCCAAGTTTGCTGCTAAACAAGCTAAGGTACATTCATTAGAAATCTACCGCAACGTAATGTACATCATTTAATTCATTCTGTTACATTACTTTTCAAACAACACAAATAATATAGCTTGCTGAAGCAAAGAAGACGAACAATGCTAATGCTGAAAAGAAGCCAAAGAAAGAAGCCAAAGCATCTCAACCTGTTTATGTCAACAAAACGCCAAAGGGAGAAAAGAAAGGCAAGTTATCTTTTAGCAGACGAAAAAATATCTTTTAACGAATTTATTATGTGTATCAGCATTTTACTGAACATTCGGCATCTCCGTTTTCCTTACAGATATGTCTGAACCTTTCGCCAGTGCTTATGATCCCCGTGCAGTTGAAAGTGCTTGGTATGACTGGTGGGTTAAGGAAGGCTACTTCAAACCCGAATTTGGTCCTGACGGTAAGCCAAAGCCTGAAGGCACTTTTGTCATTCCTGCACCACCACCAAATGTTACTGGTTCCCTTCACATCGGTCATGCTTTGACTGTTTCTATTCAAGATGCTTTGATTCGTTGGTAAGTTAATATTGGTTTCTTTTTTATGTTTGCATGCTTTAATGAATTTGAGAAACACATCGTTGACGTTGGTATTTACGTGTATACAGGCAACGTATGTTGGGTAAAACTGTGTTATTCCAAATGGGTACCGATCACGCTGGTATCTCTTGTCAATCTGTTGTTGAAAAGATGCTCTGGAAGGAAAGAAAGGTCACTCGTCATGATCTAGGACGTGAAAAATTCATTGAAGAAGTATTCACCTGGAAAGAAAAATATGGTAACAGAATTCATACACAATTTGAACGTCTCGGTGCGTCTTTTGACTGGGATAGAGCCACTTTCACTATGGATCCTGTAAGTTGAATCAAACATAAAATATGACTGTATATAAAGGCAGAGAAGGAGGAAGCAAAAAGTTAATCAACGGCCCTGCTTATTACTTGTTTTTTGTTCATTCCTCAGGGACCATCTGCAGCTGTTCGCGAAAATTTCATTCGTCTCCACCGTGATGGTATCATTTATCGCGCCAACCGTCTTGTCAACTGGTGTGTTCAACTCAACACCACTTTATCCAACTTGGAAGTGGAAAACAAAGAACTTCCTGGACGTACATTAATGCATGTTGTCGGTTATGATGAAAAGGAAAAGTTCGAGTTTGGTGTCTTGAACGAATTTGCTTATGAAGTTGAAGGCACAGGTGAACGTATTGTTGTTGCCACTACTCGTATCGAAACTATGTTAGGTGATACAGCTATTGCTGTCCATCCTAACGACAAGCGTTATACTCACCTTCACGGTAAATATGTTACTCATCCCTTCATCGAGCGCCGTATTCCTATTGTTACCGATGATATTGCTGTCGATATGGAATTTGGTACCGGTGCTGTTAAGATCACACCTGCCCATGACTTCAACGATTATGAAGTGGGTAAGCGCCACAATTTGGAATTCATCAATATTTTGAACGATGATGGTACTTTCAATGAAAATGCGGGTCCCTACAAAGGCATGAAGCGTTTCCATGTCAGAAAGCAAATTATTGAGGATTTGAAGGCTAAGGGTTTGTTTGTTGGTGTTAAGGAAAATCCTATGGTCGTTCCTGTCTGTAGTAAGTCTGGTGATATTATCGAACCCTTGATGAAGCCCCAATGGTGGGTCAAATGTAAGGGTATGGCCGAAAAGGCGATGCAAGCTGTCACGGATGGCAAACTTAAGATTGCACCCAAGGTCTCTGAAGGCGATTGGTTCCGTTGGTTAAGCAACATTAACGATTGGTGTATCTCGCGTCAATTATGGTGGGGTCATCGTATTCCAGCCTACTTTGTTAATCTTGAAGGCGAGAACAATGATCCTATGGACGACAATAAATGGGTTGTAGGTGAGAACGAAGAAGTAGCTCGTGCTGAAGCTGAGCGTAGATTCCCAGGCAGTAAGTTTACTCTTGAACAAGATCCCGATGTTTTGGATACCTGGTTCTCCTCTGGTCTGTGGCCCTTCTCCACTCAAGGTTGGCCCGAAAAGACATTCAACATGGAGCATTTCTACCCTGCTAGTATGCTTGAAACTGGTTGGGATATTCTTTTCTTCTGGGTGGCCCGTATGGTCATGTTGGGTATTCAGTTGACGGGTGAAGTTCCTTTTGCTGAAGTCCTTTGTCATGCTATGATTCGTGATGCTCATGGTCGTAAGATGTCCAAGTCTCTCGGAAACGTCATTGATCCCGTCGATGTGATTGAAGGTATTTCTTTGGAAGGTCTCCACGCTAAGCTCTTAGAAGGTAACCTTGACCCTAGAGAAATCAAGAAGGCTGAAGCTGGTCAAAAGGCTGATTTCCCTAAGGGTATTCCTCAATGTGGTACCGATGCTCTTCGTTTTGCCCTTTGCGCTTATACCACGGGTGGTCGTGATATCAATCTTGACATTCTTCGTGTTGAAGGCTATCGTAAATTCTGTAATAAATTATGGAATGCTACTCGTTTCGCTTTGATGAAGCTCGGTACTGACTTTAAGCCCAATGAAAGTGCGGAACCCGTGGGTAACGAATCCTTGGCTGATAAATGGATTCTTTCAAAGCTTAACAAATGTGCTATTGAGGTCAACAAATATCTTGAAGAACGTAACTTCATGATGGCTACCAACGTTGTTTACCAATTCTGGCTGTATGAACTCTGTGATGTCTATATTGAAGTTGTCAAGCCTATTTGTGATGCGGATACTACTGGCGACGAAACGGCTACTGCCCGTAAAATCACTGCCCAAAACACCCTGTATACTTGTTTGGAAGCTGGTCTCAAACTCATGCATCCCTTCATGCCCTATGTTACCGAAGAATTGTTCCAACGTCTTGGTCGTCGTCCCAACAGAGATGAACCTACCATTGTTAAAGCTCGATTCCCTGTTGAGAACAAGGCTTACGACTTTGCTGAAGAAGCTAAGCAATTTGACGTTGTGTTCGATGCTGTCAAGGGCATTCGTTCTGTTGCAACTCAGTTAAATCAAAAGAAAAACATTGTCGCACATATCAAGACTTCAAATGAAGAATATAAAACTTTATACGAAGCAGAAAGAGCATCCATTACGGCCTTGGCTAAGGGTGTTAGTGAGCTGAACATTTTAGATAAGGATGCTGATGCTCCTGCCGATTGTGAATCCTCTGCCGTTGGTGACCATACCACTGTTTTTGTTAAGAAATAAGCCCATTCCATTTTTTTATTTGTCTGTATAAATTAATAAAAGTTGATCTTTCCTGATTGTTTTAGAGTTATATTTTTGTTGGCTATAATGGTTTTATTCGCTTTATAGCCCCCCCCCCACCACTCTTGAACCCGTAGTTGTGTGCGCGATCTGCATGAATTTGGCAGTTGCTGTTACTAAAAATTGCGGGAGATTGTTGACGTGACTACAAAGAGCAAGGGGAGGCGACGCAAGGAAAAACTGCAATTTGACAGTTGTCCAAACTTCAGGCTATACTTTCACGTTTCTTCCGTTTCTTTTACGATACTCATTCAAAACGCAATGTCACAAATAGCGTCAAGAAAACTGTTGGTTGTTGGTGGTACTGGATTTCTTGGTAATAAAATCGGATGATAATCAGTTACTCTCAAATAGCAAGGAAAGTAGCGTAGCGTACAGCTAACATCGATTTTTTGAAGGGTTGAACATATGCAAACTTGCAGCAAATAAAAACTGGGAAACCATCAGTCTGAGGTACACGTGTAGATGGGGCAGAAATAAAGAGACAGTCAGCTATAAAAATACGGTTGTTTGACACTACCACTTCCAAATTTACACTAGTCGGAAGGGAGAACCTGAACAGTTTAAACAATTCGAAAAGCCCGAATGGGCTTCAAAAGTACAATGGATACCGGGGGACTCTCTTGCACCAGAGACATACAGAGACGTATTAAGTGGCGTGACAGATGTTGTTCACTCAGTCGGTATTTTGATGGAATCTGATTATAAGAAATTAGCACAGGCACAATCAATATGTGACGCAGCTAGTCAGCTTCCAAAATTTATCTTGGGCATGAAAGATGGAGGCAATCCTCTCGATCCAGCCCTTGAGACGAATCCGAAGCCTACATATGAAATGATGAACAGAGATACAGGTTAGAAAAGTGAAAGAAATAGTTTCGTAAAGTGTGACTCTGCTAAAGTGTAAAACTGAATAGTCATCACTGTTGCTGACCAGGTGGCAAAACTACCATCTATAAAGTCCTTTACATATATTTCTGCATCTGACGTGTTTCCTTTCATTAACCCGCGTTACATCACGACGAAAAGGGAAGCTGAGACTCATTTGTTCAGACACTATAAATTCAAAACAGTGGTTTTGAGGCCAGGTAAAAAATACGGCTATATATCATGAATTGAAGAATGTAATGTCAAAGTTCGATTAATTTTTTTTTTTTTTGACGAATAGGCGTGATGTATAACTATCAGCGGCCTTCAGTTATGCCGATAGTGAATCTACTTCAATTGACAAATGCAATCACGAACCCCTTTAAGGATAGTATCGCAAGTTTACCAGGTGGGAAGATGTTAACGACACCACCACTAAGAACAGATGAAGTAGCTAGAGCAGTCATTCAGAGTATTGAGAACGGTGAACATGGTATATTCGACGTTGAAGGGATAGGAAAATTGAGCCGTATGGCACGGTAATCTAAAACTTATCAATAAAAAAAGAAGGGCTGTGATGCCGCCGCACACAATGGTGAATAAGCTTGAGCAAGGTACGAGTTATGTGTGCATAACCACAACAACAAGTAACAGAATTTTTCAAGATCTAGAATTTGCATGATTTTTTTGCATTTTTTTCGTTGTTTTTTTTTTTTTTTTTTTTTTTTTTTTTTTTTTTTTTTGTGTTTTTATCAAAATTCGCTCTCTCTCTTCCTTTCTTTTCTTTTAGAACTTGTCTCTTTTTTTTTTAATCTACGCTATTCCCTCTTTATCGTATGACGTCTATTATAGGATTTACCAGAGCACCTTGTAATCTCTATTGCTCAATAGCGCCAGTCAAGAAACTATATCAGCGAGAACCCATATCGAATGGAAATGAGACCGAATTCGGAACTTTTGATACAGCTGGCGATGATAAGAACCGGAATTATACACCAAACTTTCACCGCATATTTACCAGAGAATCAATGTCTTCTGCGGGTATTATAGATCTGATAAAGAACAAGCAGTCCTTGTTTCTACTAAGCGATAAGACCGCTAAATACGATAAAACGACAGCAGAAGTGAAAAATTACAACAAAGAGAAGAATTTATCACCTAGACCAAGCAATGTTCTTTTTCAGGTGTCCAATACCTCTGCAAAGCGATCAACACACCAGCAAAAGCTGTCTAAAACTAACTACAACGTCTATCTTTCTATTGAACTCGAGAGTAAGCGAGAGTTTGATAGTGTACTCGATGAGAGTCAAAGTAACGGACACATTGCTTCAATATCCAGTTACACCAACGTTGAACGTGTAATAGAATCTATATCCGAACTAGCATATAACTTGACTATGAAATTTGTCAATGTGCTGGAACTCTTAAAAAAATTACTACTGTACCAAAAACAATACCAATTTTTGAGCTGCATAGATAAGCAGCAAAAGACTCTGAAAGTCTACTTTCCAAATGACCTGACAAACGATGTTGGTGGAACATACGCATGGCTAAAAGAGGAGGTCGGCATAGATATAAGCACACAACAGAATTGGCATTTGGTGCCCACGAAAGATTACAATAGCAACGATGATCAACAGTTATCCACAGCCAATGACAGCAGTGCTACCAACGAGAAATCTGGTGCTCACTTTGACGGCAAAGCTTATTTTGAAGACATACACAGGTTTATAGATCAAGTGGACGCATTAATACAATCAAACGGTTTATTTTCTCATCCTGGAAGAGAAGAAAACCAATAAGATCACCAGTGAGATTTTTGGTTCTCTTTTTTTAGAAAAAATACTTTTTTTTTTTTGATTCTTACTGCAAAAACGCTTCATGTTTGATCTTGTGGTAAAAACGCAAGTTGATCACTGCCTCAAACGTTATATATAATTACACTTGCAGCTGACACTCTATCTGATATCCCGCTTTCGGTTGCACTACAATTGTATATACGTGACAGTCTTATACAATTCAATCCAGTTAACAGTCTACGGATGGGCATTTTCCCAGTCCCTCAAAATCTGCATATTTGCATGACAGAACACGCCAATGAAATGGTTCAATTTCTGAACCCCTCATCAAATAAAAACATGCATTAGCTGATTTGACATATGCCCCCAAACAGACTCTGCGGTTTATCCTTTTCTTGAAATAAGCATTACCTACGTTTAACTGATGACTTATCATCGTGCAAAAATATAATTTAATATGCGGTACCTCTCTATAAGAGCGAACAAAGATATTCCGTTTTGTCTTGAAGCATCCTTTTTTTTTTTATTAACAAGCAAGTTGATTCATTGAGAGCGTCCATAGCGTAAGCTGTTTAATAAGTACACATTTGTGAATAGGATGAATGTTAAAATCGGCAAGAGTACAGATTGTTAAGGTGTGTTGTTTGAAGGGCCTGGAGAGCGAAAGCACTCATGTAAGCACTACAATATCTTCCGAATTGAATAATAGTCTAATATCATTTCAAGCTAAGGACGATTGGAAATGGTCCAAAAGCCTTCTTTCACATGTACCGTTGTGTTTTCACATAGTTCCAAGTATTTCTGAATTGCTTTTATGGTTGAAGCTCCCCACATTCTCACAAAAAGAGTATACAATGAATATTTGTACTATTGATGTTGTGCTACTTGACCGTTGACTGGTGTACATAAAACAGTTGCTCATCTTACTATACCATCTGAGCTTTCCTTGTTGTAGTTTTTTTTTTTTTGGTTCCTCTTTCACTTTCCTTCTGTAAAGATTTCTCTATGAATACAATCCGAGCTCAACTCAGGAAATTATCACCAAAAGCCGTTATTAGTATACTGAGAAAAGTCTTTGCTTTACCGGCTCCGGCAGCAAGGCTTATTCTTAATGATGTTACAAGACCACGAAAATCACATTCTTCGTGGATCTATAAAGTTAAGCCTTTGAAAAATCAGCATCAAGACTGGACAGGATGCTGGATAGGGGAGAATATTAAGCATTTAAATGAAGAGGATCTATATAAGCGGGTGCAGGAAGCAGATATTGTTCTGTTCTTTGTTCATGGTATGATTCAAAGAAAATGTAAAGTCTTCTACTTATTGAAACTCATTGAAACACCTATATACAATCTGCTAGGTGGAGGCTTCCGAATAGGTAGTTGCACCATGTATATGGATACACATATCGCCTGGATTAAAGCGCTAAAAGAGAAACATAATCTAAATTGTATGATAATGAGTGTTGACTACAGGTATTCAAATTAAATTTCAAAGCAAATTCTTTATTTTTTTCAAACCATAGTACATGACGATTGAACAAAAATGAATACAATCGTATGTTTACATAGGTTGGCGCCTGAGTATCGCTATCCAAGTCCAGTGGAAGATGTAGTGAAGGCATATGAGCATTTACTTGAAAAATTGAATGTAAAAGCAGAAAAGATTGTTGTCGCAGGCGATTCTGCTGGTGCTGCTCTACTGCTAGAAATGCTATTTATAACGCATGATCCAAGTATGTTTGAAATCATTACAGAAGAGGAAGGCAAAGACATAGCACAACAGCCCACTCTGTATGCATTACCACGACCTGCAGGATCCGTTTTTATTTCCCCACTTGTTACAGATGAAACAACCTCAGAATCCTGGAGGATAAATCAAAAACACGACTATATCACAGACTATACCGCCAAAGTGATCAAGCGCGATTATTTTGGAAAAGTAGATTACCGTACGGCAGCAACCAATGATGAAGAACAAGCAGAAAGAATATTGGGCATAGCCAAATTAGAAACTGGGTTCAGGGACTTTTTACCAGCCGAAGTGTTGATGTATATTGGTAATTTGGAAGTCTTGAGAGACGATGCGCTGCAGTTAGCAATGAAAGCTGAGCAGGATGGTGTTGTATGGCAGACTGTAGCTGAAGATTTTGTGCATGATTGGTTCTGCGTTCGTGAGGTGGTTAAGGATAAAGCAGCACTTGCCAATGCAGATGCCGTTTTTGCAGATTTCTGCTATCGAACCATTTCGAGAAATAGTTTTTCGACACAGTGTCAACTAACACCACGTGAAAGCACGCTTTTAGAAACTGTACACGAAGAAGGAGAAGAATCCGACAGTGAATCTGTATCGGTGACGACTTCAACCCCTTTTGGATCATCGTCAATGCTTGAGTTTAGGCTGTCCAAATTGGCTGGATTGCATGATTCGAAAACCAGTGTGACGCCCCGCCCTTCATCGAAATGTTCTTCCGAAATTGTCTTTGTATAACAGAACGATGAGCGTATTATATAACAGTCCATTTGCACTCGTACCTTATTCATCTACAGACCAAGAAGGAAGAAACAATAAAGGGGCTAAACGTGACGCTTTCTTGTTGATCGTGAATGGTTAGATACAGCAGCCGCGCTATTGTTATCTCTTGCTTTCCCTAGCTTTTCTTTTTTTTTTTTTTTGTTTCTTTAACTCTGCTTTCAATTTTGTCATATTCGCTTTCGCTTTTTCATGTCAATACCTTTGCAGCTCGATACGGCTTCAAATGTTCCTTTTAAAAATGATGAAGGAAAAAATGACGACGATAATTCTTGCCAGCTACTAGATGAGTTTGGTGCGCTAGTACAGCTTTTCTTGGCTTGCTCCATATTGCTCTCATTAATGTACAAAAGATCAAAAGAATCACCGAGAAGACCGTGGCAGATATGGTAAAATTATGTTAATGAATCTAAACAAGTTACACTGTTACTGATCAGATTCTTTTTCTCATTTTCATTTGCAGGTTTCTGGATGTGAGTAAGCAATTTATTGGAGCAGGTATGATCCATTTCATAAATATTGGACTAAGCTATTTTACAGCTTTCCGGCATCATGGATCTCCCATAGCAACAAATCCTTGCGTCTGGTATTTTATGAATGTAGCAGCTGATACAACAGTCGGTATATTCGTTCTATGGTGCTGGCTTACACTATTGCTGGGTACGTTGAGAAAACTCCATGTCAACATAACTGAAACAGGAGATTATGGACCGCCTCCTCTTTCGCGCAGAATGAAACCATGGCTTGAACAGCTTGCTATCTTTATAGTAGCTCTCATTTTGGCGAAGGCATGTCTGTATGAAATCTTAATTTCTTGTGAATGGTTTATATGGATCGGTGAAGTATGCATAAGTTGGACGTTAATTGATCAGAAGCTTCAAGTTATTTTCGTCATGTTGATGTAAAGGGGGAAAAAAAAAAAAGGCTTTTGACGATTCCATTCAACTATAAGAAGGCAGTACAGTAACGTTACTTTTTCTTCAAAAAATCTTTGTTATAGCTTTCCGTTCTTTATGAACACAGTTCAATTTTGGTTGACAGATACAATGCTGGAAGTCCGCAAATCAATGAGAAAAGATATTAGCAGCGAGCAAACAGATGATTTCAAAGGAAGCCGTAAGAAATATCTATTACCATTGCCCATGATCACCGTTATCAATGAGCAAAATGAGCGAGCACCATTACTGCTGCCAATGTTTAAGCGTTTTCCAACATCTTGATGATATTACAACGCAGAATCCAAAATTCTGTACATAAATTGTTTGCCTACATATGCACATAAACATCACTTAAATGTATATTGTATACATTTATTGATAAAATGCACGCATTGTTCAGTCTAAAATTGCTTTTCCGATGGACGATGTACCTATTTAATTGACATTTATGGATAGCCATTTTATATCACGGGGTTTGTTTATCGTGTGTCAGTTTTCCAAAACTTAAATTTTATAGTATCAGTTCAACATCTTTTCCCTCCCCTTTTCTTCACCTTACATTTTCTTTTTAGTGTTTCTTTTTCTTTCTCAATAAAGAACTGAATAGCTTTTTCATTTTTCATGGATCCCAATGAACGGCCGATTCATAAGGTCCGGTCCAATTCATCGACCTATAGAGTGAGAAGACCGAGCCGTACAGCATCAAAATATGGGTCAATTGTAGAAGAAAGAATCAGGAACGATCCTACAGACTCCAGCAATGATAGCGAAGAAGAGGAAGAAGAGGAAGAAGAGGAAAATACAGGAGAAAGGCGTTCCGAAATGGATGATGAAGAAGGACTCAGCAGCACACATAAGCAGCGCTCTCGTCGTCAAAGTCGTCAGTTAAGTGAACAAATGTCATTTGCAAGTCTTGATCATGAGATCACGTTAAAAGACAAACAAGAAGTAAGAAAGGGACAAATGAAAGTGGTTATGTAGAAAAAAGTTTCAATCTTAAAACGGCTCTCCTTGGTGTAACATAGGCTATGAATAAGCAACATCCTTTCGGTCTGCCTTTGTGGAAACCAGCATTATACAAGAAATCTCGTTCAGTAGTTCGGAAAGCAAATAGTGCATTGCATTCATCTCCATCTTCGTCCTCCGAAAATTTTCTGAATCCAGGTAATTTACTATGGTTAATCATTTTTGGCTGGTGGCTCGCTTTGGTCGTGTATGCAGTGTCGATTTTTATGCATATCTTGGGTGGTCATGCTTATGGCATCATGTTACGTGAACTAAGTTCCTATCTGCTTTGGCCATTTGGTCGATATGTGGAACGTCTGGTGGAAATTACACCTTCCATCATAAGTAACTTGGAACGAGAACAGACATCAGGCCAGTCTTCAGTTGTCATTAGTGATTTGGATGAATATCAAGACGATGAAAGTGGTCCGTTATTGGACCATCACCTCATCAAGCATAAAAGGTACAACTGGTTTCACGCAGTCGCTGAAACCATCAGATCGGGCCCTACAGCTTGTCTTTATTACCTGCTCTTTTATACTATCATTGGTAAGTGGTAATTACATACTGCTATATCGAACACGAACCCTTTAATTCATTAACCAAACTATATCTGATATTGTATATTGCAGCCCCTTTATTGATATTAGTATCGACACTCTGTTGGATGTGCGTAGTAACTGTACCAATGGCCAAACTCAACTATATTTTGGTCCGCCATTTACGTCGCCATCCACTCAGTCTTCGATTTCACTCGAAATCGTCCATCGTCTCCAGCACTCATCAACAGCCAACTGTCATTTTACTCTGCACTTATCAAGCCTTTGGATGGCAATATTACAAATATACTTATAATGGTATCAATATTATGTTCATCAACTTGATGCCTCTTGTATTTTTCGTCATTTTCGACGATTACATATTGAAGGAACATTTTCCCACCGCACTGATGACATCGCCGCAAATTATCTTTGGTTTATCGCTTGCTTCAGTCATTCCATTATCTTATTTCATTGGCATGGGCGTCAGTTCAGTATCAGCTCAAAGTAGTATGGGTTTAGGTGCCGTCATCAATGCAACCTTTGGCAGTATTATTGAGATCATTCTTTATGCAGCAGCATTGATGGCAGGAAAAAGTTCGCTTGTAGAAGGATCTTTGATTGGCAGTATTTTGGCAGGTGTTCTGCTTATGCCCGGATTCTCAATGATAAGCGGCGCTGTCAAGAGGAAAGAACAGAAGTTCAATGCCAAAAGTGCAGGTAAGACAAGACGATGATAACAATAGAACGCCTGGCAAAAATGGAGTCTTACGATGTTAAATTACAGGCGTCACGAGTACTATGCTCATTATGGCTATCATTGGCGCTTTATCACCTACATTATTCTACCAATTCTTCGGTTCGGTAAATCGCATGCAAGTGTAATAGTAAAAATTGCTATAGAATGAAGGCTTGCTGATCCCGTCATATCCATTACTATGTAGTTCGAATTGCGTTGCACTGGATGCCCTGATGTTTCTGAACCCGGCGGAACAATGGCTTGCTCGCATTGCTACTATGACCAGTTGAATCCATCAGAAGATCCTGTTTATCAAAATAGTGTTAAACCTTTCATGTGGATTTGTGCGGCTATATTACCTTCTGCTTATGTTATTGGGCTTTTATTCAGTTTGCATACGCATGCTGATATGGTTTGGAAGAGCCACATTTCCAACAAACCTCATGAAACCCCGGTTGCCGCTGTTGTTCATCCACAAAGAGTATACCCTGTACATATCATCCAAACTAACCAACAACAGCAAGATCAGCAAGAATCGAATGAACATACTCCACTAAATACTCATACTTACATGCAAGGTATTTATCGCTTGAACTGATATGGCTAAACTGCGTAACCAACACTTATTGCCTTTTCATTTCTGCCAGCCGTAGATCCACAAGGTTTGTTAAATGTTAATACGGCGGCGGCCGACAGGGCTGGTGGTGTCACGGCAGCCACTACGATCGGACAGCCATTAGCCTTTATTCATGCCAGAGAACCGGAGGAAGAAGAGGAAGAAGAAGCAGCCGCTGGTCATGACTCACCCAATTGGAGTAAAGCCATGAGTTACTCTGTTCTATTTGGTTGTACATTCTTATATTCTGTTATTGCCGAAATTCTAGTGCAAACAGTGGACACTGTCATGGAAAATGTTGCTATCGATGAAAAATTCTTGGGTCTGACATTGTTTGCGTTGGTGCCAAACATTACTGAATTCATGAATGCTATCTCTTTTGCTCTATATGGAAACATTGTCTTGAGGTAAGGAGTTTCAAAATGTCTGTGCGTTTTATTTCAAAGCTAACTACTCTTTCCTGCTTCATTTTATTCCTTGCTTTGTTTAGTATGGAAATCGGCTCAGCATATGCTCTACAAGTCTGCTTACTACAGATTCCTGCTATGGTAGCTTTTTCATTATGGTACAATTGGGGCAAAGAGGAAATAAGAAAGTTTACATTTAAGTAAGTTTGTTAAATCACAATTGGTAGCCTTGCTACTTCATGCTTCTTCATTTACACCCATCTTTATTTCCTCTAGTTTAATCTTTCCTCGTTGGGATATCATCTCAGTTATATTCTCCGTCTTCTTGTTGACTTACACCTACCAAGAAGGAAAGTCAAATTACTTCAAGGGATCCATTCTCATTTTAAGCTATATTGTACTAGTAGCGGGGTTCTACTATATACCGTCCTTTAGTGATGCATCCAATTTACTTGTGGGCATTGAGCCAAGGTTTGTTCAATAGCAAGAATACCATGTAACAGATATCCATAACAACAACAACAACAACAACAACAGCATCAGCAACAGCAATGGTAGTAGCAGTAGCAGTAGTAGTAGTAATAGTAATAGTAGTAGTAATATTGGTAACAGTTTTTAGTAAAATATGCAGAAACGAAGTGGAAGGCTTGTTCGTTTTGCTACATAGCAATCTTTATGTACTTACTGTAAAGATTAAACTGAATAGAGTGAGTCGGTTAGTCTTGCTGTTGAATCCAAGCATGCCATTCATCACTGATTTGCATGAATATAAAAGCAAGTCCGCCAATTAACTTTTTTCCATTTGGAAAACATAAACCTGGTTAGATTTTTCCCTCACTGTCCCTCTTTCTTTTTCATATTTCCCGTACATTCTTTCCCACAAACGCAATAAACATAATCAACTGTAAAATGTCTTCTGTCTTTGTTACTACTGCTTCATCGCATAATTTAGAGACACCCATAAAGGAAGAACAGCAACTGACGGAAAGTATGCGAAATTGCTCTATTTCTTCAGCTGGTACAGTAATCGATATTGACGGACGATTGGCCTCCGCTGACATTTTGGTCGCCCTTCTTGATAGACCAGCAGAAATGAAAGATCTTGTCTTGCGTAATAAGTCGTTTTATGAAACGCTGGAAAACTATATCACGGAAACTCAAGGATCAGAAGCCTGGCAGCACTTTCAGGATATCCTATATAAACCTCGGGAAAGGTTGCCTGACCGTATTTGGATGAACCAAATTAGCCACTATTTAGCCCAAAACCCTGTCTTTCTAAATACGTTTAAAGAGAGTGTAGGGTATGACGATGATGATGATGACACTGCGGTATCAACACCACCTTCCAAACAAGCATATCCTCTGCCGCCTCGAAAATTGAGCGCCTCGCGTAGTTCAGGCTCCGTAAGCACAGTCAGTAGTCTTAATAATAATGGCACTAGACGAAGAGGTAGTCGTCGTCTGTCAAGCATGAGCAGTATACGTGATTCTCATAACGATGAAGATTACTTTCATTTTGAAGAGATACATAATGATCATGAAGGCATGTTTCTAAGTGAAGATCAATTTTATCATGACAACCATGCACACCATCATGAACCAATGGACCTTTATAAAAGACGTCGCTCGTCGTGCCATTCAATCCAAGCGGAGCCTCATCCAACTTTTGTCGACTTTAAAATTGATGAAGTAGATGAAGTAAACGTAGACGTTAACACTAACGATGACAGGGATGCTGAAAGTGACCACTTGGCTGATCTTTTAGAGCAAAATACGGATTCTGATGACTCAGATGATTACAATAATACAACCTATAATGAAGTACAGCAAACGAGCGAGAGAAAAACTAAAAATGCTGCTGCAAAAGGTAACAGGCATAAATCTGCCGATTCTATGGATGTAATGGATCTCTTGAGGCTAAGAGACTACCCTGAGTTTCAGTTCTCATTGCCTCAAACACATGCATCCTTCTTTGCAAAAGCTAAACGGTTAATGTCGATTGCACCCTCTTCACGCCGACTCTCTGCTGCTATTCGCCGCAACTCCATTTTAGAAGATTCTATGCCTTCCAGCCCCGTTACTGAATTGGATGAGCCACATATTCAGATCTGTTTAGCTGACGATGAATACGGAGGAGATAATGATAGTTTGGAACGTCTTATTTGCTGTACTCGTAGACAACAGCCAGATGATATTGCCTGGTTAAATAGTATCATGGAGAAATTGGCTGGATGGCCCGAACTTGTTGATAGTTTACTAGAAATAGTTCAAGAGCCTTTCTAGGATTGAGGTTATTCACATTTGTAGTTTAAATGTTTGGAGTATTTAGCTATTCCCTATCGAACATTGTCATCTATTCCATTTTATTCCATTTAATGAATTTTCAATAAAGTCACACTATTTATTTCGGCCGCGGAAAGAAGAAACTGTACCTGTTTCGCTTCTAAGCATGTCGCTACACGGCGAAGAAACAACGATACATAGCAACGCTGGGTTTCCAAAGGAATACTTATTCGAAGCTCAGAATAGCGCATGCTATTGTAGAAACTTTCTCTTTGCTGAACATTTATTGAATTATATTCCCATAAGATTCTGGTAAGAAATAAATGTTGCGTAATTGAAGTTTTTCACTCAATATTCAGGGCTTTAACTATACGAAATTGCAGCTTTTCGCTTATCTACTAGTATCATAGCGGCAAATATTACATATGCCCAACCGTGAGCCTCGCAGAAAAGTACTACAAATCATAGAACTGAAATATGCAGATCAATGCAGCTCCTCGAGTATTGTATAAAGATGGTTGCTGCTGTGTTGTGGGGACAATTCGAACTCCATTTTTCAGTGACTTTAAAAAATTTAAAAAAACAAAAACGAATATGCGCTCCCATCGTAGGTTGTTTTATTGATTCCCCTTTCTTTGTATTTGAGACATTCTTTCGACAACTTACAAACACGTATGGCTCAATTAAAGCGGGTCGAGAAGTACGCGAAAAAACTGAAGAAATATTGCTCTGAGAAGAACATCGATGGCGAAGCTGTACTCTACGTTGTAAAGGATATTGGAGCAGAATTGACCTCCAATATTTCGGAGGACAACGTTGGTAAATAGGAAATTGAAGAAAAATATATCACAATGAATTTAGTTTGCATAATAAATGAAATTCTCGTCGCAAACTCTAAACAGACAATATTTGCTCCATGCTATTGAAGGCAGACGGCCCTATTCATCTGTTTTTCCGAAAATGCAGAGAAGTGACAGTAGGCGATTTGAAAACTGCAGTCTCAGATATGTTAAATATCTTGCTGGTATTCCTAAGAAAGCGTAGTCGAAGCCGTGCTTTACGAATATACACCAAAGATTTGATGGTAATGCTCCTGATACTCTCAGAATGTATAATATATTCCGCAAGGCAGTTGATAAATAACAATTGCATGTAAATCTTTTTTTCTATTTGTTGCTTTTTCCATTAATCAATTATTGGGGATGTATAGGCACAATGTCAACGGATTGCTACGGGAAAAGGCCATGGGACAGTTAAGGTCCTAGCGATTGAGCTTCTGACTAGGATGGTTGATAAAAGGGATGGATTTGAAACTACGGACGAAGAAGCAAAGGCAATCTATGACAAGTAAATTTGAACTTTCAAGCAGTCGCAAAAGATTGTTAAGCGAGAGAATTGCGAGAATTGATTGATAGAGTTTTAATAGATTTATGGAGCAATATACAATGAGCAGTGTAAGGCCAACTGCTAAACAAAGAATTGTAGAATTGCTGGGAACTATTGCGAAAAACTATCCTCAGCTTGTTGATGGAAAAGAAGCAAATAGTAAGCTAAAACGATGGTGCTTCCAAGGCCTTAACCATGAATCAAAAAGACACTTCGCAGATGCTGAGTTGTCCTTAGTAACAGGCTATTTGACATGCATTGATATACTCTTGTATCGACAAGAAGAAGAAGAGCAAATGGGTATCAGCAAAGAGGAAGCATTTGTTATTCTCCAACCTCAATCTCCAGAAGTTCAGCAATTGTTCAACCATATCCTTATCATCATAACCACTTCTAAAGATACCAATCGTTATCAAGCTGTTATTGCCGCATTGTCCTTATTTAAGAATCACTGTGAGATGTTTTCAAAACTGCTCATGGATAGATATGTCAATTTATACAGAGAACTGCATTATTGGGCCACACATTATAACTCAACTTGCTACAAATTTGGTTTGGGCGCTTTCGAAGAATTTTTAAGACAGGTAAATTGAAGGGAAGCCAGATTCAGATCAATACAGCTATTTATAGGTAATTTTGGCATAGCTATCTGTTGTCTTATTTCATAATATACATGGTGACCGAGAAAAGGCGATAGCACGCGATTTGGTTGCTCAGTTTGGGCAGACATTATTGAAAGCAGACAGTTTGGACAGCATTTATGAAGTATCAGTAGCTATTAGAGGTGTTGGTTATTTTTCAAAAGTATTTTATGCACTAGAGAATGAACCGGATATCAAAATTGACATGTATCAATGGCGCAATAATCTTGTCAGAATAAGTAATTGGTTTTATTCAGAGTAAGTATTACGACGAAATTTCTGAAGGTAGTAATCTGTATGCCGAAACTAAGTCTCCCCCTAGAACCAACAAGAATCAAAAAGAATACATCCGTCATCTTCCAGCATTCATCAAAGCTTATGCCTCATTTGCTGAAGTACAGGATAATATACCTGTAGATCTGATGCAGACACTTCAGCTAATGTGTGATATCTTTATTCTAAGTTTTGCTGAGATGTCTGGTTATCATAGAAGAAATGGAAGTTTTTACATACAGCAATTATTCAGTATGATATTCAACAAAAACAAAGGTGTTTTTCTACAATTCATAGACGGTTTCTGTAAGTCTTCTACTTTAAGCTTGTCGAGAAAAAGTAAATGTAATTCACAAAAATTGAATATAGTTGAGAAGGCTTTGATTTGCACTTGCACCAACATTCACCAACCGGACAAAGAAGATCGCCCCGCTTACACTGAATTGCTATATTTCTGGAAAGTTGTCTTGGAGCTTATGACTGACGATACACGCGTTATCAAACTAGAAATAGATACTCAAAAAGAAGATGCAGAGATTGAGGCGGACGATATCTTTAAACTTTACAACCAGAGAACCGTCATTACCAATCCGAATGAGCTCTCCCGAATTATGTACGATACATTTATCTCAACAACATTGAAACTTATCAAGAGTTTTAATCTTAAACTGAAAAACATCGCATTAACTGAAGCAGACCTCAAAATGGAGGAGAGTGAGCAAGAGAACATACAAATTTTATCCAAATCACTACGGCCCATTAATCAGAAGGATTTTGTCCTATTTCAAAATTTGGTCGACTTCTGGTGTACATTACTGAAGGAAATTGATAATACCTATATGATTCATTGGGTTCACATAATTAGCACGCAACTAATCGAACTAAGTACCATTCACCAACTCGTCAGTGGCTTCTACAGAATATTAGCCGAAGTACTCATCATCTGTGAGCAGCAAAACTTTTTCAGAGGGTGTAAAGCATATAACGATGCGCTAAAAGAAAACGTCAACATTAATATTGAAAAAGGAATGGTAGGAATGAAGTTACTCAAATTATAATATATCAAAGGCGCGTTCTGAGGAGTTGCTCTGATAAACTTACTTTTTTTGTGAATCCCATTACGTTGTAAAACGATAGCCAGCGGAGTATTCGACTTACATTATAGTTCAGGAATTCTTGAAAGAAGTTTGGCATCGACTTCAACAATTTACAGATGAATTATTGGCATCGTGCCTCAGATTGATATTGGCCTACCCGGTCGAATTTTTCGATATCGAGGAACTAATCACACCATTAGAAAAAGCCCTTCGCTTAGGCATTACGTATCATCCCTTAGCTACTATTGCTATGAACAGCCTTGACAAACTCTTGGATCCCACATTTCGCTATGAGATTAGTTCCAAATTTTTGTCATGCATATTACCTTGCATCAATGAGTATCTCTTAGTTGGTGTTATTTCATTTGAGAATGACGATAGCATTGGCAGCAGTAGTAATAATAAGAAAAAGTATAAAACACCGACTGCCTCAGAGCGGCGATACCGAAGTGTTCATCTCAAGATGACTTCAGAACAGATCGGCGTCATAAAACGTAATTATTCTAGTCTTCCAGAACTTCAGCGTAGAATGATGCAGTTCTTGGGAAGGTTAGGAGGAAAAAATAAGCAATTGTTGATCACCCAGCAAGAAGGTCAAGAGCAAGGTCAAGAAAATGAAAATGATAATGCGCGTATTCTGTCTTGGGACACTACCAAAAAGATCAAGTTGCGCATTCCATTCAGAACTATGAAAGTAGATATCTACCTCGACGAATACTTACCGCGTATTTGTGAGCTTGCGGAATCGTCGCCTGACCGAAAGATCAAAGTAGCTGCCTGTGAATTATTACACGGCTTGGTCGTTTACATGGTTGGTAATAGTGCCTTTACGCCTCGAAAAAGCAAACGCTCAGAGGAGTCAGATTACCACAAATTTTATTCACGGCTCTTTCCTGTCATGTTGAACTTGGCGATTGATGCAGATCAAGTGACACGTGATATGTTTCGCGTACTAAATTCACAGGTGATACATTGGCTCACCAATAATGCGCATTACGAAAATCCTGAAACTATCGTTCTACTGCATACATTGTTAGATGCAGCTTGTCAAACGGATGCAGGGCTTCGCGAATACAGCGCAAAATGTATTCAAGAGTTTGTTGAATGGTCTATCAAACAAACTCCCAGAACTACTGATAGCGTTCATAATATTCGTTCTTTGCTGAAACGGTTGTATAATCTCATGGCAAGTCCCAACGCGTCAAAACGTTTTGGTGCTGCTTTGGTTTTTAATAACATGTACCGTTTCTTTCGTGAAGAAGAAACCTTGGTTAATATGTATACGTTCGAAATTCTTGGACAGTTATTCTTAAATCTGAAGATAGCGGAGGTAGACCATCCTTCCATTGGCACAAGAGAGCAAATAATAGAGGCTATCAACCACATCAAGCGTATTCTGCGTCAAAAGATAGATCTCTTCATGACAGACAATGACCGGCGTCCATTTATAGGCTCAGATGAAGTCGTTGATCTACCAAGTTTAGTGGAATGGACTTTTAAGGAAAGTGGCAGCCTTCAGCGCACATACGCCAAAGTATGCATCAACTTCTTTAACGAATTTGCTAAATTGCTTCCCGGTATCAAGGAAACTCATCAATGGTTGTCTAATCAAGACGAAAAGTTAATCGAAACTGTGTTTCTAAACAAACACCTTGATTTGTTATCAGATACTGCCCCAACTGTTTTTGTTCGGCAACCTGATGGAGAAAAGGACAGGGAGAAAAATATCAAGGCTACTATTGATGCTTACTCAAACTGGATTAAACAAATGAACGCGACCGTTGATGGCTTTGTTTGGCTTGTTGAACGCAAAATCGTGAGTCCACAACAATTGCTTATTCAATCTTTATCTTGTTCCTCTCGTTTATTTCAAGTTGTTCGGGAATTCTTTGCTAAAAGACCAGACACTTATTTGAAGGGGATCTTGGAACAAAGCGTTTCAGAAAAGGGAACAATTTTGAGCATTTACGTTTATGTTGTTGTACGGCTCATCTACTTTTTTGACTTGATCTTTAACCATGATAATGAATGTTTTGAATATGCTACTCAGCATGCTGCTGACGTATTGTTTCATGAGATCCTAATGAATACTGTTGCGGAAACGCTGCTCTTACCGAAGCAAATATCTGAGAGAATACAAACATATCAAGGAAATGCAGTCACTCAATCCAGTACGAAACGTATCTATGACATTGGAAAGAAGTATATCATTACGATGACGAACAAATCATGCCAAAAGTTTGAAGAATATCTTGTCATAGCGGCTGCAAATATCATAAAATCTTTTAATATTGATCTAATCTCTCGTACAGAAGGCACGACAGGTAAAAGAACACCAAATATAACCCATTCAAAATTGAGATAGATGGCTACAGCTCCTTTTTACGTGGTACATGCTTTACCTTCCTGTTCTTCTCTATTAGATCGATCATTACTGATAGAAACCGTTCAATCAGTTGATGGTATTCAATTCTTGCAATCCATTCATCTTTTGGAACCTGTCTGTAAAAAAATGCGCTCTATAGTCAAGAACTACCCTCGAGATGTTCAAGCCTACTATACCAAACTATTCGAGTATTTCCTGACGAATTGTTATGGTTCTCAGGATCCGCTCCAAATACAGTTCATGGGCAAGCTTGTGTGTATCTGCTTCGGAAACGAACAGTTTGCCAGAAATCATGCAGAAGCTTTATTAGTGAGTGGAAGAGGGAAGACAAAATGGAATGGCTGAACTCGACTTTTATTGATTAAAATGTCAATATTTATTATCAGGCATTTTCAGGACCGTTAACGCATCTAAGCGACTCAGAAAAGCTGGAGATGGTTCGAAAATATGATGATTTTGTAAGCTGTAATTTCTGTGGGTTAGTTGAAAACTTGTAACTAACATTCTGATACATTGGTGTATTTTGGTATAGTTTGTTGAAAGCATTACTAGGAACTTTAATGTTTTTTCTCGAATTTTTAAGGCTAATATCACAAATACAATTGTTCGTGATTATCTAACACTTCTGTTTGATTATCTGATGATCAACCGGTTGCGTATTCGAAAATCAGTATGGCAAATAACAGATTATGTAAGAATGATAAGCGAAGTATATAATAGTTAGTATAGCGTAATATTGATATAAGCATGATTATAGCTAGCCGACGATCCAAGTCTCTTAGAATCGATGTAATAGTTTTATTCTCAGGTTTGACAAATTTAGACGCACAAATAGATTATTAAATCTATTATTGATGTTATAGGGTCAATGCCTGGGACGTCGATGACAAACCTTTGGATTTAATTGTTTGTCTTAAATCATTGTTCGCTGCTGACCCAGGAATTTTAAGCCGATCTAAACGAAAGCCCATCTTCCAACTTTTATGGGATACTTTCATCCATTGTTTCGATAAAGATCGACCGTATAAGATCAAAAACAATGCGCTGGATATCTTACCGGTTTTTGTATGCATTGACGAAGAGTCAACGAAGAAAGTAAGAATCGTGAAGCTGGTGAATTTGTATTTTACTCATGCTAACCAATAAAGTTGCTCGCTTCAGGTCGCTGATGTATTGCAGCAATCACTTATATACGAATTTCCAGCAAAGCAATCTGTGGAAGCTTTGAAAAAGGGCACAGAGGAGTAAGTATACAGCTTTTTCAATCAAGAATCATTGTTCATTATTCTTGCAAGCAAACGTTTTTTAATATTTCCACATCAGGTATAATTATTTCATCAGCACTCTCGACAAATTAATGGACACGATGGTTACATTCAAATCTGTCCCCTTGTTTGATATTCTTAAAGTAACCTTCGTGCAAGAGGAAAATCATGTTCATAAAGAAGCTATTCGAAGAAACATCGAACAATTTACTAAAAGTTTGGGCCTCCAAAGTTTCCTGGATATAACCCAATTCTGTTTCGAGTAAGTGTGCTATTAAAGTTGTCTATTGATGACTCAACCATGCTTAATACTGACTTTCTATCCATATTACTGTATTATTACCGGTAAGTTATTTCAAAAATCTGTACTATAATTTGGAGCATAGGAAAAACTTGATTGGAATGGTTATCACGTTTTTGTCAAGTGCTTCTGAGAAATTCATAATGGAATTCTTCAAACGAAACATTGTATACATTATGAAAATCATACAACAAGACTTGCCTTATAATGCATCTGAGAGAATCACAGCGTTGCATCAAAAGGTTGGTTGTCTCCAAATGGTAAAGGCGTTCTATGAGTTATTACCAAACGACGCAACAAAGACCGGTTCCGAACTTGATACTATGTGGGTTGACTCTAACGATAACACAGCACAGCAACACAAACAGCGTGAAATTAAGAATACCTTATATACTACTTTCACAAGTATGAGAGAAGAACCTTTAGCATCAGATCTGAGAAAGGAAGCAGAAGATGACCGAAAAGCAATCTTATGCTACAATCAAGCAGTATTAAATGCATTTATTGCCTTTTCACTGCGTTTTGCAGTGAAAGAAGCACTATTCGTTAAGATTTTTGGAAAAGCTGGAAAATTCTCGCGTCAGTATATTTGGAACTCTGTGGTAGATGTAACGCATACTATCTGCTTAAAGTTAGAATTGGATCAACCGTTAGTTAAAAGTAGACTTCAAGACCTCCATGCTGCATCTGGTAAACTTCCGAGTGATGATGAGAGAAATATCACTTATATGGCCTCTATAGCGCTTACCGGAAGCAGGTAAGAGATTCTTTTTAATCCGAATCTTATCTAAACAAAAAGTTATTAATGTTATCACAACATGCTAGTTTAACTCCATCTTCTTTCGCCGAGGTAAGTCACTTGTTCTTAGTTTCATTTCATACATTAAAAGAGTGAGCTTATACGGAATACAGATTGTGTCTGAAGAAAATAAGGAGGATCATGGCTCGTCTGCAGAATTGGAAGTGACTCACTCGGCTGACGCGATTGACGAAGATACGCCTATGGAAGAAAATATAAGTGAAAATACTGTCGAAATTGATGAAATTGAAATTGACATGCTTAATGATAATACCTTTATGCGAGCTTTAACAGAAGCGTTGCAAAAACTACACAATATTATCACACCACCAGAAAATTACACTGGTGACAACATGCCATCATGGTTGCAGTCATTGTTGAATGCATTCAACGAGTTCAGTGATAACGAAAACGAGGACAATATTAAATATCAAGTTTACATTGCAAAACTGATCACAAATTATCCCTTCGCATTCGAAAAGTACGCCAAATACTGGATTCTTCCTCTTATGAAATTTATTATCAAAGGGCATATGTTTGGTTCGCCAATTAATTACCTGACCCAGGATTTGTGTATCATACTAATTGTCTGGGGAAAAGACACAGACATACCGGACAAACATCAGCCGTCTACGCAGCAGACGCTTTATTCATTTTTCGTAAGTTGAATGGATTTTTATTAAGAGCTAGAATTAAGATGATTTGTTAACTCACCTACACCCTATTCCAAAGGTTTATTTGATAAAAAACGCTTATCATAGCACACCACGAATTACTAGAAGCAACATACAAATTATAAAGGGCATTTTTGAAAATTGGGGTGAGATCTGCCCTGTACCCACTGTAAGCTACGATCCCCTTCCTATTGGGCTATTATCGTCCTTTTGGTTATTTTTCTGACTGCCTATAATTGATGTTCGCCACCTTTGATAGAGAGTTATCTACGAACAATTTCATCATCCAGAGGGCCAAGAAGACAGAAATATTATCGGTCTACAATTAGCTGGTATCCTTTATAGCAATGGTGTCAATATATATAATACTAATGATATTTCAGACACCACTGTTATTGATAAATTTATATTCTATGAAGACATGGCAGCCAACTTGAAGCATAAAAATAGGAAGAGCGCCGATACTTCCTTAAATGCTGCTGAGGTAAAGTTCCATTTTTCACTCTTATAACCCTTTCATTGATTTCTGTGGACTAATTTATTTATAGTTAATGAGTTGGACTTTGAAAATTATGAGAGATAAAAAAGACCCAGATGAGAAGGAAATTCGAAAGATGTTCGAAAGACAGGTTTGTGTGAACACCAAATCTCATATAAGGTAAGAGCCAATACTAACCGAAACTCGTCCCCACCCCCCTTTTCAAACACATCATACACCTCACCTACAGTTGGAGAAATTGTTTGAAAACAAGAATCTATCACGCAAACATTGTTTAAAGTGTGTAAATAGAGCCTATCTTCATGATGTCGATCTGGGGAAAAGCGTAATACATAAAGTTGCTTATCGCTTGAACGATTACACTATGGACGAGAAAGCATTACTTTTGGAATACCTTAATGTATGCTGGACAGAAGAATATGATGCAGATATGCTCTATAAAATAAGGCAGATAGGACTTTTGCGACTGCTTACGGGCAGGGATGAAGTGCTCCAAATTGCAAGCTTGAAGATTCTAAATACCTTTTTCTCAACAATAAAGAAAGCGGATGTAGGCAAGTTTCTCAAGCGCCTTGTTAAAGCTTTTCCCAACCATCCGAATATGAAATGCAGAGTATGTTTAGCAGATTAATAGATGTTATTGAGAAAAGTTTGTTCTAAACACTCTATTTATCGATCAAGTAGACATTATACTATTCCTTTTTGAAGAAAGTTTATGAAAGCAAATTAGATCCGACAATTGAAACTGACGTGAAAGCGCAATTATTCAGAGGATTGATTGACAGAGCTGCCAGCATATCTCAGGATATTTTTGAGTTTGTCAAAATGCAACTTCAAATTGATGACAATATACTATCCACAGTGCAAAAGCTGTTGAGGTAAAGTAAGACTATGAAGTACTCTAGCTCCGTTTATCATAGCGCTAATACAATATTTACATGTAGTGTGTTCTTTGTGGCAGAGACCGAAGATATATATTTGTTATACGCCACTCGCATAATGCTGAATAACATGAGGGAAACAGCTGACTTTACAGAACCTTTATTCGATCAACCATTGGATAAGACCAAACGCTTTGATAGCGAATATAAATTCAACACTGCTTGGTATAATACATCATCAATGGTACCTCTCTTTGTGGAAAGTCAAGAGAAATCTGTAAGTAAATGATGTCTAGCGTTGGTATATGCAGTAAGAATGATGTTAATATTTTCCCAGCAATTAAGCATTGAAGATTTGGAACTTCAATTGAGACAAACACAAAGTTTATTGGAATTCAGCACTACCCAAGGTACTAATCAGACATTAATTTCGACGTTTAATCCTGCCAGCCAGGAAACACAGCCTACCGAAGATATATCAGATGATGTGGTTATGGCAGAGACTTCCAGCCTGTAAGTTTATGACCGTTCTTTTTTTGTCTGCTTTACTTGTGCTTAGGCTAACGATTCAAATAATATGCCAACAGCCCGTCACCAAAATTTGAGAAGAAGGAAAACCCTTATTATAACAGACGATTCCTTGCTGAATCAAGAGGAGTGAGTAAACGATTCCATGCTGATCGTAATGAACAGCTAGAAAAGAAAATGCGCAACCTTCTCAATTCCCGGAAAGAAGCAGGAGAAAAGAAGGTCGTACTTACAAGAACATATAGGCAAGGTAACTATAACTTATGTTTGCATTGATAGGTATCTGCAACTGCTACTGACTCTATTTTTTGCGGCTTTGCTTTTCAAGGTGAGATTCCCGATGTACAGATTAGCCGTAGAGATTTGCTACTGCCGTTAGAAGTTATTGCAACTGCCGACTACAATATATCGCGTTTACTTTACAGCAGTCTCACGGTTGGCATTGCTAACGAATTTAAGCAGAGTGTGAGTAAAGGCTTTCTGTTTGAAGTTTCATGATTGAGTCCTCTACTAAGCCGTTGTTAAAAACTTTACATTTTACTAGGCTACTGATGAAGACTATGCTACTTACAAGGAACAACTGGTCGATTCTATTGGTAAAAACTTAGTGAAAAGCTGTATGTATTTTACACCAACGATCGGCTCCTTCTTGCGGATCGTATTTGATTTGGACGCGTATATACCTGGAAAAGTCATTAAAGTTGTTAGTGCGAGAAGCCAAAATCATCATATTGGAATTGCTATTCTAGAAAAGCATATTATGTATAGTGGTGGCGATGACCGTCGTAAATACTCTTTTTATTAACATCAAACATGTGAAGCACCCATCGTTAATAATCAATCCTTTTTGTGTTATTTCACAAACTCTAGCGAAAAAGAAAGTTAGTCAGCTGACTCCCACCAAGGAAAAATGGATTCATCTCTCCTTATTATATCAAAGTATCGATGAGCCAGAAATATTCCAAAACATTTACTTGAATAACGTTGTTGAGAACGAATTAGCTAGAGGTAATGCTCACGTTCTCTATTGATGATTTGACTTTATATTCGCTAAATGAAAAAAATAATTTTTCAGATGGTATTGAGTATGAGATTAAAGGGAATTATGCGGATGCATTCAACAAGCTTGCAACAGCCTCAGATACCAGCGACCCAAAGTCAGTCGATATAGTTGAATACAACTTATGGCAGGAGCAGATGCTTTTCTGTAGAACCCAGTTGACGGAATGGGAGAAGATAAGTCAAGATACCTTTCAGGCAACAGGAGGCAATTGGAAATCATTATGGGGTGACTTGCAGGTAAATGTGTCAAGTTTTCCGCAGGGTACAATTTTAAATAAGTATGAACTTACTTTTGATACTGTGTATTACCATTTAGGACCCTTATCTCGAATATTTTGTTAGAAGCTTCTCCAAGTTCAAAATTAACAGGCCACCATACGATTATCGAGAGGCTGATTCACCAGGCCCTACAACTTGGCTCAAGCACCAACCAAATCCTTTATACAAATTTCTCGATGATGCTTATGATGAAGACGTGCGTAGGGAAAAGTTACTAGATGATTTTGCGTGCGGTAAGTTGAAGACAAAAGTCTTATCTCAATTGTAAATGCATAGACTCATTTGTTTGCATAGAGTGGGCAATTATGGAAATGTATCGCAAAAATTATTATCGCGGACGTTTTTTCATTAGTAAAGCTTATGATTCGATACTTTCGGCCTGGAATACACTTCACCCTTTAGCACACACAAGCCGATTAACAAAACTTTCTAGGTTACAAAGGGTATGCTTGCTATCTCTAATGAATTGAACGAAACTATAATATTTAATATTCTTTTCAATGTCTGAAAATAATACATAGACCGTAGAAATAGACGATTATCTTCGGTTTCATAAGTGCTTGGAGGGTGGTTTCTTTGACTTGAACGAGTTTGAGAAATTCATTGGCGCTTTAGCATTACGGTAACATTGAAAGTATATGTTATATCCTTATCAATAAGGTCTACTTCTCATCTAGATGTATATGAATGAGTAGATACCCTGACACTGTTAGTGACAGAATGGACACATGGTATGACATATTGATAACAAGGCTAGAGTTTTTCGATGACTTTACGGAAACATTGCTGAAGGTAGGCCACATTCTCAAGCCCTTAGTAGTAACATAAATTGGAAAATAGTAGGTAACAATTTCTTTTTTCTAAAAAAAAAGATGTCGGATTCCGCAAACGCTTTGATTAGATCAGCAAAGAATGAATCTCTTTTAGCTATTGCGAATGCTGCTATTATACAAGGAAACGCCAATGTTTTTGCTAAAATTCGCGATATGTTTGATGCGCGGGCACGAGATAAACGTGAATTAACAAATATTCAATATCTTCAAAGAGTAAACACTGTTACATTAGATATACAATCAAAAGGAAGGTACTTGGGGTTGTTATTCTCCAAAACAGCAAAGAATAAGGTATGCCTTCACAAATTATCTCAAGCTTTGTGATCTTGAAAAACTGAAGCTGTCTTCTCGAAAGATATTTGAAACAGCTGAGTCGAATGATGCTTATAATTGGAAGCTAGTTCAGTTGGACTCTTTTGACATCGTAAAACAGAATTTGGTATCAAATCCAGATATTTTTAACTATTTCACAGAGGATGCTCTACGAAAGTTCAGGTCGAGCGACAACTGGAAACAAATTCTGGCTAATGCTGGCAATTTGGCTAATCACCTTGAAAAGGCGGGCTTCGAAACACTCCAAACAGCTGGAGAATTGCTAGACGCTGAAGTAAGAACCCACAGTTTCATTACAAGAACACAGAAAACACTTAAAATAACTTAATGTACTCTAGAATTCGCAAAGAGCCGAATACTTATGGCGCTTTGGAAAGTACTGTGATGATGCGTTACGTTTAGCGAATGATCCCAGTTCTACTATTCATTTAACGTTGGACTCCACCGAATATGGCAAACTCGTGGTCAAATGCTATTTCCAAGCTATGGATAGAGATCATGCCTTAGCCACTGGCTATTTTCCGCGCTTAATGGAATTAATAGAGCTTAATCCTGACGTCGGAGACACCTTCATGGAACAAGTAAGTGAATTGAATATGTAACTTGTCAATGTTTGCCGATATAGCCAACGTTTTCTCTTGTTTACTATGTATTTTAGTCGCGCCAATTAGATGCAAGTTGGAAGTTCATACGCTGGATTCCTCAGTTGGTTTCTTTTATTGCAACACCCATTGCAACCTTCGTATTTGTTGCCTTGGAAAGAATAGCGCATAATTACCCAAAAGCTTTATACTACCCTATGCAGATGTCTTACGAATTTTACGAGCTGAGAAAACATCATTTAAGTGAAGAAACAAATACTTTCATAGAAAAAATTATGGCCTTGATACGCTCACCTATATTAGAAGAATTCTCGAAAGAACTCAAAAGATTGACAGACCCTGCCTTGATCTTTAGGGATTTTGTTGACTTTGTGAAAGTAAGGTTAACCCCATTCCGTAAATAGAAGAGTTTGAAGAGAATGTTCTAACAACAAAATTAACCGTTGCCAATAACCATATCTAGTCTATTAATGTTACTGAAGCCCCCAGGACATTTATTGCATCAAAGTATGATGAGTTCTACCAGCTTTTGCTGAACAATTATAGTGAACGTTTGGGTGCAGTTCAGAAAAAGGTGGCTTCGAAATATGCCAGCTCTATCATACGTATGTTTGGTGAAGAGGGAGCGAAAATTCCTGAATTTACGGATCGCAACTACAGAGAACTGAATACTCTCTTGAAAACGAAAATTGAGCCCTTAACACCAACTGAAAGCGAATCAAGAAGCTTGAAAGCATATTCACCATGGTTGCATTCATTCAAAAATATTGAACATGATGAGGTAGGACTAAAAACCTTTGATTTTCTCGATAAATGATTATTGCTGTAGCGCAGCTGGAGAACTAAATCCACCCGATCTAATTTGTACATATTAAGCCATTAGAAATACCTGGTCAGTACACGGGTCTATCGAAGCCTTATCCTGAAACACATGTTCGAATCGCCTCTATCGATCCTCAAATTCTATGTATGCGTTCTTTGAGAAGGCCTAAAAGAATCACGTTAAATGGGACAGACGAAATGGAATACCACTTTTTAGTGAAAGGCGGAGAAGATTTAAGATTAGACGAACGTATAGAACAGCTTTTTAGTGTTATGAATGATGCTCTTCGAAAGAACGCTTTTTGTTCGAACCAAAATGTTCGAATGACAACATATAAGGTAACAATTTCTCGTTGAGCTGTACTAGCCGTTTCTAAAGTATACATTATGATAATCATAGGTTATACCTATGGCATCAAACCTGGGCATCATCGAATGGGTCAAATACACAGCACCACTTAGGTCCACCATACAAAGAGTTGATACTAAAAGCGTAAGCGAGGCTGCTACTGCTAAATACAGGGCATGGATCATATCCAATAAGCGAGGTGCTTCAGACATGAGATGTAAGTTGATTTATGCAAATCAAAGGTTGGCGTTACGAAAACAATTTCTTAAAGTCAGCATTCCTTCATATATAGCGCAATATCATGCTGCATTTAGTCAACCAAGAGAAAAAATTGTTCAGATGTTTGAAAATGCTCGTAGCAGATTTCCCCGTAAAGTGCTCAAAGACTATTTGTTTCATTTAGCATCATCACCGGAAGCATTTATATTTCTGCGTAAAGAGTTTGCACACAGCTTAGCTTGTATTTCTATCTATGGTTATATTGTTGGCATTGGTGATCGTCATTTGGACAATTTTCTGTTGGATCTTAAGAGGTTACATTGCTACTGGCTTGCTTTCGTAAAAACAAATTATTTGATGTCAAGGTTTTTTATTCATCTTTTTTTTTTTTTTTTTTTTTTTTTTTTGATTGGACTATTATAGTGGTCGACTCGTTCCTATTGATTTTGGTTATGCATTTGGTGCAGCTACGGAACTATTAGCCATTCCCGAACTGGTTCCCTTCAGATTGACTCGTCAGTTGATAACTGTCTTGGAGCCTTTAGGAACTTCTGGTATACTGGAGAATGCAATGGCCAATATTCTCTCTGGTACGCAAATTTGAAACCGCTTGGATCAGCTGTTAATCCGATCGACTCAACTTTTCTTTCTTTTTGTTTTCTCACTTAATATAGCTGTTCAAAATGAAAAAGAGCTCCTGTTGAACGTACTGAGTGTATTTGTAAAAGAGCCTCTATTGGAATGGAAGAGGCAAGCTGATAGATTGGCTAAACAACAAAGTAAGATCTTTTACCTTTCAAACCGTATTAGGTAAACAAATAGCCTCGAAGAAATTCTTAACATTTGGCCTCGGTTTTAGGAAAAGAGAGAGTATCAGATGATGACAAGCATTCAACAAGTGCCACCCCATCGAAAGACAATTGCCTAGAGTGGTATCCTCAGAAAAAAATCGATATCGTTAAACGAAAGCTCGACATGCATAATCCAGCAGGTAACTGGATATTATAAACAACTCTTGTCTCTATGTCTTTTTCTAAACTGTACTTTTAATTAACAGGTACAGTGATTGCAGAGCTTCAGAATGGTCATGCCGATAAGCCATACTGTAAAGATCTTACTCGTTTAGCTAAAGGTATCGCTCGAGTGAATTTAAGAGCTGATGTTGGTGATGTCTGTGACTCCGTAAACGAACAAGTGAAATGTTTGATCGACCTTGCAACTGACCCAGCAGTGTTGGGTGTTGCCTACTTAGGATGGGGATCTTTTTTCTAAAGCATTCGTCGTTGATTTTTGAATTCTATAATAAACTTTAACAACCTAGCCACACAGTCAAATAGAGTTTGTATACGCATTGCAGTGAACCTTTATTACCGGTATTTTGACCCCAAAAATTCCAGTGAAATCATTAGTCGAGCAATGAATCAGAAGAGCATTTGGCTATAAGGTACCAAAAGGGGCAGAATTCTATAACCAGAAAATCATCAAAGTAAGCAGCAACGGGTGTACTTGTTTTGGTCGGCTTTCTTACTGTAGTCGCGGTAAATCAAATGGGACGTTTCTGTACAGTAGGTCTCAAACAAACACTTGGAATTTCCTAAGAAGCAAAGAAAAAAAGTATGATTTAATGCTAAAAGAAAGGGCTGTGTTACACCCAACAGAATTTCTTCAAGTCATATTATTCGACTTGAATGCCGAACATCTATATATAGAGTGTAGATTGATTTATTTTATTTTTTCGAAAATATAAACTGTTTTTCTTTCCTTCTTTTTCATTTTCCTTCAAACTAAATTCAACTAGCATATAGATAACAAAGAGTGGCCATTTTTGATGGTTTCCAAAAACTGCTTCTGCTGTGTACCTTTAAGGTAGAATTCTATAGACGTACATAGCCTTTGAAAAAAAGCTAACAGAATTTGTACATTTCTTGGAATTTGTTAGAGCTGCTGTTACCACCATTGCTGTTATCTCCACAGTAAATATTACAACTAATAACATGTTGAAAGAGAAATAGGTCGCTTATTCCTCTTTTTTCTTGATGTTCACCAGTCGTTTTACGTTGGCATTTTGTTATGGCTTTTGAAAGAGCGAAATGGTAAATTCTATTTTATTTTTATTTTTTTTTGACAAATTCCCATATTTGAAATGTCAAACAAAACTAATTGTTGATCTGCCCTGGTATGTAGTTGTTTATAACTTTCCACAGCCAAGTTCAGCAACAGCCATCGCAGCATTTTGGAGCTTGATAACGATCATTGCCATGTATGCATTAAGTTCTGTTTTTGGAGTTATTGGCAGTCTTAAAGTAAGTTTAGTAGTTATGAGGAGGTTTTGACTGCTTGATTAAACGTCAAAATTCGATTGAGTATAGCAAAATAAGAACATGATAGACTTGTTTCGATTTTTCTACTGGACAATGGCAATGCTATTATGTCTCTCGTCCTCAATTCTATGGATAGTACTCATATTTAAGCAAAGTACAATACTGGAAGAATGCCAATTGTATGTCACAACACTATCTCGTCATCAAAATGCCGCGCATTATACAACTTCATAGTCAGTAGCCAGAATCAATTCACCAATTAATTTACGCAAAGATGATTGCGTTACAGCCACAAAGCAGTTCTTAATATTTACCGGTGTCTTTGTGTTTTTAGGCAACCTTTTACAGGTAGTTGAGCTATTTCGAGATGTGTTTACTTCACAATTTTACTGAAATTTTTAATATGAATAGATCTATTTCGCCACTACTATTAACGCCTATGCTAGATGGCTCAAATCGAATTTATCAGTGCGTTATAAGCGAATATTTTTGGCAGATGATCCCCCTGAAATGGCATCCAAAGTACCAAGTTTTTGAAGAACATTTTGTAAATAGTTATTTAAGTACATATACCATCTTAATAATCCTTGAAGAATAAAGAATAATGATTAATGCATCAGCAGTACTGCGGAGGATCGTACAACCACTACGTACTGTTACCTAGATTCACTATTCCAGAAGATTACTGCCGTGAAAATTTTGCTATTCTCCTGACACCATGGTGGAAGGCCGTCAAGCTTTTAGCTGTGACTCAGCGATAAATTTTTGAGAGCATTTTTTGACAGGACTCGGACTCTTCTTACTAATCTAATAATAGCATATGAAGGCTATATAACATTTAAAGCAATTCATGCGAAAAATGTTCACTATTATTGTTTCTTATAGTAGAATAAGATATACTTTCATTCTTTAATTCGATGAATGTATTAGCATAAAGATTGTAGAGCGCATATTTACAAAATAGATAAAAACAGCATAGATTAAGATAAAAAGAAAGAGTATATACAAAAATTCATTTAATAACGAGGTGCACCACGACCTCTAAAACCACTTCTGTTACCATCACGTCCACCTCTGAAACCACCGCTACGGTTACCATAGCGATCGTCTCCGCCTCTATTGCCACCTCTACCGCCACCACGACCATGGCCAAACTTGAAGCCATCATTGGTAGGGCGTCTACCAGAGCTTCCACTGCTGAAATCTGTACGCACAGGACGTCCTTCGATGGATACACCATTCATAGCCTTTACCGCGGCTTCAGCCTCATCCTCCGTTTCAAACTGAACATACCCAAAACCACGAGGTTTGCCTGTATCTCTATTGAAGGGTAAGCGAACCTCACCGACGATATTGCCAAACTTAGCAAATGCTTGACGCACATCGTCTTCGCTGAGACAATGAGCAAGATTAGCAACAAACACGGTGTTGGTCTTAGGGCCGAAACTGTTGTTATCAGGTCTATTATTGTTGTTTCGAGGCTTGGCTGCGTTGGCGTTGTCTACTTTGATGTAACGCTCCATGAACTCAGTACCATCGAGCTCTAATGCAGCCTTCTTACCAGCGGCATCGGCAAAGTCAATGTAGGCGAATCCACGAGAGTTACCGGTGGAGGGATCAGTGCGAAGTCTGACTTCAGTGATGGTGCCACAAGAATCAAAGTAGGCTTGGATATCATCTTCGGTGGCCCGGAAAGAGAGTTGCCCGACCCAAACAGTACAATCCCCTTCAGTCGATGCTTCCTTTTGAACAGCTTCAACTTTGGATTTTTTGGAAACAGGTCCTTCATTGTCTTCTTCAGTTTCAACCTCACTGTCATCATCATTATGAAGACGTTTCTTACTACCTTCTTCTTCTGAGCTAGAGCCTTCTTCATTAGATACACTTTCCGTATCAGAGGGTTCTTCGTCAGAAACAAATATTTTTTTATTCTTTTGCTCTACAGCTGCTTTACCCATTTTGACAATATTATTTTTAAAAAACAAAAAGATACAACAATTTAGAAAAAAAAATTGCTTTTGCTTTTTATTCTTCAATCTATTCTTACAGGAAGGGATTATTTGTGACTCCTGAAGGTAAGGCAAAACAGCCACGTTGCAGGCTTTGATGATTCAAAGCGCAATTTGAAAAAGAACAAGACAAAAGGCATTAATTCCAGGCATTTTGATTGAGCATTAATTTTATTAAAGCCATACCTGAGGGCACATAACCGTATCTGCTGCGGTGGTCGCTGCCAGATTGTGATATATCTGCCATTAATCAAGGAAAAATTTTTATTCTTCCAGCATTAAGTTAACAGTGTCAATATAATCCGCATTCCTAAATACCTTATTGCTAGGACGCTGATTGTTTCCGTCTTGATGATTTCCTTTATCTTCACTCGATTCATTTTCCTTTTAATTGCTACATATTTATATTTGTACAGCACAGCCATTGACAATAACATATTGTTCAATATAAATCGTATGATAATGGTAAATAATATCCTCGGCTCAAAAGCCGTCCAGATTAACGATATCAATGGCGAGAAGAAAAACAATAATGAGATAAAAAGAGAAAAGAGTGTTTCTTCTCTGTTCAACGAGTATATAAGTTGGTTTCGATAGGAACAATAACACACGGCTCGTATTGTCGTCTGCAAACACGTCAAACTCAATATGAGAACCCCAGTCGATCTTAAGCGGGTTTCTTGATTGATTAAAAATCGAGCACATGCTATCATTACTTCGTTGAGGATCATGTACACAAGGAAAATACAGGACTTGCTGGTATGGCAGCGGATCATTCGCAATCAAAATCCGAGCCCATTTATTGGTTGTCTGTTTTGATTGTCATCAAACGACAAAAAAAAAAAAAAAAAAAAAACAAATCTGGGGTCACTGTAGTTCCTTAAAATTGGTTCCTTTTTTAAGTGTTTTTTGATTTATTTATTATGCAACCCTCAACCACATTGCGTGCTGTACATAAACCCCTCATTAGGTTTATAGGCCCCAGAGCACTACTCTGGAAAGGTACATAGACCTCGAAGCTTGAGACTGCCTTGAACTAACACATTGTCGCTTTGTTATAGATGCTCCTCATCATTCAGGACCTCATCCTTTAACGCCTACCAATCTTGAAAAACATGTTGCTAAAGCCGAACCTGTCAAGCCACCAACACCTGCTGCTTCAAGCAGAGCCAATACCTCTTCTATTGAGTACACTCAGTTGGCAGCCAAATATCGTCGTGCACCTATTTCAGAAACAGAAATGGAGGCTATAGAGGTAGACTGGCAAAAAAAATATCATTGCATATATTTATGTGTTCTTAACGATTCATTATCATTTAGAGTGGAGGTGCTACTTATATTATTTAGATATACCTGCGGACATACTTCGTGTTTGCAAAGGAAATAAAAAACTATCTGGACAACGGCAACATATTTGATTGCAGTACATACGACTTTGGGCGAGTGAACAAACTGTACGGTTTAACAAGCAGTGCAATCATGTAGCGAGAGAAATTATCTAGCTACTTAATTATAGAACGGTGCAATATGCTGCACATCCACATAATTATTTTTTTTTCTTCGCTAAGTCTGATTGGCTTGATAGCTTCGAACGCTAGCAGACTACATCACTTAAAGATGCAGCTACTTTGGCCATTCTTTGTTCTGCCTCTCAAGAGTATCGCAATGAATTTTATAGATTTAGCTAGAGCATAATTGTACAAAAAAGTTATGGTTACGCCACGTTTAAGCAAACATAGCCAGAAAAACCAGTTGCAAGCTATTACAGCATAGGTTTAGTGTTAATTCCAGTGCTATGAAGGCACACGATGACAGTTAAGTCTTGTAGAAGAAAAAAAAGTTAAGCCTCACCTAACATGGAGTTGTGGAGAATGATTAAAAATTTGGCTTTTATTCGATTTGATTGTCTTAACTAAATATGAGCATCACACAGTAGCCGACAGCAGGAATGATAATGATGTGTTTTGAATATTGTAGGTTGAGCTGCTGCATCTTTGATGGTAATTTGATTTCAAAAAAGGCTACAAGCAATGCATCTCTGGCTTTCCAAAGAACAGCTGACAACCCTTTTTCATAAAATGCACCTCCGTTTCGTTTTTACTTCTTCAGCCAAAGCAAACGCAATTCTTTCTTATTATCGTTGTAGGCTTTGACGAAACGCTCAGCTGATTGCTCCGTAATTCCTACAGAAAAGTCTGCTTTGTCTAGCAGACAAGCCTGACAACTCAATGACAAAATACAATAAATCCTGACCTTGATATGGAGTATAGTTTCGATAGCTTCCCTACGGTCCACGCTATATAACTTCCTTTCCGTCAATTGAAGCCTTTATCTTTAACTTTAAGCTGCTTTGCGAACTGACGAAGTCTTAAGAAATGAAGATTGCGTCCGACTCAGTATTAGCAGGTATGATTTCCCAGGCGCAGAAGAATTACCAGCTTGTTTACGAAATAGACATAAGCATCCAAATTCATCAGACGTTCCAGTCCTGGTTCGGGTGCTTTCGTAGGAGGATTTCATCCGCTGTTTACTATTAAAACAATTGAAAATGAGGCAGTTTTATAAAGACCTGGAGGTTGATCAGCTGAAGGTAATTGAACAGGCTCATCTTAAACATTGAAGCCGCTCATTATTCTTTTGGTACGCCTCCGTGATTGCTATCCATTATAAAGTGTTATATTGGGACGGCATGGAAGAAAAGATACACTAATACTCTCATCCGCCAATAAATTTTTAATACGCCAAATAACAGAATAAATACGCCAGCAGCTGGCCATTGTAAAATGGGATTGGCGCGAACTTGAACGTTCTAGAAGCATTCCTCTCAATAGTATACTTGATGATCTTTTTGAGGGAGAGACGTCATTTCTGCCTGACGCGTGTATACAAGCTCGATAGAGGGCTTTTTGTAATGTCGAGAAATCTTGCCAGAAGTTTGGTTCTTACTTCATTAAGAAGCTCGACTGAATATTTCGTATGTTCAGGGAAGAGTTTATATCAAAACCATTTTCATTTCCTGTAACATCTTCACTGTAGAATAGTTTCGTTAAACTCCTTTCTTATGTAATAATCTGTGCTTTCTGATATAGTGCATGCTATTACAGCCTTTTAAACAGACATGCCTCCCTCTCGAAGCAAATACAAATATCGCTTAATCTGTTCAGTGCCGTACTTCCTATAAGTTTTCGCAGATATGTTGCTCTCTTTGAATTGGAGAGTTAATGAAACAGATATATCAATGTACGTTAACTGATGCTTCGCTGTTAAATGAATTTTATTGTTGCGCACCTCTTCGATTTGCCGAATCGTTGTTCATCACTACTTCCCCTATATTGACATCATCGTTCGAGTTGGTAATTTGAACGAGTGCTTCTAACTAACTGTACTGAGTAGCTACACCTTTTGTACCCCATAGGATTAGCAGAATCAGCAATGTTGGCAACTGTAGCTGCATAACTAAAAGAGACAGAGTGCAATGTTTGCTTTGATAGTAAATTACGTGCTTGAATGGGCAATGCGTGTTTTAGACTAAAAGGGCTGGTAAAAACGTCCAAACATTTTTTAAAATTTATACGTTTTATAGCAGATGCTTTAACTATTAGATATCATCTTTATACTTCTCATTTCTACTTTTAGCTTTAAAACTATGTATTCGCAAAATGTACCCTGCGTTCCTAGCGTTACATCTAGGATATAGTAGCTGCATTGAGTTTTTGTGAGATAAACAAATATGAATAGCAGATTTGAAGATTGTGTCCATGGATATACGTCGATAGGGTTGAGAATGGGAGGGAATAGTTGATGTATTGAGATATACCGTAAAGGTTACAGAAGCGAATGATATGTCTATATGTTGGTACAATATTATGCAAATTAATCATTTATATGATATAACGTCAAGATTGCTTTCTGATTGCTTCACTTCCGGTCATATTACATGAAAAATGCAATGTTCGCCTCACAGCTTTCTCTGCAAATATATGTTTGTCCTGCGTTATTTGGGAGCCAAGCAGGATCTTGGTTGTACGGATTAAAAGCTGTAAGTACCTCAATAGAAGGGATGGTGGACGCGACTAATATAAGAAAGTCTTCCATTATTCTAGTTTGGGACCTATGCTTCTTTTACTTCATTAGCGCACTGCAACTTTATTTTGAATCTTTTAACCCTGTATTTATGTTCAAATCATTAGAAGCTTTCCAATCAGTGCAACGTAAGGATTAAAAGAATCGTAGCTCACAAAATCATTTGTCGAAGCAGGTATCATAATGGAGATATGTGCGATAAATTGAAGAAGAAAGAAGGCGAATAGTCATAATACAGAAAACAAACTATAAATATTTTTGTGTATTTGATTTTACTGCTGCCGTGAGGTGATAAAGTGCTTTGCGCATGAACTGTCAAGAGAGAGTAACTCTGGTTTCAGATTTATAGATCTGGACGGGCGTGTGGTTTTTTCTTTTTTTTTCCTCTTTTGTGCATTTTTCACTCACTTGAAAGTGATTTAAATCGCCGACTTTTACCTTATCAAGGCCACTATGGGGTTTATCAAATGTCAAAATTGCATTTTTTTTTATCTTTTCTCTTTTTCTTCAAATTATACTAGTCACTACTAAAGTAATATGTCGATTGACACGAGCAAATTGAAAGAATTATTCAACTACAAGCAAGAGGAAAACCAGCTCAAGGGCAAAATTATTAACGTCGTCAACCAGATACCCTATCACTGCTTCATGAATAGAGCAGATGCGGATGAGAGCATTATCGAGAAATTGAGGCTGGCTGTCAATAATGCAGACCCTGATGATAATGGTAGTATGAATGTTACGCCTATTTCCAACCTTGAACGTAGAAGACGCTCGACTGTTGTATCTCTCGGTCAAACAAATATTTGGCAACTTTCTACTAGAAAGGGCCACTCGGCCATGTATGCTGCTATTGATAGTTTGAAGAAGGATTACCAAACTCTTTACATTGGTAGTACAGGTGCTGTTTTAACCATGCCTGATAAACAATTCGTTAAGGCAGAGACTATTTCAGATAGCGATAAAGAATCCTTGAGGCATCTTTTACAGACAAAACACGGCATGATTCCCATTTTTATTGAAGATAAATTGTCGCAAGGTCATTATGAAGGCTACAGTAAGCAAGGTAAAATGGTTGTTTAAGCTTAATGCTTGGTAACATTATCGTTCCAGAGAAACTAACGTTTTATGTTCGTTCCATCGTGTCCTTTTGTTCAGTTTTATGGCCACTAATGCATTATTTGATGTGGTCCGATAAGGTGGATGAAGCATCTTATTGGGATTCTTATATTAAAGTGAATCAGATATTTGCGAACGAAGTGATTAGCAATTACAAGGAAGGGGATATAAGTACGTAGAAGGAAATCCGTGATTTTGCAAAAAGTTTCTGTTCGCTTATTTTTTCTACGCTCTGAATTGTAATAGTTTGGGTACACGATTATCATTTGTTATTAGTACCAGAAATGATTAGAAAGGTCTTGCCGAACGCACCTATAGGCCTCTTCGTACATACTCCCTTCCCATCTTCTGAAATTTTCAGATGTCTTCCACGTAAGTGTTTGCTCGTATCATTACATAATCTATGTAAAAGGATAGAAAAATTCTGGAACAAGTAATTTTGACATAATTATTGTTTTAAAAAATCAAAAGGCCGCAAGGAAATTTTGCAGGGAATGTTAGGCTCTAGTGTTGTTGCATTCCAAACATACAACTACTCGCGTCATTTTGCTTCCAATTGTACTCGTATCTTGGGTTATGAATATACTCCATCAGGTATTTTGGCTAATGGTGTTCTCATTCAATTGGAGACCTATCCTATCGGTATTGATGTTGAACGAACCCGATATCACTGCAAACGCCCTGGTGTCAGTCCCAAAGCAAAGGCGATCAAAGAGCGTTATGCTGGTAAAAAAATTATTGTTGGTCGTGACAAGATGGATCCAGTAAAGGGTGTCGTACAAAAATTGGAAGCTTTTGAGACTTTCTTGACAGACTTCCCCGAATGGCGCGATAAAGTGGTACTAATTCAGGTAACTTCGCCTGGTGTATTGGACTCCTTAGACTTAGAAAATAAAACAGCAGAAATTGTTGCTCGTATTAATTCCCGTTTCGGGTCCCTTGAGTTCACACCTTGTAACGTTTTCAACCAACATATCGATCGTGACGAATACTACGCTTTATTGGAAGTAGCTGATATTTGTCTTGTCACACCGATCAATGACGGCATGAACACTGCCAGTTTTGAGTACATCGTTGCTCAAGAAAACCATCATAGCCCGCTTATTCTTTCAGAATTCACAGGTACTGCTAGAAGTATGGGCTCGGCTGTTATTGTCAATCCATGGGACTGCAAAGAAGTTGCTCGCGCCATTGCAGAGTGCTTGAATTTGTCTGAAGAAGAAAAGACACTGAAATACAAGGTAGAAGTTTTTACCGAATCGGTATCATTAGAAGCCTGCAATACTCATAACTTGTTTGAATATCTATAGCAACTTCATCAATTCGTAACATCTCACACTGCTGCTTACTGGGCAAGGTCTCTTGTCAAAGGCTTATTGAAGAGCCCTACGAATGGATTTGGTTCGACAACACAACTTGACATTTCTAGAGTTAATTTAGAATACAAGAACAATACAAAGAGGGCCTTCTTCTTCGATTACGATGTAAGCTTAATATTACCATTTTAGTTGCTACATTCATTGACCAAAGCAACTTTTTTTATATTTGTTATAGGGTACTTTGGTTCCTATTCAGACAAATCCTGATGATGCAAAACCTTCTCAAGATGTAATTGACGTGCTAACGCATCTTTCCAGTGATCCTAATAACACTGTCTGGGTTATTTCTGGCAGAACACAGGTAGAACAGAATAAGATTTTCTCTGAAACATTCAAAATGGTGTGCTAACTACGTCATATTATGATTGTGCGTTTTCAGAAATATTTGGAAGACTGGTTAGGTCATATTCCTAACCTGGGCTTATCCAGCGAGCATGGATGCTTTATTAGAGAGCCTAATAGTAACACTTGGGTTAGTCTCATGGATGATATGGATATGTCATGGCAAGATGATGTGAAGGAAATTTTTGAATATTACACAGAGCGTACACCGGGAAGTTTTATTGAAGAAAAACGTTGCTCTTTAACATGGCACTATCGTAAAGCTGATCCGAAATACGGGTAAGTGCTTTTCTGAAAAGGGAGTGGGCAGAGTGAGAATAATATCTTCGGTCTTATTATCTTACATATCATCATGTTTTATTAATTGAAAAAATAAGGGCTTTCCAAGCAAGAGAATTGCAGAACCATCTGGAACAAAACGTAGTTGGTAAATTACCTGTTGAATGCTTGGTTGGTAAAATGAACGTCGAAGTCCGACCCATGCTTATCAATAAGGGGTTGATTATCAAACGCGTGATGACACAACATTCAAGTACTGAATTCGTTCTATGTGCGGGTGATGACAGAACAGATGAAGACATGTTCCGTATTCTGGAGAGATTAGAGATTGGAGGCATCGAGGTTGTTCCTTTCACTGTCGTTGTTGGCTCAGTTCAAAGGAAAACACTGGCCAACTGGAAGGTGGATTCGAGTAAAGAATTTGTTTCCATGTTACAAAGCTTGTGTAATCAATAGAAAAAGGATAAATTCATTTCTTTTGTAACAATTGCAATTTTAAAAGCCTAAAGTTGTATAAAAATAAACACCATTTTTATTGTAAGTGCGAACAGAAGAAATGCAAATTGAAGCGTGTCATAAAGTGTAGTAATTCTAATAAACGAAAACAGGTAGAAAAGGCAATGCAGTTGGTATGGATAGCTGTTGTATAATAGCAAATATTGAGTGAGCTCTAAGTGCTTAATAATGATTAAATTGTGTATCAAGTTATGGGTGTACAGGGCAATGTTCTAGTGGAGAGATTGTTTGATTAAAATTTTTTATTGAACCTGTCATTTCAAAAATTTTGCTTTATGACCCTTACTTGTCATGTGTAAACGTGATCCACACACTGCACATGTTTTAACACCACTAGCCTTGGAATCTTTGGGAAATTCTAGGTCTGACTTTTGTGTATGATTGTTATTGTAGCTTGCAGTGATTGTTGTAGACATAGTTGTACCTTGCATTTTGTTTGCTGGCTATTTAAAAGAAAACAGTAAAGCGATCTTGATAACGATAATGTGAAATTGAAGAAAGAATGTAAAAGAGAGAAGAGAATATTAAAAAAACAAAATTAGGATCCTTTTTATAAACATTAATCAGGCTTATCAGATGCGTACGGACAGACGTGGTGAGCTGTTATTCTAAATGGATAAATGCGTTTTAGCTGATAATGTTCGTGTTACTTTTGTGAAAAAAAAAAGAAAGCTTTGACTTCTGAAATCAATAACAACAACATACACAAACAAATAACCGAACCAAAGATCTTCCAAACCCAAACACATTGATAAACCTAAGATAGAAACGATTCCATTTTCTGGCTTAAGCGCCTATTCTCTTTTCAACACACACACACACAAAAAAAAAGGATAGCAGCGTTTCAAAAAATATTTGGATTGAAACGTTCTTTAACGACTGTGATGAAATATTGAGGTATTTAAATGAGACTTTACTAAGCTAGGTGCGCATTACATTACGAAAGCTTCCATTGCGCTTGCTCAATCTTTTCTTTGCAAGAATAATGTACAACTACACCATTTGGAAATACCGCAAATACACTTTAAAGAAAAAAAAAAAAAAAACACAAGTCGAAAACCATCAGATAAAATTGAATTCAAGGGTTATAGCATGGAGTAACTTACCTATTGCCAATTCTTTTGTTACATTGGGGACACATCCTGTCCTCCGTTATTTTGACAGCTCTTGATCTGTAATACATCAGTTGCTCTTCAACCTATAAAGCACAAATACTGTAAGCATGTGATGCCTAACATATCAAGGAATTCAACCTTTTTAAATGTACTGACTTGTATTTGCTCCGCTTTCCACAAATTCTTAACGATCATATCCATATTACGACGTTTGTTTGTTTCTCTAATGTATTTTTCTAAAAACGAAAATAAACCATGAAGTTTTGTATTGTCAGGCAAAATAGATAGGACCTGGCTTGCATCGATGTGAGAACCTCGATGTGATAACAGCTTCAGTGCTGGCTCGATTAGAGGCTCTTGATTATGGGCAGGCTGTAAATAAACTTTGAGCAAAGTCAGATACATTTGTTCGCCTTTAACAGGGTCCTTATAATAGACTTTTGTGCAGTATCTATAATAATGGCAATTGTGTGCTTATGAGTCATTGAAAGAAAAAGTGCTGCAAATATTTCTCTAGCTTACTCTTCAGCCATGGTATAGTTTTTGAGTTTGTATACATATATATCCAAAGCTTGGTCATGTTGCCCAATACGGCTTAACAGAATAGCACGTTCTTCAAACAAATCTATAGTAAATGTAAGGACAAGTGTCGATTAGGGTTTAATAATTGAAACCAGCAGTAATAAGCTTCGATTCAAAAAGAAATACCATCTATAGGCAACCGAGATAAAATTTTTTCAGCTTTGTAGAACGATGATTCCGTCAAAAAGGTGAGAAGTCGAGATTTGAGTTCTGTTGTTCTTTCTTTGTTTACTGTTCCTAATTAAAGAATTTAAATTTAAGCTTCGATCTGGAGGCTTTATTCCTAGTTTTTGGCCTTTTTTACCCTTGTTTGCGATTATCTCATTCAAATACGCAATTATAAGTTTGTTATGAAATTCCGGTGACTCATCACGTAACTCTTCAATAATGAATTCGAGATATTCGATAGCCAAATCGCCGGAAACAGATTCTAAATGTCGCAATACTTTTTCCCGTGGCAACGTTCCTGTCTCTGCCAAATCATCTATGAAGATCTTAAAAAATAGAGGTATCAAAATTCAACAACCTTCCTAAATACTTTAATCATGTATAACTTACTTCTAAGCCTTGTTTAGGGTCTTTTTCAAGTACCCACCGAGAATATTTTAAGACAAGTTCAAATTGATGTATTCCTAGCTTTTGTAAATATCGTATGGTGGGCATAATTCCTCGCATAGGGCCTTCAGGTTGCTTTCCTAACCTAAGCGAAAGAGATACGAGCTGATTAATTTGCAGTGCACCAAAAAAAGAACAGCTTCTTTTCTTACCTCTCAAGTAAATCAAGTGCTTTTCCATGCAAGCCTTTACAGTTATAAAGATCAACAAGCTCTTTATATTTCTAGTTGTGCAATTTGTTTAATGCATGGCTCAGTCTAAGTGAATGTATTGTAAGATCTTACTTTTTTGTTCTTCAATATATGTTCACATTCCTCCACATCACAATGGTTTTGTACACGAAGAAGAGGTCCAACGAGAGCATCGTTCGTCATCATATAACACTTTAACAATGTTGTATCCACCAAGGTTGACTGTTGGAGCAACTCCTCCTCATTCAGAGTCGATGATCTAACGGATGCCATTGTTGATAGGGACTGTGAACTGTCACTATTTAACCGCTTTGCTAATTTTTGTCGTTTGTCAGTGAGATATCTAATCAAGTAAGAAACAGCTTCACGCAGGTTCAAATCTGTCAATGGTACAGATTCTTTTTTCTTTGAATGTTGGCTATGGCTCGTCATCAAACTTGCTTTACTACTCCTGATGGATGCAGGACAACTTGATATAACTCGGTGGATGCCTTCCTCAGCAATGATATCACTATTTTGCTGTTTTTTCGGAGGCTCCATTGTACGATCTGTTGTTCCTCCTTCATTATCACCGTAAGGTGCATCTGGTTTTTTGGCCAATGCACCCGCTATCATTTCAGGGTAAAGGCTGACAACTTCTGCTGGTGGGGTATCAAGTTCTTGGAATGTACTGAGTGCTTTGTCATACTCACCACAACGGAAAAGGTCGTGGGCGTAAGCGGTTCTTATGGAATTAGATTTTGCCTCCTTATTGTCCACTAAAACTTCGTTGATTTGGTCTAAAAGGCTTATGGCCTCCTGATATTCTTGCTTCTCGACTAATTGGTCAATCTGCGTCAATTCAGAAATGATAAAAGTTTAGATCAGTAATTCCTGTGTTAATCAAAAAGTGACGATTGGTTACCTGCGTTGAGAAACTATATGGTGTCAAACGGTAAACTTGAGAAGTGCTTGCAATGTAAACTAATTTTCCTTGATTTAGGAATTTGATATTCACCAGATCAATTTGTTGTACTAAACTCAGTGTCTGGATATTCCGAACTTCCACATGCTTTGGCAATATAGCAATCACGTATGGATACGAATAGCCTGGATAAGAATATTATCAATATCAGTTTGTTTTTTGTTCAAGATTAACTTCATTTGCAATTATTTTACCTATTTGTTCAGGTATCCCTGACCACTCAATACCAACTTTGCGGGTAGGAGTGCCATCTAAACCCAAGAAAATACTAACATCTAGGAAAATCTCATGGTTGTTAATGATCCCACAACCAAGCAATGTATTCTTATTACTTACAGTCTTTTGCAAGGAGCATCTCATTGTTAGGTATTTTTGTAATCATTGGCTTCCCACCTCGCGTACCAATAGACATGTTATACAAGCTGTTCAGAGTGCTCATTGGTCCATTATCATTCACTCCAGTAGATGCGAATAGCTCTGTGAACTGTCCTTCCTCAACATCCATCAAAGCATATTCGGCTGAGAATCCCAAACAAATTTTTGTAGATCCAACCCAAGCCATTGTCTTGACTCTATCAGGAGTATTCAGCTCCTTCGTCTCATAAAATTCTGTATCTTTCCATATGTATACTAACAGTTTCTTTCTCACTGAAACTGCCAATCGAGTCGTCAATACAGGTATTTGCTCTTCAGGAGTCATTTCAACCATTGTTTGTATAGCGAATAAATTAGCGCCTTTTGTCTTCCCAAGTTGCATGCGTAGCTCAAAAGTGTGTAAATCATGAAGGCTGACCAATCCATCTTCAAAACATAATAAAACAAACAAATCAACAAAGGCCACAATGCTATTATGTTCTTTGCTTTGTCATTTACCGGACAACGAAACTAGCATATCAATTTCTTTAATGATGTCCAACTGCTCTATGGCTTTTCTTGAAAAGTTTTTGATAGTTTGAGCGAGCTTGACCTCAGGCACTTCGTTATAATCGGCAACTAGTGCAAAAGAAATTGAGCCTCTGATACAGATTTTCAATTTAAGTTGGGAGTGTACCTAATGGTTCTCTTATATCATAAACGAGCAGCTGCCCTGTACCTGTGCCGATCAATAAACGATCGCCTACAATAATCTTTTTAATAAGACCATCACAAATCATCAAGTTTCAAGTTTGTAACAGCAAACTTTACCATGAGCAAAGATAGACTCTATACGAGAAAGCTTATCCACAACTGTTGTAACTTGGAATGCATCGTGCATGGCTGTAAGACGCAATCGTTCGATCTAAACAGATGAATGGGTATAGCGGTGCAGTTATGTTATGGAAAACGAGAATATGCCGTTGATGTGAATTAGAAAACGAAAATCATGCGTGAAAATTGATAAACTCAGTTTGATAGTCCCCCAGGCAAATCTGACCTCCATAATGTGGGACAAATCAGTGCTTATTATTGCTACATTAGTTGAGCATGTATGCTATGATTATACAAGAGATGAAAAGTTATTCTTAAAACTGCTAAGCGACTTTATAACTGTTATGGGGTTGCCTGTAGTAACAGGTGAAGCAAACCTTTCTGGGAAAAGTTCTTTTGCTGAAATTCAAGTTGTTTAAAATCAATTATTTTCATAGAAATAGTGCAAGTCTCTCGCAACCAATTATGGTACATGGAATGAAAGGCCTATGACATACCGGAAGATGGCTAAGACTGCTTTGAAGTTGGACATATGTCATATATCCTTTTTCTGTCAACAATTGATAAATCACTGAGAGACAAATAATCATCTAGCTCTGAGGCACGTTTCATGAATCACCCAAGACCAACCCGAAAGTCGAAGTTGGAAATACTAATCGTATTTTTGTTAGATTTAGACTTTTTTGTATAAAAAATTGGATATTTTTATTGACTTAATTCAGAAACTTCAAGTCATTATTTTCGGTTACTTTTTACATTTGGACACTTGTAGTAAACATTTGAGGCCCGCCTCTTTTTGCACGCATTAGTTGCAGTAAGTTTCGTTGTTTGATCGGCCCAGAAGAATTGCCTACGTTCTCCTTAGCTGCCATTTGAACTGATAGTCCAGTTGTATTTTATGTAAATGACTCACAATCCTGTATTCTCATTGACTGCTCAGCATCTCTTTTGATCTAAAATCGTGTCACTTTAGTGTCATTTTTCCCTTAAAGAAAGCAATAACAATAGGTGAGTGTATAAATTAAGTTAAACGCCTGTTTCTTGTCAGTAACTGATGAAGTGATAAATAAACGTGTCTTGATTTGGTGTCAAAATTTAGCGCGTCCGAAGAAATCTGTATAGATTGTTTTTGTTGTCAAAACTTCTTTGTTGTCCAAATAACATTCTAACAAAAAGTTTCAGTTTCGTTTTTTCCTCTTTTTCATAGAATCTCGTTATTTTCTTTAGAGAATTATTAAAGAAGTGTTAACAGTGGATCATCAGGTAGATTAAAATAAGATCTCATCACGAGCTACTCACAACGACTGTACTGTACATATTTTGTTTGTAACTGAGTGTTTATATCTTTTGAGTAGTTTTTTTATCTTGTCGTCAAGAGAAGCAAAAGTTTACCTTGAAGCAAAGTTAAAGAAAAAGCAGCAAGTAAAGAAAGTCAGTTCATGATTGCTGCAGTTTGTTTCTTATTCGTTTAAGTAATCAATTAGGATTGTTGAACCTTTAATTTCTAGAAACATGTTTTGATTGCGGACGGGAAGGACATGCCCATAAGGGCTCATACTTGTGTCCTGAATATAATGGTATCAGATAGCTGAAGAGGTAGTATTTCCTGTTCATTTTCACTGATATTCTGTTCATACGCTTTTCTAGCCAAGAAGCGAAAGTCCGGAAAAGACGACTACGAAACAAAGCAAGCTAAAGAGAAGGGCAGAAAGAGAAGGCTAGAAGCGAGAAAAGCATTGCCATCGAATACTGTGAGTTTAAAACCTCAAAGGTGGATCCCAAATTGCCAAATCAAGTGCCCTTCTCTAAAAGTAATCTCATTTTCGTAGGTTTGTAACAATTGTAATGGTGTCGAAATGAAAGAAGTACGAATTTCGGACGGCTCCAGCGTCTATGATACCAAGGCCTGCAAAATCCGTATGGAAACACAATGACCGGCCCGACATTTTCTCTCGCCATCGCCATAACGAAAATGGTGCTGCAGGTTCTATACCGACGGCTTAAAGATTTTTACGCGTTTAGGTGAGTTCATCTTTGTGAAATTTGTCACTGTACATTTCTGAAGTTTTTATTAACTGCTGCTTGATGTTACTACTTACTCAAACAGGGTAGAAGCACAGTATATCTACCCTGTTTGAGTAAGAGTAGGTCGCACATTTGGCATTGAGCATTTTGACGGAAAAGGTATGATCTAAAAAACTATACTTTTCATCCAAAATAATTTTTTAAACTAGTCTGAATTTTGGTTGTAAGATAGTCTCAATTTAATAGTCATTTCGTGCGAAAGTCAAGCGAAAAAAAGTAATCGTACCTCGTGAAATTCTTGTCAAAAAGATGCAAAAGCCATATTCCTTGATTATTAAGAAATCGGCTCAATTTAATTAAACATATTAAATTCACGTGTATGTTAGTCAGAGTACGTAGCAATCATTCTTGGCCTAGCGTTCATATGGGCGACAGGGCTGTTTTATTAAATAAAATAAACGAACAGAAAGGATCTGTCGTAACGAGCTGTCAAAATTCTTTAAACTGAGAGTTTGAAGTCGCCGAATTACGAACAGTACTAATCTTTGATTATCGCATTAAAAGAAATGTCAAGAGGAAAAGGGTCAACATCCAAGAATAAATAGTTCTATTCTCTTTGGGATAATTTACGAAAACTGAAACGATTGCTTCTACTGATTTAATGTTCAGAACTAAAACTCATACAGAAAGGACGAAATAGGCCAAGGTCCCAAATAAAAGAGAGCAGTATATCTTACCTTTCCTTTGATCTTTTTCTTGGGATATTTATTTACTTTTTTCACTTCTTATTCCTGTTGTAGTAACCAGTCCATTCATTAAACTCATTCCACTCATTCAGTAAAGACAAAAAATATTTCCGTTATATGTCAGAGAGCAACTTGAACCATTCTTATCAGCATCCATATAATATCAATCCTGTACCCTATACACATCAGTCAATGATGAATCAAGCTTTTGTGTATAATAGCTCCAATAATGTTACGCCATACTCTGGTAATTCAGCTTATGAAACAATGCCAAGCTATGTTTACCACCACACATCTCAACCTTCGTTACAGCGGTCTTCTCAAATGCGTGCAGCAACAACCAATGAAGCTGCTAGTACCGCCAATGCTACAGGCAACAGTACTGCCACTCCTACCACCTTAAACTATCATCCAAGCTATTACCATCAAAATGAAATGATAGCCAAAGGTAGCCCTTCCTCCATTTCATCCATAGGATACAGCTCTCCTAAAACTCCTCCTACAATCACATTTAGTCAACATAATGCTATCCATTCGGCAACACATATAATGCCACATTGTCAGAATCATATGTTAGTTAAAAATACATTTGACCAGAAGCCTTCGTTGATGGTTAGTCCCTTACCTTCATTCGAACCACAACAGCAACAACAAAGCACTGAGGAAAGGGTTAAGAAGACAATTGCTCGTGCAAATACAGTTCCAGCAGAATTTTATCAAACTCAGTTTCTTCAGTACCAAGTGGACCATAAATCATCCCACCTTGGTTTCAAAAGAAAGCGCACAACAAATGATGAAGGAGATTGTAAGGCAAATAGTAAAAGGGTTGGGGAATTAAAGGCTAATCATACGAAGTAAGGACATAATATGTCATAATGAAGTACATGAATGCTTTATTTGTTTATATAGCGAGCAATTTCTGAACTGGCAATCTTCCATTGTAGTGATAAGGATATATCTACAATTGAGTTACGCCGTCAAGTTCATATCCAATCGGAGCAAAAACGTCGTGCTCAAATCAAAGATGGCTTCGAAGAGCTGAAAAACCATCTACCCGGTTGCGCAAACAAGAAGCTTAGCAAAGCTGCCCTTTTAACACGAACAGTACAACAGTTAGAGCATATGAGAAAGATGCAAAGTGAGCTTTTGTTTGAAGTTGAGCGATTGATGGAAGAAAATTCTAACTTAAAAAGGTATTTATCCCAATGATCAGCCCACGTTCGATTTCCTATGTGAATTTAATGTAAAAACACACACTTATTATTAATTACATTCTAGATATGCTACAGCTATACAACAGCATTAACTGATTTATGTACACGTACCGTTGATATCTTTTCCTTTGATTTCTCTGGTTCAACATTTGGAAAATATGAACTTTTAAAGACACTACTCAAATTATTTTTTGAACATTTGTACATATTTTATACTTTCAATAAAACAATTCTTCGTATTTATTTTAACACTGGTTTTGATAACATTCCTTCGAGATACCGAATTAGCAGAGTTGATTAAAACACCCATCACACACTGCCTAGATTGATAATTTTCGACGGATATTTATTGCGGAAAGGACGGTGTAAAACGTGTGACTTATCATGAAATTACCCCAGATGGATTTAACAAAATGTCAAAAACTGCATTTTGATTTTTCAGGCAAGGTTTATCCTGCATACCACCCATTTCAAATTAGGTTACAGCCATAACATAATGTCAATCACAAAATCCCTGACAACGTCAGCTTTCTCGGCTCTAAAGGTACCGACAGACTTGATACCAGAGCGTCATCAAGGGTAACTGATTGTTATGTATTTTATTACCCCTGTCGAAAATTTTAGAATACTACAACAAAGAGAGCGTTTGCCTCAGCAGTAGAGTCCTCACCACCATGTAAGTCTAGTTTCAATAAAGGCCTTATTAAGAGGATATATCTCAACTAAATTATTTTACCACACTCTTTTATCAAGCTCCATTTCCAACGAGTGTTCAAGCATTCATAAGAGATTTCAAAACGAATGAACCTGTCAGAATTATGAACCTGAATAAAAATGTATTTGGAGCACCACTTCGAAGAGACATCCTTCACCGTGTAGTTGTTTGGCAGAGAGATGGTATGCGACAAGGTACAGCCTCCACTAAAACTCGTTCTGAAGTAGCTGGCAGTACCAGAAAGAGACAACCTCAAAAGGGTACAGGTAAAGCCAGACAGAGTGATGGAAAGGCACCTCATTTCAGAGGTGGTGGTGTTGCTTTTGGCCCCAAGCCTAGAGATCATAGTACTGATTTGCCTAGAAAGGTTCAGGAGTTCGGTCTTCGTATTGCCCTGAGCAGCAAATATGCCCAAGATCAAATGGTTATTGTTAAATCATTGGAAAACTTTTCTTCGTTGAAAACCCACGATCTGCATAACATCCTCAAAACAACGTATAACTCACCAAAGACTTTGGTTATTTTGAATGATTATCGCAATAACTTTGAATTAGCAGCTCGTAACCTACCTAATTGTGAAATTCTATATGTGGAAGAAACAAACGTTCTGGATTTACTAGCGTACGATAAAGTCATTATTGAGAGATCTGCTGTTAAAACTTTAGAAGAAGCTCTAACACCAATAGAATAAATTTGCAATGCTTTTCCTAATCCAATTTTTTCAATATTCGCAACTCATTCGAACACGACAATTTTAATGACTTTTTTTATTCGATCGAATAATATATGTATAAATACATTGATCTATGTATGTGGAATCGAATATCATTGAGCATGATATAATATAGTTTGCAAATGACTTAAAATATGGTTTATATATACACTTTTTTTTTTTGCTTTTTCTGAATTTGAAAAATGAATTACATACGATTTTTCTATATTGTACGAGACAATTACCAACCGGGTCCACTAGATTGAGCAGGAGGAGCACCCCATCCATCGGCACTAACTGCAGGAGCAGTACCCCATCCATCATCATTTGCAGGAGCAGCTTGTGCAGGAGCTTGTTGTTGTTGATGTTGTTGAACCGGTGCAGGAGAGGCGGACTTAGCAGGGTTTGGTGTAGATTGAGCAGGAGCACCCCATCCACTGGCAGCAGCGGGAGTAGGCATTGATTGAGCAGGAGCAGGGCTTGTTTGTTGAGTAGGAGCGCCCCATCCAGTAGAAGCCTCAGGAGCAGGTGAAGGTTGTGTAGGAGCAGGGGGACCCCATCCACCAGCGGCAGCAGGAGGTGGTGTAGTTGGCTTGGGTTGTTCAGCAGCTTGGGCTGGAGCTCCCCATCCGCTAGCAGCAGGTGCTGCTTGAGCAGGAGTATAATTGGAAGCACCCCAACCACCGTTGGCAGGAGCAGGAGGAGCGGCAGCGGCAAGAGTATCATTGGAAGCACCCCAACCACCGTTGGCAGGAGCAGGAGGAGCGGCAGCGGCAGGTGTATCATTCGATGCGCCCCATTCACCAGTAGCTGGAGCTGGAGCAGCGTCAGCGGGGGTTTCAGTGGACGCTCCCCAAGCAGCGTCATTAGAAGAAGCATTGACAGCTGGTTCAGCAGACCAACCAGCAGTAGCGGCTGTGCTATCCCAATTTGCAGAGTCGAGATTAGATGTATCAGTAGTAGTGTTGTTGTCGTAACCACCATAACCAGAATTGAAACCAGCACCATCGCTCTCCTTTGGAGCAGAACACTTGAAACATTCAAAACGAGATGCAAAGTTTACAGCACCGCAGCTGGATAAAAGAAAACGTTATAATCAGAATTTAGAAGGTTTTGAGCTGTATCCAAATCATAATAGATTCTATTTTGTACTATCAAACGGATAACTTACCTAGAACAATCCCAATCACCTTCGCGTCTTTCACGAGGAGGACGTCTTCCACCACCAAAGTCGCCACCACCGAGACCTTCGGGTTTAGGAACACCGCACTTGAAGCATTCATAACGAGAAGCGAAGTTAGAAATACCGCAGTCAGGACAGTTCCAATCACCAGGGCGGCCACCACCACTACCGCCATTAGGATTGGGAGTACCACACTTGAAGCACTTAAAGCGAGAAGCATAGTTGCTAGTGGCACAATCAGGGCAATCCCAATCTCCTTCACGAGCGCCGCTATGACCACCAGTGTTACCTGAATCCCAGGCAGCATCAGCAGCACCTGTAGCTTCAGCATTGTTATATCCTTGAGGAGCACCAGGAGCAGTTCTTTCCATGGGAACGTATTCTTGACCAGCGTAAGAGGGAGCTTCTACTCCAGTATCATCAAGATCTTCATCGAAAGTCATATCGTCAGTAACATATTGTTCCAAGAAATCGGGGATATTTTGTTTGCATTCCTTCAACAGCTTGGTCAATTCAGGAGCTAACAGGTCGCTTCTTTCGTTATAGAAGGAGGTAGCCAAACCAGATTTACCGACACGAGCGGTACGACCAATACGGTGAATGTATTCATCCATATCCTGAGGCATATCATAGTTAACGACATGCATAACATTACGGATATCAATACCACGAGCAGCAACAGCGGTAGCAACCAAAATAGGACATTTGCCTCTCTTAAAAGCGAGAAGGGCATCTTCTCTTTCCATTTGAGTACGATCACCGTGAATGGAAGTAGAGGGGAAACCACGATCGAAAAGATATTGATCCAAACTGCGGTTTTTCAGATAATATTTATGAGATCAGAACCCTATCTGCAAATTTTCTGTTGAATTTTTGAAATTTTCAGTTTACCTATCAGCACTTCTCTTAGTTTCGACGAAAATCAAAGTACGACTAGGTGGTTGAGAGTTCAGCAAAGTACGAAGAGCCTCTCTCTTATCTTCTTCAGGAACGTACATAATCTATATTATGTGGATTGAATATTGATTTGTTAAATGTTTATGTTATCAAACGTATGAATGAAAGCTTCAAAACATCACTTACGTTTTGTGTAATTGCACTAGAAGTACCACCAACGCGACCGACCTTCAAGAAAAGATAATCAGGTTTTAAAAAGTCACGAGCAAGAGCACGGATAGCTCTGGGGAAGGTGGCAGAGTATAAAAGAGTTTGCCTATCAGTAGGCATATCATTCTTCAAGATGATGTTACGAATGATAGCTTCGAAACCCATATCAAGCATACGATCGGCCTCATCTAAGACAAGATATTTGATTCTGTTAAGACCAATTTTACCGCGTTGAATATAATCCATGAGACGACCAGGAGCAGCAGCCAAGACATCACAACCACGCTCAAGTTGGCGAAGTTGACTGAAAGAATCAGCACCACCATAGATAGCACTAAATAAGAATACAACATATCCATTATAAACAAAATTGTTTAGATACTATTTCTCTTCGTAACTCAACTATTTGAGTGATACTTACCAAGGTCTAAGGGGAGATCTATAAGTAAACTGGTACGCACAAATAGAGATAGAACAGATTCTTCAGCATAAATCCCTTCACTTTTATCACGACTGTCATTCAATGAATGCTACTTACTCTTCTACATTCATCGAAAATTTGGGAGCAAAGTTCTCTGGTAGGAGCAATGATAAGGACTAAAGGCTCAGCTTTATAAGTTCTAGTTTCGTAAGGGGCTGGTCGAGGCTTTTGAAGTTCCTTGGCTCTGCTGAAGAGAGCTGAAAGAGTGGGAACCAAGAAAGCTGCAGTCTTACCGGAGCCTATTGGAAATAATAATTTTGGTTCGCAAAAGAATGAGAAAAAATGTTGTCGTTGAATTCGCCCTTCTATCATGAAACTGAGGTCTCTCAGATTGGAACACATTACCAGTTTGAGCACATGCCATTAAATCTTTGCCAGAAGTAACAATAGGAATAGAATGCATCTATAAAGCATTTAAGATATAGTTAGTTAAACATAAAAAACACGTCATTTTGTCTCAACTATAATTTTTCTATATCTCACCTGAACAGGGGTAGGAGCGGTATAACGAGCAAGTCTAACATTTTCCTTCATAACAGGATGAAGGTCAGCTTCCTCAAACTAAAATTGATAAAAAGATACAAAGATGATGATTAATAACAATTATTGATGAACAATTAAAACAGAAATAATTTAAATACTTTACACTCTTGATAGGAGGGGGAGCTGTTCCACGTTCTACGCGTACAGGAATAGATGCATACTTGGAGAAATCAAGAGTTGTTTGCTGTTCAGCAGCATTTTCTTCGAAAAGTTCTTGTTCAAGAGCAGCATCACGAGGGGCCATTCCATTCGCATCAATAGCATTTTCATTGTATTCATAACGAGCACGGTTAGAAGCCCAGTTGTAATTTCTGTGTTGAAGTTGTTCTTCGGTAGGTTCAGCTCGTGGAGGTCGTTCCGTACGAGCTTCTTCATAGGCATCATTATTAGCATACTTGCTTGCCGCAGTGCCGTTACTGAAGTCGTTGGTAGCACCACCAAAACCATTGCCATTGCTGAAATCGTTACCACCAGCATTGGCAAAGTTATTACCAACAGCTGCATCGTCAGCACCCCAACCAGCATTACCAGAGGAGAAATCAGCGTTACCACCAGCAGTGTTACTGTCAGCGCCCCAGCCAGCATTACCAGAAGAAAAATCAACATTACCGCCAGTAGCATTGTCAGAACCCCAGCCAACATTACCGGAGGAAAAGTCAGGTTGACCAGCAGAAGAATTGTTATTAGGAGAATCCCACGACATCTTGATCACTTAGTTTAAGATTCTGACGTGAATTTAACACAGGTCAAGAAAAAGAGGAAAGGAGATAAAAGATGGGATTGGAAGCAGGAGTTTGATTGAATAACACCGATTGTCAAAAAGCTAATTTCGTGACGCCCTTTACTCTTTATTTTCTGCGTGTCTAATCATGTCCGTAACTTAATGCATAGAAAATGCTACTTTTAATACTTTCTAACTTCTTTAAGTTTTAAGTACATAAGTCGTGATGAATATGTGTTTATTTATGAAAGTGGCTTATGCGTGTCTATTAAGATTATAAAATTGAAAGATTTAAGTAACCCTTCCAATATGCATTAAATAATGGATAAAGATGCGTTTTACACCAGTAAATGTACGCTCTCCAGGTTTAGAAATATGTCGGTTGGTGAAACAGAAGAGGGAGATATCTGTTGATACAATGTTGGGTCATTCGATTGCATAGAAGCAGTTTGCTGTTGTTGCTGTACTAATTGCAATTGATACCAATGTGTAATGTCGAATTCTTTATGTGTGAATGGTAGCCTTACGAAACTTTCTGTTGATGGTAGATTGGAAAGGGTGAATAGTCGCGTCGTTGATGCAGACACAATACCTTTTATTTTGGCGTAGGTTCGGATATGATCTGCAACCTCAGCGCGCCTTGCAACGATATATTCTGTCACCTTTTCATTCAAAGGTACGGAATAATTGAGACTATCATGAATCAATCGTAAGATTTCACATAGCTGTGCTGCGGTGGGCCGGTTTTCAGGCTTGGGTTCCAAGCATGATATATATAAGTCGTGGTACCAATCGGGTAATCCTGGCACAGGCTCGATACGATACACATTTTCCAGAAATCCGTCATCATTACTGTTACTATTTTTGCTAGCAATACTTCTCGCTGAGTTACTGTTGCCTGCATCAAGCAGCACATCTGGCGAAGGAAAAATAACTTTGCTGACTAGCTGCCAAATGATAATGCCTAAACTGTAAATATCTGCTTTTTCTGTATAAATGCCCTTTTTGACTTCAGGTGCTATATAAGGCAGCCGTCCATAGACGGCTCTTGTTAATGCTGTAACCGAAGAGGACTCTTTGGATGGTGTTGAGAATCTGTAGTCGACCAAAAAATAATCATTATCCGTACAAATGATGTTGCTTGGATGAACGTTTCTGTGACACAATCCCGCTTTGTGTAAATCAGCCAGATTCACAGCCAAACGTAAAATAGTTCCTGTAATAGTCTTCAAGTCTAAATCACCGAGAGGCAGTTGCTGCATGTGGTCCTCTAAGTTGCCATCATTGCTCATTTTCATAACCATCATTAAGTCTCCTGTACTCTCACAGACGGTTACGCCTTGGAACAAGAGAGGCAAAAAGGCTTTCCCTTGCACGGCAATCTATTTCAAAATCCAAAAGTACTTCAAATCATCAGATACAAATATTCAAACTCTCTAAAAACTTTCACTACCACTAATTTCTCTACTGTAATAATCTGTAACTCAGTATGTAATAAACAGTAGTGAATCTACCTCGTTCAAGATTTTCTCATCCACAACTTTTAATGCCACCATCATTGGTTCAATATCGTAAGGAGGGTTCATTTGAGCAGCATAGACAGCTGAGAACCCACCTGCTCCAATAAATCGTAAGTTTGAAAACCACGACCAAGGAAACCATTGCATATATTGATCTAACCTTTCTAAACAGATCTGATTTACTGCTTTTTTTGCTCTGGGGTGAGTTGAGGCTACGATCTTTTCGACTCCATATAGTTCAGTTAGAGTTCTGTATGTAAGTTGTTGTCTCCAAGCAAAGGACCAATTCTAACAGGAGAATAAATTGTAAGTACAGTGTTCTTAGAATAAAAATTAAAAAAAAAATTAACAGGCAAATACCAGAACATGATTAAATTGTATTCCGTTATCATTGTAGCTTGCAAAGACTTCCTGATACAGATTAGCCAAATCATTGGGCATCGCAGGATCCAACTGATCTTGAGAAGGATCATTATTACTGCTGTTACTCGTATTTGGACTCGACGATGAAACCAGTTCAGTTAGTCCGAAATTGATAGGATGCTTCTGGATGAAGTCTGTGATCTTTGCTTTCGTCTGCTTGTTTAATTCTTCACTAAGCTGCTGTGTATAAATCAGTTCAAGTTCATGCTCATCCATATTTGAAAGACTGAAGGGCAGAAGAGGGTATAGAAGCGAAAGAAATAAAAGCAAGAAGCAAAGGAGGTAAAAATAAATCAAATCGTCTTTTTAATAGATTAGAAAAAGGAAGGCTTTTTATTTTCTTTAAATAGATGGTGTGTATCATCGTGTTCAGATCATGACATTGTATGGACAACGAGGTGATACAAGAAGAAATATCAAGAAGAACATGTCCAAATTCTATCCGCTTCGTCCATCCATTTTTTTAGTTCACAGTCTCCCGCCACTAAAAATTCAAAGTATGCGGGAAACCCATTTGTAGTTTCGTGAGCGATCAGTTGTACTTGCTGTTTACACTCTAATTCGTACAAGGATGACGAAAACTCCGGCTCTTAGCCGGAATAATTTTCCAGGTACAGCATGGCTAGCAATGCATTCCAATCTCTGTCTGCCTGTTTTTGTAACTTATAAAATCCTATGTCATGACATTGGAACAACTTTGATGCTAAACACGTCACATAAATCTGTTAAGCGATAGACAGCTTTCTAAAGCTACTCTTGAAGAAGGTACTTCAATAAATATTTACTCTTCGTCCTCCGTTCCTAGTTCTTCTTTATCTATCGGCTGTTAGTAAAAAGAGCAGTACTTCTATTGAATCGGACGTATAACTAAAGTGATAGCATCCAATGCTGCCTTACAATATGGCTGTTTTGTTGTACCAGTCAATATATTCACGTTATTTTCGGCTAAATGAATGTATGCACTGACATGCATTCACTTTTGTACTTTGGCTTCCTCACAATTTTTAGAATCACCCTTTGCATCTGCTATAGTGGTGGTGTAACGCTTGACCTTGTCTAGACAATCCAACTATTTTGATCGAGAACACATAGTTTTCCACAAATTCGCTGAGGTTTCATTACTGATGGGAACAGATACAATTCAATTGCTATCCTTAGATTTTAAGCTTCTTATAGTGAATGATTTCTTAATAGAAAAATTAAAAAAAGTATTGCCTCGCATATTGCAAGATTTATCAGCTATTGTGCAGTTTAAAACCGTTAATATTGTTTATTTCTGAAAATCTGTACATGAGAAGCGGAAGCACTCTTTCGAGAGCTTTTATAAGGGAGTAGTTGCGTTTACGCAATAAATGAATAAATATGTTTTGATTGATTAAATTCTAGCTTTGAAAATGGTAGATGTAATGAGTGGTTCAGACGAAAATGTTATATACACTAATGTATCTTTGTTTAACTTAGGCTGCTGCTTCAGCACTGATGGTAGCGATCTGTTCAGGTTTCTCAAGCTTATCCAAGAAGTCAGTGTGAACACCAACGGCCTTGGCTTGATGATATGATCGAAGTAATACTACAGTTTATTAATGAAATTGTTAGTAACTCAATTTCGTAACGAGAAAATAAAAGCAAGAAGCCATTTTCGAAGAGTTCATACCATCAACATCATCCAATGAAAGAGGTCTCACGTCAGCTAACTCTTTAATCTTCGCTGTTACTGCCTTAGCATCGTCGTCTGTCAAATTCAGATCGAGTTGCTCTACTCTGTTCTTGACAGCGTTCCATCCTGTTAAACGATGACCGATGCTGACATAACGTGTCATACCAAAATCAGTAGGATTCAAGATTTCGTAGGTAGAAGGATTATTCAAAATAGCTTTAGCGTGAATACCGGCCTTGTGAGTAAAAGCGCAATAACCTGTGATGTAGTTATTGAATGGAACTGTGACCTCGACAGCTTCGGCCACTATATTTTCAACTTCACGGATCTTGGTCAAATCATACTTGTTCTTGACATATTCCTTATCACCAGTGTACATTCTAGCTAAAAGACCACCGAGGGGTGTGATACCATTACGTTCACCAATACCGAGAACGGATGTATCGATGTGTGTCGCACCAGCTTCCAAAGCTACATCGGTATTATTTTAAGGTTAATCTCCGTCCAATTACAAATATAGAAAGTTGATCTAGATCACTATTATTTACCTGCATAAGCATTTGCGATTGCACAACCAGTATCATTGTGAAAATGGCACTCAATATCACAACTAACAACACTACGTAATGTCTTGACGAGCTCATAGACTTGACGAGGGTTAGCACAACCGACTGTATCAGCGATACCTACACGGTTAACACCAATCTTGTCAACAGCTTTGTAGATACTCAATAAATCGACGAGGTCGGAGCGGAAAGAATCTTCCGTGGAGAAACGCACTTCTAAACCTTGGTTCTTAATGTAGGTGATCACTTCAATGGCTTGCTTGGTAATATAGTCCATATCTTTACCATGAGAAAATTCGCGCAGGAAACTCGAAGTACCGATGACGACATCTAAGCCGTCGACACCTGTATCAATCGCTAGTTTGGCATCATCCATATGGCAACGAACGTGGGTCAAGATCTTGGCTTTGAGACCAAGACTAGAAATAACTCTACAGTCATTGCGAGATTGCTCGGATGCAGCAGGCGATGTGAGTTCAAGATAATCCACACCAATAGCATCGAGTGCTTTAGCAATTTCTGTTTGATTTTTATAAGTAAATGATTTTTCAGATCTTTCCCTTCCTTTATTACTGATCAAACACTTACCAACTTTCTTTTCCGTTGTGAAGAATGCATTAGCAAACTGTTCTCCCTCTAATTAAATAGAAATTGGTATAAGACTGACTTCTGATTGATTCCAATTTGAAATTAGATACAGCCAAATATACCTCTGAGGGTTGATTCAATAATCTTAAAGTTAGCAACATTAGAGTTAGGATCATTTGACATGTATGGAGAAGTAACAGCTTCCTTGGGTAGTCGATTGCTGTTGGTTTGTAAGCCGTTTTGATACATATTGCACAACTATTAATGTAAAGTAATGATGAAAGAAAGAAGAAAAAGGAATTAAAAGAAAAATGATCTTGTTATATAGTATGTTTATTTTCCATACACAGATCAAAAATCTTATCCATCAAAAAAGCAAAGATTATCAATCTCTGGTTAGTTGCAGCTTAGGGAAAAGAATCTTTTCCGGGGAATTGATCTTTTTTTTGGGATTGAATAACTAAGTTAAAGCAGCCAATCAATACGCAAATTAAAGCAGATTCACATTTTGAAATGGGTTTGATTGCAAATACAGTAGGTTTTTATGCTTCACACAGCCTTATTGCTTGAAAAAAACCCCAAAAAACGGTCACCTTTCAATTGATATAATTTATTATCAGCATGAATGTGCCAGTTGAGCAGTCGAAAGCGAATAGAAATAAAAGAAAATCACTTGCTTACATATAGAATAGATGCTTTTTAATGATCCGACGAAACAACGACAGACGGACTGGTGGTGCTCAGACGGCGACAGTGTTGAGTTTCTATCATTTAGTTAATGTTGAATATAAGACAATACATCATAGAGCCTTTCCGGTAGCTGCTGCTATACGCTTTGAGAGGAATATAATGAAGTAGCTTTTAATAACGTTTAAATCAATAATAACGTACTTAATTGTATTTCTATTGCAAATCAATACTTTATGATGACGATTATGATGGTGTGACGCTCACGATAACAACCGAAGCATAAGCAAGTAGTCGTGGAGTTACTTTGCTTAATTTGAGTTAGTTGATAGGGCTTGGTTTTTCGTATTTTATTCTTCTTTTTCGGACAAAATATGTTTGACAATAGAAGATATCATCTATATAGTGTTAACCGATCTATGGCACTCGGGTATTTGGCGAAATGGGTGTTGGAGATGTTTTAGACATAGAGCAATATCAACTAAGAAGCTGCCATTTTACCAATTTTTTTTGTCAATTAGATCTCAACAGAAGTTAAAAAGGCACACGAAAATCGAATCTTTAACGTGTAATGTGACCGCGTCAATGAAATAAAATGGCAGCTGCTCCGTTCTATTCAATTCATTATTTTCCTGTACCTGACATTTACAATCAAAAGCCATCCTATGTACCTTGAGGAATTATTAATCGAAGGCTTTAAATCATACGTTTCAAGAACACAAATCACAGGTTGGGACCCTGAGTTTAATGCCATCACAGGTCTTAATGGTTCTGGTAAATCGAACATTCTGGACGCTATTTGTTTCGTGCTTGGTATTACCAACTTATCGCAGGTTAGGAACAATTATTTATGCTGAATGGCCAACAGTAAAAAGTAATCATCAAAATGAAACTTTAATAGGTTCGAGCGAGTAACTTGCAAGACTTGATCTATAAACGCGGACAAGCAGGTGTAACAAAAGCATCAGTTACCATTGTATTCAACAATGAGGATCGTGATCGCAGCCCTGTTGGTTTCGAAGCATATAAACAGATCACAGTGACTCGACAAGTAACGTTATTCATGATACACTTAGACACAACTGCTACACCTCACAGATGATTAAGCACATTTATTTTTGATATGCAGGTTTTAATGGGAGGAAGAACAAAATATATTGTCAACGGTCATAATGCTCAGCAACAAACAGTTCAAAATCTTTTTCAGTCAGTTCAACTGAATATCAATAACCCACACTTTTTGATTATGCAAGGTCGAATCACGAAAGTATTGAATATGAAACCAACAGAGATTTTAAGTATGGTTGAAGAAGCGGCCGGTACGAAAATGTTCGAAGATAGAAAAAACAAAGCTATTGCTACAATGGCAAAAAAAGAGAGAAAAGTAGAGGAGATTAACACATTATTGGCCGAGGATATTATACCCAAACTAGACCGCCTTCGAGCAGAAAAGCGAGTTTATCTAGACTTTCAAAAGACAGAGGCTGAGATGGAACGATTGAATCGGCTAGTCATATCCTACGAATATAAGAAACATGATGACAGATTGAATCGGACCGGAGATAATGAAGCCAGGATTCAACAGCTAATCGATCTTAAGAAAACAGTCAAAGCATTAGAAGACGAATTAAACAACATTGACACAGATCGAAAGGCTGTTTCTGCCAAAATGAGCAAAAATTCCTCACACAGTAGTAAAATCAAAGAATTAGAGCAGAGAATCAAAGAGTATTCAACTCAGGCTGTCAGATTGAATACGAAGAAAGGCTTACTAGAAACTTCAACGGCCGATGAGCAGAAGTCATTGTCTTTGTTATCAGGGCAAAAAGGAGAGGTAAGATACTAAAAAGTCAGCACCATATTATACGTATTACGGCTAAGTCTATCGGTATTATTTGCAAAAAAATAGTTGGAACAGAATCTCCGTGACAAAAGAAGCTCATATGAAAGAGTTTATAAAGAGTATGAGCAATTTAAAAAAGAAAATGATGAGAAAACGGCCCAGATGAAGAGCATGGACGAACTAATTCAAACACTAACAACGGGTATATCCGCTGAAGAAGGTCAAGAAAACGGCTACATGGAACAATTACAGCAATTCAAAAATGCGGCTAATAAAGCCTCCACAGCTGAAGAGCAAGCAACATTAAAGATAAAGCACTTGAGCAAAGAACTTAAAGAAAAGGAGCCACAGGCAGCTAGAGCACTAAAAGAAAGCAATGATTCTGTAGTTATATTAGACAATAAAAAAGCTGAAATAGTAGAATTGCAAAAGCAACTAGACGCGTTGAATTGGAATCCTAAAATCGAGAAAGAACTATTACGCAGGAAACGGGAAGAGCAGGACATTATCAATGATCTATACGATAAAAGAGAAGATTTATCCAGACAACTTTCTAACCTCGAATTCGAGTATTCTGATCCTACACCTAATTTTGATCGTTCGCAGGTAAAGGGTGTAGTTGCTGAACTTATCACATTAGACAAACAGAATTATGATGCCTCAACAGCTTTGGAAATCTGTGCTGGCGGTAGACTCTATAATGTTGTAGTAGAGGATGAAAAAGTGGGCGCACAACTCTTAGACAATGGTAGATTGAGGCGTCGATGGACTTTGATCCCTTTGAATAAAATTCAAGGGCAAAAAATACCCGATGAAGTCTTGGCCAAAGCTGAGCAGATCGCTCCTGGAAAGGTCAGTTTAGCTCTAAGTTTGTTAGGCTACGATGATGAAGTTTATAGAGCTATGGAGTGGATTTTTGGCACTACCTTCATTTGTAAGGATGCGCAAGCTGCTAAGGATGTTACGTTCAATAAGAATATCCGTATGAAGTCCGTCACATTAGATGGTGATATCTATGATCCTTCAGGCACCCTATCGGGTGGGTCTAAACCTAATTCTGCTGGTATTTTGTTGAAAGTACAAGAATTAAACGAGGTCAGCAATGAAATAAAACGACACACTAAGATAGTGGAAAGTTTGGAGGAAGAACTGCAATCTTCGCAGAAACTTATTTCACAATACAACCAAATTAAACAACGTTTGGACCTTCAGTCTCATGAACTTAAATTGTTGCAACAACGTATGGATAATAGTACTTATTCACAGGTAAAAGAAAAAGACAGAATAACCAATATAAATCAATTTACGCTTACCCTCCACCATTTCATTCTCGAACCGTTTGATTATTCAGCTAGCAGCTCGTGTTGAAGCCTTGAAGAAGCAAATAAACCAACAGGAAGAGATCAAACAACAATCCAAATTAGAAAAGGAACAAGCGCTAAGGGATTGTGAAAGAATCGAGAGGGAGATGACCGATTTCAATAACAATAAAGATACGAAATTAGATGAAATGAATGTAAGCTACAATTCGAAGCAAATTTTCACACTACAGTATATTCAGTATCTTCCCCATTTAGCATCGAGTTGAAAAGCTGAAGTCGCAGTTAAAGAAGAGTGCAACAAAACTAAAGGACATGCAACGTACAGTGCAAACCTTTGAACTTGAGATAGGTACGTTATGTTAAAGAAGAAAGTGTAAGCCTTCGATTAATAGCTATTTCTAAACAAACATAGAGCAATCGGAAGCTGATATACGAGCATGTGAAGAAGAAATAGAGAAAAGCCGAACTACTGTTGCAGAATACAAAACAGCAATATTGAATGCAACCAGTGAGATTGACGCTCTTAATAAGTCTTTGGAAGAGGCTAAAGAAGAACTTGAAAACGAAAGTAGAATTCTTAATGCACACAATGAAGAATTTAAAGAATTATGCGATGCCTATGACCGTAAATCGGCCGAAGTAGTCGAGCTCAACTTACAACTGCAAAAAATTAGTCATGAAATTGAACGTATTCAGAAAGAAAGGCAGCAGTCTGAACAAATGATAAGAGAAATGGAAAAACAATACGACTGGATTCTGGATGAGAAACAGTAAGTTAATTTCACAAAAGTACTTAAAATTTCAATTCCCTAACAACTGCTTTCCCGCATTTTAAAGATACTTCGGTGAACCTGGCTCTCCCTACGACTATACCCATATTACAATGGCCGACGTTCGCAAACAACTTCAGCAGTTGACCGCAAATCATGACTCTTTACGTAAAAAGATCAATGTCCGTGTTATGAATATGATTGATAAGTATGTATACAAATAGCGTACAGTTTCAATGAATGGAAACTGACATTTTCAATTTTTCAGTGTTGAGAAAAAGGAGGCTTCGTTGAAAGAAATGCTGGCCACTGTTCAAAAGGATAAACAGAAGATTGAGGAAACTATTAGAACATTAGATAACTACAAGATGGAAGCTTTGGAAAAAACTTATCGTAAGGTGAACAAGGATTTCGCTGAAATTTTTGGTGACCTTTTAGCAGGAAATACATGCAAATTACAAGCACCTGAAGGTAAATCCGTATCAGAAGGCTTAGAGGTAAAGGTATGTCTTGGTGGCGTATGGAAACAAAGTTTGACAGAATTAAGTGGTGGTCAAAGGTACTGTAACATTTAGTTTTCACTTTTTTTGAGTTAAGTTTATCACTAAGCTTTCAAAATCGATTTAGATCTCTTATTGCTCTATCTCTGATCTTATCATTGCTTCAATTTAAACCGGCACCCATGTATATTTTGGATGAAGTTGATGCAGCCCTTGACTTGTCACATACTCAAAACATTGGCTCCCTATTACGTACAAGATTTAAGGGCTCTCAATTCTTGGTTGTTTCGCTAAAAGATGGCATGTTCAACAACGCAAATGTGCTGTTTAAGACTCGTTTTAAGGATGGCACGTCAGTAGTTGAGGTAAATAAGCACATATACTGACTGTTAAACTAAGATGGCTCAAGCTGATTTCTGCCTGCTCTTTAATTTTAGCGAACAACACCTTATCGAAAAGATCAAGATAACTCAGGGCGCAAACGTGGACGAAATGAAAAAGATAATAGACGTAGATAAAATCATAACATCTATACATACTTACTTATTATTACTTAATACTTCACGCTTATTCCTCTTTTTGTTACGAACACTGTAATCATCCGCTTATTCAAATCAAAGAATTTGGAAGTATTTTTTTTTTTTGTATTTTGACTCGTCTTTTTTTCTCGTTTCGGACGCGCCTTTTTTGTTACCATTAACCACCACACGTCCCTTATTTTTATCATCTTTTCTATACGTTGAATACCCATAAATGCTAGAAAATAAAAAGAGACAACGCGAAGAAGAACCTGCTGCTACTTCAAATAAGAAACAAACTACGTTGCTCTCTATGTTCAAGCCTGTTGTTGCGAAGTCTCAGACATCACCGGGCATTGGTAGTAATACTGAGGAGGGTAATGTTAAATCGTTAGATGTGCCAAGTGCCAAAAAGAAAAAAACGCCAAGAGAGTTACTTGGAGATAAGAACATTAATGACGAAACATTGAAGTTGCTGGATCTTGAGTTGAAAACATTGAACTATGAATGGCTCAAAGTACTTGCTCCAGAGTTAGTGAAACCTTATTTCTTGAAGGTATCTTTATATGGATTGAGCATGCATAAGAAATTATGTTTTAAAATATTGACAGTTGAGAATCTTTCATTTGTCAGTTGAAGCAATATCTTAAAGCACAAATGGACGCTAAAAAAGTTATATTTCCACCTGGTAAACTATCACTCAATGTACAGCGAGGGCAACTGTGTTAATAGATGAGCTAATATAAGTGTTATCCTATTTTTAAGCCGATCAGGTATATAGCTGGTCGCATTTTACCCCACCCTCTAAGGTTGAAGTTGTTATTCTTGGCCAAGGTCCGTACTATCTGCATACTTCAATATTGGAGAATAACTCTAAGCAATATTGATCTCATTTATTTACAGATCCCTATCACAATTATAACCAAGCACATGGACTTTGCTTCTCAGTAGTAAAAGGTGTAAAAGTTCCTCCATCACTTGTGAATATGTATAAAGCTTTGAAAATAGATTACCCTGATTTTGTAGCGCCACAACATGGGTAAACTTGAATGTAGTCGAAACATACCAATCTGAGCCATACTAACGAAGATTAATTGATTAAATGTCTAGATATTTGGTTGAATGGGCAAAACGTGGTGTTTTACTATTAAACACAAGTCTTACTGTGGAAGCACACAAGGCAGGTAGCCACGCAAATCAAGGCTGGGAGCAATTCACCGGTATGCAAATTATTAGGATAGCTGCAATTGACTCTGTTGTACTAACAAGCAATTCTTGCAAATGCATAGATGCCGTAATCAACTATTTGAACGAAAAAAAATCCAACTTAGTATTTATGCTATGGGGATCCCATGCTCAAAAGAAGGGTGCTCGCATTAATAAATCGGTAAGTAGTTTTGAGCCAAAGCTTCAGTTAGTGTATATAGTCACTAACCGTCCAGAATTTTTTTATTAACAAATTCACTGCTTATATTGCTGCAGAAACACCTCGTTTTAAAAAGCGTTCATCCCTCACCATTATCGGCCCATAAAGGCTTCTTTGAATGCGGGCATTTTAAAAAAGCAAACGAGTATCTAAAGGCACATGGCAAACCGGAAATAGAATGGAACTGTTTGAATTAAAAGCACCACTATATATATCTTATACCTACACATTTAAATTATTGCGTAGATATTTTTGACCCAGGATGCTTATACAGACGGTTTGAAAGGTTTATATTCCATTAGCGATTAATAAATATAAGAACTAGTTCAGAGTCGTAAATATTCTACATATCCAATGCTGCAAAATCTTTCCCTCGTGAATCTTGTTTGCACATAGGGCATCTAACGTTTAAAACAAGCCATTCATGTAAACAAGCTTTATGAAAATGATGATAACACCTATGAAAGTGAAATAATTTAGGAAACAGTGTTTAAAACGTGCAACGGCAACTATGGATACTTTACCAGAGTTTGCATAAAATATCGCCATCGTCGTAACTGGATAAGCAGATAGCACAAATTTGATCTTGAACATCGGGTATCTCAAGTAGCTCATATTCTGGCTCGATTTTTGACGGCGGTTCTACTAGGCCTAAACGAAGCCATAATCCGTTTAAAAAACCTGAATTTCGCTTCTCTTGTTTTTGTTGATGATGTTCTGATTTACTCAAATCAATTGTGATGTGGTATTTAGCATCGGCACTGCTATTCAGTTTTCCGCTTTTCTTGCTTTCAAATTTCGAAGATGCATCTGGAATACATGGATTAGTGTCGAGTGTCATAGATGTAGGGTTAATGAGTTTGACATTATTAGTTGTTTCTATAGTCATCTGTTGCGCCGAATTGGGGCGACTATTTGTTGACTTGAATTGATAAACGGGTATTTTTGCTATTTCATCTTCGGTTGCGCCTCCCATGTATACACCATCATTGACATGCAATAAACGCATACCCACTACAAAAGAAGAGAAAGAACAATTTTTGTAAATAAGGCTCGGATGGCAGATGTTGTATGCTGCAATGTACCTAGGACACATGGCAGACAAAATATAACTGATGTACAAAGGAATACTGGAACTGATAAAATCAGATATCCATATACAATAAGGACCATTGAGAAATAATACAAAGGTTGCGCCGTATCAGAACATGTTGATGATGAAAAGAGCATATAGTTGCCTATGATAAACCAGAAAACGACAAACAAATCCAATGCTGATTTCGCCCTAGCCATTTTTAGTTAGATGTTTGCAATAGGCAAGTAATATCTTCAAGTAATGGATTACCTATCAATCCAAGACCGCACTAGATTGTCATCGAAGGATTGAAAACTACCTGAAGTTACCTGCTGTGTTGAAACATGTTGCTGTTGTAACTGTTGTTGCTGAATAGGAGTGATAAATGGTGGGTATTGATTTCGATTTGTGGCAAGTGGTATAACAGGTGGAGGAAAGGAGACCGGCCGGGTATTGTGATTTCGTTCACTCATAGCATAAGCTTCGCTGAGTTCGGCTCTTATTGCGCTGGATCGAAGGGAAGAATTATTACCATTTGCACTACTTTGAGTCAGCAGTCTGCTGCGACGAGGGGCCAAATGTAAATAAATATTGATAGGAGCTATCAGGATTAGCCGCACAATATAAACAGCTACGAATATACGTAATGGTTTATCGCAGTACATGCCCCACGAATAGAATAGGATAGCCGTGCTAGAAATAATTTGTATACCAACTAAGGTCATTGACAAACCCAATAGTAATTTTGAAGAGCGTGAGCTTCTGCGCCAATTTAGAACGAAGTGTGTGAACCAATGTGATCGTACCCTTCGTGAAGTTGGCGTTGTACTTCTAGAAAAGTTCACAGCATTAGTTGCTGAGCTCGTCAAGATTTGTGGCAGAGCAGGTCGGGTAGATGAAGACGATGACGTCGATGAGAGAGAAGAATTGGAAGGCTGATGGCGATGACTTAATCTAGTTGCTGAAGGCATTGGTTTGGTCTTTAAAACAGTGTCAATAAACGTTATCAATGTCGTAGAGATTTATAAACGACAATACAAAGGTCCCAGTTTACTCAGTTATCAAAGTTAAAACAAAACTCACAATGCGTTTTTGGAATTGCAAACATGCAGTATTCGATTATTTAGAAGTGATATCTACTGGTATCTTAATGTGTATCTTCCTTATTCCCAAAACCGCCTTGACTTATTTTTGTAAAGGAATGGACAAATGATTGACTTGATGATATGAGTATTGGTATAAAGCAAAATAGGAAGTGTGGTATTACAAATGGTTGTAAAAACGATAAGAGCATTCCTTCATCTCAAATTTGAAATTGATGTGCTGAGTGGTTACCAGAAATTTGGAAAACTATTTCTACCAAAAGCTTCAACAAATTTGTGTTCCATGAATAATAGTAAAATGCTCATTGGATCTTCTGTAAGATACCCCATTTGTCTCAACTGAATTTTGTTCGTTAAATACGTTTATACGTTGTCTACAAGGGAACTTGCACGTATTGTCCTTACTACCGTAGTCGAACAACACCGTTAGAATGAAGATTTATAATATATGTTGCTCTAATTGCTGGCTTCTTGGTAGTCTTCTTCTCTCTTCCATCATTAGCCTTCCATTGTTGATTTCCCTTATGATAGCAGGTAACTGAACGGTGTCGTATATTCATCACTATAGTTTTATCAGATGACTGTGAAGGATTCTGTGATTATTTCGGTCACTGTTAGGCGAGGGCTCAATAGGCCCGCTGAATTTATGTATGAATTTATGTATAACAAACAATTCAGCACCATAATGAACCTTGGTTGTATTTTTCAAAGAAGGTTTGAATCATCCCCGGGTTATAAGTATTGTCGATTGTTTGCGACAATTGTTTAGCTATTCGCTCCAAATTCATCCTCTACGTTCTATCTAAGTGCATAAATTATCTTAGCAATGGTGCTACATTCTGAGCTTAAAGGGTACGAATAGGTCAACCCCCAAATCGGTACCAATCACATTAGTTCTGTGTAGTTATAATGTGTTTGACAAACATCTTGTTCATGCAAATTATACATTGATTGCTTAATATTAAAAGTTACCCCATATTGAATGTAATTGGACCAAGGTGTATTTTGAATTATTTTAAGTTATTCGAAGAGGAAATCGATTGCATTGTAAAGATGTGAGCAACATTTGTGTGTAATGAAAATTAAACAGAATTAAAGAAATTTGCCGTGATAAACCAGTCTTTGTATTCTTTATGTAAGTTATAAAGGCGTTGACTACGCTTCCAACAATTTGTTATCATAAACTTGACGATAATGCACAGTGGGTGATTGTTTAACTTCTTATTCCCGGTTCCTTTGTTTGCATTTCAGATTGGTTAAAAGGATTCATACAATAATTTATCAATGGTAGAAAATGTCTATAAGATTGACATGATCGTCTATCGTGTACTAAGACTGCTTCATTAACGTAATAATACTTTTAAAAGACTTTTAACATGGTTTTTTAAGATCAAAGAGTGTTTAGCTCCCGCAACTTTTTTACCCAACACTCTCATATCCTGTTTTCTCATTCAAACGTTTGCTCTGCCTTCAATAAAAAAGATTGAAATCAGTTCATTAATGACACAATGAGAGAAACATAATCAACCCTAAATATAAATATCGCACTAGACAAAATGTACTGGCTTCGCAAATTTTGACACCTTCCTTATTATCAAAATCTTTAACAAACAGCAATGGGTTACTTGAATGATCTCCACTACAGGAGAACTCTTAACCCAATGAATGGTCATATAGAAGACGACAACAAACGATGCTGTAAAATTAGCTTCGCTTTGACAGCGCATCTACGACCATTTAAGATATTCATTGAATATAGTTATGAATGCAACAACAACGGCAAAGCAAAAAATTCTACACCTCTCTTTACACTACTTGAACAGCAAAATAAAATTATTGATTGGAATACTAGAAACGCAGTGCTTCGTGTCGACGGAAAAGATCAGCTTGACAAATTACGACGGATAGTTCAGCAACAATTACAGCGGTCGAAATACGAAAGCAAGATTGCTGGTTTCAAAAATGAGCAAATTATGGAAGCGCCTAACCATCCGATCATTAAGCAAACCGCAAGAAAACACTACCGTCTTCAAAATCCTGGCGAACAATTTCATCATAGATGTGAACATGTTCGAAAGAGTAACGATGATTCAGTACGCTCTCGTGCGTTTAGACTTGCAGGAATAGAAAAAAGGGGAAGTTATGGCGAGGAGATAAAAGAAGTGGTAGGTAAAGTTTTTAAGGAAAAAGGGCTCTTTTTAGACGGCAATGAAGTTGACGATAGATTAAACAATAATCGTTTTGATATATTACAAAAGGACGGTAGCCAAAAGGTCGAAGCACCGTCTTTAGTCAAAGAAGAAACCGAAGAGCAATTTGCTTTAGTAGAAGATAAGGGAAGTTCACATAATGAAGCTGATGCACCGGTACCAATGACATTACCGCATAATTGTGGAGGTTTTGCAGTATTGGCCACTCGCGAAGGAAGACAACCGCAAGTATGGAATCACTTGGACCTAGAAAGAAATATACTCGCGGAACAAAAACAACGTCAACAAGAGTTACAACTTCCGCCTCAACTGCAGCCTCAGCAACTGCAATCACATCAGTTATCATATGAGCGACGGCAATTGCAGATAGAGATTCCAGAGCAATCTTCCTTCAATATGTGTATGATACCATGTATTTCAGGGCCGACTCCTATTTCTCCTATATACCCATGGAATAATGCACAAGACTCAAATCACCAATTCCAGCGTTTTAAAAATCCCTGGAAGGATACAGCTCGTATACAAGGACAGGAGCAGCAACGATTACAGTGGTTACAGCAGAACCAAAATTATTATTGTAACGGTACTGAGCAAATGCTAATACGACAACAAGCCTTTTTTGCTCAAGCTCAGCTTCCTCGCGTCGTTCTCCCGCCTATTGACGAGCGGCGACAATTCCGTCCACATCATCAGATAAATGGACTACAATTACTTGGCGACAAATGGCCAAAGCTACAACAACAACAGCAGCAGCAGCAGAAACCGAATAATACAGTTCCACAATCACTGGAATTGCTCATCGAGGTCAATTTGGAACAAATACAACCTGTTTTGAACCACTATCTCAATGGGAAGAAGAAGGTTATTATGACTGACCCCATGAATTTTTTGACAACTGATAATGAGGTAGTAGGAGAAGGAGTTGCAGGCGCTGTTATTGTTGTTCGAACCAAAAGGAAGCGACCAGAGCAAACTGCACGAGAGCTTGTGATGAAAACAACAGTTATTACCGACTATAAATTGAATGGCCGTATTAAACTGTTCGATGCTACGTTGCCTGCTCGTGAAGTTGTTGCAATGAGTTTAAACCACCCGAATTTAATGACTTTGGATCAAGTCTATTTGCACCAAAATAAAATCTTCATTGTAATGCAACGGATGCTCGGTACTTTAATGGACTTTATGTCCAAGTACGGAACATTTACCGAACCTTTCGCTACTCACATTATCTACGAGGTACAAAGAACATACTGACTCTATACTCCAATGGAAACAGATATTATAAACGAGTGGTTTATAAATAGCTTTACTTTTTCTTAATATTTTAGGTTACCAAAGGCTTGGCGTATCTGCATGAAAGTGGGTTTATCCATGGAGATATCAAAGCGGAAAATGTCCTTGTTAGCCAAAAAGGGGAAATCAAACTGGCTGATTTTGGTCATGCAGGCCTTATAGGCCAGCCCGAGTTGGCATTTAGAGGTACTCCTAGAGTAAGTTGATATACTTTAATGGTACGCAGTAAATTCGTAGTGGAAGCAAAACTAAATAACCTTCAATTATTAGTTTATTGCTCCCGAAGTAGCGGATGAAACGAAATACTGGGACAAAAGTGCTGATTTATGGTCTTTGGGCATTATGATGATAGAACTAATTGATGGCAGCGCTCCTAAGGTAGATCCTGATATCGATCCAAATAACATTGAAACCTTAATGCAGGCACATGCTTCAATTATTACTGCACCACAGCCTGTAAACCCTTCTGTAACTCTCAAATACAAGACAGCAATGAACCAGATACTGCAAATTCGTCCCACCGCCCGTGCTACTGCTCAAGAATTCGAAAAAGTGAGTTTGTAATGCTTTCTTTGCCCTTTCCGAAGTAATGTAATAGATATGCTAACAACATATATGTATAAATGTATAATTATATAGTATTTAAGAAACGCTATTTCCACAGGAATTTTGAGTAGTGCCAGTAAAGAAGATATTCGACAATTACTGACAGTCTCTCCACCACCAACTGCCTCTATTGCTGCAGCTTCTACTGTTGCAGCTTCTTCTTCAGCTTTTTCTGCGTCTGCTGCTAACGTTGATTCTTTAACTTCTGCTGTTAGTTCGCCATTTGAAGGGGTTTTTTGTGAATGAAACTACAGCGGATGACATAATTGCACTTCTTGATAGATTTGTATTTCATTTTCTCGACGCTTTATACCCGCCATTTACCTAGCATCGTCTGTAAAATTCTGCTTCCAAATTCTCAATAATGCTTATGGCTGATCAGAGTCATTTTAACAACCATAAATAAAAAGCTAATAATCCAATCTTTTTGGGAAGGAGAGCACCATTTAAATAGCGTTAAAATGAATGAAAAGCGAATATGTGTGCAATAGAGATATGCGTATTCTATTATAGCCAAATCTATTTAATAGGACTGGCAATGCCTATAATGATGTACTCGTCAATGATCTTTATAGCTTTTGGAGTTACTCTAAACGCCAAATGATATAATGAAACACCACTATGATACGCACAAATGTTTGTTTTTTTGAGCGGCAACAAACTTAATTTTAGAAGTTTACGAAAGGGAAATTCAGAGTCTCTCCTGTTTTTTACTTTATTAGAACTTTCCTTCCCAGACACGGACAGCAGCATCTTGTCCAACAGAAACAACGTTCAACTCAGTTGTATTATGCAGGAAGCGGACACTGTTCACAGCGTCCACATGAGCATTCTTGATAGCAATCTTTCTGGATGGCTTATCACGGTTCCAAATGTAAATATGGGTATCAATACTACCGCTGACTAAATAAGTACCACAATCAGACCAATCCAAAGCAGTAATACGACTGGTATGGAACACCCAGCTTTGAATCACGGCATCCTTAGACTCAATGTCGTATACAAATATTTTACCAACGCTATCACCCACCGCAATCAAGTTCAGCTCGGGATGGACTGCGAGACAAGTTATGTTACCAAGATTCTTATCCAACTCTCCGGAAGCTGTTAATTTGCCATTATCTAATTGATACATTCTCACTTTGTTATCCTAGGTAAGTCAACCATCAAGGAGAAGAGTATAAAAAAATAAAAAAAAACGGTAAATGCAACTATCGCTGATGACCACTCAAAGTAAACAATTTTACCTGTCCTCCAACAAATACTGTTTTACCGTCAGAGCTAATATCGGCTACAGAAGGCTTAAAGTCTACATTTTCAAGTGATCCGATCCTTTCGAGTTTTTCGTCGTAAATTAAAACTGTCTCGTCTGTTGCAACGACTTTGATTTTATCCTTCGAGATTGCCAAAGATCTTGGCACACAGTTTGTGGAAATTGCTTTGTCACTAACATAGCAATAAATGGGTGAGATTGATGAATGAAAGCTTATTTAACATCTTTATTGTACCTGAAAGTAAACTCCTCAGCAGATCCTTGACGTAGGGTATCATCCATGGCAACAGAGAAAAATTCCTCAGCGTCAGATGATGCATTAATAGCCGTAATTTGATTACTATGCCCATCTCCTGCGATACGTCTCGCTTTTGTGGTATTATCTTCTTCTCCAAATTTCCAACCATATACGCGTCCGTCGTAGGAACCAGTAAATAGCGTATTGTCTTTTTTGGATACGGCCAACGCAGTAATTGCTTTAGCATGACCATCCACTTGTCTTGATACTTTACCGCTATTCTTATCCAAATAACTTATTTCTCCAGATAATGAAGTTGTAATTAAATAATCGACCACCCACAGGTTACCCACTTGTTGGTTGTCTACAGTGTTAACAGCTGAGTCAATTTGAAAGGTACTATTTTGGGGTTGAAACATAATCAATCAAGAAGCGTTGGTAAAGCTCTGCGGTGTATACATATTTTAAGCTAAAGATAACTTCCAACTTACTTCACGATGCGCTTCGTATTCACATCCCATATCTTTGCTGTATAATCAGAAGAAGAAGACAGAATCTGGGTGCTATCGGGAGACCATGAAACGGCAAAGATACTGCCCTTATGGCCATCTTGTTCGCTCACTAACTCTTCAATCTTATCGCCGGTTTTTCCATCATACAGAAACATTTTACCATCGGCACCGGCGCTGACAAAGAAGTCACCGTTGGGAGAGAATTGAACTGCATGCACAAATCGTGTATGATCACGAATATTCTTCTGAAATTTGAAAGGCACGCCTGTAAAGAAACTGACTGTCATATCATCCGAAGCAGTGACAGCGCGGAAAGGACGTTGTTGACGAATACTAACACTATTTATCATCTTGGAATGACCGGTAATTTCGCCCACTGAAGATAATGTGTCAAACAAGAAGGCATGGCCAAAGCTTTCTTTGCCTTCACCAACAGCAATAAGACGTTTGCTCTCGCAATCCCAAGCAATGTCGGAAATCTTGCCAGAGATGGGTCTACATTCGTTCTTCAGAATGTGCTCTTCGTTTACAGTATCCCAAATACGGACATTGCCGTTAGCGTCTAAGTAAGGGAAGGATTATACGGGGTATATGAGTCTTTGGCTCCCTCGCATTGTCAAACAACTTCTTACGCTCTACCTCCTGAAGCCATGTAATAACCGCTAGGGCTATATCGGGCAACAGTAGCTTGTGCCTTATGACCAACATATTCGGTAGCGATGGAGGGATTCTGTTAAGTGATTCAAGGCAAAAGCGTTCTGTATAAGCTTATTTATTGCACAACTTTTTTTTTTAGCATGAAGTTCATGCTCACCTCCAGGTCTCTCATAAACACAGACTTTCCATTTGTATATGCAAATGTTTTGCCCTTTGGGTCCGCTTCGAGTTTGATAGACTCGCCACGCACTGTGTGAGGAAGAGGTGCAAAGGTATATTCTAAAAACGACAAAAAAACAACACATAATTCAGTTCGGCCCAAGATATTGTTATCCTGATATTTTGTTGTTTCGTATATCAATTTCGAACGTACTTTTTGTATACGTTGACGTAGACATTTAAGATAAGGAAGTAGAAAAAGGCCAGCCAAGAAAAAGAAAAAAGTAAATTAACTTTAATGCTACTTTTTGCCCTGAGTTTTAATGAACGTTTCATGTAAAGATTCCGTCTTTTCGTTGGAAAACAAATTCTGATCTATAAATGGCAGTCTTGGTTGGAGAAAACAATAAATGAAGAGTTTCGCTGTTGCATCCAATTGTCATGGTAGTCATTTAAAAAGTATATGATCATCTTCTGCTGTTGCTCATCAAATGTTTAGATAGATAGTGTAGGCATAGTGGAGGAGACGATACTTGTAGAATGTTTGCCTGAAGCATTTAATTTCAAGACAAAACAATATTTAGTGCTGTGATATTACTATTGTACTTATTTCATAATATTCTCATTGATTTTTTCCGTTGATATTTGTTCAATATAATGGAATACATTATGCATATTGAAACGACCACTAGCTTAAGAAAAAATAAAAGACGATGCCCTTCCACCTGTCGCTTTTTTGCTGCCTTTTCCAAACTTTCCCCCTCTGTGACTTCGCTTCAGTGACCGTGGCCTATCCACTGGGTGGGCAGTGGAAGGAAAATTTTTTATAATATTTTTTTTAAGAAGCGAGGAAGTGCAAAAGTTTGAGAAGCCCTCTCTTTCGAATTTAATCAAAATGGCTGGTATCACTGTCAAGGACGTTAACCCTCACGGTATGCATATAACCATGAGTCCTAACGTTTGTGGAAAATAGAAAAGTGAAAAAAAAGAGGAAAAGCCAGACGTGAGCCAAGTCGATTTGTACCATTTATAGTTACCAACATTTTTCATCAAATTGTAAATTCGTTCGAGATTGAATTGCAAGGCAAATTTTTCATCAATCAATTACCTTTGTCTATACAGTAAAGTTCAGCACAGGAGAGGCATACTGCACGTTACTTATTCACAAACACCCTCTTTGCAATGGAACAACATACACAGCTGATCCTTTTGCTGCAAACGAGAGGATTGTGGCTTGGCTCCGTCTTTTTCTCCTCTTTTGACATCTTTATTCACAACCTTACACACTCTTCAAAGGAAGTTGCTTTACGACTATTGCAGATATTAACTCTCCCATTTTTTATCGCTATTTTATCTAGCCTTCATTAAGGCCTATGCTGCCTACCTCAAGCGTACCGGTAAGCTTGAAGTCCCCAAGTGGGTTGATATTGTCAAGACCGGTACCTTCAAGGAACTCGCTCCTTATGATCCCGATTGGTACTACGTCCGTGCCGGTAAGTTAATTTTTCTTCAATGACTGTGCGATGATAGCATGCTTTCATATGAGATGGAGACTCTAACGTGCTCCTACCTACATATAGCTTCCGTTGCTCGTCACATCTACATCCGTAAGTCCGTCGGTGTTGGTGCTTTGAACAAGGTTCACGGTGGTACCGTCAACCGTGGTTCTCGTCCCTCTCACCACGTTAACGCCTCTGGTTCCGTTAACCGTAAGGTCCTTCAATCCTTGGAAAAGATCGGTGTCCTTGAAAAGGATAAGAAGGGGTAAGGATATTGATAGAAGAAAACATATTGAATCATGAGATCGTCATGGTATGGATATACTGACATCTATTTGTTCTTTTTGCCTTTCCGTCTATAGTGGCCGTAAGATCACTCAAGATGGTCAAAGAGATTTGGATCGTATCGCTATGACCCTCGCTGAAGAATCTGACGAAGAATAAATAATTTCTCGAGTACCTTCCTCCTTCCTTCTTTTTCGTGTTAGTGTTCTATATATGTATGAAAAAGTAGAAATAAAACCCTTTTAATTATTCTACAAGGAAATTGTTGAATCGCTCCTTTTCGATATGAAGCGTAGGAGAAGTGTATATCTATAACTTGCTTTAGTCCAGTAAAAGTGCATGAATTGTGAAAAGGGGCTGTGGATGTGGAGGAGTCTTGGAAAGACAGTGGTAGATGAACAGGTTTGGCTTGAGAATTGCCTAAGGGACATGTACACCCACCCACCCACCTACGGTGGAGAAATAGAAGGCATCTCCCTGATCACAATAAACATTCATGCTCTCATTTAAATTACGTCAGTCACGTCGGCATTTATGCTTTTCACTTCATTCAACTTACCACTACCCTCCGTTTTCTTTTTTCCTGATTGTTACGTCTTTTTCCATCTCTATGGCTACACCTGTCGTGCTTGATGAAGATACATATACTGAAGCTATCAGTTTGATTATTGAAAGAGATTTCTTTCCAGTGCTTGCGAAACTGAAAGCAACACAACAATATCATGCAGCAGTAGAAAATGGATCACTCGCTGATTTAACAGAAGCACAAGCTGCTCTTCAAAAGCTGAATCAACCAGCGTCAACCATACCCGATCGAAATCACAAAGTCCTTAATTTTTATGTAGAAGACGAGTCTGACATTCGAAAAAGAGTCAACTTAAATCTAAGTCTGGACCAATTTCAGACCCTTTATACCAGGTGAGAGGCGGAAAGAACATAACAAAAACCCATCAGCATTTGGCTCCAAAGCAACGGTAGATGGGGGACAGTGTCACTAAAACCACAAGCCGATTTTTTTTTTCCCTTTACAGTGAAGACAATGCCTCTTTTAAAGAAATTTTGGATAAAGCGAATGAAAAAGTACGACTCAATAACAAATGGTTCTTTGACCGAGAATCCAATCGATTCACCATAACCAACGGAGAAGAAGGCAGTAAGCCCAAACTGATTGAAGCCAATGAGAAAGCACCAGCAGGCTGGAAGTACCAAGCACGAAATGCATTAATGTATTATCCACAAGGGGAAAGCAAATCATGGATCCATGACGACAAAGACGCAAGAGGAGCACCGAAATCCATCTCTTATGAAAATACTCATATTCCAGATGATTCGCTTTCGTTCAGCAAAGACAACACAGCATCAGCTCCTTCCGACACCGCAGTAAAAAGAGGGACCTTCACACCTTGGAGTCAGTTAAATCGTAAAAGCAATGATGAAGAAGGGGAGGGGTCGACCACACCCCATATACGAGGATATAACCTAGTGCCTTCTACACCAGCACTGAGTCCATCGCGCGCTGGCACACCGGATATGACGTGGGGCTCTATCGAGGGTACACCCTTATTGATCAACAACGGATCTCAAACACCCGCCCCCCAATTTTCACTGCCAAAGATATCCAGAAGAGAAGAATTAGGTATGAAACTGTCTGAAAAGGCGTCGAAAGCATATCGAAAGAAGACAAACGAACAGCAACGATTGTTGAAAAATAGTGGGGGAACACCACGATTAGGGTAAAAAGAAAAAAGAAGTAAAAAGGGGTATTATCCGAAGCTAGATATTGATCGATTTTGTATGTATTGTGTGTGTGTGTGTGTGTATGTACTTGTAGAGCTGGCATGAAATCTCCTGCTGCACAACATTTACTAAGAATGAGTTCAGTGTCATCACCACTGGCGCGCTCTGGATTTGGTCAAGCACTAAGGAATTCTTACAGAGGAAATACAAGTACGCTGTCGAAAGGATTCAAATCACCTTATTTGGGTGTCAATAGTCCTAGCGCGTTACGACGAGCAGGGAAAACCCCAACACCTTTGTTTCGTGCAGGAGCAACCGCCGGAGCAACACCAAAGGCAAGCCTTCGGAAATCAACACAGAATGATCCCAAAGACTAGTCATTACCTATTCCATTGATGCACTGCTATGAATTTTTTTTTTGAAAAATAGCTGCTTTCACAATTCTATCTTTATATATCAAAAAGGGGAATACTATTTATTTATTTCATTGTTCTTTTATTTTGGATACAATTTTGGTTTAAAAAACAATAATCTGTATATATGTTATAAGCTCTTAACAAAAGAGGAACGAAATTTTTGTGATGCTAGGATGCTTGTGTAGTATATTGAGAGAGAGAAAAGTAGGGTCCTATATATAATTTATATATTTTTAATCTGAATCGGAATCACTGGTGGTTACATCACTATCATTCTTCTTGGTAGAAGTTCCATCTTCCTCTTCTTCGTCAGAAGAATCAGAATCCGAGTCAGAATCTTCAGGCTTCTTTTTAGTGCTACCACCAGCTAAAGCAGAGGCAAAGCCTTGTTCTCTCATCAATTTCATTTGACCTGCAATAGAATCTTCTTCTGGTTCAGAAATCGTGTCATCCACGTCGTCCTCGGGTGGTAATTCTGAAGGGTCATGTACTTCCAGTTTGACGTCCTGGAAGATATCGGTGCCGCTGTAAGTATCAGACTTGACAAAGACAGAGAAAGTATACACACCAGGCTTGGGAGGGCCAGGGAAAGCAATCTTGATGGTCTCTTCGTCCACAATGTCTGTTACTTTTTGATGAGGAACCAAAATACGATTCACCTTGGGATCACCCAAGAAGATCCACCAACAAGGCTTCTTTTCACTAGGATAGTAGGGAGTATGACCTAAGGGGAGCGTAGGCTTGTTGGTGTTTTTCTTTTTCTTTTTGTCAGCCGCTTCATCGATGACAGCTTCATCCACTTCATCGTTCTCGTCTATTTGCTTTTCTTGCTCGATATCCATCTCTGTCACTTCACCGTTCTTCAATTTGAGGATGAAAGTGATAATAGCACCTGTGGTGACCATTCTATCACCGACCACTTTGAAGGTAGCCTTTTTCACATTCAGCTTGGGAATACGCTGAGCAACTTCCAACACATCTAAATAAGCATCGTCCGAACCCAAAGATTTCAAGAATTCTTTACGATCATGCTCATTCATCGCCAACAATTGTTGGACAGTATTGATTTTGTTCTTTCTGTTGCGGTTGGCCTTGCGCAAGAAGTTTTGGCTGATATGAGGCAGTTGCTTAATGGTGGCGTCACCTGGGTACGTAGCTTGTAACAGGTGTTGCTGGAGTTCCATGATTTGACTGGTGGTGCTCAGCCATTGCTTCACTGTGGAGATTTGCAAAAGACCGTATAAGAGATGAACCGATTTGTCAACAATGTACTTTTGGTCTTTGAGCAAAGCCTTTGTCGCATGCTTAGACTCTAGCTCAACACGCAAGAAATGGGCAAACAACAGAGTGCGTGCTTTGCGGCGATAGGAAGGAATAGATTCATCTTTGTCGAGGCGGTCATATTTTTCGCCGAATCTGCTTTCTAATTCTTCAGCAATAGCATTGTCAATGGATTTAAGGATGTTTCCTTCGTTGCCACGGTAATCAGTATTTTCTTTAAATTCATGAGCACCGGCCAAAATATAGATAAGGTCTGGTGTTTGTAAAAGAGATATGAAAAGAACAAAAAAAAAAAAAAAGCCCAAGTAGATTGTGTTACTATAGGTTATCGATGTAATAAAAAGAAAAGAGAAAAAAGTGCCAATTCTTCTTACCATTGAACTCGCTATCTTCCTTCAAGCCCTTTACAAAAACACCCATTGTTTTATTCAAAATCTTGTCCTTAGTGAGGCGTCGTGATTTATACCACCAACGAGCCTATTGTGATGGAAGGGAAGAGGTGGAAATAGTCAACATATGATTCTGCTGGATTCTCCATTCTATCATTATTGAGTACTTACGATAAAGTAGGGTAAGCCTAGACCAAAAGCAATAGCATAAAAGCCCAAAACATACATGCCATTTCCTTCGACAAGTCCTTTAGGAAGAGCAACGCCCATAGTGAAGGATTGTTTACCATCAGGATGACCAAATTCTTCATAATTTCTACGTGTATCTTCATCTGTCAATCTAGATTATGAAGCAAGGAAAAGAAGAAAAAGTTGATATCAAGATTAGACAAGCATTGTTCATCTCTTTGATGACTGAAAATGAAAAGAAGCGGTAGTTACACTTTGTAGGCCTTGGTAATATCAATGAAGGTCTCTTCATTTTTTTCCTCTTCTCCTGGCTTTGCTTTATCCGGGTGATAAACAAGTGACAATTTCTTGTAGGTTTTCTTAATCTCGGCCAACGAAGCGCCCTGATAAGTGTTGAAGGCAATGCGTTAGTTGCTGTTTGTTTCTGCTAAGAATTATCCCATGAGTGCACGAATATATATATTTATATGCATACCTCTTTAACGCCCAAAATTTCATACGGATCCCAAGTAGCAGTCTTGATTTCGGCATTAGCGACTTGCATAGTTAAGAGCACAACACCAATCCAACCGATAAGTAAAAAGAGAAACCTTTTTTTTTTCCAAAAGAAATGAGTCAACGTTTAGAACGGTTGCCATGATGTAAAAGCATGGGGATATAAAAAGTAGAAAATAAAAAATTACTTTGGGCTGGTAATGAGCTTTTTGATGGCATTGGGTTTCGTCGCGTTTGATTTCTTTCTTTCTTTTTGACAAGTATTACATTGACATAGGTTCTGCTTTTTGCCACCTTGAATAAAGTTGTTCCAGAAAGGTTAGCGTTATTTGACTGTTTGTCAACGAAAGGCTGTGTCTGATGAAAAGAGATGGATTGACTTACTTCCTTTAAATAGTGAATAAAATGTTTGTACAGTGGTAGGCACTAAGGCCAAGGACAAAACAGATATAAGAAAATAATAAAAGTTGAATCCTTGCTCGTCGTAATTGTACTGAGCCATCGGATTTATGTTTGTAAAAGCTTGTGGAGATTTTGACGAATGCGAGAAAGAAAAAAAGACTAGCTTACTTAAAAAAGGGGAAGACTCAAATTTTTTTGGATATTCATGTCAATCATTGATTGGACAACGATTTCACAGGGCGTCCGTTTTAAATGAATATTACGATCAAAAGAAAAATGAATAGGTTAAAGTAGACTCAACCATATAATAATATCATGAAACAGATAAATTGAGGATACTTAAAGGACGATTTTGGAAGAAAGATAAAGACACTTTTAGACAGATTGTGAATGACTTTCAAATGTAAAAGTTATATTACTGTATAGAATCACAGGTAGGATTCGTTGGGTATTTCTTTGGGGGAAAAAATGCAGGAGAGTTGAATTTTAAAATTGAAATCATTGGCTGGCTTGCAATGTTTTTAAAATTGCTCTAAAAAAGTAACTCTGATATAGACAACCCTACCTCACACATTTCAATTTTTTCATTTTCAAATAATATAATTATAATAAATTGCATATTTCGAACGGCTTTGGTCAATGTCATTCAGTAATCGTGACAAAGGTTTTACTACCGTATGCATTTGTCTGGTAATTTTTACTTGAGCTGATTATTGGATTAATTAGCCAACAAACAACGTATTTTTTTGAAGTAAAAATCACGAGTCGTTTGTGAGATAAAGAATCAAAAGAGGATTCAAAAGGGATGTAGGGTTTTTATAGCCCCTTGGGACGGCGGTAGACGAATGTGACTTCAGATTTATATATCTATCTTTTACCACTATACTTCACTGGGAAAGCACAACGACCCTCATCAGATAAAAAAGTCAACAGACATTATATAGTACACTCCTTTACTCTTCGAAAAGGTTTCTTTTATTATGCTGGATCTTTTATTACAATGCATTATCTCACGAACATTGGTAAATAGATACGCAGCTGACAGAAAGTTTAAATTTGGTGGCTTATATTTTCATAGCAAGAAGCCCTCCAACCTATCACATTAAGCAAAGCTTCATTGCCTTGAAACGAAAGCAAGCGGATCTATGCCCCAGCTCAGAAAACACCAAAAGCTATAGCGAGCACTCTTTGACTTTACAGGTTTGATATTTACCTGTTGCTTGTTGAGTTTTCTTCTGACACCTCGTGCATGGTTACAGTATGAGAGGAGAAAGAAATAGAAAAAAAAATTTTTTTGGTTATATTTCGCGCTTTCGTATTTGGCACTCCTTTTCTTTTCTCTTTCCATCCGAATGTTTGAATAGAATTGCCCTGATGAAAGTTTTGGTAAACGCTTAGAATATATCACTTCCCTCAACCGCTTTTGACACACTTAGATACTTAGTATCTAAAAGTGTGTCGGTTATTATAAAGCGTGTTCGAGGTATGACGAAACTTTAGGCGATGTCTGAGCATTTTACTAGTTCAATTCTACTGTATATTATATTCAAACATCGGTCTACAGCAATTGATCATGTCATTTTTGATGTTAAAAAGGTAACGTATATGCTAATATGAAAATTGTTTGGGAAGCTAAAAGACACGAAATGATGATAAAGTGTATTCTGTCATTGATCAACATTCTGTGTTGTATGATTTGAAAAAAATACACCTGTTATATCTCTAAGAAGCACTGATCTTGTCTTGGAACTCTTTTTGATCGACTATCCGCGTAATGGAACTTGGAAACTCATGACTATTTCTTTTTTTTTTTTGCTTCTAGGCTGCTGTAAGAACTTGCTAGGCACTTATTTATCGTATTTATTCTTTGAAATAAATAAAAATAATTATTTTTGTTGGAAACCGTTTCAGGAGTATGTCACTGCTACACTGTTTTTGGTTTTTTTGGTTTTTTTTTGGTTTTTTGGTCAGACGTCAACTGGGGACTGTTTGTCTTCTCAATTATAAATGAGTTGTTCTCTTTTCTTATAAACGAACAGACTGTCTATTGTCTAAAGGTTTTTGGCTGCTGATATGCACTTAATGAGTATCATTTGAGAGACGCCATCTTCTTTTTTAAATCATGGCATTTCACCTCCCTTTTGGACTCACTTGCCCATTTGATTCGAAAAATATTCGTACCACAACTTGTCCGAAAAAAGACGATCGACTGAGTTACGTCTGGAGGCTTGCCATAATGAAAGCTCTTTACCTACTAAGAAACATATAAAAAAAGGCATTAGGACTTACCAGTGGATATTTTACTTTTCGATAAATATTTAACAAAATGACCAATGTCCGAGCGAACGACATGCTTTAGTGTAGAAGGGATGGATTTTCAATAGGAAGTCTCTTCCTCCGGCAAAGTATGTGACAATATCATTACTATCATTCTTCCTTATACCAAAAAAACCAACGAAAAACGATCATGCAATAGCAAAGAGGACACGTAAACCATTGTACCGCTAGAGAAAGGGTCTCTTAAATGACTGGATGCTTTTAAAGGTTCACTTGATTACTAACATTGTTATTTTTTTTCACGATGCTGTATTTTTGCAGTCGTGCAATGAAAAATAGTGTGATGAGGTGGCAAAATGTCACAGAGATGCGGTCGTTTATCGATCCAACACCACAGCAGTAAGTCTTTATTAGACAAACTGATGAGAAGATAGAGAAAACATGAGAATTGTGAAACCAGCCATTGATTGTTCGTCTCGCCAACGAAGAAGTTTCTTGCTTTGTCGTTGGCGGGTGATGCGTGATCAAAGGCTTCCGAGCTTCGTGTTCTGGATCAGATCACAAAAGAAAAAATTCTGAGGCCAAAATAAGACACTTCAGTATAACCATGATGTATAACGCGTTTGTTATGACATTTGCTGGGAACTCACAAAATATAAATGCTCATCCTTCATGGCTTGAATAGCTGATGTAGGAATGACTTTGTGAACAAAAACCTTTAAAAAAATAGTAGCAGCGTTGAGCAAATTTAGTCTACTACAGTATGTTTGCGGCACCCACCGCGAGTCATTTATACCCGTTTTGATGAGACATGGTGTCCCAGAGATATTTCATACACGTATAGCTTGGATTTGTAAAGTCTATCAAAGCAGCCAAAACATGTTTCATCTTTCCTGACGTAATGAAGGAAATAAGGATGGACTATAGATTTACCAACACTAGATTCGGATTTGCATAAGCCGTATCACGCCTTTTCGTTGGCGGACTCGAGCCTTTATATTATAGCATCAAGTACAATTTAATAACCAAAATAATGTTTGTCCTGTCGAGGACATTCAGTCAATTACAATTGTTGTAATTAACATTGTATTAATTGCTTCTGGATGAATATAAAATACCGATTGAACAGATCCTTTCAGACAATGAGGATAATTGTGAGTGATTGTTTTGTCAGAACAATACTCCTTTCCGGAAAGAATACTTGAGCTGTATATCCGAGTCAGCATCTTATTGGTCACAGATTAGAGATAGGAATAAGATATTACAGTATTTGGATTTGAGTAAATCGCATCACTTTATTTTTGCAGATCAAATCATAATAGATAATTCTACTCTTCTTGAGCTTATGATTAAAATGATGATATGACTCTTACTACATTCTGCCAGAATCCGTAAGATTGGAAATGATATATTCCATTTATGCTGCAGGAGAGTCAACGAATAGTTTTATTCTGTCCATCCCACGAGTCATAATGGATCTGCCGAAAGTATTGGTTACCGTGAACAGATAGTGGGCCATTGGATGTGCCAAATATCTGCGCGTAACAGGGAGCGAAGAGGATGGATTTAAGGTAGGTAGGGATCATAGGCAGCGTTGCTTGTGAAGAGACGAAATGTGTTCTCGACTACTCATAACACTCCCAAGAGCCGCCCCCCCCCATGAGCTCCCTTAGGAAAACAATTTCTTGACTGGTTACTCTTTCCCGGTTCAGAAGCAAATTAGGGTTTATATGAGTTAATTTAACAAAGTGTGGGTTAAAGTAACACGAAGATAAAAAGTAAGTCTCGCGTCTTAGGCAATGAAGAGTCAATTCTAGATATTATTTATTATGGTTTCCTTTTTTTTTTTATTATTTGCACGGGGTAAAATGATATGAGAACAATATCATAACAAAAAGTGCAGTCATTTCTTTCTTTAATTTTTGCAAATATAAAAAAATCTATCTCTAAGAAAAAAAAAAATACTATTCAGAATACGTTTTTAATACATAACCAAAGTATAATATAGACATAGGGGAGAAAATTGGTTTTTCTTTTTTATAAATTAAGGTAAAAATGATGGTACAGCTGGTACGGAAGGCAACGTTTTCGGTGAAGGTTTCAAAGAAATAGGCGGTAAACGATGTGACGCACTATCAAATGGTAATGTGATACCATTTCCATTGTTCAGCGGCAGATTGGGTATGGGCGGAGGAGGGGGTGGAGATCGCTGCTGTGAGGGAGGGCTTTGCATGGGATCAGAAGGTGACATCGATACATGGCTCGTAGGTGAACGATGATGGTGGGGATGGTATTCTTGATGATGAGAGTGATGGTGAGACATGGGTACTGCAGGAGATGAGGAGTGATGGTGATTGGCCAACGATAACAAAGATCGTGCTGCTAATTGATGCTGTTCCTGAGGTTGTTTATCGTTACAGTAAGGGCAATATTGATCTGGCGGTAACGCGTTGGCGATAGCATTATCTATACTTTGTAACATGGCGACTGTATTCGACAGTAGGGTTGTTAAGCGGGTCACTTCCTTCTGTAAGCTATTACGGTATTCTCTTTGCGCTTCAATGTTGTTTGAACAGACATGAATATCGAAATTATTATTATTGAAATTTGTAGTGATGGTAGTAGGATGAGATGAACTAGTCGTAGGAGTCTTATGAGCATAGTTATTGCTGTCACTGTCGCTATTAGTGTTATTGTTATTGTTGTTGCTGTTGTTGCTGTTGTGATTGTATGGATGATTGACTGCCAAGTGGGATGTAGAGGTCGGCGGATATAAGGGAGGCAATACAAATGGCTGATGAGGTTTCCTATTGTCATCATGATTTTGGAAGTGCGTATGTAGATTTTCTGCAATACTATTATGGCGCCGTTGTATACGATGACTGCTTGAATTTGTATGGTTCAAGGTGTAGGGTTCTAAAGTATTACTATGATGAGGCGTGGTGTGCTGACGACGAGAAGGCTGTGGTGGTGTTGTTGATGCTGCTGCTGATCCTGATGATGCGGACAGCGGTGGAGGGGGAGCACTGCTAAGCATCTGAGCTTGACTATTGAGTAAAAATTCAGGTCTATAACTAGGAGACAAAGATCTTCTTCTTCGTCTGAATTCATTCAGATCCGGATCTGTGTCCATTCCTGTTATACTTGATCTTCTACGATTCAATTCCTTTTGCGCTGCTTTTTCATTAGCTGAACAACGTTTTCGTCTTTTGATCACGGTTCTCATCATAGTGGCAGGTCTATGAACAAGGTGTAACTTGTAATATAAGCCACAGGCATTACATATCGTTCTGCCACTTGCATCCCTTCTCCATAAAGGTGTCGTTGTTGTTTCACAGTTGGCGCAAACTGTAACTCCATTATTGCTATCACTATTATTGGCATTATGACTGTCTTCTTCAACAGAGGGTTTTTTCTCTTCTTTATCCTCATCCGTCCACGGTGGTGTAGGTGCAGAAGCTGCTATTTGATCGTCATCTTTTATATTCATTTTCTCAAGTGAAAATATTGTCATGGTCGTCAGATAAAGAAAAACCAAAAAAATATAATATTAAAAAAGGGTAAAAAAAAGGGGGGTCCAATTTTGCAGGCAAAATTTTTCAATCCAAGGACCGATATTTTTTGGATAACCTAAGGGGAAGAAAGATAAAAAAGATAAAAAGATAAAGTGATCGGTATTATCTTAACCAATTAAAAGGCTTGATTCTATTTGTTCTTTCTCACGATGGAAAAGCCAATTTGTAGATTTCGAAGTTTCAGCTTTTCCTTGTCTCATGTTTTGCAGTCTAACCTATGATATTTGGCGCGTTCTCAAATATAAATGTCATGAGTTTAAATTGGTTGTCCACTTTGTTTAAAACAAGTTGCATGGAGAATTTGCCGCCTAATTGTCACAATTCGACTACACCTGGTTTTGTCCCTCTCTCTCTTCCTAATAGAATACAACATATTTTATGATTGCTTAAAATGGACAGAAAAACAGTTTAGTGATGAAAGAGATTCAGACGATATGCTTATGAACGAGCTTCCTAGTGGAATGATTTATGGATGAAACTACATTGATATGGATAATGCTTCTATTCAGAAATCCGAATCAACGTTACAGAAAATTGAAAGAAAAGGCTACAAATTTTTCTTCTTCACCTTTTGATCCACCTGATACGAGCTCTATTGAACAATTTGGGCAATAGTGAAGAAAAATGAAGCGAGATCAGTTTATAAGTGATGAAATCTTATCTGGGGATCGGCGATGCCTGTTGATGTATTTATCAGTAATCTTCAGTAGTTTTCATATTCAAATGCTATTATAAAACACCGTCATAATACGCACACGTTTATTTGGTATCTTTTCGACAAGGCCTAAGAATATCCCTTTGGCCGTAGTCGTTATCATAGTCGTAGTCGTAGTAATCCCCACTAAAAACTAAATTCTATAAGAATTTTTAGGAGAAAATTTTAGGTATTTTTGGGACAAAATCATAACTCTCTGGAATTTTGGAATTGCCTTTTAATAAAAGCTAGTCTGGCAAGCCTTTGATGAGCAGAGTTTTCCCCCCCCCATCCCCCAATTTTGAATTATCAAAATTTAAAAACTAAATTATATGATTGATACAGGCGTTTTATTCTGCAATGGGAACATATTCTATCGGCCTAGATGGATAAAAACCACATTATCATTTGGAAAATGTAAAACTAGTCGGGTAAACAAAAAGAAGGTTTCAGTTTGATTATCATTTTGCGGATCTTTAATAGCAAAACTAAATTTATTGAAACACAAGGCAACGCCTTTCCTGGATTCAGTGATTACAATCTGTCTTGGTTCAATCGTCACGTCACAGGGTTTGTTATTTCTGATGTTGTATGGATGACATGCATTTCCGTTGGGTCAGACCACCAATGTATTGTGTATGTGATGTGCGTCTTTATTATCATCATGTAAGTTTCTTATTTCGAACATCATCATTTGCCTTTTTACACCTTTTCAGTCCATCCCCTTCAAGCTAGTGCTGACAAACACTTTATATTGTTCAAAAATCAAGCATCTTTAATTGCACCCTCCAGCTTCTTAAGTTGCGCTAGCGTTGACCAATAAACGTTGCCCTACGTGAACCTATCAAACGGTTGAAGGTAAATGCAATGACTATTCGTTGATTAAACTACACGTACCAAACTAAGCACTAGGTTCCTAATAGAGACCCGACTGTAGGCAGAGGCACCAACAATTTATATCACTGCCGGGTCTTCTAGGTGTTAAGATGCAAAAAGAAACACGCAAGTAGAGAAAATACAGAATACACCCATCCATAACCCGAATGTTCATTCGCCCCCCTTGATTATTGTTATAAGCTTGTATGTACAAATTGAACGATGCCGTCTTTTTATCCGAAAACAACTGCACATTAAATGTATAAAAAAGAACTGTCAGTCTGTCTGAGGAGCTCATATTTGATATATCAATGAACCTCCTCAAGCTCAGATCAAACAAGACAGCCATTACATTGATAAAACAGAACGCTCATAGAATATGGGTTGGCATTCGACCAAAGACGACTAAAGTTATATATTTGGAAGCAGAGCGTCGTAAGAAGAGCAAAAAATCACCTTAAAACTCACTAAGGACATATCATTCACACATCACCCTTTTCCCAGGACAAACATGACATTTCCTTATCCCTCTCAAACAAATAAACATAAAGTGGAGTATATCATTTGTTACTGAAACAGATGCCATTGGCAGTTTGCTGTAGTGAGTGATTATATCTAAACACTCCTCCTCTTTCCGTATTCTCTTATTCTCTGCGTCACATAAAATGTAAAAATGCTGGATTTGTCAGTTTATTAAGCAGAAAATCATGTATGTATAATACTCATGAATGACATCCTTTTATTCTTAGTCAATGAAGTATATCAAAGGCTCTTCTCGAGACCAAATAGCGGTGCCATCCGTACGGATAGAGTAGAAATCAACTTTTCCATCATGTGATTTATGAGCTCTAGATTCATCAAACATAAGAAACAATTTCCATGGTTGAGATATGAATGAAACTTCTGCATTGCCTTTCTCTCAAACAGTCTTTCACTTTTTGTTTACCTCACATGGATGAATTTTTCATCTCCCAGGTTGATCTTTCCAAAATAATTGTACCCATAAGCAACCTCTTCAACAGCATATTCAGTAAGGATATAGGACTGAATACGCTTCAAATCATCTAGTTCATGAAGATTATGGAGATTATCCAAGTGATTGAGCTATGCAAATTACATATCAGTCATCCTGTTTCGTTTTTTTTTTTTTTTTTTTTTTTTTTCAAGGATTTTAAAAACAATAACATACCTCATGTAGCTTATATGGGATGGAGTGAGAGAGAAAATACTCATTAGAGAAACTGTGAACAGACAAATGTCACCGCAGAGGTACTTACTCTATCAATGACTTCTTCTTTGATTTCATGAAATACCTACACATGCAAACCTTTCGTTAGTGCTCGGTCTTAGCCATGCTTGAGACACTTATTTGGTTTCCTTTTCAATAAAATACTTTACTGCCTTGGCTTCAGCATCGGCCGGGCGAACAGGTCCCATATTGTTGTTGTTTACATCAGACATTTTCGTTATTCTCTCTATCTTTGTCAGAAAAGGAAAACTAAAAGAAAGAAAAGAAAAATTACAGTCTTTATATATTGATCCAAAGAATCAAATAATGAAGATGTAACACTTTGTATGGAAAGAAGCTTATTTGGTAAATAGCAAAAAGGAAGTGCATAAATAGAATGATTGTGTGACATAAATCTCGGACAAACAGATTAGTTTGTAAAAAAGTTTTCTTTTCTGCCGAATAGATCAAGGTCTGGAAAGAACCATGTATACCGTACAACTGGGCAAACATGGCCTGCACCTTGATGTCAATAGTTGACAGGAGAACTTGACTAATTATTCTACATTGAATCGACTGCACTATATAGAAAAAGATCAAAATTGACCTTACAGTCAACACCATCAACAGATAGAGCACAGACTTTGAAGCACCAATGAGAGAAAGAAATTTCACGGTTGAGGGGGGGCTCTATCATCAAAGTGATGCGAAGAGGACTTCCATTGGAGGCATTTGAGAAGTGTCGCTCTACCTACTTTTGGATACAAACTGTTCCTGCCTCCTCATCACTTTCTCTTTTGAGTCCTTTTTTTGGAATAGATTTGAACTCCCTTGACGGTTCTTTCATCAAGCGTGCTTACTTAGATAAGTTATTTTAAGAAAGTCGACTCTCTGATTTGTGCTGTCAGCACGTGTTTATTTACCATAAGACTGTTTCGATGAGGCTGGTGAGTCTTTTTTGCAGCATTTTCAATGTGTGACATCAACCAACCAAAAAAAAAATGAAAAAAAAAATAAATATGAAGAAAGCTTGTCAGGTTACACGCAAACCGAAAAGAAATGAAGGACTTATTACTATGTTTGCCTTGCTGCCCTGAACGCCCATGAACGGTACCTTTTCTTTTTTTTTTTTGTATCCTTCTCTTGTTTCTTTTTCCTTCTCATCCTCAGTCCTTCTCCCCTTTTGTAAACATTCTGCTGTTCACTTGACCTCCAAAAAGCAGAAGAGTCATTGAGTATCATCTATACTTTCGTTTTCAGCCTCTCAAACAGTTATATGCAATATTGATCCATGAATCAGCAATCCTATCGGTCACCAACTCTAAGCCATGTGCAGTCACCTACTTTGGACGCTCTGTGTCAAGATTTAGACATGTTCATACATGAACTTTGTAGCAATAACACTTCGCAGGAGGATATCAATGATACTGTTGTCATTCATTCGAGGGACATCACCCCACTTGATCTCAATAGACCCATCCATACCCTTTCCAGCGATTGCTTTCCTCAACCTTCTAAAAAAGATGACATTTACCCTCACCCATCAGTAGCAAAGCAAACGCTTAATGTAGACTCTGCAACGTTGTGCAATGGCAGTAGAAACATGGAGTACCCATTTCGCTTCAGCTCTTCTACAGGTGGCGATAATGAGGAGGAACACAGCAGCAACCGAATTTACAAAGGTATGACAACAGCTACTACCGCTACTATGGCGGCTGCTTCTGCTACAGTAGACAACCAAACATCGAGCATTCTGTCGACGACTACTTCAATATCAATAACGTCTTCTCCAACGTTCTCTGATCACGCTTATGCTCAGCCTAAATCAAAAAGCCATCCACAGCAACTACAACAAAGCACATTAACCAGCCATACGACAACAACCACACCTCCCATGTCGCCATCCTTTCTGGGAATAAGCAGCCAACACGGTCGAAATGATCATCAGCCATTGGCCACAACGACAAGATCCAGTTCCCTCAACAGTAACAAGTCCTTTTCATCGAGCTCGTCTTCCATCAATTTAAAGCATTCCCATCGTCGACTGCCTGCTCCGGCGATCTCACCTCTTGCATTTGAAATCACATCGCCTAAGGGTACTACTAAGACTACTACCAGCAAAGCCAAACATGCTAAACAACAGCATTTCTCTTTCTTTTTCGAGACTCCAAATTACGCTCTATTATCCTACATGGCAAAGCACTTTATTAAAGGCGTTCATCTACTAAACAGTCGTAGAAAACTTTATTGTACAGCAGAATATCCTCTCAGTTTTAGTGGTGAAGAAGCATTAGTAAAGTATATACATCGTCACGAAAGAATAACAAGAATAGAAAAACTGATCTCCTTCCCCTCTTGTCCTTTTAAAAAAGGACCTTATTAGTGCTTTCTCACCTTCACTCACTGAAAACAAAGATAGACAAAAAATATATCTGAGCGTTGCTCAAAGTTTGATGTATTGCGATCCACCCTTAATCGTTCCAATTCGTGAAATATCAGAGAAATCAGTACGGAAACGTAAAATCTACAATTCACCAACCGAAATGTACACTTTATCAACAGCATCAACAGCAATCGTAAAAGATGATGATGATGATGAGGAGGAGGATGAAGAAGAAGAAGATAATGATGACGAGGATGAGGATGTTAAAAGTAGACGCTTCCAAGGCGTTTATACACCTTTTACACGTTGTTATTCATCGAGTTGTTTACCAGGTCAACCGGACTGTTATTCAGTATCATGTCCCAACAAGCTTTATTCTTTGAATGGACCTATTTTCAAAAAGTTAACCGCCGCCGGTAATACATCGATTGTCTCCTCTTCCTCTCATGATACGGTAAAGTCTCATTATTACATCATTTAATTTCAGAATAGACTTTTTTTTGTCATGATATACTTATCGTTTTATTATTACGCGGTTGGATGCGGACGTTTGGGTATGCGTGGATATTTGTTGTGGTGGTTGCTGCTGCTGCTGCTGTTGTTGTTGTTGCTGGTTGGCATAGTAGACTCTTTCCCGTGCATGGTCTGCTACTGTTTCAAAAGATATCTTGAAAGCAATGCCTGAAGACGAGATCAAAAGACAAGAAGCCATTCATGAACTCATCTATACCGAGGATGACTATGTACGAGATTTGAAGATTCTGGATGTGGATTTTGCCAAAGAACTACTCAACTCACAGTGCATTGAAGAGGACCGAAAGAAGGCGTTTCACGATAAAGTCCTGAACAACTATCAAGAAATATTAGATATACATGATACACTCTATAAAGAACTGCGTGATTACCAGGCCATATGCCAAGCCTCCAGTAGCATTGGTCTGGTCGACAGTATTGGCGGGATATTTTCACGGCACGTGCCACGCTTCATGAAAGCCTATATGCGTTATGGCCCTCATGTGGTGTTGGCTGAATATTACGCCAAAGTAGAAGCAGAGACGAACATGGTGTTCCGTCACTTTATTAAAGCAAGAGAGCAGCTCGCTCAATGCCGACGCTTGCCCTTCCGCCACTTCATCATCTTGCCAGTGACTCGATTACAGCGCTATGCCCTTTTAATTGGCGCCGTGTTGAAAAAAACGTCGGATGATCATCCTGATAAAAAGACGTTGACGGAGTGCATGGAGACCATTCGAGATGTGGCGACAAAAGTGGACGAAGCGACGACAAAGACCAAAAATACATTGCGTATCTATGAAATTCATAGCCGTATTCGTTGTAAAGCGATAGGAGGTGCGGCTGGAGATCAGCCATCCCCGCAACAAAAGCAGCTACTTTGTCAACTCGATCTCTTAAAGCCAGGAAGGCGGCTGATCAAAGAAGGTATTTTGACAAGGAGATCGCACATTGGTGTAGAGACGATAGAATTACATGTCTTTTTGTTCGATCACCTTCTGTTGATGACCAAAACGAAAAAATCATCCACAAAAGGCAATGACGTTGAATATGTTATCTCAAAAAAGCCGATACCCTTTGAATTGCTACATATTCAAGATGCAACGGAAGGCTTTTCTATTGGTTTAAGGCATATGACGAGCACTTATTATGAAGGTACTAGCAGCACCAATCACCTGAATGATAATAGTAGTAGGAATGGTACGGGGAACCATGGTCGTCCTATGCTATACCAGCATAATAACAGCTCAACTATTTATAATGGAGGAGGAAGCTATTCTCAAACGAACAACAATAACAACAACAACAACCATTTTGGTTCCAATAGCTATCCTATGTTGGTCCAACATTTAGGCCGACGAGGAGCAGACTATGTACTCTACGCAGAAAATGCACAAGCACGTATGGACTGGAAACAAAAAATAGTGGAAGCAAAAGCTGATTATGAAATGGCTCATAAGGACAAACAAGTCTTTGACATAAGAACTCTCAGTGACACGGCGTTTGCAGGCTCTAATACTCCTTCACCACACAATCACGGAAAAGTAACCTGTACAGTTCCGTTTCTGGGCCCAACAGGAATCCGCATGATCGCCATTGGCACCCACCAAGGTATTTGGATTGGTATTGAGGGCGATACTCAAACAATACGATTAGCTGTAGCCCTATCAGATGTGCAACAAATTGCAGTATTAGAATATCATTCCATCTTTCTTGTGTTGGCGGATAGAACACTTTATGCATATGCTTTAGATTCTTTGCTTCCACATTCTCAACAGCAGCAGCAGCAACAACAACAACGTCAACTACAGCGCAATAACAACAGTAAATCACCATTTGACAATAAACCTTATCAAAAAGTAGCTCAGCATATATCCTTTTTTCACTCTGGTCTATGCCAAGGCCGCACTCTTGTGATTGCTATGAAAAAACGTGGTGTAGACAGCCATTTCAAAGTGCTTGAGCCCATCTGTGGCAATCTGCGTGACCCCAGAACCAGCAGTAAATTCTTACAAGCAAAATCCAGTCTTTTATTCAGCAGTAAGAAGATGCCAGATTGGTTCAAGACATCCATGGAATTCTACATTGGTACCGAATCGTATGCTATTCAGTTTTTGAAAGCGCGTGTGGTCATTGTGTGCAGTCGAGGCTTTGAAATCGTCAATCTAGAAGCGCTCCACATGAACCGCAACCTACCAGACCTGATCAACCATCCGGATGATTTTCGGTTTGTGCTCCAACGAGGCGAGCATAATATTCGACCCTTGGGCATGTACCGCTGTCGCGAACAATGTTATCTGTTATGCTATAATGCTTTCTGCTTCATGGTCGATATTCATGGAAATTATGTAAAGAATGCGCCTTTGATTGAATGGGAAGGGGAACCTCAGTCAGTCGCATTTCAATATCCTTTTGTGATAGGATTCGATGCTAGGTTTATTGAAGTGCGTCATATAGAAACTGGAGAGTTAATTCAAGTGCTGGCAGGCACACACATGCGCTGTTTACAATTCATCCATAATCAACAGCCGCAGCAACAGTATTTGCCGCCTATTATTCATGGTTGCATGGCGCATCCTTTTAAACCAGATTATCAATATATATTTCAACTTGCAGGCGATTTCACCTCATCCATAAATTAATCTATACCGTTCTATAACATGTATACATACCTTTCATGCACTTTCTTCTCTTGCTCTCTGTCTCATTTTTACTTCATACTGTTAATAATGACTTTCTTTCCTGATGACTGAACACATTTATCTTGACAAGTGAATGAATGAGGAACGTGATGGTAAGAAAACTTTGTCTCCCTAATTCGAATATAAACGTCCTTTATCTGTATGGATTAGGGGGAAACCACTCAGTTTGATTTTTTTTTTTCGAGGTTATTCATAAAAGCGAAAAGCAGGAAGGTAAAAGAAAAAATTCGCAAAAAATTCATGTTATTATTATGTGTTGGATGCGTATAGATAATGAAGTATAATGTATTTTTTTCAAGAGAAAAAAAATATATTGATAAATGGGTGTGAGGTATACTTATTTATATAAAAACACACATATACATAGATCCTCTCTTTTGTCTTTCTTGTTCAAAAACCCCCCCAAAAAAAAAGTACCGTCCATGAGGCCATTCTTAGATTGACGTGGGTTGTCCAAATGTATTTTCACCAGAATAGCTAAGGACATGTGCGCATAGTGGTGAGAGAGAGAGGGTCATGTGAGTTCACTAACTAAAATTTTACATTATTGTGAACATGATAGTCATACTATGTATGCTTACGTGATGTATAAAAAGCCATCTTCATCTTTATGCTCTTCATAAATAGAACTCATCAAAGCTATGCCATCGATTCCATTAGTCTTATTTCCGAGGTTTTCTTTTCTTTTAATTCTCTCTTACCTGCTGTAGGTGGTAAGATTTCATTCACAAAAATGAAAATAGCCTTTTCCGGACTTAACTTGATTCTTTTTCGGATGACATAGACAAACTGACCCACTGTTAAATCAGCAGGTACTAAATACTTCTTTTTGTCGATGGTTGGTATATCACTTTTTTCGACTTTTTCACAGATAACAGGAATACGGTCGGGGTATTTCTGTCTAATTCTTTCTGCCTCTGCTTTACGCTTTTCTATATGAATTATGAAACAACTCTTTGAATTAATATTCCTCAGTTTAAAAAAGAAGCGTATGCTTTGTGGTTCTTGCTATCTGCTTTACCAAAAGGATGTTCGTCTTTAAATTTGGAACGCATGTTTGAAATGAGTTGTTTGTTGAATGCGTATGTAAATTAATCTATAAGCTGTGTCTGTCTTTTAAAGTTCTCGACTTTTGATTTGATACTTCTTTAATTGATAACAGAAGAAAGAGTTACGGTAAATTGATGCTTGGCTTTACACTATAGAGTCGTTGAAATCAATGAAAAACAAGAAGAAAAAGAGAAAGAAAAAAAAAAAAAAAGTAAAGTAGCGCAGTAATGAAAAAAAAAAAAGAAAAAAAATATAAAGGAGAATAATGGCGCATGAAATTAATGGTTTTACGCATGTGATCAAACCCACTGTTTTTTCCCTTTCAAAAAGCGTATGTGTGCGTGTGCGAAAGACCTAGATGATTTCATTCGTGTGGAGCAAACTCTTTTCTGATTGGTCCAATAAACTACCACTTAATGCCGCTGTCATCTCCACTTTTTTCTTTTTTTTTGGCCTGTCCTGTTCGCGGAAAGCAGCAGCAAACAGTGGCAGCAGGTTTTAGCCTCAGAAGACACAGCACTCAAATCTAAATCTTTCGGATTATGCCCCCGCCCCCTTTTTTCTGCTCAAACACTTTTTTTCTTCTCTTCTTTGTAAAGTTGATGGCCATGGTGACCGAGACCGTTATGGATAGCATAGGATCAACTTCTATGGTGAAGTTGAGGCTTTTAAAGCAAAGTAACGATAGAGTACCCGTCTAGTATACCTTCCATTGATTCATTGGCGTTAATACGAAAACGGCCCTTTTTCTTTCTTTTTTTAGTTGGTATCCTTGCTAAACTTGAATATCTCAATCCTACTGGAAGTAATAAGGACAGACTAGCCAAGTATCTTTTAGATGGTAACTCTTGGAAACCGAGCAATTATTATCTTCAAAGTATCCCTTAAACCAAGATTAATTTGATAATAACATGGATAGAACTCGAAAGGAAAACCCCCTTTCAAACTGCAAGTTCGGAAGACAAACCCAATAACAGAACATTGATCATACCTATGTCTTGTAACCTCGGAATCTCTTTGGCGACTTTGGCCGCCCAAAGAAAAAGGCGCATCGCCAAAGGGGGTCCTTCGTATCGCATCATTTCTATCCTACCTGAACGTATCTCCAAGGATCGTATTGCTTTGCTGAAAGCCTTGGGCGCAGAAATTTTGAGAGTACCTAATGAAGTACGTAGGGAAGCGCCTGAGAGTGCGTATTCTGTGGCTCAGAAACTGGCTGAACAATTATCAGACGCTACTGTTATCGATGAAAGTCAATTGACAGACTTAACGGTGTATCATGAATTGGCCAAGGAGATAATAGAGCAGATCAACGAAAAAAAGGAACGTGTAGATCATGTATTTATTGGCGTAGAGTCGGGCGCAACAATAACAGGTGTAGCGCAATGCTTGAAAAAAGAAATGCCTCATGTGAAAGTGTACGGTGTTGAGCCTTTGGATTCTGTTTTGGGAGAGCATGCACCCACAAGCGCTCATGCCAGAGCGGTAAAGGCAGCTTCGTAACCAATCATGAGAGTCCCCTATTCATTTAACTAAAGAAGTGATATTTTCTGTTTCTTTTAGGATTGGAAAGTGGAAGATATTGGTAATAACTTTATACCCAAAGTACTCGATAAATCACTTGTAGATAAATGGGTCAAAGTCAGTGATCAAGAAGCCTATTCTGTTAGTCGTCGCTTGATTCGTGATGAAGGTATTTTATGTGGTCCTTCTTCTGGAGCCGTTGTGGCTGCTGTATTAAAGAGTATGGCTACTGATTCGACAGCCAATCATCCTGCTGCTGAGCTCCTAACCGATCAACAACAACAACAAGAACAGCAACAACCAGGCGTACTTGTTATCCTCAATGACGCAGCAAAAAATTACACATCAACATTATTATCGGACGAGTGGCTGTTAGAAAATGATCTGGCTGATGATCTCATCAGTCAAGAGTTACAATACGTCTCACAGGATCGATATCGCGCTGCTAGTGTCGAGGATCTTCAATTGCCTGCAGCTGTCACTATTGCTCCTTCTGCAACTGTGGCGCATGCTTATGATTTGATGTTGGAGCGTGAATATTCTCAGTTGCCCGTGATCAAAACAGAGACTCGAAAATTGGTGGGCTATGTCTCTCTGAGCCATTTAGAAAATCAACTCGAACACGGACATATTCAAATGACAGATAAAGTGGATGATGTGATGTATCGATTTGTCAACAAAAACAATAAAAAGAACGGAATGCCGAGTAATACTAGTAGCAATAAATATGAAGTGATTACACCAGATACGAGTTTAGCAGATCTAGGTACCTGTCACTTTCTGCGTCAATTTGACAGCATCTACTTGACTAACAGAATTGCTTTTTTTTTTTTTAATTTATTTATTTGATTTCATTTGTTCATTAGCTAAATTCTTTGAAAAGAACTCTTTCGCAGTGATTACAGATACAAATAGGAAATGGTGTCTTGGAGTAGCTACAAAGTATGATCTAATCAGTTTTTTACATCGACGTCGACAATTTTTTTAAATAAAAGAAAATTCATAAGCCCTTTTTGGTGCTGTTGTTGTTCGTGTCGACGACGATTTCTTCATCAGATGTTGTTGTTGGATGCCGTATAATAAAGAAATTTAATAAATATGGCAGCATTTCTCGTCTCCACTGGTCTTTGCAAGACTTTTTAGCTCTTCCTACCAATTTGGAAATCTTCTCCCATGGGATACTTGACATATCATCTAGGTTCTTTTCTTTAATAATGGCATCAATCAGGCTTTGACGCTCGTTATCTTGCCATCTTGGCTTAAGGCTTGTGCTAGTAGCAGTGTTGGTGGTAGTGGTGTTGGTAGAAGAAGTAGAGGTTGGCGACGAACTGCTGTTATACGCATGATGATGCTGAACACCTCCTATGTCGATACCATTCATCGCAGTATCAGCTGTAGTAGTCGTAGTAGTAATTGACGAAGAGGAAGAAGAAGAAGAAGAAGAAGAAGAGAAAGAGGGAGATGAGCCCAAGGCGGCAGCCATGGGCCTTCGCACCTTTTTGTTGCGTCGAGTGTGGCTCTTGACCTTTTTAATGTTGCCACCACTTACACTGATGTTAATCGTAGCTGACTTGTGATGATTGTGTGCAACTTCTTTTTTGAAGGCAAATACCTGCTCTACTTCTTCTTTTTGCTGCTGTTCTTTTTGTAGTTGCTGCTGTTGTTGCAGTTGTATATGATGGAGAGACTCCAATGATGAACTGAGTAGAAATTCATTGATAGAAGGAAGTTGATATGGCGTCCTAGGAAATGAAGCAGACGTAGAGTAAGGATAACACCAATATTGCTGTTGTTCACTATAGGCACTAGCACTGCTATTGCTTCTGATCATTGGAAGAGTAGGGGGGCTCAAGGAAGTACTGTTGTTCGTATGATTGTTGTCCATTATCATGACAGGTAATTGCAGATGGCTTTGATTTGTTGTTGTTGACAAAGATGAATCACTTGTATTGTATCGTTTTAAACTCAAGAGGCCTTCAATAGCATTCCATTCATTATCTATCATAGAAGCACTATCAGCAGTAACATTAGCAGTAGCAGTAGCAGTAGCAGTGATGGACATTGGCCTTGTAGGTTGTCAAAGAGCAGTGCTCGTTATGTATGATGAAAGGAAGAAGAAAGAATGCGTAAAAAGGCAAAGAATTCAGCAAAAATAAATATCCTCAATAATAAATATAAACATTTTCACTTATTGGTTGTCTATTTTTCAATAACGCTTTTTTGTTACTGAGCAGTAATAAATGATATATATAGGGGGTAGGCTTATGGTAATAAATTCATCTTTTTATGAACAAAAACGCTTTTTCATTGTTGTCAAATTTTTTTCATTATTTATCAGTGGTATATTAGTTTTTTTTTTTCAAATCTAGGTGCTATTGATAGATGGATTTCTAATATGAAACGTTGTTATTATTGTTTACACATATAGAATATAATATACATGTACATTAATGACTATATAGTTGTACTTTCCGAAAACAATCAATTGTTCAAGTCATTAAACGCTTAAAGTTGAATGTTAGGCATATCGTCATCACCAAAAGGCCGTAAAAGACAAGGAATACAGCTATCATCCGCTTCCAATGCCATTTCTTTTCTGAATACATCTTCCAATAAAATAACCCAGGTAAAATGAAAGATATTGTCGTTGATCCTGTTGATCCGACAAATGCTAAAACCAAATCTAACTGACTGATGCTGATAGACACCAAAAAACTTAAAATAATGATGCATGTGGTGACAATAGCATGTCGCTTCCGGCGCTGAGAAGAAGTAAGTTCACGATACTTGACTTCATCAAAGAGGATCTTTTTGATCGAAGCACGACAAGGATGAGCTTGCAATGGATAGCTGAAAATAACGAGAATGACGATGGCCAAGCGTCCGTAAGCGACAAAATAAGTTTGAGGGTCTATGATGAAATGCCGATGAGCATATTTAGATATACTATATATATATAGTTATAGGTACTACTCAGCCTCACAGTCCAACCAACAACTTACATTCTAGAATAATGTTGCCCAAAACATCTTTACCAAAACTTAGATATCCAAGAAGAGCAACTACTTCATAGATAACAGCCGCAGAACCGATAGAACCTGATATAACCTTTACAATTGATTTTTCACGATTATCCTTCACTTCGTTATATACAGAAAAGATCTAACGTATTTATTGTTAATAAGTTTTATAAAAAGTGCGCAATTCTAGGCACACAAGGGATTCCACTTACATTTTGATGGCAGGTAAACGCAAAGATGAAAACGGGCAACTGACCAAATATCTTGGTTGAGAAATGAACGTACTCGATCGATTCAGGAGGAGGCGCGGGAAAGTTAGGAGAAACATAATGGTAGACTACAATGACTACCAAGTAAGCAACTGCAAACAATGCAATCAAACTTGTATACTTTAATGAATCCAATCTTCGCAAATAACTGAGTGGTGCAATCATAGTAAACATAAATAAGCTGATCCAAAACTTTCTGTCCATAAGTAATTGATTATTCTCTGCCTGGTCAAAGAAGGATCTTACTACCTATGAAATTACCCAATGCACATCAATGCGCTTAACGCTAATACTACTATTCCAGCATCCTTTTGAAAGTATACCTGTGGCATTAAATCACCCAGAATAATCAAATAACTAACAGCCACACCAAAGCATTTGACAGCAATAGCCATATCAAAAAAGATGCCTAACCGAGGCCATGTCATTTTGGATAAAGAAGAGAATGACGTATTTCTGCCCCCTACTTTTTCTGCACATCGAGACAAGAAATATAACCCAAGTGCTGAGGTTAATCCGGCATAAAAGATCAATATGATACCTGGTATGATACCAACACAAGCCAAAGCAGCAGGCTATGATATACAGAGAAAATCAATGCTTCCTTTCCTGAAACGTGGCATAGACCACTACACTCAAAGTACTTTACCATTGCCAGCATGCCCGTTCCCAAAATGGTATTGGCCAAGTTGATAGACGCACTTTTCAATGTGGCGCCAGGTGTTTCATCATAGATAATATCTGCTTCATTGTACAGCGACGAAGCTACTGTTTCTGTCAAAAATAAAGAACTTGTCTCAGTTAAAACAGCGTTTATGCTGTTATTATTGGCAGCTGAATATGTATCATCGTTGTTTATGCTGGAATAATTATGATTGTAATTCGCGGTGGGCATTTTCTGTACAAGGAGAGAACCTCTTTATTTTCCAAACGTTGCAGTATTTTTGAATCCAAATGACTTTAAAGACGAAATGAAGGTGGGTAAATGAGCAAAAGAAAAAAGCTAACAGAAGAAAAGAAAATGGTTGATCTGTTTTAGTTTCAGTTCAATATCCGTTCGTTAAAATCTAGATCACGCGGGCAAACAAAAACAAGGAACAAAAAAACTCTTTTATTGAATCTATTTAACTCTTAATACAGCACGAACATCCATCAAAAAGGCTAATAAAGCTTCTTTGAATGGTTGCTTATTGGCTGTCATCAACTGTACATTAGGTTGCGGTGTTGCTTGATCTAATTTCTGAAAAGCCAATAATAGTCTGGATTGTATCTCATTTGACTGCTGTGACATAATTTGGTTTGCAAGCACCATGTAAATATCCTATCATTGAACAGTTTTTTTTTTATTGTTAATATGGGAAAACTTGATAAAGAAATCACCACGCGCCGTTTTTTTATTTTTTTACCTTTTGCACGCATATCAGGCCTAATAATGCTTCCGAGGCAGCATCTATAATGTTCGTATCCAAATGCTGAAATAGTAACAAGTTTAGTAATTGCTGCAAAAGCTTTTCTAAATGTTGTTTCAGCAGAGACTGGGTGGATTGTTGGTGCTGAATACAATATAACGTCAAAGGTGCGATGGCGTGTAAAGTAAGTATATTGATATCTGAAATATCATGACCTATACCGTACTCTAAACTAGCCATAATATTATTGAATAATGCAGGCGGTAAAACGTTGGATAGTAATTTATCAGGGCACATTTCGACAAGATAGGAAATAAGTTGAATATATTGCTGACACAGATTGGGTAGTTTAAGCATTTCCATGTTGATCATAGGGATAACAATATTGATACCGTATAAAACAACTTCTGCCACTCCGTCGTCTATTACTACTGACGAGTTACTTTTACTCAAATCTTCATGTCCAGAAGCGAGCAAATTCGATAACATCACCAAGACAGTGAAAATATCCGCATAAGGACGGTCTTCTTCTTCTTCTTGAGAATGCAGTCTCTTTTTACCCTGATTGCATTCACCAAAGATTTTAAGCAACTCCATAATAGTACGAAAAAGTACCTGCTTTTGTCCTCCTTCATTCAATACACCTAAATCCAGTCGGCTGCTGAGATCAGCAAAGAGTTGTAAAATCACAATTTGGACTTCAGGTACAGATTTATAAAGTGACATAAGTTGGATAAAGCTATCAAAAAAACGCGCGGAGAAGCCAAAAATAGTTTGAGTATTACTATATTGACATGCCAAAGCTAAACCGTCAAACATTTCTAAGGCGTTAATGACGTTATTGATGATTTCTCCGCGTTGATAAACTTGTTGAAAATCAGGACGGTGCAAAACTGAACTGATACGGTCTTCAATCATTTTGAACATAAGTCCAAAGTAGTTGGTACGCGTGGTTTCATCAACCGCATAACTGGAGATAGTAGCGATAGTTTGAACTAATGAACTGTGAACGGCTTCTGGTAATTGTTCCAGATTATGCGTGACAAATTGTACCAAATCTTGATAATGAGCTAAAGTTGTCATTAAAAAAAAAAAAAAAAAAAAAAAACCTCTTTAGAATGACTTTACTTCAGCGATAAATAACAGCTACCAATGCCGACTTTACCTGAGCGCAATAAGCCTTGCTTCAAGTTATTCGTCGTACCACAAGAATGCAGCCATTGTACGAGTTGTTGAAGAACATCAGGATCTGCATTCCATAGGATAAAATTAAGTTTCATTTGCTCAATAAAAAAATCTATGACATGTAAGCCTTGGCCATCTGACGGTCCTGGGCGACCAAATGCCTTGGCAATATTAGGGCTCGTATAACCATATTCATTTTCGTCCATCAACAGATAAGATTTACTCCAACGTTCTATGTACCAAATCAATGTCTCTGCTACGCGTGGACTGCAGTTAGACGCCTCTACTGTAGAAGAGCTGAAACTGGAACTGAAGCGGAACAATTCCAAAAATAGGTTAGATAAACTAACAATCGGATCTTGATCTAAAGGTACTGAGCCGGAAAGTTGCATTAATGCATCAGGAATCATGGGTTGCTCTCCTTTGCCGCTATCAGCTAGAATATGAGCTGAAATCAAGATGATCCAATGTAACTGCTCATGTAGAAGAATCAAATTGGTAGTTGCTGGGTTATTGCCATTATTAAAGAACCCTTTGAATGTCTCGAAACGTTCAGAAAGTAACTGGTGTAATTTTAACAGGCAAGGTTGAGGATTGAACCGACCCAAAGTACCGATACAAGTCAATTGATCAGCGAATGTATCCCAGTCCTTCAAGGCTGCATCGATTTCATCTTCCTCTTCTTCGTCTTCTAATACCATCTTGGCGCGTTCTAAACGTGTATTAATGTACGACTCGACAATTTGAAAAGCTACCGTCGTCATATAATCAGTAAGGTGCTGTATTTGTTCCTGAGGTAATCCTGCTTTCGGATCGGCTTCTCGTAAATCAGTAGGTCGAACAATATCAGCCAACTTTACCCAAGTCTGTAAACTTTCGTCACAGGACTCACTAATCCATCCTTCATCTACATCAATGACTGTGCCTCCTAAACAGCCTACCGTAATCATACCCACTTCATTCAAAAATTGGAAAAAGTCTGGTATCGCACACAAAATAACTATGGGTACATTTTCTAATAATCGACGAATCATCTGAATACAACCCAACATTTGCGGGCCTTGTTCACTCAGAGCATCAGGGCTGGTACCGAAGGTTGTGATATCGCTCATCATTTTTCTTAATCCGTGAATCATTGTTGCTGCGTAAGATTGAATCATAGCCGTATCGTTGTCAAAGAAATTGCATTGCAAGCCGGCTAGCTGGATTAAGCATTGTCGACAGCGATGACTCAGAACATCATCATCTTGTGCTAAGCTGTAAGTCATAAAGATAAGCCATAACACATCCGGGTTACCAAGGGCAGCCTGCCAGGCTTTGGGAAATAGGGTATAAGTTTTACGTACGGCGCTGCTGCCACTCGGTCCATCTTCTCTATCAAATTCATCATCCAAGGTATCAGCTGCATTTCTAGCAAATGTGCCTGGGAGATTAGGTGTGGTGTTGGTGGATTCAAATTCCCAATGAAGGATTTTCTCTAGCATGATGATCATTTCTGTAAAAGTAGCTGGCACGTTATCGGGTAAATGTTGAACTTGAGACACAAAACGATGAAGTTTTGTCATGAGTTCTTCAAATAAGCCAAGTAAAATATTGGATTCGAAAAAAAGTTTGCAGTTGTGATGATGTTCCCACGTCAAACCGATCGTTGTGGATTTTGTATTGGAAAATTGATCTATGAGCGCGTTGGAAAGGGCCAATCCAAATACTTGCTAATAGAGAGATTGGCAGAAACGGATACTGTTGAGTCTACAAAAGCTGGTAATAAATAGGCAAATGTTGTCTCCTCAACTTACGGCATTATCATTGTCCATTTGAATGAGTTGTTTCACTTGTGCTAAAATATTCTGTCTATCTTGATCTGTAACATCAAATAAGCTACGCTTTGTAATGAGAGCAACAGCTAACACAAGCTGATCCCGAACATATTTCATAAGTCTACAAATTTTACCATAAAGTAGAATGAGTACACTTGTATCATCATGAAACTCTTTGTTCCTCCTAACAAACTATACATTACTCCTCTCTTTTCAAACAGAAATCAATTAAATAATTCTTTAAATTGAGCAAGTCGCTTTTTTCATATTGAGTGTAATCTCTGACAGCAACATCACCAATAGCTAAAGCGACTTGAAATTGCACCATAGGATTGCTAGCATGCTCTAAAAGCCCAATAATTGGTGTTAGATCGATCTGAATTCACTTTGATCGCTCTACTACAAAAGACAGCTTTTACCTAAAATATATTGGCAAACAGGCAAAACTTTTGTTATTTGACGAAATTCAGTCAATACTTGTTCACCAGCTGCTCTAGTAGCAGGTACCTGTCAATAAATAAAAAAGTCAAACACAGGGAAAAATGTCAACGATCTGTCTGTGATCACAAAAGTTAAACTAAAAACGATGCGAACCTGAAAATCTAAGCAAGCCTCTTCAAACTGCTTATGAATAAGAACGTTTCCGGGATCTTGAGCTCTATTCATGGTCTCTATTGCTTGTCTATATATTCTTTTGGTGAAACCAGGTGAAGACAGGAAATGTTTCTAAAAAATTTCCATACGGTCGTATTGCCTTTTATGGTACCAAGGAAGCGGAGTTTATGTGGCTAAGGCGGCATTGTCAGTAGAGCTTTTTTTTGCTTATAGAATATCAAAATTGCCAAGCGAGTTTGCTGTGGAACTCAATGATAATTAGAGGTAGATCCGTTGAAGCGTTACAGGGGTTTTCATTTTGACTTTAAATAGAGAAATTACGGGCAAGAAATATTATGGCGGATAGCCTGCTTTGTTTGCGAGGTTGAATACTTTTATGTGTATGCGACAAAAAGCTACCCAAGTTCCCTGTCATTCTAGGAGTTCTTAATGGTTATACAACCAATTTGTGATTTTGATCCGCACTGTCTTCTTGTTAGTCATCTCTATTGCCAAAAGTGATTGCTCATAGTTTCAAATCGTTGTATAACAAAGGGACTTACCTTCTTTGTTTTGTCCTTCTTCAAAGAATCCTAGTAAATCAATTTATTATGGCTTTCTAGAATACAATGTTAAAGAACTGCCTTCTGCGGTTACGAAAAAGCTACTCTCGTTCACAGGATGACTGTACTATCGGTTCATCTTTTACCTCATCAACTTGAGCTCGAAATGTTACATACCCTTATCTACCTTTATTTGACGTATACTTTAATAAACAACATGCGTTATCTATTAGAAAGCTCACTCACTGGTCAATGGTGAGTCTGTTTTTCCCTAGTTATTTTTCGAAGGACTTTCTGTGGCAAGGTTCTAATAAGGTCCTCTTCATGAAGTACCTTTCGAGATTATCTGGGTGTCTTAAAACTCCAGCTTTTGTTTCTGGATGCTCACAAATGTTTTACACAAAAAATATGTCTAGGAATCTTCTGTCAAAACTATGATGTCCAAAAAATTGATACGTCTGTCTTTAAATGGAATAAAGCTGTATTGCCCTTTTCTTCTTTATCTGTTCAATTTCTTTTCTTTTCCAAAAAAAACAAAAATGAGACCAACAAGAAGAGCAGCCACCAAAGCCGCATTGGCCAATAGAAAAATGTCACTCTCCTCCATATCTTCGCCTTCTGAAGAAGAGGATGAGATTGATAGTGGTTCCGAATTGGAAAATAACGATACTAACAATGAATCAGAGGAGGCTAACGAAATTGATGAAATGGAAGATGTGGACGATCAGCAAGGATTAAGTGCAATGGAAGAAGAGGATGAACTAGAATCTTTGTCCGAAGAAGAGGATTTAGGTGATGATATACAAGTCGAACAACAAGAAGTTGAGGAGGAAGAGCCAGAAGTAGAAGAGGAAGAGGAAGAGGAAGAAGAGGAAGAAGCCATACCGCCACCACGTAAATCAAATGCACGTAACAAAAAGCGCAAGAAACCCAGTAAGCTCACTGAACTGCTCATAATATGCTTTGTAATTCAAAAATGGTTGATCCAATTTTCACTCGATTTAAAAAGCTTATGAAAACAGCGATGAAGAGCTGATATTTTCAGATGATGAGGAAACAGAAGTACTACGAAATAAGCCCATGACAAAACGACAGAGAGCTAAAATGAATAGGGAAACACCAGAAGAATACCTCGAACTGCCAATGGGTAATTATATGAGCAAATAAAGTTCCCAAAATGATGCAGTAACTATGTTGACCAGAATTGGTATTGTAGACACGGGCAAAAAGAAGTTCTTAACAGAGGAAGAAGAGCAATTGCGTAGATCAGAAGTTGCAAGAAGGAGAAAAAATCAAAGTATTCAAAGAGCCGAAAAAGATAAAGCAGATACTATTAATCGACTACTAAAAAAGCAAGCAACAAAAAGTAAACGTATTATCGACGATGCAGCAGAAGAAAAAGAAACCCCTCATGAAAAATTAAGAAGACTGCAAGACCCCAATCGTTTGCGCTATATTGATAATAAAGATGGCTGTCAATTGATTATACCCGCCGTCTACACAATTGAACAAGTCTTTGGGTAATTTTCTTTACGAGCTCACAATTGTAAACTTATCAAATGATTCATTTGTCATTATCGTTTCCTCATTTTTTTTTTTTTAGTCAGCATAATGAATCAGTTCCGCGACAACCACGTCAGATACCACAGTGTCAAGTTGAAGGCTGTTCAAAGGATCGAAAATATACGGCAAAGAAGAGCGGAAAATATGTTTGTTCGCTGGAGCATTATAAGATTGTTGAAGCGAATTGAAACATCAAAAGCATGCCGATGTCAAATGGAGAATAATAAAGCCAATATATATATATATATTTTGGTATATGTGGTTTTACAAAGAAGATGCATGATGTTTAGTCTTCTTTGCTACTATGCTGGGCTTATTTTCTTTGCTCCTCCTTCTATTGTCTTTATTTTTGCTGCTGTTAATCTATTTCTTACGGAAACCTTCTACTCTGTTTTCTTTAACAGCTTCAAAATACAAATCGGCTAAATGCCGACAGCTTTGATCTATATGCAAAGTTACAAAACGGATGGACAGTAAGCTCTAACTGTCAAAATTGTTTTTTACATAGATTGTTATCAGATATAATCTTACAGTGATTAACGCCTTCTGTTTTATAACATTCGTCGAGTTTTTCTTTAATGAGACGAGCTTCCATGACCTTCACCCAGTCGTCACGAACTTTTTGGTTACGAGCCGCAAACACAGCTGCATGCATAAACAATGACGTTTCGAGTAAGTAACTTTGTGTGTTGTGGATAAATGAAAATGTTGAAAACTGTTTACTCATTTGTACCTTTGCTATCTCTAGGATCAACTTGATCTAAAGTTGGAACACTAGTTTTTTGCCATATACTGCTGATTGAGTGTCTTGTTTACGTTTACATCATTGGTAATCTCTTCAAAAGAAAAACAAAATGTTACCGTTCAAATTGTTTGTGTTCAGGGTATTCCCAAGCTTCTTGTGTAGACATTTGTTGTGAGTAAGAAAATAGAGTAGGGGATATTATAATTTAAGGGAACTAAATTAATTGCTAATAGCTTAAAGGAACAAAGAACAAATTTGGCACTGTTTTTTACCCCCGGAGAGAACGGACTTGTTTTGCTGTGGAGAAGAGGGAAAGCATGAATATTGTTTTAAGGAACGATGTGTAATGGCAAAGCCGACGTCATGACACCTCTTTGGATTGGCCATTGAACAGTGAGGATGAACATTTCGCCGGGCAAATTCATTCTGAAGTTGAAATAAAAAAAATTCGTATCAAGTGGTAACTGCTCTCTTTTTTTGTTCAAAGTCTGTTGCAGAACGACTTTAATTCTTTGGAAAAGACCTTGTCAGTTTATTGTTAATATTGAAGATTTACAGTATGAATTTTACTTTTGAAGGGAATTACAAACCTCGGCGCTATATCAACTTGGGAGGTGTCAAAAAAGTGGAGGATAAAAAATCACTCATGTTAAAAGCTCAAAACGAACGTAAAGCCAGAGAACAAGAGCGCTTGCGGTTAAAGAGTGCGCAACGCATTCAGGTCAGCATTGACAGCTCTATTTTGTATTCTATCCCTTCTTTATCTAACCTTGTTGATTTCTTTTTTTTTCTTTGGGTGTGGTAGGCTTTTTACAGAGGTCGAACTCAAGCTTCACTAACGCGAAATCAGTTAAGAAGTGATTTCCAACAACTGTCAGCATCAGCTACGCAATATGATCCACATACGATCTTGCTTGCTACCCGACAATTAATAACCTTTTATCAGCCGTTTCAGGAATCAGATAATGTTCTACTCGACTCATTGTCAACAATGCTTATACACTCACTTCCAAACTTGTTGAGTTTGACAGACAGAACGACACTTGATACTTGGATTTGGCTAATTTGTCTATTAATAAAAAAGGCTATTCTACCGAGTATAGAATTAGGGTAGGTAATATCCAGATGATGGCATAGATACGTTAGTACGTCTCGAACCAAAATGATATATATATATTTCTCTCTTAGGGTGCAGTCATCATATGAATTCCTGTCTGCTATCTTCTGTTCCACAACTTATCCGAAGCAACTAGAGGATGAGTCCTTTATACGGATAATCACATTTAGCTTATCTAATACATCCATCCTACGAACGATCAGGAAAATACTCACTACATCACCGCCCAATAACTTCAACTCTACCATGAAACAAGCATTAGACAACGTAGTATTGCAACTGATGACTTTCTACCCAACGTCTTACTACTATGCAAAGTCGCCTCTCATTGAAAGATATCATTCGAATTCGTTAACACAGTATTTGACAAAATCGAAATTAACACACCGCCTAGTTACTGAACTACTCATTGAGCCTTTCTTAATGGACAATATTACTGATACTCTACAAAGCAGCATTGCTGTGTCACCATCTATGAAAGCTATACTCGAAACTGTGACAACACTCATCCAATCTGAACAAGCGTCGAATCTGAAAAATGATGATATTGCTGGCCTTTTGATGAATATTACAATATTGACCGATCATGCCCCAACGGATACAATGAAGGATATACTTATTGAATATGCTAAAACCATTCAATTGCTATTAGCCCACCTACCTGTTTCCTTTTTGACAGATCCCTTGGCCCAACAACAGGCCAACGCAGAGCTAGTCAATCAAGCTTCGTCAAGTGACGATAGCAGTGACGACGAAGAAACAAACGAAGCAACAGATGATGACAAAGACGTGATAATGAAAGACATCCCACCTATTGTATCACCTGTTATTCGCGCTCGTTTAACAACACTCTACAGTTCAGACCGTATCAATAATCTTCTTTCTCAATTCGTTCAATTGCTGACAAATCATTCGCAGACAACATCAGTAGCAGTCGTTCAAACTATCGCTAATCTTTTGAATACGATGATGCTTCGCTGGCCGATGAAAAAAGATGCTATTCTGAATAATTTACTTTTTCACTACAAGTCGAATAAGGATCTTCAACGCGATGTGCTGCAGATGTTATGGACGACATGGGCTGCCAATACTGACACTAGTGATCTCATCAGTAACGACGATCGTATTATGCACAATTTAACTGCTACTGTCGAAATGCTCACGACAGGTGCTAGTCTCCGATCATTGCAGGCTGACAATACGGAGAAGTACAGTAATTCATGGTCTATTTTGTATCTGTTATGTGAAGTATACGCTCGACTTTTGTTAACTTTGTCTGATGATGAATTTTTCAGCCATGTTGGCAATCCACTCAGTTTGGAGCAAGTCATTGAACTCAGTAGACAGCTGAAAAACCTGTCTTTTGTCATGTTTTGGCGAGCGAATAGTATGGATTTGTCTCAAACCATTGGATCAACAGGTATCCAGCTGTCACAATTGCGGTTTGCCGTAACGCATTTATTACAACAAATTCATATGAGAGAGTAAGTATAGCATAATGTATGGAATCGCAGAACGGAGACCTCGAAATCTAAGGCTATTGTCTTTTTTTTTCTTTTTTTTTTTTCTTTTTTTTTTTTTTCTTTTTTTTTTGGGTTGCAAGTTCAAGACGTAAGTTTTGTCCCAAAGGTCATTGGCTGATTAAAGATTTGGATACGGATAATTTCTCCAGTGAAGCGGTGGCGGAAGAATTCAATTTGGAAAGTGAGGAGCAACAGCAGCAGGAGCCAGAGAACGATGTCATGTATGCTACCCGTCGACCACGTCGACGCCCTATGCTGTCTAAGGGACGTTTAGCCATCATTAGCCCACGACTAGGCTTATTAAACAATATCCCCTTTGTTATACCATTCAAGCAACGAGTCGAGATTTTTAGAATGTTTGTTGCTAATGATAAGAAGCGCAATCATATTGACGAATTTTTCCATCACCGCAATGCCAAAGCAGCTTCCGCTACTGTGCGTAGAGACCACATATTCGAAGATGGTTTCAACGCACTCCACAACTTGAGTCCGGAGATTTTGAAAGGAAGAATAGCTATCTCGTTTGTGGATGAATTCGGATTAGAAGAAGCAGGGATTGATGGTGGAGGCGTATTCAAAGAGTTTTTGACAGGATTGAGCCGTGAGGCCTTTGATTTGAATTACGGGCTGTTTACGGTAACATCTGAACAGCTTCTCTATCCTAATCCTAGCTCATACGCAACCGAATGTAAGTATACATTTTGTGAAAAGTCTTTGGACGGGTGCCCCAAAAGCAGGTGCTTAGCAAAACTTCTTTATACATTCAGTGGAACAATTAGAATATTTTCAATTCCTTGGCTTGATTATTGGTAAAGCAGTGTATGAGGGGATCTTGCTAGATGTAGCGTTTGCTGAATTTTTTTTGAAAAAGTGTTTAGGAAAGGTCAATTATTGTAAGTAGATGAAATATATTTTTCTTTCTCAAATCACGGGATGAATGCTGTTACTAAACTAAAAAACCCGTGCATTCCTTCTGTATCGATCACCTCAGTGGATGATTTATCCTCGTTAGACCCTGAGCTATATAAAGGCCTCCTGGCTGTAAAGAATTACAAAGGCAATGTGGAGGATCTCTCCCTGGACTTTACCAGCACCCACATGGAAGCTGACGGCAAGTCTGTTTCTGTTGATCTTATACCCAATGGCAGCAATATTCCCGTGACGAATCAAAACCGTATCCACTATATATACTCTGTAGCCAACTACCGTCTCAATGTACAGATTGCTAAACAATGCCGTGCCTTTTTCCGGGGCTTATCCACGATCATTGACGTGAAGTGGCTCCGTATGTTTAATCAGCAAGAGCTTCAAATTCTACTGGGTGGTACTTCGGGTGTACCGATTGATTTGCAAGATTTGCGAGCTCATACTGTGTTGGCAGGCTACACAGAACGTGACTCCACAGTGCAAAACTTCTGGCGGGCTCTAGAATCATTTGATAATGAACTGCGCATGAAGTTTGTCAAATTTGTTACTTCTTGTTCTAGACCCCCACTTTTAGGGTTCAAAGAACTAGTGCCACAATTTTGTTTACGTAATGCGGGACCTGATCAAGAAAGACTGCCAACAAGTTCGACATGTGTCAATTTGTTGAAATTGCCACAATATTCAAGTTACGAGACCCTGAGAGAGTATGCGTTTTTTTTTTTTTACAATTTATCTGTCATTTAATGAATGTTTTAACCCTAATGTACTATTGTGTAGGAAACTGTTGTATGCAATTACTGCAGATGCTGGTTTTGATTTATCGTAAACCCATGAAATTGGAAAAGACTCGCGCTTTTATCATATCAATCAACATGAGTATATATATTTATAGACAAAACAAACTGTAGTAGTAGCAATAACACTAATAGTATGATATATCCAAGCATTAATCACATATGATTCTAAACTCCTCATACAAGACTACTTGATCTACTGCTGTTCGATACAAAAAGTGTGATCTGGAACGAATGAATTCAATCTCTGATTTGTTTTGAGTGATTAAAAAAGGCAGAAATGAACGGAAACCAAGCTCAATGAAAAACGAATAAAATCACTGATATTCCGTGTTACAATAAGGTGATGGAAAAGAACAGGTTCTTTTATAGCAGTACATGTTCATTTTTACTTTATTTACAGGAAAAAAAGAAAAAAAAAAGAAATTTATTAGAAAATTATACATTTCATTAAATGTTTGAAAAAAAGAAGTTCAGTTTCTTTTTTTTTTATAATAGCAAAAAAAAGGGGGCTCGATATTTAAATACATATTATTGTAAAAGAGGGGCTAGTAAAGGGTAATAGGTAGTTTTGCTTCACTTGCTTGCTATGATTAAATAGTAAGGTATTATGCTTGTAGATCAGACATTGTTATATTTTCTGTGAGAAACGGTTACTGTGAGTAATCAGGGAAATCTTGTATCAAATTTGGATAACTCTTTAGTCTTTGATGGGAGGGACGGGTAACTGAAGCAGTTAAGACCATATTTCCTACTTGGCACAGCGTATTCGATGAGGTCGTATCATTGCTGTCATTGGACGAGGTTGAAGCTGTAGGCAAGATAGGATCATGAGTATGGTGATGCTGATGGTCTTCTCCCGTGTATGCATCTACACCTGTTGTTGTGGAAGTACTACTTATTGTGGAAGTGGAAGGCTGATGCTGCAACATCATCATCAGTTTGGTGGGCGTCGGAGATGATTTACAAGCTGTTAAGAACTGATCAATCTCGTGTCTCCTTTGACGTATATAGGAAGCAGTTTCATTAGCTATTGGGGTTGGATTGCTCCTCAGCTTGTTATAAAGGTTTGTTAACCGCCTATAGAGAAGATAAGCTGAGGGTCGTTTGGCAGGATTGGTGTGTAAGCAGTCAATGTAGAGATCTTCCCAGTCTTTCAGAACACAAGGGATAGGTTCAATGCGGAAGACGTGGGGGTCAATCAGGGTGTCCCCTGGGAAAGTGACTCGAGAAATCAATTGCCAAATGATGATACCTAAGGCATAAATATCTGCTGCTGCACTAAAGCCTGTCGAGACGACTTCAGGTGCTACATAAGGCCATCTTCCTCCTAGCTTTGTACCTGAAGTTTGTGTTTGTGGATCGGTATTTTTTCGCATAAAAGTGATGTCTACGAGTTCCCCTACGTAATCTGCATAATATAACAGAACATTACGAGGATGGATATTGCCATGAATATAGTTCCAATGTAAATCTTTAATGTCTTTGGTTATACTGAGAGCCAATTGGCATGGTTTCATGTAGTCTGTGGGTATTTCTGTGGAGATCTGGTCCTCTAAATCGCCAAATTTAGCTTTAGTCATCACTAACATGAGTTTACTGTATCCAGATTCTACGTCAAAATGGACAGTTAATCCAAGGATAGGCACTGCAGCGGAAGCAATTAAGATTGGATCTAGATTGAACTAAGCAGTGATAAAAAAAAAAAAAGAAAAGCAAGGGGCTCTATGTAACTAATACATGTATGGTTAAGAACTGACTACCGATAAAAATGAAGCTTACTTTCTGATTCGGATCGACGGTTAGGCCTTTTAAAAACACCTGATTCCAACGCTCTGGTATTTGAGTTTTTGGATCCAGCTGATAAGGTGGTGCAAATGTGGCCATGAAGGAAGGAGTCAGGCCTTCTGTGCTGTTGTTCTTTTTTGTCTTATTCAAAAACCAAGTAGGTGGAAATAAAGGCATTGTATTTAGCTTGAAGGAGCCTTTTAAAGTGAGCGAGCGATTGTTCTGATGCCACTCGCCTATGTACCGACATAAATCCTGCAAAACGTTTTGGTGATCCGGATGGACGTTGTACCTTTCGATGATGCGTGTTAGCCAAGGCTGAATGTTGGAGGCGTCAAAAATGTTTAATGGTTCCGATGACAGACTTTCCAAAGAAGGTGTGATCCCGTGCTCTATTCGTCTCCAATTCCACATATGTTCAACAGAAAATACAACGTTCCACTTTTGATACCATTGGTCAGCCAGATCCCACACCTAAATTGAAAAAATAAAAAACGTATCTATTTAGCCAGGCTTCATCTTTACTGCGTTACAATAAAAAATCAAAATTCACTTTACGTATCTGCCGAACCTTGGGTGCAATTCATACTGGGCATCCGTATCATATTCAAATGTATTATAAGCCTCTGATATCGTCCACTTTGATATTGACTCATCTCCCTGTAGAATAGACTCAAACTCGTCAAGATCGAACAACTCTTTATCCTTATTTATGATAGGTAATGCGTAATTTTGGTAAAATTTGATATCGCACGGTAAAAGATAATTTGAGAGATCTGTCAACATGATGAATGTAAGTATTTAGTAGTAGCTTGTTTACTTAATCAAGCATTATAACAAATAGAAAAAAAGGGAAGCAGACAGCCCAAAAAAAACCCAAAAAAAAGAAAAATAGAATGGGAAAGAAAAGGGAGAGATGGAGCAGCAACACAGGTTATAGAAAAAAAAAAAAAAAATGGGAAAGTTTTATTTTTATCAAAATGTCGTCTCGTGGATAGACCCAAATTCTAGGCCTCTCGTTATTTATTTATTATTTTCGTATATTTTCCTTTTATAACGCTGTATACCAAAAGGTTACAGTTTACAGTAAAAAAGTGGTTTTTTTTTTTTTTACATGTATTGCATTTAATCTCTCTTGCCAGCGCCTATAATTTCAGTGCCACGATTTTTATAAGTATTTTTCTGACCAAACCAACTTTAAAAAACTTGATCGAAAGCAAATCCCTTTTACCTTCAGCTCCTTCACGGATTTCCTTCAAGAACAATGCTAATCTATTTCTTAACTTTGTGACTAATTTATCTTCGTCCTTATCAGGTGCGCCTAACTGATCCAAAAGGTATTCAGCTTCATCAATATCTCTAATAACGCAGAAAATGAAGCAGGCTGATTTATCAATCTTATTGTACTCTCCGGCTCTCATGCATCCGACAGTTTCCATGCGCGTTATACACAGCTCACTTACAAAACGAGTGTTCCTCTATTCATTTTTAGATTTCCTGTTTAATGTCGAATAAACGCAATTAAAAATTCAAAAAAAAAAGAAGGAAAAAAAGAACTTTTTTTAATAAATTCTCAGTGACAGATTTAAGCAAACCTATCCCGACGTCACCTGAAACCCTTCTATGACAATCTTCCGTTCCGACAAACAAGCAGGCGCATCTTTTATTCACGCGTTTTTTCTTGAATGTACCCACAGAAAGTTATTTTAGGTACGGGATACCTTTTTAAAGCATCTTACCTAATTTTCAAAGCCTACTTATTTTATATGTTTTATAATGCATGTACTAGTGACTTTTCATTGTCCTAAGGTCCAAAGAATGAGCTCAACTTCAACGTCGAAAGGATAACCTAGGTTTTTTTGTTCATAAGGCAATACCACTTCTCAAACACATATTTTTGTGCGTCGACTGTTTGCACTGGTACCTAACAGCGGCGTCATTAACCTTTTATTTGTAAATAATGAACGTTTGGGAGCACAAAAAGAATATGAGAAGGATGTTGGCGTCTTTATTTTGGTTTTTACGTTTCATATCTATCCAATAGCTAGATACAAACTTCACTTTTTCGCATCACTACTTACTCAAACAACCAAGGTACTCTCAACTTATAAATAGTTGTGCTTCTGCTCGCTTTCTTTTTTCATTTCCTTTTTCTCTGGCATTTCTTGCTTCTTCAATCACGCATCATGGAGGACATAGTTAGTCCAAAAATTGATTGGAATCAGCACAAAGCAAAAAGGTTTTACTCCTCTGTCGAGCCAGCCTCTATGGCATCTTCTACGGCTCCCTCCACAGAAGTGCTGGACAAATCTACATGGCTCAAGAAGCATATAGCCTGGGCAAAAAATCAATATTCTCATTATTTGTTAGGAGCTGATCGTGTTCTACCTCCTTATGAAAAGCTCTCAACAAGGTCAGCTGTCGGGGTACGTCGCGGTTTACATAGCCTAAAGCTCCTCTTATATGCCATTTCCTCTGTCTTCCTTATCTTCTACGCTTTCCGCGTTATTTCTTCCAGTACTATCTTTCAAACGGCTGGTAAATAAGTGTTTTTCATTTATCGCTATTCTCTGAGGCCTCGTTTTCTAACAAAACATCGTTCTGTACTTGGTATAACAATATAGTATCAACTTACAATGACGAAACAGAATATCTTGTGGAATTGCAAAAAATTACTTCTCTCAGAGAATTGATGAAGGATTTGCCTTCTTCACAGTCAATTCGTGACATATTTTTGCATTATGCCTCTCATTCCCACCTTGCTGGCTCTCGCAAAGATCATGATCTAGCCAAATGGACCCGTGATCAATTCGAAAAATTTGGGCTCAGCAACGCCACCATTGAAACGTACTATCCTTATTTGAATTATCCTATTCATCGTGAGCTGGCGATTGTCTCAGGCCCTACTGAACTATTGTATACGGCAAAATTGAGGGAAACCGAAGACGACGCAGTGCCCCCATTCCATGGTAAAAAAAGCTAATTTCATATTGCCGTACTACGAACTTTCCTTTTTCTCACTAAGTACACCATTTGAACGTGTTCGTTTTATAGCTTACTCTGCAAACGGCAATGTTACCGGCTCTGTTGTTTACGTGAACTATGGTCGACTTGAAGATTTTGAGTATTTAGTTTCAAACAAGGTTGATGTGAGAGGCACTATTGCTTTGATACGCCATGGCATGATCCCGAGTGGTATGAAGGTGCAAATTGCTGAGACATTTGGCTGTCTTGGTGCCCTTATTTTCACAGATCCTGAATACGCATCTTCTCAAAAACAAGAATACGTCGTAACCAACAAACACAATGTGATTGGCCCCACTACTGTCTACAGAGATACTGTGCAATACGGATTTATTTATCCTGGTGACCCGTACACCCCCGGTTATCCTGCAACTTTTAATGCTACACGAAATGCTACAGCTTCAAATTTGCCTACTATTCCTTCGTTACCTATCTCTTGGTCAGATGCTCTTCCTCTATTGCGTGCTACACAAGGATTGGGTCTCACCTTGGACAACTGGGTTGGCGGCTTAAAAGAAGTCAATTACTTTACAGGTCCTAGTGTTGCGCAAGTCAAACTCGTTAACTTTAATGAATACAAGATTAAACCTATATGGAATGTCATGGCTCGTATTGAAGGAGCCGAAGATGAAAAGGCTATTATTATTGGTAACCCCCCCCCTCCCCATTAAGCTATCATTTTTTGTAAAAAGGGATAGCTTTTACTAATGACTCATTTAAATATAGGCAACCATCGTGATGCATGGGATCAAGGGGCTGCTGACCCCTCCTCTGGTTCAGCTGTATTGGTAACGTCCTCAATTATCAACTTGGCTCTGATTTGTAATGGGATCAAACGTTGTTACTGACCAGACAAACGATATATACATATATATATCTGGTTCCTCAAACATAGCTTGAACTGGCTCGAGTGTTTGGTATTCTCTTAGAGAAAGGTTGGAAGCCTCGTCGCACGATCATTTTAGCGTCCTGGGATGCAAACGAATACGGTACTGTTGGTTCTACTGAGTATGTTGAGGAGCATCAAGAATGGCTTGATAAGAATGCGATCGTCTATTTGAACGTCGATCATGCTGTCACCGGTCCTCATTTTCAAGCTGAAGCTTCGCCTTTATTGTACCGAATTATCACTGAAGTTACAGATATGGTGATTGATCCCATTACGAGCGAAACCGTATTTAAAACTTGGAACCATCGACATGAGAAAAAGATGCAAAGAAATAACATGACTACTTCCTTAATTCCACCTGTCGGGAGTTCCACGCATAAATTAGATTCAGTTGCTTTTTTTGAGCATGCCGGTATTTCAAGCCTTTCCATGTCCTTTGAAAGCAAGGAATTTGAAGCTGTAGCCCATAGTGCATTTGATAGGTATAAATCCAAACAAGAATAATCCTTTGCTCTTTTTATTCGGCTGACTGTCTTTTTTTTTTCCAACCGATCTGTCTTCTTAGTATTACATGGATGGAACGTATCGGTGATCCTACGTTCGAATATCACCAGGCCATGGTCAAGATTTGGGGCTTGCTTACTATGCGCTTGTCAACTGACGTGATATTGCCTCTGTACCCACTTGACTATGCCTTGGTCATGAAGGAATATTTGGACACCCTGACATCTCCTGATGCCGATAATAACGACCATGCTGTTGAAGATATGAAGAAGCATCACAAAAAGCACAAAAACAAGAAGAAGCATCCAAAGAAAGAGGAGCCCACCGTACCAGCACCAGCACCAACACCGGCACCATCACCAGCACCATCACCAGCACCACCATTGTGCTCCAACTCCACGAGGGAAGACTACGAGTTGCCCATACTCGCTTCCTCATTGAAGTCGTTCTACAAGACTGCTATCAAATTTGACGCCAAACTACAAGATTTGGATCACTTTTCATCATCTATCGGTATCAGTAAAAATAAGAAGAAGCATAAGAAGTTATTGGAAAAGGTCAAGAAAGCAAATGAACGTCTTGCCAACTTTGAACGCGTCTTTGTCAAAAATGATGGTTTACTGTTGGATAGACCTTGGTATAAGCACGCAATCTATGGTCGATCTGCAAAATCTGGTTTATTGGAGGCTTTCCCTAGTATTGTCGAGTCAAGAGAACTAAGTGATATTGTTAAGCTCAAAGAAACAGAAACTGTATTGGCGGCCGTTTTGAAGAACGCTCGCAGCATGCTCTCCAAGGGAAAAATGAAAAATCTCTCTGGCCAACCTGTACCTAATGATGGTCATGAAGATGAAGATTCTAAAGAGAGCATCACCCTTTAACAAATGGAACATCATCTCTTTTTCCAGTTTACTTTTATTACTATCTTATGAGTTCCATAATTTGCAAATACTAGGCAATAAATATGATTATTAACGTATAACTTCTGCATTTGTAAGCTGTACCGGAAATTGGTCATCGCTTTATTTCTTCGTCTTTCTCTTCTTAGCATTAGCAGCATCTTTACTATTCTTTCTTTTCTTATCATCCTTTTAAAAGTTTTACGGATATTGGTTTAAATTCTCTTTTATTATGAACGTTTTCAAAATGTTTTTCACTTACTGGCTTTGAAGACGATGAAGGGAGTACTTTGAAAAAATCCTGCACTCTTGTTTGTGTTGCTTTCTTGAGGTTTCTCGACAATTTTTCACAGCCTGCTCTGATACGTTCCTCACTACCATCGATTCATGAAAGGTGTTACTACAACAGAACTTGACCTTTGTGACTCTTCGTTGATTGAACTTACGAAAATCCTTTTTTCTTCACCATAAAGTCGACAAGACCTTCTACATCTGGTTCATTCCAGTTGAACTATATTGAAGAGTCGTTACGAATATTGAAATACTAATCTTCTTATTGTTCCGTTTCGCAACCAACCTCAATTTGATCGCCTGGAGTAACCTCAGGTTTTAGGAAGAGCTCCCGAGCTTCGGCATATTTCCAATCTTCAGGGATATTCTCTTTCTGTTTGGCTGATAAATGGTTTATGGCTTCGTCAATTGTTTTATGTTCTTTAATCAAAGTATATGCACTCTTTGGTCCAACGCCTTTTATGGATTCCGTATAATCGCAGCCACATAAAATACACAAGTCGACAAACTGGTTGAAAGAACAACGTTTCAGGTGAGTCAAAATAGCAACTTCTCTCATTTTGATACGATAAATACCTGTTCCATTGTGAATCCTAATCCTTCCAGAACCTTATCTAGGTGTACTTCATCAATAGGCATTTTTCTCGCTTCAGAGAATGTCAAGTGACGCAATAAAATAGGTGATTTGAAGGTGAGGGTATCCATGTCTTCTGAGGCAGCTGCGAACACTTTGCCAGAACGGGCTAATTCAGCACACTGAGCTTCAGCTTCACATGGCGCTTCCACATAAGGGATGCCCATTAACTTTAGAAGTTGTTTACATTCATCGTTATGAACTGTGGTAACTCGCACTGTACGTTTGGTGAAACGATGGATGTCCTCCTTGGTACCCACTTCGTTGGCTTCTTCCATTTTGAGTTGTGCCTCTTCCTTACGAGCTTTTCTTTTTGCCAACTAAAAAACATTCTTTTTTGCGTCAGTGGAATGATTCTTAAGCAAATATCAACTACGGTAAGAAAAAACAAAAAGATGCTGCTTCGACTCTACTGACCTCACCTGACTTCAGCATTGGAGGTTTACCGTCAAACACATAGACGGGTTTCAAACCGTTATCAACCATCCTTACTGTTCGATAAAACATACCCATCAAATGACTAGTTGTTTCTCCTTCTTCATTCTGAAGTAGCTGACCATCCTGCTGACGAACAGCAATCATAAACTGGTATATGCTCATGGAAGCATCAATCGCAACTTTTCGACCAAAGTAGCTCTTCATTTCGTAGCTTTTTATGGAACTTGGAGCATGCTCCATGATAATCTTTGTTAAACCGTGAATCCCCATGGTGTGCTATTGAAGATTATGGAGGCAATAAACAAATGAGAGGAAAGATGAGTGCAGATCTGCGACAAAATTTTTTTATTGGATCCATTAAGGTAGAATTATAATACCAAACGCGTACTGAGTGACTTTAAAAAAATTGCGGGAATTCATGCAATTAAACTTTCACTTTTGGTGGTAAAACCAATTTTCTATTTCTTCTCCAAAATTCAACTAAGCAGGCCGCTGTTTTCATGGGCGTATCTTCTTGGACGAAATGACCCGATTCAGGAAAGATATTAAGTTGAAACTTGCCTATATTCATGTAACAAATGAATGGTTATCATGAGAACCTGTGTTAATTATGAGAGGAGGTGGCACTGATTACCTTGCATTTGGCCTATAATCAATGGTTTATCAAGTCTGTCCGTCCCCGCTAGAATAAGTAATTTTGCTGCTCCTGTGTTCAGGAACTTCTCACTCAACCCTGTGAACCATTTCTCCCAAAATGGTTGTGTCCTGACTAAGTCTGTGATCCATTTATAATTTCCTTCCTCAGTACGCTCAATAAGAGCAGGGATGGATAACCGAGCTGATTCAGTTGTGTGTACGGTTTTTGACTGCAGACTACAACAAGAGATAAGACTCAATGGATTAGAGCGTATATTATCTGTACAGCATCATTTGCTTATACCTCCATAATATAGCCTGCTCCACAGAGGTGAACGTCTTTGGTCTAGAATTGAGGATCTTGGTCATAGATGATAAGGCATCTATAGCTGAACCTTCAACGACGTCCAGGACAGTTACTCCTGTTATATTTCTGAGGGTCTTCTTACAAGCTGCGTTTACTACAACCGCTCCTCCCATACTTCATAATGTATAGAATGAAAGAAATAAGAAAATGAAAAAACTGGTTTAAAAATAATGCAATCGCTCAGACTGGTGTCTACCTGTGGCCAACCAAAATGATCTCCTGATGAATATCAACGGTTTGCTGGATAATACGTATCAAATCATCTGTCAAAGTTTCCAACGAAAAGTCGCCGTCATCATTTTGGACTCTACTTGCGCCATGTCCTCTGCAGTCGATCGCCATAACGCCACATTCTCCTCGTGTCAATTCTTTGATGTATCTAGCTGTTAATCCGAATGTCAACCCAGAAGACCCTGCGCCGTGATGCATAATAAAAATAGGGCCCTTTTCTGATTTTGACTTGTTTCTATAAATGCGAAAGATGTGTCCAAAGTAGGTTAAGGAATAACAAAGAATAACGAGCTCAAAAATGCTACAAATCGCTATTAAAGGATATGTCGCTGCTATTTGTTATTGTAACATCCTTGCACTCTTCAAAATAGTCTTCCCAGGAGTAAGGACTGTATTTGGCCCGGTTTGATAGCAACTTCTTTGTATTGCGATCGTCACTGGTGGATCGAACAGGTTCACGTTAGCTGTCATTCTAAAAAAGAGTCTAGCTTAATTGCGTACTTTGCGCCACTATCCATTCCTTCATCCTCTTGTACACTTTCTAGTGGAGGTAATTTCGACTTTTTGAATAGCTCTTTCTGTAATGAGGACATTCTTTTGCAAGATAGTTAAAAGATAGGAGAAAAGGAAAAAAATGCTGACAAAAAATGCCCATTTTATTTCAGATAGAAGCTCTGAGGGTACCTGAATGTATAACTTCTTGGAACCGAAATATTATCTTATAAACTTAAGGGTTCGCTGGTTTTTCTTCAACCTCGTCATGCATTGGTTCATCTTTTTGATCTGTAACTGTTTTATCTAGTTCGTTAGGCTTTGCTAGTTCTTGTAGAAGAGATTGTACTTTCGCTTGTAGGACGTCCGCCTTTGCTTCGACCTCATCCATTAGGTTTTCTGCATCTGAAATTTCTTTCAACCAACCTTGTAGATCGAAATCAGTGTCTGTATTGTTGCTTTTCGGATCAACAGCTGATGACGGCATTCAAATCGTAATAAAACGCGCGAATAAGGTGAATGAAAGAGAAAAAGAACCAATTATAGACACAGGTGTCGTAAGACAGTAACTTTTGTGTGATTTATAATGGAAAACGTGCGCTGACAAGTTATTATTTACAATAACGCCAAAATAAAGGAACCGAATACAATTGAATCTTTATTCTCGCAATTGGGAGGTTTCAAGAGGCTCAAAGACCGACTTGATCAATTTTCGAAGAGCCACTTCTGTACTGTACAACAATACACTACTTCCTTTGCAAGAATCAACCGTACAGTTAGAAATTTAATTTTATCACACGACTTGACCGGCCACGATCCTTACACGGCACGGACTTATCATTCCTCCGATGAATGTTTGTGCTATTAGTATCGAATATATTTTATAATTGACACGTTAAGAGTAGTAGTCCGTGAAATAACTATGGTTGGTATCCAGTATAGATTTTGTTGTACTGTTTCTTAACTTAGATACAAGATTGTTATATGAAAGAAAGCTCATTTATTAAAGTATATTTCTCTTCTATCTATTTAAACTATTCTACTTTTGCAAATTCGTTCTACCGAGCACCGAGCCGGATGTCAGGTGCTCTAATTGTATTGGTTGGACTGACGATACTTTATACTTCGCATCAAACATATAAGCTTCTATGGCGCAATTGGCTAGCGCGTCTGACTGTTAATCAGGAGGTTGGTGGTTCGAGCCCACCTAGGAGCGTTTATTTTTCTGCAGCGCTACTGCTGTTTGGGGGTTTTTTTTTCCTCCTCCGTCTGTTTTGAGTTAATAATAATCTTAGCGAAGACTTTGAGTAGAGAAATGTCGTGGCTATGTAATAGCTCTTATACATAAAGTGTTGTTGTTTATTACTTTGCATTTCATTTTTAAAGGAAGAGAAAAAGATTGGTCCTCTTAGAATTTTATATACAATTACCATGTTACAAAAGCTCAATTTGTATTGTGGTACTGAAAAGAATAGCGTGGAAGTGATTTGCTTCACTTAGGGTATTCAGTTGGGAGTAGTGGCCACTATGCTATAAGATAAAGAACCGTATTAAAGAGAGTAATAAAAAAATAATGGAAAGGTAAAATAGAGGAGTTGTTATAAGATTAGAGAAAAGGCGTTCAGTCTTATCAAAGAACCCAAACGAGTAATAGAGATAGAGCAATCAGTCAAAGTTTGGGAAATGAAGGTAGTTCATAATAGTCAGATAAATCGTATATCAATAATTTAAAGGTACTGCTCTGATGATATTCTAGTGTGTTCCATTCATCAATTGTTAACTTATTTAACCTTTTATATCTCTTTTAAAGTAACGCGTTTAACTAAATTGTATAAACAATTCTGAACAAAGTGTTCTATGAGAGACTAAATGACTCATTTTACAGAAATTATTTGCAGCAATACTGTAAAATAACAGTTTAAAAACGTAGATTTAAAAGAAAGGCTGTGTTATTTTTGTTATTTATCCTTAATAGCAAAAATTCAACGAATACCACATAACAGGCTCTTGTTAAATTCTTGCGTATTTAGATATCGCTTTGACATTTCTGCAGGATCAGACAGATTTTCAATATTTTTATCAGCCCATTCAACGATACAGTTCGGCTGCAAATGCAAAACTGAACTTTCATAAAACATGGGCCATCTCACTTTTGTGTTGATCTTGGTTAGCTTGGCAAGAGTTTCTCGATATTTCTCAGTGGCATAATTGATCTAGTCCCAAACCTAATCTTCTTAGAGTAACCGTTCTGTTCTACCCTGTAACAATGCAAATGCACTTTCCAATAAATTCATGTCCGATTGAACAAACTCTGTCAACTGCACTCTCAACGACAACTATCCACTGGTTGCGGGGTGTCTATCAGTTATTAAGCTATGGCATGTCTTCCGACTTACGATTTGTACCAAAGCTTAACTGATACGGTTGTGCCAAGTTATGGCTGCATCTAAAATTAATCAGATATTTCCTCGTTTGGCATTCAATACCCTGATTCAACTACAACATAAAGGTAAACTTGGTTTGATGAATCGCATTCTTAAGTAATATGCCCCTAGAGATGTAGGTTAGGTCCCATACTGACTTTCTATATTGCACCTCATTTCTCTTATGTTTTAACAATAACTCGGTTTACACTCCAATGGTTGTATACATCGACCTTTTATCTATATTACCACCTTTATCCTCTGGTTCAGTTCCTCACTATTTGAATGATTTAATGCCTTCGCTTCCTCGAATAACTCCACACACTTTTCTTTAGACAAAAGTTTTATTATTCTATTTACTGTTCTTTCTTCACCCATTTCAACCATTATGGAAGAATATCCATCAAGTTCACTAACGCTGTCATCCATAATTCAGGAGAAACCAGTGTTAAAAAACTGTGAGTTATGGGTATGCTCCTTTTTACTTTAGACCTACAACGTATACGCTTTCCTTCCCCATCAGAAATCACCAATCGCTGCTATCTATCATAGTAACTCAAGAGAATCATTGAATCGGACCTAGTTACGTTGAAGAAGCCTTTTTGAAGGCTGCCAAATGATTGCATGCCATCGACCTCAACTGCTCATGCTTTGACTACGTTCACCTTTTTTCCGCCCTTATTTTTTTTTTTTTTGAAAACTCTCAGTCTGATTTTAGTACATCCTTGTTGACTCCACTTACACCTCGACCTACCATGCTATCACTAAACTTTTAGCACAATTCTGAGTCCACTATCACACTGCTGCCCGTACTGTGCCATATCGGCTTCTGTAACAAAATACCATGGCAGAAAATTTTTCACCACCTTCTTCCCAACAAGCCTGTTATGCTCTCCATTTTAAATTATCATCGAAATGGTTCATCATTTCTCCTGTACATCACCAATCGAATAAATTATCCAGTCAACCATTTTTTTTCAAGCTTCATTTATCTGTTTTCTCCTGTACATTTTTAATCCCTTCAACATATCTTTAGTAATATTTAAGTCAACTCTCTTTCAAGTTCTGCCTTGCTCCTATCCCTCCCTTTTGGTCAGGCCTTCGCCTGTATCCCTATGGATATTTGGCAGGGTTATTGGCTAACAAGTTTAGACAACACTCTTTTGTTCTTTCTATTGTTGTTACCTCCATTGCTCTCATGCTGTTTCGGATTGAACCAAGAGTAAGAAGTAACAGTTCTTATAGTAGTTTATAGTATAGTAATATTTTTCTGTCACTTCACAGTACCATTAGGTATTTAGGCAGTTGTGTTTTCCTTTTTTTTTTTGTTTTTTTGTCCAAAGTCTTTTTATTATTTCATTACGACAGTAGGAGGACGTTAAATAAAACCGAAGGCGACCTTCCATCACAAAAAAGAAAGGAAAAATTGGACAAGGGGCATCCTTTCCACTTAGTATTACTTTTAAACATACATCTATTGCCAAGTATTAAACTTTTGGCTTACAAGACCCCTTGATTTAAGCGTGTTATTTGTTTTCAATTATCCCCCATTCGTCACATATAAGACGTTATTCTACTCAATTTGAAATCAAAATCACCTGTGTTTGATTTCGTTACCTGAATATTCCTCTACATTAAAAGGACTAACGTGATGGTTAATACATTTCTTAATTTCTTCGACACAAAAGCTAACTCGCAGCTGTAAAATTTGATTATTCTTCGGCTCAACCATGATAAGAGTATTCTTTACTTTCCTCAGAATAGGGTACATGGTTATACCCGTTTATCATCTTTTTTAGTGAGTATGGCATTTGAGAAAGATATAGGTGATCTTGCACTCGTTATAAGTGGACTGAAGCAATAAGAAATTCATTCTGGTTCTGAGAGTACAATAAAGGAAGAGAGCCTTTCATATGCCTGATATACAATATCATCAAGGATAAAGTAAGATGTATCGGCAGAGTCGTAAGATGTTGCAAGATATATTTGTGCATTTGGCCTATACCACTTCATTGCTGCCCTGCTCTTGAAAGACGTAGCTGAATGGCTTGTTATAATTCTCCTGAATTATACAAGAATTCATCAATATGCACTTGGGTAGATTAGGCCAACCTATGATGCGCTACTGCAGACGTCATGTTTGAAATGTTTAGAACGCTCAAATTAAAAAAAAAAAAAGGTATCATGAATCTTTCCTTTTACCCCGTAGTTGTCTAATAAAGAAATCAACAACGTCATCGTATGATAATACAGTAGAACAAACAGATAAAGAAATAATTCTTAGTAGCAGGAACTTTATTCGAACACTGATTATGAATACTTGAATATTATGAACATGATAGAAGGGAAGGGGACGATGGTAGTTCAATAATTGAAATATCTGAATGTAGTTGTGTGGTGTACATATGTGAGAGGAAGAAAAAAACCTTCGTGTATACATATAAGTTTTTTTCAAAGAATATGTGCTGTTTGTGTATAATTCGGATAAAGTAGGTCACTGTTGTTGACTTATCCTTTACATGCGCTTACTTGAAAAGTTTTAAAAATTGAGAAGCTAGATTTTTTGTTGTATGGAAAAGCTTGTTGAACAAAAATATGATGGTATCAATTACTCCCATGATTCCTCAACAGTCTCTCTTACTCTACGAACATATTCTTTTCTGTTCTCACGATACAGATTGGCTGCTTCAGCATTTGCAGGTGAGTTAGGATTAGGGTCATTGAAGAGTGATTGAATACTGGTAAGTATAGCTGCGACATCATAAGTTGGGCTCCATCTATTTTGTAAAATATCAAGGCAGAGTTCACCATTGGCATAGACATTCGGATGAAACATCTTAGATACAAATTTGACTTGTGGTGGTTTGTTTGGCTGTTTAAAAGATATTATCAGCGAATAGATACATTTAATACACTAATAAGGGTGGATATTGCAACTTACGTAAGTTTCATCGAACTGTAAAACAAGCTTAAAAGTACCGTCTTCGAAAGGGGTATCAGCTTTATAAGGTAGAAGAGAAACAGTTAAGCATACTGCAGAAGGAGAGAGTAGGTCTACAAAATGCAATTACCTGGACCGAAGATGACCGCATTCCACATCATAATATTGTCAGGACAAGGTGCACCTAAAAAACAAATAGTTATATCAGTGACTAACACTACATCAAACCTTACATATCAAATGTGTTTACCTGATACACCAGCTAATTGCAAAAACCAATGGAAAAAGAATATGATTCATATTGATTGGTATCGATTCGTGTAAATATTGCTACGGATTCCAATCTTTAAAAAAGCACTTACCTGGTGGATCACTTTGCAATCTCTTGAAATCACGCATGAGTCTTCTTCTGGTGGGTGTAGACATATTCGCTTCCTCAAACAATAGTCAATAGATAAAGAAGGGTTTTCTAACTGATCTACTAAATATTGAGATAAAGAAAAAAAAAAAAGAAAATAGAAACAAAACGCAGAAAGGCGTAAAATATATTTCGGCTTTTGCTATGGGGCCAATCGTCTTCAAAATCTTCTGTTTTAGCTGTTGGCGTTCTTATTGGCTAGTCCAAAAAAAGCATGATAGGTTGACTTTCACCTCCTGAAATTCTGTAAGGCAGAAAATCGCAAACAAAAAGGGATGGTTGGTTTCTGTTAGTTTTAGTTTAAAATATGCATACGTATCTGGAGTACGACAGGTGTTTTAACACTTTCCATTTCTTGGTTACAGTAGGTCTACTGACTAATGATTATTTCCGATGAAGCTCTTTGCTTTCTCTATCCCTCTCCTTTTGAAGGCATATTGAATGTTGGCTGCAACACTGTACTACAGTGGTTATTTATCGGTAAACATGAAATTCATAAAAAAGATGATAAAATCTATTTACAGTGCCATCGAAGACATCATGTTTCTTGCGAATTGCATTTATTGAAAGTCGTTTTTCGTCTGAATAATGGAGCTGTTTTCACATTTTTAGGAAAGCACATGATTGTCGCGGCTATATTTTTAAATATTAAAAATTGTGCATAAACCCCGCAGTCATTCGCTACTTGATGGAGAGACAATCGGTTGAAAGGAATTCACGTCAGACAATCATATATCAGGGTAGAATTCAACTAAAAAAACAATTAAAAGAAAAAAAAAAAAAAAACTTGAATAATGGGTTAGTTTATAGACAATGTGTTTTTTTTCCTATTTTCAGGTATTTTTCCAATCCTCAAGAGTCAGCCAGAAGTTTCTTAATGGATGTAAAGAGTGAGTTTTCTGGTGTTGAGGATTACAGACTTCGCCATCTTTGATAGAGGCAAGCATTTGTGCACTGGCTGCTTCAATGCGACACAAAGAGATTGTTATGTCTCTTGTGTATATTTTGAAGAACTAATTGTTGAAAGAGTAATTGGAAAAGCGCCTTATTCTGCACAGGATATACCTAAAAACCCTTTAATCCTGTTCCCTCCACCCACACCGCCGCCGCCCTCCGCCCCCCTCCCCCAAATGAAAAAAAAACTGGAACTTAGTAAGTTTCTTCTACAAAAATATTCTTATTTCTGTGATTAATCATAAATCTTTGTTTTTAATCAATAAATATGTACAGATAGTTTCTTTATTAACGTCATACGTTATGTGTCTATCTCTTCAGAGAATAAATAGTGTCTAGATATCATCGTTGTGATGAAACTGTTGATGATGATAGGCTGTGAGGGGAGGAGGAGAGAAAGGTTAATGTTTATCAAGTTATTGTTCAGGCTTCTTTTTGTTTTCTTCAAAGGTGGATAGATTGAATTCCTGTTCATGCTTTTCAACCTCGTCAAAGTAAACCATTGTACTCTCTTGCTTTTCCCACATACTTTTATATACACTATCGTCTTTTTGCAACAATTGTTCATGGTCACCAGTTTCAACCACTTGACCATCCTTCAAGACAAAAATATGATCGGCATCCGCAATGGTTCTCAATCGATGAGCAATATGGAGACTCGTCATATTTGTCTCACGCAGAATACTTCTGAAGTTTGCTAGTAGAGATTGTTCGGTATGCGTATCCAAAGCAGATGTGGCTTCGTCCAAGAAGAGAATGCGAGGTTTCTTCAAAATGGTTCTCGCCAAAGAAATTCTCTGCTTTTCACCACCAGACAGCATTAGACCTCGTTCGCCGACAGTCGAATCATACTTTTCAGGTAAAGACATAATAACGTCATGAATACGAGCGCGCTTAGCGGCTTGATATACTTCCTCCTTGGAAGCGTTAATACGTCCATAATTAATGTTGTAATAAATGGAGTCATTAAACAGAGTGGTGTCCTGAGGTACAACACCGATAGCTTTACGAAGACTTTCCATTGTCACTTCCTTGATATTTTGTCCATCAACATAAATATTACCCGATTGAGGCTCATAAAAGCGGAACAACAATCTCAAAATCGTTGACTTGCCACAACCACTAGGCCCAACAAAAGCTGCTTTCGAACCTGCAGGGACCGTAAACGAAACGCCATTCAAAATGGGTCTATCAGGGTGATAACCGAATTTCACGTCTTCAAAACGAATCTCACCGCCTTTGAAAACGAACTCCTTGGCATCCGGTGCATCCTTAACAAGAGGTTCACGGTTTTCTAAATTGAATAGGGTATCCATATCAATCAACGATTGGCGCAATTCTCTGTATACCGAACCCAAGAAGTTTAATGGCATAGACAATTGAAATACCAGTTGATTAACCATAACAACATCACCAACGGTCATACTTCCGTTTAAAACACCATGAGCTGAAAGAAGCATCATAATTGTTAAAGAAGTGCTAAAAATGGCATTCTGACCAGCATTCAAAAGAGCTAAACTGGATGCCACTTTAAGTGATGCTTTTTCATATTTTTGGAGAGGTTTATCATATTGTTCAGCTTCAAACTTTTCATTATTGAAATACTAAAGAAGATAGAGTTAGACAAAACCAGTCATTTTCTTTTGGGATAACCAGATTTCAGTGCTCTTCCATACCTTCACAGCTTCAAAATTGATCAATGAATCGACTGCCTTTGATGCAGCTACATTATCTGCTGCATTGGCTTGTTTACGAAATTTGGTTCTCCACGCAGTTGTCAAAACGGTATAGCCGGTGTATGCTACAATGGTGCTGAATGTCACTAATGCATAAGGTGTGCCAAACTTATATGCCTGCCATTGAAAGAAAAAAAACCAAACAAACAAAGCAAAGCTCGTTGGTTGACCCCTCCTGGTAAACGCTGGATTTAATTCAAAATTCTACAACTACTTACCAAAATACCGCAGACCATGCTGATTTCTAGTGCTGTTGGCAAAACATGAAAAACCATTGAGCTTACCATAAAGCTTATACCTCTAGATAGAAGTAGAAATATCTCTATTAGCATACATAGCATCTCCATTTATTTCTTGATCATTTAAATAACTGTACTTTGTACCACGATCAATGGCTCTATTCAATCCACCAGTTTGTCGAGTCAAATGAAAACCAAGATCGAGTCTATGCAGATGAGAGAATACGTTCAAGGCAACTCGACGAATAGCTTTCTGAGCAACCGCGGCAAATACAGCATTTCGAAGTTCCTGAAAAGCACTAGCACCCAACCGGGCAAGACCGTCTTTTTGAGTGCATTAGTATATTTTTTTCCTTGATTCGCAAACCCCTCTCCTGGTAACTATCAAATTCTACTTACAGCCAATGATGGCAAGACCACAAACAGTCCATAAAGTTCCACTTTCAGGTAATGCCACGTTAAGTGAATCAATGACATTCTTAAAGAAGAATGGAACTTGCACATTCAGTAACTACAAGCGTGAATATGACGGAAGATTACGTTACGATAGACCAGTTTAAAAGCGGCTTTCAATATTCAAATACGAGATAGTACTAAAATTTATACAAAATACTCATGATGATTCCTACCTTACCGCCAACCAACAGAGACAAAGCTATTACAACACGAGCTTTAACGCCGATATCTTTTTTGGGCCAAATATACTTCATCAATTGCTTTACAATTGCCCAGTCCGTAGCATTTCTTTGCGAGTTTGTTTCCTTTTGTATGCTTGCTTCCATAGTTTTGGGTATCGCCGATTTTACAGCATTGGTTGCATTAGTAATATTAGTAGTAGCACCAGTCTTAGTCGCATTTGCAGTGCTGTTGCTATGTTTAACAACTTGCTTAGGTATGGTTTCTTTGTCTGAAATAGCCACTTTTCTCGAGCTAGTAAATACTCTTTTAGGAATCTGCTTTGATGACCGTAGCTGCTGTGGCGTTTGGAACAATGCACTTGTCGTGGATTTTGGTGGTCTTTTAATAGCAAGATTATGCAAAGAAGACTGTAGTATAGTAGTGTGCTGGTGTAAGGATTTATAATTCAATTTAGTCGTAGATATTGGCCGAGAATGCCATATTTGCCTATTGATCCCATGCTTCAAACATGACGCCGGGAATCTAGGCAGCATGTTGAGATGCGATCTAGTTGTGTTTGGAGTGGAGAAAAAGAAAGAGTTGATTCAAAATCTGATAACCGAATGATTCATTTGTCGGCATTCGAATTATCCCTTGATCTTCTGCCCTACAACAGTCTGAGTTAGCAGAAGAAATGCCATATTATATATTGTTACTGATTGAATCAAATAAATAAAAATATATTGGAGACAAAGCAAAGCTTATTGCTGCAATGTCTATTGAAATTAAGCTTGACGACTGGCGAGGAATTTTGATGTTCTTATGTGCAATACTCACACGATCATACTCATCGTAGTTAATGAGAATAGAATAATTTAAACGAACTAACTGTCTTTTTCAATGGCTAATACAAGCATTAGGAGGAGATGAAACTGTGGTAGTGCTTAAATATCAAGTTCTATATTCTTTATTTAAACTGATTCACTTCTGATAAGTCCTCCAAAATCATCGATATTAATTATCACTACCTTCAGCATAAAAACCACTCCTATTCTTCAAATCTGCGACAGACGTGGTGAGCCTAGAGAAATAGACATACGACAGGAACAGATGCGCTGACTTATTGCTCATCTATTTATTATAGTTATTGCATAATGCAATAAATGCAGGCGAACGTAACCATTTATTTCAGCCCATACAGATGATTAACGTGTCAACTCTGTATCTCAACAAAATCGTGGCGACTGCTGAAATCGATCATGCTGTTTCCGTCGACTTCAAAGCTTCCGATTTTAATGCTGTTCTACAAAGCTGAATCATTCGGCACAATGCCTTGGAGATATAGTCTGACATATAGATAAAAAAAAAGCTCTTTAATAAGTTTGAGATTAAAAATTATACTGAATAAAGAGTGAGGAAATGTAGTCTCTGTTAGCCTAGATCGTGCAATAGAGTGACCTTTGATTCAATGATTTGATTGTCAAGTACAATTTATATGGCTGATGGGTCGTATGAATTTATTTCTTCTATCACCGTGATATACAAAAGGAGCTAAACTACCTGTGCATTCTATAAAGATTCTAGACCTTTGACTCCTCTTCCATCATTATCGGGATATTCTCACCATAAAAAACTCTACTGCTTACTACATAGCGGCAGATGTGTTCGCTTTGTACACCAGACAGTTCTCCTTCGTCTACTCAACAACTGATAACATTCCTCGTAAAAACCAAAAATGATTTTTTTTTTTTTTTCAAATTCTCGATTTGAAAGTATAGCAAATAGAAGCAGATACATATCTTTATATATGAAACTCCATTTTTTGTATCTTTTCTTTTACGCTTTCACATTATATATAGAAGAAGCCGAGGAGAGTAACTGCCATTTTTCTGATTAGCTAAGCAAATCAAAAGATTTTGAGCTTTTGTATTTCAATGCTATGTTACAGAAAAATTTCGAAGTCGAACAAAGAAAATTTAACAAATTAAATAAGTTTTATTAAATTTGTTTTAGTGTGCCGTTGTAGACCCTTGATTCTAAATCCAAAAAAAAAACCAGTTTTGAATTGATAGTATAGTGTAGTTAATGAAATTGTTCGTAAAATGATATGCAATTATTTTGCTATTCAAAGATAGAGTGGACTCTTCACATTTTTACTGGCGGTGATGTCAGAAAATTGGTTCCCTTAATTTGCTCCATATTCTCTTAGTACTCTTTATTATGGTTACCCAAAAAAATAAGGTGTTTTTTCTCTGTTAGAATCGAGAACTAACAGTGTAAGCAACAAAAGCACAGATAAAACCCGACAAAATCTCAACATGAAGGGCTTTTGCTGAGCCTGAAGTGGTTGTGGTTGGTACAGCAGTAGCAGCGTTTGATGGAGCGCCTACCACTGACATAGTGGGAGCAGCATTATTGGTGGCAGCAGCAGACGAGGTAATAGGAGTACTGGGAGCATAAGGAATAGCTGTGACAGCAACTGTATTTCCGTTGGTGATGGAGCCATAACAATAGTTATTGGCATTATCTACGCAGAGGATATTTTTATCATTACATAAACAGGAAGTAGTAGTGCCCGTAAATGTTGATGTACAAGAGTTAGGCATTGTGGGGCAAGAAGTGGAGTTGAGGGATATGGATCCCCAGCAATATTGACCGCTATTATTGATGCACGTTGTAAGAGTATCACTACATCGACAAGTTACGTTGCCTGGAATTTTACTGCATGTTGGAGGCACAGCACAGTTAGATGCTGTGGGCAATGTATCGTAAGGAAGCCCATGATCTCTCTTTACAAGCTGGTTGTTGGAAGAATGGCTCTTGTAATAATAACCGTCAAAAGCAAAGGCTGTGTACAAAGTGCTTGTAAGAGTTGCAAGAATAAAAGTAAGCTTCATTGTTATAGCTGTAGAAACTGTAGCTGTAAAAGTAATTGCTTTAGTTTTCTTGAATCCTGCTTATGGGTGTCAGCTTGTAGTCCAAATAAAAGAGATGGAAGCTAGAATTAAACAAGAGGAAGAAAAGCTAAAAAAAGAATTCAGCCAAGAGAGGTATATTAAAAGGAGGGTGAAAGCCCAGTATCCGTGTTGTTAAAGTCTGTTATAAAAATAATTTATAGGCTTTGTGTAACATTTGATGGGCTTTTGACTTTTCTAAAGCCCTCCTTTCACGGGCTTGGTTTCCTTTCATATTTGCACCGCTGGTCTTTAAATAACTTTTTCAGGAACAAAAAAGCAAATTAGTTTTTCCGTACCTTATAAAAACTAACGGCTTTGATAAAGGTAAAACGATTCTTTATTCTCGCATTACGTATTGAGATGCACCAGGAATTCACTGGTTTTTTTCAGCTAACTTTATGGCTATTGCCATCTAGATTGCGGTTTTTGAGAAGAATTCTCGTCCTTTGACATTCGGGTTGTCGCATTGACAAATACTGTGGTATTTCCATAGTTCCTATAATATATAAAGACGAATTAGACACACTTTCAAGCATTTGACTCGTTATTATGATCATAGAATCATAATAACACTTGTACACGGCATCTTGTATTTCTGAAGATGCGCATATGTAATGCTGCATTATTACTGGTTGAGAAATTCAGGTACAAGTATTTAACTCCTTTTTTTTAATGTTTCTCTTTCCTTTCCTTCTTTCTTTTGTTGTCAATACAAACAGCCAATTCGCTATGAACGCTTCCCTCTCTGATTTTTAGTGTTTAATAAAAAGACTGAAGGTGAGATGGGTCACCTTCAGTCTATATATCAATTATAAGTCGCGTTCACGAAATACAAATAAGCATAAATATCACAACCGATACCAATAGTCCAGCATCAACTGAAGGCGCCATTGGTGACTCGGACACAACCAACAACCGTGTTATTGATGTCTCAGAAACAACCAGCAGCGATGCCACTGACTCAAGAACAAACGATAATGCTACTGTTAATCAAGACAAAACTAACGCTGCTGATACCCACGATAATGACAATACGATCTCTCCGTTTGACTTGAACCCCTACATTGACAGTTCAGGCGATGTTGGTGATGGCCCTGGGCTCTTCCGTAGCAAAAACATCACGCGTTTGTTCGAAGATTATCAGTCAATTGTCCAATCTCTGGTCAGCAAACACGAAACACTTCCGCTAGAATTATATATAGTGAATTGGCTGCCTTGACACATATTTTTGTCCTAAACAAGCATCAACACAGTCCCATTGCTAAGAAAGTCTTCTCAGATGAATTATTGGATGACTTAGCAGAATCCATGGTATCAGAATCGATGAATTACAATCTCAACTTGAGTGAACAACAGTACATGGCAATGGCAAAATTTATCAGTCAGCTTAGTCTCTCAAAAGCCACAAGGGAAAATGCTTTTATTGAACTTTCTCTCATGTCTGCTAGTATGAATTATAATGAAAGACGTCTGGTCCGTGGACTCACAAATTTGTAAGTTACAAAAAAAAGGATTGCTTCAACAATTACACTAATTTTTTTTATGATGACTTAGGATTCAAAAGCTACCAAAACTACCTTTGAAAGACAACAGCACCATTAGTGAAAGCGAACTATGGAATACCTATTTTGACCCCCTACTCTCTTGTTTGATCTGCGATCCGGAAAAGCTTGTGCATTTACGTTGGACAAATGCAACCCCAAGTGAAGGTGGAAAATTACGACCAGATGCAGTTATCTCCAAAAGACAACAACTAGAATATGAAGGCAGTGTCGGATACGGAGAAGCCAAAGTGATTCAAGGCAGCTCAAGCAGATACTCTCTATGCATGGACACCCTTCGATTGGCAATTTTCAGCAAAAATGCTATTGATGTGAACAAATTGGAAGGCGCGCTTGCATTTCAAATTTATGGTAAGGAACTCCCCCCCCCCTTCCCAGCAGCTCTGAATTTAATGTACTTTTTTCTTTTTACTTAGGCTTCTGCATCACATTTTTCATCTCGCGCTTGGTTAGTAATGGTATTTATGCCTTTACGAATAGCCAACCTCCATTTCCCTGAATCATTGGAAGACCTTCCTTCCTTTATTAGCTTAAAGAACATTACACTGCTTCTAGCTGTAAACGATGTCTTTTGGCGCCTGTGCAAAAAATCTGACAAAGCTGTGACCATTACTAATAGGTACAAGGAAACGGTGGACTTGGAAGGATTGATTGGCGCAAGTCAAGATTATACAAGAACCTGCGCTATGCGATATGGACAATGACGACCCATCTTAAAAGCAGACAAATCCACAGCTACAATGAATTGATCCTTTCTTACTTATTCTCATCTCTCTTATACCAGCCTATGTTTACTCCTTGTCTATTGGACCTCTTTACTTGTGTCCATTCTACATATTACAGTTTTTATTCAATAAACGCTTTTTCGAAACCGGATTTGAACTTACAAAACCTTGAAGGGGCAACAAGACAATACGGATGACACTCTGAGTTGGCTCATTTGTTTAGATATGGATAGAGGGCAGCAAAAACCATACTTAAGGGTCCCGTCATAGCACCGTTTAGGGTTATTAGTTCTCTTGAGAGCCAGGCTTTTCTTCTCGTTGTTACAGAGTCTTGACACAACATTGTTATGAGCAAGTACATTCTCTTCATGTCCTTCAGCATCAATGATGGCAATAGGTATTAAATAAAAAGATCCAGATACGTTCAGCAAGATGCATTTTTTTCTTTCAGTTGCATCCTATTCTTGACAGGCATACAAAACCGCTTGTTTATAATAGAGCTGGGATTGAGGCATATCATATGAAATGTGAGCTTAAGTAGATCAAGGCATCTGTAAGCTTTGGAGGTGATGGCGTCTTTTCTTGCTGACCCACTTTTAAACAACACAAAAAGTTAGATGTTATAGAGTTCCTCGTCCTACTAAAGTAACGTGTTGCCAGTATCATTGGTTTTATCGATATTGTCATCATTACCAACCGAATGCTGATTTCCGTTTCCATCTGTCTCTTTTTCGTTCATACAGTGTTTATTATCAGAAGACAACTCAACGTAACTGCTAGTGAACTTGTTGGAGTGTTTCTCCTCATAAAGGGATACATTTTGACTATGTTGTTTAAGATTACGGCAGAATGATCGTGTTGTCGTGATACTTTATGACATATAGGACAAGTGAAACATTTTTCACCCTTATCGATGGTCAAACCTGCAAAAGATAATCAGGTAAGTATGCAGAGAAACAAAAAAACCAGAGCAAGGATAAAGCGCCGTACTTTCTCCATCGCACACAACGACTATGTGGTGATCGCGAGTGTGAGTTTTTACGGCAAAAGAATAATCACATTTTGGCATTTTGTTCAAGTGCAAACACAAACTGAGAAAAGAGGGATGAAAAAGTGTTTCGATTCTAAAAGAATGGCCGTGTCCATATCAGTGGTTAGGGTGTGGATAATCATACGTGTAAAGAAATGATGAGGAATAAGAGAAAATAAGACCAAAAGATGGGTGATCTTTTCCTGAAACCACTTTAAAAATTGATATGTTGGCATATTGTGATTAATCAAAGTATTGCTATTACTACTAGTTATAAGAGCGAATCCACATAAAAGCGAATTCACGTAAAAGCGAGTCCAGTCATAAAGCGATTCTGTCGCAGAAGCGAATTTTATTTCATCCACTTTAATGTGACAATGGGAAGTTTTGATTTGATTAGGATTTAGGGTCAGTAAAGAGAATAGGCAAAGAGTGGTATATAAGACAGACTGTAGCCTGAAACGAAATTTGGTAATTAACAAAAACGAACTTTGGAAATCACAACTACGAAAATTGGACAGTGCAACAGCGAAAATTGAGCTTGTGCAAAAACGAAAATTGAGCTAGAACAAAAGCGAAAATTAGGCAGAGATCAAAACGAATTCTGTTTTTAGGTTTACGAAAATTGGGGGTGGAGGCACTGTACTTCTTATTCTCACGTTTGAATTGAAGTGTAGACTGCCTATTTTGGGTTTTTACTCAATGTTGACTTCTTTGTGGCTATCCAGAAACTTTATTAAGAATTAGAGACTTAGATATACGTGTTTAGCAACTAGTTTTTTAAATACAATTGTCGGTATCAAAAGCAATTGCTATTCTTCTTTTTTCACGGGGTGTCAACCACATTTGAAAGTAATAGCTATAATGACAGCGTTTGTATACTCATGTGATAACTGAAAAGCACCTATAGCATGGATGGCATGGATGGTTGGAAGACTTTCTAAAGCAAAAATACGAAAATGGAAAGAGATTCTCTGAAAAAAAAAACCCCAAAAAAAAAATCACAAGTGTTGGGCTAAGGATAGGAAATATCTATCAACAAGAGCATCGAAGTCGTGAGCTCAATGGAATGATGGTACTGTTGGTTAAAGCTTATCGTTTAAAGAAAATTGGACTCTTAAATATCAGAACTATCCGGGGAAGAGACATTATGATACTGTAATGACCCCAGCTTCTACTTTAACGGATAAACAAAAATACCGATAATACTACAACTCTTTTGAACGTGGTATGATGTTTCAAAGAAAGAGGAAGATGAATTGGTTGGCATGTTACGGACAAGACATAAATGATACTTGATTTAGAATAAAAGTGTGATGCTATTCTTTAACCAGTTTATACGGAAATAAAATACACCGCTTTCGTTTAAATATCCTCTAAGACTGCTACTTTCTATCCGATACCTTTTGTCTAGAAGGAAGGGTATGAAATAAAACTACAAACCAGCAGGCTTTCACATTTCACACCGAAAATACGCCCCAAGAATGTGCTGAATAAGGGCTTCTTCATTTAAAAGCAACGAAGTTTGGATAGGCCACCAGAGGTTGTATATACAGCGCTGGTAATGAGAGCGTGAAGTGGTGGGGAAGGGAGCGGTGAATTACTGAGTCTGTGCAGTTGTAGATCCTTAATCTTGCCAAACTGAATACTTCACGTCTATCCAGATCTTTGATTCCATACTATTGCATGTGTCTTTATATAGAAACTACGCCCGTGGATTTGGAGAATCACCATTCAAAGAACTAAAAAATTTTGTGAATGTTGTACAATAGTGAACCCTGTAGTAGCGATCAAATACAATTTAAGTGTTCAATAGCTGAGTGATACAACGCATTAAAAAAGCAAGAGAAAAAGAAAAGCTTCATTCCTACATTTTCTTTTGTTAGCTCATTAGTGATTAATATCGCAACTGTTCCCTTCTTTCTTGATTTGTGGTTCCCACTTCCCATCCTATACGATTTGGTTACTTGTATACATTTAAAAAATGACCCATCTAAGGTAGACATTCAAATATTAGCGGTTTGTTCTCAATTAATGAATTCTGATCCGAGTCTTTGATTCATGACAGCGATTTTTCATATTTACGTAAATTATCGACCTTCAACGGCTAACAGCGTTGAACAAGCTTCTTGTACTTACTTTAATTTCAAACAATAGAACGATGCTCATTTTGGACATATATCACTGTCTATCTACTATACAGCATTTACCGTAATGATAAGTTCAAATGCTTACGACCAAAAGCAATTTTTTCGGGTGAATTAAAATCAATTATCACGGTCATGCTGCTGCTGATGATGGCGATGCAGTTTCTGTGGGGTACCCATTTGCTTTGATTGTACATATGCCTCCTCTATGACAGAAAATGAACTAACTTTATGTTTACACAGATATAGTGTCGACGTATGTAAAATATGAAGAGGGCTTTCTCGTCCATGAAGGTCATATTATTACGAAACCATTTCAAGCATGGACGTCGACCCACCAAAAAAATATGATGGTATGTAACAATACTAAGCTGCTGTTTAAAAGTAGACAAAAGGAAACGGTCTCAACTTTTCAAATAGGCCATGGATTATGTGGAATGTGTTACTTTCTCTTTACAGATTGGCGTTTTCTTTCTAATGCAGTGTTTCTGGAACTACCTATCCAATACAGTAGCCAAAAAGAGTTTTATGAGTTCTTGGGAGTTTAGGCTCTACATTATTTGGTAAATATAAAAGAAGCATGATACTAGCTCATCACTAATTCACAACATTCACCATCCTACACAGGGCTTTATGTAGCATGGCCATGTTTCCGATTCTTCAATGGGTCTACAGAGACGATGTTGAGAAAAGAGAAATTATTCCCCAACTCGCCTATGGCTGTGAAAGCCTCGTTAGCCCTATTTTAGGTATCCGCAACCATTTCAGATTTCGACGGATCATTGCTCTCTCCAAACGAAGCAACAATATGAGTTCAGTTAACGCAAAAGCCATTATCAAGCGACTTTCTTATTTCAAAGACATGAACTTGATGGTGATTGTTGTTATTACCTGCTATGCCTCTTCGTTTATTATTCTATGTGTGGATGGTTTGACGGAAGCTAAGATTATAAACAGCAATAAGTTTGCAACAGATGCCCTCATTGCCAATGCAAATATCTGTTCCATATTTTTATGGCTTTGTTTGGTAAGTCCATTCAAACAAACAGGCGAGGCCCATGTTTTTTATAAAAAAAAAAGAGAAATAATAACCTTAAATTATTGCTACAGATATCCATCTTTCATCCTCGTCCCCAATATACTCGTAAACTTGTCGAATCAACTCAAAATGAATCTACTTTCAGATATTCTACTAGTCGCCAACAAAAAGACGAAGATAGGTCTTCTAATCATATTCATAGTATCGACAACGGTTACAATAAAGTTACGCCATTTGTAAGCGACAAAAGTGACAACATGATGAGTTCGACCATTACAACAACTACCGATAATCAACGTCATCACAATAACTTTACCGCTAACGCTACTGGTAGCATCAGTAACAACCATAACAACGACTATATGCGCACTTTATCACCTATGACAATGGATTATCAATACTCAATTAACAACGATACAAATCCTTTGACATCTGCCACGGCTCTTACTGCAACCTCAGGAGGCGCTGGAAGAATAGCCTCGGGAAGACCTTTATCACCTCAATCTCAATTCTCGTACCAACATGGAAATCATACCCGCAGTCTGGCTATTGAAGATCCTTACAGTAGCGAACCTGTTATGTTCTCTATGATGGATATATCCTCCGCTAAACAACAATATCATGAAGGTTTGAGCAGTCCAGCACCGTACGAACGCAATCAAATAGTGACCTCCCCCATGCATCCTACAATAAACGAATATAGCCAATACGATGAGGAAGACGATATTTATTCTTATACCAGTGGTCACCAACAATCAAAATTAGCAACTGCCACAACGGTAGCACCTCAAAGGATCAGACGCCCTTCCTGGGAGGCCTACCATACAACAAATTATAGCCCGCAATTCACTCAAGCTGGAGAGCAACAAATGGTTCAAGATTGGTTAAGGCAATCGCCAAATAGACGAAACGCATAGAAAAAGCATTTTTAAAATTCCAGCTTCATTGTTTTCTCTATCTCTTCATTCCATATGTATTTTTAGTTCCTGTATCGCTCCTAATACCATTTTAATACCATCTCTAATTCAATTCATTCAATATTCGCGACTGCGGATTCATTAGATATCCCACTTTTCTCATTGTGAACCTGAAGTATGAATATTCTATTTATTTTGTGCTTTTTGTTCAACGTTTCAATAAAAAACAACCAGCTTGTGTTTCAAAGTCAATCTGTTCAAATCGAACAATTTATTACAAATATTCAGTAAAAATGTTGAAGATCGCAAATCAGGATCTAGCATTTCGTAACATAGTAATGGAGGTAATGTAAAACTATCGACAGAAACATCGCACAACATGCAGCAACACTTCAGCTGGAATAAAAGAAGCTGCTTCTCTGTAAAAAAATCTAAGAGTGTCGCAGGTGATATATGTGCATGTGTCTTCTCATAAGAGGGATTATACGTTGCAAAAATTGAAATATATTTATAGGTTAATAAATTCACTGAATCGTAAATCGGCTTCTTCATTAAGATACTCCATCCAACGTTTTATAAACCCACCGTCCACATTGGAATTCTTAGAATTGCTTGTCCGTTTTGTTCCAAGCAGGGTATCTGAATCACAGATAACACACAGATGTCTTTTTGCTCTGGTCATAGCAACATTTAATCTTCGTCTTTCAGCCAAAAAGCCAACCTCCCCATCATCATTTGACCGTACTAAAGATAAGACGATTGCCTCCTTCTCGCGGCCCTGGAATCCATCTACTGTTCCTATTTCAATTGCTGGCCAGGTCTCTCTTATGTCCCTTTTCAGTCGTGCGACTTGAGCAGCATAAGGCGTAATCACGCCGATTTGGTCCTCCGTCAGTCCATCGTCCATTAAAGCTCTTATATGATGGACTGCCAATTCGACCTCCAATTCATTGGCTTTACTCTGTTCTTCGTCATCGTCTGCCGTCATTTCGTGTCCTAATCCTGTATCACTTGTATCAATCATTACTACGGGGATATCAGTGTTCTCTGTGCTTTGTACATCTGGCAAGTCAGCCAAAACGTGTTCTGCAACGCTATCATGCGCCACAAGCTTGTTCTCATATAACTCTCGTGAACTAAACTCCATAATTTTTTGATGCATACGGTATTGCACCATCAGCATACGTTTGACGTTGTCCCCGTACATGGATAATAGACGGTCAAAGAGCGTGGTAGTAAGGTCTATGTCAATAGAAAGCACACCACGTTTTCGCCTTTTCTTCTCACTGTTGCTTTTTTCCCTAGAAGGTGGCGTTTTAATAGTGGGCGGCAACTGTAAATGATCGCCTGCTAAAATGGCTTTTTTCGCTTTCAAAAGAGCAATCCAACATTCTGCTTCCAAAGCTTGTGTTGCTTCGTCAATGATCACTACATCGAATTCTTTATTCATCATTGTTTTACTTCCGGCTCCATTAATAGTTGAAAGAGTGACTTGGGCATTTGTTAGCACTTCGTCCACTACCTTTCTTTCTCTAACACGGTACTCTTTACGAAGAGATTTAATCAAATCGTACATGTTCCTTCTCTCCAGGCGGCTTTTTGATTTTTTGATATTTGATAATGTCTCATCCATTTCCTTTCGAATATCAGACACAATTTGGCCGGAATCGCACGTACAGGTAATAATATCTAGTGTATGGTTTAAAACGGTGGGTAGGACACGGGCAGGATGCCCAACACGTACAATGTTCATTTTATGTTGCGATAATCGTTCTACTAGATTATCAACAGAAATATTGGAAGGCCCACACACGAGTACCTTTTTGTTCTGATTGATGGACAGTTGGCGAATAATTTCCACAAGAGTGTAAGTTTTACCCGTCTTTTTTTTTTAACAAAAGGAAGATCACAATTAGATATTGATGCTTCTATTTTTCCGCTCTGCTCTTATAAAATACACGTTACCCCCGGCGGTCCATGAATCAGAGCAATTTCTGGTGATCCTAATGCAAAACGTACAGCTTCTCTTTGAGAATCATTCAGCGTTTCATCAAAGAAATTAATATCATTGACAGACTGGACGGGGGATAACTGCGATTGACCCAAAAGCACATTGATCAAATTGTTGGTGCCGCCTTCCTCGCCAGTACAACGCTTTTGTAATCTCTCCAAGCCTTTCAGCATTCTCTCATAAGTGATACTGTTTGCCAATTTAACAATTTGACATTTTTCTTGTATATCAGTGGGCAGATCCTCTTCCTGATCTAACGCCAATGTTATCTTTGTATCTGTTATTTTCAAAACCACAGCCGACCACTTAGTGCCTAGCTCTTTGGTTGGTTTGTCTTTACTATACTCATCCAAGCCAACAATATCACCGGTGGTGATTTTGTGAGCAGGAAATACAGGCGGTACTTTGCCTGCATTTGCTAGTTCCACATCAACTAAACTTTTTTAAAATAAAGTATAGTAGATATAGCTATTAGCACGGAGCTTTCATTTTCGTTTTTTTAACAACGAACAAACAACCTTTTGCCTCCCAAACCAGTTCTCATTCCTATTATGAACATGAGTTTGAATGATTCATTCTAATAGCACGCTTGTAGAAGGTAATGCTCCGGGTGGATTCTGCTTACCTGTCACTTTCAAGCCGATCAATGCAACACCTTTTCTTTGTAATTGAATCGGCGTATAAGATGATAAGAGTTTCAAAGTATCCTCGACATCGATTTGCCTCTCTGTCTCAATGAGTTTTATTTGATGCTGTATGAATTCTTCCATTTTACACCTTTTGGATAGTTTTTCTTTGACAGGAGAAAAGGGACGAAAAGAAAAAAAATTGAAAACCAGAAATGCATAAATATCAAAGTTGCTATTCTTTGTTCAAACAACCACTTTTTGAATTTGCACCCTTATTATTTATACAATATCCAAATGAGCGATCAACAATTGATAAGAAGTGCATGGCCAGATCCACCAAACTATTATAAACGATACACAAATGAAAACTTGAAATTGCTGAAACAGGCAAAAAAGACGGGACATTTTCCTGAGGATCCGTTACCACCACCGCATCCCTCCTTATCAGAGTTCCCAATAAAATCGCTTGAACCGCCATTACCACCAACAGATGAATATACGGTATTTGATCAAAAGTGGCAGGTATTGTTTTTGAGAGGAGAAAAAAGAGAACTTTGCAGATTCTCTTACAACACTCTTTATATCTGTTATCCTGTCGTTTAGATTGAAAATAAACTACCAACTTTAGACGAACTTGGCGTAAATCAACTTTACTCAAAAGAAGAATCAATAGGTATTATATATGATCCCTTTGTCTTGTTTATATACAGAAAACTGATAAATAGTTATTTCGCTCAAACTGCAGACCGTGTTCAAGAGCTGAAGAAGTTAAATAGATCACTAATTGTCCAGTTTTTAGAGTTATTGGATGTGCTTGTGAAGAATCCTGAGGAATTTGGCAAACATATTGAGAATATCAGTACAATCTTCATCAACATGCATCATATACTGAACGCCTATCGGCCACACCAAGTATGTGCATAATTTTGATTGATCAGTTTTTTTTTGTAGAAAGTGTAGAAGTTTAATGTTTAATGTATTCCTCGACTTTATTGATTTCGGTAGGCAAGGGAAACTCTAAGGCTGCTCATGGAGCATCAGTTAGCCAAGAAACGTCAACAAACAGCAGATCTGAAAGCGTACGTATTATGCTTGTGTGATAAGATAAAATATAGAATATACTGACATGTTTAAACGCTTCTTTCTTGTTTAGCAAATCACAAGAAGCCATTAATTTTCTTGAAGGGCTCTAAGCATAACAGCAGCAATCTCTCTCTGAGTATAAAGAAATTGTAAATAATGCAGCCGAAAGTTTAAAAGTCGTTGCTCTGTGTGACTTTCTGACAGCTTCCAAATTCAATAAACATCAGTGTTCAAATAAGCGTTCAGGCAATAGTTCTCTTCTTGCATTTTTTCCCTGTCATATGAAGTATATTGTTTCGACGAAAGGCAATAGACCAGCAACAGCTAAAATCTCAACTAATAAACTCAAAGAGTTGAATATACCACCGGGAATTTGGGCGAAAATCCATACAGATACAAATCATGTATGACCTTTCGTTTGATTTATATATAATTTCCAACTCGAAATCTATCGATCCTGCTTTGTGACGAACTGATCTTACTCTTTTTAGGCATATTATTGTACAGTTTGGCCAATCCATAATATACCAGACGATCATGTTGTATTGGATCCGCTCATCGAAATAGAAGTAGTAGGTTCAGCGAATGCCGAACAGGAATTAAAAGAGTGTAAATCAATAGAATGGAGATCGCGATACTGAAGCTTCATTTTGACACAGACTTATGAATTTTCTTCTTTACACCAATAGCAGTTGATAACATAATACCCCTTCCTACAACTATACCTCCAGCAGTGATGGTATCCGTTACTTGCCATACAGTTTCTAGAGATTCCTCTTCTTCTTTTTTCAGGTTTGACGATGCTACTGATCGGCAAAAACGCATGGTAAGCGAAAGGAACAAGCTCTGTCGTATGTAAAAATTGTATCCATCTCCAACAGAGCGCTTCGTTTAGATAGTAAGACATCACTTAGAGAATAAAGCTATACAGAAAGCTGCTCGCCTGAACATCAGGACGACCTCAGCTAAAGAGACTATTAGCATAAGTATAATATCAACATATCCAGAAAATTCACCCGTTATGATCACAACAGCAACGGATATAAAGATTGTAGATGATACTCTGACAGACGAAGCAAAGGATATGCATAAACTCACAAAAGGGATCGAGTCGGTGCGTTTATCGTCTTCCGCTTCCGATGGAGATTTGAATCGATCAACAGTTTCGACGTTTTCAGCCGATAAAGATAACCATAGCAATAGCAGTAGCTTACAAAAAGCATATAAAGCTCTTTACGAAGTAATTCAGTTCCCATTTCTTTATAAGGATTGGATTTCTCAACTCAATATTGAATGTCCAAAGGGCGTTCTTTTATACGGCCCACCTGGTGTTGGCAAAACATATCTCGTAACATCGCTGACCAAAGAATGTCATGGGAAACTATTCATCATACAAGGCCCAGAATTATATGGATCCTTTATTGGTGAAAGTGAAGAGAGACTACGAAAGAAATTTACCGAGGCAAGAGACTATGCGCTAGAAAACCAAGAAACACCCGTTATTTTGTTCATTGATGAAATTGTAAGTTTTCTAGAAGGATTGACTCGATGGAGGTTCTTTTACTTACTGTTTTTTGTATAATGGTGTTTGAATCAGGATGCTTTAACACCAAAACGAGATAATGCTCAATCACAAGAGAATAGAATGGTAGCTCAACTTTTGACTTTGATGGACGGTATGCAGTCAAGAGGGAAGTTGATTGTCATAGGTGCGACTAATCGGCCTAATTCCATTGATCCAGCATTACGACGACCTGGAAGGTAACGAGCGATAATGTTGCACATGTGATGATTTTCGTTGATTGGTTTATTCATACCGTTGGTTTTCGCCTCTTTTTAATGCTAGATTTGACAGAGAAATTCATATGGAACCACCGCATGCAGATGACAGAGCTGCTTTGATTAAAGCACAGTTTGACACAATACCAGTGGATTCCTCGGTAGATATTGGTAAGTAGCTATAGTATGGTGCTTTGAAGAAACATCTCTTCTCGTCCTGATACAAATTGGCTATTAGAGTCATTGTCCTCAATGACAACTGGGTTTGTTGCAGCTGATATCAACGCATTAGGCCGAGAAGCTGCTATGGCTGCAATACAAAGGACTATCCATCAACCAGAACAGTAAGTCTTCCAATCTTTCTTGCAAAGGTACTTGGAGCGAATTTTGATTTATTCAGCTTTCATCTTTCAAATAAACATAGAGATGTGCGCGTTACTATGGCAGATTTCAAATCAGCATTAGCAGTTGTCGGACCATCTATGCAAAGAGGTTTCCAAGTACAAGTTGAGAAAACAAGATGGGAAGATGTAGGAGGTTTAGATGAAGTGAAAAAGGTGAATTATAATAATGACATTAACGAAGCGAGAATGAAAGCGCTGATACAAAAACTATCTGATCTATGTCAACAGAAATTGAAGCAAGCTGTTGAATGGCCACTTATCTATAAAGAATCGTTCAAAAGGCTCGGTTTGAAACCGCCTAGAGGCATTCTGCTCTATGGTCCACCTGGTTGTAGCAAAACCACACTTGTGAAAGTGATTGCTTCCTCCATCAATGTTACTTTTCTATCTATCAATGGTGCACAACTCTACTCACCCTTCGTAGGAGACAGTGAAAAAATAATTCGTACAACTTTTCAAAAAGCGAGAGCATCAGCACCATCGATTATATTTTTGGATGAAACAGAAGCTATTGTTGGTAAAAGAAACATGGGGAACGGTGGTTCATCTGGCGGTGATAGCGTCCAAGAAAGAGTGCTTTCAACTCTTCTGAATGAAATGGATGGTGTGGAAAGCGCTACTTCCGTATTGGTCATAGTAATGTATCCTAAAAATTTCATTCTCATTATATCCAAGGCATTACTTAACAGAGCTGTTTTACACAGGGTGCAACAAACAGACCGGATATGTTGGACGCTGCTTTAATGAGGCCGGGTCGATTCGACCAAGCAATTTATGTTGCTCCACCCGACGAACTGGCAAGATTAAATATTTTGAGCATTCATACAAAGAGGATGCCGTTAGCAGCTGATGTTGACCTTGCAGATATAGCTAAACGAGTAACTATCCCATGAAATTCTTTTCTCTACACTAAGTATCTTGTTAACCCGATCCTTGCTAATTATAGACAAACTATTACACAGGTGCTGATCTACAGAATTTGTGTAGAGAGGCGGCTATGGAGGCGTTGAGACAGACTCAGCATTTATCTGTAGAAAATAGTGATAGGACTATGACAGTAACAATGTCGGATTTTAACAGTTCGATAGCTACAATTCCTGCCTCTCTTAACGAGGAGTTAGTGAAAATGTATAGTAAAAACCCTCACGGTTCTAAAGAGCAGTAATAATCAAATCAATATGCTTTTGGATGAAGGGGTTCTCCTACATATTCTAAACAATAATGGGCATTTCCATTTAAAGATTTGTCATGAGGCGACTTAAAAAACCGAGTATAATTTCTATGGCATTGTGGAGACGGTTTTTACATCTCTTCAAGAGAAAAAGTAACAATTGGGCGAATTGCACCACTGTATTTCCTGTTCTTTCTATCAGGCAGTGATATAGTTGTCGATTGAGCAAAAGAAATATAAACAAGACAAATTTTTAAGTATTATAAGCAATCCTTATTGGGAATATGAGCAAGATAGAAAAAGAAAAATAATGATTCCCGTGAATCTACTGCTGCTGCACTTAAACTATGATCATGGAATGGCTTACGACCGAGTTCACCATTAACATTTCACTTTTCTATTGTATCGCTTCGGTTTTCCATCTCCCCTTTTGTCGAATTTAATTTCAAAACGACAATTCCCGTCTTGATTGGCGAGTTTTAGGGAAGCTTGTTGCTACGTATAATACAGGGACTATTAAAAAAAAAGATATAAGTCAATGTTAACATGGAACAATTACTAGAACAGGAAAGTAGAGATTTACTGCATAAGAAAGGCGATTACCGGCCGAATTCATCCGTTTTGCTACCATCACGCTCAACAATGATACCTTCATCAGTAATACCCATTAATAGCCTTTGAATTTTAAGCATTGCTGATACCTATGATCTTCAACTAGCAGAGAAGCAGCAAATAAACTAACGAAGACGAAATTGATAGTTGCCTTAACCTATTTCAAAAAGATGCAGAGCCAATTTTTCCTCTATGAAAAACGGAGCTGCCCCAGAAAAATGCATTGATTTGAGGCTCGACTGCATCCACAAAGAACGCCATTTTCGGGCATCGTGTCCTTATCGTGGTGAAAACGAAAGGCTATTTCTTCACAAATTGACTTTTGGCAGCACTTTAGGCAGAACATCAGTACTCGACTAAAATGCCCTATACTTGGCGAAATAAGGCGTTTTCCCCCTTTTACATTGCAATGCTCCTACAGAATATACACAGGTATGTATTTACAATACTATTGCTTTCAAGAGAAGTAAATGTCATAAGGAATTCCTCTTGCTTCTTTTCTTATGTTTTCCGACTCTACCTGTGCAAATTGTAATTCATAATAAATCGCTTCTCTCCCATTAATTTGAACTGTTTTCTATTGTGTTCACTTCAAGCTGCAATAGATGCGAGGGAGAATCATACATGATCATCATAACAATAATGCGTTTTTTTTAAAAACTTCTTCTGATTCTTGTCAGCATAGGTTACATTCAATATAGCTTGTACGTTGTTTTTTGTTGAACAACGAATTGCAATCGTAGAGCTCAGAAAAAAGAAGGATTTACGTTTAGACAAGCACTGCAAAGTTTTAGTGCATTCATGCACATTTGTCGAGGAGTTAAGATGATGTCCCACTTTTTTAGACTGTAGTACCTGTAATTGAGGGCAATATCCTTTGAATATTTTTTGTTGTTGCTTATGTGGATGAGTTCATGAGATGTGTTACAAAGTTACGAAACTCAATGGTCCGTTGGTTCTTAAAAGGATGCCTTTTTCGATGGATTAGATAGCATTCCGTTTCAAATTGGAATAGTAAAGCTAATAAAGTTTATGCTTAGTTTCCATAATGCATAGAAAGGAGCTTTTTTTATAGAGCAGTTTATTTATATAGGAGGCGTAAAAAAAAGCAAGGATATATGAAACTGTTGTACAGATGTAAAAGTCTATTTGTCTTTTGAGAAAAAGTGTGCATTTTCTTCAACATCAGTAACTATCTCTTTTCTTAAGACAAAGAAGATGTTAAAAGTAAATTTGCATCTATTTTTTTCACAGTTATTGAAGTGCTACTACGACGACGCTACAGGTCTGCAAAACGACTTGCAAAAAGTAACTGCATTAATACCCAAAATTGGACGTTTTCGCCTTATCTTGTAACACATCATCGAAAGAGCAAAGAAAAAATTTTTCTCTTACTTATGATGATGACCCCCTTAATTCACATGTAAACAAGAGCTAATAGATGCAATATCAACAAAATGGAGACGGTGCAAATTCCTCCCTAAGAAAGAAAATACGCCTGTTTTTTTCTTATAAATAAGCTGATTTTTGCTCTTTTTTTCGTTTTCTTCTTTCTTTCTTCATCATCTCTTTTTTCAAACACTTCTTTTCAGCATTTTTTCAGTGTAAGTATTGGTTTTAACATTTACCTATTCGTTTATTATATCCACTCAAATAAGTCTGATTACTGAAGTATCCTTCTTTTTATAATGGCTAGATACGGTGGGTTAGTTTTTTTTTTTTTTTTTTTTTTTTTTTTTGTAGGTGCCGGTGCTTTTGGAAGTTCCCTCCATAAAACGGTAACTTAACCCACCTATTAATATCCCCACATGCAAACTGGGGCGGTGACGGCCGGGTGCCGGTGCTTTTGGAAGTTCCCTCCGTGAAACGGTAACTTATCCCACCTCTTACCCCCACAGGTAAACTGGGGGCGGCGACGGCCGGGTGCCGGTGCTTTTGGAAGTTCCTTGACCGGGAATGTAACTTATCCCACCTATTAATACCCCACATGCAAACTGGGGCGGTGACGGCCGGGTGCCGGTGCTTTTGGAAGTTCCCTGACCGTAAATGTAACTTATCCCACCTATTAATATCCCCTCAGAACTGGGGCGGCGACGGCCGGGTGTGGGTGGCTATTTGACAAACCTACACGTGGTGCCACCTGTTAAGTCTTTATGCTTATAGTATAAGGATGAGCCAATATGTCAAACAATCTATAACTCATTTTACTAAATTAATAAAAACCGGATTTTGCCACTTTTACCTGTCTTTACAACGCATTGCTCAAGAATAAAAACCTGTCTTTTTTTCATTCGAAATTTTTTGTCTTTGTCTAAGTTTGTTATAATGGGCCGTTTTTCTTGAAGCAGTTCAGCAGCAGAAAAAGAAAAAAATAGAAAAATACCGTTGTCAGATGCTAGTTTCGAGTGGTCAGTGTACAATATGTTGTTCAGGTTTTCAATCGTTGTTAAGCTACGGAGAAGTTAAAAACGGCCTTAATGAAGCAAACTTAATCCGATGATGCTGGAGGCATTGGTAGCTGATTATGCTAATGGCAGTTACTGATGTCATGGTGACCATACCCGATGTTGCTTTTGTTTGCAAAAAACTCCGTTATACAGTGTCTTGAAACCGCAAAACATTTGACTTCTGTAATTCATCCCATGGTCGTTTTTATTCAATTATCTAGGATGCGATAGTACCTAAAACGGATACATGCGTATACTTAAAGGAGGGTATTAAAGAATAGATACAAAAGCTATCTAGATATTTGAGCCTGTAAACCTTCCAAGCTGGTTTTTGCAGTTCAGTGTGATATTTATAGTAAAGTAATTTGAGCAGTGCAGAGTACGAATGGTTCAACACTAACAGTATACCTGCTGCCAGTATGTTTGCTGTACAGCATGAAGATCAAAATCATTCTTAATTATGGGCTTTCTTTTGCAACTTCCACAGGGAAGACTACCAATCAAAATGTTTTCGATTATTCCAGTCTCACTTGACCAATGCTAGCAAGAGAAACAAAAAGATGGACATTATTTCTGAGGAGCGAGGCATTGTATGGCCTTTTCCCTCAGTAATAATACTATCTCTTTTCCTTAAAGGACAAGGAACACGATTGCCAAACGAGATCCGTCTAAACGCTCGAGCTTTTGTTTCGCTGCTGTAAATCGGAAATCACACGCCCGGTTTGGTCTTTAGCCCAGAGGTCATCGCTCACTTAATTGCGCCTGTGGTGGTTCTTTGCGGCTGCTTTACGCTGCTGGCTAACAGTAGGAGCTTTGGTCAAGTAGTTTACTGTTAGGCGTAACTATACAGTACGGAAAAGTTAGTAGTTAGTGAGTGGTGGACTCTTCGTTATTGATTTTTGAAGCTGGGGACGTTGGCACCAGGGGCAGAGGTATTGGGGTATTCGGCTTTTGGGAGGCTTTCTGAAGACAACGACAGACTTTTCCGCGCCGGTGAGAAGAGATGAAGGAGGACTAGGAATAGGCAATTTTTTCTCACTTAAATTTGGTTTCTAACTTAGGTAACGGGCTAGTAAGAGTGGCGACGGTTGCAAGTGTCACTTGAAAACATTTGACAATGAAATTAATCTGCTTATATAAGTTTTTTATTCAAAAAATAATAAACGATCTTTATATCTGTAATGTGTTTCTGCTCTTTTTTTTTTTTTTTTTTTTTTTTTTTTTTTTTGTAATTGCCGATAATATCATTCTCTTACTCATCATAAGAATAAAAATTGATTTCTTAATCGTAAAACGTTATCTTTCGAGAAACAGCGTACATAAAGCATCAAATCTTAATACTTTATTTTTAATTAAACATGTCCTTCAACATCGTTGTTTGTTCTTCTAAAAACTTGACTTCATTCTCTAAACTCTTTAATTTTCTGGCCGTTTCATCTCTTTCTTGGGTTTTTTCTTCTAAAGTCTTTGCTACTTTTTCTTTTGCCAAACGACCATTATCTGCCCAATCCTCTTCAGTAAACGTAAGGAAGTCAGGCTTCCAAGGTTCTTCCATAAAGTCGAATGTCTCAGCTTTTCTCTTTCTCTCAATTGTTTCGGCATCGTCTTCGATTAAGCCGTGAACGGTCTATGCAATACGAGATGTAAACCATAAGTCATGAGCAAGCACATTTCAGTAAGAGCAGTTTTTGCTCAATTCCTCAACATGGCTTCATTCACAAATCACCTACCTTCATGTATTCATCGTCGGTTTTGGACATCTTGATCAGTGGATCGAATAGATTGAAAGAAAGGATAGAACTGGAACAGCAATTAAAGCTCCTGTTTTATTTTGTCTCGGACAGAAAGTTTCAAAACAGTTTTTCAAAGAATCCAATGTAATTTTGTAAGAGCGGCACGTTCATAGCTAACTTGGAGGTTAATTTTTGTTACTAGATATGTCGTTCTGTCTGAAGTCCATCCATCATCTCCTTTTGTACCATTGAAATAAGAATTCTCGTCCGAAGCTGTTCAACAAGTAACAAATTGTAAGCGCATTGGTTTATTCGCGCTTACAAAAGACATTATATCAAAAAAGCAGTTTTTTTTTGCAGTACAATGGCTCTTGTAAGGTCTATATCTTCATTACCTGTCAACAGACAACCAATGCAAAACAACTTATTGTTATCCAAAAACAGAATGAATACTGACTTTTTGTGTAACTCAACCCATACTATGAACAAGCAAAGCAATGTGCAATGGAGAAATTGTTCATGTCCTTACACTGTACCTTACCAAATATGACATAGCATTTCCTACTTTGCACAGCTGCGTTCACAATTAAGAAACTGAATGAGAGAGGTACTGCCAATAAAACTATGTTTTCAGTTGGTTGGCTAGTATATACGTCACAGATAAAAGCGTTGAGTTTTTGCAGATTCTTTTCAAATCTGACATTCCACTCCTTGGTGAACGAATTACTCCGCGCATACTAATTTCTTCACGCTTGAAAGAGTTTAAACTGCAAGCTTTTGACCACTTCAAAGCTTCTATACTTTGAATATATCAATTATGCAGATTTTAAAAAGAAATCCTTAGAGACCGATTGAAATCTCGTCGGATAAAATAAAGCTTAATAACTGCACACTCTGTTGTCAGCGAAGTGTCCCTCCAAACCAATTAACTGTATCAGTCAATATGCAATTCGCACAAGCGTTACTGATGCGCTTCAATTTCAACCTGTGCTCAATTGAAAGCCAGTGAGTTTGTATAGGGGAATATGGAAAGGAACTTGACTGTAATCATTGCACTCAAGTTGGCTTATTTCGACGAATTTATCACTTTTATGAATTTATCAACTTTTTGTGAAAAGGGATTTTATCCATCAATGAAGCCTACTTTGAACTTTTTGCTTTTATCTTTGTGATTTTTTACTTTTCTTCCTTGCTCTACCTTCATCTTCGACTCCATTGACAAGATGGGAATTGCAGATCTGTGGAAGCTGCTCGCTCCCAGTGAAAAGTCGATTACTTTAGAGGAGTTGGCCAACGACTACCATTCCAAGCATCGTGGCAAAAGAGGATTACGCGTAGCCATTGACGTAGCTTTATGGATTTTTCAGTCTCGCGCAAGCGTAGTAGGCGAGTAAAGTAGCAATTTCCTTCTATTGTGCTTGGGTTGAAATCTGCATCTCGTCTCGCTAAATAGCTTTCCCTTTTCACAAACTACAACATGCTAGTCAAAGTGAACTACGTACTTTATTTTTTCGCTTTTGCCGGCTTTACGAGTTAGGTATTCGCCCTGTATTCGTATTCGATGGCCCCGACCGCCCTAGCTACAAACGAAACAATTTCATCAACACAATACCTATTGATAGTGAGTATCGACGTAACCTAGTTACAATGATAGACCTTTTCGGCTTTGCCCAATGGACAGCCTATGGAGAAGCAGAAGCAGAATGTGCCTTGTTGCAGAGGTTGGGCTTTGTAGATTTTGTATTGACGGGGGACAGCGATATATTCTTGTTTGGCGCAAAGAGAATCATTAGGCAGTGGCCTCAAAAACGGCAGCAGCCTATACCGTGTTACGATATAACATGGATTTCAGATACCCTGGGTTTGGATCGCTCTGATTTGATTTTGATTGCCTTGCTACGTGGATCGGATTACGACACAAGCGGAACATCCGGCATAGGTGTCAAAGTAGCAGCTCAGTTGGCCAAATGTCACTATCACAGAGAATTGATGGATGATATACAGTTAGCAGGCCGAGATACTCCATTAGATGAAGAGCGGGTCCAACATCTGTTTGATAACCTGACGTATGAGTTACAACATAACGGCACAAGAAATTTAACGAGAAAATACCCCAATATGGTGCTTGATCCACGCTTCCCAGACTTTTCCATTATCATTGATTTTATCCATCCATTAACGAACATTGGTGACAATAAGAATACTGCCATCTTGAAAGATGTAAAGAAGCTTCAGGACATTCTCAATGCCTATCTGGAACCTCATTGGCTTTACTTGGCCCCTTTTCTACAAACTGCTTTCAGATGGCCGGCAGAATACACTTTGAAACGTCTTTCAAAGTTGCTATTTCCCGGTTATATGACACAACAACTGAAGCTTCAACAACCCAGCAGTCAATCCTTTATGATCAAGCAGACGGGCAAAAACAAAATATTGAGCGTCAATGACAAAGATCATATACATACCCAAAGGAGAATGAACGATTATTTCAGTTCAAGTCAGGAAGCAGCAGTAATGGATACCAAACAACAACAACAACAACACCATGCTCAAACGCAAAAGAAATTCACGAGAAACAGAAAGTTCGAGATGATAGTGCGAATCACGAACAGTAAAGCAATTTACAACAATAGTCTAAAATTGTACCGAGTTGAATGGAATAAGCTGTGTTGGCATGAATTTCTCGAGAAAATCAGACCTAGATTAGATACAATTACATTTGAAAAGGAAACAGTGATGATGGATAGTCAGCATGATGCTGTTGGTAAAGATGACACTGAGGAAGAGGCGCAAGAAACTGAAGGACAAGCTTATAAAACTGAGAAAGCAGAGGTTAATGTTTGGGAAACAATAAAAAGACAATGGGTCAATGCGATTGCTGTACATCAATGTTACCCGAGTATAGCCATTGAGTACCAAGGGAAGAGTCTGGATAGGAAAAGAAGCCAAGCAGCATCCTCTTCTGCATTCCAAACTATGTCTTCACATCAGCAACAATCCACATTAGATTCCTTTTTAATTTTACCCAACAAGCGCAGACGTCCAACATCTACATCGTGACGCTACCCCCCACTAATGTAATATCATTGTTAATAGTCATACCATTCTAATTCATATTTAATTGTTGATAAGCCAGACATAATCACTACAAATACCCATGCTTAAGCACAATAGCAAGAGTTTTTACTATTTCAATAAAAGATGCTCCCAACATACTTAGATCTGCTCATATTATCGTGCGTGTCAGTCCTCAGCCATTGTAAGGCTTTACGCTCAGCTTTATTCGAGAAAATACACTATTATGGGTAAAAGGGGGCGGAGAGGAGGGGAAATGGAAGAAATATATACAAGGATTGGAAATAAATAATATCATTTACAGAAAAGCATTGGACAGTACATTAAGCATTTTAAAAAGAAGATAGAGCTCACAATCTATGGAGCTCTTCAGAGTTTGTAGTTCCTGTTGTATGCCCCGCTTCATATTCTTCTTCATCGTCTTCTTCATCATAAGAATCAATGCTATTCTCGTTATCAGAAGCACTCGTCAATGTAGGTCCTCGGGCTAAATCCGAAATGATCTGTTTTCTCCATTTCTCTGTTCTATCACGTAATCTGAGCAATTTATTGATTTGTTTATCCTGCCTTTCTACTTGTGTCTCTAATTGTAAAACGTAGGCTTTCAAGCGGTTGACTTCTTTTTCTGCATTTTTGCAATTTGAACAACTAGATAAGGGCGGAATAGATGGTAAAAGAGATATTAACGATTGCTCTGTTTGAGTTTGTCGATCTATAGGGCAAGGTATTGTTGCTGATGGTGATTTTATAAGTGAGGAAATGGCGAAAACTTTTGAGGTGTTGGTAACTTTAGCATCGATAGGCTCTTTACTTGGTGCTATTTTAGGAGAGAGTAACGCTGTCAAGATAGGTGATGTAGGTGAAGAAGAGGATGATGCCAGTTCATCTATTTCATCGACTAACTCTTCCTCTTCCTCTTCCTCTTCATCATCGGTCTCATTGTCTTCTTCATCATCATTCTGTTTTATGTCATCTTGCTCGTCTTGACCTGCAAATTCCATTTCGTCATCGTCGTCGTCTTCTTCTTCTTGTTGTTGTTGTTGTTGTTGCGTTTGGTCCAAATCATCATGCTCCTTACCAATGCCTGGGTGTTGATCATTATCCTTTGCCTCATCGTGCTGTAAGTCCTCCTCGACTGACTCTCTATCCTCCTCTTCTTCCTCATGGTGAGTCTTGGCAAACTTTTGTGAGTTTTCATATATATTTTGATTATTCTCTCTCATTCTCTTCCTGCTGCCTGCCATTAAAATAGGTAAGCGTGCTTGCTTTCCATTGTTAGCAGTAGTCGCAGCGGCATTCATGGTATCATCTGTCATATCATCGTCATCCAGCAAAGATGTTTGTTCGGGTATATTGACTGCTGCTGCTGCTGCTGTATGGCTTGCGGCTGTAGTGGCTGTTCCTTTTCGTTTATAGTTTCCGATCAATAGGCAATGCGAGTATTTATCATCAGGCGGGTTAAACTCATACTCATTCCCCAGCAAATAATCAAAATAACAGTCTATCTTATACTTATGCATCCAACGCTTCACGCGCTGCGCAAATTGTGGTCGACCTGCCATGTCTTGTAATCCTAACTGACCTACTAATTGAGACCAGTTCTTGATCTCTTGGTGATGTAGTTTTTTGACAAGTTGAAATATATCCCATGTAGTATAAGTGATATCGCCTGTTTTAGGAACCGATTGAAATTTGCGCTTTGCAAAAACGAGGCTTTCAATGCCATCGTTTATATAGGCAGCATCGTGGCTAAGCACGAACTGAATATATCCATCGACTATGTTTTCTGCTGTGACGTTTGCGCCGGTTATTCTCGGTTTTTTGGAGGGTGGAGTGGTATGATTGACTTCCGATAAGGGTGCGGTGTTCGTAATGGGAGGCATTGCTGACCTGTTGATTGTTTTTGATGTTGCTATGGAAGAAGTGTCCAAGGGCTGAGGTTGTATCGGTGGCGATAACTGTTGTTGTATCTGTTGCATTGATGTTTGAGGCTGTTGGTGGGTTGAAGATGAGGATGCAGGAGAAAAAATGCTTTTCATAGTACCATCAGTCACTGGTGCAGTGCTTTCGCTGATACTAGAATCTGGGGTAGCTACCTTGGTGCTGATGGTAGTATTCATAGGCGTAGTAGTTTCCATATTATTTGTATCAAAAGGCCTTGATAAAGGAATATCAAGTCCATCGTTATTAACAGATATAAAGGTGTTATTATCCATGGTATAATTGTTGCTGTTTTGAGCTGGAGAAGAAGAGTGGTTGTTCTCTTGGTATTTGAAATTGTAGAAAAAATTATTCTGAAGCTGATGCTCCGTAGAAGGCTTGAAGGGGTCCAAATGCGGAGACGGGTATACAGGTTGCTGATGTGGATGTTGTTGTTGTTGATTTGAGCTAGTGTGTACTGGTTTTGGCGATGTTGCTGTTTGGGCTGGCCTTACAGACGACATAACTGCATCCGTCAGTATATTATTGATGGAGCTTAACGCTTTATCACTACAATGATCCAAAGCAACATTGCTGTTAAGGATAACTGTATTGAAGCCATTGGTGGTCTTAGATGCTGTGCTATTAGTCACATTGGTCGTAGATATTGATTCGATTGATGGTTCGCTACTTCCATTATTTAGTATATTATCGTTGAACAAAACATCATTATTTATCCAATCTGTCTATTAATTTTCAGAAAAAAAAACAAAAATGAGGGTCAGCATCTTTTCTGATAGTTTTCCCTGGTCGTCCATTGTCATAGCATTTACATTGCTCATAGAGAATAAAAATGGTTGTTGTTGAGATTGACTCGTCAAACTTGCAAATGCATTTGAGTGGGAAGTAGGAGAACTAGTGGAATCGACACCCAGCTGCTGAAATAAGTTGTTGTTATGGTTATTACTACTCTTATCATTTTCTCTACTGTTGCTACTGCTACTACTCAATGGTATGAATCGACTGTTGAATGTGTTACTATTATTGTTGGAATTGCCCGTCAAGCTATCTTTAAGATTGTTCTTGTTGCTGTTATCTCCTGCACTTCTATGAACAAGGTCAGACAAGTTCATACTTCAACCCTTATAATGTTTTTCTTTATGTTAAGAGGGCTCTATTTGTAATGATATTAACAGAAAACGACAAGGGAATCCTCGTTTAAGTAGGCTACCACAGATAAGAATGAGAAAAATTTAAAAAAGAAGCAGAATGTCCAAAAATGGCATAGGGAAATCATATTTCGTTTTTATTTTTTTTATTTTTTATTTTTTTCTTTTTTGTGAATATCTCAATAAGTGAAAAATGTCCTCTGTTTTACTTGTTGGCTCCAGATGAAAAAATGTTCAGACCAAAATTGCCTTCTTGCCATCTGTTAAAAAATAACTTTTTTTTTTTTTCGTTAATATGTTTCAACTCCGCAATTTCTTTTTTTTTTTTAATGAATTTCGCTAGTTGACACATGAACAATTTTTCATGCACCACGTTTTTGTACAAAATAAGCTTTCTTATTTTTAAGTGAAGATCGGCTTTTTAATATCATATCCTCCTTATACAGTATAAATACTTCTCGTAATAGATCTATTCAAAATGTCAAAACACTCTCAATATACCTCTCTTTTCTTTCCTTTCACTTCTATACATTCCTTTAGATACCACTCAACTCTTTTACGTTCCAATTCCCTTTATCTTCACATTCTATTCACGGAAACACACCGATTTATACCTTTCCTTCCTTCTACATAAGTTCGAAAATGTTTATACATTCCTTCAATCTAGACACGACTACAAAAAGCCAATTGAAGAATACAATTGATATTGAACAATTGAATCAACTCTACGCAAAAAAATATAGTTCCGAGTTAGATACTGTTTTGATCTCTCGTCAGCAGCAACTACACAATAACGCTCAGACTGGCAGTGAGAATGACAGTAATGCTTGCAACGTACTATTGTGTGGTACCGCTCAAGCCGCTCTTACAAATGTAAGAAGCGATATTTTGAGAAATAGCCCTATCAAGGTAAACATAAACTGAGCGCTTACTACTATATCAACTTTTAATCATTCTTATGCTCCTCCTACATGCCTTGTAGTCTACTCTGACAATAAATTCGTCGAATATGGATGCACTCTTTCATCCGGAAGTTAAACCATCGTTGATTCATATAGCTCAAACGTATCATATCGGAATTAAGATCTGCTACCATTGCCATCATCATAATATTTGTTCGGGTCCCGAAATTCACATGCTTGGTTGTATTGATTCACTTGAAGCAGCACGCGTGGATATTCTCGTGCTTCTTGATAGACTGGTAAGAAAAAAGAACATAAAAAGAGCTTCTGCTGTTGTAGAATACCGCGTAATCAGCATTCAAATGCTCACACGTATCATTTTTTATGATTACATTTGTATAGTCGGGCCTTGTCATTGATCGTTTGGATGATATACCACAGCAGTTTCATTATCTTATTGCTGGACGCAAGCACAGTCATTTACAAGCCATCATGCAGGAGACAGCTACCAATATCTATCTAAAATCGCCATTCGCTCATCTACATTGTAATCAGAAAGAAGATGATAAGAAGGAGAGTCTAGCCCTTATCTACCTTTCAGGCGAATCAGTAACCACCTTGACTAGAGCTAAAAGAGCCATAAAGAAGTTATTTGCTCAAATGGTAAGTTTATAGATTGAGATAATAAGCTTGATAAGGCGTTTCTAATAGATTCATCTAACATCAATAGGCAGCCTCAGTTTATATCAAAAAGTCCCATGTCAACTCAAGAAAGCTAGATTGGGTGCTTCTAAACAAGCGCGATGAAGTAAGAAAGATAATGATTGATAATGGTAGGTTTGAAATGAAAAGCACGTAAGCATTATTTTGATATCTAAAACTTTTTTTTTTTTTCCCTCGGTTTCATACCCCATAATTGTTTATAGGGTCCTTCTTCTTATTTCCGGCTGTAGGATCAGGCAACAATTCCGTTTCGATATACGCGGAAAATAGAATTTATGCTGAACGTTCCATTCGACTATTAAATCATCTGGTAAATTATAAACAAACTAATAAATTAATAATAGAAAATAGAGTTGTTGTATTGTTGGAATATACTAAGACCTCGTGTTCCTCTGCTCTCTCTTCATACGTCGTAATTTATACTATAGACATCTAGCGTTTATGAGGCTACTTTTAAATTCAATGAAAATAACTCTTTGCAAAAATTGGATAATTTCCCGTTGATCTTGGCGCAATATGCTTTAGCATCCGGTGCTGAAATAAGCTATGATTCGGAGACTTATTCCATGAACTTGCTTGGAACAGAAAGTCAAGTCAAGGCTGCATATCAATTTGTAAGCGATATGGATCACTTCCCCGTGAGTAGTAGACGTACTTGTAATTGCAAGACTGAGAAATACCATATTAACGCTATCACTTAAACTGTTTTCTCCTTCTCTCTCTCCCTCTCTCTCTCTCTCTCTCTCTCTGTCTGTCTTTCTATCTCGTACTCTTCTAGGAAAATCACAAGTACACTATCTTTTCAGTTGAACTAGCTACAGATCAACGGGAATTTGTAAGTGGCAAGAAGAATGGCAAAATCAACAAAATTATGAAAAGCTGCACCGCTTCTATCCGATTTACCATCTCCAACGAATACAACTCGGCTATAATCGTCGAAAGCGATGACAGTACGAAAGCAATGGAAGGTTTCTGCATGCTTCAAGATGAGTTACCTGCCGAAACCTCATTTTATGTTCCTGAAATTTATCATCGTCGTATCATTGGCGTAGGCGGCAAAAACATTCAAAAGGTTATGAAGCAGTATGGTGTTTACGTCAAATTTTCCAACACAGAAGAGTTCAAGTCTATGGGTGGCTACTTTGAAAATGAAGATAACGTAGTCGCGCGCACTCCCATGAAGAATAAATCAAATTTGGATCATTTAAGAGAGGCGGTTACTGCATTTATTGCTTATAATAAGGATAAAAACTATGTCACAACAATGATGGTCGTCCCTTTTCCATTACAACGTATAATTTCAAGTAAATATGCCCAGGAATTACGAGATCTCTGTCAAGCGAACAGCTCAATGATATGGTGGCCAGAGCGTTTGGGTATGGATTATGTTACCGTCTATGGGCCTCAAGCTCAGCTCCCTCTGGTCATTTCTTATGTACAACAGTTTATTGATATAGAAAAGCATATGGTCGTCGCTATTAAAGACAACTCTATGCGAAAAACGCTCACTGATCCTAATTTTATAGCGCGTATTCGACAACAGCTGAATGCTGAATGTCCCAACATTGAACTGAAAGGAAGCGAAATTGTGAGCGATCTCGACTTTAATGAGCCAGACCTCCTCGAATGGAAATACGGTTATCAAACAGAGGAATGTAACTGTGTCTTAATCTTCAGACTTATTTGCCGCTCCATTCTTCGTCAAGGATATCATTACTTGGAAACAGCAAAAGAAATCATAAAGATGCATATTGAATCAGCCGGCTTCTTCTTTAAAGACCTTGCAACCCAGCATCAGCAAGACTGTTTCCAGAGCTGCCAGTACAAGCAAGGTAAAGATACACGTTTTCAAGGATGCACACCTTTTGCTTTGGCCCATATTACTAAATATAACTTTTGTCTATTCTTTTATAGCAGACTGTTACTTTCCTTCGTCCATGCTTTCTCCTGGATTCTCCGAGCAGCAATACCAGCAGGCTCTTTCAACCTGTAATAACACTATCCCTACTCCTCCTGCTACAGTCACCGGTGGCATGCCAAGTCCACCATTATCAGAAACCTTAGCGCCCTCTTATTCCCCTCATCATTATCCTCGGCAACAAGAAGATACCATTAATTCTATCAACAATACCAGCTACGCGCAACAGCATCATAATACCCTCTTTGGCCGCGTGAATGGTATGCTACCTCCTCCTTCAATTCGTAGAAACTGCTATCACAATACCTACAAGAATATTTGGGCAGCACCTCTTCTTCCATCTGGCAGTAAGAATTTCGCCCCTTTCTTCGGTCCAGGCTTTGAAAGGATGAATATCAATTCTACAGCCACTACCGCTTTTCAACGTCCACTTTCGCCGCCCCAACCAACGTCATCATTGATGCTATCTTCCTCTCAATCCGTTTTCCATTTATCCAACCCTCATGGTATGTCAACGATGATGAAGCCTTCTGTTAGTACACCGGCTATTGGCTCTGTTGAAGAAATGGCGATAGGCCATGAACAACAACAAAACTCGCGGGATAAATCCTGGCCAGATGTATTCTTTGGTGGACGTGATTTATTTTCAACCCTACGAAATAGCTGGAATGCGCCTTACGGTCAAAGACATTATTTCTAACAAAGTTTACCGTCCCTCTCTCTCTTTTTTTCATTTGCCGTTTCAATATTTTGTATTTCTTATATCTGTATTATGTTTTTATTGATGTTTGATTTGATTTTATTTGATATTTGTAATCTTTGTTTGTAATAGTTTTTATCTTTTTTTTTTTTTTAAATAAATTGTTCTATTTGGTTGGCTGTAAGCCGCTATACTTCTCCCGTTGAGCCTATACCGATTTGCCTCATTTCGGGATTATCCTCGGACTTGCTTTGGGGTTAAGTAAGAAAACCACAATTTCCTTGTATAAATAAACCCACAGTACGCTTTTAATTCTTATTCTAGGTTTTCAACCAATTGCTACACTAATTGAGCAGCTTGGATCGAACTGATTTGTCTTTGTTTAGTTGCTTTGTCAAGATAGACCAGACGCGTCTACGTAGAACTAAAAAGCTCGTTATCATTTGGCTCAATCGGGAAATCAAGGGGACGGTTTTTACCCCCAATCATCTTTTTTGGTAATTTAACTCAGTTTATGGTGAGGAAGAACAGGAACACGAAAATGATGGATCAGAACCGACATGCTTCTTTAAAAGGTTCTTTTCTTTTAACCCACTAGCCAAAAATTATCAAATTGGAAGACGGGACAACGTTCACCCCTTCGTTTAAGTTTTCCTTTTGCAAACCAAGTCAGCAAATCAAAAGCCAAGATCAGCTTTGCGAAACGTTTGAATTACTAAAGAATTTCCCACTTACGCATCCATCGAAAAGATCAATTTGTTATTGTATGTAGTCTCACATTCTTAAGCCATTTATCGTACATAAGGATCTTACTCATCTTTTCTTTAAGTGTTCCAAATCAATATTACTGAAAGCCGGAATGACTTTATTTACTTCATCGCAACCACCCATTTCTGTTCCTGATATCGACATTTATAACTTTCTGTTTCAACCGAATATATATAATACAGTCCGGAGACATGATCAGCCATTACTTATTGACGGGTTAAGTGGTAAATCTATATCGTTTCAAGAAGCACAGACATTATCAAGTCAACTCGCGAGAGGTTGGAAAGAGAATGTCGGCTTGACAAAGGGTGATGTGGTCGCCGTATTCGCACCTAATCAATATGATCATGCTGTACTATACCTCTCCCTTCTGGCGGCTCAATGTACTATTACTCCCGGGTAAACTACTACATTGGCTGTTGATAAAGGCTTGCATAAAATAATCTTGTGCTGATTATTATTCATTTCAATCGTTTGTCTTTAGCAATCCAAACTATACTGAAGGTGAGGCAAAGAAAAAAAAACTATTTAATAGCAGATTTGTGTACGTACGGCTGACTCACAAAAACTTATTTTCAACAACTACTTAGCCGAATTCAACTATCAAATACAAAAAACCAAAGCTAAAGCTCTTGTTACCGTTCCAAGCCTTTTACCCATTTTATGCAAAGTGGCAGCCAATAATGGCATTCCTCCAGAAAGAATCTACCTTTTTGGCGAGGAAGCGGTTGGCAGCATTCAGCCTTTGAAATCCTTGGCTGCACGCCATAGAAACAAACCCTTACTGTTCCCTCCCAAGGGTGACATCAACCCTGCTGAAGATACTGCGTTTATATGCTTTTCAAGTGGTACTACGGGCATTGCTAAAGGCGTAATGCTAACTCACCGTAATTTTGTATCGCAGATGATTCTGGTTTCTAGTTATGAAGAGATTAATCCCCACGAAGCGGCCGATGTATATATTGGATTTCTTCCTTTTTATCATATCTTCGGTTTGACTACGCTTGTTTTACGAGCATTTTACACAAATACACAAGTTGTCGTTGTACCTAAATATGAGTTGGAGCTCGTTTGTCGATTGATTGAGAAGTATAAAGCAACAGTGTGTGCATTAGTGCCTCCTGTAGGTGAGTTAAACAATTACAGTGATCTTTTGACAGTGATAATAAATCAGATTCAGGTAAACTAACGTCTAATGGCTATTCTAGCTGTGCATCTGGCTAAGAATGAAGCTGTTTTGAAATATGACCTCTCTTCTTTGAAAATGATTACTAGTGGTGCTGCACCTTTGAGTTCCGAACACATTGAAGCGCTTAATCTACGAGTAAAGGCTCCTGTCAGACAAGGGTAGGAAAGTTGATTGTTGATACACGTTTTAAAGTGATAAAGCATGAATTTAATCCTATAAATATAATAGATATGGTTTGACCGAAACTACAGCTGGTTGCATATATCAGAAAGTGGGTGTCAGCTTATCAGGATCATCTGGGGTTCTACTAGCTAATATGGAATGCAAGATTGTGGATGTCGAGACAGGAAATGAAGTTGGACCAGATCAACCTGGAGAAATACTTTTGAAAGGTCCTGTCATTATGAAGGGTTATCTGGATGATGTTGATGCTAATAACAAAACGTTTACTGACGACGGATTCCTTCGTACGGGCGACGTTGCTATTTTTAACTCCAAATCGAAAGAGTTCTATATCATCGATCGAATTAAGGAGCTAATCAAATATAAAGGCTTTCAAGTAGCTCCCGCTGAGCTAGAAGCCTTAATTATGAGCCATGAGAGCATAGCAGATTGTTGTGTAGTAGGTGTTTATGATGCAACTCAAGCAACAGAGCTTCCTCGAGCATATATTGTTCCTCAACCATCCGTGCCTCGAAATAATGACACCATTCGTATAATAACTGATTTTGTAAACAGTAACGTAGCTAATCATAAAAAACTAAGAGGTGGTGTACGAATCATTGATCAAGTGCCGAAAAGTGCAAGTGGCAAGATCTTAAGACGAGAAGTCAAAGAATGGATCAGGAAAGAACAAATATCAGCAAACAGAGCTCGCCTGTAGATAACAATGGAAATTTACTACTTTCAATGTAAAGTATATTTTGAGGCCTAGAAAGGCGACAAAAACTATATTTATTTAGATAAACTCTGGCAAATAATACCTCTTTGTGAGACCTTTTGCTCTATTCAATAAAGCCGATATCCCCTCCGGCAAAGTGATAAAAAAAAACAAGTTTAAATGTTGAACGGACATGTTTTAAACTGCAAAATTGATTATAGTGAATTACGTTTGAAAATAGAATGGTCTAGAACTTTTATAGAGCAATAGGTATTTTTTCAACAATAGAGTTTCTTGAGGTCAATAGAAAAAAAAAACCAACATTAGAATAGTACTTAAATACGAATACCTGAAGTATTGTACTTATTATACGAGAGCGAAAGGATCTTTGTTGTTATCAACTTTTCATACTTTATTTAACGAATTTGTACTACTAAAAAAATATATAATATATGGAAATAATTAAAATTTTTTAACTTCATCTTCTTGAATGAGACAGTAGAAAGAGCAAAGAGAATAAGAGAGGAGTGGTGGGTGGGAACAACAAAGATCCTTTCGCTCTTGTATAATAAGTACAATACTTCAGGTATTCGTATTTAAGTACTATTATAAATTTTTGAACCATAAAAGGAAAATAAAGCGCGGCTCTTGGAGCTTGTTACCACATTTTTGTCCTCGTCTCCGTCAACGTATTTTCAGCTTTGCCGCCTCAATATCGTCGTGCCAATCATCAACTGTTGATCCAGTTGCAATAGTATTAATACTGTTAGAGGTTGTGTATTTGAATTACTATTGTTTGAATTAGTGATAAATTTGAGGTTGCTATTGCTATTGCTATTGATTGTGGTTGAAGCTGATGGGTCAGCACTGGTATCGTTTGAGTTTGTGTTGGATGTGGGGTTGCTATTGCTATTGCCAGTGTTAATAGGAGGGCAACGGCACAGAAATTTGCTCGAGGAAGTGATTCGTCGTTGCACCTGAAAGGAACTCTAATAAATGTGTTGATCATACATGTTAATATATTTTCATTAATACGAGCTATAAAAAAACTTACATAGATAACTGGATGACTTCCTATCAAACTTGGATTTACTTTCACCTCTTCTAATCTCGGACACACAGCCTTTTCTTGAAGACAATATATATGGTAAAAGGTAGAAGCATCGATCTCCGTTTTGAAATGAATGAGCGCAAAGCTACTAAAAATTATAAGTTGGAAAAAGTATATGTGAATTCACCTTGTTGCTTCTTACCTATTTGCTTTCTTTTTTACCACATGAATAGGTTTAATCATAGAGCATTCAAGCATGTACCTTTTTAAAAGTTCATTGCTTAAACCTATGAGATCACAACCTGACATTTGAACGTGGCATTTTCTGTTACTACAAGTCGTACACGTTCTCTTTTTTCTAACGTGTCTGTTGTATTTGCTTATTTAAAATTGGTAACAGTTGTAAGTCGATGACTATGAACTTAAGTGTCTTCAATGTTCTTCAGATGAAGTAGAAGGATTATTTACTCTGTAAGGTTTAATGGGAATTTATATTTGAGGACGCGTATGCTAGTCACTAATTTCAGGTTCAGATGCTTCTTGTATTACTTCAATCCTCTATCTTGTTATATTCTTGTACATAACCTATATTAGATGCAATATTGATAGACCGTGGAAGAATGTATTCTCTACCTGGTTGTACGTACTCGAGTATTAGTTATTATCTCACCAAACACGTCAGTATCCAACTGAGAAAAAGGTTTTTTTCCTAGAAAAAAAAAGTTTGATAGTAATATTTACTACCTCAGCATATTGTGACATCACCAAACAGTGCATATTGTTGTTCATTGTGAAGGTCGCTCAATAAGCTCAAATAAACTTTATGGTCATACAAGAAAAAGCCAATAATTACAATTTAAGCATTACTCTAAGAATAGATAGTTTTAAGCTTATTGATTTCATGATGTCTAATCGATTTAAAGTAAATATCAATTTGCATGTGCAGAGGAAAGAGAGAAAAAGTCTGTATCTCCGACATTGTTAAATTCATAAGAAAAAAAATCATGAAATAAAAAGACTATCTAAAATAGACAGGTCCAAATAAGTATGTTTTCAATTGATCTTTCAAAACGTTCGTGCTTATATACAGTGTTTTTACTTCCGTACTAGGACACTCTGAGTTTTATTTGGAGACGTTTCTAGGTAAACCAGGATACGAACGAAATATCCTACGAGACCAGATAAGATTTCTTAGGAGAAAAAAATGAAATAGAAAACTTCATCTTAACAAAACTTCTCTATCTAAGCATCTGTCCCAAAAAGTTTCGGAGTGTCTGATCCAACCTAAGCAATCTTCCATAGAGACTGAGAGGCAGGCTTGCTTAATTCTAGGAGTTAAGGTATCATTGGAATCTGAAGAGTTTCGTCGAATTATACTTTTAATTTTGGACCAGCACTCTTCGATAGGATTTAGAAAGGGTGAATATGGTGGCAGGAAAAGAGGCTTGTATCCACGTGAATTGATTGCTTTCACGACAAATTCAGAATGGTATATTCTGCAGTTATCCATAACAATAAACATATCCTTTTTGTTAAGCTGATCCAAAATATCCATTACACTCTCGACAAATTTAACAACATGATATGTTGTAGTCCCTTTTCTAAGCTTCGTTTTTCGTCATTGTCTCGTTTCCGTTTCTTTCTCACTTTGGAATTCCTTTGAATTGATTTCGGCCTCCTTGACTGGCATAGGCTTAACTTTTGAAAAATCGACAATACCGAAGTGAGAGATACAGCCTATAATACTTATATTCACACCACGTTGAGGAAATACTTTTACGTTTGCTGCTTTCCCAACCTTCGACCACGCGCGATTTCTGATCATATGCATATTGTAACCAGCCTCATCCATAAATACACAATTTGTTTGAAAATCGACGCCTGCAGCCTTCCATTGTGTTATGACACTGACACGAAGGTCAAGTGTTCTCGGTGAATCTTTTTCAATAGTATATTTGATTGCATTTTCAAAGAAAGAGCACATTTCTCAGTTATATGCTTCCATAAACCAGAAATAGAGATAGTAAAACCCTCAAAGTTCCTTCTTCTTGCAAAAGATAAAACATTTTCTTAATTTGAGCGGTATTATACCCTCGTCGTTGTTTCGTCGCCTTGATATCAAGCGCCTCCATATGCGATTGCAGCTCATCAACTACGTCAGACATCTCAACATTAGGAGGCTCTGCAGGCTGTTGTGGTTCACCGTACTGAACCAGTGTTTGAATATCGTTGTAATCAATATCCATTTCATTAGATTTATTGTCTGCTACATAATAGCCTTCTTTGACGGGGTTAAAGTGACTGAAATCTTCCATAATGCAGTTGTTGGATTAGAAATTGAAGGGTAGTCTCGCTCGGTAAAAGTTTGATTTGTCTATTAGGATTATTTCAATTCGTATCGTGGTTTACCTAGAAACGTCTACAAATAAAACTCAGATTATCCAATAAAAATTCGACGGAAGGAAAAACACTGTATGATTTTTGTACCCCGATCCTTTATGTTCTTCAAACAGTGATACAGTAAACTTAACTCACAATATGCGTTTCTGACCTCTTGAGATATAAATTTTTCTTTTTTCTATTGACCTCAAGAAACTCTATTGTTGAAAAAATATCTATTGCTCTATAAAATTTCTCTTGTAAAGATTAAAACATTCTATTTTCAACGCAATTCACTGTACATCTGACTAAGAGCTTGTGGTAAAGAAAGCCATAATCAACCTCAACATGAGTAAGGAAATTGTAAGCGCTTTTTAACATGTTATCCTCAAGATATACAGCATTCATATTCCAGGAAAGCTAATTTGACCTTTGTTGGAGGCTTGACTAAGTTTTAATAGCGCAAACATTTGCCCACTCGGTTGTTAACCATTTATGTTTTTCGCCTGACATGCTGATCTGCAGGGAAAATTTATATTTTCATTGGTTACCTCACTCCAAATTTGCTAAAGCTGAGATTCTGAGCTTACTTTCAACTGTAATTTTTTTGACGTCAAGAAACTGTGAAAAGCATCAATTCAATAGAAATTTGTTGGCTTTTTAGAATAATCGCCTTTTTTCCATCTGTTGATTTCTTCTTTGTCTTTGTTACAGAGGTTTGTTAACATGGATCAAGAGACGGAGTTGGACAATTTAAATACATCTGAAAAGAGGCATTCTTGGCTATCGAGTAATATGGACGACAGAACATCTTATGCACCATCCACTATAAACAGTAACACGTATGCCATGGATAGAACGAGACCCACTTCATCGATGTCACACAGACAATCATTTAATAAGACAAGCTCGGATGAAGAAGGGCATAAACCAGATCATAGTAGTCAAAACCCTTTTACAGATGCTCAACAATCTCCTCCTACGACACGAATAGATATAGCACCACCAAATTCCACTGAGAAGCCTAGCTTTATGCAAACATTAAAAACTTCAATACCAACACTGCCACAGTTCAGGAAAACTGCTAAAGCAGCATTTGCATTGTTGATCTCTGTCATTTTCTCATTGTCCATGCATACCAGAGAGGTTGTTGGAGAATCAGTTTTGTTGGTTGCCATTGTCACCATTTTCTATTTTCCAGTGAGGACAATAGGTAAATGTAGTTTATTGTAATCAAGGGATGCATCAGAACGAGAGTACGAGCTTTTAATACCTAACCTAATTTATCGATTCAATCAATTTTGCAGGTGTTCAGACAGAGGTGAGGATATAAGCGTGCATTGCATCTCTGTGTTACCATTTATTGATAACTTAAGTTATGGATTATAGGCTGTATTACTTGGTACATTAGGCGGTTTGATTGCTGCAGCTTGGAGTATATTAGGTATAATGGTTTTGACTTACAGTTATAGTACTTGGTTTTTTTTTCTTGACAGCAATCAACGTGATTTTTAGGGATGTATCTCGCAAACCTGGCAAGAAATCCAGCGGATCGTAACCCAGTGCAACCTGGAGCATGTGCGATCCTCGCTGTTTTTCTTTTTGTAGGCACATTTGCAATTAATTTGGTTCGAATGAAAACTCATAAAGGTTAGAGATTCAATAGATGAATGACTAGTTGAAGTACCTATGACAAACCCATCCCTGTTCTCATTTTTATACTAGCAAATTTTGCTTGTGTTATCGCATGTATCATTCTGACGGTAAGTGTACATTAATGCTTGCTAGAGAATCTGTTTTTTGCTCAAAGACTCACGTTGGATGATATTTATGTGTAGTTTACTATGACTTATGCTGCTGGTTATCCTATTTTCGTGCCACAAATTGCGGTAAGTTCTGTGAATTCAGTTCAGATGAACGAGTAAAATACTGACTAATTTACCCAACCTCCTTGCTCAGTGGTTGTTCTTACGACCTGTTGCTCTTGCAGGCGCTATATCCCTTGCCGTCAACTACTTTATATGGCCGGATGATAGTATAAATAACTTTCTTGGTATTGCTAGAAAAACTCTTGCCGGTTACAATGCTTTTTTGAAAGAACATTCAGATGCTTTCCTTTCTGCTTCCCCATCGGCTAGTAACGCATCTCTTCCAACTCTAAATGCACGTCTCAAGAACGGTGTACTTTTATTGATTGACTGCAAACGAGCTGTTAAAAGAGAGTTAATATATTCCAGAATTTCAGATGTCGATTGTAGCGAACTGACAAGAGCGATCATAGGAATGCGAAGCTATCTGCATGGGATTGGCCTCAGTTTAATTTTAAAGAATGATTACGCTTACGCAGAAACGAAGGATATTTACTTTGAAAAATTTAACGATCCCCAAATTCTTGATGCCTTTTACATATCCATTGAAGGTATTCGAACCGTAGCAGCTGAACTATCAAGTATGTGTTATAGAGCTACCGATGAAGCTTCTGTTAGACTGGGCGCCCTTCATTACCATCCAAGAACAGCTTTAAATAGTCTTTTATGGCCTTTCCCGCGCTTGTATGTATCCAAATCCAAATCTGTCACCGATGAAGCTTCTGCTCAAACAGCAAATATTCGAGCAGCGCAATTACGAGAATCGATCCGGCATTTTGATGAAGTTTCACAAAGCGATGCAGCCTTCTATAAGTTTCTTTCCATGAATGCTGCTGATATACCTCGAAATGGGCCATTGTACCTTATTTTTCTATACATCTACAACTTAAAAAACCACGCATTGCATACGGCTAAGTTATTAGAGCTGATAGAAACAATAGAGACAAAACGTTTGAAGCCTAGATTTTGGCTGCCCCATCAAACACTTAAAAGGTGGATTGCAGGCAGTAGTAACGTTGGAGGCTCAATAGGAGGAGATGAAGGAGATTACCGGAATAACGGTGATAATGACTTGGGACGTATCTCGACGCGTGTGAACATTGCACACGTATCTGAAGAAGACGATGATTTATTTGATACCAAACGCACTGCTGCAGCGAAAAAGAGTCAAATCGCGGATCCTGATGTTTCAGCACCTGCTACATTGATACAGAAGTTCTTTTATTACCTCTATTTGATCGGTAAATGGTTTACAGACACAACGACATTTTTTGCTTTCAAAACTGCTGTGGGTGTTGTTATGCTTGCCATCCCTGCCTGGCGGCCGCAAGATCAAGGTTGGTATACAGAATGGAGAGGACAATGGGCGATGATCACCTTGGTATTGTGGATGTTTCCTATGACCGGTGCGTTCGTTTTTGGGTAATTTCCGTCAAATGATCAAAGCAAAGAAAGACACTGGATGGAATTAGTTACGGTTTATTAATTTACAAGTTATATTTTAGATTATTTGATAGAGTTCTTGGGTCTATAATTGGATCAATTTTGGGAATAGTTGTATGGGAAATATGCCGTGGAAACCCGTACGGGATGGCCGTTGTCTGTTTCATCGTATTCCTGCCCTTATACCACGTATTCTTTTTCATCCCCAAATACCGCGTTGCTTCGCTGATGAGCACAGTTACTATGCTCTTGGTGCTCATTTACGAATATGGGTATGTTGTGGAAGGTTTAACCAATTACGATCAAGTGTATACAGTCGCAGGGAAGGTATGCTACTTAAAAACATAGAATAATGTTTGCCAACAGATTTATGTCTCATACTTTCGGTCTATTTAGCGTTTACTGCTAGTATTAATAGGCATTGCAGCTTCGGGCATTTTGATGGCGATTCCATTTCCTCCCACTGGGCGAGTCGAACTTCGTAAAAAGATAGCAAAAACAGTCCGTGATATAGGAAGATGCTATGGTATTTTAAGTGCCAGCATCGTTTCGCCTTCTGGTCAAAAAGCCTCACCAGGCACTTCAGCAACATTTATGCACTTAGCACTCGGGCTACGTCGTCAAGTAGCAGCAGAAAGGGCCCTACTGCATGATGCAAACTATGAGCCGCCCCTCCGTGGTTATTTCCCAGCAGCAAAGTATAAGACATTAGTTGAGAAAATGGATAACATGTCTGATTTGGTCGCTAATATGGTGAAGCTCAATTGAAAAAGCCAAGTGTGAAATGAAAAGTCAGGAGGGGAGTTTACTAATGCTATACAATATTTAGGGTCAAGCCTTACGCGATATTCGACCTGAATGGCGAAGAAATATTGCGTCCATTCTGATGCGTGAGAGAAAAGAATATGTACTATATCAAAAAAGACAGGAAAAAAAGCATGTTCCTTGCATAACTAACGATTGTACCTTTAATCACATAGCTTGCTTCGATTCTCACATGTTTAAAATTGATTTCATCTACGCTCGCTGCCAAAACACCGTTACCACCGTGCATGATTTCCCCACTGGAATCGCGGCAAAAATTTATTACCCATTTGGAAAAGAAGATTATGGTTGAGCCCAAGGATATTGCGAACATATCATTCCCTAGTTTCAGTGCTTATTTGATGAACGGTTTAGTGTTCGTGGATGAGTTACAACGCGTTTTGACTGTTACAAAGGATTTGGTAGGCGTTGAGAATCCAGAAGAGTGGATTTCATCGCGTGCCTAAGTTATAGAAGAGTATTATTACTTTGACTTAAATAGACCAAATTCATTAGTATATTCTGTTCATATTCATATCGAAGTAAATTGATATTATTTTACTGAATTTCTTTTGACGAAAAGTCGATCTTGGAACGAGCGTTTAAGTAATGAGTACCAGTTTAAGGCTGATGTGGTTGGTTGAAATATAAAAAGGGATTTGAATACGGCAATAGATATGTCCTTACACGACCATAATAAAGGCTACTAATATATGCTCTTGGAGTGAAGAAAATTATGAAGAAGCACGGGACAATAATCTATCTATGGTACCTCTGCGCATTATATTATATGTTGCTGGGCGACACATTGATTCATCTCCTCTTGTATTTCGCGCCCCTAATATTGTTGAATGGATGTTCGCTTCTGTAACACACAGGATAGTAAGCTATCTCACACAATGTATAATGCAACCAAGTTGTTGAAACTCATCTCTTTACTCTCATTTAATTTAATGGTATATCAATCAAACTTTCCTGACGCTAAGCTACTCGAAGCATGGCATTATCCTGTTTATTTTCGCCAATGTCAACAAGACGTCTGATATAAACTTTTGTTGATTAATGCACCTATGGAAAATATATTACTTATGCACAACTGAAAGATTAGGTCTTTGGATTTGCTGTTAGTTTTCAAGATTTATATAGCTTTTAAGCAGATGATGTACTGGCGTTATATACTCTTAACTAAGTAGAAAGCAAGGCTAGTAAGGAAAATATGTTGCATTGTCTATTACCATAGAAACTTGTGTATTTCTTTTCCTTCTTAGTATAACTATTCTAAATCTTTGCTTGGTGCTACTGCCAGTATTATCTAAAAGTTTATTGTGAAAGACTTTCGATATACTAACGTGTTTTTGCTTCCAGTCGACGCAACAACTACTGCTAGTCCAAAATAAAATGTCAAGGAGCTTATGCATCAGTTGAAAATAGCCAAAGCAAAAGTCATTATATGCCAAGATGAAACATTAGAACTGCTTTGGCAGTAGCAGAAAATGTCTGTGCAGCTACGAGGAATGTTCTTTCGAGATGATAGAGAGATTGATGGAGTTCAACCGTTTGAAAAGTACTTAAAAAGAAGAACCGTTTCTCAATAACTTACTGACAGGGCGCCAAGAATAAGGTAATGGTGTAATGACCACATAAGTTATACAATGGTGAAACGGTTGTGGTAAAGTACGGAGATCTTTAGCATATTAAATAGCCATGCTTATACCACAGAAAATACTTGTCAGTTTACTGCATTGGATAATGGGTTCATAGACACGAATACTGATTGTATGTTCTGTCCTTTTCCTCTCTCCATACTTTTGGACTGACTGAAACTTTGCACACTGCTCTTTACTGGTGTATAACCGCCTGCATTTTGCCTCGCTTTGAGTTATTCAAATTCTAAATTCTATTAAACTGTACTAATCCATAAATTAACGTTTGCATGCCTCGTCCTACCTATTTACTTATTGTTAACGAAGTATGAATACATTCGTGAGTACAACGTTTCGCCATTACGGATCGGTATTTCGTAGGTTGCGCCACTTAGAACTGATTCAAATGGAGCTGTCAAGTAATGTTTGCCTAATCTGATTATAAAGCAAGGCTACGGTTTGACGGAAACGTACTCTTCTGCTATTGTAAGCCTACTGACCGTACAAGTGGCGTATTAACAGGTTTTTGTTACCTAATATGCTTGCGAAAGTTGCTGATGAGAATAGTGAATATACAAAAATTAACTTTGTTCTGAAAACAGAATCTTGCTTTTAATAATTTTTGCACAGGTAACACAAGGAAAACGCGGCAAATTTTGGCTAAGAGGTCTGAATATCTTGAAAGTGAGTTATATAAACAACGATTACAAAAAAAAAAAAAAAAAAAAAAAAAAAAAAAAAAAAAGTTTGAGCTCGATTGCTTTGTGCTTTTTTCATTTATTTTATTTTATTTCTAAAAAAAAGGGTAGTCAACAACCGGCAAGCTATCGCTGACAGACTTGATGAAGAAGGATATTTCCATTTCGGAAAAGAGACGTAGTTCTTCTAGATGAAGATGAACCTTTTTATGCTGTTAATCGCAAAAAAGCTGACAGAGTATAAGGCTCTGGGTAGAACCACATTTTTCTTTTCTTTTTCTTTTTGTATGCGATAGCAGATCCATTCTTTTATCGTGGTTCCCATTATTATAGTATGTAACCCCATGAGCTGAATTAGAGGGTATCTTTGGTAAATTTTGCTTGAAAGGCAATGAAAAAGAATTGGTTGTACGTAACGTCGCTATAAACTTAACGTAACTGTTCGTTAAGCTGAATCCCCTCTTGTGGCGGATTGTGCAGTAATTGGTGTATATAACAGTACGGAGGCTACCGAGTTACGAACTTTAGAAGAGGGAATTGTACCTTCCGACCAGTTGATCGAGACTTGATGAAATCTGTCGCAGATCAATTCATGCCAGACATTGCGCAATATTGAATTCATCAATGTCATTTCTAGAAGTTCAGCTGGGAAGATGTTGCGTAGACTTTTGAGAAACGCAGCCAACGTGGGAGACAATGTCTATGACAGCAATAAGTTCAGGTTGTAGTGTAGCATATTCTTCGATAGTAAGGTTGCTGTAATACAATCAGTGAATAACAATAAAAAAGAGGGCCATTCGTAAGTCATTATATTATTTTTTAGTTTGGCCGTTTTCAAGATTTGAAGAACTCTGCAAGTGGTACAAGCTGATTTGGTGCAATGTCTTGATGGGAAGAATACCTGATCCGTGTTTGATTTTGACTCAATTTGGATAAATTCCACAGGAAGTATTATTCAACCGCCCTTCCCACCTTAATTCGTGTTTTTGTAAGAGGGTGTGCTCTATTGTAGAGCAGAGGCAAGATTTAAAAATAGGGACAGATCAGAAAATGAAATCTTTTTTTCCCCTTTCTGTAAATTTCTTGATTTCTACCGCCAAAGAAGCTATTGAGCCTTGTCTGCCTCCAATGATAGAAGAAAATGATGCTTCTTTCGTGAAGAACGAATCCAACAACTTCAATCGTTCAATAACTGATTCTCGTGCGGAAGCAATAAAAATTGCTCAGCCTACAGGCGAAGAAAAAGCACATCAAATTGTTCAGGAAATTGAAGAAAAGGATAGTAAACGCAAAAAGACGATAGCCAGGGTGTTAACCTTTTTAGGCCTACAAATAGCGCTCTTTCTGGCTGCCCTCGACAAGTAAGAAGCCTTACCAGGCTCTCAAAATAATAGCTTTTCTCTTTAATAATTCGTAATTGTAGCACTATCACAGCTACCTCTTTGCCTCGCATCGGTTCGGATTTCAATCAAATGTCAATCGTATCTTGGGTCGCAACAGCTTATATTCTCACTTTTGATGCTTTTCGTAAGATAATCAAGAGATTTGGAAAAGCTTTCAACATGATCTTCTAACAGTTATCTATTTTTTGCATAGAGCCGCTATTTGCAAAGTTCTCGGATATTTTCGGCCGTAAGTGGATCTTGATGTCAGGTATTGTCGTCTTCCTGCTTGGCTCGGTGTTATGCGGTGCTGCAAAGGTATTCAGCTATATGAAAAGCAGCTTGTCATAGGCAGTGATATGGAGTTCACTTGACTTTATTCTTACCCTTAATTAGTCAATGATTATGCTTATTATAGCTCGTGCGATTGCAGGCATAGGTGCCGCGGCCATATTTTCAATGGTAAGGGGCTTAATATTTCCGTAAGCCTTTTCAACGTCCGCAACTATTAATCTCTCTGCTTCAATGAAGGTTTTCATTATCATTTCTGAGATAGTGCCACTGGAAAAGCGGGGAAACTATCAAGGGTAATTCTAATAGATTCAGAAAAGAAAATAGTCGAAATGTCCACATAACCCACAATATTATGGGTAGACTCACTATTTTGAGACTTTTTTTAATAGTGTCATCAACGCAGTCTTCGCTCTATCTAGTGTGTGCGGTCCTTTGATAGGAGTAGGTCTCTCTTCATTTTCTATATTATATCGGCACAATCAACTTTAACTTAAACTCAATTGTGTTGTAGGGTTCATTTACTGACTATGTCACTTGGAGATGGAACTTTTATATAAAGTAAAACAAGTCAGAATAACGAAAGCGTTCATTGAGGATATAGTTAAGCAGGATTCTTTTCTTTTAAATTTAATGTAGTCTTCCAATTGGTGCAGTTGCCATGATTGTCTTGTTCATTTGTTTGAAACTTCCTGTGCCTAAAGAAAAATTTTCAGAAAAATTGAAGCGTATTGATTACGCAGGTATGTATCAATATTGAGAACAATAACGCATGATCGCATCCTTTGAATTTCTAATGTTATGAACGTTTATGTATAAAGGCACAGCCATTGTATTAGTGTTTGCGACCTTGTTCTTATTAGCGCTTAATTTCGGTGGTCAAACATTTCCCTGGAAATCAGCAGCAGTAATCGTTCCATTAGTACTTTCAGTTCTGTTGGTTGTAGTATTGATTTTTGTGGAGAAGAAGTTTGCCAAAGAGCCACTCATGCCTCCTAGACTTTTCAAGAACAGATCAGTACTTAGTGTGCTATTAGTAAATTGGTTTTTCGGTATGACTTTCTTTGCTGCACTCTATTACCTCCCTGTATATTTCCAGGTGGTAAGAAACGATAGCGCCATGTGGTCAGGTATAAGACTTATCCCTATGCAAATGGTCATTTGCGTTCTATCTACGATCATCGGTTTATGCATCTCAAAGTTCGGGGTATATAGACCTTTGTAAGTAACCTTTTGCTTTGACCTATTCGCCGAGATTTCAAGATTTACGCGTTCCTTAGTATAATCGTAGGAATGGGACTATTGACTTTATGGATTGGACTTATCAGCCTATTTGACGAAAATACCCCATGGCCCAGTAAGTTATTGATCAAAAACAGTATCTCTATTGATTTGTAGATATCTATTTACTTATTTTCTTTTATTAGAGGTGTACGGTATTACAATTATTGCTGGCTTCGGTGAGTTACAAGCCTATACTTCACTGCCATGACTATCATTTACACAAAATTATTTTTTAGGCTTGGGGTTTTTATTCTCGTCAACTATCATTGCCCTACAGGCATCGGTAGAGCCAAAAGATATCGGTATGTGTTAAACTGCTGTTTTTATCTCTTTGTCTTACTAATTGATATCTTCTATAGCTGTTGTTACGGGTTTGGGTAGCTTTTCTCGTATCCTTGGTGGTGCTTTGGGTATTGGTAAGTTGTACCTGTATAGAAGATTAGGGTCTTCGCTATAATCTAATCTAGCAGCATCATTCAGCTATATCCTCAGCAGTGCTTAACTCAAGTCTAAACCAAGATCTACCTTCCGTAATACCTCGTGAACTTGCCTTAGCAGTCATACAATCGTCTGAATTTGTGAACAAAGGACTGCCAAAAGAGTTTCTGGAACCGACTTTGCGTGTCTATGTTGATGCATTACGATTGATTTGGTATGTACTGACAGCAATGTGCGGTCTTGGTTTCATTGCATCGTTTTTCGTCAAACATCATTCCATTAGACGACATATGAAAAAGGAAGCACAGCCTGAAGCTAACCAAGACGATGGTGTTAAAAAAGAGTTACCAGTAGCAGCTGCTAATGAAGAGATAGAAGGAGCAATCACAATTAAAGTACCATCCGCTGATGGCGCATAACACTGAATAGAAGCACCAATTTTGACGAAATAGAAACGCTCCCTATGCCTTTCCGTTGAGCATTACATAATGAATTTACATAGCATGAATAAGTAATAAGTATTGTATAATATTATGTTTCTAAAATGTAATATATTTTCATTCAAAAGATTATCATTTTGCGTTTGCTTAGTTAAGAGTTAACAATTCGCAGCAACTACAGTTACAAAGCTCGGAGATGATAGGTTTTATAAAGCTTAGAAATCAGATAGCCCTATCACCGTATTTATCTACGGCATCAAAATTACATTCCACTTTGCATACTGTTCCTGTGCCAAAATCAGCCTCCATTCTGATCTCGGTCAAGCCAAAGAACATTCTATATGATTAACAGTCTTGAATTTAGTATGTCTTTTGCTTAATTTCCGCTGAAGCAAAAAACCTTACCTCACAGTATAAGTAACCTTTTCGCCTTTGGTAGCGTTTGGAATATAAGGAATAGGTACGGTTATAGCGGCCACTTGGTGTACGTCAGGCGAATCGTAATATCGTGGAAGTCTATCACTATCAGTAGCATACAGTATAATGTCTGTTGATGGCATTGATCCATAATAGACAAACATCCTCTCCGTGATGCAGTGGTCAACGGGTACCTCATCCCCTTTTTGTACAAACGGTAAAAACCTGGATGTACAGCGAACACTGCCATCTGGACGCACAATGCGGGACGATATTGGGTCTCTAGATTCATCAAACGGTAAACCTGCGTTGATACCGTATGTCCTTCGAGAGACTCGCGAAATGATGACTCGAGGATCCAAGCCGAAATATACGGCACCCCTTACCACAGCCATTGCAGCCCTTGGTGGGCAAAGTATCTGCCTTACCCTATTGCCAAACACTTGTTGAACTCGTTCATACAAGTAATTAGACGACCCAAAGCCGCCCACTAGGAATATACAATCAATTGGAGTTTCTCTGTCTGAGATCTGCTCATATTGCTTGGTCAATAGTGAGAGCTACATACTATTCTGTCAGTTATCATTCCGTTTCCCATGATGAATGTTTTAGTTGGCCATACCACACGTTGTATAATAGGTTCAAAAACCTTTTCTTTAAGCTCATTCGCCCGTAAAACCAAAGTACCCTCATCGAGGCTGCAGTCATCAATCATGAGATCTTCAAGATTTACAATTGCAGGTAAATTTAGATAGTGATCATCTAGCCCGTCGAATTCTGGTTTTATATTGTCCACAAATTGTTCCATCAAATTGTTGAGTGCAGCAGCAGGTATTTTATCGTACTGTTCACTGAGCTTTTCTTGAAGAAGCAGACGAAAATTCTCATCTAAGAAAACACTACCACAACTTTCTCCCATTCCTTTTGCTATTTCTTTCAAATGTTGGCTTCGCTTATATCTTCCTTCTTCCGTAAGAACTTCAAAAACTGTCAAGTCGACTGTTCCACCTCCAGCATCACATATCAAAATTCTATCACCCTTCCTTAAATTAACTTGCTCACACATGCGCTCACAGTATAATGCTGCTGCTTCAGGTTCTGATATCAGCATCAGTTTATCAGGAGGATCTGTCTCTTTTATCAGTGCGGCTCGTATTGCGGCTCTTCTCATAGAATATTTTGCTAAATCGGACCACATGGCTGGCACGGTTAAGCAATACCGAAATAGTTGCGGATCATAATTTGTAGCGAATCCTTTCAAAATATCGTCCAACACATAGTCATGTAATGCTTTAAGATAATCAGCAATATTAGAAATGGGAGATCTATCATAGAGACAACGGATACTTTCTGGTTTGTATGAATGATCCCATCGTGCAGGTTACTCTGCTTCCCTTTATATTATATTACCTATGGTTTTCGGCAACGTCTCTATGTAAACTCTCATCCAAATCAAGTTTGAAATTCTTCAAAAGTATATTTTCCTTCTCTGCATGGGGTCTCAGCATAACCTTTTTGGCACCATGTCCCCAGTCCCTTAATACTGAGGGATTGGCTCGTTTATACACACTTAATGTCGGCGTTTTCGGATAATAATGTCCTCCTTTATGCGGCCTATTCAGCATGAGCATGAATATAAATAAGAGATATTCATCTTGGAATAAGCAAAAAATCCCAAAGTGTTTGCCACCGTTGTCGTTTATACCATTTTTGTACATCGAAAATCTCGGGTATTGGGTTGTGTGTAAATGCATAAGAGGCTCCAGAGTATGTTGTGCCAAAGTCATACGCAATGACTACTTTGTAATCGTTTACTTTGTCATCGAGCATCGAGTCGTGTAGGAAACGAGTCAAAATGTTTTTGAAATGCAAAAAACAACTGAGGAAAAGAACATACAGAACAAAGCCAAGAAAATGTATTCTTGTCAAACTTTCCTAGGAGAAAAAAAATAAAAAAAAGAAAAGTATCACTTGCAGAATGCTCAGGAAAACGATAAGATTATTTGTAGTACAATGCAGTGTTCCTTATTATTTTTTCCAACTGCCATAGACGAGTGCTCTATCGGTATACAAAATACAAAACCTAGATTTGAGACACGGAAAATGACCTACAATGAAAGAGCAAAGTACATATGTAATGTTTATAAAGAGACATTGAGTGGGAATCAGAAGACAAAAAGGAAGCACAAAGGATGAGGCAAATAGGAGAAAGCTATGCTGGTCAAAATTCAACGTAAAGGAAATGTACCAGTATATGTTAAGAATAAACAGCAATTTTGATCATCAGTACTACCAAAGCATATGATCAGATCAACGCAGTAAAAAAAGATAGTTGGAAAGAGTCTGAGCAATGACTCTTTTGCTAATAAAAGTTGTAAATACAAGTAGACTGGCCGCCAGATTGACTCTGCCTAGAGCTAGTAGACAATAGGGGAGCTCACAGTACGCGATGTAACCCTGTAACATGTGCTGATAAGGGATGTACGGTTTATTTCAACCCGTATTATGTTGCGCAACACCATTGGAGAAATATTCTGAACAATAAGAATCACAAGTACCTTTGTTGTAATGTTACGTATACCACTTTCAGGAAAGCTTACCAGGTAACAATGGTTTGGACTAGGTCTGGAAAGAGTGTTGAAGGAAGAATCAAGAACAAAGTGAGGGCTATCAATGCAGAAGGATGCGTGTTCTAGCATCAATGAAAAGCATAGCCGACCTGATTCCCTATAGTTTTTTGCACTGTGCTGTTATATGTGAAATATGAAACCATAAATACTAAACGAACTTGAACAGGAAAAGACTGCGTTTGTGTAAAATATGCTAGCCATTTCCATAGCTCAAGAAATTCAGTATATATTCAAAAATAATAAAGACAGCAATGCATCTGTAGCTGCAATCTGAGGCAAAGTGCTTTAAGACGATTACGACGAAGTAAAGGTGGCGGATAACAATATTACATCAATTCGTATTATGACATAAATGTGTTATGAAAAGAGGGTAGTCATCGTCTTTAAAGGCGAGCTACGAGCTTTTTGGTCAAATAAAGACTACTGCCTTTTTGCGTTGAAGTATGCATGACTATTGCTTTTATTTGTAATCATATTAAACGTCATACTTTATTATTGTTTTATTTGCAAAAGTATACCGGTTTATCGAATTTATGTCTACAGATTGTCACATAAGTAAAACAATTTCCTGATTTATGATCAGAACATTGTTTTCAATTGCTGGCTGCGTTCAGGCATCCTATTTTGCTTGACCTTTTCTTGTTTCTTCAATAAATGTTTTGATTCGAAGCAATTCATACGATATTGATCGTGCTGGTTCGTCAACGATATTATATTGAATCATTTAGAATGGATTTTCTTAACTTGCTCGAAACACAAGGCGTTTATAATCCGCGCTGTCATTACGCGTTCATAAACCGCAGATGATTCTATAAGGCTTCAGTCATTAAAATATTGATGAAAAACAAGGGAAAGTTTTTTCTTTCGCCGTTTTTTCTTTCGCCGTAATTTTCAACTATTCGCCTAAAGCCTTGTAATAACCTTTAAGTGAATATAAATTCCTATAATAACTTTCTTGAAGTACAGCGCATTTGTTGAAGCCATCATTGTTGCTTTTCGCCCTCTTTTTTTTTTTTTGTTTTAACTTTTGACTATATTGCATCCAGATATTATTGGATTTGAACGGTCTCTCTTTCTCTTTTCTATCTTGTAATGCATTATCTTATTAAGCTTGAAGAACGAAAAGTAGACAAAAGAATCAACTAGCTTAAAAATTAGTGTTAATGGACCTTAATTCTAACTAATCATTTTTCCGCATTTCAAAGCGTTCATAATCAATATCCATTCTTCATTCAACTTGTTTCTAATATTTGTTTGGTCCTATGTTATTTTCTGGTCGCATTGTCTTCTCTGTAGCAATTAATTATAATTCTGCTCAGGTCACTGCGATCCTACCAAAGAAAAAAAATATATAAAAATAAAAAAGGAAGAATAAGTAAACATAAACGAAATCAGCACTATTACCACCATCGCTCCAGCCGATGCTGCTGGATGCATTGGTAATAAAGAAAAGCCTTATTACTAAAAACGGTTGCATAAAATGATTTCCGTGAAAGAAGACAGTCAAGGATAAGGGGCCAATTTATCAAAGTCCAACAGCTGCAAAATAGAAACTTATTCTCCGTGAATTCACCGGATAACTTCTCTTTTACTTTTAAGTATACAAGTCTGAAGTATAAACCGACAATTGCTCGAAAACAAAAGCTAATAGATAAATTTAGCCATATTTATTCAGAAAATAACAGCAAATAAATAAATGCATCGCAAGAAACTATACAAAAAATTATTTTTTTTTGTTAATTGTATTGAGAGATGTGTTTAATACTACACGCACTACATCCGATTGAGAGGTAAAAAGGGCTTCTCCGGGAATCGAACCCGGGACCTCTCGCACCCTAAGCGAGAATTATACCACTAAACCAAGAAGCCTTACACATTTTTTAACAAAAGAATAATTGTTATAGTAAAAATGTATTTATAGCCAATCACGTGACTAGAGCTAATTTAACTGTAGACTTGTATGACGACATCAGCAGAATAAAAAGGAGTCGTCGGTCATAATTTCTCAGCTTGAATTAAGCTCACATTCTCGGCAATGTTCTATGCATGCCAACCTTTCAGTCATGCAGAAGTTACGTACATACTCTATAAAGGGTAGCGTAAATTTTACTTTATAATTATAAAACGTCATAGCCAATCATATTCTCTACAATTCAACCGCTCTACTGCTGTAACGTACACAATCGTAAATCGTGCAATAAATTTATGATAATCTCGATCGATATGATACAAACGTACTTTGTTGAAGTTGAACATAATAGCATGCGTAACTACTATGTTTCAATGGTTCAAATGCATATATTAATCTGTTTAGTGTGAAGTGTTGTAGTTGTATGTGTCTGCAATTTTTATTAATTTGATAGAAGTATGTAAGATTGAAAACAGCTCAAAAGTGAGCAGGATATCATCAAAACAGCCCGGACTGTGTTTTAGTTGGAAGTTTGTTGCTGTTGTATCATTAATAGACGATCACGTTCAGCTTGCCTCATTTTCATTAAAGTTATAGATTCATAATCAAGATCGAAAACTTTTGATGAGTTGGTTGTTTCCTAAGGTGATTCATAGTATAAGTTTAATATCTGAGAGCAAGACATACACCTCAGTTCAATTACGGGCTTACTTTATTGATGGGTATACTGAAGTTCTTAAAAAATGATTGTGAGCCGGTTGCGAATAACGGTTTGCTTTCGGCTGAAGAGGGTGTTCTACTGGTTGTACCATATATTGCAGCTCTTGCTTCTTTTTGCATTTCTTCCGCTCTTATCATCTTTTCCACAAGTGAGGGTGGTCGACCTGTAGCCCAATTAATGCTCTCAAATGGTGCTAAGGAGGGATGTGTATCTTTCTTTGTAATGATTCCATACTAAAATAAGGAAGATTTAATCATTAACATATTCCACTTTAAAGAAGGAAGATAGTGTTAATTCAATAGCTAATACATACTGCATCTACGACAGTTTTCAAAATAAGTATGGCGCTTCCTTTTTTTTTTTCTGATAGAGCAAGTGAATCCACTTCAGCAATCGGATTGAATATGTCCCTTAAATCCTGTTCGGTAAAATTGTATCTCTTCCGTTTCCATTTGATTTTGAGTGCTCCTAATTCATTTTCTCCTGATAGTTCTATTACAATAAAATGGTATAAGCAAGTGTCAAATATCATTTAGCAGATGTTTCAGTCCGTCATGCTACCAACCTGTAACCTCGGGTTTCGTCTCCGTACTCCAATCTTCTTGTCTTCGCTTAGCTCCTTCTTCACGTAGGCGTGCTAATTCAGATTCATATTGTGCTTTTGCTTGTTCTTGCTCTGTTTTCATCTTTTTCGCTTCTCTTTCTCTTTTCTCTAATTCTTCTTGCGCGTGGCGTCTTTTAGAATCCATTTCCTGCTTCTTTTTCTGTCTTTCTAGTCGAGCTCTGTGCCGTTGATCATAATCACTTCGCTTAGATGGATCCAGCAGTAACTCCTGTGCTTTGCTCAATTTATCAAACATAATGGCTATTTGAAAAAGTTTTATGAAAGCTGTTAGTCTTATCGGCAACCAACAATGAACCTCCACTTTTTTTCAATTTGGGAAAAACGCAGCTAGTACTGACCTGCATCAGGACTAGGATTTTTGTCAGGATGATATTTTAAGGCCTTTCTACGGTATGCATTTCTAATGTCTTTTGCTGAAGCTGTGATTTCCAGCCCCAGCAGCTCATAGTAATTCTCTTCGGAGGCCTCCATTTTGTAAAGTTATTCGTAAAAAGGAGTAAATTCCCCAACTTCAGGAAATGCTGGGTTTCTATCGAAAAGTGGAAGTTGAAAACGCTTGAAGCAGGTGACTGTTGGAAGTCCAAGCACGCGCAAAAATTTTTTCAAAGATATTTAAAAGCTGCCTCATTTTTTGAAAACGTTTGTATTTCCTTTTATTCTTCCATAAGATCTTCTTCTATGTAATAAAGGTTTGTATCGATCTGAATATAAGAAAGTATACCGTTTTGGTTTTGCAAAAGATGCTTTTTTGTCAAACAAACTAGAGTTTCTGATATAATTGATGTGAATTTTTTTCTCTGATGCTCTACCAAATTGAAATACTTTCTATTATCCAAAAGCATGCACAAACGTGATGTACTTACATGTTCTTTATTTCATATTATAGTCCTCTTCTTAATACTCTTTGTATTAATCACTCTTCTGCATATGTTGGCCCAGCAGCAATGGTAGGTCTCTTTTCTTTTGTAAGCGGTATGATCACAGTTTAGCAAAGGTTTAGATGATGATCGACTTTTTTAAAGTTGGAATTACCGTCTGAATCCTCTGTGGACACTTTTTTGGCTGTATTTCTGACAACCTTTGTTCATTCTGTTGATTATACGCTTTCTCTTACGTGTTATTGAATGATTTGTTGACTGAAATTTTCATTTTACCGTGGTAGGGTAAAAAACTTATTTCTGTTGGCGCTTGCAAAGCTACTGTAGCCCCTTGTCAATGAAGATACAGGTATAGTATGCGTCTCCCTAGTAAGGATATTTTCTGCTGCGCGTATATTTCATGATGACATCTAGATGACGAGTCAGACGAGTTATTCGGTGTTGACAAAACCTTTTTAATACCATTCATGCTTTACTGAAACATATACGTATACGCAGGAAGATGTCCTTATTGAACATATCTCACTTTTCGGAAGCCTTTATTAACTCTTTTATTTGTCTTTAGGTCTTACTCTTGTCGTATCTGCGATACAGGTTGATTGATCATATCTTCATCTCCTGTGGGTTCTCTGATTGAGAAAGGTAAAGTATTCATCATTATGATGAGTTATCTGTTTGAAGGGAACAAGATATTTTCATTTGATGAACTTCAGAAAAAAAGACAAGCATATGTCTGATTTCCTGTGAAGATTTTTTCCTAGTCTGATGTTATCCTTTCCTTCATTGAACAATAACTCAAAGTATGTGACCCAATGTACTAGTTCTAATCCACTTTTCTGCTTCTGTTCTAGATTTTTTTGTCTTTTTCTCATTGAATCTCTGCCAAGACTCTTAGGCCCTGATGTCTATAATAACATTAAGGTAATTATCGAGCCTTTTTTAGTATGCCTGAGGTTTTCTTTTGCTTTCGGTGATGATACCAATTTTCACGACGGTCTTCATAATAACCTTGATGAAAACGGCTTATAGCCCCAACATACTGAAAAAGCTAAAAGAAAACCTTGACTGAATTACTCTAAAATTTGGTAACTAACGTGTATCGTTCTCAAACATGTAGGTAATGTGTTCCCTTTTTTTTTTCTAAGCTATTTAAAAAGTCCAGAAAATTTTGCATTCTTTAATGAATAAAATAAAAAACTATAAGTCTAAGCCACGGCATTTTGTCTTCAATTTCCATTGTGTTCTCTAAGAATTAGTGTTATCAACATTAACGTTTTTAGCCCAGGAATATTCGAGCTTATTCTGTGGGTTAACATTGTAGCATTGAAGTTAATACTTCATTTCTATGTCTGGAAGTGCGATCACTTACTGCGTCAATTTTTAAAATGACAGCAGTAATATAAAGTTTCAACTAGACTCACTCCAATCCTTTATTAAGTTAAATTATATTACAGCTTTTTACATCGGTAAAAAAAGAAATTGTCTTGAAGAAAAAGAGAGAATTACAAATAAATTGAGAGAGAATTACCAAAACGTTAAGAGGGAAGGAAGAATAAGTACTAGCCGGAAAAAAAAAGAATTAATCTAATACGATACGTACAAAGCGGCTAGCTTATGAGTAAGTATCAACCAAGGTATCTCTAAGTTCATTGACGATAGCCGTGGGTTGAGCATCTTGCAGTTTGAAGATACTTTCCATAACACTCAATTCGGTTGAAGTAGTATCCATACCAGCAAAAGCACACCAATCGTTCACAACGCAGCCTGCACCAATAACGTCAGAACCACGGTTAACGGTACCGGCGACTAAAGGAATTTGTAGAAGAGTAGATAATTCATCTTGATCTTGTACTGAGGTACGAGGATGGACAAGACCACCATTATTACTTAAGGCACAGTAAGATCCCACAAGGACGTTATCTGCTACAGTTTGACGGAATACTTCGACTCCCAATGTATCGGCAATAATTTCTTCTGTTTCGCGATCGAGATCAGGGTGAACTAGGGCCACGTAATCGTTACAAGCAATAACGTTGCCTAATGCTGATAAACGTTCCTCTACACGTTGCACTGCCACATTGTCCGGTAGAGAATTACGCAAATGCTGGAGTTCTTGATCTGTTGTGGTGCTGGGAACGAGTAATCCGTTCTTATTACCAACGGTCAAACGACCTACAATACGGGTACCAGCAATAGAGGTGTGAATGACGGGAACGACATCGCCTAATTCACCTTCGAAAACACTAACATAAATGAAAATCATCCAATAGATGTGTTAAAAACGGTCCTCTTCCTTCCATCTACATTCATTCCCATAACCTCTATTACTTCCATCAATACATACCTATAAAAGTTTTCAGAGCCACCAAGGGCAACCAAACAGTAACTATTGGTCAAACGAGAGAAAACACCGATCTCGTTACTGTTTTCAAATTGTGCACCTAAATTCATGCAGAAATATTCATAATGAGTACTCCCATTCCAAATCTAAATCAACGCGAGATCGAATCATGCGAATCTTGTGTGCTACTTACGAACTGCCATATTTCAGAAGCTGTTGATAAAACTGAGAAAACGAAAAAAAATCCTTACAAAGGATGTTGAGGGAATAAGAAAAGCTAAAATTTTCGCGGACTCTATATATTTTCTACCTTGAAGGCGCAGCAAACAGCCGATGACAGGTTGCTTTTTGTGACTTACTCTCCGCTCTATTGCTGATTTCCAATTGCCTGCTGCGGTTGCTTTGCATGAATCAGTGGGTCAAAACAAGGTGTACAGTGACAAAGTTTTGAACACCGTTATACATTGTCGGATGGTAACCCAATTGATTCTTGTCATCAAAACTAGAGACGTTTTGGCCCGAAGGTAACGGAAATTTGGATTGGTTTTCACATCGAGCTTTGACATTTGACCACCGAACAAATAATGTCCTAGTATTATTACAGCAGGTACGAACTACGGCCTTTTAGGATGATCTAACTTTATTTTCAATAATGCTGCGCTTCATCTATACGGAAATTCTTCAATCAAAAAGATGAAGTAGCTTACGTTTGGTAGTTAGTGAACCGTTTTGAATAGAATAACATTACAAAGATGCGTAACGAACAGGCAACTAAAGGTAAGTGAATGCATGTTTTGGTGTTATCGTAATTAACGAGCTTGTCGTATATAGTAAAATTGAGCGAGAAATAACAATAGAGTTCAAATTATTATTTTTCTTCTTTGATTTAACAATCATTCACGGGAAGAGAGGGTTCGCTTGCTCATATCGCATGCTGTCAGGAAGTAATTTTTCAGCTACATAAAGATATATTTCTTTGTCAAACATGTTGAAGTTACTTGGGTACTAACCGGCGATGTATGATAATTGAATACACTATTGGATTGCGAAGGGCATGTGGGCAAGGTTGGCTTTCGATGGCTTTTTCGGCAATTCCTTACTATGAAATTGCAGTAATAATCCATTGCAAGACTAAAGCAAAATTTTGGCAAGTCAAGCATAGAATACGCCAAAAGCTAAAGTCAGCACTCTTTCCATACATTCCTGGTATATTTGTCAATTTAACTCGATAAATCAATTATATAAACACTAGAAAAGTTAAATAAGGGCTATAGAGTTTCATAACATATACTGTTAAGTTTCATCATTTTTTCCTTCTCTTTCTAAACATTCTATACAGAATACTTGTAATGTAAACCGTTGGCCATGATATTCTAACAGCATCCTTGATTTCTTCGTTAGCAGATGCGATAATAAGTGATTTGCTGCATTATAAGAAAGCCTTAAAACAGAAAGAATACAAAAAGGAAGAAGAAAGAAGCTTATGACCTTCATTAACTGGTAGTGGCTAGTTAACTCGCATCACCAGAAGACCGTTCATAAACTTCATTAACAGTCTTTGTACAGAATTATAGCCAACGTCTTATGGGACGACATATAAGAAACTTCCTATTCAAAACTAAATCAAAAAAATCTCCAAGACGTCCCTATATTTTTCAGACATCTTTATTCTTGGAAATGCACGACGGGTCAGCTGATAATTGTAACAACCAACGGACCTTGTCAACTTTTTCATTTTCCTGGCCGAAAAGAAAGTTTTCTCAAAAAATCATACTCAACAAAAAGCATGGAATAAAACGTTACGTGTACATTGTAACGCGAGATACAACATATGGATTTTCATCACTGCTGGATAGGATTAATTAAATTGCAGCAGCGTTTGAACGTAAAGCATATCTTCGGTTAAATTGTTTTCGGAGGACAGATTTGTTATTTTTATTTTTATCTAAGAAAAGGGCAAGCATAGTCGTTTATTCCGACACGGTTGCTATAGATACTACTAAAACTGTTAACGGAGGCACGCAATTACAACAATATATGCTTTTAAAATGGAGGTAAGAACGATACTGGGTGTTCTTATTCAAAGATAGTTCTTGAATAAAGGTATATCTCCGTAACACTTTTAGGAGCTTGAAGCACGTACCAAGGAAATTCAGTCGAAGATTGAACAAAACAGTCGATTAAAAGAGAAGGCCATCGAGCTTCGCCAAATGTTGACCGACAAAAACGCGCAGCTTCAATGCGATACCCAGATTAGAGAATGCCAACGGTATATTGATTATTTTACAGAGGAACTATATCGTTTGAGAACGAAAAGCCATAGAGCATCCATGATATCTATGCATTCATTGCAGCACTTACAGAAAGAATCGTCAGTTCAGTCAGACGCACCCACCTCTTCTACTTCTGCAACTGCTGATAACTCTGATGCTACAGCTTCTATTCTTGCAGGGAGTACTGTTCACTCTGAGGACCACACAACGCTTAATCAACCATTAGTCACTTCGCCGACTCAGTCTTTACAGTCTTACTTTCCAAAAATGACCCCACAAACCTCCGAGGACAGCGACTCCCGAAAGCAATACACTAATTTGGGTACGTTTGCTGAAATAATAATGTTTGTGCTGCATGAAACTGAACTCGTTTTGTTCCCCCCTCTTCGTTGCCAGATCTTTTGGAAGCAGACACGCCCATTAATCGTGCTAAAGTGTCATTAAAGTTACATGAATTGGAATATAAAGTTGATGTAGAGAAAAAAGTGCAAGAGGGAATAAAAAACCTGTATAGCATTCTGGATAGTTCTTCAACATCATCTGCTGCAGATAGAAAAAGGAAACAGGAACTTCACGAGAAGCAGTTAGAATCAGCCGAGAAATTAACGTTGCTTAACAATGCTGTGAAGAAGTATAAGGATCTATATTTAGGCGAAGAGGAAGATGACGAAGACGATGTTAATATTTTGTTAGATAATACCCAGAAAAAGGAACCAGCATCAACATCAACATCAACAACAACAACAACAACAACAACGTCCGAATCTTCAAAGTTGGAACGATTGGAAGTACGTCCTGTATATCGTGGATTACCAGGTGCACGCCGTCCAGTCACGGGTATCCTTCAACTAAAAATCCTTGAAGCGCACGAATTAGCCCATGCTCCTACACGTATGTTTCGCGATCCCCAAACTACTGTGATGGTTAAAATCGATGGCAATATCCAATACCGTACACGTCCTTCTAGAAATGATAAATGGACAGATTCATTTGAGATGCACGTTGATAAAGCAACAGAAGTTGAATTGTTGATTTACGATCAATCAGGCGACCGCACATTACCTATTGGTTTATTATGGTTGAAAATATCTGACATTGCTGAAAATTTACGTAAACAAAAATTGGAATATGAACAACACGGTAATAATTGGGTACCGGCGGAAGAAGTAGCACAACAACAGGCTTCATTAGACCCACAACAACAACAACAACAAAGTAGTAACAAAGCCTTAAATGCATCCCAGAGTGCCGAAAACAGCAATAGCAATAAAAGAAAGCAGGCTGTCGATGAGGGAATTAGTGCGTGGTTCGATGTGGAGCCATTAGGTAGAATTTATTTGAAAATCAATTTTGTACGTGAAAATGTGAAGAGAAGGCCTTTAGATAAATTAGGAAGAGCAGGTGCTGTACGTGAGAGAAAGGGAGAGATTCATGAGATGAACGGGCATCAATTTGTTGCTAGACGCTTCTACCATATTATGAAATGTGCTTTATGTGGGGATTTTATGGCAAAACTTTCTTTTCAATGCGAAGGTAACACAATTGAATATTTGCTAGTCTGCATATTTATTAAAGCTCACTATTCTTTATTGTGGGCTTAGACTGTGGTTTGGCGTGCCACAAGAAATGCTACAATCGCGTAGTGACACGGTGTAAGTCAAGATACGGTGCTCATACGGTAAAGTTAGTTAAATTAATATTGTTGTTACATTGAAACTCATGTGTTGCATTCTCCATAGGATCACGATGAAGATGAACTGAAGCATCATATACCACATCGTTTTGAATCCTTAACAATCATTGGCGCTAACTGGTGTTGTCATTGTGGCTTCATGCTACCTCTAGGCTTGAAAGGAGCACAAAAATGCGCAGGTAAATTTATAGCAATTTTAAGTATTCATCCTGACTATAAACGAAATGTTAATTCTTCTTCAATTACTAGAATGCAATGTTGTATGCCATACAAAGTGTGCTCCGTTGGTACCTGATTTCTGCGGCATGACAATGGAAAAGGCGAATCTGATGCTGAGTGAAATGAAAGCAGCCAATAAACGACGAACCTTTCACTCAGATAGCTTACCACCCTTTCTACCTGATAACCATCAAAAGCCATTATTTGCATTTTCGTCATCTTCAGCAGCAAACAATACCCAACTACAATCGCAGAAGAAAGATAGTCATCAACCAACTACCAGCATTATTACCCCACAACCTTCTACCTCAACGCCTGTTTCCACTAAAGTTCATTCAAACGCAAGCCGATCTGTAACTGTAGCTCGTGACCAACCGTCCTTCCAATCGTTGACGAGCACATTTAGTCAAGCCTCGATCAATGATGCCTTATCCCGGCCAAATACCAAAATTGTAAGCTTTGCATTTTGTGTCAAAGTATTGTAATAGCTGAATCAACTTACCGCTTGTTAATTTTCCTTCTCCGTAGACTACACCTGTTCAAGTGAACAGAAAGGTTGGTTTGGACGATTTTAATTTCCTAGCAGTATTAGGCAAAGGTAACTTTGGTAAAGTCATGCTTGCCGAAGAAAAATACACGAATGAGCTCTATGCCATCAAAATCCTAAAAAAGAGATTTGTATTGGATAATGACGAAGTTGAAAGGTATGATAGTGTCAATGGGGATGAACGATCTATTTTTGTTATGAACTGGCTGGACGATAATTATTAAATTATCTCTCCACATTAGTACACGATCTGAAAAGCGTATATTCTTGATTGCCAACGAGGAACGACATCCTTTCTTAGTCAACCTTCATAGTACCTTCCAAACCGAAACCCGTATCTATTACGTAATGGAATATGTGAGTGGTGGTGATCTAATGCTACAAATTCAAAGAGAACAGTTTTCGGAAGTGCGTGCACGTTTTTATGCATGTGAAGTTTTGTTGGCATTAGAATATTTTCATAAACACGGTATTATCTACCGTGATTTAAAATTGGATAATATCATGCTATGCTTAGATGGACATATCAAATTAGCAGATTATGGTCTTTGTAAAGAAAATATGTGGGGCAACAATACTACAAATACTTTCTGTGGCACACCAGAATTTATGGCACCAGAGATTCTATTAGAGCATCGATATGGTAAAGCAGTTGATTGGTGGGCTTTTGGAGTTCTCATTTACGAAATGTTACTTGGTCAGGTACAGTATAACACCTGTGAGGAAAAAAAAAAGTAGCATCAGAAACAGAAGATGAATAACCATATTTGTTTACTAGTCACCGTTTAAGGGTGAAGATGAAGACGAAATTTTTGATGCTATCCTAGAAGATAATATATTATATCCTATCAATATGTCGAAAGACTCTGTTTCAATCTGTGAATCTGTAAGAGCTATTGGGAAAATATTAATCATCGAAAAAAAAAAGGGTTGTTAATCAATTATGATATGCTTCAATTTTAGTTACTGGAGAGAAACCCTGAGAAACGTTTGGGTGGTGGAAAGGGAGACGCGCAGGAAGTTAAAGGACATTCATTCTTCGCTGGTGTCAATTGGGACGATATGTTGGCCAAACGTGTTCAACCACCATTCTTACCAACTGTTAAAGGAAGAGCAGATACATCAAATTTCGATGAAGAGTTTACTAGAGAAATTCCTATACTGACACCCGTCAATGCTATGTTAACGCCGAACGAGCAGCAAGAATTCGCTAACTTCTCTTACGTCGCTAACTGGGCAATTTAACAGCATTAACACGCAATATCTATTTAGTCTACGCATGTCGTATAATCATAGCCTTTATTCTCTTTCATTTGTTTAATTATCAGCGTCAGAAATTATTAGGTTATCTATAACCTTAATAAATTACTCAATGAACTTTCGTATGGTCACTGCTCCGAAAGCTACTGGTGTTTTTAGATTTTTTGATCTGCCTGTTATTCAGCCTTCTGGGTTTATTTTTTACCTTTTTCTCCCGAATCTCAATTTGCTTCTTTTTATTACTGCTGCAGATCGATGACTTATAATGGACAAAGGTAAGCCAAAGGTTAATGTATAAGTTATGATTTAGAAAACTCTCTTACAAAGTAAATAGGTGAAAGTGTCTACCAATCGTTACCAGGAAACACGGGCTCTTCCCTGGGGCAGGTAATTTTCACGCATGTGTATTTAAACGATCTTACTCTTAACATTTTATTTTAATGACAGAAAGCAGTGAAAGAATTTGTTAGCGACTTTTTACGGCCAACGTCTAATGCAGATAAAGTGCTGGCTGATATGCGGCCTGTATACATTGACAAAGCCACGACTTTTGTTAAGGAAGAGGAAAAGAAAGAAATTGCTAGAAATCTGAGAAAGAAGAAAGATCGCAAACTGACTGCTAGGGAGAAACGACAGTTAAAGGTGTACGACATTCCGAAGGAAGCTCATCAGTATAAGTTATTTGAGCCACTATCACAACTTTGGCAAGGATATATGAGTAAATTATTAAGTCAAGGAACAACGAATTTTGAACAAAAATTGATCAAAGCAGATTTTCATGGTGCTACTATGACAGGTATATATATAAGGAAGAACTGCATTTTTCTCGATTAAGCACTTCTTAATTTAAAACAAACATTACTAGTTGTTCAAAGCAAAAATCCAACTTATGTGGGCGTCACTGGCATTGTCGTCCAAGAAACATTATCCGTTTTCAACATCATCACGAAAGACAACAAACTCAAGCGTGAGTATGCATTATGTCTAGTTGTTCGCATAGACATTGGCTAACTTGAATAATATTACAATTTTTAGAGATACCCAAAAATAGCAGTAACTTCAACATTTATATTGAAAAGTTAGGACGAAATTATACAATTTATGGTCCTCAGTTTGTTGCACGCCCGGCAGAAAGAGCAGCCAAGAAATTTAAACCAAAACCAACCATTGATTTATAGAAGAAAGCGTAAAATCTCATTACTACTCTAAATGGCAATCACTCAGTACGATGACAATGGTTATTACGACTATATCACTGCTATTTCTATTGTTGACACTCGGTATTTCGTTATATACTGCGTATGAAGTAAAATATTTTCATCTTTTCACTGTTGTCATTGAGCTTTGAAAGTAGTCGATAGATAAATGTCAGTTTGGAAGTGTAACATACTATATATATATATATATTAACGCTGCTTGTTATAAGTGGCTGGAAGTTGCTGGTTATAAGATGAGGCATTTCTTCTTCTTTTTGCCAGAAGGCTTGTTCATCATTAAAGCTGCACGAGTCGCATGTTCGAATACTTCGCGAACTCCTTCTCCTGTTTTGGCTGAACACTCCAGATACTTATAAGCTCCAATTTTCTGTGCAACACCCAAGCCCTAAGGTTATCTATTTTTAGTCATACTTTCTCTTTACTAGTCCATATAGATGATGCTTGTAGTTGTAATTACATACCTCTTCAGTGGTCACTGGTCTTTGTGAAGTCTTTCTTAACTCCTCAATTTTTGCTGGATCGTTTCTTAAATCTTTCTTGCATGCAACAAGTAAAATAGGAAGGCCTTGACAGAAATGAAGTACTTCCGAAATCCACTATTGAACGATAGAAAATCTGTCAAGTACAATAGCTAATCCATTCAAAATCAAGTTGACAAACCTTTTCTTGGACGTTGTCTAATGAATCAGGAGAATCGATAGAGAAACAAATAAGGATAACATGGGAATCTGGATAAGAAAGAGGACGAAGACGATCATAATCCTCTTGGCCTATTAACATCATGAAGATTGCTGAATTAGAGCCCACTTTTGAACCTCTCAAAAGACATAGTTATATATATCCTTACCTGCCGTATCCCAGAGAGCTAATTCAACATTTTTACCGTCAACCTCAACATCTGCAACATAGTTTTCGAAAACGGTGGGAACGTATAGCTATCATCAAAATTGAATTAATTACAAACCTTTACAAATCTGCATATTGTCGAATTAAAAATACAAACATACCTCGGGGAATGTTCCCCTAGAGAAGACAATCAGAAGACATGTTTTACCGCAAGCACCATCTCCTACAATCACGAGCTTTCTTCTTATTTCAGCCATCTATGATAGTTCTAATAGATCTATAATTTAGCTGTTAAGTCAAAAATAAGAATGCTATGTGCAAAATGTTCATCTTTTGCTCTTTCGATAGAAAAGAAAAGGGGAGAGAGAGAGGGGAAATACAACACTCTTTGTCTAAATTTTACTTTGGATAGACGTTCGACTTGAATGTGTTGAAGCCAACGTAAGAAGTAAATGCAGCCGAAAGGAAAAGTGTGAATAGTTCATCTTACAAGTAAGAAGCCGGAATGTTATGCGATTTCACAATATGGAAGTAAATTTTCTCTCCAATTCCAAACGAGATGAAACTTTTCGAAAGAGGCAAAAAGATGTGGTATATTAACAGCAGATTACCTGAGGTGGTATACGGAAATAAATAGTGTGGAAGAAAAGCACAGAAAAAAAGGAAAGACGACTCAAATAAATATAAATTTCCATGAGCGGGTATAAGGGCCACCTAATTCATTAAATCCGAATTTATTTGGATTGTTACCAAACATAGAAAGTGTATGTGCTATAAGCCCCAGTAGCAGTCTTTGTCTGTTGAAACTTAAAGATAGCTGAGGCTGGTCTTATCAAATCAAGTATAACAATCGATGGGTACAGCCTAAGCTTTTCGATACTTCAAGATGTTGTGAAAGGGATCTACTTGCCTAAAGTCAGTATGCCAATAGTACTTGTTTAGGCTGATAACCTGCTAAGATTGGTAAATGTTGACATCAATGCCACTTTACAAGCAAGCATTCAATGCTTAGATTTATTTACACACGTCGTTCAATATAACTTTGGATCATTCCAATAGCTGACGCTTCATATTCCGTCAACAAAACATCATTATCTTTGATAAAGGTATTACACTGTACAAAGGCCTTACGTGGTTGTTTGGAATCAATGACGATATCACGGAGAGCATACCATTCTTCATGCACTGAAGTTGAATCTAGATAAAATTGAATGCCATTTTTGCTATCGCCAGTAGCTTTAAAGATTTGCAATTTTCTCAAAAAATCTGTGACAGCAGGTGCGCCGATTTCCCTTATTTTCTTCCTGTCTAAATGGATCTCTACAGACTTTTTACCATCGACAGTACATGGTTTAATTCGTATAAAGTCATCTCCAGCCTTCATCATGACGTTTAAGATTGCATAGCGCGCTTGCATGTGTGCTTGTCCCCACTATTATTACTCATGGATATTACGTTAACCTCCCTTCTATTTCATACGTCCGTCATAATTTATAATGTATACCTTCTTAGCCTCCGGATTATAGAACTCTAAAGCAGTAAGGCCTGCGCGTGCCATGTTCAAATACATAATATACAAAATGTCCTCTGCTTCTTGTCCCTCATAGTCGAATATCTTCAAAATATCATTGTGTGGAGAAAGTGATAGAGCAATACATTCAGCACGACATTCTTCATAACTAGAGGCAATACTCTTAAACTCGGAATTGAAAGTTTGTCCTGGTTTATACCATGTCTGAACACGCTCGCCAGTGAGAGGATTGATCACTCTTTCACTATCAAAATTCAGATTACCGTTTTCATCCTCCGATAACAACTTTCCGGTTCCGTGACCAAGCTCGTGAGTGCCCACTTGCACTTCGAATGATAAGTTACGGTATTTTTTGTAAAGTTCCAAGTCCTCTTCACGTATGAAAGGAAACTTTTCATCCGGTGATTGAGCTGATATAATGTTACCCAATGACACATTCTTGGAGCCATAAATCTGTGTTACTTCACTAAGGTTGGGGAGATTGATACCTGCAGGAATACCGCCCGTAGCAAACGACAAAACTTCCAGTGAAGTAAAATCAGGTGGATTTAAAGTATCTCTTTCGAATTCTTTACCCCACGGTAAACGTGAAACAAACAATGGTGCGTTGCTAACCAAGCGGTTGAATTTCTTGGTTTGTTCTTGATTAACCATTGCAACAAAGCCTTCCCATTCGGCACGTACGCCTTGAGGATCGCGGTAAGTTTCTACGAAACCAATATTGGTCTCGACACGTGGATTCAAATCTTGTAGCCAGTACCTTTGTGAATCACTGTAAGCTCGACCGGATCCATCAGTAAATGTGTTATAATACTCCTCTAGCATTTTCTTTTGATTTTCATTGGCTGCAAAAGGAATGGCACTCTTAATGGCTGCTGCTACTTTCTCCATGCATAATTGGTGATCGCCATAGCTCACTTTGATGCTCTGTCCATTCCTCAATTTGTAAGCATTGCTGGGTAAATCTGATTTTGCGGTAGCAACGGCTAATGTAAAGTCGTTTGTATTTGTATCTTTAAAAAGTCTCGTATTCAGCGGGCTGATCTTCTCTTTTTGTAAGAACTCTTCGACTAGTTTGATATCTTCCTTAGTAATGTTCTCTGAATAATAGCCGGTAACATGACCATCCTCAGGGAAACCTAGTAAGGTACGAGCTGAGGGTCCAATGCTGTAAATTTCCTCACATGATTGATTAAACAGCTCGATAGCCTTCTCTGAACCTGAACTTTGTACTATCTTTTTGAACGTCTCGCTGCTGATACGAGGAATGAATTTCTCGTCCCCGAAGGATTTGTAATTGCTAAGATTGCTTAAGAATTGTGCGTTGTATTGAAGAAAATGATCAAAGTCTTCTTTGGATACCCCACTATATGTATAATACAATCAATTCGGCTGTTGTTTTATGAATCCACATAAAAAACAAGCGTATTACCTGGCTTTATGTAGAATATTCGTATCTATCATTTTACCTTGTTCATCACTAAACAAAGTTATGATGAGGTCGTAAATGGGCATAGCCCTAGGATTAGTTTGCTCAATGATGATGCGTGTTCCTTCAAAAGCAGCTCGTGACATGAAATGAGCATATTTTTTCTCTTTTAGAGTAAGGTTTTCGAAGAACGGTTTGGCTTCAAGTCGTGAAAATGGTATCTTCTCATCAGCAAAGTATTGTTCGGCAGTTGCATTTGACATTATATGTCGTTGATAGATTGTTATCGGTTGTTTATAAAAACGCTTTAGGTATAAAGATGACGAACGTGAAAGTGAAGAACGTGTGAAAAACTGGCGGTACATTGATTTTTTTGGGTAAAAGATGCCTGACTGTTCTATTAACCCTACTTGAGGCTTCTTCTGTTTGTTGAGTCTGAAAACTATACCTTTTCCTCTAGAGCTGAAGAATGAGGGCCTGAAGTACGCTATCATGTGTGTTCGAAAGGATTAACTATTAGCATTTAGACACATTGACTTGGGAAATTATCACAAACACCCAACACAGGTAGTTGGATGGCTTCAAGTAGCCATCTATTTTGGCATACGGCCTTAGATTATGGCCATGGTCTTGAGTATAATGATCATTTTTTCAAATGCAGTAAGATAGAGAGTACGCCGGTAGTAGAGACAATCAATGGAATCAACGGATTTCTGAAGGCCAATATACACAAGTTCGCTATTAACTCGATTATGTTATCGTTCTTCTGTAATATTATGCGTCAGTTCTTCCCGACCCTTGCCGGTAATTGAAATTACAGGAAGAAGTATACGTGTTTAAAAAGACAAAGCTGTAGGGCTCTTCTAGTTACTGCAATACCCATCGCCAACATTCCCGCTAGTATTGATCATGTCAATTATACGTCGTTTAGTCACCAATCGCCATGTCCAGTTAGTGAGCCGGATGAAACCATTGTCAACAACTTTGAATTACAAAAACACCTTATCCATAATATCCATCAATAAAAGTCTACCCAGCAGTGTTGTAAGGAGGAACTATACCTCGACTGCTACAAACAAAGCTCATCAAGCATCAAAAATTTCATCAATGGCATCTTCACCGAGTATCATCGATGCTGCCAAAGCAGAAACAAAAAAGCCGTCGAAAATGAAAACCCTTACGAAAAAGTACGGTGCTGTCGGCATCATCGTCTATGTTGCTATAGGCTGCATCGATTTAGGAATAACTCTTGGAGTCATACAGTTAGTAGGACTGGATAAAGTGAAGGCATTAGAAAGAGCTGTTTTGGATACGCTTTTTAGGGCCAAAGATAAGTTCGGTTCCAATACTAATGCTACTGCTTCCAATGAGACAGCATTAGACTCTATGGTAGAAAAGAGAAAGGAAAAGGACGATAACAGCACACCATCTTTTGCCTCTATCTTCATATTAGCTTATGGTATACATAAGACGTTACTCTTACCCGTCAGATTAGGTATCACAGCAGCTATTACACCGGCTGTAGTTCGTAAAATACATCAATTAGGTTGGGCACGATACTTCCCCGGCCTGAAAAATCTTAGTAAACCGCATCAAACACCAACGTCAACAATAAAATAACAATATGACCATATGCAATGTGTAAATAATACAATATAAAACCTTCCTTTTGGATTAATCATTGACTGTGCCTGCATTCTATTTTCTTAATTTGATTTATGTGTTAAAACTGTAATCATATTTCATGACATTTTTGTAACTCGCTCATTTATTCGCTTCATACGACGGTAATCAGTTCGATTGTTTACGATCAGCTTCTGTAGGGCAATAGTCTTTAAGGGTTGAAGCCCAAGTGTGCATTCTTAGCTTATAGGCCAAAGGCAAGAAAATAGTATTCCATAGCGACGAATTGATATGTTTGTTAGTCCACTTTTAGATGGGGAGTAATATCCTTGTTATTACTTTTGCCATGTATCAGTGACCCGATTTGTTTCGGTGAAACGCAATACTTTGTGGTTGGCATGCTCAACTTCATTGACACTTTTCTCGGATTTTGTTTGAAGTCACCCGCTCTTACCTCAATCCTTCAGCGGAGAAGGTACCAACTTTGATATTAGCAGGTGTGTACATCACGCCAAAAGGGCTCTTCTCAAGAGAACTGTATTTTTTCAGCAATTGCAGAAAGTTTGAATATAGCCTAAAATACATCGGCAACTATAATTCAGAAATCAGCAATACTTTATACCAACAATTTAGCGACACTAGACTCTTTTTCATAATATATCTGGTAACTCAGTCATAGGGTAGTTTAACATGTATTATTCCATTAAGTTGCAATCGGCAACTGTAATGTACCATTCTAGACTATCATAAGAGTGAAAAATAAGACGTCTTCCAATATAATAAAAGAAAACAGTAGAGCACGTACAAGCCTACCTTTTTTTTTGCACAAATGTTATTTCTGTAGTAAAATCTTCTATCGCGTAATTCAAAGTTGAGATACTGTGTTGGTATTGTATTGACCCCTTGAATCAGTTATACATAGCACAACTGATAAACGGCTTATCAAGTAAACATCTGTCTCCTTTGTTCGTTAGGGTATGTAAAGGGTAGTGATCTAATTGTTGACAGAAGAATCACTCAAGATAACGCGACGGGAAGTGGTGTTACTTACAACTCTGAACAGAGATTACAACAAGATAATAAAGACTAGTTTTATTGATACAAGAGTAAACTGTAGGATCCAGGAAGAACAGATAAAAGTCACTAAAGATATTAATCGAGAGGCAGGCTATATTTATAAAGTTAGAAGTGAATCCTCTCTAATGAGAGGCAATCCACTCATCACAGAGTACATGCATTCATATTCTACAGTATAAAGTAACGGATGCTTACTGTAAATTGAATAACATGGGGTTTTTTTTTATTTTTGGGGTTCAATGATACCTTTTCATTGCTCCAATACAATAATAGATGACAAAAAACATCCCCAAAGCTTAACAATACAGTTCCAGAAACACCTCACGAAAATGCCAAACTTCGCAAAAAATTGCTGACTGTGAGATTCGAACTCACGCCTCTTGCGAGACCGCAACTTGAGTGCGGCGCCTTAGACCAACTCGGCCAAATCAGCAGATATTTTGTTACGGAGCGTGGATTATTCAAAAATTACATCAGCAGCATCAAAGATCGAACCGGAAAAAGAGTCTGGTGGACCGGACGCCCGTAAAGTCATGCTCATCTTTTGGTAAATTCTTATTGGAAGCGGAAATTAAATGATACCTCGTCCCTGAACTCAGAGTGATGATCCAGTATAAAACGATAATTAATTCTTTCGGATAGTTTAAAAAGGCTTTTACGAAGAGATTTGATATCTTTGAACCTTGATTTTGAATAGATAGAAAACCTTAAGTTTAGTTTTGATAATATATTTATTTTAGCTAGTCTTATTATTTATTTTTTTGAGAAACACTGATTGAAATTGAATAGAAACTGATTGAAAGAACTGAATTGATTGAATAATTTTAATAAGACAACTCTTGGAAGAAAATACCAGTCTCGGCTAATAGAATTCAAGCGTAAAACTACTATATGTATATCATCAATTCACGAACTAGCACCGCAAACGTATCAATTTTGATACAAGGAGTGGAGTGTTAGTGTCGTATTTGAGGCACAATGGCAATATTTTATGAGTAAATCACTCAAGACGTCTAACAAAATGTAAAATAAAACTTGATCTCAGATATGAGTACTGCTCATAGCTTCGTTCCCGTTTGGTAAGCGGTGTGTTCGATTGCATACATTTGAACCTTAGATCAAATGTATATCAAATAAAGATAAAATAAGAAAGAATATGGATTAAGGATAATTCTTATGTGAGATTAGCTACCTCACATAAGATCTGAACAAGTTGTCTTTATGATATATAGTTTACTTCAAAAAAGAACATCACCTTAGAAAATGTAAAAAAAGCTGAAGAATACATCCTAACAGCAAACAGTTCAATACACCGCCAGCCATGCAATCCTCCCGAATCGTGGCTTTCCCATAGTTCGTTTAAGTTATCTAGATTGAGCAAAAAGAGAAAATTAAGTGATTAATCACTATTATATGTATGAATAAACAACGCCTTATTTTCGGCTCTATTAAAATTTGGTACCTGCTTACATTCTCATTTTGTGATACGAGGTGTAGGAAGATACAAAAAATGTATCAGTTAAATCGGAGATAATTGCCGGACAAGTCATGTACGCCTAAAATGTAGGTCAACTGTAAAAAGACTAGTGTTCTTAATAGGTGACCGCTACCACTTCCATATTTGCTCTACCGTGTTTGACGTTTAGGTAGATGAAGGAGGAGCGACAAAAGTAAATGAGACAACAATTTTCTTTTGTCTTTCAGTTGAATCGAGCTGTTTACGAAAAGTGATCCATATACTCGTAACCATAGGAAACGACGAAAGACACAGGCCATTGTGGACAACAGTAGCCTTGACGCTGATGATTTTTTCTCACGTTTTGTCGACCCACTGTCGATGCCGCAGACAGACGACGATGAAGCCGAGATGTTAGCTTTTGGTTATGGATGCAAAATATTCAGCGATAAAGGAAAAGCGTCTCAGGTGGACAATGGTGATTACTTGATATTGTGGAAGAGCGTTGATGTTAACCGACATCGTACAATGAAGAGACCTTTATGCTGGATGGATCGTTATGACGCCCGACATCTAATGGAAAACTGGAGTGATTTGCCGCAAGCTCAGGACAAGAACATCAAGATAAAAGGCGGCGAAGCAGCTGTTCTAGACCCTATTTTTGATAAAGATCGGTATAAAGATTTGCATTATCATGAATTATACGATCCTGATTTTGTTAAAGGTAAGAAAGGTATTTCACCGAAAAAAAACATTTATCATGGATATAGCCGATAAGTAAGAGTATCTTTATGACAGATGATGAGAGCAGAGAACAAAGAGCTTGTATACCCTACAATCACAATAATGATAATGTTGATGACATTGGAAAAGAGCTTACTGACTTACAGAAAGAAATTATTGATCGATACAGTACGCCTTTGAATATGTCAATAGTAAGAAACAGGAAAACGAAGAACTAGTAACATGATAAATGTACTTATTTAGCTTTTTTCCTATAGCCTGAAAATCAGGAACAAATAACGTTGATAGAAGAAGTAGTTCAGGAGATCAAACATACAGCGAAGCATGCTGCTGATATCAATATGATTGAAATCAAATTTCAGGTGCGGAATAGCAACAACCCTTTATATTCATTCTTAAATAAGTATGATACACTATATCCATTTTACCGGCACTTATTAACCCTGAAGAGGGACACTTGTAAAAACAAAGCAATCGCAGCACAAGTACCATTAGTTGATTACGGAAGCAGTAGTGAAAATGACAGCGAGACTGAGGAAAGTGATTCAGTTAGAAAGGGAAATAAGCCTATCTCTTCGCCCGAAAATAAATCGCTGAAGGAAGTCATAGATAAAACAGCTTCCTTTATAGCCAAGTCACGGCAAGGACAGCAACTTCTTCAACACTTGAAATCAAAAAATAGAAATAATCCGAAATTCGACTTTTTAAAAGAAGGAAGTGTGCACCATGCTTACTTCCAGCAGCAATTAAAGAATTTGATGAAACCATACTTGTACGACGAACAGCAACAACCACGACAGAATTAAGGATACTTTAACTTAGAGATTACGTAATGGACGAATGATTCTTCTCCTTGTATGCCTCTTGTAAAAACGGATGGGGTAGTACCTGATGAGTTATTTAGCAGGCGATAGGCCTTTTCACATATTCACGTGAAAAGCCAGCATACTTTTCAATGCCTCCTTATCCGTTATTATTCAACACAGCCATTTCTTCTTTTTTCTTTATTCCAAACCCCCTCTTCCTTTTTTTTTTTTTTTTTTTTTTTTTTTTTTTTAAAAAAAAAAATCATTAAAAGCTACTTTTTCATTATATATACACTATTATGGAAGCCAATCAACAGAATATATCCAGACATAGACATTCAATAAAGCCTACTTCACAGCATCATCTTCATCACCATTATCATTCATCATCGTCACCTTATCCAACGTCTAACACATCATCTTGTTCTCACTCAAACGCGCCTATCAATACAACAAGTCGATGGCAACAATTAGTTGTAGGGGCAGGTTCAGCCGCAGGCACAATGTCAGCCGTTATTAGCGAAGAATCCATGAAATGCTTAAAATACTGCTTGAGCTGGTTGACCTACGCCATACAACATATTGAACAACAAATGAATATTTTAAGAAATTTTTTAGTTTCATTAGCCAGCTCGAAACAGCAACAGAGACAACAAGGACAACAAGAACAGCAGCAACGAGTGGGCTCGAGAGCAACATCCATTATAAATAGTAATGGCAGCAATAGCAGCAGTGTATTATCCGGCGTTAAAAAGGATATTGTAGAGACTTTAAGAAAAGTTGTAGATGTTATAACAAAATATGCTGGTGTTTCATTACCTGCTCATGCACGACAGGCTGTGCGAGGATTTATATTGAACTTGCCAGGTCGTTGGGCTATGGTGAAGGATATTCGATCAACAACACAAACACCTGTGGCATCACCACGATTGCCACCACCGAACTCACCTTCTACCTGCAGCACTAGTTCTAGATCCTCTTCTTTCAGTAGCGGAATGAGTAGCGATAACTTTTATCATTTGAATGACTCCGGCGGTGGTACAACAGAATATAAACAAGAAGAAGCGGCTATTCGATTATTAAGTTTCGGTCAAGAGTCTGTGGATATGTTGAATTCTGTTTCTCTTGTATTCTCAGATACAGTGGGTAGAGCTGAACTGTGGATTGATCGGTTGAAAATGGTGCCTGGTATTAATATTAGAGGCTCAGAAGAACGACAGTCCATGGAAGGAGGGACAGTACAGGAGCAAGAACAAGAACGTATTCAATTACCGCCTATTCGAACTCTAATTGACGAAAGCCGAGAAAAAAATCTTGGTTTCCCATCACCCATGTAAGAGAGTCATGACTATTCGAGAGGAAAGAAAAAAAAAAGGCTTGCCTTTAAATTGATATTGTTGTTATTATTATGGAGAAACCGAACTAAACTATTTTTTACGTATGAGCTGAATAAAGACAAACACCAGGCAAAAAATTAATAAATGTTAACAATTTTTAAAGTCTAGGCACAGTTTGAGTAGAGTCAGTTTAAAATGATGATGATCGATTGTATATAAGTAGGATAAAATATGGGAGGAATCCAAGTAATATTGATTGTGCATAGAATATCAAAGGAAATATACCATAGTCTACCTATGAATAAACTGCCAGCGAAGAGCAAGAGATACATTATTTTTAACGTTCTCATATTGCAGCGATACATATAGTATCTGTTGGAAAGTAAAAGAATTGATTAATCGAAGGATTTTGGCTTCTTATTCATCCTCCCTGCACTACTAGTATGATTGCTCGAATAGGAGGACTTGAAACAAAAGAAACAAGTTGGTTGTGGGGAAAGAAAAGAAAACAATTTAAACATAAATTAATTTTATCAAGTATGCCTATACACATGAGTACAATAAAATACTTACAGATGAACCATTCTGTAGCTGTTTCCTCTTTTTCTGCTGTTGCGATAGACTAGGTGAATGGATCTGTTGTTGCTGACCGAATTCATTCTCATAGAAAGACGCAGTTGTAGTCGAAGAACCTGAGGGGCTATCAGCTGCAACTGTATCTACTGAGGAAGCAACTGAAGATAAAGAAGGTGAGTTATTATTATTGTGCATATTATTCAGCCTTCGACTGGCCACTCGACTAGAAGTTCGACTGCCTGCTAAACCCAAGCATTTTTCCAAATGAGGTGCGTATCTGGAAGAAGCAATGGATTTTTTACAATTCACACATTCGTAAGTGGGTAGGTTCTGCACAGTATAACTATTTCCCCAAATGTCTACACCAGGTTTACGTACTAAATTTGAATAGTGGGTTAGAGAAATAGACAAGACGTACAATTAGCTTCAAAAAAGTGAGAATTACCGTAACATCTACACCTATGAGCGTATGCGTGAATACACAAGAGGAAGGAATGCCATTTCAATGCTTTTATACACAGGGTTTAACCCTTATTGCTATGTTATATTCTTACTTTGATTGACAAATTTGACAGATTGAATTTTGCTTTTTTATATCTTTATGTACATCAAATAATACATCATATATACATTCGTCAATCAAATCTTCCAATAAAGAGAAAGCCTAGTATTTTAAGGAGCTGTTAACATTTACAGTCGAGGTTCGTATCTTATAACCAACCCGTGGCACACATTACAACAGCTACTCTAGGTTTATCTGGCTTCTGCGCCATGTTGGGTATATGTTTTTGTAAATTGATATGAGTTTGCTCTAGCTCATCTAACTTCTTATTGCGATCAGTCAAAAGCTTTTTATAGTGGCTGAATTCATGCCAATATGGATATCCATTTCATTGTCGTAATACAAAATTTGATTATTAAGTATATTCTTCACAAATTTGCTTTGCAAGTTCTTTAACGATTTACGTTTGATTTGCGTCTTTCTGTAAATTTGCCATTGATCTGCTTTCTAACTGATCTTCCAACTTTTGCATACTGATCTCTATTACTGCTACAAACGAGGAAGTATGAAAGAGTACAGAAAAAAGCCCGAAAAAGTGAGGGGTTTGAAATTTAAAAATAATGGGTTTGACGAGATGCAATCAGCAGCCATTTCCAAGTGAAATTTTTAGTTAAATCAACAGTGAAATTAGTTTATTAGAAACAGTCTATTAAGGTAGTAACAAAAGCAGATAATGAAGAATAATTTAACCAATACAAGGTGTGAAGGTGGTGGTAGCAGCAGAATTTTGTTGCTTGTGTGCTTGGTCATCCGGACTTTTATCAGCAGCAGCAGTGGTGATGGTAGTAGGATGCTTGTTTCCAAAAATGCTAGTGAAATAATTCATTAGATAGTTTAGGGTAGGAGAAAGCTTGTGACCATTATTGATACTGTTATGCGAAATATTTCCGTTGTGGCTACCGTTAACACATAAGCCAAAAACATTATTATTACGTAGCGAAGGTTTGTAGTAATCCAAAAAGGAAATCTGTGCAGAATTGAATGCACCCTTTCTCCTATTCCGTATAAACTCGACAGTATCCAATGGTTCCATATGAAACAGTTCAATCAGAGCTATTGCCACAAGAACAGGTGCACGGCCTAGACCTGCCATACAATGAACAGCAATGGTAGGAGTTGAAATTGGCACTGGCTGTTCTCCATCTTGCTGCTTGTTTGATTGCACTTGCTCGGTGCAGATAGAGTTAAGGATAGTCAGCCATTTTTGTATGATGGACGGAGGTGGCTAAATGTATCAGATGATTTCAGCAGAATTAGAGTGAGAAATTATATCATCAGGGATAGCATCATGTAACACCTATAATTTTGAAATACCACTTACAATGCCTCCGTCTTTAAAAGGTAAGTCGTGAACTTGAATGTCTTGATCGACCAATGGCGTGATATCATAATTATATTTACTGTTCTTGCTGTCGTCATTATTGAATTGCTGACAACGTATAACTAGGCTCACGTTATAGCGGTTAAATTCTTCAAGATAGAATGGCAAATTACTAGTGGTAGGACAATCCAAAAGTAGAAATCTAATATTGGGGTGCTGATGCTTTTTATTATTTCTGTCGAGTTTGTTCGTTTCGATCAATGACACTGGTCGACCCATTGTTTCTGCAGCAGCAGTTTTATGTTGAAAACCGCTTTGATGATGATGATGATGACGAATCTTAGAGACCATGTTTGCTTTAAATATTAGCCTGGATCGATATCTTCAGGTTGTTCAACAGTTAATAAAGTTGTTGCAATGTAGTTGAAGCCGCCAAAGTGAACGTTAATAATTCTTGAAAAGTCGCTGTTGTTATTGAATAAAGGAAATCGCATCAAAGAAGAGAAGTGAGAAAGTAAGTTTCAGATAGGTCGTCTTGTACAAGTAATATAACACTTTCTATTCGTATTTAATTCTTTAGAATAAAGAAAAAATAAAAATGAAAGGTAAGTTGAAGAAAAGGAGGGAAAGAAATTAGTTTTGCTGTAAAATAAGGGAATATACTACTTACAATAAAAATTTTCGCTGGTACAACAATGTTGTGACAAAAGGCCGCAGCTGATATCTTAACCCCGCCCAATCAGTAAATCATCCGTCCTTTTCTCTATCGGCATAAAATTGACGGAAAACGTACTTTGATGAAGACACGAGTAGATTCAAAACTTGTGAATCAAAAATACAGCTTTACTTCCTTAAGCCTTTATGACATTAAAAATATTCAATATGATACAATATGCAAGATTTTCTTTGCACTTTCAATGTCAATACTGTGTGGAACACTTGCTAAACTGGCTTTAGCAATGGCTGAAATAGCCCTAAGACTTCGATGGACAAAGCTACATTTCACATACAATGTCTTTGTCGTTTTCGTCATTGTTGGTTTCAGTTTAGACGGAGTTGCAACATAACTGGTTGCAAGTGAACAATATTAGATAAATGTACTATAAGACTATAAAGTTAAATTATCACTGCTTGAAGGGGTAAGCGGATGCAAGGGAAAGAACGGGTAGCAGTCTACTTATGAGGCCCTTTAGTGTGTAAATAGTCTCTTGAGAACCGAGAAAAATAATAAAAAAGAAGATTTATTCGAGCAAGCCTCGGTACGCGATGCCAAATAGAGAATACCCCTAGTCAATATTTTTTTTTACTGCATTGACATCGCGATTCCAAAGTAATTTAACAGGTTGCTGATAAGAAGAATTAGTCATGCGAGGTATATGATGCTTTCAATGTGTCTAAGCAACTGCGTGATGTCTTGTACTCTCAATTACGTTAATCAAAGTATAACAACGATCTCTTCGCTTTAGTGCCTACCATAGTATTTCAACAAACATCGATTTTCTGATTTTTCCGGATAAAAGCATGTTAATCGTACTATCTGCAGCACGTCTATGACGTTGGTATAAACAGAGCCTCTCCTCACTGGTATTACAGCCGCAAAGAGACTATGATTCTTACAGTCTTGACACTTCATATGTTCTAAATGCATCCGATCCAATTCACAAAATTACTATTGTGTGCTATTACAATGTCTCTATTTCAATACAGATATTAAATTGGTTTTCTTTGGATTGTTTCTTATTATTTTCTTGACAGAATTCAATTTCCAAACAATAATGAGGGTATTGTTCATAGAAAGAACAAGATTATTAATCTAAACTGCCCAAAAGAAAAGAAAGCTAAAAGAAATACTTTCATTAATATGAATTGCTCAACAACTAACCTTCTTCTTTGAATATTCCAGGATTATGACTATTTTGGCAATATAGCACACAGGAAAGTATACTTCAAAGAGACATCTCAATATCTCCAATAAAGCATCTAAGCAGCAGTAGTTTTTTGCCTTTCGAAAAACAATATCACTACACTATTGTATTCAAGTATAGTTTGCTGAATTGGAATACAGCCCCAAACCCTTCATTCAGGTTTCATGGTTCTGAATTCTTTCCTTGGAATAGCTTAAAATGTTTTACTTGATAAAAAAGTATGATTTTCAGGCAAGAGATCCCGCTGAAGAATAATCAAACTTTTACATAGGAGGGGCCATTAGTTGGGTTATGCAATTTATGAAGGTCTACACTTCAGCCGTGCCTCAATCAAAAAATTTGGCTGGAGGTCTCAACTATAGATATTTGAAACACCGACACCTTTCTGCTTCTTTGCAGAAGTGCTTTTGCTCTTGTGTGTCTGTTTGGGCGGGGAGCTTGGATTATCAAATCTGATTTAATAAGTACTGAATTTTTCTCTCCCTCTTTTAATCCATATACAAAAAGATATTATATAATGGTATGGGCAACTGCCAGGCATACATATAAGAACTCTAAAATGATAGACGTAGATTGGTTTTGAAAAGTGATGATTATTCAGATGATTGAACGGATGGATGGATACGTATTCGTAACACAGATATTTATTATTATGACAGCCCTTCAAATTTCAAATTGACAGCTCCCAACATTTCAACATGTCGGCCATTGTTTGCACAGCTAGATCGGATCTTTCATTGACTCTAAAAATGAAAGTACACAGTTTACCAGTACAATTGCTGATTTTGTTCAATCGCTCATTTCATCGCGAACAATAGAAAATGATACTATTCAGTTACGAACTCTCATAGGTTTTACTGTTGGCATCGTACTCACAATTTCTGAACCGTTTTTCTACGTCTATCATTGTTTCAGCAGTTCTATTCTTATTATTGAATAGAGATTTTGTATTTACTTATTCGTTTATGCTCAAATAGGACTCTTCCAAGACCCCCGTTAAGCTCGCTAGAGTTACTAAGGTTCTCGGCCGTACCGGTTCTCGTGGTGGTGTTACCCAAGTCCGCGTTGAATTCATGGATGATACTAACCGTTCCATCATCCGTAATGTTAAGGGTCCCGTCCGTGAAAACGATATCCTCTGTCTTTTGGAATCTGAACGTGAAGCTCGCCGTCTTCGTTAAAAAGTTTTATATACAGTAAAACGAAATCTAATCAGAAATTCGCAACGCTACTAATTCACAACGTTGTATCAACAACAGCAACTACAACATTCTCATTGTTTATAGAAGATATATATCTTTCAGTTGTTTTCCAAATATATTATATAAACAGCGTTTTTCTATCAATCGTGGTTTCATCCAATATTCTATTTTGTTAGTAGAAGGAAAAGTTCCAATGATGCGATTATGACAAGGTTGGATTTTTGTATATTCAAAGATTTGGAAGAGAAAAGGGACTTCAAAGTAACTGGAAGTAGATATATGCATGTTGCTTCATGACTCATGTTTTATAGAAAAATTTCATATAAGCGCATCACTTGTTCAGAGAGGGTAGTTGAGGGATTGAGCAGTTTTATTTGAATCTATTCACAAACTATTTGATTATTTGCAAAAGGAAGAAGAGTGTGTTTACTTCATATGATAGCAGGAATGAAGTTTGTTTATCTAAAAGTGGTCAATGCTTGATTCAATATCTACCAAGTCTTCCATAATACGAGGCACTGTAGTACCTATTTGTTTCGTTAATTCCTTTTGATTATCCATTGACAAACCTGCGAAAGTGAATATCAAATCACCATCTAGCACTGCTTTGGTACGGTTGGAGGACATTCTTTGTTTAGGTCCTTTGATCAATCGATACGCTCTAGGATTTAGGCCAGCTACATGCTGTACATTGTTGACAAGTTGCCCATACATAGTGCTTAAACGCTTGAATGTCTTTTCTGTGATTGGGGTTATGACAGACAAAGAGCCACTAAGACTGCCGCATATACAGAAATGCCTTCGACTGTATTGCGGAGTAACACTACTGCAGGTGTCACCGCCACCTTTATTATTGTCCTTGTCTCCATCTTCATCATCATCTATATACTCAATTTGTGGTAGACGTACCATTGTTTGCACCTGTGAGCCTACATGAAAGTCACCACGACGCATCAATTTCTGACCACCAAAGGATTGCAAATCTTTTTTTTTTTTTTTTTGTTCAATAAAATGGTGGTTAGTTATATACAGGAGATTCAAGGAAATGAAGAAAAAGGAAAACACCTACTGAAAGGAGCATATTGGTACAAATCTACGTTTTCATTATCATCGCCGACAACAAGATAAAGTGACTTATCATCAATAATATAGTCTACACAACAGACTTCAAAAGATTGATAATCTTTTCCCAATAACGTCAATTTTGCTGGCTCAATCTACAAAATTGTTAGTAAGAGCAAAAACGGTATAATGGTTAATTACAGACAATTGCTATTTAAAGGAAATATTCTATATAGCTTTTACCTGGAAACCCAAGAACCATATAGATTTCTGCACGTCACCGATTAGAATAAAATTCTTTATAGAACTCATACTGGTGACATAAATCTGTACATCAATAAACGCGACGCCAACTAAGCTTTCATCATCTTCCAAACTATAAACAATGACCTTGGACCCAATACAAGCTGCTAAATGTCCACTAACGTTACACATTGCTGTCACTGCACCCTTCACATCTTCGGTATATAGATGTTTGAATTTGTGATTTGTTTGTGGATTATTTGGTTCAGGAACGACTTCAATTATATCATAAATATGTATCTAACACATATATTGAAATTGAATTAGCAAAATAATGGTAGACGAGTTTGGTTGGTGAACTTACCGATCCTCGCATAGTGGTGTCTTCGCCCTTCAAATAACCAGTTCCTACTACAATAAAATTCTTCCTTCCCGAGCTTGTCTGTTTTGACTCTAATAGTGCACAGTCTAATGAAATACACTGCTCAAACTCTTCAAACTCAACAGTGTCAACAATTTCCCATGTTACTGGGGATATCATGATCATAGAATAACGTTCTACTTGCGGTAGGAATTCACCGAGTTTTTCCCTTTCATTTTGATTATTTTGCGGTGGTGGTTGTTGGTATTGTTGCGAAGAGGAATCGTTTGTTGCTGCTGTAGGTGTATTCGCTACTTCGACGCCTTCTTGTCCACCACCACCTTCTTCTGTAGTTGTCACACATACAGGTTGTGGCGAAGATACCAACACCGCATACACCTTCATTACAGGATGATAAACAATCTTATGAACACTCTTTCCAAGTGGAAACTTTTGCATTACCCAGTCAAGATCGTACACCATTTGGCTGCTATTATTTTTCTCAACATTGTCATTGCCGTTTTTGTTGTCAGCAGTGCGTAGTCTTGATAATCGAATTGTGGCTTTGGCATCCAGGGTAATAAAACCGTGTTTACAGTTTACATTATGAAACTGTGTGAACCCTATCACCTCCTCTGTTTGCTGCTGGTGATGACGCTTCATAGGATGCACACGAACAAAACTCTTACATGAGTTAATAAGCCATGCAGGTTGCGTACCGGCCACAAACACACCTGTAAATCCTGCTACATCTTTGAAAGGGAAAAGGAGTTTCTTTGTAGTAGAAGCAGCTGTTGACTTGGATGTAGTGGAATCGTCTACCAAAGTATCTTCTTCTTGCTCTTCCAAGTCCACGTCAGGAATTTCAAATTCATCAATAATGATCTTTTTGTTCTTTTCTTTTTGTGAATCGCCCTTCGATTTTTTGGCTTTTCGAGATACATATTCATGATGTACTCGAGAAAATCGAAGCGCTAACCTATGCTGCTGCTGATGCTGCTGCTGTTGTTCACCCTGTGGGGATGTTGATGGTATAAAGTTGAACGCTTTGTATATAATGATATCGTTGGACTCCGTACGTACAACTAAATGAGGATATTTCCGTTCTCGTCCGATATGAGTCATTAATATTTCTTGAATTTGATTTGTATTGCTACTTTCCAGTGATAGAATACTAGGTGCTGTATTATTGCGTTTGTCTGCGAAATTATTGTTGCTGTTACTGTTGGCATTGTTAGCCGTATGATAGCTATCAGTAATAAGTTCTGGTGTATTATCGAGTTGAGCACAGACAAAGCATTCTTTAAAGTCAGGTAAACTATAAATATGCAAAACGCCGTCTGTCGTGTACAGCAAGCACCAATAAGTGACACGTGTGATTTGCATAATGTCACTGCTGCCTTGGTGAAGACTGACATTGGCTTCATCAATCATTTCGTCCGATTCTTCTTTTAAAGCTGGCGTTGAGACTGAAGATTCGAGTTTCATGCTATTTTGCTGTTGTCCGTGAAGTGAATCTACCATTGCATCTTGTACTGTTTCTTTTTTCTTGCCGTCATCCGTTTTTTGACCGCCATAGAGTAGCTCATCGTCATCATCTATATCAGCTCCATCAATTAAGTTCAGAGTTGCCTGCAGGGGCTTATGACTATTGTTGGACACTTTAATCTCATTATCCATGTCTTCACCGTATAGATCCATATCTACTTCGTCAAATTCTGTAGGTGCACCTGTATGTAATTTCTTGGCTAACTGGCCCTTGGTTTCTTCGTCTGCTGCTTTTCGTTTCTTTGATTGTTGTTGCTGCTGCTTGGATGCTGCTAATTTGACTGCTTTCGCTTTCTTTTCGGCTGCTGATCTTTCCGACACACTTGAAAATACACCCGTTGAATCTGCAAATATACTGGCAAGCAAAATGGAAGAACCCATTTTATTAATATGAGAAGGAATTGACATAGATGCTATATCATTGTTATTAATTGAGCCGCTACCACTAGCGTCATTGGAACTACTAGTACCAGTAGTAGCATTCATGGAATCTTCCCCCTTCAAAATGAGAATTTTATGATTATCCAACTTCAATAAAATATAGGGATCTTGTATACTGGCATCGACAATTTTAGGTCCACGTACAGGGATTGTTTTGAGTCGTTTTCCTTCTGGAGTTAACACCATAACCCCAGTTGCATACACTTGCACAATACGAGTCATGTTGAAAATAGTATCGACAGCAATGGTGGGGCCGCGTGTATAAAATCCCGTGCCTACGAGTTCTTGCAATTCATCGCCAGCTGATAAAACCAGCGTGTTTTTGATTTTACTAATAAATAAAAGTTTATCATAAATGTTGCTGTTATCATCGTTAACCAGACCGGTGTTATTGCTAGTAGAAACTGTGGTGGCAGTATCATTTATTGTGCTGTTCATTTGTTTTTTGCATTTGATGGACCAGATAGCCTGGCTATCTGCTTGTTTGAATGAAAATGAAATTTCGGGATGAATGTGTCTTTGAAACACACATAAAGCGCCATCCTTTCCACGTCCTGAACAGGTAACAAGTTCCAAGTCTGCCACAGTCGAAGTTCTCTTTTTCTGGTTCTTTTTCTTGTCATTTTTGCTGTTAACGTTTTCTTTATCTGCATCTATATCGTCCTTCGTGCTGTTGGATCGTATGTCTGCCTTTTGCCGTTTCTCTTCGATAGTGTCATCTTCACCTTCCTCTTCGTTTTCTTTGATTTTATCTATATTTTCCACATCACCAATTGCCATATCAACAATGGGCCCAGTATTTAACAAATGATCACATATCTCAAATTGCGAAGAAGAAAGTTGATCTGAAGCTTGCTGGCTATTATATTTCAGTAGTAACGAGTCTCCTACACGGCTTCCCAAAAAGATATACTCATTCGATTTAACGGTAGCCACGCAAGATGGTACGGACACTAATAATGGTTGCTGCTCATGTTGTTCTTGAATATGCATGCCAACAACTTTATTACCATCCATTTTCATCTGTACTGTCACATAATGCCCATCTTGCAAAAACAAAACACATTTACCCCCGTCAAATGCCAAAGCTTGAGCACCATCGAGAGCAAGTCCTAGTCGAGTCAGTTGAGGATCGTAGATCATACCAGGGAATTGTGTCAGCTTCTGTGTATAGCCATTGACCGCTACACCTAAACCGGGTGAACCTTGTGATACATGTAGAAGAGAATTTGCAGCAATGACAAGTACACCGGTGACAGGTTTAGGTAATGCTACGAGTTTGATGCAGTCATAGGGAAGTTTGTCAATCGAATAAATTATAGGGTAAATTTTTGCGGTTAGGTCGAGAGAAATGACAACGACAGAAACTGTATCTTTAACATTAGCGAGTCGTCTATTTGAAATGTCTTTTGTTAGCTTTATCTCGAACCCGTGCCTTTCTTTTTCGCTTTAAGTATGCAATACTTTACCCAGTCCATGTTTGTTCGGTTTGAAATAGAATAGCTAATGTCGGCTCATAATAATCGGCTAAAAATACCATGTCAATGATATTCTGTATACGTGAATCAATTGCTTTCAGGTCAATTATGAAGCTGGGTAAATAGGGCCATTTCCTAATTCAATATATGCAGATAAAAGCCGTTAATTGCTACGTTCTGCAAACGGAATCTCTAAGGGTATAGATCAATAAAATTCTTACTGTGCTTCCTCCTCATCAGCACCGTTCTCTATACGATCATCTCCTTCTTGCTGTCGAAAAGGTAGAACAGCTAGTTTATTATCGAAGAAATTCAATACAGCGCATCTTTGTTGTGGGTCAATATGAATGTTGGGTGGGTATGGGTTGGTTAAGAACTCTTTTTTGTAATCGTCGCGTTCGTAATAATGAATAGATACTGTGACGATTGAATTGGTGGACGGTGACCATTCTAAAAGAGACATCTTTTCAATACGAAGAATAATCAGTGGGTTAGAAATATTGTTTCCTAGATGTCTTATAAAGCATACATTACTTTTGCATCTTGAAAGCCTAACAACAAACTATCACAACCATCTTTTCCTCGTGGTGAATGAGTCCTTACAACGCCCATAGTAGCTATTGTACCATTCAATTTATATTGGGCTACTAATTCTAATCGACCCAACGTTTTTTCTTCCAAAGTCGATGGTTTCAATTTCGGAAAGATAAGCGACTAGAGGGATTTGACAAACGCATTTATCGTGCATAAATTTCATGAAGTCAAGTATCATCGTGCTGTGAAATTCACACTCTACCTTGTCTTCCTCTTCATTCAAACGATCTGTAGACAAATCGCGATCCATATCCATATCTTCTTCCTCTTTCACTGCATTTCCTAATGCTGCTGATCCATACACACCAGGCTTTTCAGTTGAAGTAGAAGTGGTATATTCAACAAATTCGTAAATCTGTAACAAAGAAGCTTTGGCTACTATCAAATTGATCGTGTCAGACGACGTAAAATAACCAGTCTCAACATGCTCAACAGTTTGCGGCGGGAATAACTCTTTGTATACTGTATAAGCTGACATAACTGTTACTGTTCTTTTGCTGCTTCACCCTAAAGCCTACTGAATTAGCTTTTTTTTTTTTTTGAGTACAGCAGAAGGATAGTAGTAACAGAAGAAGTTGCTTTCGAGCAATTTTCACTTCTGGCTTTAATTCAATTTGACAAGTTAGTCACAAAACAGACCCCACTTTCTGTGTTGTTGCTAAAGCAGCAATTTATGCGAATACCCGTCTTTCCTGATTTGACAGAAGAATACGAATAAACCGAAGTCAAAGTTAATGGGTTCTTTAAATAAATGAGCTCGCAACATTTTATACCGCCTGTGGTAAGTTCTACGTTTTGTAATGTTAGTATTAAACATAACTGTTCGTCTCTTGGTTCCTCATTTGCCTTTGCCTTTCAGAACTTCGGTATGATCGAAGAAGATCTTTATCGCTCAGGACAACCCAACGAATTGAATTTCCCATTCCTCGAGAAACTCGGATTGAAGACAATTGTTTGGCTTGCTCCAGAAGAGCCTAATCAGCGTTTGTAACATCCATAGAACCAAAGTTAAAAGAGAAACTTTTCAATTAAAACACTCAAACAACGCATGATCATGCTATTAGTTTGGACTTTATAGATGATCAAGAAATCCAATTACACCATTTAGGTGTTGTTTCTTCCGTTAACGCTTGGGATCCTATTACAGAGGAAGCTGTTCTACAAGCGTTGGAATTGATTTTGAACCCTTCGAACTATCCCATGATGATAATGTGTAATCTGGGTAGACACAGAACAGGTAAATCACAAAAGATGACGATGAAGGGAATACGCGCCTACGTTACTGATCTCATCGAAACAGGCACAATTGTAGGTTGTTTGAGGAAGTTGCAAAGGTGGAATTTGACGTCTATTTTTGAGGAATATCGTCGATATGCAGGACCTAAAGTCAGATTACTGAACGAGCAATTTATTGAACTGTTTGATACAGATTTAGTAGCTATACCAGAGAATAAACCAAAATGGCTGTAAGCATTGCATTCCAGATTGTTAAAAAGCGAAGAAAATAAGGCGAAATATAAAAAGTTTTCTTCCATGTTTCGATGCAGCACAAATAACTCCCTCAACATTTGTCTTCAACTGAACGTAAAGAATTTCGCTAGACTGCGTGAATACAGGATGACATGAATCAACGTATGCTAATTTGGAAACGACACTGTAACAAACGTTATCTCATTTTGTCACTCTATTTTTTGTTTTTAAACAAGCTTTTTATCACGATAAGGGCCACATCAGAGTATTTATATTTTCAGTGAAGTATAAGAGTATATATACTTATTTCCTAATCTACAATTGAAAAGAGAGCTGTTCAGGTACTTCAACGTGGAGTGGCATTAAAAGTGCCCGCTATGTGAACTGATAGCCATCATGAGTGCTGGTGGTAACAGCCTCAATGAATATAAGCAGCTTACTCACATATGTACATTAAAGATTGTCTTTATTAAACACACCATAATGATTGTCAATGTTAAGTACCTATAACCAGTACCTATAACCAGTACCTATAACCAGTACCTATAACCAGTATCTATAACCAGTATCTATAACCAGTACCTATGCATAGATTGGACACATTAAGACCAATCCTTCAATCAACATGGTTTCTATGACTCTGAGAGGAGGAATCAGCAGCAACAGCATAATATTGTGTTGTCCAAGTGCAAGCAAGTAAGTTTACATCACAACAAAATAGCGAATCAATCTAATTATTACAGCACTAAAAACAGTATGGGCTTTAGTCATTATGGACTAATAGACGACGCAAATAACAGTAAGTATATAAATCTGCCGTTCATAATTCAAGAGAATGGTTGAAACAAAAAAAAATTGTATATTGTTAAAGTTATTGACAACTTTATGAGACGAAGTCGATACTATCAATTTTTTGATATCATATCTATAATTTTTTGTTCGATGAATCGCAGTTCAGCAGGCTTTGATAGCCGATGATCACCATCTTCTATTTCATAAAATCGAACATTTTTTTGTTGGTTTCTGACCAAAAATTCTTTTATCAGTCGCGCATCTTCTATGCTGCAATCGACATCCTTTTGTCCGTGCAACATGTATATTGGTATAGCTTTGTCATAATTGATACCATTATCTTTTATCTGCAAACAAGCCTTCCGAGATTCGATCAGGAAATGCATGGGAATGTCGTAATACCCGCTTGGATCATACGTGCTTGGCCTTTTATATACTTTGATTTCGTTCTTCCTGTCAGACGGTATTTCGGAAAGCCATTTCTCAGTAACATCAATAGCGCCGCCAATGCTGAGAACTCCTCGTATTTTCATGTTAGTGGACATTAATAAAGATATCCATAATCCCATACTTGCGCACACAATATAATCAATATGGAATTCGCTCAAAAGATCAATACCATCGTTATACCAGTCGAAAATACTTGTTTCAGAGTCGAGGACAGAGTGATTCCAACTTAAGAATCCAAATTCGTGTCTTTTACATAATTGATAAACAAGGTGGGATTTCTTTGAGGTGATGAAGTCAGATTGAAAACCAGGAATAAAGCATAATGTCGGTTTGTGGTCTTTCGGCTTTACATACAGATATTGTATGTGATGTTGTGTTCGTTTAGTGAAGAACGTCTGTACAATGTCCACCGGTATCATAATGTTGGCAAAGCTTGGACAAGTGACTGGTGGGTAACCAAGAGGAACATAAATAGACAAATTTAAATACTTTTCCAATTGCTTTCTTTACCCTCCTCACAAATCAAATGTCTTCCGATTGTGATCAGTCACTGTTTCCGCTTTCTAAAAGAGAGGATAATACAACAAAAGCCAAAAAACAAGCCGCTGCTAACGCTTTGCAGCAGTACTCTATATTAGCTATTCAGTCACTCAATGAGTATGAAGTATGTGTTAACACTGTAAACAGTGAACTTTTACGATAAGCTCACACTCCTTCTTCTTCGCTAAAGAACCCAGCAAAGACAAGGCTAAGAATGATGAGGTAGGCTTATTGCATTCAAAAGGATTTGGGAAAGGAACCCCTAGCTGAAAATCTTCTAGAGCTTTGACAAATTTACCTGAAGACCACGGCAAAGGTAGATACAGCAGTAACCTACGGAAGAAATCTTTCAAGTAGTCAAGAATCATATTGGCCTATCATTGATTCTTAACTTCGCTTTCCTACGTTGGCATTGGGAAGATGGGTTCACTACTGTCAACTTAGCCCAGCACTTGTTTTTAGACATATTAGTATTAATAGTCTTTTGTCCACAGAGTTCATTTCATATACCCACTGAGTCCACATAGCAATTATTCATAAATAGATAATAGAGCGTAAAAATACGTCGCCGTCAATGCTTTTACACTTCTATAAAAAGGTTTATTCTAAAAGTACTAATACACAACTAATCTAATTGGGAAATAGAAGAGCTCTTACTAAGCATTATGTTCAAGGAAAGACGCCATATCAAATACTTCTTCTCCTGTCTTCTTGACAGCAACGCCTTTTTCCGTAACAATTGCAGAGATCAAATGAGCTGGCGTAACATCAAAACTGGGATTCCAAACATTAATACCGGCGGCTGCTGTACGCACACTGGTAGGTTCATTATCTTGTAAGCGAATACCTGAGACAGTTGTTAATTCTTCAGCTGGGCGTTGTTCAATCACAATATCATCACCACTCTTTGTCTTTAAATCAATAGAAGTGGATGGTGCAGCTACAATGAACAGTATTCCATGGTATTTAGCTGTAATGGCAAGTTGATATGTGCCGATCTTATTGGCAGTGTCACCATTTGCTGCCACGCGATCTGCTCCCACCACAATTGCTTTAACATTAGGATGCTGTTTCAAAAGAGCTGAGGCCATATTATCGCAAATCAAAGTAGCAGGTATATTTTCGTAGACTAATTCGTAGGCAGTGAGTCGAGAGCCTTGATTGTAAGGTCGAGTTTCTGTACAATAAGCATGGTGTAATAGGCCTTGAGCATGAAGATCACGAATGATACCCAACGCAGTACCCCAACCTGCAGTTGCTAGAGAGCCTGTATTACAATGAGTCAGCACGCTTATCTTCTCACTGTTGTTGCTGATGTGATTCTTTATGAAATCAGCACCATAACGACCAATGTTTTTATTATCCTTCACATCATCAACCAACATTTGCTCTGCTGCTTCTATATAAGCTGATACCAACTCTGAGGGTTCGCTAACTGAAGAAGCTTTTTCGTTGATCAACTTGGATAATTTTGCAGCTGCATCAAATAAATTGACAGCTGTAGGTCGAGAAGTTTTCAGATAGTCCAGGGAAGATTGTAAGAACTCTGCAACTTGTCCGACATTGCTGAATTCATTGTTGGTATAGAATCGAGTATAGACGTCGACAGCTAAAGACAAAGCAGCAACAATGGCGATGGCAGGCGCACCACGAGTTTTCATGGTTTTAATGGCAGCATGACCATTCTGAACATTGGCAACAGTTTCATAAACGGTTTCGTGGGGTAAAACAAGTTGATTAAGAATGCGAAGATCGCCTCGGGTATATTTAATTGCTTCTAAGGTCTTGTTGGCTATTCAATTTGACAAAGCAAAAACTATTAATTCCGCTAATGGATCAGATCAAAGGTATAAGGTAGCTCAGGCACTTACTGTTATCTGTCATAATTGTATTGAATAAAAAAAGTAACTGCTTGGCACAAAGAAATTTGATCTTTTTTTTTTTTTTTTTTTATCCATCCGGAGTCAAATAGTCGATTAGCCAATAATTGCAATGCTCAATAAAGGTCGCTCTAAAAGCCACCTTTACTGACTCACAGCTTCATTCTTCCATTTAAAGGATTGTGTATCACTGTGAAGAAAGAAATAATTATTGAAGCAGCAAACCTTCTGACGCTATGAGGCTTACTGTTGATAATATTACACATTTCTTTAATGATGGCCCTAATGTCTTGTCTTTTCAAAGCATTGAAACACAGCCCAAAAACATTGTGAAACCTTTCAAGCGCTTAGTGTATCTGGAGACTGTGAAAGGCTCTCAAAAGCTCGTATGTGATGGCCGAATGGATAAACTGAACTGCCTGACTTTTCTTTTAACGTGCCAATTTCTCGACTTCGATTGGATGGAAAAAAAACTCTCTAATGGCACGAAAAAACGGGGTGACTTTTGGGAAAAGGTTTAATTTTGTTGCCAGAGGGGGCTTGGTGAAGTGAGGGAAAAACTTTACTTTTCTCATACATTCCCTTTTCACATTCTATTTATCACTTTATCACGCCTTCATACCATTCATTATCAAATGGATATGCATAATATTGATGAATATCTTGATTTATCACAAGACAGCACTACAAATTTAGTAGATGACGAAACAGAAAATAGTAATGATGTTCCTAACACTGCAGATGAGAATAAAGATCTTGACTGGGGTGCAAACGCCAACAATGCTGATAATGGTAGCACTAACTTAACACCTGATTTAACCAGCACCACACCTCAAACAGTAGAAGCAGCGAACAACATGTTATCAACCAGCGATAATATAGACACTAGTCAAGATGATGCCATGTCCTCCGCCGCCGCTGCAGCCGCTGCAGCTGCAGCCGCCGTTGCCGTTGCTTCAAATACCCAATGGTTCACAGGTTTACAAGGAATTGATTTTAGTCAGATTATCAATAACAATGGTATGATGGTGCCTCCTGTAACTATTACGCCTGATTCTCTAACAAGACCACCACCACCACCTACTGCTGCACAAATTCAGCAACAATTACAAGCAGCACAATCGTTAATGACAGCAGCGAGTAACTCAGCATCCACTCAGCAGCAAGAACAACAAAACGTACAAGAAAAATCACCATCACCGGCGGAAAAGCAACCTGTTTTGAGTTTAAAAGAATCCATTGAATGTATTGCAGACGCAAACATTCCAGCTTCAAAAGATACAAACGGATTCCCAACATCCATGAGTCCTGCTTTGGACGTAGGATCAACCAATGGAAAATCTGCAGTTCGAGAAACATCTACAGTATCAATAACGAAGAATACTTCCACAGCTGATGAGGACACAGAAGAAAATAAAAAAGCTAACGAAGCTCCATCATTGCCGGAAAAGGAAGTAGATGATGTGGATGCGTCTACGACGGGTTCTCAAGAACCTGCCGGATCGTTCGCTACTGTTTCCAATATAAAACCAGCTGAAAAGGAGAAGGAAACTGCGGCAGGTACTGTTTGCCCTTCCGATGAAACGGTAGCAGCTCCGTCACCAGATACAAGTCAAGCTAGTATTGCTAGTAGTTCAAATAAGAAATCAGCAGCCAAAAAGGGAACAGCTTCGGGTAAAAAAAGAAAGTCTCGGAAGAAACTATATTGTATTTGCCAGAAGCCTTATGATGGTGAGCCAATGGTACAATGTGATAAATGTAAACAATGGTAAGTTTATAATACCATTCTACTTTATTATTAGCCAGTAAAAAACGGTTTAAATAACAAGATATTTTTAGGTTCCATTGTGAATGTGTTGGGTTTGATCCTGAGGATACAGATGTAGAAGATGATGCTGAATGGATCTGTAAAACTTGTATTGAAGGTAAGCTTACTTGTTTTTGTGTTGTTAAGGAGGCTACGTGGAATCTGTATGTACAACGGACCATATGCACACGCGCACACACAATCAAACACGCACACATATTCAACAGTTTTAAGTCAGTGATTGCATTTGGAAAAAAAAACAAACCAGAAAGACACAAACAGTTAACAAAATATTTTATGATGTTCATAATAAATGGTCTATCAATAAGAGTTCTCCCCTTCTCCTCCCCCTTATTTTTGTTAACGCGATCTTTCTAAGATCTACAACCTTGTCCATACATCGCTTAAATTTTTTCCTTAAAAATTGGGCTCTTTGGAATGTCGAAAGTGACATCTGTTAAGCGAATGTTAAAAGTGGCATCGCTATCTCTATACTCAAGCTGAAAGAAGATACAAAGCAGTTAGCAAAGGAAAATGGCAAGATAGTGTCTCGCTCAATGGTGTGCTTGGCGTGTGTCATCTGAAAATACGTTGTTCATACAGACTAAAACCTTGTCTCTTTTAAACAATAAGGAGCTTGAAATGGAATTTTGAAAGGTTGCTGACTGATATTTCTCATTTTTAGACAATAAAAAAGAACAGGAATCACTATCAACTGACAGCCAACAAAATAGTATCACAAATGTGAACATGACGGCAACTGCTAATGCTTCTCCTACGATAAGCGCACCCATACCCACACTTGTCAATCCCACAACCACATCTATATCAACAACACGGCAATCGAGAAGTGGTCGCTCACAATCTAAATGTTTATATGCAGGCTGCCAAAACCGTACGCGCGCCGATTCTTTCTGCAGTGATGTCTGCGCTAGAAAACATAATGAGGACTTAAACAGTACAACTCGTAATATGCGTCGTCATAGCTCTGCCGCCAATCGCATTCACGCCATGACTGGTGTGACACCATCAACAGCAGTTTCAAGTGGCCAAACAACCAACAGTTCTACTACTAAAGGGACAGAAGCCATCATAAAAAGTACAGGGATGGATATTGATACTGACAATGCCAATGTGGTAGACGACAATGAGGATGATGTAGCGATAGACCAAGATGATGAGAAGGACGAAGATGTAAAAATGGAGGATATAATTGAAGAGGAGGACGATGGTGATGATAGTTTGAATGAGGAAGATGAAGAAGACGAAGAAGATGAATTTGAATTCAAAGCCAAGCCCGTCAGCACTTCGCCTAAAACCACTCACAGTAAGAATAGAAGAAAATCATCAGCAACCAAAACCAAAGCATCTCTGGAGGGTGGTAAAGCACCAAGCGCCAAATCGCCTTCTGAAAAAGAAAAAGTAGCATCCTCCTCAGCAACTCAAACACCGAGTCAATCAGCATCACCCGAGGAAAATCCTATTCGTCGCAACGTTATAAAAAGTATGACGAATGTCTTGAAACCTATATTTGATGCTGCTCTGGAAAAGAACCCAGGGATGCTTGTTACTCCTCCTCCTACAGCTACGACAAGTACTGCAGCCGAAAATGCGGATGGGGAGAGTAAAAGCAGTGAATTATCTCAAAATAGAGCGGAACAGCTGGCTAGATCCATTGAAAGTGCTATGTTGGAACAATTAGGCGAGAGTAAGGGTGGGCACAAAGTACCTGGCGACCAATACAAGAGTAAATTCCGTTCTCTGTTGCACAACTTGAAAGATAAAGCGAATCAAGTCTTCCAATTACGTGTCATTACCGGAGATCTGACACCGGTCGAACTGACCGGTATGTCTTCTGAAGATATGGCCAACCCAGAGCTGAAGTCGAAGGACGAGGATATGCGTAAAAAGTCACTCAAAAACTCTGTTATGAAAATAGAAAATATGCCTATTATCAAAAAGACACACAAAGGAGATATTATTATGTTACCTAATATGGATCATCAGGAAACAGAAGAAAGCATGTATTCGAAGGAAGTGCAAGATGAACTACTAAGGATTTCCAACGCTTCTAGGGCAACAACAACAACAACAACAACAGGAGCAACAGATGATGATGGCGGAAGAAGTGGTAGTGGAACACCTATTAGTAGCAGAAGCCGTAGTGCTAGTTATAGTCAAACACCAACTCCCTCTGACGAAAAGCGGTTCAGCTTTGGAGCCGCCGGCGCGAAGGTTGATCCATTGAACAACATATTGTCCCGGTTAGGCGCTGCCAACAGTAGTGGTAGTGATAGCGATGGTCCTTCTTCTACCAGCGGCAACGCAACAAATAAACGCAGTAACTCATTGCTCACACCTAGTACAGAAGAAGATATGGAAGCCAAAAAGAGAAAATTGAACGAAGATTTGGAAAAAATGTTAGGAGAAGATGATGAAACGCCTTTTATGGTAGAAGACGTCGTCCCTGAGGATACAACAGAGTCAGAAGAGATAAAGAATGTCAGTGAACCTGTCCAACAACAGCTATCATCTACTATCTGGAAAGGCCGTGTCAATATGCCTCAAGTTGCAGAGTTCGAGGCTTCTGCTCGTCAAATCGGTGGTCGTATCTTAAACGAAGAAGAGTGGCAAGAAGTCCTTTCGCCAAACATGTGGATTGAGGGACGCATCCGCACGGAAAGCGTTACTGATTACGTTACACAAACCCAATATTCGAACAGTCGTGAAATTGTTCTCATTGAAGTAGAAGCAGAAGGAGGTGATGACAATCAAGAAGCACAGTCGCTATTGCACTATTTGGAATCACGAAAACGATATGCTGTTGTTGGTCATAATAAGACACGTATTAAAGATTTCTACTTGATACCACTTTATAAAACACAGGAAATTCCCGATTGTTTGTATGTTGTACGTGTAGAAGACAGAAAGAAACGGCCTGTGGATGTTTTTCTGGGCGTTTTAGTCTTGACGAAACAAAAGCTTCAACCTCATCATGGTCCATCGGATGGCACAATTACAGCAGAACCAACTGCTATGGATGCTTCTCGATCTCTCCCTATTGCAGTTTCTGAGGCCTCCACATCTCTTCCTACGGTGGAAACTACAGCAACAGTCCCTCCCATTTTACCTCCAGAGCTACAGTTCTTGCAACATTTACCTCAATTAGCTCAACTAGCTTCCCAACAACAACAATCTCACCAATCACAGCCATACCAAGCGTCATATAGCAGTTATCAAGCAGCAGTAGCACCAGTAAGCCAGCAAGCTTATCAACCTTCATATGGTTATCAAGCAGCTCCAATTGCTGGGTCTTCCAGTATTAACACAGGTAGCGGATACCAACAAAATTATAATCATTCTCATCGACCACAGCAACGTAATCAGCGCCAAAGGAGCAATAACAATAACAGACGCCACCATTACAATAATAATGTTAATAGTAATGGTAATAGCTATCATCCCTCTTATCGAAAATAACTTATACCTCGTACACAACTTATTGAGCCCATAAATAAAAAATCATCTCCCGTTTCCTGAAAGGGACGGGGCCTACTGAATGTAGTTATATTAGGTTTTCTTACATGTATTTTTTTACATACACTAAACTAACAGAATCTACATGTGGATTCTATGAAACTGCATATGTTGATAAAATAAACTTATGAAAATTAGTGTTTAGCAATGTGTAATTAAGTTTGGAATATTTGGCTTAGCATGCTGTAGAGACAATAGATGCGGCACAGTCACCTTTTTAGGCATTCATTTGAGATGCTTAAAGACCTAGACATTTATTTCAAGCAGGAAAAATAAAATCAGAAACTGCATTAAGTAAGAATTATCAAATAGTAGAAAAACAATTAGATTTAGCGAGAATTCTTGCAATCTATACCATGTCAAACACTTCTAATTATTGCAAAAACTAAGATGAATGATGTCCGAATTTAAATTTTGTATTACAAACGATACAAAGTTGTAGAGAACGGATAACAGTATGGTTAAGTCATCTTTAATGCTTTTTACCCTTGATATTATTGTTACGCTTCTTTGTGGTGGTAAGAAAGTGAAATAAGCTACTATATGGACGAGAACCTCCTAGAAGAATAGTAGCTGCAGTAGCCTTTAAACCTGCGTATTTTTTCTTTTTCATTGAACTTTTCTTGCCAAGCTTATGGTCGCCCCCATCAGCAGCATTAGTGCCAATAGCAGCCGTAGTAGTAATATCTGCTGTAGCAGTACTATCAGCTGCAGCAGTTTTGGTAATAGCATTGAGGGGAATCACAGTACCGTTAGACGATATCAACACAGTACGCTGCTGATAAGTTCTGAAACGGCGCATCTTCACTCTCCAAGCAACTGGATGAGAGTGATCAGGTATATCGTCCATAGGTGTGCTCAATAAGTAGTACATATATCGTGTATGTCGGAACCTCGTCTGCAAAATTGGGACATCATTGAAATTCTTACAAGTATTGTAATCAAACAAATCTGTTGCCATTAGTCGCGACAAAATATCGATATGATGATGCTGTGTCAAGGGTGGCGGGACCTCCGGATAGTGCTTTTCGAAATCAAAATTGCATTGACTTAAGTGGGATGCATGGCTATTGTCATCACCCAGGCGCTCTTTTCTAATTATATCTTTCAATTGTTGGGTGGTAATCTGCTCAGGGGCGCGGTTGGATACATGGCTTTGTGGAGTCTTTAGGCTCGGCTGCTCTCCTCGATGCTTTTCTGCCTTGAGGCTGGTTTGCCCGTTGTTTCTCTTTTTCGCACGTTGTTGAGAAAATCGCATAGCAGAAGGTGAGACAACGGATAATTGCTTACAACTACCCCCAGTAGATGGTTTCGGTTCATAATGCATCAGATGCATAAATGCATTCATCTCGCTCAATGTTGTTAGGTCTGCCTTTCGAGCTTTTCTACCTGTTAGAGCTGTCAATCGTTGGTAGAATGCCTGTCCAATTTTCAATTGCTTCGTTTCCAAAGTGTGGTATTTATGCTTTATGGTTGAGACTTGCTCACTCTGTTCATGTTCCTTCCATCGCAAGCGCTTATTCGCTAAATCCATCCTTATAGCTATCAAGTCGGCATTATCTTTGCTCATTTTGAGTGTTTGCTCACATTGCTGGATGAGCGTCTCTTTTTCGGTTTCCATCTTATTCTTGAACATCTTGATATGCATACGTTGGGCCAGAGGATAGTAGTTGCTATAGCGAATTTTTGTCATTGTGGCCTTGTAGGTCTCTGAGAATTGGATAATAGCAGGTTTTCCATGTTCCCAAACGATTTCATCTGTCAGTCCTTTGCTTCTTATGACTGTTGTATCTGATGAAGAAACAGTTGAAAGGTTTTTGATGATCTTTTGGGGATCAGAAGCTGCCACTTTAGATAATTTTTGTAAAGTCTTGGCTGCATCGCTCATTCTCTCGTTAAATATGGTAGGTTGATTTTCACTTTTAGGTTGTTGTGGTTTCCCTTTCAATCCAGGCCGTGAGGTCACTGAGGTTGCTGGTTTCGCGTCTGGTAAGAGCATGGGTGCTCGTGCTGGTGCTGATACCACTACCGGGACATTATGTATAGGTTTCAATTCGATCACCCTCAAAGGCGGCTTACCCATGGCCGTATCAATAGGGTTTAATTGCGGACGTTGCTTTTTCGTAGTGGAAGGTGGAGGCGGCTGTTGTAACGACTGTACTGGGCCTAGCGGAAGAAAACCAGCTTCTGCTAACTTTTCCATATGCTCTTTGAATAATTCGAGATCAGTCATTGAGCTTCTCTTGCTTTTCATCTTTAGGTTCAACTGATGTGTGGCAATTTTCATTTCAAGACGAGGTGTTAAGTTATGGCCTCTATTGTTGGATAGAACACGGGTAAGCATAGGGCTGCTCACCAGATGCAGCTTCATCTCGGAGGAGGCATCGCTGGAAGGCGTTATAGGAGTACTGTAGCGCCTGTTCACTGTTGGGATGTCGTACGTTCTGTTAAAGTGCTCTTTTATTCTAAGCAATTTCAGACGAAAATCTACCGAACTCCCAGTACGTTTTGAGGTTGTGGGGTCTTTGGATAGATCAATTGACATTATTGTATTGATGGAGCTGATGGAAGACGATCAACTTTGAAAGAATAAAGAGAGACAGAGCCACCAACTACTATATTTATGGGGGATAAAAGAGCAGGAAAAGGAAAGGGTAAGAGAGATGATGGATATATTTTTTAATTTGGTTATAGTCTCTGAATGGTGGTATTCACCGTATCGTGATTTTACAGAAAGAAGGAAATAAGGACCAAAATGGTTAAAGCCTACGTACTAAAAGGTATCAAAAATGGAACAGATTGTAACTTATTAAGCGAGGAAATAACAGTGAAGTACTGTCTAGTATTGCTAGAATTATTTTTGAAATGGCTTGACGGGATTGCTGCGTACTATTGCTCATTTCTAGCAATGGGTTGATGGGTTGATAATAAATAACAGATATGGTACAGTCATCTTTTCTAAACTATATGAACTTCCAATCAATATTACAAACACCCATAGACAATTGTCCACATACTGCTTCAAATACTAAAAAGAAAAGTAGTGATGTTAAGATAAACTCTCAAACAATCAAAAAAAAAAAAAAAGAAAACCTCCTAGAGACATCATAAAAGTTATTTTACCTTTCGGTGACATGTCAAGCGCACCTATTTTTTTAAAGGGCAAATAGATGGATTAGTTTCGGGGGATTTTTTATTTTTTTGATCGGTGTATAATGCCCTCGGAAAGCTGACAAACGACCTACCTCGTTTACAAGTAGGGCAAGTATCTACTATTCTAGCTGTAGTGGTGCCTTTTTGGCCAGTGATGGCTACCATCTTGTCACATTTCGGGTTTACATTGGGGTTACCACCTAGTTATTCGATATGAAAATCTTTGTCAGATGGTTATTTCATAGTCAAAAATGAATTTGTCATCATCTCTTACCGTTAGCCATTTGTTCTGAGTTGACTGCAACAACAAGTTCATCGTCGGTATCGTACTTGCCACAAGAGCCTAGACCCACTTCGTAATAAGTACCTCTGCCGTTGAATAAGTTTTTGACTTTAGAGAGTATAGGTTTTGCATAATTAGATATGAGGCCACGTTTCTGCACCGTGAGAGGGGTGTTTATTAGTTCACTGCTGGTGTAGTCGTGATAGATGGAAGCCGCTGAACCATAGGGGACAAAATGGCTGAGAAATGTGATGAACAATAAGGCTGCGAAAAGAGCAGATTTAAAAGATTCAAACATGTTTTTCAGGGAGTCTGGTTCTATTGATATTTCAAGAAAGTCTGAAGAGCAAAGTGAAGGCAAAAGAAATGTGAAAATACAGAATGCTTGAGCATTTAAACTTGAATGTCATTCGTTGCCAAAAGTTATATCTTTTGTATATATAATAGAGATAGAGAATGAGATTTAAACAGATCAAATATGTGCATCATACAAAATTGACACACCTCTACCAAACAACAAAAAAGGCAAACCCCTCATTCCTCACTTATTGTTTGTTGTCCCCTTACTGCAACTTGCGCACAGACGATGGAAGTGACTCAAATATGGACCACTGGCTAATGTTATATTTGACTGCAGTCATTCTTTTATAGTGACAATGCCTATAGCGTTCGTTTTGAGCAGAAACATACTTTACCATCACTCCCTTGTTCGCAAGCGAAAAAAAAAAAAAAACCAAAAAAAACCAAAAACCATACTGTATGCCATTGCCCTGCCTTCATACGGATTCTGGATGTGTAATTTTGAAATAAACTAATTAACATGCATGTAAATAGATACTTTAATTTTGTCAAAAATTGCTCTTTATAAATCGAGTTCTTTGACGAATGATGACTTGACTACTGTACGTCTATGTGCTAAATGCAATTCTAAAGGTATGGCACGTAATTCCTACAACAAAAATTGAACATCATGCAATCATAATATGCCTAAACTGTCTATAGGGTTTTTTGTTTTTACAACGACTTCCATGCATCCATTAGAACTTGAACTTCTTTTTCTCTGCGAACGGCGATTCTGACAAATGTATTACATTGATAACCAGGCTTACCGCTGCGTACAGGCACACCCGCCTTACGAGCGAGATCTACAGCCTTTTCTGCTCTTTCTTCATTTTTCATATCCAACCAAACCCAGCTCAAGAAGGGCTCTCCATGATAATCCCAGTTTTCGTAGCCCAAAGACTTTAGCTGATGGATCAAATAGGCTCTCAATGGCTTTGTCTTTAGCCATGTTTCTTCCAGATAGTCCGTGTCCTTTACTACTTGTTCTACAAATTTCAATGCGGGTCCATTCACAGACCATGGCACTGCTATTTTACGTAAAGCTTCGCAATGTTGAGCGGTAGGACAAATGACAGAGCCTACGCGTAGGCCTGTACAAGACCATATCTTTGTCCAGGAATGCATGACGTGCACAGAGACACCATAGTGAGTGTACATTTCTTCAATGTAGTCGTGTTGGGTGATAAGAGAATCATGCCTGAACTCGGAAGAGTGCCAAGGTTGCATGGATTCATCCACAATAACACAACCGCCAGGATTTACATTGTCTCTGATCCATTCTTTGAGCTGGTGTATAGACAAATAGTCACCGGTGGGATTGCAAGGATTAACAACACATAGAACATCCGCCCGATCATGGAAGGAAGGGTCCTTGATGTCAAGACCGTGTGTTTCAGCACTACGTTGGTACTCCCTGTACTAAACATTTTATTTTTGATTGGAAAGAAAGGTAACAGCTGTCAGAGTCAAGTAGGCACTCACACATCATGGAACGGATTTTTTTGTTGCTTTCTACAGAAATGGGGGGGGGCGGTTTTCTTTTTGAATGCATTGTTTACCTGAACGTTCCAGGGACCGCCTTTCCAAGTCGGCTTTTTCTGTCCATTGTTTGGTTCGTTAAACTTGTGAAATGTTTCCAACGCTTTTCGGATGACAAGGTCGATCAGTTCAGAAGCACCATTACCTAAAAGCAACCGAGCGTGATGTTTTTTGTATTCTGTGCCCCAAAGGAACTCGGCTAAACAAGATTTGGCTGGTTCCTGGTCGGCAGCTGGATAATGATGAATCTCATTTATCTAAGGATATCATCAGTCATACGTTTTGAAGTCAATCCGTTTTGAAATGAACCTGCACTTACAGCATCTTTGGCTGCTTCCAAAGCCTTACGAGGTGTTCCAAGATAATTGGTAGTGACGCTAAAGTCTTGAACAAAATTATTTAAAAAACGGTGTTCCTGACCACCATGGAAGGCTTGCGTTTTGGTATCCCAAACAGTAACGTTGCTCTGCTCTGTCTCATTTAAAGCTGTTGTCACCATATCAAGAAGAGATTTTACTTTGTAAAAAAGTTTGATATGAGAGAAGAAAGGGCGATGAGGACAAAGGGAAGAAAAGGTAAAAACATTCCTTTTTCTTTTTTTTTTATGGTTAATTCTTTGTCCATCGGTTTTGTCCTTTTCCCTGTGATCCCCTCCCACCTTGATCTTAAATTGATTGGGGGAGGTTGTTGTACGTGTTAGCTTAAAATACGATGCGGGACATTAAATCCATCATGATGAACATGTTGGTATCTGTGCGTCATAGTCTGGCTTAAGCGTCAATGAACTGCAATCTTTGGTAATAGGCAGCATTCGTTTTACCTGGACATTGCCTTCTATTGAATGTGAAAGAACCAGATGTTGAGACATAGGATGTGTCCCAAAAAAAAAAAAAGCAGATCGTCTCGAACGAACCTGGGTTTTCGACATTCCCCTATTGATGTCGCCCTATTTACATAAGCAGAAAAGGCAGGTGGCATATGCTCTTGTTCGTCGTTCCAACAGTATGTCTTGAATGCAAGTTGTCTGCTGTTTTTTCTTTTGAAATAGAACGTATATGTGTGTGTGGATGGTCGTTCCTAAGATACACACCTATCTCTCATCCATGTTGCACAATTTCATTGAGATAACCTCAACAACATCAAAATAGGGTTAGTGTTCCAGAATGGGTTGTGCAATTCAACCCTTTTCTGCTTTTATTCATGTTAAAGTAAAGAATGTACAAGTTCTTGTTGATAGGTAAAAAGTAGGAATTCAATGAGGTTTTACGCTCATCATTTCTAGGCTATGTACAAAATGTCAAAAAGACAAAGCTCTATCACTTGTTGTTTGCAAATCGTTCCGTTGCTATATTTTTCAAAATCTGAAATCTTGCTCTGCTTAGTTCCGTTTCTAAGCCTGGTACGTCCAATTGGTCTACCAAGTATTTAATATGCTGTTGGTTGAGTACGCCGTCTATATCTTGGGCCAAGCTACTTGCTAATTGTTGATGGGACGGCACGGCATTCCTTTTCTTTTCTGATGATGGTTGATAGGCTTGTTCGAGTTCTTTCGGGAAGGCGATGTTCTTTGCTACATTGAGCTTCAGCGATAGACGAGCGCCATTAAAAAGTGTGTCTAACTCCATGTCCTGTGTGTATTTAAAAATGCTTCTGTGGATACTGCTCTTCGCTTCGTTTTCCCTTTCTTTCTCTCCGCTGCTGCTGTCTACGGCTGTAGGTGTACTTGACATCAAATGCTGTAGGTGCTCGGCTCCTTTCAGTGCTTTATAATGGCTGTATAATCGGAATAAATTATACGCCAATGGTATATTCGGTATCAGAGGAACGAGAACAAATGTGCAAGCGATAGGAACCCAGTAAGCTGAGTACCACATGTATTTTCTGTGGTAAGGGATACGATATTGTAACAAAGCTTCAAGATGTTGATGGATAAGAGATGGGTCTAATAAGGAGGGATGATGAACAAGGACCTATAGTAGTGTATCAACAACGAATGCGTCAATGATTTGAAATTTATTTTGCCCCCCCCCAAGTCTTGGTCCTATCACAGACATCTTTTTTTTGCTCAATCTATCGATACCTCGTTCAAGGGTTGTTGTAGTTCTTCCTTTGCTGGAATACTTTTCAAAAACCATTCCTGGTAATCCAACTGATTCATAACATTCGTCCCTTTGACGTACAATTTCTTTTTCCAACTGTCAGGCTCAGCTTTATCAAGATTCTCCCATTTCTGGCTGGACCAATCGACGATCTTGGTCAATCTTGAAGTGGTGGGCAGAGTGGAATGACAATAGTAAGCCCAGCGATCTTTTAAAATAGGGATAACATACAAACGCATAGTGTGTTGAACCGAGTTGCTGGGATGTATTTCAAAAGAGAAATGAAGAATAGATCAGTTGTAGGAAGAGTGGAGGGAGTGGGGGGAGTGGAGGGGGGGGGTATTTAAGTAGGCTTTGAGACGAGATCACGTCGTGTGGATAACGAAATGAAGAGAACCCACAATAGATAAAATAGAAAAAAAGATGCAAGCTTAGACTGAACTTCTTCTCTCCACTGCTGAGCTCATTACGACGTCATTTCCGTTTGCTTTCCCCTGCTTTCAGTTCAATGATACTTTGTCTACACGAATGAACGAGACCATTTAAGCTCATGTTACAGATAGTCTATTGCTAAATTCAACTTTTTAAACAGCAAACAGCTTCAATGGCTATATCATGGATCAAGTTGGCCATTCAGCATATGGATAGCCCCCTCTGTGTAACTTTCATCGAATCAAGTGCTTTGATTGGCATTCTACGGATGGCAACCATTGCAGGCTTGTACGCAGTCGCTTTTCGTGTCGGGCTTCTTTGTATCGGATTGCTTCAACAGTAAAATCTCATGATTTCAAATTGACCTTGGCAGTACACATCTTGAGGAATAAGATAAAGAATGGTGTCAACCCACTTTTTTGACTTCCGGCAGTACGGCGCGATTGCTTTTCTTTTTTTTTTTTTTTGATCTGTCGCGTACTTTTGAGTCATTTACAAAAGCTGTTTTCTCTGTTTCTTTCTCAAGCTATTTTCCGCTGTTCTTGGATTAGTTTGCAGAAGGAACAAGGATTCCAACTCTTAATGCAAGACGTAACATACGCTGTCATAAATAATACGCCTTTTTTTCAACTGGAGTGAGAGACGTGCCACTCCTTTGATAAAACATATACACACATCAGCTGAAGGGGTACGCATTATTTCGGTAAAGAAAAGGAGAGATAGGCATCTTGCCCATCTGTATTATGTACGTTGTATGAGCGTTCAATGATAATCGAAAGCTAAAACATTGAGTTGATTGGGTTTTCTTTAACAAAAAAGGCAGATAACTTGACAACTCGTCGGAGCAGCCAATAAAAATGCCGCAAAATGCAGTATGATTCTTTTTTTATTTTATCATAAAAGTTCAGAACATATTGGATGCATAACGCTACTTTTGTTTCTTTGTTTCCCTTCCTCCCCCCCTTTTTTTTTTTTTTTTTTTTTTTTTCTACCCTGTGATTTCTTTTTTTTCTTTGTTTCTGGTTGGTTTTTTTTTTTTTCCTTTGCTTCATCCGTCGCTCATAAGAGAGTATGGTGACAACAGAGACCCACAGTGACCTACGCATCCTACCACTTCAAAAAGAAGAGTACTCGAGTAAGACAAAGAAAGGCTTTGGTTATTCACGTTATTCAACAGAAGGGTCTAGAGAATCCTCGTTCATTTCACGACGAGAAGAGCAAGAGGAGAGCCGACGAGGAAGTGGCAGCAGTGGCAACAGTAACAGGAGGCCACCACAGGTGGGTGAGGACGATCATGAGGAGGACGATCATGAGTCCTTTGCCAGCGCTTTAGAAGGGAAAGAGAACGACAAAAAGCGGGTGCAAAAGTCAAGTAGCCACAGTAGCTCTTATGAAGCGGAAGCAAAAGACACGCATCATGCCAACGTCGATGGATCGACAGCAGAGAAGACGCTTCTTCCATCAGCGAAAAAAGGGGAGATGTCAGGAGAAGCAACGGACGAGGACGAGGACGAGGATGATATTTTGGGTTACAAACGCATGAATTTAAAAGGCGAATCAGAATCCGATAAAGATCTGATCATTTATTCTCTCAATGAATCACTTCAAATCTATAAAGACACAGTGGAGCGTATTCAGGGCGAAAAGGATGATCTTGAATTTCAATACGAGCAAACGAAACGAGAAGAAGCACAGAAGATGGAGCAGGAAAAGACGACGCTGACACAACTGAAAGCTTCTACGGAGGAAAAGCGGGCCACGTTGGAATCCGTGTATCAACATTTGATGAAAGAATTGGCGGCGAAAAATCTGGACTACCAGAGAATGGAGAGCCGATTCCATTCTCACAAAAATAAAGGCGCACAACGATCATCAGTGGATGAAGAGCAAGATGATGTGGATGGAGGCAAACAGATGAGTATTCAGGAACAGATCTTGACCTTGTTAAAGCAGGTGGAAGAACTTTGTCAACCATTAGCAGCAGCATCAGCAGCAGCCAATAGCAATGATAAAGGCAGCAGCAAGTCAAAGAACAGTCATCCAATGGTGATCAATGCAGCGAGCGATGTGAAGGATTATTTCAACCAATTATGGCCCGAAATGATGGGCAAGTATTTTAAACACCCGCATCAGCAACAAAACAGTAGCAATAGCCATACCAAGAATAAAAAAAAGAAAAAGAACAAAAAGAACAATAAAAAAGAGAATGAGACGACGGATAACGACACGATAGAACAAGAGGACGGTATCTATTTGGATAAGAGGATGATTCCACCATTAGCTGAGAGACTTATGATGCAGATCTTGATGGATAAAATTCTATTCACGTCCATTTACCCTGGCGTGTCAATGAATAAAGCATTCGGAACAATTCATAAATGGGTGGACAAAAGAAATTACACGTGGGCGGCTCGATTAAGACAGCAGATCAGTGTATTCATTGTCAAACAGTCTACAGAAGAAAAGGAATCCATCGATAAAGCCATTGAATCTATCTTGGAAGCAGGCTATGACCAATTATGCACGTTATACAGTATGACAGCAACAGACACGACGGTTGCTCCTCCTCCTCCTTCTCCTCCTTCTCCTACTATGACTGCTACGAACACTAGGAGCACTATGAGCACGACTCGAAGGGTGGTGGATCATCACCTGAGTAAAAAGGACAAAGATCGACTGAAACGAAAATGGTCAGAAATAGTTCGACGCGCTTTGAAACTAACGCTGGCCATTAAAGAACAGGATGACCCAATTATACTCATCCATCCTGTAGATGAGGGAGCTATATACGATGAAAATACAATGAAAGCTGTAAACATCAAAGAGAAGAATGAGACTGAGGGGGAAGATGGCAGCGAAGGAATGGCATCCGTCGCTTTTATGATTACACCCATATTTATGACATCACCTTACTGTGAAGATCCTGAGAAGGTCTTTGTGGTTCCAGCCAAAGTTTATTGCGATACTACTACACACTAATTTCTGCATTACCCACCCGGCATTTAAGCACATCAATAAACATGTATTTATTTTGTTATCGTGACAGTAGCGCCCTCCACATAGTTAGTACTCATAGTACTTCTTAACCCAGGGGCATCGACTAAGAAGAAACGAAGCACGTTGAGTCGCTTTTCTACAAATGTCGCGCAGACTGTCCTTGAAAATAACCCCATTGTTTAACAATGAAACCCAGATACCTAAATGCCCTTCCTTACAGAAGGAAGCAAGAACATCTTCCCTACAATTACGTAAACATAATTGAGAAGGACCTTTTCCCGACCTTATCCGATGAGAAGCAGATTATATATAAAAAAAAAAGGAGAGGAAGAGAGGGGCTATTTGGAAATTCTAAAGATAAGCTTCTTTCGTGGGATAAAGATTAAGTAAAGCGATATGATTGGTCCCATACAATCTCTAAGTCATGTATGATGGAAATACCAGCATTACAAACCTGTCAAATAGAAAAAAAGGGTCAATTTTTTTTAGCATGATATTTCTGACACATGATTTTCTAGCAACAGGACATATATTCTCATTCGAGATAACTATTAAGACTTTTTTTTTTCGCCCTTTTGCAGACTCTCATGAAAAATGATGAGGTAATAGACGGGTAGTTATCCCATATGAACGGGCTTTTGTGATTGGGCCGTTTCATCACTTTTCTGGTTTTTTTTTTTTTCTTCTCGAATCCGTTATCTTACCACTGTTTTTTCATTCTTTTTACGCACGAAGCCCGGGATTGATCCAAGTACGTACACTATTCGTTTCTTTTTTTTTCCATTGGAAAAAAATATACTTTCTTTAAATCTATATACAAAGTTGTAAATTGACAAATGATGATACATAGCTGTTTCCATAGAATGCATCCATTTTGTACATTCGATGGATCTAGAACCCAGTTTATATAGCTTATTATGATAGAATATGAGAATAAACACAGTACTCTTCCGTCATACCTTATCCGGTATAGACACTATATTTTAGCTTAATAAGGGTATAAAACTGATTAGCCTTTCCCGGCCGATTTTAAAAATGCATGTGACCCTTCAAAAAAATGCAGATTGTTGTTACATTAAAGCAGTGAGGGTCATTGGTCCCGGATGCACAGAGATAAGAGAGATACATATTTTTATGTGAGATAATCTGTTTCCTTTCGTAAATATCCATGCTATTGCAACTCATAGCACCTTTTTTTTTTTTTTTTTAATTTAGAGTGATCTTTATTTTTTCGTTTTTTTCTTGCTTTTCCATCTTGTTATATTTATATTTTCAAGTCTTTCAAGCTCTTTAAACACCTCTCCCCCCCTTCTACAAAGAGAGTATTTACAGACTGTAAGGATAACGAAGAAAGATACGGATATATAAAAATGTGTGTGTGTGTATGTGTGTGTGTGCGTGTGTGCATGTGTGCATGTCTGTGTCTGTTCATGGTTCTAAGGAGTCCTATCTTTATTTTATCTTCTTGGCCTTAAACAACATCAGTAGTAGTTTCTTTTAGTTCCATCATCAAAGGAATCAGCTCTTTACAAAAGGCATTCATCTAGCTAAAACAAAAAAGTGAAGATACATTGCACATAGCCCTTCCTCCCTCCCTCCCTACTCTTTTCTATACACGATATACCACCCGACATTATCTTGTAAATACCATTCACCAAGCATACAAACAATGACTTTTCAACAACCATCCGAAAGCAATCACAACACATCTTGGGCTGAAGCTATTCCTGCCGCTCAAGGTTTATATAACCCTGAATATGAAAAAGACGCCTGTGGTGTTGGTTTCATGGTTCATGTAAAGGGCAAACGATCTCATAAAATCCTGTCCGAAGCGAGCCACATTCTTTGCAACATGACTCACCGTGGTGCCAGTGGTGCCGATATCCGTGATGGTGATGGCGCTGGCGTCATGACAAGCATTCCTCATCAATTCTTCGTCAACGAAGTCTCTCGCGACTTGGGTATCACCTTGCCCCAAGAAGGCCGTTATGCCGTCGGTAATTTATTCATGAAGGGCGACCCTGACGCCATAGCAGAAAGTAAAAAGGTCTTTGAGCAATTGGCTGCCTCTTTACACCTCTCCGTCTTGGGTTGGCGTTCTGTACCTCGTGATTCTACTATCATCGGCCCTGCTGCCCGATCCAAAGAACCTGCCATTGAACAGCCTTTTGTCGTCCTGGCCGATCCACAACAAGGCAATCATCACGAGGCCGCCTTTGATGAGCCTTATTTTGAACGTCAACTGTATGTGTTACGTAAACATGCTACTCATACGCTTACCATGAAAAAATGGTTCTATATTTGTTCTTTGTCCAATAAGAACATCGTTTACAAAGGTCAATTGACTCCTAAGCAAGTGTATGCCTATTTCCACGATTTAAATAATGTTCAATATACAACTCATTTTGCCCTTGTTCATTCGCGTTTCTCTACCAACACTTTTCCTTCTTGGGATCGAGCACAACCTATGCGTTGGTGTGCTCACAATGGTAAAAAAACATTAAAAATTCCTTGTGTAGAATGAAATGGCAAACGTTGTAACCTCCCCCCTCCCTTCCCCCCTTTTTTTTTTACTGCAACAGGTGAAATCAACACGGTTCGTGGTAACAAAAATTGGATGCGTTCCAGAGAGGGCGTCATGTCCTCTGACACATTCGGCGACGAACTTGATCTACTCTACCCTATCATTGAAGAAGGAGGCTCTGATTCGGCTGCTTTCGATAACGTACTCGAATTATTGGTCATCAACGGCGTCTTGACACTGCCCGAAGCTGTCATGGTGATGATTCCTGAAGCCTGGCAAAACAACGAAGCGATGAGTCCCGAACTCAAGGCCTTTTATCAATGGGCGTCTTGTCTCATGGAACCTTGGGATGGCCCCGCCCTTTTCACTTTCTCCGATGGTCGTTACTGTGGCGCCTGTTTGGATCGTAACGGTCTTCGTCCTTGTCGCTACTATGTTACCTCGGACGACATCATGATTTGTGCTTCCGAAGTAGGTACCGTCTTTGTCGACCCCGAAACCGTCGTTGAAAAAGGCCGTTTGAAGCCTGGACGTATGTTACTGGTCGATACGGTCGAAGGCAGGATTGTCGATGATAAGCAACTCAAATTACAAACCGCTACCAAACATCCTTTCACAGAATGGATCAAGCAACAGACGATCGTGCTCAACGACATTGTCGAAAAAGCAAATGCCGTCAAGCCCTATCATCCTCATTTGGATGACACCCCCGTCAGAGCCGACCCTCGCTTAAAGGCTTTTGGCTATACCTTGGAACAAATGAACTTGATTATGCTCCCTATGGCCTCTACCGGGAAGGAGCCTTTGGGCTCGATGGGTAATGATACAGCTTTGGCTTGTCTCGCCGAACAACCACGTTTGATTTACGAATACTTCCGGGAACTCTTTGCTCAAGTCACCAATCCACCCATCGATCCTATTCGTGAAGAAATTGTCATGTCCTTACACTGTCATGTGGGTCCGGCTGGCAATATTCTGGAAATCAACGATACACAATGCCATCAGCTCGCTCTGACATCGCCCATTGTGTCCCTGGAAGAACTGGCCGCCATCAAGAACATGCACCAGTTCTATCCCCGTTGGAAAGTAGCGACGATTGACATCACGTTTGCAAAGACGGAAGGCGTCCAAGGCTACATCACCACGTTGGAGCGCATTTGCTCAGAGGTATCCGCTGCTATCGAGCAAGGCGATAAGATCGTCGTTCTGTCCGATCGTGCTGTCAGCGCGGATCGAGTGGCCATGTCTTCTTTGATGGCTGCTGGTGGTGTACATCATTATTTGGTTCGTAACAAGCAGCGTAGTCGCATTGCCTTGATGGTGGAAACAGCGGAAGCGCGTGAAGTCCATCACTTCTGCGTCTTGCTCGGTTATGGTGTCGATGCTATCTGTCCCTATCTTATCATGGAAGCCATCTTGAAATTGCAACGTGAACATGCTGTCCCTCACGGTCTGCACCCTGACCACTTGATCTCCAATTACAAAAAGGCCGTCGATAATGGCATTCACAAGGTCATGTCAAAGATGGGTATTTCTACCTTGGCCTCCTACAAGGGCGCTCAAATCTTTGAAGCCCTGGGTATCGACGATTCTGTCATCTCTCGTTGCTTCTCTGGCACTGCCTCTCGTATCAAGGGTGTTACTTTGGATATCTTTGCTTTAGATGCCTTGACGTTACATGAGACAGCCTACCCCACCCGTAACACGGTGCAACCTGTCTCCTTACCCGAATCGGGAGAATACCACTGGCGCCAGGGAGGCGCCCCTCATATTACGGAGCCTACCAGCGTGGCTCATCTTCAAGACGCTGTGCGTCAAAAAAACCAATCGTCGTACGACGCTTATTCCCGTCATGCGTATGAAGCCATCAAAAAATGTACGCTACGTGGCATGCTGGCCTTTGACTTTGAAAACTCCAAGCCTATCCCTCTGGAGCATGTGGAAAGCTGGGATAAGATTGTCAAACGTTTTGTCACAGGTGCCATGTCGTATGGTTCCATCTCGATGGAGGCGCATTCCTCTTTAGCCATTGCCATGAATCGTTTAGGCGGTAAATCGAATACGGGTGAAGGCGGTGAGAAGCCTGAACGTTCCGTTCCTTTCCCTAATGGTGATTCGATGCGTTCTGCCATCAAACAAGTCGCCAGTGGCCGTTTCGGTGTCACTTCTTTCTATCTCTCGGATTCCGATGAGCTTCAAATCAAGATGGCGCAAGGGGCGAAACCTGGAGAAGGAGGTGAACTCGCCGGCACCAAGGTGTCGGAAGAAATCGCCTCGACACGTAAAACAACGCCCGGCATTGGCTTGATTTCGCCTCCACCTCACCATGACATCTATTCTATCGAAGACTTGAAGCAGTTGATTTACGATTTGAAGTGTGCGAACCCTCGTTCTCGCGTCTCTGTCAAGTTGGTGTCGGAGGTTGGCGTAGGTATCGTCGCTGCTGGTGTGGCTAAAGCGAAAGCGGATCATATCTTGATCTCAGGTCATGATGGTGGCACCGGTGCTTCTCGCTGGACCGGTATCAAATACGCCGGCCTGCCCTGGGAATTGGGTTTGGCGGAAACGCATCAAACGCTTGTCTTGAATGATCTACGAGGTCGTGTGATTGTGCAGACAGATGGTCAAATGAAGACAGGCCGTGATATTGCTATTGCTTGTTTGTTGGGTGCTGAAGAATGGGGCTTTGCTACTACGCCTTTGATTGCACTGGGTTGTACCATGATGAGAAAGTGTCACCTGGTAAGTTTTTATCTTTTTCTGATGAGTCCAATAGGCTACAGAGCACTTATCTTTTCCTCTCTCCTCCTCTCTAGAACACGTGTCCTGTAGGTATTGCTACGCAAGACCCTGAATTGCGTAAAAAATTCCAAGGCTCTCCTGAACATGTCGTCAACTTTTTCTATTATCTCGCTGAAGAATTGCGTGGCATCATGGCCAAGCTTGGTTTCCGTACCATCAACGAAATGGTAGGTCATGCTGAAAAGCTCAAGGTCGACGATTCACTACGTACTTTCAAGACGGCCAATTTGGATTTGTCCCCCATTTTGACACCTGCCTCTTCTCTCCGTCCAGGCGTTTCCAGCGTCTGTGTTAGCAAACAAAAGCACAATCTTCATGTCCGCCTTGACAATTACTTTATTGAGGAAGCGGAAGCGGCTCTTACCCATAAGGAGAAGGTCCAGATAGAAGCCGATGTCGTGAACACGGATCGTGCTTTAGGTACCACCTTGTCCTACCACGTCTCGAAGCGTCACGGCGAACAGGGTCTTCCTTTTGATACGATTCATGCCAAGCTTCGTGGTTCTGCCGGTCAATCTCTCGGTGCCTTCTTGGCTCCGGGTATCTTTTTTGAGCTTGAAGGGGATGCGAACGATTATGTCGGTAAGGGTCTTTCCGGTGGTCTGTTGGCCATCTATCCTCCTCGAAACTCAGCTTTCAAATCAGAAGACAATGTCATTGTGGGTAATGTGTGTTTGTACGGCGCTACCAGTGGTAAGGCCTTCTTCCGTGGTATTGCCGCTGAGCGTTTCTGCGTGCGTAACTCGGGTGCTTCTGCTGTGTGCGAAGGCGTGGGTGATCACGGCTGTGAATACATGACGGGCGGTCGTGCTGTCATCCTAGGCACGACCGGGCGTAATTTTGCTGCTGGTATGTCAGGCGGTATCGCTTATGTCTTGAATTTGCAAGACAACAGCGAGTTCAAGAAGAACGTGAATATGGAAATGGTTGAGTTGAGTACCGTCAACGATGATGAACGTGTGGCTGAATTGCGTGATTTAATTGAAGACCATCGTCAGTATACACAGTCTGACATTGCCGATCGAATCCTCAAAAACTTTAATGAATACTTGCCTAAATTTGTCATGGTCATGCCTACCGAATACCGTCTCCTGTTGGAGAAACAGCGTGCTGAAAAAATGACTGCTGATGTAAAGGCGACGGCTATTGCTGAAGAAGAAGAAGAACAAGAACAAAAACAAAAACAGAAGGCTGCAGCTTGTGAAAAGGCCAAGATGAAAATGGAAGCTCCCATTGAAGATGTCGAAGATAGTGTGCTTGGCGAGGAGGCTATTCTGGCTCGTCGCGCTCGATTGGATAAAGTGCGTGGTTTTATAAAGTACAAGCGTAGAACGGATGGCTATCGCAATGTCAAGAAGCGTATCGGCGACTGGGATGAGATCAACATGCGTTTGACACGTTCTCAGTTGCATGAACAAGGTGCTCGTTGTATGGATTGCGGTATACCCTTCTGCCAATCAGATACAGGTTGTCCGATCGGTAATATTATTCCCAAGTGGAACGAATTGGTGTATAAGGATAACTGGAAGGAAGCACTGGATCGTCTGTTGATGACCAATAACTTTCCCGAATTCACGGGTCGTGTCTGGTAAGTTTTTAAATGTATCAAAATTTTATGGAATGAAAAGCTCATCTTTTTGTCTACTTTTTCGTATTCGAACCCCAGTCCCGCACCTTGCGAATCAAGCTGTACACTGGGTATCAACGAGCCTCCTGTTGCCATCAAGAGCATTGAATGTGCTATTATTGATAGAGGATTTGAAGAAGGATGGATGGTACCTAAACCGCCTGCTACGCGCTCTGGTAAAAAAGTGGCCATTATCGGCTCTGGTCCCGCCGGTTTAGCTGCTGCGGATCAGCTCAACAAGGCGGGTCATTGGGTGACCGTCTACGACCGAAACGACCGCATCGGAGGTCTCTTAATGTATGGTATTCCCAACATGAAATTAGACAAGAAGATTGTTCAACGCCGTATCGACCTTATGGCTGCTGAAGGTATCCAATTCGTTCCTAATGCTCATGTCGGTGTGGACGTGGATGCCAACGCTATTCGCCGCGAAAATGATGCTCTCATTATTGCTACTGGAGCCACTTGGCCTCGTGATCTCAACATCCCTGGCCGTGAAGCGAACGGTATTCACTTTGCTATGGAATTCCTTCAAGCCAACACCAAGAGTCTTTTGGACTCTGGCCTTAAGGATGGTCATTATCTTTCTGCAAAAGACAAGCATGTGATTGTCATTGGTGGTGGTGATACTGGTAATGATTGTATCGGTACTTCTCTCCGTCATGGTTGTAAATCTGTTGTCAACTTTGAACTATTGCCTCAACCTCCTGAAAGTAGAGCCAACGACAACCCATGGCCTCAGTATGCCCGTATCTTCCGTGTTGATTATGGTCATGACGAAGTCAAGTCTCATTTTGGTACGGATCCTCGTGAATATTGTGTCCTGTCCAAGGAATTCATTGTCGACGAACATAACCAAGTGAAAGGAATCAAGACGGTCCGTGTGGAATGGACAAAAGACGAATCAGGTCGCTGGGTCATGAAAGAAATCGCTGGTTCCGAACAAACCTTCGAGGCTGATCTTGTCCTTTTATCGATGGGCTTCTTGGGCCCTGAAAATGCTATCATTAAACAAATGGAAGTGAAGCAAGACGGACGCTCTAACATTGAAACCGCCAAGGGTCAATATGCTACTTCTGTTGCTGGCGTTTATGCTGCTGGTGATTGCCGTCGTGGACAATCTTTGGTTGTTTGGGGCCTCAACGAAGGTCGTATGTGTGCCCGTGAAGTAGATATTGCTCTCACTGGCAATACCTACCTACCCGTCACCGGCGGTATTCAACAACGTGTATTGCCTCAAATGACCGAAATCTCTGAAGTGGCCGCCGCTTAATCGTAGCATTTCACTTATTATCCAACATGTATATCTAACATTGTACAAAAAAAATACGATCGCCTTTACATATCTTATTAGATTCTCATTATATATCACTACTGTTATAGTTTGAATCTCGCACTTTTTTTTCTACTTTTGTCATCTATGGAGGTATACGACAAGAAAAAGTTAAAAAAGCGTTCCCGACGGTTCAACAAGTGTTCTTTTATAGACATTACTTCTGCTCTCAAATTTCTTCATCCGACCTATACATATCGCACATTGGATGTTCTTAACCATCCAATTGTTATCTTAACGCCTCATACATCTTTGATGATAATAATAAACGTATATATCTTTTCAATGTTCATATGTGTGAATTTGGTTTCTTGAGTATCGCCTTAGCTTTTCCTTTCAGGTGGGTGCTGTCTAATTTGGACCCGATGTATTCTTATAGAAACGAGTGAAGCTTTTTCCGAACAGCCTATAGATAGAGTGATGGCAGACATTGTTGTCTCTCTTTGCCACTATAAATAAGCCTTGTCTACCCGTACATCCTGCTTTCTTTCTGATGGACAGCTCCTTTGCAACGCGCCATTTACAGAAAATGTTCCCCCCTGATGTTATACTAAATTCATGCAAACGAGCCTGAATCTGTTTTGTCATGATGATTTCCACTGTTTCTGACTTTTAAAGAAAAACGTAATGCAGCACCAGCAGCCGCTCGTATAAACAGCTCTTCTTCTGTTTGAATAGTTTCTTCTACATTATACACAACAAGGCTTAACGTGAATATACTATGCCACCAAGGATTCCGGATATCAAATTAGTTCGTAAATTGGTTCCTCCTTTATCCAAGAATTTGCACAAGGGACAAGCAGGTAAGGAAACACGCGGAAAAAACAGACAAGAAAAATTTATACGCGCATAAGAGAATTGAAAAAACAAAGACAGTTTGCCATGTCGCAATGTCAAATGACAAAGAGAAATGAAAGGCATGAGCTAAAATTCAAACCAATATTAGGTCGAGTCGGTGTTGTTGGCGGTTCTGAAGAGTAATGACTGCATTCATTCGATTGCCTGGTAGTGCAATGATATACTGACAATACCTATCCCCCCATTTGTATTCTTCTTTTTCATAACATGGTAGCTATACCGGTGCACCATTTTTTAGTGGAATGGCTAGTATGAAGTTGGTAGGTTGAGAAGAGGTATAAAAGAGAGAGAGACTCATCATGGATCAAGTCGAATTTAATGCTAATGGTCGCGTACTTACTTCCGTTCACTTCTATTTGCTTCAGGGTGCTGATCTTTGTCATATTTTCTGTGAACCGGGAGCAGGCACAGTAATCAAGGTAAAACGAGTTTCTTTTGATTTGTAGCACGGATTGCATGACAAGAGAGCTAAGCTTCTATCTTTTTTTAGAGTTATTCGCCTGGTACAGAAATTTACAGAAAGTGAATGAATTCAAAAAAAAAAAAAAAAAAAATGGCGCATTCATCTTTGTTTTTTTGTTTTTTTTTTCCCCTTTGTGGCTCATAATAGATCTTATTGTGCACCCTTATATGCGTACAAGCGATAAACTACAAAAGGAACATCATGATACCAAAGATATCTTGGAAAGAATCACAGGAGTATTTTCTAGACTCCACGTTCTTGTGGTTGGTCCTGGTTTATCTCGAGATGATGCCATGCAAAAAACGGCAAAGGACATCATCTTGAAAGCACGTGAAAAAGATATGGCTATCGTCATTGATGCCGATGGGCTTTATCTAGTACAAAACCATCCTGAAACTGTGAAAGGGTATAAAAAAGCCGTGCTGACGCCTAATGTAGTTGAATTCAAGAGACTCTGTGAAGCTATGGTAAGCAGTTTGTATGACTCAGTCTGAAGAAGGATGATGATATTGTCATCATTTTCCATGAGACATCTGAAACTCATTGTCCTTGTTGGATTAGAACGTGGATGAAAATGACGCAAAACCGGAAGAAGTAGCCATGGAATTAAGTAAAGCTTTCGAAGGTGTCACAATTGTTCAAAAAGGCGGCGTAGATATCATCACGAATGGAGACGAAGGTATTTTGTAAACAATTGGGGGGCGGGGTATCATTTAAATTAGAACATATCCAACTTATTCTATTGTTTGTTTATCGCGCTTTTGTTACGTGCGCTCTTCGGGCACTATTCCCTATCAAACCAATTAAAGTTTTCCAATGTGATGTTGAAGGCGGCGCAAAACGAATGGGAGGCCAAGGCGATATTCTATCCGGAACCATTGCCACATTCTTAGCATGGGGCAAAGCTTACGAGGATGGTGTTTGGGAGTAAGTCATCAAATTTGGGATTCATTTTGATTAGGAATAATAGGACACGAGGTCATTTGAGTCCACGGAGTCTTTTGACCCTTTCAACATCGAGACGGGTTTATTTATTTATTTTTTTAATTGCATAGACATCCTCCGAACGAAATTGAATCCAAGGATATTGCTTTATACGCCACTTGGGCCGCGTGTTTCATCACAAAGTCAAGCTCCAAACTATCCTATGAGAAGTTTGGTAGAGCTGTACTGACTTCACACATGTTGGAAGAGATTGGTGCAAGTTATGACAAATTCATGAAACAGTGAAAAAGAAAGAAAAGAAGAATAAATATATTATGTACCTGAAACAAATTCAGAAAACGAACTGAAAAAGTAAACTCTAATAAAACAAACATAAAAGAAAGTTTATCGTTCTATTCTGTAAAATATAAAAGGTACCACGTTAGTTTTCAGGAACGTAGTCTTTTTTTTTTTTTTTTTTGGTTTTTTGGTCTTTATATTCATTACTTTAACAGTTCTGTAAAAAAGGACATCTATCACCCAAAGCCTCTTTTACTTACTTGCGTCGATACATTACTTATCAAAAAATGAACGTATCTACTTTCAACCATGAAACCACTTCTAACCTTGAAAAAGAAAGGCATTTCCATCCGGATCATTTCATCGATATTGAAGTGAGAGCTCCGCAAACACATGGTAAGATTAGATAAACTGTCATTTGATACGTTATGCTGAAGTGTAGAAATGAATAGAGATCATTGACTTTTTTCTTATACCATGAAGGCGCTGGACTTCGTATGTACACTGATTATGAAATTGTTTGCAAGACCAATATCCCGCTCTTTCCGTTCAAGGAATCTACGGTGAGACAAAGGTATAGCAAGTTTGAATCGCTCAAGTTCAAATTAGAGGAGAATGACTACGAAATCAAAGTACCTACTTTGCCTGGCAAAGTCTTGACAAACCGACGCTTTTCTAATCATGTTATTGAAGAACGACGACAAAAGTTGGAGAGGTTTCTACAAATGTAAGTTTGAATGCTGTGTTTTCGCAAAAACTGGATGGACGTGTCTTCTAACTTCAATACAATAAACTTAGACTATGCAATAACATTACGTTAATACAAGAGTATGAAGAAGCAAAAGCCAATATGATCATCAAGTTCATTCAGGGCAAATACTGATCATCATAAGAAAAAAACAAAGGGTTTCTTTTGTCGTATCTATTATTTATTGTTATCCATCCAGCCATACACATCAGTATTTCTTAAACATCTGAATATCGTCTTCTGCTGATCTTATTTTTTTTACTAATTGATAATAAGCAGTTAAAAGTGTTTCAAATTCTTCGTTGCCTTCCCCTTCTTTGTAGTATTTCGCTAGTTCATTTTCAGTATATTCTAAAGCTTCCTTTGATTCTTTTAACCTTTTATCCAATATTTTCCTATTGACATTTTGATGGTGGTCATTTCAGTATGATATCCTTTAGCAAATAAACATCCATTCATATTATCGTTTCTCTGTTACCTTAAAGTTTGCAGTGCATTTGTAAAATCTTTATCATCGTATATCTGTATCAGCACGTTTAGGTGTAGTATTTTTGCTTTGATCAAAAGATTGTCCACCAAGTTTGTGTAATGACTCTCCAATGATAGATGTTCGGCTTTCTGATGTGTAGGATGGCCTTGCCCTTCATGATTGAGTTTAAACTCTTCTACAACAGACCAGGTAATATCGAGCATCTTCAAAAGCGTCTGAACGTAATCTGTTACTTTTTGACATAGTGACATTCTTTTCTTGTGAATTTCTATCTTTTCTTCTTTGTGCTGCTGTAATATCTCCTCTATTATTTCAGGTGTGAATGAGGATATCTTTAAATAGTCGGCAATAGCATCATATTTTGTCATGAGAGCCGAATCGAGGTCCAAGCTCAAAAATTCGCTTTCCTAAAAACAATGGGATTTCTTAATAGATCAATTTCAAATATACTTATTGACAGAGATACCAGACATGCTTTATCAAAAAAAAAAAAAAAAAAAAAGAGGAGAGGGGCTTTACAGTCGCTGATTCTAAACTTGATATTTCATTTAAAACAATGGCGTTTCGTAGGACTTGAACATTTCTCTGCTTCATCTACTTATTGACACATATATTGCATAGGAATCAGTTGTTGCAAATGGAAAAAAAAAAAAAAACCAACCCACAAAACGAGCCTATGCCTTGTGACGCAAGCTCTTACTTCTTCAATTTCAGATCTGAGGCTTTTGACAAGATTGACTTGTTCATTGTTCTGAATAGTATGGCTGAGAGACATTGTTGTTGTTTGAAAGAGATTGTGATTAAAGGGTACAAAGTGCCTATGTTTTTAATGCGTGCGGCTGGCTTTTTTCATTTCTAAAACTGGCAGCCGAAGAAGGAAAAATTGTAGAGCAGCATCTTTGTCTCCTCAAACTGTTACCTTTTTGTTCTTCTTTTTCGACAATACCCACCTCTCTATTTTCAACAATGAGAAAATGGAATTGTAAGATCTTGTGTCTATATCTCTTTTCTTTATTCTTATTTTGTGTTCAATGCATACAACAACAAGAACAAGTGGAAGGGTTCTTTAGCCAAAGTGGACATACCAATAATTGGGCTGTTTTGGTAAAAAGAATGAAATAAGAGCGTCATTGGCATTCTCTGAATGCACCTGTCAACTAAAGCCAAACAACTCTTACGCTATCCAGGTTTGTACATCTCGATTCTGGTTTAACTATCGTCATGTTGCCAATACTTTATCGATGTACCGCACAGTCAAACGACTGGGCATACCTGATTCCAACATTATTCTTATGCTCGCCGATGATGTCTCTTGTAATCCACGCAATAAATACCCCGCCACTGTTTACAACAACGCCAATCGTCTCCTCGATCTTTATGGCGACAATGTCGAAGTGGATTATAGAGGCTACGAAGTTACAGTTGAAAACTTTATCCGTCTTCTTACAGGCCGTGTGTCTCCTAGCACACCTCGTTCGAAACGGCTCTTGACAGATGATCGGTCTAATATTTTTGTATATATGACAGGTCATGGTGGCGACGAGTTTTTGAAATTTCAGGATGCAGAAGAAATGAGTGCGTACGATTTAGCAGATGCATTCAAACAAATGCAAGAAAAGAGGCGATACAATGAGATTTTCTTCATGATTGATACGTGTCAGGCAAACACGATGTACAGTCAAATCAATTCAACAAATATTTTGGCTACTGGAAGTAGTCGCCTCGATGAAAGTTCCTACTCAGTAAATATGGATGCAGTGCAATGCAAATAGAATAACAGTTGCTTACCTTTTTTGTTTCATCCGCAATATAGCACCATACTGATTTCGAACTTGGTGTGGCCGTGATTGATAGTTTCACCTACTATAATCTGGAATTTTTAGAGAGGATTGATCAAACGAGTAATAGAACATTACAAGAATTGGTAAAGCTATCAGGCAACGTAGCTATTTTCTCATGCTCATAGCCACCATTCTAACTGACTTTTTTTTTATCTAGTTTGACACATATGATCCTGTTAAAATTGCTTCACACCCAGGGATTAGATCTGACTTATTCAACCGACCTTTGGATAAAGTCAAAGTAACAGACTTCTTTGGCAATGTGCAAAATGTGGAATTGACAAAGAATCGATATCCACTTGGAAACAGCAATTACAACAACAGTGTTCAACCTAGAGGTGAGCACATAAAAGAGAATAATATACCCACCAGCAAGGTGAACAGCATGACAACGACATCCATCAAAAATGGTAGCAGCATGCATCATCATGAGCCTGCTTCTTTCCCGGTTTACATGAACAAGACCAACAAAGAGAATTTGAACATACATGATATACCTCTCACTTCTGTTATCTCCAGTATATTATTTACAACATTCATTGGATATATTGTAAAATTGACATTTCATTAGAAATGGAAACCATGTGTCAATTCAACGCATCACACAATATATATGATAATTCGAGCAGCAAGTTTAGCTTTGCATTCAATTCCTTTACAATTTTTTTTTTTTTAAAAAAAGTACCACTCAAAGCAATAACTATGTATGCGATCCTATTGGAGCCAGGAATGATAAGCTTTTTGCTTCTTTTTAGTTAGTGAATGGCGAAGGAAGGGCAACTGTAACCAAATGTCAAACTGTTTGCTTGTGATTTATGCAAGATACCCAAAAACTGATATAGACTATAAGAGTACGTTAGATTCTAGTGTTGAAATGAATTGGCCCATCAGTGTTATATGAAAGGGTTTAATTATGTTAACTGGCTTGATGGATTGTGAACAAATTTATAATTGGCTCTGCTCTTCACGTCAGGCAAATTCAAGGCACGGGTAGTGTGAGAAAAACCCGTGATAATTAGATGATTTAAAGTTGGTATCGGAAAGGCTTTGTTTGACTACTTGTTCTTTGCTGATGAACGTCTCGGGGGAATTTGGAGTTCTTCCGACATTTGTGCCCTTACTTTAACGGTTCGTATGTGCGTGTATTTTGTTGATTTTGAAAGCCATGATGTGGTTCTGAGGCCATTACTACTGTGTGCTCTTTGCTTACGTGTGGTCCGAGTGAAGACTATTTCATTTGAGAATCAAAGTTAAATGATTCAACGAAAATGCTCACTAAAGTAGTTCATAATGGAATATGCAATAGCAGAAGAGTGATCCCTATTCCTACATTATTTTTCTTTTTTTATTAATGTAGTATGAAACTAAAAAAAAAAAATAAGAATTTTAAGGGTCCAACATCCAGCGAATGAAAACGGACTGTTGTACAAAAAAAGCTGATCTAAAAGAAAATAATCTCGGTAAAAAAGCGCCCGTTAAAAAGTTTTTCCTGGAATATTCTCAAGCTAAATGAGGTGCAAATGAGTCAACTGTAATCAATGCTTTTTTATAATGCTGTCATAGTTGAGGTAGTACAGTAGGTCGAGACCAGTAGAAAAAGAGAAAACAGCAGCATCACGGCAAGCTCTAAGACAACTGAAACTGATGGTTGTATACATCAGGGCAGCATCTCAATCCTACCCAACCTGCGTGGTATAACTTGGGGTTTCAGCTATCTTGTTCCATGCAGTAAAAGTGAGTTGGTAAACAATAAGAAAGTTTAATTTCCTATTGTTCATGTAGAATGTTCCAAGTCGCTGGCATTCTAATTCAAGCATGCTATCAACTTAGTGTAATGAAAGCCTTGTTATATTGGCTAAATACTATGACAAAAGCTTTATCAGTCAACGGATCACTAAGTCTTTTGTCGGGTCCATTTTAAGCCAAGATAAAAAAACAAAAAAAAATAAAAAAAAGTATATAAAGCGAGCAAATCGAATTTTTTGGCTCTTTTCTTTTTTCTTTTTCTTTTTGGTATTTTTACCCATTCCACCTGACCCATAAACTTTCTGGTGTCCTCATTTCAACAGCGTTATCATGTTGGCATTACCAGCTACAATTACCAGAAATGCTATACCTCCAGGCTTTATAGGTAAAAATCGATTTATCAGTTGATAGTAGATCAATGGTCCCTGAATTTTGTCGATTAGAATGTTGGAAAGACGAATACACACTTCACATTGCAGATTGACAAATACGAAAAAGCATGATTTTAAACAAAGTAAACTAAATATAGTATCATCATTATCTATTAATGTAGACTTTGCTTCATCCTCTTTCGACGCAATTCTATTCCCTCCAACCAATGCCGCTAATAATGATGTGATTGAAACTGCCACGGACACAACAACGACTACATCAACCGATGATTCAGCCAGTACCAAGAAAAGGAATACACATCTGCCTGATTTAATACCATTCATACAACTTATCACGGATAAATGTGATCTTCAACCCATACATCTTGTTATTGCTCTAATGTACGTTCAAAGGTTCAGAAGAGCTCTCCCAGCAGGTAATGTATACTTTAACAACCTCGCAAACGCAACCATTCTTTCACAATATTAACTTTCTTTTTTGTTATAGGTTATAAAGCGGAGGTAGAAGCTGCTCATCGTATCTTTGTCGCCTCATTGTTAGTCGCTCACAAATACCTTGAAGATCGTCCATTGAGTGCAAGAAAGTTAGTACGTGCTACAGGTGACGTTTGGCCCATTTCTGACATCACTCGTATGGAGCTAGCCTTTTTAAGATTCCTCAATTGGAACCTTTATGTAAGTCATGATGATATGGCCAAGTTCTTGCACGATCTGGGCTTTGATGAGCGAGCTGTTATCAATAATAGCTCGGCTTAAGGACTTTTTTCCTCATCTATACCCTTTTATCCCTCCTGCTTTTACGTATTTATATTGTACAGCTTTTTATACGTATGGACTACTTTTCCCTTTTCGCATAGCTTCTTCTTTTTTCATTCGTTTTGTCCATATCTCTTCCTTCGTTTACTATTATTTCGTATACCTTCTATTTACTTTTGTACTTGAACCATTAATCTGTTAATCTTTGGTAATAAACTTATTATTCTATCTTTGTGTGTATAGCAGAAGAAAAAGAAAAACGAAAGAGCGTTTCTGTTGCTTTGTTATAATGAATCAAATGTATGAGATATGTATATCGTATCAACATATAAAAAGACAGTCTTTTTTTTTTTTTTTTTTTTTGAATGACTTGAAGTATATTATTTATTGGTAATTGTTTTCGATAAAAATCGTTTCGATTGTTTGGCAGCAACTTATTAACCTGTAAAAGTTACTGTAAAATCAAGAAAAAAAAAGTTCCCACTCAGTTATTCCTTCTTCCTATGTTGATCTACTTCAGTACTACAGAGTTGGCTTCATTTTTCTTTCTTTGACTTCTTGTTCTACTCGCGATGGGTTCACGTATTCTTCTTGGTCTGCTGCCATGAGTGCCGGTCCCGTTTGTACTCCTAACATTCATTTTTCTGAGAATATGATTGCTGTCATAGACTGCTGTTCTTCTTTGACCGCGAGGATCAAAGTTTCTGATGCCATCCTCACCACTGCTCGGACTATCCACGTCACTGACCGTTCCGTTACATCTACTAACAGTATGGCTTGTATTATTGCAACTACTGCATGTGTTTTCTCCATCGTCTATTTCCGCGGATTTTTTTGATTGGCATCCTTGATTCATGCCTTCTATTCCAACGGCCGGATCAACATGACGAAAGGGCAGGGAACTATTTACAGTGGATTGATTGTTGTTGGAATTACTGCTATGCGCTGCTCTATTCGTGTTACCGTCAAGACGAAATACAGACATATGAGATTGTCCCGGTGGCTGTGTTTGTTTAGCTCGTTTTTTCATTTTCCTTCTGTTTGTTCTTTCGGTTCTACTATGACTATCGCTATGACGATTGCCAGCGCTATAGAGACGAGTATTCGTTCTCGTTGTAGAGTCAGTATGAGTTTCTTTTCTTTTTCTTTTGTATGCACCGTCTTTCTTGTCGTTGAAAGTTGAAGGGTTTACTTGTACTGAACTCTCGGCTTCATAAGGAAGATTTTCATGGCGGTCAGACGGAGCATGATGATTGCTTTGGGACAGGTCACAAGCAGTGCAATAGGCAGACACAGTAGGACTGCTGCTACGGGACATGGGTCGATCGAAATTGCTCCTCCAGTCGACATCTTGTGCTGTTTCAGCGCACACAGTTTCATTGCGCAAAACTCGGCAAGGAGGTTGAAAAGCTGCCGTCAAAGTCAAGCCATTGGTATGCCCATGATAAGTAACAGCAGAGGGTACTTCTTGATCCTGAAACATACTATTATGTTTTTCATTGAGACTATATGCTTGGAAGCAAGAAATATAATTTGCATGAAGCCAATGAATAATCTCCAAACTATGAGGCGCTCCGTGATGAAGAGGAGCATTCCGATGCACTGGGCGAACCGTGACGATGGGATTGAGTTCGCCCTTGATGTCTGTCCACACGTCATAATTGTCATTGTCGATCTCGTCTTGCAAGTCTTCCGGAGGAGGATATTTGAATACACGGCGACTATTTGCTCCATCTACGTAGAGTATGTCTGCTCGTTGTCTGTCATCGCAAAGTAAATAAGCGTAGAGTTGTCGTCGTCTCACGTCGCAGTTGATGCATACGTCGTGTGTCGACGCATGTGTGTTTTGAGCGAAAGCATTGTTGCCGTGCTGTTGCGGGACATTGGATGGATGATCGTTTTCACGACTGTTCATACCATTGTCAGTGTGAACATAGCCATCCATCTCATTTATCGGCACATGTGAAAGCGGATGAATAAGAAGCTGTGGTAGCGAGGGTGTATCTACATCATTGTCGACATCATCCAGTATGTAATCGTTAAATCGAAGATAATTGTGTGCAACAACGTCATGCTGTTGATGGGGTATTGTAGGGGAAGCAGAGAGTTCATAAGTGCGACCAAAAGCTTGAAATCTGTCCATCATATAGAACACGGTTACGTCTGGTGTTTCTTGCTGCTGTTGTTCGTCACTGTCTCCAGGATGGTGGCTAAGGACTCTTTCATCATTCAAATTCTCATATGGATCTTGTTCTTGGTTCGCTTCGATTCTTCTTCTTTCTGCATCACGTGTTCTTAGTATTTGTTCTCTCCTACGAGCCTATTTGAAAGCAAGGGGTGAAAACAAAAAGAAGTCGTTTTAGAGAACTTATAGAAACCATCCAGCTTCAAGGTTATAACCAAGCCATACACGTCTAGCATTCACCATGTCAATTTGATACTATTCAAGGGTGGTGCGTTGTAGTAGTAGAGTAAAGGATAATCACTTCAAGTTGCAGAAATGAGCTGTAAGTATATATATATAAACTTATAACAATGGAGCATCACATTTGGATATGCTGTGCAAACAATCAGTTAGAGAGAGATGACTCGAGCTTTTCTTTGTGGTTTTGAAATGATGATTAAAAAAACAATAATGCCTCATTTTTACTGCCAATGCCATTATAACTGTGCATTCAAGATTAAACAAAAGAAAAAAAAAAAAAAAAAAAAAAGAGAAAGACAACATAACGTTGTAGAGGTGCGATGTCTGGTATCAAGTTATTCAGGTTCCCTGTTATTCTTCTGTTATCTAGCATTTCCTATTGAGACTTATTGTGACATAGGGTTCATCAGTTGCCTTGTTGTTTTATTTTTTTTTATTCTTTTTGTAGAGTTGGTTTTTTCTTAAAAAAATTAAATATGTACAGACAGGTCAATAAGGCATAGTATGAAGCAATGTAAAAGCATAGATACATATAAGTAATCTCTATCTCAACAGAGTTTTAAGAATATACAGGTTAGCAATAAAGTACAATTTAAGCAAAAAGTAGTAGTAGTTACTATTATAATTATTAAGGTAAACTATCGTTCTGAGGGTATTTGCATATGTCACATATACACGTTCAGCATTGTTACTGCGGCTGTACGATGATAGTTGGTATTGTTACTGGCACTGCTACCGCTGCTGCCGTTGCATTTTTATGGTGATTATTGGAATTAGCTGCTGTTGCTCTTGAAAGGCTTCTTTTACTATTTCTCAAAATGTTTGCAATGGAGGATGTACGTGTATGAGGGGGGACTGGGGGTGGAGCGCCCTGTTGCTGAAGCACTGATCTATTGTCATTCAAACTTGAAATCGTAGGATGATTGTCAACACCGTCATTGAACTCACTATCACTGTTGTTCAGATTGAACAGGGCTCTGCTGCAAGAATTTTGTCGAGGTCTCCTCAAAACGACGACCTTGTATAAATCATCCTCACGTTGCTGACTATTATTCTTACTGTTATTCAATGAATGCCTCTTCTTTGTTGCCTTTTTGTTTCCCACTAATAACGCTGGGGCAATATTTAACAAATAATCATCTGATGGTATGGACGATGCATCTCCTCCTCTTTGTTCCATGGATGTTGTCATTGTCACAACCGACGCAGAATGCAGTCCCATTAAAGAATGATCCTTCGTCATGGTGGTTGCAGCAGAAGTTGCAGCATCAGCAGCAGCAGAAGTTGTTGCTGTTGTGGTGGTGGTGGTGGTGGTGGTAAATGAGTTTTGCTTTGTAGGTGATAAACAAGGCATCGTATTGTTGGTCATCCATGCTGTTGAATTTGTCGATGTGTCATGACCACCGTTGCTACTTCTTGTAGTGCTCAATGGATAATGATCATATAATGGTATATCTTTCCATAACTGAAGCAGTCGATCATTATACTCTATCAGGAGGGCCCAAATTCTTGTCCATTTTGCATTGATTTCCATACATTGACTCATGGCTTCATTATTGTAGTTGATCGTCAGTAGCTTGGCTGCACTCAGGGAGGTAGAGGTTGTGTTTGTACTAGCACTTGAACTCGCAGTGGCCAAAGTAGTCGTCATCGAGCTTGTTGAAGAGGAGGACGAGGATGATTTCCTCATAGGTACTGGTGAGTGGCGACGCTTGTTAAGCCATGATGTTGAGGAGTTGGACGTGGACGACGCTTTCAAATGTTGCTCGAACCCTGTACAAACAGGTGCGAAAACGACAGCTAGAGCTTCTGAATTCATCATATTTTTATCTGCATGCTTCAAAATATCTGAACAGAGAAGGATGATGTAGTATATTAGATGAAAATGCTCCTTTGGTAATTGTTGGAGCAAACAGCCCAATGTTTTTGTCGTTAAATCTATTTGAAGTCCTTCGTCTATAAAGATGCATATACTATTTAAAAAAACATGTACGATTGCCTTTAAACACATGTGATTGAAAATTTACCATAGAGCTGCATAAACTTATCATGGAACTGTACTGGGATAGCAGGATCGGGCAACTGTCGTAAATATTTCTTCACAACGCAGGTGATAGCGTGTATATCGTAATGACTAAGATCCATGTACCTTCCATAAGTAGGTGGTGTATCAAAGCTACTGATCAGTTGTTGAATTTCTGCGGCACCACCTGATAACCTGAAGATACCCTCTGTAAAGAGGCCTGAAAAATAAGATCCAAGGGCGAGCGCCTGTTAATGATTTTTGTCTGTGCGTTCTTTAAACTGTGCCTTATGGGATATGCATTCCTACCTCTTTTTTTGATCTCTTCGAAACATCGATAAACAGGACCTGGTATGCTTAAACCAATATCTGTACAACAACCGCAAAGACTAGCAGCTTTCAATGGTGCACCGAAAATGCCTCGAGTAATTATTGTTTCTTTAAAGATGAATGGATTTGTTAAAGTCGTCAAAGGAACCACAGGCAAATCCAAGTTCTTACCTTTCTTATTGTTTATCTGATGCTGATGTTTCCCATTGTTGGTACTCCTCTGTAAAAATCCAAATAGGTTCTTTTGTTTCTTTTTTTCAGTAATGTATTCATCGTACATCATTCTACAGCGAGCAGTTTTAGATACACCCCCCAAAAAAAAAAATTAAAATAAGGGCCTCTAAATTAAAACAATTCAAGGTAGAGAGAGAGGAATGAAAATAGAATGCTGGAACCAAGACGCTTCTGTTCGTTAAGCGATTCAAAAGCGAAAGAAAAACATAGAGTAGAAACAAGAAAAATAGAAAACATTGTCCTTTCCTTTTTAAGCACACGCTATGAAACGATCGGAGCTGCTTTCCTATATTATATTGAGATCAATGCATGTGTCTGTGATGTGCTTCGTGCACAGAATGATCCGTGCTCTTTATACAAAGTAAGCATTTGTTATATTATGGTTGGTTTATTTTCTATTGTCACTAGATGAAATATTAGCAAGAATTGCTTCACCATTGTCCGTTTTTTTTATTTTTATCAGCCTGTTTTCATGTTATAATCTATTTGTTACTATTTTAGAGAGCAAAGAGAAAATCACGACTCACCATGTGCGTATCATCCATTTTCAACCATAGTTGCAGTGTTTTATGGTTACATACAGTTTAAAAAATTATTTTAAATCTCATTTCTATTCGTATCATGTGCTCTCTCAAAATTGCAACGACTCTTTTTGACAGGTCTCATATGAAAATATATTTTTAAAATGTATGCCATATTATGTAAGAATAATTGAAATATCCAATTCCAGATATCGAGTCATTCATTTAGAGAAGGTGGAGTCGTCCAATGAAGTAGAAAAGGATTTGGGCTTTTTTTTTGTTTTAGGTTTTTGCAGCCCCTGAATGGGATCTACAACAACCAAAACGATATAAGGCTTCGAATCGTCGCGTCTTTTTTTTTTTTCAGTAAAACCCGTCTTCAAAGGGATATAAATATTTACAGATCATCCCTTTATATTGCTGATGTACCTCTGCGTCAACTTCAAGGAGTGAACACACCTCAAAAGGGTGCTAGTTTTCATGTTTGACATTTTTCTTTCTCTTTCTGTCTCTCATTCTTTTTATACAGATAACTAAGTAGGATGATGAAACAACAGTATTTTTGCTCTCTTCATGCATATATTTTACTATTCTTTCTTATGATGCACCTTCATGTGCACAATGTTCATGCTGGCGGGCCTGGATTACATCGATATCAAGAATCCCATTCAAATTACGGGGATGAAAAAAAGGCAAAAGAGTAAGTAACCTTCGCCTCACTTGGATAAAATGCGAAGAGACCCATCCTCTTTTTTGATGCTTTTTAATTAGACATGTTGAGGAACATATCAAATCCATGACAGACAAGGAGGATATAGAATTGAGTGAGGACGATATCGTTTATTACATGTTTGTACTTCATGATACAAATGGAGACGGTTATCTGGATGGAAATGAATTACGTGAAGCCTTTATAGATTATGGAAAGGACCATCAACATGATGAAGGTGAAAGGAAACAGAAGAACATAGACAAAGACGTAGCGTTCACGTTAGAGGATGTAACTGCTATGGTTGATCACATCTTGGAAGAAGACGATAAAAATGGAGAGTGAGTTTTTTTATTTTTTAGGAAAAAAAATGATTCGATAATCCAATGGAAAACGAGGCATTTCAGATTAATAGAAAATAATTTCTCATTCTCTAGTGGTTTGATTTCGTGGAGTGAATATCTGGAAAGTAGACTCTACCATACAGAGGCTTAAAACGACGGAGCTTGATATGGGTTATGAATCCTTTTGATTTCAATAGTGCTTTGTATTTTGAGAAACGGAGAAGGAGAAGCCTTTTCGCTTACGTGATGGAAATAAACACCATCGGATAACTAGACAGAATTCACAATGACCAAGATTCAGACGGGAATCGTACAACCTTTTTGCTTTTTTTTTTTTTTTTTTTTTTTTTTTTTTTTTTTTTTTAAACCGACAAAGAGCAAGGAAGAACGTGGTCGGAGACTGACTTTATAATGAAACTTGAACCAAACCACTTTCCTTCTGTTGAAGAAGATCATGATTTTTTTATTGTCCCTTTTTTTTTTCTATAACAGAAAAATTTTCATTTGCTAAAGATCTTACACTCTCTTTTTTTTTGATATTTTCGTTTCATTCTTCTCTCTTTTCATCTTTCTTTTTTTTTTTTTCCCCTTTTTTCTCTTCTTTCAATCCTTGACCCAGCATTCAAGATTGTAATTACATAATGGAGCAACTCAAGCAACTTCATTTCTCACCAGAACAACCATTTGGGTTGAAGTTATACCCCTTTTTTGAAAAGGCATATGAAACGGTCGTCGGTCAAAAGACATCTGAATTTAATTATCAATCTGGCGTGACACCTCTCTCTACTGTCAATGAAGGTAAATATCAAGAAGACACGCTAAAGAATGGGATGCGCGACTGGGCTGGTATCGTCAGGAGAGAAGGGAATTCGATGGAAAGCATTGCGTAAAAGACTTGTCCGTCTGCTTGGTTTGTTTGATCCTGTCGAGTCTCTCTTCTTTCGAGTCGGATTCCTTCCATGAAAAAAGCGCGTTGAGTGTGTGTATTTGTATGGGGTGAATGGATACGTCTATCGGTAGTATGACGGTGTTAAGACAGGTTCATTTCATGCTCCATGTTTTTGGTTCGGACGGAACTGGGGCGGAATGGGGAAACGATGGGCAAAGGGCTCCTTCATCTTTTACTTTCACTGCTCATCTGCTAATCCTGTCATCATCATCGTTTTTTCAAAAATAGTTACTATCACTTGTATCACCTACTTCATTGTTATTTTTGGCGGACGTTATTTGATGACCAACTTGCCAGCTTTCAAACTCAAAATACCTTTCATGATCCACAATCTACTGTTGACATTGGTGTCTGGTTTTCTATTGGCTTTGATGATTGAGCAAATTTTTCCCATCTTATATCGTCAAGGCATTTTGGCAGCCATATGTGCTCAAGAGACATGGACTCAACCTTTAGAATTGCTTTATTATTTGAATTATCTTGTCAAGTATTGGGAGTTGATTGATACCTGTTTCTTGGTATTGAAAAAGAAGAAATTAGGTAATTTTCCGCTGGTTAGGGAGAGTGGGGTTGGGAATAAACAATGGGGGGAGGGAGGGCGAGCGGACAGTAGAGAAGATCAACAGTGTTTTTGTAGTATCCCTCACTAACATTGATGTATTGAATCCCATCAATATAGAATTCCTTCATTACTATCACCATTCTTTAACCATGGTCCTTTGTTTTACTCAATTGAATGGAAGAACTTCTGTGGTAAGTGTCAGTTTTGCTTTCAGTTACACACATACCCTCGTTCTAATCTAGTTTAATTTGCTAAAAACTTCTCTATGACAGTCGTGGGTTCCTATTACACTCAACTTGACTGTTCACGTGTTGATGTATTATTACTACTTCCGTACAGCTGCCGGTGCTAAGATTTGGTGGAAGAAATATTTGACTACTCTCCAGATTACTCAATTCATCATTGATCTCTGTGCTGTTTACTTTTGTACTTATACATATTTCGTATATACTTACTGGCCGTTCTTGCCCAACAAGGGAAGCTGCGCTGGTACCGAGACCTCTGCTATCTTTGGTTGCGCCCTCCTCTCTTCTTATCTCTTGCTCTTTATCAACTTTTACCGTATTACTTACCAAGCCAAGAAGAAGCACGCTGCTGCTATGAAACAACAACAATTAAAGTCCAAGAAACTTTAAGCAGAGGCTCTCTTAACATTTCCCCATACATCTTATTCGTATTATTATCAACTTACTAATTACTTTTCGACTTTTTAATGTTATTTATATACACACAGTTTCATCTTTTTTTTTTTTGTTATTTTATTTTTCTTTTTACTTCAGTTTATTTATGTAGTAGTCATTACAGCTATTATTTCTCTTGTTAGTTTTTTGAACCCCATGCGAAAAAGTCCATTGTCCCCATAAAAATAAAAAAAAATTTAAATTAACAACTATAGCCCCTTTCGTTTTCGAAGAGGTTGCGTGCCAGTGTGTTTCACTGCTGAGTCTTTTTGATCCCGTTACGAAATTGCACTCTTCTCGTTTTAGTCTCGGACAGTGTCAAAATTTTAATGTGAAACAAGGGAAAGTTACAGATCAGACATTTTGAAACCTCGTTTCGTTCAGGTACTTTGCGACGGACAACGACATAACGGAGTACTTCTTCGCAGACCAAGTCGAACCTCTTCTGTAATAGGATACATGTCCGAGCCGTTACTAGATTTTTTGACATTCTTCAATACCTGTTGTAAGAGTCCTACTAACGTATTCATTTGGATAGCAATGGACGGTTTTTTGAAGTGTATACTTGAAATATCCTGGTTATTTACTCTGCTTGAGACAGAGCGAGCTGCCTGGTTAGTCCATAGAAAAAGTTAATGTTTTTGTTCGATCCTATGTCTTACAAGAAAAATGTCGAATTCTTATATCATTGCGCCTGCTCCTTTGCAAATATATTTGGCATTTATATAAGTGGAAGTGCTGCTTTTATGTTGAGAATTATAACACACTCTTTCTAGAAGATCAATAAAGACAAACAGTTTAGAACAGAGGTATTCGAGTCACACCACAATACCCTTTAGAACGAGGTATTCAATAACGCAATCATTTTGCAGACAAGTAAAGGATACATATTGTACAATAGAATTATCATATGAGTTCCATTAACAACAGCAATAACGACAAAATCGAATAACTTGCAGCAGTGATGAAAACCATCGACTCTGTGCGAAAAAATTCTTTGCTTTGACTATATTTCAGCCATAGGTGCTCCCTGCTTTGTAAATATTATGGTATAAACTTACTTAAGGTTCTTGTTGGTTTCTACTAGGTAATATTGGAGGGTTTCTTGTATATTCATGGTCTCTTGGGCTGAAGGGAAAATAACAGGTATATGACTGAGGGTATTATCATATTTGCCTCCCTCTGCTCCTAACGGCTACAGCTGTACTTTTCTAACTTTATCAAATCGCAGATAGATGCTCGACTTAAATCAGAACCGAAGATTGTGTTTTCCAAGAGGGATGTCAGCGTATAAATAATTCTCTACAGTCGTACCTCAATGCAATGGGTTGTATTCGACTGCTGTTACTGGAGTTTGAATGATATATCTATTTCGAACTTCCAGCCTATTTCTTTTCATGGAACTGTCTCGGAGACTTGATCTGTCAGTAGTTGCCCCCCTCTTCCGGGCGTTAATAAAACGGCTCTTTTACCTTAATGGCAAATTGTATTACTCATGAAATATTCTCCACCTTCTGTCTCATTGGTCAGATAAAAAGAAAGCCTAAAGGAAGCTCCTCTGATGTCTCCCTCAAATACTCTTTGTGCAATGCACATATCCTTGTTAATTTAATGTGCTATTTACGATAAGCAGATATGTGCCTTGTCGAATACATTGTATTATAGGGTTGTTGCTTTCGACTTGATAGCGATCAGTAAGCTAAAGAATCCCCGCACCATCCATTCCGTTTAAAAGTTGAACGTCCACTTGATCCGTCTTCTCGATATAGTAAGGCACATAACTTATGAAAAGTATATCTGTACCTATTGGCTTGCCTTTTCTTCAGTCTTCAGGAACAGACCTTTTTGAGAACAGAAGCCAAGAAAGTCACATACCCACCCAACATGATGGTTAATTTTTTATTGGTAATACTATTAAGAGCGGAGAGGGGCAATGGGAGAGGGAAAGGTGGAGAGGAGCGGATAGATCAAGTGCTAAATGACAATGGGAATGACATTATCATTCATCTATCATCATCAAATATCATTCTGTGGAGAAAAGTAAAGAGAAAACATAATAGGATATCATAAAAAGAAAAATTGCTGTATGTCATAAAGTGTAGTAGTGTACATAAAAAATGAGGAGTTGAGAAAAAAAAAAAGCGTACATATACAAAACAGAAGACATAGAATGTTGCGTGTGATAAATTAGCGTTATATACAGTATTAAAAGGTATGGTGATAAAATGCATCTTGATGTGTATATAAATATATCTTTCAGTCCGTTGGTATAAATATAATTCTTCTGCTTGCTTATTATATTGAATGAGGAGAGATGATTTACTGCTGTTGTTATTGCCGGTATCATTGGCTGAATTCAATTAGAACAAGATACTTCATTATTTGTTGGAGCTTCAAGACTCGGAAAGGACACATAATCCTCTTTAAACGATAAAGGTCTTTTCGATTGATTCCAGTCAATCAACCAGTGAGGAGAATCAATAGTGGACGTTGGTGTCGTGGACATGGCAGGAGCTGAATCTCTTGTCGCCGTTGAAGAAGGCGTTGACGAGTTATCTGATGCCATTGAATCTGTTCGAATAATGTAGTCCTGTACTTCATCTTGTTCCAATTCTGCAGCATGAGTATTGTTTGAGTGCTTGTTATTTGCGGCCTTTTGACGCTTCCAGTCATTCAAGAATTGAAACATGTTGTAATAACGATATAGGTTTTGACAAGTGTTGATGAAAAAAAAGTAACGGAATTAAGAAAGAAGAAAAACGAACAGAAAATCAGTTCTTTTATACTTTTCTTTCTTTCAAATCGGAAACAAACACAACGGCCTTCTTTGCATATTGTTAATAACCTGATCGACAACAAAAGAAAAAAAAAAAACCTGCTTGTCGGTCTAGAATTTTCACAGCATTAGCTTAATTTGGCTGTGTTTCTTAAAAAAGAAGCCAAGACGGACACTGGAAAAAAAAAAAAAAACTGAGAAAAGAAAGAAATCTCGACCTCAATTTTTTCTGTGTCAGAAAGGAAATAACCCTTTTTTACTTTCCTGTGTAATGAGGTAAAGAGCCGTTGTTCTAAAACAGATATCCACACATACACACATATATATCTATATAGGAAACTTGTTCGTATTGAAAGCAATGTGATGCTGCATTTCTATAATAAATAGAAACTCGCATTTTGGTTTTTTCTGCGTAGCAAAAAGCAATTACCTTTGTCGATCGCAAGATATCCCAATCTTTTGAAAGACAGATCAATGATGTTTTTTGTGGGTTATCAACTTAAGAAACCGATGTGCATTAAAAAAGCGTTGAAAAAAATGGGTTATTAATAAACACAATCATATTAACAAGCCTCAAAAAAAAAGCGATCTTCATAGAATGCTCATGCTGTCCATACGATGGATAAAAATACTCATTCTTTTTTGCCCCGTCAAAAACGTTTAGTGAAATGTGCTTGAAAGCCGCTAATGTATTAGTCACTTTCTCTCTGTCTTTCTGTCTCTCTTTCTCTCTCTCCTACATAGAGTATGACACAACGGGTGCCAATCTCCGGAAGCTGAATTGAACTTTCTTCAATTTATTTATGGAAACCCACGAGTACTCACACACTCATATACGATGACAAGGAACAGGGGAAGCCAAAATCAATTAATACAAAGTTTCCTTGAATAGAAAAGGCCTATTTAAGTCATTATCGCTGGTCACTCTTCGATTAAAAGTGAACGCTATACGGTGGCTATAAACAATAAGCTATACAAAGAAGTAGGTTGATGGCCACAATGTGATAGCTTCCCTCTCTTTCGGCCTTTCTCCGCGAGAGTGCATCTAACCAGGTGACAGGGTTCGAACTGAGACAGAGAGGAAGAGAGAAAGCGAGAGACAGAGCGCCCTTTTCCAGCTTTATGGATAGGTTACATGTCTAATTCTAAAGTTGACCAGCCCATTGTCTCTGTTTTCACTTGCATCCTGGGAAACGAAGCGTCCATGTGAGCAATCAAAGTTCTTTTTTTTTTTTTTTTTTTTTTGCGCAAGGCCTCAACTTATGTAGCTGAAGGGTTTGGAGCTACCTTTTAACATTTATTTCCTTAAAGTGGCCTATCATCTGCTGCCATTCAACACATAAATTACAGCAGCCGCCAAAGTAACTTTTATAAGTCAGTCGAACTCACTTATTTGACTTACTAAAACGCATTGCAGTGATTCTGAAAAGACATTGAGGGTGTCTTATTTCCTCTCAGCATAATGGCAACCTCAAGTCATACCTTGTTATAAAGCAACCGTTATAAAGGTTCATGCAAATCAACCATTGATTCTCATCCTTGGGATATAGCACATCATATTATAGCTCGAAACCTATATTCCTCCAATGCCACATGATCTGCCTTCTTACCTTCTTCTAGAATACACAAACAGCCAGAAAAAAACTTTTCTACAGAATAATGCCTGCTTACATGTTTGAATTGAATTTGTTATTGTGAGCGTGATACATTAGGAAATGAAACACCAGACTTTTTTTTTTTTTTCCGTAAAAAATGAGAGCAAGGGACATTCAATGAATGATAATACCCCTTTCATATCGGTCATTGTAGGTTGAATCCTTATCATGGTATATCCATTCTCGAAAAATAGCGGATACTCGCATAACTCGTCATTCATATGTCATTCAGTCGCCAAAAAGGAAGGAACAGAAAGAATCTATTAATCAGCAAACTTTTCTTCTATTTTGTGGCATGATATACAATAGTACGTACGTACCCGATCTCTTGAGTTGACTTGTACACATCACATCTTTTCGTCCTCTTGAAGAAAAATTACGCTATTGAACGTAATCCCTAGTAAGTTACAGCACCTTTTTTTTTGGAAGACAATGCGTATTTGATCAAAGAAGACGCTGCATGATGAAGCTTTATCTACCCTTTCCGCTTTTTAATCATAATCGTCAGTTACTTACAGTAATGGTTGTTGTAGACAATTCCTTCTCTTATTGGTACCCCATCATGGTTTTACTTTATATGGATATTTTATGATTCCTGATTGATTACGCACTATATATCACTTTTAAAAATTGTCTGTAATCATAAGATCAATCTTATTTAGCAAACAAAAATCAACCAGCGAAGCGCACGGTGCTGAGTCATTTAACGGATCCTTTCACCAAAAAGACAATTGTTGTAATTGATATTGAGACACGAACATAAATATTCATCAAATAGGATAATTACTGTTGACCATTAGAACTTCCTCTCCTCCAGTAAAATAAGATTCGTCACAGTATTGAGTACAGCATATACACGATCATTTCTCTACAGATTTGAATCTATGTGTACCATAAAAGTGTTATCATTTATTCTTGCCAACGATAGATAATATGATACCAACCACTTTCATTGGACGAACACCCAAAACGTGATTCGTCTATTAAACGATGCTGGAGGGTGTCGCTGTTGTTCGCATGCTATTCACGCAATCAAGACAAAGATTGATATTGCTTCGGCCTCTTTTAAAGGCAGCATTGATCCCATGAGTTCTATCTCTCGATAGGTCTTATTACTAACGGTTTTAGCTGCAGCTGTTATTCAAAGCCGATCCGATATGCACCATAAGGGTTCTATTCCGGAGAAGAGTTGAATAAAAGACATTTTCTAGGATGACTGAGACATCTCATAACCGAAAGTGCTATAATAGAGTAACTTTACTATTGATAATACCAATTTTTCTTTCCGTATCATACTCCCAGTTACTGGCATCATTGCTTTTTGAATCTCTTCCTTCTACGTCACATTGCTCATTTTTTTAGTTGGCAAAAAAATGAATATTCAATCTCAGTCCGAAGGTCTCTTTTATCTGAATTTATTTTACCACCCACCTACCCGCAAGAGCAGATGCAGCTTTAAACATTAAATCTTTCATCATGGAAAAGGAAGATAACCAATCTATAGAAATTACAGTCAGCCCATCGGAAGACTCACAGCAAAAAGCAGACACGAAATCTGAGCCAACGCAAGAAGATGCCGTCATGACAGATGCTCCGTCTGCAACCATCACCACCACCACCAACACAACAACATCCGATGAAAAAGCTGATCAAGCCACCACTGCTAGCACTAACAATACTGCTGAGACTACTACCACAGCCAACGCTCAAACAACTGCATCGGTTTCTAATCCCTCTTCTGAATCAAACGCCAATACCACTGCACGCTCTGAAGCAGAGCTTACCGCGCGAAAATATCTTGCCGATCGTACACAACAAGTAACCATTCCTGATTATGCTGCTTCTTGGTTTGATATGAAAACAATTCATAATATTGAGCGTGTCTCCTTACCGGAATTCTTTACGAACAACAACCCATCCAAAACAGCTACTATTTATCAGGACTACCGTGATTTTATGATTCTTACTTACCGTCTTAATCCAAAAGAATACCTTACAGTAACAGCTTGTCGAAGAAATCTTGCAGGCGATGTGTGTGCCATTATGAGAGTACACGCGTTCCTAGAGCAATGGGGTCTGATTAACTATGAGGTAACTTTTTGAATCTCACCAACGTGACAGACAGCACAATGGCACCGAACTTGCCACCATGTCAATATTAACCCATTTATGTTGTAGTGCGATCCTTCTACTTGGCCATCCGCTGTTGGTCCCCCTTATACTGGTCATTTCAGAGTAACAGCAGATACACCTCGTGGACTCCAACCTTTCAAACCCAATATTAAACCGACCGCTTCACAAAATGCAGCAGCAGCAGCAGCAGCAGCAGCAAATAAACCAGCAGCTTCATTAAACGTTGAATTAAGACAGAAAATATACGATAATATTACAGGAAAACAGACAAAACAATACTTTTGCACAACATGTGGAGCAGAATGTTCTCGGGAGCGTTATCATAGTTTAAAGACAAAAAACGTAGACCTTTGTCCACTTTGCTACAAAGAAGGCCGTTTCCCTATCACTAGTTTCAGCAGCGACTTTATCAAATACGATTCCCAGCTTTTCAATGAAGCTGCTGACACAGATGAAGAGGGTGCATTGTCAGCTGGCGAATGGTCAGATGAGGAAGTATTATTGCTGTTGGAAGCGATTGAATTGTATGATGACGATTGGAATGCTATTGCGGCTTATGTAGGAGGAACAAAGACGAGAGAACAATGTCTCACGTACTTTTTGCAAATGCCTATTGATGAGCCTTACCGCGACACAGATGAACATACTCCATCAAACGCAACTTCTTCAGCTAACGTTCTTTTTGAACATAAACGTATACCATTTTCTCAAGCAGATAACCCAGTGATGTCCATCTTGGCTTTTTTGGCTTCTGCTGTCGATCCGAAAGTTGCTTCAGCAGCAGCCGATGCAGCTATAGCTTGTCAAGAAAAGCTAAACAGCATTCATAAAAGGAAAGAGCCGCACAATGAAGGTGAGGAAAATGAAGAGGATAGAAGCATGGATATAGATTCGGAAAACCAAGCAGCCGATCATAAAGCCAAAAAACCTCGTACTGCTATTGAGAAAGCCGCTGCCGTTGCTTTAGGCTCTGCTGCAGCAAAAGCGAAATCATTATCCACGATTGAGGAGCACGAAATGAGACGACTTGTGCAAACTGTGATAGACACCCAAGTGAGCAAATTAGAACTCAAGATGCGCTATTTTGATGAATTAGAGGCTGTCCTGGATAATGAATTAGAGACAATAGCACAACAACGTAAAGATGTCTTCCGTTCACGCTTAGCTGTGAAAAAATCAGAAGCTTTGTTGGAAGAGGAGATTCAGAAAAGGGGAGGACTCGAAAAGGCTATTGAAGATGGCTGGACCGTTCAGCAGTTACAGCAATTTGTGCAAAATATCATTTATAAAGAAGATTACCATCTAGTCGATCTATTTACTCTGGATGAGTCAACATTGGCTCATCCTGCTTCGGCTATGGATGAAGGCAACAAACAGGCCGCATCCGTTCTCTCACTTTAATTTAACATCCTCATTTACGTATTATTATTCATATCACCCCAACTACTTTTCATCATTTATAAACGTATTAATACGAGGTATTGCACTTATTTGTCGATGCTAACGAGAAAATAAATGAGGGCACTTATGAGACTTCTGTTATTGTTATTTAAGAAAAAGTAAAAAAAAGAGAAAACAAAAATTATGTGTATCCATAAAATGGCAGTTAGTATATGTATATGGTTTCTTTTAAGTGGAATTATTGAGTACGTCTACGTAACGGGAACGCATGGGTTTTCTAGATCCTCCTGCTCTTCGTCCAGAAGGTGGCGTGCTAATTGAAGGAGGTGGTACTGCGCCAGATGAGCCGCCAGCAAACCCAGGAGGACCGCTCAACGCTGATTGACTACGAGAGGGTGGCATGCTGTTAGGCTTAGCAGCACTTGGTGGAGGTGCCATAGGTGATGCTACAGTAGGTTGTGGTGTACTAGCCTTGGGTGGTGGTGGCAAAGGAGCAGAAGCAGGCTTACTATCATTCTAAATAAAACATCACCATCGAATGTTAGGTTCTTTCTCCCTGACATCATCCAATTAAAGTGGAAAGTACTTACAAGTTTATTGACCCATCGCTTTTCCTTCTCATCATAATAGAAGGTACTTTGTTCACCTAAATTGGCCTTGACAGGTTTCTTCTCATCAGATGATTCTTTATCTTTCTTACCGCTACCGAATAGAGAGAATAAACCCCAACCAGATTTTTCTTTTCGTTCATTTTCCTTTTTACTGTCAGCAGCCTTTTCATCATTTTCCTTCTTATTGGTATCATTATCATTGCTGTTGTCAGCTGTACTATCTGCTGCAAATTTTGCTGCCTTCTTGGTGCTACTATTACCAAAACCTAAGTCGTCATCATCTTCATCAAAAGCGTTAGTTCCTCCTGCAGATTGCTGGGGATTCGTAGCCGTAGCAGATGGTGTGTAGGCGTTAGGCTGATACATTGTAGTGCTACTAGGTTCGTACATAGAAGTAGTTGCTGCAGTGGTATTATTTCCAGCTTGTAAATCTTCAATGTTTTCTTGACCGGCGTCTGAGTTCCACCATCCTCCACTACTATTATTTTGTTGACCTTGGTCAGCAGGCACATCAGGCTGATAAGATTGAAAAGGTGACGCCGATGGCTGTTGCTGTCCAAATGGTGAGCGAACAGCATTCTGCTGCATACCAAATGGTGATGATACGGGATTGACATTCGCTTGTTGTAAAGGTGATTTAATAGGCTTAGCTTCTGTTGTATTTTGGAAAGGCGATTTGATTGCTTTCACCGCAGGTGCAACAGCACCGGCAGCGGCTGAAGATGGCCCTGTTGCGGCCTCTGCAGGAATGTCGCCATTATCGTTCGATATTGTGTAACCATCTGCATAACTGTATCCGTAGTTGTACGTATTTTGTTGAAGGGCGCTATCTTGTTGGTCCACGGCTTGTTCAGAGTAGCCATATGGTTGACCATAATCTAGAATTCAATTTTACACAGCAGGAAATGGCTTTATTAGATTATTTCGCATGTGATTCTCTACCGTGAGAAATGACCATTACCTGTCGCTTGCGCCTCATATCCGTAACCAGGCAAGTAAGTATTATCATTCTTCTGACTATTGTTATAATTGCTTTCAATTGAATCAATCAAGGCATCAAAGGTTTCCTTATTCAAGAAAGCCGTAGCACTCTCGCTAATTATGTCATTGAAAGAGATACAAAATCAGAGTTATGCGTCTCTATTTACTAGCATTTCAATCATTCATAAAATTACCCATCAATGGTGACGTGTGTTATATCGCCCAGTTGTTTTAATCTTTCCAACATAGAGCTCGTGTCGGCAGAAGTGCTAAGGTAATTTACAATGGAGTTGCAGTATTTTTGAGATTCATCCTTCATACCAAATTCGGATAACCACCATGCAAGAGCCAGCTTGAAATCCTGTTGGACATTAGCCTTTGACGCAAATTCGTACAACTCGGCAAGGTACAGCGCATCCAAATCGGTGTATAAATTATCACCTACAATCTTATCACTATGTAATGCTGCCACGTCAGGTGATAAGAAGTAACTACAATATAAGAGGCTTATTAATGCAAAACGAAAAGCACAAAACGTGGGGAGGCAATCAGTAATCAACTTACCATAAGCGTGCATCATTATCGCAAGATCCTATTTGCTGTAGCTTATCACCCAGGTTAGCAATGACTGCTTGATCATTGTCACTTCGATTAGCTAAAATCAGAACCAAGGCACGTTTCCATCCTTTTAGATTTTCGGCTGAATAGTCGGGTGTATCTCCCTCTTTCTGTTTAACAAAGTCTGCCACTACATAAGGAAGACTGTTGTTTCAGTTATCACCCCTTAAATTACAAGTATGATCAACACAAACACTTTACCTGCGTCAGTACCGTTGCCAGCAAATACTGAATACAACATACGTAATTGCTTATGTTCAAAAGTTGAGTAAAGAACGGATTCGGTAGAGTTGGCATAGAGTTCCTGATGGATGAAGCGAGTGACTGTACTTTTCAATAACCCACTATCACCTGAGGCAATAGAGAAAGCATGTGCCCATAAATTCTTTTTGGAGGCATACGAACAGGCACCCGCACGATCACCTTGAAGCAATAATTTCTCCAAATCATCAATATCATTCCTTTTTACAGCAGAATTCATTGAGGCTTCATGAGAGGTATAGTTATTTGCTTCCATTTCAGCAACATCCTTCGATGCTATATTGACCTCTTCAAAACTGTCGGTTTGCTTGGCTGCATCATCATCCACTGTTGGTTCGTTTTCATAGTCAGCTTTTTCATCCTTCTTTTCATCCTTCTTTTCAATATTTTCCGATGCAATTGCATCCTTAATTTCTGGTTCATCTTTCAAAACAACTGCAGTTTCTCCAATAGCGGTGAGCGCTTTTGTGCCTTCATCGTTTTCGTTCTTATTGATTATGTCCAAGGGACGCTCTGAGGCAACGGTATTTTTAGGAACCTCAACTAGTGTTTCCTGTTCCAAGTCTACCTGAGGAAGGATTTCGGCTATAATAGCTTTATCCAAAGCGCCGCTAAAGAAAAACATTTTCATTTAGCATCAAGCTCTCACAGCTCTTTACATTGAGACTTACCCATCCCCTAAGCTGCAGTCAGAGTACTCCAACATCAATTTGACAATGCTCCACAGCAAAACTTTTGTTTTGTCCTCGAATTTATCCATGCGATCCTTCATAAAGGCTAAAGCTTTCTTACGCTTTTCTTCATCATCAAGATCAGTAGAGTGAACAATGACAGAATGTTTTGAGAAATTCTCCAGGCTTTCTTTCAACATGTCCTTCTTATCGTCCAATGCACTGCGTCTTACTTGCTCAGCTATTTGACCTAGAGAAATGGGATTGATAGGTTCCATACCAAATACATTGCTTGATGAAATACCAGCACCAAGAGCTCCAGCAGTAACTGCTACGGATGGAGTGGTGGATCGAGAAATTCCAGCTAGCGGTCGACCACATTCACAACAGAATTTAGCCTTGGGCTTATTCTCTCCGTCACAGTTAGGATCAGGACAAGGTACCAATTGAGGCCGTGGAGAAGACATACGATCCATCATAGGAGGTGGAACAGTAGCAGAACGTTCCATAGGGTATAGATAGCTACCTGTGCCGGCAGGTCCAGAAGAAGCACCGCCTGCAACAGAAAAGGGGGAGCTGAAACGGCGTTGATCCATTTCAGAATAAGTCTTAGATGAATTCACAGTTGAACTACGTTCCAAAGGTGTGTATCCGTAGGAGGACGCGGTGGGTGAAGTGACAGGTGGATTTTCTGGTTGTTTGAACTGCTTATGTTGCAGATCCTTAGGCTGTTGAGAAGGAATCAACGGTGGTTGTGCAGAGGATGTTTGAACATCTGTCAGTATTGTCTCCTGTTGCGTCTCCTGTTGTTGCTGAGCTTGTATCAGGTTTGAAGCAGGTGGAGGAACCGGTACAGCAGACAAGGTCAGTGACTCTTCTTGCAGACTTTGTAGCTGTTGAGCTGGCGGCGGCAAAGCTGGTACAGCCGTTAAGGATACAGGCTGTTCTTCCTCCGTAAAACCCGTGTTGTAGTCGTTCATATAATTGTTGGTAGAGGGAACATAAAGAGGGACTTCTTGTTCGCCGTCACCGTTGTCATTTGAAAATTGACTGTAGAGTTGTTGTTGTTGCTCGTTCGCACCGAATTCAAAACCTGTTTGTTGAGCTTCTTTTATTGCATTTTCAAAGCTAACTTCACCATCTTGTTTATCTCCAGGTGCTGTAGCCGATGCTTGAGAGTCGTGTCCTTGCTCTTGGATCTGTTGCCCTCCAATGTAAGCATTGGGTTCATAATTTTGGTAAGATGTTTGCTGTTCCCTTTGCTGTTCCCTTTGCTGCTGTTGACCAGCATAAGCGCTCGAATCGTAAGTTGGCTGCTGCTCATTGGGTTGGTATGCTTTCGAATCATAATGCGGTTGTTGCTCATTAGAGCTGTAAGCATTAGCATTAGCGCCATATTGTTGCTGCTGCTGTTGTTGTTCAGTCATAGCGTAGACATTGGGATCATATTGCTGCTGATTGTTCGTATAGGCGTTCGTAACCGGAGTCTGTTGTTGTTGAGCATAATATTCAGAATATTGAGGATCATATTGATAAGCTGTTTGCTGATCGTAGCCATATTGACTCATATCATAAACTTGGTTTGTATTCGGATCATAATATTGTACTTGTCCCTGTTCGTCATAGAAATAGTGGACATTAGGATCAAATTGTATCCATTGAGAAGGGTCATATTGCTGTTGCTGATATTGTTGATCCATTTGTTGTTGTTGTGGTTGTTGTTGTTGATCTTGCTGGCTATAATCGTACCCGTAAGTATTAGGGTCATATGCCTGTGTTAAAGAAGTCATAGCATTCACAGGCTGTTGCTGACCGTAGTTAGCTGTTTGATCTGATCCGGTAACAGCCTGGTTTCCATTCAGGTTTTCAAAGAAAATATCAGGTGCTTGTTCTTGCTCAAAAAAGGAAGCAGCCGACGCGTCCTGATGTTGTTGTTCTGAGGATGGCTGACCTATAGAACTGAACACATCGTTGGCGATGTTAGGGGCTCCAAACAACATGTCAGCGCCTTGAGATGTGTCATTTCCAAATAAACTAGAAGCATCACCAGGCTCCCCTTTTCCCTGGTCTATTACTTGCTGTCGCTTATTCTCATCAGCCGTTATTGTTTGTTGCTGCTGTTCTTTTCCTAACTGCTGGTGCTGCTGCTGCTTCTTTGAAACTTGATCTTGTTGTTGCAGTTCACTAAAGGGGTCATCTGCCGGTGAATCCCCAAATAGAGAGGAAGTGTTTTGTTCTTCGTTATGAGAAGACATCATCGTCTATTTTATAGATAGCGAAGTTCAATAAAAAGGCTCGTATACAGTCATCGTGTCGTATGGCTATGAGACATTACCTGCTGATTTAGCTTCTTAACAAAGGGCTTTGCAATTATATGAGCAAAAAGTTAAATAATTTACAGTTTAAAAACCTTCAAACTTAAGAAGAGGTAAATGAAAGCTTCTTCACGATTAAATGTAATAGAAGCCCGATGAAAAGGAAACTGCTTATGTATTAAAACAGACAGCTTCTTTACGATTATCAAATAAAAGCATTACGGGTCTTTGGTTTAAACTCAACCGATTGAAATTCATCCTTGTTTGAGGGTCTGACTTTATTGGGCAAATTGATGTTTCGGTTTATGGTAACACCATCAGCGACAGATTCCGTTTATTCCTTCAGGTTGCTAGCCCACTAGTCATGTTGTCCTCGAAACTACCATTCTCATTTTCTGCTAAGGAAGCTAGTTTCTTCATTCTTTCTGAATTTGTAAATCGTCTAGAGTTACTGCTACGCGGACGGCCGCTCCTTGGTAACGGTGGTACTGTGTCTTCCTCACTTTGAATATGTCTCAGTAGGTCCTCTGCTTTAACTACCATTGATTCTGTCCTGGTTTTTCGCCTCTCTCTAATTGATAATCTGCGGCTTTTTCGATGGGATGTTGTGGCCATTTCTCCTGATCTTAGTTTCTCCAAGAGGTTATCCATAATATCTTTATCGTCCTGACTATCCGATGAAGCTAAATGGAAAGGAAATGTGGAAGAGTACATATAAGAAAGAAAGTTTTGACGCCTGTAAAGCACAGCATTTTTTCAAAAACAAAAAAAAAAAAAAAACAAAAAAACAACTTACTATCGTTGGCATTTTTCTTTTTCACTCGTGCCTTTCGCTGCTCTTGCAAATCTTTCATCTTTTGTTCTTGTTCTAATTTCTGTCTTTGCTTTTCGATATCTGATTTGGCTTTATTCCAACTGGATATGAAGGTTTGGAAAATACCAAAGAATTCATCAGGTTTCATTTCGTTAGGGTCTTCACCAAAATAAGATACAACGTCTTTGTAAGCTACGTCCATAGATGTATATCGAACCTCAAGTTGGTCAAACTTTTCAATGGCTCTATCACGGAATTTATACATCATTTCTGCAAAGCGATCATTTGGTGGCGCTATATAACTGTCATTGTAATGACAATCAAGTTCGTGAATAAGTGTTTGCAAGCCAACGCGTAACTCATTGTAGTCCTTGACGAGATCCTGGATTGTTACTATGATGAAAATGGAGTAATATTTTAGATAGTGTGCCCAAAATTACCGTATATTGTATATATACATAATGTGTACCACGTTACCTCTACAAGCTTCACTACAAAGTTCAAGATCTTTTAGTAAATTGTCATTGATATGTGGAAACTTTTCTGTAATTAATGTGCATAAAAAGTGCAGTAGTGTCGAGTCATTGCCAGATGATCTGGTGTCTACAAGCTTATTGATGCTTCCTATACGTATGCCAAATGCACCACCTTGGAAATTGGTACCGTTCAAGAAATTACCGATCATCAATATAATCTAGTTATTGAATGGTTAATCATACCATAAATGGAAGCAAGTACTCTTTAGAAATAGGTTACATACATTGAGGAAATCAATGAAAGCTTTTGATTCTTTCAAATTTGTTGAGGCATCCATAACATTTGTCATATTTCTGCCAAGCTGAGTAATGCGCTCATAGAATGTCGTAACGAAAAGCATGTTCGTAAATCGTTCCTTAAAGCGATCAATGGTGATAATCTAAGAGAAATAAAATTGTGTGTCAGTATCACAAAAATTCTTCATTTTGTATAGCATATTTTAATGATACCTCAGCACAAAATGCATCTGCTTTAGATAAACTTTGCAAATCTTCCTCAGACGCCGTCTTGAGGAACACAGATAATTTGCCCATTTCATCATGAGAAGGAGCATTTGCCAGCAAGTTCCTTAACATGACCTCTGTACAAAACTTCTCATCCATTGCCAAAATTTTCTTTTTACAGTCCTTAAAGGATATATTTTTACATTTTGCAATGATAGCAATGTTGATATTATAGGCTTTGCGGGAATCGATAATGCAGATTTCCTGTCGTTTCTCCTTGTGCTGAAGCGCCTTTTTTGAAGCGAATTGTTTTTGAGCAAAAATTTCTTCCATTTTGTTAAACACCCCCTCTGAGCTCAGTAAGTCTTCTAAGGCTTCATCTTTATCGGGAGCTGCAGCATCTTTCCAAACTGTAGCATTAATATCATTGAGGTTGAGTTTTTGCCATTGTAGTTGACGAGTTTTTATACCGGGTAAGTGTTTGAGTTGTTTACGGGGTATAGCAGTTGGAATAGCAGAGGCACCATTGGGTGGTGTAGGTGCAGCAGGAGGAGGAGGTGGTGGTGGAGGTGGCGGTGGCGCCGGCGGCAGTGACTTATTGGTACCTTCATTTTTTTCATTGGCTGTGACTGACTTGATGGCACTATTTGCTGTTATTGCTGAGGGAGGAGGAGGAGGTGGTGGTGGCGGTGGTGGCGGTGGAGGAGGAGCATTGCCTTGCGTAATCGAATTACGAGATGGCCGTGGTGTAGAAGGTGTAGAGGAGTCAATTTCGATCTGTGGCAAAATAGATGGGGGAGAAGAACCGGGAGATGTAAGAGCAGCAGCAGGGGAATCAGGAGATGGCTGTGAAATACAACCAGCAGTATTGTTACGTGGTTTGATGAATTGGGAGCTTGTAGCTGTAGATGGTTTGGGTATGCTTATTTTCCATGCTTCTTTGGTTGTAATCATGGGTATATCTGAATCTTCTTCTTCATCAGAAGAGAGAACTGACGACAAAGAGTATTCTTCATCGTCTTCGTCATTTGCAGTAATTTTGTCATCGATACAAGGTTGTGGATGATTAATCTTGTCTGTGGAAGATATATGGCTATTCTTTATATCATTCCTATTGTTTTCCTTATTGTTTGTAGATGACAGCCTGGATGACTTTGGTAAAGTATGTTCTAAGTCATTGTGTATGTCCGACGAGGTTTTACGTTTGGGTACATCATTTAGTTCTCCACCGTCCACTTGACTCGATTCTTCGGTGGTTCTCTCAGACTGCGGTTGTCGACGGCGTTGATTTGATCGTCTTACAGCAGAGCCCATCAATGGCATTGTGCCAGGCAAAGCGAAATCTCCAAAACCGCCATTCTGCAAGCCACCAAATTGACGCGCTAATTGATTTTTGAAATCTTCGGATAAGCCCATGGCTAAAGATTTATGTTTATTCTTTTGATCTTCCATGTGCGTTTGCAAACTGGTAAAATTGGATAAGTCATTTGAGGTTAAAGTTTTATTCTTGCCTTCCAATTGTTCCTGCGTCTGTAGTCTTCCAAAAATAGTATCTACTTTCTTCTTCAGAATAGCAATATAACCATCATTATTGACTTTAGCCTCGTTGATTAATTTTGTAAACTCTTCTAGTTGATGGTTCGCTCTTTCCACACTGGCATCGTAATCGTTTTGTAAATCTTTCAATTTCCTCTGTAATGTCGATATGGTATGTCGTGACATTCGCAATAAATCCTCAAGGGATACGGTTTTTTCTCTCAGCTGTTCAATTTCCACAGTGCCTTCTATATCTAATTATTTTATAAGTATTGGTAGTATTGTAATTTCTTAATCTTTTTATCATACCTCCTCTGTTTGATAACTGTTCACGAAGCATGTCGCGCTCACGTTCTAATTCATCATAGCTCTGCTGCAATTCCTTAATGTCCTCCAATGCAGCTTTGAGTTGATCTTGATCAGCGAACTTATTTACTAGATGTTGTACAGTGGTAGTGTAATCAGTTGAGAAATCTTCTGCCAAACCTTTATGATCCAACACAACTTGAGATACTAGGTTGTCGATAATTTGAAAATATCTCGATTTTAATCCATTTTGTTCGTTGTTCACGAGTAATAAATGCTGAAGACAACTTAGAAAGAAGTCATAGCTACGAGTGCCTTCTACATTGGACAATATACATTCAAATACATCACGAGGATCGTTTTGATCACTGAGTACATATTCGTGATACATCTCCATAAGTTCATCCTGATCATTTTCTGCTAGTGTTCTGTACTCTTTCATTTGCCGATCTAAATGTTCGTCTGCTAATTCTGCCATTTTTTCTAAAATCCTCTCCAAGCCAGATGCTGTCATTTGATTTCTCAAATGGATTCTTATTTCCGAATCATCCACAACGTTAATGATAGCGTTAACCAAAAGCATATTATACAACTAGGTATATAGATTGGATGAATAGGGTAAGCTAATTGTTTAGATTGCAAAAAAATAACATGTTTCTTACAGCATATTCAGTGAGCTGGTTATCCGGCGAACCGTAAGTCGCCAAACTTTTGAAATCGTCGCTAGCGCCAACCATGCTACCCATTCTTCCTCTGCCACCCAACGTAATTTCCAATTCTGACAGCCAAGCATCAAATCGACCCAAACCTCTCTGCTTGTCACGCAATTGATCCAACCCCTTCAATACCAAATCTTGCCCCACAGGTTTTTCATAATAGCACATAAAGACCAACACCTCACAAACGAGTCGCCGAGAATTAATAGATTCAGATACAATACATTGTACAATCTGGTTCAAACACTGTGGGTGTCTTAAGGCTTCCCGTGCACCAACCTATATTTTTGTACATGAAAGAACCAAATATAGTAAGTATGCCTTCATTTCCCAAGGCTAGATTATTCCCCTTTTTCTCTTACTCTATTGTTCATCAATGCTTTAAAGCATTTCAATATGTCAGCCTCAACAGATAGGTTCAGTTCTTGTCTAATTGTTATGTAATTGGTAAGTAGTTATTTTCAACATTTTTTTTTTACAACGGCATAACGATTTTTTGTTAGCATTCTCTTTTTTTTTTTCACTTACTTGATTTTATTCTTATTGAAAGCCCTTAAGAGATCCGTGAGGACCTGTAAGCCTTGCAACTCAATAAACTGACGAACCCAACTATTTTTTCTCTGCAATTTTAGCATGACGTCGCTTCATTCATTTAGTGTCTGAGCACATATCTCAACAACTAACCTCAATGGATTGGTTCTTAATCCTACAGCTAGGTGCGACACAACTTTTATATTGACACCTTTCGACAAATCTGACAGTTTCTTGACATAGTATTCTGGCCCCTTAATTTCCGACTGATGATGTTGCTCTGCCTTATTGCTTTTGTCAAGCCTTTTTGAGAGAGAATTGCTGTTGTAACTGCTGCTGCTAATGCTACTACTGTTATTGATACTATTACTGTTACTAAACGAGGTACTGTTTTCTGACTGTATATCTTGAGCTACCATCAGACGCTTCTTTTCCACCGGAAACGCCAACATTTTCAATCGAGCATTACTATCATGTATGCCTCTTCTGGACTAAATGTAATTTGTTGTCAATGGATCCATATAAGTAAACGGGTTTAAGCTTTTTGATTTATGCACTGTATTGCTCGACCCATTACCAGCATTCTTTCAAAACAGTCTTCTATTTCACCATCTGTCATGGTATCTACAGTTGTTGCAGTGTACTCGCTGTCAGTACTTGGAATAGATGACGATTGCGAGGTTCTTATAGATGATGGATTATCTATAGCTGAACGGCCTATTATTACAGAACCCCTGGACTGGGTTTATAAATCCTTCGTTCTTCTAAATTGTCAAACAACGTCAAATAAAGGCAACTAAAAACCGATACCTGACTGAAAGTAATCGTCATTCGATTGAGCATTGGGACTATGGTGAGTTGGCGAATGAGATATAGTGCTACTGCTATAACTTGCTTTCGAAAATGTCGGTGATTGAGGCTGGCCTATCGACAGTGGTTCTGGACCCGCTTTCTTTTTCACTTTCGTTTTGCCTCGGTTAAAGAGGTCCATTTTTTTCGTCAAAGTGAAAAGAAGAAGAAGGAACTGAAATTCAACACGTTAATAGAAAAGCGAAGAAAAAAAAAAGGAAAGAAGGGGAATCGCAATATAGGAGTACAACCGCATATTGTTGGTTCTACCAAAAAGCTTGAATTGGTGCAGTTCGAATACCTCGCCTTCCCCCCCTTTTGGAAAGCTTTCTTTTTGTAACTGAGATTGAACGATAGATTCTCATTTGAATTCGCTCTTCACAGCACTGTTTGCTGAGGCTCGAAACAGAAGGCATTTGAGTTTTAAGCGTATCTATCCATCGTGTATTTGAACAAGCTTTCATTCAAAGTTGTGGACTGCTTTCAAAATCGCACGAACAATTTGTTACACTTTCGAAACAACGATATCCTCTGCTGCTGTTGAAGAAGAAACGTGTGCTTGAACGTAACAGAACTCCGTATAACGAGTTTCCACTGACTTTCAATTTTTCCATAGCTGCACGCGGCAGTAAGTGTAGGCTGATTAAGAAAAATGACCTCTAATGGTGCTGTTTACTGCTATTTGCTTTCGTGGCCATGGTCTTCCCGAAAAAAGAAATACACTGATTGGTATCACTTCAAAGGGAGTCAAGAATAATAGTATTAGATAAACAATTGTAACAATTACTACTAGCAGCAAGGAAATCATTATCGCCAGAGAGCTTTTCAAAAGTAAGTAAATCTACGCGAAATATTATTTTCAAAGTAGTTTTCCATCGTTCTATCTTTCATGATACCCGCTCAGCCTTCTTGTTTTTACGAGAGCTACGAAGAAGAAGATATGAACGGGAGTCAACAAGGTCTAGTTTGACCCGCCTTCCTCTCCTTTGAGTGAAAATCCGGATAAGTATACTATACCAATGCTTACTACAAGACTCTCACATAGAATTTTTTACTATTTTATTCTTTGCAGACTTATTAGTGAAATACATCATATAACATTCCTTGAAAGAAAACCAAGCAAGCAATGGTTTCTGCCAAAAAAATAGTCTAGATTGGTCAAGTTACCGCGATTGTAATGGGACAAGCATCATCCAAGCGTGAATTTATCACTTGAGTGGTTTCTTTATTGCAATATAGAAGCTTCGCAAGGGCGAAATTCTTTTAAAGTGTTAAAGGACTGGGAGATAGAGGCGTGTGTTTACTTTGGTGTAATAGTTTAATCTACCCTAGTTTACTGATAGTTACAAACAAGCGCACAGTCTGGACTCGTTATAGGGAGAAAGAGTGGGCGGGTTAGGGGGGGGGAAGCACGGAGAGAGCTGTTAAGAAGCATATTTTTCTCTAGGATCAATCGTACTGTAGCATTCACGTTGATTTCTCCTCTCAGTATCAAAATGTGTCCTTTCGAAAATTCAAAAAAAGCACATATCACCATATGAAATAGACAAAATCCCTTTGTATATATCAGTTTTGGCCATTATTTCCTGTACCTACGGAATCTTCAAGCCAACCAAATCTTTCTGGACGAAGAGGAACATTGAGCTACATAGATTTCCAACTTATTTTCTGAGCCTTTGCGTGTGCACAGTGCTGTACATGGTCATTCACCATTCAGTTTTTTGTAAAGTGGTTCAACTTTCTTAGCTATAGAGTCAAAGCAAAAGTTGTTATCTATATTTCAGACAAGGAGACCTTATTTTCATGTATATTTAAGGCTCTAAGTCAGTGTCATGTGGTCCTATAACTTAGAAAGCATGGTATTTTCGCTTTGGCATCTTTTTTTTTTTTTTTTTTTTTTTTTTTTTTTTTTTTTGCTGAAATATTGATCGAATCTTTCAAAAATTAGAATTGAGACAGCCTTGACGAAGTTAGATTTAGAGATATTCTTAACAAATTACATCTAACTGATGCATTGTAATCTGCTTTCCCTTGCGCCCGAATATATTTTCTCGAACGTCTGTTGTGGCAAAGCAAGCGCCTTTAATGATAAAGAAGCCGCTGCAAAGCTGCAATTACATATCTGAACACTTTTGCTAGCTGAGGGCCAATGGTATCTGAAAGAGTTGTGATTCAACTATGAGTAAGTGTTTCATAGGATGTAACTCGTCTTTTGGAACTGGTTAAGTAGTGTTAAATCGGACAAAAGCCTCACTTAACGTGAAGAAGATTTTAGCTCTGACTCGTCCTTTCTGTGCGATGTCTACAGCCGTGCAATACTGCTCGATTATTCTCTACAGTCAAGTGCCAAAATACTTTTCATTCGATCGGGTATTTCAGTTGCTTTACTATATCTCAATTCCACCAATAGAAGTAAAGAGTGTTGTTTTTATTCATATTCTTACAAAGAATGGTCTTATAGAACAAAATGGCGTGCTTTTTTCGACGCCTTCAGCATCAAATGTAGGTGTAATTTCAGATCTACTGTTATTTCTGTTCTTTTTGAAGCTTTTCTTGCATAACGCCTATAATAGCTATTAGCCATCGAAAACAGTCGTAATTGTCAGTATTAAACATGCTCCGCGCTGCTTTATCTGATCCCATTACCTCTTAATGTGCTTTGTTTGTCGGTAATTGTCTTTTCTAGTGTTTCCATATTCTTTTTCACGTAGTCTACTTTGTTGTTATAGAATTTTGTTGCGTCTCCCAAAGACTAGCAATTACAGTTTATTTCGCAAATTCTTGAGCTGACTGTACTTTTAATAATAGATAACGCTTCTCTTTTTTACCTTTTCTACATAGTAACCTGTGCCTACATCGACAATCACTTTCTCCACATCGCTTAATTTACCTGGAACATATAAGTATAGTAATTGGTTAAGGATAAGGTTGGATTATCTAATACTGTTAGTCTGTTTGAAGAGAAGCTGATGTATTTGTGTACGAAAAGGATATAGATGATGTGAGAGGAACAAGAATTGTTTTGTCTAATTGGCGTTCGAGTCAAAATAGGTACGCGGTTAATAAAAACAGCCCTTTATAAATGAAGATCTATCTCTGTCAAGAAAGCTTGGGGGCGTTACTAACCATCAGGCTTTTCTGCTTTCAACGATTCCACGCTTTCAGAACAATCTTTGAAACGGCTTTGAACGCCCTTCAATTTGCTGTAAGATTGCGTTAAATGGCTCACTTCCTAGCAAAACAAGAGAACATTTAGCCTTTCGGCAGGAGCAAACGCAATAACAACTCAAAGCGGAGCGTCATACTTCTTCTATTTGTGATTTGACTTGTTGAAGGGATGCTAAATCGAGATCCGTAATGTTGATTTCCTTTTGTGACATTCTATAGTTTGGCTTCTGATGAAAGACACGCTCAAAAAGTGCAAACAAAAGGAACACACGTCCAAAAAATTAAGAGACAGGCTGAGTTCTTTACAGCCTCGCAATTGTGTAATTGAGGTCACAAGTGGGCTTTCCGAATAATATAAATTTTGATTATCCATCTTACCCAAGTGTCTCTCTACATTACTTCTGCAGGAACACTCTTTTGTGGGATACAGATAAGGACTAAAATTGCTACTTCTTAATCGAAATCGCTCTCTATTCGGTTTTCAAGATTATAACATTTTTTCTTTTTTTTTTTAAAAAGTCGAAATGTAATTGCGCATAAATAAGACTGGAAAATCGTATAGATATTATTTTTTGTAGTGTGATTGTGGGTGTATAAAACTAATATTTGATCCTCTTCTGTCATCTGTTTATTCTTTGCTAACGACATAACCTTTTCCTTTGTAACCTTCTGATGAGATACCAGAGATAGGGTTGGAGTTTTGACTCTTCAGGTATTCGTTTGTAGCCTCTTCCCATTCCTTGCTGATGGTACGAGGAGTTTCTTGAGCTATAGATTATTCAAAGAATTGCATGTTTGGATCAGTAATGAATATCGTCACTTTCCGCTTCCCCACAATTTTTTTCGCCTCCCTAACCCCCGCCTTAAAACCAAAAAATATATTACCGTTTTGACGAATGACATAGAAGAGAGCACCAGAGGCACCCAAGACACCAGCAACACCAAGGAAAACCTTCATGCTATGTCCGGGTTGAGTCAAAGGTTCACGGGGTCCGTGAGCACCAAAAGCAATATAGTCTAGCGAATTGAAACCAAAGCCAATCAATGATTCGTTCCTTTCTTTTTTATTTCTATAGTGTGCAAAATAAAAATCTTACAGGCAGCCTTCTTTTCTTCAAAAGAGAGATTCTTCCAATCACCCTTTTGCACTTCCTCTAATTGTTTGGCGATGGTGTTTTGCTCGGCAGTAGAAAGTGTCTTCCAACGTGTTTCTAAGTTTTGAATGGCAATGTTGTTTGTAGTAGAAGCATTGCGGCGGCTTAAAGCGCGGGTGACGTTGCGCAAAGCAGTTGTGGAGGTAGAAGAGCGAAGCATTATTACAGATTTAAGTATATAAAAAAAGAGAGGGGAGAGAAAGAATTGAGATAAATACTTTTTGTAATAAGATGAGGAGAGAGAAGAAAAACTTAGTAACAATAAACTCTGTCCTCTCATCATTTAGAACACACACACTGCACACCACACCAAAAAAAAAAAAAAAATGATGGCTCAGTCTGGGGTTGTTTTGAGTCTTTACCAAACTTAAAGCGCGGACGTCATCACCCGCCTTGAAAGATTACTAAATTCGGAACATGTAGCAATTTTTAACAAAACCACGTTGCTTGTGAAGGCTACTATGTTGAACGATGAAATCAAATGAAGAACAGTAAAGCGTAGTATTACGTTGAGATATTTTGAACAATTTCTTAAGCAGGCGTGTCGTTTTATAATGTGGGTTAAGGGGTATATACGGTTTCGCCTATATCATCTATTACGGTTTATCGCAGAAATCTGTTCGGATACCCAGAATATATTGTTGGACTTCCAAAGTCAAATCTAATATAGTCAATAGAAAGCATTGCTGATGCAAGCCCAGTCAACCACGACGACAATTTAGATAAGGAAAAGGAATGCAGGAAGGTGGGAGGGACAATATCATTTAATTGTAGAGCAGAGCAATCTCACTGAAAGGAAACGAAGTCTGTGCTAGAAATACATAAAGCTTTGAAGTCAACTGCTATTGAACCGACAAGTATCTTTTTAGCAGTACACCATTTAAGAAACTGTAGCTGGAAAGACCCAATTTAGAACACAATACACGGTAGTGAAGAGTCTTCAAAAGGCATCAAGACTCTAAAATGAAATTAATCGGCACAAGCAAAGATAAGCTTCATTTGATGAACGGCAAAATGGAGCTGTTTGGCCATGGATATCTTTACAAAAGCTAAATCTTCTTTTTTTTATTTTTTATTTTTTTTTTTGGTTTATCTCAAATAATTTCTTACCAATGTGTAAAGCGATCATTGCTTCTGGAGCATTATGAAAGCCATCATATGATATAAACACATAAAGGATGGTATCTTTTACCTTTTCAATGCTTCACTAAGTATAACTAGCAAAAAGAGTGATTACAATGAGAAAACACTTCTACTAAAAATCAGAATGAGTTTATATTTCAAATCTGCGGCAAGTAGTCTTACAAGATATCATTATTGTATATTTCTAGCGACACAAAGAATATTCCGTACAATTTCTAGTTTTAGAAGAAAATGGGCTATGACAAATAAATACATTCAAATAAACGTTCATTACACTGTTTAACTACAGTTTCGTTTTAAAGAGTTATTGATAGTTAGCCAATCAATGTTTAAGGACACTGCTGGGAAGACACGGCGTGAAATTCAACAGTTATTATCGCTCAGACCAGAAAAATGAAAGACATACATATAATAGACTTCTTCTATTTGGCTTCATTCAGGGGTGGATTAGTCTTTTCTTTTGTTTTGATTTACTATGGAGCTTATATGATAAGAGGTTAGTTGTTGCGTTGAGCCAAGATGTTAACATGAAGCTCACACCGTGAATGTCTTGAAAGTTCTGAAGCATATATATACTAAGTTTATGTTTTCAAGTTGGCCATACTATCGTTTTACTTGGTATAATGAACTAGCTCTTAATGGCTAGCTTAGACCGTCCACACACTATTTTCTTATCCTTATTTTTCCGCTTGTACTACTCCATCGCTATATGTACTAGTATTAGAATGCATATAAATGTAACTACTGCTCAATTTGAGTATGTGTTGTTGGTGCAAGAAAGAGAGACCAATCCACTCCGCATTTTACTGAATGATACGGTTATATAACTCTTGTAAATTTAAGAGAAAAAAATACATTTTAAAGGCTTCGTTTTTCCTCAAAAGCCATTTACATTTGTCAACGAGCTATTGGTAGCCTTCAATAAAGTTGTTGCCTGAATTGAAAGGATCAAACAAAATAGCAATCTTTAAACGTCCAAATAGCTTTGCTAAAACCACAATAGCCATGATTAACGAAGGCTGTATGTACTGTCAGTACTAATATATCAAATGAATAGATGACAGGCAATCAGTTGCTCGATCAAGACGAGTACAAGTATTAGAGTTAAGAAAGCGATTATAAAGATTTAAACAGTAAACTCCTTATGGAACAATAGAAGAGCTTCTAACGGTGTTCGGCCATGGCGTGGAACTTGATCGTCTACTGTTTACTAAGGTTTATTTTATATATTTCTACTCCGCATGATAAACTTTGAACGATACTTATAGAAGAGAAGGACAATATACTTAATGACGAAGAGAATTATATGTCCTATCAGTGAACTTTGGAGGCGCTTCTTAGATATAGTTGCCAATTGCTATGAAAGCATGTTGCTTTAAGGCTGTTTTCACGACCGAATAGTGGATGATAGCTGGAGTTGTAGGAAGAAAACAGGTTAAAAAACAAAGAATTGTGGATGCTTCTCAACGAACGCGGGTCATACTTCCTTATTATACATATAAATGATAGCTTTAATCAAGAATATGAATAATAGGAAATACATATGGTTACATATTGCATTCTCTAATACCATTGACGAGCTGCGTCGTGTATTTAAAGCTGCTATGCTCTATTGTCAGAAACGGTGTTACTGAACTTTTTCAGTGCAGCTCGTGTAATGACTGTCCTCAATACAGAAAAGAGGATCGTCATCCGTGTAACCTTTATAGTAACAGCATATAAAGCTCTATTTGTTTGTTTGCACCTGCTCATCTATTTTATCAAGGCAAGAAGTTTGTTGTTGGAAGGTCAAAAGTTCCTTTAACGCTTGAAATGCACCACTGTAAAAAGGGGACGATGACAAATAAAACTGAGATTCAAAAGGAACGGACAAAGAAACAATAGACGGAAAGTTTCAAATCCTTGCTTGCCAATGAAGAACAGTAAAATGTGACTTAGCAGCCAAGGGAATTGCATTATAAATAGGAAATGTATTGATAAAAAAGACAATATAGCGGCGGATTCAATGACAAAAGGCCATTTTAAGGGAAGTTTATAATACTAACTCCATTAATTTGAATGATGTTAAAGTACAGAAGCAAAGGAAGGGGAATAAAGGGAGTTGATTTTCCGAGCTGGATGGCTTTGCTGTTTGTCAATCATAAAATAAGCCCTTCTTCTTTCTTTCTTTCTTGCTCTCTTTCTTTCTTCCTTTCACTTGCTCACTTTCCTAAAGAAAATACTATGCTGCTCAGCACATTGACAGCGAATAAATCTATATTGAGAGCGATCCTTGTATCGCTGCTATTAATATCAGGCCTATATTTGTTCACAGTATCCTTCGAAGACAAAGATATTTTCACGAGTAAAATGAAAAGCTCACGACTGTCAAAGGACTTGTCAGCAACGAACGTAAACGAACAATTTCAAAGCTTTTCTGAAGAATATTATTACTTTCAAACGACCCATTATCAACACACGAATCCTTCTCAGCTTTCATTTCCTCACGATCGGTTCAAAGCGGCATTTTACACATTTATAAAAAACGACAGCTTCCAATTGACACGGCTACGTTCTACTCTCCGAAATATTGAAGATATGTTCAACAAACACCATCATTATCCTTATATCATTTACTCAGACCAAGATTTAGACGATCAGTTTAGAGAATTAGCAAGCTCACTTGTGGCACCTGCAACGATGATCTTCAACAAAATCGACAAGTCATTGTACGGTTACAGAAATGATACAAATTTGGAAAAAGCAGCAGAGGCAAGAGTGAAATTGAATACAACCATGTTTGGTGATAGCGAAGATTATCGATTCCAGTCTCGTTTTATGGCAGGCACCATTTACAGGTAAATTCTGACCCTATTTACCTTCATCATCATGAATAGGTTTTATTAAAATACAACCCCCTTGTTTCGACGATGGATAATCAGAGATAAATTCATGCAAGAATTAGATTATGCTTGGAGGTTTGAAGCAGGAACAGAATATCTTTGCCCGTTTGAGTACGATCCATTCAAATATATGTTGGAAAACAACAAAAAGACATCCTTTGTTATGGCTCTCTACGAATATAGAGAAACGATTCCTAGTTTATATCAAACTGTACTGCATTTTGCACAAGAGCATTTGAACTGGATTCAACCTGCAAGTAATCCGAACACTTTATGGCACTTTATATTAGATAACAATAATGGATTCAATGGCTGTCATCTTTGGAATAATTTTCAGGTAGGCTTTAACAGAAGACGATTTTTTTTTATTTTTTATTTTTTTCGGGAAACTTTGCACTCATGCCACGGTTATTGTGTACGTTTCAGATTGCTGATGTTCGATTTTATCGAGGAGAAAAATATCAGGAGTTCTTTGAATATTTGGATAAATCCAACGGCATATTTTATGAGAGATGGGGTGATCCAGTCATGCAATCTTTGGGCGCCCTTTTGTTCCTGAACAAAGATGATATACACTTTTGGGATGATGTGGGTTACCGTGTGGCTAATTATTTCACCCATTGCCCAACAGACAAATCAAAGTATGGCAAATGCAGCTGTAGACCACAAGAGAACTTTGATGATAACAATTACAGCTGTTTACGATTCTATTAGAAGAGAAGGATATACATAATACCATGAAACACATATTTATTGTCCTATTGCATCATTTGTAGATTTTTTTTTAATCGCACCCTTTGTATTATAAATGCACTTTTCATAATGTAAAAAGAAGAAAAGAGATTTGTTTTCTTTTGACAGACAATGGCTCACATTTGCTACTTGATATGACTATAAAATCAAAGACAACCATCATTGTCAGGTCAATGGCAGGAAAAGGCTGACGAACTGTCAAGTTATTGATGATTATTTTTCTCGTTCCTTCACTCGCTGGAAGACGTATAATATCATTCTGAAAGAATCGTTGGAGCCGTACAATTAGTTAGAAGGAATGACAATTACACAGAGCTTTTTAAGAGTTTAAGAGTTTTCTTTTAGTCATGACAGGCAGGACCCGAGCAATTATTATAACCAAATGTCAACACACTATAAACATACAACTTGTGTATGTGATATCAAAAGCAGCGGCCCAAAACTTAAAATGCTTCAATTTCGATTCAGTATGTGTAGGGTACGAACAATAAAAGAATATGCTAATAAAGTGTGTTGTTTCTACTGTCTATGAACGCCCTTTGAGCTCTTTATCCATTTTTATCAGCAAGGCGCCGATCTGCTTCTCCTGTGTGCTTAACTCACGGATTTTGTCCTTTTCTTTAATGCAAGATGTCTCAAACTGCCAATCTTCACCTTCAGCATAATGTGTGAACTTTAAATATCGATCATCCCATTTATTCTTGTCTCTCAGTATGCCACCATTCCACCACCATGGCCGATTATCCCTTAGGTCCAAGTGTAATTGATTACCGCAGACTGTTCCCTCTGCACCTGCGTCTCCTAAACCGCCAATAACAGCGCCATGAGATTTGACAAAAGCATAAGGTGTTTGCATCATCTCAAAACCAATCCAGAAGGTCTAAACATGATAAAAATAGCAAGATAAGCCATTTAAGAGAATGACCAAGGAATATGCATAAATGATCATGCCGTACTTACCTCTTTGTCACCATATGAATGTGTATAAGATACCTTATCTCTTTCCTGCTTGTCATTCATTTTACATGTTGCTAACAATCCAAAGAGAGCTTTCTTCTTATCTATCACAATAATACCAGACTCTTGCTCATGGGTTGAAGTGGTTTTCCACCATCTTGACTGCTTAACATAAGTGCTATGTGTGGGTAAAAATGATTTCAACCATTTACGTCCTTGGTGGTAGTTGTTGAACAAAGTTCGATCCAAAAAGAAAAGGGCACCCGTTGCCTTATATCCGTCATCCTCAAAAAATGTCTCAGGCTTCTTGAACATAAAGACATCTGCATCCATTAAGATGACTTCTTGGAACTGACTAGCCAAGATGGCATAAGGCTTAAGCGCCCAACCACCAAATTGTGTATAGTAGTTGTCGATACGTTTCGAAATATCATGGGTAGAAACATGGGGTATCGCATTAAAAAAATCTATGTACTCTTTTGCCAGATCATACGTATTGATGTAGAATATCTCGATGGGTAAATCCGATTTCAAAATTTCACGGATAGCCTTTACAGATGAAGCGGCGTGTTGAAATTGACCATTGCCTACACACATAACTATGCCTCTTTTACTTTTACCAATGTCGCTGTTACTGTCATCCTTATCCTCCTTTTTTCTGTTATTAATGTCAAAGACGCTCTTCCAGTAAGGTTGTATCCAAGGATAAATTGTGGTTTCCAGGGATTTGTAAAAGTCCCAGATAGGCTTATATCGTGGATCTGTTGTTACATCTATTTTGCCTTCTGCCAAAATAGGGTCTAGATATTGAAAAACTGATTTGAAAACACGTTCCTGGGTAGTTAAAGTTTTGAAATCTGGAAAAATTTCAGGTACAGTCAATAGGTCCGCTTTGATTTGTTGACCCAATGGGGATGTCAGTAATTCAAGCGTTGAATCTATATATAGTAGTGAGCAATTAACACAAAAGATGTTCATAATAGAGTTATCAGGATGAGAGTGTCGTTTTTATTTTTGCCTGCTTACTATACCTGACCATTCGGGAATAGGTGATGGAATAGCCAAAAAATATCGTTCTTGCAAATCTTTTATATTTGTATTTTGTAAAGACAGCTCTGCATTTATGGCGCACAAGGGATCAAAAGATTGTCGGGCATTTTTGTTGAAGATAGTGGATGGTGTATACACATAGATTGTATATGAAGAAGCGTTAATCAAAAACGGTTTACCCCTGAAATTTGTGTGGTTTTTTTTTTTTTTTTTTTTTTTTTTTGTCTCTCATACGTGGTTCTAGTATGGCTCTTCTTTCGTTGACTTCTTCCAATCTTTCTCTTTCTCTTTCTAATGCCATATCAATCCTCAACTGCATTTCCTTTTCTTTTTCCTCTTTCAACGATAGTCGCGCTTGTTCTTCTTCTTGCTCTTTCCGTAAGTTCATTTGTTGCTCCAGATTCATTACATAACGAAGTAAGAAGGTTAGACAAATGATTACAAAGATGACGGATGTCAGTCGAAGAGCTCGACCATTCAACTTTGTCACCATTGATATGCAGAAGGCAGAAAAAAGAAAAGAAAATAGGTCAAAGAATAAATGAGTTTGAAGAAGAAAGGAAGAAACCCTTGGGGCCGTTTATTACGATTAATGAAGGTTTATTACCATTGGATTGTAAAGTGATACAAAACACTTTACTAATGTACAAGGGATGATTGCACAACCAAAGATGTGCTGAATGCATAATAAATAAGGGTATACAGAATCTCTAGGCTTTGACTGATAACAACCAATACTATTCAGGTGCAGTTTTATATTATGTAAAATGCAACCCCAGATGTAACCTAGTCTTTAATTACAGATGTGGTAGTCATTATCTCAGGTACAACGCGATCTCTTCATCTGTCATATCGCTTTCAGAGACTCTTTTGCTATTCAAATCACTAAATATAACAGTTCGTGGTGCTGGCGTACTCAAACTTTCCCTGAATTCCAAACTAGCAGCTTGTGCGCGTATTCCACCATCGGTATAATTCAATAGATCTTCTTCAGAAATTCCGGCACATCTCAACTTGTATATGGATCGTAGTAATGACAAGCTACTATTGTCGCTTGCTGTTATGTCAGCGCCTAGTATGGAAGTAGGAGGTTTTCCCTTGCCTTCCATCCATTCACGCACTTTGGCTAATTGCTGTTTCCGCTCCTCAAAACGCTCATTCGATAGCTTCACGGATGGTATCATATAACATTTATTATCTAACTTCATGAATGGATGCTGCTGCTCTCCTTGTCCACTATTTTGTGCTTCATTTTCTGATCGGCGACTACCAAAACATTGTAAAATGTCATCCAGGCTATAATGCACATATTTGCTAGATTCTCCATTATTCAGCCATGGTAATTGCTGGCTGCAAATATACAATAATCCAATATACTCGTTCAAACGTGCTCGAATTTTGAATGCACCGCCTCCAAAAAAATCGCAATAATGCTCGAATTTTTCAGAACTGCAAATGTGATTGATAGCTAATTTGACATGTTTTCTATTCATTTTCGAAAGGCTCCTGATGGCTGGCCGATGTTTCACGTAAATGGATGACCCAGCAATAAAAGCTGTAGCGATAACGATGGGCCGAACGTGTTTACCGGTATTCAGCAAATACAAATCTCCTAGATCAAGAAGTGCCAGCATTTTTCTTCGAAGCTCATCAAGAGGGATCAACTTATTGAATGACGACGTTTCATTTCTACTTTTGTACAGCTTGTCGTAATCCTCTTTTAATATAATGTCTTTCATGAGCGTAGGATAGATTCGTAACAAAAGACCTTTAGTATCTTCCTGCGGTGTCTTTGAATTGATAGAGCGAGCTAGAGGCGTCTGCTGCATAATAGACATGTAGATTCGGTAAAGCTGACGAAAGTCGACCTGCTCGTAAAAGTGCTTTGCAAAATCAAACAGATTCCATGTATTGTTCCATTCACTTCCGCTCGCAATAAAGATGATACAGATGGCTGTTTCGACCTTATTGAACATATTGCACGTATTTGAAAGATGGGTGTCCAAAATTTTATAAGCCCTTTCAATTAAATCTTCAGGCATTTTATAATAAATAGCAACATCGTGAAGATACTTTCGAAAAGTTTCACCCTGACATCATTATTGAAAAAATGGCTTTAGATATTCAAGAGAACGTGAGCAAAGTATGTTGCAGTATATTACCTTTCGCCTACGTTTGGCTACAGTGGTTTTAAAAACAGTATGATCTTCATAATCAGCGTCATCTTCAAAAACAAAAGAGCTTTCATCAAGTAGCGTTCCGCAGTCTGCACAACATCTTGTACGTTCTGATTCTACAATGACAGACTTTCGACTATTACACTGAGGACAACTCATGCAAAGAGTGGGTTCCCTCAAAACTTAGGAATAAGAGTTAAACACTAAGAGTTTCTTTTCGCAATCGAACATTTCACAATCTCATGCAAAATTAAAAGTCACTTTCAATTTTAAACCAATCACTACGCTTTCCTATTCCGTAGCTGCAGTTTTTTTTTTTGATTTCATTTCTTTATGAAATCAACATAATCTTTAATCTTCTTCAACTTTCTTTCAGATCAATAACACTAGTTAGCATGGCGAAAGCAGAAGCTGGCTCACCAAAGGCACTTGCCAATCGTATGAAGGTTCATTTTATTTTATTTTTTTGTTTAATGTTCTGATCAACTATGCTCATCCCACACTTTCAATAGGCCAAAGGTCTTCAAAAACTAAAGTTTTATTGCCAAGCTTGTGAAAAGCAATGTCGAGACGAAAATGGCTTCAAATGTCATATCATGAGTGAATCCCATCAAAGACAAATGCTTCTTGTAGCGGCCAATCCACATAAGTTTGTGGACAACTTTACCGACACCTTCCGAAAAGAATTCCTCAGTTTATTATCTCGGCGTCACGGCACAAAGCGAGTATTAGCGAATAGAGTATACCAAGAATATATTTCAGATAAGCAACACATCCACATGAACTCTACAAAATGGAATACCTTGACTGAGTTTTGTAAAGAGCTGGGTCGTGAAGGTGTATTAAGAGTAGATGAGACAGAGAGAGGGCTTTATATTTCCTGGGTGGATACTAGTCCAAAAGCTTTAGCAAGACAGGCGGCTATTCAAAGAATGGATCGTCAAAGAAAGGATGATGAAGAGAGAGAATTACAATTGATAAAGGAACAAGTAGAAAAAGCAAGTAAATCTGCTGAAGAACGCGGTCTGAGTACAACAGACCAAGAAGCGTCAGAATTGAAAAGGGTAGGAGAACAGCCTATTAAGCTGGCCTTATCATTAAAACCTGCAGCAGCAACAACAGCGACAGCAGCAACTACAGAAACCAAATCACCCGATAACGGCCCAAAAATGATACTGGGTGGTTTGAGAAAGAAGATGAGCTTAGCATCTTTAGCTAAAAAATCATCAGCAGCATCAAGTCCTTCAAAACCAGCAAACAGTACGTCAAGTAGTAGTATGAAATTTGGCAATATGACTTTGAAACGTAAAGAACCAGATGCTAGCTCAGTTGAACCAGATAATGCTAAAAAATTGAAAGCATGAAAGAATCGTCTACAATAAAGTATTTATTCATAATCCGTCAGTTTTAACCACTGCTTTTTTCCATTTTTCCCTCACTTGACTGTATCGTAGACATGAGCAATTTCGCTTCCAAAATTAAATTAGTGTAAATCTGTTTCTAGCACAATGTTGACACGTTTAGTTTGGACCATAAACTAACTGGCAATGACATTAGCTGTCAAGACATCACGAAACTTAAAGTTGATGCCATCGGTATTGAAAATGAAACGAAATGCAACAATTGTTTTCAACAGATATTAATTGTGCAATTTGCTTTTTGCTCTATAGTAAATGCTGCTAATAACAGCTTGCTTGGAGGAGGAGGAGGTAAAACGCGCTTAATAACGAATGCAGATATTTCGAGGAATATGCTCATGCTCTCGCTTTACTTTAGTTGACGGAGCAATTCACCGGTTTGTGCATGCCTTTTTTTTTTAATTCCATATTTTTGTTTTTCTTTGAGTAACTCATGCAACAAACCTCCGCATTATCCACGGGCTTGATTTTCATTCCAACCACCAGCGCGGCAGGAAAAGCTCTGTTAGCCGAATGCCGTACTTTGAATGGCTGTCCAGATGGAGTAAAGTATTCTTTAGCTAGTATTATCTATGAAATGAATGAAAATCTAAGCATACAATCATTTTTTCCTCAAACAATCTCATGCAGGAGGCTAAAATTACAAAGGGTACTCATCCATTATTTTTAAGATCATATATGAGTTTAGAATCAGAACTAACTGTCCTTTTTATCTCAGGATATAATCTGCCTGCCAAACGTAAATAATTTTATTTATTCAACAGATAAACACCATTGCAAGTATGTGCATTTTGAAAACTAATTTATCTTCACTACTTACTAGATGTTATCCACACTGTTGGCCCACAAACCGAAAAACCTGATATCCTTGCCAATTGCTACAGAAATTCTTTACAGGTCTTAATTGACAATAACCTACGTTCTATAGCTTTTCCTTGTATAGCTACCGGCGTCTATGGCTACGATAATGAACGCGCTGCTAATGTAGCTTTAAAGACTGTTTTGTCTTTCTTTGAAAATGGCAACGATCAAAAGGTGAGTTAGAAACAGAGTACACCAATATAACAATGTATTTATAACGATCCAACTCGTTTCGTTCGTTCTTAGTTGGATGAAATTATCTTTGTTCTATTCAACGAAAAGGATAAGAGAATCTACAAAGGTAATACGGTCAGGCACCTACCTGACATACAGTTGAATTACTCAATTGAGAGATTACTAATGAAGCTGTCTAAACTCTTATTCAGAATTGGTACCAAAGTACTTCCCTGGTGCTTCGGGTAAATGCGAGAATTGCTAAATAGATATTTGAATACCTGTTTGAGATTCAATATATTATGAATAAAGCATGATGGCAGATAATTCAACAGGGTTAAGTTTTGTCTCTTTCAATACTTACTATCAGATACAATCCTTAAAAAGTTTTATTCAAAAGCTTTCCCTTATCAAATGTATGAAGACACTGCTTAAGCCCTGAATCAGTAATTAGTAACAGATGACTAACTGGAAAAAAGTATGATTATTCGTAATTTAAAAATGATGGTCCACGTAAACTACTAACCATGGTTCAACGTCATCAACAGTAGAGATATCATGTTTAGCGACTTAGTATATGACTCTCGATATGACAAAAAAAAAATTGTTCTCTTTGAAACTGATTTACTTCCTATTCCCTGCTTCATGCACTCGCCACAACAACTATTCTTCAACCAATCATGTCCTAACTTATCACCTATTGCCGTTCAACGGAGCTGCAAAAAATTGTACTTAAAACAGAAATTGGAAAGGTAAAGAGGGAAAAACCCAAAAGTTCAATCTTTGATCCTTCGTTTTTTTGGTTTTTTTTATTCTTTTGTCCTTTTTTTAAATATCTGCATATAATGGAAAATACGAATACAAATACCAATACTGGCAACAGTACTACAAGTACTTCAACTACAAACACCGAGACAAAGCCGCCAACCTTGTGTATAGCAGGTTGTGGGTTCTATGGTAGTGAAGCTTTCGAAAGCATGTGCTCACAGTGTTATAAAGCTAAGAAGAAAGTACCGTCACCGTCATCAGCGACAGCCTCTACTAGTCATACTGCTGTTAAGAATAATAACAATAACAACAACAACGAAAAGCCTTTGCCAATATTGAAACCAATGAAGGCGATAAGAAGAAGAACCTCTATCGACGATACTAACGTCATTCCAACGATTGAAAAGTCTAGAAAACATCTTCGAAGTCCATCACCTGATGCCAAAGTTAGTAGTGCGCCAGGTTCTTCTGTGAGTTCACCTGCGCCTTCTACAAGCCATGTGGATCCGGCTGTGGTTACAAGCAACAATGAAACATCGACAGCCATGCCAACAACTGCTAGCGGCGATAATAACAATAACAATAAACCTGTTCAGGCTAATAAAGGAAGATGTTTCAAATGTCGATTAAAGGTAACGAAAAAAAAAAAAAAATAGGTGTCAAGTAATTTAGTTTTGGTAAGCTAGCTAAAACCCTGCTTTATACTTATTCTAATAGGTACCCTTGGCTAAACAAGCTGCGAATAAATGTAGATGTGGTTATGTGTTCTGTGATAGTCATCGATATCCTGATAGACATGATTGCGATATTGATTATGCAAAACTGGATAGAGGTATAATAAATGAACAGAGAATGTCTAAAAGAAATGAATAGGCTCTTACGTTTTGCTTTATAATTCTCTTTTAAGAAATACTTGCAAAGAACAACCCCAAATTACATGAACGTCCCAAGGGCGGTAGATCATTCCAACGTATTGACAGTATATAATGACTACTACTATTAATATTACCTTCCCTCTTCTGTGCGTGTCTATATTATGATACCTTTTTATCACTCTCCCCTTTATCGTTTTGGCTAACTTGATAATCCCCTTTCGCTTTTCATCAAACGATAATCCTATCCCTCCTTTATTTTTATTCTTATTTCCTCGACACTGGCTTTCCTTTTCCTTTTATTTTTCAAACATTTCTTTGTGGACAACCATTTTTTAAACAAATCGATTAAATCTTGACCTACCTCTTTCCATCGTCCATATATAGCGATATAAATATATATTGTATATGTAAATTACTCACCGTCCAACTGCATTCTTTTAAAAATCTCATTCCATCGAACCATAAAAACTGACAAAGAAACGGGGAGATCCCATTTTATATTAACATCTTATAAGCTTTTATTAAATAAATTAATCAAAGGTATGCAATAAATAGTAAGCGGTTCCAAAGATTATGCTGCAAAGTTATGCCTTGTACAGAAGATCCAAAAATCCTGCAGCGACATCATCAATTATTGTCTTATCAGGAACTGTAGCTGCTGTGCCGTAAATAGCCGCTGTAGATCCATTACCAGAAGATGGATCATCTAAAAGCTCCTGCACACTTTCTTTAAGATCTTTTACAAACTGATCGGCACTATTTACCCAAGGCAAAGTAACTGACACATGAATGCCCGGGGGATTCTGCAAAGCGCTCAAACTCCAGCCTCGAGCTGACAATTTGTCACCCACATCATAAATATTGAGCGGGTCATTGGCACCAAACGCCAGCACAGGTCCAATAGGATCTCCCTTCACGTGCAATTGGGGAATAGAACGCACAGCTGCTTCCATAGTACGACGAGCACCAATGATCTTTCTACATGTATCCAAATAGCCATCTTCGCCCAAATGCATCAAAGCAGACCAGCAACCCGCAATCAAAGCTCCAGGACGTGAACCGGCAATACTAGGTGAGGCGTATATACCACCCGTCCATTGTGAATAAAGGAAATATTGGTACTTGCGAATCTTCGCATTGCGATACATGATGATAGAGGAACCTTTGGCAGCAAAACCGTATTTATGTGTGTCACAAGAAATGGATGTGACACCTTCAACTCTGAAGTCAAAGTCAGTTGTAGGGAATCCTGCTTTTTCCAGGAAGGGCATGATGAAGCTACCGAGGCAACAATCAACATGACATCCGATGTCATATTTCTTTGCTAATTGACCTAAAGCCTTGATATCGTCAGCAATGCCATGAGGGAAGTTGACGGCTGAGCCAGCAATCTGTAGGAAGGCAATTTGTCAGTCGATTTGGCACAAGAGAACAAGCTTATCATTACGATCATCTTTACCATTATCGTATTTTTTGTAATTGCCCTCTCAACCTTCTTGATATCCACCTTCAAAGTGACAGGATCGATAGGAACAGTAACTAATTTGATTTTAAAATAATTTGAGGCCTTCATAAAAGCTGCGTGAATTGTATCAGGCACTACCCTATTTCGAACGAAGAAGTGAATATTAATAAGCATAAATGAGCCGTTTTTCGTGTTGTATACTTTACATTTCAGGGTACTCAATACCCTTCAGATCTTGATACATGTCGCGATAAGCTTTACAGGCCATTAGAATACTTTCTGTTCCTCCACTTGTCATTGTACCACAGCCAGTAGATGGAGCATGATACATATTTAATACCATTGCGACAGATTCTGCTTCCATACGACGAATACCAGGGAAAATGTCCGGATGAAGTGGGTTGGCAACAGCAAAAATTTTGTAAGCTTCGGCCAAAATACGTGTTAAATCTTCACCACCATGATAAATGGAGCCAGATACTTTGCCTCCAGCCCAATCTGCTGCTTTCAAATCTGCTAGTCTAATAACCGAAAAGGTTAAAAGTTGTTACTAGCTGGCCGGGCTATACTACATTTTGATCCATTATACAGATATTCTGAATGAATCATTTTGTCTCTCCCTATAACCTACCTATGGAGATTTTCCATGACTTGTTCTTCAGTAAGACCTTTTGAAGGTAAGGTAAGATGACTATCAAGTCCGGTCTCCTTTGACATAATATCTTTTTCCATCCCTGCTAAAGTGTTTTCTAATTCTTTGTCAATCTTCGCTTTGACACTTGGTAAGCGGCGTAATTGTTTGAAGACAAGCTAATAGATTTAAACGACATAAAATTGGAGAATCAATATATCTACAATTCAGCACATCCTATTGTTTCTTAAATCTACCTTAAATATGTGTGCTTTCAAATCATGGTAAGCTCTGACAGGGCCGCCAACCAGCACTTTATTATAGACTTTCGACCAATAATTTAATAAGACAAGGATGAATACAATATTCTTCAAATATTTAACATAGCGATGATCCAACACATCATTTGTGATATGTGCAAACCTAACTAATGCTTGCGGCTTGTTAGAAATACGTTGCATTGTGGAAATACTTATCACTTAATCAAGAGAAAAAAAATGCAAAAAAGTTTAAATTTGATTTTTATTCTTTTTTGCGGGATTATAAAAATTCCGGGTCTGTGTGATTGTGTAATCTCTTTCTACGGTTCTAAAATTATTTTCTGGAACAAGATACCAACTTAATACAGACCTCAATAAACATCTCGTACATTTCTGAAAAATAAAAGTTCAAACACAATATAACCTTCATACAACATAAAAGTATATATTGATCATAACGAGTACCAATTGTCTTCATTATTGTTGTCTTTGAACATTCGTCTATGGATAACACCGCTTTCCTCATTGTTCTTTGTCTTTGAACATCGCTTCTCCTCTTTGAAGCACCGCTTCTCGTCTTTGAAAACTACTTTACTCGTCATTAGCTGTTTCTACAAATAACCGAGCTATATGTATGTTTTATTACGTTGAGTATGCACATGAAATATACTTAGAAAAGTGCCAGTCAATGCAAAATAGACTTGAATATTGAAATTATGAAATTTTATTTACTACCGTTAGATGTAAACGAATCCTAGTAGTGAAACAGCAACGTATGTTAGGAAATCCAGTTACTTACCGCAAGTATCTGGATGTGGAAGAAGAAAAAGAAGACAAACATTTCTTGACATCTCGTGCTCCTCATGTTGCTTCTTGCTTAACCTCTCTGACTATATGAACAACGCTTGAGACAATGGGGCCTATCAATGGTAACGCTCTTCAAAGGAGCGTTTTTTGGTTGGCACTTTTATTTGTGGGGTAAAATATAGTAAATCTTGTTCTCTTGTTCTCTTGGCAATTTGGTTTTAGCTTCCTCACCTTCTTTGCTTGTGAATGTTGGTTCGTTTATTTATGTTGCTTATGGTGAGTTGTCTCTGTTGGATAACGTCTCCGTGCATTTGTTTTATTGTCCTGATACAAATATAGCATCAAATTTGACAACTCGTATTTCTGCGTCTGCAAACTCAAGAGTTTCAGCTTTGCAAATAGAGAGACCTTCAAGAAGATCAGAATGTATACCATCAATTAGATGAAGTAGATGGAATATTCAAGGTAAAATTTCATTAACTAAGTACAAGCTTTAAAAAGAATTCACTAAAGTAAATCCTGTTATTTGTTAGACGTCATTAAATCTTTAAACGCATCCGAGCATTCAATTTGTCGTGTGGTATTAGATTTTGCTGGTCTTTGCAGTAGATTCCATCAAGTTCAAGAATTGTTGAAGGATTATCCCATAATCAAACAAGTCGCTGTAGACTCACTCATATTTTCAATAAACTGTTCATTTATGACACCTGTGATTTGATGGCTAACGCTAATTAATGGGAAAAATAATTGTAGATACAATTAATACAAAGATCAAAGTGAATCTATAATTGTAATTGATAGTCTATCAACCCATCATAGAGTTATTGATTTAATATGGCTGTATACAAATTCAGGCATTAGGTATTTTACGGATCCATTCTTTAGTTACAATAATTGGCTGCTTTGGATCTACATTAAAGCAGATTTTTACATCGCCTAACTTTTCTTTAACTCTTCAGGCTTTTCAATATTTCCTTTAGTATATAGCCTACATAATTAGACATGCAAATTGCATATCGCCGATATGTCCATTATTGTGATGTTAAAACAAAATAAAGAGGAGGAGAACAACAAGAAAACTGACATGGAATTAGAGATACTGTTTCTGCAATAGATCAATCATCACCTTCACCTTTAAAAAAGGTACTAGTACTGTATTTGCAAGTTCCAGCACATTTAAAGAAACGTTGATATACAAGACGATTATTGTATATTATAAAAAGTTACTTCTGTATCGGCAGATAGATCGAAAATGAAAGCATTCTTGAAAAAAGTATTGTATCTCGTTATGTATATGCGTAAAAGAACGGCTTCAAGTGTTGTTATTTTACCAGAAAATATGGTCTCTTAACACTTATGTAGATTAGAAAAGCTTGATTATTTGCTACTGTAGTTAATGAGTTGAGCATCAATTAAAATCTACACTCATAACTTGTTAAATATTCATAAATGGAAAATTGTACATAATCAACCTGGTTTACAAACGCAAAACTACATCTAACACATTTTCACATAACAAAGAAGCCCAATTCATCTCCTCCTGCAGTTACGATATCGTATTTTTTCACCTTTACTAAGAACCATAGTTTTAGCAAGGGTGAGAAGCATATTGCATCAATAAAATGTTATGGTACTATAACAGATACTGTGTACAAGTCACTGTTTAAACAATCGTCTATTTAAACAAGTTGTTGCGCTTCTTTTATTTGTTCACTGGCTCAGAAACTTCCACTTCTGAAATTCTCAAAACTGTATGTGTTTGCTTATGATCAATAGTACGTTTATACCCCTTTCTTCTTTTCTTTTTCACAATGTGAATCATTCGACTCTTCGTGTGCTCAATCACTGTCGCATGGATATTGTATAATTTTTCAGGCAAATAAGGTGCACCCTTTAAATTATAGTCTTTCGAACCGATTTCACGCACTTTGTCTAATTGAATGACATCGCCCACTTTGACATCTTTCAGACGGTTGACAATAACTTGATCATTTTTGGTAATTAAATAAGGACGGCCGGATATCTCAGCAACAGCGTAGTAACGAAGTTGTTCACGAAGCTTTCGAATAGCATTGTTGACTTCAGACGCTGATGAGGTTTCTGACAGTGATGAGCTAGTAGTAGAGGTATGTGTTGTTGGGATAGTAGTAGTGGTTGCTGCTGCTGCTTTTATCGTTGCTGACTGAATATATCTGACATTATCTTGAATAAAATAAATGTTGTAATATGAATAGAACAAGAGTTGGTATCAGGCGCTAGGCATGTAAGCTTTGATATGTCGTACTTACTCTGAAATGTTTGTTTAGCAAAATTGACAATAGGACCTGCGAGTAAGCCGTCAAAGATTAAGTACAGAGTATCAGTGTTCAGAAACAAATAGGTTTCTCATACCTCTTGCTGTTAAAGAGCCCAAGCCTCTATATAATGTCGGAATCATTCTTATTTTATTCTTTACACTATCAAAAGAAGGGCTAATTCTTCAATGCAGGGTTTGCTGTAAAAAAAAAGAGCTAGATTTGAGGGGATGGGTGCGGGGCAAATTCAGGCCTGCTGAGATACTCACAAGCCCCGAATGCAGGTCACAAAGAGCAGTTGCTTACGTAAGCATAGCAGCAGATGAACATCCATTCAAAAATATTGGATGACTACTTGCTCTATTGCGATGAATTGACGATGTTAGGTATACACTTCTTTTTATCACTTCTTTATGGTTTAAAAGTGCGTTTGATGGAAATATACGAGAAGCTAACGTGCATCTGAAAAAAATGACATAAGAAAGCGCGAGCAATACTTTAACCGACCACATACATAACAAATCAATAATTTCAACATTGATTTGATAACGCTCGAACGACTTAATCTGCTCAAGAAACCTACACTGGCGTAATGGTTGGGAATGATTACATAATGTCCCCTTGTTTTCCTTCTGACATTGAAACATCATTCTGCAAAGCGGAGTAATCGAGAAATCTGGTCCAATTGCAGAAAGACAAGTTCGCTTCTACTCAGCAGTTTCGTATTTGCTAAGAATAAAATGGCAGGTCAATCTAAATTTCGCGCCCTTAACCATCTCTAGCTTTGTTTCTTCTATTTCAATTCATACCCACTATAAGCGTTGATATTATCATCGAAACAGCAACAGTAATTCAACTATGTCTTCACGCTGGCTGTGTTTATTAACTTTCACAGTTGCCGTATTAATCGCCCTACTACCTTTCGCTAATGCCGCTGTCATGTCTATCGACTATGGTACTGATTGGTTTAAAGTTGGTCTCATCAAACCGGGCATTCCGCTAGATGTGGCATTGAATAAGGATTCAAAAAGAAAAACTCAGTCAGTTGTTACTATTCGCAATGACGAACGTATTTATGGTAGCGACGCCGTTAGTTTAGTAAGTTTGGTTTTGTTTCTTTGGTTAACTTCTAGTTCCATAACTCAATTCATATCATGATAGGCTGCCCGATTCCCTCATCTATATTATTCCCACTTGAAAAGCATCATTGGAAAGAAATTTGACGATCCTTTAACACAGGAATACCGTCGCCGACATGTCAATGAAATGATTGTGGATAAAGAACGAGATTTACCTATTTTTGTCCATAATGGAACAACAGAAGTATCAGTAGAAGAATTGATTGCCTATCAATTCCAGAACGCCAAACACCAAGCTTCTGTCACTGCTGGTGAAGTTGTTAAAGACTGTGTCATCACGGTATGTTCGGATTGATATGTTTTAATATCAATTTCAATTATACTGATGTTGGAGTGATTTCTTTATTATCCATGTCTGCAAATAGGTTACACCATTTGCAAATCAATATGAACGTCAGGCAATCATTGACGCTGCTGAACTTGCTGGATTAAATGTTTTGAGTCTAATGCATGATGAAACCGCCGGTAATTGTTATTCAGCATCACTATTTCATCGAATCTGGAGGAGATGTGGCACTGGCTAACAAAATACTTGTTACTTTAATAGTTGCACTTAATTATGCTGTCAATCGTGATATTTCAAAGGAACCTGAAAACCACATATTTTATGATATGGGTGCCGGTTCTACTGTTGCTTCAATTGTCACATTCCAGAACGTCGAAGAGACCAAAGGAAACTTTACACGTACATCACCCCAGTTGGAAGTTAGAAGCGTTGGTTTTGATCGTACATTGGGCGGGCATGAATTTGACGTGCGAGTTCAACAAATTTTGGCTGATGGATTTATGAAACAACATAAATCAAAGGTGAAGTCAGATATCAAAGCTTCTTCAAATGCTATGACTCGTTTGATGAAGGAAGCAAATAGAGTGAAACAAATTCTCAGTGCCAATACTGAAACTATGGCTTCTGTAAGTGATGGAAGTAGGGTTTGTAATCGTAGAAGGAACTTAACTGTAGTTATCATATTGTTAGGTTGAAAGCCTTCATGAAGGTATCGATTTTAAGATGAAGCTAACAAGAGCAGAACTAGAACGTATCTGCTCTGATCTGATAGGTCGTGTTAAGACTCCTATTGAAGCTGCTTTGGCTTCTGCCGATATGAAAATTGTACGTTGTTGAAACGCAAGTTCTACAGATCAAACGTGCAAAAGTAAAGTGATATATAGTTGGCTAATACTTGACCGGTTCTCCGTTTAGGAGGATATTCAATCTGTTGTTCTTGTTGGTGGTGGTGTCCGTGTACCCGCTGTTCAAAAACAACTGGTTGACCTTGTTGGCTCGTAAGTCTCATATTTACCTGTTCCAAACACCATTCGAGAAGTTGTGTATTAAATTGTCGTCATTTGCCGCGTTATTAGTCAAAAAATTGCTAAAAATGTCAATGGCGATGAAGCTGCGGTTTTGGGTGCTGCTTTCCGTGGCGCTTCTCTCAGTAACCAATTTAGATTGAACAAAAACATTGGTATCAAAGACGTAACGCTCTACCCGGTGGATGTGTCCTACAAACCTGAAAATAATGGCAAGGAAGGTACAGTATTATGTTCAAATGCATGGGTTAGTAGTATAAATAGCTTGGTACTTACATTTCTTTTTTGTATTTATAGCTAAGAAAGCTATTGAAAGCACTATATTTGACAAGTTTGAAAATATCAATAACCGTAAAATCATGACCTTCAACCGTGTTAACAACTTTGAATTTGAAGTCAAGTATGGTAAAGAAGCTCAGGCTGGCGTTCAAGATATTGCCAAAGTCAAGGTGTCGGGTCTTAGCGAAGCCATGAAAGAACATCAAGCTACTATTAAAGCATCAAGCATCCCTCCTAAAGTTCGTGTTACATTTGAATTGTCCAGCTCTGGTATTGTGTCCGTTCCTGAAGCAAGCCTTCACGTTGCTAAGTTAACTCTTAAAGGTAAGTTTATTTATATGATTATTGAAACTTTAGAATGTTTAACTCATTGCTTCCCCTTACAGAAAAGGTCAAATCTTTTTTCGATGGGAAGAGCAACGATAAAATTGAAAGCGAGGTAAGACCAACAACTCTACTATAGATTATAAACGAAATGCAGCTTTGTGTATTGATGAGATACCAATATCATTTACAGAAAAACAAAGATCAGGAAACACAAACGCAAAATGATACCACTACTATCGATAGCGACGAAGAGAAAAACAACACAGTCGAAACTGAGAAGGAAGAGACAGTCTCTATTATCAAGGTTCCTTTAACTGTGCATTTCGCTCCCACTGGTCTCATTCCTCTCAATGACGCTAAGAAGGCTGCATCAAAGCAAAGGTAGAGCAAAATGAGATAAGAATGGACGTATTTATACTGTTGAAAATGCCCGTACTGAATGTCCATTTTGTATTGTTTTTTTTTCGTAGAATTAATGAACTCGATGCCTTAGATCTTCGTAAAAAGCGCCGTGAAGAATCTCGCAATGCTGTTGAAAGCTATGTCTACCGCACACAAGATTATCTGTACGACGATGAAGTCCAATTAGTAGCCTCTGAAGAAGAAGTTGAAATGTTCAGAGATTTCCTATCTGAAGCCTCTGATTGGTTGTACGGTGAAGGAGAAGATGCTGATACACAAGCATACGTCGCAAAGCTTAAAGAACTACAGTAAGTTTAAATAAATGTTGAATATCTGAACAATAGCTAAAATGTATCATTGAACTTTCTATGGTAAAATAGAGCAATTGAGCAGCCAATCAGACAACGAATTAAGGAACATAAGGAACGGGAATATAGCAGTAAGCTTGCTGCTGAGCAAGCTACTGCTTCCGTCCAAGATGATAACCCTGCAGAACATGAAAATATTTCCACCTCTTCTAATGAGCCAGCAAATAAAGATGACACCAATACTAGTGGGTCCGCTGAAACGGCTGCCACGCCTGATGATCATGATCATGACGAACTTTAATAGCAATATCAAAGATTAGGCAACGATTATAAATCTTCCATTCAATGTTTAGACATAATTCTGTATTTTCATAAATCAATTGCATGTACTCAATAAAATACTTTAGAAACAATGTTAATAATGAGACGAGATGTTTTCCTAATTCATTAATACACTAACAGCGCAATGTCAAAATGCCGTAAAAGATGTATGCTACATTTTATTCCAAAAATTAAAGACAATTACAATTGGAAAAGACAGAGTTAAAAGGCCTAATGTTGACTACTCTAAGGTTCCAAACGCTTAGGGTCACGAGGGAATAGACAAGAGCGACGAATGTTACCAAGGCCAAGGAACAACATTACAACACGTTCTAAACCGATACCTCCGCCGGCATGTGGAGGTGCTCCCAATTTGAAGGCATCAATATATGGTTGAATGGTAGAAATGTCAACACCATGTGCCTTAGCACGTTCAGTTAAATATTCAGGATCATGAATACGTTGAGCACCAGACATAATTTCTTCACCGCGTAAGAAGAAATCATAAGAGTTGGAATAATTGGGATCTTCAGAATCAGGCATTGTATAGAAAGGACGAGCGTTCAGAGGGAACTTGTCAAGAACGTAAAAGTCAGTATGATACTTTTCCTTGACGAGTTTACCCAATAATTTTTCGTTGGTAGTACTCAAATCTTCCAAATCATCAAGTTCAACACCGGCTTCTCTCAACATCTTAACACCTTCAGAGAACTTGAGGCGAAGAGTTTTGGGTAAAAATTCAAAATCTTCAAATTCATATTGCTTCTTGATGATCTCAATTTCCTTGGCATAGCGAGTCTTAAGGTTAGAAAGGATGAAAACAAAGAGATCTTCCAAAACTTCAACAACTTCGTGATAGTGTTCATTGAAAGCCATCTCCATATCGAGACCCATGAATTCAGTCATGTGGCGATGAGTATTTGAGTCTTCAGCACGGAAAACAGGAGCAATTTCGAAAACTCTGTCGAAATCAGCGGCAATACACATTTGCTTGTAAAGTTGGGGTGATTGAGCTAAGAAAGCATCTCTCTTGAAATAACTAACTTTGAAGACATTGGAGCCACCTTCAGAAGCAGCACCGATCAACTTTGGCGTATGAATTTCCATAAAGCCACGTTCAAGCAAGAATTCTCTGAAAAGTAAACAAACACCGGATTGCATACGGAAAATAGCATGGTTAGTGGTAGTACGAAGATCAAGAATACGGTTGTTAAGACGAGTATCCAAATTAACACGAGCGAGCTGAGTCTCCTCATTTTCATAAGAGCTTTCAGGACGTGTAGCATCTTCCAAAGAGAATGCAAGACGTTGCTTCACTTCAGAAATGACATAAATCTTTTCAATAGCAAGTTCAGCACATGAGATAGTACAACTCTTGACTTCTTCAACAGGCTTGACAACCTTGGCTGTAACTAACACGATAGATTCGGGAGAGATACCAACACAGTACTTGACCATTTGCTTAGAGATTGTCTTTTCGTCAGCTGTGATGATACCTTGGATGGTAGAAACACCTTGACGGAAAACGAAGAAGCACATCTTACCACCAGTAGCACGGGAAGTTTGAACACGCACACGGGCGGTAATTACTTCACCTTCGCGGGAAGCGTTGATGGTGCTAATGTTTTCAAACTTTGTACCTAAGAGAGTTAACCGTCAAGTGTTAACATTCCAGACATACAAAAAATTGCAAGCTTATATATTCCTTCCTGCAATATATCGAATAACCCTTAAAGCCCTCTATCCTACAGTTAATAACTTACCAGTTCGTGTTTGAGATTGGTTCATAGGGAGTTTACCATAGAGTTCCTTAGAACAATCCTATATATGACACTCGCTGTCAGTCAAATAATTCAACAAATACTTCCTTGATTTCCCCGCAACTTACAACTTGGTTGGCTTCTCTTTCAGCCTTTTCAGCAGCAATCTTTGCAGCGGTGGCAGCCTTCCTGGCAGCCTTCTCCTTATCTTTTTGTAGTTTTTTGTAGGCACTTTTGGTGATAGGTTTACCTTCATCACTAGTAGTCATCGCAAAACCGGAGAAGGAATTAGCAACGTCAAGTTTGAACTGTTAGCTTGAACTTGAATACAACTGTAAACCTACTCTAAGTAAACTTCTTTGGTTTTCTCAGTGATTTCGTCGACTGCTGGATCTTTGGCTGGTGCTGACATTATGTTCTATATTGTTAAGCTGGGAAAGAAACGCGGTATAGCCCGTCAGTTAAATGAAATGCTTTGGAAAAAAGTTGAACTAAAAAAATTTTAGTTTCAGATAAAAGTCACCAAGCCTGAATGAAAAGATGCCTCATCATAAGCTGTACAAGATTCATCACAATAGCAAACAACACAGAAGGGCTATATCAAAATCGTCTGCAAGTTTGAGCTTAAAGTTCAGTTACTCTTGCCTTAATTCTGTTATTTATGAAGCTTTTGATTTACTTCTTCCCCCTATAGCCCTTTTTGAAGGAACTTTTCGTTACGTCCATTGAGTATTTTTATACCTGCTGCGGTTACTTAATCATAATTTGAAGAAGGGACATAAAACAGACTGCTGCTTAGATCATAATTCTCCCCAAATGAAGAATACAATTGATTTAACACAAACGTTCTACATAATAACGTACAATTGAATATATTACTTATCCAAGTTCTGGAAAAGTTTGAAGAAACATCAATGTTAGAAGGGTTAATTCTCTGTACAGGGTACTAAAGTGAAGAGGGTCATATCGGCTATTTGCGGAAATTCTTTGGAAGGGCCGAAGAATAATAGATGCGTTCTGTTTTAGATGAAAAAAGGAACGGCAGAATAACTTCCAATGTAGGCATTGGAAAGAAACTAAAGAGCAACGCTTGAAATTTTGTTGCGCACTTGGTTCCCAGTTCGAGAAAGCAGCAGAAGAGTAATAAATTTTGATTATCCAAAAAAACAATCTAATATGAGAAGATGATGTTGATTAGTGAGTAGTTCTGTAAAGTTACAAAAGGTCCTGTTGTATGCACGACTTTGTAATTAACCGCTATGTATTTACTCTATTTTTAACTGGTACTTGATATATTGACCGAAAATCATGTAATGACGGTATAAGCTGTATCCATGGCCAAACTGAGAAACTTAGTAAGGGTGGGCTTATCGAGCTGAAGAGTGAAGCCTCAGTTCAGCAGCTCCGACAGTAGTATCGCTTAACCCTACGACACGGTCCGCCTTACTGATATACATAGGTCCCGTACAATCATTCCGAACGCATCATCGACTCAACCCGTTGTTCAGTGAACAAAATCAAAAGGACAGTACGCAAGATTCAACCACCAAGCCCTGTCGTGCGAATGAAATATTGGAAGCCGTTCTTTCAAAGAAATTGAGCAGCAAAGATAGTCAAAAACACTTGCGACAGGAAAATATGTCCATGAATTACAAAATAAATAATAAACATCAAAGAAGCTGAGAACAATACTTTACAAACAGAGAGAGAATGCAAGGGCTATTCGATCATGCAATTCTATCTTTTTTATTGTTTCCTTTCCTTTTCACTGGTCCATTGCGTGCAGCCCGATAAAGTGGATGAAAATGTTGAATAGCCGCCCTACCGAGACTAGGGTAGCCCTAACTCGGCAGGGTATATTTTCTTTGGAGGGAAAATATTCAAAGCTCGTCGTCACGAAGAGACACCTGGAGTCGGAAGACATGAAGAAAATCCTAGAATTAGAAGACCAAGACATCTGGAAACGAAAGATATGAAGCACCACGAATTGACCGACACCAGAGACCAAGTACTAAACCTACGGAGCATCTGGAACCTACCGACAAACGCGATCATATAGACCCACCTTCATCGCAACAACGATTAAAAAGAAGGAGAAGACGTAAAGGAAGAAGCAGAAATCACCAGGAAAGGATCTAAATCAATATCTTTGCCTATACTATAGCCACTACAAAAAAGTTGCTTCAGTAAACCAGACTTGAAAGAGAGTATGATGAATAGATAAAATTTGAAAATTTATACTTACACTCAAGTTCGCTGAAAATAAGTGTTTGAAAAAGTGATGGTCTGTATTTTATGAATTTAAACCGTCTCCTTTTGTTTATATTGCATCTATTAGCGTTGTTTACATGCGAAATAAAGGACATCACCATGAAAAGAGAAATTTTTTTGCTTGCTCTCTGATAATGTATTTACAAGGTAAGCGGAAGCGTCCAATTCTGAGTATTGATGAAGTTAGTTTTTGCGAGATATTTTGCAGTAGTCGCAGTAGCAGTCTGTTGTAATCTTTCAATAATGGTGATAATACGTTTTAAGAGATATTTTATTACAATTTAAAATTTACCCAATGAGCACACAGATAAATACTTATCAAAATTGCCCGGGGCAGATCAAAGAAGTAGAAGAATTAAAAAAAAACCCTTAATGGGAACAAGGGAAAAAAGGCAGTGGATCCTGAAGCAGACTAGGAGAAGGTGGAGCAATCATTGATGACTGTTGTGGGCGCATAGAGCCAATCTAAAAAGAGCTGTCCTAAACTTTCTGACGGGTTTGGAGGTACTTTCTCATGTTGAAGGTAGTCGACTTCGAAAAGTAACAGCTGAATGATGCGCCATGTTGTACTCCAGTTGACGGAAGCTTTGTTGCGTTGTTTCAGAGGTCGGGTTGGAAGCTGGTTCAAAAGGTGAGAAATTGGGTCAGAGATGTCGTGTGGCAGCTGTAGACGGTTGTGCATATTGAGGCATTCGATGGCATGGTCTTTGGTGAGAGTGCGTGACTGCTTCAAAGTACGTTTAAAGAGATATTTTATTACAATTAAATTTTACCCAATGAGCACACAGATAAATACTTATCAAAATTGCCCGGGGAGGTTCAAGGAAAGTGTGAAGGAATTAAAAAACCTTTAACGGGACAAAGGAAAAAGGGAAGGGTAGTGCTTCAAAGTACAGTCTTTTCGGTTCAGATTCGGACCGTAATGCTCAACATGTCGATTCTGTCAGTCTGTCTTCTGCGCAGTTATTGCGGGAAGTAAAAGCATACAAAAGTATTGAGCCAAAAACCAATGGAAACCGACGACTTAGCCATTTAGTAGGCGAATTAGAAACACTTGTCGGCATGCCACAGCCAAGTTTTCACATGACCATTAGAATTTTGTGCCAGCATAATTGGAAAATGGCGAGCGTGGTCTAAAGTAGGTACGCCTGCAAGTGTCAAAATCAGAACACAGCGAGGGATAAATGTCAGCATTATCGGTTGTACATGGCCAGAGGGGTACATAAGTGACCAACCTTTCTAATGCGCAAGTGCTGCACGAGCCCTAAAGCTTTCACAAAGGTCAACCCTTTCAAGGCAGGCGACCTTGGAAATTCTGTAGAAGCAGTATTCTGTCGAGCTTAAAACAAAGAAAAGAAAGGCTGCTCAAGTTGTAACTGCTAGCCAACCTGTTCACAAAGGTACAGCTGCCTTTCATACTGTGAAATTCTTAAAAATTGTAATGGATTTTTTGGACGGATCTTCATGCCACCTTATTCGCCATTTCTCAATCCCATTGAAGTGCTGGGCTAAGGTAACAAGTAATACTCTAGAAATTCATTAGACAGCAACGACACTTTGACGCCACGTATAATTGAAACCTGCAAATCAGTTATTTCTGATGATTGTAAAGGTTCGATTAGGCAAGCTGAAGCTTATTGGGACAGATGCATGCAAAAAGAAATCGGTTTGAGATTGCTTCGTAAAGAGTCTCAATCTAACAATTGATCTGTCCAAAAATTTCCCTCTGACCAGTACGAATATTTTCTTTCAAAGAGTCTGATTTTGAACCGAAAATAATGTTATAAAATAGGGTGTTTTTCAATTCCATCACATATGTTGACCTCCTGATATGTAGTTCATTTGTATACATATGGCTCTCCTTCAAAGAAAACGATTTTGTAGGTTTTCCCACAAGTCACAAATTCAATTTCAAGTATAAACAGGGCTCTTTTTTTTTCAAAGAAGTGGGTTTTTCATCTATATTCCTCGTTGCAGGGTTTACATGCAATTTATATTCCTCATTGCAGGGTTCAATGCAATTTATATTCCTCCATGTGGGGTTTACTTGCAAAGAAGAAAGAAAATGAAAAATCTCTTATAAAGTATGAAAATGAAAAATCCAAGTTGTAAAGTATGAAAGTTAAACCTGTACATGCTGCCAATAATATATCCTCAACCAAAGAAAAATAAAAAACTTGACTCGTTAACAATTACTGAACACTTTTAAATCATCCTTGAGACGAGACCACGTCAAAACATTAACTTCTTAATTGTAAATCACAGAGCAGAGATTCTAATTTATTGACGGCACCGGTTTCTTTATTCGAATGTACTAGGTCTTCCATGACCAGCCCAAATCTCTTGAGCAATATGGTACATATTTCTAGCCGCCATCTGATGGCTTTCTTTCCCTGTTAAAATAGCACGATAATTTGTTAGCGCTCTACATTGGTATTTCAAGCTACGATGGTGATCATCACTACATATCTTTGATGTATTCACCTAAACTACTAGGTGAACGATTTCAAACATGCACTTTCTCTAAATCATTACTCACTGTAAATAGATATCAATGAGACCCGAACTCCAACTTGGAATAAGACAATGAAATTTTTGTTCTACTGAACTTAACCCATTATAAATTCCAATTTGATAAACCACAATATCCCCAAGTTCAAAACGACCTTTTATACGTATAATAAGTATGCCTAGAAAAGTAGAGAATACATTATCATTCTGATAAATACAATGTTTACAGTATGCCGCAAGTTTCCAACAGACATAAGCAAATCCTGATTACCCTTGAACCCTAAGGGTAGCCTTAGGAGCTGCCCCAAAAAAGTTTCATATCTCGTGTCCATTTTCATTGTTTAAACGTACAGTATTTACTTATTTCGGATTTTCTGACAAACAAATTTCAAAATACTTGCGAGCACATTCGGATGAAGGCCATTGATAAGTGCATAGCGTGTATCATCCTCTGTATACGATTACACCTCGCAGATGATTTTTCGTTTCTTGCGCCAATAACTTAGGACTAAATGCATAATAGGTTTCGATTATACTATATTATTCTAAGCAAAATTGAGTCGAAAGATTTACATTATACAATACACTTTCCTTGTGAAATAGATTGTTCTCAAGTCAAAGACCTACTAGTAATAGTAAATAAACAGTCGTAACCACTTTCCTAGAATTGTACACAAAATAGACGGTTGGACAAGATCCAATATATCAGCTGGTCATCTCTGCTTACATCCCAATCGAGCTTCTCGTTAAAATAAAAACATAACAAAGGAATTGACTTGCTGTATATATATTAGAATATCAGCTACTATTTGTGGGAGTATCACCGAGCTCTTTGTACTTGATAAGACCTTCATGCTTGTAATAAAGTAATAGAATTATACTTTTTCATTTTCAATCTTTTTAAGGATGTCTGAACAATGAAATACAGGTAATCGTTAAGGAGACTATCAGCATCTTTGAGAATGAGACCTCTCATCACTTGATTTTGTTATTGGATCATAGATAAACAAAGAACCACATTATTGCATAGCATGTATAAATTACGACTTTTGGCGTTTTTTTTTTTTTTTTTTTTGGTAGATTACTTTATTCAGAAATAATAAATTAGTCACACATCGCTGAGGGATGGAACATGGAGAGGAAAAGACAAGTTCTATGATGGGTAATTAGTCGAAGGCAGCCGCTTTCCGCGAGAGTTGCGAGGAAGACACACTCAAGGAAATTATATTGTGTGCTTTACTAGAGACGGATGAGGGATGAAAAGGAATATCATGGAATATCATTCGAAAAAATGACGTCCAGATAGCCCAATGGATACTGAAGCAGACAGTGAAAAATCGAGATTGCTCGGACGAAGGTAGTGATGGTGGCGTGTGTAATCTGAGAGCGGCAGAGATGCTTTAAGAATCAAAGCAGAAGGACGGGAAATATGCCGCGAGGCCTTCTTGCCATATCTGCCAGCGTTGAGAACAACTTCTTGTGAAATGTTCAAACATATCAATATCATGATTACAAAATCTGCAGGTAGCAGATGAAACTACCCCTGCTGCTTTTAAGACTGATAAGCATGGTAATTTTTTCAAAATGATGCGATAGCCTAGGTCACGAGCCGGAAGAAACAAAGGAAGGGACCAGAACAGATTGAACATCTGTTTGGGAGCTACCCCTATATCTGCTACTTGTTGTATTTGGCTGTTAGGATAAAGCCTAAACGCTGAAGCCAAATGAGACCAAAGGGCACTGTTGGCCAATCGTCATAGTAGTGATGTTTCTAAATCTTGATCTGGGTTGTCGGTATCTATAGAAGAGCTTGCCCGCAATCTATTGACGTAGGCTTGAAGTTGCACTGTAGAATCTATGAGTACTTGGCCCAAAGATGTGAGTGCAACCGCGATTTCACATTATATTCTCCTGGTCGCTTCATTATAGGTGGTTGGTGGATCGGTTATGGAAGAAAAAAGTGTTTGCGACCAACTTGGGATCCAAAAAGAAATCGGTCTGAGATAGCTTCGTAAAGAATCCCAATCTAACAATTGATCGGTCCAAAAAATTTTCTATAACCCGTATAAATATTTCCAATAAAAAGTCCGAATTTTTCTTCAAACACTCTGAATCTAAAGCGAAAATACTGCAATCTCTCACATAGCATTTTAGTATGTTTATAGGTTTGCGAGTTATCGACCATTTCAAAGGATCTAATGCCAACGTAAGTAAGGAAAACCTGCTACAATTCTGGTACTGAGATTAACAGGCTTTTGTAGCCCAGTTTCACCGATTGATAAGATAGATGACGATGTGGCAGGAGTAGATGTTCTTCAAAAACAACTGAATCGTATGAATGGACTTTCTGATAAATTGGTAAGTTCAAGTATTATGCACACAGATTTAGCGAGCCTATTATACAAACCTTCCAAAACTCTTAGGTCAATATTTTAGATACATTCGATGATAGACTTTTAAAACTTGAGGCATCTATCCTCCCCATACATAAATCAACTCAGAATTTGACAAAACTCGCGAATAGTAGGGCTTTAGTTAAAATATACTTTCGTGGATTTATAAAAGCTCATGTATTACTCTTTTAGATATCGATGCAACCTTGAAGGAGGCCGAGAGTATAGTCGAATGTCTAAATATGCCAAGTCGAGAAGAATCGTTTATTTTGAAAGGGTATAGTGAATGATGAAATAAGCAATTGTATACTGTTTAATGGTAATGCTCATCTTAATGTTTATAGACCAGACGAAAATAATGTATTTCCGTATCTAAAGGCAATGGGCCGCTTAAAGGACGGAGTGGATGCAATTGAAAAGAGCCAGCTTCAGTCTTGCGACAAAACTACCAATCAAATGGTAAGCAGACAAATATGTGCACTATTTATCAGACAATAAACTCATAGTAAAATATAGAAACAATTGCTGAAAGCAGGCATGTTACACTTAGAAACTTTGTTCAGAAAGTGGCTTTCTGGTTTAAGCGGTCCTGTCGATGTGAATACAATGCTTAAATCAAGTAAGCATTCCTCACTCTTTCCACATACTCTGCGAATAGCACTCTTATATTTTTAGTCTCCGTAGATTATGAAGTTATGGCAACCGCATCAATTAAGCAACTATCTCAGCTTTCAACCTATATATCTGCATCAGAAATGGAAACAGGCTATTCAGTAGATTTTACAAAATCATATATTGAAATTCGCTCCGCTTTTATGCAACGGTCATTACATCCTTTGTCGCAAACTGTACAACTTTCTGAAAAGCATCAAGGTAGTTCTTATGAAAGAGGATCCAGTGAGTTTTTAAAGTATACAGAATGTTTTACGAAAATGTTGGAAGCAGAAAACAACTTTGCAAAACAGATTATTATCAGCGATCAACGCAGAGCGGCTGCCATTAGAGGGACTATTAAGCCGGCAATAACAGAATATGTTGCGGCAGGCAAACAGCTAAATGCTATAGCAAAAAGACTGAACTATACAGAAACTGCATTTGTGTTTGATATTATCGAAAAGTTTGACAAAGACTGCATACATTACTTAGAGGACATCAGCCGTATCGTTCCTTTACATGAGATCCATCAAATGATGAATGCATTCAAATTAACTGTCCTTCGGAATTTCTACGAATTTATGGAGGAGGTTCGCGGCAGAAAGGATATTAATCACCCAGTGACTTTGTCAAATGATGGTACAGTACATGAAATGACAAGTAACGTAGGTGATCATTATATAATGAATTATATGCGGGAATTCATTTTTTAAGCTGATCTCTTGCATTCATTTAGACTCTGAATTACTTAAAACGGCTTTATCTTTGGAGGGATACAGTTGAGCCTCTATTAATTTTGATAGGCGATGGAGGCTGGAATGTAATGCCTTCACCTCAAATTTTAGCAGATATGTCTCGCATACAACAGGGAGAATCAGCTATTGGAACGGCTCTCTTAGCCAAATTCTTTGTTGACGCTTTAGATCAAATGACATCGACACTTCAACAAAAATCAAGAGGTTATAAAAAGCCCACCCTTGCCACCATCTTCCTCCTTAACAACTATAACCATATTTTGAGACAAATTCGTTCTCCTCCTCTGAACGCTATATTCGATGATGCCTCCGAAATGCAATTTAGCAAATTGGTTAAGAAACAATTAGATGCTTATCAAGAATCATGGAAGCCATGTGTTGAGAATTTGATGGATGTAACATATGTACAGCAAGGTGCTATCAAGAAAACTATGGGCAGTCAAGAAAAGCAAATGGTCAAAGATAGATTCAAAAACTTCAACACAGAATTTGAAGAAATTACAAGGGCACAACAAACTTACGCTATCCCAGATACTGAACTACGAAATCAAGTTATTCGTGATGTCAAGAATGTCCTTATACCAATGTATGGACGCTTTCTTGAGAAATATCAAAATACAGATTTTACAAAGAACCCTGTAAAATATATCCGTTTTGATAAAGAAAAGATTGACAAAATGCTTAGTCACTTATTTGAGCCTACAGCGTATTAGTCAATATTTTATCGTTTCAAGTAAAAACAAAACAACTATTGATATATTGTTTGCCCATTTCATTCTTCAAAAAGTGCTAAAATATACAGATAATTTATTTACAAGGATTAGTTAAGCATTACATTTTTAGTTGAAAAATTTATCTAGGCTTTCACCAAGATGCGATTCAATTTGAGCATTGACTTGTTGTACATATTTCTCGACACGAGCATCGTCATCTTCCATTAGTTCAGCAAGGAAGGAAATGCTTTCAGCTAAGAACAATAACCATTCTTCACCAAGACGAACATAGAACTCTTCAATACATTTCAGAGCAGCCAATCTAATTTCAGGATCGTCCTCTCTCGTCTTAAGTAAAACCTTGTGATTGAGAGGTTTCCAAAGAGTATCATTTGACACAGTGACAGCCATTTGCCCAACGCAAGGAACAACATAAGCAGCCATACGACTAAGATAGTCAGAATTGGTTCCTTTACTGGTAACCAATAATTGGTCGACGACAGGATCCAGCACCTTTTCAAACTTGGTAGCATTCCAGAGATTATCATTATCGTACAAGAAGGATTTACGGAGTGATGACATAAGGTAGTTCCAGAGGACATCAATAGGTTGTTCTTCCGTCTTGTAGTACTCTAATCTCATAATAACATCGTCTATCAAATAGCCATAGTAGGGTGTAAAAATAGTCTTCAGTTTTTCCAAAAGAGCGTCAACCAGTTTGTAAAAGAAGAGAGCGCGAGACGAACTGTCTTCGGACATAGGAACTCCTTCAGTAGCCAATTCGACCGTTGCCCAATCAATAACTTTGAGGAATAACGGCTTGAACAGAGTTTCATTCAACTTCATAACCAAATCGAGGAAAGCACTGATGATAGCATCTTCAATTTCGCTAATGGCATTCAGATCGAATTCTTGTTTGTGAGCGCGTCGAACATCAAACGCGATTAAGAAAAATTTAAACAATTGTTTATAATGGGAAGTCATTACAACCCTTGTCATGGAGCGAATGGCTTGGGAAATAACAGAACACAATGCCAAAATAGATTTTGTGCCATTTTTTACCGCTATTTCATAGAAACCGAATAATGGGTTGAGAAGAACACGAGGAGACACAGTAGTGGCCATTTGTGACAAAACTCCAAGCGCCTTCTGTTCGATGGCAGCTCTCTGAGATTGTGAAGCGTCGTAAACATACACAGACGAATGCAGGAGGCCATTCAGCATCTTGGTAATATAAGGACTAATGAAATGGGGTAATACAGCAACAATAGTTTCAAGAGCACTAATGACACCAAGCTGTAAAAGATTGTTAGGATTTTCTGCTTTGACAGTCGTATCAAGAATATTTGTGATGAGAGGCATGAATTTGGGCAGATGAGGTACTGCACGAGGACCGATTTCAGCGCAAATAACAGAAAGACATACAAGACTAGAAATTTGCAATTGTGCATCAGTGGATTGAAGACAATCAACACCAATAACTGTAGGAATTGCCTCGGCGAATTGACCAGGATAAAGGTTACCAAGAAGCTTAGCCAAGGATGCGATGCATAACAAAGCAGATTGCTTGTTGATGGCACGGTCTTCATCATTAGCTGTACTTGCTGATTCGTTCTTGATAGCGGATGTAAGGTCACCAATCATGTTAACAAGTACATCTTCATAACCTTCAGGAGCATGACCTTCAAAGGCAAGAATCTTCTCATTTAAAATATTCAAAGCTTTGCGTCTGATAGATGTATCAGCATGTTGCATTAGCTTGGTAATAACTCCAACAAAGATATCTAAAGGCAAAAGAGCATTGACCTTGTCTAAAACATCGTAAACGACCTTTAAAATAGCTCTCCAGAATTTGGCAACACCCGCCAAAGCATCCTTTGATACAGAATAGCTATCACGGAAACCAGTAAAGTAACTAACGATTTTCAAGATCACTTCAACGCACTGGAGATAATAAGGCTGCATGCTTTGAGTAAATTCTTCGCTGTTGCTAGATTGCTCTAACATCTTGTTCAAAAATCCCTTGGACGTAAGTAGTTGGCCAACAAAATTGAGAGTAGCGAGCTTGAATTGACGAAGCTGCTTAGCACTATGCTCACGCATATTGAAAAGAGAGACTTCCTTTTCGTCCATACTGATATCTTCAGGTTTCTCATTTGGTAAGATTAGCAGACCATTCAAAAGAGACAAAATAGCCTTCATCTGTGTCATAGGGCTGAAGTTCTGACAAATGAGCAGACTAAATTCCGTAAGGGACTCTGCTTCAGAGCGAGCACCTCTTGCAAGCTTCTCAGTATACTTCTCCAACAAAAGTGACGTGATAGCATACAGGAATTCATCTTCGCCCAAAGTATGGATAAGTACAGTAAAAAGACGCAGACGCCTATGCTTTGGAATATGGAACAAAGCATCAACGAATACCTTAATGATAGGTTTAACTCCGAGGACCAGAGCATTCTCGTCGTCATTATTGGACTTTCTGCTAGAAATGACAAGCGGAGGCAAGATTTTTTCGAGAGTTTGCTGTATGACTTGGAAGCTGTAGTTATCATCCTGGCGAAGGACATTAGCACCCATAAATGTAAAGACTGGCATAATATTATGTAGGACACTTTCAGGATACATAGAAGCAATCGTTGCCATTAATAATAAAGCTTGGTTGTGCGTCTGGGGATTGCCAGTTATACGAATACATTGAACGACAATGTCTACACGGAGTGCGGATTCTTCCACAGAGATACCATTCTCCTCGGCGTGATGGATAATACGAGCCAGAGAGGACATCAGCAGCTGATTAATGTACTCTAATGAAACAGGTGAATCACGGAGATCTGCATTCACCATAGAAGTCAAGACATCAAACAAAGGCTTGATAAGGCAAGTGTCACGAATGATTGTCTTTGCTTCCAATAATTCCAAAACAGTGACAAGTTCATAGAGATCGACAGTAGCAGCGTTTTCATTTTCAATCATACGGCCACGCTTAGCATTATGCGTAGCAGCCATAGAAGTTGCGGTTCCCATCAAATTCTTAGCAGCAGCACTGAGGTAACCTTCCAACATTTTGGCATCGATATCAATATTGACCAAAACAGTTTTAGCGGCACGAACATCATTTTGAACACCATTAGTAGCAATATCAATTAGAGACTTGAAAATTGCTTGCTGAGCATTGATATTCGTTTGTGCAAAAAATTCGGGTGTGATCTGTTGAAGAGCATAATGACGAGTAGAAACTTGCCAACCATCTTCATCGGAGCCTTCAAGAATATCCTTATTGCTAAGCAAACGGAGGAAAAGACCCAAAGTTTTATCATTCTTAGTACCCATATCAACAGCATTCAAGGGTGAGAAAGCATGAATCAAATAAGCGATCAATGAGGTTGAATGAGGAGAACGAGGCTCATTTAAAGTTGTTTCAAGGAGAGGTGCAAGAGTTTTAAGCTTGAGGGAGTCGGAAACGGTATCCAACATGCTAAGCATGCTGATTTTCATCTGAACTGTAGGGGCATTTACTATATGATTGAGTAAAAACGTGACAGTATGCGTTCTACGGGTTTTATGTTGCTTTTCACTTGACGCAGTACAGAGAGAGAGGTAATCCTTGAATAGGTGCACAATATAGTTACGATCTTTGGTTATTTCAGCATGTCTGAACCACACAAAGTCAACAAGATGAGCCGCTTCGTTTGATCTCAAGGAAGGAACAGATGCGCTTTCGTTATAGAAGGTATTAACAGGAACTACATTTAGACTAGTAGATAACTTAGTCTTGGTGACATTATCGGTAGGCATTGACGTATCGTAAACCTTATGGCCACTAGGTAAACCTTGAGTTTGATACGCAGAGTGAATAAGTTTCAAACAATGTAATGCTTGAGTTCGGACAGAATCAGATTCATCGCCAAGTGTAGGGAAAAGAACAGGTACCAAATGTTGGAAATCAATATCAGTTTTGTTGCTGGTTATAAATTGATTGAGATATGCAGATGTAATTTGCAATGTGCGTGCGCGAACAACGTAGGTATAGTCAGTATTGGTCCAGACACTAGTCAAGAAACGGAGTACATCATCCTCTAACTGCTTCTTGAATAATCCAGTGATTAAAGACTCGACATTATCGACAGAGGGTCCAGCAATAATCGTTTCGAAAATTTTTCTAATCAGGGTGGTATAATCGTTATTTGTTGTCTCTTTGCCATACCAATCTATTTGACCCTTGGGACGTTCAGTTTGTGAAGCAATGGTAAAGAGAGTATATCTGGCAAGTTGTATATATAAGGGAGCAGTAATATCATCAATGTTACGCAGTTGTTTGAAAACATCCTTTGGAAGTGAACCATTCTCTGGCATAAACTCCTTTTTCAAAGGTATAGAATAGAAGGAATTTGTATGTTGTTTGATAACGGATAGCATGGAGTTCAAAGCCTTCAAACATAACGAATGCTGTTCTTTCGCTTCAGTTATAATCGAAATAGCCAGAGATACAATCAACTGACTTACAACGCTTTCAGCGGTAGATTTACTCTTAATCATTTCTGTCCAGAAGCTAGCATAAATAGGTTGCTTGTTTTGCTTGATAAGATCAGCTTGCAACTTGATTAATTTGGTGGGAACCTCGAACAAATCACGGTTTTCCGCTGTGACAGCCTTGAGATTTTCAACAATACTAGAAGTGATAATAGCATCCTTTATTGTCAAGGAGCTAACGAACTTCACTAATCTGGACAGGTTATTGCTGGATGCAGCAAAAACAAATACAGATAGAATTCGAGCGACTTGTGCGTCTTGACCAGGATACTTCTCCAAGAAATCTTTCAATAAGAACTTCAAAGCCGTAACGGCATCTTTGGAATTGCAAGCACCACGTTCCTCAAATAAATCAGATAAAGCATCAATAATCTTTTCAGAGGGGACATATTCTAAGAGGTGTTGAGGCACTTCCTCGACGGCATACGTGAACAAACTGTTAAATCTGTCCAAACAGGCAGTAAAGGAACTTTCAAAAATTTCTGGTGTTTGATGAAGAGGATTTGACTTGTCGTCAATGATTGTTACCAGCTTTTTCATGGCTAAAAGACGATTTACTGTATTTGGACTGTTCAAACAGAGATAAAGTGTTGTATTGGCATCCTCAATGATTTCATGACCAGTGCCTCTGAACGCAGAAGAGGTGAATTCGAAGAGTTTCTTATTGAGTTGAGCGTTATTCTTCGTTTCAGTCAGCTTCGATTCCAATACGAGATCCAACTCCTCGACATAACGTTGCGAAATTATTGCCAAAAGTGGTTGATATTGAGAGACAAAGCTAATTCTTTTTTCTTCATTCTCATCGTTTTCAGCAAGAGACAGATATTGGTCCATGATCGTTCGGCACAAAAGCGAAATGTTATCACTCGAAAGGTAGTCATTGGTAATCAAATTCTCAAACAAACTAATGTGTTTTCCCGCAGCAGCCAAGTCTCTCATAAAGCAAGCAAAAAAACGATCCGTAGCATATTTATCGCAAATTTCCAGAATTGTTTCTTCGAACTTTTCGTTAGATGTCATGGCTGTAAAGGCAGGCTTTGAAATTGATTCGAAATTTTCCTGAGTTTGACATAGGTGTACGACCGTCAAAAGACAATAGCTGTAACAACGTTTTTTGCATTTCCTTAACATTGTAGAGACTAAACTCTCGATGCCATCTTTGTTGAGGACAGCCTTGGCTGATAATTGAGAAACAATCATATACGACGCCAATTGTAATTCAGGAACTTTCTTAGCCCGTAATCCATCAACAAGATGAGGCATAAGCGCTGTAGTCATGAATTCGGTGACAGAGGATGCAGAGTTGATATAATCAATCAATAGTGCTGTAAAAAAGGAGTATAAGGTTGAGAAAGGAACTAAAGCCTTGGTAACCATTCTACAGATAAAGTCGAAAATATGCCTATCCTTCATCATCTTCTTTATTAACAAACTTCGTTCCAATGGAACCATTGACTTTTTGATCGGCTTCAAGAATTCCCAACTTGTATTCTCCCTAAAATTACAAAAAAAAATAAATAAATTAGAAATTGCACATTTTGCAGTAAAGATACTGTGTACTTACTCAATATTCAGAATGGAGACCATTTTAACAAATGATTTGGTTTCATGATATGGTAAAATACATCTGAGGATTGATTCCACATTGAAATCATGAATGCGGAAGCGACGAATAAGGTATTCCAAAACCTTCCCTGAGGGTTTCAATAGAAAATAAGGTGACAATTGAGAGAGGAAAGCATTGATACTGGCGTCCAATTTCTCATTTTCTTCCTTGGTCTAATACCAGAATTACATCAGAAACGTTTAAGCCTGCAAAATGTTAACAATCAAAAGAAAACCAACCTGTAAAATTCTATCAACAGACTTCATTTGCTCAGAAAAGAGGGTTTTTTCAAATGGTGCAAATTTCTCGTCGAGAATAACAAGCTCCATGATGCCATTATAGGCAATAGAGTAAATCGTTTCTAAGTCTTGATCAGCAGCCTCACGAGCTGTGAACAAAAAAGACGGCCTTGCCTTTCTTGATATTTCACTCACATTACGCAAGTCATGCGTGCCGATCTTCTTAAGCTGCTGTTGCAAAGAAGACATTTTGACAGCTGCTGTAAACGTTACTTTTCGAGCAAAATTGCGAATTAATTCCCTGTTTTCTTTAATTTTGCTGGAGTTCAAAATAAGAGAAAAGACAGTCATTTGCAAAGCCGCCTAAAAGCTGTCAATTTTTAACAGCCTAAAAAATTTTAACATAAAATTGCGATCTACCAGCGCAAATAATTTGCTTCCTTCTCTTTCTCCTCATTCAATTTCGAGATCTTAACAACTAATCAAAATGGGTCGTATGTATACTTCTGGTAAGGGTATCTCTGGTAGTGCCCTCCCCTACCGTCGCACTCCTCCTTCTTGGGTCAAGACTTCTCCCGAAGAAGTTGTTGAACAAATCTGTAAGCTCGCCAAGAAGGGTCTCACTCCCGCTCAAATTGGTGTTGTTCTCCGTGATTCTCATGGTATCCCTCAAGTCAAGTCCATCACTGGTAACAAGATCCTCCGTGTTCTCAAGGCCAATGGTCTTGCCCCCGAAGTTCCTGAAGATTTGTATCACCTTATCAAGAAGGCCGTTTCCATCCGTAAGCACTTGGAACGTAACAGAAAGGACAAGGACTCCAAGTATCGTTTGATTCTCATTGAATCTCGTATTCACCGTCTTGCTCGTTACTACAAGACTTCCGGTCAACTTCCTCCCACCTGGAAATAGTATCCTTTTTTGATTATATACTAACCTTTCATTTTAGCGGTTGTGCGGGTATATGTGTGGTTGTGTGAAAAATGAAATTTTGGGATCGTTCATCAGTTTTATGCCTATATTGGACATTGCGTCAGAGTCGGATGTCTTCTGCAGAGAAGACAGGCTCGGTAACTGTCCTCCTTAACCCATGCTTTTTTCTACTAATAGTGAATCTACCACTGCCTCTGCTATGGTCGCTTAAGTTCGTATTTCAAGTCTTTGATCGCAAGTTTCGGTCTTCACTGTCAAGGAAAACTGTATCTTTTTCGTACGACTTTAATAGGAACATATCATCTACCCTTAGAAGAATCTCATTAAAGTTCATACAGTCTCTTTTGAGATCTGGAAAGAAAAATTGTTTTATATGGGTTTGTCAATTGTGCGCTTTGTATGTGGGTTTAGTGGATGTTGAAGGTTTTTGCATAGATCCAATCTTTTTACTTACCCGAGGATGACAAATTTCAATCACTTTCTATCTTGATCTATCCATGAAAGTTGTATTCACACTGTCTGATGGGTCTGTTTTAAGCATTTATGGATCTATGCTTTTCAATTTTAAGATTACTGTCCTTCTCAAGGATTATGAGAATTCTTTCATGATTATTTTATACACCAATAAAAATTCTATTTGTTTATTCTTACGTTTTTATTGCACTGTGATCTTTATTTACTGAGAGAAATTATTACGAATTACATTTCACTAACGGTAATAAAATGCAATCTGGATCAAATAGTAAGTTCCGAAAGGCTAATGGTATTACTCCTCATATTTGTTCATCGTTAAGTGATGTATGTTTATACAAAAATATACGTCGTTTGTCATTGTTGATAGCGATTACGTTGGAGGACGGATGGGCTGAGATACCGATAACCTCGTCGTCACAAACTTTGCTGTGGCTTAAAAATTTCTCAGCGACAATATCATAGCAATGTAGGAATGAATCTTCCGATAATATGTATAGGAAGGAACCTTGATGAGACACAACACCACTGACAAAGTTTGATTCTGATTTGTTTTTTATAAGTTTAAGTGTTAAGCCTTGATCGCTCAATATTGCTGCTGAATTGTTTGAGTAAATAGCCACAATTTTAGTGAACTCTCCTGGAATGGTGAGAACTTGTTGTACAAATATGCCTTCTGCAGCCTTGATGCTATGTAAGCAAGCACCAGTAGTATAATCCCAAATCTAAATAATTAACATCAGAATTATGTTAGTAATATTTACATTGGTGGCCTTCACATTATTGTGCTTACCTTCACGGTTCCATCATTGCTGCCACTTATAATCGTTGTATTATCCGAACTATACATAACAGAATTTACAAAAGACGTGTGTCCTTCAAATAATTTGACAAGCTCCCCTGACTTCACTTTATGTATTTTGATTGTATGGTCATAGCTACTGCTCAATATTTCGCTTGCGTCTCTGTTAAAACGTATGCAAGTAACACCTTGACTATGCGCTGGTGAGAAACGCTTTGTGCAAAGTCCTGACTGGATTTTCCAAATGGCGATTTTTCCATCCGTTGATCCCGAAGCCAGAATTTCACTGTCTGTACTGAAGCATAAGCATATAACTGCTTGATCCATCGCCATCAAATTTTCTTCCGCTTGGTATTTTAAATCCTTCCTCAGTTTTCCATTAACAGGGTTCCATACCTCAATGAAACCATCTACAGAGCCTGATACTAAATGAAGTCCGTTTGGTGAAAATATTGTACATTCTGCATAAGTATTCTTCCCTGGCATCTATAAGGTAATTGATGAATATTGAAAAAAGAAAAATTATAACTGTAACAATCTTCGGTATAGCACTTTCATACCTTAATCTCTTTGTATTTATCATTAACACAGGCTTCATCCTCAATTTGTTGATTAACGGCTGACCCACTGAATACATCAAAATTTGCTTCTGTCTTCAACAATCCTTGGTGACGTTGCCATTTAATGCAATCTTCCAACAAACTCATGAGCCGAGAAGGCTCGACAATATTTACTTCACTAGCTAATCCTAAAGTTACAATGACAATAATTAAAGCGATCATTAATTCGCCATAGAAAGACAAAAGTGTAGAGGTCCCTTTACCCTGCGCTATTATTTGTCGTCTTTTTTCTTTTGTCATTCCCTGTGGATAATGTTCTTTGGGATCTAACACGGAACGCGATAGTGTATGCTCTAACTTCAAGTATCTTTCTGGCTGGCGCTGTTTTAGGATGTACATCGGCTCTGTTTGACGTAATAGAGTGCGAGCTGCACTTAACTCACGCATTTCGGCCAATTCTAATACAACCTGCTCATAAAGATCTAAGAGTTTCGCCGCTGGCAACTTCAAATCGGCGACATGTCGAAGTACTTTATCCCATTCGCCTTTTTTGATTTCAGAAATGAAGTCTTCTTTATTTTCCAAAGTGTTTACTTTAACATTGGTTTCCTGCTCTAGCGTATGTAAAGTCTCGTCGTACTTATTTTCCTTCAAAAACTGTAAAATAAGACGAATAACACTTGAAAGGGTAAGTTGTGGGTAGCTTATTATCAAATATAGCAAGGATTGGCATCAAAGATAAGGCGTATCTTACTCTTCTGACTCTATCTCAATAGACATTTTAATTTATGCTGTGAGCGTGAAGACAGGAAAGAACTTTGGTTGATTTGCTGGAATTTTTGGAGTGCTGCTGTAAATTCAACGACACGGAGTATTTCTTTTTTCTTTTTAATTTTTTTTTTGAACACTGTGAAAAATCTGAACCAAATGGGCAACTGGCAAGCTGAGTTCGTTATAGCAATTTGAAAGGGCTATGAGCTATAATGTATCTCTCAGATAAATGCGTTGGTCAACATGTTTCTGAAGCACCAATACCGCGTTGTTGGTGAAATGATGTAAAGATCATAACGTAAGAACAGCATTAATGTTTGCAGTACATATGCAAGTAAAGACAGTGTTATATTTCTCACCATGTGCAATAACCCTTCGCTTTCTATGCAACAATACAATTTAGACCTTCATTGGCGTTACAGTGAATGCAAGTTAAATTAGCTATCTTCGAGCGGGTATAGATCCGAGGAGTAAAAGAACACATAATAAGGCTCTTGAGTGCGTTTCTTACTATTATTGTATAAAGTTATACATAGTCGATTTGTTGAGCCACGCAGTTAACTCTGAAAGCGTTGCTTAAACAGCTAGTGTTACAGACGAGCACATCACTAAACATTCATTAATAAAGGTAATGCTCTCATTGCGCCTTCAAACTTGTCCTAAAATTTGATAATCACACAAATTTGAAGGATCAAACGACATTGTTTCTATTGTTGTTACCCCTTCGCGTTAGTGGTATTCTGAAAATGATGCTTAGCCGCTTAATTCATACCGTGTCTACGGTTGAACTGTACAAACTAAACATTTTTGAAGACCCAACAAACGCTTGAACTAATAGTATGGACAATAATGAAATCCTATACCTACTTGCGAAAAAGAAATAAACACTTATGCCAAAGCATAAGCTTGAGGCTTCATAACAGATGCCAAGAGAAAAGAAATGATGGGTATTCCAACCAATGTCTATACCCTTTTGAGCTTAAGCCTTATAAGCAATTTGTAGCTTTTTTAAAGTAATGGATACATAAATTTACGCTTAACTATAAAATAGTGTATGAATCATAGCACAATACGAAAACTCTACGAAAATACAAATATCATTTCCTCACCCTGCTGTCTTTATTGAAAGCACTCAAATAGGCTTACTGTTAAGTTACAGTCGACTGATAGCTTACATTGGGGACCATGATGTCTGTGATCATATCAAATAAGAAGCAAACAGCGTTATTGTTTCTCTATTTGTACTTCTTTCTCTTCAATATTGATAACTCTTATACAATAATATAATTGATTCGAAAATATTACGAGTCAAGGCATGCTTTCTTCGGCTAAGCATTGTTAATTCCTCCTGTTCCACCGGCCCCTCGGAACAGCGAGACTTCGTTTACAATCAGTATTTGAAAACATGATCAGAACAACGGAAAGCTCTTCGCCTGGATCAAAACAAATTTCAATTTACAGCAAGGTGTCCAATATCATTTGTCGTCTCAACAACTAGAAAAAAAAGGAAAGTTTTGAAAGTTGGCCTTTATATAAAGGCGTTCTTGATAAATGATGCGTATACTTAAAAGCCATAATAGATCAAGAATGAATCGAGGCGGATATAAGAAAATAGCTAGTAATAAGTAAGCTATACTAACTGGTTTATCAAAAATATGCAATCATTGATGGTATCTCTTACGGGTACCAGTACTTTTATTGGCTTTATAACCAAAAGAAAATTCTTTCTCTGTTGCAAATGGGAAATTGAAAAAACGCGGGAACTCAGTGCATTTGAAGCAAATTATCTAATCTCCTTGAGGCTTTTCATTGAGTCGCACAGATCGAGATCATGGAGTACAACCATAGCTTTTAAGTAACTAACGAATTGCATAAAACTTTTTCGATTTACTTTATCATGCTATAATATGTTCGTATTTAATAAGGGTATGCTAGTTTCGTTTTCCGGAAACTGAATCAAGTACTAAAGGCATGATATATGATTGTGATTAAGTACTGCTTCCTGTTGTGTTGTTGCTAGGATTGTCAACATATTTTTTCTTTGACTCTTGAGACATAGTATCAGCATTAACGGATAAATCTTCAACAACATATCGAATCCATTTCGAACCCATGATACTATAAAAAAAGACAGCTACAAATGCAATCAACGGAATCACGAAGGATATATTTATATTCACCTTATCATGAATAACAGCTTGAACAGGTGGAAGTACAGCACCACCTGAGACTCCCATGATAACTGACATAGATAAGTTTCCATACGGAAATGGTTAGTTTATGTAACTAAGTATATGTAAGTATACAATTCGCAAACCGTCCTACTAACCCAAGGCTGATCCTCTTTTATGATTTCTGCCTAAATCCCTTGTAGCCAACGCAAAAATGGTGGGAAACATGATGCTCTCAAAAAACATGATGACAATCAAAGCATAGGTTGTCGCTGTTGTTTTCATGGCAATTACAAAGATATTGGCAACAATTGCTGCCAAAGCGAAAAACGACATGAGGTACTCTGCTCTATATTTCTTCAAAAGAATAGCGGCAACAAATCTTCCGACTGTAAAGCAAGCTTGACCGACAGACAGGAGTATGGAGCCTCTAGAATCTGGGAAGCGTCCGACTTCATTACTGTAAAACATAAATAGGGAAGCGACACACACCTGTGCTCCTGTATACATAAATTGAGCAAGTGCACCTAATAGTAAATGAGGAGACAAAAGAGATGGTCGGCGAGCAACTTCGCCTGACAGTTTAGCTTCTTCCACTATTATAGCTTCTTCATCTACTTCCGGAATTTTGGTAAAACAGAATAATACAGCAATACAAAATACGCCTAATAAAATATATATCGAAATCGGTTGTTTAGATTGATACTCTTTTTACTATCAACTTTTTATAGAAAAAAGTATACCACAAGCAACACCTATGTAAGTCCATTTTACAGAATCCAGATTGTTGTTCGTAGTGTCCTCGCTACCTCCGAAGAAGGCGTATGACGCAACAATAGGGGCCACACACGATGCAAGCCCATTGAAGCCCTGAGCTATATTGATTCGGAGTGACACATTTTTTCTTGATCCGATAATTGTAATATATGCATTGGCGCCTATTATACATGTATAGTATCGTTCATTAAAAGCAATACGATTAAGTAAGCAGCTATTTTGGCACTCACAATTTTCCAAAGTAGCTAAACCAGTTGCAATGACAAAAAGGGATGCCACGAACCCTCCAAAACTCAAGTTTACTGCGGAGGGGTAGAAGCATAAAGCTCCAATCACATAGAGTGCCAGCCCGAGAATGATTGTCCTTTTGTAACCGAATCGTTTGGAAAGTATGCTCGCGCTTTTATGAAAAGTAAAACATTTCCCTGGTTATTTACTGCGTATTTTATTCCTACGCATTAGCTGTTTCTTTAATATGGTACTGTTTCTACTCACGGGATACTCATCACAAAATAAGCACCGAAATAAGCTACTTGCATATACGTTGTTTCTGTTGTTGCTGTGTATAAAAAATGTGATGTTGGTTTCCATCAACAGTGTTTATACTCATGATAAATCAGTGCACCCACATATTCCTAGAACATTTCGGAAGTGCTTGTTCAACGTATCTAATAAGCCGTAACTGAATCCCCATAAGAAGAATAAGGTAGTTACTAGGGCGCCAGGAAGTAGATAGCTTTGTCTTTTTATAACACCGCTTTCCAGCCGAAAGTTATCCTTCTCTGTTGTGTTGGGATTGTTCATACTGCTATCCAGATCGCAATTAAAAATATACTGCTGAGAGGAGATCACTAAAAATGAAAAAGAAACAAAAAAAAAGAACGTTGCTTTTGAAAATAGAAAGACGAAACCTTAATGAACGTACACATCACCTGTGCATTACCAGCCGAACAATTACACGTTCTGATATTATTCCCATACTAATCAATGATGTTATTGTGTATGCCTCAATTATCCGATATACTACATTATGATATGTTTTTTATCATAAATTCTTATGATAGCACGGACTTAACTCAAACTGATACAAAGAAAAGTCTAAATGTATGCCTTCGAGTTACGTGTAACACCATTCCCGCATAGAAACAGATTGAGAAGCCCGATAAAAACAATTTTAAAAGTTATTTCTCACATTATTTTATCTGCATCAATCTAAAATAATCCATAAATCTTGACGCGCTTGGAGCAGTTTATTGAAATAATTTAAATGACTTTGAGCGTTTACTTTGACTGTTATCAATCAGCTACGAAAGCATAGCCGTGTACCTTTTGTAGATTATTTTTATTGCGGACTTTTATGCAAAAAATGGCAGAGCCCTTCAGTCTTAGATTTAAAGCTTTATTTCTTTTTTTTCAATTATTCCTCAACACTACTCACAAACAACACACACAATGTCGAAAGTTGTTCCACTCGCCTCCAATAGCCCGGAGTACAAGGGTATTTCAGCGCTGAATATCTTCTATGAAGCTGGTACGAGATTAACTTTCCGTTCGTAATTCAAAAAACAGCTCATTTACTCGTCCTGCTCACTGTTTATACGGCGTAGGTCTTGATAGTGATAGTCGACCTATCTTAGTTATGTGTGCTGATAACCTTCCCGATCCCGATATTTATGAATACGATCTTATATTATCGTATGTACTAAATAGAGGAGCCTTTGAGTTTCTGTGTAGCATTATTTTGAACTGAATTATCGTCTCTGTCCTTATAGATTCATCTTTGCCAGACTGTAAGCATTTTTTAATTAAAGATACCTTTCATTCCGTTGCATATTAACCGAGCATATAATGTAACTTTAGGGATGAATTTGTAGAAAACGACTATGTTATGGTTTTCTTTTCATCACCTGCGCGATATCGACCCGGGTGGAGATGGTTGTTGAGAGCTTACCGTTCTCTAGATCGCAAGTAAGGTTTATTGTAGGATTAAGAGCTCAATAAAAAAACTCGCTAAATTTTCAACGTTTTTTTTCTGTTCCTTTCAGATATAAAAAGAATTTGAAAGCGCTTTATGTTGTTCATCTATCAAAAGGTTATAGATTGGTATTCGATCTCGCAAATAAAATTGTCAGCCCAAAATTCGCCCGCAAATTGCATTATATACAGAGTCTTGAAGAGTTGAAAGCGAACATATCTTTGGCACCACAATTTATACCGCAAAGGGTAGTCGACTATGATCAGCAATTGCCTATAACCACTAACGTGACGACAATACAGAAATCAAAACGCCCTTTACCCTCATTAGCTTTCGGACGAAAATTAGAGGAGCTGGCCGATTTAGAAGGAAATACCTCAACACAGTATATTCCTACTTTTGTGATACAGATAGTAGACCATTTACGCGAAAAAGGTAATGATTTTGAGGGCTTTTATGTTTCTGTAAATATTTACTAAAGACGTTCATTGCCAGGATTGGACAAAGAGGGCATCTTCAGAAAATCACCGTCTAGCGATGAACTACGTTTTGTGAAAAACAACTTCAATAATGGTAAGCACATGAACGCAAGTTTATTTGAAGAGATTTTTCGCAGCTGACTACAACACTACTTCTTATAGGCGTGAAAGTGGACCTTGACGAGTATGATATTGATGTGTCCGCTGCATTATTAAAAGTGTTTATCAGAGAACTTCCATCACCTTTAATCAATTTAGAGTTTAGCAAAAGTATTGGCTCTTTACCAGGTACTTGATTTCAATTGATTTGTGGGCGCCACTGTTGTTTTAACGTTCGTAAAATATATTCTAGACGCAAATGATTGTTCTGACGAGTTAATCAAGGATGTCAAGAGAAAATTAAACGAGCATTATCAACGCATTCCAAATTACTACACCTTGCTGAGCTACATTTGTAGATTTTTAAAGGAAGTTTCAGAACATGCTCACAAGAACAAAATGGATACGCACAATTTAGCTGTGGTATTCACGCCGAATATGATCAGGGCGGAAGAGGTTAGTCCAACTGATACTTATATGGCAGTGCCAGACAACAATCAAGCAGCTTTAACAGATGCTGCCGCCTATTTGAAGATGATGAACAGAGGAATGTCTCTAGTACAAGTGTTGATCACCAAATATGAACAAATATTCGAGCAGTAAAAAGAAAAACAAAGGGAATCTTTGACCTATTATTACAATATACTTTCCTTAATGAAAAAATCATATAAAAATCCACTGTATCTGACAGCAATCTGAGAGTTGATCAGTTTGAATGGTAAATTTGTAATGTTCTAAAAGTTGATTTAGAAATGTAAAACTAGTATATGCAAGTATTATATTGTAGAATTATCACCATACAGAAGACTACCTTGGCTTATAATTAAACACTGCAGCCCATGGCTTGCAGAAGTATGAGTAGATGCATGGAAACCGACTATCTACTACATCGTCTTGACTGGAGCACTCTCACGCATATAATGAGCATAATTGGATGAACATTGAATCTGAGATATTTGCTAACGTTATTGGTAATTGATAACTGTTTCAAGTCAATGACTATGGTACTCTTCAGATGAAGTAGAATTTATGGATAATTCATGTGCAATAAAATTTTTATAACCTACCATCTCGATAAAGTATATTTTCTAGCATATGAGAAGCTAGATTTTGATCAAATCAAGTATAATGATAACAGTTTCAATCAATAGCAATGAAAGAAAAAGAGAATGGTGACAAAGTAAAAGCAACACAGTTGGTCTGGGGTAATCATACGCGCAATATTTTTTTTGAGCTTAGGCGGGCCATTGCCCTTCCCATTTCCTATTTTAGATTAACCCAAAGTACTGTAACAGAGGAATTAATTCACAGACAGATAAACAGCAGAAGTGTAAAAAGCATTGAGACGAAAAGAAGGCATTATAACTGGTCTCATAGATGGACTAGACATGTATGTCGCATTGAGGGTAGACGAGAAAGAAAATCAAGGATCATTACTCAGCATATTCAGGATAATAATGAGAGATGCAAAATTGCAAAGCATCAATAAATAGATATTACATAAAGTTAGAGTCGTGAGTACCATGAAAGAGGGAGTAGTGTGTTTAGCTGACAGCATCGTAGGACACATTGATTTCTTTATTGAAGCAGCAACAACAATGCTCGAGTACGTACCATCGGACTGTAATGGTAAATAACGAAACTTAAACGTTACATTAGAAATTGCCGCAGTCATTATATCCCTATCACAAGATGATGAGGTACTGTATTTTGACGATCTAGTAAGAGAGCTAAGGGACTTCATCATTGCTAAAGATGACGGAAAACAACTGAACGTGTACAAAGGCGAATAGAAGGTCCGCAGAAGATGACCTGATGATAAAAGAAAAATCATACCAAACTGTTATTGTATGGCTAATCGTCCGATTTAACTCCGTAGCAGGAATGATGAGATACAAGATAAGAAAAAAAATCGTTAACAGTTGGTAGACGAACATCGTAAATGAAATAAAACGTGCAAACTGAAAAGCAGAGGCGTCAAACAGCAAAAGTACCTCCCGATCATCAGATTCTAATCGACTAGTATCACCTGCCAAGAAGGATCTGATTTTAAAGAAAATAGCAGAAACGAAAAAGGACGGCAAATGGGTTCTATCGACCAAAAAAATAGTAGAAGATACAATGAAACGACTCAGATCATTTAAGAGGCAATATATGAGCACCCTGTTCACTCGCTGATTTTAAATTTCAGTATCCAATTTGGGTCAAATATTTTGATGAGAATGAACTGGAAGAGATTAGAACGACGAATATGAAAAAAAAATGCCAGTTTTATCGCTTGATATCTCTACGTACATAAGCACGTATGAAACATGCATAACAGCACGAGATATGTACAAATTTGCTTACAGCCACTATCATGATCATATTGAAGAATTTGATAGAAAGTGGGTTCAAGAGTGTCTTATTGAAGCCTCTGAGCGGTTTATTTGTGACGCTATCGTGAAAGTTGTGCTTATTCAGAGCTAAACAGCATAATCAATATTTTTATTCGTTTACAAGTTATTCAGTGACAAGCAGATCAAGGCAATGTTAGGTGAAAAATCCAGTATATCAGGAGCCATAGCAAAAAATCATGGAAGAGACTTGGAGGCTGTGGACAAGAGACGAAGAAAATCAATTGGTCTTAAAAGTGGATATACTATTCAAATGCGGTAATACAGAGTTAGGCGCTTGTGAGGTTGACTTACATGATGTGATGGAAGCTGATGATAAGTAGTTGAATAATTGTTTGCAAAAGCTACCCAAGACATTAAGAGACATACTTTGTGCTTTTGTTTCCAGGAATGGGTCACAAATCAACAATCTCGCAGTTGTTGGATAAACCATGATGGGTGAGGCCTGAATATGGAACTCATTATCACCGATGTACCCAGAGGAACAACGTTGTAAGAGTTTTAGAAACTGAAAAATTTGAATACCCAGAGTCTTAAACTTTCTACATGGACTTTGTCCCACTTTTGAAACTTACCTTCAACGGAAAAGAATTAATTAAACAAACCTGTCGTATTTGAGGCACGATGGCAATATATTATATGAGTAAATCACTCAAAACGTCTAACGTAAAAAATAAAACTTGATCTCAGATATGAGTACTGCTTATAACTTCGTTCCCGTTTGGTAAGCGGTGTGTTCGATTGTATACATCTGGGCCTTATATCAAATGTATAACAAATAAAGATAAAATAAGAAAAGAATATGGATTAAGGATAATTCTTATGTGAGATTAGCTACCTCACATCAGAACTGAACAGGTTATCTTTATGAAATATATTTTACTCAGATTATCTATAGCTATATAACGTTTAGGTATATAGCACAATTGATATATGTACTCGTAGGATATATTGATTCAACAACAGGAACAGAGTAGGTCACGGTACTGCTCCCTGCTCTGGAAGTCGAGTGGTTGGAGATAAAAAGGCTCAATCACTCTTTATTAATACAACAACTGTTCACGCAATCTGCACGGATATCTCTTTTTAGCTAACATCTATAATCATTCCCACAGTATCTGAGCTACACAACTGGTGGCCGATAGATATTGGATTATAGATGTTGTATGATCACCCTGGATCTGCTAGGATAGCACATTACAAATCAATCCGCTCTGAGATGGACGAGTAATTATCCACTTAAAAGGGAAGACCTATTCTTTTACGGAAACCTCTGACTCACTGAGTATTATCTGACCATAATACACCAGTGTCTGCTATAGATTCCGATACACTCATTTCGTAAACAGCAAACAGTATAACTCTTTATTAATAACAGTAATTCTAGTTTTCTTTTCTTTTTCTTTAGTTTGTTTTTGAAAGAGAAATAAAGACGGTGGTTTGATTTCGTTAAGCTTTCGTGTTTATTTTCTCTTGTAATATTCTTTTACTTTAAATCCTATAGTTTGAATTTAGCGAATACCACAAAACCCTTAATATTCTACGCAAGAAGAAGACGAAAATTGCAGAGTTTCTTAGCACTTCAAATAGTCGCAGTAGCCCTTTGCTGTCATCTTGTTTTTACTTTCTATGATTACAATGATTAAAGATGAATGAAAAAACAAAAAACCACCTTGTTAATAATCGAATCATGTCTGTGCTCCCAATCTCCAGCACGTTCTGAGTTGAGAGCGGTTTAATAGATTAAAGGGCTAGTTATCGAATGTGCCCCATACATAACTTTATGGAAAACCTGTATTTTGAGACAAAATTCGTTGAAAGTCTTAACTGGTGTAAAAATTTGTTACATAACAATAAGTAATGATTGAAATCAGAGATGCATATCTAAATATAGAAGGAATACACTTACGTTATACAAAATGATAATTCTGTTAGTAGTTTAATATTAGTGCAAGCAGTTTATTCTATAGGAGTATTATATATGAATTGTTTGATAGAAGCAATAATTGAGAATCATATACAGAGACATTATCATAGAAAAGTATTAAGTAATCATCAATATGGGTTATAGTATGCAAGATAACACAGGTAAGATTCATCTGAAGATGGACTGGAAACCTATTCTGCTTACCAATTATGTGAGCGGGCTGACGCGAGGCAGTTATCGTTCTCCAATCGATGTTGTTCATATCAACTCAAATAAAGCTACTGATCTTAAAAATGTGGAGGTACTTACTGGTGGCAAATCAGATCCATATGTCCGTGTTATGTCAGGCCTACAAGTACGCGAACGAACAGAAGCAGTTCTCGATAACCTAAATCCGGTGTGCGATAACGCACTCTACGTTCCTATTCATTCGATGCGTGAAGACCTTACATTGGAAGTTGTGGATTATAATGATGTTCAGAGTGATAAGTTCTTGGGTATGATGGAATTGATTATTAAAGATATTGTGCAGGAAAAGAAAATTGAAGGTGAACAAAATGTTTTTGAGCCTCGAGCCTCGTTCACCTGTCAAACGGTAAATAATCCCTCCTTCTATTTCATCTTGTTAGAATACTAACAAATTCCATGCATTGGTAGAAATGTTGATCTGAAGACGAAAGAATGAAAAGTAGCTAAAGGCAAGCTTGAATATGAAGCAAGTTTCTTCGCTACGATGGCACTGGCCAAGGCTTTTACTGTCAATGAGAATGAAGGAGATGCCGAAGCCGAAGCCTAAAGTGCCGATGTAAACGCTGAAGATAATGAAGAAGAGTCCAATATGGATAGTAGCACTAAAATTACACCAGAGGAAGCTCCAACACATGACCTTCACGGCGAACCACTTCAAATAACGGAGGATGGGAAAATTGATCTGATGGCTTATACAGCAGATGTATTGAGTGTAATGGTTCATGATGTTGTTTTACCTTCCAAGCTAAGGCGGTTGTTGATGTTATGTTAGATTTGTATGATGCTCAATTTACAACTACCTCTGTCGAAGGGAAACTTCTACAATATAGTGAAACTGGTGACGCTTTTGTGAGAGAGTTCTCCCGCCTCATTGTTTGTGTATGTGAAGCTAAATATAAAGGCAAGCGTGTCGGTTTTGAACAAGTCCAGTCCAAGACATTGTCAATAATATCCAAAAGCAAATCTACTCCTACCAAAGGAAAATCTGAGGTTGAAGAGTATCGCCTTTAAGAATGCCCAGAAGTCAAAGTTCATTAAAGCTTAGATATATTCCAGTTGTTCACTTTCAAATTGATCCACAAGACAGTCTTGAAAGTGAGTATATGTAAAAAGATCCTTTATAGGATACACCATGCTGAAACATATTATTCTAATGCTTTTGTTCGTCTTTTTCAGTTAGATGAAGGAAGTTTGACAGTTCAACTGATATCCGCAAGCAGCCTGAAAAAGAGCTGATAGAAATGGCAAGAGCGATCCTTATTGAAAATTTACTCTAAATGGCGAACGCGTTTATAAAACACAAGTGTATAAGAAAACACTTTCACCAGTATTTAAAAATGAGGTTTTAACAGTACCCGTTTCATCTTGTACGTCAGCAGCCTTGAAAGTGAAGATTTTCGACGGGGATCAAATCGACTCCCACAAATTGCTTGCAGAAGGTACTATTCCAATTGCCACTTTGGAGTCGTTCGCTACAAAGGAAGTAGATGTTCAAGTTAATGGTGCCGTATTGAAGCTTCGCTTAAAATGGGAGTCTCAATTACTTATCCGTAAATACGCCGGAACATCGTTACTGAGTACTACAACCGGTTTAGCATTTGATGTCGTTGGCTTCAGGGTAGGTGCTGGAGGTAAAGTTTTGACCGGAGGAAGTAGGCTAATTGGAGGTAGTTTAGGTGCTATGATCGTGGATTTAGTAAACTGGGTGCCAATAGTAGGGAATCATCCGTCTCTTGTTCGTTAATATGGTTTGAAGTATGTTTCACGCAACTATTTCTCAATAATTCTGCAATATTTGAATACCACATATCAACATAATAACCTTTTACCATTTATATATGATTCAAACTTTATAGTATATCTACTGGCAAAATTGAATTCATGAGTTACAATTCGTTGCTCGCTCGCAATTTTAAATATATTTTTCCTAAAAGATCTGCGATATGGAAATTCTGATTACTGACAAATCTCCCGTTTTCAAGGTTACATGAGTATCAAATCTAACTGCAGTCATGTTGCTTAAGCAATGATATTGAACTTAACAGTATGGCTCAAATACTTCGCGTAAATTGTTAGGGAAGCGTTGCCTTAATTTTTTGCATAATTCTAAGAACAAAGTCAAACCAACCACCGATAAGTTTCTAGAAACGACGTGGCGCCATTTAACATATTATATAACGAAGCTATCCAATACTGAAACTGTTGCAACAGTTTCAAGTCTCGGTTGTTTCTAGCCATAGTCATGGTAGCATCCGTAACGATGCTTAAGGCATCAAAAATATATATTTGTATACAGTTTGACTGAAACCCTGATTTATTTCCTATAATTCATACTCCCAAAGTGAAACATTTTTTCGCTCCAAATCTTTCATAAACGGTAAATGAGCGAAGAAAATATTAAGTTAAAAACTTTGGGGAGAAATAATTCTAGTTTACTTTTTTTTTTTACGGATTCTTCTTCTTCTTCTTCACGTCAAATGTCGAACCCTACAACTCTGTCTCCACCAACCGCCTCAGAGCGGAAAGAGGCAATAGTTGAAGAGTCTAAAGAGTTACACAATACAATCAACAATGCATTAAAATCGCAGAGTGGAGGAGCTCCAGTACACGTGTTCGATCCAGATATGCCTGCACAGGAAAAGAAGGACGAGATGCTGAGGAACGCCAACATGCCAGATATTACTGAGCCATTAAGACATGTATCAACTGCAGGTGCAACATCTCATCAGGATGAGAACATCACAAAGCTTACTGTAAAAGGAAGCACTAGTAATGGCAAAGATACTACAAGTACAATACGAGAAAAAAAGAAAGCAGACAAAACAACAAAGGCAGCATCAGCGTCTGGAGCTTACGCTAACGAACCAGTGTTGATCAATGGATTGCCTGATTGGTATAAAGTTGGTTGGACGGGCTTCTCTGACCTTCCCAATCCTGGCGATGGAGCTGCTATGGCAAAGTTCGCGCAACATCATTCGGAGAACGATATCAAACAGCTATATAATGATCGTTCACGCTCTTCCAATGGTGAATACTCCAAAGATTTGATAGCTCAATTTGTTAGCGAGAAATTTTTCGGAGAATGGTATCATAATTGTGCAGTGGTGCTCATTGCCATATTCTTCACCTGGCTTTTAAGCAAATTTAGATTTGGCTTAATGTCATGCTTGATTGTGGGAGCATTTTTTGGTATGTATCAAGACATCTAAATTTTCCGTCAAAGAGCTAATGGGAACTTACCAGCTTTGTTGTAATAGCAACCTATTATCGTACCTCTATCAAGCGAACTAGACGTAATATGCGAGATGATATTCAACGTGAGGTTACCACCAATCGCTTAGACACCGATATTGAGACAGTTGGCTGGATGAATCACTTTTTAGACCGTTTCTGGCTCATTTTTGAGCCAGTATTATCAGCACAAGTTATTGGACAGGTTGATGCTATTTTGAGTGAAAATACACCATCATTTTTGGACTCGATTCGTTTAAGCACTTTCACTTTGGGCACCAAAGCACCCAGCATTGATGGAGTCAAAGTCTATCCTAGCTCGGCACCAGATACAGTTGTAAGGCGTTCAAAATGTTGGTCTTTTTAGACGTTTATAATATGTTATAGAGCATATTTATCTCAATGTTTCCATATTCATAGGTAATGGATTGGAAGATTTCATTCATTCCCAATGATATTCTTGACTTAACAGCTCGTGAAGCACAACAAAAGGTGAATCCCAAAATTATCTTGACAATTCGTCTTGGATCTGGAAAAATTGGAGCAGGCATACCTATTTTGTTAGAGGACATTGCCTTCAGTGGCCATATTAGAGTGAAGCTCAAGCTATTCAGTGAAATGCCCCACATTAAAACAATCGAGTTCTGCTTCTTAGAAAAACCTCACTTTGACTATGTTCTCAAACCTGTAGGTGGTGAGACTTTCGGTTTTGACATTAACAATGTAAGTGGATTAATAGTGGGATGAACGAAAATTTCGATGTGTGGACCCTCTTATATATTGGTGGTTTTTTTTTTTTTTTTTTTTTTTTTTTTTGAAACAGATTCCTGGTTTAGAAACATTCGTCAAAGATCAAGTGCACAGTAATTTGAGTCCAATGATGTACGCTCCTAATGTCTTCACTATAGATGTTGCTGCACTTCTGGAGGGCGCAAATGATTTGGAGACTGCCAATGGTGTACTTGCAGTTACTGTATACTCTGCAAATAACTTGAAGCCTAGTGATATCTTTGGTACTTTAGATCCTTACTGTACCTTCCATGTGGGCAATGTGCATGCAACAGAGCTCGCTCGAACTGCAGCTATTCAAAACACCTCTCATCCAAAATGGAATGAAACATGCTTTGTTCTACTGAACAACCTTAATGATATACTTTGCGTCAAAGTTATGGATGAGAATTCAGGAAGTGATTCGGAAATTGGTGTAGCCAACTTGGATTTGAAGGATGTAAAAGAAAATAACAACGCTATAGAGGGCTTAAATCTACCAGTGCGTCGCAGTGGTAAACCTGTAGGGGAAATTAAGGCCGATGTACGCTATTTCCCTGTTTCTAAGCCTGAAAAGAAGGATGACGGAACTATTATACCTCCTGTTGATTCCAACAGTGGTGTTGTACGCTTTTATATACAGGATTGTAAGGAAATTGGCCAAGAAGTTAGTAAAAAAGGCATTCCTCTGGTTGGGAAACTTCCTGGTTTGGGTTCTGACGGTAGTAGTAATATCAATGCATACGCAATACTGAAAGTAAACGGACAGGAAAAGTTACGTACAGCGCCTTTCAAGCATAGTGTCAACCCTCGCTGGAATAAATATGTCGAATTCTTTGTTGAAGATCGAAGCAATACCAATTTGAATGTGACAGTGTTGAACAGTGAGATGGGTAGTGACCCTATACTCGGCCAGTGGTCATCCAGTCTAGTGGATATGCAACATCAGATTGTCGATGAAAAGAGCGATTGGTGGAATCTTGAAAATGGTAGCGGTAAGATTCATTTGGATATGACATGGAAGCCAATACCCCTTGTAGGCTTCTCTAGCGGTTTGACTCGCGGTGGCTATCGTCCTCCAATTGGTGTGGTACGCATTAAATTGAATAGAGCCACCAACTTGAAAAATGTGGAGGCTCTTACAGGCGGTAAATCAGACCCATATGTTCGTGTTATGTCAGGTCTACAATTAAGAGGAAGAACCGAAGCTATCTTGGACGATTTAAATCCGGTTTGGGACACTGCAGTCTACATTCCTATTCATTCTATGCGCGAAGACCTTACGATGGAAGTTATGGATTATAATGACATCCAGAGCGATAAGTTTTTGGGTATGGCCGAGTTATTGGTAAAAGATATTGTTGCCGAAACACAAAGCGTAAATGGATACAATGTTTATGAAGCATTGCCACCTATCAAGAGGTAAGCTAGCAAACGGTCAAATTTAGCTATCTCGGTCACGTATTTACGTAATGATTTCATATATATAGAAATGTCGACCTAATGAATAAGGAACGAAAATCAGGTAGAGGACAGCTCAACTATGAAGCTGCATTCTTCCCAACTCTCGCCTTGGCTAAAGCAGCAGCGGCAGCCGAAGATTCAAAGAATGACGTAGAATTATCTGGAAAGGAAAATGCTACAGAGAGCAAGCTAAAAGAGGTACAAGCTGCTGGAAGCAATGAATTCGGCTCTACCACACAAAATAGCAACGGAATTCCTTCGCATGATCTCCACGGTGAAGCAGTCTTATACACTGCAGACAACAAGATTGATTATCTCAAGTATTCAGCTGGTGTTTTGAGTGTTATGGTACACGAAGTTATTCTGCCCAGCAAAACTAAAGTAGTTGTAGATGTTATGATAGACTCCAATGATCCTCAATTCACCACAAGTCCTGGCAAGGGCAAGAATTTACAGTTCAAGGAATGTGGTGACGCATTTGTGAAGGAGCTAGATCTTTCGAGATTAGTTGTACGCGTACGTGAACCGGATGAAGAAGATAAACGCATTGCCTTTTGGACAAGCCCCGTTCAAAACATTGTTCATTTCATTCAACAACAACCTGAAGATACCGAAGGAAAGGCTTCTATTCAAGAATTCCGCCTTTTAGAATGTTCAGGTGGTCTTATCCGTCTAAGCTTTAAATACACGCCGGTAGTAAAGTTCCGTCTTGACCCAAGCGATAGTCTTGAGAGTAAGTAGTTAACTAAGTATAGCACCGTAAGTGATGTCGTTTTGTTAATACTTATCCCTCCTTATTCTGTAGACCAAGGTAACTTGACTGTTCAGCTTATTTCTGCTTCTGGATTGAAGGCTGCCGACAGAAGGGGTACAAGCGATCCATACTGCAAATTTAGCCTTAATGGTGAAAAAGTATACAAATCGCAAACCTACAAGAAGCAACTTTCTCCCGTTTTCAAGGACGAAATCTTTACAGTTCCAATCATGTCTCGTTTTGCAGCTTCTTTTGATGTCAAGATTTATGATTGGGATCAGATTGGCTCGCACACTTTACTTGCTGAGGGAAGAATTCCTATTGCCGACTTACCTTCATTTGAAGCAAAGGAGGTGGTCGCTTCTCTCAATGGTGGCCAACTCAAACTTCGATTAAAATGGGAGCCCCAGTTGCTTGCTCGTAAACGTGTAGGCACATCGTTGCTTAGTGCAACCAGTGATGTTGTTGGTGTAGGTGGTAAAGCCTTGACAGGAAGTACTAAGCTCGTTGGTGGTGCAATCGGTGGCGGTGTTGGTGCTATAGGAGGTGGAATCGGTGCTATTGGCCGTGGCTTTAACAAACTGGGCGGACATGATAGAAAGGCTTCCACTGAGGGAACTGTTCCCCCTACTGTTGTTCCTACCGGTCAACCCAATGTATACTCTAATGTTAACCAAACTCCTGTGCCTCCTATGCATCGTTATAATGCTCAAGAGCCTGTAGCTAATGCAATGGCTTCTCAACAACCCGTCACGCAGGATTCTGGTATCCCTCAATCAACCATAGATCCTTCTCGTCGTGCGTCATTAACAAGTACCGGCCGTCGATCTGTTTTTGACGATAAGACGAGTAAGTAGTAACGACACAAATTTTATAGTTTATTTATGAATATAACTAATTTCTTTTTTTCATGATGTATAGAAAGTGTAACTATAAGGGTGACCTTGGTAGAAGGTAAAAACTTGAAAGGTGACCCTTATTGCCGAGTAAAATCAGGAAAGAACACTGTGCACAAAACAAAACACATGAAAAAGAATCCAAACCCTCAGTGGTAAGAGTCAAAGAAAATAAAAATCGATGCGTTACTTTGTGATAGTGAACTGACATTTCTCTACTTTTCTTTCAGGAACGAGACATTCACAACTAAGATTGTCGGACCTTCTACTCTAGAGTTAGTAGTTAAAAACCATAATTTAATGGCTGATACAAGTATCGGTGAAGTAGAATTTCAGGTTAATGATCGTGTAGACGAAGGCCAACCGTTCGATGGTTGGCTTCCTCTGTCGCCTAGCGGATCAGGCGAAATTCATATTAGAGCAGAAGTTATAAACCCTTAACAACTTAATAGTTTACAGAGTCATTTTAATAATACTTACTACGTAATTACATAATACTATTCAGCTGATTTATACTCATGTTTAATGCTATTGAATAAATAATATATCATGCATAGTGTTCATTAATTGAAAGTACTCTGTTAACGAATTATGAAGAAGTGCAAACATGTATTCAACTTTAAGGTGGTTGCTAGGAATTTAGCTTGTTTTTGCCTTTTTCTTTGGCATATCAAATAAGGGAGATTTGCGTGGTCGGCCCCGTTTCCTTGTACGACTATTATCAGCTCTAGCTTTATCATTGTCACTATCACAAGTCTATATTCAATTCAAATCAATAAGAAAAATTTATGAATAAATGGCAATGCATCAGCTGTCATATGATCAAACACACCTTCAGTATAGTCGAATCGATGAATCCGCCTTTGTTCCTTGTATCATATTTAGGGTGTACATAGTAAACAAGATTAAAATCCACAAGTGGTTTCTCTGATTGGCATAACGTCGAGCAGTTACGGCATTTAGAAGTGCAATTGATGCAAACGTAAATTTTCAAAATTTGCTCATCTTTCTCTGCTACTTGTAATGATTGACAGGGACCTCGTTGAAATACTGAAGATAAACTGATGCCGCATTCTTCCAGTTTGAGCACGTCAGTTGATAAACCACAATGACTGCATTCCAATACATTAAAACTGTCCGATTTTAATCGACGATATCTTTCAATACGACGGCAAGTTGTTGCTAAGTTGGAAGCATTCCTTGCATTTCTAGAAGGGTTTTTTTGGGTGATCAAGTTAGACAAAAAAGTATTTCTCATCTATCAGCACACACTTGTCAAATTTAAACTCACAGGAGAAAGATAGAATCACCTAGTCCAGGTTCCACTAAGTCTTCGTTGAAAAAGAGTTTCAAATTTCGAACAAACTCATAGTACAACGTGATGTATGTATCAACAGACACACAACTCTGATGCATTTTCATACTGTCTGGATGCTGGCAACTTCTACCTATAGAATAACAATCCAAGCAAAGATCATACTGGTCACATATCTCACAATGGTAATAGCGGTGGAAAATATCACTGTAGCAAAAATCACATCGGATACTACATATTTCAGAATTGCTGTCAGTAACAACGCCGCACATATCATCATCGTACAGGAGTTCAGGAGCAATCACGTCTTTCAATAAAAGACCTGCCAAGAGCTTTGAATTTCTTTTAAAATCATCATAGCCACATTTGAAAATATCGTCATGTACAGCGGTAGTGGAGCTCGTGCTTGCACTGGTTAAGTTGGCAGCGTTCATTTTTGCTAATCTTTCGTTCCATTCTTTCACAGTAAATGCAACAATGCCTTTACATTTGTACGTTTCGGGTCTGTTGATAATTTTGTAAAGAGGTAATTGATCTTTAAAGGCGTAGGCCAGCGTTTGAGCAGTGATTCGGTTCCATGCAATTTTTAAAGTGACGCCTTTATTTCGAACTTGATGGTAGGCACGGCTGGGAATAAGCACCAGATCTCCTGGTTTTTGAATGATAACGTGTACAGGAATATTACTTTTTTTGGTTATTCCCTTGGTCAACCAAGCGCGATCACTTTCAAGGAAGGAGTTCTTCATCATGTTTAAATGACGGCCACTGTCATTTTCGCTATCAGCATTGGTACTGTCTGCTGTTAATTTGGTCCTTCCTCTTCTTGTCGTTTTCAATAAGGCATCTTCATGGCCATATATGTTTCTCATCTCGGTCACAGTTGGCTTCAGCAGTTCAGCTAATCTATCGCGATAACGATTTTCAACAATGATCCACTCAGCATAGCCATCTGGTGAACCGCTCACCATAATATTATGGCCCATGGTTCCACAAAGGTCTTGATGAAGTGGGGTTCCCGTACCGTCTTGGCCCAAATAGCACATAAGGTTTTCGGCTCGGACTCTTTCGGGTGTGTAGGAAAAAAGGTCATTGTAACCATGCGGCAAAAGATAATCAGGTATGATATTATTGATGGCTTCTTTATATGCAAGGGGACAATCAATGTCTTTTGCATAAATTTTTTTAAAAATACGACTTTGCTGGTGGAGCTGCAGTTTTTTACTTTTATGTTTAAGTGTTAGATTGTATCTTTTTTGTAAATCATCAACATAATCACTGAATAAAACCATTTTCTTTGTTGTTATTCCACTGTCTCTGTAGGTAAACTCGACAGCTTTGCAGCGAGGAAAAAAGATAATTAGAAAGGTATGCCTACAAACATTCTTCCCTATATAAAGGTTGCTTACTCTTGTTGGCAGTGAGAGACTTTAGCTCTTTTAAAGTGAATAAATCGTTATTCCAAGCAGTGCTTTTGTGAAAATTTGATATTACTAGTGGCTTTCCATCTTTGACACAATGATCTCTTATAAAATCATAAAGCGAGGAGTCCGTATAATCGGAATAATTAATTCGTGTAGCTGGCACATAACCGGCAGGTAGTGAATCTTCACTCGTCAAAAGAGTAATTTTAGGCATATATGTCTAACAAATAAGTTGATAGAGGGGTCTAAAAAAGGTATAATAAGAAAGACAAAAGAGAATCGAATCACACAAATCAGTAAACATGAAGCTTTCTTTTCAATTGCTCCACGTATCAAGCACCGTCATTTCAAACACAGTTGAATTTATTTGCCTTTCTTTAGCACTGTCAAAAAATTTCATACTACGCCCTAAATATGAACTCTCCCTGCATTTAGAAGGGAGCAATGAGTTTCATACAGGCGTGGAACATAATGCTAAGAAAAATTGTATATAGTCATAATACAGTCTATTCAATTGGTATGACTACATTGACACTTTTAAAATGCAATATTTATTTCGGTGTCTCAGTATCGATCAATCCGTGGAGGGCATATTTCCATTTCGAGCGTGTTTCAGAGCGACTTGGCAAATGAAGACAGTCCAGACAACAAGAACAGCAGCCGGACCGTGCGCAAATTGCAGCCTTTTACAGGACTTTTGATCAAGCAGAAAGCAGGGTGCCCACGCGTTCAAAGATATGAAAAAGGAAAATATAATAAACCTCAACAGCATTACCTTTTTGTTTTGTTATTATGCCTAAATCATTTTAGCTGTGTGATAAACACGTGGAAGATTATTGCCAACGTCATTACAAGATGTAAGGCTAGATACAGCTTTGGTAAATAGAAAGCGTAAATCGTCAGACGGATCCATCGCGTATATGCATTCATCGAAGGTAAAACTATGAGCTTCTACGTACCAAATATAGGTCGATGTGTAATTTGCTGCGTCACTATCGTATTGTTATGGTAAATAGAGAGAAATAGGTAACAATGGGTACTACCTCAAATTGGCTGCGCACTGAAATATGAATAGATAAATGCAAGAAAAACGCGACCACCCACAGATAACTCCAGATCGGTCGTGAAATACATATTCTTCCTACTTTCTATACATCTGTTTATCATGGATTTATGCATCTTTTAGAAATAAACCGTGTGTACAAATCGGTTCGATTTGCAGAAAGGCTTGGGTTATTACTTCTCCCATCAAGTTTTGGTCTGCGTAGTCGTGAGGAAACAGAGGTTTCAAATCCCCGAGAAAAAAGAGTGACAGCAGTTGACATACTTGATCGGAGGATCACGACAGAGATGCATGAAACATATTAATTTTATTACATAAATTAGGAAAACGTGTAGTCTGCTTCAATTGCAAATTATGCAGAATACGACGCGGGCACTTCATGAACAAATTCCCTTTGTACAACTGGATCTCGTCATCATCACCTTAAGCGAATATAAGAAAACATATCATTTTTGAGGAAAGCAAAAGCCAGACAGTTCTGTATGATGTAGAGATTTCTAAAATTAGACATCAGACATAATGTGGCTAGAATCGAAAAAAAAAGCATTGAATCTGAAGTTGACTTTTTGGGAAATTCCTGTCAAAAAGTTCGTCTATAAGCAGACCCTGGGCATTTGACGTTGCAGTACGTCAAAAGTGGTACAAGTTGCTTGTTTTATAACTGTCGAAACAGCATTTGTACGATGACGACAGGTAGCAAAGGGATCAGATATCTATAAGATGAACAAATCAAATATATAACAATTAATTATTTTGAAAGCAGAGGTTCATTTAGCTGATCCATAATACGTTATTCAAAAACCGTTTTCATTGGTTACAAGACGGCTTTACCATTTTGGAAGGTTTTATTTTTTTCCTTTGCCTTAAGCATTTATAAAAGAAAACTTCTCAAATGCCTGACATCCCCCTTTTTTCTCAATTTTAAAACAATTACAGAATTTACTCTTATGTCATACACTTCAAAATTTACTGAAAGATTCGATATCGATATATCGCCATCCTCTCTGCAAGAGTTATCACCCTCTTTTCAGTCAGCAAAAACGTCATCGCTTTCTTCACGTCTATCCACCACATATGATCCAGTCTATTGCAATCCTGTTGATTTCAAATCAAATACAAATACAAATACAGACAACTTGAGCACAATTACCGCCAGTAAACCAATTGACATCCCTCAGAAGAATAACGCACGAAGCAATCGTGGCAGCCGACAATTTTACCGTGACACGATAGCTAGCTTTTCAAGCTTACATTCACACGGCAATGGTAGCGAGAAACATCATGATGCCTTGGCCACCCGATTTAGGTCCTTCATGTCATCTATTTTAAACAAAAAGCGAGAGAAGCAATCATCCACTCTAACGTCCAACTTATCAAGAGCCATTTCAACCAAGATTTAAGATTTTTTCGATTTGAAACTGGATGTGAAATAACATCTGATATGATATCCACAGCTTTCTTTATGCTCGATAAGCGGGCATATGTATATACAAGATGCTATTTGAAATTCACGTTATGTATATACCTGTTAGAATTATATTTTTAGCGCACAATTTAGATACCCTTTTTGCTTCAATAAACAACATTCATCAATGCTGTACAGTTACTTTAATTAATGTCACTTTACATACGTTCTCATAGTGTATATGCTTAGCTCTTGACCAAGGTAGCGGTATTTGGTCTATTGAATCAGGTCTAGAAAAACACAAAATTCAGATCTATTTTTTTCTAGATTTTCTTCTGCATAGAAGTCTGAAATGATGGCATTACATGTTCATTGCTCATTGTGTAACATATGCCTGAAAGGGGTACAGTAACCCAAATTACGACTTTGAACTTGTACGTAGACTATGAGAGCTCTGCAGAAAAAAGTACTGATATCCAATGAAAAGAATCCTTTATATCGAGTTAAGTTTAATGGGAATTGCATGTATTGCTTGAATACAGTATTTTAACTAATATTTTAGATGAAATACATTTTTTTTTGGACGATTAATATTTTCATTTTAGATGAGTTGCAATTGTGTTGTAGACGAAAATATAAACCGTTCAAACAATGAATCAAATCCCAAAAACTTGTCAGTATTGCGAAACAAAAAAAAAAACAAGAAAAAAATACCGTACTATTCCTTACCTGTAATGATCTAAATCCTCAAAATGAAGGAAAACCGTGTTTATTACGGCGATACTTTTTTCTTCTTCGCTGGCTTAAAAACATCGGGTCTTCCAGCTCCGGACCAAACTGCTTGAGATATAGTCATCATGTTAATAGCAGCGTTAATGTCTCTCTGCCATAGCTTTAGACATTGCTTGCAGTGAAGAACGCCGGTACCCTTGAATCCAGGAGTATCAACAATTTGCATATCATCATAGAAACAGAGGCTGCATGTTTCAGAGGTTTTAAATTCATCGATTGTGACAACAATCAATTGACCTTCAGCTTCACGTTTCTTCAGAGTTGCAAAAAGTTTACCGACAACACCACATCTTTGTCCTTTCAACTTCACTGCATCTTTGCCAAACATTCCAGCACCAAACACAATCAGTGGCACCCTTCTAGGGGATTCCAAGTACTTATCAGCCTTCCACTTCTTGGCACTTCTAAAAAGTATTAATGAATGGATAAGCTAAACGATGAACATGTAATTCCATTGAAACTCACTTTGTTGGCTGCTGTTGGTTGGCATTCTTTCCTTTCTTCTTCTTCTTCCGCTGTCTTTTCCTCTTCCTTGCCTTGCTTCTCTTCTTGTGATTGTACTTGGCCGTTCCATGAGTCAACATGTTGGCCATAGTTTCTGGTGCTCTTTGCCTTCCTTGGTACAATGAAAACCGGTCCTTTGCAGTTTCGGGTCCATAAAAATCCAAGAGAGCGTCCGGGTTATTGAGTGTATAGGCAGTGTATAGCTCATATATTTCCAAACGAGAGGTTTTTGGCGAGGGTATCTGACTTTCTATGAGATCTATGCCTGTGACAGCCTTCTTTCTGTTTAACTTGGCACTGTATTGGGTCGACCCTGTCATATGATAGTATTCAGATGTAGTGCATCTTCGCACTTGTCTGTTATATTCAAGGCCAATAGCAGCAGTAAAAACAGACTTTCTTCCGGGATCCAGGGTAATAGGTAAATAAGTATTGTCAACTTCATCCAGAGAGAAATCATCAAGAGTGAGGTCAAATTTTTGGAACAAGGCACCATGGCCAGATTGTTGTCTTTTATAAAAAAGAAAGTCAACTGAAAACCCATCCGTTCTGACAATATTACCAAAGAGCTCTTTGTTATCACCATTCGGTGTTAGTTCAGAGATACTACAAGTGCCCAAGAAGTTAAAGCTCATACATTATACTCGACTGTATACCGTATTAACTGTATGCTTACCTTTTGTACCGGAGTTTCTTGAAATCAAAGACATTGAAAACCAGCTCTAATTGGCTTTGGTAATTGCGGGGTAAAGAACGTTTCACAAAAGAAGACAGAGCGTTCACGCTCAAGGTAATGAACCTCCATTGAACGGAAACCTTTGGCAGTAAGGATAGCAATTTTGGAAGAGGACATCGTCGTACGTCAAATGGTTTATGATCATCGTGTTCCCTCTCAAATTCTGCGTTCAAAGATAACAAAAAGAGTACGAAAGACCCAGGATCAGCGGATAATGTCTTCATGTTCACTTTCTTCCCCAGCTTCTTCTTCCAAGGTTCACAAAAGGTTTGGATCTTTGTTTTATATCTTTGGTAAGGTAGTCATCAGTTGGCCATTTAGGTTTTCCTTGGCATATATCTTGAAAGCAGAAATCACTTGTGACCTTTTTGACAAGCTTCCAAGGCATACACTACGCAAGATGAGAGCTTTTTTTTTTCAAAAGGCAAGTTACCATGAACAGCACTTGATTTTTTCTTTTCAAAAATTTGCTTTTTCTTTTCATAAATTATTGTTTTGAACATGGGTCATAGTATGTATCTTAAAAACGTGAAATAAAAGTGAAAGAGACAACATTTGACTCTAAGAAAGCAATATATTTTATAGTGCTTATCTTTGAAAGTCACCCATGAACGCATACAAAAACATTGACAACAGTTAATATAACCATCCCATTCCGCTATGGTATCTGTTATACTATGGCCCTCAGCCCTCTATCTATGGTTTGATGTCAATCAATTCAAAGTTGACCTCTCTTGGAACTCTTGTACAAAAAAGGTACCAACGAATATCTGGTTGGGGTCTCGGAACACATCGTCATTTACTAAAAAAGTTGTCAAGCTTTTTGTAGTTTGTCCTATTGCAAGGTAACATCAATAAAACCATTATTGGCGACTTTCTTACTGATAGAGACTAATTTCTAGGGTTCGATTCTATGTCATCCTTAATGCTGCTTGAATATCACTGAATAATGAGTATCCAAATCCAAAATATTATGGACTTTTCTAAAAATATTTTTTAATAAATCTAAAATTAAAATGTATATTGTCCATTAAAAATTGTAAATCGTCTAAAATATAAGGTAAAATACTGTATTATAGCCAAGTTTGGTGGGGGGCTGGGGGTAAACTTTCTTACGCTTTTGGGGCCGTCTTGGGTGCTTTAGGCTTTAGGGTTCTCTTTCGCTTTTTAGTTTGCGAAGTAGCCATTGGTTTAGCCTGCTTGGCGTTTTCCTCATCTTCTTCTAATAAGCTTTCCCATTCTTTCTTTAGCTTCTCAAGATCGCGTCGCCAGAACGTTGTAGGAGGAGTACCACGCGTTTCCTCGAGCATTTCGTATTTCAAATCTCTTTTCTTTGTTAAATCAATCACTTTTTGCGCAGTAAATTCACGGACCTTGATATCGAACAAATAACTGTATCCCGAGGAGTCTTCCGATTCGTCATCAGCTGGTTTCTGTTCTGCGCCTTCCTCTACTACGAGTGCGCTCTTCTTTCTAGGGAAAATTTCCTTTAATCCAAACTTTTTCATGTCGGCCACCACATCCTCGTGCTTGCGGTTGAAGTAAGTAAGTTCTCTATTAATGACAAGCTCGATGAACTTTGCCTTGTTCTCAAGTCTTTCATACTCATCTGTCAGTACATAGATTAAATGTTCCTAAATACATGACATAAAAGGAAATGAGTTATCAACTACATTGGTCTCTTGACCCGCCCAACAAACGCCTTCTTACTGTACCTTTCTCTTTCTGTAATATTCTAAACGTAGTTCGTAGAATTCCTTCAGAATCTCTTCCGGCGATTCATACTTTCTGATCTTGCCATCTTTATCAAAGCAAACAATGTTATTTGTGGAAATGCTATCTGTTATTTTCAATGCTTTGGTTAATCCTATTTTCTCTGCTTTGCGCAAGTTTTCTTCATCAATATCAATACGGAATTCGACGGCCACATCTGTCGAGTTATTAAAATAGTCCTAATGCAGTGAAGAGTGCGAGTGAGATAGCTTTTTCATTATTTCGTGGTTGCTGTTATAAAGGTATCTGAAGGAGGGGATACCTACTATAATTTGAACTTCAACTTTTCTGTCCTTTCCATCACGCATGATATCGAGATTCTTCTTGAACGTATCCGTCCAAAAACGCACGGGCAGTTCTGTCACCTTGATATGGCCAGTGGCTTCATCCACTTCTGCTTTACCGTTCGTGATGAATTTACCGGGACCAGCCGGTATCATTTCTCCCTTGAACCCTCTATACCACGGCACCATGGGTACAATTTCCTCGTCATTCATCAATCTGAACAAATTATCAATGATATCCATAGGATTATAGTTGGGAATGTTGGTACTCCAACCGGTACCAATACCATCCGCACCATTGACGAGCACCATAGGAATAATAGGAATATACCACTTGGGCTCAATAGACATGCTTTCTTCAATCAAGTAATCTAGCAAGTCATCGTCGTCAGGATGATAAATGAAACGAGCTATTTTATGCAAACGCGTGAACAAATAACGGGGACTGGCAGCGCTTTTGCCACCGCAATGACGTGTACCAAACTGACCGGCGGGTACGAGCAGGTTGATATTGTTACTTCCTGCAAAGTTCTGCGCCATGTTGATGACCGTGGCTGCCACACTGGCTTCACCATGATGATATTGAGTAACACTCGCTACATAATTGGCAAACTGGGCCACCTTGATTTCAGAATTGGTGTTTCTCTTGATGCCACTATACAAGACTTTTCTTTGGCCGGGCTTGAAGCCATCGACTACGCTTGGGATAGAACGAATATTGTCGGCCATACTGAACAGCATTAATTCACGGTTGACGAAATCTGTAATTTTGATTTTGCTGACGTTATGGTCGATGTAAATGCCCGGCTCATATGTCTGTAGCCAAGTCTTACGATCCGTCGCACGCTTTTTATTGAAGGCCATGTCCACCAACTCACGTTCTTCTCTTGAAGCCACATCGAATTCCTTCTTATGTATATCGAGGGCACTAAAGTAGGTTCGAGCATCGGTGGCGTCTGATGTACCCAGACCCTTGTAGTACTTGGGTTGCCATTCCTTATTTCTATTGTTTTCCTCTGCCCAGGCTTCATATTCTGGAATGGTGAAAAAGCTAATTTCACGTTTCGTACGCTTATGTTTACATCGGATAATGGGTGTGATAAACTCTAGCAAGAATCCAGGAATATCCAGAAGTGAAGGGAACATGACATCGATAAAGTTGATCAAAAGACCTTTGATATGCGAACCATCATGATCCTGATCAGTCATGAGCATGAGTTTACCATAACGTAGCTCATCCACACTTGTATACTCTTTGCCATGCTTCAAACCCAAGATGGCCTTGATACTCGTGATTTCTTCATTGTTCATGATTTGCTGGTTGGTAGCATCACGTACGTTCAACACTTTGCCACGCAGAGGAAAGACACCAAATTTATCCCGACCCACGACAGAAAGACCGCTCAGGACCAAACTTTTGGCTGAGTCACCTTCGGTCAAAATCAACGTACAATCTTTGTTGTGGGGCTTCACACCCGCCAAGTGAGCATCTTCCAATTTAGGAATGTTGAGGCGACGGGACATTTTGCCACTATCGGCCTTTGACATTTGTTCATCTTCTTTAAACTTGACCCATCGTATGATATTGTCAATGATACCCGACTGCAAAATAGCCTTGATAAACTTTTCGCTCGGCTCGTACTTTGAACCGAACGCGCTAGCACGCAACGTCATGTTTTCTTTGGTTTGAGAGTCGAAGGAGGGGTTTTCAATCAGACAGTTGACAAACAGGTTCATATGATTCTTGACCTGGAAAGGTTTGACATTTTTGTTGTTTGTTTTCTTTTGTACTTCTGGAAGAATAGCTTTGATAATCTGATCCACCACATGGTTGACGTGCATACCGCCCTTGGCAGTGCATATACTGTTGACAAAACTGATTTGGTTAAACTGACCATCTGAAACACCAAAATGCACCTCCCAACGATCAGAAGCACTAGCTGTATCACTGATGATGGGTTTTTTGTTTTCGGCGTTCCGGAAGTCCAAGGCCTTGGTGTAGAGTTCACAGTATTTACCAAAGGTCTTGATTGTGATTTTGGTGCCATTCAGATAAACACTTACGTCCTTGACACACCCTGCCAAATCATAAACACGTTTTTTAATCAAAGCTTCAAAATCAGCGTCCATTTCTGTCAAGTGAAACTTGGCAAGATCTGGTTTAAAAGAGATACGTGTGTACTCCTCGCCTCGGCTGTTCGCTGTAATATGCGGTTTGCCGATAACTGACATATTGTCTTTAAACACCTGCTTGTATTTCTTTTGGCGCTCCTTGTCGGCTGTTTCGACTGTAAATTCCGTACTGAAAATGTTACATAGCTTTGCACCGTAACCGTTACGTCCACCTGTCACCTTTTTCTCATTGTCATCATAATTGGAGGAAGTGAGCAAATGGCCAAAAATAAGTTCTGGGACATACACTTGTTCTTCCTTGTGCATTGTAATTGGAATACCGCGACCGTTATTCTGGATAGAAATAAAGTTTTCTTCTCTGTTGATCTGGACTTTGATCCACGTCATGGATGGATCACGGATCTAAAGTCATCGCACGACATTAAAAAGGTGAAACAGAAAGTAAAGGTGTTTAGAAATGATCATCGTCGGTAGACAGAGCTTACAGTGCTGCTCCTGTACGGTATCTCTACTCACCTTGTTATCTGCTGCGTTGACAAGGATTTCATCCACAATTTTGTACAGTCCAGGAACATAACGGATTTTCTTCTTTTTGATCATATCCGCCTCTGTATCATAGACAAACATTTCCTGCTCCTCTGTTTCAATCGATCCAATATATGTATCGGGTCTCAGTAAAATATGTTCGAGCTGTGTCTTTTTCTGATAGATCTCTTCAATCGTTTTATTTTCATCATAGCCCATTTTCTTTGTGGTTTTACTAGCAGGCTTGCTTGCAGGTTCCATTTCTATATCACCGTCAGCATCCACGGACGTTGCTGTCTTTTTTGAGGTCACGGGTGATGACGACTGTGATGATGCAGAAACTTGAGAGGAAGAAGGCGCTAATGAAGCAGCCGATGCTTTTGAGAAGAAACTGTCAATATGGGTTGCTTTCGTATTTTGAGCAGACACAGCTTTCTTTGCTGGAGTTTTCTTGACAGATGATTTTGCAGTAGAAGTGCTGGCTGGTTCTTTCGTTTTTGCTGGTGCTGGGCTTTTGCGTGCTTTCTATAAAAGCAGTGATAGCAAAACAAATGCACAAGGCCGTTGAGTGAATTTTTTTCCATATATCTCTAGACAACAAAAGTTAATGATGTTTATTTATTTTTCTCCGTTACCTTTGGAGTAGGTGTATAATCTTCGAAATCGCTACCAGAATCTTCCTGGTAATCGTCGTACTCAAAGTCGCTTTCTGGATCTACAGTCATCTTTTTGCCCTGACTATTCGACAGTTTGAAGATTGATTAAATTGGGTTGGAGAGATGGGGGAGGAGGGACAATGAAAAAATAAAGTGTGGTTTGTAGACGACAAAAATCAAATTAAAAAATTGAAACCAATCGAAGCGGACAAGCGCCAAATTGAGAATCACGAAAAATAAACGCGTTTCACATGCGACAACATAAAAGGTTCGAGACAGTAAACTGTGTCTGAATTAGCTCCCTTGATTTTGGTTAGTACAGTGAAAAAAAAAAAAGACAGAAAACTACTTCAAAAAAGACGTGATATAGGAGAGAGATAAGCATTCAATGAGCATTCTTCTTTTACATAATAAGTTTGCAATAAAACACCCATCACTACAATGGAAAAAATCATCTTTTGCTCTCTACTTCATGCTAAATAAGCAGCACGTATATACTATGTCATTCAGTTTACTATTCGCAATGTTTGAACCAAATTGTGTGTGAATAAAGATAATAAAAGATTCTCTATGATGCATACATATGCTTGCAATATCAATTTACAGTTATTGTAGCTATGTAGCACCAGACATTCATTCTGTAGGTCGTTTTCTCTAAGGTTCAGATGAACGGCTCCCTTGCTACTGTTGCGCTACTATGTCACTTGTTTTTGCATTCTGACAAATTTGTATTTGCATGGTACAAATTATCAATCATCTTCAGCATTTCCTTCTTGCGATAGTGTAAGCATAGGATCCATAAAGAGCTGTCATTTCTGTTATATCAACAAACACAGGTCCTCTGAATGATTGACTGGCGATCCAAGTGGCAGCGTACTCTTTTCTCCAAAGATGTTCCAACATCTGTTGAGCCATTGGATCAAAGGATACCCAAGTTGAGCCAGATGCATAAACCCAATCGACGCTGTTGCTCATGTGTCTAGTAGAATGAGAATAAAAAGAAGAGTATACTATTGTATTTGAGACCGTTAACTGAAGTGAAAATTGGAGAAAGGGGGGGGGTTATGCAAAAGTAAGCCTACCTTTATATATGAATGGGTTATTGGCAAGGCAATTCAAGCTGTGTCTCTTTGGAAAAGGGAACCATTCAGCCTAAACTACTATGTCGATACTATAAAAGTAAATGGAGCAAAAGGTTAATACAAACTACGCCTTACAGTGGAGAAAATGTCCTCGTTGATATGGTAACTGAGATAAGGCAAGCCATGACAAAAGATGAGCACCTTTTTCTGTGTCCGATGCTTACACTTTTTAGGACCCAATGAGCATTCGGAGAACGTTTACCATGGTAACCAGCATGTTGGAAGATTTCCAAGTGATAGGCATAGATAAGATTCTACGCGAGAGAATATTTTGTCTTTTCTAGGTGGGGGGTTTCTCATAAGGTTTGCAGAATCAAAGACATAACATGGATAAATTTGCATGCGTAGTACAAGATGCGTACATTTGTCATCCATATGGATATGGGTTTTACGCACATGTACTATTTAAAGTACTGCTGGGATAAGAAGGTTTTAGCTAAGGCGAGGCTGACAGCCAAAAATGCATGGAAAAGGATTGGTTTCTCGATGTTGACTCAACGCGAGTTCAACTGCTTAACCCTATTGAAAGTGCGGTTTGATTGGTAGATATCAAAAGCTTCAAATTCTCATCCTACTTTTCTAGAGTAACTTAACCATTAAAAACATATTTCGTGAAGCAAAGTGCTAGTCCTGCAAGCTATCAAGACGATAATTATCTTACGTAAGCGAATGAATTCATACGGTTTGAAATTTGACTGGATTACTACAGAAAAAGCTTACGCTTAGTGACTCAATGACTGCAACATTAAGCCAAGTTTCACAGACATAGAAGCGTCATCACTTTCCACCACTTCATTAAGATGTCGAAAAATTATAGCAGATTATATGAAAGCTTATACTACAAGTATAGTATCTTACGAGAGAATTATGTTTCCCACCATGAATGAATTACGGCTCTATGTACATGCATTTCATAGCATAAGAGCATGACACTATGGCGTCAGAGGCAATGAATATTATACAATGCCAAAAAGTCTAGCAAATTCTATTCCCTCCAGAGGCGGTCCCTTATTACTTTAACAGAGTATTTTCTATAAACTGCAACTGATTTACTGTAACACAAGTCATATGAGGGAGGATGAGAAGCATTTTTTCAACAGTTATTCTCAATTGCAGGGGAAATAATTAGCCTAAAAAATTGGAGCATATTATGGGTAATGCATTATATAATTGTTGTGATTGTTGAAGCATATTAGAGTAAGTGCAGATCACAATTCTCATGTCATTTTGGACTATACCATATTTGCGTGAAAATATGCTCATGTGCAAAACAATCAGCTATGTTTTGTCTCAAACTTGCTACGAAGATGATGCAGAAGCAAAAGAAGAAGAAGTAGACGGCAAAAACGAAAAAGTGTATGAAACAAACGCAAATATTAAATTGTTAGAGCCTGGTGTGGCATTGTCATCACTCGTAAGTCAATGACGAACCGACTGTAGAGGGTCAGTCACCGAATTCACTGATGGTCGTTTGATTCAAACTTCAAACCTGTATTCTGAGTGCAAATGCTGTTACTATCATTTTACGTTGATATATGATAAAGTAGTACCCATCATATATCATTGTTGATAACAAAAAAAAAAAAAAAAAAAAAAAAAAAAAATTTAGAAAGAAGCACTATCTGTGAGAATGAACTAATGAGTTACACGAAATAAAGAGCAAAAAATGACAGATAAACAACAATAAAGGAGAAGATAAGACACAAAAGAAACTTATCAATATGAGCAAGGAGGAGCAAGAATAATAGTAGCGCTATTACAGATAATGACTAATACTCAGGGGTACGTCATCTCAACATGTAGAATGGCCTTTCTTTCATCTTAGTTCTATGTAGACTATGTAGCTAACAGGTACACTGTGTATACGAGAAAGTCTATTGAGTGTGCTTAGTGATTTTAAAGCCCTTCCAGGGGCGGACGTTTGTGTCTATGGGATGAATGCTACATTACTCAATCTTACACTTGTATTCAGCCAGTTTTTTATTGCCGCATTATTATTGCAGTAAACAAAGTGTTACATTCAAGTAAATTAAAACTTGATTCTAAACTTTAAGCTTCACAGAAAATGCTGGTAACTGAAAATATCTCAATACAAAGAGAAAAAACTAATTATGGTAAAAAAGACCCCTTGAATCAGGGAGGTGTGTGTATGTGTGTGTGTGTGTGTGTGTGTGTGTGTGTGCCTTGATACGCTCTACATCGTACGAGCGTACACACATACACGACAGCCATTTATTTATTGTTAGGAACAGAAAGGTTAAAAAAATTGGGGTGCATTTTACCATGTAGAAAGTAAATAAATACTATCCACTTGCTGCTTCTACATAATGTAAGTTGCACCGTTAAAATAAAATTTCTCAATGCCTATAAAAACCCTAATTTAACTCGGCTTTCCTTCTTTTTTTTTCTTCCTTCCTTCCTTCCTTCCTTCTTCTTCATCTTTGCCTACAAATCGCTACTCTTTAAATGCATAACATGTTCCGCACTACAACACCTATTATCCTCCAAACACCTGCTACCTGTGAACTTTGTGGACAATGGATGCCTGCGCATAGTGTATGTATATGCTTATTTGTACTAAACAATAGGAGAGTACTATTGGCTAATTAACTTGGCTTGCACGAACAATAGAGCAGTTGCCCTCGAAGTGGAAAACACCCCTCTCAGTGGACATTGGATAACGATGCAACATCAGTAGCAACATTTGACACTTTCATGTTACATGAAATTGAAAATGATACGCATGAATTTATTTACAATAACAACTTTGAAAACCAGTCTCAGTTATGGTCACAGGAAACAGACGACGTGATCCCATCTCCATCGTTATCCACCATCTCAGTATCTCTTCCTTTTTAACAAGAGCGATGGGTGCAGTGACAGCTTGATCATATATCTATCGTAACAGTATATTCCCCGGTTCATCAGTTAAACCACGCAAAGCTCGATTGTAAGCCTTTGTCATACCATTTGAAAAACGCATTTCTATTTGATCTTTACTTCATATATATACATACACACACACACACACACACACACACACATACCATACAACATCAAGCACAAGAATGCTTTTTCTTTCCATAAAGGATTATTGATGTCTCTTTATTATACATATTTTATCAACATATTTTCAAACTACATTTCTGGTTCATTTTCATATATTCTTACAAGGACGAATAAATGCCATTATCTTTTATTTCTTTTTTTTTTCCTACTTATACCTGACATTCAATGAAGCACTTTGTGGATGTTTAAATATTTCACCTCGCATGATATCGTCTAAATCACTTAATGCGACTCTGGCCTGATATCGGCAAAGTTCATCGGCGTCTGTTTCTTCAATATATCGCAAAGTTCTATAAGTCCTTCTCAGGCTTTCTGTAGGGTATTCGTATAATGTTTGTGCTGCTAAACCTCGGAATAAAGACAAAATCAATACAGTCGCTGCTCGTCTTACTTCAGGTACCTTTTCAATTTCGAGAATGTTCAGAACCCAATCAATCAATCCGTTCATATGCGCCGATAGAGCCACAGGGCATGTTTGACAAGCCATCCCTAGGATCGATAGCGCAGATACTCGTAAATGACTATCTTCATCTCTTCTTCCCAAAACTGTTTCAAGAGGTTCAAGCAGCGTGTGGGCTATTTTACATGAAATGAATTAATAAAGGAAAGTCACAGGAAGTTGTCACTTTTCCGCTGTAATTTTTACCGTATTTTCCTAAAGCATCACCACAGCGTTGTATCGTTTGTAGTAAAGCTTCACCAATTCGCAATCTATTATCTAACTTTTGCTGCTTGTTCGTATATACTTCACCCAGCTTTTTAATAATTTCATTTCCATAGGCATCTGTCATAGCAGATAGTCCTTTCACAGCATTCAAGTAAATGTAACTATCTTCATCCTGTACTAAACGCGTAAAAATGTCCAAAAGGTGGTCCAGCCCTTCTCCACTGGATACTAATGGATCTTTGGCAAGCGCCATTTCTTTCAAGAGCCCCATGCCATGGGCACGAATCGGTAACAACTCATCTTGAAGTGATTTCATTGCCAACTTGTATTTCTCCTTACTGGCCTCTAAGGAGCTGCTGTTGCTCGTTGTCGCTTTAGAAATACTTTCTGACGAAAGGAAAGAAGTCAATGCCAATAAAAGTTCATTGACCGCTTCGGACACGAGCTCAAAAGGATGCTGTTTTTCGATGACCTTCAACGGTTCCATGGAGGACTTTAATAATTGAACTGCCTTTTCATTCAAATTGTCATTTCCTAAATGATATAAAGGTTACTCAAAGAGTCACAAAGTGCCCGTTTCTTTGCCAAGTATTACCATGCATAACAGCTCTTAATAAGTTGATAGCCAAAATCAAAGACTCTTCATCGTCTTCCGTGGACAACTGTTCATCGTGGTCTTCATTCATCGCTTCAAACTCTTCCTGACTTACAATATTACTCAGCATATCGGGAAAACCCGACACTTTCTTTTGCTTTTTCTGTTCTTCGGTCGCCGTCTTGTGATGGATATCAAGCTTGTCGGCATGATCTTGTATCACATTATTAGCAAATGAAATAATTTGTGTAGGTTTGTTTAAAATGGCAGGTCCCAACGTGTCTAGCATTCCCATGATGAGATGCAATATCATCAAGATGCTAAATGCGGGGGTAAAATAGACAATCATTTGAGCAACACTAATCTCCAGCTTTGTATCTGTCATTGACTTACATTCGTGGGTCACTGGACTGTCTTGTCTTCAGTGAAGAATATTCATTCAATAGAAATACGAAAAAGTCTCCACACAAATCCTCATTTTCACTCTTTTGTAGAAACTCAACCAAGATCGAAGCATCTATAGGCAGTTCATTACCTGCCAACAGCTTAGGCTTTCTCCTGACACGCACCACCACGCCACCGCCTATCGTAGGGCCCGGTGCGAAATAAGCGAGGCGCGTGCCACTGACATCCGCGGAATCGAGCAAAATCCTTTTTAGTTCATGAATCGCATCCGATGTGGTAGTAATACGAAAATAGGTCGATAGCAGGTCCAACACAACTTCTTTTAAGCTGGATTTGGACTGACAAGTGAATTGATACAGGTGGTACAAGACATGAATCGAAGAAGAAAGGAGGGTCTGGGTAATGACACCAGGCTCACCTCCCATGAGAATACGATGCAGAATATGGAGCATGTTCACTAATTCAGCTTCAGTTATCTTGATTTCATCATCACCATCATTATCATCGGTAGGTTCTGATGGTAGAGGCTGTTGTTCCCAGATGGATAACAATGGCCCTACAATTTTATCGATAATGTACTTCTTTGCTAGTTCCGGGTATTTAGCAACCATCCGACCCACAATGAAAATCACAGCTTGACACATCGGCGACGCGATGGGTTCATTTTGTAAAATGTGCAATAGTTGAGGCGTGATGACGGCATAGTAGCTTTCAATAGATGGCATTTGTTGAGGGACGGATAGAATGAGTTTGGATATGCTTTCTAATTGAGACAGCTGCAGCTGCTCCACATCTCCTATGATGAAGTTCAATATGACAGAAACACCATTGGGTTTCAGTAAAATTCGAGACAAGAAACGACCACTTATGGTACGTAACCAATTGGGTACAGGCTCTGTAACGGAAGACGCTCTTTGACTCTCGCTGTTGCTGCTGCTGCTATCACTGCGGAGGAGACCCATTAATGATTCCATGCTTCTTACTAGATCGGATTTTTCGAATAGCCACATAAACATACGAGCGCATTTATCTCTTTCTTCTTTCGATAAGTAACTTGTTGTCGCTGTTGCCGCTGTTGATCGTGTTATCGTTGCATTGACTGACTTGATGGCCATCATATTCCCTGGTGTCATGGGTACATTATGGGTAGGTTGACTATTAGTAGTAGTAGTAGTAGTAGTAGTAGTTGTTGCTGTTGTTATTGTTGTAGGAGGGGTATCTGTCGACGAAGAGGAGGTATTAGACTTGTTAAATGCTGAGTTAGGTGCATAGGCTAATTGTAATAAGGCAGCATAAAGATCAGGTAAATGCCTATTGAGTAGTATAGAGGCTACTGTGGTATATTGTTTGCTATCAGGTACTTTATCGCTAGAAGCAATCATATCCACTAATGGTGTCACTAGCCTCAATAATGTTTGTTGTTTATTTGTATGGTGTATCGTCGAAGGAGTCCTTCTCTTGTCCTCATGACCGTCTTCTTCTGCTGTTAATAACTCGTGATTGATGTAGCCAGATTTTACTCTTTTTGATAATGGAACACCCACTCCAGGTAAGAAACAAGGATATAAACCCCATGATACAATTACTTGTAACAATGTGTGTACCAATCTCAAGTCTCTTACACCCAAAATATCTCTCGACTCGGTTTCTACTATGGTCGAAGAAAGGGTTGAGGAGGGAGAAAATTTTATGCCCTTTTTTATTATTTTCTGATTTGACAGAAACAGACCTTTTTCCTTTACTTGTCCAAATTCGCTTGTAGACGTATAGCATACTTCTAATAGTGCTTTTTGTATCTTGATTAAAACATCCAAACACTGTTTAACAAACGATCCTTTGGGGTCGTCCTTCACTCCCTCAATGATATCAAGTTTCTCTAATCGATTTAGTAATGTTTCCTCAATCGAGCCTTTTTATATTGATTAGAACGCTTGCTTCCAATGAGCGACTTTCTCCGTTGGACGATTCAAAATACCTTTCTCTTTCAATGTTATCTTTTCACCGACAAGAGCATATGCTTTTGTCAAAGACTCTTTTAGATTCAACTGATCTTGTTCATTTTTAGTCGACATTTTGCAAGCTCTTTTTCTTGCTTGCCTGGAAAAAATAAAAGAGGGAAAAAGAACGCGAGAGAGTTTTTCTCAGAGATGTCTCTAAATAGCTGAAAATGTAAAGGTAAAATAGACAGAATTTGCAATGCTTTGAGCTGTTTTACTCAAAGGCGACAACGTTGGAAGATGGAGCATTCTATATCTTTTTGTTCATAAAACACTTTGTACAACCAGCACAGACAAACAATCTATGCTTAATGACAAATGAAGAAATAACAGCTGCTATCATTTTCGCATCCTTTGATGACCTAAAGTTTTTCTAGTAAAAAATATAGACTGATTGCGTATTTATTGCTTTATTTAAAACGATAATGAAAAAACGATTCCAGCAAGCAAAGAGCAAAGGTAGAATTTGGAGAAATCCAAATAGGTGCTTGATGCGATATTAGTTTTGGTAGGGGCTACGGTTGCGGGAGTATTTATGTTGTTTTTTGGTGGACCAGGATTATCAAGTGTAGGATATACCCAGCTTTGCTCCCAATAAGGAGATGGATCATTAATACACTGATGGATAGGCATAACATTATGAGTTTTTTGAAGTTCAGGTAACCATTTTTCTGAAATTTGTATTGTAAGATTGTTGTTCTCGTGTTGCTATAGAATGTAAGAGTAGTAAGTAACAAGTATGAGAAGGAGTGGATGGGAGGGGGGACTGGGAAAAATGAATAACTTACCAAAGTAATATGTCCATGGTCTGTATCATTTCCTGATTTCCTATCTTTAATCCATTTTTCAAAGGACTGATCTATTTGGCCAGGCTGGATAGTGCCACTCGCCAAGTTCCAATCAAAGGTGTCTTGATCCCATAGGAAAGTCCTCATACCCATCTGCCAGGCAATGGCGCGCACACGATCATCGACATCACCATAAGGGGGTCGCCAGCATTTGGGAGTGACACCTGTCGTCTCTTTGATGGCTTTTTGGGTCCAATAGAGCTGGGCAACAATTTCTTCGTTCGTCAACGTCGTCATGAGCGGATGAGACCAAGTATGGGAGCAAATCGTGTGACCATCACTTATGGCACGTTGAGCAGCTTCAGGATAATGCACAACATTGGAGCCAACAACTACAAAAAGTATACATGGGTTAATACTTCAAAAAAGCAGATGTTTCACCCAGTAAATGCTAGTAACTTACAAAACAAGGTGGCTTTCTGCTTGCCTTTTTCAATCAAGAAATTGTAAAATCTCGGTTGATCGTATTCTTTGTCCTTTTCAGAGGTAGGCCACCAACTTTTGTACGGACCATCATCATAATTGAGCCCCCAGTCTCCTTTGTTCGGGCACATGTAAATGTCCTCGGGAATATAACTGACCTTTGGCTTTTTGCAGATAGTAGCCGTCCACCAACAATCAGGATCCGTCGTGACATTGTAGCCAGTCACATCGGGCGACCATTCTTTCTTTATTCTAACGGGAGCCTGAGGAACCTTGGAAAAGTCGAGCTGTTTGATAACAGCTTGAACCTCAGGGTGATCTGTAGGTGGCTGTTTGAGGGTCTCGGGGTATTTTGTAGTATCTAGCTTGATAGAGCCAGGTACAATAGGCCCAGCTTTGATGTCTTCGTCACGAGGTAAGCTCCTAGGTACACCGGGTGGAATAGAAACTTGCGAGAGCCAAGCCGGTGAGGTTTGTACGAATTCTGTATTCGACGTTTTGGTTGGACTTTGGGCGAATACTGTTACTACAAGACTTATGAGGATTGCATAAGCAAACATGATGAGATAATAAGCCATAGCGGGATAATTAGGTGGTGAAAATGATGGGGTCGAAGCGCAATAAGTATATGTAAATTTTCAAGATGTAAAGTAGAAAAATAAAAAACAAAAAAGAAAGGAAAAATGCAAAAGTAACATCAACTTGAAGGTTCATTTCTGAAGTATTTATGAACGTGTGGACAAACGCGAGGGGAAATTAGTTGAAACCATAGTCTCAGATTGGTACATACGATTCTATATAGAGTTGACTTTAGCGGATTACTTTAGCAGCAATAACTCTATATTAAAATCGCAGAAATTAATGTTATGATTCATCACAAAGTAAAACAAAGGGCTACTTCTTAAACACCTTCCTATAGAAAAGCTTCGAGGGAAAATGGCCGCGGAAAGTAAACATTTCGGAAAAAATAAGTCAACAAAGGATTGAATACTACTTAACGTTATAGAAAGCATACTTATTGTAAACCACACAGTTTTAAACTTATTTCGTCACAACATCTACTGAGCTTTTCGGGTTATTATGACTTTTGTCAAATATAACTCTAATCATGGAGAGGCGGGCAAAAATTATAAGCATAGATCCCATTTTAATGGGATAGAAAAACTAAGAGAAAGGCATAACCCATAATGGCTTTTATCATTTTTTTCTTAGTATCCATCAAAAATTGAAAGGTAAATCTTTTTCAGTCCTTGCTTTTATTATTTACGAAATTCGGTTGTTTTTAACTGATGATTTATTTGGTACATCCATATACGCGTTTTGTATATTTTGAAGAGCTGACGCACCAATTCCCTAAAATCGATACGCTGTTCAGGGGAGGTATAATAAAATGTTAATCTACGTCTATCCCATTGGTATTCAGCTTCAACAACTTCCATATCTAATTCCTTTTCTTTAATCAGCTCTTTACAAAATTCCAAAGCCTCGGCTTCGTCTTCTCTAAGCAAGGTATAACTGTTCATGTCTTCAGTGGTAGCAATGCGAAATATTCTTTTGACGGTGTGGCATCCGTGAAGCTGCTTGTTGTGTATGATCTTTGTTACTTCTCCCAAATCATATCCTCGGTCACCCTGTACAATGACTGAATCGTTGATTTTCACGTCTATGTTGGTATCTGCCGATAGGTAGTAGTAATTGAATCTTCTGTTACATCTAAACTGAACCTTGTAAACACTTTGATCTGGTTTTAATTGATCATTGGGTATGCCTTTTCCAAAATCTTGGACAGTAGGTATCGATGGCGTCTTTGTATTTCGACTGAAATATTCATCTATTTGTTGCTGTTGAATTTGCTGGGTATGTTCTTTATTGACGTACGAGGAATCAGTTGCGAAAGAATACGATGGAGGCGTGGGTGGACGATTAGGATGCATAGGATCCCAGCTTCTACTGTCAACACCCGGTGTCTGCAAGCGATAATAAGGGGGTACACCGTCAAAGCAAGGTAAAGTACTAAAGGGAGGGGTGACAGCAATCGAATGCCTGCGTTCTTCTATTGGATGTCTATCATGTAGAAATTTCAGTTTTCAATAAGAATTCGATACTATGCGTCCACATCAGTAGTACATATTTTGTTTAAACAGTACCTGTTGAGTGTGCTTTTTAAAGGGTGTGACGGTATAGAATCAACCGACCAACAAAGACGATCATTATTTCCATTCAACTTCAAATTATAAAGGTAATTTGCTGTTATTATATTATTGTTCTCATTGTTTTGGCGGTTATCAGTCATCGGTGCTGTACCTATTGCAGCAGCAGGTGTGCACGCTGCATGAACCGTTGTACCGGTTGAGAGCGGGGAAGGAAAAGCTGATTTATTGAAATCGTGAGTTAAAGTACAAGCCGAAGAGATAGTAGCTGTATTTGTAGAATCGTGGTTGCCAAAATAATCGTCTACTGCTGCCGTGGTTGCTGAGGAAATATTATTATATAACGATAGGTTTGAGATAGAAGGAAGTTGTAAGGCAGATACAGAACGGGTTCTTTGACTGCTGTTATCAGAAGAAGCATCATTACTAGTCTGCCAAGTCGGATTAGACCATAATGAATGCCAGCCCTTGTTGTTGGCGCAACTAAATGCACCTGAGAAGGAGAGAGTTCTTCCATTCGTACCATACGGTCTGGTTGTTTGCGCACGTTCTTTCTTGCCCAGTGGCGGTGATAGTGGTGTTTCAGTAGTAGACATTTTATCCAGCTGTGATAAAAACCATTCTTCTTCAGCATCATCATTATTGTTCGAAAGAAATGCTTTACTATAAAACATATTTGTCATGATGGTATGTAAAGCGCGTGCCTTGGCTTTTTTTCTTTTATGTCTTGTCTATCGAAAGCGTAGTTCCGCCCTTTTGCTGTTTCAATTCCTTGTTTTGGCTATTCGGTAAAATGTTGGTTTGTTGCGTACAGAATGTAGATATGAACGATAGTTTGAATGCAGCACTATAAAATGGAGATATATATGAAAGAGTTGCTTTGAAAGAAAGAGGTAAAGGAAGAGGAAAAGTAATAAAGAGAGAGAAGATAAGAATATATACAATAAAAAAGGGCCAAAAACAGAAGCAGACTTTTTTTTTCATGCAGAAACAAAAGAAATTGTTGTAAGGTTGTTGCCCGAATTGGCCTAGAAAAGTTTAAAAAAAAAAAAAAACTCTCACCACTGTATTTGTTGCAGATAACCATTTACTCCTGCTTCCACCTACTTTAATTGTTGAATAACGCCACATTGAAAAAAGTATCATGAAATCAACATTACAAGTGGTAAGCATTCACACGTAGCAAGTACAAATCTGGTATTTAAACACACCCCCCCACGTACATCCCACATATATCCACTTATAGACACTTCAAAGCAAGTGAAAAAATTATACAGCAAATCAATCTTTTTAAGGCACAAAAAAGCATTTTATATCTCTTTTATTTTAGAGGACAGATATCAATAAACATATCTACTAAATTTTCAAAGACACGAATGAACCAATTTAAAGATCCTTCTTGAGAGTACCCATGAATTGGTGCTTTTCGGCAGGAGTTTGGAAACGACCGTGACCGAACTTGGAAGAGGTATCGATGAACTTGAGGGAGACCTTTTCCAAAGCAGAACGCTTGGTGTGGACAGTCAAAGACTTACGAAGAGTGATAACACGCTTCTTGGCACCAGCGCAACAACCCTTGAGCATAACGAAGTCTTCGTTGATTTCACCATAGTGAGGGAAACCACCCATGGGAGTGATCTTCTTTTCGGTCAAATCGTATTCAGTAGAACCAGACTTGGCATCAGCACCATTGGCAATACGGTAGATCTTCTTGTTAATTTCAGTACGGCGGTGGTAACCACGTTGACCAGCACGGGCAACAGAGTACATGACACGGCTAGGATGCCAGGCACCAATACAAGCAACCTTACGGAGACCACGATGAGTCTTACGAGGCAACTTCTTGGTACCCCAACGGTGAGTGACACCTTCGAAACCGTGACCCTTGGTGGTGGCAATGACATCGATCATTTCATCTTGTTCAAAGACGGAGCCAACGGTAACTTCCTTTTCGAAGTGTTCACGAGCCCATTCAACCTTATCGGCGACAGAACCACCGTTCAATTGAATTTCCATGATGTGGGCCTTACGTTGGTGGATCTTGGCCTTGGAGATTTGAGTGTGAGCGATAACACGGACAACGGAACAGTACTTCTTGATACGTTCGAGTTCACGGTTGATGTCCTTAGCACCTTCAGCATACTTTTGAGCATACTTGGTGAAGGCCTTCTTCTTGGAACGGTACCAGTTCTTGTAGAAGCGACGCTTGGCTTCTTCGGAAAGGTGTTCGGCCCAGACGGTAGTCAAGGTACGGAGGCCACGAGGAGTTTCGACGTAACCAACGACACCAACAACAACCATAGCAGGGGCTTCGATGACGGTGACAGCTTCGACGATTTCCTTCTTGTTCATCTCTGTTGAAAAGATAAAATAAAATGTCAGATCATTATTTTTTTCCATCACCGAATTGGGAATCTAATTTAGATTAATAGTACTTACTGGAACCAGGACGTTCAAGATCACGAACAATGTGGGTCATACCGGCCTTGTAACCCATGAAGGCAGTTAAGTGGACGGGCTTGGAGGAATCATCCTTGGGGTAAGCCTTAACACGACCACGGTGTTGTCTGGTTCTCTTACGGGGACCGAAACCCAAGTGACCGTGACGGGGAGCTAGTGAACAGAAAAAGATTAGCTACGGCTCTATACAAAAATCAGTAACTATTAAAGATCGGTCAACTTACCCTCATACTTTCTATAAAGGGCCAAGTGAAGAATTGAGAAATCAAGGAAGCGTTAGTTGACAATTTCTAAAGAGAAAGCTGTAGATACAAAAAACGAGAGGGTAACAACTATGACTCTCTTCAGGCGTTGCAGCAAAGTGAACAATTTTCAAATTTGAAGAAAATGATCCAATGTCACATGAAGAAGAGCATTTTGCAGATCTCTCGTTTTGTACCTTTCGTAGAAAAATTAAATTCGCTCGTATATACCTGTGCGACTAATGGAGAAAAGGTTATGTTAGATGATGGATCGTTACTTTTGATAAAGGATGTATGCATATGTGTTTTGGATGGATGCTTTACCATGGCTGCTACTATAAAGAGACAATAAAAGAGGAAGAACTTCTCGATTGACAGATTCCATAGCTCTTTTTTACCAGATTCGCCATAAAAGCCAGCGGCATTCAAAGTGAGGAATTTCGACAACAGCCAGCTTCTACCACAGTGAAGGGCGGAGCGGCTCGTCGTTGTTCGTCGCTAATCCAAAATTCAGCTTGAATGAATTTGGCCCGGTGATGATTCTTCGTGAATGGTAACTTGTAACAGAAACTGAAACTCTTCACTTTTTTGATAATTCATTTTTGCCCCCTCTTGGACACTCTACGATACCTTTTTGCTTCTACACCTCATTTCAACGTGCGCAACAACTCTCAAATTAGTCAATATGGTATGTGTCAACGAAGCTTTTTTGAAATGCAACTAAGCGGTTGGCAATGGTTTACCATACATCTAAACCTTGAAACACTTTTTCATTTCACCATCTGTAGTCTGCCTCCAACTCTCAAGGTATCAATACACTCTTAGACGCTGAACGTGAAGCTGCTAAAATTGTTCAAAAGGCCAAGTCTTGTAAGTTACTCCTTTTCTTTAGTGTCTGTCGTCAAATTTGATACTGGCTAATATCAAATATATGCAGACCGTGTTCAACGTTTGAAGGACGCTCGCTCTGAAGCTGCCAAGGAAATCGAAGAGTTGAAGGCACGCAAGAATGCCGAATATCAAGACTTTGTCGCACAGGTAAAACTAGTTGACAACAACTTTTTTCTTCTTCCAGTAGAGATGAAACTGAAAAAAGTGAGTATTGACTCATTGCTATATTAAAAAAAAATTGAAATGATAGCATTCGGGTGAATCAGATCAAAGTCTTAGTAAAGTCGAGCAAGAAACAGAGGAAAAAATTGCAGAGATTCGTTCTATGGCCCAGCAAAATAAGCAAGAAGCTATTGATAAGTTGATGAAAGCTATTACTCAAGTTGAAACCAAGCCTCACCAAAACTTCCGTGTCTAAAATATTGAAATTTGACCAACATGGATAAATAGCCCCTCCCCCTTATATTCACGCTACGATATACGACAAAACATCAAAAATATCATTCATATATCCCTCTATTTGAGAGAACTCTTTCTTGAACCAAATTTCAATATTGGTTTAGGTTATGTAATAAACACCTAAACATAGTATTTAAGTATAGTGGATATGTATTATTGTTTATTGAAAGCATAGGGTTTTATAGAATTCTTCTGTAACAAGTCAGACATCATAAGATAGGTATATACTGTATATGAATATAACGTTTTGTGAATAGCAGGGATTTCCGTAAGATAGATCGTATGGGGTTGATATAAGTTGGCAATATAGATAGAAAATTTACATAAAAAGAGATTGGCTGTTGATATAGTTGCTTTGTAAAACGAAGGGGATTGGATGGCATATTAAGAATGGTGTTTCTTCAATCATTGTAGTAGTAGTAGAAATTAACGAGTGATAAAGGGGGTACGGCGTATATCATCAGGGCCTTTCAACAAAGTTAGCAAAATAGCTGCCACTAAAACACTCAAAAATCGACACCATTGTAATGTATGGCATGTAATGTCATACAGCGCTCCGCGAGAGTATTGAATCAAGGATTGGAACACACCTTTAGGTATTTTTGACATGATAGTGAACATTTGACCGCTGTGATTTTCGTTCTGTTGCTGGTCATAGTATGCTTTACGCAATTCGTGCATGGCAGGTTCTATTTCTGAAAATGGTTTACTTAACAGTTCCGGATGATTTAGCAATAGGTAAAAGTCCTCTTGGAAACCACCATCGTCGCCATTTTCGCTTATTCCAGCTATAAAGCTCATCGCTTCATCCAGAATGTTTCGATCTACAATAGGACCCATTTGCTCCTTATGATATTGGTTGCTGTAATTGCAACAGTTGTTGGTGGGATCGCAGCCAGGAGGATGGGACAGCCAGTTTTTGATTTCATAATGGTTATCGTTGTCATACTCTTTCTGTATTCCTTTACTCGTATGCTGTGGAAGAAGGACCGGATCATCAATGTTCTTTCTTGTCGTGATTTTTGGGGTGGGTGGTGATAATGGATGATAAAGAATATTATTGTTGTTGTCGCTTCGCTCATTGGTATCATAGTCCTCCTCTATCAGGTGATATTGCTTTTCTGCTACATCTGCTGACGAGAACGTGTTCGTAGTGCTAAAAGAGGATGATGAATATGACGACACACTGTCTTTATTGGTTGTTTTACTAGTAAAGATGGGCTCATGATCAGTATTTTTTTCAAGTACTTGTTGCTGTTGTTGCTGCTGTAGTTGATAATTTTGCTCTTTTCTCCTTTGCTGGCGTTGTTTCCACCTATTCTGCGATGCTAATGGCCGAGGTTGAGGGTTATCATGATTGCAGGAGGATACTGCGCCGTCATCGTTGTAGCTCTCGTGATATATACTGCCACAGAAGCTTCCGACACCAAAACTGTGTTTGCCGGCCAGATCATAGAAGGGCTGATCCTCATCAGCCACATCGCCGTCCTGCTGCTGCTGCTGCTGCTGCTGCTCAAAGAAAAGTGGTTTCCATTCTGTACTGTGCATACTTTTCATATGCGAGATATTATCATGCTTTTTTTGATTGTTATTGGTAGAAGTATTGTGTTGTAACATCTGTGATGTCGATTGCTTCCTACTGTTACTACTACAATCACTGCAATTGCTGCTGGCGATACTTGTTGCAGGACTCTCATAAAAAGCATCAGGAGCAGCAGTAGATCGATCGCCAAAAATACTAGATATAAGTGAGATGGAAGATAGTCTCGACATGGATAATGCAGTAAGTGTCGATATATTGGAATCTCGCTTTTGCATTTGTACCGGATTGTGCAAAGTAGGTGTGCTAGCATGTGTAGCACTGAATCTCTTTTTTTGTTTTCTGCCGTAAATCGGAAGCTGTTGTTGTTGTAATTGAACTAGACTCCATTGGTGAGCAGAAAGCCGCTTTTCAAGAAAGCCCAGCTGACGATTCATTTTATACACTGAGGTTGTTGAAGCTGTACTATTCGTGGTAGCTGTAGTGCCTGTACTTGAGCCATCTTCATCCATATCAAGATCAGGAATATCTTCCTCGCCATTACCGTCATTGAACAAACTGGAAAAAGTATCCAGTGTAATAGCAGTGTCAACGCGTATCGACTCAAGCTGTGCTTGCATTGAGATAATTTGAGACATCACTTCTTGCAAATTTTGTTCCAATAGATGTTTTCTTAATCGAATCGTGGCACGTTGAATCAGTTCTTTTCTTAACTCTTGCTCATTCATAACGATTGATTCGTTATCGCTATGTTGCTGTTGAATGCGGTCTGTTGATATATTGCTGGTAAGCATGGATCGACTCTCATTGAAGGAGCCTTCATCTTCTTCCATCGGCATTGTTGTGTTCAAGAATTATAGCTACAAAGGAATCGCTACTTATCAAATAGATTATATGTTACACTATGAATATATACAGGACAATATAAAAATGTTAGAACAAGATGTTTCTTTTCTAACCGAAAAAAGCTAAAGGAGAAGGGGCTGGGTCCAGGTAAACAAGACATTAAAAAAGAATTTGCTGAGCATTTACACATATAGTTGTATGTTAACAGCAGAAAGAAAGTAATATAGGTCACTTGGTGTCGTAGAACTGAAATGCTAAACAAGGCAAAAAACTGTTATATTCTGATCCAAGGATTAACAGTTTTGCCATTTTAAAGCCAAAAGTTTGTTTGTCTTAGATAGATTAAAAATTCTGATTCACTGATCTGATATGATATTTTACTCAGAAATTATCAAGTCGGCAATGTTGCGCTTTCGTAGAGTTGTTGATGTTCAGAGCAATTTCTTTTTGGGGCAGGACTCAATCCAGTCATTAACAAAAAAGAAGAATGCCCTTACAATGTCTTGTTTACCCCTTATTTTTCTGTCATTTACCCCAACCAAAAAAGAAAAATTGATAAAGAGATATGTGTATATAGGCAATTGAGAAATATTATTACCAATTATAAACGGGTCTGAATTGCTAATTGTAGTTCCAAGCAAGTATGTCGTAATATGATTTTTTGCTAGTGTATAGAATTCAGAAGTGATGGATAAACAAACTTTTTGTTTGTAGGTGTTGACTTGAAAGGAATTAAAAAAAAAAAAAAATGGAAAGAAAAGAGATGGAAAATGTACATTCAAAAACATTCAAAAGAAGATGTCCCTTTTTCTTGCTCCTCCCTAATAAGTAGTATATTTTACTTAATAGACGCAGGTATTTTAAGTGCAAAATTACTATAATAACTCTCTATTATACAATGATGGATCACAAGAGTAATAGTGATAGAGTGTAACAATTGAAGCAGCGTTACAGTTTGACGACCATACATAAATGCTGCTGCTCATTATATACTGACATGACCAATTAAGCTTGAAGCTGAAAAGGTAATTCAAATGGACCAGTCAAACAAGTCGCAGGTAATGAGATCGACGACAAAGGGTGATAACAATCATCAAGCACCTACTTGCATATACCCCAAATACTGTTTAACTTTACCAATTGCTCTTTTTTAGTGTAGAGGCAATAGTGAAGCAATGGATGTCTTGTAAATGAGTGTTTGTCAAATTTTGATAATCGAAAGGAAGCAAAATACTGCTACTAGAAAACGAATATCTTTTTTGACAGCTTCACTTCTTTTTATAGTGTCTTTTACACAACAGATTAATATCGTACCACGTTGCACTCTATTTCCTTTTTCGAAACTAAGATTCTATAAGGCTTCCATTATCGTTTCTGGTAAACTTTTCTATTTCGATAGTTCTCCTTGTTACTGCTCAATAGGCTGCTACTTGACCCCGTTCTTTTCACAACCACCAAAATCAAAAAAGTTTTTGTGAAAAGAGCAATCTTTAATTCTAAATAGATGGAAGAAGAAAGTACTTATATTTCAAAAGAAAATAGAGCATAAATATGAAATGTAATGAAAATGCGCAAGAATATGAAATCAAATGTTAGCAATAGGATATTTCAATTTGAGATTAGATATCAAAAAAAGGATTAAAATGAATAAATAGTGGTTTTCGTCTTAATTTTACATAACAAATAAGAATCTCAGATCTTCCACTGTCAACTTATCAAGCGCGCTAGTATCCTTATTGACTGTACTGTTGACTAACGCTTGCTTCTTCTCTTGTAACTGAACAATACGACTCTCTATACTGTTCTCAATGATCAATCTTGTGATACGAATAGGTCGATATTGTCCTAAACGATGAATACGATCCATAGCTTGTAACTCTGCAGCAGGATTCCACCAAGGATCCATGATAAAGACACGACTTGCTTCTGTCAAATTCAGAGCCACACCACCCGCTTTCAAACTGATCAAGAACACTGTGCAAGTAGGCTGTGTCATGAAATGATTGATGGCAGCATTACGTTGATCTGGTGTCATACTACCATCCAGACGGATACATTCAAAGCCGGCACGAGAAAGACGCCAATGGATCAAATCCAAAAAGTTGACAAACTGAGAAAACACAATACTCTTGATTGTCTTATCTTCGCGACGTAACTGAGAGAGTTCTTCTACGAGCGCTTCAATCTTCGTAGAGCTACGCCATTTATCCATATTAATACGGTTAACAATACTTGTCTTGGAATAATTGGCATTCAACACACCACCGGCACCAAAACCGTCCGATTCAATCTCAATCGCAGGTTGAGTCAGATCAACGCTGAAGTCTGCAAAGCAAGACGGACAGCGTGGTTTTCCGTTTTGCTGAGGAGATTCATCATTATCATCATCAACAAAACTTTGATAGTATTGAATACAGCATTCTCTACAGAAAATATGCTTACAAGCAGCAGTGATGGCGTCTTCGGGTGGGTCATAACACAGCATGCACACCAACTGCTTTGTATCAGCAGACCGTCTTGTTACCAAATCTGGATGATCTGCACATTGACGCATCTTCATTAACAATTCAAAGATGTTGGCATAATTGTTCAACACCGTACCTTGTTCAACAAAGGTCGTGAATTGCCGCGCGACGTTAGAGTAGAGAGAGGTGTACATGTCTTCTTCTTCTTCGCTGAAAATATCACGTCGGACTACTACTTCACGCGGTGGTAACCCCAGATCATCGGCACATTCTATTTTAGTTCTACGCAACATGATTTTATCCAATAGCAAACGTAGTTTCTTCATAGCTTCTACACCATCCCTAAGATGACCGAACATTTGAATTGGCTTCAATACTTCATTATTCCACCAACAGACATGTTTCATTGGTGTATGTCCGCAAGAGTCGCAGGTTCTCTTATCAGAAAATTTCCAAGAAATTTCCTTGCAAGGACATTCTTTACAGTAATAGTAGGCAAAGGGATCGGCTTGCATGAAACGAATCAAAGAATACAGCTCACCCACACGGTTTTGCAAAGGAGTACCAGTTAATGACCACTTAAACTTGCCTTCCAAATTGAACACAGAACGGGCTGTATTGCTTGAACGGTCTTTGATATTATGTGCTTCATCTAAAATAATTCGATGCCAATGGATTCTGTGTAAAAGAGATTTTTCTTTTCGGATAGCTTTTGTATATTTATTCTTTACACCATATTCTTGCCGACGAAAACTACTTTCCAAAACTTGGTAAGTAGATAACACCACATCGTACTCTTTCAAGGCATTCATATCTTTACTACGGTTGGCACCATGATAGATATAAACTGAAAGAGCATTGTTGGTATGACGCTCAATTTCATTCTTCCACTGTATAAGAGCTACTACAGGAGCAACAACCAAATTTGGCTTTTGACGATCTGACAAAAGTAAAGAAATAGTTTGAATGGTTTTTCCCATACCCATTTCATCAGCTAAAATGCCACCGTTGAAGCCTTCTGTTCTCTCTTGACGAAGCATCCAGCCAACACCATATTTTTGGAAATTCAAAAGCGGTAAACTTAACTCGGCAGGCTGTTCGATAGGGACAACATCTTCAGGTATAATATTTTCCAAGTCATCCCAAACATTGCTCAAATCTGTATGTATCTTCACTAGTGCATCTTGTGTACGTTTATACTAAAAAAGAAAAAAACCGAACCGTAACACGAACACGTTAGAAAACTCTAAATTGCAGCCTTTACGCGTTCAAGACAACTACTTACATGAGGAGTTCTACCGTGTCTTGTCTGTCGTCTCGCAATTCTCTGCTCACGGATCATGAATGGATCATCATCCTCACTACTGCTACTATTACCGTCGTTGGCAGCAGCGTCATTTACTCGCTGTTCTTCATAATTTCCATCAAGCTCGTCTTCTTGTCCCTCTTCAACAACCGCTGCATTAACGTTAATTTCTTCTCCGTCTAAATCAGTTAACTGCGAACTAGAAAATTGTTGCTGTAAATCGACTGCGGATCTATCATCATCTTCATCGTCAACCGCCTTCAATGAAACAGCCTTTTCTTCTATATCCATGTTAACAGTTGTATGATCCGCTTTCTTTAAGTCTATAATAGCTCTACTTTGCTCGCTTTGTTGTTCAGGACTAGCAACACTACTGCTACTACCGCTGCTGCCAAGTGTAGATACAGAAAGAGATACGTAACCTTCATCTACTTCATTCCCAAGTGAAATTTCTAGTTCTGTATCTTGTTCTTTATTGTCTGTCTGCAACGGCTCCTGTGATTGTTGTAACATTATTGAACTGGATCTTGTAAAACGTTTTGTAGACTGAAGCCTAGACTTGTGTTGCTCAATTAGAACTCTACGCAAAGGACGAACAGGAAGAGGTGCTTGGAATTCCTCATCACTTTCATTATCGGTGGTTAGAGTAGTTGATTGTGAGTCAAGATCCATAAGATCCTCAACGATCGCTGAATCTTCTCTCGAGATCGGGAAGGAAGTCGACGGCGTACCATTTTCTTTGGCAAGTCTTGCCTTCTTCGCAATTCTACCGGAACGACGAGTAGTAGTCATACTTTATTGAAAAGAGAACAGGGATGAAAGAATAGAATAGGCAAAGAAGAGCTGGTACTTTCGTCGTTGTAAAGAAGTACAGAAGAGTTGCGATGAAATTATGCTGCGAAAAAATAATGAAAAGGAACCAAAAAAAATCCAATTAAAGGAATCAGAGCCTGGATTTGGTCTGTCGGTGAGCAAATCGATTTGTTATGTCTAAGATGGGCACTAAACTTTTTTGAGAGTGTCAACCCAGCAATATCATAAAAATCGCTCATAGAAATTGCTTGAAGATATTGTTTTATGTACATGTAGGAATGGAATAAATAGTGGTTTATGGCGGAAGCAAGTACATTGTACTCAAAGCATATCCTGCAACATATTCAATATTTTTTGTTGTAACTTGAGCTGTTTTGGATCTTGAGTTACTCTAAACAACGGCACCTCCAAATTAACAAATTCTTGTTGTAAGTATTTCACTTCTTTATCCATTTCTTTCAACACTAGTAGATCCATTATATGTAACTTTTTATCCTTTTCTTTTTCAAGTTTCTAATAAATCATTTGAATAATGAAGTTTTAACAATGCTGAACAGATTTTTTTTTCCGCATAAAACGAATTATCAAACCTTCAATTCGCTTGGATCCACTTTGACACCAAGCATCTCCTTTGTTAATATAGCATCCTTCTGCTTCTTGAATTTCGCTTCAATGGCTTGTCGTTGTGCAAATAATTCTTTTTCTTTTCTATCCTGTCTCCGTTTACAGTCCTTTAAAACTTGTAACAGGTTTGTTTCTTTCACCAAACTGCCTAACTTTACTAATACTTCAGGCGTAACACTGGTTGCGTTTTTCAATACTTTCTCCTCCTCTTTTTGCAGATATTCTGCTCGAACTTGATTGATAACATCTTGACGGATACTCGAAAAATCGATATTCATTGGTATATTTCCTGACAGCTCTGCTGAAATTGGCTGCGGTAAGTTTGAAGTTTGAGATTGAGTTTGTGGCGTGGACATTGCCGCACTGGTAAAATTAGTAGGTAGTGGTGTTGCCGAGGATGACGAGGATGTTGCCGCTTCTGGTAAAACTAAGTTGTGACCCTACTGAAAGACAGTTAGATAATAAGAGCCTTATCAATTTATTAGAGACGTTTATACCTTAAGGAGGGAAAGTAGTTGATTAATATCTGACATTGTTATTAATGATCGCAATCAGAATAAAACAAATCGGTTACAGTAAAAGCATTTTAGCTCAACTTTAGTCGTTCCTATAATTTTATTACATCCGCTAATAAAAGTCATTCGCCTTGCTGTCACAGCACGTACTCTTTTGATCAATTACAACTTTCGGCTTCCACCTTTTACCACAAGTTTGCAGAAGCAAGCAAAAAACGGCATTCACAAGGCATAACATCTTCTGAATACTTTATAAACCATTATGGTTCATCCTACCAAATTAATTATTAAAATACATACATTTTAACCACTTGAGGACGACCAAAGGAACTTTCAAATTTATTGAAACCTTAGCGTCCACCAACATTTAGCAGTGGTCGAACATCTCAAGCATAACGTTATACTAAGAAGTTATCTAAACCTAAACTGCATAATTCAAAAGGCTCTTCTAGGTCTTGCTTAAAGTTCACTCTGATGGATTTGAATGGCTCGTAAAAGTTCTTCCTCGAAGGGCACTGAAAGTCGAAGGTAATCAAAGATAATGAAGGCGTTGCCTGCGAGAGAGACATTATTTTCGTTGAAACAATGTCACATTCTTCCCAAGAGCCGAATAATACAAACTGAACTGTCACTTCAAACATCTCCTTCAAATTATCAACGTCCTTCGCCTGCAGTTTGATTGAATTTGTCGGTGTATATATAATCACCCTCCTTCCTTTGATATCGCCAGCCATATAAAAACCGAAATAGTCGCCTGCCTGTGGGTCTACAAAACACAATATGCTGGAGTCAGACCAAAAATGTATTTCTCAATTAAAACAAAACATTCAATGCTTACTCTTCATTGATGTCCAGCATGTTGCAATATCCTGATCCACTGCTCTATGATACTGTATATGATTTGTTAAAGAAATATTACTTTGCTTGGGGTTTAAATGAGCTGCGTTTGGTTGTTGAAAAAATATTTCTTCATAATGGCTTAAGTTTGAGAAGAAAGGCATTTGTTGCTGTTCATTATCGGTCTTATTAACGATGAATTCAGGATGATCTTCATATTCTATATTGGGCATATGGTTGATGCTTGTAATAAATAGGCATTTATCATTAGCACAGCTTGATCGAACATCTCTTTCTATAGTAGATGGAGGAACACCAGCGAGCGTAAAAGGCGCATATTGCTCTAATACGTCTGTGGTGCTATTCTGAAGACCTGACTCTAAAATCGACAAAGCATCAAACTGAATGGGCAATATCTTATTAGTTCATATTATCATGCACAATATTACATCGTGGCGTCAAGAATTTACCATCAGTTGTTTTACCAAGTGTCTGTTATTTACTGTATCTATATGTCTGAAGCTGTCTATATTTGCCGATAATAAGGGATTGGAAACCAAATATGGGTATTGATTTAGCCACACAGTGAAGTATATATCTGCTATCATTGATGGAAGTACTTCAATTTTGTTATCTCTTCCTCGACCAATTTTTATACCAAGAACTGTTGTCGAATTCAAAGTTGACCAGAGACTCATAAAATGCTGTGCTCTGTCTTTTTTGATGAAGGCGCCATATCGTAAGTCAGCATAACCCGTATGCATTGATAAGTTTCGATTTTTAAACCGCCAGGTCATGTAATCCTTATAGTTAGACGGCCGTGTATTGACAATAAAATGATCAGGATATCGATGTGTATGGGTATAAAGTGTGTCTAGATAAGTATTCAGCCACAAATCGTCTTGGAAGTAGCATTTGTCATAAGTTGCATTAGCACAAGCAGCGAATTTACTAATAAACCGTTGTTGATCAATTTTCGTTTCATCATCTTTGAATAGGTGAATGAGGACATCATTATCATGGCTGACGTGTGTTGAAGGTTTGAACTGCTGGAAGGTCTGTATTAGACATGGAAAGATGTGAAATACCCTTTTCCTTGGTTAAATACGAATATGCATAAGGCGTATCTTATCGCAATTCCACTGACCTTTTCATTTAAAGGGCTGGATTCAATTTGATTGCAAATAACTATCTCTTTGATGAACGGATATTTTAATAAATGCTGCACAACGCTCTTTATGCTTTCTTCATCATAATCGATACGACTGATAATGGCTGACACTGGTGAGTAATGATTAAAATCGACCCCTTGTCCTTTTTCAAGAGAATCTGAAAATGCTAAAGGTGGGAATATGCTTGGCTGTTTCAGAATAGCTTCACTCTCAAGCATTTGAATTTGACATACAGAAGGATCTTGTTCTATTGCGATAGCTGAATAAGTTGTGTATCTTTTTGACTGCCATTGTAGTATATTATCTCTGCTTAATTTCCAGTAAGTAAGCAGTATTGTTGGGATAAGTGATAGAAGAATAAAAAGCTTTTTGGGCATGGAATTGTTCGATATCAAAGATAAGCGCTTGTTCATTATATTTGAGAGAGGTAACTTATCATATATGAAGCATCAATATCAGAAAAAACTACTGAATGAACAAGAAAAGCATTCCACTCAGTCCATCCTTTCGCAATAGCTAAAGTTTATCTCTATTACCAGCTTGTGTAAGTGTAACGTTTCCATTTCTAACAAATCACAGTTTTGCCCAGCAAATTACATTCAATTGGTTTTTTGAGCAATGTACCTGCTATCGTTCTATTGCCTCATTTTACTCTATAATTACCTTCCCGCATAGTACGAAGTTTTCGTTTGTGAGCCGTATCTATTTGAGTACAGGTGCAAATAATTCATAAATGATGAGTCATCCTCTTGATTTAAAGTAATTTCTTTAAACATGATCATTAATTTATTCATTTGTTTGTTGACTTCATTGGCTGCATTTCTTATTCATATGATGAAGGTGCTAGTTGTGTTTATCTTGAAGTATAACATGCATAGGGGGGATACTTCATATTTTCATTTATGTTGAAATTATCTGCTTGATTATCGAAGTCTATGTTTGGCTACGGACAGTCTCAAGAAAGCATACTTATGCTTTCTATGATTTCAATCAAAGAGCAGCGTTTACATCGAATGACACTGTTATCTAACAATCATATAGTGCTAATCATGAGCATAAAGTGTAATGCTTATGTCTCCCTTTTCGGTGAATTAAATCACTTATCACAGTTATGCTAATGCTAAAGATGGCGACGCCGCGAAAAAAAAAGCAGTATTTGAGCATCGGTTCAAGAAACGAGTTGTTTCAGTAAGAACCTCCTTTAAGAGGAACCGTCAATGACAATTTATTATAATATTTGGTATTTTTTTTTTATTTTTATTTTTTATATTTTCTAAGTTTTCAAAAATAGAGTTGTTTTACACGAAAGCATGAGTTACGAAGCTATAGTAACTTTTTTTTTGGCTTTTTTTTTTTTTCAAAGAAAGTGGAACTGAGAGGCTATGTACAAGATAATGGTAGGGTGAAATAGATATTGAACAAAGTGAGCAAGGTATATATGATTTAAAGTGAGAGACCATGATCAGGGAGCGGCGGTGGTGCGTGTGTAGGCATACGGATAGCTGTATCTTTTGTCTCGAAAGAAATGCCATCATAGTGTTCTGATGAAAGTAGTGACATAGAATTATCGCAACCGTGAGAAGCATACTTCGTGCTTCTGATGGAATTACTGGTATCATTGGCCGTAGTAGGATCATTGCGCTTATTAAATTCTTGGTTTAGAAAGGCTGCTACATCAGCATCTTGTCTCATACGTAGAATGCGAAGTATATCGTCAGCATCGGGTAAGTTGGCCACATATTGCTCTTTCTGATTCACTTTTAGTTGAGCAGTAGTCGAACTATCATTCTTCGCTTCATTCATAACCTTTTTGCGGCGGATTGTACTTCGAGAATGATAGACAGACTTTGTTCGATTCGGCGGTTTTTTGCTTGCCTTTTTACCAGTGCTCAATTTTGCAGTCTCTGCGATTTTGTAACTTGACATTAGCTCATGAGTATCCATATAATAAACAAAATTGACCGCTAACAATGAATAATATTCATCGTTTTCGAGAGTCTCCAGAGGAATAGCATCACCATCCTCTCCTCCATTGAAGAGTACTTTGAGTAACTATTTAGCAAGAATTATAGGTGAGACGCTTTTATGAAAAGGCATAACCAGTGTGATAATAGAAAGTGACTTACCTCTAACCACTTCAAAATGACATGCATTTCGTATATATCCAATGGTTTAACTTGAGACAAATTCTCGGATAAAGGAGGCACCATGATATCTTTTATCGTTTTGATGATTTGTTTCCAAATTTTCGAAACGACTAATTGCATGTTCGTTTCTGTCAGATTCTCATTCAGTATATGCAAGTTGTACTCCATGAATTCAATAAGTGGAGCAATGGCATCCTCGCAAGCTTGTAAATCTGGCTCAGTTTCTATTTCGGTAACTGCAACAATGCGATTGAATGAAAAGAAGCTATTTCGATTTCTCCCTAATACTTTGCTGATAGTATGACGTGATAAACACTGCCGGATAAAAGGTGTCATCTATAATGAATATTGAATGATCATTAGTTATATGGATCTAAGCGATAGACTTTTTTTTCCCGTTTTTACCTTATCAACAATTAACCAAGCAGCATCAATACTGGAAGTCTTCAAAGTACGAAAGGCTTTTCCAAAGTAGAACTGGATGTCGTTCTTTTCATCTTCCATAGTTATGCGCAAAACTAATTTGCCTTGAGGTGCCAAGTCCAATATCAAATCGTCTTGATGGTAAATGGCATTGAACTTGGGAGATAACGTAAACCATGTGACACCGCATTCGTCGTCTGCAGTGATCACATCTTCGTCGTTAACAATCGCGCAAATGTCAACTGCATTGTCCCTTAACACTATATCGAACTCTTGATCCCACCGTGGGTTAAGTGTTTCGTAAACAGTCTTTGTTCTTATAACAGGCTTCCCATCCATTTCAAAAACGACATAAGGGTCACTCAATCCGTTCCTATCCATGGGTTTCAAATTCTCCGCACGAACAACGCGTATAGTGTAATGATAACTCATATTATTGTAATTTGCTTGTTGTTGCAATGATGATAGATGCATGTTATTTTCTCTCATGAATTGAGCAATTTCATCTACATGCATCAATTGATACAGACGGTCCAGCTTATCTCTAGCTGCTTCAATATCATTCAATTTGGTGCAGAGTTCGGCTGTAATAGCTAGCATTGCTCCGTTGCTGTATCCTTTGTTATAGTAGAGTGTGCGTGCACCAATAAGTTGGTTTTTTGCTTTTTCTAACAAAGTTGATCCTGCTACAACAGTATCATCTGTGTTCAATGAAACGTCTTGCCGAATCAGGTTCTCTAGTGCTCGGCAGTATAAATCAATGCTTTCCGCAATAAGCTTTGCGAGATAGGTTTTTAACGTACAATATTGTACGTCGTTTGGCCATTGAAGCCCTGCAATGAAATCGACAGCTTGTGTGAACATAGCAAACAAATCGATGACGGATGAAGAATGTACAATAACGTCACTATATTGTTGAAACTATCCGTGGATCTGTTAATACTTGACAATAGTCTCTTGGTTGGAAAATACTCTTCATGACTTACTGTATCTTGCGCAATTGCGTTTTCCACCCATTCTTTTGTGGAATCATTCGTCTTTATAATCCAACGCTTTACATGTGGTAAAAACCATGACTCGACCTTAAAGAGGCTCTTTTTTGCCCTAATAAAAGGCAACGCCAAATTTAATAATCCCAAGTAAAACAATTTCAACCATATTATTCACGACTTACTCTGATCCGTATTTATCGTACAATTTCTGTAAACTCAACACTTTGTCATACAGCTGAAAAGTTCTATCGATAGGACATGTTTTGAAATCTGGTGAAAAGACCCAATTCTCCATTTCTAACGCAAAGTAAGGTAGCTGTCGAGCCATAATAAGTTCGGGAATAGACAGCACGCCGAATATTGGTTGCGAAAATCTTTTACGCGCGATAGAACCAAGCTCTTTGCAGAGCTTATCAGCCATTGTATAGAGGTTAGATAATATGTCTCTACTAGGATCATTTATTAATTGCTCGATATTACTCCATCTCTCTACTGCAGCGCCCTATAATTCCCAAATGTATTACATAGTGACATGTTAGTCAGTTTTTTGGAACATGATGTTTTTCGTTCTTACCTTTATACACTCTTCTAACTGGATGATGTCGGCTGTTATATCAGGATGCGCTTCGGCATAAACTGGATGTGTGTGAATTTTTTCCAAGATATCAACAATGTCTTCTATCCACTGTGGACTTATCTTCCAATATTCTGACAGACCTTCAGCCAATTTGCGCATAAGAGTATTTTGGATACTTTCGAATGCTCTTACAGCATTTTTAACCTGTGCATTATGAGAGGTGACAGAGTTAACGAGCGTTGTTTGCGAATGGACGTATTTACAAGCTCAAGTACTTACATCCGACGAGGGCCACATACTGATATCATACTCTTTCATGACTTTGTCCAAGGACCTCATAGCATCACTAATAGCATGTACATCTAGTTCATTTGCATCGACCTTTGGCTTGAGTAAATTAAGATAAAGAATAGCACGAAAAGGTGAGGATAAGCGCCAAGTTCTCCAACATTCCCTCAAAAGATCGTCTGACTGCTGGGATAAACCAGTTGCAGGAAATGCATCCCGGTCATTGGCTTGTTGTTGCTCTATATCGTGATTTAAACACAGGCTCATCAAAAATCGGTAGGATCTTTTGGGATCATTGGGGATAAACGTGAATTCGGTTGACTATGACAAGCTGATTCATTAGTCCGATGAAATGAATAGCATTCTTTCTATCATCAGATGGGATAAGTTAAGAACCTACATCGTTATCGTCTTCATTGATGGAGTCTGCTAGCCGTAAGTTTGGATTCATAAGCATAAGTGAATTCAGCAATTCTGTTAGCTGTTTTACTTCCTTCTTCTGCCACTGCTCGTAAGCTAGTGAACTGGCAAAATCCTCCTTTCTTCCTGGGAAAGCTTCATTCTTGTGTACATTATTGATGCATTTTTTCAAATCGTAGATCAGTGCCTATGCCAAAGGGCATTAGGTCCATTATGTTCAAGTTTGGCTAATTATGAAGGAAAAAAGGAAATATACTTACTGTTACTGTGCAGATGGGTATAAGTTCTTTCAGCTTTTGACGATGTTCCTCTTGGTTGATTTTGAACAACTGCTGTATAAGTTTGATCATTGGATAATTCAATAGGCTATCTACTGTCAAGACGGCCGAAGCACAGGAATCACCAGCACTACTCGTCTGATGATTGTAAGTCGATGACCCTCTACTATGATCGACTGAGGAGCTTTTCCATTTTGGAGAATGGGTGGTACTAGGTGTACAAAATGCGGACAGCTTGTCCAATACTTCAGGTGTAGCAGAAGAAGGCGCATCATACTGTAATGTTTGTATAACCAAGTCAACAAATCTCGACAGAAACGTATTCAAATCATCATACCAAATGGCAGGGTTGTTGGGATGAAGAACTTTAAGCTCTGCTTCACTGATTTTCAAGAACTGCACTACAACATCATTGATGGTCCCTGTACGATGTAATTTTTTTTCCTGCTGTAGATGTTTCTTTGTCATTTTGCAAACAGTACGAAATTTCTTCTCTAATGCATCATTTTCTGCCGTTCCATTGCTTTCTGGCGCTTTATAAATGTCTTCGAGTCTTTTGAGAATTCCTTTTACTAGGTCTTGAGTTAGCTTGCCATTTTTCTTACTGTCATCAACAGACGAAGAGGAAGAAGAAGATAGTTTGTCTGCTAAGTTTGGAAAGTTGTAAATTTGACTGAATCGATGTTCGTCTTTCTTTTTCGTTATTGATAAGTGGGTTGATAACGAGGACGGTGTCTCTGGCCTTTCGCCGGTCTGTTCGAGATAGGCACGGATGGCACAGCGTAAAGCATAGTCATATATGATATGAGAACTGACTGCTCGAAATGAAAATCGCTTACTTTTACGGCTGTAACCATAAGCACTGCTATTGGGACTCGAACTGGTATCGGAACTTTCGACGGTTGAATGACGAGTGATTGCTTTTGACATTGTCATTTCATTGAGATCTTGCTCTGGCTTTTCCCGTTTTTTGCAATAAGAAAAAGTGTTCAAATCTGAACTTTTTTGGAAAGGGAAATCTATTTGCAGTAGAAGAGTCTCTTTGACGGGGCTTGAATGCTTCGATTCAATACTCTGCCTCACATTGTTCCTGGTTTCGTTTTGTTTCAATTATTGATGATGGTGGCTCTGCCCGATTTCTTTATTTTGCTGCTCCCATTGTTCATAAAAACTAGGTATTCATGCGTACTCTAATTTTTTGTACCTCTGTGTAACAATTTGTCGCTTAGCAGAGAGAGCTGTAGTACCTGTGCTTGAATTTTCAAAGGCATGTGCACTTATTGGTTACTAAGCAATTGCAATGATACCGCTTCATTGACCTACAGCTAGCTGAAAGCTCCAATATTATGTGATACGAGTCTGAGTAAAAGGTCACCAGTGGTTTAGTCAAAGTGACTCAATCACAAACGTGCAGAAAAATTAGCTTTCGCTTGCTGATTACATAAGGGAACATCTGCATAATTTTAAATTCAAAATGCGTCTTTTCCTTATTCTCGTTTATTTTACTTCTTTTCTTTCTTGTTGGTTTACTATATCCAAAACTACTCTACTATGGGGATAGGCATCAAGGGTCGCTGGTTTACTGAGCCTGATACAAATCGCACTCTTCTATTCAGAGGTGTGAATTTGAGTCCTAATACGAAATTACCTGTTGGCATACCCTCTCATAAACGTGAGAGTTTTTGGGTTGACTATGATCGTCATGTTACCTTTGTTGGTCGTCCATTTCCATTATCTGATGCCGATGAGCATTTACAGCGATTAGTCAATCTTGGCTTCAATCTACTCCGGTTCATTGTGACATGGGAAGCAATTGAACATGAGGGCCCGTAAGGTTTTTCTATTCCATCTCTTTCTTTTTTTTTTTTTGTCTGTTCCTTTTGAAATAGAAGGGGGAAGAAAAGGATCAAGTTAAATATACAACACTTTTTTTTTTGTGTCTATTATAGTGGTATTTACGATGAGGATTATCTGGATTATGTGGTTCAGGTTTTGAAAAAATGTGAGGAGTATAGGCTTCAAGTCTACATTGATCCTCATCAAGATACGGTAAAGTTGTTTATCTGCGATTCTTGACTACTATAACGACTGTTGTTCAGAGTAACATGATTCGAGCGTTATGCCATATTCTCACACAATAAAGTAAAACATAGTGGTCGCGCCATTGTGGTGGCTCAGGGCATCCTGGATGGACGCTTGCATTGGCAGGTCTTAACCCTTTGCATTTTCCTCAAACCAATGCGGCCATCGTACATAATCTATATTCACCGCCAGAGAACTTTCCAAAGATGATTTGGAATACGAACTACAATAAATTAGCTGCTGCCACTTTATTCACTCTATTTTACGCTGGTCGAACTTATGCACCAAAATGTATTGTCAACGGTGTCAACATTCAAGATTACCTACAAGACCATTACTTGAGCAGTTTGACGCAGTTAGCAAAGCGTATCCATGACAACCATCTTGAAGATACCGTTGTCATTGGTTATGACACCATGAACGAGCCTGGCAAGGGCTATTTATCAGTACCCAACTTGAGTGAGATAAGTAAAGATGATGTTGATTTCAAAAAAGGGCTTACACCTACCGCTTTTCAAGGCATGCTATTAGGTGCAGGTTTTGAGGCACAAGTAGGTTTTTGGGAACTCAAGTGGAATGGGCCTAGAAAGACGAAGGACGTTTGGGTGAAGCCAGACATGACAGCTTGGATGACTGACCAAGAAGTAAAAGAAGCCTATGCCACTTTTCGGTGGGAAAGAGACTTTAACATTTGGCCAGCCGGTTGTGTTTGGGCTACGCATGGTGTGTGGGACCCTTCTCATCAAGATTTGCTTAGACCGGATTACTTTGTTAAGCATCCTAAGACAGGACAACCCACCCATTATAACGATTTTTGGACTGACCATCTATTGGCTTATGAACGAGCCATTCGTCATATTCATGAAAATGCTATCTTGTTTGTTCAGCCTCCCGTTTTAGAAGCACCACCCAAATTACCAGCAAACTTGAACAGGGTCGTGTATGCTCCTCATTGGTACGATGGACTGACACTGATTAAAAAGAAGTGGTGTAACTACAACGTGGACTACATCAATTTGAGTCGTGGAAAGTATGGTTCAGGGCCCTTGCGGTTCTTGCGTGCTCTGAGAGTAGGCGAAAAGGCGATACGACAATGTTTCGTAGATCAATTGGAAACTATACGAAAAGAAAGCATTGAAATTGTAGGCGATTATCCTTGTGTGATCGGTGAAATTGGTATACCTTACGACATGGAAAAATCAACTACCACAACGCTTTCTCATGTCTCGTCTTTCTGGTATTGGATACTGTCGCTCCTCGGTAGCTCTAATACAGATACATTAACAGATAGTCAAAATGCGATTGGCAGTCCTCAGTCAGATCAGAATAAAGCTTTCGATGCTAATATAAACGCTCTAGAGAAGAATTTGTTGAACTTCACCTTATGGAATTACATGCCTGACAACAGTGCTGAGTGGGGTGACTTATGGAACGGCGAAGATCTTAGTATTTTCCAAAGCTCTGATAACAATAAGTCAACAGACGACGCATCAGTGATAACAAAGCAAACAAACTCATTCGTAAAATCTCCGTATGCTGATGTATCAGTAGCTGTCACCAACGATACTATTATTTCTTCGTCAACGACAACCGACTCAAGTCGCACACTGATAGCTACACTTCCGTCAGGAAATGTAAAGACCATTTCAAAGGATGCTGACTTATCCGTGACAGCAAACATGAGTACAGACTCTCTCCAAGGCTTACTACAACAATATCAACAGGAGTCAAATGTCCGTAACTTGATCAGTTTGCATAGGCCTCATCCTTACCTCACAGCTGGCTATCCGTTAAATATTAATTTTGTTTCGCCCACAGAAAAAATATGTGCGTCATTTGAGTATAGTTTTGAATACAAGTCGACGACACATGGACCAACAGAAATATATGTTCCTAGCTGTTATTTCCCAGTGACAGCAGTAGCCACCGATGATACAGAACTTACCTCTAGAATAACTGTCAGCGTCGGAACGTGGCAAGCAGCTTCCATTCATAACCAATATTGGATTTTACTCTGGTCTATAGAAGAAGATCAGGATATAACTGAAGTGAAGATCACTATAGAGGGGATCACGGTCATTTGATAAAGATCAACCAACAACTGAATAAAAAAGTCACTCACAATTACTCATTTTCTAGTTGGATCCAGTTAACGTCCGGACATAATTTACTGGATCAACTGTCCATCTCGCGCAATTAAGCAATGTGAATTTCCTTACCCGTGGCACATCGTTTCTCCACCCAATCAAAAGAACTATGATTCTCAATTTCGTCGGAGTTTGATAAAAAAGAATTTTTTGGTTTCTCTTCCTTTTGTTTTTTCTTCTTTTTTCTTCTTTATCCCTAAAACGTTGTTTATTCAAATTCAATAGGCACATACTGCTTCAATTTCTTTTCAACTTTACTGAAAGAGAAAGGAAATCTCCACAAATTTCAATAGTCTTTTTTTCTTATTTTGTTATTCTGTATAACTAACAAATAAGGAGAAGAAAACAGAATCACTGCCTTTACCTTCAAGTTCAAAGGGAAATACTCAAAAGAAAAAGTCGAAACGGTGATACTTTCCTCACCCCTCACTTTTCTTCATCACAGCAGCAGCGTCGTCGACAAACAGACAAAAGGATTTTTTGAACCCTTTTCAGTCTCGATAAAAGGGTTTTCTTAGAAAGCAAGAAATTCAATCTAAAGAAGGTCTAACAGTTCCGTTTAATCAATTTGATAATCATGAATACAGTTGCCTACTCCCAACCTCAACAGAAAACCATCATCGCCATAGGCGTAAAACAACAGACCATGTTCTATCCAGCTCAACCGTGGAAGAAGGGTTGTTCTCTTCTTCAGAGCAACAATTAACAAATTCCTCCACTCATAAACTAAAAAGAAAAACCATTACAAAGAAACGTTTCCAACCGTATAGTCACAATAATAACAATCGCAATAATTATATTGAACAACAGCAACAGCAAAGTAATTCAATAGGAGAAACTGATTCCCTTTTTGGTCCCATTCCAACCTCTGCCTCTTCTTCTGTAAATTCAGTAATGACAATGTTTGAAGGTGTTGATGTTGACGAAGATAGAGCCACAGCAACAGATATCAATTCAAACCTTTTACTAAGAGACAATGAGCTCTTTGCCGAATTTGACGATTTTATGTACCTCAACTCTTCCAATACAGAAAGATATCTTACCTCTCCTCCACCTTCGCCTACGCTCACATTTCAAGATTTAAGCGGCAATAATGATGATATCGGCTTTGATGATTTTCCATTATTCCCTTAAATAATCTTTCCTTTCTACTCCCTGTCATCTCATCTTCGTTACCTATTTAAACCTTTATCATATCATTACATTTCCATTCGATTGCAGCAGTTAAAGTCAGAACACTTGAATAAAGCCAAAGAGTTACTTTTTTCCCTGAATGACCAGTTAAGAGCTTTCATGTCGCTATTGTATTCAAACACTTGTTGAACATGAAACTGTAAAATCCACGTAATCGCTGGGGAACGAAACACGTGTGACAAATCGATAGATGATTTCCATTATCCTTAAACTTTATCGAGCCATCGATAAAAGTGGGCCATTATCTTAATAAACATATCAAGCGAACTAGACTCTACGCCAATACGTTGAAAACCCCTTTCTGAATAATTAAGCCTTAAATATGGGCGTATCATTAAGACAAAATGACCATTTTCACTAAACTGAACAAAATTCCCAATCGGCATAATAACACTACTGATTTCTTGTGAGCATTGGATTCTTATAGTAATGTAACAGTAGATAAGGTGGATTGTTTGTATTACCACATTGCTAAACTTCTTGCTTTAAACAATTTGTTGGACTCACAGTCTTGAAATTCAAGCCGCCTTCCTTGGCAGCCTTTAAAACTTTCGTCCAAGTTGTGCGGCTGGGATCAACAATATGTTAGGCGTAATCCTGTTGACTGTTAAAAGCAACCATCGTATTCTGTCTACAAGCATGAAGCATACTCTACAGGTACCCAGTCAATTATGCGTAAATTGGCAGGGAAACTGGCAAGAAAAATAGCCCCGCCTACGATCATACGAGGAGATTGCTCAGAAACGTTCCATACACCATGCAATCTATCTCCACAGATTTTGATCGAGTCATTCAATGTTGCAAGGATACAACTTCTCTTTTGCAAGAAAGCCAAGGAGAGTTTTACAGATGAATTTGGATTGAGTAAACCCTGCTGGCATAGACACATGCGAGTCAAGAGGCGTTTGTACTTGTAGCACCCCATGCTTGGCAGGAGCTTTCTAGCAATCTCTCATGAAGGTTTATAAAGACAATAGCTTTATATTGGTTGTTTGTTGTTTGGTTTCTGTTAGTAAACGTTCTTCACATAGCTTTCACTGATTTTGTTTGCTGCTGCTTACGATGCTTCCTCATTTCCTTCTTCTTTGTTTCTTTTACTTCCTTATTTCTCTCTATTAAACAAACGGATTGAAATAAAATCTTGTTTTTGACACATCTTCTTTATTCTACTTAGCATGCTACTATCGCGCAAGAACCATCGCTCCGTAGTATCTCTAGTATCTGTAGTGTCCGTACCTCCTAGCTGAGGCACGTCTATACTATCAGATTTTACCCATCAATTAGGCCTTTTTTTCCTATAACATATATATCTTTCCTAATCTTTTATTTCTGATCCGTCTTTATTGAATAAATGTCATATGAATTTAAGAAAATAAAAAAAAAGTATCTGTAGCATCCGTAGTATTTATATGTTGGCTATTTATTGATGGTACTTTTTGACGAGGTTATGGAAAAAGGAACGAAGAGTTTGTCTAAATGTGAATCGCTTGCACAAGTTTTTTCCTGGGATTCTTGCAAGCATTGTTTCCAGTTCAATCTACCGACCAACTCTTTTTTGTAGTTTAAAACAAAACGCAAAATCATCGTCTTTGGCAGATGTTGCGTCTGTTATTGTATTCGTAAATCGATGTTCTGACAAAGGTTCCAGAGATGAGTCCGATTCATCCTGTGTTGAAAATTTTCTTTTTACAGATGCATTGTATACCAACCCGCGGTTGATCAAGCTTTTGCCTTTCGATGTTACTGGAATGCCTCGATTACCGTCTCAATTTTCCGTAAAATTCTTCGCTGCTCGAACAAATCACGTCGATAGATCCCGCAAAGTTTGATTCTTGTTGTGCGTGGTCTTCAAGACAACCTTGGCAGTATGGTTGAATATTTGGGTCATTTGCATAGGTATGTCCATACAGCGTCGAAGATTGTTCGATGAGAAACAGTGACAACGCGCACAAAGATCGCAAGTTACCATTAACTTTGGTAGTAGTGTTGTGTTTGCTTATTTAAAAATGGACAATTGTGGTAAGTCGATGACGATGAGCTTAAGTGTCTTTTTTATTCTTCAGATATAGTAGAAAGATTATTTACACTGTAAGGTCTGATGGGAGATATATTATTTGAGGATGCTAGTCACTAGTTTCAGGTTCAGATGCTGAATGAGTGATTATTATATTTAGGCCTGTATTTCATTATATGTTGTACATAACCTACATCAGATGCAATATAGATAGACCGTGGTAGAATGTATCTGGTTGTACGTACTCGAGTACTATAGTTATTTCACCAACCACGTCAACACCAACGATTGATGATGATAGTCTCTCTTTAATAATACAGAAAACAGATGTTTGTTTCAGTGTTAACAGAACTCTCGCCAGCAAAGAGGTACTTGATGAATTCAATAAGATCAATGCAAATCATGATAGTAATCAGTCTCTAAAATCTATCCCAGGAGCCTTTACCTTTCTAAAAGAATTCTTAGCGTTGGATGAGGGTGAACTTATTGACAAACTGGCTAATCTACATACGAACAAAACTTGTTTAACAAGTTCATGAAGTTTGCTCTCATTGATTATGCTATCAGCTGTGAAAGGATTACACCAACACCTATCAATGATAAGCGCACGATTTATCGAAAATATTGTTCCTTTGTTCAAATATTTTGGTAATATCACAAAGACCATCTCCTTTCGTTGGTGAGTATATAAGTTGTTTACAATGTTTGCTTTTTGCCTTACCCATATCAAACATGCATTATAGGGATGGAAAAAAAGGGTAAAGACTCGGCTGCTGTAGTGTTTTACGTGAACAAGCTTAAAGGGGATACCAGACTGGCTGACAGGATTGGTTCTGGTTCATAAAACTGGATTCTCAAAACCTTCATCACTTCTTTCCGTATGTTCGTTTGATTAAACTGGACTACGAAACAGAAATTGACTACATTTCAAGGTGTTTCGATACTTTAACTTCACAATATTCAAAATAGTAGGGTAAGCTTCTAGAATTAGTCTATTTTTAACTGGAAGGGCTAATTCAAATATGTTATATTGCTGTCTTAGCATTGAAGAGTTCATTAATTTACCTACAGCTAAAAACAAAATGTTCAGCAACTGTGGACGGATACACATGTTGGATTGCCTTTGCTAGAAAGACTACCAGTAGCACTATTAGAAATGTACAATTGAGCATATCCGACTTCACCGAAGAGGAAATCAATAGTCACATATGTCCCTGTGCGTTTGTTTCGTATCATGGAGGCACAGATGTCAGGAAGTGTTCTACTCAAGAGTATTACCAGGCTATATAAGGGCAGGATGAAGATAGAAGAAGATTGAGATACGATACTTCTCGCGCTTTTATATTATAGTCAACTATATGTATAAGCTATACAGATAATAAAAGTACACTTGCCACCTTTTTGGACAACGTTAACGAAGGATACCACGAATTCCCATCAGATAGATAGCAAAATGTACTAATAAGCATGTATAGTATGTAAGGGGACAGGATTCTCAATGAAAGACACACCATTTCTACTTTGCAGTTCATTGATTTAAAAACTTTTAAAAAACATCGTCTTTGAGGAACTTCCTGTTGAAACAGTCCAAATAGTAAAAGCGAAAGAGAGCGGCTTGGAATCAAGTATTGCACTTTTCTTATTCTGTCCGGTATCAGCAATTGAACAATGAGGGAAATGCATGCGCATAAAAATTTGCCTGAAATCACAAGTACGCTATCACTCTTCAAAGAGTAGATTTAAAAGGCCTTATCTGCCAGAAATGTTTGCTCTTATCTATTACCATACTGGTAAGGCGATATGTTTGATTGGAGAAAAAAACAAGACTTTCCACCCATAATACCATTGATTAGTTTACATAAAGGTTTGTAGTGAAATAGGTAATTGATGTACTATGTACCGTATATCTTGCAGTTTGGTTGATAGTTCAGACCTGTTATGTCCTATAGACGTATTCACCCGAATAAGTTGTTCTATTGTATGCTCTCAATTTAAGAAATGACAATCTTATAGCAACGGACATGAGGAGCTATTTATCGGTCGTGATGTAAGGGTTAAGAGTAATGAATAATAGGTAACAACTATTTTGTGGATTATATAAGTTCTAAAAATTAAATTAGCAGTGATGAATTGTAGAAAAAGGGGGAATACTTGATGAATAAGGGAATGATAGTGTGTCTAGTTGTACATTCAGTTTCAATTAGAGGTTAAGACACCTATCTCAGACTATAACTTTCTGTAAAATTTAGACCATCTCAGTAATGTCCAAGGGAGTCCAACCGTCGCTCCCATAATTAAGTAAGACTCTATTGTCTGGGCTGACTGTAAGCAATCCTTTGGCTTGATAGCTAGTCGGGCCTCGCATATCTAATTCAGCCTTAAACCTTGTCACCCGGTATTGTTTGGCTAACTCTATTCTTCGTGTGTTCTGTACGTTGTCATTATCAGTTGATTTTGTCTTGGCCCATTCGCTCGTTTCATCCTCATAGTCATTCACCATTTCTTGGTATTCGTGATATGCAGGCGTGTCAGGTTTACCTAGCTTTCCTGGAGCTACAGGATCTATTTTTACGGCCTCATCCATGGTTTTCTTGTCTTTCTCACCCGTGATATTGCCAGGCAAGGCTGTGATATCGACATAGTTGGTCAACTCTTTGCAATCTTTGGTAAAATGAATCTTGCTTGCCACCACTGGATCTAAAAGCGGTGTGATTAATGTCCAAACGGTAGAGAATACCCAGGGCGCCTTATGAATCAAACAGCAACCTAATGTCTCAGGGTAATAAGCTTCAAAGCATGACACTAAGAATTTGACAAAATCAAAGTCCTTTGCGTGCCAAGTGTCCATTGAGGCAATTAAAAAGGAAATTTTGAAGTTAGAAGAAAATGACCAGCCTATTGTTACACACCATTTTAACTTTTTTCACATTCATCTCTTCAGGGCATTCTTTGGATATCAATCTTTCACACATACAATATCAACCCCAAACAAAAATTCCTGACCCACACAGATTTCTCAGCTGCATTTATATCCTTACCATATTTTTGAGTGTGAAACCATCCATGTTGAAAACGATACATGCTGATTCTACTGGTTGATGAACAATGGCACGGGATGTTTCCATGATATACATTGTTAGTAGTTTGATGATTTCAGGCGTTTGGTCTTCCTTGTGATGAAGATTAACATTAATGAAACTATCAAAGGCCGAATTAAGCAACCATTACTTCCATGTTGTTGTGTTTGTCATTTTAAAGGAAAACCACATACCAAATGCCTCGACCTTCTTTATCAGGGCCTCCCAAATAAGCTTTACCAGAGTTAAGCTGCGTAATAAATGAATCCCCGAGTCCAGGCTGTAACCTGTTTAATTCATCTCTCATACCGTTTTCACCAAGCGCCGTAATGTCATCTAAACGGAATACCAACCGCCAACGGAGGGCATTCGTGAGCATATGATAGGCGGCCTCTAAATCCCATTTACGAGCACGTAAGAAACGTAGCAGGACTGCGTCCGGATTATCTGTAGCTACCATGTTCCAAAATGTGGTGCGAAGTTGGTCGCCTGGAATCAAAGGTAAAGCCTTTTCCAGTGGCATAGACATAATGGAAGAATTTATAGTCGTGCCAATGAAAACTTCCACATTTTTATCCACGTTGCTCGTAGTTTTCTTGGAGGAAAACCACCCTCCCCCTTTCTTCGTGTCTTCTTGTTTCGTGTTGGTGTCGCTCTCCTTAGGCCTAATATCAGTGCCTTTTTGTTTGAATAATTCCAGGAGACGGATCCACAATTGCTTAAGCATATCATTTTCCTTCACGGTCAAATTGCCAACATGGCCCGGCAAAGAGCTAACTGAGTCCACAAGAACCATAGTTTTTTGAAAAACCAAACAGTAAGTCTGAATGGAAGAGAATGAAAAGGAAGGCAGCAAATAAAAATCTGTACCTAAGGTTTAAAAGCTTTGTTAGTGGAACAGAAAAAGAAAAAAAGTAGTCCTTCTTCAAAATTCACCATGGAATGAAGGTGATACAGCCATGAGCACTTTAAAAAAATAGACTTTTTGTTTCAAGTTATGATAAGTTTAATATGTCATCGTTTGCATTCTACTTTCATTGTTTACCAACTGAAATGATTCAGGCTGTTAGGGCGATGGTTAAACTGTTGTAGGCGGAATTAATCGCAACAATACTACCACTTTTGGGGGTAGGTAGAAATAATTAGCCGATGTCTACTCGTCTTTTGAAATCGCTATCACAATCATCTGAGCGCTCCATAGACATTGTGAACACTATTCTGTCATCTATCATTGCTCATGCTATATGAATATCATGTGGATGCCGTGTATTGCTTCCTATATATGCGCGATTCAATGGCCGAAAATTTGACAGCTGCACTTTGCAATTTTGCTTTTGGGAAACTGAAGTTTTTTATTGTGATTAAATATGTAAATGCTGTGGATGGGATATATAATGACTCCACATAGAAGCCTTAAGTGGTCCAGATATCGATCACCGTGAAACCGAATTGAAATTAAAAGAAATAGTCGATGAGCTGCAAGATAACTGTTCATAGAAAGATGTTAACCATTGGAATGTGCAATGTCAGTTTTGTATTCTCATCCTAACACTTACTGCCACCAAACAGGGCAAAAATTAGAAGAATAACAGCCCAATAAGGGTAAGAGGGCTTATTAGCAGCCTTTGATTTCTAAATGACAATAAAATGAGTGATATATATATATGACATGAAGAAAGGCAAGACTTTCTTTACCTCCTGCGCCTTAGCAGCAACAGTTCCCTTCATCGATCTGTTATGGTAAAGTTGGTTTCGTTTACGGAGTGTAGGTGCAGTAGCCTAAATAAGCGTTGAGTCTACAGAGAACTGTCATACATCTGTCAATGTCAGCTTACCATTTCAAATTGCAATCAAGTAAAAAGGGGGAAAGGTTAGGAAAGGTTGGGAAAGTCGGCCGATCCCTTAAAGCTTGAACTTGTCGCAATTTCATTGGTTAACTGATAATATCAATTCTTACCCGCACAGACACGGATGCATCCCTTTTGTGTAATTCGTAACCGAAAAGGATGCAGTTTTTTGACAATGGAGGCTCACAATGAAGTGGGGGAAGTAGATGCTTTAAGGCACCATTGGCTTTTTTTTTTTTTTGGCCTCGCATGAGAAGTTCATACTTCTATTGATATCTGCAACATATACCATCCATTTTCCCACTGCCTTTGCGTACCGTCAATTTACCCAAAGAGGTGTCACGGTCATGAGTTATAGTTAGGGTTATCAGAGTAATTCAGGTTCCTTAGAACAGAGTAGCGCCGGAAAAACATTTTGTATTACATTGTAGCCTACAATGACTGATATAATTGATCACTACTCATGTACGATACTGTTATCTATAGAATAGGGAACATTTTCATTGGCCAAAAAGTTCTAAGGGGGGCATTTAACAATCAGCCATTCAGACAGAAACTGTATATTTTTCAGTTGTTACACATAACCGAAAAGATTTTGTTATAATAAAACGCTCTTCAATTTTTTTTTACATTTGTTATTCCTTCTTCTCAAGAAAGACGAGTGTTGACAATGGCCACTGTAACAGAAGAAACCTACAGAAACAGTGCTGATTACTTGAAATCCAAATTACCAGCCGATTTCCAGGAACCAAAGCTTGGCATCATTTGTGGATCTGGTTTGGGTGGATTAGTTGACACTATCGATCAATCAACCTGTGTTGAATTTCTCTATAAGGACATTCCAGGTTTTGTCTCTAGCACAGGTAAACTACTCGGATCTTTTCTCTGATTCAAACAATGTGCTATTGATCCATCGTGCTAATTTGATAATGTACATCAGTTGTTGGTCATGCTGGTAAACTTGTATTCGGTCATTTGGGTGAATCACGTGTTCCCACCGTCTTTATGGTCGGTCGTTTCCACTTTTATGAAGGCCATAACTTACGTCAAGTTACGTTGCCTGTACGCGTGATGGCATTGTTGGGAGTGAAAAATCTCATTGTCACCAATGCAGCTGGTGGTCTTCAAGACAATCTCAAAGTGGGAGACTTTATCATTATCAATGATCATATCAATTTGCCCGGTATGGTGGGCAACAATCCCCTTCTTGGTGAAAACCTTGATATTTTCGGCCCTCGTTTCCCTGCTGTTTCAGACGCTTATACATATGCCCTTCGTAAATTAGCCTTTAAGGCAGCTTTTGAAATCGGTATTAAAGAGGAAGATATCCGTGAGGGTGTATACTGTATGGTTTCTGGCCCAAGCTTCGAAACTCGAGTGGAAGCTCGATTTTTGGCTTCTTTAGGCGGTGATGCTGTTGGCATGTCCACTGTACCTGAAGTTATCATTGCTCGACACGCTGGTATGAAAGTTTTGGGTATCAGTTTGATCACAAATGCAGTCGTTAGAGCAAGGGGTAAAGATGCCAAGTTAGAGATATTGCGCGAAATGGGGCAATCCACAACAGTGGACAAAGAAGAAGATAGCGAGAAGGTCATTGCTAACCATGCTGAAGTTTTAGAAACAAGCTCTAAACGTTCTGCTGACATGCAGCGTTTAGTTACACGTTTTGCTGATTTATTAGCCAAAACTGAATATATTTAAATGAGCAACATGCTTTTCTTTAGACCCCCTTTAAATTATTCATCATCCAAGCTATTAGATTAAATAAAAGCTCTATTTTCATCAGAAAATGTCAATCGGTGTAAGTGAAAAGAAACTCCTGAAAAGCCACTGTGCCGCCAACCCTGCTCTTTTCTTTTTTCAGCATCCTACTTTAATCCTACTTTATGCAGCTGCTTGCGCTGTTCAATTTCCTTTACCATATAGTTTATCCCCCCCCCCTCCCCCCATAAAACCCCGGATTTCACTGCGAAATAATTCGGTCATGGCTTAGACAATTGATTTATTGTATACCGAAAAAGTTAGAGTGTATTTTTTTGCTCTTTTACGCAGCAAAATGTTAACCGTGGTTGGTTGTGTCAAGTTTTAACTAACTACAAACGGTATTGGCTCAACAGAAAACAGCGCCTCTATTATGAGTGGTTTGCTGTGAGATCTGAAAAGAACCGGAGCGAAAGTGAAAGAAAAAAATTGGGACCTCTCTTCTTTGACCATTTACAACCCCGGCAAAGATTTTCTGAGAAAAGGTACCTGGGCGTATAAAGAACCCTTCCAAAAAGTCCCGTTTTTTTCTCATCTTTTCTTCTCCAATCTTTGTACTTTCCTTTTCTTGAAGAAACAAATTTAACATGTACAACTTGTCAAAGGTTGCCCACAGACGTCTTTTCCCTACCTTAGCGCGTAACGTAAGTTAGCATCCTCTCAATTCACGACGCATGAGTCAAAGAAGAAGAAAAAATTACGAATGAAGTGAATGACGGACAGCTGACAAATCGTTGTATCAATTAAAAAAAATAGACCGGTGCTATCTCTACAACTGCTCGTGCCTACAGCCAAGGCGTCAATGGTCCTGTTATCGGTATCGATTTAGGTACCACTAACTCTTGTGTTTCTGTTATGGAAGGTAAAAACCCTAGAGTTATTGAAAACGCTGAAGGTGCCCGTACAACTCCCTCAGTCGTCGCCTTCACCAAGGATGGCGAATTATTAGTCGGCCAAGCCGCTAAGCGTCAGGTAAATTATTCTTCGATAGTGTAGACTTTAGAATGAGCTATGTACAAGGGGTCTAAGTGGCATTTGTCGACGTATCCGATGTACTATCAGTCTATGAGTCATTTTTGAAAATAGAAATTTTTAAGTGAAAAATAGAGATAGGAAAAGCTGACTTGACATTTCCCCCCCCCTTATAGGCCGTTGTCAATTCTCAAAACACAGTCTATGCTACTAAGCGTTTAATTGGTCGTCAGTTCAAGGACCCTGCCGTCCAAGCTGATATCCCTGCTGTCTCCTACAAGATTATTCCTCACTCCAATGGTGACGCTTGGGTTGAAGCCAACGGTAAGAAGTATTCTCCTTCGCAAATTGGTGCTTTCGTTTTGGGTAAAATGAAGGAAACTGCTGAAGGCTATCTTGGCAAGAAGGTGAAGCACGCTGTCATCACTGTACCTGCTTACTTCAATGATGCTCAACGTCAAGCTACTAAGGATGCCGGTAAGATTGCCGGTCTTGACGTCATGCGTGTCATCAACGAACCTACGGCTGCTGCCTTGGCCTATGGTCTTGACAAGTCTGGCGATTCTACCATCGCTGTTTACGATTTAGGTGGTGGTACTTTCGATATTTCCATTTTGGAAATCCAAAACGGTGTCTTTGAAGTCAAGTCTACCAATGGTGATACCGCCCTTGGTGGTGAAGATTTCGATTCTCATCTCGTCCGTTACGTTGTCAGTGAGTTCAAGAATGAATCCGGTATTGATCTTTCCAGCGATCGTATGGCTATTCAACGTATTCGTGAAGCTTGTGAAAAGGCCAAGATTGAATTGTCTTCTACTGTTCAAACCGATATCAACTTGCCTTACATCACTGCCGATGCTACTGGACCCAAGCATATTAACACCAAGTTAACTCGTGCCAAGTATGAAAACCTCGTTGGTGATCTTATTCAACGTACTGTTTCTCCTTGTGAAAAGGCCATGAAGGATGCTGGTATCTCTAATAAGGATGTCAGTGATGTTATTTTGGTCGGTGGTATGTCACGTATGCCTAAGGTTATTGAAACCGTTAAGAGTGTCTTCAGCAAGGAACCCTCCAAGTCTGTCAATCCTGATGAAGCCGTTGCTATCGGTGCCGCCATTCAAGGTGGTGTCCTTGCCGGTTCCGTTACTGATATCTTATTGCTCGATGTTACTCCTCTTTCCTTGGGTATCGAAACTCTCGGTGGTGTCTTTACTCGTTTGATCAACCGTAACACAACCATTCCTACCAAGAAGGCTCAAGTTTTCTCCACAGCCGCTGATGGCCAAACTCAAGTTTCCGTCCGTGTCTTCCAAGGTGAACGTGAACTTTGTCGCGATAACAAGCTCTTGGGTGATTTCAATTTGGTAAGATGGAAATATTTATAAAAGCATGATATCATTATGTGGGGTTAATATACTAATTCATCTTTTTTATTTAGACCGGTATTCCTCCTGCTCCTAAGGGTGTTCCTCAAATTCAAGTAGAATTTGATATTGATGCTGATGGTATTGTCAACGTTAGTGCTAAGGATAAGGCTACTGGCCGTGATCAATCAAGTAAGTATCTAGCTGAGGTTATATGAGTTGTTGTAGGTTTCAGTAAGAGCGAGAGTTTGACCCAGATGATTGATTTTGCTCGATAGTGACCATTGCCGCTTCTTCTGGTTTGAGCAGCGACGAAATCGAAAATATGATTCAACAAGCCGAAGCTAATGCTGAAGCTGATCGTCAACGTCGTGATACCATTGAAATGGCCAACCGTGCCGACTCCGTTATGAGTGAAACTGAAAGAGCTATGGATGACTTCAAGGAGCAACTTGATAAGGCCGAAGCTGATAAGTTAAAGGAAAAGATTGATGCTCTCCGTGCTGAAGCCTTGAAGGCTCAATCCGGTGACGTTGCCATCAAGCCTGAAGATCTCAAGGCTAAGATTGACGATCTTCAAACGAGCTCTTTGAAGCTCTTCGAAATGGTTTACAAGAACCGTGCTGCCCAAAACGAAGGCACTCAACAAACTGACAGCAATGCCAACAACAATAACACTGAATCCAAGTAATTCAAATCATGTTTATAGTTTATTATTTTGATATAATAGAAACCGAATCTTTTTTTCAACAATTGGTGTAAATAGACCTTTATCCCCCCTTATAACCCTTTTTATTTTATGTAAAAGTACGACCTACTATTCAAATAAATTCTCATCTCGAATCATTTGCTCATTCTCTCAAGTCGTGTAGTCAAAGAATTTTCCCTCTCTTTTCAGTTTCCGAAATCATTTCCAGCCTTGACTGACAGGATCCACCTCGGTGAAAGATAAAATGACATCTGATTCACGAAAAAAAGAGAGTGCGTGTAGTCTCTCTAAATCACTTTTTTGGATGTACACGAACATCTCTTCCTAGCTAACATCTATCATCATTCTCACAATATCTGAGATACGCAACAGGTGATTGATAGATAGTGCATGGTAGGTGGAGCTACTTGATCGCTCTGGATCTGACAGCTCAGGGGCAAACGAGTAATCATCTACCAAAGAGGGGACCTATTCTTTACGGAAACCTCAACTCACTGAGTATTATATGACTTTAGTACATCTATAAATTCCATCATATTTCATAGAATGCGAACACAATAACTCGTTATTAATAGCAGTGATTTTTGTTTTCTTACTTTTTCATCGTTCTCCAAAAAGCTTTTGTAAATGATAAGTTATTCTTTTTTTGTTTTTATTGCAAAGATGAACGAATGCCATACTCGGTCTTTTCTCCTTGCTTCTTTCTCTTAAACCGACTTTAACAATTACAACCATAATGTCCCATCTGCTTCCCAACGATCGCCACCTTGCTAGACTGGATAATATTGCAGGTTCTCTCCTTGTCGATAACATCAAAATGACACCTGTATTTCGACCTGTGAGCTTTCATTCGCCGTATGATTGGCGACTATAACTTTGTAAGGGCTGATATCCCCCACCCCTCACTGGTTTCTGTGCTTTTGCCCGCTTGTCGTTTCTGTGACACGTCAACAGTCAATGGGTCATAGCGTATTATACCGCGTCCGTTATCTGTTAATACCTTGCCTCAGATTTCAGGCCCTGTATCCTCAATGGGCAAAATTCTACGAGCGGCACCATAGGCTCGCCGTGGAGACCGCGATGTGAATCAGTTGCCTTGGCGAGGACGTGAACGTACAATATACTCCGCGCGCCTCTACCACTACAACGATGCCCTCTTTCAGCAGTTTACCCAGATTCTTTCCCGCGAAGACTGGTTCTTTTTTTCTTTTGTCTTGATTGTGCACACTCAAGCTTAAGCCTCTTCGATTGTTCTACTGATATTGTGGATCAAATTCAAAGTGTAAAAGTATACAATCTTTTTTTCCCATCAAGCGGAAAAAGCTATATTATCGGTAAAAGCTTCATATTCTTTTGCCAACCTATTCTTCTAAGTTGCAACAATTACCAAATTTACAAATTTCCTCAGTTATTTTCGATTGCATCATTATTTGTCTTCTTCATCTTGTGGGATTAATTAAATAATCTCGCGGAGAGCACTAAAAACGAGCTGATGCAGGCAAATTTTCATAAAGTTATAATTATGCTTTAGCTTCGTACAACGGCCAATGTATATCTTTGAAGGAAAAACCCAAAGTATAAATCCATTCAAGTTTATCCCATATTCAACTGTTGAGAATCGACATGGACAAACCATTTGTGAGTGGTATGCTATGCTAACCCAATAGTCACCGTTGAAATGAGAGAACCACGGAAATGTCTTCTTTTTTAAACGGTCAAGTCCCGTGAAAGCGCCCTCTACATAGTTAGTTATTCACTTTTTGCTTGATACAGCTTGACCTGCTATATAAGGAAACCTCAAGTTTTTTTTTTTTTTTTTTTTTTTTTTTTTTTTTTTTTTTGTCCATGTGTATTTGAAAGTCATTTTTTTCTTCTTTTTTGACAAACTCAATAGCAACCCACCGTAGGCGTTGTCATTTAGCTGCAGGCAATCATATAGATCTCTCCTCGTGTACACTCTTTACTTATAATTCAGCATCTACGATATATCGCGCAACTCTTTAACCTTTACCAAAACCGACTATTCACGTATAAACAATAGTAAAATGGCCAATACGGGAGTTGCAACACCAGCGTCTACTGCTTCGCCATTACTAGCACAACGTCAATCGCCTCTAATCCAAGCCCCTCACAGTCAGAAAGTGGAAGTAGCAGTAGTATTTGTTGTGGACGGCTCAGCAAGGATGAAACATCATTTCCGAATTCTATATGAAGCTTATGTCGAGCCTATTATAAGGTACAAAAACTATCGCAGAATGCTTGTCATTCGGAATCACGATTCAATGGATAATTATAACTATTCTGTTCACGTAGGCAATTGCGATCACCCATAGCAACTGAAAATGACAACGGACATACCAAATCAAAAATAACGGTAAAATAGAAAATACTATTATATGCTTCCTCAAGACACATTACTTACAAAATAACAGCCCGTTTTAAAGTATGGACTCGTTATATTTGGAGACTATGAGCCATCTTCGGATGTCACTGTAGATAAGAAATATTTCACATCCGATGCTATTTTATTTCAAGATATCTTCAAAAGTACTACCTTTGAGAATGGAGGCATACTGAAAAATGCAGTTGAAGAAGGCATGGTGGCTGCTTTAGAGGTAGGCATAATAACGAAAAGTAGCGTAATCCATTAACTTAGCATGTTATCTTGGTTTGTAGCTTTTCGATGAATATAGGGCTGAATTGGATGGTAAAGAGCCTATACAGCACTGCATTTTGATTTCGAACAGTCTACCGTACAAAAATCGAACAAAATGCAATTTAGACGACAAGTATAGTGGGCTTAATATGAATGATATTGCCGACGAGATGAGAAAGGTACTCATCTATCAACAATTTTATAGAAGAAATAAAAAAATGTATTGACTTTTTTTATCGTTTGAATTTATTAAGGCAAATGTAAAGCTCTCATTCATTTCACCAGAGATCAAATCCAAAGAAGTAGACAATATCATTTCGCTCATAAATGAAGAAAGAACAGAAGTCAATACAGTGCAAGAGACTGTAATTCCATCACATGTAGTTAAATTAGCTGGTTTCAATTTGCCTACACTACCGGCGTTGACAAGTCAATCTTCAATACCACAAAAGCATAGCTCACCACAATTGTTATCCAACGAGCCAAATAAGAAGAAGAAAAGAGACAATATTCCTGGGCAGATTAGCTTACCTAAGCCATCTTTTGATGGGAAGAACTTTGCAGAAGCGGATACTAGAAATAATGCACAAATCCCTGACAAACAACCATCGACGACTGATATCAAACAAGAACCGGAAGCAGAAATGGATACCAATAAACAAAGCTCGCCAGCGCTTGCTGATAAGCAAACCTTTACTAATCAAACAACGAAGGCATCACCTGGGATACAGCAATCTCAGCCGAATCAGAATGTGCCACCAAAAACACATATGTCACCGACACAACAGCAATTACAATCTCATCCACAGACTCTTCCACAAAGCCTTCCACAGCAGCAAATGCAATCTCCTTCTTTGGTTAAACAGCAAATGCAAAGTACACCTCAACCTACTCATTCAACACCAAAACAACAACCACAAAATCTTCAAGCGCAAATGCAACAGACACCTCAGTTTCCACCTCAGCAAGCTTTGCAACAGCAACAACAAGTTTCCCCTCAACAGCAATTACAACAGTTACAGCATGCTCAACAACAGCAACAGTTTCAACAATTACAGTTACAACAAATGCATCAAGCCCAGCAGCAATTACAGCAACAGCAACAGCAACAGCAACAGCAACAGCAACAGCAACAGCAACAGCAACAGCAACAGCAACAGCAACAGCAACAGCAACAGCAACAGCAACAGCAACAGCAGCAACAGCAACAGCAACAGCAACAGCAACAGCAACAGCAACAGCAACAGCAACAGCAACAGCAGCAACAGCAACAGCAACAGCAACAGCAACAGCAACAGCAACAGCAACAGCAACAGCAACAGCAACAGCAACAGCAACAGCAACAGCAACAGCAGCAACAACAGCAAGCACCCAACCAACAACAACAGCAGAGGCCTTCCCTTAATCAGGCACAGTTTCAACATCAAATGGCGGGCCGCATGCAAAATCCTTTGCAGATACAACAATATCTCATACAACAAAGAAACCACCTACTGTCCCAGGGTGTAAATTTAACGCCTCTTCAACAGAATCAATTGCAACAAATCCAGGCAGCCTTGTTGCGAGTAAGTGGTCAGTTACGACGAACTTCAGGAGCAGGTACAACAAATAATACGAATGTATCCCAAGCGCCCGCAGAATCAATAGGTACACCAGCCACCACTGCCTCTATACCTGCTGGATCGTCGCCTGTTGCATTCAATAACAACTTATCCGTAAGACCAGGAACTCCTGATCTTGGTAGTGCCAATATACCTAATAATGACTCTAATATGCTCTCGCAGCAGCAACAACCGCAAATTAATATTGCGCAACTACCTGCCAATCTCACACCACAGCAGCGAATGCTTATTGCTGCACAGTTGGCGCAAAGAAATGGCGGTAGACCGCCTAACCTAACCGATCTACAAGCCCAGTTATTACAGCATCAAGCCCAAGCTCAACAACAGATAATACAGCAACAGCAACAACAGGCTCAACAAGGACAAACACCTCAGCAGCCGCAGCAGCAGCTCCCTCAACAAGGGCTTCAGACACCTCAGATGCAACAAGCATTAGCGCAACAACAACAACAAACACCGCAACACCTGACACTACAGCAACAGGCAGTCAACCTACAACAAACTCCACAGGTTCAAGTTCAAGGTCAACAGCAAACTCCACAACAACAAATTCAAGCAGCACAACAACAACATCCACAACAGCAGCATCCTGTAGGCTCTGTGCCCACGAACCCTATTTGGACTGGAGAAATTGTATGGCATATCAAAACACCTGAAGGTCAACTTCAAGAATTCAGTTGCCATTGTGGCGCATTTGCTATCACGTTAAAAGGAAATAGTGTAAGCTTAGAGGAGTAGTAAGTGTTTCTAATTTGTAACAAACATTTTATAAAAATTCTGCTCTTTGAAATACTTACACTTTCCATTCAGTCGTCCTGAGATATGGCCTACACGTCTTCAAATTGCTGGACGTTCACCTTTAGCACGTGCACAAATCGTTCAACGACAAGCCATTGAGAATAAATTACCATTCTGTCAGTTCAGACCCTTAAATACGAGTAGTCAACAGGATCAAACAAATTTCACTTTATTAGTTCGAAACCTTGACCAAAAGAAATATGTAGGTTCTAAAAAAAACGATTAATTAGTAATAGTGTTGAACTTCTAACTCATGGAAATATACAGATTGCCACTATATCCTTCAATTCCAATACACCAGGAAATAATGATCAGCATGGCGTTGTCTTGACTCATACAGCTGGTAAGCTGTTGGGTATTGTGTTCGCAAATGCCAATCTTCCTGATTTGAATGCCAGTATACCTAATATGCCACCAAGTAACAATCTTCCATCCAATTCTATACCACAAGGGCTTCCTCAACAACAACAACAACAACAACAACAACAACAAGGCTCAGCAATGCCTGTTTCGGCGGGTAATGTGAATGCTGCCATATTTGCTGGCCTTCAGAATACAGCCAATCTGCATTTATTAAATGGCGCTAACGCAGCCAATTTGCAACAGTTACAGAATCAACTTAGACAACAACAGATGCTGAATGCTGCAGGTTTAGGAAATCCAGCCAATGCACAACAACAGCAGCAGCAAACATCTACTCCACAACAGATCCAGAATCAACAACAAAACATGAATGGTAAGCTCTTTTATGCAAAGTTTATCAATACTCATATTTTTCACTGAAAGACATCTTTCATTCATCTGTAGGATTAAATGCAAATAGTCTTTTATTGTCGAACTTAAATCTTAATAATGGTGTCCCTAATAATGCCATGGCTGCTGCCGGAAATCTGTTTGGTATGAATAACATTAATATGGCTAATTTGGCTAACTTGGGCAATTTACAGCCAAACGCGATGAGAGACTTACACCAAAGGCTGCTATTAGCAAGGCAGCAGCAGCAGCAGCAGCAGCAAGGGCAACAGCAACCACCACAGCCATCTCAGCAGCAGCAACCCCCTAACATGTAAATTTTCCCTCTTACGAACCAACATGCTGCACACTTTTCCTTTTTACAATGAAAAATCTATATTTAATAATATTATGACAACACAGACAATGTAACTTGCTTTAGATATCCTTCATTAAAGGAGAAGAAAGTTCTTCCCTTATTACATTTGCCCACATTCTAAGTATAATTTACAATAGTAAGTTAATAAAAAGTAAAAGAAAGCAAATCTACATCCTTTCTGTTCATACCTGTGATCTTAATTTCCAATTTTGGTCTATTGTTGGGACCGGTGGATACATTTTCAATCTTACGAAGGGTCAATAAACCATCAACCAAGCGTCCAAAAACAACATGCTTGCCATCCAGAAAGTCACAAGTATCACATGTAATAAAAAATTGACAACCATTTGTATTCGGGCCAGAATTAGCCTGCCAAATGAAAGTGTGCAAGATAAGCATTCAATATGAAGGCCCTGTTTCAATGTCAATATGATATTACCATCGATAACAATCCTGCACTGCTGTGTTTTTCGATAAAATTCTCATCTTCAAACTTTTCTCCATAAATACTCATTGATCCAGTGCCGTCTCCTTTAATGAAGTCACCACCTTGAACCATGAAATCTTTTATCACTCTGTACAATGGATCAAATATGTCAAAGAAGATAGTTAAACTAACTATGATAACATCAGCAATTACCTGTGGAATATGCAGTTTTTGTATCCTTGCGGTTGTCCATTTTTCCTTTGAGTTGGGAATTGATCGATCAGTTTTTTTTAACAAATCAACATTGCTATGTCTACTTCCACATAAGGAGAGCACAATTACCTAAATTCACCTGTACATAATTGTCTATTATCATAAAATGACTTGAGTCAAAGAAAAATAATAAAATATTTGTAAAATAGTATTGGAAATTACCTAAAGTTTTCGGCCGTCTTGGGAACAATGTCAGAAAAGAGTTCCATCTTCATTCTTCCAACAGGGACATCGCCGATCGCGATGTCAAAAAATACGATAGGTCTTTCAACTTGCGAGTCTATATTGAGGCGTTTTTAGTTCAACGTTGAGAAGTAACATCAAAACAGTGTATCGTGCAATGGACCTCTAACGTACTTTTTTTCTCCATATCGAAAACTTTAAAAAATGAACGTCGAGAAAACTAGAAGAATAATTCGGAAAGCCTAAAAAAGAAAGGATTTTGAAGTTTTTACGGCTGCATATAAATTGTCGTTAAGAATTAAGACGAGCCACAGTCGTAGCAACAGAAACTCCATCATAAAAGGAAACACACAAACCACATCTGCAATAAGTTGATTGTAAACTTCTTTATTATTTATAAAATAGAACTATGTACAAAATGTGAAGTTGAACTTTTCTTTACTCTAACATTTCATCGTTAGCATCCAAGTCAACCTTTTGTCTTTTATTCACGCGACCACCAAGACTTTCTTCTTTAGAATAGTGTTTGCCGGTCTTTTCTCTGAGCGCATCAACATTTTCATCGTCTTGTGCCCATTCTAATACCAAATGACGACCGTACAAGTGAATATTGCCCATGTTTTCATATACATTTTTGGCTTCTTGCTTGGTTAAGAATTCTAAGAAAGCGAAACCACGATGACCACCATTGAACTTTTTTGGCATACGCAAGGATTTCAGTTGACCATATGCGCTAATTGTACAAAAGCAAGAATAAGCCGGCATTAGAGATATATTCTATTCTTACCAATGTAGCAGACAACACAAATTGTATACTGTACCTAAATAGTTCTCGTAAATCTCTACTAGTAGCTTCAAATGGTACATTACGTACCACCAATTTTGTGGTATCCGGTGTTTTCGATTTTTTCGATTTGGTATCAGCTTTACGGTGAGATAATTTCATTTCCAAGGCATGTCCATCTAGTATGTAACCCTTATATATTTTACCAGTGAGTGTCTTTTGTTTCTGTTTTTTTCTATGAACATGTAGCAATATTTACCTGCATAGCGTTTAGTGCTTTTTCAGCGTTCGACTTATTGTTGAATTCTACAAAGCCAAAGCCCATACTTAGGGTCTTTCCAGGATTCCTTGGATCCGCTTTGACATTGATACGCGATGCCCGATAACCCTCAATACCCTTAAAAGCATTGCGGAGAGCTTCAGGGGTAGTACTGAAATTGAGATTTTTAACAAAGACAGAGGTTATAGCATCACTATCTCCGTCATCAACAGTAGCAGACGAAGAAGCTTCAAGAAGGTCGGCTGCGCTAGAAGGTTTCTTTTCTTCGACTTCCTTCTTTTTCGACTCGTTGGGGTCGCGAACAAATTTATCCCTGAAGATTCCGCTTGGAGCCTTTTCTAAATAAATGAGGGAATCTTTATAACGTCTGTACGCTAAAGATTTAAACGCACTTCGAGCTTCACTAGGTTCCAAAAATTCTACCACTGCTATTGTTTTTGCTGGAGGGATCAATACACGCCCTAATTCACCAAATTTACCAAACAATTCTCTCATGTCTTCTTCAGTTGTGCCATAGGGAATATTTTTAACCAAGATGGTGGTGTCACTTCGCTCGGTTTTCGAAAAGTTGCCAAGAAAGATACCGTGCTTCTCAAAGAACTCTTTGGTTTCATTAATGATCTGTGTTTCTGCTAAGGCTAATCTGACAGCCATGTTATCGGATTCAGCATTTAGAACCTCAGACTTTGAAACACCTAAACGGTCAGCAATTGATTCTGCAACAGCATCAGCCTAGTATGTCAAATTATGAAAGAAATTGAGAGTAAGTATGATAATGCCATTAGACCTTATGAGCCTGTCATAACTTACACTCATATAAAGAGAGTTCCAATTGAAATCATTGCCTGCAAGATTTCTACGCTTCTTTTCTTTCTCCTTTTTGACTGAACTTAATTTTGTGCCGTTAAGGCCAACCAAATCGTCTTCTTTTGATGGTGGTTTTTCTTGAGCAGGAAGAATATGTAGCAAACGGCCCTGGAAAGTTTGCATGTCGAGAGCTTCGTAAGCCTTGACAGCATGTTCAGGTAATAAATATAAAATATACGCGTAACCTTTGGGTTTCTTGGTATCTTTCGCAATAGGCATATGAACTTCAGATAAGCTACCATATTGACCAAACAGGTCCCGCAAGTCTTGTTCTGTACAAGCGTAAGGTAAATTACGAACAAACAAACGTCCTGTGTCTTCAATAAGCTCTTTAGGATCGGCTGATTTCATCGTATTATCATTAGCTTTATCATTATCAATTTCCATGTCAACGTCTTCGTTATGATCGGCTGTTTTCTCCAAATTGGTATCAATTGTTGTATTGGCTGTTTCTTCGGTTTCTGCATCATCTTTCATCACTGCATCTTCATTGTCTGCATCTTCTTTGTCTTCTTCTATGTCTGATGATTTGTTAGCTTGCCCTTTTTTAACCCCCTTTACTGGTAAATCTTGGTAGAGCTCATCATCTGAAGCAGCATAATTAACAGTCGTTGATGTATCCTCTTCTTCCTTCTGCTGTTCTTGTTGCTGCGTAGGAGCTGAATCATCGTTAGCCCACGTTTTACTCTTTGAACGTGCAGTCATAACATCCAAATATTCCTTCAATTTGGCATCCTTTTTATCAGCATCTAATTTGTTGACAAATCCATCTCTGTCTTTCTGATTCTGTTGCTTCTCTTTATACGCATCTGTTTCCTCAACTGCAAACTCGTCCTTTCTCTTTTTTGATGAGCCTCCTACTACTTTTTCGTGAGCACTAGATCCCTCTGAATATTTACTCCATGGTCGAGGTAAAGCCTCCGATTTGTAGGCAATGGCTTTCTCTACAGTAATTTTTGATGTACTGATAAATGTGTTGTTGAAGTATTGAATAGCGGCTTCTGCTGCCTGTTCTGTCTTGTAACCAATGAAACCGAAACGACGAGAAGTGCCTTTTCTATAATTATATCAACAAAAATCAACCGTAAGTAGTTAGTTGGCGAGTAACTTTCTTCATTCGCAATCGATCCAAAACAGATCTACTTTACGCTGTTTTCATGAGTTTAACATCTGTAACTTCTCCTTTCTTTGCAAAGTGTTCACGAAACTTTTCCTCTGTTAAGAATTTAGGTAGATTCTTTACAATAATACGAGACCTAAAAAATTTTATTCATTAAACTTTTTTTCTGCAAATCGACTGTGTCATGGTACCTACATCAGTGGCAAGCTTATTTCGATATAAAGAGCTCTCTGTCAAATTTACAATTACAGAATTCTTTTTTCTTTCCTGAACATTTATGCTTCAATTAGACAGTCCCATCAAAGTCACGTATCGGCAGTGAGCATTTTCACAGAAAAGGTATGATCCCAAAAACTATACTTTTCATCCATAAAAGTTTTAAAATTAATCTGAATTTTAATTGTAATATAGTCTCAATTTAATAGCCATTTCGTGCGAAAGTCAAGCGAAAAAACAATTAGAGACGCACCTATATGGCATGTATTTGATTTCCCAAGTTGTTATAGCACAATTTTAGGTATCGGCCATATTTTGACACAACAATTACAATAAAAATGAGAAGGCTGCACTGTTAACAGTTAAAAAACACTTGTTACGGCAGCATCATATGATAATGACATATATTTTTATGCACATTTGCTTTTTAATGTTGCTGTATATCTAAGCTCTCACAGTTCTCCATGTATTTCTTAAATCACGGCTTCGACTTTTAGCAATATGCTGTTGCTCAGATTTGGTACTGAAAATTGGAATAGAAGATGCGAAAACTGCGATGTTATTTTTAGTCACAGCCAGAAAAAATTTTTTTTTCCCTTTCCCCGTCCCTATAAAAAGCCGTGCAAAGGTGGCAAATGCGTCTCTTGTTTTCTTTAACTTTTTATTCGTATCTGCCTTAGATCCTTTGTCAGGGCTATAAAAGATTTATTTTTGTAGCCTACAAAGCTTACGTTTTGCTTTTCGTTGACAAAGCTTGAGTCATTCAGATACTAGAAAGCCTATACCTCCATTCCGGTTCCAATTTTGCAAGCATCTTGGCTCGTCTTTATTTGACAGTTCAAAGCTGATGCCGCGAATTCGTTTGGGGAAAGTTTATATTGAACATGTTATATCTTTTATTCAATTGAAAATGAAAAAATTCTTTATACAGAACTATAGTTGCGATATGGATATTGTTGAATTAGATATCGTCATAGGCCGTAAAATATGTCACTGGTATCACTCATTGCTGAGTATTGGGTATTAGGTATTTCCAACATGTCTTGCACTGGCGCTCTTGCCACGTTATCAGTTTTCCTCTTTTGCTGCGATGTATTTATTTGTACGGCTTTACGGCTGAAATAGACCTTCCCTTGGTAAGCTGAATATTTTTTACCAGCGAGACAAATGAGCAGACCAAGAACCGTCCCTTTATCACATACGCAGGTTAGCGGACAAAATGCAATTTCATCTGCCTTGCAAAAGATTACGCCGTCTGTCCTTTCAGAAAAGTCGCTTAAACCAAGAGGGCCACCTTGCAGGAAGTTATTCGGCGTGCTGAAATGACTTGGTGGGCTAAGTTCAACTATATCATCGTTCATGAGTTCGTTTCGGACACTTTGTGGAATGTGTTGAATTGGCGATACAATAGAATCATGAGGACCAAATAGGAGACTTTTAGAGCAGCATTTGCAACAAATTGTCGTGTTTGTTATTGTATGTGCGGTATTCGTGACATCTTCAGGTTTTGCAATTTGAATGATTGGCGTGACACTGTCGTTAGATGACACATGAGTGTTATTTATGGATTTATCGTTGGGGGAAAGAATATCATCAATGTCAACGTCAACATCAGCAAATAGCTGGCGATGAAGAAGAGCTGCTGAAGCATCAATGTGGTCGTCTTCTAAACAGATATCACTTGCCTGAATTTGGGAAGTCTGTTTTGCATCAATTGCTAATTCTCTTTCAATTATTTGAGCTGAATTATCTGCATCTTCATTATTCTCAATGCTAACACATGAAATATTTTCAACATCTATAACTTTAGTGCTTTTATCCACAACTTTGTCTTTTTCTTTCAATTCGGCCGCCAATGTTGTTTTCGACTCTACTAACATTGTAGGCGAATTATTGCCTACTTCAGAAGTTGCAATTTCATCTTCAATAACAATAGTATTCTTCAAGCGCTCCTCTTCAAGTTTCTTTGACTCCAACTTCTGCACATGCATTCGTTCCATTTGATTAGCTGCGAATTCTCGGAGACTGCCCATGGCATTTTGATAACCATGATGCTCTGAAAATAACTCTCTAACCCAACGAGAAAGACCTCTTCTTGAGTTTGGATCAGAAAACCTTTCATCAAGTAGGATGATTGCTCCCCAATCCTAATATGTAAATATGATAATTTCAGATGAGCTACATGTACTAAAACTTAAAGGAATCGTTTCATATGAGTTTACGTTTTTGTGTCGGATGCACCTTCCTAAAGCTTGGTTCATTGCTATATATGAGGGGAAAATCTCTTTGTTAGAACAATTATAAACCCTCAATTAACAATAACAAGTATTGAAAGGCAATACCTCTGTATGCTTCAGCTGTATACCATTGATTACCGTTGAGAACTTCTTTGTCGATGGCTTCCCTCTTAATTTTATCATTATATTCCTTTTTAAGCTTGACTTTCAAATCCTTCCTGAAAAGTGAGTGCTTAAAGGTTAAATAGTCATCCCTACATACGTAATTGAAGAACTGTTGTATACTATTGCAAGAATGCTCAGTTGACTTACAAGCCGGGATAGGGAATGCCTAGAGTTACAACAGTACGACAGTAATTATCACTGAAATCAATACCTTCACTGACTTTCCCTCTAAAAACCTGGAAGTGATGGTTGTGTGAGGATAGTAGGCACCAAGGGGTATTAAAAACTCAAGGGGTTCACCCGGACTTACTGCCAGTAATAGTGCACCATCCAACCCGTTTTCTTCTTCACCATTTTCAACTCTTTTAATCTGGCCATAAAATTGTTTCAGCATTTCTTCAAATTCTTCTTTGTTGCTCCCTTTAGGCTCTGTATGACAAGTGTTAGTCAATGTATTACAGCAAAAAGTGTAAAACAATAGAGCCAATCGTATTCACCTGACAGAATTATCTTTCTCTGACTGATTTTATCATAAATGCCTGTTAGCTGATATTACAGAAGAATGAGTTTGAAGTGAGAAGAAAAAGAAATGCAGACAATGAAAGAGCTAAAGAGGCTAGTTTTACCTTCCATCTTTTCAATAACATATCCATGACTTTGTATGATGGTACGAAGCAAAGTATACCAAAAGGTATAGTGCTGACGATCTGTAACAAGGCTAAAGACATTAAAGTGTAAGTAGGGTAATCATTGGATTTGTGTATACAAGCACCTCATGTAAAAACTTACTGGCTCCAACTTCATCCTGGTATGGGAGTGATTCCAAAGTATTGTAAACACCTTTTAAAGATACATTATTTGGGCTATAGAATGCTGTCAATAACAGCCGATAATAACAAACACGAACCAGATACTTCTCTTTACCCTCTTCCAATAGCACTAATCCAAACTTGAGAAGGTTTAATGACATGATTGGCTTCTAATCTCTGGTTACTGTAGAATTTAATGGTGGATTGTAGAGAAAAAAGAGTCGGTTCTTATTATGTAAGACATTTAGGATCAACGATTGTTGTGTTTGTCAACTTACAAATCAACACCTAGTTCTGAAGCGAATGTATTCAACTAGAAAAAAATGATAATGATTAACCAATATATACATATAAGATTCAAATATGTATCTAAGCACTTACAGGCGCCAAAGTACCACTAGTCAAAATAACAGACCGCGTATGCTCACACATGTTTCGAAAGATGATAGCTGGATTTAGACACCAAAATGCCAATTCATGCCTCCATAATGTTACTCTATTGTCTTTCCCTTTTTTGCTGCGGATACGGCTTTTGTTGACGTTCAAACCACCATCTTGGTTCATTGCTTTGATGAATACGAGCTGATAATCGTCAGCGTGGTTCTCTTCTGTGTTAAAAATGAATCCCAATATCATGAACAAATTCTGAATAAGCTGTAAAGTACGGAGACTGACACACTTGGGATAATCATTGTTTCCGACAGCTTCGTCTGCTGATATTGCATCTTCATCTCCCGGAGAGACATTATATTTTTTCAAGTATTCAAATTCTTCGATCTCTTTTCTGATCTCGTCGGAATACTTGGAAACCAATTTATAAGCAGGCTCTAACATATCTCTAAATGTGTGCTTGGTAATGTTGATTTCTGCCAACTTATTTATGATTGCTTGACCTGTCCAGCTAAAAAATGGCACAGTAGGAAGTAGGAAGGAAGGTTAAGCCTTCAGAAACATATTGACGTTTAGTTTCTAGGCGCTATACTCGACTTACTGAATGAACTTCCGCTCATATTCGTTCACGTTATATTGAAGATTATCAGACATCATTGCATCACGCAACTGATCAAATATTAATTCAAGCTGTAGGTGGGCTTCTCTTTCTCCGCCGTATTTCGCTACCATACTGAATTCTTTAATTATCTTATCTAAAGTATCTTCGTCCAGCTCCAATGACCCTGCTGATCTAGCGGCATCTTCTATGTTATGTGCTTCGTCTAGAATAACAATACTATCTTTGAGGTTGATGTCCAAAATCTTTCGAATCACCGGGTCGATAATATAATTATAAGGACCGAATATGATTTCGGCACCTTCATATAGTTTCCGAGCAGCATAATATGGACATCCTTTCGTTTTAACACCAAGTTCAATGATATCATCTATCTCCCAAACCCTGTTGATGGATTTGAGCGAAGAATGATTCACAATTCGCATACTGTTGGCAGCAAAAGGACATTTTTCCTCCTCATCATCTACCAAACTTACTCTAATTGTAAATATGCAAAAATAGTCAGTAAAGCCAAGTAAGATGCCTTGTGTATGCATGTACGAGATCTACCTGTCGGCCCTATTCTTTCTCTCCTTCTTTTCAGTCTTCTTTTTTGCGATACCAGGGTGTACTGTTAAACAAAAAATGCGAGTGAGACAACGTATAAGTGAAGATCACAATATGACGCTTCGATACGTTACTACATAGGTGTTCCCGACTACCCAAGATTGTTGAGCCTATTCTCAATAACTGATTAGTAAATAATTCACAATACACCAATCTATTTCCGTCTATAAAAAGAAAACCAACTGGAGTTCGAAGCTTACGAGGATTGTATCCAGTATTGTATTTCAATTCTGCTATTAATTGAGCAATTTGCTTATGTCTATAGAATCGTTAAAGCAGGTAGTTAGAATATGAAACACACTTTGTGATTTCCTTTTCTGTTTTGGACTGTTTAATGTCGCTATAAACGTTGATAGTTACGTTCTTGATCCAATGAATATTCTAGGAACTTTCTTATAGGTGTCATACTTTAATGCGGCAACTTCCTCTGACGTGGCCATGTTGTTCACATCACCATCGACTTTGTGCAACGCTAGTTCATCTTTCGCATTTACATCAACTAGGTCTAACGTTGCTTTTGAATCCATCTTCTTTCTAACAAGTGGTACCTGAAAATCATCGTCATCTTCGTCTACTATTTCTATAACGCTTTTCTCGGGTTTGTATTCTTCTTTCGCCTTCTTAAGTGGAGAAGGTTGCTCCGGATTGCCTGTATGAGAAGGTGCAGGTGATGGCAAAGATGATAACGCTTCCAGTTTTCTTTTTCTAGTTTCTTGCAGCTGTTGTGCTTGTTTTAATTTTAATTGTAGTTCTGATGGTGATAATGGTGCTGCTTTTGATTCATTTTTCTGTTCCTTCAGTTGAGCAGCCGCAATTCTTTCTTGATGTTCTCTCCATGCTATATCCATTAATGTGTTTTCAGAAATTATGCTTGAATTCTTAGATTACACGAACCAAAATTTCTGTTTGATATAACATCTATTACCTAAGGCGGCGCAAATAATCGCAAGCGATTTTCCAGATCCTTTATTCAAAAATCATTGTTGGTTAAAAAAATGGACAACAACTGCATATGGCTGAAACATGCTACAATGAAGGTATACCTGTTGGGCTCTCAAGCAAAGCATTTTCACCATTATTGAAGGCATGAATCATCTAGATCGTCGTCGATCTGTCATTAGATGATCAACAGATCTAATTCTTCCGAGAAAAGAATGAATTACCTTATTCAACATTTGAATCTGCGCAGCATCTATCGTACAAACAAGAAGTAGAATACATATCAAAGTTCATTGTATTTTGAGTCTCCAGTTTTTGAACATTTGCTCTTACAAGGACGTAAAGGAAAGTCCACTTTGACATTCTCAAAAGTGATTGTCTGCCCTTGACCTGAGCTGTGTATCTTTTTATATTTTGATGTAGAGGTGGAAGTGGTGGGAGATACTTCTCTAGAAGGGGATTGCAGTTCACTACTGTTGGGAGCGTTCTGTTTATTTTTCCTTATACGTGTAAAAAGGTCCTGTAGCATTAGGTAAGGAAGTGGTTTTTGCTCGCTAGCGGAAAGAAATATAGGCACATAAAGAACTGTTAATGCATAATTTAACTTTCTATGGACTTTTTTTTTCAATTTTTTGATTTCCGGACCTGCCCATTTAAAAATTCCAGGAGCAGGATTGAAAAGGTTGACTAGTCGTATATCCTCTTCATTCAGAGCTGTAGTCTATAAAATACTCTATACAGTATGATTTACTCTTTATACATTATCAATAAAGCAGGCGGTCTTGTCTACCAAAAAGATTTCGGCGGCCATCTCGAAAAACTATCGAGTAATGAATATTTGGTTCTGGCAGGCACATTTCACGGGTAAATTGCGCAAAGTATGTTTCAGGCCATTCACTTGATGGATGAGAGGAGGTTTACTTATATCGTGTCCATTGAATAGTGTTCATGCCATCACAAGCAAAATCTCACCTGTACGAAACTCCTCTGGCATTGAGATGTTGGAGGCTGAAAATTTCAAGCTATATTGTCACCAAACACTAACAGGTAAATGGATAAAGAAAATGACGACCATTCCAGCTGTTATGAATTCGTCAACTCATCTTTTTGCATGTAGGCACGAAATTTTTATTGATAACTAACCCTCAGATTAATAATGTGGAGCCCTATATGAAGAAAATATATAATTTATACAGCGATTTTGTGATGAAGAACCCTTTTCATACACCAGAAATGCCTATACGTTCTGATCATTTCGACCAGTCTTTACTGAAGTTTATCAATGGAGCAATGCACAATTAAGTTCTTTTGATTAAAACAAACTCTGCCAAATCTGTGTTTTGTAACAGAAAGACTTGCAAATTGTAAAGATCCGTATCAGGTAGAATAAAGCTATCAAATGCCACAATGATTTTTGACGGTCTGATAGAATTACTTTCATTTTACTTTAATGTTACGAATGGGCTTTTTCTTTGTCCAAGCGTAATAACGTCCAAGTAAAAACGTTAATTGCCCTTTTATATTCTGAAGATCTATATGTTGCTATAAATATATATGTACAAGGTGTATTTTTACTCTGCTCTTTTGCATGCGATATTCCGTGCCTCAAATAGTGTGAGGATGGGAATGGAATGGTGACCATATACCACGGACACTTTCAGTTGTCGAAATAACAGGCTTCTTGGTCAAATTTGTCATCTTTTTGCCGCTGGAATCTCTCAATAGGTACGCCTTCTCTCTGATTTCTGCAGGCTTCAAGTTACGGGTACAAATGACTTTATCCCGCCCATTCACTATTAGAATAACCGATATTTGTTAATTTTTATACTATCCTCTTGCTTTCTTTTCTGGTAGAAACTACTTACAATAGTAGCCTCGGATGACAGGATGATGGTTGGGCCTTGGTTGAACGGCAATTTCGATTTGTGGGTTCTCTTTAGCAAATTGAGCAAGGTCCTTCTTTATAAATTCACTAAAAGTTTTGTGGGGCAGAAAGCAACAGTCAATTTTCGGGAAAACCGGGGTAAAAATAGTTGAACAATCCAATGGCCAGTGCCAACTTACATCATCCCTTTATTGCTTCCCCAGTGTTCGCAGTAGTTGAACACCATCTTGCGACATTGCAAAACAAATGCTCCTGTACCATTATTCGATTTGGCTACTAAATTTCTTACAGTTGACATCTTTTGTTGAATGGGAAAGGGACAAGGCTGTCGATTTTCCCCTCAATTGTTAAAGGGGAGCTTATTTTTGTGCAGTCACAATGAAGCGAAAGGAATTGTAAATTCAGTCATTATTTGGAGCTGTTTTGCCCAGTTAGCCTATTGAAGTGTTCAACGTGTTATGCGTTTCATTAACTTGCTTGCCATAGGTAGCATTTGAAGTCAATGCTCAGAAAGACTATATCGGATGTTTTTCTTTGGTAATTTTTCATGAATTCAGCTGCAGAGACTGAACTTTCTTATACGTATTTTGTCCGTATGCAGTCAGATTGCTTCCATAGTCTCTGAACCGTCTGGATGGGCTAGCACTCCATGAAAGAAAGATGACATTGCTTGCCCTGAGTATCGTAACTAGCACTTACTTATGGTGATGATCGGAACAAATTAAACTGAGTTGACGGTCCACATCAACGTAAAGACCTAGCTTAATAGCATGCTATGTAAAATGTACCAAACTCATTTTAATGGCTTATTGTATATCACACATGTTATAGTGTAGAGTTTTAATTTTAGAACATATTGAGTGCACAAACGGACGTTATGATAGTGATGTTGAATCGCATCCATTGTCATTGATATGTACAAGCGTTTTTATTGGAGTGAGCTTCAAGTGGGTTACATATTCTCATTGAATAGCTTTGGTGGTAATACGAATAATGCGCGTGAATTCTAAAAAGGAAAAGCAAGAGTTTAGTGATAACGATCCATCATTGACAATAGGCGTCAATATTATGATTCTAACCTTTTGTGCAACTTTATCAACCTGTTTCGCCCTATGCAAAGCATTGATACAATCTGTCACCTTATATTGTGCCAATTTTGATTCCTTAGCCAGATCGTTCAGAGTTCTATAGACAGTCAACAGACGTTAAGTAACTCAACTAGAAGCCTTGACAGAAAATGTGTTTAGTTGTTGACTTACAGCCCTTTCGGAAAGAGTTCAAGTACTTTCAAAACATTCTCCATATTTGTTCGCTTTTCCTAATTCACAAACGACGTTGAATACCCATTTTTCTTTTTAAGCTTAATGAAACTACCAGTTTGAGGTATACTCAAATACTTACTGTCTTTTCTTGATATGCTAGTGGCAGCCGACTGATAATGCCTTTGATATTAATCTGTTTCAATCATAATAATTGCTTTTTAATATTATTTTTCTTAAAAATAGGTGACCTATTTCTAATTTTACCCTTTTTATTGGTCGTCGTTTCGCAGTATTAGCATTAGCAGATGAACTGGGTATAAGTTTTCTTTTTCTAGAAATGCTATTGTTGCTGTTGCTGTTGCTGTTGCTTGGTGCAGTGGCATTATTTTCGTTTCGAGGAGAATGTGTCGGTACTGCAGATGAAGATATGCCTGCTTGCTGTTGTGTGGGTATTGTTGTGTCTGATGTTTCTATGGTGACAGAGTCAATATTTTAACAAGTCAGTCGTAATGGAAAACTTGCCCCCAGTTAAGATTACTCTCACCTGCTTCACGAAGCTTCTTTAGACTTTTTTTGTGTTCTTCTATGGCTTCCTTTGTCGGCGCTTTCGTCCATGTCACGGTTGTATCATTAATGGCCATACCAAACAAAAAAGCGCTAAACGACTTGTTAAACTCGTGAAGGTAATGGTTGACTTTTTTCAGTTGGTGAAATTGACTTTCTATCTCTCTCATTGTATCGCCTAACTTCTTAACAGTGGGAGTGAGGGCATCGAAGCAATTTTCTTGTTCTGATGAGTGCTGCTGCTGCTGCTGTGGCTGCTGCTGTGGCTGCTGCTGCTGGCGTGGATATATGGATGGAGGAGGATCTGAATCGGTTGTGGTGCTGGTGATATTGTACAATTCCCGTTGAGCACTATCAAGTGTGTTCTCCCTTTGAACTGCGGTTTCCCTTTCAGCTGTTGTGTTAGCCAATGACATGGTTGATGAAGATGCAAATAACCAATCTGGATCAGGTCTTCATTTGCCCTACCACTTTTTTGCCCCTTTTAAAAAATTATTTTTCCTTATTTCTTACACCCTCTTCTCAAATAAGGAAATTTGAAAGGGGCGTTTGGGAGGGTTGCAGATCAAATAAATCGCGCGTATCACCGTGATAATAAATCAGCGCGTAGATTTGCGTGCAGTTACCAGTGCAACGAGTTGAAAAAGTCAAGAAACAAATCTCATGAATGGAATCTATCCCCTAACAGCTCAAGATAAATGGGAAGGCATGCTTGTGGTTATTATAAACTTTTGTAATTTACAATTTTTAATATTCATTCGAATATGAGACGTAAGGCATTTTACGATGGATAAGAGAATAAGTATATATTTACAAGGATAAAAAATAGATAGATAGGAAGGAGGGGGTGGATAGATTAAAAGTCTCTTAAAATCATTATGACGGAATCAACTCTTGACTTTGAAACTTCTATACGTTCCAAGATCTTGTCTATGTTGGCAATTTCTTTCTGCTCTTCTTCACTCAACAATTCCGGGTTCTCTACAACATCCTTTCTGTTGATCTTTTCAATGAATGTTTTGCGAATTTTCAACTCATGCGTCTTTCGTTGTTGTAAATTACACACTGTCTTGTAGCAATCGACCAACAACTCTTCGTAGCACTTTTCCAACGGCACATACCAAAGATGGAAACAACGGCTGGGAGCACGATCTGCTGAACGAGGAACTTCTTGAATCTCGACATAGCCTTTGGTCTTGAGTAAAGCTAGCTTTTCTCTGGCATCGTTCGCCTTTAACATGGCGAGTTTCGTCACTTGAGTTTCATCGAGTTTGCCACGTTCAATCAAGATGCGCAAAATACGACATGTGGCAATACCATAACGCTCCTTAATAAGGCCTTCCAACATCCTACGCTTCATTGTATTACGTAGTTTTTCAAAGTTGACGGCATACTGATTAGCGCCTCTTTCGTCTTTCAATTTGATAAAACCTGCTGCATCGGTTCTCAACAAAGTGATATATCCACGGACAATCTCTTGTAGGCTGGGCTTCTTATTTGGCTCTATGGGGTCTTTTGGAAGACTTATATCGTTTCTTGAAGCAATATCTGTATCAGCGACCATGTTGGCGATGTGTATAGGGGTTGCTGAAGCTATATTGAACCAATGAATAAGAGAAATGGAAAAAAAAAAGAAATAAGTGTGTGCTTCGAATAACAAAAAGGTCATCACATTCGACACACGTACGTGAATCGTTTTCTTTCAAAGAAAACATTTTATCCTTGCCATATTCAAAGAAAGCCTTGACGATTTCGCCTGCTGTACGATTGATACGTTCTGTAGCAAAGTCCACGACAGACTCATTTCTGAATAACATGTTAAACTTGTCAAAGTTGACAGCAAAGAAGATGCGTTCGTCAATTTCAACTTCTTCCAGATCATTGTCTGTTTTGTTTGAAGCCGCTGTTGCGGCATAGGGTTCATAGTCACCCAATGCAGCCCTTTTACGCTGATATTCCAAAGGGTCGACGGCTTTTCGTTTCATACCAATCACTTCTTTGGTCTCCTCTTCAGCTGCCATTTGTGATTTGACTGAATTCTTGATATTTTGTAAATCTTTCGATGTCATGATGGTATATTTTTCAGTTTCCTTTTCGGTAGCTGCCAGGTAACGATCCATTTTAGATCGGGTATGTTCAGCTAATACGGCTGCAATATATCTGCTCGACACTAATTGAAGAAATGACCTCTCGTATCGATCGATGTCTGTAATATACATATGCAAATAAAAAAAAAAAAAACCACATAGGGATGACGAATAAGTGCTCCGCTGCCATATTACACATTGCTCCCATTTTATGTATTTTTACCTTCTGGCTCATCATTCTCTACAACCCATTTTCGAACGCCTTTGATTGTCATTCTTCCATTTATCATAAGCAATCGACAGATCATTTGTGCCTATAGAGCATCACAGCGCGTCTTTTAGTCTATTGGTCCATGAAGATGGTAGCATGAAGTGTTTCTGAATAGACATACCTCTTCACCAAAACGTTCTTCTACTTCTCGCAGAATACGACCAAAACGTAAACGCATGGTGATTTTTTCTGCGTCTGTGCTGTAATAAGTAGGCTCGTTTTTGCCTTCGACTCCTTCTGAAAAATAGGTGATACCGTGCTGAATGAGAACAACAAGACTTTCACGTACTTGTCTTTGCGTCAATTGCGTGAATCGGACAAGATCGCCCACTGTTAAACGACCTTTCAGAAGCATTTGACGACCCACTTCCTGATGTTTGCAACAAGGCAAAAGTAGAGACACGAATTCCAGTTAGAGCAGCTTTTTTTTTCGTAACCAAAAAGAACAATATACTTACTGATACGAAGGGTCCAAACTCCTCCAACAGAATTTCCTTACATAACCGTGTTATTGCTGACATGAGGGCTGAAATAAACAAGTGTAATGACAAAGCCAGAAAAAAAAAAAAAAAAAAAGAAAGCCCAGTTTGCGTTTTTGTTTCTCCCAAAATTTTTGCGGCTTTGCTGCTGTAATAAAATTTCCTGCCTCAGCTTAATTATTTTCAGCTGTTTATTACAAGTGAAAAAGAAAAAAAAAAAAAAAAAAAAAAAAAAAAGATTTCTCGCTTCATTTGAGCCATTCGACAAAGGATACTGTCTGGTGAGACGACGGCTGTTACAAAAAGAGATTCGGTAGGGTGTCAGCTGTGAAAGCCAGGACAAACTTTTTATAAGAGTAGTTTTGGAGAAAGAAGGTAGTAGGAGCCGCTTTGTCGGCTCGATGGGTCAACTTTTAATAGCGCTCAGTTGCCTGATAGTATCAGTTTATTATCGATACTTTGTTTTTGGGTTTGTTTCTTCTTGACGCAGAGATAATGAGCCCTTTGCCTAACCTCGTTTCTTATGGGTGACGATCAGTGAAGTTTTTCCTTAGCAGAGCTCTGTTGCGTCGGTGAAGAGGACAACAGTGAGTATCTAGCAATTAGGAACTTCGAAATAAGGCTTTTATCATGTGCGCTCCGATGCGAAAATGAGTGCTAGTTTTGCTTTTTATTGATATTCCTAGTCAACTAGTTCAACTGTTTAAAATGCCCGGACAACGAGATGAAAGAAATATTTGACGATGTGGATGGGTTCGTACTGTCAGATATAATTTGAACTTATTTTACATGGTTTACAAAATGGAATCATTTCGACTCTAAAAGGTTTTATGAATCTATACAAATGAGAGTAAGGAAAGCGTATAGCAGGCACAAATGATGATACATGTGAGAAAATAAAATGGACTAAGAGAGGAGAGTTGATTCTTTGGCTTCTTGCTTCACTTCTTGCTTCAATGGAGGATATAATTTATCTTGTTGCTGAGTGACTTGATACAAATCTTGAAAGAATCTATACAGTAAATGGAGAATGTATATTTAAAAACTCTGACAAATTCCACGACGCTTTCCTTTGAAATGAAAACTTACTGGATCCTTTGCGGCCGTTGGTAAGCAGATACGATGCCACTTGTACTGGGCATAACGTAAAATATGGTTTCGCCATCTCCCGTCGGCCATGGTATAGATCGGCCATGCTGTAATCCCATCACTTTGCACTTTTGGTTTGAATAAATCTCATAGATGCCTTTCCCCACAAAACAAGCGACTCTGGGTCGATATTTCTCCAATTTCTCATTCAGAACGGGTATTCCTTCTTGTTGCTCTTTAAGCGTTAGATCGGAAGCTCGACGTGTTGTTCTTGCTGTCAAGTTGGTAAATCCTAAACGATAACGAGCGGGCATATGGATATCGTCTGCATAAGTTACCTTGTTGTCGATGCCCACGAGGCCACTTTCAGACAAACAGGGCCAGAAATGATTGGTAGGGCCTGCATAATGGTGTCCCCTCGACCCACTCATGATCCCGGGATTGATGCCTACAAACAGGACTTTTAGGTCAAAATCCAGCAGATCAGGCACCAGTTTCGTGAGCGCATCCGCAGTATCTGCTGTTACCACTGTTGTTGTTGTTGCAGTCTTTCTTTTGGTTGTCTTTTTTTTAGTGACTGTCCTTTTCTTTTCCTCAATCCCCTCTACTGCTGTTTCTTTTTTAAAATAAGGTGATTTAGTTACAGTACGGCTACTTGATCGTGTCACTCTATTCATTTGGTAACGGCTGTTTAAGATAATAAAAAGGAGGCAAGAAAAAAAAAAAAAAAAAAAGAGGGGCTCGAGTGCAAAGGCAAACTTTTTTTTTTTTTGTTTTTTCAAAACCCACATTAAGAAGGAGAACATCCAATCATGTTTTAATTTGTATTTCAATTTCTCTATCCAATAATGCACGGACTCGGCTTTTGCCCATTTAGAGAACGTTCTTTCGAATGTGGTTGGATGGTTCTGGGTGTGAATGAATCTGTGGTTGGGTTGTTTGCGGGAATGCCATACGCGAAAGGAACTTTTTTTTTTTCATAGCACTGCAAACGAGAGCCTTGTCGAGCCAAAGATGACGAGAAATAGATTCACTTTGTATTTTCAATGAGCATTGGGCTGGACACTTCTTGCGCAGGGAGAGGGATGGGTGACGCTTCCATCGTCCGTTTGAGATTCAGCTTAACAAACATTCAGTTGTGGCAATACTTCTACAGTGGATGCCAAAGCAGATGCGTTTTGACGACGGCTTCCAGCTCAGCATTTTTGCTTTTCTTCGGGAACTGCTTTCGGGGGCGACCAGGGACTACGATCTTGGAGCTATTAGAAGTCAGTGTTTTTAGTCTGATCCTTTCCTCATCTCGTTTCAGAAGGGTTCACTCATGGATCGGTCCTCCTCACGCTGTCTGGGGGCAAATCACATCGTTGCTCTCAACAGCTGCTTTGCTGAATGATGGAAATGTTTCTTCTTAAAGATGCAAATCAAATGGCATTGTTGCTCTTCCTTTTACGCATTCTTTCACGTCGTGTTCGCGCAAATGTAGTAACTAGTGTTCTATCACACACTGGGACAAAATTGTTAGAGCTTTATTGACTAGGGATGTCTCGGAACGCACGGTCTAATCTATCCTCCATAGCGCGTTTTTAAAAGAAGAATGAGAACAGATGTACTATGGGTTCATCCCTCCCACCCCCTGTTGTATCGTTCGGGTTACCATCACCAGCCACAATTGAAACAATAGATCGCTGTTTCTTTTAAAGAACGGTCAGCTAATAAAGGAAGCTGAGGTGGACTTTTTTTCCTTTCTCAACAGAGCTTTCATTGACACATGTAAACGGGTACAGTTATAGATTTGAATGAGTTACTTCTGAAACAATGATTCCTGCTTTTTACGACGTATACTGCGTATACACAGATGGAATTTAGCTTTTTCTGCCTTACTGTGAATATGGCAAAACACGAATTGTTTCAAAATATGGCTGATGACTACGACATAGAGCAGAAGGTGAGGGTGCCTTCACGATAAAGGACTACTTCTCGCTCGGATGGATGATCCTTGAAATCAACAGCTATGGAAATGTTTGGAAAAAAGAATACGTACGCTGGTATCAATTCATGACTACTCGTTTCATAGTAGCCCTCATATGCGTATTGATTATTGGTTAATGTCCATTTTCGGTTAAAATCCCATTGCAAGAAGAAAAAAAAGCTTTTATTTACCTAATTCAGAAACGCATGGTTTTTTTGGTGTTCCTTTGCAGTAACAGAAAGCGGAACTAATGAGTTTCTGTCTATTAGAGCTATTTCCCTATTTGAAATTAAAAAAAGACTTTATCACGCGATGAAACGCTAAATAAAAGAACGCATTTCTTCTGATGTTTTCTAGAAGGCCGCGCAAATAGGAAAAAAAAAAAAAAAAAAAAAAGATATAGCGGTGGCAAGTTCTTGCTCATATTTTACTCCTATTTCCGCTAAATTGAATGAACAAAAAAATAACAGCCTTTTTCCCAAGTTAAAAGGATGACTAAAAACGATTTAGAATGAGCAAAAAAGCGGCTACTGAAAGCAGCGTTATGTTTCTGCTGCTTTTTTTGATGTCTCTCGTTGCAACCAATCAAAAGAGCAGGTGGGTTGTCACTTTAATGGAAGCGGGGCGGGTCTAAATTACACCTTTTTTTCTTTTTTCTTTCCTTCTTTTCTCTGTCTGTCTTTCATTTTTTTTTTTTATTTTTTTTTTTAAGAAATTACAACAATTTAGCGAACCTTCTTTTTATCTGCCCTAAACTTTTTGATTCTACATTATTTTAGAAGCAAACAAAGCAAAGACAGCAAAAAAAAAAGCATACAGTTCAAACACGACAGTTTTGGCTCTGATTGTCTCAATATATCCAACCATTTGTATTCTGATTAAAACTCTTTCAGTCGTATATGTGCGTATAAATCCCTTCACTCCATGCCATCCTTGGAATGATGGGTTATTGAAAGTGTGAATTACGCTGTCAGTTCATCGCTGCTAGAAAGACTAAATATATACCATTTTCTTTACAAAATTGTTTTGATTATTTCAATAGAAAGTGCAACAGTATTTTTGATTTTAAAAAAAGTGGAACGATGAAAGGATCAAACGTAAACAACTGCACGGTTGTGGTTTTTCATAATACTGAAGAGAATATACAGTCCACTCTCGATTCACTGGCATCTCAATTTGACAATGGTTAGCAACGATTTGTCAAGTGAGTCAACTGAGGATAGGGCAAACGAATTAATTATTTCTTTCTTTTTTTTCCCTTACCTATGTATTTTAGTAATTGTGCAAACCAGCAAAAACCATATCATCGAAGCACTGAAAAATCAGCAACAATATGGAACGACATGTACACTACTTTTAATCGATGCAGAATCTTGCAATTTGCGCAATGACAGAGAATGTCCAGATCTGTTATTGAACGTGGTTAGCCTCTTAGAAGATAAAACTTTAACGAATGTAGTTCCCATTGGTAAAAATACTGAAGCGGCATAACCAGTTATCCCTCGTGAATGGGACAATCAACTTATTCCAAAATTTTTTGTCTGTTTGAATAGTGTGTTCTGAATGTGAGTCACCGCCCTTCATGGTCAAGTGCCTGCAAGAAGGTGCTGCTGATTACTTGCTGAAGCCATTATCCGAAGATGTGATTAAAACCCTCTTTCTGGTAAACTCACTATAAAGCGCTTGAGCCAACTAATCAAAGCTGTACCACTAACCTGTACCAACATGGGAATTTCGACAGAATGTTACTCGATATAAACGGAATAGAAGCAAAAAGACGCTTGATCATTTGAACCAAGTGAATCGAGTGTCAGAGCCAGAGGATCAACACGAAGAAAACGATACCCATTCAAAAGGGGAAGTCTGGCTGAAATTCAAAGAACGTCTTAAAGGTGTCTTTCATGAGCACTGGTAAAAATGGGAGATATGAAACGCCGTTGCCTATTTGTCGTTAGACGCACATAACACTCATTCCATTTGTCTGTTGCACACAATCTAGGTTGTCGAAGCTTGTTGCTGATTATTATACCCCAAAGCCCAGTGTACGAAGATCATCTATGTCATCTATGTTAAGGTAAAGGATCCACTTTTTCCAGATCTTACAAACTTGTAGGATGATCGACAACCTTGTCTATTTACTGATCTATTTTCTTTTTTGGGCTCTATTTCCGTTTTCAGTGACCGAAAAGAGTTTTTGAAAGCGCAAATCTGTAGTTGGGAATTCCTACCTCTTGATCTTGACTTTAAAGATTTGGTTCAAATTGTCTTTATGATTCTAAATCAAGTGTTAACGACCTTTGATGAACTTGAGCCTCTTCGCGTGTCTGATGGTAAGAAAAAAAGGAGTTTTGTTGCACAAGTCCTGCGTGTGCGCGCCTTGACGCTCGCCCCTCCTCCTCTCCAGCCGAGCAAAAAGAAAAAGAAAAAAAGTGCTCACACAATTTTTTTTTGACTGTCTTCCCGTTTTAGCTGATCTGTATCACTTTATCTTTGACATTTGTAATTTTTATCATGGTACGAATCCTTATCACAATTTCAAGCATGCTGTTGATGTACTGCAAGCAAATTACTACTTCTTATGCAAATTGGGTTTGTTGGAACCAATGTGTTCGGATTGCGAGCTTCTCAGCAACAACAACAGCGGCACTCAAAATACACAAAATCATCATGACGACGGCATACCTAGTATCCAAAAATTGATGAAACCACTCGATATTTTTGCCCTACTTATGGCGAGTATTGGTCATGATGTTGGACATCCAGGTGTGAATAATAGTTTTATGGTATGATTCGTGAAAATTAAATCACAAATATGATTTATCGAGATTTCGTAAATGTTTACTAATTCAAGCTCCCTCCCCCCCCCTACTTCCTGCTTCGAATAGATCAACACCTCTACGCCGCTTGCCATCCTTTATAACGATAAATCTGTACTGGAAAGCTTTCATGCAATGTCGTTCTATCATTTGATGCAAAGCAACTGTTTTCGAAAGCTAACAGATCTTCGTGCTAACCCTGAATATTCCAGTAAGTCAATCGTCTTCTTTTTTGCATAGTGTATCATTTTCTGGTTTTTTTTTTTTTTTTTTTCTTGAAAGCGAAACTAACCGAAAAAAAAAAATATTTTTTTTTTTCTCTGTCTGGTAAAATTGTTTCGCTGGAATTATAGCTTTTAGAAAGATTGTCGTGAACAGTATTTTGGCGACGGACATGAGCATGCACGATGAATATGTCTCAAAAATAAAGGATCAAGCGGAACGACTAAGAAAAAACGAAATTGATTTTTCTGATGCAAGCGTGTGCGAAAAGGAGAAAATATTACTATGTGGTGCTTTGATAAAATGCGCGGATATCAGTAATTGTGTAGGTATACCACACGCTTTTTTAAACAGGGAAATAGGATAGATGAATTGATTTTTGCACGCCACTTCCCTTCATTTGATTAGGCGAGACCATTTGAATCCGCTAAACGGTGGGCAAAAATACTTGCTGAAGAATTTTTCGAACAAGGTGACCTTGAAAGAGAGTTGGGCATGCCAGTTTTACCGATAAACCAAAGAGGCAAGATACCCTTAACAGATTTCCAAATCACATTCAAGCGATTTATTGCTTTGAAACTATTTGTTGCTGTGACTGAGGTGACTCCAGGTAAGAACTCTACTTGTTCAAACTTACAGGGGGAAAAAAAAACCCACACACACACACACACACACACACACACACACACACATACTCATGCTTTTCTCTTAGAGATGCAATTTACTGTGGATCAGATACATGCCAATGTGGATATCTGGGAGTCTATGAAAATGGACGAATGTAAACATCTCAAGCAGCAACAACAGCAGCCTCAAGAGCAGGAACAGGAACAGGAACAGCAGCAAGAACACATGGAAAAGGATGCTGTCACACCGAATAACGTACCGCCAGAGCCTTCTGTTGAAGGTAAATGCTCAACAAATCAAAGACCTCGATCTGGTATTTAAGCAAACTTATATGAATTATCGATCCAAACCCACCTACTTCTTTTATAGACTGATATTATAGAGATTTATTATTGTTAAGCAAATTAAGCGTTACTTTTTTTCGTTTATATATATATGTATATATTCTTTATTTCCTTACTTGTTTGAACAACTCTCATTCTACGTACATAATTTCTTTATCTTTTACCTTACATATACATATATATCTTTTTCTCCACCGTGCACACATACACACACACACACACACACACACACACACACACACACACACACACACACACACACACACACACACACACACTCTTACACACTCTTACACACTCTTACACACTCACTCACTCACTTGCAAACTTATCAAGTTGGGTTTCTCTCTTTACATAGTATAACAACCTTATGTACAATGGACCTTGGTTCAGCACTGTCCCACCATTTCCTTGTGTCCAGGCAATTTATCTATTATCTTTACATCCTTTTGCTCTAAACCCCTCCCCTCTCCCGTTTTTATCTTTTATCTGGTTTTCTATTTTCTATATCTTCATTTGTACCGTGTTCATGTATATAGTACAGTTGTAATTTTATTACTATTAAACGTTGTGTTGCTCTGTTTCTAATTTTTATATTGCTGGAGAGCGGATGTCGAAGGGCGATCACAATAGACGGGACAAACACACAAGGAAGGAGGTGGAAAATAATAAGATTCTGTTTGCCATTTTCAGTAGCCTATAACTCAACAACAATGAAGCTTATATGAGACTAATCCCAGGGGGGGGGGGAGAGAGAATTAGATGAAAATGAAACATAGTAAAAAAAAAAAAAAAAAAAAAGCTAGGCTGTCCAAGAACAGACATGAAAAAAGAAAACAAAGCGTTTTATCAACGCGCACCCCCCCCCCCAAAGAGTAGAAAGCATTCCAAACGAGCTGATACGGGACCTACCAAAATCAACGTATCTACCTTTAACCGATTCCCCAAATCGGTGTCTCTCTTAAAACCTCTTGCTCCCCCAAAAGAGCGCACATGCCGCTTATGCATTCATTATGTAATCACGCGTTTCCGTAAGCAACACTTTCGCCGCCTTGTCAAAATGAACGGCACTTTTTCAAAGCCGAGGGATGGAAGTGGCGTTTCGTGACAATGGTTCCTGAAAGTATATCGTCCCATTTCTTTTTAGTCTCGTACGGCACTGATTTCTCCGTTTACATCTGCGACCTCCAACATATTTGCAATGGTGTTGCTTTATCGCTCTGCATGATCTTCATCGCGATAAGCCTAAAATGAGAGACAAATAATAATTAAAACTAGCTGACTTTATTGACTCGTTAAATAGGAAAAATCCATATAACTAGTTCTTGCTGGGCTTTGCCGGAAAAACGGTAGCGAAAAAAAAAAAAAGAAAAAAGTTGGGAAAGACATACACTGTCTATCAAACAAAAAACTTTAAACACATACAGATAACTTTATCATGGCTGGGGCATGTATGTTGGAATATTTTAACCTGATGTGTATAAGCTTGGATTGTCCAAATATCGCAAGAGACTGTCTCGCACATTGGCAAATGGCAAATGGCAAAAAAAAAAAATGAAAAAAACCAAAAGAAACGACATCATTAGCAGAAAGAAATCCCATGGATAGGATACTACCATGGTCATTCGCCTATGTAATACATATCCAAAATGTTGGCATGAACAAAACAGATGTCATGAATGAAATGATATCGTTTGATGATATCAATGATAAATTTATCCACATTCAATGTCAAAGAAGGAAAGAAGTGGACAGTCTCTGCCTCACTTGATGTAGATTCATACAAATGTCTGTAACAGTTGAGCAGTGCCTAACACCCTATGCAGTAGAGGATGTAAACATTCACGCAAGTAAATTCTTAATGTCTCCATCATTTGATTTAACAGAGTCAAGCGGATACCAAACGAACAAAAATGAGGTGCTCTCTCAAAAGCAAGCAATGTCTGCGATGAACAGAAACAAATAAAAAAAAACAAAAAAAAAAAACGTTCTACTACTTCCAGTACGTTATTCTTGAAAGATATTACAAATCAATACATCGTCTGTCAATAAAAGATTTGAATCCCTTGTCTCCATGCTTACAGAAATCGAGCCCAAACCTTCGTTGGCTATCATTGCTACTTTGTACCAACCCCCCCCCCCAATAAGAGTAGTGGTTTTGTTCAATAACAACAAAGTCTTGACTTTTCAACAGAAACGCACAAGCATGCTGATAGACTGATAGTCAAGTAAGCAGCTCCCATGAAAGGGAACAATAAGAATCACTCTTTTCCTTCATCATCACCCCCTTTAATCATACTGGACATACATTTCAAGCGTTATACTACTAACCCTTTTTGAGAGAAATACGGAGTTTATTTGACTTAGAAAGTGTATTTGGTATGCAAATCACGTAACGAAGTTTGGCAATTAAGAAATTAGAAGACTGTATTCCATCAACCAATCAAACAAGATGCATCTTGAGCTTACACGACACTTGACTTTCTGAAACAAAGCGCTGTTTACTTTTCTTTTTTTTTGTTTTGTTCAGTTCAGTAATATGTAGCACAGCACGTTTCTATCACCATCGACGAGAGAGTAAAAAGCGGGATAAGAGGGCTTCCATCGAAAGAAGGAGTAGTACATGAACGCAAGAAGATCTAGGTTCTTGCCTTTTAAAGAAAAGGTACAAAAAAGCTTTGTGTTTCTCCTTTAAGGATAGAAAAAAGTCTGTGCCCATTTGCATGCTGCTGTTGTGTCATTCAGGAACAGAAAATAGGAAACCCGTTCCTTGCTATATATATGATTTGTGAGAATAAAAAATGAGGATTCAGCCAATCAAGGACAAGGCTAATTTTCTCTAAATGATTTGCGACAAATGAATCTGTCATGTCCAAAGTAATGAATAGTTTTACTATTAAAAGAGACCAGAATTCGCTATTGATTCATTCTAATCATTTCCAGAAATATCTTCTTTACGTAAAAAAGGATATTCTCATAAAATACATTGAACAAGTCTTAAGAGTATAGAAAACTACTTTGCTTTTCTTTTAAAAAAAATACCCTTTCTCGGTTTGTTCGTGTCACCCAAATTTCTGGTAAAATTGCTTTTTGTGACATCACTTGTCTCGAAGTAGAAGACGGGTGTGGGGAGATGGTATATTTATTTCAAAGTCTAAATTAGCGATTATAGCCTTACCTTTCAGCACTGATTGGACAGTTTCTATTTAAAATTAAAATGCTAACATTATACGAGCACCAAAGCCCTTAAAGAAATCAAATACAGCTTGAAAAGAGGGGACGAACAGGGTAACAGTAGTTTGTCTCTTTTTTTTTTTTTTTTTTTTTTTTTCTGAGGAGTTAAAAAAAGTATATATACCATCCATTCCAATCTATCCTTTTGCATTTCTTCTTTCTTTCCTCACATAAATCATAAAGAATAACAAAAATGACCAAAGCCGAAGTTTCTCGTATTGAAGTTGAACAATTAAAGTCCTCCCCCTTGGCCGAATGCATTGGTAACGTTGATCTATTGTCTTGGATATATGCAATTCTGTTGACTCTCGATGCACTTACCTGTTGATCACTGTGATATATAGATCTTGCTTCCTCTGCTCTTGGCTCCAAGATTGTCTTTGTCACCAACGAATTCTTCGCTGCTGCCTCCAACATGATCAACCCTCTTCCTCCTGTTCATGCTCCTGGCAAATTTGTTGGTATGTACCAGTCCATCTCTTCATTGTTGTTTGTGATTGGGGTCAGGGCCACTGAATGACTCACCAAAACCGACTTTTTCTTTGTCTAATAGAAACTGGTGCCTGGATGGACGGTTGGGAAACCCAGAGACACAACCCCAACTACGATTGGTATGTATTTTTACATCGATAGAAGGATGAAGCGTGGATAAGAACACAGTGCAAAAAAAGAAAAAAAGCTGACTTTGATCAATTTCATTTTCATGATAGGGCTATCATCAAGCTCGGTTTCTCTGGCTCTTTCAAGGGTTTCGATGTCGATACCCACTACTTCACCGGTAACCAAGCTCCTGCTGCTTCCGTTGATGGTGCTGTCATCCCTGATGGTGTTGACCCCAACTCTGCTGATGTCAAGTGGACTGAACTCTTGCCCAAGCAAGAATTGCCTCCCACTCAACACAACATTTTTGTCTTGAAGGAAGAAACCGCTGTCTACACCCATCTCCGTGTCAACAACATTCCTGATGGTGGTATTGCTCGTTTCCGTGCTTACGGTAATGTTGCTCCTCAATGGCCCGAAGATAAGAAGTAAGTGGTTGTTATAAAATGAGAAAATCGAGACAATGGGAAACTGAATGGTCTTTTTTTTTTTTCAGTGCTATTGTCGATCTTGCTTTCTGTGGTAACGGTGGTCGTGCCGTTGAAGTCTCCAACCAACACTACACTCCTGGTTCCAACATCTTATTGCCCGGTCGTGGTCAAAACATGGGTGACGGTTGGGAAACCAAGCGTTCTCGTACTCCTGGACACACTGATCACGTCCTCGTCCGCTTGGGTGCCAAGGGTCACATCCTCAAGGCTGTCATTGATACCTCTCACTACTGTGGTAACTACCCCAACAAGGTTGTCTTGAAGGCTACCGTTTCTGACAAGGATGTCCCTGAAGAAAATGCTGAATGGACCACTTTGATCGAACCCTCTTCCGTTGGTCCTCATGATCTCTTCTACTTTGATTTGCCTCACACCGACAAGGCTTTCACCCACGCCAAGGTCATCTTGATTCCTGATGGTGGTCTTAAGCGTCTCCGTCTCTTCGGTGTCCGTGAAGGTGGTGAAATCCCTCCTCTCCCCATCGATATCGGTGACAGAGCTACCCACTAAATCTTTCTCCCCTAGATTCTTCTCCTCTGTATCTCTTTTTGTATAACTATAGAAAACAAAAGAAATATTTAGAAAATAATTTTATTCTTTCTCTTGTCATTGAATGGCAAGAAAGAAACGAGTTATTTTGTTGTAAAACATATTAACCCTTCTGCATATAACTTTATATATAAAACCCCATATACACTCACATTACGTTCATGTGAAAAATAAAGATGTGTACATACCAAATGTATATATAAAAAAAAAAAAAGAAACATTGTTTATCCAATTGTGTTCATCAATGGACGGTAGACAAGGCTATACATGGACTTGCTTTGTACAGAACCAAAAAAGAAATATATATATAAAGTCGCAATAAGAGTGGGAATAATGTAAGAAAACATGGAATGGGTGATATGAATAAAATCCATGGAATCTGGCTTTACGTGTCTTTGCGTCGACCAACAATGATATTTTACAAAAAAAAAAGAAATAAGAAAGTCTCAGGATAGACTGTGGTAAGCCTTTTAAACAATATTATAGTATCGCATCAAAATCGTAGAAATAACGCAAAAGATTAAAATGGTAGTGATAATGCCAGCAAACCAAGTGAGATCTTCCTGATACTGACCAGGCACTTGTACGTTCATGCCCCAAGCACCCGTCACTAGATTCATAGGAACCAAAATACTTCCCAAAGCCGTCAGTTTCGATAACACATCATTGATTTCGTTGTTTGTTTGAGTCATTTCAATGGATATTTGCGCCAGATAATTCGAATGGGATCTGGATGAAATTTTTTCATAGTGATTCAAAGAAGAGACCATAGAAATGAGGTGATCTATCCGTTGGGAAACGTTCGTTTTAAACATTTTTTGCCTACGTGCCATCTCTTTGTGGAAAAAAAAAAAAAAAACTTACCTTGCACATCGCCTAAATACAATGCTACTTCTTTACTCAAAGCAGGCCGCGTACCGTCTGCGGGTGCTATTTCGCCTCTCTTCACCAGCGTTTTGACGACGTCTGATTTTGAACTCAATAATCGCAACAAGCCCATCATTCTTTTCCTGCAATAGCCAATACGACGAAGCATATCGGATTGTTCCGATTCTTTCAAAATCAAGACCAATTCATCTATAGAATCCACTTCAAACTCGATAGCGCGTATCAGTGGTGCAAAAGAATCGGTGATATCGTCCATCAGTCCGTAACAAATCCAATCCGGTGTGACGTTGATGTAGTCTTTCAGCTGCTTGATTCTTTTTCTAACGTTGTGAGGGTGAGGCATACATTTGAAATGGAACTACAGAAGAGTTGCTTCTTAGAAAAAAGTGGAACTGGCAACAAGTCTTCTAATGCATGGATGCGTTGTTTTTTTTAAGGGAAATGGCAGAAGAAAAAAAAAAAAGGGTACCTACCGTCAAGACACCTTCTTTAAGGACAATGATATAAAGTGCTGATGGTTGTAAATAAGTAGTGGAAAACTCGTCTTGATCAAAGCTTCGGAAACAGATGAAATAGTAATTCAAAAATACTTCACATTTCTCTCTTTGTTCTTCCATACATATATCTTCAATGGTTAACGGATGGATATGAAAAGCTTTGGCGAGCGCCCTCATTTCAGCATCTGTCGGGTTATGAATATCAATCCAAAAGCAGCCCTTTTTCAACATGCTGGAGAGTGTCTCATGATCGTTGTATTCAGGTATCTCGCTAATGGAGCGGGAATGAACAGTGGTGATTTCTGCTGTAGAGTAAAAACTGACGCGATACAGATCTGTATCTATCTTATCGGCGGCATTCTAACATAAGGAAAAGGGGGGACACAGTCCGTTTTTGATGCATATGTTTAAGACGAACAAAGAAAGGGGTTTCAATATCAAGCAGCGATATGGGGTAGTGGGGGGGGGACAGCGAAACGTAGTTTACCAACATTCTATCACCATATAAACTGTATCTTCTACCATTATCAACAGTGGACAATCTCCTCCTCCGAGGCATTCCTGAGGCTGCTGTATGAGTACTGTCTGTCCTTCTGCTTTCTGCAATCTCCTTTTTTTCTTGGCTGATGAACTCTTCTAACGCATCAAAATCAATGCCTCCTTCTTCTCTTTTATTCGGTGTCGGAAAACATACATCCCCTTCTACCGGACTTTGACTAGCTGTTTCTATATCTGATGTATAACCCATCATACCATTATTTGTTGTACCATGGTTATGGTTGTTGTTGCTGCTGTTATTGTCCATGTTGATAGCAACATCTTGAGGACTCATTGGATTCGGTGACCTTGAAAAATAAGCCGTATGCTGATCATCACTGTCATTCCTACTTATCACGTCCTACGAACCGAAGAGCCAACGGTTGTCAGTGCGATCTATCGTACTATGTGTGGGGGAGGGGGCAGTGTGTATACTTTTGATATTACATTGTTCGAGATAGATTGATAGCCATTCGAGCGAGGACTGTTGAAAAACATATTCAAAGGTTGAAATGCATTGCTACCGCCATTATTCGGTGATTTTGATCCAGGTCGTCTGTTTCCAGGTGCTTTGGTTCCATGCCGTCTTTTGGATTTCGTCATCGTGGGTACAGTCGTTATGGTAATGTAAGTAAAAAGAAACGAAAAAAAGAAAGAAAGGGAAATTTTCTGCGTTCACTTTTTTTTTGTCGCACTCTATTTTATTTTTATTTTTTATTTTTTTCTGCAAACTTCAGCATAAAAGACAAGAAACATCGTTGCTCTTTCTTTTTCTTTTTTTGCCCCTTAAAAACATTTTGAAAGGACGACAAATGCTCGGACTTAGCATTCGATGAAAAAAACGAACTAATTTGTTAACAAAACAGGGCTGTTATAAATCAAAAATCATTTCCACTCATGCCAATTCAAGCACGATGGTTCATCATTTCAGCGGCAGGATCTGTCAATGTTATACTGAATTCGTGTTACAATGAAAACGGAATAGCCAACGATCCAAGTATCAGTGTTGTTGTCTAAATTCTCCTTATCGAGAAAGTAGTTTCCACTGTTCATAATGATGTCATGGATTGTATAAACCCTGGCGAATAGAAAAATTAAGTAAGAATAACTTATTCAGTGTGCACACACACACACACGTCGTGGCAAACACGAAACCGAAGTGGGGCATCCCACTGTATATTTTTTTTTTCATACCGTTTCGCATGAACAACGTTCAAGCCCAATAACCAAAAATTGAACTTCCGAGTAGATCACCCAATTTTGCGCTTTTTTTTTTTTTTTTTTTTTTTTTTTCTTATTGTTTGCAATTTTGGATACGTTCTTCTTGCTTCTAATCTTTAATAAACGCATGTATAACAAAAGGAAAAGGCTTTTGAAAGAAAGCACCCTACATTCGGATGACGGCATAGACGCATTGCTTGGTGGCCGTGCATCACCTCACGATCTTTCTATTTCAGAAAATGGCAGCAATCTATCATTTCACGATGATCAGGAGCTTCCCGATCGCCGCTTCAGTTTTACGAGTAACAGCAGCAGCAGTGGCTTTGTTCATCCATCACGACTTAATCACCCTTCAGAAGAGGAAAGACGAACACCAGACACAGTACGAAGAGCACTTTTTGGAGAAAGTCAGCAGCCAACAACGTCCGATGTCTATAAGCCACGTCAAAGAGAAAAGAAACGTCGCCCTGGTATGGCTTACAAACCAGTTCAATTTGGTTATAGAACCGATCTGGTCAATAGAAATTCAAGAAATCAAGGTTTTACAGAGTTTGAGTATGACGAAGGTAATGGAACAAAAGCACAGCGGTTGTCTCGTGTTAGAATCAAGATTCTCATTTGTTATCTATCATTAAGACATGAAGAAGAAGATAGCCAAAAACACAGAATGGAAAGCTATACCAGATAAAGTACGAACACAAATGAGAAACATATTATCTGAAAGCTACAAGTAAAGTTCACCCTCCATACTCCCGAAATTTTAAACAGAAGGAGCAGGATGATTCTCATTTCTTTTATTACTAAATGACAATAGTGCCACTTTAATGAAGGCATCACAGTATGCGGTGACTGAAGCAGGGGCCAGTCGTTTGCGTGCTGAAGGAGAGAGAATTTTGAAGCCTATTGCATTAGAGATTGATCGAAAAGTGCACATGACTCTGCTTCCAGGAACCGTGTCCAAAGAGCTGTTGGATCCTCATCTTCCCATAAAAACTGTAAACTATCTGACTTTTTCGAAAGGATGTCAACTTTTGGTTGTGTAATTGGCTCACTATTTCTTATTTTATTTTTTTACAACAGGCAGAGTGTGACGAGAAGATTTCACAATTGTTAGAACATGCCGCAGAATTACGTATGAAAGTTGAAGAAAAGCGAAAAGAAGTGGAAGAGAAAAAAGCCCTTGTAAAGAAATTGAAAGAAAAGAAGCTTGCCGCAAAACAAAGAGAGGTAAAAAGAGACAAGGAATGACCAAGAAAAAAAAAACAACCCATTAACGCGTCGTTACATTTAGGAGCAAACAGACATCTACCAAGTGTTTGAAGATCCCGACGATTACGTACAAATGCTTATGAGATACCCCAGTTCAAAGCAATACTAGAAGAACTCTATATCTTATTCACTATACCCAGTTAATATTCACACTAGTCTTTTTGCTTATTTATGCCATAAATACAGCAGCATAGAGCGCTTTGTATGCATATTTATTCTAAAAATACAGCTTTGCCTAAACTACCCATTCTATTTATTGCTTGCATTGAGTGTTCAGAGATCCAAAACAGCATCTATCCAAGGATCAGGACCATGAATGATAGGGCTAATACCAAGTTCTTTGAACCCAACGCGTCCATAAAGACCTAGCAAAGCAGGTCTACTGATCATCGCGATTCTGTTATACTTTTTTTCTCCATCATGTTCTTTTCTAAATTCTTCATTTACTATTTTGATACGATCAATCCATTGACGTAAAAGTTGAGTGGCAATACCCTTTTCACGATGGTCGGGAGAAGTGCAAACACTGTGCAAGCAAATGGTCTTCCCAGTAGGTTCATGGACACTCATGGATTCATCTGTCACCAAGTCGGACGTAGTAAGACTCGTGCAAACAAAACCCACAATTTCATCGTTCAGGAGGGCTGTCATGAATAGTTCGCTTCCAGACTGTGAGGCATAATGCATACGATTCCGTAGTTGCTCTTTAGAAGCTGCTTCATCAGGATGATAAGAGATGGCTTCTAGGCGAGCTATAGTGTCTAAATCCTGTAATGTTGCGGGTTTAACTGTAATATCTACCGCCATGATTTTGTAAGAAAGTTTGGAATAAGGAACGTGAAAGAACAGGTTTTTTTTTTTTTTAAAGGAAAAAAGTCGCCTTTTTAAAAATAAAATAAAATTGACAGGCCGGACGCGAGCAGCTGAGTGTTCGAAACCATCCAAAGTTGCTTTGATCAAAAGTTGTCCTCAGGTCGCTGTAGATGGATACATTTTTTTATAACAGAAACTATCCAACTGACATGACAAGGTGTTTAAAAGATCAGCTTGACATTGCTTGACTCTACGGGCAGTCTGAGTTCATGCGATATGATCTACATTGTATTCACAGTCATACGCACATATATGGAGTTGTATGAGATAGCTACCACGTGTTTATTTATGTGAATTCTATACTGCTAGTCCATTCCAATTCCAACCATTCGAAACGGCATTTGGATTACTGTAGAAGTGATATCTTTCAACGCCATTTTGAGTTTGTCACATATGTACCTGAAAATCAAGCACATCTCCGATTTTATGGCTTTTGATTGGCAAAATTATTTTCTTTCCCTTTTTTTTTTTTTTTTTTTTTGCGTGTGTTTTGTGTTTCTAAAATCATCGCTTCTTGGTTTTTGTTTCCTTTCCCAGTTCAATTTAATTTAGTTCGAGAATGAAGTCGAGACAAAAGTCAAAGAATAACAAGTTGCTGGGAATCGTACTTTCAGAAGAAAAATTCTACTTTCCTGGAGAAACGATCAAAGGTAATCTTAGAATTTGTTCAATGCTTCTGCAAAAAAAAAGGAAGTGTATAAGTGCTGACTGATTCTTATATAAGGCTCTGTTATTGTCAGACCTAAAAAGGCCAATATGAAAATCAACCAAATTCATATCAAATTTTATGGGTTAATATCTATATCAGCAGCAGAAAGAGAGATTATACGATTATTCACCAAAGAACAATCAATATCTGCGAAAACAGTATTGAAAGAGGCTGCCAAACCTTATTCATTTTCATTTGAATTTACCGTCCCTGATAGTATCGACTTACCGAGTGCCTTGGATGTGAGTAAATCAAAGCTTTCGATTAAACAACATCGTACTCATGCTTTTATTTTGTTTCAGTTAGGCAGCAGAAAGCTTGTAGGCGTCCACTATAAATTAGTAGCTATTTTGGATAGACCCATGATGCCCGAAAGTCTCTGCCCACGAATTGAATATCCAGTGCTTGTGCTTGAACACATCGACATCACCACTCCATCGAGATCAGCTATCGCTGAAAAGCAAAAAGACTATCTCAACGGCCAATTTACAATGAAATTGAATATTCCTCGAAGCGGATATACAAGAGGAGAAACGATTCCCGTCAATCTCATCATCAGTACCAAGTCAAAATTTGTCAAGAAAGATTGCTTAGTCATTGAACTGCTACGTAAAGTCAGATTACGTACAAACAAAAATGAAACGGACGAAGAGCATGTGCTAAAATCGAACAGATTTGATCTGAATATTATTGGACCGTATAATTTTTCTCAATCGATAACAAATCGCATATTGATTCCATCCACACCACCGACCATCAAGTACAAAGACACATTATTACGAATACAATACAAAGTTAGAGTTAGGCTTAATACGAACGATCGTATGGAAAAGAGGAGTCAAAGTAATCCAGCAGCAATCTGCACGCTTGATCTACCAATTATTCTAGGCACATGGCCTCGTGCAGACATACCAATAGACGACGACGATGATGACGATATTATACAAACAATGGGCGATCTTGATTTTAGTGATCTAGAGGATGAAGATGAGTTTCAGGAAGATGAATTAGACATTGTGCAGGAGCCAATAGTCAGAAATATCGTTTTAGAGGAAAAGAGAGACAGTGGTAGTAGTTGTAGTAAAAGAGAGAATGACATCAGTTCAAAGAGATATTCACACATCGGCGCAAGGCGTTCTGAATCTATCGGCTCTACATCGTCGTGGAAAATAACAACACAGCAGCAACAGCAAACATATCAGCAATACCAGCCTGTCAGCACTGCAGGTACAAATTTCATGTACAGCTGCAACAATAATAGCTCGCGTACATCCATTGCATCCCCTAGTACGCTGTCAATTGCCGCTACAAGCGTAACTACTCCCACTGTAACCCCGAGCCCTATGGAAAAGTCCAGTAGAAATATACCCGATCATCATTGCCAGCCTGCATCTGCTTCCTTTCATCATCAATATCAGCATCACATTATTAATCAACCCAATCGGAATAATTCTTTACCCTCCACCCACATGAACTCTATTACATCAGATCAGCTTATCATGGATGAGAACAGCGGTGCTTACATCAATAAGACTATCCTAACACCTGAACTGCAAAAGCATTTACAACAGCCGAGGTCATTATCAGCAAGAGGTCTCGAACCAACATCTCGTACATCTTCCTTATCACATCAGCGAAAACTGTCAACTGCATCTTCGTCGGGCACTGGTCATCGACAACAACATCATCAAAGAGCTGGCTCAATGGATTCCAATAATATTTGCAGTAACCCACCAGTAGCAGAGCCCGATATCTCAGTACCCAGTCATACTCTGACTTTCATTTCCTCTACTTCTACAACTACCTTTGATTCACCAGTCTACTTTGGTAACAGTTCATCTTCGTTGGACTCTGAGTTTGACGATGACGAAGATGATAATGACTTGCTAGCCATTATTGAAAAGAAAAGGAAAAAGGAAGATAGAGAGATGCGGCAAAAGCAGCGATTGATGTATACCATTACAAATTAGTATTTACTGTTATTTATTTCAATGTTAATATTGTATAACTTTCATAATTCATATCTATAGTGATATCCCTATAGTTAGCAGTGAAAGATAATAAAATCAAATATGTATATTAATGTGATAACATGTAGGAACCAGAAGATATTAATGAAATGTAAATGGCTTTTGGAAAAGATAAAAAGTACAAAGTGGAGGTGTATTTATTTATTCGTAAACGTTGATAAAAGCAGGTGACTACTCAAGACTACGAACGTCTATTGATTACTATTGCTGCCTCCTTCATTTTCTTGCTCGTCATTCTCTTCAATATCACCTGGAAGTACAATACCGAACTGATTCAGCATAGTACCGACAGGTCCGGGAAGACCTTGTTGGCTTTTAAAACTTTCTAATACATTCTTTACAAGATTCAGTTCAATATCCACAGGCGCATTCACATTCTCTTCATCTTCATCGTCTTCACTTTCAGAACCATCTTCGACTTCTCCAAAGCGTTCAGGATTTTTGGGTGTTTTAACAAAGGATTGACCTATCTTGTCATGACTATATATTTCCTGATCCATGTCTTCCATGACCTGAGCAAGATTCTTCTCTTCTTCGTCTTTCACATCATCATCCCCCGTTATTTCCGCTATTCTACAACCATCATTTTGACTGCTTCCTGGCGTGATCGTTTCTGGACCTTCAGATTCAAGGCTGGAAGTTCCTTTCAGAATACTCATGAATTTGTCGACATCGAAACTTAGAGCACCCATGTCTTCCTCAAACTCTTCATAGTCGCTATAATCGCTATCATCATCAACATTATCATCGTCTCCGTTGCTAAAGTTACTGTTATTTTTGTCGAACACTTCAACCCCTTCAATTCCACTTTTGGTATGCTCCACAAAATCCTCCAGGTTGCTCATGATGGCTTCCAGATCCACACCAGCACTACCATCCATGCCCATGTCTTTCGCTAAATCAGACATCAATTGCTTTTGCTGCAGACCCATTCTCTTCATTAGGATCTCTTCTAGTTGTTGAGGGTCTACATTCATCCAATCATCACTATCTTCGTTTTTGTTCCTCTTTGCGTACAACAGTTGTTGAAGTGCTTCCTCTGAATAATGAGACAATAGATTATCGATCGTTTGCCGAACATGGGTATCTAACCTCGCTCCATCAAAGGTGACTTCTTCATCTTCCACATCCAGATCATCTAAAGAAATCAAGCGCTTGTAATGTAATGCGGACTGCTTTCTATAACTGAGATATTGCTCTTTTGATTGTCTTTCAAGTGATTTGTACAATTGAGATCCCTTCTTCTCAGAACGAAAATAACCCAAATTGTTCAAATGCTGAAGATAAGCTTGATATTTTGCGTCCTTATCAAAATCGTAATGGTCTACGTCTTCCATGTCTGTTTCTGCTAATGAGGATGAAGCATGTTGGTAATAGAGCATTTCCAATCCACACGTCACTTTCATTCCCAATTCAGCATATTTGTATTTTTCTCTATCCTCTTTTCTTGATGCATTATTAGAGGGTAACCGAAAGGGTTTGGGTGCATAAAACTTCTGACTCACAGTCTGCGCATAAGTCGTTTTTGTGAAAGTAAGAATGGTATCTATATCTTCATCTTCCCTTGGTGAAAAGATTTTCATTGACGCGCAGGCTTTCATCGCACTGGGGTCTCGGTAATAGAATGCTTCAATGGCCAATGTGATCAGCTGAGGTTCCGATAGCAGCACAAAGGCAGCTTTTTTGGGTAAAATACAGCGTGCACAATGCATTTCAAATTTTCCGTTGCTGGCATGAGGAGAGACTTGCTCCAAACGCTCGCTGATAATATGTTGTATAGCAGGCGAGAATAATGTGTGTTTTGAGGACGGTTGCTGTAGTCTTAAATGTCGAATGGCTTGCTGACGTGTGAGTTTACCTGAAGAGGCAGGCATTGTCAAAATATCTGCAGGCGATGTAGGTAAGGGTATAATATGCACTTGGCCGTTCATTAAGTAAACGCGATTTTGACTGTTAGAAGGATCGAGCCAAGAAGGTAACTCAAGGGCGGCTTCAATGAGTAGAACATCGCCGTCATTATCAGAAAGAGAAATGATGGAGTCGGGTATATGCTTAGAAATATATTGCAAGAGGTACACTATAAACCATTCATCGTTAATGCAATCGCCAAAGCGGCTCGCCCCAAATAGAAAAGGGTAAGGTGGATCTATAATTCGAAAAGATCAAATTAGATCGGACAGATCCAGCAGGTATGCGTTAAATATACAGGTAAACATAAATAATAAAATATACCTTTAGTCTGTTCATAAGCAATGGACAAGTGAAACTTATCCTTTTGCCAAATGTAATCTTTCATGATCGGCTGAATCAACGAGTTGATCATGTCCAAAGTATCTTTTAAATAGGTCAGCAAGGCTTCTTCATCATTGTTACTATTATTCACAGGCAAAAAAATAGCATACTGAATGTAGTCAATGTCTTTAGAAGCTGTTCCTTTGAATACTTCTTGTAGGGTGTCTTCCATTGTGATTGACAAGCGGACGAAAAGAAAACAGGCAGCACCTTTTGATCTTAATAAGGGCTTCACTCCAAAGGCTAGTATGAAACTCAGCTTCTCTGGTTCTGAATTTTGAATGATTGTGCTGCGTAGTGTATGGAGCTGCAGTGCTTTAGCTTGTGAATGAAATCCGACGAAGAAAGCTACTACACGTTTCTTCAATGACCTACGGCTTCACTTGATATAATCACGACGAATATTTTGTTACTTTTATTACATGAGAGGCTAGCAGAAATTATTCCGTGCAATATTCAGTTAAGAGTGTCTTTAGTTATATATGATTTTACAAAAACTGTCATTGTTCATATATATTTTTGCTGGAATCACTGTACTGCCCACCAGTATCTCCAGGTGTCTATTGTATTGTTTTTTGATATTTTGCTGTTATCTTTCATTAGATATAACGCCGAGAGTGCGGATCTAAAAGACTTGCAAGTTCATTCATCCACACTTTTTTGAAAAACTGAAGCAAATTCTTTATCTATGGTTCAACATGCCCTCTAAAAAACGAAAGCATTCAGCGTCATAATTAAAAGCAATGACGATGCTATAGTTGGAAGTGCATTATTGAGAAAGAGTACTTTTTTTACGGTACATAAGAAACTTCAGAAGCTTTCTAGATTTATACATACCGCGATGAATTCAACTTTGTGGTTAACATTTTGACATACTGATGGTAGTTAAGCTTGAGTTTTGTACAATTTATATGAGTTTGAGATGTAGTTTGTCAGTTTACCAACTGCATGCGTTAGAATAGTCTCATTGGTGTAATATGTTGTGGATCAGCAATGTACAGGAAGGATAAAATTGTACAACTTAAGCATAACAGGAGATACATAATTGTATTATTACAGTCGTCGACTGTTCGAAAACCACTTCCAATACTGTGGTAAAGGTAAAACATTTGTCATACCTCTATTGTATTTATCTGATAACCAGATCGCAGCTTCACCGAGACCATGCAGACATGTATATCAGATTTTGACATTCCTACCACATCAAATCGAAAAGTATCTGGTATGTGTGTTGCAAACATAAGTCCTGTGTAATGAAGTTGTAATTCATGTCGACTAGAATGCAATGTGGAGTGTTAAGAATCGAAGGATGTGCAAGCTGTAGATATTATTTTAAGGATCTGATAATGTCATGTTACACAATAGAACAACTATAAGTGGTACGCTTTTGTACTTCAGAACACTTGATCACTGCAAAAATTTAAAAATTGTCAAGAGAAGAATATATATATATATATATATTCATAAGACCAACATTTTGATAGCCTCGAAAAACATTTCCTTATCGATAATCTTGGGATAAAGTGAACAAACCATAATATGTACAATTTATTGCTGCCATTACCGTTGCTCTTTTCTAACCGCTGTTACTGCTGTTCAGAACACTGATAACAAAACGAATGACTGTAACCCCTCCTGCAAATATTGCTTTCTTCACTAAATGCTTCATTATTGTAACATTGTAACAACACGATCCAGAACAGATTGAAATAACACCTGGCGGTACTTTTCTATTGTTTGTCAAACGTACTTTCAGAAATTGAAAATGTTGCTAACTCCTTCGTTCGCTGCTGCTTTTCTTGCTCATATATGTCACCACGCATAGTAGACCCAATGCAATCCTAATTATGGTAAAGGCTCTAGGTCGCTTAACAAAAAAACAAACATTAATCTCATTTACTCAGTTTTTACATCATAACTGTAAGTCATTTAATAATAACAAAATTGTAAATGAGGTTTTTTTAGGAAGACAGTCTCTTGAAAGGCGGTGCTTGTCCTTGTATAAGTTGTCTCTATAAATACATGTTTTTGATAAAATGCATTAATTAGAGTTCTTTGGCTCTCAGATAAAGCTGCCGGACGTCTGCATGGCTCTTTATACGCGATAATTAGCAGCAATATCTATTGCAATTTGAATAAGCACAGCAAGTCGATGAAGTTTTCAACGAGGATAAAAAACGATAACAGGTTGATAAATGAAAACTACGAAAAGACTGTAAGATATTCGACAAGATGTTCATACATCAAATTGCTACTGATGCAACCCCATAAAATTGAAAAACTAATTGATTAAGGTATGCTTCTTATATTTCCAGTAAACCCTGACATTGGAAAAATGACACAAGATTGAGTAAATTTCGTCAATAATTGCATATATTATGATAATACAAATACCCCTTCTAAGGTAAAGCCAAACTCAAGTTATTATAAAGGCGTGTATATACTATCAGCCAGTTAAAAATTCCATCATTTTCAGAGAAATAACTTTAGTTTGAGTGGAACTTACCGTTTTTCAATCTTTTTAGGAGAGAACCTTGCTGTATGCCAGCTGAATCGGATATTCAAATTTGAGATAAATGGTCCTCTCTATTTACACTGAGAATAGGTGAGAAATGTCAGGTTAGTTTTGCTTATCTCACTAAGTGGAGTGTTTCTTATCTATTTCTTTCAATGACTTCTCTTTCGTTAATGCTCTTTCTCCAAATAGTTTGTTTCTCAGCTTATATATGGAGTCACCCAAAAACAGCACAATACCCATTGACAATGGTCCGTTAATAGACCAACCTATGGAAGAAGAAATGTACTCTTCATGGGCACTCCTCATCCTCACTACACTACTCATCGGTGCTTTATGGACTAGCTATTTCTTACAGCTGAAAAAAATACGTGCGGTTCATGAAACTGTTTTGTCTATTATGGCAGGTAATAAAATAGACCTCTTTAAAAATAATAAGATACCTCTTAATTGATAAATGATAAATCCCATTAACAAGAACGCTCTTATAAAAGGAATGATGGTGGGGCTTATTATAAAACTTGCTCCGGGCACTATTATCCAAGATATGGTTAAGTTTAAGCATGGATTTTTCTTCAATTTATTATTACCGCCAATTATCCTCAATTCCGGGTATGAGTTGAAAAGGGTAAGACGAGTTGGCAACTCTAAGAAGGCGCCAGTATCACTATATTATTATAAGAAAGTTAACAATCAGAGTTTCTGCTACATAACAATATACAGCGCAACTTCTTTTTGAATTTTGGTACTATTTTGACTTTTGCAATGGCCGGTACTTTTATTGCAGCTGTGGTTACTGGGTAGATATTGTATACAGCAACAACTAAAGGACGAAATTCGCTAAATACTATTCCTTCAACATAGTATTCTTACATTTCTGTACACACTTTTGAGACCTGAAGGTGTTAGCATATCATTCCTTGACAGTATGATATTCGGTTCCATCTTATCGGCAACGGATCCAGTTACTATACTAGCCATTTTCAATCAATTACAAGTCGATCCACAACTTTATTCTATCATTTCAGGCGAGTCTTTGTTAAATGATGCCGTAGCTATTGTGTTATCAGAGTACTGTGAAAAGCAAATGCTTAAAATGTAGGGTCTTCCCGTATCTCACCTTTATTTCCTGTTTTTCAATAGTACATTACGTGAATTTCGTGGGCAAGAGTTACATCTCGCTAATATATTTAGGGGCATTGGTCTTTTCATGGGTGTATTCTGGGCTTCGACCTTTATTGGCGTCTTTTTTGGTGTGGTCGTTGCCATCTTGCTCAAATACTCTCAATTGAGTCGATTTCCAAGCATTGAAGCGTGTATTGTCTTGCTCATGGCTTACAGCAGCTACTTCTTTTCTAATGGCACCCACATGTCAGGAATTGTCACTTTACTCTTCACTGGTATTACTCTCAAACATTATGCGTATGACAATCTTTCCATGAAAAGCAAACGTACCACTAAATCCATGTTTCAGATCTTATCCCAACTTTCCGAGAATTTTATCTTTATCTATTTGGGCGTAAATCTGTTTGCTCAAGATAACTTGGAATATAAACCATTTTTCATTCTCGCGACCTTTGCTTTCATTTGCATTGCGAGATATGCCTCGGTGGCGCCGTTATCGTTATTGATCAATGCGGTGAGTAAAGCGGTCGGGAAGCCTGAGCAGCAGCTATCGCGCAATCATCAAGCTATGCTATTTTGGGCAGGGTTACGCGGGGCAGTCGCTTTTGCACTGGCTTCAGGTATTACAGGTGAAAGCGCACCAGCTATGCGAACGACGATTTTGGCTGTGGTTGTATTGACAGTGTTGATCTTTGGCGGTACCACAAGTCGGATGCTTCAGTTATTAGATATTAAAACAGGTGTGATTGAGCCGAGTGAATCAGATGGTAGTGATCTGGATTTCGAAGATGATGTTGAATACGGTATCAACCATTCTAGAAAGTATATAAGACTTGAAACGGATGATGATGAAAACAGCAATCAACGACAATTTGGGTTCTATAATAATAATGGAAGAAGAACGCGATCTAGAACGTATCCTAATCATGACGGCAACGCCAGAAGCAGCAGCAGTAATCGTAATAAGGGTAACTCCACTAGTAATGGTACTGATGTCTCTATTGGAGGTCTATTGTCAGGTCCATTAGGCGAACCTATACCACAAGATCGTCCACCTCATTGGTTCGTGTCGTTTGATGAAAAATGGTTAAAACCTGTTTTGACCAAAAAGAATATACAGCAAAGAAACCAGACGTTGGCAGATTATTGGAGAGAGAAAAGGAGTAGAATGGAACGTGATAATAGAAATATGTTGGATGACATAAGGCGTATGAATTTCAATGAATGTGAGGAAGACGATAATGACGAGGTGACTATGAACAATAGCAGGAGAAGGTTTAGTAAAAGCAACGACAATGAGGATGATACAGCAGACGCCGTCACGTTGAATTCTGTCAAGACAGAAAATAGATTGTACCGTACTAATTCTGCGTCGTCAACCTCAGCAGGAAGAGAATTCCCTTCTAATGGCCTACCAAGACCAAATCTTTCGCGTAACGTCGACACTGCTGGAGGTAGTAACAGTAGGATGATTGTGGGCTCAGGAAGGGTATTCGGCAGATCACCCACCAAAGACTCTGATGAAGAATAATATAAATTGCAATTGCATTTTCCATATATCTTGATCATGTACGTTTTATGGTCTTTCATTATCTTCTGTTATATGATTGTCTTTTTATAAATAATTTATGTACTTGATTTCGTATTGCATATTAGCTATTTGAGACTTTTGTGTAAATTGATTGAAACTTTGATACAGCCTCACAACAGGAGTAATAAGTCAATTTTTACGGGTGCATGGTTGAATACATAATGAATCGTGTAGTTCATAAAGAAAAAAAGTCTTTATGTAAGTTTATTAGATTGATGATATTAGAAACAGGACTACTTTTGCACATCAAGAAGACATTACAGTAATAAAAAGGAGATTTACGATCACCACTAGCCCTACATATCATTGTAACTCATCGAAGAAATCTGTTAAGCTGACTCAAATAGTGGATAAGGGAAATAAAAGTTGCTCTATTTGACAGCTCTTAACAGTCTTTCTGTTTTTAAATAGATACTGTGAATGAGATGACAATAACGAAAAGGTACAATGAGTTGCTATACTGATTGAATTCTTCTCCTGAGATGGTATACAATAAGAAATGAACTTTAACGTGATCTACAACCTAAAATATACATGGGTTATATAAAGGGGCAACGTGTCTCCTTGAACGTGAAAGGTTAGGCCTGGATTAGAGAAACGCTTTCAGGAGTTTTTGTGGGTGAGTATACTTTTACAATCAAAGCTATTTTCGAAAAGATGAGAACTGTTGATTATCTTTTTTGAGTAACTAAAATGACTATGTGTATCGAGTTACCCGAGAAAGCTATAAAAAGAGCCATGTCATGAAGTAAGCTTGCATCTTTTACCTTTTATCATCGAAACCATATTTCGTATTCACCATACAATCCTTTATACTTACTACATTCCTTTAAATAAGTCACCGAATAACGTATAGTACTCAAATGAAGGTAAAAATCATTGCTGTCTATACTGTCAGTCAATAAAATGAAAAGGCCAGGTCGGCTAACGGTGGTTTTTCTGTTTTTAAACGTAATAGTTCACTCTTGTAAGCACTCTTTTAGCTGGCCTTCTCGCTACTTCATCTTATGTTTTCGCCGATGAGAACAACATGCATTATTTCTCTGTTCCTGGCCCTGATTCTGAATTTACTACCACTGATAGAATTGACTTCACTACCAATGGTATCACCAACGACGCTGACGAGACCATTATTGCTAAGCTCTACAACGCTGCTGATAATACAGAAGTTAAACAAATCGGTTCCTACACTGGCGAAGGTATTGTTCGATATGACGATAGCGAAGACTGGTCTTTCAGCTGGGTTGTAGATGTGCCTCCAGGTACTTATTACGTTCGTCTATGGGAGCAAGATGCCGATGGAGATATTGACGATGATGATGAATGGGATAATGAAATTCGTAGCCATGACTTCATGATAAGAGAAGCTCCTGTGGAAAAGAAACGAAGAAAGAGAGCCTATTTCAGAAGATCGGCTAGCCTTATACAAAAAGCTCAGGCTTTAAAGAAAGAAAAACAATCTGCTTCGTAATTCGATGATTGTATGATAAAAATCTTCTCCATTTCATAACTTATTACATTTTTGTAGTAAAGCAATACGAGCAGTGTTGTTCGTGATTATTCCCTCTGTTGCTTAAACCACACTATTCCTCCCTCTCTATTTATTAAGCATTATTACTCATGCCCTCCCATTTCTCAAATAAAGCCGTCTCAATACATATACGACACATTTTCGAATTAATCAAGAAAATATCATGTAAATGTACTTCCTCTTGAAATAAGGGGCAAAAAAAAACTCGGTAGATTCATGCTTATTGAAACACTCGGTCTTTTTTGATTGGTCGAATCAGCTCCAGTAACGTCATGCAGCCAACAATAACAATACTATATTGTAGTACTCCTTTCTTTATTTTCTGATATATTGTTGATTCACCCGTCTATACCAACTTACCCAATGCTAAGCGGTAAAATACCCGAAACTAGAGATGAAAAATGTTGGCTTGTAATTGGCGCTCATCAAGCATGTGCAACTCCAAAACAGATCGCCAGAATGTGTGGACTTTCACCTACTCAGGTTATTCGAATAATTGACAATTTCAAAAGAACAGGAACACCTAATCCCCCAAAAAGACCAACAAAGAAAGGTATAATTAAGAATAAACAGAACATGCATTAGGTTTTATATTAATGCCTTGGCTTGTTGTAGAAAAACTGAAACCCCTAGTAGAATATGACGAAGAAGGGAATTTCATTGACAGTAGTGATGAAGAAGCTAATAATGATGAAGATATGGCCGAGGTTTGCAACTTGTAAATGAGCTTTAAACTTTTGTGAAAGTGTACACACTAATTGTATTCTATTTCTTCGCCAATAGGCTTCAGTAACAACTCTAAGGCCTACAAGACGAGCTTCAGCTAAAGAATTGATAGCTTACGTATTAAATAAAGCACAAAAATTGGACCAGCAACAACAACAACAACAACAACAACAACAACAACAACAGCAGCAGCAGCAGCAGCAGCAACAGCAACAGCAACAATCTGAACCTGATAATGGCTTACTTCCCACACCGCCGATTGCGATGAGGGATATTTATGACGGCAATATTCATACCACTATGAGCAATAGTGATAATGACCCTATGTTACTGTCTCCACCTCTTACAGCTTTCTCTAATGAATCTTTAGCATCAACATCCCCACCCCATACCAAGAGAGCTTCAATATCTTCAGAAACTACTTCAGTTTCAACATCAACAGCAGCAATGGATATAATCAAGGGTTTTGAAAGCTGGACTGAAGAAGATGATAAAATTCTAATGGCTCACGTCTTATCCAGGTATAGTGGCGCCAGGTGGGAAGAAGCTGTGAGCAAGCTTAACCATCAACATACAGTTAGGGGGTGTAAAAGGCGATGGGAGATGTTGAGAGATTTACTTTTACGTGGTGCAACCCAAACAGGCATACAGGGATGGTCATTGTAGCGTCCATACTAATTTGTGCCCTGCGTTATTACTTATTTGAAAAGTGCATGCAAAAGATATAATATACACAGTAATTATCTTTATATAAATAATAATATCAATTATCTTTAGTAATATGTACGAGGTAAAATAAAATTATATGCTTGTCTATAAATATTGCTTTCTCATGAGATCAGTAACTCCCTTAACAAAAAATGGCAATATTTTGGGTATCAATTGCAGTTTAGGTTTGTCTAATCCTTCGTATGAGAGGCCACTACTTCCTAGGCTTGATGAACTATCACCGCTACTGCTGCTGCCATTGGATGACGAGGAGATTGCCGATTCATCATCACTAGCCAAAAGATCAAAATCACTACTACCATGAGTTCCAGTGGTTCCATTGCTAGCATCACTAGTACGTCGACTGCTATTACTGATTTCTCCTTCGTCTTCATATTGAAATTCTTCGAAATCATCTAACGCATTCATCATCTCAGTTGTCTTTGGTATAAATTGGAAAACTTCCTTTTGTCTTTGCCGATTCATTTCCTCTGCTACTGTCTGCAATCCTTCTGGTGTGGCATGGTTCAGTTTACGTCGTTGGCGTTCAAAATGATGCATTTTTTGTTGGTAACGATAATTGCAAATAGCATTGACTTCTTCTTTCAAAAGTTCTTCTTCTTTAGAGGATGCTGTTGTTAAAGATATACCCGCTTGTTCCAAGCAAGTGTTGAAATCGAGTTTCCCAGGGATGCCTTTGGCTACAAAGGTAAACAGTCTATCCAAGTATTGAATGAGTTCGTCAAATACATTGGATGCTTCTTGTGTATGGACATTGTGGATGAATTCGTAGAATCGCTGCTCATGGCGTTGAACGAGATCAATAAAGAGTTGGATAGTATTTGCAACATTATCGTTGGTATTGGAAGTATTATTATTGCTCTGCTGTTGCTGTTTTAATCCATCAACTGTCTTTAACAAATCATCGATGAAACTAGCTACGTGTCTAATAGTAGTACTAATATCCGCTGCTTTATATACTTGAGCTAAAGGCTGGTAAAAAACCGAAATGAATTCTTTCAATAGCTCTCCCGTTACGCCTTGGAATACCAAGGTCATTAAGAGTTCTTGTTCATGTTGACGCGTATAGAGCTCCCATAATTGGGCCATCTGTTTAAGTAACTTTCTCTTTTCATTATCAATGGGTACAGCTTCCGATGGATAGTTGTTATTAACCATTTCAAATGGCTTTAACTGCTCGATTGGAATACAAGGTTTGATATCATTGTTGCTCAATAAGGAGAGAATTTCTGATGCCCGACCGGAAAGCTCTCTGAAAGTGGTGTCAGTAGGCGGAATAGGTGTTTTCACGGCATTACGCAACTTTTCACAGAAGAGTGGGTTATTGATTTTGGTTTCAAGATGCTTGATCTCCTTTTCAAAAGCTTTGGACTCTTCATTCAAGTTGGAAATGATCATTCGTTGAAATAAACTTCGACCACCAAAAGGTTGTGCCAGGAATAAATCCAGAATACCTTTCACCATCGACATTGGGTTGGAGAATTTCAAAATAAAAGAAATGGTTTTATAGGGCATTAGAGTGTGTGTTCTTCGTAAATTGGTTAGGTTCTCTGTGGCAGCATCTGATGATATAAATTGTTTGTGCAAAGCGAATGCAAAGCTATTTCCCAAAGGTAAAAAAAATAGTCAGTCTCTTAGTAAAAGCAATTGAAACATTGTAGATGAATACTTTACCTTATTCTGCCCCATTCAAAAGCCTTATATAACGAGTAAGGTAAATCTTGCACCGATTTTGTTGCCTTGATAGTATCGAACACTTTAATCAACCCTCCAGGCTTTAATATGTCCTTCTTCAACGTTTCCAGTGTTTGATTCAGCTCATGTACACGGGCATCTAATTCTTTCTGATACATTTCTTCTTCAACTATTTTCTTTTTATCCTTTTCCTCTCTTTGTAGGGCGTCCTGCTCTTCCTCTAATGTAAAAACGATGGGATTGTTCGATAAGAACTTTCTCAGAATACGACTTTTCCGAATCTGCTGTTGTTGTTGCGTTAAGTGATTTTCGCAGCCAGTTAATTTTATAAGGAAATTCCGGAGTGCAAGTCGATCATTTTCCTTATAAAACGACTCTCGAGAAGTCTCGTCAGATTTGGGGGGCACCAAGGGAAGATGATACTGATGATGATGCTGCTTATTGAAGTGTTGCTTTAGCTGATCTCTGAGACGACGAAAGTCACCGTGACGACGAGCGACATAAACAGGCTCATTCGGTTGATCAGGGAACCAAGTCTCAATTAGGAATTCTGCATGTGCTGCATCTCGCAAAGCTTTCTTTCTCTTCTTTTCACGCACGGTAAGAATGTTGACCTTGAAAAGTTGAGTTTTCCCATTTAGTGTTCGTTGTTGTTGTAGTAAGATATCCGTAGTAGTATTTGTAACAGTACTATTCATATTGACATTATCGCCATCAGTTGATCTTACTGTAGTTGATTTGCTTTTAGCCGCTATTGTCTCGGCATTGATTCGAATACTCTCTTCTGCGCCTTGAGTTGTTTTGATACTCGCACAAAAAGCAAATACCAACGACTTTTGTATTTTTTGTTGCATTGACCGTCTTTGTAAATTGCCTTCGCTCCTTTTCGACGTATAGAAAGATTCCAATTGCAGTTTATTGAACTCGTTTAGCAATAATTTGCATTTAGGCCAAAATTGATCATCACGAGTGTGCTTTAACAGTGGGAATTCAATGATGATATTATCAAATATGTATTTTAGAAACGGGATTCTATCATTGAAAGCACTGTCATTATTGTCATTTTTAGCTGTTTCTTGATCTCCGCTGGTCGAAGTGCTGTCAATGATGAGATTGGATATCGTTTTATGATCCGCTTTCAACAGATACTGTATCTCTTTCTCCAGCTCTTCAGTAATCAGTTCTCGTTTAAAATAATGCAGTTGTTTTGGCGTAAAGTCTATCATTGAGTAAAACTGTTGTACAAAATCAAGCTTAAACAGTGAGCAAAAAATTAAAAAAAAATTGAAAAATGAGGAATCCATTTTTATTTGATTTCTCTTTTTTTATTTTATAATTTTTTTTTCCCCTGGAAGCTTAAAATGTTTTTTTTTGTGGAGTAAATATGACGTACATAATGCTCCAGTGACAATAAAAATAGAAGGTTTCCTTTTTGCCAGTTTCATGGTGAGTTACAAATATATCATCATTATGAACGCTTCTCTTGTCAAAATGGATCCGTGGCTCTAATTGTTAAAGGTACTATCTGCTAATATGATTACAACATTTCTATTCAGTCTCCTACGCACTATATTGCTGTCCGATGAAAGACATAAAATCTGGATTAAAGGCATGAAATTTGAGTCTATAACGTGACCTAACATGCCATATATATAAGGAAGAGGCATATATGGAATTAATTGTTTCCATTTGATTGTTCAAATGGACTGAGCTACGATTGGAGAGATTCTTTGGTCTCAAGACGATACGTAATAAAGATAGCAACAATGGCTTTTTTTCGTTATCCCGCTTGTTTTTTATAGGTGATTATCAATTGTAAAGAGAATTATCGAGATATAACACTAAAAGTAGCAGGAGGGAACAAATATATTGAGGATAAACTGCAGGAAGACATTGCAATATGCTTTTTTAACCCGTAACTGTACGTTGGAACCGAACTTTATTATGAAATAAAGCAAGCAATCCTGTCAAACATCAGGAGGCGTTACCGAGATGACAACAATAATGCTATCATTGACTTGAATCTTTTGAGGCTAAACTGGACAATTAGTCTTTCAAGCGGAGGGAAATCATTGTATTATGGACACAGTGTTAAGAAATGTGCTAGACTTCCGTAGGTGAAGTAGCAACAGATTTAGATCAGTTTCTTGTAGTGCCTTATTCCAATATTGCCATTTGATGGAATCAACGAAGAAGTGAAAACCATCCCCAGGGCATCTGTGTAATGACCGCGAAGAGAGGGTCAGCTATTAAAGAAGTGGTAGAAAATACGTTTGTAATCAGAACGGTTATGTTATAACCGCCACCATAGAGGTAGAACTGTATTGGAATGGAAAAGTACACACCAATGTAACGTAACATCAGCCTTGAGCAGCTTTAATAGACATTTTCACAACTCAGATCGATATGGGAGCAGCAACAGAAGAGAGGCTTGAGCGTTGATCAAATGATACTGAATAATAGGGACTGAGTGTATTGAACCATATGCAAGCAATCTAGGTATGGCTTTTAGTTTCAGGTAGTTCTGGATGCATACATATCGTATAGTATAGATGCGTTGAGTGAAAGTCTACCACATGAGAACATCGGAAACTAGAAATTTCAATAGAACGCTACCGATATCCATAGATGAGAGTCGAATCAAAGAAGGTGAGCGTTGAAAAGCAAGGTGAAGAGGTAATTCAGCGAGCGATCATGCTATGAAAAGGACAAAGGAAGCGACAATATAACCAATTTTATAACCTAAAGGCATAAACGATAAAGTGCAGTATATGCCAGAGTTACCAGATGTTGGATCTTTTTTTGATTTAAACCATTAATACATACCAGTCGCAAGATTCAGAATTAGTAGCCATAATTTCATCCTGCATTTTGTTGATGCTCTGCACCTTTTCGTTGTTCAAAGACAGTTCTGGTGCTGTTTTATCGATGGATGCCATTAGAAAATATTAAAGTGAAATGAGAAAATCCAAAGTCGGCCAAGATCAACAGCAAATCTGGTGTTTGCTCACTTAAAAAAGATAGAAAAAAAGACTTCTCTCCTCCCCTCGATGAGCAACACGTCTATTGAAGCCAGCACTTTTGGATTGTGTCTTGTCATTCGACTTTATGCATAAGTTGGCGGGACTTTCAAATTTTGCAGAATTTATACATCAAAGACAGTTACAAGATTTGTTTGTGCCTTGGAAATTGACCCTAGAGAAAAAGAACAGCAGTAACAGCAGAACTGTAGAAGAAGACACTGTATGAACAGTATAATCATATTCTAACAAGGTGTATTAGGCAATTTATTTGAGCTACACTCATAGTAATTTCTTAAAGTCTTCAGCGACCTTCAAAAAGATAACATGCGGTCGAAACTTAATCCGTATCATATTGCTTTTGCTAGATTTTTTTCGCTCATTCAGCTTTTATTCATACCAAAAATTGTTTAGACTTTTATTATTCTAATCAGACTTCACAGGATGTATACTTGTCAGTACAAGATGCATTATTTAAGCTTCTTTACTCTTCACTCACGGCTACTAAAGGGAGTCACTGTTATTCTCTTTTTTATTTTTTATAAGGGTCGCTGAACAATTCATGATTAATCGTTATTTGACAAATTAGACACGCCCTGAAATTAACGGACGCAGCTGCAATGACCTACATAAACACTCGCGGATAATTTATTCGTAAGTTGCCCGTTGAATGTGTAGCACCAAATGTCTATCGTCGGAAGGCTTATAACAAAAATCGGATGCCCAATCAACTTTTGAGATGTTGGAATAAATCGTAGTTGTAAAGAAGCGTGAACTGCATAAATCAGTTGGGTTGCAAGCAAATGTGTATGTAACAGAGCCTTGGTAAGTATCAATTAAGCTGCAGTGCAATATTTTCTCAGTAAGTTACACTTGTTTCGAAATTCTGGTTGTCTTTTATGCTATGAAGGGTCAACGTCCATGATATTTGTACTACTCACTGATGCCAATGATGCCTCAAATTATTTGGTGGATCTTGGTGCGCCCCTTGAACACTAAGTGACTTTGCCCAGCATTTTACTTTTTTTTTTTTTTTTTTTTTTTTTTTGCCAAATTCAACATCCGTTGTTTTGAAGGCAGGATTGCAGCAAAAAAATTTACCCTCACTCGCGTCGTAATGAGGTGTGTGCTCATTTTTCTCCATTTTTAAACGTTCTTGACTTTTCTTCTCTTTAACCTTGCTTTTTTGACTCTACATACAGCTTGACTATTTTGCCACCTAACCATACACCTCTGGTAATGCAAAAATCAAGCCCTGAAAAAATAATTAAAATAACTCGTGAGGCTTCGGCGACATTGGACAGTAGAGGCTTGATTGATCGCCAATTTCCTGATCTTCACAAAACATTCACAGGTATGGCTCTTTTGTCATTCGATCCAAAGAATGACATACATTATATGAGTTATTAATAAAAAGGTGGTTTACAAATATTATTACTGTAGATCCTCCTATATACGAAACGACCCAGGCAGAAGCGGTACGACCAGTTGTTTTGAAAAAGAATATCACTTTTCCAGCTGATGCTTTAACAAATATCAAAGACTGTATGTTACAAACGAAACTGTTACTGTGGCTGATGTTTTTCTAACCTTGTTTACTTATCTTATTCTCTTTCTCTTACATGGCTTGTCTATTCATTAGATAAAACAGATAGTCCTTGTGGTGTAGCTCCAGCTATCAATCGAGCCTATTTTGTCGTTGGAAAGCAACTTTACTTATGGGACTATATCAAAGGGTAAGCGAACGACTTGAATATAATATTTTAGAACAAGCCAAAAGAAACTCTAACGGTTTTTGTTTGGGGAAATCAGCTCAATTGTTACTTATGAAGAAGACTTTGACATCGTTGGTATTGGCTTTGTAAAACCAAAGCCAGATGTTTTCTTAGACGAAGTTAAGCAGCTTATGATCATCTCAACGAAAAGAGAAGTCAAAATAATGGCTCTTGTTTACAGCTCAACCACAGATTTGAAAGTCTATCCTACAGACATGAAAACAAATACAACAGGTATCAGCATGACCGATATTGTTGGAACAAAATATGGACGCGTGTTTATGCTGGGCAATGACGGTAATGTTTGGGAATTGGATTACAGAGTAAGTCACTTTTATAATAACCCTTGAGGGCACCGAAAATCAGACGGTAGATAATAACCGTTTCTATTTTCTTCTTTTTGCTCTACGGCCAACAGAGTGAAGAAAGCTGGTTTTACAGCAAATGCTCAAAGAAACTGCATACTTCAGCAAACAATTTTACATTTCTCTTTGGCAGATTGGGCGACCCTATCATACAAATTGCTGTGAGCGAAGATGGGAAGGTTCTGTATCAGCTTACAGAGCGTTCAGCGATTTATGTAACTTATTTGGGTGATGATAAGAAACAAACGTTTATCAATGTGTACAAAAAGACCGACATCCTTGAAGATGCCCGTAGAACCAATCCTAGTTCAAACTATCTTAATATTAAGAATTGCAGGGTTGCATCGATCCATCCAGTATCTCCTTCCGAATCGACTGTATATCAATTAGTGGCTGTCACTACCACTGGATGTCGACTGTATTACACTCATTACCGGGATATGCACCAAATTGCTGCCAATGATCGTCCCAACAATTTACTCACGCTTCATGTTCGACCGCCTTCAGAAGATGTGCATGCGAACGATTATTTAAGGAATACAACTTATCATGATGGGCTATTATTTTTCACCAAGAGACGAGGACTTAACGCAGCTCAAGAGGATATTATCACATTCTCTCCTGACTTGGGAAATCTTTCAAACATCACCCACGCTCAAGCTGATAACCGTTTAGTTGAATTCCGTAATGTCATTCCCATTCAAGGGGAAGTTTTCAAGATTGTAGAAGTACCTGCTACCGACCCACATCAATTAAATGAAACATCTATTCTCTACAATCCACCTGCACGTCATTTCTTAGCTCTGACTTCATATGGGCTCTTTGTACTCGTAAAGCAACGTCCTGTCGATATGCTCTATCAACTTCTATTGCCAACAGGTCGCGATATCAATACTCGTTTGGTGGATTTCGAAAGCTTTTTCAACCATTTTGGTTACGTTAACGTCTCAGCCCTTTGCTACAATTTGATATGCGCGTATATTTCAACCTTCACCTCAGATAAGGAATTGGTTTATAGTTCGGAACCCGTCTCCGAATCTGTGGAGCAAGGAGCTCAAGCTTTATTAGAAAGATTTGGTCAAGTACCTTCATCGTTTCAAGCCAGTATCACTGCGAACGGAAATAGCAGTAGCAACAGTAATGCCATTTATACCAGTAGACATGACGGTTTGGCCTTGTTCATTTACCGTGTCATTAACCGTATTTGGACAAAACAGTTTGTGAAACAATCCACCGACGAAGATGGCAAAAAACAATATTTATGCAGCATCTCCATCCAGCAATTAAAAAAGATACAACGTGTATTAAGGAAGCTTGCATCCTTTATGGATAGGTAAATCCAAATCTCAATTTAAAAGCAAATAGATATATATATATATATATATATATATGTTCCTCACTTTTAACTAAATGCATTTGTATTTTCGTTTAGAAACCGTGAATTATTTCCTAGAGCAGCACCAGTTAATGATGAACAAAAATCTTATGCCGAATTGTACAATTTTATCGTTTATTTCAGTGAAACGATTTTGTTTCTTGAATATTTGATGGAGAACGGCTTCTCATCAATTATACAGCTCATGAAGCCCGACGCACAGCAACGTATTCAGCAAATCACTTTAAAGGATTTGTTGACAACCACTGATGGGCAACTACTAGCCAGTGAATTAGCCTCTGCTTTAATCAACTTCACCTTTAAGAAATGCGATAATGTCAATTATGTTACAGATGTGCTTACTCAATACTGTGGTACATTCTGTGGTGCTAGTGATGTTCTTTTATACAAGGCAGTCGACCAAATTTATGCTGCTCGTAATGCAGCGAATGCAAATCAAGTCAGGACTCTTTTGACAGAATCCTTGAACCACTTGATGAAAATCGCCCTTCATATTCCTGCAGATAAAGCATCCGAAATCGCCTCTGAGTTCGCTTCTCAAGGTTATCCTGTATATGGTATTCGTGTGGCAGTGGAGTGTGCTAAAGCAAGAGATTCGAATAATGCTTCCACTATGCATGCTAAGCCTGCTTCCAAGGATTCACGCTCCCAGATAATCACATCGAAACAACCTTTTTATGATATCATCATCAATATTCTTACTTCTACAGCATCAAAAGGTGGATACCGAAAAGAAATTTTCGATACGGCTTTTTCATTCAATGATAAGGCCTTCCAACATTATGCATTTGAGAAATTCATCGAGATGAACCGTGGGCAAGAACTAATCAAGGAGTCACCACCAAACCTTGAAGAGTTTTTAAAAGAAGCACCTACTTCCTATGCTCGATTGCAAGTACTTGCTGATTTCTATAGAATAAATGAGAGATACGAAGAAGCCGCGCAAACTTACAAAACCTTGGCTAGAACACCGTAAGTAATTGAGTCTTTTATATGTTTTCTTTCTTTTTTTCCGGGAAAAGGGAATAGTACTAACCATCAATATCACTGCAAAAATTTATGATTATGTAGTGGGGATATAAGCATCGATGTCCGCATTGATCATTTAATTACCGCCTCTGTTTGTGCCAATTCCGTTACAGCACCAACAAAGCAATATGATATGTATCGCTTGAAACAGTCCATTGAAGAATTATTAGAATTAGCACGTCAAGAAAAGTTAAAGACTACTACTGTCAAATAAACACAGTAACCTATACACTATCTACTTCCATTTCATTTAAAGACATTTACCCTTCTTCCTTTGTTTATACATTCAAATAAAATATATACACTTAGTACGCACAAACCACCCATCTTCCCCAAACAAATAAAAAGATACATATCAACAATGAAGGTTCCACGTCTATCACAATTTAAATCGTATGTTTAAGTATCAAAAAAACCAGCATTTGTTTTTTATTATGCTTAATATATATATCCCCAGAATTCGGTACTAAGAATAAAAGAGAAGAATGGATGATGATCAGCCTTGGGTTCTTTTATCTAATCATCCTACTCTCAAGGACTAATACTTACATAAGATCGCTTATTTCTTCTTGGAGACACCAACGGTACGACCACGACGACCGGTGGTCTTGGTGTGTTGACCACGGACACGAATACCCCAGTAGTGACGGAGACCACGGTGGTTACGGATCTTCTTCAAACGTTCGAGATCTTCACGGTACTTGGTGTCAAGAACGTTAGAGATGATTTGAGAAGACTTGCCATCAATAATATCCTTTTGTCTGTTGAGGAACCAAGTAGGGATCTTGTATTGAGCGGGATTTTGGAGAATGGTGACAATACGTTCCAACTCTTCAGAAGAAAGCTCACCAGCTCTCTTGGTAAGATCGACATCAGCCTTCTTACAAGCGATGTTGGCGAAACGACGACCAACACCCTTGATGGAGGTCAAGGCAATTTGAATCTTGACACGACCGTCAACGTTAGTGTTGAGAAGACGAATAATGTGCTGGAACTATATACGTGTATAATAAAGGAAATGTGCAACAGGAGTCAATAACAATGCCAAATAATGTCAAAATTCAAATGTAAACAATAAAGCTACATACAGTGCTTCTTTCAGGAGGGACGAGCGACTATTGACAAAAAAGAAGGAGTGCAAAAAAAAAGACACGGTTAGATTTTACATGTAGCGAAAACCAACAACACGATCGAATGGATGAACGAGAGCGAGTGATGAACATAGATGCAATACGCTTATCCAAATCTTGCTCAATATTATTGAGCTCAGTTCAACTACAAAACCGCATAGATGTGGTCCAAATGTTAACGTTTGTAATTTCCTCTTTCTGTCCATAATTTTTCATTTTTGACAGCTGATACATCCATTTGATCCAAGATATAATTCCGTATCCATCCATTGTAAATGCTCCTGTAAATGGTACTGTGCTGCATCGTATTGTGCTTATACATCATCGTAACTCTACTTCATCCATTCAATCATGCTTACAACATCTGTATCTTTGATGCATACCATAGTGGAAAAGGGAGGCTTCTCAATTCAGCAGCTTGAAACGACGAATATCGAGCAGTTGAGGGCCTCTTGCTGATTTGAGCTCCGGTAAGTCGTTATAGCTTTTTCGGCTACTGCTCTTGAGTACAATTCAAAGGCAGCCTTTTTGTTGGCGCATCTGCGTCTCTCTGACCCGCCGGATAAAGTTTATCCGCTACTCACGAAAAGAGAATACTTCTCAATCTTTACAAGAACTTAAGGTGGAATCATGCAATTGATCCTTCTTTCTTCTAGCTTTAGTTCATTGAGGAAATGTTCTGTTAAGAAAGAAGAAGGCAAAATTATATGGACAATAAATCACAGAAACTTTAAAGATTGTATTGAAAAGAACGCTCTCCGAAGTTTTTGAGAAGGCTCCAACTGAACTGCTCAAACGTCCGAGAATATTTAGTGTAAGATCCTTAGCTCTTAAGTAAAACATCTATATGTCTTTATTATGGAGATGAGAACGAATATAATACTCGCTCTGTTTAATCAAAAAATTCTGGTAGAAAATAAAAAATAAATAGTAATTGTGCAAAGTGATTTGGCGTGAAGCAGAATCGCAGAAGAGAGGTATCAAAAATTTAAGATCTTGTCGTATTATGACCTTCAATATAATCATTTGCAGATTGTTGGTGAATCACTGATTGGACGGACATGAGCCTATGTCAGTATGATGAAAAGACGATCAATACAATTGCAATCCAGAATTGTGTTTTAAACTTTACGGTTTACATCGATGAATGCAGTGTGCCCATTTTCCTTATGCTAGGGACTTGCTCGGCTGTTGTTTTGAGATTGCTATCTAGTTTCGTCAAATTCTCATTGAGCTTTTTCAATTCTTTACGTAGCTTGGCATAATACAATTTCTTCGAAGTTGAAACATCAGACATTGAATCACCAATAAATAGAACAAGTCAAAGAAGAAAACGTTGATTTTAAAGCAAAAATGATTCTTCCTTTTTAGAAGTCAGTTTTTAGTTTCTTGCACTTTTATTTCGACAATTTAAATAGCTTTGGAGACATCTTCAACTTTAATTAATGGATTTTTTGAGACGACCAGTGAAGGATACCGCGAGTAACAATGTACGCCGATGGCGTCAAAAGTTTCACGAAGAATACAAACAGGGACGGCGAGCAGCAAGAGAAAGTAGACAAAATCAATTTAGAGAAGATCAAGTAATGGAGTATTTCAACATTTAAACGCAAAGTCGTAGTCCATCGCTGATCAGTTGACCTTCTTCCTTTTAATGACAGATTATTAAAGAAGAATGGAAAATGTTCTTGGAGCGAAATCAAGATGCTCTCAAAAGGGAAGGTTTTTCAGATATTAATATGCTGATAGAAGATAGTTTGTACGAACTGAACGAAGCGCAAGTGGAAAAACTTGAAGCGGATCAGTATCAAATGGAAGAACAAGCAGAAATAGAAAACGCGATTAAATCTTATGAAGAGGCTAGAAATCAAGTGATTTGTGTCAACTGCAGAAGAGCAATATTAATACCTGCCATAGTAAATCATAAATCAGTGAACTCGTGTCCTGCTTGTGGATTTTATACGACTGAATCTTGTCTGCATCAAATTTTACAAGCTGCTAATGCTCATGCTGATCACTGTACTGGATCGATTGGTTATGGACTAGAAGCGGGTTCAGATGATACAATTTTGGCCGCTTGCAACCAATGTGATCTATGGGACCTTTTTTCTTTGTAAATTGCAAGGATAAGTTGATAATCCCATACTTTTCTGTTGCTAATTTTTTACATAACGATACCAATACTTCAATTCAAATTGTAACTTTTATTCAAGTTTATGACCATTATGATACACGATCTTTCCATATTTTGCTTAACTCTTCAATAATAAAACACACACACACACAAAGACAAAAAGATAAAAAAAAAAAAAAGAAGAATAAGGACCAAAAAAAAAAGGTTGAAGAGGTGATCAGCTTGGAAAGAAAGTCCGTCATTTGGATTTTTGACACCTCTTTCGTGGACATGCCTAAAACAATCTCACAAATGAGCAAGTCAATTTTCGTGTCTAACCAAAGCATATTTAACGATCAGAAACTAACGGAAGCAGAAGTAACGTCCATTTAACGTGTATACTCGGACCTTTTGCTTTTTGTCGAGACTGATCGTAACCGAAATGTTTAGAATGCTGAAGTAGGTTCAAAATTTGACGAAGGAGCGCTTCGGAACCTTATAGAAAAGTTAAAAAAGAGAAACCAGTTGAAAGAAGATGAGCTTAAGGAGTTATTGTCAAGCTTCCTTTTCGTGAATCATGTGAATATTATAATTCTTCCCTTTAGCTTTTGCTTTTGTAAATTTAATTTGTCTCTAAATACAATAACGTGTTCGTAACTTTCTAGCATTCGGACAATTTTATAGATAAGGCTGGCATTTCGACTCTGTATGAAATGCTTGCACTAGCTAAGGATGGGCAAGAGACCACTTTTTCTTGTGCGTATGCTTTGCTACAGAAACTTTCTGACAATTTAGATCAAGATGAAGTAGCTGAAAGTATGATGGATCAGCTTATTTGTATGTCTTGGGAAGAGTTTATAGATAACGAAGAGTTGTATTATAAATCAGTAAAGTTTTTTGCTGTTTGTTTCGAGATTTTTGGAAGAGGTACATATCAATTTATAGTTATGGCTTCGGTATAAAGTTTGCTGACCGTTAAACAATCTACAGCACTCGAACGAATGAACAGAGCACGAGATTGGATGTTGTTTCTGCCTTTCATGGCCAACTACATGATCAAAATGTTGGATATGTCAGAAGTTGTGCTAAATAATCATTCAAGTCTTGGTGGTAACAAGACTATGAAACAAAAATGGATGTCAAACTGGGATAAAGCAGTTCTTTTAGTAGTCAACAACTGTCTTGATCTCATTCAATTTATCCAGGAAAAGACAGTCTCTGAAAGCTATTCTAAGTCTCTTGTAAGTGATAGATCCAATAGAAATTATACCATTACTCATTTTTCTTACTCGTAGCATCTTAATCTAGTTTGAAATTACCAATGTTGGCGAAGAGAACGGAGACATAAAACGGCAATATCTCGGTTGCTATCTTTTATGCGAAATCTATGAAAAAATCGTTGTAAACCTGGATATGCAATTGTCTTGTACATATTTTAGCAGATTTCATCAAGCATACAATATCAATAAGCCAAACAGCGTCGAATCATCAAGCCCTGAATCAACTACTAATAAAGTTGAAATTGCGAGGAGAAATCTTATTTGTCGAGTTAAAGTAAGTCGTTGTTTAACAGGGTAGATGTATGCCTAACTTGCTAAGTTTTCTTTTTTTTTGTAACTTTAAAAAAAATTGATAAGGAATTAACGCGAAAATCGGGGCTTACACTATGCAACCTGTACAATTTGGAAAGGAATTCGTCGCAAGTTAAACAGTCTGAACTTTCAATTGGTAAAGGCTTGACCCCACTTGAACGATAATTCGACTGATATTGATATTGGGTTTTTATAAATAGAAGATGAAAGGTACGAGAACGACAGACAAATGATCAATTCCAGGTTGTACCCTATCCGTCCTTTAGCAGTAGCCTCTCTTCTTGTATTTATCTTATCTGATACTGTCCTCAATAACTCGAATGATGCAGCTGAAATGTTTGGCGAAGCCTCTGCAGATGGCATGTTTCTGGCCCAAAAATACATTGGTATAACACTAAATTTTTTGTTAAGGTAACATTCTTATTATACATTTACAATCGTTTATTGCTATTAAGGTCCTTTTATTTCCTCAAAGCTCGCCTGAGCTTATTTGCCGTCTTGACAAAGGTACATTCTCTCTTTTATATATGGCTGACCATGTAAACAAAACCCTCAAAGCAGACGATCTGTATAAGCTTATTCCTGGACCGAATGGCGGTACAAAGGAAATACCTGCGTTGCATTTACTTGAGGTATGGTTGAAAATTTATCTTCTTACTAAGGCCATCATTGTCTTAGGAAAGAATTGAAGTTCTAATATGATATGTTAAAGATCCTTTCATTTGTAGCCGCTACTTGTCCTGAATCATCAATCCGATTCTACATATACAAGCTTATCGAAAAAATAGTAAAATCAGCAGATGATGAAGCCTGTCTTTACATTCTGTACGAACTATTAGACCGATGCCCTTACTCATCTATGAACACTGCTGCTGTGGGACTTTTAAAGGATCAAATTAGTCGGTCAATAGATGCTGCAAAGTATCAACAGGTAAATTAATATTACACGATGCTATTAGCTTGTGCGATTAAACTTTGATAATGCTTGTAGGCTGCATCTGTATTCGCTACTCCGTTGATAAAATCAAAGTTTTTCCCTATCATATTCAGATTCAAGTCAAGTTGGAAAGTTAAACCAGATTCATTTTGGAATGATTACAATTATGTTATGCAAGCTCTTAATCTTTACTATTTGATGCTATCCAAAGACTATCCTACAAATTTTGTAAGTGTTCATAATTGGACACGTCCGATATGCTCCCTCCTTCTAATTTTCGTATTTTAACAGACATATGTATGGAAGAAGGATTCGATTGACTCAATGAATCAAAACTACATCGGACCAATATGTATATTGCTCAAAGACATGCAAACAGCTGAGGTACTATCATTTTTCTCAACCATCTTATGCGTGATTAACTTTTTTTTTTTTTTTTTGCGCAGAATGACATAAGCCAAGTCATGCAAATAGATACTATGAAGCATGTTGTTGACAAGATCAATGTATACATTGAAAGCAAAAAGTAAGCCGCAATGCAGTGGTAGAAATTGATTCTTTATTTCGCAGTCAATTGTGCAAGGAGAGAATCTAATTCTTGAGCCACAACATGATTTGTACATTTTGCTCGCACTTCCCTATTGATTTTTAAGTAATAAAAGTACATAATAATAGGTTACAAATCATTTTTGTGACTAAGAAGGGTCAACTTTTGCGCTCACCTTAATGCTTCTGCGTCTTTGTTCAAATATGCTTGCTCTCCAGCTTCCTTGAACGCACCAATCTTGACAAATAGCATAGGTCTAACCGGCGGGTCGCATCGCAATATATATTTTGATGCCTCTTGGTACTGTCTAGCTTTGATACATTCTTCAACAAACGGCTAAAAATTACATATAATGAGCGCGAATGCACGCCTATTGATCTCATACCGTGAATGCGTTTCTGGTTTACCTCAATACCAATGGGTGACTTCTTGCTCTTGGCGAGCTTTTCCAAATTTTCCCAATCTCGGACCTCTACCAGTGCTCGAAGTTTTACCCACCAAAACCTGTATAACAGTATGCTCAAAGTTAACACATGACAAAAAAAAAAAAAAAAAAGCACATCTTTCAATTTACCTTTTATCTGGAACCTTGAAATCCGATCGTATTTTCGATGCTTTACCATGCTGGCCTAGTGTTGTACATTTGTAAATGGTCTCACTAACTGAAAGACCTGCGAATGATTGCTGGGTATCTTTTTCCAGAGCGATCTGGAACTGGAGCAACTTTATCGCCTCATCTACAGCCTAATAGACGGTTTATTGATGTTAATGTCAGATTTCAATTGATATTTGATGAAAATGAGCAACCTTTGCTTCAAAAACTTGATCCCTGTTATCGTTGTATGTCTTTCCTGCAATTTTAAGCTTCTTCATACGCTCGCTTATATCCTACACAAGTAAAGTAAAATGTTCTAAGTAAAGATATTGGAATTTAAAGTAATTTTAATGGCATACCATATCATTAAATGCTTCGGATAAGGTAATATTAGCAGTATCAATTCGTCTATCGTCCTGATAGTAAAAATCTTTCAGAAGCTCAATATCTTGCTCTTTACAATATACTTCAAGTAGGTTGCAAGCCATCGGCTTATTGTTGATCATTCTGAAAAATTCTCCCAGTGGTAATTTGCGTTTCAAATGAAATAGAACCAAATAAACTATAATATGGTTATGGTCAACTAAATTGTAATTCTTTCTATAATTCTCATTTAGCAAAAGAGGAATACCTAAGTCTGTATCACCGCTCTCTATAGCCTTGATCAAAGCTGTCTCGTCGTCCTGCATAGACATGAGTAGTGGAACCTGATCTGCAGCCCTAGGCTCGAACTCCAAAAGTCTTGTTGCCAGACGTGCCTGACCAGAATTATACGCCGTTTTGGCAATTACAGCATAGGATAATCCTGGTTTTTTAGCTAGTTTCTCTACAATCATTCTACAGAGGGTATCTTCATCCTCATTGGAAGATTTTATCTTTTCACAAGCCCAGTGTATTAGTATTCTGTCTGTGCGTAGATCGAGGTATTCAGCGATTCGTATAGCGAGCAAATGTAAGTTTCGATTCAACAGACGATCGATCAGGGCATCAGGACCAAGCCGTTTATACCTATCCATTAAAGAGGTGAATTGATATCTGAGGTAAGTAGACCAATTTGTTTTGCCTAGTTTAACTTTTTAAATTTAGCACTTAACTGTGTATAAGTGAGGGGTATACCGATATCATAATATCGAACAGCATTCAGCACGCGAATGCTTTGGGCCATATTAACAAAATTGTTTGCGTCATAATTCTCAAGAAAGCATTTACCAAAGGATGCAGCTTTCAAAAGTGTTCTCTGATAATGATGATTGAACTCAAATCCTGCAGCTTCTATACAGCTATCTACAGCATCAATAAGCTCTGCCTTTATGCTTCGAATATTTTCATCAGCTTTTGGACTTCTACGCTGTTAAGTTAGATCAAAATCATAGGTATGCTATTAGTTTGTGTAATATATGTTATCATCTTTGATAAGCTACCTCATAATGATCCAAGGCATCATATAACATAGCTGGGGGCTCTGTAGATCCTATCTTAAAGATATTTTCCGTAGATGCTTTTGATAGATAAATAGCTCTTGTTAACAATTTATGCAATCATTAGAGAACTTATACTGGTTGCATTACCTGGTACTTTTTGTAATAGCTCGCATTTCTCGTTGCTTATAATGCGTACACCATCGATCTCTGAAGCCAGGAATATTGGATCATCATAAGTATATTTGATCCAGTCTCCGAAAGGACCCACCATTAGTACAATCTTTTCCCAATAAAGTACTACAGAATCTGTACCGCACCACACCAACTGCTGAGGCGCAATTTTTGATTTTGTAGCATATTCTGACAGATTCTTTTGAAAATCTGTTGAGACAACCCATAACTTCCCATCTGAAGTGAATAAGGCCAAAAATTTGCCGTTGGGTGAAATGACCATCTTTGTAAATGGCCCTTGATTTAAATGCTGGTCAGTTACTTCTTTACTATCAACCACTAAAATCGTATTGCCTGTTGCAACCAGCGCTTCTACATGCCGGCTTAAAGTAAACTGCGGTGGCACTACCGTCCAGCTATGAATAGACTCTTCCAGTAGTTTCAATTCTGCCATAGCTTTTGGTTGAGGTTCCTCGAAATTCGTTATAGATATAAGTTGATGTCTGCCTGTCATGGCTACTAAACCCCCACCCCAAATTTGGCAGTCAACAATACCGTCGCTTTTGGCATCCTTATATAAACCGAAAGTTGAAATAGAACAAAACTCGCATTGTCAATGATCAGTTCCGCAACTTTATGATCTAAGAAGTATAGGCGTTTCAAAAGGTCTGAACGCTCGTTTCTCACCTTGCCAAGCGAAAACTGTGTGTAATTTCCACGCAAATCGTATAACCTTGCAGATCCATCATCTGTCACTATGACAAGTTGTTCCTGTTCTGTCCAGCCTAATGATACGATACGACCTTTATCCCACTTGAAGTTTAAAATTCGCTTTTTGAGTTGCATAAATTTATCAATCTAACACATTACACGCGCGCTTACCTGTATCTGTTGTAAAAGTTTGCCAGCATTTGTATACATGTATATTGTTGGCTTGATAGGCTGCTGTTTCTGAAGTAATAATACTTTCTTATCGTCTCGTATCATAGCTATGTGGAGAAATCTTAGCGTCATAAAGCAAATTTGACAACAATGTACTCTACGGTTTGCCCTTTTTACCTATTGGACCACCATACGGAGCACTAGCTATCATGAATTTCGAGAGGTCCGTTTGGTTCCATGATAATGAATAAATTTCTTGCTTCCTACCATATCAATGAAACTGTTAGCGTTGTTGAACGTTGTAAAGGAATCAGCATCGTTTGTTAAACCTGTAGAATCGATCCTAAATGATATAGCGACGTTTAGTCATAACTTGAAAGAACTACTAAACACTTTCCATTTTCTACTCACGTGGAGCTCTGTCCAGTCAGACGTTGGATTGGCCACCATTTCCCTACTTGCAATCACAGCAAAGAGAAATCGTCGAGTGTCCAAAATAAGTCAACCAATTTTCAAAGGGGAATTGCCGTATTTTATTTTACTGCAATTATGGAGTTCTTCTGATTGGCTGAAACTTTACGTTGCCTGATGTTGCCACAATGCTTTTTTTTTTTTTTTTTTTTTTTTTTTTTTCTTTTTGAGAGAGAGAGAAAGAGGCAGATGTTGTATCTTCAGCAGAAGAAGGTAAATATCATCAAGGTGTACCTTATTGTGAACATGGTTCATTAATAACGACACATACTGCGATTTTACAGATACATGCTTTTATTTAACAGCTACTTCATATCAGTAGCAAAACAACAACCAAAAATCTAATACTACCTACAAAGCTGCTCATATGAATGTTTATTGCCCCTAATAAAATCTTGATCCATTTCTGCACGAGGTAACTTACTCCAAACAAGAATACGCTTATCTTTATCTTGTCTCTCAGTGGGTTGACAAGCATTTGAGTGGAACATCCAAAAGTGGCCATTATTAGAGGCGTCTAAGCATTGAATACAAGGCGAAATGACGTGATACCCTATAACATTGCCACTACGATTATATAAGACAAATCATTTAATGCCGTGTTGAATTATCTTTTTTTTTTTTTTTTTTTGTTGTTGTTATTTAAGCTTGCTTTAGATGTGCGAACATTTTTTTACCATTGTAAGCAGGCAACATCACGAATTCTGCAGTGGCAAGACCTAGTAAGGTAGTCTTTATCCAAAATATGGATGCTATTGTTAACAACTTATGACGTTAAAGCTAAACCTTCTGTACTACTACTTTGCTACTCTATATAATCATACAAAACAAACCTTTGGGCAGGAGCATCTGTACTGTATAATTCTATAGAAGTGTCTGCTAAAAGAATAGCTTTCATACCTCGAGTGCAAACCATCGTAAGACAGTGTCTGCATGTCAGTTGATAAACAGGTTTTGAAGGCGATAATAGAGCCTCATTATTACTATTATTGGTTTGTTGGGCTATTGGTCTTGGAGTGACGAGACGCATATTATGAAGGCGTCTTGGATCTTGTGGCTGAGGGACGAGTGGGGGTACATCACGGTCATTCAGAAGTGCATTATTTTGAAAGCTGTTTTGCATACTATGTAATCTGTCAAGGGCTCGGTTATATCTATCTGACTGATTACTGAACCTACGTAGTGGTACTGTATCTAAGTCTTGCGCTTCATTGTTGTTGCTGGATATAATGATATTCCCATTGCTGCGATCAGTACCAGCATTCACAAGCTGTTGCTGTCGACGTGAATGACTAGGTAATCTGACACGAGTATAATTAGGTCTTACTGCAGGTTGAAGAAGTCTGTCGGCTGGCGTTATCGTCATTTGTGGGAGTTTTATTCAGTAACAATTGTGTCTATAGCCCGTATAGATAAGAATATATATAGTAAACAGGAAGTGGAGTAAACAAAAACGCACAACTGCATCTCAATTTCGAATATAATATATATTCTGTTTGTTAAGTTACAATATCATTTTAATGATAACGCATTAGAAAAAGAGCTTAAAATTTCTTATTAATGGCGAATTGATTTAATATGAGTCTACCTCCGAGCTGATGTATATAATTAAAGCCAAGTACGATTAAATAGAAACTAACCCGTCAAGGTTGTTATTCATGGTAACGCAATTTAATGATAAAAATGTGCATAGAGATAATTGACATTGTTGCACTGTGATTTTTGTTTCTGTTTCCTATGTAGGGCATAAAAGCAGTACTAAAATGAATTATACAGCAGACCACTTGACAGGCAGGGTATTGCTGTCGACACTGATTGAAGGTATATAGCGAACAATAAGTTGGGTTTACACCAGATGCAATGTTAGAGGAGAAGGGGAAAGGATATTAGAGAGGGATATATACAAATAAATGAGAAGCGTTTTTGAAAATTTGTGCTTAAGTAAATGATGAGTATTGGCGGATTTATACACATAGTTGTAGGATGATGATGCAATGACAGTAGGTGAGCTTTGTTTGATAATGAGGAAATGTTTGGTTAATCACCGATGTTCTATTATTTCTTTTAGTTCGAACTTTCTTATGGATTTTGAGGTGCCAAAGGGGTCTACGTCATGTGGATCATCTATCAAGGTAGTTGCGTTGGTTGAAAATGTTATGATGGACTCTTCCGGTAAGCTGGTATGGTAGCCTTTATACGTTTTATCCAGCAGGGAAGTGACGCTCCCTGTAGATTTTGATTTTGCTACCGTTGACGTGGGTGCTGCAATGATTGACATTTGTGCATCCTCTATTGTATATGGCACATCTGTAAGTAGGGTTGATGGAGGTCTGTTCAAACAAGTAGACGATGAGTATTGCCCGTTTACGGTATCATTGATAAAAATGCCATTATGGTCAACATTGTCATATTTCTGAAATTTATCATCATCGATCGAAAATTCGAAACCGTTTCCTGTTGTAGGTTGTGGTATGAGCCAAAATATTGGTCGTTTACCTAACACGGCCGTAAGATTCTTGTAAATTCCTCGATTATACGGATATTTTATATTCTTTACAGACTCCATTCTTTTGATGGTTAGTGACCTTCCTTTTTCCCAAGCCTCTATTGTTGTGGTATTGGTTGAGATATAGAAAATGTGATAACAACTTAGTGCGCCGACACCCAAGATGGCAGATGCAGTTATCATCAAGTTGATGGACATAAACACTATTTCTGTTATGTCCAATTGCTTTGATTCCTATTGCGGAAAGTAAAAAAAGTATCGGTAAGGCATAAGCAGAACGACTGTTTTCGTACAACTGTTGCATACAAATTGCGAGCTTCTTGTTAATTGAGCTAATCTACAAGCCAACAAGGTGAAAATGTAAACAGCACTGATATTTATATAGATGAGGAGGCGTATAAAATGGCCGTAATTCGCAAATCCAATACAGTTGTTGACCCACGGACAATGATGATCCATTTTTAAAACGCACCTTCCACACCTCGAACAATGATGGCTTCTCGGTGGTTTGAAATTCTTGCAGGTTCTGCAAAATCTTGGAGTATGCGTTGACTTTTTGACTTCAATATATGCTTGCTGTCGCGGCATCTATGGATGGGATTTCATTGTTTTAGTCAGTCTATCTATAAAGAAACACTCATCAAAAGGAAAAAAGGTGTTCTTCACATGATTACCCAATTATTTGGCACTCTTCCAGGGTCTGTTGTACATGTCAAAAAGTAGTTGATAACAATCATTAAAAGAAAACTGTTCAGAGAAAGAGTTATTATAATGGAGCGGGTGTTTATTGGGCCAATATAAGGCCATATAACAAAAAACTGTGATGTAAAAGCTGTGAATAGAACGATTATCGTTACTGATGCGATAGTAAGGCATCCTTTTATTGTTGTGCTTTTTATTTTGCTCATGCCGGTTTAAGGTACTTTGTGTATTGGTGACCCTGTGGTGACGCTCAGATTGCTGTCACCTCTAGTTTGTTCTAAAGTGCGCAAAAGTGAAAAATTGAGCAAAAGAAAATTGTTAGCAACAAAACAAAGGAATGTTAAAAAAGTGTTCGGAAAAAAAAAAAGCAATAGTTTATTGTTAAGGTGAAGTAGGGGGAACAGCATTTTTTGCTTTTTTCATTGCTGCCAGAAACAAAACTGTTCTGCACATTTGTATCTTTTTGTATTACTTTGGTATCACGAGGATGAAGCACTTTTATGGCCTGTTATTGCTTTGCTTGTACACCCCGCCTTCTCTCCTCGTTTTATCAGCAATTAACATGATATTGACTGCCATCTCTCTTACTACTTTTTTCTTATTGTATTCGTAGAATACTTTAGGCCTTATCATTGAAGTGATAATCTACCGATACATAGACAAAAACTGATTTTGTTACATTTTTGAAGAAATACTTTTAGAGAGAACATTGAGTGGATACGATACTTCAAATGCAAGCGTGGAACAACAGTAAGTTTGTCAAACTATGTATCTGTGCGCTTGAAAAGTCTAGAATTGGAGAATTCTGCGCGTCAGAAATTGATTAAGAATAGGAATAAAAATGGCGAACTTAACTTCCACAAGGTGTAAGCGTGCACTTTTGAAGAACTCTAACACCTCCAATAAAGGCGTTCATCTTTTTTAATATTCTTACCCTTTCCTTTCCACATTATAACCACTGCCATCCTTGTAGTTTCTTTTTCCCTTTTTTTTTTTTTTTTTTTTTTTTTTTGTCAAAGAAGAAGGAGTAACAAACGAGATAGATATACAATAAAATTTACATTAAGATAGCCTGTATATTACACGATGGGAGCTAAATTTTCTGTCAATCAAAATAAGAAAGATCCTGATCGACTTCTTAAACGCAAATACCAACATGCCGTACAGCAGCCAAGCACCTTACCACAATCTGATGCAATTAAAGATTTAAAAGACGACAGTTCTCGTCGAACGTTATCCATAGGCTCTTTGGACTCCAGATCATTACCTTATGGAACACTAAAAGGTGAAGATGATAGAATGAATGCTGTAGGTATAATCAAGCAATTTTGAATACATTATGATTTGGAGGATAGTTTGAAAGGTATACTAAAGAAAACTTCCCCCCCCCGCCCACACCCACATGCAAACGATGACATGTAGAACCAATTTGCATTAAAAGCTTTATTTGAAGGGTAAATCAATAGACAATCTGTTAACTCTACACGTATATGAAGGAGAGACCTGTGCTGACAAAAAGTATAATGATTCTGCAATAGGAATTTTCTGAAAACGGTAGGCGAAAATATTGATTTCGCATCCACCTCTACAAAAGTTTTGGATATAGGATGTGGGGCCGGCGGTTGGATCATGGTAAGCAATTGTAGCCTTTTTCGTTTGTACTCTTCTGTTGCTTGTGCAGTATTAGATCATCTGTAATAATTTTTGCATGTGAAATATATAATTTTTAAACAGGACATGGCTACTGAATATCCTGCAGCCGAGTTTGTCGGCATTGACAAGGTTCTTCTGTTCCCTCAAACCATTCGCCCCGCCAATGTCACGTTCAAGCAGATAGATGTTACCCATGGTCTCCCTTTTGAGGACAATACATTTGACTTTGTCCATATTCGGCTATTTTTATTGGCTTTCAACAGAGAACAATGGGTGGCGTGTCTACAGGAGATCCGCCGTGTTACCAAGCCTGGAGGATATGTTCAATTAATGGAGGTTGAAATGATTGTAAGTCAATATAAGCATTGATTCGTAAATTTCATAAATGTGTGGCTGATTCGGTACATTTATCCATCAGGACGACGGTGACGAAGTGGTTCGCGAATTTGCATCACAGGGTAGGAAGAAATGAAATGGGTGAACAATAGTGTGCGAGTGGGTTTAAACATATTATCGTTTTCATAGTTGAGAGAATGATGAACCTTAATGATCAGGATCCTAGGCTTTGTGAGAAGCTTGGAGAGTTATTGTCCAAGAATGGATTCACCCCAGTGGAAGAAGTAAAAAGGTCCGTTCCTTTAGGTAAAAATACTCATTTCACGTGTTGCAGTCCTTTTGATGATGACATACGTGCTCTTTTACTAATGTAGCCAAACTATTCTCTTTGCCACATCTCTGTAAAAGATAATCATCCTTTGTCTGATGAGTTTATGTTTATTCTTAATATCAGTTTTGATACGTGTAAGCCACTTGTTATTGGCATCTACCATTTGACAACTGAAGAGCAATATCAAACTCTCAAGCATAAGTGGCTTGAAAGCAGAAGGAAATCATCAAACTCCACTTGGTTTGCTGCTGTAGGACGAAATCCAGCCTGATTGTCCTATCCAACAATCGAGGACTCATAGACTTTTCTTATACCAGCACTATTGTGTTCATTTTCGTGAAGGCATAGCATGAATAGCCCTTTAGTGTCAAAAAATTGTAAAACTATTAGACCTAGATACTATCTTTCACAGGTTCATATAGCAGATAGCTGGTCTATCCAACCGTGAGAAGAAGGTAATAATATTTGTACGTCTAAAACAATGGTTTGTCACAAGGACACCAAAATAAAATATTGAAGTAATTGCCAGCAATCATTGGGGCAACTGCTTTGAGTAAGAAGGTATTCAGCATAAAGATATACGTAACATGTATTAGTTTCTTATTTGGGTAATGAGACATGTAAGAAAAAAAGAAGTACAGAGAAATCAAATAGATGAATAGTGTTTAATTTTACAAAAAGGGCTGCTAATGGATTACAATAAACAAAATGGCAACGATGGTATTGGGAGGATTTCCCCCTGCTGTTTTTGCTCTATCACATGCCTAATAAACCGCTAAACTGGCTGGCATATTGCATTGGTTTGACTGAAGGATGCGGCTACATGTAATAAAAAGATGTTAATATGAGGATGAAGATGCTAAAGACCGTTTGAAAACAAAGGTTCGGTTTGTCCTTACCACTGCAGAGAAAGTAACGTAATCCTTCTTCAAATCAGGTGTAATATTGATTAATGCACCCTTATTACCCACTGTGTCGCAATAATTAGGTGCTGAGAAGACAGTGACACATTGACCGTCATGTTCTATCACGTAACCTTCTTCCTTTACTTCATGACTACGGATGACCATATCTAAATCATTGGTCTCCAAGAAATTCTTCGTAACGTCGGGACCGAATTGAATACCTACACCACGCTTGCTAGGTGATCGTCCCATTTCAGCTTGGGGATCAGACCAAAGAAGTTCACACATTAAACCTTCACTACCAGGTTGACCTTGACCGATACGATCAATCTTACGGATTTCGTCTAGCGTCACATTGTCGCGAGAGAACAGACCACCATGAGTAACAAAGATCTTATTTTGAATCAAGTGAGATAGGGGTAGATAATTGAAGGTTTCGGAAAACAAATTGAACATCATTTCGCTGAATTTAGCCTTCACTTCACCTTCGAAACCATAGACTTTGTTCATATTGTCCGTTTCATGATTACCACGTGCTAAAAAGAGATGGTTGGGATAAAGCCACTTGAAAGCAAAGAGAGTGAGGATGACCTCCACAGAAAAGGAGCCGCGATCAACAAAGTCACCGTTGAAAAGATACGCGTGCTTTTCAGAGGGATAACCGTTCATTTCAAAAATATGAATAAAGTCATAAAATTGGCCATGAACATCACCACAAACAGTGAGTTTACCGTCTGCAGGAATGTCAACATCAATTAAAGAAGGTTGTTCAAGCATATATTTTCGAATCGCCAAAATGATCTATAAGTGTCGAAATAACATGATACGACCAAGTAGAGAATCGTCAATGAGCATAAGTTGTTTCCCAAAGCATATAGGTGGAATTGCTGACAGTTTCCAAATTTGCTGCTTACCATAAAAGCATACTTTTTATGAATTTTCTTTTGATTTTTGAATCGGTCAATCATAGCATCAATGAAATCGCGATCGATCATCTTTGTCTCGTCATTAATTCTGGGCCCATCATACGTAGTGTCAACAGCTGCAGCATTTATAATTCAATCAGTTCAATCCGGGATATTATCTATTTCACAGAAGAATAGATACTTACTCATCGCATCGAGATCTAATGAATCGGCAACACTCTTCTTTTGATCTTCACTCTACAACGTGCGCGAACCAGCAATAAGCTTCCAGACTTATTTAACCTTCTTCCTTACTGCACTCTCTTACCTTGATGGCTTTCTCAAACTCAATTCTTCTTACAATCTTGGCACATTCGTCCAATTTAGCCTTAGCGTCTTTATCATTAGGTGCACGTTTTGAAACAATTTTTAAATCTTTCAGAGCTTCTTTGAATTTGCCGAGTGCCATATTGGCTGAGGCACGGCGATAATTTGCCTAAACGAAGCTGGGTATAAGTTCCTTTTTGAATTCAAAAGAAAATAAGCATAGTATATATTGGAGATGTACCTTTGTGAAGTTTGGATCTTTCTCCAAAGCTGTGTTGGCATCACTGACAAATAGGTCAGCACACATGGAGTATGAAAAAGGGGGGAAAGAGTAAAGTAGAAAGAAGTGAAGGGCTTTACCTGATGGCATAACCGTATGATTCCACTTTAAGATGGCAGAAGGCACGGTTGGTGTAATATGAAGCTACTTCAGGATTCAGTTTGATCGCCTCAGTATATTTTTCTATAGCAGCAGAGAAATTCTTTTCTAGGAACAGAATGATAGGAGTAACAAAAGCAAGAGATTCAGTATTATTTGTAAAGTAAGACAGAATACAACAATAGTAAGTACCTTTGAAATGAACATTTGCTTCATTTTTAATGGCTTCAGCTTTGGCTTTTATCTCGTCTGTAGTGGCTGTCATGAGTGGAAATCGATTGTCCAACCGGAAAGACTTTTTAAAAAAAAAAAAAAAGAAAGGGGTCAACAGCCATAAGAAAAAGCTTGAGAAAATCCCGAATGTACTTGTAGATCGCCCAATGAAAATGCACATGTGTATGACCATAAAACAAATTAAAAAATTACAGGTAAAAAGTGCGTGGCCCAAGAAAACAATATACTCAGGGAACAAGCACCGTGTATTTTTCTTCCGTTTTTTTTTTTCTTCTTCTGCTTTTTCGTCCTTCTTCCTTTCTTACTTCTTTTCATCGTTTATAACAATCCTTTTTTTCTTACCTCTTCTTTTCTCTGAAGGATTCCCTTGTTGTAGCTGAATTGAGTAACTTATTTTTCTGAGAATGAGTGCCCCGATGAACAGTGGAAAAACTAACCAGTTCATAATTTTAGTAAAAGAAAACCAAACAAAACTCCAAGAAAGATGACTGTTCCAGGTGATGTTAGCTCTCTGAATCTGAAGGAGCAAAATTCAAGTGTCAGTGAAGACTCCAAACCTCAGTTGCATAAGCAAGAAGTGATCATGATGGAAGACAGAACAAGAGAAGAGGAGCAAAACAAAAAGGAAGAACCGGCAAAAGAAGACGAGACTGAAGAAGCACTAGTACAACAACAGCAACAGCTGCATCAACAACAGCAGCAACAACCAAAGTCTTCTTCTTTGAATAATGGCGTAAACTACCCTAGAAGAGACTATAATAATAAGAAAAGAAACTTTGCACCAAACAACCGTTATAACCACAATAACTACAATGCGAGAAGAACAAATAATAATAGATACTATAGCAATAATAATTTATCGCGTTATCATAATAGCAATGATGGTAATGTCGATAATGTGCCACCTAATTATCCCTATTTTTACTACTATCCTCCTCCAAACATGTACTATCAACCTATGCCATTGCATCAGCACCAATACCCACCCCATCCATCCCAACTAACACCAACAACAAGAAGAAGTTATAGTGACCACAGTAATTTCAAATACTTTAGAAATGAACAAAAAGATCAGTTAAAAGTTGTTGAACACGATCTCGATGAGGACAACGACAGTGATACGCGTGATGATGACGATTTGGAGATCATTGTACATGACGAAAGCTTGACAAATAATCATCAAACCAAGAAATTGTCATCTCCTAATTTGAATGAAGCCAGTAAAGACATTATTTTATAAAAAAAAAAGCGCGCATCATTACATATGATTAACCTTTTCTTTTTTTTTTTTTTTTTTTTTTTTTTTTTTTTTTTGCTTCAGATAAATTCTTTGATTTGAAAAAGCAACTAGAATATTACTTTTCAAGGCAGAATTTAGTGAATGATAGTTACCTAGGTGAGAGAGGAAAAGAAAATTTGAGCGTTCAACTTGTAACACCGAACTAATGACACACTATCATACTGATTCATTGTATCAGTCTCTCAAATGGATGAAGATTCATACGTTCCCATTACCGTTATTGCTAACTTTAAACGCGTTCGGGAACATACCAATGGAGATATGGACCTAATTGTGAAGACTTTGAGAGAACTATCGACTGTAACTGTGAATGATTCAGGTACCAAAGTGAAACCTAACGCTTCATTACAACCGAAACGAAATACCGTCATTTTTAGGGATGTACCTGATTGCACTGAGGATGAAATGAATCAGTTATTGAAAGATTTGAACTCCCCAACTGTTCAATTGATGAAAAAAGATTTTGGTAATATGTGGTATTTTACTTTCGAAACTGAAGAAGACGCGTTGAAATTGCTGACACTCGTTCGAGGCAAGGATTTCAAAGATCAGCCAATTGCTGCTAGAATGAAGTCAGAGCCCGTTATCAGAGTGTACGTTACCCTAGCCTCATCTATCTATCCCAAAGGTTGCAGAATTCTAAACTTTATTTCTTATAGACAAACACGTACAGTTAGTCAGTCAGATATCAACCCATTAAATAATGCTAAAGATGACCCCATATTACTAAATCAACATGCTTACCCTCCCATCATCGACCCTCAGTACCCTTATAACCAATATTCTTTCCATCAGATGCAACCACACAAAAGACACTTTTCTCCACGACGGCAACAATATCAATCGTCTTATCCAAGATATGATAATAATATGCCACCCAACAACAATAGAATCTATGAGCGTGGTGGCTTCCAATATAGAAATAAACACTCACAAATGCCTTATGATGGTTCAAGAAATACTTCTGCACGTATTAGATACAATCACAGTAACAACAATAACCCTAAATATACGTCCAAAGAAGATAGTCAACAGCAGCAAGAACAGCAAGAGCAGAACTCGTCACCGTCTCCCTCATTACCATCGCCGATACACGCTAGTAGTTCTTACTCTGAACGTCGCCCCTATAGCCCACGCTATAACAACAACAACAATTACAAATACAACAATAGAGGTTTTAACAACAACAGTAAGAAATACGACAATGATCAGAGACAGCCATTCCGACCACCACGTGCAGTGGATACTGCGGACCGCTCGGCAAACAAAGATGAAGACAAACGTTCCTCGCCATTATTTAAAACGCAGTCCATCGGCGTTCCAACGGCCCTTTCCCCATTAGAGGAACCTCTGCGACAACCAGCAGAGGGTGAGATACGTCAAGACGCTCAGCAAAAGAAGGAGTCGCTGAAAAATGAAGACGAGAAAGATAATTCTGGATCCATTCAGCAAGCTGTTGCAATGAAAGAGGTGCAACCCGAATCAGTCAAAAAGCAGCAGCAACAACAACAAGCGACACTGAAGTCGAATGAGTCTGCTGAGCAAAAGGAGGAGAAACTACAAGTAAAATTACCGCAGCAACAACCACTCGACGAACCACCTACTACCGATATGAATGTTAACAAGAGTAATAAGAATAACATTAAATCGGATAGTGTTCATCGCAGAAGTAGCAATAGCACCTCCACAAGCGGACCATCCGTTTCGCATAGCAACAGGAATGAAGCTATCAATGACAATCCTAACCGAAGAAAAAGATTTGGTAAATACAGTAAATACAAAAATGAGAACAAGCGCCAAGAAGATGAGGCAGAGGAAGAAATGAGAAAAAAGCAACCACAGCTGGAAGGTAAGCTTTGAATTGATGAAGAAGTTTCCTTCATAGACTGTTTCCTTTATTCACTGTTTCGTGCTTATTCTGTTAGTTGATTTACAACCTGCTCATTTCCCTCCTTTACCAAATCAGCAGCCCAGTTACGATGACTCTGCTGTTGCTGCAGTCATGGTCAAGACTACACCATCTCCCCGTCAAGGCATTCGAACGGATACAAGATCTGCTGCCGACGTTGTTAAGGCTAGTATGAACAATAACAGTACACAGGTAGAAAAAGAGTGTGTAGCAAAACAGGATAAGCCATATAAAAAAGAACAGCAGGAGTATCCACAGCCAGTGAAGGAGAGCAGTGCTAATGTAATCAAAATACAGCAAAAGCAGTCTGACAAAAAAGATGCAGTTGCCTCTGAAGTGAAGAATAGTAGTCATCGTAAGGAGATGGACGAAAGGAAAAACATGGATAATAGCAGGAAGAGTGATGCTGTGAGTTCCTCGGAAAGTCCTGTAACTCTTCCAAAGGAACTAGAAATGAAAGCTTCATTCAGTTGGGCAGATATGTTGAAAAAGAAATAAAAAATTTTCTTTGCACATACAATCTAAAGATAACTTGTTATAAGAAAAATGCTTTTTGAATGAAGGCAACTTATGCGTGTATGAATACTTAATGTTTATCAACAATGAAGGCAATTTTTGTTTCTCGTTATGAATTGTACAAAAAGCTGCTGAAGTTTTTGCAAGAATGAGTTATGATTCGGTCTTCTATAATAGGAAGCGTATTACCAGTACAGAGTCCATTTTTGATGGAATTTAAAGATCCTGTCGTAGCAAGTACACTGTCATACCCACAAGGTCGGCAGTAAACGAAGAGCTATTTGGGTTGCTTTTTTTTTTTTTTTCTTTTTTTTTTACATTCGTAGATCAAACAGCAGTGACATATTGCGGCCATTTGACATAAAACGTACGAAAAGCAATACTGTCTCTGAACCAGGCATTGTCGTAAACTTGAATCGAAAACGAAAACGATAGACAGACTTTTTTTCACATTGTTTCTCTTTAGGCGCATTGTTTCGAGGGACATGCACTAACATTTTAGAAGCCCGAAATTTCTGTTGTTGCTGTGGATCGCTGTGGAGATTGACAAAATATTACACCCACGCTGGCGACAGAATGTGAAATTCTTCCCTTCACTTTAACACTCGAAAATGGGTATGCATCATACTATATCTAGCATCCATCCATTGACAACAGCCCTTATAAAGCTACATGACGATGGATATAGATACATTGCTCAACTTTTGTTATTATGGATACAGATAAACTAACAGGAACACTTATTCTTTTTATATCACCAATTGACATCCTTTACATTACTTTCAATGACATGTAGTTGTAAGTACTTAAATGTCCATCAGTGGCATGAACAGACATTAATATTACAGACATTTGTGAAGTTTGCACTGGTACTGAATGCTTCTTCTTTTTCCCTAACAACTATTAGAATTTCACAATCGAAGAGATCCGTGGTTTGATGGACAAGGTTACCAATGTCCGTAACATGTCCGTCATTGCTCACGTCGATCACGGTAAGTCTACCTTGTCCGATTCCTTGGTCTCCAAGGCCGGTATTATTTCCTCCGGTCGTGCTGGTGAAGCCCGTTTCATGGATACCCGTAAGGATGAACAGGAACGTGGTATTACCATCAAGTCTACTGCCATTTCCATGTATTTCAAGTTGGAAAATGAGGAAGATATCAAGGAAATTAAGGGTCAAAAGACCGACGGTGCTGCTTTCTTGATCAACTTGATCGATTCTCCCGGTCACGTCGATTTCTCTTCTGAAGTTACCGCTGCCCTTCGTGTTACTGATGGTGCTCTCGTTGTTGTCGATTGCATTGATGGTGTCTGTGTCCAAACTGAAACCGTCTTGCGTCAAGCTTTGAACGAACGTATCAAGCCTGTTGTCTGTCTTAACAAGATGGATCGTGCTCTTCTTGAACTTCAATTGGATAAGGAAGAACTCTACAACGTATGTGTTTGAACTAATAGAATTAGAGTTATTTGATAGAGAGTGTGGGATAGAATGAAGAATTTTTGGGCCGGAATATCCTCTAGAGGGAAAGTCGCTTACCACCTTTCAATTATACATCCTTTATATAGTCTTTCGCTCGTACCATTGAATCTATTAACGTTATTATCTCCACCTACGTTGATGAAGCTCTCGGTGATTGTCAAGTCTATCCTGAAAAGGGTACCGTTGCTTTCGCCTCCGGTCTCCACGGTTGGGGTTTCACTCTTCGTCAATTCGCTATCCGTTATGCTAAGAAGTTCGGTGTCGATAAGGAAAAGATGATGAACAAGCTTTGGGGTGAAAACTACTTTAACCCTAAGACCAAGAAATGGACCACCAAGAGCACTGATGCCAGCGGTGCTCAACTCGAACGTGCCTTCAACATGTTCGTTTTGGACCCTATCTACCGTCTTTTCGATTCCATCATGAACTTCAAGAAGGACCAAACCAAGGTTCTCTTGGAAAAGTTGGAAATCACTCTTGCTTCTGATGAAAAGGATTTGGAAGGTAAGGCCCTCCTCAAGGTCGTCATGCGTAAGTTCTTGCCTGCTGGTGATGCTCTTTTGGAAATGATCTGTATCCATCTTCCTTCCCCTGTCACCTCTCAAGCCTATCGTGTTGGTCACCTTTACGAAGGTCCTGCTGACGATGAATGTGCTGTCGGTATCCGTAACTGTGATCCTAACGGTCCTCTTATGCTCTACGTTTCCAAGATGGTTCCTACCTCTGATAAGGGTCGTTTCTATGCTTTCGGTCGTGTCTTCTCTGGTACCGTCCGTGCTGGTATGAAGGTCCGTATTCAAGGCCCCAACTACCTTCCTGGTAGCAAGAACGATCTTTCCGTCAAGTCTATTCAACGTACCGTTCTTATGATGGGTCGTAACGTTGAAGCTATTGAAGACTGTCCTGCTGGTAACATTATCGGTCTTGTTGGTGTTGATCAATTCTTGGTCAAGACCGGTACCATTACTACTTCTGAAGTTGCTCACAACATGAAGGTCATGAAGTTCTCTGTCTCTCCTGTCGTCCAAGTTGCTGTCGAAGTCAAGAACGCCAACGATCTTCCCAAGCTCGTTGAAGGTCTTAAGCGTCTTGCCAAGTCCGATCCTTGTGTCTTGACCTACACTTCCGACTCTGGTGAACACATTGTTGCCGGTGCTGGTGAACTTCACTTGGAAATTTGTTTGAAGGATCTTGAAGAAGATCACGCTCAAGTCCCCATCAAGACTGGTGACCCCGTCGTCCAATACCGTGAAACTGTCACTGCCGAATCCAGCATTGACTGTCTTTCCAAGTCTCCCAACAAGCACAACCGTATCTACATGCGTGCTGTTCCCATGAACGACGAATTGGCTGATGAAATTGAAGAAGGTAAGATCTCTGCCAAGGATGATTTCAAGGCTCGTGCTCGTATCCTCGCCGACAAATATGAATGGGATGTTTCTGAAGCTCGTAAGATCTGGTGTTTCGGTCCCGACGGTACTGGTCCCAACGTTATGGTTGATATCACTAAGCAAGTCCAATACCTCAATGAAATCAAGGATTCTTGTGTTGCTGCTTTCCAATGGGCTACCAAGGAAGGCCCTATTGCTGACGAAAACCTCCGTGGTTGTCGTTTCAACATTCTTGATGTCACTCTTCACGCTGATGCTATCCATCGTGGTGGTGGTCAAATCATTCCTACTTGTCGTCGTGTTGTTTACGCTTCCGTTCTTACTGCCTCTCCTGGTATCCAAGAACCCGTTTACCTCGTCGAAATCCAATGTCCTGACTCTGCTATCGGTGGTATCTACTCTTGTCTTAACAGACGTCGTGGTCAAGTCTTCTCTGAAGAACAAAAGCCTGGTACTCCTATGATGAACGTCAAGGCTTACTTGCCCGTTAACGAATCTTTCGGTTTCACTGCTGATCTTCGTGCTGCCACTGGTGGTCAAGCCTTCCCTCAAGCTGTCTTCGATCACTGGCAACTCATGTCCGGTGACCCATTGGAAGCCGGTAACAAGGTCTACGATATTATTCGTGCCGTTCGTAAGAGAAAGGGTCTTACTGAAGATATTCCTGGTCTTGATAAGTACTATGATAAGCTTTAATTGAATTAAAACTTTCTATTTGTCATTTCTACAATTACTGCCGCATTAATTCTTTGTATTTTTTTCGTTCTGTTTTCTTGACACCAATAAAATATATTACGAGACCATTTTCGATCCAAGTATAAACTTCCTTTGTTATACAACAATCTGTTGCAGTTTTTTTTCTGTTACCATTTTTGACGTGGATCTATCCCTTGTCGAACTTATCTCTGATCAATTACATATTGTATGTTATCATGAGCGATCAACAAGCCCTTAGATTTATTAAACTATCATTTAACGCATAATATGCCAAAAGAGTTTAGCTCAACCCAGAAGCTGGATGCATGGATACGTTAACGTTTGTACAACTTTTCTTTTTCTTCAATTGTTCGATTGTTTACTATTGCTATTGTGTTGTCCATTTAATATAGTTCGGACACTTCTTTTTAGTCACCACCCTCTTTCCAAGGAATGTCTAATAACGACACCTCAGTTATTGGATCAATTTCTAATATAAGAATGATTGCATAAAAAGCAGGTATGAAGGCTTTCCCGGAAGGATGAGTAAGCGAATTAGTAAGAGCAGTGGCACGCTTATATTCAAGAAAATGGCGCTAAGAGTAAGAATTTTCATTGGTGAGATGCTATGATCGCATTCGTTGTGACCCTGGCAAAAGACATGCGTGTTAGAGCGAATAGATAGGTTTAAGTATTCTTTAGTAGGGACACCTCACTGGAACTAAAAATCGTACACCATCGTTTTATGCTTCCTCATAATAACAGAAAATACATTGTGCTCGACACGGCCTAAATAATGAGCTTTTTATAATGAGCTTTTTTACTCTTTACTCTGTGTATTTTTCCAATGATTTTGTAATCTGGATTGTTCGGCAATAGTTGTTTCCATTGTATACTCTTTGGTGTAACATTCGAAACACATAATTTAGCACAAACCACAATCAGTGGTTAGCGTTACACACATATACCTAGCTATTTTCTATGTGTAAAGGACAATACAATTATTACCTTTTATGTATCGATATCTTTTTATAAAAAATTATGCGGTACATGGAACTGTAACATACCCATATAATTGTCGATCGACTGAATTTACTACACCAATCGATTTTGCTAAGCATGGGGGTCGGGCTAACGAAGGGCATATATCTTATTTGCCGTATACGCGTTTCTATGCTCAGTTGCCTACCCAGGAAGTATGTGTCTGAATAGTTTAAAGTGCACGATTAGCTTATGTTCGTTATCAACATGCGATCCTGATAGCATTTTTTGATCTAGAGACCGCCAAAGAATAATACGTATCGTTAGCCAGTAAGGTGCATGAACGGTTGACAAAGTATGTTCGCTGTTAACTTTGCCTTGTGTAATGAGAATGGTTCACCCAATCGATTAAAGGAAATAATTGCTATTGATTCCCTGACGTGTGGCCATTTTCCTGTTTCTTCTGCGTACCATTTTTCGCAAGGACTTTCAGATGAATAGACAGCAATTTGTGTTATTGGTCACAAAAAAGTAAGAGGCCCTCCCATCTCCATTTTCAGCCATTCTGTTTGCTTGTCTCTCTTTTCCTCTTTTTTCCCTTTTGTTTTCCGTTTTCACACCATCATTGATACCCAGCAACATAGTAGACTTTATATAACTGCTTTTTTCATTGTTTGATATCACTACTTTAATGGAGCCAAATTTACCTTGTCCTCAAATTTACAATGGAGGTATCATTTTTGTCAGTTATATCATTTCAGTAGCAGGCGCAATGATAGCACTTGAACTACTGCAGCGTAGAACACATATTCGTGGAAAATATAATTGGTTAGTCCCATAATTACCCTGCAGTAGTTCCATATGACTAGAGACACGCTTATCAACACTCAAAATTATCTGATTTACATGGCAAAGGTTCCTACTATTTGCTGCTGCAACCTCAATGGGTGGAGTGGGCATTTGGTCGATGCATTTTATCGGCAATAATAGCTTGACCCTTATTATACACAACGGTCAACATTTTCAGTTATTTTATTCGGCAGGTTTTACCTTCGTCAGTCTGGCGGTTGCTATTGTTACCATGTTCTTAGCCTTTGCCTTTGTTGGTATAACTGAAGAAGCAAAGTTAAGTCGAATTATTCCTAGTGGTATCGTAGCCGGAGTAAGTTTCTACATTTTTAACTTGTTATGCATTGCCACCCTTCGATTAAATTTCCATCAATACATTTTTACTATAATTTAGTTCGGCATTGTTGCTATGCATTACATTGGTGAGTTTTTCCTTATCTTATATCAGTCCTCATCATTTTTCTGACCTATGTTATGACATATTTAGGTCAAAGAGCAATTAACTTTTTCATTTTGGGCAATAAAATCCCTTTTGTGGTTGGTGCTGCTACCATCGCTGTCTGCGCCGTAACAGCGGCGTTACTCATATTTTTCAAATTACGAGAGCAATGGGCAAACCAATGGTATAAGCGCTTGGGATGCGCCATGTTGATGGCCGTTGCTGCATGTGGTACGAAATCATCCATTGTTGTGTTCATTTTACCCCTCATGAACCTTGTACAAAAGAAAAAAAGTAACACATTACTTCTGCCTTCCATTACCAGGAATGCACTACACTGCCTTAGTAGGAACCATTTACTATGAAGGCGACAATGACGATACTCCACCTATACCTGTCATGAGTACACCTGCTCTCATTGGTATCATTTTTGGTATCGTTGCCGCTGGGTGTCTTATTCTACTTGCAATCGTAACCAAAGCTCATATCAATAGCAGTAAATACACAAAAAATAGGGACTCCTCTAAACGTAGACTTGTGTTGGATACTATCTTTTTTGACAGAAATGGAAGAATTATGGTGAAAGTAGATGGTATTGTCCCAATGAAGGAAATTTTGAGCGAAATTCCCGAGGATGTACAGTATTATTATACACAATCACAGTTGACCATTGAATGTTATAGCGTCTCATCTCTCGTGTTTTTTATTCATCAGGAACAATATGGAAAATTTTCAGAAAATCACCCTTTATTCAAAAAAATATTTGAAATCACTTTACACTGGTTCAGATTAACTGAGTTAAACCATTACAATAATAACGATTCTGATTTCCCAGAACATAGCAATTTCGATCCCGCTTATAAAGCATTTATGACAGCAGCTAAAGATTTAGTAGAAGAGCTATGTTTGAACGATTTATCAGAGCTTGGGCACTTGTCAGATTTGATTTTGACGAGCAATACAGTCAGCAAGAAGAGCTTGTTCTCGTCGACAGATTCACTCAAAAAAGGGACTATTCAACGAAGTAACAGTACAGCAACTTCGTGGCTCCTTCTACCTAATCGACGTACAGCCTCTAAGGGAGAGAGTGACTTAGCTATTGAAAGTGAACAGAACGATACGAATAAGCTCAAATCGAAGAATCAAAAATACACATCTTCCATTCTCACAACGACAGAGAATGCAACTGTTATTGATATCTTCACCGATTCGGACACAAATCGCAACAATAGAAAAAAGTTAACGATCGCAGACTCAGACTTTGAAGATCAACATGTATTCCTTGTCAAGCGTATAGAATCCAATAAGCTCCTTGTTCATCTACTTTCTATCGGGTTCAGATTCGCTGAACCCACTTTCATTGCAAAAACAATGGGCGAAAAACTCAGAGTTCCCACCGAATATATGTTTAGCTACTTTCAAGATATGTCGCAAATGGCTGAAGCCGCATCTGTTTTGTATAAACCAGTTGATCCATTTTTGCATTCTACTGTTCATCGTTCAGCAGCTATGAAGCACCATATGGATAGATTCGCTGATGAATTTTGCGCTGGTATCTTTGTAGGTCTCTTCGTATTAATTGACGATGACAATGAAGGCCCGAATGCACATGCTGCACCTTATGTTATCATTGACAAGAAAAAGAGATACACCTTTCCAGTAATACAGCTAACAATCAACGATAACCCTGAGACAGAACCACCCAAGCGACCCAGCAAGCTTACAAGCGCACAAAAAGAAATAATTGTTGGTCTTAGTGGCGAAACGTTAGCCACTATTGCCTCTTTGGAACTTGACGTTCAAGACGCCACATATAAAAATCCCCCTTCTATTAGCAGCCCAACCCAACAATGTAATACCGGTTCACCTCCCAACAAACATCATACCACTATCAGCATTTCTACGTTGTCCAATTTGACAACACCGAATGAATACAACACTTCCGCCAAAGGATTACTTGATAATAACGCAGCTTCTACTACGGACGACAATACAGTTCACCCTGACAAGTATAGCTTTTCTTTCAAATCATCTTCAACCTCTTCTACATCTGCTTCTTCTTTGACAATGAATGCAGACGATCGAAATTTCTTAAAAGCATTGAAACACGCCTCTACAAAACTAATAGAGTCATCAAATTATGGAAAACCCATTGCCTCCTCTGCTAAACTTTACGCTGAAGTTCTGGATATACCAGCGTTCGCTATCAGGGCGGGCCCTTGTCAGTTGATTCTCTTTAGAGCTCATATCCAAACGCCCGGTACAAAGTTTGCTATTAATCAAACTCTCACTGAACCTATAAAATGTATACCCTTTCCTTTATACCGCAGTTTTGTTCATCATATAACAGATACTGCTATCTCTCACCATCGAGCAGAACGTGACAAGTTCAAAGAACCACCTTCATTTTTGAAACAAAAACGACTGTATCAATCGAGTACATTGACCTCAACAGGAGCAACAACTACTATTACTGCGAATACTAACAGTAGTAATATTAAAGGTTTGACAAAAAACTCTCCGGCAGACGGTAGTGGAGAATCTTTCAATAGAGATATAAGTAGCAGTAGCATTCGTAATGGACTTGAAAGCAGTGGTGCGGCGGCTGCATCTGACGGATATACAATAAGAACAAATTCAACAGATTCAAGCAGCCAACAGCAAACATTTGTGTCTCTACCGCCACCTCCACGAGCCAAACGACATAAACTAGCGTTCAGTTCGTTAGATATCATCAACAAAGATTTCATTCCAAGTATAGTAAAAGGTGTAAACTCATTTCAAATGGGTCCTGTTAACGCGGCAAAAACCTCCAATATAGTGGAGCTTAATTTATTACCTACCAAAGATAGATTCTGGTGGTTAGAAGCAATGTACGAAGAAGTTTTCACCATTGTATAATATTCCGCACAAGAAAAAAGAAAACTCATACTATTCCTGTACAAAACTGATGTCATTAATATTTAATATGGTTCTATGAGTATATGAGTTATCTGTTTAAAAACGAGCCTCATGCACAATTTATATCTCAATTGACCCTTATAAAAAAATTGTAAATAAAAGCCCAATCTACTTCTAAGGAACTACTACACACTGAAAGTGCATTTGCTGTAAACGTAACAAATAATTATAGTACTTCTATTCAGAAGAAGAACTTCGTTCTAATCATTTTGTTATATATTGCTTTATCAATAAAAAGATTGACGTTCAGTGTTGTGCAGAAAGAAACCCAATTTATTTCGGTGAGACGTGTGGATTTGATTTTAACAGGTGTTTTAGATGAATCAGGAAGAAATAATGGGTAAATTTTTGTGTTCAAGGTCCCACTGAAAAGTGAGCCACAATCAATATTAGCGCCGTCATCATCTAGAGGCTAGAGTAGGTTTTATTGAACAACTGAAACGGTTGGCAAAAGCTTGCATTTTTTGTAAGCCAGTATAGAATATCAGAGGACAACCAACAGTGAATCACCAAACCTCTTTTTAAATTACTCACCACTATAGGCGTAAACTAACCTTCGTTTACGCTTTCTAGGGCATATTGATACAAACAAAACTTCCATCAGCTGTACCTGTTGTGTGTGCTATCATAGTAAAAGTCATTAGCAATATGCGTGTCTATCAAAAATATACATGTTTTGGTAAAAACAGTTTGTTTCAGTGTAAGAAAAGAGTACATAAACCGAGTAAAGATTATAAAGAAAATTTATGATAACATCCGTCTTGGGGATTAAAGATAAGGAGAAGTCGATGATGGAAAGGGTTTATAAAGGAGCCCCCTCCGCATGCGATTTCCAAAAGTCAGATCTAATCTGCAATTACTTTCATCATATGAAATAAACTAAATCAAGTAATAGGGAAAGGTAAGCACTGTCTAAGAATAAAGCTATTTTATTATGATTAAAAGTTGTTGCTAACAGATAACTTTCTTGGATTTGAAAACATCATATCTTTTCGAATTTCAAAAATTTAAGACATTGTCAAGTAGAAATTAAAACACAGATTGTGCCCTCCTAAATCGTATTAAATTCAAGCAACTGCAGCATTGACGAATTTATGCAAAACTTCTTCCTCTTTCAGTGTATATCATTTTTTCCTGTCCTCAGATCTCTTCTCCTCAACGAATGAAGCAACTCTCATTGATACCTCTAGTATTAATACAGCTTCTGTTGTTTACTCTCGTCGTCAGAGGCTATAAGACTATTATCGATGTCCTATCAGAAGACGAACGTTTTTCAACCCTAATTACTCATTTACAACATACCCGCCTGATACCCTACATTAACAATTTAGAAGCTGGCACTTTTTTCGCTCCTGATAACGCTGCATTTTCAAAACTTAAGGATGATACGTTCATCACCCGAAATATACTACTTTACCATTTACTACCGAAGCAATATGCAACTGCCGATTTTGAGAATGGGCAAATATTAGAATCAAGTTATGTTCGACCTCATTTCTTGGGCAATGACGAAACAGGTCAACGGCTGAAAGTAACTAAACGATTCAATCAGTTCTTTCACATTAATGATGCTCGAATCAAAGACCGTGATATTTTTGTAAATAGAAATACGACTATAAATGTAGTAGACCGAGTGCTTGAACCACCTGATATACTTTGTAAGTTCTGGGTTTTTGTTTTTTTTTGTACTCCAAATAGAACAGTAATGGGCTCATAGGGCGGTGCACTGACTTCATTAAACCTTGTAGCAAATGTGTTACAAAAGTTAGATAAGAAGTTATTCGAATTACTGGTCAGAACAGGTGTTGATGAAGTTATCAACCAAGAAAGGCCATTCACAGCCTTTGTATCGAAGAAAAACATACTGGATAAATTTCAGGATATAGAACAGAAATACCTCACCTCTAAATATGGTCTGGATGATTTGAAGCATATAGTTCAATATCTTGTTATACCCAAAGCTATTTTTTTGAATAATCATAGTATTGGAGAAACTACATGTAAGGCTTGCAAGAGGAAGGATTATGTAGAATTATAAGTCTAAACGGCTATTTCTGCATCTACATAAAATAGATACATCAGAATCTGGAGAGAAGTTGACAATAAGTGTAAGCAAGTATGGCAAAGACAAAGTGAATGAATTTCAAGTGCTTGAAAAGGATATCTTGGCTGCGAACGGTACGTTTTGAAGTATATTTTTGCTTATTTCATAATTATTCAGTGAACCCTTGCACAAATAGGTGTTATCCATGTCCTTGAAGACTTGCCTTACGCTAATACTTTGTCTTTTGATACAAGAAAATACTTACTTGGCTTAAATGCTACTAAGTTTGTTTCATTAATGAATGAATTTGGACTTGGAAAATACATTGAAAAAGAAACGCAAAACGTAACAATTCTCACTCCTCCAAACGACGTGATTTCTGAGGACGATATCCCAAACAGTCATAAAGAACAATGGCTCAGTTATCATGTAATCGAGGGTGTTTGGAACCCATCCGATTTAATTGATCGCATGTTGTTAAAAACAAAATATAACGCAGCTGAGCTGCGTAACTCACCTCAACGTCTGCAAGTCAGAGTGAGTGGCCATCGAGTTCCTGATGACTATTCAATGTTGTCTAAACCCATCTATTTTGGTGATCATTCAAGAATCATAACGAATAACAGTAAAGTATTAGATACATAGCAGGCAGCGTATTCACCTTAAATTAACGTAAACCTTTAACAAAAAAATAGTGTCTATTTGCGGCAACGTTATTTATAGTATATCAGATCCGTTGACTCTTCCAACAGATTTAATCACTCGTCTCGTCATTGATTTGGACTTTTCTACATTTATTGCCACATTGTATGTTTCTGGGGTTGTGGAAGAGATAAAAGAAGCAAAAGCCATCACTTTATTTGCTCCAACCAATGAAGCTTTCAAAAGCTTGGGGCTTGTTTCAAGATATCTTGTTCATCCTGCTGGTAAAGCAGATTTACGTCGTGTCCTAAAATATCATATTGCCTCCTCTCCTCTTTATTATCAAGATTTATTAGGTGATATACTTGAGGTGACAACACTAGCTGGCAATGAAACCATGTTTATCAACGGCAATAACAATGACAATAATGTTTGGATCGGTACTACAGCAGCAGCTGGCGATAATGACCAAGCAATTTTCGAAGATGAACGTGGTGTTATCCAAGACTATGATTATTTAATTTCAAATGGCGTTGTTCACAAAGTCGATCATCTTCAAATTCCTGCTAGTGCCAATATCACTCAGTATAATATATTGCGTGGCATCAATGCGAATATCATGTTGAACATCTTGGAAAAAACCAATTTGTTACATACTGCGGATTTCAAGAATAGTATTGTATTAGCCCCCACCGATAATGCATTTGAAAGCATCAATCTGGAAGAATCATGGAATGACATGGATAAACTTACCAAGCTCGCTAAATTACACATTATTCCTCAGTCAAATGGACGCAAGCGTTGGTTTTTATTCCCATTGTTTGGAGATCACATTTTTGACACAATGCTTTCGTCACAAGACAAGATTGTGTTCCGTGATCTTGGTTATGGTGTTAGTATTGTAAGAGTTAAAGGAAAGCCTTATGGTACGCATGCACGTGTGTTAGATACTGGCCGTGTTAGCGTAGGTGATCGCAGTGGTGGTGTAATAGAAATTGATAGCGTTTTATTACCAATTGAAAGAGGCCTTTTTGGACTACCTTGGCTCTGGTCCTTCGTGATCCTTTTGTTTATTTGGGTCGTTGCGCTTTCAATAATCATCGTGAGCAGTCTGATCATATATAAAAAATGGAAACGGAATAGAGATGGTTATGAAACAATTTTAGATAGTTCTGAAGATACTACGAATAGTAGCAATAATGTTGAAAATAGCTGAGAGCATCTACATGTTACACTTTTAACATATAAAAACTAATAAAATCAACAAGTGCTATCGATGAATTTTGACTATGAGAGTGTCATCGAAAAAGCTACATAAATGGAAAACTGGCTAATTATACCACGTAGAAACGATGAGTTTAATGGTGCCCTTAATGGCTCCGTACAATAATCACGAACGATATAAAACGGATCTGTAGTAGATTCTATTAATGTATCGCCACAGCATTCATCATTTAGGTTTCTGCTTCTATTTCATTTATGAACGATCCAAAATTGAAGTTTCAAACAAAAGCTGTATTTTCACGAAAGAGTCTTAATTTATTATGACAGACAGAGAATTATTAGGGGTGGTGTTGATATCAATACAAATAAAGTCATTGGAATCAAAAATGTCAAAATTATATGATGATGGCAGGTTTCCTATAGGCTAGTCATAGTCTCCAGGAACTATTCTTTCACATCCGTAGGTTGAAATACCAATGTTACAATCTTCCTTCTTTTCACAGCACCTTATACAAAATCTATCGCTATCCGGCTCTATTACATTTACCCAGTACTTGAGATTGTCATTGCAGACAGCATTAGGTAAATTCTATGGACAAAGTCATATCGTTTACGTTAGAGTTTAGCGAACTACTCATTCCTTCTGTCGGGATAACCTTCTTATGCTCCACAATTTACCTTCTGATCATATTGGCCTCCTCCGTCGCCTGTCTGGATATCATATGCAGTATGGTCTATTTGGCCTGTGACTTGAACAAATGAACTTGTTTGATAAAAATGCGCGGACTTTATGAAACCTTCAGGAAAGGTCTCTGTTTGATCATCATGGGAAACCGTACAAAAGGCTGTCGCATCATCCTCAGATTCAGATATGAGCTGCCCTGGTTCTTTTGGCAGATATGAGCAGAAATCTGATTCTGAAAGAACATAAAACTTGACACCTGTACCACGTTTTTGAGCAGAGTAGTGGGAGGAAGGACGCGCATTGACAACAGCAGCAGTAACTAGAAACACGACTGCTGTCACCAGTATGCGGGAACAGTTATTGCTACCTTTTGTGATCCATGCAATTAAACTCATTTTTAGTTTAATGTTTTTAACGATTGCATACATAAGTAAGAAAAGGTATTAGAATAGAAAAAAAAAAAAAACCAAGCAAAACCAAAAACGAAAATGAAAAATAAAAAAATGAAAACGAAAGACAACTATAGAAATTCTTGCATTTTATTAAACAATTGAACTGAACCAAAAGCATCATATTTGAGGGGCACCTTTGGGAGCAGGAGAAAGTTGCATGTATATGTACGAACGAGAAGTATGAAAGGAAATCTCCACGTGAGCCAGATTACACGGTTGTGTTAGTTTCTGCATTCTTTGGAAGACCTTTAACTAGATCAGTTTTGAAGAGATAAAGTCTAGAATGTGTTATGTATGTTTCCCTTGGAGCGGGAAGGAAAATATACTTGAATAAAGTCTGATAACAATTTTTACCCTCCAGGGGAACGAGCTTCTTTGTTTCGTAATAGGATTAGTTTCTTTTTTCGTCCAATGATGAGGTTCGAAACCATCATGATAAATGTTAATTCTAGACTGTATTGAGCACAAGTAACAGGTATGACTCAAATAAGGGCAACATGTCATCGGCCTTTAATGCTAGAAGCACTATTCAGAACATATTTTAGTTGATGACCCTCGATGATGAAAGAATATATAGCTCTTTAATTCGTACAAAAAAATGATTTAAGAAATCAGATAATCTTGAATTACGAATCGTCCATTGTCTACTTTCTAACGGCCCTTCTACGGCCGCCCACCTTAGCGCCCTGAACATTGACTTTTTCGCCACTACCTCTTTTGCGTAACGACTTCTTGTTGTTGCCGCTCTCAGATTGTTGTTCTTTGGCTAAATCTTGAGCCACTTCTTCCATGCCGTCATTTTCCTCCATCATTTCTTCGATTACTTCTTGCTTATTCAGTAACTCATAGAACAACTTCTTAGGCCAAGCAAAAAGAAAAATATCCTTGATTGTGGGCCTGTAGACCCATTCTGTATTTAAATGGATAGGCTCACTGGCACTCTTTTTATCTTCGGAAGGATATACTACCAGATAATGATCATTCTTTACTTCACAACGCATTTGTCGATCTCCTAATTGTATGTAACTTCGACCTAAAGTAGGTGCTGTACTTCCTTTCGAACCACTGACGTTATTGTAGACCATTTGAGCTCGGGCATCTCCTACCCATTGCAAAATACGCTTCTTTTCTTGACGATAGTTGACCTGACCTGCAATGTATTGCATACCACCAGCAATGAGTAGCAACACTATCAAGGCAGAACCCAACCCAGGACGATAACGGCTGTACAAATAACCTGTACCGCGCCAGCGAGGCACACCATTTTTTAAAAAGAAATTGTACCGTTCCCGACTACGAGGATCACGTAAAATAGATACGATGACACCAAGACGGGCAAAACGTTCTTTAGCTTTTGAATCATTTTTGTTCTTATCAGGACTGTTGTTGGCAAATGTGGGTTTTAATTGAACAAGTTAAGGTTGTTCTTTCTATTCTCCTGATTGTATGTAAATTTTCGGAGTAGATTTACTTACTGCCATTTTAGAGAAAGTTTACGGTAAGCTTTGCTGATGTCCGCTTGGGTTGCTGAAGGCTATTTTTTATAGTACATTTTAGTCAATATCGTTGTAGTTTGCCACACTAAATGTTCTTGTTAGATAAACTTACAGAAACACCAATATAGCTATAGAAATTCGTATCTTTTCCTTCTGCTTTCTCCAAGGCATCTACAAGGTCAAAGATTTCGAAATCAGCTATAGAAAAAGTGTGGATCTTTAATTAGCAAATCACGATCATCATTTGTTTGTTTCGCGAAACGAGCCAAGGCAACTTTATAGTACCTTCAGTCCAAGCTTTTACTTTGGGTACCAAAGTTGAGAGCAGTACTACCAGTAGTAGTAAAATGCTGACGATATTCTTCGTCTTTATGCGCGCCATTCTATGAAGAGTAGAGGGAGTGTTATACTGTCGTTTTTTTTCTCATTTTACAAAAAAGCGGAGAATAACTCAGAAAAGGTTCGGCGAATCATTGGGAATATGTTGTAAATCACCGATACTCTCCACTACGTTTAAAGAGATATTTTCATTACAATGAAATTTTACCCAATGAGCACACAGATAAATACTTATCAAAATTGCCCAGGGAGGTTCAAGGAAAGTGCGAGGGAATTAAAAAACCTTTAAAGGGACAAGGGAAAAAGGGAAGATGATCAGAGGCAAACTAGCGAATAACGGAACGATCAAAGTGTCATTATCGCGGGCGCATACATCTAATCCAAGAGTAGCTGTCCTAGGTTTTCTGGCGGTGTTGGAGGCTCTTTATTATGTTGGAGGTAGTCAGCTTCAGATAGTATTAGCTGCAGAGTGGGCTATCGAACTGTCCAAGCGTGGCACCGTATTTTGTGCTGCTTTGAAGCACTGGTGGGTAACAAATTCAGCAAAAAGAGATGGGGTCAGATATGGTATGGGGAAGCTGTAAGCGGTTGTGTATCTTAAGGCAGTCAATGACGTGGGCTTTTATAAGTGTACGCGTTGGATGGTAGAGGCAACTGGTTGAGTAGTTATTGGGTAGCCAGCCAAGGCTGCCATCGTAGACATCGATCACGTTCAACAAAGGTCATTGGGAGCCAGAGAATGGGGTCGAGCGATATAACGGGGCGGCAGAGCAGTAGTAGTTTTGAATGCTGTGTCGCATTCCGCAGTTTATTGAGATTCTCTTGGCGGTAGACACGAATAGCTTTGTTTAAGGAGCGAGGACCATGGGTTGATGGGAGCCGGTGATACACTCCAATACGTTTAAACAAAGGATTTTTATTACTGACATTTTTTTTAAGCCCAATGGACACGAGAATAGAGTGCTGCATAGTGTCGGTCAGGGTGCCGTGGTGGGCGAAAAAGCATACTATCTTAATGGGGGAAGGGGGAAGGGGCTAAACTAATCATTATAATTGGTAGGCTAAGACTTTGGGCGCGGTTCGGGATCTTGCCTAATTAAGCCTGGGCGGGCACCGCAATTATTCATAACTTGCTTAAACACCAACACCGACCGAGAACCACCTTGATAGCGGCATTAAAAAACCCCAGGAAGCAGAGAGAAAGGGATCAAAGCTGAAAAAATATCAGCGGCGTACAGGAATCAAACCAACAATCTTTGGTTTGGAAAGCCAAGGTGCTAACTACCTTCACCGGGGCTAGGCCCCCATACACCCCTACATCCAAGATCCATCCAGCAAATCAACCTATTTTCGTCTAGGCCGCTCTCCTATTTGGAGCCGAGTCCAACAACAACAGTCTATTGATCATAAAGTCCTTAACGAATGCATTCGTGAGTTTCGAACAAAAACCCTACATGAACTGCAACAACCACACCAGAACTCAAAGTTACTCTCTGCGTGTCGGACATCCATCAGCTTAGACCCTGTACTCTGGCTTCCAATGACTAGCGAAGAGCGTAGCCGCTGCATCCGATGGCGTCTCGGATGGCTACCTGGTGGTCATTCCAACTTCTGCTTCCATCATCCCACCACCATCATGACAAAACAACATGCCATACAGTGCTTACAGATGCTTCAACCTCTGATGAAGCCAATATCAATTCTAGATCCATTCTCTAATCTTTTGAATCAACTTCCCACTCGTCCCCCTCGATCAGCCGTCACTCGCCAATCATGGACCGTCCGTTAGCCGGCCATTTGCCACATTCTTTTGAACTCAATCATTTGTTTCATGGATTGGATCCACCTCCACCAGACCCCTCACTAGGCTACGCCCTATTACAATGGTTGAACCAGCCCTCACACATAACAACAACTGATTAAATCCTTTTTTACCCTTGTTCCAAAAGGGGTTTTTAGCAATATATAGTCTATACTATAGAAACTTTAGGATCTGCCCCAGGCAATTTGGTGCTCATTGGGTTTTAAATATTGTAATAAAAGCTTCCTTTAAACGTACTATTGCAAAATGGTAGTGGAGTACAAGCGAAGTTCAATTGTGATCATAGGCATTAATAACAGTTGAAGTTTTTATTTTTCAATTAATTACAGACTTTTCGTATGGACAACGGTTGGACCATGTTCATTATAGTCGACTTTGCTGATGTAATTCTTTGCATCAATAAATATAAGCTAAAAAGAAAACAGGAAGAAAAATGCGGCCATCATTAGGAATCCATACTGTTTTTACTAAGAAAATTACGACTGTTCATTTTACCTTGGCTACAATCGCTCCTCCTAACCAGGTAGAATATTGTTGGTATTGCTTATCCTTTAACACGGTGAAATAATCTGGAATTCGTAAAAAGTTAATATGTCGTGGTTGCGTATCACCTGCATTTTCAGAGTGAGGAAGATACAATTGTGCTTCCATTTTGATTCTTTTCGCTAAGCCTGCCATTCTACAGCAACCTCCTGCGATAGTAATAGTTTCCCATAATTTGGGTCGAATCTCAGGTGGCTCGCAACTCATAGTTGCCATCCGTAAGACTTCTGCTAACGAAGATGTTGTAAACAGATTGGATGATAATAGTGACTTTTTATCGTCTACAAGAAATTGCTCGGGTGCAAATAATGGGTCGACAACCTGATGACGATAAGGTCCAATGCTGAATTTATGCCCTTTATATTCAATTTCGACAGTTTCGGGTATATCTCCTACGTCTTCTTCTTCTACTTTCTTGGGATTGTGTTCATCTTCCTCGATTATTTCTTCAGTGCTTTCGATTGGTAATTCTGTCATACTGTTGATAATATCTTTGTTTGCCAATGCTGTGCCTTCAGAAATTTTATTGTCTTGTCCAACGGATACATTACAAATACCAGGTAATTCGCGAATATATTTTGCAAATTCAAGATCAAGCTCTACATCAGTTAAAGAATCGATTTGTTGAACAAGATTGGTGTCTTTTTGTAATAATTGGAGAAAATATTTATCAAAATCGTTTCCACCGATTGGAATAGTGATGCTGGATTGATTCTGTACATTACTATCAATAACAACATTGACATCTGCAAAATTAGGAAGGTTAAGTCTCTGTAAAATTTTCCTCTTCTGTTAAAATATTTCGTTTAACGGTATAGTAAAAGGATTTTACCTGTAACTTCACTTCCAATATCAACTACTAAACCTGAAACAGCACCGCATCCAAACAGACTTAATAAAGGTTGAGGTGCAATATAGATTCCGGGGACGTTGAAGTTTTCGAAAAATATTTGTGTGATGCGTTCGTATTCGAGTTTTGTCCACTGCATGGGCACCGCTAATAGAACGGGAGATTCATTACGAGATTTTTTGATGTTTAGTTCTTTGAATAGAATATGATGCCAACAGTTTTCAAGTTCTTTCCAATCGACGATCTGGTTGAATTTTATCGGGTAGTTGTAGTCTGCCATGTTGACGATCTGTTGTGAAAGAAAGAGGAGATGATGAGGAATCGAAGCCTAGCATGCAAGTTTATAACAAGAGTTCGTCCAACTTACCACTGCGGGAGGCTTATTGGTGTCGTGCATGCCTATCCCAGCAACTGTTGTCGATGAGCCTACATTAATGACTACAAAGTTCTCTTCTCTTAAAGCAATGGACATTTTTTGGTTTGAAGAGTTTGGAGGAGTTAGAAGAAAAACACGAAAAAAAAAAAAATCCATAAAAATCAATGTGTCTAATCTTATACAGTTTTTTAGCTTTGGGTTTAGACGAAGCCGCAATATAACTAGACGAAAAAAGTAAATTTTTGAGACCATCAAGTTATAATTTCAAGATCGAGCTACACAAAAATTGAGACGCTTACCTGTAAAAATCAAACCAGCTTCGTGCTGGCGATTAGAGGATGGTGTTTAAGTGGTTGTTGCGGGTGATTTTGGTTTTCTAGAAAACTCCGCAGGTCTTCCCGTTGACTTCCAGATCGAAACGCTAATTGTCAACATGTTTTTAGCAGCGTTGACGTCCCGGTTCCAAAGTATCGAACAGGTTTTGCAGGCAAGGATACTTTGGCCGGGAACTGTCTTCAATGCTTCAAGATTGTTGGAATGACAATTATTGCATATTCGAGAGGTTTTGTATTCATCAATTGTTATCGTCAGTAAATCGCCAGCAGCCTCTCTTCGCTTCAAGGCACGCCAAAGAACTCCCACGACACCAGTCTTATGGCCTTTGATGGGCACTGCACTCTTCCCGAACATGCCATTACCAACTACAATTAAAGGGATCTTTTTAGTGTCGCCTACACTAAAGGGTTCAGGCTTCCACTTGCTCTTCAGGGAATTGCTGTAGAAAGCATGAGTTCTATCAATATTTCTGCGAATAGTGGATGAATTGCTTATCATTTAAAAACCTTACCTATCTTTCTTAGCGAGAACATCGCTTACTTCTCTCGCATCTGCTTTTTCCCTCTCTTCTGGAACCTTTTGCTTCTTCTTCTTCTTCTTTTTACGTTTACAAAAGGCCATTCTGTCGGTATTCTTCTTTGGCCACTTGCTTCGATCTTTCTTCTTCTTCAACCTCAATTGCTTATTGTACTTTGTGGTTCCATTAATAAGCAAATTGACCATGTTGTTGGCAGCACGCTCTTTACCCTGGTATAAACGAAATCTGTCTTCAGCAGTTCTCTCGTCGTAAAAAGAAGACAAGGCTTCGAAGTGCTGCAACATATATTGTACATGACGATCATGTTGTTCGATGATAGAAGTTTTGGCGGTTGGTATGCCACTTTCGATCATTTTAAGTGTGCCTGCTTTCTTCTTTTCCAGCTTTGCAGCGTATCTGGTACTTCCGGTCATATGATAATATTCCTTGGTAGAGCAGCTGCGTACTTGATGTTTGTTACGGTCTAGTCCGATTGCCGCTGTGAAGACAGATCTTCGCCCTGGATCAAGGAAAGCGGGTCTGTAATTGTCTTGTACTTCGTCATAAGAAAAATCTTCCAAAGTCAAGGTGTGATTATGAATGATCATGTCTTCTTTTGTTTTCTTTTTGCGGCTGAACAAAAAGTCTACAGTAAAACCGTCCGACCTAACCATGTTTCGAAACATTACATCAGAACTTTCCTTCAAAGCGGTTAAACTATGACAGAAGCAAAAATAGGGGTGTGTTTACTATTAGGGATAATTTTTGCTGAAGAAGTTCTTCTATAGTTTTACCTCTTAAAGCCAAACTTTTTGAAGTCAAAGACTTTACAGAATTGTTCGAGTTGGGCTGTATAACCCTTGGCAACTTTTCCGGGAAACATGAAGGGTGTAAGAGCGTTTATACTTATCGCGATGAAACGCCATTTCAGCGATGGAATAGGAAAGGGAAAGAAACGCTGAGGAAGTGGTAGGACACGGACATCGTACGGCTTATGCTGTATATGTTCTTGCTCGTACGCAAACTGTATGTTCCATAACGCATTAACAAACTTTGCAGGAGCAGCAGAAAGAGAAACGAGGGTTACTTCTCCTGGAATGAACTCTTCAAATTGTTTGCAGAGTACTTCAATTCGGTTTTTGTCAACGGCCGCCAGCTCGAGGTTTTCTGGCCAATGAGGATGACCATGGCAGACAGATTGGTAACAATACAGCTGTACAATTCTTTGTACATCAGTGCGTTTGATATTCTAGAATGTGTATAAAGAGAAATAAAATGAATAAAACAGCAGAGCATTAAGAAGGTACTCGGTTACAGCCTTACCGGGAGCATAGTTCTCAGTTTGTAAGTAAGGAACTTTGTTAAGCGCTGCTCGAAGCGCTCTACAATGGAGTTCGTGTAAGAGACGCTCAATTCATTTGCTGCCTCTGTAAGGCATTGGCTATATCCCACGGTCAGCTTGTGGTTTACTTCGATAGTAGGGAACTTTGCCTTGAAGTCTGTATAATACTGCTTTATGTCCTCGGATAATGCCGTTCTGTGAGTAACTTGCTTGCCCGTCACTAGCTGACCTACTGAATACCAGAATTGCTGGCAGAATACATCAGGAATAGACCTGTCTTTGTTGGCTTCTTTGCTGTCTTTCTTGCTGTCTTCTTTGTTGGCTTCTTTACTGTCTTTCTTGCTGTCTTCTTTGTTGGCTTCTTTACTGCCTTTGTTGCTGTTTTTATCAGTGTCTTTCTTGTCGCCTTTGTTAGCATTCCTTCTATTCTCCTGATAATGAATGAGGTACGAGTTAACGAATAATTGACTAGAGAATACTATTCTCCTTATGTCAGAGCAGCAAGAGATGACTTTTTCTTGGAATTGTTCGCGAAACGCAGGCTTCACAGCAGACGTAAGAGGGAGCTTCCTCGTGAATACAGTGGAGCCTTCTCCAAGCGTCGAGTTGATAACTTCTTCCTTTGAAGCTATGTGATTGGGACATTCGAGAGAACGAGAAGTAGAATGACCCTTTAAGCCACAACTGATACACTTGACATCTCCAGTTGTTTGCTTCTTCTTTCTCTTTGCTTGCTTCTTTTCTTCCTTGATTGTAGCTCTTGCCGCTACTTCCAACTAAATTTCCGTTAAGCAAACATAAACTTGTCTTGCAGTGAGAGCATGATACTTACCATCACGCGCAGAAACTGCTTTGTAAAACTTGCATTCATGGTATGCCTTGTTGAAATGTCCGCGTGTTTTGCAATCCTTGCACTCGATGCCCACTAGTCATACGAAACATGAATTGAGGATTACCACTATAACCTATTTGTGGCAGCGCGCTCATGTGTTACTTACGGAAGGACTCATCTTTTACTTTCTTCTTATGGGCTTCTGCCACCGATTTGATTTTTTGCAAGATTTTGGCTTTGTACATGGTGAGTAGTAGCTATCAGGATGAAGAAAGAAAGTATGAAAGAAGTATAACAAGAAGAAGATGGAAATCAAAAGAAAGATGCCAAAGTTATCTTCTGTAAATTCTTTGAATTTGACAACATTTATTTTTTATTACGATTGACAACAACAACCGTTATCTACGTGGCGGAAGAACGTGCCTGGGATCAGTTTAACGCGTAGTTCAATTCATATGGTCCATAAATAAAGTCTCGTAAACCACAACCCTGTATCTATTGCTCATAAGACCTGTGTCACACTAAAATACTCAATAAGTCTCGTAGTACTTTAACGTAATGCCACCATCCATTGAAAAATGTCCACTGACCTTCAAAATAATGTCTCCAATTATATATTCAATAAATCGTCCAAGAATATTATACCATTTCATCCTAAAGTAATTCAAAATTATCTAAATTAAATATATATATTGTCCAATAAAATTTGTATAAAGTATAAAGTTGAAGCTAAAACACTGTATTGAGGGGCAGCGGGCGACAAAGTCACCGCTGCCGGCAAAGAAGGTGCCAGCTCGCTCAAAAAAGGATCGACCCAACAAATCATGGTATAACCTTATTGTTCTTGAAGTTCTTCCCTTTTCTTTAACTTTTGCTTGTGCACTTCCTTAACAGCGTAGAAACAAAGCTATCAATGGGCCAAAAACGAAAATATAGTGTTGTAGATGGTCTAGTTCAGCCGCCCGATAAAGCTGAATTTATATCCTTTTTTATTACTGCTTGCTAAAGCTACAAAAAAAAACACAAGACTTTTTCTGTAGATGTTGAATTAGACCAATGTCATAAGCACTACATTTCCTTAACTTCTATGTTTACTGCTGTAAAGTCAAAGTAGTAAAAGGTCGTATGGTGGTTGTAGACGGTTATGTGGCCATTATAATTCACGATGCCTCGAATGACTATGACGAAGCTTGGTAAAGATATTTCAAAAAGATTCGTCAGCCTCTATAATCGAAGAAAACGAGCAGCATAGGTTAATTGCATAATTATTCATTTTAGTTTGATATTCTTCGAAGAGTCTAAAGATACTTCTATGCCGCCATTTGTCTTGAAAGTGCTTTCTATTTTAGCAGATATGAAGATTGATATAAGTACGATATGATAATATGAAGCTCTCAGAAACCTTTCAGGAACATTGTCGTAATACAATCTACTTCCTATTGTGCACTATAGGTCAATCTCAAATTCCTGCTGCTGCTAAGAAATCAGGTATATCACAGCCAATGCTGGAAAGGAACCCAAAAAAAAAAAAAATAACAATTTAATTAATGCAAAAACTGTACGGGGAAAAAGATCTGCAGGTTACATTTACAGTGAAAGAGGGCTCCGCCAGTGTCATTTTCCCAGAAGATACTATGCCGGATATGCTTAATAAAATTAAGGAACTAAAAGCAGAAGCAGGTGAACTATGCGATTTCAACGTGTCATAACGAGGCGTAAATACTGTCTGTTAACCAATTGTCAATCACGAATATAGAAAAGAGGGATTTAACTTCAACAAAAGATAATTCACATGAGTGGACCAAAGTTTACAAGAGTTATGGTACGTCAACAGAAAAAGTAACTTCAGTACAGAACAGCTAAACTTATGTTTCCTTACTGTAAGTCGCTAATAAAGACAAAAAAGGCAACATCGTGAGGTCAAACTCAACACCTACAATAGCAGGAGATAAGAGCGCTTTACGATACGTCATGCCTATTGAAAGATCAGAAACCTTAGCCAAAATCAATCTGAAACGAACCAGAACAGTTGCAGCTCCCAAATCACCTAAAATTACATTTGAAGCAGCCAAAGATCATTGGATTAATGCGCAACTGATGAAGAGAGAAAACGACTTTGTCGATTGGCAAAAGACATAGTAAGAAATAAGTTATTGCTTCTTGCTTATCCTGTACGAAATCAATATCTAATCCGGCTTCATTATAATTCACTAATTCCTTTTAGTGCATTTGTTGGTACCTGGAATGTTCATGGAAGCCTGCCCACATCTTCTCTGAAGGATTGGTTACAAAATACATTAAAGACTGACGACGGAAAAGCTGTTGACCCTGATTTCTATATTATTGGGCTCGAGGAAATGGAAACTAATACAGAGGCCTACATCCGTTATGATCCAACAAAAGAAAATGCATGGGTAAAGGCTATAATTGAATCACTTAAAGATGGGGGCAATGATTATTATAGGGTAGAATCAAAACAACTGGTTACTATGCTATTGATCGTTATTGCAAAAAAAAAACATCAACCACACATTTCTGAAGTATCAACAGCATATGCTGGTGTTGGCTTGATGGGCATGATGGTAAGCAGAATGGCCGTTGAATAATTGAGTATTACAAATGGGATTTAACAAGTTGCAATCTATATATATTATACCTTAGGGCAATAAAGGTGGTATTGCTGTTCGCTTACGTTATCATGACAGCTATATGTGCTTTGTCACAAGTCATTTAGCAGCTTTTACTGATAAAACAGAGAAGAGAAATCAAGACTTTACAGAACTTTCGAAACGACTTATATTTCCGCATAAATTAGATCCACTTCTCCAATATGTTTCTTATTTTTGGAATGATGGAGGTGATGAAGGCGTCACTTTTGTTGAATCGAACAATGTAATAAAGGACTGGTCAACAGAAGCTTCCCTATATCATAATGAGTAAGTAATCCTCAACACTCTCGTGCTGAGACAATCAGTTGATAAATATTAAAACAAAAAAATTCTAAAAATGAAAAAAAGGTAATAACCCTTCTCTGAACTATAGCTTTTTAATCTGGTGCGGTGATCTAAACTATAGAATCAACCTGCCAGAGGGTGTGGTTAAGCATTGGTTAAGACAAGACAGATTAGATGTGCTATTGAATTACGATCAGTTATCGATTGAGCGTAGTGCAGGTCGAACGTTCCCCATGTTTGAGGAGGGACAAATTCAATTTCCTCCAACCTATAAATACGATGCTGGAACAAATCAATACGATACAAGGTTAGAAATATAGAGTCAATAATGTGCAAAGTTTAATCAATCTTAACAACTATGATCATCTCTCCTTCATTAGTGAGAAGCGTCGTGCACCATCGTGGACAGATCGTATTTTATGGAAGAAGGAAAGAAATGATTCACCTAAACAAAGCCTACGCCTGTTGAGTTACACACATTGTATGAATATGATGATGAGCGACCACAAACCTGTTCGCGCTCTTATGGAGCTTAATGTTAGAAAAATTAACAGTCAACGTCAGCGAGAAACCCGCGATACACTCGTGAAGCAACTTAAGGATAATCCTGACATTCAACCACGTGGACAAATTTCATCCTCTTATGTCGATTTTGGCAAAGTTCACTTTATCGAATATAAGGAAAAAATCATCACTTTGGAGAATACAGGACAGGTTCTCACCGTTTTCAAATTCTTACCCAAAAATGGCAGTAAAGGCATTTTACCGCCTTGGCTCCTAGTGGCACCCTTGTCAGGTGTTGTAGCTCCGGGTGAAAAGGTTGTTATACGTTTCGAAGTAACTGTAGACCCTACTATTTCTGCCCCTCTCAATCGTGGTGAACAAAAGCTGGATGATATTCTGATTTTGAGGTTAGAAAATAGTAAAGATTTCTTCATTTGCGTATCCGGTGAATACGTGCCTACATGCTTTGGTGTACCCTTAGAACAATTATCAGAAATGGCCGTACCTATTAGTGAAGAAGCGGCGAAAAACCTTCAAGGAGTAGCTTCCAGAAAGAGCAGCAGTAGTGCAGACTCCTCTTTGGCAGGCTCCCAACCCATTCTTAATCAAATAGATTTACCAAAGGAGTTGTGGAAAGTGTTAAATTTCCTATGGAACCCAAATATGTTCCAAATCGTAAAGATCAGAATTTACCCTTTTTCAAGTGCGCTATTTAGCAAAGGGTTGCTTCTAATATTGTTCTTCTTTTATTTAATGGTGGAATAGGAATCGCTTTTCTTGGAACATGGGGATCTTAATGTGTCCACCTATATTAGAGAATGTTTGGATAACGGAGAGCAGTTTGATACTAATGTTCTCCTCGGCAATCAGCAATTGATAAGTGCTGATACAACTACAGATAAAACCGAAAGTGAAATGCATGAGGTTAAGAGCTCATTATCAGGGTTAACCTTGGCTGATGAGCATAATACTGATGGCAAGATTACATATGACGAAGATGATGATGATAACGAGGAAGTCAGATGCGACCTTTCAAAAGAAGCAATTAGTGCCAATTCCATGATTGATGTATTAGTAGCATTCTTAGAATGTTTACCTGAGCCTGTCGTCACTACGACGAATTATGCACGTGCTTTAGAAGCTGGTGATTCCCTAGAAATATTCAACACTGTAAGTTGGCCTTACTGTCAAAATTCCTCTTTTTATAATTTCAACTAACAAAAAATCCTATTTTTAGATCAAAGACTCTCTTCCTCCTTTCCATCGCAATGTTTTATTGTACATTGGTATGTTTTTGAGCCAGGCCATTGAAAAGGCACCAGCATCGGTTAGAAAAGCAAGAGAAAATAAGATCGGTAAGCTTTTTAATAACGTTGGACGACCAAGATACACTGGTTTACTAATTCTTGACTCTCAATAACTTTAGTCGAAACCTTCACTGTCCTTCTACGCCCTCCCATTGATTTCAAAGAACACAATCCTGTGGTTGCGAAAGAAAAGAGAGAAAATTTCGTGCGTCAACTTTTAAAATCTGTCAAGTCTTAATAATTATCCACAGTATAGAACCTGCTTCTGTTCTGTATTGTTTAGATACTTTATACATACCACACTTATTTACATTTTATAATGGTTACTCCAGACTTTATTGTTCAGTGCTTATCTTATTCTTTTAAATTGTAGACTAAACCTAAATACACATAAACCTTTTTGCATTAAACGTTCGTCATATTCACAAACCTTTATTTACGCTTATATTACGACTGTAATACTGATATGCCCCCCGGATGTGCTTTGATTATTTTATGCCTGGCTTACTGCGCTAACCAATTCCAACAACACAGACATGGGTGCGTACAGTATCGGAATGGAACCCTTCGTTTTCAGCGTGGCTCTCTCACAACATGATAATACTATCCTCCAGATTGGCCGAAGACCTCAGTAAGTGAATGATATACGTTTGCGGGTTTAGCCCAAAAGTCTTAGGAATGGCTACTCAGGCTGTTGATATTGCTGCTCTTGTGATTGGGAAGGAGTAGCTCTGTTGAGGACTATCAAAGGTAGTTTCCAAGGACGTAAGGGACTGAGAAGCTACCCGATCCAATGGAATAGGAATCAGAGTCAATCAGTTATGAGTTTTTTTTTGCGAAATATCTTCGTCATAGACTACGATAAAATGATCCGTATATAACAGTATAGGGATAATGTGTAATATACTGAATACATCCCTACCTAAAGATCAAAGTGCCGCTAAGCTGGCAATACACTGACCGCGCATCACTCATGGATATCATGTCAACCGACAGTTGCAAACCTCATATTGTATTCATAGTACCACATAATGTAATATTTTCTAGAATCTGTATGTGCTTTTTGGTTAGTAATAGATCGAAATGTTTTGTTTCGATAAACTACTGTATACTAACGCTTTAACCTAACCAACCATAAGATCAAACTGAGTGAAAACAGCAAAAGAACCTGAATGAATTATTTAGAGAAATACTCTTCCATTTAATTGTTGTTGTTTGGTAGCTTAATGCATGCAGTATATAAAGCCAGAAAATGCATGGAAGACAATGCTTATTAAGATTCTTTTAGTCCGCTCACTAAACCTGACATTTCCTTCGCTGTTGTATTGTGTGGTGACATCCACTATGTGTGCCTTCTTTGGCATTTTTATTGTTCCATGATGAAACTTGTACCTCTGGTTTTCACTTCTAAGAACTATGCCCGAACTTTATTACTTTTAACCGTAAAGTGACTCAAAGGGCTGCCATGTTGAAGAATACATTATGTCGTAGCTCAGTAAGACAACAGTAGTACATACATTATATATTTAAATTTTTTTATTATATAAACGACGTGCAAACATTGTTTAGGATTTATTACCTATAGTAGCCACGGACGTTTTTACATTTGATCTTCAAAAACCATGCATGGCTAACTGCGCTCAAGTCTTATACCAAACAGCATGTCGCTTTATTATTTGAATTAGTTTATGTTAGATATATTTCAAATGTGGATTAAAATAATAACAATGAAGGATGAAAGCATTTCATGTAAACTGTATATTGTTCAAAATACTTTGCAGACGTCTACGTAATGAATTTTCTATGTTCAAAGTGAACAGGTAGAAAAAAGTTTTAGGCTTAAATCGCGTCGCGTTTTGTGTCAAAAGTCACTGAGTTTACCGTTCATGCAGAACAAATCTAAAAATGCTGGAGGTAATCGCGCTCTTTTGACATTTCATAAAGCACAATAGTCAAATGTCAAACGTCGATATACTCATACCCTTAAGACGAAGATTTGAAAAGCAAGAACCGTTGACAGGTTGGGATCATAAACTAAGTTTAGAATGTACGATGGACTTCTTCTCTAAATAAGCAACAATTAGCTATTGATGATGAATTGCAACATTGTGTCGGCATGACGGAAGAAACATGCTATGACATCTTCTTATTATTATTGAAGCATGCTAGTCAGAATGAAGGATTGGAAGGAGATATAGCCTTGTACTGCCATAGAATTGCTGATTTACACAAACAGAATGTATTTAAGCATGAGAATAGCAATATCTTCATTACATTACTTAACTTCATAAAAAGTGAGTCAAACAATAAAAGGTCAACATTGCAGACTAGCCTTATTAACCGAGTATACATTTCTCAAAAGTGCTGTGCTACGAAAAAGAGGAGGTCAATGAAGTAAGCCCAGTGAAGCATAGCTGTTGTTCTGTTAGAATGTATTGTGAATATTGATCCAGGCTTTTATTTATAGAACGAAAAACATCAATTCAATTTTGATATACCTTTCAATAATTCAGAGCGACTTTTCAGTTTGATTGGGACTGGAATTAAAGCTTGCGAGGTTATTATATCAGATGAAGAAGCGGTTGATTTAATTGCCAATAATGAAGTCGACATGCTATGTTGTATAATTCCAACAGTTATTCAGTCTTGTATGGCAAATGTGGATCATAAAGCTGCAGAATCTGTCATTTTGGTAAGATCACAATCATAAGGTTTTCATTCCCTGTTCTCACTTCTGAACATCAAATAATCACCATTCTATCTTTTCCCCTACGAAAGGATGTTGCAACAATCATACAAATTGTAATTGAAGAAGAGCTGGATTTGTTTAACAGCTTTGATGACTATAATAGCCACGCTATCATATCGAGCTTATTAACTTTGAGACAACTAACTGATGCCATTTCAGATACCCTTTACGATACCATTTCTATTATAATTGAACATAAACCTCAAATGAGGGCTCCACAAAGTACAATTTTACACACGGCCACAAATGCTATCTCAATTGATGCAGATATCAGTGGAAGCAATGTAAGTCCATTTATGCAAAACCTATGATCTACTCTCAATTTGTTTTCCAAAAAATACTTATATGCTTGCTGTTATTATCTGTATTTCAAACAAATATAGGTAAAAGCTCTAATCAACTTGTCCTATCTGTTGTTGAGCAATCATATGAAAGCACCTTGGCTAAATGACGGTATAAGAAATCTCGAAGACATACCAATGTCTTCCGTTGAAAGATCGAAAATTAATAAATTGATAGAAATGACCAATTTGATGTCGATTATGCTGGAAGATGGAGATATCATGTAAGCTAGACTGTAATAGCTGACAGTTGATCGTTTAAGATATGTTATTCAACTTCCATGCTCAAATTGTTTAGCAATGAGGTCAACATGCCATTCAACAATGTTGAAGAGTCCTTAAAAAAGCTATGCTTATGCACAACCGCTGAAGATGCTGAACGTGTAATCAGTGAGGTATGTTGAGTTTATATTTTTATTACGTATGTTATCAATAACCCTCCTTGTGAATGAAAAATTTGAATTGTGATAGATGAAAATCCAATCACTACATTCTCCTATAAAAGAAGATTTGAATGAAGCATGTCAGCCATGGATGAAAAGCATTACAGAATATGTCACGCGCACGCTAATTGTAGATCCTGTTCTTGCAGAAAGCGTGATTCAACTTTTCAACTATACTACTCCAAACTTTTTTACTGCATACATCGATTATGCTCTACCATATGCTATACTGCATATTGAGGATGACGCTGTTCTTGGCATCATTGCTGATTGCCTTGCCGTGTCTCCAACTGAGCTCTGTAAACAAAAAGCACCCGAAATATTATCTGCTATCTTTATGGAGCCAGACAAGCATCTGAAAGAAGATGCATTCCGCCGGTTACAACGGCTTTTTAGGGACAGAAAAATCATTGGAGAACTGGCATCCAACAACTTTACCACAATTACTGTCAATCTGGCTATTAAAGTGGGGTCTCCGGATTTGAGTGAAATAGTATTGAATGCACTTCATGAGCTTGATACCGTATCTGCGAGCAATTTGAATAACACAGCCTCTATTGTATCATCGTTCCGATTTACAGCCATTTTGATTAGAGTCTCTGAGTTTATTTTGCAAAAGCGAAAGGGTGTTCCTGATAAGGAGATACAAGACCCTTTTGCGCTGGAGTCGCTTCAATATCTTATGCTGACTCTCAAAGATGAAGTGGCAAACCATGCATCACATGTAAGCTTTATCTCATTCTAAAAAGACAAGCTATTGCTCTATATCTCTCTCTGCTCACTTTCTGTTTTTATTTTGCTGTCCTATAATTTATCTTATTCAGTTGATCAAAGTATTTGAAAATGTTATTGAGATACCCGGTATGCAAGAGCAAGCATTTCAATTGTGGAGTACCTTTATCTTTCTGCTAAAAAAGGACTCCCTAATGTCACATATCAGCTTAATTGTGAACGGCTTACTGAACGTAGCTTATGTGGCTGATTCATCACTATGTGAACGGATTGCGGACGTACTGAATCGAATTTTGATTGAAGAAGATTTAGACATTGAATGCTATCAACTATTGCCTCAACTTCCCAATATCAAAGAGTTACAAACAATCAAAGAATACGCAGAAGCAAAAAAAAGTGCTCGCATGGATACCAGTAGTGGTAATGATGGTACTCAGCAAGTAGACAACTGCATTACAAAGATCCTTGCCAAATTGGATGAATATGACGATGGACAAGTGCTCTGTGGATTAGATAGATTAAAAAAAATGCTCGATAACTATCAGCCCATAAAGAAGGAGTTTGACAGCCTGTACGCTAAACTATATAATCTTATAAAGAAGTATGCCAGTCATGCTGATATCACCTATCAGGCTGCAATCTGCTTAGGAAAACTAGGCGCTCGAAACCCTGGCGATATAAACATGAAGACTATTGACGACACTGTATTTGTGACGAATGACTTTCTCAATGATCTTGAGACATGGAATTTTATCAGTGACTTAATTCAAAATCATATATATCCAGTCTATCAGGTCGTTACCAAGGAAGATACCACTCCACGACAGCGATTGGAATACACAATCCAAACTCTTTTACAGGGAATAATTGGAGTAAATCCTTCAGCCAGTGCTCGTCAGCAGGAACATGAACGAACAGCTGCATTTCAAAAGTTCCCACCTTTCCTGCAAGAAGTTTTGAGACCGTTCCTCAACTCTTCCTATCAAATTCAGTATACGGCCAAGGAAACTGAAGGCTATCCTATTTTTAAGAAAGCGGATACTTTTCAGCAGTGGATCAAACAATGGTATATTGAAATGGCACATAATGCCACTGGCACTGCAAAAAAGGTGTTTTTTGCATGTATTCCGATTGTAGAGTCGGATTTGACAGATATTACCGCTTATTTGATACCCTACTTGGTTTTGCACACAGTGGTTTCTCATAAAAAAGAATCAGACGAGCAGTCAAAAGTAGTGGAACAACTTGTCAATGAACTTATGGACGTCTTCACCGCTAATAGTGCTCAACAGTTCTCCACGCGACACGAGTTAGAAGAACAGACTCAAATTGCCCCTTTTACAGAACACAATGATACTTATCATCTTTCAGTTCAAGTTGCTGTAGCTGTTATAGAGTATTGTCAAAAATGGATGAACAAAATACGTCGTGAAAGTGCGGGGAAGAATCGTCATGTAGATAAGGTTCGTCAGTTTTTACGTTGTATACCGAGTGACGTGATGGCCATCGCAGCATTCAATACGGGAGCATATTCGCAAGCCTTGATGTATTTTGAAACCTATCTGATTGAGCGTGAAAGGAATCCTTATGACTTTGAGGCACGCCGACACGAGGTGCGGAAAATCTTTGATTATTTGCGGCTTATCTATATACAAACAGAAAACTCTATCGATTTGAACGCCTTGATGGACTCTTATGTAATTGTACTTAATCAACAACATGAAATAACGAGGCTCGAAGACTTGGGGGAATGGGATTATGCAGCAACATTACGAGAAAACGAAGTGCTGAATCATCCCGATGATTTAATACCTCATATAGCCTATATGGAATGTTTACGTAAAGGAAGCAAATATGGTAAGGGTTCAAATGAGTATTATGATAACAAAAGGCAAATAAGAGCAGCGTAGTTAACTATTCTGTCAATTCTTTTCATAAAGATATTCTTTTGACAGTAAGTGATGAAGTTTCTCGCAAAGTACCCAAATGGGTCCCACATATAAACTCCTTCAGAATCGATTCCGCATGGCGAGTTCAAAATTGGAAATTATTGGATGAAGCTGTCAGTCAACCTATGCAGAGGAATTTTCTCTCATTGGTAGGCTGTGCCCTGAATTCTATGCGTAAAGGACAAACTAAGGATGCTCTTAGTATTATCGAAGAAGCAAGACAAAATTTGATCGAGGAATTTAAGCGTGGTGGTGCAGCAAGATCTTACCGAAAATCTTATCCTATTTTGTACAATTTGCAAGTATTGCAAGAATTAGAAAATTCGCAAGTGATATGGGAAAGTACAAATCCTGCTAAGAGGATAGAAAATTATACAGTTGATTGGAAACGAACTCGTAGACAGATTAGTCCAAACGGCGAATATAAAACGCAGTTACTGGAAATCAGAAAGGCCGCTTTATTCGATATAAGGTAAGAATTGCCACAAAGGTTCGATGTAATGGTTTGCTTACCTATCTGTTTCTTATATAGATCAAATGATTTGCCACAAGAACTCTATGAGGATAAAATATTATTGGAATCAAAGGTTTGGTTAGATATGGCTAAAAACTACCGTAAAGCCGGGAATAGCACTGCCGCCCTTACCGCTTTAACTCGAGCAAACACTCTGGCACATATGTTCAATATCGATTACTATGCTGAAAAAGCAAAGTGGTATTGGTGGAATGGATTTATAGAACAAGCTCAACGACTTCTTTTAACGCGAATCGAAGAAGAGTCACCTGGTGTTAACATGGATGCTCTGCTATTAGTTGATTTTTGGAACAAAGACCCTGAAAATTTCCGACACGCTCTTCCGCAAACAGTTATTAATCGTGTATTGAAAGTTTCTACTGAAAAGTAACGTTTAAGTGAAGCATACATTGGCAAAGTCAATTATCAAGACTAACAACTCGCGTATTCGGCAAACTGTAATGCTTGGGTTTATTTTTTGTAGGCTCGAGAAGGCTTATTATGAGCTTATGAGATACCATGCGGTTAGATTTCGTGACCACAAAAGCCCCCAGACACAGTATGGACAACGGCAAAAAATCATATTATTGTATTTTTATGACTTGACTGAACTAATGCCGCCTTCCATAGAGCGAAAATACAAACTTACCTAATATCGACGGCCAGCAAAGCGTTAACGCATGGATCTAAATACTACTATTTTACCATGTCAACATTGATTAATGCTTGGTTTGATATAGCTAAACTTAATCAGGAAGCCACAGGAAAGCCGTAAGCATATTATTTAAGGGGATTTTACATCGGATTAGTCGTCAGGTTTACTTATTTGTTTTACGCCATATAGTAACGACCAGTCTAGATTTATTATGACTCGCTTTAATAAGATCGTTCCAACTCTTGATCGACTTTCTGAACAAGTCCCACTCTTTCATGTAAGTCAACACATTGCTAATGATACAACTCTTGTACCGGGTCATACATTTACATTTTTGCGGACTATTTTTAATATTTATTGCAGTTCATCTTATATTTAACAAGACTAATATCCCGACTGTCGACAGATGACGAACGGATGGCAAACTGGCTTCATAAAATCATTTATGCAGTGTTCGTAAAATACCCTCGTCAAACAATCTGGCATATGGTCGGTTCACTTGATTCACAATCTGGTCTTATCTCACAGCGTATGAAAGATATCTTAACAAAAGCAAAGGTACTTTTGAGTTTTCTATATTTTCTATCCTGAAAGAGACTACTAACCATTGTTAATAAAAAGGGTGCAAATTTAGATACTGATATTCCAAATATCATTCAGGTATAGCAGCCTTCGTTAGACATAGAGATTTGAGTATACTTATGATGTGAAAGCGAACGAAGCTAACCACAGTCTTTGTTATCAAAAATATTTTATAGGAAGCGACAGCTGTGAAGGCCTTCTTGAAAAAGCTATCTCAATATGATGTCGATAAGACAATCTCCTCACTTAATCTCGGCAAAATAGGCTTTAATGGAGCATTAGCAAAGCTTATGAATTTGAATCTTTATCTACCTAAAGAAATTACTATGATACCTCAGTTACCCGAAGTTATCAATAAGAGCAGGCCTGCGACTGTTTTTCCAGAGGATATACCAAAGATTCACAGTAAGTTTTTCGCACCTGCTGGAAACAATTACGTACAGAAGATACCCACAATTGCTTTTTAAAGGCTTTGACCAAAATGTGTTGGTCATGAAGTCGTTACAGAGACCTAAAAGGATAACAATACTAGGAAATGATGGCAAGAAGTATTACTTTTTATTAAAAAAGGAGGATGATTTGAGGAAGGATGCACGTACAATTGAATTCGAGAATATGCTAAATTCTATTTTCAAGAAAAACCCTCATTGCCGTGATAAGGGCCTTTGTAAGTGAAGGTGCCATTTAGAATCAAATTGGGATGAGGAATTTAAACCCTTTTTTTTTTTTTGCTTTAAGATATTCGTACTTTTGCTGTTATTCCGTTAGGACACCAATGGGGCTTATTGGAATGGATTGAGAATTTGGAACCACTGAAAGGCATCGTAAACGGTTATTGGGAAGCTGACAAAAAGCCCTCTGTGCATGTAAGTCACTAAATAACGCATCCGAATCTTTTCGATTGATGGTTATTTCTTATTTTAACTTTGCTTCTCCTTAGTTGATTTCCATGCAGTGGAATAATAGCAAGCTGGAAACACCGAAAGAAAAAACTGAGTTCTTCTTGAAGAGACTCATCCCACAGTAAGTAAATCGAATGAATAGTATTACCAAGGATGCATTAAATGGAATGATTGATCGATACGCCCTGTATATGCTACTTTTATGACAGATGCCAATCGGTATTCTACAGGTGGTTTTTAGATAGGTTTCCTGAACCCAATCAATGGCTTAATAGTCGTACCCGCTACGTCAAAACCTTGGCTGTCATGTCAATTGTTGGGTATATTTTAGGGTAAGGGCACCAATTTTGAAGGAAACTACAGACCATAATGATGCTAACCTGCTATTCCTATTGTTTTCATAATACCTATGATAGCCTAGGAGACAGACATGCAGAAAACATCTTGTTCGATAACACGAATGGTGATTGTGTTCATGTAGATTTGAATATGATATTTGACAGAGGCGCAAAACTCCCTGTTCCAGAAATTGTGCCATTCAGGTTAACACACAATTTGGTCGGGGCCATGGGACCATTGGGTACCAGCGGCCTATTCAGAGATACATGTGAGGCCACGCTTCGCGTTCTAGTCGAGAACAAAGATTCTCTGACGAGTGTTTTTGAAACGTATGTGAACGAGATATCAGCAACAGCCAATGTAAGTCTCAGTTTTCCAACACACAAAAAGAGTATAGATAAAAAATGTATTTTTTTATATTTAAGATTTATAACCATTTTTATTTTACCTTTGTTCAGCCATCATCTTCCTATGCTCTAGTACCTCGACAACCATCATCCTCAGAGATCAAAAAAGTCAGCACCATTGATGATAAATTGAAAATTCGCGATATTGAAGCTACAGTACGAGATCTCATTCAGAAAGCATCGAGTCCTGAGAATTTAGCGCAGATGTTCACTGGTAACATGAAATAACTAAAAATTGCAGGTTGCATTTGATACTTCTTACTCATTACTGCTATACCAATATGAAATAGGCTGGGCTCCATTTGTATAGAGGAGATATATATTTTTAGTATTGCTTCTATGTAGCTTTATTGTCTGTTTTATTTATTTTTTTCTTCTCGACAGAAGACGGTAGCAATAACCATTGATACCATGTATGGAATACTGAATGTGTCCTTATTAACAACAGCTTTTACCTGTATTTTTTTCACTGACATTTAACATTTGGTGATTCTTCTTGTACAACATTGATGGATGTTGCGGCTGTGATAATAATATTGTACTCTTACTTGGTATGATACTACTAGTTCTCTTCCCGATTACCAGTCCATTCACCGTATTATTGTTAGCTGCGATTTTCAGCAGGGAGTTATTATTTGCTAACTCCTTATAAATATATTGTAGCATCGTCTCGAAGGCCAAATGCACATTTGTAGATTCAGAAGCACTTGTTTCGAAGAATAACATATCGTGGCTTTCCGCGTATTCTTTGGCTTCATTGGTATTTGTTGTTCTCTTACAGTCAGTTGATTCCCTAGTTGTACCCTTTGTCTCCGTTATTTTATCATCACTGTTCATTAATGGATGTACTGTTAAATCAAGTTTGTTTCCGATCAAAACAAGTGGAATAGGACTTCCGGTGTCTGTATGCTCACGTAATTCTTGCACCCATTGCTTGATGTTTTCAAATGATGATCTGCGAGTGATATCTGGATGATTATCCAAAAGTTATTAACTATACTTGTAGCCCTTTCAATCATTATCTAGAAATACAATTACCATAAACTACTATTGCACCTACTGCTCCTCTATAAAACGCACTAGTGATGGCTTTATATCTTTCTTGCCCGCTTGTATCCCAAAGTTGAGCTTTTATGAGACAACCATCCTATTAAATAAAAATTTAGTATATTCATAAAAGCACCAAGCATCGAGATACGTGGTTTATGGTAGACAACTTACAATTTCTATTGTTTTTGTAGCAAATTCTACACCTAAGAAATATAGCTATGACCAATCAATAAAGCTTTTACTTGCCTACAATCGAGCAGATATTGTAGGTATATACCTATTGTACTCTTTGAATCTTTATGAAATTCGTTGGACTACTGTAGTTTATTAGTGCTTGTGCTAAATTGATTTTTATCAACAATGTTCAACGCACTGTATATCTTAAAAGCAAATTTGATTTGCCAACGCCAGAATCGCCTATAATTACAATTTTGAAAAGATAATCATATTCCTCTTCTGAGAACATGATGCTTCAAAGTAGATGAAAGAGGAAGAAAAGAACGACAAGTTACAATTGCAACGGAACTGGGAAATAGGGTCAGAACTTTTTGGCTTAGGAAGGTGGTACAAAGCGTAGTGCATGATAAGGCTTTGACTTATTGCAATAATTGTATGCTATGTATCTCACTATTTCATGTGGATAGCGATTTTTTAACTTGATTCGAGAACAATCAATGATATAAGCCGCGCTGCCTTCTTACTCAAACGTGCTTTGGCGCTATAGTGGTCTCTTATAATGCTAACAAAAATTACTATTTTTACAGTTATATATAGCTGTCATATCAGCACGGTTTATTGCTATTGTTAAAGTTGTTATCTACTTGCGCTCGTTTGAGTTCACCTTTCAGCCATAAACATGGCAAATTCCCAATGATAATAATAATAACTACAGCAATCATAGACATGCTCATATTGTGAGGCGGAGAAGCATCACCACCCGCCCTTAAAGCGTCAATAATTATAGAGAAGATAACCATAGTGATTGAAGAAAGTGTCCAAAGAATACAAGAACTAACTGATTCAGACACCGGATACGTAACTATTTAAAAAAGCGAATTCAATGATTAGGCTATGTCAATATTGATAAATTACTTCACCCAAGTCTTACTCTCCGTTGCAAGTTCTAAGTACACCGGGACCATAGAATAAGATAAAAACCCGTTCAAAATACAAGCAACTATTACAATAGAGAAAGCGTCTGACCTAACTGTTAGACAAATTTGATGAGGTTAACTATTGCGCAGATTCAATAAATGTTTTTGTATTTTGGCGCTTTACATAGGAACACGAACGTAGCATATGAAAACACCATGAGAGGACTAAACAGTCTAAGTATTAGAAAATATTGAGCGGTCTTTCCTACTAAATAGCCCGTAAGGGCTTTTTTGACCATAAAATAGTAAACAACGAATCAATATAGGGCGGGCAGCGATTAAGGCTTTTAGATGTGCATAATACTAACTTCCACCAATAGACCCGGAAAACACTATCAATGAAGCGCATATTCCAGCTTGCTGTTCACTGTAGCCGAACGGTGCGATCGCTTCTATGATAAGGACTGATACTGAAAATGCCAAACCCATAGAGATGGATGCAATAAAAGTGACCCACCAAAATTGTATGTTTTTTGAAAGTTGCTTTATGCCTTCTAAAATCGGTGTCCTCTCCACAGTGGCACTTACTGATGGAGGAATCTTCGGCTTATTGGGCATAAAAAAAGCTGGTATAGTGAAGACAGTTGACATACTGGCAATCACGATCAACTACAAATTAATCCCAAATGAAAAGAAAGACTCTGAGTATGCACTTTGCTATTTATTGATTTAAGCGAATGAACCCACCATTCTTGGAACATCGTTTGAAGATGGTGTTAGCATTGGTAAGAGAAGCGGTGCCAAAGCAACTAAAACCTGAATCGCTAATGAAAAATAGTTGTTACTTGTTTCCATCGGATATTACTGAATAGCGGTCAATATAAAAGATGTTATTCTTACATAATAAGGTATTAGCAACTCCACGATCTTTGGGGGCAAACCATATAGCTACGAACTATATAATCAAAGTACATATGAATATTCATGTATTTCCGCCAAATCCCTCTGTAATCGTAATAATATACCTTAGCACCTAGACTGTAAGTTTCAAGTAAGTGGGAAGAATTGCAGCTACAGTTTATGATAATTATGAGTTCCTTACTTATAGATCAGAGGGCCGCCCGTACTGGCGATACAATGGCCAAACATCACTGCCAAGTATCTTCTTTCTGCTGGTAATATGATAGCTATACATCGAACCCAACAGCCTATCGTATTGAGCACAGCACCCAGTAAAATCTGAAAACGGTGATTTTCGAATTTGAAATGCTTGTAAATGAGTATTTTATATGTACTTACTGATATCTTCAGACCCAACCTTTCATACGACCAAGCAGCGAAGAACGAGAAGATTGTATTTATAATAGCCGCAGCATTCGAAAGCCAGTTGATTCGAGTCAAAGAAACATTCATCCAATTAGCTGAAGTAGTCGGCACGCTGGCAAAGGTATTCCACATGAACCCACAACTCGTATTGATGCCAACTATAATAAGAATTTCCACCCACGCAATCATACTTGTTTTTTCTTTTTGAATAGCAACTGCCGACTTAGCATAATGGTCAGTTGAATTTCTATTGTTGATACTGCATCCTTTCGTTGATGGTGCTTGCATTAATGGGGAAATCTTTTCGCTTTCGACTATTGTATTGTCACTGTTGATCACTGCTTCCAGTATCCGGTCTGATGCAGCCTTTCTGATATCAATATCTGCAGTGATGGTGTGGCACCTTTTTTGCTGGTTCATAGTCAGGAGTAAACAAATAGCGCTTCTAAGCAAGGAAAATTGTCAGAGAAAAAACTGAAAAGTATATAGAAAGATTCATTCATTGTAGAGAAAATGCCATTAAATGAAATGGTCAATAATTTCATTGCTTACGACAAATAGCTCACGATTCAACATCCCTTAATCATTTATTAGGAGTCTGGCTCTTTTTCTTTTTGCAGTGAAAAATTGTTAATGCCAGTTAGTAGCCCTAAGTATTAATAATAATTGTTATTTTGTTTACAGCCATACGTTCAAAGGATGCATGTCTTAATAAAGGTATGAGTTGTCTTTTCTTATACATGGGCCGGAAAGCTCCAGCACATTTTTCCGCATTAGATTAAAAATGGTCGATGCATTAAATCCACTTGCAATTTTAATCTAATAGACTGAAGGAACTATAGTACGCTAATGCAGTGAGCTACTGAACCCTTTCATTCAGGAACAATTATTTTCCTTAAAACACTCAAAATTGCGTTACGGAAGTTAGAATTAGCAGACCTCTTACAAAGTTGATCAAAGTAGTTCAATTTACAAGTGGACTCATATAATATATTTAATGGAAAGTTTTTAGCATTGCACTCATTAAATATATCTTTGTAGTTTTCTAACTGTACCTAGAATAATTCTTCACTTCTCCTCTTTGGAAAATATATTGGCAAAAAGTAAGGGCACTCTTTCAAACAAACAAAATTTCATAGCAAACATTTATATCGATATCTTTTTTTTTTCTCATTAAAACTCGTGCCTCGTGTGCTCAGATGGCAAGCAATGGAAGGAGACCAAAATTGGCTCGAAATAACACTACTGCAACAGACCCCAACAGCCCGCGAATGGAAAGCTCATCCGAGGCTTCTACGTTGGTACAATTGCCATATTACGGTAGTAGAGAACCCAAGCAGTCTGCAGCAGAAACAGATCATGTTATTCTGGAAATGATAGATAATATTCAAAAAAGTACAATTATCGTTAGTAAGGATGATGACAGTGATTGGGAACCAAAGTTAATCAATGGATCAACAGAAGCACCGACACCAGCGTTGGTACCTTCCAAACAAAGAAGTATTTGTTGGAGGTTCAAACTTACGTTCTGTTCAGTTGCCATTGTGCTACTTGTTATTGGTAAAAGGAAACCTTTTCAATCATTGTATTGTTGTAACACCATCGCACAATTTTAATAACCTAATTCTTCTTCGGCCCGTTTCGACATATTGAAATAGTTACTGTGGTTATCAGCGAGCTAACAAAATCAATCAACATTGGTGTACACAACTAAATTATTGTCCTGCTCGGTTGAACCATTTTAGATAATTTATTTTGATGAAAACTCCATCATCGAATACTCTTTTATATGAAAACTATTAGTTGTACATAGTTTATTCCAATAAAATAAAGTAAAAAATTAACACAATTAATTAAGTAAAGTTAAAAGGTATATAGAGGTATAAACGCAATGGGCCTTAGAAAGTTCTAGTTCTAGCGAACTGAAATAGCTTGAGTTATTTTAGGAGTAGACTTGATTGTACGATTTAGTGAACCGCGGACATTAGTTAACGACTTTGTTGTTGGGGGCTTGCTTGTTTTGCTATTTGCGTCCGTACTCCTGGCATTTTTAACCGGCTGAAATGACATACTGATACTAGCAGTTGCTGTTTTACGACTAGCATATTGTGGCGCTGTTTGCGTTTTTAAGTGTAATGGTTGATTCTTTGATTTTACTGACGTTGGACTGGTTGTTACGACATTACGATTGCGTTCAATAGCTGTTACTTTGCGAACCACAACTGGAGAATTGGATTGCTTTTCATCCTTCTTCGTCATTGATTTCAGCAAAGTGATTTCATCAAGGGTTTTTTTCAGCTGTTGTCGGATATTCTGCTTCTGTTCTGATTCTCGTTTGACCTGCAATTTCAAATCATCTATTTGTTGAAGCGCTTCTGATAGTTTGCTCTCCAGCTTTGCTTTTGATTCCGAGTTCTCACGTAAAACCGCATTCATAGACTCAATCTGAGACATTAATAGTTCTGTGTTTACCGTAAAGTTTTGCTGCATCTGGTGCATGCGTTCTTCAAGGAAGTGGTTTTGTTGATCTACTTGAGCCGCCATGTCTTCCATAGCATTCTCAAATGCGATACGCATAGCAGTCTCTTCCTGAAGATGCTTCTCAAGTCTATCAATACGTGCGTGCAGCTGGTTTACCTTGCGTTTGTCCATACTGTTGTTGATACGTGCTAGAATTTGTAACACTTGGTTCGATGTGATTCTTTTCTTTCGGCATTGATAACCTCTCCAGAGAGATTGAATCTTGATAGCAGCGGCAGATTCATCATAATTCCTGTTGGCTTGATGTCTTACCACAGTATTCTCAACACAGTCCAGAGCAACGAATGTTGATACTGCTTCTAGAGGTTTGTTGTTATTTTTATCATCATCGTCGTCGTTATTGACATAATAGAGTGACATATTGCGGATGCTGGTTGTCTGGGATTGTGTTTTCCTCTTCTTACTGAATTTTATAAGAACAACTTTGGTATCCTCATCGCTATATTCTTCCCCATCGCTCTCCTCATCTTCTTCTTCACATCGGTAGCTCAAAAGATCGTCTTGAATGTAACCAAGCCTCTCAGGTACGCAATAATAAGGATGAACACTTTGATAACCTGTTATAATGGAAAATAGATTTTAATACTGTATATTCCTACTGATTTGTTTTTGAATGATTACTTACCGTTTAAGTATTCTGAGGCACTAGAAGGACTTATATAGTCAGGAAAGACATAGGATGTCGTATCCCAATGAATCATCTCTTCTTTCTGATCTATAAATTTGAATTGGTATTGCGCATCCCAAGTAGTGTCCAAAAACGAGGAGGGGCATGCATGAAGAGACACCTTTCGATTGATTGTTGACATTGAATCAAAAGACGGAAATTGGCCATTCATCTCAATAGCCCGTGAAGGCAATTGTAATGGAGAAAGCTCTTCGTCGACTGTAAGGAAATGGTCAGCCATCTGTTGAGTTTCATGAATGCTGTCATTGCTTAAGGTTAAAATGTCCAGGTACTGATCAAGCAATTGTTCTGTCTTATCCAAAGGTGACATAGTGTCTCGATAATACTGCTGTTGCTGTTGTGGATGACTTGTTTTATCATGAAAAGTATGAGTAAAAGTTTCTGTTGAGGCTGAGGTCAGTGAATGACCGTCATATGAAAACAATTCATCCTCATCAAGGACAAAATACTGAGAGCTATCTGATTCTGTTGTGTTGAAGGTTATATTATGGGATCTAGGAGGAAATTCATAGTGATATTGAGCAGAGTTTAGCCTCTGGTTTATTTTGAGCGTCCCATCTTGACATAATTGATGTTGTTGTTCCTAATTAAATGATACGTTACAAAGAGAACGTAAGTCTGCTGTCATTTATTTCATTTGATGGCTACGCACGAGCAAACTAGCCCCATTTAAGGTTCAAGTGGTACCAGACACTTTCTTTGACCCAGCCACCACGTTTTTCTCTTTTGTTCGTGTTACCATCATGATACAATTTTATTGCTGTTACCTTTTGACTTTCTATGTTCAACATAGTAGTAGTAGGATTTCGTGCATGGAATAGCATTTAGGCGAAGGTAATTTAAGAATGACAGATTGGTAATAGAGGTTTGGTTTTTGAAATTATTTATAAGGAATGGAATGGATTTAGGCGTTGTATAGGATATTACTGAAATCGTCCAGGACTTCGTTGGGAGTTTTTTTTTTTTTTATTCTTTTTTAAGATTTATATACAGAACAACTTTATATTGAGAGAGTTTTTTCTTTTTTCTAGAATACTTAAGAATGTAAATTTGAATGATTGATGAAGAATAAAGACGAAAAGTCCAACGAAGAAGTGCTCTTTTATAAGTAATCTTAGCAGTTCTGTGCAACAGTCAATTGTTTGATCATTTAAAGTACGTTTTAAGAGAGTTTTATTCCAAATTTGATTTCTAAACCCAGTGGGCACGCCATTGAATTATCAAAATTGCTCGAGAAGTTTTCTATACGTAATAGGGATTAAAGAGCCTTAATGGAAATAAAGGATAAGAAAGAGTATGACAAGAATGCAGACTAAATGCAAATGGCTTTGACGGTGCGCACCGTCAGTCCAGAAGTTGTTGGCTAAGGGTGCTTGGTTACGGTGGTGGTTCTTTTTCATGCTGAGGCTGATCCATTTCGTTGAACAAAAGTTGGAGTACTGACCATCTTATAGTTCATAACCTGTTACAGTGCTGAAGCTTTGACTGTCGAGTTGAAAGAACTGGGAAAAAGATTGGATCAGTAGAAATTGTTGGACGACATAAAAATGCCAGCTTAGCGTTATAAAAGGCTGATCTCAGTTTGTTGAAGTTGTCTTGACGAAATGCTTCAATGGCTTCGTTGATCACTCAATAGTCTATAGGTTGAGGACAGCTATTCTGCATTATATCTGTGAGCGGCGAATGGTATCAAAGTGAGTGCACAAATTGATAAGACGAATAACTTGTACAAAGTAGCTCTGTGAACAGGACCAATATTTAAAGATCCTACCAATATGATTCTCGTAAATGCTTGCAGCAATATGATTATTAAACAGCTAAAGACTTTGCTCACAGATGAGGTTCGTGAGTTGAATGAGAAATGCGCACTTCCATGAAAGACAGTCTCTTACTAAGATCGATTATGTTCACTGAAGTCTGCGGAATCTCTTTCTGATGCTGTATCATGAATATATAAATGAATTGTGAGTGTTTTCATGTAAGAACTTGTTCAGAAAGAGCGCATATTGCAGAAAAGTTGATAAAGTGGTTAAATTGAGTGATAAGAAAACCGAAATGCAGCCTTATATCGAAGATGTTTGACCATTTCGCTGATAAGACAGGCATGAACATAGCGTCTGTATGGGTAGGACTTGATCGATGCAGGTAAATAAGCCTGCGATTAGTAGGAACTACTCATTGAAGAGCAATGATTCTGTTGATGAATGTGTAAGAAGTATGCAATTAATATGGTGTATTTTTTTGATCTCGAAGAGCATCGCCTAAACTCAGATTGAACCATAAAAAATCTGTGGCGCAGACGTTGATTATGGCTAATATATACTTTATATACTCAAAAGAGACAGGTTCGTTCTATGAAAGCAGCCCGAAACGCTTACTAGACATTAGCAAAGAAAGGTACTGATTTTATTAATTGATACGTTAAGCAATACAGCTTCAAAACCTCATTAAAGATATGTCCAGATGGCTATTGCGTAGTTATATTGGAGAAGGCAAATCCATCAGCTCTTTTGTTTGGATAGATGCAATGACCGACCATAAGAAGGAAGGTGTAGCAAATTACATAAAATTCCTTTGTACTAATTGCTATACATTATAAGTGCGCAAAAAGATAATAGTACATGTGTAATTCTGACCGAATATTTGGCAAAGGAACGTTTTACATGTTAAACACCAAAAATAAGGTGGTAGAGGATCTTTCGGAAAAACTCAGGGACCACCAAATCCAATCTCCGGTTACTTCCATATGAATCATCCTGTTACTGCGAGAATTAACGAGCAAAAAAGGTTCGGGTTAAAAGCGACTTCATTTGTATTGCTAAAGCAGAATGGTTAAGGATCCTCAAAACGAAATGACTAATAATATGTGCCTTCGGAAAGTACGTGGTCACCAAGTTGTATTGGGTGTATGAAAAGTACCAGAATGAAGCTTGCTGATACTTGGTTTGACGGGCTAAATTATGTTCTTACGCGATAAAGACATCCAACTATTATTCTATTGTCAAATGGCCCCTTTTAAATTTGTCATCAAATTATGCAACAGCAACCAAATTTTATATGAACTTAAAAGCCGAGTATTTTCTCATATGATTGCTTCCTTGCTTAGTAGCTTATAATTGCCTTTAAGGCTAGAACTTTTCCGTTTTTGAATACAAAGAAACATGGAATTGAGGCTTAGTCAACAAGAACTGTTAGAGTTTCACTGCCATATAGAAAGGTACGCTTGAACTCTCTGATAAATTTTAGTCCAACCCCTTCTCTGTTTGAATCCGTTTGGTATTGCAAGGCAATGGTTTCCTTTTCTTCCCCAGGTATAATTGTTATTGAGCACAAAAGATCTTTTTTCTATTTGAATTGAGCTACTTTTGAGATGCTTCATATTAGCTATTTTGACCAGAGGTCGAAAACCCAATAATAGTCGTCGCTTACGAGCCACAAAGCGCGTGAATTTTGCTTATCAAATCAACATTATCTATACATCATCAAGCTACTGGCGTCTAATAAATCGTTTATGCTTGCCGCTGCTATAGGTATATCAGTAACATTACGCGATTTTGTGGTACATGTTTCAGAAAAGAAAAGGCTTCTACTCTATCTACCCATCTCACTTTCAATTTAGTGAATATCTCTTTTGCTGTTCGTAGTTGCTGCTGAAGGTTGACTCTACATTTAAAGACTTGGTCAAGGACAAAACATATGATCTTTCAGGAATCTAAGATATATCGTGGCTGAAAAGTCTAGGACCTTATTCGTCTTGCTAATGGCTTTATTGTGTGTGTATACTATGCTGTATATTAAAGGTCAGTGACTCAAATAACAAAATTTCTGTTTCTGATGAAGGATTTTCTGAAAATTGTAAAGTTTTGGAATGCGACTGAAAACCAACACTTAATGTATATGCCTCATTTAACACAGAAAATACGTCAGAGTAGCCAAACTAACCTAACGCAAGTATCCAGTTTCAGTGTTTTACCGCAATGTACAATTTCATTGCTTTGCAAACCTTTGCCTTCTTCAGAATAGCTTTTTTGAGACATAAAACTCAGACTTCTTTTGAAATTTATCAGCCGACTTTCCTAAACAATCCCATGCTATTTGTGTAGGTTTAATTTTTTTATATTATGATGTCTCCACGAAAGGAATAATTCATAATCTATCGATAATCATAGAAAGCATGATATCTTAAAATCAGTGATAAAATTCTAAGAAGCATTCAAAAGGTTTGCATATTTTTAATTTGAAACACGATTCCGTCATGAAACAATCAGCTAACTTAACATCCTATACTAAAACACATGGTCTGCATATTATCAGCTTTTTACAGATAGCTGTTGATGTTGTAAAGTGTTGTAAAGGGGTTAACTATATTTACTTTAGATAAAGGTTGAATAAATTCCAACAAAAGGGATATAGGTTTATAATGAAGAATAGGAACATATGAATGATGAAAGGTAGGGGTAGGGTATTGTTAGAAAGAGGGGGATTCTTTACTAGCTTCTTTCAAAAAGTAGTATTGTGTATGTGTGAGAGTTATAAATAAGAGGGGGAAAAAAAAAAAAAAGGAAATTCACAATAAATAGGCTGTATATTGTAGTATATACTCAAGGACTTGATGTTACTGTTGATCTGATCGTGTTGTCATACCGGCCATTAAGCGTTGCTCTGTTGTAATCGGCTCATGCCATTTACCTTCATACCTTAAATGTTTTTGATTAGCCATAAAGCTAGCAACAGCAGCGCGTTCGGCTTCGTACATTTCTAATGTGACACCTTCAAATTGATTATCAAAGGTATGGAAATTGGTGGCATACTCGAAGCGTTCGAGATTTGGAAATAGTCGTAACAAATCATAGAATCCAGGAGTCGATAACGGTGTCGTGATGTATTTTGTAATTCTAAGATGCTTCAGTGAGGAGCCGGGCAGTTCGAGAAATTCAGTGAGAGAGGATGAAGCTGGTTTTGAACGCTGTTTTGTGGTAGTGGATGATGGGAGGGTATCATAGGGTCGTCTAAAGCGCTGCTGTCGGCTCTCTTTCTTTTGTCGCTGTTCTTTTATGCCGTCTCTATAAGAGTTATAAAGCGCTAGATCGCGGTTGGTCACACAAGCAAGATCATGCACGTCCAGTGTATGTAGATGCTTGCATTTCGAGAGCAATTCCCAGAATGCGCGGTTTGAAATGGTGCCTGTAGGGGAAGCGCCACGAAACTCGTGACCATCTTCACTGATTAAGCCAGTGAGTTCTAGCACGTCTTTTGATTTGATAGAGCAAAGGGTGAGAGACTCCAAATGTGGCCAGTGTCTTGCCATTGTCATGATAACTGCATCATTCATACCGGCATGAAGACCGCGAAAATGACGCATTTTAGGGCTTCCTGAAACAACAGCTTGTAATAAACCAGAAGAATGAAGGCCCTTATCGCCATTATTAATATAATGGAAGGTTTCTAAAGACTGACCGCTGCAGGCAATAGCACAGAAGATTTCAGTCATTTCGAAATCAAGGTCGCAGTGCATAATTTTTATAGTGTGCAGTGTCGATTTGCTCATGTCCATAATGTGCCTGAATATATCGGAAAAGTGGTTGTGAAGTTGAAAACCGTGATTGATGTATTCTTGACGACGACGATCATGTCGTAGTGCTCTAATATGGGAAAATAAAAGTGGTCTATTGGGTGGTTGATTGGAAAACTGCACTGGAACAACCGTGTTTTGGATAAAGTCCGAATAACAGCCCTCGATAGTGAGACTTCGGATACGAGGACTGATTTGAACGATACGGTGCATGGCCATCAACAGTTTGTTGAATTCAAGGTTTTTGAATACAATATCTTGATACAGATGAGGGTCCATACAGTTGTAATACCATTTTCGTGACACTCTATAACCAAACGGGTAATAAATTATATTTTTTTTTGTTAAAGAAAACTCTTCTATGAATCTATATGCATAAAGATACACATAGATATATGTATTGTAATAGAGAATAGTTCAATCGGTCTGTACCTTGATGCTCTTAATCTATCAGGCAATGGAAGATAGAAAAATATTTGTTGAAGTATAGGGTTGGGAAACATTGTTGCTTAACAAATAGTTGCTGCTGTGAAGCTTTTGGTTGAAGTTAGAAGCTGGTATGGCTGTGGTTATGTAAGACTGAACAACCAAAGGAAAATGAGGAAAAAAGAGAAAAACGAAAAGCTAACAAAGCTAACAATAAGGCTATATAAAAGGCTTTTTTTGGGAAAAAGAAAGGTGTTTTTTTTTTTCGTCCTGTTTACAATAAGCTAATTTATATACTTTTTTTTTCCTTCTGGGTCGTTCGTGAAGGTGTTTAGCTGCTGTTATGGTTGGTAACCAATGTGAAGATATATTTTTGGTGCATAACCTATCAAATGGCTGTTGTATGTTTCAGGTACAAGCTGCGTATAAAATTTTAGGTCAGCCTTTTTTTCAGGTAAAAAAAAAAAAAAAAAGGTTCGGTTTCGGATCTCCATTTTTTTTTTTGCTTTTTCTGGCTGGTGGTTTACTTGTCCCTTTTCAGCTAGGTTGCTATATTAGCGGAGAGGACATTATAAGAAAATTGTCGTGCGTCTTGTCCCGCATCTTATGCAAGGGTTGAGCTTCCAAATCATGTCTGTTTAACGAATGATGGAAATGGCCTCTCTCTGGTGGCAGCTATGACTCTTCAGCACATAAGTTAGCCTCACGTTAATAATACTTTTTACCATCCTTGAAAAACATTATTCTTAATAGTTTCCACCTTCCACCACAAAGAGATGCCTGATAGACGTACTGACTTATACCCAATCAAAGCAGCTTCCATAGAATTATAAAAGTTCAATGTTCCTTGTGTCTTGATTGCAGCCAAACATATCGATGAGTCGACCCTTCCATCTTCTCTTCAGGCAACAACTGTTACGAGTATACAACTTTTAGCTCTTTTACTGTCGATGTAGCATATTTTAATAGGCCTTTCATTAACGTTAGTGTTATTTCTCGCCGACTTAAATAATTGTTATGTCAGTTTGAGAGCCTGAATTCAGCCCACAGTTAAAGGATGTACATTCGGATTTTACCGTTTCTGTATTTTTGTTTCTTACCGAAAACGGCAACGAATGAAAAGCTGATGAAATAGTCTTTTTCGAGAAAGTTTTATGCTAAAGGAGGTATCTTTTTTTCCATCCATTAGATCATCGCTGTTTCAGTTGAGCTTCTATGACATAAGTTGTAAGGGGAGCTCCTCAGTTCGATGCACATCTTTTTGGTATCGCATATATACTGTTTTCAGACAAAAATCAGGGCATCGCTGAGATTTGTACCTGATTCAACTATAAAACAAGAGCGAATGAATGCTAACGCCAAGCATCTTCTTTTCGTAACACTTCTCAACGCACTTGCCTTACTCAACGCGTTAAAATCGTTCTACACTGTGAATCCAAGAAATGGGGGGGGAGGTCGTCTTAGAATGCTTGAAGCACTGCAGAAAGGATTAATGGTTTAACTAGCTGAAACATTCTATTAAATCAGATCGCTGAAGATCAAATCTGATTTCCCAATAAAGTCCCCTTTTTTTTTTGAGTTCAAGGCTTACAAAGTCGAACTGACCAATCCACGCAAAGCAATTACATCTTCCCCGGAAAATAGATTGCACAAATTTCACAAATTGATTCTTTCCATTTCAATTAAGCCTGTAATCCAAGGTAAATAGCAGCAGAACCAGTTCGATCCATTCTCATGGTTAGAGTTTGCTTTTTCAGATTAATTGCTGGTTGAGGTTTGATATCCTCAATATGCTGGCGAAACATAAGCAGCTGCAATTACCTTCTAAGTTCTACTACTTTCCGATCTGGATCTTATGTATATGTAAGCGTACTGTTTATTACATGTTGGTCTCCTTCAAAACTGCGAGTGGCAGTTTTTTTATGTCCACAGTATTGTAGAGAAACTCAAAATAATGTCCACTAATAATTTTGCAAATTCTACGCCTGTAATCTAACTTCTCCTCCTAAGCTTCTCTCAACTTGATGTTCTGAAAAAGAGAAAACGCTTATATAAGCTCGACAACAATAGATTTGGTTCTATTACAGATAGTGTGGCTCAAATTGTATAGAAAGTCGGGTCCAACAGTGAATGTATGTCGCTTAGAAAGGCATCATAGAGTAATTGGTCCAACTGTATTGCTGGTTAAATGGCCCTGAGCCTTCTCAATCTATGATTTGATTGGTGATGAAGCACAGTTTCTGGTCTGGTGATGAATTCACTACACTTCAAAGCCCATGGAAGTGCCCTGAAACTTCTATTTGCTTCACGTACATCGACTGTGTGAGATCGTAACATAACATTTATGTTTTATGCTTTTGCTTGATGGATCTGTTGCTCAAACAGCTTCCATTGTAGCCTATTCTGTTGATCTCTTCTTTTGAGACGTTATCGATTGGCTATGTTGAAAGGAATTCAGAACTTGATTTGATCTACGATAAATGTTCGTGTATGTATCCATGGTTAATACTTCCTGTATATCCCTATATCACTCCGAATCGTCGTGCATGCTAAAACCTTTGATGCTGAAGATGGTAAATGACAGCCCACGAAACAAAAAACAAATGGGTAACAACCACTGAACGAAGCACTTTTACGTAAGAAGGAATAGGATTTATTCTACATCTGTAGGCAAGAAAAGCACGTCGATATCATATGTGATTGGCTTTCAAATGTAACTTCAACAGGCGGTTGTATGACATTGGCTTTTGATCTGGTAGGACAGTGCGCCTACACCAACATTAGATCAAATTTGAAGAGCAACCTTGGAACAAGCAGTTGTTTCATCTGTGGCCAAACTATAAAATTCAAACGGTGTCAGATGTTGATGAAGGAGACCTCGACCATAGGAATCCCCCCCCCAAGATTGTAACAGAATATCTTTGTGCAAACCTGACAGGATTCTACTGTTGTTCAATTTCTGAAATACAGATTCATTCCATTTGAGAAAACGACTTTCGAAACCATAAAGTAATACACAAGAAATCGAACCCCTCCAAACAAACAAACCAACACACATACATAGTCTTTGCCTAATGATCGAGCAAAATGAGTACAGTGATTTAAGTTATAGCACTTTATCCAAATGTTTCATATCGAGCTATTTTTCTCTGGATAAAAGGAAACCATTTTGTTGTCTTTTAAAGGCTCGGGATTTGTTTATTTACTAGATTTCAATGCAAGTCTAGCGAGTTAACAAATGTTGAGCGACGTACGTCTTCCTTTTTAATGAATTGACTGCGTAAGTATGTTCAAAGGATACAATAACAAATGTTGGAAAATCATATACTGAAGCTATTGTACCACACAACACCAATTCCATGAAAAGCTATCAAATTGGAACTAAACATATCAATTGCGGTTACCTCATGTTTTCATGCACGCTGTTCGTTTGCTATAACCTTCTGGAAAAGGTTCATGATATTCCCACTTTTTCTAACCAATCATGTGAATTGCTTTTTCCGTCACTAGCTTTCTCAAAAGAACAAAAGAACAGATATTAGGTAACAAGAAATGGCCAAAGTTATGAACTTGTCTAGCCAAAAAAATGAGTGTCCAACTAAAGGAAAATATCAAAACTCATGAAGTATCATATATAATCTACCAGGAACAGGTATGATTTTACTCTAGATACACCCGCTGAAGAAGAACACCCCTTCGCATTGTTACAGAATGAAACTAGATCAAGATAGCAATCAAAATAAGCAAAATATGACTTATACTTTTTGTGCAATAACAATCTACAGCAAGCAAGCACTAATGTCACTGTACTGCTTCACTAGATTTTTATGATTTAGGAAACTATAATCTTTGATGATGTGGAAATTGATAGCAAGCCTCACCAACATATTCTCCTTTTGCTGGAGACTGATATTAGGCAAAGAGCGTGTATATTGTGCTGGGTTTTGCAAAATTGAATCATGATTTCCATTTTAAAATTCTAAAGTTCTTTGCAAAACAACTATATCTCGATAAGAGCCCCGATCTAAGACATGCTAATATAAAGTGAACAATACCGCTCAAAACAATAACTGTGCTACAGCAAATAAAACAGTCAAATAACAGTTCATACTCTTTCTGGCCATTCCAAGTAAAATATAAAAGGAGCAGTTTGCATTGATCACTTCAAATTTACCAACTTTTCCTTTCTGTTGCAATGACTGTGTCAATAGCATAAACAGCATAAAATCTAGGGCAAAATGCTTCAACTTGATACAAGAGGGCAAAAATAAATCAGACTTTTCCTCTAATCAAAGAGCCATGCATACCCAAATATTTACTCTCATTTGAACTATTGCTGTCCCCATCGCGTTTATTGCTCTTCTATCAAATAAGTGTTGGTCATAATGAGAGCAGTTTATTGATAATTTCCAAAAAGAAGTATTCTCTACATTTTTGGCATACAGTAATTTAACCCACAGTCATCAATGATGCAGAATATTAATGCGTTGTGAATTGATGCGAGAGACTGACTTAAGGACCAGCAGTGGGAGCAGGGTTCATTCTACGCTTACCACCAACTTGGGTAGTGACGTTGACGAAACGACGGCTATACAATAGATGAATGTCAATGGCAAACATTTTGTTAGTAAAGGTGCCATCCATGTCCAAAGCATTCCGACACTTGTATCTCTCCTCAGCAAAACATCCACATTGCTCCATCTGTTATTTTCTTTTAACTACTATACGTACTTGTAAACTTGTCTCTTCTTAGCACGACCAGTCTTGGCCTTCTTCTTTTCTTGCTTAGCGACCTTAGGTGTTTGAGACTTGACCTTACCAGCACGAGCAAGGGAACCGTGAACTTTACCCTACATTGACATCGATCATGCAAGGAAGAAAAAAAAAAGTTAGCAATGTCAATGAGATGCCGTTTTTTTCAATACTATCGTCTTGGATGCAAATTTTCGACGTTCATCCCTTCATGAGTGAATGGATGATGGATGGATAGATGATTTGGTATGTTGCATTTACCATTTTTTATGTTAGAGTGCAAAGAGAGGGAGTATAATGCGCTGTACGCAGGCTATTTTGTGGTAATCCAATGGATTTCCACCTAGAGTGTAGTAATGGTTTCTCCCTGGGCCGCTCCATCTCTTTTTCCGGCCCCACTTCCCCCGCCCACTTCTTGATTGCACCCTCCAAGCGGGAATCAAAAATAAAAGGAAGCCTTTTCACAAGCACTGCATATCATACATCTACATTTCTATGTACCCTTAGTTGACCCTATCTTTTGAATGAATCGGATATTGTTAACAGCAACGCATTCTCTGTAAAAAACTTGCAGGGGTTGCTGTAAATGAACCGACGGAAGGAAGAATGCTCCATCTGCCCGGGGGTAGAAAAGCTTTTTCCGGCCCTTGTTTAAATTAAAAACCTTCACAAGAGCATTTCATACGTTTGGATATATTTGTTCCCATTCATGTATGACTTTCAAATTCGTTGCGTATGCTGCATTGTATGTTTGAATGTGAAGTTCGGTAGCACGCGTGCAAGAATGATATATTCGTCTGAAGCAGGATGAGTAGAGGAGGAAAAGTTCACTTCCTACTCCAGTAGGGCCCGTAACAAGTCAAATTTAGGAGCCACGCGAAGAGCCCTTGATTTTGGAACGATCGAAAATTCTGCCAATATGGCTATGAAATGTTTTCAGGTCAACTGAAGTGAAATAGCACAGTTGACAGCATATTCATTGAACATTCGTAGCAGCAGATAAACATCAACGTAGCAGAACGGCCTCATCCTCAGAAATGAACCAGCAGCGACCCAGGACAGCAATGGATACACATTGTGTGATGATTGAGGGTAAAGTATTATCCATCATTCTGTTCAACAGTGTGCTTAAAAAAATAATTGATACTCCAAATTCGCTCTGCAGCTTTACCGTCCTTTTGAGAATTTGCTTACATTATCTTATACTTAGAATGTGATCTAACAATGCTTGTTGGTTAACTGTGAATGTATATGCTTTTGCAATATTACCTCATCATCACGTAAATTCCGCGGCGCGTACTTTTTTTTTTTTTTTTTTTTTTGTTGGGTTCAAGTCAAAAAATAAAGATGAACACAAAGGACAAAGGAAAGGAGCACATTGATATATGATACAGATATTATTAGACCTTATAGAGAACTATGATCTATCATGAATTTTTAAAGGTGGGTGAACTATGTATAGTAATGTGAGCATATAATATACAGAAATGTATAAGTATGTATACAACATATAGTGATGGAAGAGAATATGTTCTTGATACTTCGCGTAGAGCGTGAAGGTTGAGTTTGAGAGTTAAATGCTCCATGTGAGTGTGATAATTAGTATGCGTAATGGTACAAAGAATATATGCAATACATTTGTGAAAGAAATAAAAAAATAAAAAGAAAATATAGGGCTGTCACTCGTTCTAAGCACCCATCATGATCTTGAACTCATCAAAACTGATTAACCCATCGCCATTGATGTCTGCTTCTTTAATCATAGCGTCCAACTCTTCCTCAGACAAAGACTCGTTTAAAGATGCCATCACTTTACGAAGCTCTTCTCTATCAATCAAACCGTTGCCATCCACGTCAAAAACTCTGGTAAAAAGAAAATAGCATGAGTCGGAAGGGGTCGGGTGTCGGTTATTGTCAAACATACAACTTACTTGAATGCTTCTTTGAGATCGTCACCTTCGCTGCCATTCTTCATATTCTTAACAAGGCCCAAGAATTCATTGAAATCGATTGTACCGTTGCCGTCAGCATCGACGTCGTTCACCTTTTTCCGTTTATATAGTATAACTTTTAATAACTCATTGGCTCGTCTAGTCCAGTTTTTCTATATAAAAGAGACCCCTTACCATATCTTGTAATTCTGCATCACTAGGGTTCATACCAAACTTACGGAGGACTGTGCCCAGCTCTAATGCACTAATGCTGCCATCGCCGTCAGTATCAAATAACTGAAAAGCTTCTTTATATTCAGCAATTTCTTCTGCTGTAAGTTGGTCAGCCTTTTTGTCAAAGTCATATAATCAAATGTGTCAGTAAGCTTCTAGAGTAATTCGTCCCTTTTCAATTTGAACAAATTTACCATTTTTTAGTCTGAAAGAGGGATTGAAAAAAGAAAAAGCGTGATTTATTTTTAAGAAGCAGATTAACTTATTTTTTTTTTTCCCCCTAACAAAAAAAGAAACTGGGATTGGAAGTCGAACGATTTTTGAGTTATTACCTTTTTTAGCTATCTTCATCGCATGGATCAACTTTTTGATAATTCAATACGGTTGAGAATCATCTCTGGAGCATAGGCCACCAAGTTTTTTGATCAAGTAGATGGTACAAAAGCACACATCACCGGTAACAGTCAAACAATTTCTCTATAATGCAGACAATCATTACAGTTGAGCTCGGTTTGTGATTGGGCCAATCATGACTGGCTGGAAGAAGAGACTCTGCTGTATGTTAGGTAAAAAGGAACATGGAGAGTACTTGTAACCAATAAAGTTAAAGTTGGCTAGTGAAGGGCTACAAGAAGGCAAAGACAACAGTTTGCTCAAAAATGGTAGGCTGGTGACTATCTTTCGTGGGAAACATGGCATTGTTGGGATCAGGGTAACATAAACGTATGACGTTACAAAGAAAAAGTGCAGAAAGACATTCAATAAGAATTAGGAGTAAGAAAGACTGCTTTAAAAAGAGAAAAGTATAAAGAAACTGTAAATTCTAACTTATCCTTTTCCTTTTGTTTCTCTTTTATCACGGCTAAATTTCCTAAAGTCATTATTATTGGTATAAAAAGATGTCTCTTTCCAGCAAAGAAGTTGTTCAGTTAGAGGACACTTATGGTGCTCACAAGTAAATGAATAGAGAAGCAAATAGGCAATTTATTGAAAGTTAGACAACTGACGATGAAAATCTTTACTAGCTATCATCCTCTTCCAGTCGTTTTTTCAGAGGCCCATGGTATCTGGGTAAAGGACCCTGAAGGTCGCAAATACATGGACTTTTTATCAGCTTACTCTGCTGTGAATCAAGGCCACTGTCACCCCAAAATTGTCAAAGCTCTTTGCGATCAAGCATCCAAACTCACCTTATCCTCACGCGCCTTTTACAACGATGTCTATGGTACCTACACCAAATACATGCATGAGTACTTTGGTTACGACATGGTGCTTCCTATGAACACGGGCGCTGAAGCAGTTGAGACAGCTATCAAATTGGCGCGTAAATGGGGTTATGAGAAAAAGCGAATCCCAGCAAATCAAGCCATTGTTTTGAGCTGTGAGAACAATTTCCACGGTCGTACAACAGGTGTCATTTCAATGAGCACTGACCCTGAATCTTACGGTGGATTTGGTCCGTATTTACCCTTGGTGGGTCCTCAGATTCCTGAAACAAACACATTGATTCGCTACAATAACCTTGAGGATTTGGAAAAAGTCTTGAACCAAGTGGGCGATCGTGTCGCTGGTTTTTTGGTTGAGCCTATTCAAGGTGAAGCTGGGTAAGTGGATTCACATTCAAACACACACACACATACACACAGAACGAAAGTGTGGATAAGGATTCATCTCATTGAAAGCGCTATGTTTCTCATATCCTTTTTTCTTTCGTGTTGGGTAGTATTATGGTGCCGGATAAGGGTTATTTAAAAAAGGCTTATGAGTTGTGTAAGAAACACAATGTCATTTTCATCGCTGATGAAATTCAAACGGGCCTTGGCCGTACCGGTAGAATGCTTTGTTCTGACCATGATGGTGTTCGTCCTGATGTTGTTCTTCTGGGTAAAGCGCTTTCAGGCGGTGTCTATCCAGTATCCGCAGTATTAGCCGATCGTGATATCATGTTATGCATCAAGCCAGGAGAACATGGCTCTACTTATGGCGGAAATCCCTTAGCTTGTGCCGTAGCCATGACCGCTTTAGATGTCATTAGAGAAGAGAATCTGGTTGAAAATGCAGAGAGATTGGGTCACATATTCAGAAAAGAACTGGAAGCCTTGAATTCGCCCATCATCCAAACTGGTAAGCGGGCATTTTTGCATAGTGTAGTCTCGTTCTATTGGTAATACTCACTGGTATCTCAACCTCCTTTTTTTTTAAAAAAAATAATAATAACGTTTTACGATATAAAAGTACGTGGAAGAGGCTTACTGAATGCCATTGTCATTGATAAATCGAAATCAGATAAATCCGCTTGGGATCTTTGCTTACTGTTGAAGGCTCGTGGTTTGTTGGCCAAACCTACTCATGAAAATATCATCCGTTTAGCTCCACCACTTTGTATAACATTGGAAGAATTGATGAAAGGCGTTCAAATCATTAAGGATGCCATTCAGGAGTTTATGACCATGAGGAAGGAAGATATTCCTAACGAACTTGGTGTTTAAAATAAAAAAGAAAAGAAAAAAAATATACCTAACGGAACCAAACCAAATGCACGCACACACTATGTAGACTCATACTACCTCTATAACAAGAATGATCTCAAACGTATTCTATTATATACAAGTCTTTACCATCTATTTGCATAAACAATAACTATTTGCTTCTTTTGTATCTTCCGGCCCCCTTTCTTTTTTTTTTTTTTTTTCAGCATCGTTCAAAGATCTTGTACAAATCAGCCAGATTAGCCAATGGTGTAACAAATTCTTTCAAAGAAGAGGGTGCTACGAAATGCGTCTTGAAGCAAGGAAAGATCAAGTGCTGCACTTTCCACAGGTAATCCTCTCTCTCTTCGGATCGAAGTGGAGGTTCAGCACTGTAAAATAAAGCTAGCTCTTTTGATAATGTGTAGAAGCATTGCTTTTCTGATTCCCAGTCTACTTCAGTACCCAACCTGAGCAAGAAGACGGGTAATTTATCCATAGAAGGAATATAATCACGAATGATCATCGGTAGCGCAAGCAAGTCTCCTTCTGCTGAAATCTCAAAAGAAAAGTATTCATGCAGCATCTCTGCACGTGCTATCAATGTAGTTGTGATGGACTGTTGCGCCCCGTAGATGAATATTGCGTATGGCAATACACACATTGAAAAGAAAAGAAAAGAAAAAGTTATTATTGTGGGGGCTGCCATGATCTGTCATTTTTGTTTGTACCTCTATTATCTCTTCGTTGCTGACCAGATTATCGGGTAAAGTGCCATTGTGCCGTTCAATGTCGAGCGCTACAGCGAGGTATTCGCGTATGGATACTGGCGTTGATAGTTTTAGTTGGCCCATATTGCAAAATTCATGTAATACTATCTGATATATCAACTCCTCACTGGCCACAGTGTAGTTGACAAGATATATACTTTGTTCATGTTGTATGAGTGCCAGCACATCGTCGACACAGCCTATAAATGTATGATTTGACAATATAGCAGTCAATTCTATAGGAAGAGGGGAAGCCGAAGTGGAGGCGGGACGAGAAGGTAAAGGAAAACGTCAGTTTTTTTTTGGTTTTTTTTTTTTTTAAATCCTTTCGTATAGGAACAGTCCATTAGCTGGCCAGCTGACAACTTACTTGCGTTTTCTTGCTTCTTTATCTCTTTCCGAAGATTTAAAACGCTAGTCAGTCGAACCTCGACACGTGTCTTTTTGATCACTTCGACTGAACAAGTGGTTGTCACAGATGCAACAGGAGGCTGTGAAGAATCCGTACTACTACTTTCAGCGTTTAAAGTCTCTGCAGCTCTAGCTGCATTTTCAGGATTATAAAGGAATGTATCAAGCGTTGTTACTCTACTATCTGTTCTAACATATTTGTATTCTGGAACGTTACTGGACCGTGTGGAAGAAGAACTTGGCTCTAAAACGTAGAGAAGCCGAGGTTTTTTTTTTTTTTTTAAGTTTTGCATTCATAGTGGAGTGTTGAAACCATGTTTGTTGTATACCTTCATCGTCAGCATCCGATGTTGGGTTGGATGCACCTGGCAACAGGGCTTGTGTATAAAAAGTCCTAGAACTATTTGCGCTTTCTAATGCTTGCTGAAATGTGTCACTTATGGCTTCTATGATTTTATCCTCGTACAAAAAGTGAACCTCCTTTTTAGTTGGATGGACGTTCACGTCTACATTCTTTGGATCGAGTTCCAAGCTTAGATAAATGAAGGGGTGCCCGCCCTTCGGTAGCAACGTTGAATAGATATTTTCAATGGCCCTTTTTATCGAAGAGCTTTCCACTGCACGATCTATGGGTGTCAATAGCGGATGTGTTAAGTCAGAACGAACTTTCTAACGCACACACTTGCTCACTTTTTCAATTTTTTTACGGTTAATGAATAGCAAAAATGTCATCTTCTTCACACTATAATTCGCATTCGAGACGTATCCATCGAGAGTGAAACCTAACTGATCAAACGTATTTTTCACAGGCAGCAATTCTGACGCTACAGAGCCATGCAGCAGACGAATGTTGTCCAAAATGCTTGCTCCATTCTTGGTCTGTATATCCGCCATGGTCGTTCCTTGTTTTCGGCAGGCAAAGCTGACACCTGCATTATGAATCGCGTACCGGCTTACAATATCCAAGATTCGATTATACTCATCACTGGGCGATTTCAGCGCTTTTCTTCTCGTAGGCACATTGAAAAATAAATCTTCTGCTGTTATTTGTGTACCGTTATTGCCTGCGCATGGTTTTGGGTCAGCACTCTGGCCCGGTTGTGCTGGGATGAGCTTCCCATCAGCATAAAGCGCGCGATAGGCACAGGGCGAATCCGCAGTTTTCGTAGTGATACTAATGTGGGCTACGTGCGATATACTTGCAAGCGCCTCTCCTCTAAATCCATGCGTCGCGATAGAGGAAAGGTCCTCGAATTTGCTTAATTTACTTGTAGTAAATCGTTCGCATACGATAGCCATATCCTCTTTCTGAAAGCGTAACGGAAATAAATGTCAATGTTTATGTAATGAGCTATTGGTGTATATGATTTGACTACATAACGGTATCTGTTTGTGTGTTGTGTGTGTGTGTGTCTGATACCGATATGCAAATTTGGATAGCTTACTCTTATACCGTGTCCATTATCTTGAATTTGTAATAATTTCAGTCCTCCATCTTTAATGAGGATCTGGATCTGAGTAGAACCTGCGTCTAAGGAATTCTCAATCAACTCTTTTAAAGCATTGGCGGGTCGTTGAATCACCTATCAAAGCAGATCGATCGTCTTGTGTCAAAATTCAAACGTACTAACACAAAGGCAATATTAGGCTCGATTCGTTACTTCGCCTGCAGCAATTCTGTTCACAACTGCCTGATCTAACTTTTTGATACTGGGTATAGTTGACATTGGAGCTCTCAAATGAATGGAACAAATCAAATTATGAAAAACGAATAAAAACAATGCATAACTACTACCATTGCTACTATTTTTGTCCGAAAGTTAATTATCCGCGCCTCTACAATTGATCAAATATTCTATTTTCTATACTCTATCAGCATTTCTATTGAAACGAACAAAAGCCCTAAGCAAATCTCATTCATCTATTAAGCAATGAATACAAACTCCATATCTCATTTATTCAAATACCCTTAAAAAAAAAAAAAGGAAGGGATCGATTTTCTGATAGAGATGCTATTTGACATTGTTAGGTGGGATGGAAAAGATATCATATATTTGCTTTAAAATAAAGCAAAAGGAGAAGAAAAAAAAAAAAAAAGAAAGAAGAGAGGGAGAGAACATTTCTAAGCTTGGACAATATTACCAGGTGCCTTAGTATCTCTTTTGAGTTCCATCATTAATTCCTTCATTCTACCAACATCATGAGTATGATAACCCGTCTTTGCATTTGTCAAATCGACTTCACGAGCAACACGTTCCCAAACATTAGCGGATGAAGAAACTTCATCACGCTTCTTATCGTTGGTATCCTCACGTTCTCTACGAGCAACATACATAAGAACCAAATATATCGTCCTACCCTGTAAGAAATCAAATTGACATTTACCTGTTCTCTTCGATTGCTTTTTGCTTCTTGTCGTTGTATTCTTCATAAAACTTATCAATGTCTTCGCGAGCTTGTTTGATGGTTTCTTCTCTCTTCTTTTCAGCTTCAGCATCGCGTTCAGCAATAAGCTCCTTTTGCTTTTCACGCCATTGACTGCAATAATAAAGCCAATCCTATTTTAGTTGTTTGGGGCCTATGGGTTTTGGGAAAATATTGTACTTTTATCTTACCGAACAACTTCAGGTTCTTCCTCTGGTAATAAAGCCTTTTGGAAAGCCTAACACACAATAAATGTTAGCAACAGATGTTATACGCCTTTTTTTTTTTTTTTTTGTTCTTTCTCTTTTTCAGTACTTGTGAGGTTTCCAGGTTCTCGGCTTCAGGGAATTGGCTGTCAAAAGAATTGTTGCCCACCAAGTTGGACTCCACTTGTTGAGGGACACTGCTGCTTGTTTGAGGAGAAGAAGTGGCATTATTGTCTAAAAGAGCAGGTGTATCGTTGAAGCTGCTGGGCGTCATGGGTTGAGCAGCTTCCATTGCAGGGACGGGTGATGTCACACTTAGAGATGGTGACAAGACGTTGTTGTTATTGTAGTTGGTAGTGTCATAGTTGCTACTGAAAAGGTCAGCATCTTCTCCTAAAGCAGCTCTTTCACGAGCAAGAAAATCGGCTGTAGGGTCTTCGGAAGGTGCGTTAAAGTCTCCAAAATCTGACATGAGGTTTTTTGTTGTGAATTAGTAGAATTAGGAAGGAGGATGAAAAGGTGAAATTGATAAAAACACGGCCACTCTGCGTTCAATCGATGGGAAAGAGTTGTAGGTGACGTTATTGGCTCATTTTTTGATACAGCGACAAAACACGCTTCTATGCAAAATTGGGTTTGTCGAACCCAGTTCGGATTTTTTTTTTTTATGAATGCATGCGAGTTTCCCAACTCGACACGTATAATGAGTTTCAGTAGCAGTGTCGAGTCGTTATTGTCTCTCTGTTTGTCATATTCAATTTTCAAGCAATTAGTCATTCTATTGAGTTCTTTTTCATCTTGATTATTTTTTCTAGAAAAGGAAAGATGATAAGCATGGAAACTAATGTCAACAACGTTTTTCTGTTGAATAAACAAGAAGGTTTATAAAAATAAACAAAGCGGGACGTTAAAATAGAAAAAAACCTTAGAAAATGCACAAGTATAAATGTGTGGGCATTGATCAAAGCTTCATTATAGATTCGACACAATAATACGCTTTCTCTTTATTTTAAATATATACCGTTCACCATGATGAAATCCTACACTGTCTTTTGTCTCACTGCCGTTTTGGTCATGGCTCAAGTATCGATGGCTGCTGTTTTCTCTCAGCTACAATTTATCAAAATCAAGACTCCTCAGGAAGGTCAAACCGTAAGGCCTGGTGAAACTCTCAATATCGAATATGAAGTTCAGCCTATTATTTTCAGTACGTATTTTATACCATAAGCGCATCTTATCATTCAGTGAACTGTACTTACATGTACATTTTGAAATAGAACAAGTCTCCAAAGGCTATACAAAGTCTTTAGATATCACTTTCCATAGACATGTAAACAGCACTACGGGTGGCCCACAAATGTTGGAAGTACAACCTATTTGTTCTAGATGGTAAGATAGAAACCCTTCTGCCTCTCATAATGGCACATGTGCATCCAGTAAACCAACTCACTTTCTTATGTTGCTAATAACAGTAAGATTAGTATCGAAGGTGTACAAGTGCCTGAAACCCATTTCGCTACCTATACTGAAAGTTGGACTGTTCCCGAAAATCTTCCTACTGGTCCTTATGCCTTTGACTTCTCTGAACTTGTCCAACTTCGTCGTGGTGAAATGTCTGCCTCTCAGACCGTTGTGGTGAATGTTGCTGGCAAAGATGATAAAGATGATGAAAATGATGACGATGACGAGTAAATACTAGACTTTTTCTTCGTTATTATTATTATTATTATATCTTTTTCTACGTTCATGAAGCGTTGAGAATCTCTTAGTTGCCCGCCAGCAAGACTATATTCGATCACCCTTACTCTTCTACTATTTTTGTCTTGAATGGTTTGTCTTTCTTCACCCACAGCACTCGCTTATATGATGTACTTATCAAAAGACTACACTTAATACTCTTTCCTTACTTTTCGGCCCATTATCTATTTTGTACAGCGTAATTTTTTATCTATCACCTTGTAAAGAAGGTATCACATCCATTATCGGTTAATAAACTGTAACATAAAATATCGATCTCATTACAATGATAACGGTTTGGGAAAGGGAGACATATATACTCAATTTTTGATCACTTTTTGAGGCATTGAAGATAGGAAGCTTACTGTCCCTCTCGCTTGAATTAGTTAATGACCCATCAAAGAATCAAATACGCAAAATGACTGCAACATACTTCATTGCATGCCTCAACGAGAGTCATCAGTATTTTTTTCTTTTTTCATCTTTCCTTTCTTCTTTTTTTAAACCATTCTGCTCAACCCAAACCATTGCGAATGCATCCTGAACAATACTGGGGCAAAACTTTGTGTATTTCCGTTGTCTTTACATGTCTGTTACAGGTTGATAGGTACCTTGAAATTAGAATAAGAAGTTTATTGGTAGAGTCCAAGATTCTCTAAATTGAAACTATAAAATCTTTTTCTCTGGCAACGTTGTGAATAAAAAAAAAGAACGAAAAAGTTTTCGAATATCGAATTTGAACAAGATGATACGAGTTGTGTGCAAGACTATAATTTTTTTTCAATCGATTTTGTCCATCTAATTTGAGCTGACGCTTTTTTTTTTTTTTTTGATGTATAGATTATGTGAGGCGGTTTTTAACAATTTTTGCTGTAGCGGTTGTATAGATCCATGTGATAAAAATCTTATTGCTTGCTGGCTTCGAGTTTGGCGTAATAAGCATCGCGACGTTGGGCTTGAGGGATGTGATAAAGGTTCCACCAAGCAGCACCACCAGCGCCACCAAGGGCAAGAGCGATAGAGATGTCTTTGATAATTTGTTTACGGAATTTACCAGCGATAGGAGCAATCATGTTATTGTTATGTATGATAGTCAAGAAAAAAGAGAAGGGAGAAAGGTAGTGGTTGAGGTAATGAATAACTGAGAACAAAGAGAAAAAAAAAAAGACAAAAAAATAGTCGAGTGTGGAGAAACAAATAACAGCTCATCCACAGTCCAGGGCAGCACAAAAATACCGGTTTGGGCTTACGTCATTCAGTTTTCAGAATATGGGGGATTGGCCCATTCGACATTTTCACGGCTGCTTTATTCTGAAGACACTATTTAAAATACCAAACAACTACTCTTTGAAACTGAGGCCTTCAATTGAAAGGAATTAGGGCAATGATGAAGAAGAAACAAGCACGTAGCATTCTTCGTAAAATCATCATACATTCACTCTAATTTTAACATTGTTACCAATAATCTAATTGCTTGAAGCAAATGACACTAGCCTAATGTTGCAGCGCTCAATAGATATTAGGGTGATCACTTGCCACCTCGAAATGGACGATTGTAACTCTAAGCAGTTCAAAAGATTGCGTTGCAAAATGTCTAATACAAATACTTTTAGAGAGTTCCACTGCTTTCGTATCTATCAGTAGTCTAGCCTATGTAATTGCTACTGCAGGCATAGATTTAAAAGAGAAGTCCTTTTTTATCAACGCATTGAAATTATGCATGCTGCTTTTGAGCGCTTTTTCAGGCATGGGAAACATAAGATATATTGGCAGCGACAGCTTATTCATTCAATGTGTTCATCAAGAACTGTATCCAAATTTTCCGGTTCATTAATTTTTATGGTTCAATTTTGATATTTCCTGCATTTTTTTTTTTTTTTCTTGCTTTTCTCTTTCACTTCTTTCCTGAACAAACGCAAAAAAAAAAGTTGCTGGAAATGAATGACCTTTTAAGTGAACCAAGCGAAGGAGCAACTTCTAGTTTATTAGCACAAAAGTCAAACCTAGAAAGAGTAAAGTATCCAATTCTCGAAGCAAAGAAAAGCAAGGAAACTGTACATCGTTAGTTGTGATCGACATTCTCTTTTGTGTTTTTCGATCGAGGTACAGCCTCTTTTGTGTCCGCTATTGACGAGGCCTTTGACCATCTCTATTATTGTTTAGCGCTTCCAAGTAGTATTAGACCAAGTAACACCTTATACACCTCAACGATGGACTGGAACTGTGATAGTACTAGTATTATTTATGGCTCGTGTCATTTTGGCAGAAGGATGGTATATCATTGCGTAAGTTGACGTTTTCAGAGTGATTATACAAACTGGCATTGAGGCAAGCGAAGCAAAAAAAAGCTTATTCTTTCATTTCTTTTACTTGTCATCTAGTTATGCATTAGGTAAAAAGACGAATAGAGATTATATTTGCTTTGGTTGAAAAAGAAAAGCGGTTCAGGAAAAGGGATTAGTGTGCGCTTGTTACAGATGATGATGAGTGACTCAACTGCGCTTTTATAATTGTCGACCTAATGTAGGCATTTACATGTTGAATTTATTTTTGGCATTCTTGACACCCAAGTTTGATCCCTCTATTGAGTTGGATGCTCAAGCGAGCGAAATGGAAGAAGGACCCACTCTTCCTACGAAGAACGACGAAGAATTCAAACCTTTTATCCGTAGACTTCCTGAATTCAAGTTTTGGTAGAGTTTTTTTATTTTCTATTTATTTTATTTATTTTTTAGCCAAAAAAACAGGAGATAGACTAACACGATACCTTTGATTCCCAAACACATCTCTCGCCCCTCATAGGTACTCTGTTACTAAGGCTGCAGTTATCTCGCTGGTTTGTTCTTTTATTCCATTCTTTGATATTCCTGTCTACTGGCCCATCCTATTGATGTATTTCATCATTTTATTCGGTTTAACCATGCGAAGACAGATCAGCCATATGGTAAAATACAGGTATATTCCGTTCGATTGGGGAAAGAAGCATTATAATAACACAAGAAGAGTTTAGACAAAGGCACATTTCATCCATCATTTACAATCGATATAATCTTTCCCACCATATATCACATTATTTACATTGTTACAGATTAAAAAATTGTAGATACAAATAGACTTCCTGTGCTTTCCAACCTAGTAACACTAAAATAAGAAAATTTAGCATAGTGGCACATGACAATGCACGAAGGTGAAAGCAGTGAATTTCTTCAAAAAAAAAAGCAATAATTTTTCTTCACCCTTTTTTTATTGCTTTAACTTGTACCTTTTTTGTTTTGTTTCTGTGGGTGATAATGTCAAAACAAGGTACATAGCTATGCAGATGAAAAAGATAAAAAAATATTCTTGTTTCTTGCCCATTAGGTCGTAGTAGAAAGGTGGCATAGATAACTCATGTTGGTGCTATGCTTTACTGATAGAGTTAAAATTGATCATTCAGAAATGTCTAAATACTGGTATTGATCACCATACCACAGTACCAACACAGAGACCGGCCAAGGAGGTGAGAACAGCTTGTGTAGCTGTCATTATTCGCTGGAAAACCGCTCATGCAAGAAATGACACACAACCACGACATCAGCAAAATAAGAGCCATGACTTTCAGCTGGACGAGTTTTTTGACCTACCTTGGATAAAACAAGGTCAAGGACAAGCTGAGATGTTATTCATACAACGAGCTTCTCAATCAGGAGACCTGTAGGTGGAAAGAGAGTTCACACAAACAAACACAGAGAGGAGCGTTTTGCTAATGAAAGCTACTAAAACATCTTTACACGACACTTCCATGGGACGAAATGTAGGTGGTCAGGACATATCGCATTCCCTGGGGGTAAAAATGAACCGACAGATAGAACAGTCTTGGATACTATTGTTCGGGAAACCAGAGAAGAAATAGGAGTGGATCTGAGCTCAACGAACGACTTTGCCTTTGTTGGCACTCTCCCTGCCAAAAAAATCAAGTACAATACGATCCAAAAGAAACTGGACATGACTTTGATACCATTCGGTAGAAAACACCATGATAAAATTCAATGAGGGGGCAATTCAAAGTGTAGGACATTAATTTGCTTTGTTGGACTTTCATCTTATAGTCTTTTTACAATTGACGCCCGTGACGCCTAAATTAATGCTACAAAAAACTGAAGTAGCAAATACTTACTGTGAGATTATCACCCGAAAAGACACTATTGCAGGTTGAGAGATAGATGACTGATACATCGTCATTTATTGCCTTCAAATCATCCTACAAAACAATAGGGGTACCTATTACTTATTTATCAAGCAATCCTTTGGTGCCCTATAATCCTATCACCAATACAAGCGCAAAAAACCAGGACAATTTAGATGCCATCTCACTACTAAACAATAACGATAGCCCTTATCTATGGGGAATGACATTGCGAATTGTTCAAGAAGTCCTGGGTTTGCCCATATCACCACCGCCGGTGTTCACTGCCGAAAGGATTGAGACTTATCGAGTCGCTTCCAAGATTTAAATTAATTAAAACTTATACGGGGTTGAAAAAGTTCAGCGTTGGAAATCGTACAGAATGTGCTGAAACAACACCCTCTCCGTCACCTTTATTTATTCCTACTCATTTCAATGGTTGTAGTTGACAAAATAAAAGTTCCGAAAATAAAATCAAACCCAAACGACAAGGTTACTTATTTATTGGGATTCAAACCTATCGGCAAAGCGAATAATGACTATTAGGAATAAAGAAGGATTAGTTACTATTATTATAGGTAGAAAGGGCATTAAAGTATGTCTATGTAAATTAGGATTAGTAGATAAGTAAAGAGTATGATGCAGTATTAAGAAAAAAAAAAAAACAAAGCAAAATTAGGTACAAATAAGTGGTATGGTGAAATTAATTAAGTAGTCTATGTATAGGTGGTACTTTTTTCAAAAAAAGGCAAAATTATTAAGAGAACGTGGTTTTGCTGAGTATCCGTTGTTGTCTATTAAACAGCGCTGGTAATGGTAGTGGAAATTGCATAGAAAAACGGGAAGTTCTACGCAAAATATTTCATTTCGTGATGAGGAAAGACCTCAGAATGCGGAGTCAAAGGTGAAGGTGGGCCTGAACAAGTGGGCGAAGTGGCTGTTGAAGTTAAAGACGACATAGTATCCGGCGAAGTGCTACTGTCTGCATGGCTGCTTGTGCAAGTATCGATATACATCGGTTGTTTCAACTTTTCATTGGCAGATTGCAAAGTAACTGCTGTCATATCGTCCACAGTGGATGTCGAAGTCAATGCTGGAGAAGCCGTGGTATCGTTATTGATATGCTCGTAGAGTAACATCTGAGTATCAGATGTTTCCACGTCGTTCTCTCTAACCAAACGAAGCTTTTCTACAAACTTTTCCATTTCAATAGATCGAATAAAATTACCGATAGTGCACTTCACAGGTAATTTTGTGTCAATATAATCCAGACGGGTGGTGCATCCCTTACGAATAGTAGGCAATTGGTGACGGAAAGCGAAAAAGGCCAACGTGGCATAAATAGATCCACCGACAAGATCAATTAAATAATGGTGAGTCAAGTACATAGTGGCAAACCACATCCACATCACATGAAAAGCGCAGTAAAAACGGGCTTTGGGGCATAACCATGCCAAGAAAAGCATTTCAATGGTAGCACAACCCGAATGCAGGGAAGGGAAGGCACCAAAAACCAAAGGAGAGTTGCCAAAAGTGGAGCCGTAAAGATTTAAGCCTAAAATATCATCAATACGGGCCAAGCCGCCTGGTTGTCCATGAATAGAGTAGTCAGCAGGAGCGGAACCATAAGTGAGTTCGTACCCTATTAACCAATCAAACAAAAAAGGCCCAAAAAATTTTCAACATGATAGGTCAGCATTTATCGCTTGTCAATACTCTGATCCGATAACTCCATAACTGCTACAAACTTACATGGTGGAGAGGTTGGGAAGATCAATTGCGTTAAAACACCTGCTAAATTCATATAACCAAAAGCTTGACCGAATACGGCCAAGGTACCAGGTGGCCCAAAAATAAAAAGGGCCAATGAAAAAGCAAACGGAAAAGCAAAATGAATCACACCATAAGGGATCCAAGCAATGATATCTAAAACAGGATGTGTGTGTTGCGAGATGATCTCTGAGAGATTAGCGCCATAAATGATACGCTCAAGAGTAGGTAAAATGTTGACAAAGATGTGTTGAGGTTTTTTATCGTTGGGAATAAATTGTACAGCATAAAAGGTGATAAGCCAAGTAAAGACAACCATGGCAGGCACTGTGAATCGTCTAATATAGGGTATCCAAGGTGATGAAGCGAGTAAGACAGCAATGATAATGCGTGCCCATAGAGGTGGAAATTCGATAAAGACAAGATCCATTATCATAAGTGCTGCAAAAAATGGGTATTGTAGCCAACTCCATTTGAAAGAACTCAATCTGCCAGGTCTACGTAATGATAAAAGCATTTATCGGTGTGCTTAGTTGATCTGTTGATATGAGATTAATATGGTAATAGTAAGAGTAATAGTATAGAATATAGCTGTAATAGTGACAGATGATATCAACTAGTTGGGTTAATCTCAAATTATGTAATATTAAGTAGTAGTAAAGAGTAAAATATTGAAAAAAAAAAAAGAAAGAAAAATCAAGGGCCAGAAAATAACCAAGAATTTTATATCAGAAACAGAAAAAACGCTTTGTAATCGTTTGCAATATCATCTTATTTTTTTTGAATCCATATCAACCAGATATGTCAAATTTTTTTTTTCTATTTCTTTTTTTTTTTTTTTTTCTTTTTTCGTACACAGGTGAAATCTGCCTATATTCTGACGCAAGGATTATCATTTTACCGAATTCAGAAAAGCGGACTTCATCATATTGACACAAACTGTCGTATAACCATCATTTTCTTTTTTCTGCAGGATCCACTGTCGCTGTGCTGTTTCTGCGTTTTCAATATTTAGTAACAGAAGCATGTTCTTCATGTGCTGCAAACAAAAAGTCTGTTTGTAAAAACATGTGCATCGTAAGCTTGCAGAATATAGCAGATGGTAAACATTTAAGCTATGACCTGATCGAAACGAAAGAAAAAAAAAAAGCCTAAAAAAAGAAATGTTTTATCTGTTGTGTGTGTTTTTGGTTTTTTTGCCCCTAGAAAAGATGGCGGCTAAACATACTCCGAAAAAGGATCTTATCAGTGTGGATCCAAAAAGCTGTCAAAAGGGCCGTGCTGGCCTTTCGAGTGCTGCAGAGAATTACTAAATAATAAAAAAAAAAAAAGTGGGGTGTATGTCTATTTATTTAAAACTAATTGCCTGAATTGGACAGAAGAGCGTATAAAGAACGTTTTTAACATCTACGTAATATAGATTTCTTCTATATCACTTTAGAATTCTCTAGAATAGATGGATAAATCTATTTTGTTATACCAACAGAACAAGAAATAAGAATACATAGATAGTCTTTTCTTTTCTGATTTAAATAAGAGCAAGTTTAGATAAATACAGATTTATTCATATGTTGATACTATATTACAAAAAAGCGAATGCAAGTCAAGAAATTGTTGCAGATATGTATGTTTAAGGGATATGTGTAGCGCCTTTAGCTTGACGCTTTTGTTGCAAGATTCTCTTTTGTCTGTTTTCTTCATTCTTAAATGCTGCTTTTGTCGCTTTCTTCTCTTCTCGACGATTCTATAAATCAAAAGGACATCAGTGAATAATCCGGAAAACGGCTAACCCATCTTTATGATTTTACCTTTTTCGCTTCTTTCGCCGCCTGTTTACGCGCCTTCTTTTCTTCCTTGGACTCATGTTTTGATCTTGGTACACCCTTATTTTCAGCGGGCTCATAATCTTCTTCATCCTCTTCTTCTGAAGTTTCATTATCTTCATCTTCCTCGGGTATTGATGTCTCATTCATCTTGCTGTTCGTCTTTTTTCTACGGTCTACCTCCACTAATATGGGCATACCGGTCTTGGGATCAAGTCTGATCTTTCGTGAGAGCCCTCTATCACTAATGAGTGCTGGATGATTTTCCAAATTGGAGTAGGTCGAAATGACAGTTTGCACATCCCAAGCTGCTCTTTGCTTTTGTACAGGCCGTTCTAAGCCAATATAATCCTCGGTCTTTTTCAGCTTACTTTTAGTACTGCCATTGAGGCCCTCCAATGCAGCCCTTGTTAACGCCACGGATTCTTGTTGCTTATTAAACTTTTTCTCTTCGGCATCTTCTACTTCCTTCACATCTGGTTTGGGTAATTCTTGACGAATCCTTTCCAACTGTAAGGCAGGTGAATCGCCTTCTAATTTCGGCTCCATCTTCTTGCCCAAGATTTCGTACTTTTCTAAAAACTCATCTAGAATAGCATCAAAATCTTCTCTTTGCTCCACTTCTTCGTCCAAATATTCATCGTCTTCGTCAAAATCATCATCTTCGTTGTATTCTTCTTCAATTTTTTCAAACCGATCATCCAACAAACGAAGTTGACGGTTACGGTGCATGGCTGAAGAAGAGACCGAAAATCCGGTTTGTTTGGTATGTCGATCAAAGTTATCGTCATCGTTGTCTGAGCCAGTTGCTTTGTTTTGACTTTGACTTAACTTGAATTTTCTAAATGCTGTTTCCCAATCATAATTCTCTTGGTTGATTTCTTCCTCTCCCTCTCCCTCTCCTTCCTCATATTGCTGTTGTTGACGATCGCTATAATCTGAGTAATATTCTACTTCATCATCGAAATATTCATCCTCTTCCTCCTCAGGTACATAAGGATCGCCTTCCGCATTCAGCTCATCAAAAAAGTCATCTACATCATCTTCAACATACTCTTCATCATCTAAAGCTTCTAGCACTTCACGTAATCGAGGATCCATGTCAGGTTGTAACCCGCCATCCATACCCGTGGACTGATTCATCACACCAACTGACATTTCTACTGCCGAAGGTAAAACTTCGCTGGGTAATTCGAAAAGTTGAGGATTCTTCTTTTCTCTATATTCGTCCTTATCCTCCTTTAGAAACGAATCGTTCTCCATCTTTTTGGGCTTTTCCTTCTTGGGAGCTTCCAGGAAGACGGCATCTGTGGATTCACCAATGACTCTCAAGTGTTGCATATAATCATATTCTGAATCATCGTAGAAAATACCATATTGAGCAGCTTGACCAATACGTCTATAAAAATGAAAGGCGTTCAACAAAAAAGAAAACTGTTGATAAACTGTATTGGACAAGAGTATATCCATTGCCAAAAATACAAGAAATTCTGTACATACGCATCGATTTCATCTTGTGTTAGCTTCTTAGGCTTTGTTTTAACTCTATCAATCTCTTCCTGAGTCTTGTGCTATAACAATAATACAAAAGCGAAAAAGTTGATTTCAAAGTGTTTAAATAAACCAATGTAGAGCTACAATCGAGATCTACCTTTAATTGATTAGCAGGCAACACTTCTTGTAGAACACGATCAGGTGCTTCACTATCATTAATCAACGGATCCTTTTGCGATCTATGCACCACATGAAAATGTTTGGCATTTTTCTTATCGATGAAAGGTTTTTTACCCATACTGAAGTATTATATAGATGTTGTATAAGACTGAAAAAAAAAAGGCTACAGGAGCATCAATTTTGGCCAATTTGAGATAACTTTCAGCATATCGGAATACAATCAGCTGAAAAAGGGCGAGTGGCTTATTCAATATACATAATAACACCCCATTGGCTGGTTTTATTTAACGTTGTTGTAGAGAGTTCATTCATAGCCCGCTTGTCGCTGCTATCGCTTGTGCCTATTACTTTCCCGTTTGACGCAAACACCTATCTCTCTTTGTCTACTTTCTCTTCCCCTTCCTTTTTTTTTTTTTGCACTTGTCCTCAACATGTCTGTTTCTACTTTGACTCCACCTGTTCTCCCTGAACACGTGAAGAAGCCCAACGAAGAAGAGTTCAAGAAGCAATTAGCTAATGTCAACGCTAATATCGAGAAAATCCAAAAGCAATTCGTAAGCTATCGTCATCTCTAAACTCCATCACGACACTGGTTGAGGCGGGTTTGCTCTGTTCCTCAGCCACTATCGACTCTCATCGTTCATACACTGAATAATTAATATATGTCACTGTTTCTATTATTATCTATAGGACGCTGTTCGCGACCAAATTGCAAAGTTACCTAAGAATAATGATAATACCCGTCGTGAACAAATTAAGGCCGAGTTGAATGAAATTCGTGATAAACAAGCGGAACTGAAGAAAACTCGTAAGGCTGTTTTTGATCAATTGGATGCTTTAAATGACTCTATCCGAAAGAAGGTAAATGTTGTATTCCTATCAATAAAATATAAAAAGGGTAGAGAGGGAGCATACGGGAGTAGAATGGGGAAGAGCATACAATCGAATAATGAGAGGGGACACGAGTGGAGCCTAAGTATTTTCGTCTCTGAGCAACGGATTCTTACATATCACGCACATCCCGTATGAAATGAATAGGTCGGTTCTATCAGAGGTTTCCAATCAAAGATCCCTTTCAAGACAACTGCCGAAGTGGATGCTCGTATTGCGTATGTTTACATTGAATGCACATGCACAAAGATAAACGTATGACAGTTTTATTAAATTACAGCTGTTGCTTTTCGCTTCCATAGTGAACTAGAAAAGAAGATTGAGGCAGGTGTTAGAATTGTTGAGGAAAAGAAGGTATAGTATTTTGTGGGATGAAGATAACATTGGAAACAAAACTTCGGACTTCTTCCACGCAACATGATGATTAACTGAGAGAAAAAAAATTATCGGGTTCTGATTTAGATGTTACAAGAAATTTCTTTGTTGAAACGTAATCGTCTTTCTGTGGAAGATATCGTTGAACAACAAAATGCTATTAACAAGGAGCGTCAAATTTACGATGAATTGAAAAAGAACATTGATGACGCGGAAGCCAAGCGTCTCAGTGATCGTTACGAGCAACTCGATGCCGAATTTAAGCAGCTTCATACTGAACAAAACAAGCAATACGAAGCACGTCAAAAAATCTTTGACGAACGTAATCGTTTAAAGGTTGCTTTGGACGAAGCATACGCAAAGATGAGATCTATGCGTGACGAGCATCGTAAGAATAACGATGAATACTATACTTTTGTTCGTAAGTTGAAAGAATTCAAGAAAGAGCAAGAAAGATTACGTAAGGAGCAAGAAGAGTTGGAAAAGCGCCAAGAAGCTGCCAAGCAAGAATTGGAATTGGCCTCTTTGCCTGCTTTTGAAAGTGAAATTGCCCTTTGCGATAATCTGGCTCATTTCTTAGAAGGCTTTCTTCATAAGGGAGAAGATAACCAGAATGCTGCTACTGGTAATGAGAATGATGTCAAGGTCAATGCTTTGATGGACACTTTAGATGGTATGGTTATCAAGAAGCGTGATGAAGAAGACTTCTTCTTCGTTGGCAATAAGAATAAGAAATCCAACAAAAAGAACCAAAAGAAGGAAGGAAATAAGGATCCCAAGTCTGAAGCTCTTAAAATTCCCCTTGCTACTATGGAATCCTTTTTCGATATCAAAGTGACTGTACCCACCAAGATCTCTGAAATTCCCGCTACTTTGACCAAGTTGAAGGAGCGTAAAGAATTTTACTTGAAGGAACAACCTAAAGTGACTGAAATGAATAAGAAGAAGGCGGAAGAAAGAATTAAGGCTATGCAAAAGGCAGAAGAAGAAGAAAAAGTAGCATCATCAACAGCAAAGACAACAGATATTGAACCCAATGAAGTTTCCACAACAGCCGAAGACGATACTGCTGTTGCTGACAAAAAGGAAGACGAACCTGTTGATGATGAAGAAGTCAAGACTACTGATGCTGAAATAACAGAGGAAAAATAGAATGACGACTAATAATAGATGAATAAGACAAAAGATTTTATACAGATTTTGAACGAGCAAAGAAAAAAAAAAGATCGATAAATACGTGTACTTGATACTTTTTAAAAGAAATAATCACTCATAACTACAATCTTAATTTAATAAATGTCGCGATTTTTCCGCTATACTCAGTCAAGTTTTCAGTGGTATGCATAATTTATACCTTATTGTTCTTCAGCATGGAATATTAAAAGAAGTACTGAAGTCTCGCTTCATAGAGAAATCAGATATTTTCGCAGGAAAAGGCTAAGTGCAGTTCAAATATTGCCAATGAGATGCAAAACAGGAAACTAAACCGATACGAAAAATGTAAATGAAATGACTATTGACATGAAGGAAAATTCCTGGTAATGAAGCTTGTTATCGTGAGGACCATTAAATTTGGCCAGTGAAAGAATCTGAAAAGTTGTGTTTATGATGCTGAAGTACTTATGATGATTCTTCAGCTGAAGAATCATCATCTATTACCATATCTTCTGACTGGTCATCTTCAATTACTATGCCTTCATCGACTTTATCAATTTGGTTATCGTTTTGAGGTATGGAATCTTGTAGCACTACTGCTCCTTGATAGGGTGCTGAGTAAGAAAGCTCTACGGTACCATTGGGAGCCTCTTGTAAAGTATAATGATATTGCTGCTGGTATTGATATTCATTCCTTTGGTCATAAGACGGTATACCATAATATGCATATTGATTCTGATAATTGTTGAAGGTGTGATAAGTATTGTCATATGTAGTGTCAGGGTATAATCCTGGATATGTAACAGTTTGGATATAACTATATTGCTGCTGTTGTAGCGATGTTGATGATGATATTGATGATTTAGATGTCTTAGCGGTCTGTTTGGCTTCTGCATTTTCCCCTTCAAGGTAATCTTCTTCATTCGCAAATATCTTGATCTCGTGCTCATCCTCTTCGTCATCTGAAGAGACTTCGCTACCAGATGCCTTAATACGCTTGAGATAGCCTGGTGGATACCCATATTTACGCATATTGACGTAATAAGGCGGCTCACTTTCTGTTTGATCCATGCCCAGGGCTCTTTTAAGTTCATCTGATAACTTCCCTGGTTCCATTTTGCTCGCTATTTGCTGCAATTCAAGGAATTCGTGTAGCCGCCTGTCCATAGTTTGTTTAAGAAAAGCATCGTATTTCCGTTGGAAAGCGTTGGTTCTGATAGATTCAGCGTCTCTAGGTTCTGGGCAATCTCTTACTTCGTGATTGGGCTTTCCGCAATTAAAGCATATCTTCTTTGGTATGAGCCTAATAGTGAATTCATATAATGTTTTAAGAAGTCAGTTTACAGAATAGATTAACAAGAAGTAATCAAGTAATAACGTACATTTTTTTTCTCATCCTCACTGAAAATGGATTGCTTGATCCTAAGGCAGCTATATCTGATATTACGTCAAAGTCATAAATCTGCTTTAACGATAATCCTCCGTCTCTTTCCTTAGAAACACACTTTGCGAAAAATTGTCGATGTTCGTAATCCGCATAAAAGGTCCCATCCTTAAAAATGACAGGCTCCACTTCGGCCATGCGTTGTTTCTTCCGGTTTTTCAATGATTCACTTTTTTTCGCATCGCCAAGTCTCTTGGAGGGTGTAGTATCTGATTTAGGCTTCTCAGCGGCTTTTACGCCTTTTTGTATAGAATCATCCTCATCTACGCTGCCATCCGTGTAGTACCCATAAGGATCTGTTTCGAAATGTCGTCTGTCTGATTTTAATCCAACTTCAGTTAAATCAGAGTTCACGACAAAATTGTCGTGGTAACTATGATCGGCATCGACATGCTGTAAACAGTATTGCAAATATTGGTATGGATAGTCTCTTATTTTATCTATTTTGTTATGTAGCAGTTTTAGAGGAACCATCCCATAGTCGTCTCTAGCGTCCAATATTTGGTCCGTATAACGACGTCTACAATAGTCCTCTGGATATTTTAGCACATCGTACAGTAAACGAAGCACTTTATGTCTTTCTTTATAAGCGGAAGATTCTCTATCTTCTACACGAGGTGCTGCTGCTGTGAATGAGTGTTCAAGGTCTATACCGCTAATAGCACTATTGCTAATGGGTGCTGTGGTCATGAATGCGACGATTATTCAAAAGCGAATTGAACTAAAAAAAGAACAAGAGAAACCGCTACTTGCATGAAAATGATAAAGGGGAGGAACGGCATCCACCAGTAAAATGCCTCTAAAACCCTGGAGCGGGGAAAGGTTTCTTATTTGTCCCTTTATTTCAGAAAATCATTGATTTCCTTGCTTTTTTCTTCACCTTTTTCGTATTCTTACAAGATTTGTACATAGACCGAAGCATTGATACACTCATTTCATACTGGATAAACCAGTAAAATATACCTATTTGAATACAAGAAGAAATATATCTTGATCTTTTTAGATACACAGTACCACCAACGAAGATGTCAACGAAAAATTATAGGTGAAATAATATAAACGTCATCATTTTTCTGGTTCGGTATGGTAGATCTATGGTTCAGTTGACTGATCTCTGCAATCTACACATAGTAAAAACTATATAAGTCAAGAACAGGATGATCATTCTACAGCAACAAAGCAAAAGACGCTATTACAGAGTAAGCAAAAAGGCAACACCCTAATAGTCAACGGACAACTAGATCTAACGGGTTTGTAGAAAATAGAACGATTCTTGCAGCGTCAGGTGCAGCCTGGACATCTGTATTGGCAGGTTTTCCTGTAAGTGAAAACTATTGCAAAACAATGCTGTCGAAGAACAGATCAACTCACATCCTTCCACTATCATACGCACATCAAGTTTGACTCTATCAAAACTCGTATGCAAACTCATTATTATTCATCGATCATGTCTTGTGTTAGGAAAACATATGCTGAGGAAGGTACACGAGGCTTCTTCCGAGGCATGATCCCGCCTTTAGTAACAGTCAGTATCATCAAGTCTGTCTCCTTTTCTGTATACGAAGAAACAAAAAAGAATCTCTTGAGCGCACCCAAGTCGAACTTCCGATACGATACCTTGGGTTCCGTGATGACCGTCTCTTCTCTCAGCGGCGGCGTAAGTGGAGCCTTTATTGCGCTACTGAGCTGCCCTTTAGAATTAGTAAAAATACAGCGCCAATTAGAGCTGGTCATGTTGAGAGAAATGCAGCATAACATAAATCAATCCACCACCTCAGTAACAACGTCAACAGCGATAGATCAAAGACAGCAGGCATCGAGCTGGAAAGCAGTGAAAAAGATAGTACAAAGGAAAGGCATTTTTGGGTTATGGAACGGATTAGCATGTCATTCAGGTAAAACTAAAAACTCTGTTCCAGCTGGCATCTTGGTGACAGAAATTGGCCGTACTAACTATGTCGTGCAATTTGCTATACAATAGCAAGAGATGCGTTAGGAACAAGTCTCTATTTCGGTGGCTATGAAACAATGAAGCGGATATTATCAACCACCTCTTCTCCTTTCGGTAATAACAGCTACATTTCAGGACCCATCACCCACTTTTTATCAGGTGGGTTTTGTGGCATACTAAGCTGGTTAATTGTATTTCCTGTGGATGCTGTGAAAACAAATTTGCAGAAGGATATTCTAAACCCTAAACCTAAGTACAGCGGATTTGTGAATTGTGCTATTACTTTGGTCAAAAAGAAAGGCGTCAGAAGCCTTTACCGTGGTCTGAACGTCACGTTGCTGCGGGCATTTCCTATACATTCACTCAACTTTTTAGTCTACGAGCAGGTTCTCAAATCAATACCGCCCTAGTCAACAGAAGAACTCCGGTAACCCACCCTTATTTATGCTATTGAACAATATTGTTATATTTATTTTTACAATATGTAATAAAAACGTGTTGTATATAAAGAGGAATAGATAAAATACTAATTACATAATAATCGAGGAACTATAATTTACAATGACCAACGATGAAATAATAACTGTCGAATGTACAGATGATCAGCTTTCCATTTTTGGTAAAATTCAAAATGTTATTTTTCGCTGTGCTCAACAGAAAAAAAGGGAAAAGAATATACAAGTGTAGTCTAGAAGAAGTCATCACCTCCAAACTCTCCTCCACCAAAGCCGCCGCCGTCAAAATCATTATAGTCATTGTCATAATAGTTATTTTCTTCAATGATGGTTGTGTCTGGTCTGTCGAATAATGCATCGCCAATCATAGAACCTAATAAACCGCCGCCAATACCTGCTGCTGCCATTTTACCAAAACTCATACCGCCACCACCGCCCATAGGACGGCTACCTCCGGCCATGACATATTGGGGTTGCATTTGTTGGGGATAGTACCGTTGCTGTTGTTGAGCATAGTAGGGTTGTTGTGTCTGTTGAGGATAATAAGATTGCTGTTGCGCACTGGGTTGATTATAGTACGAAGCACTTTCACCAGCTCTTCCGGCAGCGTTTGGAGAGCGTGGGGGTGCTGCATTTAGAGGTTTGTCCGCAGGATGCTCCCATTGACACAAAGCAGTTGGCGTGTAAACGTAGAAGAATCGTTTTGAGTTTGGATCATATTGAGAAATCCAACCTTGAGGTAACGGTCGACTGTCAGGATTTATAGGTTGTTTGGGTGGTGATGGTGGAGCATAGCTTTGCTGTGAAGAAGGTGCAGGTGACGGTGTATATGGAGGTGGCGCTGATGAAGATGTTGTGTTATGTTTGTGTCTAGAAAATAAGCCCATTTTATGTAACTTGATGAGGTATGATACAAAAAGAAGAATGAAATGAAGAGGAAAAGAAAAAGCACTGCGAAGCTTTTTTTTTATAACTATCATGGATGGAAAAAATACGTTTTTCTTCGATTGGTTATGTTTCAACTTTATGTCAGCTGTAAATGTGATCAATGCTGCTTTTGTCTTTTTGCTGTTGCTGAGCTTTGTGGGAGAGGCAAAGAAATCACGGCTCACAATTTTGAAAACCTTAGCCAGTCTCAGCGTAGATTCTAGCAATTTTGGGTGATTTTGAGACTCAGAGTAATTCTGTTGGCATTACTGCCCATCCATCAATTGAACGAACTATTATAATTCACTAAGAAATCTTGGCAGACAAATGCGCTTTAGTGTATATTGATTGCATTATTAAGAAGGCTCTTTTCTATGTATAATTGACTTTTGCTCAGCAGAAATGTTACCTCAGATACAGAGAGCTTTAAATTAATTTGTCAATAAAAATGCTATTCGTCCTTAGTTTTCATTCTATCACAATAAGACAACTTTCAGAGAAAAAAAATGCATTATTTTTGACAAGCTAGAAGCTAGCAACACTCTTGAACTGTGAGAGTAATGTAACACTATATCATATGGAACTTCTTCTTTCTATTGTTTTCTTTTATTTTTTATTTTTTATTTGGAGTATGTATATCTTAAAATAAGTCAGGTAGGTAATTTTTTTCTCTCTAAAAAAAAGTAAACAGCATATGGCTTGGATTGAGATCGGTCGGGTGGAAGAGGAAGCTACCAAAGAAAGGCAGCTTCAATACCTTCTTTTGATTTGATATCATTAGGCAAATCCTTCAGTTGAGTAGAGATAGCTGACCGCCAATAAGCTGAGCTTCTTTCATCATCACATTTAACAAAAGCTTTACAGTCGGTGAATGTTGTAGGGTGATGCGGCTTGTTAACAACGACACTCGCTCTATTGAAATTCAAAGTAAAGCATTTACTACGCATTAAACCAAATTCTTCACAATCATCGAGGCTAGATTGGGACACGGCCAGTAAAGGGACCAAAGGGATAATAGTTATAGGATTTCGTTTATCCTAGCATCCCACACCCCACCGCCACAAAAAAATAGACAGATTGATTGTTCGTTAGCTTATGTTCGATTGCATTCAGGGCACATTGTACTTTATTATATACCTTGTAACCAAAGTCATATACAACGAGATAAGCGCCACGCAAAACCACCCAATAACGAATCCATACCTGCAAAAACAAAGAGCATTAATCTCTAAAGATCAAAAACCTCAATCCCGTAGATAAGCTTAAAATAAATGAATCTTACAGGAGAGTTAGTTCCTCTTGTATAAAAGGTTAGATAATCACCATGTTGACAATAAGTTTTAGCCATACGACTATTATGAAACGTATCCAGTGATTGACGCGTCTCCTTTTGAATGCGCTCATTGAAACTGAATAGGTTCTCTTCTTCTGATAGTCGCGTAATAGTATCAGTAGTAGTAATAGCAGCACTACTACTAGAAGGACGAGTAATGGTCGGTAGTATTTCTTCTTCGTCAAAAATCACAGAGAGTTCAAGATCCACTAATTTGCGACTACGACGTCTATCCACACATTGATGTATCTTCAGAGTGCATTCCCCTCCGTTAAGCAGGTCATTTCGGTAAGAATCGAATAATAAATAAGCATAGCCAAATATGGGCAATTGATGCGAGGTATTGTTTTGTTGTGGATGGTCTTTTTGAATGACTGCTGCTGGTGATGCCATACATTTACCAGTCCCAATGCGTTTCACGTTTCTTTTTAGATAAGAGGGAGGATGGTTCCATGTGTTGATTTTTGTAAAAGCTTGACGAACAATATTTTTCTTTTTGAGCGGTGTAGCAGTAACAATAAAGTTGAAGGTGAATGGCCATTGCAGGTCGTTACTAACAAAAAAAAGAAAGGGCAATGATGAGACTCAGGAATTTTTCTTTTTTGTAATAGGAAGAAAAGGACTATACTACCACTTACAATATTAGAGGTTCGCCAACGGGGATGTCGGTACTGATGCCTTTATCGATCTTGCTTAGAACACCACTATAAACCCCAACAGTCTTGTTATTCAATTGAACAAATAATTCATACATATGATCTATCATAATAAATTAGGAGTTAAAACATGCATAAAACAACGTTCCGTGGAAAAAACCAACTAGTCTACCTTTCGCTGATGAATGATTAGTGATTTTGGTGACTTAAGTCAATGGAGTATATAAGAAGGTTTGAATATATTTGTGTTAGCTAAATGAAACTTCGTGCTTGTGTTATCAATTTGAAAATGGCGCTTAATAAAGCATACCTTTGCAATGAGTCAGTTTCTTGGGTAGTATTGTTGGCACATAATAACGTATTTTCTCATCCAACGCTAGAATTGTATCAGTTGAAGGTTGTTTAGGGTCATTATCGTCACGCAATTCGCAGACACTAAATAGATTATCCAAAAGAGAAAGAAAAAAATAAACATCAAACCATAATCACAAGCATATCAGTTTTTATCCAGGGAGAAAACCATCTTTTGTCTTTGCTTACCTGTCTGAGGTTGATACAACCGAGACTTGACTGTGATTGTTCTGCAACTTCAAAGGAAGGATGTTTTCACAAAGTGGTATATCTGAACGTTTTGGATTGTCCATGTTTCCGTTGCCTGTAATGATCAATGGAGCAGCAGATTGTGACTTTTCATGAAGGCTATAATCAACGGCTGTTGGTCCATCAACGTAGGGTATTTTGTAGTCGTCATCATGTATCTCCGGCATATAATCATCATCGCTGTCAAAGTAACTACTATTTTCATCTGATTCAACATCTTTATGGGTCGCTGTTGCTGCTGTTGCTGCTGTTGCTGTTGCTGACAATGAAGTCAATGACGTATTCAACCTCAGAGCCCTTTCGAGCCGTTGAACAAATGCATCTGCCTTCAACTGAATTTCTTCATCGGTGAACAAGTCATAACGAGTCGTGTTCCATCGCTGTGGCAACAACGATGTATAAGACAAGATAGCTGGAGCCGTGCGAGAATTCACCATGGGAGCGTTTTCGGAAGTGTTACACTGCAAAGAAGACAAATAAGGTTTCATTGTGGTGGTATTCCGAGAGGCAGAATAATTACTACCACCACTAGTAGCTATTGTAGAGATAGAGGATGAAGAGAAGCTGGCGCTTTCAAACTCCCCAAGATACTTATGGTGACCCTCTCCTCCTTTTGAGTAAAGCTTACGATCTTTATCTTTCAGCTCGTTTTCTTCGTGTGCTTCTTTGATAGTATCTAAAATCGTATTACTGAACGTAGTTTCATCGGAAGTAATCATCGCTGGGGAAGTAAAAGGCTCATGGATGTCGTAAGCTTGATATTCATAGGTTCTAGTAGCTGTCCTATTGCCGTCTATCTTTTTGTGGAGACGACGACGACTATTCCATTTCTTCATATTGCTCCTTTTGGGCATCGCTGGTTGTTGAGATTGTTGAGCTATCAGTTGGATAGCCTTTTCAAAAAAGTGTATGGTTTCTGTGAGTTTTGACCAAGACTGCTGTTGACTGGCGTTGTCCATGAATAAGCAATCATCCTTAGTGGCGGATGTCTTCTTAGCCGTCACTTCATGCTTCATTTTGTCATTCACCGGTTCCACTTTGTGGATATTCATATACCTCTTGAGTTGGTGCACGGCACGAGATTTAAGCGGCATTTTGTACTGCTGTTTGACAGCGTTGTCTTTACTAACATTGGCTATGGCAATATCGGACATGCTAGTGGCTAGTATGAAGCGTATAGCAGCTATACAAAAATGAAGAGTAATCCCTCTTTATGGAGGGGTAATAAAAAAAAAGCAGCGAAAATTCGAAAAAGAGTGAAAAAGAATGCTCTAAGAAACTATTGTATTTTGATAAAATAATGTTTATTAAGACCTCATTCCTTAAAGACAGAGAATGGACTTTAACAGGGCCACAATCAAATTTTTCCGAGCGTAGTGATAAAAATTTTGGGAAGCCCAAAATACCAGAATCCGGAAATATATTTTAAGAATGATGACCACACGTACAATAAGAGTAGACTTAGCAGTAAAAATTCGAGAGGTGCCTAGATACTAGCAGCCGGAAATATATTCTCGAAGAGCAGCTACAGGTATAGTAATGGTAGATATAATAGTAGTGCCTGTATTTGATTTGTTCAACAGATTGCTCATGATGGATTGCTTTGTTGTAACATGAACCGAACACTATATCTGTTCATATATTCTCTTTTTGTAATATAATAAAAATGGCCAATGAAAAAAAAAGTTCCTTTTGCTTGTCAAGTATATAGTGAATAGGCAAGAAAGCTGATTTGCTGCAGACAAAGAATGATTATAATGTTACTTTATGTAAGTTGAACGTAAAATACAGAAATTGGACGAAAAGAAAAAGAAAAAGCAAAACGAATTGTTGATGGCTGTTTTGGATGTGTGTAATAGGTAACAGTAGTATCAATGGTTCATGGTATTAGAAGTCAAGGTTCTTTAGTCTTCACCCTCAACGTCGTTGTGTCTAGGATCACATTCGATCGTGACAGACTTGACATAAGCTGTTACAGGTGCGTTTTGTCTGCTCCACTATAGATGAAGGAAGAATTGAATTGGTCATGTAAGAGACATAGCGAGGTGAAACAAAAACGGTAAGGTCAACTTACGTCAATTGGACCTCTGGCCCATTGAGCAGTACCGCTAGCAGCACTACCGTCCCAAAGACCAATTTGAACACGGCTATATGCAATTATACGCTATTAGTAGAATAAGATTGTCAAAAATGAACAGGCTTTCCACTTACGCAGGTCGAGTGGGATATTCTTCGATTCCCTCGTCATTAACTGTCTTTCTGCGGTCGACAGTACGTACCAAATTGTTATTGATAAACCATTTGATGGATGATGGGGTCCTATGATAAACAGAAGAAATAATGGTGGAAAGGGAAAGAGGATAAGGTTTGAATACTAAGCTGGGAACAAGTGAAAAGCTATAGTGCTAGAATTTTTTTTCCATTTTTTACCATTCAATCGTATAGTCGTAAAATCGATCGTAGGCATTACCGTCAGGTGCATCAGTTACCTTACCGTTCTCGCCATAGACAATGTGAGGGCCATAGAAGTAATTTGTACTAGTTTTTTAGTTTTAATTAAAATGTTAACCATCTCACGGAAAGAGCAAAATGCGTGAGGATAGGGTCAAAAAAAAAACTTACGTAATCTGATCCCTTTCACCAGCCAAAAACTCAAAATCAAGCTCATCACCGTTATCAGCGATCAAAATAACGGCTGTAACGGCACCAGGCACACGGGAAGATTTGACAGTAGCAGAAAATTTACCATATTGCATATAGGTAGTTGCATTCAAAGTACACCCTTTTCCTTCGTACTTGTTGTACCTTAATCCTTTAACATAAATACACTTTATCGTTAAAGAGATACGCGGGCTTTCGTGGTAGACACAAAGAAAAAGAAGGTATGGACTACTTACTCTCTGGAGTCGTTTCATCCCTAACCGCTTCATATCCATTGGCATATTCAGCTGGAGGTTGAATTGTCATTTGAAGTCCATCAGAGGTAATCTCGCAACTACTTTCGCCAGAACCCCTTTGCACAATCCACTCGTCTCTGTCGCTTGTGAAATCAGTATGGATGTTGGCACAAGAATTTCGGCTTCCGTCCTCTCCATCATCGCTGCTGCGGCGTACCATGAAAGAAGAAGAAGAAGAAGGAGATTGGTTCGCTTGAACGCTACTGATGAGGATGGAAGTGAAGAGGATAAACCCAGAGGATAAATAGGATACAAGCATGATAGTTTATACTTTAAATCGTGCACAAAAGAGGAACAGAAACGAAAAAGAGAGATAAAAATAGTTTGTAACGACTTCTTATAGCTAAGCACGATAAAGGAGGAGTAATGTTAATATTTATAGCGCAAGTGTGTACAGGATAAAATTTAACGAGATATGTCGATTTATTCTTAAGGAACCAGATCTCATATCGTACACGGGCGCAACATAAACGCATTTATAATAATCTCCTTTAATTTACCTTATTATAGAGTGTAGTAATCGTAAATTTTTCTGTACGCGGTCCAAAAATATGAGAGCCGAACGAGAAGTATCAACAAAGGGGTTTCTGAGAAAAACTAGGTTGAGTGTACGCAGATCGACAAAAGTAGAACTTAAACAAAAAAAAAAAAAAAGTAATAAATAAAAGAAAAAATGGCTAGAAATGTTTGTGCGTTTTATATAATGGATTCTACAAATACTATATTTGTTCTTTATTAATCACTACGCGAACTAATAGAAAGAATGAAAGCTAATTTTAAAATTGATTACCTGCACGTATGTATATATCATGGAACAAAAAAGGGCAGTATGCCAGAGACATTTTTTTAGCTATGGCAAAAAAAAAATACTAACCTTCCGACTTCACCAACAATGAATCCAAGAACTATTCTATGTTCATTGTGTACATGTGCGGGTACGTGTTTGCAAAGATCGATAAAAAGGCAATTTTTCGTCCTTTCTCCAATTTAAAGTGAAGAGTCTGGTTCCTTTCAACCCTTTCCTCTTTTGGGCTTTGAGCACACACACACACACACACACACACACACACACACCTTCACCTCCCCTTGGAATAATAAGATTGCTTTCCACTCTCCTAATGTATAGAATTCCTTTTTCTGAGCTTGTCCCCCCTTTTCCATTGTTGACAAAGGTATGGAGTGTGTGTACAAATGTATTTAATTTTTGCGCAAAAACAGGATAGTATTTTTACTATGAAATTACCCGCTTCAATGCCATTAAATCAATATTGTTTAAACATTTGATTATGTAACAAATATATTTTGTTGTGTACATCCTCTCTTCCGAAATTTTTCTTCGTAACGTCTTTTTATTATTAATATTATTCATATTGAACCCCACATTGAAGAGATAAATAAAGGTTGGTCATTGAAACGTAAAGAGTGGAAGATACGAGTGTAGTAACTTTGGAGGTATTTACAGTGAGACGTTGTAATGTTTAATTGTATTTCTGTATGTCTCTGGTGCAGTCTGTGCATTTGGGTGTGTTTGGTGTGTATGTAGTTTCTGACTTATTCTTGATCTTTGCTTTCGTCACCAGGAAGGGCCCAATAATTACCGATAACAGGAATCTTTGTAAGAACATCCTTCTTCATAATAGGTACATCTGAACCAAAAAGTAAGACGGCAGCACCGGTACCTGCACCCCAAGTAGCCAGAGAAGGGGCACTGTCAATAGAGATGTAGGCATTTCAATCAGACTCTGACTATTCCTCTTCACTTTGGTTTATTTCTTTTCTTTTTAAAGATCATTTTTGTCGTCCTCAACAGTTTTCAACATATGTACTTACACTCTCCAAAGCTTTTCGGGTGTGATAAAGGCAAGGTGAGGAGTTGAAACAAATCTAGCAACAGGCATTATTGTAAGTCGAGGTTAAAAATAAAGAAAAATAAACTGAATAAAGAAAAAAGGCGGCGTTGCTGTCTTTTTTATCAGGGTGTTGTTATTTTCTTCCCCAGTGAGTCGAAAGGAACAATGGTGAACAACCCTCCGCACTTTTTACCTATTTTGTAAAGCAAAAAAGAGAAAAAAAAAAAAAAGCTGGGAAATTCACAGATGATGACGTCTTACCCCGCTTCACAAGAAAAAGGTGATTATCTCCAGCAAGGACATAGACGCACATACACATACACACAAAGGAGTTATTACACTGTCTCTTTATTTAAAAGGAAATGAAGAAATGTGGATAGACGGGAAACGTGAATAAGAAAAAGCATATTGTTGTCATTGTTGATTTGTTCGTCAGTTAGTGTCAACTATTAGGAGATGTGGATAATTTAATAAGAAGAACGGGTAAAAATAAAGAGCGTACGGGAAAGGGATAGACGTATAAAGAATGGATTCTCTAATTTCTAACCCTTCTTAAAAACGTTGTGGATAACGTCCACGGTCAGAACCGGGATGATGATGAAGGTGATGAAGGTGAGGAGGTGTTCCTGCTGTAGACTTATTCAATTTAACAATTTGAACAGGATCATGAGGACCATATCTCGACCTTCTCGACGGCATGGTCTTTGCACGTTTCACTCTTTGATCTTTACCGCCACCTACGGGAGGCGATAATATGGAAGATGAAAGTCGTGTTGTAGCGACAGTTGGAGTGTTGGAAGCAGATGCCGTTTCAGTAGTTACTGTTGTTATTGTCGGAGTAATAGTAGATGTTGTTGTGGTGGTGGTGGTGGTGGTGGCAGGAGAAGAAGTAGTAGAAGTAGAATTAATGGTAGTGTTATTGTAAGAATTTTGGTTCATCGAGGCAAAAGGAGAAGATGGAGGAGATGAAGAGGGCAGGTTAGCCATCCTTGAAGGATCAACGACGCTATTGTCGGTGATATGTTGGCTCGCGTTCCTTGATGGATGACTATGATGACGTGTTGGTAAATTAACAGCATGCTCTGATGCTGTCGAGTCATTTGTGTTATCTGCACTAGTATTGATCATGGGGTTGGTATCAATTGCACCACGAGTATCGTTGTTCCCGCTGGCGGTCACTGTGATAGGTTCAGGTGCAGAAATTGTATTATTATCCATACCGCTATAGTCAAATAGATTGTTAGGTACGGGCGTAGCGGGTAAGGGTTTCTGTGGTGGCGTGAATGGGATATCTTGACTTGGTTGCTGTTCATTGGTAGGATGCTGTGGTAATTGTTGTTGATCTTGTTGATTCAAGACGGTGAACCAAGAAGAACGGGGCATCTTGAAGCAATGTTGATGCTCCACCAAAAATTGAACTACTTTTTGTGATGATTTATAGTGTGCAGGACTAAGATTGTAATCCGGATTCATTAAAATCCCAGGCGTGAAAACTGAGGCTAAATTAAACGAATCCATCTTTGTGATTTGTACATTTTGAGTAAAAAGGGACAACAGATCCAAGAGATAGAACAAAAGATATTGATGACTTTCTGGCAATTGCTCGATCAAATTCTGATACTGTGCTACTTTTTCTTCTTCTGTAGTCGTATCCGCGGCATCTTCTAACAAGACATCTTTGAAAGGCTGATATAGATTATGAGTAATCACAGGTTCTGGCAGGTAATTCAGAAAACGTCGTAAAACGTTTGCCGCATCATGTACTGAAAATCCTTTCCAATCTAATTGTCGGCCGTAATCTGGTGCAGTATTAAAAATTTGTTGCAGCTTTCCGATTCTCTTTGCACTATGTCCATTACGTGAGCAATTAAAATAAAAAAATTTTTATGGGAGTGTAAATAAAAACGAGTTCCATAATGGACTAAGAATGATAAACAACAACAAAAGAAAAAAATCCATGGAAGAAAAACGGGCTTACCTGCCACTCATACGAAAAACGCCCTCGGTATAAAGACCTAGGTACAAAAGGAAAGAAAACAGTCAGGGCTGCTAAATTGTGTGGGTTGCAAAATATGCCTAGGAGACTTGACATCGACTAACATACAAATAAAAAAAACCAACCAAAAAAACACTCACCTTGGTCTTTCAAAAAGGAACCACATTTGGCGACTATGACAGGAATGAACCCAACATATTGAACATCATTATCTACATAAGCAATAGCAGCTCTGGCACATTTCAAACTGTCTTCTAAAGGCACACCAAAAACCTGATCCTCAGCATATACTAATGAAAGGAAAAATGAAGATGGTTGGTCTCTTTCTCTATCTCAATCATTCTATATCGTCAGATTGTTTTTACCTTGTTTTTGAGAGCTGACTTGTTTATTGTTGGCGCTATTATGAGTTACTTTCTTCCACCAACTCCTAATAGGTGTATCTTTGATAGGAGCAGAATTGGTGCTCGCCGTAGTGGATGCTGTAGTAGCAGCTGTTGCTAAATCTATCTCCATTTCTAAACAATGATGATGACTATGTTGATAATATTCTTAAGTCGATAGCTTGGTAAGTTCCTGTTAAGTTTCTGCAAAGTATGGATATTCAAAGAAAAAAATTAAAGAAAAAGATTGGAAAAAAGAAAAGAGCCACAGCTCAAAAATTTGAAATTACGAGTTTGTTCAAAAAAAAAATGAGACAAGAAAAAAAGAAAAAAATAAAATAAAATAAATTCAAAGACAATTCAAGTCTACTACACAAATCCATTTTCAGTAAAAGGAAAAAAAAATAAAAATAAAAAATAATAATAAAAGGAACGAGGAGCAATACAATCATACACTCATACTCTCATACTCTCGTACTCTCATATACAGATATATACACACTTATATACATTCATATACATATATATATAGACAGAGAGGTATATATTTAGTATAAAGTTGAATGAGAGCGAAAAACTTGCTTCTATCATGGCAGCAATATGACTATTGTGATAACCCTATATTAATTATTTTCTTTTTTTTTTTTTTCTCTTTATTGGACATGTGAGTTCATAAAAGACATGCCATGAGTTTGCCTCGTATCATACGACTGTTGTGAGAACATTTGCAACGTAATGACAGATCAAAGACACTTTATATAATGCTTGAAAATGTGTGAGTGTGCATGCTGATAAATTGGAATTTTTAAGAAAAAAAATAATTGTTAAGATGACAACGTTAAATCAGGATGCACATGAGCTATTGTAATCCGTTCATCATGCAAATACATTAACCTTGCATTAATTGAAAAGGAGAAGATGCACGTCATTTTTATTTCTTGTACGCCGTTGAAAAGTAGATCAAAAAATACAATAAAAAGTCCATTGGCTCTTTGCTGAGGATGATTTAAAAAGATAATTGTGACCTGAAAGGCTTATTGAGGTAAGTCAAAGATGAGATAAGTAAGTGTGAAGATAGGAAAAGGCATTAAACGTGTAGTAGTACAGATATATATTATTATTATTTTTTCGTAAGTTTGATGTGCTTAATATAAATAGTCTCTGTTGTGACAGCATACATGAAAACAGCTAGCAATATTATACGCAACTCGTACTCATCCTGACACTGAGACATTAGACGAACCTTTTGCTTTGTCCATGGTCGTTATCACTGTTATTATCGTCTTCGATGGGTGTTACAGGATCAGCAAAAGGATCTTCTTCTTCTTCTTCATTATGTCTATCATTATGACTAAGTGATTGGATATTCATATTGGCGAAAGAAGATTCTATAGGTGGTAGTGGAGGAGGAGGTGGAGCACGAGTGGATTTAGGCGGCTCATGATAAGCAATTTGCCTTGTCGGTGATGCTGGCGGTATCAGGGCTATATTCCAAGAAGATGGAATTTGGCCTGCCAACATGATATCATACATGTCTAAAGCCTTTAATAATTCCTCATTCGTATTCAACAAAGTGCCGATCCATTCTTCGTTCTCGACGAGTCGCGTGTAGCGAACAATCTTTTTTCGTGAATCTTCACATTTATCATGGTATTCCTGCAGTCTCTTGTCATGTTGCAATTCAATCTCCCATCGATCTTCAGATGTGTTGATGAGTTTTAAAGCATTTGTCAAGTTATTAGCATTGCTGTTGGCAATAGCAATTTCTTCAAGGATTTTTGGTTTTGCTTTTTCAAAATTGAAAGCACCTCTCATTGCCGAAGAAGACGACGGTCCTGGAGTAGAGTGACGGTTGCTGGTTTTGGTAGCGGGATTCTTCTTTGTGGGTGATAATGGTCCACGATAATTTTGACTAACGTTGGCAGGTTCTCTGACAATAGCCATGGAAGCTGGTGGTAAGGATCGACGTTTATTCGTCACTGAGGTGTCCAAATCGTCATTGTTGGATCTATCGTAGGTATGATGAGTTTGGCTTTCTCTCGTCACTGCTGTGCCATTACTGCTGCTACTCGTATCTGTATTGGCTCTCGGACGACTCTTTTTTCAATACAAATAAAATAAGAAAATCAGCCATTATGGTACACTCTACTTTTATCCACCGCTTTTCCTGTAGAAAAAAAAAATGAAAAAAACCTCTAAGCTTACACGTGGAATACCGCCTCCTCTAGCTTTGCTGTATAAATTGACAATGACACGCATGCTGGATTCGCTTTTATATTTGGCAGACCATGCACCTAAAAGAGATATGAGCTCTTTCTTAACTGATGTGTCTTCAACCTGTCAATATCGCATGGAAAAAAAAGGTTTAGGCCCTCCTGCTTTTTCGTTCTCTTCATCAATGCATACTAAAGCTTTACTGGAGAAGTTAAGATAATTTCGAGTCGTTCAATCATCTTTTCATTTGCAGCGAATTGTCCTTTATGTTTTTCCGTGCAGAAATGAACAAAAAGTATCAGAAGCCCGTCAAATTGACAAAAAAAAAAAAACCAATTACAAAAGTAACGTACGATGAAATTGCTGGTTCGAATTTTCCATGAGTAATTTGAGAACCTAGCAAAGCCATGATAGATGAGACAAGCATAGTTTTTGTAAATTTTGCCTACATGTTAACTTTACCTAGACGTCTTACCTCTAATACTCTCAGCTTTTGTTGAACAGAACCATGTTTTAATTTCTTTCGAATAGTCTCTACTGCTTCCCTTGGTCCATTCTCTTGCATTTGAATACTCTCTGTCAGTTGCTGAAGAAGGTACCAATCGATTTCTTCGAGGTTTGATAACCTTTCTATTATATGGCATTTTGTTAGGCTCTATACCTCATCTTCTACCACAGATATGTCGAACACATTACCAATGTATAAAGAGATAGATGTCCTTTGAACATCATCTGTAAATAGACCCATTTTTGAAGTTTAATATCACTGCCAACAAAGCTAATCCGTCACTCAATAACGTTGCGAAAAATCAAAAACGAAAAAAAGCGGAAAGAGGATGATGATGTCAAGAAGTGCAACCGAAAGCTAAGAGACGAAAATGTTTAAAATTGTGAGACAACGGGCGGGAAAAGGAACAAAAAGAAAAACGTAATTTGGGGAAAAAAAATATGTGTATTTTTATTCAGAATCCGACAAAAAGGCATAAATATTGCCTTTGTTGATCAACAAGTTTTCTTGTACTTTTTCTTTTTCAATAGAAGATTCTTCATCACTTTGCGCTGATGATGTGGCTCTTGCTGCATCTGCATCACGTACACGTAGCTTTTCATACTTTGTGCTTGAAAAATAACCAGGCGGCTTGAAAGAAAGTAGAATTCTGCCCTCTGCTGTTAAACGCAAAATAGTGTTGGCAGCTGGGTTTTTTTTATTTTTTGAAAAAAAAAGATTACCAAAGGGCGTTTGTTTAGCTCATGTCGTTACGATATTTAACTACACGTCAAGAAGTACATTACCTCTGTAAACATCAGGTGCTGGAGTCTTTGCGATATGGAACCCTCTTTGATCACCAAAAGCTAAAATCAACGCATTTTAATATGAACTCAGTTTTTTCTCTTCCCCGTCATTTATATTATTATCTTCATTTACCTTCCAATATACTCCAGGCTGACCATGGATAATCGTTTGGATTCTTGGCAGACGTTTCGGAGGTTGCATTTAAGAGATAATAATCTGGATCATTCATCTCGTCATAGTTGATAGGAGGAGTTAACCCTAATATCTTCTCTAACGGAATACGTTCGGCCTACAGATGTTGCGTGTTAAATTTGTCAAAAAAGTTAGTATAACTGAGTCCTTCTCGATTTGCAAGAGAAAATGGTGTATTAACTAAACTTACAAGATAACGGATGGAGCTATAAGGTTCTTGAACTTGCGCAATTGGGTACATACCAGATAAGATCTAACAAATGCAACTGGATTAATTACTGAAAACCCACTCACCCCTTTGTGATGCTGATCTGATCGCAGCTAATGTACACTGATGACGGTGTTACCTGAAGTGACCTAGGTATAAGTGCTGGGAATACAAGTCCTGGCGAATCACAAAGCCTTACATTTTTTGCAATATGGATTGTCTGGAAGTGTTTGGTATGCCCCGGTGTTTTGCTCGTACTTACTACGGTACGTTGCATGATACTATTGATTAAGCTACTTTTACCCACATTTGGATGGCCTACTAAACCAAGCGTAATGTAATTTTTGTGTGGTTTTATTTCTTCACCGGTGATTTCCAGAAAATGACCAAACGTATCGTCTAACCCATCCATACTGCCTGTATCACTCTCATCATCACTCTCGTCATCGTCGCTGCTGTCAGAATCGTCTTTATCATGTTGCTGTTTGTTCGTCTCATCCTTATCATATTGAGCAATGATGGATTTCCAGTCTACTGTGACATCTGGTTTGTCTACCATATCTCGACATAAAGACAATATCTCCTTCACCCCTTGGGCATAATAATATCGTTTTTTGGGTCTTTTTGCTTGCTTTTTCAACGCGACTACAACATTGCGTCAGAAACGCTCATTTAGTGGAACAAAATAGATGACTTTGCAGTCTTTTTTTCCAAACATTGTTACGCGTCTTACATGTGGCAGTATCATCTATGAGCTGCGGATCTCTTGGGAAACAGCTAAAGGTAGCAATCTGTATTTCGGGAAATTCCTCTTCAAAATATTTCTTCCATGCAAACACGGTGAAGTCCGATACCAAATCGACCTTATTGAAGACGCCGATAATCTTGCGCTTCAGCTCTTGCGTAATGTAGTGATAGAGCGAACGCGAGAAGTGAAGTAGAGGGTTTCGTATATCCATGACAATCAATAAAACATCACTGATTTCTAGCACTCTCCACCTGTAACAGAATAAGTATACCAGGGAAAGGTGAGCATTTGTCACATCAACAGCGTACGCGTTTTCATAAATATAATACATACAGTTGACGCCATACTTCTAAATTACGTTCATACCAACTCAATTGATTTGACTCTCCATATCTCTCCTCCATCGATTGCATCCAATGGTCGAATGCTTCTTGTTCATGTTGCTCAACCTCTTCCTTTGACATAGTATAGTTCCAAATAGGTCGCTTTGGAAACTCAAGGTACTCCTTCACATACCTGTCTGTCTCCGGATTGATTTCCAAACATTCCTATTACGTTTGTTATGTTACTCTCATTGACATTCAAAAGTGACATTAGGACTGATTTCGTTACCTTTGGGAAGCGGACCAAGGGCTGCATACTTTTTAGCTTCTCAGCCTCTATCTCTTGATGCGTTAATTTTCTGAATACAGAAACCAACTTATGCCTAGAGTGTCATCTTGGTATCAATAAAAGCAAAATCCAAACAACGTGAAAAAAAAGGCACAGTTTATCTTGGCCTACCTTTCATTATCATCAAGAGCTTCAGTATCATGGTCTTGGAAAAAGTCTTCTGCTTCCATATCTTCTTCCTTTGGTTGTACAAAATGATCTGATAGAGATGCATGCTTTACATGTTTCTTCCGACTATCTGCTTTTCTGCCACTGAAATAATCAAAGGAACTCAGATCTGCACGCGATTCTAAGAACGTATCAAAAGACACAACAACGGGTGGTTCATATTAGGGTCGTGCTCGTTTTAATCTTTCAATTATGTCCAAATGGCCCGTTTCTCTTTGGGCTCTGTCTGTCTTTGTTTCTTTGGTGTACCTTCTTCCTGTTTCCTAGCGTTTCGCTGTCTCAGTTGTTCTCTCTTTTTTTTACCACTATAAGCTACTTTGCGCGGCATGATGTTTCTTTGTAATAGTTGGGTGTTTTAGTTAAATATATTTAACTGAAAAAAAAGCAAAAAAAATGCAGAAAGTGGACCTACCTTAAATAGAAAAAAGGATATGTCCTTTTTTTTTTGACACCGCCGCAGCTTCATGCCGCAGCCGCAGCAATTGTCGGGAAGGTAGGGAAAAAAAAAAAAGCCCCAACCTTTGACTGAACGTCATTGAAAGATGATAGAACTATTGAAACTGCTCGTCAGGCAGCAGACATTAGTAGAGAAGTATAGGTGAAATTCGACCCAATGGTAGTCAATTATTGCCATTTAGATGTTATAAGAGAAGGAGTATGGAATGATATGTAGACTTTCCAATGAGGATTCTTTTTAAAGGAAACGAACGAGAGGATGAGAAATAGCCATCTACAGTAGAAGCAATTTATAGAAATCATCAATGGCCATTTAGGCAGTCATGCATCGCTATACTTGCGTTAGAAGTTGGCAGCGCATATCTGCTGCTCACTATCTATAGTTTCAACGCGCATTTTCCTGGGCGTAAAAGAACCGTCAAAAAACGTTTATCTTTATTCCTTTTGGCATTCGAAATAATATAATATGTATATCCTTTGAAAAAAGGCTTTGCAGCTATTTTTAACCATTGGGCAGCAAAATTAAAACCATTGAGAGCTGATACAAAATGAAATGGTCACCCAAGGTCTTGCCATCAGTGTAGTTTACCTTTACTGAGTATTCGAATTTTTGAACTGCAACGAATGTAAACGGCATGCAACACTACAGCATCGACTTATATGCACATGTATCGTTTGTACAAGCAGTCTATTCGTCGAAAAAGACGTTTCCAAAAGTATATTTTTTTAAGCGCAAATGATAGCTTCATTCAATAACAAAATGGCTCAGTGGAAGATGTCTATTATAGTTCATCGTAGTTCTCAAGACGTTGACTTTCTCAAACTTGAACAGCCTGCATCTTTCCTGCCAATGATAAAAGCTCTTCTTTTAACTTCCCCACACCTAAACTATTTTTTGCGGGGGTGACGTAAAATCGAGGTTCTCCGGCACTCGGAGCTGAATTCTCTAAGGCACAGGTAAAAGCAGCAAGCTGTTCAACGAGGGGTAAAGGGCATACAGGTGATAAAAACTGTGTGTTTTCTTTTCTCCAATTATCCTTACTGCCCTCCCCACTCTCCATTAGATAAAGACATGTCAGGTAAAACCATCCGAACAAAATGACTTAAAGTCGGCCTCAAACACTTGAACTTTATGTCTAAACTATATATTTTTTTTCCCGTTGAATTATTAAAACAGAAAAAGCGAGTCAAAAAGATATGGCGAAATCTCGCATTCCTCTTGAATATAGAGATTATTGCGCCAATTTACTGATCCCGCTCAACAAATGTCGAGGCGAAACATTTTATTTACCATGGAAGTGTGAAAATGAACGACATGCGTATGAAAAATGTCAATACGAAGAGTAAATAGTCCACATAAAGATACTATGACAGAGTAGTTTCGATCAGTTTCATAACGTATCCTTGTTTTTCTGTTGATTGCCCGACCATGATAGCTTTAAACGCCGTATGAAGGAACAACAAGCAAAGTTAGAGGCCGAAGAAGAATAATGGAACGTTGGAAAGGAGACGATAATTATTTCAAGAATACAGAAATACTTCTATCGTGGCAACTGCTGTTATCGCCAGGACAGGTGTCAAAATAGAGTATACGCCCAATGCAACATTTATACGTATAAAAAAAAAAAAGAAAGATATCCCAACGTAAATAAAATCACAACATATACTTGTAATATATGATATACAGTTTACACCTCACTTTGCATGGATTTACACGTCAAGAAAGGAAAAAAACAAAACAAAAAGTTGTAGTAGTAGATGGGTTGCAGGTAATCCATTTCTTATCCTTACGACACATTTGAAGGGTTGAAAATGGATATGATATGCCTAATCATTATAGATCGAAATGAGATTGAAGGTATATTATATGTATATTTGTATATATGGAAGTTACAAAATTGGCATGGGCTCAAAATGTAGTTGTGGACCCATTATCAAGTATCTGTAGTAGTATTTGTAGTTGCGGTAATATTAGAAGAGGAAGGGATTAATCCCGTAGTTTGCATGTACAGCATCAATTGCTCGATGTAGTTCTCTGCAAACGATGACATATAGAATTCATGTTCTGAGTTATGCGGACCGATAAAATTATGCGCCAACTCATGACAAATTGTCATGAACCAGTAGATCAGAGTCTTACCACGGTTGCTATTTTGATTGCCTTTACTCTTTTCGTCTTCACTGTCATGCAAAGCAAGATAGTAGCGTAAATTCATAAACAGACTACCGCTCAAGTTAAAAGCAATAGTAGGACCCGCTGTGTCATAAAAGATATTCACACTTTTGGGTCGAAGCTCAAACACATGTTGACTAAGCTGCACAAGGACATCCTTAAAACGGCTTATAGCAGCACCGTATTGATCTAACACATCCTCAGCCTGAAGACTGCGGTGAATATAGAATTCAATACCGTTCACATTGCCTGCATGAACTAAATCTTTGCCCGAAGCACTATCACAGTAGGTAGCTGCTTCTCGTACTTCATTCATACGAGGTGGTGTATAGATTGTCTGACCTTCGTAAGGCTTACAAGAATGGATAGCACGTTTGAGATTCTGTTTGATATTCTCAGTAAACTGAGGTGTGATTGTCGTTTGTGAAGGCGGCAGCTTCCCTTTAGTTGAAGATGTAGCACTGGAGTCCTCTTCTCCACCTTGTTTTTTTGTATCTGCAGGTGAAGATGGTGCGGTCGTCATGGGTGTCGAAGACAGTGAACTATTATTGGTGTTTGATTGTTTCCAGGAGGACCATAGTGATCTGATGAGTCCAGAAGGTTTTGTCTGTCGTTCAGATTGTTGTTTCTGCATTGCTTTTTTCTTGGCTTCTTCTTTTTCCTCGGAAATAACAGATGGCTGCTGCGCAACTGTCACTTTGGGGTACTCATCATGAAGTAATTTATCAATAACGTTTTGGCTATGGTCAGTCTTTTGCTGAGTAAGTAGTTGGCGTATATATCCCTCTTGGCAATCAGGGAAGACTTCTTGTACTTGCTTCGTGTATTCATCCAGCTGTTTTGAAGTTGGCGCCGTGGATGGGCTATTAGCAGATATCAATGGTGCATTTTCAGAGTTCGGCCGTGCTGTATTTACCGAGGACGATGACGACGAAAAAGTTGTTCGTGTTTGCTGTTGCTTCTGCAGATTCAAAATTCGATCAACGGGGATCCCTTTACGACGGAGATTCATCAAGCTTGTTGTCAAGTAGCGTTCAACGATAATAGTGTCGTTGGTTCGTATACGAGCAAATATTAAATTACAGAGAGATTGGGCGACGTCATTGTAATCAATATTTTGTGGGTCACTGATATAAATAATAAAATTGCTGCGGTCTACACAAGATGTGGTAGGCTGAACAGACTTTTCATTTGTATGCTTAAACGTACGTGTGATTTTTAGGCCATTGACTTGAATTACTTTGAGATGCTGCTTCAGGTATTTTTCATCATGCAAGAATTCATTCTTTCGTTCAGGATTGTCGTTCAGTATTTGGTAAAGAATAATCGGCGTGCGCTCGAATATCATTTGGGCTATCTTCTTTGTTTCATTAGTTGTGCCGACGTTACTTTTATAAGAATAAGCTTCTCTGATTTGGCTATTCAACGAAGTACGTAAATCGAATGATATCATTAAAATGGATGTTTTCACTGAAAAATGACAACACCATAATGAAATAGTTACCTGTGTAAGCCTGCACTGCCCAAACTTCTATAAAATTCTTCAAGCATTGGTTCCATTGGAGCTGACAATGGTGAAAACAATTGTTGAGCAATAGGATCATCACTGATAAAGATATCGGACGCCTTAGCAAGTGTGTACTGAATAAATCCATTATCAATATCTTTACTATTTTCCTCTTCCTTCACTTCATTAACATTATCTTCCTTCCGCTCTTCTTCAGAAAATACAACTCGCTTGATGCCGACGAGAAATGCAGTTGACTTCATGTCTCTTAATAATTGTTTGTTGTTCTTGAACGAATAGGATTGACTGGCAATCTCCCTTAGTAACCCCAGGTATTTTTCTCCTCCACCACTCAATTCCCATAATCTTTGAGGATTTTTAACAAGCATGGTAGCCAGTTCCACTGTGGTAGGCTCATCCCTGACGCCACAAGAGCAAAGGAAGCTGTTTGCCAGCTGCCCAAAGTTGACATAAGTGAACAATTCTTTGATGAAAGTTGACGTTGAATTTTCGGTTTCAAAATAACATTGAGATGGTGTCACTCTTGTCGTTATTAATGTCGGTATGCTGTTGTCCTCCTGTTGTTTTTGTTGTAAAATAGGAATAAATGGAAACTGTTGAAGTTGGCGCCAGTGCTCAGTCGAGATGTCACTCATTCGTGTCGCCATATACTCAAATACTTTACGAACATGCTCCTGATTTTCCACCAATGAGAATTTGGTGGAATGACTTAAAAAGGCCTGAACCAACTGCTGAGCATTAGGATTTTCTCTTACACCTAAGCGATCACGGTAGCCTGCGAGGTCAGGATGTATAACGGAAAAGCCTAACAGCTGTACATCTGGATTGGTAAAGCAAGCACGCGGAGACGCATAAGTGCGGTCGACGCAAGGTATAAACTTAACATCTATGTTATTTGCATCATAAACAGATGCATAGTCTTGATAATGATCTACAAGGTAATTTAAGGCAGCAAACATTTTGGCCTTCTTCTCTTTGGGGATGGCGGCAACCGTGACGGTACTATCCCCGGAAGGAGGATTTGGAGGAGAAGCGCAAGCGAGCAATGTTGGCAGAGGCGGCTTATCATTCAATCCTAATTTCTCCAAGAGCTTTGCTTCCTCACTGCCTTGTCTCCATCGATGCGACGGCCAGTCAATGACAGGCAGTTGAAGTCGACGCGCAATATCAGTAGGCGTGAATAAGTCACGAGCTAGGTATCGCTTGTAAACTTCCTTGGTGACGATCTCGGGCTGATTGCTATCTTCTCCATCCGCAGAAGTCGATGAAGCAGCCGTAGTGACTTTCCTGCTGACTTGTTTGACGGTAGGTGCTTCTCCTTCCTTGGAGAAAATAGCCGTTTCCCGTAGTCGACGGAGTTCTTCCTTGGACAGTGATTGCCGAGAAATAAGGTGCTTGACCAAATCAACATGGGACCAACTGCCACCGGATATAAGTCGATCGAAAACTAACTGCAATTCGATATCCTAATATGACGGTTGAAGAAAAAAAGCTCATGTTAAGGACAGCACAATGATAGACCTGAGCATCTTTCGTACCTCACCTCTCTCACACCTAATGCTTTCAGAAAGTCGGGGCTAATCATATGCTTATTTTGCGAAATAGTCAACGTTGGCAAATCACCGAACAAATTGACAGAAGGAAAATAGGCTTCTTGCGGAAATTTCATACCAAGCTTCGTAGGTATGCAACTCTTTGACTGTAATAGATGAACCACATCTACTTGCCAGTCTTTAGACAAATGACCGTACTGTCTACTGACTAAATGAAGAACTCGTTCTGCAAACTCTTTCGAGTTCTCAAGAGTGAGGGCTTTATCGGTAGTAGGCTTTAGTTCAGTAATATAGTGAAGCCATTGGCCAACATTCAACTCATGCCAGCTGCCAAAATACCTAGCCAAATCTTGAGTAGAAAAATGTTTAGAGATAGAGAAGGGTAGTGTATCATCAGGAACAGGCATATCTAAGGGTATCAATTTTGGATTCAGCCACCACCTAACCTGAGAAAGCTGCAGAAGGCCAGAAGTATTGTTACTGTTCTCTTCGTCAATGTTACTATGCTCAATAATAGCAGCTTGCAGAAACTGAGAGCAAACACCATCCATGTTTTGTCTGATAATTTGAACTGTATCAGCAGGAATTGCTTGGTTGCCTTTAAAGCATTCAATCCACCATTTCATACAGGCCACCATTTCAGCAGGCTTTAGAGACCGCTGATCTAATTCTTTCAATACATCCTGTACGCCCAACGGTAATAACAATTTCTTATTGTTTTTTAAAATGTCAATGCTGTCTTTACACAATTGATATGTAGCCCAAGTAACAGTAGGAATAGTTTTGATAAATGAATTTAATAACTCAGTAACATCATGGCCTACAACAGTTGTTATATCTGGAACAGTTCTTGCCACCGTGATAGAACGGACACCATGTGAAGTCATTATATCCAGGGGTACTTTACAGCATTTGAAAAAATGCTCCTCCTGAACTTGACTCACAATTCCGCTTGGCGTTGAAGGTTGGAAAGTAAATGAACGCAAAGCATGGCCCGCTTTCTTTTCCAAAAGCAATTTGGCATTGTCTTGGTTATCTTGTTCTTTTCCCGATTTATCCACTTCAGTTGGATGGCCTACTAGTTCACCGTACAGTCTTCTGATCTGTTCCATTTCATCATTATAAACCAATCTTGCCAATAACCCACCCATAACCAATAGTTCTTTATTCCAAAGGCTTATATATCGATCAGCAAAATCAATACTTTCTCTTTCAACAGTAGGAATGAATCTTGCTGCCATATGACAGCAGTAGCCAGTTGTCTGATGGGTAGGAAATCCAATAAATACCCGGCCCTGATGAGGGAACGGGATTAAATCTCTAAACATTTGGTTTTTATTTTCAGAAGCATCCAATTCATCTTTTCCAGTGTAAACCAGTTGAATCTTTGTCATCTTTGGGGGTTTCTTTTTGGTCGAACGTTCCATTTCTTTCTCAAAGCTTTGACTTACATTGACTTTGACGGAGCCCGTAACGACACGAAGAAAAATACTGCCTTTTTCAACGGGCAAGCCACTTTCGTTTTTCGTCACTGTAGATGTGCTATGGGTTGTTGAGGATGAGAGCAAGTTGGCTAGCGGACTGAAAATAGAAGGTGGCGTGTACTTTTCAGCGTCCAGTTGGATGGGCCGTATATCTGCTCCATATAATGTAAACATCTTTGCTGGAACTGTTGTGAGAAGCATTTTATGGGCATCTACTGACATAGCCCTAGGCTCTGCTTCGCGTTTGCGAATGCGAAAGATGATTTGCTGATCGAAATACACGGTAATCTCTTTCAAATTAGCTGTAAAGCCCATGCTTGTCGTCAAAAACCTGGTAAAATGGTCGATATTCGGCATTTCCATAGGTTCTCTTAGATCCATTAAGAAAGACGTCCATACTTTATCTGAACTTTCATCCGTTGGAATATCTGCTCGTTTTGCAAATAGCTGATCTCCTTTAAAGTAGAAAGCCATACATTGCGACCCTGAAGACACGCTAAGGTTGGCATTATCAGTTATCCGCCGTCATTATACTTGCATTAACATAATCAACTTGTATTTAACTTACAATGGGTTTTCACATATTGAAAATAGAGAATAAAAGCCTACACCAAAGGCCCCAATTTTCTGTTCGTCTGTCACAATAATAAAAAATGCATTATGTCAAAAAATGTTACTCATTTGATCTTGAACCCTCAATATCTATTTTTTACCTGGATTTCCTTCAGCAATTCTTTTCAACCGTTGCCAATCTTCAGGCCGAAAAACCATACCGTTGTTTTTAAAAATAATTTTATTACATTTGGATGACAAGTTGGGTTGCTTATTATTGCCTAGTGAGGCGTCGTTTGTTTGAAAATGTATCTGTACAGCACTTGAGGAAGCATCATCTGAATGGTGTCAAGAATAGCTCAAATGTGTCAATATTCCTCGTAACTATTCAAAATCAAAAAGAATGATTCTACCTGCATTCTGCATAAGTTCCCGATATAAAACATATTCAGCTGAATATCTTGCCAGAATTTTATCGATAAGGTGTCTTTGATTGACTAGTGTCCAATTTAACAATCGTCAGTGAAACAGATGAGGTAGATCTTATCGCATATTCAGTTGCAAACCTTCGACTTTCTCCTCTATGCCTCCATGATCCATTATCTTGGAGCGTAATAGCTCCAACTTATTGTCCGGAATGCTCGTCATTCTCCTTTACTGATCAAATTCGATTCAGTTTGCGTTGTAAAAACTAACGGATTCAAATAACAGAGAATCTCAAGGCACACAAAGCTAATTAACCAACAGAAATTATGCCGAAAACTCCGTTATTAAGTTTCTTTGATAACTGTTTGCCGTCATTATAGGAGAAGCCTATTATAAGGGCCAGCTTATGAAAAATTTGAAGCAATGCCTACAAAGCCGGATGCATTGAGACGCTTTTCTCTCTAATATGAAGAGACACTATCACCGGTTTGAATATAAATTGTCAATACTAGACTACTGCTGTACGCGACTCATTTCAATACATTTTTTATAGAAGCGACACAATCGGAAGCAGGGAAACAATAGGTGTATCACAACCCTATTATTATAAGTACTGAAACCCTAGCTAATCAAAAGAGAAGCATTAATATGAGTAATGATAAAGATTAGGACTAACAAACATTCTCGACAATAAATTCCAACAAGATATAGCCAATACTTTACGAATAGACAGGGTATGTTGCTCGTTATTGGCTGGTTATTTCAAAAGGTATGCAATGAGTGGAAATTATTACGGCTTCCTAACATTCTGTACAAGCTCATTCATCCTCAAGATGATCTATAAAGGTTCGCCAGTAAATGAGAAGTCTATGTCGATTTTTCCCAACCATGTATCTATTTTCTAAGTCATGGTGTTTAGTAGTCCAATGTGCCAATAGGCGTACAAAAAAAGCTTAATCACGGAACCTTATATTGGTAAAATGCATGAAAATGTTGTTGTTTGTATAATCTTTCCTTTTTACGTATAGACATTCCACATAAGCAATTCCAAAATTCTTTTGTTTTTCTGTAAGCATTCCCCACACAAATAAACTAATCTAATTCCTTGTTGTATGGGCGCGTGAAAAGATTCAAGGTTAACACTGGAGGATGGCAATGATTACGTTCACACAATGCTCGCTCTTTGCAAATAAAAGCTGCGTGCTTTACAAAGGAGGGGTAGGCTTGACCATTGAGTGAAAGAGCAGCCAAAAAAACCATAAAGGTTAAAAATGTTCAAATTGTTTACTGTGGAAAGGGATATGGGGCATCAAAAATATGTAGGTCATTCCCTCGAATTCAAACAAAAACTCTCAAATTTACTGTCTTTTTTTATGGCTTTTTTTCCAACCATTCTTTGTAAACCAGCTAACAAGATCTATCATGTTTAGAACTGTCGTTCTCCGTGTCCCCCATGTTAATTTACCCATTAAAAAACGAACAGGTTCAGTTGTGCGCGAGGATGAGCAGGAGAAGACCTCTACAATGGGTGCTTTAAAAAGGCTCAAGTGTTCTGTGAGATATCGTTGTGTGAATGCCTTTGCTCACACCAAGCAAAAGAAACAGCAACAGCCCGTCTTCACTCCATCTATGTTTCGTGAGGTGATCCATCCCACAGATGTTCAGACAAGAAAATACCAACTTCTTGAACCTAAGGTCAAGTGCCTCATTGGAAAGTTGTGTCATCAAATGGCGTACCCGTATCACCTTGTGGCTAAAAAGCACAGCAAATCCAATATTTCACCAAGCAAACAACAAGCAAGTGTATCTGGTATCGTTCATGCCATCACATCTAATAAGACAGATACTGCAATGGCTTTGAAGTCAGATAAAGTAGAAGCAAAGGACGATGATGTCGATTCAATGGTTCATCTTAACGCTGAACTCGACGCTGATCCGACCTCTACTCTGCTGGTTGAACACTACTCTTGCAAATCTGGCTGCCCTTCTAGTATTTTCACTGGCAGTGGCATTGTGGAAAGTGTTGCTCCTGCCTCTAACACGTCTCGCCGTAGTAGTATGGATTTCTGTGCAAATGCAAACTCTTCTTTGACAATGAACATCATTTCTTCTACGCACCAGAATAATAGAAACAGCAGCAACAGCAACAGCGAATGTCCTAACGCGAACTTTGTCGTAGAATTAGTTGAATTGGAAACAGATCCTTTCGTACAATGGGTGCGTACAGGTCCAATATAAGCGTCCATAGTTTTTTGTTACTTTCCTTACATTTTGAGTGACTTTATTCATTAATAATTTATTGATTTCGTTCAAATAACATCATTTGAGCCAAGTCCTAATACTTTACCTTTTGTCTGGAAAATGCTATAAATAAATGAACGCTTCTCATTAAGCAAGAGAAAGAATTGAATAGAGAGGGATGATTTATTATATGTACAATACTTTGTATGAAGAAATACTATTTACAAAACATACACAATAAAGGGTAGATGTGTACGAAAAAAAAGAAAAAGGCAAATAAAATGCATAATTCTATATAATACACGATTTTTCTTAAGATTTGAAATCAGCAACAAGAGCTTGAATAGCTGAAATGGTACCAAAAACGAGGCCTACGACACCAAGCAAAAGAATAAGAGCATACCAAGCAAGCTCATAAATAGGCTTGTTACGGAGACCCGTAAGTCTTAGATAGAAGATGACAGGGAAAATGAAAATCAAGGCGCAATTGGCAAAGGCACCAATCAAAGCCATCAAGTCATCAAAATGGGGAATAACAGCACCAATAATGCCGACAACGACAATGAGAAAGATACGGAACAGCGCACGAATAATGAATTCCTTCACTTTACCGAAACGTTCCACGGTGATGTTGAGCATTTCTTCAACGTCTAGAGCAAAAGAAGTGAGCAGGATGGGTGAAGCAGCAAGAACGTGGAATGTCATGACACTGATAGCAATGATTTTGGGGACGCCATTGCTGATGGAGTTGTAAACAGGATTGACAACCCTGTCACCATACACGTAATAGCCTGGAATAGCAGCAAGATAGTAAAGGGCAGCACATGTGGATAAGCCAGCAGCTACTACTTTGGGCCAATTTTTGGGTTTCTTCATAGAAGCTTCTACATGGGGATAGACACCGTTACCGCCGAAACTGAACGAGATGGTACTGAGCGCGATAGGAAATTGAGACCAAATGACTGTATCGTGATGTACATTTGTCAAATGTGGTTTATCCATACAGGCAACCACCAATACGATGATGACGACAATAAGAGTAGCCGTAGCGCCAAGAGCTGACATGACAGCGATTTCCTTCATATTTTTCACCAATACAAATGGAATAGCAACGATGACGCAAGAGACGATGCTCCATGGTAACACACCGATATCTGCTGCTGTACCAGCGCACAATTCATTGAGGTTGGAACCGGAAAGAACAATATACAGAATGGGTGCGCCAAGAAGAATCCAAGTGTTGAAGAAGAAAGCAACCCAACCTCCCACAGCGCCAAAGCAGGTGGTAGCAATTTCTTTATATGAACCTAAACGACGTTTGCCATTGGCGTACAAACAACGGATAAGGAGCGTACCCGTGTGCACAGACATTACCCATGACAGAAATAAAATGACAAGACCGATCCAGCCACCTAATTTAAGCGCATAGGGAATACCAAGAGTACCGGTACCAGCCACAATGCATACAACGTTGAAATAAGCGAGGAAAGACGAACCTGCATGCTCACGGTTGACATCCAGGAAGCCTTCATCGGCATATTCAAATTCGGCCTCTGTAGAAATTTCATCAGTACACACAAGACAATGCAACCCTACTTTTGATGAAATGCAAAACTAATTTTACCACTATAGGCATCAAATGTCACAGGCCCCTCTTGAAAGTCCCCCGTGTGCTTCTTATCCAGATCTCTTAATTCCATAGACATATTTGACTTTATTTTCTTTCTTTGTGATCAGCTAACTTTTCTGGCTTTTTTATTCTTTTCTTTTTAAATTAGGCTATAGATACAGAGTATCGATAATAGTAGATATAACGAAGATAAGAAGAGGTATACTATATTACAGTAGTATGGTGATAGTAGCAGTAGTCGTAGTTGTTAGCCGTGAAAGAACACAATAAAAAAAAGTTCAAATCTGATCCCCGTAGTTTTGCTATTTAAGTAATTTAGTTTGGTTTTTTTTTTTGCTAAAGGTTTCAAAAAGAAACTGCTTGCTTATCCAATCGCTTAAACCCGAAGCCAATCAATTTTGTTAATAAACCATATCGGGATATTGTAAGTCATATGCCCAAACTTTCAGCAGCCTTTTTAACACCGCCCCCGCTTTTGCCGAGTTTTGTTTAAACACCTATTGATTATAAATTTGAAGTCATAGTAAGAAAAAAAAAAAAAAAGAGTCCTTCCCTTTTAAAGTCATACATAGACATTGATTAAGCTTTTGATAGTCCTGGATACACAAATGACGCGTATAGTTCTCACGATATTTGTACAAAAGTATATCTTGTCCTGTCAGCCTTAGATCGTAGAATGATGATAAGAGCTGTAGATCATACTCAAAAAATGTGGGAGGAACGGGGGCATTTAAGTGCAGCTTATAATTCCGTTGTAGCCAATCAAGTATGTCCATTGGAAAAAGAGAGACGTTTATTGGGTCAGAAGAGCGTGAGTCAGTTCTCTATTACCAAAAAATCGGAATACAGTTTCCTTGGCTATAATTAAGACAAAACTCTTAAAAAGTTTAGACAGAAAAAATAATATATTTAAGACATCTTTCAGCAGGTTCTTAAAGATCCCTTCTTTTTCGTAACTTTTCAGCCCTATTTATGCACAAAAGTTTTATTATACAGAAATTTAAATCTGTTAAGAAAAGCACAAGAATCAGATTTAAAAAGCATCTACTTGGTAGCTTAAACGCATTAGAAGCATAAGACACCATCCGTGGCTGTAGTATCCTTGTATGCAAAACTTGTAAGTAACTATGGAACCGTGATATCAATGCAGCAAAAAACATGATGCTTATCAGCATTCCGATTTGGAAAGACAAAACCTAATCCTTTTGCTATTGTCGCCAGAACGGTACTGGCTCAAATCCCAACTTAAACGTCTCAAAAATCTGATTTATTCCATCCAGTTATATCGCAGCTTTGTCTAAACCCGAAGCTAGTATGATTATTAATCTTGGCTTTCTGCCTTTTTATTGTGGATATGTCAGACATTTAGTTGATCTAACTTGAGTAGCGTCTAGAGTAATAAGGCCTATAGTTACCCATGTTAACAGCGTATCAAAAGATACCTATAGAAGTTATAGAGATAAAAATATTCGTCGAATACAGCGTCTCTCTTTCCTCGGAACCATTCTGAAACATTTATAAGCTTTAGATAACAGAGTTAGCTTGCTTGTCGTTTAAAAGGACAAAGGTTCCCAAGGTTATTTGACAGTGTTCTAGGTACCTGAAAAATTGTTGCGGGTTCTCGTTTTTATTGAGTCACAGAATTCTCTGCCTGCAATAGGCTGGCAATAACAGTTATGGTTTTGTTATCGTATATATTCATAACTGTATATTACTATGGTGTAATACAATAAATTTTTGTATTTCAATTGAAAGTTGTCGACATTGGCTTTTGAATACAAGCTTGAACATGTGCATAGAGTGGTTTCTCTCTCATATGAAAACACGCCAACAACAATCTAAACTTATTAACGTATTTAGTAGGGAACTGCACCTCGATTATCTCTTATTCTTTCCAAGTTATTTGGAAATTAAACATATAACTACATATTCCTTACTACACACGTTACTTGCATTGTAAAAATCTCAACCCCAAAATCATCCCTTAGATCTTGTTTGACATTTTAGGTATATGGGGGGGAACATGAGCGAGGAATTATTCAGACAATGATAGTGCACAATCATCTTTTCAATTTATAGGATTCGTGTCCATTTTTTAAAGAGCAGTTACAAAGAATATGGAAATATAAACATGTTGTAAAAAGTATCCATCAAGTGCGGTATTTAGTTGAAGAGCAAACCCCTCAGTTCTAATGTACTTTGGCACAGCTTGTACTCGTTTACATCTGAATTAAAATAGGCAAGGTGGGTTACAAGGATAAGTTGTGCGTTTAGCTACTGTAGACCTAACCGAAAAGACGCCTTACTCTTTTTCTTTTGCTAAGCGACAATTGATAAAACGTATAACATCCGTTGGCTTTGATAGATTAGAGACAGAGAGGTTCATGTATAGGTTTACCGTCGAAACCATCAGTTGTGTTTGGTAGAGGATTGTCATGAAACTGTGCATAACAGTAGTAACTGTCCGGATCATAGTAATTAAACGTCCGCATATCCTTGCTCTCTTTTTTGATGCAGCAAAAATGAATAAGCGAAGAGTTTTTTTATTCTATTTTCTATTGGGCGTTACTTTAAGGCACAACAAACTGAATAAAAAAATTAAAGAAAATCCTAGAAAGAAAAAATCGAGGGCACCTGTTTTTTTGAATTCATATTCTCTTCACAATAGAAATAAGAACTACAGATATTTTGGTTTTTTAAATTGTAAAATTTGAATGATTATAAATAGGGCGTTGTGGTTAGGCAAAATAAATCTTTTTGTAGTTCTCTTTTTTTTTTTTTCTTTTCTCTCATTTTACATAATGGTGATTTTTTTTGGGGGGAAAAAAAAAATGGAAGGGAATCTGAAATAATAATTATAGTTATAATATTAATAAAAATAAACGAGGTTACAATGACAGAAGTGAAAAGAGGAGTGATTAAAGTGAGACAACCGTTTGGGTTATACATCAGTGCAGATTGGGATGGAAGGGAGGATGTCAATATACAAAAGTTGGACCTAGTAAAAATACATGATGAAAAAGAAACAAAAACTGTTGATTTAGGAGGATCCTACTCTACAACTACTATTGCTACTACTGCCACTGATTCGAATCGGTCTTTGATACGACTCATGAGCGGTTGGAATATGCTGACGAAAAGCATGGATTTGCGATGATAAATTAGTGATAGAATTTGTAATCATCGCTGTTGGTGAAATTGTGCTGCTACACCGTTGTAATGGAGGTAGTTTTATGGGTAAAGTGATGGAACTGGTGGGTGAAGTCGTGATACGTGTCATCAACATGGGCTCTCGAGTCACAGCTTCGCTGCAGAATTTACCGAAACCTTGCAAGGCCTCAAATTCATCAGGCGTTATGTCAATACCGGTTGGTTTATAGCGGGTATCACCATGATGGCTAACGGAACAGGTCGAAGAATCATCTGCTGAGTCTGTTGTTGCGTTACTGGTAGTTGTCATAGTAGTCGTTGTTGTTGTGCTGGTAGTGGTGGTGGTAGTGGTAGCGGTAATGTTAGTAGTTAGGCTTCTTCTAGGATCATTATTTGTAGTGTGGGATGAACAGGTAGGAGAATAACGGTAACTTGAGCCAGCTAGCTCTTGAATAGGGGTCGAAAGGTCTATATAGGATAATCTTCGTCTAAGCAAAGTGATGGTATTGTCGATGGATGTTCCTTCAGCCTCTCGAGACTGTAATGACTCGTTTGGATGATGGTGAGAAGAACGAGGTTTACTGCTGAAATAATCTGGCATATAAGAGGTGGATTTATCGTCATGTTGAGAAGGAAAGGTACAGGAAGAAGCAGCAGGCGGTGTTGTCGGATTGCTACTGCTGGTGAATGTGGTGGTTGTGTGTGAGGATTGTAGTGGAGGAGGAATGGAGGATAAAGAAGGAAGCTGTTCGTGATGCTGGCGGTAAGGCGCCGGTGTATTGGGCGCAGTATAACACATAGGTGTGCTCGTACTACTATATGGCTGTTGCTGAGGCAGATAAGGATGGAAGCTGGAGTGGTGCTGTTGATACGCAGGATAGTTACCGTCCTCATCAGGATGGCCACCACTGTTCGGCGATAAAGGCGTTTGGGAATTATCGTAATGACTGGGAAATGGCTGCATCGGGCCAGGTAATATTTGATGATTATTGTCTATCATCCATATCTTTGATGGATGATGGCTGTCGTTCGATTTGGGATGAACAGAGTAGGGACGGTTGGTGCTGTTCAATTTTTGGCCATGTTCTTTTGAGCTCGTGGTTGTAACCGATTCTTTCTTCTTTTGACGGTTATGGGTATGTGTGTGCTGCATCATATTATCGAATCGACTAAACATACGGTCACAATTAGGTACAACGCATCTAAAAGGTTTCTATTCAAAATTAGAAACAAAACAGATTGAGTGTCTTGAACGAACAATCAAGAAGTTTTATTCATCTACCTCGCCTGTGTGTTTGCGTGCATGTCGTGCTAAATGCTCGCTTCTGGTAAACACCATATCACAGTTGCCAAAACCTGTACAACGGAATAATTTTGGCTCAGATCTACGGCTTGCTGTTCTTTTCTTCTGAGGCATAATGTGACTATCGTTTTCAAGTGTAAAGAAGGATGATCGAAATAAGGAAAGGCAAATGAAGAAGGGGACGTTAATAATAAATGGAGGGACAAAAAGGAAAGAGAGATTAGTAAAAAAGGTACAGAATCAATAATTCTCGATTTACAACAAAAAAAAAAAAAAAAAAATGGATGAAAAGGCCCGGGAAAAGAGAAGATGTTTTTTTTTGGGCTTCTATTTTTTTCTTTTTCTTTTTTTTTTTTTTGGTGTGTGTATGTGCGCTTCTTTTGGGATAGGTTTAATATTTTTATTTATAACCACTTGGGACTTTGTTTTAGGTTCCAAATGGATCTTCTTTTTCACATTCATCATGCAATGTGCTGCTGTTGTCTATGTCAGGGCAATGAAAAAACTTTTTTAAACACCGATAAAAAAGGCGGTAAAATGTCTCAGTTACAGGGTAATGTAGAAGTATTCTAGGTTTCGTTTCTTTGGGCTTATTGAATAAAGCCTTGGAGAGTGTAGCTTCAAATTCCATTTTAAGATGGTGAAGGAGTGTCTATTGAACACGGTTATTGACATTTACGGCTCCTTCTTCTTCTTGAAGAGACAATTGACAGCGCCGGTATGACTAAAGGGATGCATAAGTGAAAAATAGGTTACATTTTTTAATTCTTTATGATCCTGTACTACCTACTCACCGTGCATTCTGTTGCCCATATCTTTGTGAGGTGATACAAATGGGTGAATCATCTAAATTGTTACCCAATGGTCCGATCTGTGAACCAAACCGTTCCTACGTAAGGGGACAATAATTTGAAATCAGAGTCCGCGGGTTCTTTTCTTCAGGCACAGGGAACGGGCAACCACCCGCTTTTTGCTTACCAATAGCTGTCTACTGGTTTTCATACATTTGATCTCATTATCATTATGCTGTTCGTTATGTCCAAATCGCCATCGATACACTTTTCCATTTTCTGTTCCGGCATAGAAACGGTGTAGGTTAGCTTTGAATGATGTGTTGAGCGATCTTAGCTATCTGTGATTTAGCCTACCCTTATCAGACATAGGCTCGCCTATCCAAAGTTCTTGATTCAACAGAAACAAAGATTGTCCCAAGTGACCAGCATTTGCACGTCCAAGCAGAATGCTTGTCATACCATGGCTTGTATTAAACTCCCTTGGTTTTTTGCCTCTGTCAACTTCGGCTTGTAAACCTTCTTTGTCATTCATATTCGGTATAAATCTGCTCCAATCGTAGAGTCTGATGGTTCCAGCTTGCCAATAACTCTGACGGTAACGAAACTTTGTTTTCTGCATGAACAAGAATCCGGTTAATTTCTGACTATGCTTAGTTAAAGATACATATATTTTATCTCACCTCAGATGGACTCGATACTAGTAAAACACTTTGATTCTTATCCGTAGCCAAGACTCTATCCACATTAGCAAAAGGCTAAATTTAGTGTCGCATAGAGTGTCCATCATAGAGACCTCATCAAAATACACAACCGCGGGTTCCTTTTTGAAAAAACTCAGTTTGAATCTAACTGTTATACTTACTTTCCATATTGCTGAAATTCCTCTGAACCAGTGACGATCCATTTTAATTTGTTCGACCTCATATCAAATGCATAAACTCTACCAACCCTTTGCTTATTCTCTGTAGAATATCCAGGTGCACCAATGAGCAAAATGCCCGTTTTTTGCATGAATAAGATGGATTCACCGAAATGATCATAGTTGTCTTCCTCATGATTAGGATTTTCGATGATGAGATCTGCTTCCTTTACCATCTTTGTGCTATCGTGGAGTATTTCTTTTGAAACAAAGGATTTGAAAATGTACACTCTTCCGGCCTATTCCCATATCCGCCCCCCCATTGACTCTATGTTAGCTATGTTTCTGTTCCCTTCTCTTCATGATAATAGTACTTATTCAAAGGCTTGCCAACATCACTTTACTTGATTTCCAACGGCTCCAGAAAAAGACGAACAGAGTGGACAGCCTACCACTAAACTATTGAAGCGGTTGTCCTGACGATCAGGCCGATCTTTTTCTTGAGGAAATAACCCAGCAACAGAAACTAAAACCGTACCTAATAAAGATGATGACGAAATCTTTTGCTGCTGCTGCTGCTGCTGTTCCTGTGGGGTTGATAATGTCAATTGAAGCTCAACCTTTTTGAAATCCATCTTTTTTTTCTCGCTCGATTGTGGCAAAGAAATATAAATCTCAATTTTACCACCTTCACGTTCGTCATTTTTCTCGCCAAAGGGGGTCGAAATGACGAGGTCATCCAATCCATCTTGATTGATATCCATAGCAGTGACTGACCAGCCGAATCGTCCATGATGAACGTCCCCTTCCAACATCGTATGGGCCAAGTGACGAATATCTTGTACGATGGTTCTGTCGCCGCCATGAGCATCAAAGAGGTCCTCTTTATTTAGAATGAACACAGCACCTTTTTGTTGGTAATAGGGTGCTGAAATGGCTATATGGTTTTCTGTTGTTCTCATTGTCGCATTGCTATAAAAGTGGTTGCATTGCACCAGTTGATGTCCTAATCCAACATTGGATTCCGTCAAAAGACTGAGTGTTTGAACAGAATAGTCGTCGTCGTCAAACATGTTGGCACATTGGCTTTTCTGTGAGACACTTTCCATTGACCCTTTGTTCACGCGTAAAACAGTGTCAATAGAACTTGTTGACACAGGCATCTCAAATGGATGTTGTTGTCGCTGATGGTGCTGCTGTCTCTGATTAGCTAATTTCAAGTCGTGGCGCTTGACAGTAGAATGATCCGTCATGTGCCGTATCAGTGGCAAGGAATCGTCTCCTTTAGGAATGCCGGTAGAACTTTTCGGAGAGGAAGCGGATGAGGTAGTAAGTGTAAGCACCCCTGTTGTGGGGTCGTAGTATTGTTGAAGGGTATCATGATAGGCTGTAGCTAGGAAAGAGGCTTGAGGGTACTTTAGACAGTGCTGTCTGTGCATGGTGGTAGATGAAGCTGCGTCTGTTGTTCGAAAGAAGTCGGTGCATAAAGTATCGGGTTGTTGATAGGCTATCCCCTTCTCAAAAGCGTTGACCATCTCTGAATAGCAGTCAGCAACGCTACCTGCGAGATGTGAGATACCTACGAATCTCATTTGAAGAAATAAGAGAAAAAATCAAAAAAGGAACCTTTGTGCGACATCATCGCCTTATTTACCTCCTTTATAATAATCAAAGGTTTCTTCTGTCAAAAATGGACTTTTGGATCCGTAATAGCCAAACATGTAACCGCCAAATTCGACATCAATTCGAGAAGCGGCAAAGGCTGCCGTCATGCAATATTGGATATGAGACGCTAAGGGCACTTGTCGTTCCTCTGTAGCAGTTGCATTATAGTGGCGTTTGTAGATTTCTATAATATCTTTGATAGGTACATGCCATGTCTTATTTAAATAATCAAGCCTCGTTGAATGCCTCAGAGTGAATTCTGCTCCTGCATCAGCTGCCAAATGCGCCTCTTCCCTATTCCCATGAAAATCAGATTTAGCCATAGCAGCAATGAAATAATCCTCCAGTCCTCTTAGACTGTGCCATTGGACATCGGCCATCCCGTGCGACATGATGGCAAATACAAAGGCAATCAAACCCTAACACACACAATCAAAAAGCTTACTGTTAAAACATTGAGACAAAATAATGGACAAGCCCGCCCATCTTCCCTCCCCTCCCCTTCTCAAACTTCCGTTTACTTTCACATGTGGATCCGTATGAAATTGGGAAATTGGATAGGTTTCTCTGATGTAATGAATGGCCGTTTTGATAAAGGTTGGCCAATGCGCTATGATTACAAAAAAGGAAAAAGTACATGTTAAAACATACCTGTCTCCTCATATTTCCGTTTTAAAATCCAAGCGTTATACCTTCCTCAGCTTGCTCATTGTTTCCCAAACACTGATATCCCCTTTTTGTTACAAAAAGGAAAAAAAAAAAAGAAAAAAAACGCTCGATCACTAATCTCCTCTCTCTTTTTGATGAAAGAGCAAAAAAATCTAGGTTACCAGTCAGGAAAAAATGAGCCTGCTTGGCTAAAGCCAGGAGATGCTATGACATCCTCTTTGTAAGCTTGCTCTACACGCGTCTTTGGTACAAACATCTCCAAAGATCTGTAGGTTATCTCATTATGAACCGCTCTAACCGTAGGATAATGATGGTTTTAGAAGGAGGGAAAAACAACAAGTAAGCATTCTTGTCTTTCCTTGTTACAAACAAAGTTCGACTTTACATTCCACAAGCGATGCACATGGTCATTGAGGAGAGCAGACAAGAGCATGCCAGCCATTGCTTCCGTAATCTCATTCAAGCAATTAGACAAAAGTGTTAGGAGAAGAGAGGGTGGTTTTGAGACAAAAAAAAAAAAGGTAGAGCAGTATGGAAAAGACAGATAAAATAGCTTTACTATTATGTGGCAATAAATAGAAAGTGAACTAGACAAATGGGCTTTTTTTTTTTCTTTTTTTTTTTTTTTTCCTTTTGCCACAAGCAAAATTTGACTGGTCAATCAATGGAGAAGCGGATGGCATTAAACCATTTAAGAATTTAGCAGCTGATGAGATAATGCTGGCCTAACAATCAATGAGAATCATGCTGTTCTAGCTGAGGATCCTGCAAAGAATAACATCTTTTCGTTTTGAAAGCTGTTGTTGAAATGTTTGATCTTGAAAAAATAAATCGCGACGCATCTGTCTGTTATCATGATGGAAAGACAGTGAGAAGACGTGTAGTGTTAGATTTGCTTCCTTATCTCTATGGGTGATTTCTTGGTTTTTTGTGCGTCTAGAATAGCTTCATCTAAGGTCTAAGCCTCGCTATCATTATTTAAAGAAGACAGATACGTCCCGCCATTTGTTTTTGAAAAACGGGAGACATGTCGCGAAAAGTCCGGCAAACAGACACCTTGCTTATCAGTCAATTTTTCAGAGTACCTAAGTGTCAAATATTGCACAGTTTTCAAATGAAAGTGGGCTATAGAAGCTTGGACAGCGTCAAGAATAGATCACTCTGTACAACCAAAGCCATGTGGACAGGGTCTACTTCCATCTTCTTATTATAATGTCAGGTTGACGTAGGTGTGTAGAATTTTTATTACTTTGCGCTACCTTTATTGCAAATCTGATTCTTGTTGGCCAAAGTCCAAAAGGTAAGCTAAGTTTGATTTTTCCCCCTTCCCTTCTCACGTCGCCGGATAATAAGGATTTTAAGAACTCGGTATGAAGCATATCCTCTTACCACATATGAATTACTTATGATACTAAAGGGAATGTTTCAACGTGCAAGCGTTAACAATGCATGTTCAAAATAATATCTGCAGCAAACCTTGTATGAACCCTATTTATCGAAACAGAAAAGTTTCTATGACATTCGCTGATTTTAACTAAGGATTAAATATAAAGAATAGCACAAGAGAAAGTAAACACAAAAGCTTAACGAAAATCAAACCACCGTCTTTATTTCTCTTTCATAAATAAACCAAATAACAAGAAAGGAAAACTAGAATTACTGCTATTAATAAAGAGTATACTGTTTGCTGCCTACGAAATGTGTGTATCGGATCTATAGCTAACAAAGATGTATTATGGGCAGATAATACTCAGTGAGTCAAAGGTTTTCGTGAAAGAATAGGTCTTCCTTTAGTTAGATAATTACTCGTCCATCCCAGAGCGGATTGATCTGTTGGCAGATCCAGGGCAATCATGCAACTGCATCTATAATCCAATAGCTATTGGCCACTAGTTGTGTAGCTCAGATGCTATGGGGAACGATTATAGATGTTAGCTAGGAAGAGATATTCGTGCGTGGTGAACAATTGTTGTATTCATAGAGAGTGATTGAGACTTTTTATCTCCAACCATACTTTTATTTCCAGAGCAGGAGCAGTACCGTGACGTATTGTATTCTGGCTGTTGAATCAATATAACTCACGAGTACATAAACCAATCCTGCTATATACCTTTTCGTCATATAGCTATTGATAGTCGAAGTAAAATATATTTCATAAACATAACCTGCTCTGTTCTTGTATGAGATAGCTAATCTCACATAAGAATTATCTTTAACCCATATTCTTTTCCTATTTTATCTTTATTTGTTATACGGTGATCGTACAATCAAATGTATGCAATAATCGAACACACCGCTTACCGAACGGGAACGAAGATATGGGCAGTACTCATATTTGATATTAAGTTTTTATTTAAATATTTCGTTAGACGTTGTGAGCGATTTATTCATGTATATATGTTACAATTCTGCCTCAAATGCAACAGTTTCAACAATCCACAATGCATAGCATGGTTGTTAAACAATATCAATGCTTTTCCTTCAGTTTTCCAGCGTTTTTAAATGATGCACTTGATAGAAATGTATTCAGTACACACATCACTTTTATCAGAGTGGACTACATGGTAATTTTATGAAATCTTGGGCAAATGATTTTACCGTGTAAAGAAAGCTGCTTCACGTGTATCTAAATGTTGTTGTTGTTGTTGTTGTTGTCACCTTCTTTTGGGCAATCGTACTCTAGCAATAAATGACCTGCCAGTTTTTCAAATCTATGTATATAAGAAGCACGATTGCAAGTTTGTTTCCGAGGACGTTGGAGCGTCCGGTGAGGATAGAAAGGGTCATACATTAAATTTTTTTCTTTTTTGCCCTATGATCTGATATCACAACGAAACCTACAATGCAACTCTGCTTTCCTTGGGATACAAGTCAGGAATTCCGACCAATACCATTTAGTGTCTTTTTTTTTCGCGACTAGTAAGGTCTCACGGGGCTTCTTCCTACTCTGTAGGTATTCGTAAAAATATGCCGAGAGAAATAACTCAAGGGAGTATGATGTTCACCATCCATGTAAGGAGAATAGGTGAAGCCTATTTTTGTATTGCATTGCCCGAATCACTTTTTATTGGCGAATGTATGTGCCAACAAATGACAATGTTTTTATATAGCATTTGATATAAAGACAGTTGATCTGTGCGTATTTGTTTCTGTATAAAAAACCAGCAAAAGGTCATGGCTAAATGACATCTTGCTAGTTCTTTCATCATGGCCTTAGGTCCCCTTTCCTACGTTGAGCGGTGACCGTCTCTCTCTCTCTCCGTGTATGCGTTGTGGCTCTCTCTCTATCTCTCTCTCTCTCTCTTTTTCTACCCCTTTTGTTCCTGATTTTTCCAAAAAAAAAAAATGAATATAAAAAGGGAACGGGTTTTACACAACAACAAGCAATTGCTCGAATTGTTCTTTTCCTGCCTTTTTCATTAAAGCATTCTCTCTTCCTTGTTGACATTGACAACGAAAATTTATGAAAAATGGTAGTCGTTCAGCACATTAGTTTATGTATAGCCTTACTTGCCACTTCCTTCAACCTTTTAAATGCTGCTGTTACTACTCGCAAAGCACCTACAAAGCGATACGACATATCAGACACCTGTGAGGCAACAACAGAAGAAGCCAAAATAATAAAAAAAGCTTTTCTTCATTCCTACATTGGCTATAAAAAATACGCCTTCGGACATGATGAATTACTGCCGTTAAGCAATGGAAGTTCTGATTCTAGGTGAGCTACATCTTTGACGGCAACGTTGTTTATTGATAAATCACATATGTTTATTTTTGTTTCTATCCACTATAAATATAGAAATGGCTGGGGAGGTATGTCGTAGATTAACATTTTCCAGTAACAATAATAGGGGAGTGGGGTGAGGGGGGGGGGGGAGAGGGGAAAGTTGTCATTGATACATGAACAGACAGATTGAAATGTGATTTTCTTTTTCTTAAAAAAAATAGCTACTATTATTGATGCACTCGACACAATGCTCATCATGGGTCTCCATGACGAATACAAGAAAGCCGTTGATTTTGTTCATCAGGTTGACTTTAGCAATTCAAAAGATGTCTCAAAGGGATTCGAAACAAATATCCGCTATTTAGGAGGTTTGCTTGCAGCCAATGAATTGAGTCCAGATCCTATTTTGCTCGAAAAGGCTGTCGAAGTAGCAGATAATACTTTGGTTCCTCTATTTGTAGACTCTGTCTCTTCGGGTGAACCGGTGAAAGTGCCTTTAACTTACATGAATTTGAAAACGTGAGTTGCCTTCTATTGCTACTGCTGGATCTGTGATCATTTTACAGAAACAAACATGAACCACTAATTTTTTTTTTGTTGATTTATTTCTATCTTTAATGATCATCATGTATTACCTCATCACAACCTAGTAAAAAGCCTGTTAAAGAACAGACGATCAATCTTGCTGAACTCGGTACATACACATTGGAATTTAGAAAGCTATCCGAAGTTACAGGTGACCCTACCTATCAGAAATTGGCTGACGACTTGACCAATGCCGTCTTGAATCAACCTACTCGTATACCTGGTCTCTACCCTACTTCTTGGACTGTCCAACCTTTTGCGCCTGTCAACTCTAGTCAGTATACCCTCAATATGCATATTTGTAAACTTTCGTTATTTACCCAATTTTAAAACTTTCGTTTAGGTATCATTACTGTGGCTGGTGGTGCTGACAGTTTCTACGAATATTTGATCAAAGATTATCTACTCCAAACAGACCGAAATGAGAAAGTGCTGGAGGCTTGGGAGACGTCTGTTGACAGTATGAGAGAATACATGCTTTCACCGACCACGGAAGACCCGGACACTCAGTTTGTCGCCATGATCAGTAATAATACCGTCTTTTACAATTCTCAAGAACTTGTAAGTTTCTTTTTTTCACCTTATCTTTTCTTTTGCATCTCTTGATGCTCGTATATGCGATTCAATCCATGGAACACTCCCTTACCTTATGTCCACCTTTAGATCTGCTTTTGGCCAGGTAACATTCTTTTAGGTCTCACGCAAATTGAAGAAGACAACAAAAGGAAAAAATTCAAAAACTTTGCAGATACTTTTCTCAAATCCTGTATTGAAACATGGAGCGGTACTGCTACCGGTATTGCACCTGAAAGTTGGAGTTGGAACCCAAAGGATAATTGTCTGGAAACAAAGCTCAATAATCTTTTTCAGAAAAAGCTACAAAAGTCAGAGGCTATCAAAAAGTTGGAGTTGCTCGATCGACTAGGACAGTTGACAGCTAAAGCAGCTACCACTTTTGGACCTGGTGGCGGTAGAAGTCAGCAAAAGACGATGAAGCGTGACACTGCTGACCATCCTTCTTTTGACATTGACAATGCTATTTACGATTTAAGGCCAGGTAACGTTTGCAATGCATTTATCATCACATCTTTTCCTTATTTTTGCTTGAATAAGTGTTTCGAACTTTACACTTCTTGTAGAAACAATTGAAAGCGTGTTTTATTATTATCGAATGACCGACGATGAACGTTACAAGGTAATGATCCATCTGACTTTTTTGAACGTCTACACCAATTGATATTGATGGAAAATTTGTACACTAGAATATCGCATGGAAAATGTTCAAGGCCATTGATAAATATGCAAAGACTGAATCAGGCTACACCATTGTTGATAACGTTGATGTCGTTCCGGTCAAACAACAAGACTTTCAAGAAAGCTTTTGGTTCGCAGAAACGCTGAAATACCTCTATCTCATCTTTGTAGACAAGGACTGTCTATCGTTGAATGATTGGGTTTTTAATACAGAAGCACATCCCTTCAGATTACCAACGAAGATTCACTTCCAAACTTCTTAAATTTCATCAACCAATGTAATATTTCTATAGCTTTGCATGTACACTTCTCTCATGACTCGGTATCCTTGTCATCTTGCTTTATATATTATTGTGCATATATCATCAAAATAGTACAAGACATAATTGCGCATATCACACCTTTTTTTTTTTTTTATCCGAATATAATACAAATACATACAAAGGTAATTCAAAATACCACTCTAAGAATAAAAATATATTTCTATTACCATTACAATCGTGATCATTTATTTGCCCAGCTTTCTTCTAAGAGCACGAGTTCTCTTTCTCAACTTTTTATATTTGTGCTTGTTCATCTTCAATCGACGTCTTCGAAGTGTACTGATTAAGTGCATTTCCTCTGTTGGTTTTGTAGCAGATGGTATAGATAATGGCGTAATGGTAACGGGCTGTGGAGGAGCAGGTGGGTTGAAAGGTCGCAGACGTGACACATATTCCGACACATGCACTGCAGACGCATCTGTATCATTCTTCAAGACTAGCACAGGGTAAATAACACGTAAACGAGCAATAGTTCCGTGAGTCATCATTATCCTTCGCTGAAAAAAAGAAGTTAAAAACCATGTCTCTTACTCGCTAATGGCAAGGTAGCTTTGTCGAAAAACGTATGACTGACTTGTTGCTGTTGTTGGTGTGAAAATACATTTGTCGTGGAAGCAAGGCGTTTTTGCGTTGACCAGACGATACTCTTGGTATATGCTGCCGCTGGTCTTTGTCGTATACTGGTTAAAAGACGAGAAGCCAGTTCTTTTGCGATCATGATGTAAGCTAGAACAAAGTGGATTGGCCTTGAAAAGAGAGAAGAAAACTTGACAGTTTTCTGGTATGGGGGAATGAATGAAAGTGGGGGAGGGGCTGGATTCCAAAATTTATGCTATTTTCCCCTTGACAGGGCGTTCATGAAAAGCACCCCTCTCGGCCCGCAAAAATTCGTCCCGCGATGACTAGTAATCTCTGAATTTTGGTGTAGAGAAAACGGCAGATCCAACAAAAGACTACAGTAGTGTGCATAGTGGAAGGTCTTCCTTTTTCGTTGCAAACATCTAAACCATGGTATGTTTCTAGACATAGCAATAGCATACAGATATAGAGAAAAGAAACAATGTGTGGATGGATGAATGTATTGAATGGATATTGAGTAGATGGATGATGACTAACTTGATGCCTTTGAATTTCCAATTTTGATAGTCTCTCGTTCCACCCGAAAGATCTACTGTACGTAATTATAACAAACATGGATACAACCAATTACCAAAAAAAAAAGAACAAACTTCTCAATCTTTTTTCATCAAACTTTCAATGAAATACAATGCCCCGCAAATTCATCTTACTAAATTGTACAACTTTTCATACTATAGTTCCAACACATTATCCGTCTTCTCAACACTAACGTTGACGGTCGTGTCAAGATCCAAATTGCCTTGACCTCCATCAAGGGTGTTGGTCGTCGTTTCGCCAACATTGCCTGTAAGAAGGCTGATGTCGATCTTACCAAGAGAGCTGGTGAACTTTCTTCTGAAGAATTGGAACGTATTGTCACCATTCTCCAAAACCCCGCTCAATACAAGATCCCTACTTGGTTCCTTAACAGACAAAAGGATATCATTGATGGCAAGTCTTCTCAAATCATTTCCAACGTTCTCGATACCAAGTACCGTGAAGATCTCGAACGTTTGAAGAAGATCCGTAACCACCGTGGTCTCCGTCACTACTGGGGTATTCGTGTCCGTGGTCAACACACCAAGACCACCGGTCGTCGTGGCCGTACCGTTGGTGTCTCCAAGAAGAAATAAGTAAGTTGCCACTTTTGTTTAGCAAATGTTTATCAGATATTCTTTCAACAGAGGGATGAGTAATGGGCAAAGATTTGGATCAAAAAGACTGACAGCCTGTTTGCCTGTTTTTGAATAGATTGTTTCTGTCTTATTATTCGTTGTGTACATTGGAACATATTATTAAATACGTTTGCTATGGGAAAAACGCTTTCTTTTTTGTTGTGGATATGGCAAGCTTTTTTTTATTTCATACAAATAAAAAACAGTTAACTGTATAAAAAGGAAATCTATATGCCCTTGACGAGGGTATCGATCGTTTTGTTTGCAAGCTCCCAGTAAGCCTGTTGTTTCGTTTTGTCCAAGGCATCCGCTGAGGGGCTGGATACTTGTTTCTTTTGGTAGTAGGAGGCAGATTGAATGTCAGACGTTATATAATGGACATAATCGTTCGTGGCATCATCCTCCGTTGTTGTAAAACTAAAGTTAGAGATGATATATTTGAGAACAAAACGCATAAAAAAGTTGGAATGACGAATGAGCTCTGTGCCAGGCACAAAACCGGGACAGAAGGCAATGACAGGTATGTCGGAGGAAATCCTTTCACTAAGTGCATACATATTCCATACGACGGCGAGTTTTGAGATTTTGTAATATTTCATCGAGTGCCAACCCTGTTCATCGCCTGCAATGTCAGCCAAAGTGACGTTGTCGGGTATACGATCTTCTTCCCCTCTTCCACCGCCTCTCACTTTACTGTCATGCAGAGACGAAGCGACAAACAGAATGCGTTTCCCTGGACATTGACTTTTTTCAAGAAATGGCATTAGTAGTCTGTTCAGATACAAGGGTGCCACTGCGTTTATGAACACTGTTGTTTCAATACAGCCATTCACTTGCGTAAATGTTGTGCAAGTGCATCCAGCGTTATGAACCACCACGTCAATGGCGGGTAAGTTAAAGTTATGCAACTCATCGACCACTGTTTGAACAGTTTTGAGATCTTGAAGGTCTAAAAGGAGGCCGTACAGCTTATCTTTCATCGGTAAAGAGGCATCTTTGAGTATCCATTCTTTGGCATTTTTCAGTTTATCCTCCGTACGTGCTGTGATAATAACAGTATGGCCAAGATTCAGACATTTCTTTGCTGCAAGTCTACCGAGCCCACTTGTAGCACCCGTTATCAATATGATCAGTTTGGAACTATCATCATTGTTTGGTATAGACATCCTTCTTTAAAAAATTTTAAGTGAAGAAAAATGCAAAGGAAGAGGAAATTCTTCTTGGATCACTAAAACGTGAGAAACCCTTTTGGTACCCTATGTAATTCATAGGTTTTGCCTGGTACGTACACGAATCCACGTCTCCTTGGTAGATGAGCACGATAATCGCTATCAACATCCATTGCAAAGTTAACGTAAGACTTTTTGCTTAGAAAACAATTAATATATTACTCTATGGTCTTTTCTTCATTTGATAATGGTGTTCCTGCTTCATAGCTCATCGGTAAACAAGGAAATAGGTAACATCCATACTCAACACTGTCTATTAACCAACACAAGCAATTTAAGCCTCCTATAAAAAGAAATAACTTTTGGCTCTTTTTTTTTTTTTTTTTTCTTTTTTCCACGTATCTGTATATCTGTATGATAAATATAATACACAGTTGAATGGCAGTTTTATTAAAAGTTTTTATCCTTTTTACTTATGTACGCTTTTGGAGCCAGCATAAATGACAAGATTATTATGTAACAATTTTTCGAACTACAAGAACATGTTGAATTGTCTGTACAAAAAATTCAAATTAAAATGATATATATAAACGAAATGCAGAAAGAGACACAAAAAAAAAAAGCAAAGTTTGTTCTTTTAGAGGGAGTTATACAATTAAAAAATGCTTAATAACGGTAGTGTTCAGGCTTGAAAGGACCTTCAATAGGAATACCGAGGTATTCAGATTGGACAGGAGTGAGTTTGGTAAGTTCAACACCAAGCTTACCCAAGTGAGAGAGAGCAACTTCTTCATCCAACTTCTTGGGAAGAACGTGAACACCGACGGTCCACTTCTCAGGTTCAGTCCAGAGAGCAATTTGAGCCAAGACTTGGTTAGAGAAAGAGTTGGACATGACGAAAGAGGGGTGACCAGTAGCACAACCCAAGTTGACAAGACGACCTTCAGCAAGGAGGATGATGTGACGACCGTTCTTCATGGTGAAACGGTCAACTTGAGGCTTAATGTTGGTGACAGAAGCAGCATTGGCCTTCAACCAAGCAACATCAATTTCAACATCGAAGTGACCAATGTTACAGACAATAGCATCGTCCTTCATTTGTTCAAAGTGCTTACCGACGATGATATCACGACAACCGGTGGTGGTAACAAAGATTTGAGCTTCTTCAACAGCCTTTTCCATGGTGGTGACTTCATAACCTTCCATAGAGGCTTGGAGAGCGTTGATAGGATCAACTTCGGTGATGATGACACGAGAACCGAAAGCACGGAGAGCAGCAGCACAACCCTTACCGACATCACCATAACCAGCGACAACGGAGACCTTACCAGCAATCATGACATCAGTGGCACGCTTGATACCATCAACGAGAGATTCACGACAACCGTAGAGGTTATCGAACTTGGACTTGGTGACAGAGTCGTTGACGTTGATGGCGGGGAGCTTAAGAGCACCGTTCTTGAACATCTTGTACAAGTTGTGGACACCAGTGGTGGTTTCTTCAGACAAACCCTTGATACCAGGGAGCAAGTGAGGGTACTTTTCGTGAACAATGTTGGTCAAATCACCACCATCATCCAAGATCATGTTAAGAGGTTGACCGTCAGGGAACATGAGGGTTTGTTCAATACACCAGACGAATTCTATTTAGAACGTGACAAATGCATTATTAAGATATGGCTCTTTCAACATCCCACATTTTCTAAACTCTATTTTTTTATTTATTTTTTTTTTGCTTCTTCGCATCTACGTTTCCTTCTGGTATAAAGACTACTTTACCTTCATCAGTTTCACCCTTCCAAGCATAGACGGGAACACCAGAGGCAGCGATAGCAGCAGCGGCGTGATCTTGGGTGGAGAAAATGTTACAAGAAGACCAAGTAACTTCAGCACCAAGAGCAATCAAGGTACGGATAAGGACAGCAGTTTGGATGGTCATGTGCAAACAACCAGCGATTCTGGCACCCTTGAGAGGTTGAGAAGGACCGTACTTACGGGTGAGTTCCATCAAACCGGGCATTTCATTTTCACTATATCATGAAATAAAAGAGTTTAATATTCCTTGCTCTACCCATTAATCAAACATGATAATATCAACTTACGCAATTTCAATTTCCTAAATACGAGATTGATCGAAAAGCAAAGTATACGTTAGTCAGTGTGTACAGCTGAAAGGTAGGAGTGGTGATCAACGATGTCGACGAAATCTACCTTCAAACCGAAAGCGGCTGATCAAGAAAAAAGAATAAAAGAGGTCAGTTAATGTTGTCCAAGAAGCACGGCCTTACTGGTGATGTATCCAACGAGAAATTGAAGCTCTTACCAAGAGAAATATCAGCAACCTTGTAGTTAGTGGCCATCTTTAAAACTGTGTCAAAAAGGTGAAGTTTAGAAAAAACAAAAAGAGGGGAAAAAAAGGAAAATAAGCGAGCTTAATTTCTTTTATATAGTCTCTTTCAAACGCGTTGTACCTGTTATTGGCTGTTATCAAATTTCTTTTTGAAGGCGCTGCTGAAGAAAATTTTTCGGTAACTTCACCCAATTAAAGCAGAAGAAAGAAGAAGGGCTGTCTCAAGCCCCGCCAATCAAGACTGAACAGATTTTTCATCTCATCTCTGGAACACGAGTGTAACAGAGAAAAGGGAGTGGACCCCCACACAAGCTCCCTTATAACATGTTTTCGTTGTTGTGCGAAGACCTTGTTAAAGGGTATAGTTAGTTAGGGTCGTTACGTATCATGGCGTAATACGAGACCTTGTCATTTTAAAACTACGTTCACAAAGAGATCGAAGATTTAGACAAAAAAAAATGGCGCGGTTACTGTTGGCTTAAGAAATTCAGCCAATAACATCCTCTATTATGACAAGCATTAGCCAATAGTTGGCGCCCTTTTTGAGAAAGCTAGTTATTGTTTGTTTTTCCACCAATAGTATTTTTTCGAATCGAACTACTCTTCATGCATTACATTATCATGAATGCGTTGTGGCATGTCATCGATAGGATTAAGTTCAAAAACACGTACACCTCATTTTCGCGCCCCCAAAACAGTGGTTGGAAAATAATTCTTAACATGAGCAGATTTTATTAAACTTGTTGATGTAGTAATTGCAGGCTACTCGTCACGTACTTCCGTTCTTACTCGGCACTCCTTGCAGTATCATACGATGGTTGCGCTTGTCTTGTATTTTACCTGGTTGTAAATACCAAATTCTGTTACAACATGCGTGGTATATCTGAGATAAACCGAGCAGGCACTTGTTTCTGAAAAGCTTCAGCCTTCCTCTTTGACAAGAATAAACATCTGTAACGACAGCGCGCTTTAAGCACTAAACTTTCAAATCGCTATTTAATTAAAGCCCATCATTCACGTAATAATGGTAAACGGAAATCCTGTTCATATTAGAAACATTTCGGTAGCAGATTGAATAAGAGTCAAAGACCTCAAATTTGAGAATAAAATACACTTAAATACCCTGTTCAGCTCTATTCGATCGAACAAGATGAAGAAGTGCCATGATAAAGTATTTAAAAGCTTTTCTTTGCATCTTTAGGTACAGCAACAATCATAAACAAAAATATATTCTTTTGAGCTTACTGGGTAATGTGCAAATGACAGACATGACTATGCTTGTTTACTGTGCTGAAACCATTACTCACTGACAGGAGAGATACAAAACCCATATGGTGGACGGGAGCATTTATAAGATATAGAACCAACTCAAGTAAAAACGATATAGTGAAGTTGCTTTTGGTTTTTGGTTTTTTTAGAGTCCGAAGATTGTACGGTTGAAAGGACATCCTCGATTTCAAAGCATTATCTCTTTTTTTGAACCTATTAATTGTTGTGTAATTAGATGTCCAACCATCAAATCGATCTACGCGCATATGCTATACCGCTCTTACACGCTGCCAAATACCCAGCCTATGATGTATGTGGGGCGTTATTAGGGAAAATAGGAACGAAGGATCAACATCACACCGAGATTACCACAGCTGTGCCGTTCTTCCATCAGTGGACAACCGTGACACCTATGCTAGAGGTTGCCTTAAAGCAGGTAAGCAGGATTCACTTAAAAAATAGCTACTGTTGATGAAAGAGACCCGTAGCTTCTCAGGGATGATGGATACGACTCTCATTCCTCCTTCACGCCTTTATAGACTGAAATGTATGCAAAGAAACATGGTTGGGTTATTGTTGGTTGGTATTATGGTAAAGCATGTCTTAATGACTCAGCCATACCCGAGAGTGCGAAAAAAGTAGCAGAAGCAATAAAGAATAATAATGGAGGCAAAGCATATGTATTCATGGTAAAGAAAAGGAGGAAGGCATAGTAAATGCTTACTATATATTCAATGTCTATGATTGATACTTAAACCGCAAAATCTATTTTACGTCTTTTAGATTGATAATGAACAATTCTCAGCGTCAGAGCCGAACAAATCTGTTATTATAGTAAGCAGCTAAATCATATTAAAGAGATGTTTTTGGATGCAAAACTAACCAAATTTTTGAAGCCCTACATTGCCGCTGATAATGGTTGGAAGAAGTTAGCAGAGGATCAGATCATATTAACAGAAACAAATACGTATGCGAAAACTTTGGAGCTCATTAACAAATCACTATATACTGATATTCATGATTTTGATGAACATTTGAATAATGTATCTTTGAACTGGTTAGATGTCAGTCAATTACGCTTAATATAACAGTATGAGCAAAATCCAAAAAAAAAAAAAGGAAAAAGAAAAACAAAAAAAAAAAAGCAATTAGGAAGTAATGGATAATATGAAGCGTGTGTATAAGTAAACTTTTTGATTGGAATAAAAGATTAATTAAAGTATTAGACAAACTTTTTATCATTACGCTCAACGCGTACTTTCCAGTAAAGATAAACACCAATACCGAATAAGAACTGGGCAGCTAGAGCGTAGAAGATATACTTGAGCAATGCTGACATTGTACCCTTAGTTTCTGCAGAATGAAGATTGACTTCGTTCATTTTTTTCTGCATAGCACTCGATTGCGCTAGGACGCGTTTCTAAAATTGTTTCAAATCAATCATTGAATTAGCTCAAGCAAATCACGTCTCATTAGCAATGGAAAGAGAATGATAGCTCTCGACAATGGGATCGCTTAGTCCTATTCTATACTACTTACATCTAATACGGATAATGTTTGTTCCAATTGTGTAAAGGATGCTTGTAGTTCTTTCATTTTTCTATCTTGTTCTTTTGCCATTTCCTTGAACTGATTTGAATTTGAGCGTATTTGTTCCATGAGTTTGTCAAAATTTTCACTATTGAAGTGGTAAAAACAATAGAAAACCGTTCGTAAGACTTATAAGCTCAAGCAATCTGTTTCCTTGGGAAAACGAAAAGAATGCTTCTGTACCTATTCTCAGCGCGAACCTTATCATAAGAAGCACTATTACTACTACTGCTGCCCATGTCATTAATTTTGCTCAAATCTATTTTTTGATAATTTCCAGTGATGGCATCGTCTGGGCTTGGCGCACCTAGAGCTTCAATTTGTAATTGCACAAGCTGAATATGCTCAATTGCTCTTTGCTGAGTGTCATAAATAGCTGCCTATTATTGCAAAAAAAATTAAGAGGAACGTCGTATTATTACACGTTCCCTTCTTTCCGTCTCATCTTTTTGTAAGCAGCGTAAAGGTGAGTTCATTTACCAAGGTAACTGCAGCATCTTCCCGAACACTGTTTTCGGCTGTTTCCCTCAATTTCCTCATCTGAAATTCTGCTTCTTCAATTTTCTTTCGTTGTTCTTCGTCTATACCAGTAAATTCCTCGCCTCTTTTCTTTTTCTCGTCTTCTAAAGGGCGTTTAGGGTGCTGTAACGTATAGTTGAGCAAATGAAGGATAAATAAAAATAAAATAAAAAGGAAAAATCAAAAACAAGCTCATAAGTCGCCATACCTCTAACTTCTTGGGTGGGTTTAATTGTCGCGTTTCAAAAGATATAATGTCATGATCATCTATTTTCATCAAATGAAGAGATTGAGAAAGAAAAGTGAGATACGCATGTATATTCAGCCTAGTGTTAATGAAAAGGAGAGTTGGAAAAATTGAACAGGTCCTTACCAGCAGGATTGATCGACAGTGCCTATAATGTTACAAATAGAATAAAACTGAAATTCAGTACTTGCAATCCATGCCATGATAAGGCAGTATGTATAGTAGCACTTACAGACACGCCAAAATAATAACCTGTAGGTAGTTTAATACCGGATTTTTGTACACAAATACGATAATCTTTGGCACCAGATCCATTATCCATGGAGACCTATACCGTTTCCAGCCCAGTTTAGCTCAGCACAACAAGATTCGTCAACGAATTGTATTTGAATAATGACTTTTTACCGTAAGTGTCGTTTCTCTAAGTGAAACTTTAAGATATACAGGATTCTCTGTGTTCCTGAAACTGATAGAGCAAGCACCCAGCATATACTTTCTGGGGTCCAACGCATTCTTCGAAGCGAATTCCAAGGTACCATCGTTCAAAATGACCACTGTACTTGGCTTATGCGTCTAAGCGCACAAAGTAAACGGAAAAGGTGTGTTAAAGAAGTTGGAATGATTGATACTAATCTCTGCTACCTAAAGTGATATTTCTTACCACTGGGTTATTAGAGTCCAGCCAGACACTTAATCCGTCCCATTTATCTTTGGAGCCATAAATGGGTCCAGGTTGCTCTTTATCCTGTGTATACCAAAGTGCCAAACCTCTACCTCCTTGCATGTGATTTCCTGTTACCCTGAAGGCTACGTCTACTTCCCATTCTTCGTAGGGATTAGGTATCTCGGACCAAATCCAGCCTTTTGTATTGGGAACAGAGGGAGAAAGGCGAATAAAGTCCTCCGATTGGAAGATGTCTTTTGAACGAACCGTAAAACAAAGGGTGCATAAGCAGCAAATTTTATTAGTTAGGGTCACTTATAAGACGTACCTCCACCCGCTGTCCAGAAAGGAATGGAGCCATTGTAATAGTAGTTCTTTTTGAATGAAAGTTTGTAGTCATATTTTGAAGTGGGTGCTGATGGTAGATTTTTCTCAGCTGTAATAGGGTCCATTACTTTCTTCTTTTTACCATTATTGCTGCTGCTGCCCCATAACCCAGCCATGGTAGATTGTAGTAACAAGGAAGATACGAAAAGAATTCCTCGTATCTTCATCGCGTGAAGGATTATATAAAACTTGGGATGGCTGTAAAGTAAAGAAACTCAACAAAAAAAAAAAAAAAGAGAGAAAGAAAAAGAAGATTGAAAATATGTTGATATGCAAAATGGCAACACAAAACAGAAGACGAAAAAAAAAGGAGGTGTACAACGCGAACGAACTGACTTATTCGTTCGAAAAAAAAAAAAGTATAAATAAAATACAAAAATGCTGCAAAACATTTGAAGATCTCATTACACAGTGCACACAAACACGTTCACTTTTAATGCTCATCACTCCGGTGATAGATCTACAATACTTAACAATTTCCTTCAAGCAATTACTATAAACAAGCGTACAAATAATCAGATATCACTCCTCGTTCATCGCTTTATTTTTAGTACGCTCAAATTGTAAAAGGTGCTACTGTTGTAGTTGACGCTGACGAAGTAGTGGTAGACTGTTTTTTGGTTGAAGAAGCAGCAGAAGATATCGATTCAGATGATGATGATGATGATGATATTGACGGTGATGCAGCAGACGATAAATTTGTAGAATGTGAAGTAATGACAGCGGCCATAAGAGTAGTGTCAAGATTTTGATTACAGAGATCCTCTCCTTGCGTTTGGGTATCATTCATTTTCTGCTGACATTTATCGTGACTGATAGTCTCTTCGCTGTTATCAGCTTGACTATCACTACACTCGGCTTCGTTACTGAGACTGCTACCTTGCTGTTGTTCTTGCTCTTCTTTCTTCCTCTTCTCTAGAGCTTCCTTTCTTTCACGTTCTTCTTGTTCAGCGAGAGATAGTCTTATTGCTTCCATTACCATCCAGTCTTCCAAATCCATATTAGAGACTCTCATGTTGGATAAGTATTGATTGTATTCTGCGGCTGCTGCTGAAGAAGCTGACCTACCGGGTCTCGTTACAAACAAGCTACTCAATGCACCTCTAGTAGTACCGCCGTTATTACCACTACTATTACTGTTGCTGTTACTACTTGAAGATCTGGAAAAGAAATTGTTGTGTCGACTACGATTATTGGTTGATCTATTGTTATTATTGTTGGTGCTGGATGTTGCAGCCAAGGAGGACGTTAATGAAGTATTAGCAGCAGAAACTGAATTTCTTCTTGAAACGGTTGTTCTACCCGATTGAACTTTGCTCGCCAATGCCTTATTCCAATTGGGTCTTATATGATCTAATGCAAAAGAGTTAGCTGAGTTGACTGTATGTGCACGAATAAACATCTATTCAGAGAGATAGAGCGATTCTTTACCAACCAACACCACATCTGGATCCTTATAATCAACACTTGCACGTCTAGGTATGTTTGTTTCTCCAATACCCGAAGTTGTATGCCTTGTACCTGACATTGAACTGTGAGAACTACTTCTTGCCCGGCCATGTTGTTGAGGGTTTTTCTCACTCCAGGCCGGGGGTTCATAAATGATACCATAATTCTCTTCCATACAATAAGGACACGTAGCAGGTTGTGAAGGTGCATCTAAAGGACGATGAATTTGAACAAAACATTCCGTACAGATAGGTTGATCACAACAACGAGAATAGTTGATATTTGCAGGGTAATACTACATTAAAGCTCTGATATATCAGTTCACAATTCACTTTTTAACTACAAGTGTCATAGTAGTGTGATGGGTTGCGGTCCACTTACCAAGAAACAAATTGGACACTCTACTGCATCATTATACAGCATCTTTTCTCTCTGTTTCATTTTTTCAACAAAAGCCTTTTTTCTCTCTGCATAAGGATCATAAGATACATCGTTGACTTTACTATGCGATTGACTACGAGGTCTACCCGGTAATGGTTTATTGTTATAAGTATTCTTTGTCCTTGCAGCCGAAACTTCCAACAAAGAAGACGATGAAGCGGAACGTTGTGGTACAGGTTTCGGTATTAATTTAGTGATATCGGGAGTTGAAGAGACGGTAATTGTTGTTGATGGTGTTGGTATATTGCTATTATTATCATTACCAGAGTGGATATCATTTGTGTTGGATGTACCAGTGCTACTAGTGGCTGTTTCAAGGCTGGCAATATTATTGGTATCAGCAGCAGTAGTAGTAATTGTCGGTGTTACTGGTTCCGGAGCATCTGGTAAACCTGTTAGGATAAATGTTTAGTTTAAATGATCAATCCTAAATATTTTTCCCAACAAATGTGAGAATATAAAAACTGAAATATATGCTATTACCCTTATAGAACGGTGCTATTTTCCTTTGAATGATAAGCTTCCTTACAATTCTAGCATCGTAGTCTTGCTCTGTAGCTGTGTATAGACCATTGGGAAATACTGTGCCTAAATCGACCAGGTCCTCTAATTTCTGTGGTGGTAAACGATTATTGGTGGTTCTTTTTAATGTTGTCGTTGAGCTAGATGCAGACGTTTTCAGCGTTTGTTGATGTTTAGATGTATTTGCGCCCATAACTAACTGATTTATTGAGGAAAAAAACCAAAGACGAAGTAGTATAATATATCAGTTTTCAAAGAAAGAAGAGGAAAAGCTGGGAAAAGGAAGAGAAAAAAAATAGAAAATAAAGTTTTTGTCTTTTGATGGTAATTAAACGAAAACGGATTTTTTTTTATTCGTTCCAAGGATATCATTACATAATAAGCAAATTATCATTTAGGATAATTATAAGTAATTCACGATTGACTGAAATAATAAAGGTGACTCTTTAACTTCAAGCTGCTGCTGTTTTATTCGTGCTTGGTGTTGGAATGTCCATGATGGCATTTGGAGGTGCTCTGCCTTGTATATCAGTCAATGCACCATCCAGAATATATGTGTACGGCCCTGACTTTCTCACATCATTCATTTCATAAGCGATAACTAGATTACATCCTTTATGAAAAATAGTGAGTCAATAACAATGACAAAGACAGCAGCAAATAATGGGCTCATCCTAATAGTATTATCATCTTACGTGGACAATGGTATCGAAATTGTTTTTCATAACCTTCACGTCTAATAATTTAAAAAGAAAATAAGCGTTATGATTACGTTCAACATCTTATCCATGCTTAACAATAAAGTGTCTACCTTTGTAATAAAACACATTCACCTGCTTGTGCTGTCAATTTATAGGTTCGTCTTGTATTGGATACGATGACCGCATTGTCTGTCTTTCTTTTTGGTAGTTTCCGAAGATCAGCGTCAATGGCAAGCAGAAATTCTGAACATAAGCAATAATACACATGAAGCGAAGTAGATTGGTCATTCAGTAGAGCATGATCGGATGAGGAAACAACCGATGAAGAAACGATTTTCGGCATTGTTTACTGTGAAAACGTTAGATCTGTAAAAACTCTTTAAACGAGAATTGAAACAAAAAGCAAAATGTCTCGTCGGCAAATTGGTTTTTGCATTCTTCATGCCGCTGCTCAAATATGAATCAGGGTTTGCCTTCTGCCTTTTTACAGTGCTTTCCCGTTCACTATTGCACACTGCGTAAATTTTTTACGTGTTCGAAATCCACAACTTTAGCCAATAAATTTGCGTGTAGGAATTTCTGAACTTTCCATACTTTTGCACCCAAACATTGAAGCATATTCAGCAAATTCATCATGCCTTATGTGTCGTGCATTATACTAGCAATGTTGATTTGTTATTAACAAGAATCAAAGATAATATCTTTTATAATTTTATGAATCTATCGACTATTTAGGTATATCTATGTGGTGTATTTGATACGCAAACTAATTATTACTGTAGCACGCCGTATCTGTAAAAGAAAAACGATTATATGTGGGTGAGCTGCAAGCCCGCATTAAAGGAGCATTCGCTGGGTACTTCTAAGAATGTATTTACTTTGCCATTTTGGAGATGTATTCTATGTTTCAGATTTTGGTGAGTGATGGCTCTGGATAAATCCCTGGGCGTGTAGTTGGGGGTCGCCTTAATCCACACCTTTTTTATTTTGAGATCAGATAGCTTTGCCAGCAATTTGGACCTCAATTCCTTGAAGAATAATCGGTAGTTAATGCTTTCACAGTCAACGACGTGCGAATGTTCGTTGGTCGCTTAGTTAAGGCATATGAGTTCCTCAGTTTTATCAACAGCTTTGATTAGGTCTGCCATTGCCAGCCAGGTCAAGATGACTTTGCAAACAGCTTGAACGGCAAGGAAGTTGCAACTTCAGGCCTCATTGCACCGTAATGGGTCATACAAGAAAAAAATATCCATTTTTTGCTGGTCTTTACAAGTTCTTGGTCATAGGTGGTTAAATATTACTTAATGACGAGTTGTCAGCTTTCTTAGTTCCTGGCTAGGCAGTTTGAATGTTGTTGATAATGATGGTTCTAGACAAATTGATAAATCCAAGCTCCAGCAACCATTCATAGACACAAGGCGCTTGATAACTCCATATTTACAAGAACAGCACAAGTATGCCTCGGTGCCATCTCGGTGAGATTGAACCTTTGAATATTCTCTCCTCTTCTGCTCCTTAAAGCGACCTATATAATCTTCGGTTCTCAAAACTTATTATCCTTGGCTCTCTTTCGATATTCTACTCTACTTCAATGCTTGCAAATCTTTCATTCTATTCCCCAGCACTAATTCCTCGCCCACAACACCGACAGTTTATCTCTTACAACCACACAGTCCCATATATGGAAGGCCTGCTGGTCCTTCCATTTTAACATAGTCTACTTCCGATTGTACCGTATTGAACTCTCCTCGATCCGTTATATATGTCATCTACGTATAGATATCCATAGGATGGCTACTGATGAGTCTCTTATCTTTCATTACTACTGCACTACCCTCTCCCCACTTTTTTTCCTATTAAATCCTTTCTATTTTACTACTTCGACAGGGAAAGAAACCCATCACATATTCTTTTGCAAAAATGATAGTATCTGTTGAAATCGTGATTGTAATGGCAGATAAAACTATGTATCACATTACTCAAGGAATTTGTTCTGGTTATGGAAAACCTGGTACTTCAAGATTCTACAAGTAATAAGTCTACATTTAATCGAAAATGTATCCAAAAATCTTCTACTCGAAACTCCCAATTTTGTTGTTCTTTCGATCTGAAAATCAATTCAACGCTGTCCGAACTGAACATAAAAAGACTGATAACAAATAGAAGTTCATAACCTCCATTTGATACCAGGCTTTCCTTTACACAGCCATTTTATTCCTCGTGGGAAAGAAATAGATAAAAGGACAGATGTTATTTCATCGTTCCTGTCGCGGCCTTCCCTTTTTATCTTTTCCATATTCTATCTTAACATCAAAAGCCTATAACAGCACTTTAACAATGGCTACTATTTCTAAATTGAACCAAACAGAAAGGGATACACTCTTATCCCCTTTATTATCCTCTAGTCAAAAGTGGGACCTTGTTGAGAACAGGGATGCTATCAAAAAGACTTTCACTTTTCAAAATTTCAATGAAGCGTTCGGTTTTATGACACGCATCGCTTTGAAAGCTGATAAAATGGATCATCATCCAGAATGGTTCAATGTAAGCTAAGGATATTGAATGACTCAACAAGGAAGAGAACATCAACTGAAGACTGACTGCCAATTATTCTAGGTTTATAATCGTGTTGAAATCACTTTATCTACGCATGATTGTCAAGGTTTATCGTCAAGAGATATTGAACTGGCTAACTTCTGTGATAGCATAGCAGGATCCAATAAGTAGTATGAAAAAGTTACAAATGGGATTTTCATGAGTAGAGCACTCATTGACTATTGACAAATATAGTTAGAAGCGCTATAAAAAGAAGCCAACTTTTGTGAACAACGGATATTGTCTTTCTGAATAAAAAAGCATCTCCTCAGAAAACATATACATTTAGAATTGTATTGTTGATATGCTTTATTGATGTTTCTATTTCCCAGAATTGTATTGTTGATATGCTTTATTGATGTTTCTATTTCCCTTTAACATGCCATTAACAACGTAAAGAGCTCAGTTAAATACGTTCAGTCAAAAATTAATGCCACAGTATCACATTACCAATTTTTGAAACCTTCCAGAAGAAACCAGTAGAAAAGTTAGGTACAGCATTCAGAATACCTCTTTTCTTTTGCTGAGTATATTTGCTTAAAGAAGTAAATGTGAACTTCCTTCCCGCAAATCACTGGTTTTTTTTTTTTTTCCTTTTTTCAACAACCTTTTCTACATTAGTGCAGTGGGTTGTCCTTCTTGCCACTCTTCTTAGGCTATTTGTTAAGAACCTTTAAAAACGACGTCAACAAATAATAATAAAGAGGGTTACGGGCCCGGCGGTATATTCCTCATACCCAAATTAAAACCACTCAACAATGCAAAGAAATGTTTCGAATGTGGAGCAACATTCAACTTTTTTAAACAAAAGTATCACTGTCGTAATTGTGGTAATGTCGTTTGTTCCAGTTGTTCTGATCAAAGGCATTCCTTAAAAAAGTTTGGTTATGAAAAGTAAGTGCTAATGTTGCAGTTTCCAGTCGGTCAGCATACGAGAGCAGTATTTAATATTTTTTTGCAATTACACTAGCCCTGTCAGGTGTTGTGATACTTGTGAAAGGATGATTAATATGCAATACATGAGCTCGCGTGAATTATCACAGCTATCGTCGAAGATTCTGAAGGAATACATCAATGCCTACAATTTGCCGAACAAACTAGCTCTTGAAAAAGATGATTTAGTCAAGATTATATTTAATACAAGACCTATATCCAATGAAAGCGAATGTTATTATAGATGTCACCGTACAAGAAAGGTATCCAATCCAGCATCAGCTGCTTCAACTGGAGGGAACAGCAATAGTAATGATAATAATGATAACGAGCACAGTACAGGCGGTTTAGATCCTGCAAGCCTTGCCTCTTCTTTCTCAAACAGAGTGCAAGACCTTTTCACAACTACATTTTCGAATCCGTATTATTCTCAACAACAACAACAACAAGAACAACAACAACAATACCCGCCGCCGCCGAGTCAATATTCTCACCAGCGACCGCCACAACCACAACAGCATCATCAACCTGCAAATCATCAGCATTCTTATCGACCGCCGCCACCGCCGCAAAATCATTATTACAGACCGAATCGACCAAACCAAGAGCCATCACGTCCTTCAACAATGCCATCGTCATCCTCCTCAAATAATATACCATCAACATCGACTACTTCAAATGATAACCTTATCACCATTCACGATATGATTAAATCCCGTATTGACCCAGCATCATTATCTGTGCGTACCTTGAAATCTATCTTAAAGGCTAACTTTGTTGAACAATCACATGTTTTGGAGAAATCAGAACTAGTCAAGCTAGTGCAAAGATTAATGGATCAATATAAGCCTACTACTACAACATCCAGTAGACATGGTCCCAATAGCAACCATCCAGAGAACGATGATAATGTATATAAGGATGAAAACGATCTGTGTAAAATCTGCTTTGATGCGCAGCAGAACTGTGTATTTTTGGATTGTGGACATATGTGTACATGTATGGATTGCGCAAAGAAGGTAACTTAAAAATTGAAAACCGATGATTTCAATAACGCTATGATACTAATATAATTTAAACATTCGTCAGTTGATCGAAACGAAGAATGAGTGCCCTATATGCCGTGAATCTATCATTAAATTAGTTCATGTATTTCGTACTTAATGCTATCTGGCTATTTTTGTCCTTACTTAGAAATGCTAAGTATATCCTTTCAGCTACTGTCAGATCAGCTGTCTATGCAGCTGTGCATATCTGTCCGTTTGACATACGTTTCTATAAACCCTGTACAATATTGTAACTTATATTTATTGCTTTTGTCTGTTTAATACCACGTATAACTGTCCTCACTCAATAAAGGAAAGGGCTAGTTGCTGCCCATGATCAGTTTATATTCGACTGTAGATGGTCGAGCACTGTGCTGGTATTTTACATTTTTTATTTTGCAGGTGATAAACATCACAATATATCGACAATCAGCTGCCGTGTACGAAATATATCAAATAGTGAAGCAGGCAAGCTGTTTACAAGGTTATCTTCGAGCTGTTTCAATGCTACATTCAATAAGTGAAAGAGAATCTGGATCTTGTATACTCAGTTTTGGTTGGCTAATAGGCTTTGTTACAGTGGTAACCAACAAAGAGAAAAAAAAAGGTTTACTAATTGAAAGGCTAAGCCAGCCTAAGGCAATTACTGTGATACCTTCCATCATTATACTGCGAAAGCCGTCATGTATGAAGGGAAGTTTGATCAGTCGTTATGAAAAATTGGTCGTGATCTGGATCAATCTACGTGTTTGACGAAATACCCAGCATTTTATATTTTCTGTGTAATTTTGTGTATTTACAGCATACATTTAACAAATCCGATTAATTTCATTGGTCTGTTTCAAAATAAGGTCGCGTCGTTCATTACCCCTTATCAGTGTAAGTCAGATGGAACAAACGGGAAAAAGTTCTCCGTTTAGATGTTTGCGAGGATTTTAGCATCCTATATTTAGGACTAAAAGTGCAAAAACCACAAAAGCACAATTGAAATTTTTCTTGCTGTTTTTAGGACAGCTGCAGACTCCTTACAGTAGAATATAGTATTAAGTGTATTCAGGTCCAACGCTTGCATGCAATAAATTTAAGCATTTAAGAACAGCCGTGGTCTGCCATCATTTGAGCTTGACCTACTGTTATCCTCAGAGAAGTTTCTAGATACTCAGGCAATGTGGTTATACAATATGACAGATCTGTTAGACACTGCCAACGTAGTATTCATATAACTTGCTATGTTTCGTCAACTTTATCCATTATACCTCCATAAGCCAGCCAACACTAACCTACGGAATTGCATTTCCGAAATAGGATATTAAGAGCTTTGTACTGTAATAGATCATCGATAAGAAATAGTTCAGCGAATAACGAGAATATTTGGCAAACAAAATCCTTTTGAGAACCATCGTTAGTCCCTTCCGACGCCCCGTTCAACGATCTTATTTATGGTGACCTTCTTTCTCTTCGTACCTCTCTATTCCAACTTCTTGGCTTTACCATATGAAATAACTATCATTTCATCTTGTGAAACTGAAATATTTGCTTGTCATCATAATTGTAACAAACGTCTTTTACGATTTTATAAAAGTTGCTACTGTCCTCCATGTTTATCATTTCACTGTAGAACGAAAGAGCAACCCTGAATTAATAACAACTCTGAAGGGCTGAGCGTTAAAAAATCCTATCGATGCAGTTTCTGCACACACGGATTGGGTACATTCAGAAATGAAAGTGCGTGTTGCAGCTAAGTAATTACCCTAAGATGGAAATTGAGCTTGTCAAATACATATATAAACAGGTAATTGCAATTGTCAAAACACAGAAGGATTACGACTCCTTGGGTTCTGCGTTTGTCTCAGACACGTATTTCAGAGCCCAAAGGTCAATATATACATCGATTTTCTAAAAAAAATGAAATAAAAAAAGTTAGAGATTTTATAGTTTGATAGGTCCTTTTTGAGTTAAGTATGGCATCGAGAGTTTCCCTCTCCGCATCACATACACCCAACAGATAGTAACGGTCGTGCTTAATAATGCGATAGTCATAGCGAGTGCTCACGCAGAGATCTTCAGATTCATGTGCTGATAAGAACTGCTTTTAGAATTCGTGTATGTGCAAGAAACATCCTATTTTTTTTTGGGCTGTGGGTGTCAAGAAGAGAGTTTTTACAAGGATCTTTTATGTTTCCAAAAATAAACACCACGCTTATACTGGTAACGGAGTTCAACCGCTTTCAATCTCCATGATTTCAATGTTTCAAACGCATTAACCATCTTTCTGCTCAGTTCATTACCAGAAGAACCAAAAAAGAAAAAAAACCCTTAGAAAGTAAAAATCAAATAATAATAACGTTGGAAAGCAGAGAGAAAAAAGCGGAAAGCGGAAGAGAGAACTTTCGACAGATTTCTTCGTGGAGTATATATAAAAGCTTTGCCTTCTTCCTTCTTTCAGTTTTTTCTTTCTTTATTTCTTAAACAATACACTTGTGTTTGATTGTTTATTCCTGACTTACTTTACAATGAAATTCACTGCCATTACCGCAACAGTCGCTGCTCTTTTTGCTGCTGTCACTGCTCAATCAGAATACATTGTATCGCCCGATAGGCAATTGAACATCTCTTCTCCTTTGATGAATGGTGTTTACGTAGCTGGTCAAATTCTTCCTTTCATCTATACTCCTACTGTTGTTCCTTCCAGTAAGTACCTCCAGTAATTGTATGGGAAAAATCAAAAGTAGAATGGATGACAGAGTGAGCAATATAGGGTACATACGTCTGCTATGCAGCTCTATACGCGCACGGACGCCCGTGCTCTTCTGTTGTGCAACTATAAGAATTTCTCGCTTCTAACGTCCCGCTTCATTCTTTACTTCAGACGTTCAATTGAATGTTTACCTTAGAAGTATGACAGGTGTTTTCCCTGAACAAATTGTTGCACAAAACGCCAACGTCGCCGCTGACCCTCTTGGCAGTGTTCCCATCAACATTGATAACATCATGTACTACAAGCACTCTATTAACTATCCTATTCCTTCTTATACTCCCGCTGGTGCCTATGAAGCTGTCTATACCAATCTAGCTGATGGTATCAGTACTATTATTCCTATTGTTATTCAACCCGGTCCTCAACCATCATCATCTCGCGTTGTAGCTTCTTCTGCTCCTGCCACTGCTGCTCCTGCCACTGCTGCTGCTACTCCCAGTGCTTCTGCTTCTGCTTCCAGTGCTCCTGCTGCTTCCGCTTCCCCAGCTAAATGTAAGTATGAGAGGATGTGATGGAATAGCATAGGGTTGGTTTTGTATGATGAACGTATTACTGACTTTTTTTTTTTTTTCTTTTTTTCTAATTTAGCCGCCTAATTCAAATAGCATTCGACAATTATTGCTTACCAGGCAATCCGTCCCTTTGATACATAATTCTCTTCATTTTATTTATCTATGTACACGCATTACTTAATTACCGCTACACATATCCTGTACGCCACAATGGTTGGCTCAAATCAATAAATTAGCATCTATGTACTTTTTTTAAGCAAATGCGGCTTGTTGAAAAATGTATGCATATTTTTAATTGCGCAGAGCACCTGAAAGGCACGATACACGACTGATTTGCGCCAATTTCATTACTTTTTTGGTCTTTCGTTTTATTGGGAATCGTATGTTGCTATATGTTTAACTAGGCTGTACTTTCAAAATAGTTAGCATAGCGTCACACACACTCAACAGCATTTAGTAGCTTCATTTTGAGCGATCCGAAAACAGATAAGAAACAGACCTAAAATCTGACTTTTATCAAATTTTTTTTTTTTTTTTTGAAAACACTATTCTGTTTCGCATTCTCATTTTTGCCCACAAAAGCATAAATTGTCGAGCTTACATTTTAATCTTTTCTTTTATCAAATCGAACAAATCAACAGAAAATGTCTGCACAGCAAACTACTTACAACCATTTACCTAAAACTTTAAAAAACCGTTACATCATTCAAAGACACGGTTTCTCTTTGGCTAATAATGATAAACTTATTTGTTCCAACCCTGAAATCGCTATTCCTCCAACTGGTGGCCCTTTAGGTACTGGCTATGGTTTGCATGATAAAGGCAAGACTCAAGTGAGAGAAGTATATATCAACCAGATGGCCTTTTTTTTTCGGGCAGATATCTTTATCTGAGTGATCAGGTCGAAGCTAACGTGATTTTCTTTACAGTCTGCAACCCTTTTATGCAAACACCTTTTCCCTACTCAAGAAGCACCTAAAAACGACGATCAACCTGTTATCATGTTCTGTTCTCCTTTCAAAAGAACAGTCGAAACTGCCGGCATCATCCGTGATGTTCTCAACGAAACTGTACTCAATGGAAAGATCGCAGAACCCACCCACGTATTTGATTTGAGAGAGCGTTGGTATGCTCAGCTCGATATGACGAACGATGATAACTATAAGAAATGCTGGATCGACGATGCACAAGGCCCTGATCACGGCGAACATAGTCAATATGGCATCGAGTCTCCCAACAGTGTCTGTGATAGAACCACCAAGTTCATTGCCGAACAATTAGAAACCAAATATGAAGGCAAGACTATCATTCTGGTCGCTCATGGTGATGTTTGCCAAATTATGTTGACTGCTTTTGCAGGTATCGAAGCCTGGAGACACAGAGAATTAGAGCATGTTGATACTGCTAATTGGCGGGTCGCCAACCAATCGTGAAAAGAGAATAGATAGATCTACTCTTTTCGCCATCCACTTTGTATAAATTCCACCTCTTACAGACCAATTTCTCTTTCCTTTTTATTTTTTAGAATATTATTATCGTGATAGAGACTGTAATAAAGAATCTGACATGACGCTATAAATTTTAGAACAACCATCAATGCATTGTTCAATTGCTTTTGTACTTATAGCTGGATCTGATTGTCCTGTTTGTAATACATGTGTAATTTCGTTCAAGGATGGCATATAAGACAGCAACACAGATCCGTCTTTCTGAAGTTCTTCTTTCTCCGTACCATCTGTCAATATAAGCTGTTGTTCGTCTTTTGTGGCAAGAACGGTGGAGCAAGCGGTGACTTGATCAAACATCTCTATACCTGCGTCGGCTAAAGAAACACTAGCGGCAATAATAGCAGCGGCGAGACAGGATGTTGTGCCGTCATTTTCTAATACATTTATATAGATGTCAATAGCTGATTTGGGTAGTAATTCGACACGAACAGCTGGTGTTACTGCCTCAACTACTATATTTGAAAACTCTCTTTCTTCAGCATCCTAAAAGGATAAGGCGACTGCTTCTCAGTATTCTATCCTATCTTTCCTCAAAGATTGTTTATCTTTCAACCTACCCGAATATTGCCTCTTCTTTTTTTGCATGAGAACGGCGAAAATTTGAAATCACAGTTAATTTTACACAAGTTGGAGAAATCTGACTTTTTCAACTGACGTGGACCGTAGCTATCAAAAACAGAAAATACATGCAAAACGATAAGTATAACTATTCTCTTGCTAAATTCCATTTCTTCTAGCTTGGTAAGAGTGTGAATCCACAAATACATACACGGCACATGTAACTTTTGTATTTCCTATTTCTATATATGCTGAACCATTTGCCTGTGTTACAAGTCCTGTCCTTAAAACTATATTTCACATAATCAATAGAATTATGGTTAATGACACGCAATTCAAAAGTGAAATAGATCTTGTATAATCAGTTACTGCTCACAACTCACATATTGGTCTATGATCTTCGGTACTTCTTTCATCCAAACGCTTTCGCTCACTATTTAAAATGTCAACTGCTTCTTCTAATTTTTTATAGATAGGTTCAACACTTTGTTCGGGACCATTAACACGTCTGCGATCCATTGTAAAGAATGTAAACTTTGATAAGCCAAATTTGAAGAAAAGAGAAATTGATTAAGGAAACTTCAGGTTTTGTTAACGCTCTGGATTATTTTTTTTTGGAATGCTGTGACTTCAAATTTCGCCTACAGTAAGGCAGTAAGCATTCACTGTATGAAAACATTATTCAACAGCTCGAGGAGCAGATATTTCAGTAACTGTGAGTTACAAACCTCAACTACTCTGTATTATCTTTGTAATTGCCCAGACAAAAAAAAAAAAAAAAAAAAAGAAAAGAAAAGAAGAAGATCTTTGACCGGCTTCAAAAAAAAAAAAAGGGATACTTTATGATATCAATCCTCGAATTGCAAACTGAACAATTTGATTCTATTAGCAAAGCTCCGCAGATACATTTCTATTTTGTAGCAAGAACTGCCATTACCTTTCGTCCGTTGTCTCATTTACAGAGCTGTCTTGTGTTATGTAGTCTACTCATTCAAGTAGGGATGTTTTTGAGTCCAAGTCCGAGGCCCTGATATCTTTATTCATCGATTCTAAACCATGCCATCATATAAATTTAATGCTTGTAGTATTGTTGGATCTTTCTTCGAACCTTCTTTAAATTCATCCATAGAGAGTCTATTATCGTTGTCCTGTAGTGCCACAAGGAGGAAATAAGTGTGAGTGTGTGTCTATGTTTTTTCCCTTCAATTGTGATTCGAGCTTACAATATCCATTAAATCGAATATCTTATTGACCCTCTTTTCTGGAGTGTCTTCATCCGGAGGTAGTTTCACCATACTGCCTACCATTTTATAAATCGCATCCACAATTTTCAGCATTTCGTCCCGAGTAATATATCCATCATTATCAATATCATACAACTATATTGAAAGTATTGTTCCATGCATAAGAATTATGTTTTAATTCTCACAAAGAATTTATGTTCATACCTGGAATGCCCCTTTATCATAGTCATGGGTATGGATGATAACAATGAATAAAATACTTAGTGTCTCAAAAGTGCGCTCAGCCATGTCGAAAAAATAGTTGCTTACAATATAGTTTTTCGTCGACTCGTCCTCTACTTGTAACCGATAATGCCACTATAAATTCTTTAAAGTCTATCATTCCATTTTTGTCATTGTCAAACACGTTAAACACATAATCCGCAAATCGTGAAGGATCGCCAAATGGAAAGAACTGTTTATATATTTTCTGAAATTCTGTTTTGTCTAGTTGACCGGTAGGACAGTCTTTCAAAAAGCCTTTATACCATTGTTGTAGTTCTTTTTTCTCGACTAAAACAGCAAGTGTCAGCAGTAAACTGAATAAGAGCTAATGAAAAAAGTGGTTTGACACATTTCAAGACAACCAACTTACAATATGTGCATTTCTGCAAATCGCTTAACTGTTCCGGACTAAGTTTACTTTGTGCTTTACCCATATTTCTTATTTGTATGAGGAAGATACTTGTGGTATGTTATTGAAAGAGGTAGAATAAAGGATATATTGTAGTTTCTTTGGAAAAAAAAAGCAAAAGCAAAGAAACAAAAACGCAACCTATCTATAAAATGAATAGAAATGATTGCCTAATTTATTGATATGAGATAATGACAAAATAAATCATCCCAGATTTGGGGCGGCCAAAGGTAAAACTTTCAGTTACGCTAAAAGTCAGTTTCTGTTGCTTACTATGTATAGAATTGGTTCGGTAAGCAGCGTGCTTTCATATCTAATGCTGATGCATACATTACATGATATTTTATGTATTTATGACAATGTCCACGTCGTTTTGCTCAGTTGAAAAAGAACATATAGGTTGCAGTTGACAAATTCGGTTCTAAAAAGTTCTAGAACTCTATTTACTCAAATGATTAGATATTTCCGCTGTTAGTGGTTTTGTCTATTTATGGAATATCATTTCATCATTTTCAATAACTACAGGACGGGATATAGCGTTTCTCACTATTGAAACTGATGCAAATTCGAATGCTTCCATAAAGCATTAATATTATATGCAGAATGAATTATTTGTCGTACAGACATATGCTTCATGAGGAACATGCGTCGACAACTGCTAGGCCACCAACACAGTAACCTACGCATTCATTTACAGCGACAGTTGATATAATGCAGGCTTAAAGGATGGATAAACTAAGCTAACTATTAAGTCAGTACAGACCATGACAGAAAGCATAGCATGCTGATTATTAGTACAAGCAATTAAACGTTGTCTGCACGGTACAACCTGTTATTTGGGTGACTGTTCCCGTTTTTGGCAAGTTCTCAGCTTCTGAGAGGCTGCTTTTCCAAGCTTCTCAAGAGCACGTTTATTCACGCGCTGAAAAGTCTATATAGACCAATGGCCAAAAGCAATCCAGATGTGATCGAGTTTGAGGAAGATGAGCCTGTATATGAAGTAGAAAGAATTTGTGGACACAGGCATTCTAAAATTACAGACGTACATTCAAATATAAGATTAAGCTGGAAACCCTATTGCGTATATGTGATTAACCTTCAAGGTTTATGTATATATATAGCTTGTGGAATATTATATCAAATGGAAAGATTATGATAATACTAATAATACATGGGAGAAAGAATATAATATGTAAAAATTGATTCTTTTGAACTGTAAAGAATCACAGCACGAAAAACTGATTCCCTACTATTAACAGTTATTCTCCAGGGTTGATAAAGGATTACTGGGCAAACCAAGATTACACTCTCGAGGATTTCAGAAACAAGAGACATCGCAACAAAAAGCGTGGTAGAAGTGCAGATCGACGCTCCAATTCACCTTCAAAAAAAAGTCGTTCCTCTCCTGCTGATAGTACGGAGCAGTATAAAGCAGCTTTGGAACGTCAGCAGATGATAAAAGAAATCGAAGCTTCTCAGTTAAAGTCAGCACCTCCTCACGGCTATACTTGGGCAGATATTGATGAGATCGTTAACGTGTTCCTTGCAGGGAAAGAAGTTTATTTTGCAGAGATTAAATGGAAGAACTTAGATAGACATACCTATACACCAACAAGACTGTTAAAGAAGTACAATCCACAAAAGGTAGAATTTATTGTCGTCGTGAAGGCATGAAGCAAGAAATGGATCTTAACATTTTTCCATTCATGAAACATGATAGTTACTCGTCTTCTTCGAAAGCCGACTAGAATTTGCGCCTCCAAATCGCCACTGATGCTAATACAGTCATATTCCTTGTTCCTTTTTTTTTTTTTTTGAATTAACTGACCAAACTTATAATTGTTGTAAAAAGATATCCCCTCATTATATACAAATGTAAAATTCACAAGACACTCTTTCAATTTCAATGTATGAATAGATAAGATGCTGCTGATTGCTTTTACATGGCAATTGTTCTGTATGATTTGCTCTACTTTGAGCTCTTTCATGACGGAGCTAATCCATTGATATGGGGCTTCCTCGTTTTATTGATAAAGGTTGGTTTGGCTATGTACAAAGGGTAGAAGGAGGTGTTGTTGTGCGCGCGCTTTGCATGGTTCCTGGAACTATTCTCTGTTAGAAAACACTCCATATTTCTATTTTTTCATCTTCGTTTCGGTAAATAACACATGCTTCTTGACTAGATACGTAATTTTTGGTTAGAGCATAAGAAGCTCAGTAAGTGTGTAAGGTCATGGCAAAAAGCTACTTTACCCATCGGATCGTACTTCATCAAAGATAGTTTGGATGCTACTCTTGGACGACTTTTAATGTAATTGTAGCCAGTACCAGCGGTGGATAAGAGCTTCACAAGAATAACTCTAGCTTTTGCTTTTTTGGCCATTGTAACTTTTCTAAAGACAACTGTTCAGGGAAGACGAAAAAGAAAGGAAAGCAAAAGGGGCTCCTTTGACATTTGAAAGTCTAGCTTCCGGGGTCGGCCAATCAAATTTAGTGAATCTGAAAACAGTTTATGAAGCGAATTAAATGTCAAATGTCTAAGCTGATCGAATTCAATGACATTGAACGTCTCAAGAGCAAGTTTACTTCAGCAAAAAACTGAAAGAATTGTTGCATGTTTTAATTTGGCATGTCAGGTTGATTACGGCATGTGGGGTTTTTTACTTCGAACAGCGAAGTTGTTGTATCAACAAAGAATAACTAAAGGCACCACTCAATGGAAAAACTATAGAAGCTAATACGAGCTATCTGAAACATACCATTATCCACAGTAGTAGTTTTCTTTTCAAAAAAAAACAACAAACCTACCAGTTCAGTAGCAAATCAATAGTACTAGACTACAGTTCAATTATAATAGCAGCTTTTTGTAGGATTAAACAAGATTGTATATAATTCCATCGATTTCTCGGATATTGAAGTCAGTAACTATGAAACTACCTCTTGAAGCAACTCATCAAATTAATTGATGCAACTGTTGAATTCACATTGTTGGAAAGTGTTCTTCATCTTTGAATTTAAATAAGGTCTGAAAGAAAAACCATCAAGGTGACGTCAATTGGCTATTAGAAGGCCTGAATTTGCCCCACATTAGCGGTGATTAAACACCTTGGTGTATTTTTCTGCTTCACGGTGGACTCACTGATCTTCTCTCTGTAATAGACAGACTTACACTACTTCATAATGTCAACCCCAAACGCCGTTGCACATCGCTTGCAAATTCAATCACTTTATAAACGCTCTTTAAAGCTTTCGTTGGATTGGTATATACAACGTGACATATGGCGTCAAAAGGCTTTACAGATCAGACATCAATTTGAGCAGAACAGAAATGTCACAAATCCTAAAGAAATTCAAGCTTTGATTAAGAAAGCCGAGAAGGAGTTGGAAGACTGGGATCACCCCACACCATATACCAGTAAACTATGCTTTATAATACTACTATCAATTGGTTTAATCCCACTAACAAAAAATACCTTTTCTTCTAGTTCCTACGGCTCCTGAAGGTACCAAGTGGGAACGTAACTTACCCCCCATCATGGTAAGTGGATATTGACGGTACTGCTAGATAATTTTACATGCAGATATAGTGCTAAAATAAAATTGCTGTACTTTGTAGTTTGATAAAACGGAACACCATCACTAAGGCAGAAGAAAGCCAAAAAAAGTCAATGAGCCATTAACAATAAAAACCAACCTACATGAATCGTCATATATCCACGCTTTAGTTATAAAAAAACCCACAGCTGTAGAATAAAAGTATTACTTCCCGAAAGAAGCTGAAATATACTTCAATGATATATTTGCCCAAGTTTGAGGGGCATGAACAGATAGTATATATCTGAGATTAATGTATTATGACCATGGCAGCAGTCTCACGGAACTGTTTTAAGAGAGCAGAAAATCTTAAAATCCGGGGAGAAAAAAATAAACACAGCACAGCAATCATGAATTATTTTTCCTTTAAATATTTCGTTTTTATTCTTGTTTTTGTTCAAATTCATGTCTTCCGCTTCTTCTCGCCTTCAAACAGTGAAAGAACACTTAAAGGTATACCGCATTTGTTAAACACCCAGTACTGTGTCAAAATGTCAATACTCACTGGGAAACATACATATAGCCTGTCATGTCTTCTCACAAGAGCCCTATCACTTGTCATGTCCTCATTGCATCCTTAGGTGTACCTGGTGAAAACATCGATGTCAAAATCGAAAAGTTAGACTCTACTGGCGCCTTCAGTACTCTTTCCACATCGTAAGTGTATTATCAAGAAGTAGGGCTGTTTATTCATGAAGATGGGAATGCAGGGTGTTTCATTAAGTTTCTTTTGGCTGGACATTCACTAACCTCTTAATATAGTCAAACCAACAATGATGGTCGCTGCCCTACTTTATTGCCGGAAGGTTATAAGGCTGAGAAGGGTATTTACAGAGTCACTTTTGAAACTGCTGCTTACTTTTCCAAGATGGGTCAAAAGTGTTTCTATCCTTATGTCCAGGTAAATTAAAGATGTGGTTTACAAAAGACAGACAAAAGGTGTATTCAAATATTATTTTTTATATTGAATAGATCGTTTTCGAACTTGCTAATCCTGAGCAACATTATCACATTCCCCTTTTGATCAGTCCTTACTCTTATACTACTTATCGTGGTAGTTAAATCAGTTCCATGACATATATTTTAAGTCGCTGAATGTGTTGTAAATATAGACTTATTTAATAAAGATCCAATCGAAAGTCTGCCGTTGTACACAAATGGGTATATTTATTGAACGTGTAACCTCAACGGTATAAAGGTAAGCTGTCTGTGCACACATTTCTGCTGAAAAATTGAGGGACAGGGTTTACTCCTTTGGCGGATCTATTGCAGTATTCAACAGTCCGACTTCAACCGCCCCCACATTAATAACACAGTTCTTGGCAGTGATTGACTGTAGTTTAACAATGATAAAGGTACTTTAAACAATAAAACGTAATCACTTCATACTTCCTGTTGAAATCGTTCATAGAGAAGTGGCTATTAGCATTACCTATTAAATAATTGGGTCAAACAGTATTTAATAATAGAGATGCCGATATGATCGATGTAGATATATGATAAGGATGTACTAGTTATAGATGAAGAATGGATGGCATAAACGTAATTGCCCCATAAAAGGCTATCCTATCTTGTAATTGAGGCCTACAATTGTTGACAATTGCTTGCTTTTAAGTCGAAATTTGGTACTTCTTACATTTATCCTGTAGTGCTTGTTGATTTTCTGATAAAAATTGAAAGAATAACAAAACAGATAATAAACACGAACCTTTACGAAATCAGATCGCCTCTTTTTTTTTTTCTTCTTTCAAACGAGTCAAAGAAAAAGAAGAAAATAAAAACTACTGTTATTAGTAAAGAGATATTCGTGCGTGATGCTCATAGTCACGTAAACAGTCGTTATTATTAATAAAGAGTAATTGAGCTTTTAATCCTCAACCATGCTTTATTTTCAGAACAGAAAGTAGGTCATGGCCTATCATGTTTTGGTTTTTGAATATATAAAACCTACGAGTGCATATACCAATCCTGCTATATACATAAACGTCATATAGCCACAAATATGATAAGTAAAATATAGTTCATGAAAGTCTGTTGAGTTCCTAGGAGGCAGCCAATATCACATAAGAATTTTCCTTGAATTATATTCTTTTCTTATCTTCTCTTATGATTGTGCTCTGATTGAAGACAGTCAAATGTATGCAATTGAACATACCGCTACCAAATGGAAATGTGGATACGAGCAGCGCTTATATTTGGAATCAAAGTTTTGCTTTAAAACTTCGTGAGACGTTGTGGTTAATTATACATGCCAATATACTGCCATCGCAACCCAACGACATATTCAGTTATTTTCTTTGAAGTTAGAATTTCAATTGTTGCTTTCTGAAACATCACATTATTGTGGCTGTAGAACTCTTCTGGCTTATTAATCTTTCCTTGAATCCTTCTTTCCTTTATATGCCCCTCTTGGTATTTATACCGTGCTGTTAACTCCTAATTTTTGTCAGAGTTTTCTTTGCCCTCAGAATGATTGTCAGAACAGTCTTATTCTTCTGAGCATATAAAAGTACATTTGACTCTGCCAGCTTGATTATCTCTCATGATCAGATGCTGGTAATTGAGACAGCTTCCAGCATGGAGATTAGGTTGCTCAAGTTCCTTGCGAAGGCTAGCTATTTGATAGACATTTTGTTTCTAACAATTATATTTGCCATTTCCATTTTTGATTCCTTCCCGACAGTATCCCCTTCTGTTATAAAATAGAGTATATGCTTCAAAAACACGAGAAAAGAAGCACTAAGAAGGCTCAGTTTCAGCGCCATGCAGAATCTCAAATAGCATGGCAAATAAGCACAATCTAGCTAGTCGATATGCAGGAATTATCGAACTTTCAAAGTCCAGGCTGACTTATTGTGTGGCAATTCCTGCAGCTTCTGCTGGCTGTCAAAAAGCTCGAACCGAACGCGTTCTGTAAATAAGTTACCGAGTGAAGATCGACGCGAAATTGCATCAAAAGTGTTTTCGTAACTTTTCCCTTTAAACAAACCATAAACCAGTATTCGCCATTCGATATATAATGAGTCTCTGGGCAGATAAATACAAGCCAAAATCACTTGATCAACTCTCATACCATAAAGATCTCTCCAAGCATCTTAAGAAACTTGTACGTTGACATACAATAATCTGAAAAAAATTCAACAATAGAAAAGTTGATCAATGACTTTTTTAATCAAACTTTAAAGGCTCATTCAGAAAATATCCCTCACATGTTGTTCTATGGGCCTTCTGGAGCCGGAAAGAAGACACGTATAATCGCTGTTTTAAGAGAAATCTACGGTGCTGGGGTTGATAAAGTAGGTATACAGATAAATGAAGACAAATATCGTATTTCAGAGTCTTAGTCATATATTCTCCTTTTTTGAATGAATTAGCTCAAAGTCGAACAGCGTCAGTTTGTGTCAACTTCAAACCGTAAATTGCTTTTTACAGTTGTATCGAGTAACTATCATATAGAAGTCAGCACAGGGTAAGAATAGTATCAAGTAGAAAATCTTGCAAATGCCAAGGTGAATGAACAACAATATATAATATTTTATTCGTAACAATTAGTGATCTTGGAATTTATGATCGTTATATTATGCAAGATGTTATAAAGTCTATTGCTCAATCGCAGCAAATTGATGCTAATGCCCGACACTCCTTTAAAAGTAACCCATATTTCTAGACTTTTTTTTTGGAATATTGGCTTTCCCAACACTTTGCTAAATGGAACATTTTAATAGTGGTTATTATCGATCAAGCAGATGAGTTAACAAAGGAAGCACAAGCCGCTCTTCGTCGAACGATGGAAAAATATGCTACCAACATGCGCTTAATTCTTTGCTGTAATAATCTGAGTAGAATCATTGCTCCTGTTCGATCTCGTTGCATGTTAATACGTGTTGCACGACCAGAAACAAATGAAATCGTTCGTGTTTTACAAGAGGTGGCTTCAACTGAAAAATTCACTCTACCAACAGAGCTTGCTCGCAATATCGCAGAACATGCTGATCGAAACATGCGTGCGTCATTGCTGTCTCTTGAAAGTACAGCAGCACGATAGTAAGCACTCATACCATAGCTCTCCGAAGAAAACCATCCTTTGGAACTAATGCTAAAACTTTCTATTGCCACAGCCCTGATTTAACAACTGTTAAGCAACCTGATGATATGGATTGGCAAATAGCTATTTCTAGAATCGCCGACAATATTATGAAAGAACAATCAGCACCTAAACTACTTGAGATTCGTAAACAACTCGTAGACGTGTATACAAAATGTATTCAATCTAGTGTTATATTGAAGAAACTATCGTTTGATTTAATTGAACGTGTCCCGGAACCGATCAAAATAAAAATCGTCGAACAAGCTGCTTTCCATGTAAGTTAAACGTTGATAAAAGAAAGGATGGATTGATGGAATATTGATTTCACTTGACTATTTGTTCACTTCAGGAACACCGATTACGAATTGGCAACAAGGATATATTCCATTTAGAGGCATTCGTAGCTCACGTAATGAGCATTTATAAGAAGTAAGTCTTTGATTTGAAAATTGAGAAGAAACTTGATTATGATGACTTACGAGGACTTAAAATACTCTTATAATATAGCTATTTAAACAATAAGTAAGCAGAAAAAGCTGACTTAATACATGGGGTACAATTTAATGCTGGAATAGATGTAGAAATTATTGTAGTAATAAGCTTTGAGTCGGGAAAGATGGTTATAACTTTACCCAAGCAATAAATACAACCGTTTTCTCTGGATGACAGTGTGTTAAAATCGTCAATTCAGCTATATCAACTTCATACTGATGTAACTTTTATTTTTTCAGTCACCATATCTTGCGTGAACCAAAGATCGACAGTAGGTGATTATAGATACGAGTATTATTACATTAGAATAGAAATTACAGTTAAGGAAAGGGGCGTTTGGCAATGATGATTATTATACAAGTGACAGATTCGAGTAAGAAAGAAAAATGGATGGTTTGGTGAATATAAATTGTTATGATCTTCTTGTACCGGCCACCGTAGGCCTACTATCAATACTATCAATCACAAATTGTTCTTGATCATCTTCCATTTCGTTGTATCCAGCAAAATTCAACTCTTCATCAATGTCAGCTGCTAATTTGGAATAATGTGATTGATTCAGCGATATATAATAGCATGTCACCACATAAGCGAAATAGAGCTATATAAAAGGCCAAAAGACGAATGAGAATACCATTCTGACGTTATTGCAGTCTGCGTTTCTTTCTATTTAGAAGGACCTTACATGGATCAATCGGACTATACATAAAATGACGATACTGACAATACTCTCCATTTTAAACGAAGCATCGTGTTCTACTTGCTGTTCAGGCTTGCCATCCAAGTCGGGTAGAGAATGATCTGTGTACACAAACCATTGTATTGCAAAATAGACAGTGCTAAGTGTGCTAATGATGAAGTCGATCCAATAAAACATTGCAAAATATCTAACAAAATCAAATTTTTCCTAAAAAAGATAAATTATTTTCATCAAGAAGCGTCAATATGATAGCAGAAGCAAAGTACATTATAACTGATACTCTTTGTATCTATTTCTTCTCTGACCTTATGAACACCATATAGTCCTGTGGCGAATAAACCAAGAGCAATTAAAGAATACACATGTATACAAACAGCAACCGGGTCGCTGTAATCCAGTGATATCAAGCCATACAGTCCAGACAGTTTATTGAGCTGATAGGATGAATTGATGACGAAGAATGATTGTCTGACGTGTTAAAGAGCTATCTTTTGCGTGGTAAAATATTGTAAAAGAGGGAGCTGAACTCACCAGACCAAATATAATGATCAAATATACACCTGTCATTGTCATTAACGACAGAAACAAAATGATTATAGAATTCCTTGTTACTTTCAAGATCGCTAAAGACGGTTAAAGATGCGCAATTACTGCTTGTTATTACCTGTTTTAAGGGGAATAAATAGAAAGCAATTCCGAGATCGCTTGAATAATGCCATTGTTGTTCTTTTTGGCTTTGAGGTGTTACGGAAAAGCAAAAGGCTCGTTGATTTAAAAATTAATTAGAGACAATGCTCGGCAATGTCATTTTGCCGAGAAAGGGAAAAGTGCAGATCGAGCAAGCAAAAACTTCAATGACACTTTGTACCAGAAACATGCTTTGAGAGCCTTTAAATAATCAATTACTAAATGTTTTATTAGACGTAGAACTGGGAATGCTGTTGATGTGGTATCGGTGAGGCTTCTTCATTACGATCAAAGATAAGAGGTATATATGAATATTGCAGTAAGCGAATCATTAAAAACGGTAAATACATAGTAACAACATTTCTTATTTGTATGTTCAATGGCGGTCGTAGCCTTATAGGAAGGGTGGCATCCTAGTGAAATACAGGCCTGACCAATATGTAAGCATCTCTGTTTTCATTCAACCTATAATAATCAGAGACCATACTCTGTACTCTAAATCCATTTTTCGCATAAAATCGAATGGCCAAGTCATTGATCGTTTGTACATGTAGATACAGTGATGTTACGATGGGACTACTGATTTTCCTTGCAACATCCATTATGTATTGAATTAAAATACTACCTTGATTAGATAAAAGTTGAGTTGTCAGGCGCTAGTTAATATCGTAAAACACATCAGTTTTTTTGAAAATAAGCGTGATTACCGAGACCATTGTTCCTGAACTTCGGATCTATCGCTAGAGTCATCATGTATATTCTACCTGTATACTTTGCGTATGGTGTTAATTCTAAACGACAGCAGATAGCACCAGCATGCTCGCCATTGTAATATACTGTTTTTACATATAGTTATACGTAATTTGAGTATAGCATGGTTAAGTCCAATATACAAATACAGAAAAAGCAAAAGAATAAGAAGAAGCGCAAAGTAGATACTTACTCAATCTACTGAGATCTCCTGAATGCAACACTTCATCGTAAAAATTCTCGCCATAATGTACAGGGAAAACGCGCGTATGAAGATTGATCAGATCAGAGAGATTTTCTAGAGTAACATTACAGAGTGTTATTTGAGGTTGAGGGTTGAAGGATACTGTTGGAAACTTTATGACTGACGAAAGGGACATTTAGAAACAAGAGGTAATAAAAGTAGGGGAGAAAAGTGCACCTTCTTTTTGCATTTAAAAATTAAACATTTTGAAAAATCGTGATATCAGCTACATGATTGCGTACGCATCAAGCAACAATAGGAGTTGACATATCGACTCAAGATATGCTACTGGAAACTATAATCTATTAATCAAGCAGCAGGTCCATTATTTAATTGTGATATGGAATTTAAAGATAGTGGAAGCAATCTTATAACAAATGAAGCTAATGTAAGCTGGATCATAAGAGAAGGTTGATTTGTTCGTTTTTTGATAGTGTGAAAGCTTTTGTAAATAGAGCGTTACAGTTTCAGCTTCTGCAGTCTTCAGCTGAAGCTTTCTAGTACCGTTTCTATGTACATCTTTGCAGAAGGAATCAATCATTTGGTGTCTTTGGCAACGGATGTGTCAAAAGCTCAAACTGAATTTCAAATTTTATAACGTCTCCTCTGTACAATTTACTTTGGGAAACGCTCTTGACAGTCAAAATACAATAAACACGAACATGAGCCAACAAATATCACCACTTCCCAATATATCTACAGACTATAAGCCGAAAAGTCCAGTCAAATGTATCCACGAGCAACAGGATATTGACGTTTTCCTTAAAACAAAGGCATTTGATCGGATTATGACGTTTGTCTTATTGCTCAATGAAACTGCAATGAAGAAAAAGATCTCGGAGCCTTGCCACATTTCAGCTGTAAATAACATTTGAATACGCGTAAGAACTGTCTTTTGTATCTTTATTAACCTATGACAAAAAAAAAAAAAAAAATAAAATCGAAAAAAGCAAACACAACAAATATTGGATATGCTGGAAACTTTGGATTCCTGGATCGATGAGTTTCCACCTTTGGATAATCCACAACGATTTGGGAATAAAGCGTTTCGATCTTGGGCACACAAACTATCAGAGGTTAGTGTTAGTTCTTATCACAATGTAAAAAATATATCAGCCATACTATTTAGCAAAACAAGGTATATCGACCTATTTATCCGATTTACTTAGTCATCCAAAGAATTGTTGAAGACAATTTTGCCAGCAAAACTTCATATTGCTATACCTGAATTGTCAGAGTATCTTAACGAAGGTTTTGGAAACGAGACAAGAATCGACTATGGATCAGGACATGAATTGAGTTTTGTAGCATGGTTATGTGGTATTGCCTTAGTCGGAGGATTTACTCCAGAAGATTATCAAGCCATTGTTTTCAGAATATTTGTTAGGTAGAATAATGGAAGATGCGATAACGGCATTCACTTGAACTTGCATCTAATGGCAAGGGACTTTTTCTTGCAATTGTAGATATTTGGAATTAGTACGTAGACTTCAGAAAACTTATAAATTAGAACCAGCAGGAAGTCATGGTGTTTGGGGCTTAGATGATCACCAGTTTTTACCTTATTTATGGGGTAGTGCACAGTTGATAGATCATCCGCAACTGTCACCAAGATCTATATTGCAGCAAAAAACAGTCTATGACGTGGCAGATGAGTATATGTATTTTGGATGTATAAAATACATCTTGGAAGTGAAAAGAGGACCCTTCTTTGAGCATTCGCCCATGTTGACCGATATTTCGTCTGTACCCTACTGGAGCAAAGTAAATTCTGGAATGATCAAGATGTTTATTGCAGAGGTTCTGAAGAAAGTACCTGTAGTCCAACACTTCAAGTTTGGAGAGCTATTTCCATTTGCTTGAACAGCAGGTGTCCAAATTGTTGAAACCGTCAAATAAAAATAAGAATCCCAGCGGGGAACAGAACATGATTTGGCATTTTTTCTCCAGTTTTTTTAAACTTTTTTATTCTTTTTTTTTTTTTTTGTATTTTCTTCCTTTGTATAAGAAAAAGTGCAATGAGGTTTATCCATGATATTTCTTCCGCAACGATGACTACTACGAGCTATGCACACTCACCCATCAAACTAGAGGTAGATGCTAAGCCCGTCTATTTTATTGGCCCTGCAACGAGGGACAATCCTTTATCTCAAATTCGAACCAAGCTGTTTGGAAATGTGTACTTCAATGATCCGAAAATCCAATGGAGCCGTATCACATTGCATTTTTTAGGCAAGGCAGGCTTGAATATTGATGCACCAAATCATTCTTTACCCAGAGAGATCATTCAGCAGCATGAATTTGATTTACAAGAGTCCAAACTCTACTCGAGTAGCACAACCCATCTTCAGACCACGATTACTTTATGCGACGTTGAGAAAGAGCTTATTTTTACGAATGAAAAAGTGATAGACTTTGGACTTCATCTACCTTCTTTTTTACCACCTTCTATTAAAACAAAGCACGCTTTTGTTGAATATACCCTCACAGTCACATGCACTGCTGCATCTACAACTGCAAACTTCATGATGAGTAAGAAGCATAGGAAAACAATCGTAACTAAAATAAGGCCTGTGACAATCCGTCGACATTATTTACCAAGTCCAAGCTCTATGATTGCCAGTACCAGATTTCATGGCGTACGCGAATGGTTTGAGTGGACAGCTGAAGTACCCAAAGCAGCACCAGTAGAATCCGGTGAAGCCGTGATAGCATTTCGATGGAGTGTAGAGAAAGAGTTAGTTGAAGTGGATCGCATTGAATCACGGTTGGAAGAGCTAGAGACTTACCGATTCAGCACAAAATCAGGTATTGCACACAGCTTACCGGCCATAGTGACTCAGTACCCTTCTTCTTTATACTACCCACCTACATTTTCGAATGGCTCAGAGACGCATTTTGTTCGCACGCCCATTCATGGCAAGTCTATTCGTACGCATCATTTTGATCCTTTTTTGGAGATAACCCATCGCCTTAAGCTTATAGTACATTTCAAAGCACCGCATATCAGAGCAACGCCATTGGAATTGACGTTTCCTATGGTGATTACGGATTTCCCAACTCATTCAACTTTGGACTCTTCTGTCAATAGAACCAGCCCTCTACCATCACCCATTTCGCCCTCTACATTAGCCATATCTTGCTCTTCTTCCTCTACAGCTACTGATCCCATTAGGAATGATCATACTACTACGATAATACAACCAGGCGGTGACGAGCTGTCTTGTGTGGATTTAGAGTTACCTGAATACATACCGAGATATGAAGATATTATACCAACAGCATCATCGTCAGCATCAGTGAATCGTTGCTAGTAAGATGCTTACATTCTTGGATTGACTGCGCACTCGTGTGCGGTGTTCCTGTTTTGTTATTATACCGTTCTTGTACATACTAGTCATACCATAGCTATTTATTCCTCTTCATCTCCACCTCACCCTACTGAAAAAGTGTAGACAGTTTTTGAAACCACTCTTTTGCTCTCCTATCGACAATGACAGACATATGACTCATTTTGAACAATGGAGTATTCTCATCTTTTTTCTTTTCCATGAAAAATAAAACAAATCTATTTCAATTCCATTATACATAATCAAATTGCATATCTAACTCGTTTTATACTGATATAAAACTCTTTGGGATTGGTGGTATCATGATAACCAATGGGTCCTAGATCACAATCAGCGCAAGACAAGTATTTGATGGTGCCTACAGTCTTTGAGAACCCCACATTCTCAAATTCCATCATGTTACCAACGCGCCAAAAATGATGTGTTCCTTCTTCTGCTTCTTTATCTTCTTGGAGAACATTGTTTTCTGGTAAGGAAGCTTCTGGCAATGTGAGCTATAAAATAAAACGTGGATGAGAGAGTGAGTTATTGTAGATTCGCAACAAAAGACGGAAATTGTAATTGCTTTTTGACTTTGCGATGTTGTGTCGCTGATGAGCAAAAAGGAGGGTGGTAACTTTACTTTGGAACCATCGCCTTCTACTAACGTGGCTGTATTCCTTCGGAAAATGACGCAATGACAAGTTTTTTTTGGACAGAGAATGTCGGTTAAGTTTTTGCCTTGATCATTGACGAGTTCCTTCAAAGGATCTTGAACTTGTTTATAAGGTGTTGCCATTGTTTGCTTAGATCCAGAAAAGAAAAAAAGAGGATAAAGAATGGTAAACCCGCTATTTCAAACAAGCCAAGAAAAAATAAAACAAAATAGAAAGACTCATAATCAACAAACTCAAAAACGGATAGCAGTAATGATGGTGATATGTACGATAAAAAAAAAAAAGAGAGAGTTTATTGCGTATAAATATCACGGTTATTATCTATAAAACTGAAGATTCTTTCTTTCAAATAGAGATGATACTGTAATATAGGTTGATTTAAAGAATTAGACACTTGTTCTTCTTTTCTTTTTTGGGCTTTTTCTTAGTATCTCCTGCACGTAATCCTTCTCGTTGAGCGCGAATAGCTTTCACGACTTGATAGAATGATCGTTCCACATTTACACATGTCTTTGCTGAAGTTTCAATAAAATCACAAGCTAATCTTTTAGCTGTAGCATAACCTTCTTCTCTTGTTACTTCCCTCTCTGTCACTTTGTCGCATTTGTTGCCTACCAACATGAGAGGAACATTATCCACGTCTTTCACCCGGAATATTTGGTCACGAAATCTTTCAATGCGATCAAAGGTCGAACGAGAAGTGATTGAATACACTAATAGAAAACCCTCACCATCTCTGCATTGGAAAGTAGCGACATGTTATTTTACAGCAACCAAAACATAGCTCAGTGTTTTTCTTTAGCGTTCATATATCTATGGGTACCTTATCCATTGGTCTCGTAATGCTGTATATTCTTCTTGTCCGGCTGTATCCAATACTTCTAATATACATGGCTGATCATCGATGACAACTTGTTTACGATATGAATCTTCAATAGTAGGATCGTAGGTCTATAAATGTATATGTATAAATTGACTAAATTGTTGAGTACAACAACCACAATTCATTACATTCGTTTCTTTAATTGATCCAATCAAAGTTTGTTTTACCTCTACACATGTATGAGTTTTTTTATAGTACACAAATGAGTTTTAGGGGGGGGTTGGTGTTTATGCGCAAACAAAAATAATATACATCAGCTTGTAAGTAAAACGATTTTGATTCATCCGCAATAAAACAACAACAACAATAATAACAATAAAGCTATTAGTATATTACCAACAAAATGATTTAAACAAAGCTAATAACGAATAAAAACCATCGTATCTGGTAAGTTGATCTTGCACGCAGTTTAACATTAAAGTTCCAAATTTTTAAAATAGCTTACTTGAATTGTTAGTGCTGTCTAAATAATGCACATAGAATGATTTTATGGATTTTGGTCAGTTAATTATCAGAGCTGGGCAATTGTATTGGTTATAAAATTCACTCACTTTGCCAACACCACCATCGCCAAGAACGACTAACTTATATAACATCATCTTTGTAAAATAGCTATCAACGTTTTTTTAAATAAATAAATAGGGAGAGCAAACTAGAAAAGTTGTTGGTATGCGTTATTTTGTCTATTCAAAAAAAAAAAAAAGAAAACCCAGTTGGTTTGCTCATTTGCAAAACAACACAAACTGTGATTTCCAATGTTGAATCGTTTGGAATGCTTACCTTGTATTTTTTGAGAAAAAACAAAGTATATATATAGTGTAAAATATAAAAGGATTTATAAATAGTTCAAAAAGAAAAAATAAAGAGAAAAAAAGAAAAGAAATTAGAATTATACTATTGACAACTTAAGTTTTATGTCAAAACGAAGCAACAAAAAAAGAAAAAATAACAAAAAAAAAAGTTGGCAATTTCACTGCAGAAAGAGTGTAGATGTCACTCCGCAGAGGAAAAAAATAAAGTCTAAACTTTACAGAGAAAGCATGGTTTTTTTTTTGGTTTTTTTTTTCTAAACATAAAAGACGTTAATTATGCTACCCCAAAACAATAGTTATATTATTCAAAAAAGCCCTTAAAGTGAAAAGATTCGAATGAGCTCATTATTAGCTATTTTAGTCGTAGTTAATTCTACAAGAGGACACCATTATCTGTTCAGTTACCCACAGAACCCTAAGCGATCGTCTTCTTTCACGACAACCGCTTGTGGCGGTAACAGTAACGTCAGTCAATACACTTTTGTCAATGACTTCGCCATTGGGTCTTCCATGACTGCGAAACTATTGATGCAAGAGTCTGAAGAACAACAAAGACGCGCCTCTATTGTTAGTGGTAGAAATGAAATCGTTGCCAACAACACAGGAAAGGAACAGGGAGCCTCAACAGGTTCACGTGCTGACAACAACAATAGTAACAGCAGCAACAACAACAACAACAACAACAACAACAACAACAGCAGCAGCAGCAGCAGCAAAGATACTGCTACAGGACATTTACTCAAAGAGCAGCAACAACAACAGCAAGAAAAGAATGAAGAAAAACAGTACTGCCAAGAACAGGATCGTTTTGCTGGACGAGATTCGATTTTTGATATGGATGTGTCCTTTTTGGCAGATACTTTGGCACCCAAAGCACCCTTATGTGATCGAAAATTTCAATTGAGTATTGACGATTTGACATTTGTTGGACATCCTGTAAGCCTTACTTCCCAACATCATCCATCATCTTCTGATACACCGACAAATCAGCAACAGAATCATCATCATTATGATGTGAATTCCCCTTTAACATCGCCTACTTCTCCTTCTCAGCCATTGACAAAAGTGGTATCGACACCTTTACTCACATCCTCTCAATACGCGTCGCCTCAGTTGCAAATGAAAACGCCTTCTACACGTAGTGTCAGGGACAACAGCCACAGTCTAAACAATAGTGATGACGACGACGACGTGGACGGAAATGAGAGCAACGATTCTAGTTATGTCAAAAGCAGAAACGATGAGCAGAAAAGTACTGCTCAAGAAAATGATCATAGTAGCGATGATACAGATAGCGATGACAGCGATCTTGATCATACGAAGCAAGATGAACGAAATAAAAAATTGAATGGGCCAACCTCTGCTTCGACACATATGACATTATTTCATGTTGTATTCGTCGTGTCACCTCCTGACCTAGAGCTTACTTCTCAAGTGAATACTCTTTATACACATGTTATTTCCAAGTATGCTTCTGCCTTAAGATATGAACAGCTACGTTGCGGATATGTTCAAGAAGAAGTAGAAAAGATTCTAATTTTGAAGGAAGAAACCTTCAATAAAGGTAAAACGAAAATAATAAGCATAGTGAAAAGTGCAAAACCCAGAGCCGTTGTTGGGTTTGTTCATGTTGTTTTGGGTTTGGATCTAACCCCCCCCCCTCCCCTCCGCTCGATAGGTACGCCGTATGACCAAGTGATGGAACAAATACTTTCCGAATCCTCTTTGGCCAAAGATATCAAACAGATCTACACTGCCATTTCCACCAACACGGCAGCACATATCATTGTCAACGACTTTATTGATGTCTCATTGCAGATACCGATCAATTCGATTACAAAGTCCACCAATGCATTGAATCACAGTAGCAGTCATGAGTACAACCACTTTTATTACAACGGCTGCACCAATGATGTCCCGATACAACACCCCATTTACTACTCCAGCGGCGATACCACACATTCGCTCATGGATATTTACAGTGTCTCCGGGTACGAATACGACCAGTTTCCTGTCATTGCGCCCTATCATACTCTTCTCCTGCTCGAAGATCCGGAAGAAGTGTTGAAAAACATGCCTTTGGATGCATCTCCCACACTGGTGCAATTGGTCCAAATACTGACGCCTACACAGAGCCTTCAGGAGCTCCATTTACTCCTCGACTGTTCCTTGGCTCAAATCTACCGTTTAGCTGCCCATTTGATTTATTGGCGTAAAGCAAAATTGATTCACACCATCAGTCCGCGTAATATCTATGTCGTATCACCCACTGCTACTTTTGATGCTGCCCTGGAAGCTGATTTTAAATCACATATACCCAATCTTAGTTTACCTGTCATTCTATCTAAATTGTCCGGTACCCTGCATCATAGTTCGTCGACATCAACGGCAGGAACCGCAACGGCAACAGAAACGGCAGGTACAGGAACATCGACATCGGCCTATACCTCCATCTCCACCACGCAGCCAAAACCTTATCATACCGTCTACAATCAAGTAAAAGAATTGAAAAATCAATACCTGGAAGCGATCACCTATTTGATCCGAAAAGATTTAGTGGTTCAACTACATATGTATTTAGTACTTTTACTACCCCTTGCCTTGTTACAACAGCAAAAGCATACCATGGCGCAGGCCACGACGACAACGACGACTCATTTACCTACTCATACGGGTGCTACCCATAGTAGCAGTGGTAGTGGTCTTCATAGTAGTAGGAATAGCGTCGGTGAACAACAACAACAACAGCAACAACAACAAATGGAAGATGCTCTACCCAGTCCGAATAACAGTAACTTGAAAAGAATGACCTTTGAAAGAGCTCCTAAAGAAGTAGTAGAACTATTTGAACGCCTAGCACCGTATATGAATGGACAATACCATATAGAAGAAATTATCTATCGTGAGGGAATTTCCAGGAGACAATTAGGCTTAGTTCTTAAATATTACAAAGACAAGATAGTGACAGTCTATCATTATTAAACATGCAAAAACTTCCAGCTTTCGTTAATGTCAGTGTTTCGTTTGAAAAGAAAAGATAATATGAAGGGGTATTTTTCTTTTATTTCAATATGTTTTGTGTGTGCTCGTTTTGTACGTAAGAAGAAGAAAAAAGGAAAAAAAAAGGGTTATGTCATCGTGTTTGCCATCATCATTATCATTTTTTCTAAATAGAGGTTGTATAACTATGTATATGTATCCTATGATGATGATGATGATAATAATAATAATAATAAGAATAATAGTAAGAATGAAAAATTACAGGCAGAGAAAGAGAGAGAAAGAGAGAAAGGGTAATAGAATAATAAAAATACTGGCTTTTTTTTTCTTTTCTATTGTTGAGAATGCTGTGATTGTTGAGATTGTTTTCTACCAGCTGCTGCCATACCAGTATTATGTCTTTTCCTTGCTACTGGTGATTTCATATCATTGGTATTAGCCATACTAGAGGTATTAGCAGAGGGACGTTTACGTGATGCAGGACTTTGAGGAACAGTAAATTGATTATTGGTAAATGCTGGTGAAGCGGATGATTGTTGTTGATGTTGCTGTTGTTGTTGGGCAGCAGCAGCAGCATGAGAAGCAGCAGCAGCGGCGGCGGCGGCGGCAGCGGCTTGTGCAGCGCGTTGTTGAGTATAATTTTCCTCCCCTTGCTGTTGCTGTTGTTGTTGTTGTTGCTGCTGCTGTTGATGATGAAGTAATTGTTGTTGGTATAATAATTGCTGTTGCTGATTAGGTGTGAGGGAGTTGTGTCGTAGTTGCTGTTGCTGCTGCTGCTGTTGATATTGATGTTGAAATTGAAGAGTAGCTTGTTGCTGCTGTTGCCTTAAACTAGTAGGCTGTTGTATAGGTGTAGCAAATGGCTGTAATTGAGATGATTGAGAAAATGGAGTTTGTGGTTGCTGCTGTGGGGGTTGCGACTGTTGTTGTTGTTGTTGTTGTTGCATCATATGACCTTGTTGCGTTTTAACAATAGGTGAATGAATAGCATTATTTGTATTGGAATTCATCATCATGGCAGCCGATGATCCAGTTGCTGCTGCTGCTGCTGCTGCTGACGTAGATGCTACTACTTTAAAGTCATCGTTATCCATTTTGAAAGAGAAGGGTTGCTTGTTAAATGTGATAGCGTTCAAACTTTCCCTAGGATTCGCACCCGACACGAGTGCATGAAACATGACTTCGCTAGCTATGGTATCAACATCTGCCACTTCCAACATATGGAAGATTCGTTTGGGTACTCCCCATTCATTCACAAAGGTCTCTGGTATAATCGTTTGTGTAGGTGGTATCTTTTTCTTTGAATTGGGTACTGGCTCTATTTTAATACTGGCTTTTCGCACAAACTCTTCGTGATTATGACACGCAAAATCCATGTGGTTCATCTTTAGTGTACCATTTGGCGTCATGATGAATTTAGCCCACAATGGACCTGTCAAGACGACCATCGTGCCATTCTTGTATTTTTGAATCATACTCGCCCGGGGACATTCTATATGCATAATACCTCCCGGTAAAATGTATTCCATTGTCTTTTCCAAAGTAAGCTGAATCGATGTCATTCCACATTGATATTGCATGTAAAAAAATCGAGGAAGTAGCGTATGATTGACCTCTAACGTTTTTTTTTTGTTTCAAAAATCAACAGAGAATAAAGAAGATCAGCAAATTTTTAGTCATCTACTTGTCATCGAATGACAGCAAGCTCACCCACCCCTCCCCCTAATTATGTTTTGTTGATGTCTAACGCAAGCGTTTTGTCTTTTTTTTCAACGGTCAACTTACCAAATGCCTTTTTTTCTTCAGTTTCAGAATTATGTAGACCCAATTTAAACACACTTTGTATAGTGAAAAAGGTATCAATAAAATTGTCCCAAAATGAACGATCTGCTGCCTATAAAACATAACATGTTATGCAACAAAAAAAAAAGTTTGTTTCTTTTTTAGTTTTGGTACTCCGCAAAATTGGAGCTAAAACAAGCGAAAACGGAAGCCCGGAGAGAGAGGAGAGGAAAGGTAGGCAGGTAAGGTGTACAACAATACACTCACACATACTCTCTCACACACTCACACACTCACACATGAAATATGCATGGTTCTTTCCAAACCATTACATATTATTAAATCCAAAAAATAATCGATGCTTTTTTAATATTCACAATGTGTTGTAAATGCCTGTGTGGTTGATACATTTCTCCCTCTCCTTCGTTTCTCTGAAATGAAATCAAAAAAGAGAGAGTAAAAAAAAAAAAAAAAAGAAAAAACCGCATACTAACCTCTTCTTCTGAAGGACTCAGTTGTTCTGCAAATTGTAATAATCGAAGTACAGCCTGGCCACTAGGTGTAGCTTGACTAAAAGAGGGAAAAAAACCCAAGAGGATGAGACCCTTTTTTCAATTGTATCGTGTGTGCGTGTGCGTAGGGTTATAATAAAGTAATGAAGATGTTACCTAGGTGCTAAAGGTGCTACTACTACAGGATTTGGACTAGATTTCATCATCATACTCATCGTTTCACTACCAGCACCATGATTACTTTGAGTAGTACCATTATGATGCATTCCCACTTGTGCTGATGTCGATGAAGGTATAGGCGTTGGCCCTGTCATTGGTATTGTGGATGGAATAGTGTTTACTGGTATCGTAGAGGAGGAAACAGGAGTACCGATCGTATTTGTATTAGTAGTTGTCGTGTTACGAGTAGACGACGGAAGGACGGATACAGGAGACTTTTGAGAAGCCATAATAGGTGTAGCGGCAGCAGAACGTAATTGTTGTTGTTGTTGTTGTTGGGAAGCCGTTGACCGCGGTGTTTGAGGTAGACCTTGTTGTGGTTGCGGTAGCTGCTGCTGCTGCTGTTGCTGTTGATTTCGTGGAGAAGTGCTTGAAGTATTGGCCATCTTCTGTTGCTGTTGCGACGGCGTTGGTTGCTGTGGCTGCTGTTGCTGCTTCGGTGTGGGAGGAGGCATAGAAGGATTATCAATAAAACTGGGTGTATTTGGAGGAATTTGTTGTTGCAATTGTTGATGCTGTAATTGCGCTTGTGATACCTGTGGTGTAGGCACCATATTCATACTCATATTTTGTTGAGGATCCATTGAATGCGGAAGATGTGGCTGCATCGCTTGTGCCTGCGTTTGTTGATGCTGCTGTTGTTGTTGTACTTGCGCCTGCGCTTGCGCTTGTGCTTGTGCTTGTAAGACTTGCTGTAGAGCTGCCTGTTGCTGTTGTTGCTGCTGCTGCTGCTGCTGCTGTTGTTGTTGATGCTGCTGTTGATGTTGATGTTGTTGTTGCTGTTGTTGTTGCAACAACTGTTGTTGATGTAAAAATTGCTGTTGCTGCGGTAATAAATGAAGATGAGCCGGTTGTTGCATCAACATCTGTTGTGGCATAGACTGTGGAAATTGCTGTTGTAAATGAGCCATCGCTGCAGGTCTTTGTTGTTGCTGCTGTTGCTGCTGTAATAATTGTTGAGCCATCAATTGCTGTGTGGGTTGCGGTGGTTGCTGTTGTTGTTGGGCAGCAAACATAAGTTGAGGATTATTTTGAAATTGTTGCATCTGTTGCATCTGCTGCATTTGCTGTAGTTGCTGCTGTTGCTGTTGCCTTTGACGAGCAGCATACAGCTGGTTTTGTCGAAACATATTTTGTGCATTTAATTGTTGCTGTTGAAGATTAGCCTGAGCTTGAGCTTGAGCTGCTGCTAAAGACTGAGCAGTAGCAGGACTGGCTGGCATTTGAGTATGTAAACCTGTCGGTTGAGGTGTACCAGCGGTAGAAGGAAGAGCAGTTGACATATAAAAATTTACCCTTTTCTTTTTTTTTTTTTGCTAAAAAGTTAAATTTTTACACCAAGTAGTTAAAGCTTCTTTTTTCTATTTTTTTTTTTTTTGCTATCCAAAGTATGACAAAATGGAATAAATAGAGTCTTAAAGAATAGAAAGCAAGCCTAGTATGTTAGAAAGAGCCTTTGGGTATATCTTTCTTCGTTCTGTCGCAGTTATCGCGTGCGCTGTGTTTAACGAAAAAGAGAAACTTGTAACTGTGAAAGAAAAAGAGAAAAAAGAAACAAGTGGGGAAAATGGAAAAATAGAAAAAAAAAAAAAAAGGACAGAGAGCGAGCCTAAAAATTTGGGTTATAAGGAGAGAGAGAAAAAAAGAACCCTTACAAAACGAACAAAAAAACAAGTGTGTGATAATGAGCCAATCAATTCAACATGACAGCTGACATAAGCATACTAACGATGGATTACATGGCGATGATCAGCCAGGTAAGGTTGCCATCACATGCATATTCATAAACGTTTGTGAGTCATTGACTTTTTTGCGAAGGATAAGGCACTATTTTGGTTCATAATACTATATTCGTTCCTGGATAGGGCGGGAGTAACTTTTTTTTTTTTTTTTTTTTTCTTTCTTAACAAACATTCGTATGATTGTATTCCATTATGCCTTGACCATGAAATAATCAACCTTGGATGAAAACAGAAATGCATACAGAAAGAATAATGGGCCTTGTTCTGTGACAACAGTAAATACTATATATATACATGAGCGGATCAATCCGAGACAGAGTAGGCCTTTTATTATTATTGCTATAAATGCTCAAATTATGTAATGCTGACCAAATGGATTAACCACTTAAACCATTAAATATTGCAACTGGTTATGAAGAACGCGTCTTTTCATAATCAGAGATGTGGTTGTCGTAATACCATGTACAGAGTCTGTTGTTGTACTAATCGGTGTAGAAATAGATGTGGAAGGCTTGAATCTTTTGACTACTATCCTGCTATTGTCATGATCCAAATGGAGTTCTGGTATAGGAAATCTGCTATTGTTGGCATTACTAGTACTATGATGATGAGAAGCATGGAAAGGACTGGTTTCTTTATTTCGTAACAATGGCATACTTCGTTTGGTCGTAATTTTTCTGTAACTATCCGTGTTATAATGATGATGATGATGATGATGGTGGTGGTGGTGGTATCTTTGGTCAAACAGTTTGCTATTTGAATATAATCGATGATGTGTAGATATATCATTTGCAGTCATAATTCTTGCATGTAAACGACAATAGTCGGATGACCGTGTTGCAATGGAATCTTTGTGTCTTTGTAGCATTGCATCAGTAGTAGGCGTTGATTGTACGAGTAGTAGGTTGGTTAGCCAGTTGGAGAAGGCCTTGCCTATATCAAACTCCTCCTCTTCTTTTTCTTGTTGCTGTGATTGTTTATTACCACTATTCACTCTTTTCCAAACTCTTTTCTTAAATTGAATATCACTCTCTCGCACTTTTCTGACATAGTCCATTTGTATATCGTTCAGATTTATACGTAATTGACACAAATCCGACAGCATTTCTTCAAAGAGGCCCAACAAAGGGAAGAAGGCAGAGTCGCCGGTGAGATGGCTGTTAGCATGGCCAAGATGTTGTATCTCGCTCAATAAAAGATAGTTCAATTTAGAGTTACTTAATAGTGTCAGCTCCATAATGTCGGGTATATTGCCATGTTCTTGTTGTTGCTGTTGTCGACGACGTAGAGCTTTTATTTCTGTCCGTTTTATCTTGTGTAAAATACCTCTTACTTGATTGTGTATGCGTTGGCAGATGGCAAATGTTCTATCAAGCTCTGTTGCATCATGTATGTCGTCATTATTACTATTTTTAAGTTTTTCGTTCTTGTCAGAGTAATAATGATAATGATAGTGGTATTGGGTCATTGATGAATTATTGCTTGCCAAGCAGCAATCAGGTGTTACTGCCGTGTCTGTTCCTCTTTCGGATACTGATATTACCGCTGAAGCTAAGGGTAGCGCTGGCGTTGCTGATGACGGTGCTGGTATCGATGACGATGGTATCGAAGATGGCCAAGACGATACAAAGGGACGTTGTTCCTGATGCACATAATACTTACTTATGCTGTTCCTCTTGGGATGAACATAGGCTTCTTCCTCAGTGAGTCCTACTTTTTTTATCATGCCATTGTTTGTATCCATGACACTCGGACTTTTGTTTTTGAATCTTTGATGATGCGCTTTCATTGTATTTTCGCTTTGTGTTGGTGCTGAGGAAGAAAAGTTGAGTGTAGGATAAAGACGATGATTTGCAGAAGATTCATCATAGCACTGCTGAAGTTCCCCTAGCACGCTGCTTTCCTCTTCGTTTTCCGGTGATTGCTGTCCTTGCTTTTGACAATTGAAGCCATTTAAATCATTTCGCAAATCCATCAACATATCATGAGAGTCTAAGAGTTCAGATTTTAGCTTATGGTTAGTACAAGCAAGTTCTTTGATGATATCAATGAGATGATCATTGTTACTATTGTTGTAGTTGAAGTTGCTGCTGCTGCTGACGCTGCTGCTATTGTTACTGTTATTGTCATGGTCACTGCTTTTTTTAGCACTATTATTCAGCATTTCTAGTGTCATCATCCACAGCCTATTCAATTCCTTTTGCATAGCACTTGCATTGTTACGTATCACCTTATCATTCAAAGATGGAAGAAATGCAGCAGTGGCTAGCACTAACTGCAGCCCACAGGTGAATCAAAAAAAGTTTCTTTTTATTTCAGAAAGAAAGAGCTATTTCTCATTATCTTACCTTCGAAATATGATCTCTTAATCTATCATATGTTTCTCGCAATGTCTGTAAATTGGATGGAGTCACTGGATCATCTGATGCTCTAGGAGTAAAAGAGAGAGAGTTTTCTTGCACTACCAGCAATTCTTCATATGCTTTCGAGACTGTCTCTACAGATACATGTCGCATAAAAGAGCCTTATATCAGACCCTTTCCGTGCCAGCTATGTATATACGTTGTCACAATATGGCATTACCCAACTTTGCTTTCAGTTTTTTATGCTTCGACTCCAATGTAAGTTCGGCCTTCCGTGAATAAGCTAATTCTTGTTTAAGATCTTCTAGCTTGAAAAAAGAGAGTGTTCTGTTACAAAGAGAGACAGAGGGTTTAGAAGAATACATTATGCACGCATACTTTTGCAGTTATGGCTTCTTCTCGAATATCTGCTTGTTTTGCTAATAATTTAAACACGCTCAATCTTTCGATCTCCTTCATCTTCAACTTTAATTCTTTTTCAAGTTGTATGCAGCGAGCATCGCATTCGTTCAACTGTGTTGCAGTATCATCAAGAGCCTATATCATCATCATTTGTTATTTTGAATATATCAACTGACTTGTTCTCTTCCGTTCCTTGTTTTCGAGTGATGTAAGGAGGCTTACTTTTTCAGTTCTTTGCAGTCTTCTCATGCATTTATTTCTTTCATCGAGGTAATGCTGTTTGGCTGTATCCGATGCTAGTAAAGAATCCTCCAACTCTTCAATTTTAGTGCGTAATGAACTGACTTTCTGTTCAAGCCTCGTCTCCAACTGGTTGGCATCACAGATATATTGCTCATGTCTCTGTAAGAGGCCCTGTCCTATGACTAATTTGAAAACCCACTTTCAAGAGGTTGTTCTATCCTGAAATCTTTGTTTTTTTCTTTACCTGCTGCTAACCGAGCATCTTCTTCTAATTTGTGAATAGTACTTAAGGTTGTCTCAAAGTGTTTACAATTGGATTGCTGGCAGCACTGACAGAATTGGTAATAAGGATTATCAGTGTGTGCGGTATCTGGTGAGGAAGGTATGTTGTAAGCTAACCAGTCTTCTAGTAGTGGGATGTCTACTTTATCTTTTTCAGAATACTCCTCGACAATAGTCAAGTCAGAAAGATTGTTCATTTACTCTTTACAACGTAATCAACGACGTAAATTTGGTGTAATTTTGTAATGGATGGTGGGGTAGTTGGTTATTGTTGGTTTTTATAATGTCTCTGACTTGGATAGCTGTTGGTGAATTTGATGTGTTCAGCTATAGACATGAACCACGTAAAATTAGCTTTTGATGAAAACAGTTAATGTAAATGAAAACAAAAAACGATATAGAAGAGAAAGGTATTCGTTTTTATTGAACCCAAAAGAAAAAAAATAAAAAAATATGCAGATGTCCCTTTTCTTCTTGATTTTATTCATGTCCAATTTTATGTAAATGAAGTTGATTTTGAAGGTACGGAAACGCACGCACACACACACCATCACCCCCACAAAAAAAGTAGTACACAAATGCACAGGGCACAAAAAGATCAGGGTGTCTCTCTTACAATGCTTTTGTGACTGTAGCACACTGCTTGTCAATGATTGCTATTTTTAGTAGGATGGAATTCTTATAGAATGATTTCATCCAATTATCTTGGATCAGATTTGTATGATATACATTAGTGAGGCACCACTTCTATTCCATTACATAAACTACTTCACAAACGAAAATTCTGACGATTAAGCAATTTTAACTATTTTACTGACCCTATTTTTCGCCCCAATTAAAACTGTAATTTCCGAAAATCAAGATAAAATGAGAAGAACCAAACGTACCTTGTTAAATCAACAAAAAGACGAATGCAAAAACATGTAAAGAAAAAAAAAGGGCGGGCAACGCATCCCATGTGGAATAAGAAACAGAAGGCCATTGGCTAAATACTACTGAGACACTCCTATTATTTTATTGCAAGTTTTTGTTTGCTAGTGTTTTGCAGCTTTTTTATGCAATTTGCAATCTATTGTTTTTTCGCTTGACTCTCGCAAGAAATGACTATTAAATTGAGACGATATTACAATTAAAATTTAGACTAATTTAAAAATTATTTAGGAAGAAATGTATAGTTTTTGGGATCATACCTTTTCTGTCTAAATGCTCAATGTCAAATGTGCGAACTACTATTACTCAAACAACAGTTAATAAAACCCCAGAAATGTACAGTGAGAAATTTCACAAGATGAACTCACCTAAACGCGTAAAAAATTTTAAGCCGTCGCTATAGAACCTGCAGCACCATTTTCGTTATGGCGATGGTCGGGCCGGCCATTGTGTTCCCATACGGAATTTGCAATAGTATGCATATTTTTGGCCGCATTGACGTCTCTTTGCCATATTATACTACAGGTTTTGCAGGCCTTGGTACCATAGACGCCGGAGCCGTCCAGAAATTTGTATTTTTTTCATTTCGACACCATGACAATTGTTACAAACCTACGAAAATGACATTACTTCTTGAGAAGAGCACTTGATTTGGCAATTTGGGACCCACCTTTGAGGTTTTAAACTCGTTGATGTCCACCACCGCAGCAAGAAAGCAGCGCTTTCTTCTCAAGAGAGTACGATAGAGATTTCCGGTGACGCCGGATGAATGCCCTTTAAAATGGACATTATCTTTGTTGCGCATACCGTCACCGAAAACAATCAGAGGGAGCTTGGTGCGGGCATCGGAAAATGTTGCGGCAGCCCATCTATTGGCATTTTCTGCTTTGTACCTGTAGATGACATATTGAGTGAATGGCACAAATGCAGAGTCGAGGTACAGGTGTCTGTAACTCACCTTTGGCATACGCTTTGCGGTTTCTTTGCCTTCTTCTGCGACTCCCCCTATGACTCTTTCCGCCCTCGCGCTTTCGCAGCTTTCTCTGCCCTTACCTTGCTTCTTACTGTTTTTGTCCTTTTCGACGCTTTCGTTTTCTACGTTTGTTCTTGTTGGTCTTTTTCCGCTTCCTTATGTTATATTTTTTTCCTCCATCAATTAGCATAGTGGCCATCTCCTCATCGGCTCTTAGGCGGCCTTGGTAATTATTAAGTTAAATTTAACGGAATTTCATTCAAAATTTTAGGAAGGCAATTATAAGTCAATGGGTCCCTAAATCACACTGTTCTTCGTTCCCTATTATTTGACAATGCATTGGGCAATTAAAATCTTCTCTATGAAAATATAAGTCAAGCATTTTACGTGGAAAGTAGGCTTCAATGCCCAATACAAGTAATATCTGATACATTTAGTGAAGTTTTTCACCATGTGGTTCATGTAAGTGGTTGCTATACTCTCGCATGCAGCCGCCATAGCATCACTATAACCTATGATTTTTTGATCCTTGAAGGGGGATATAATGGATGGTTCGTCAGTAGCAACGTCATCGAACGTCAGAGCCACAGTGTGGTTAATGTAGGCTTTGTTGGTAATTTTTTGGCCCAAGACTAGCTTACAGATGCAGTACCAAAAGTTTTGTTCATAAATGTATTCTTGAACAGTTAAATTACGGTTTTTAATAATGTAGTAATTCATAAAAAGCGGCACTCTGATTGTGACGTCCAGCCCAATCACTTTTTGCTGGAATCCTTCATGTTCTTTCCGTAAGATATTGCGCTCAGCATCAAAAACACCGTCCACGTAGGTTACAAGGGGCAGTTTCCGAGCGTAAAGCTCATACTTATCTGAATAGTTTGTGCGAAGGAACTCCGCTTTAGTAGTACTATGTTGTTGGCAAGCAAAGGAAGCTTTAGTTAAGTGACCACTTAGATCAAAAGATATAAATACTCAGTTACAAACAAAATATGTACAGTACAGTCGTTGTAAGTAGCTCGTGATGAGATCTTATTTTAATCTACCTGATGATTCACTGTTAACACTTCTTTAATAATTCTTTAAAGGATATCCAACTAGACTCTGATAAAAAAAGGGAAAAGGTACCAACTTTTTATCTTTTTATAAACTGAAACTTTTTGTTAGATTGTTATATTTGGACAACAAAGAAAGTTTGGACAACAAAAACAATCTAGACAGATTTCTTTAGACGCGCTAAATTTTGCCACCAAATCGAGACACGTTTATTAATCAAGACACGTTTATTTATCACTTCATCAGTTACTGACAAGAAACAGGAGTTTAACTTAATTTATACAATCACCTATTGTTATTGCTTTCTTTAAGGGAAAAATGACACTAAAGTGACATGATTTTGGATCAAGTGAGATGCTGAGCAGTCAATGAGAATACAGGATTGTCAGTCATTTACATTGAATACAGCTGGACTATCAGTTCAAATGGCAGCTAAAGAGAATGTAGGCAATTCTTCTGGGCCAATCAAACAACGAAACTTATTGCAACAAATGCGTGCAAAACGAGGCGGGCCTCAGATGGTTACTACAAGTGTCCAAATGTAAAGAGTAAGTAGTCCGAAAATAATAACTTAAATTTTCTGAATTAAGATAATTAAAATATCCAATTTTGTATATAAGAACGTCTGAATTAAAACCGAAAATACTCTAGTATTATTTTCCTTATCCTTTTTCTGCCTAGTACCTTTTAGGGTTTTTTAATTCCTGCACGTATTTTGACCTGCCCAGGGCAATTTTCTGATATGTAGTTGCCCATTGGGTTAAAAATTATTCAATGTATTATTTTTCTGAAAAGGCGGGCTATTTTTTATAAAGTATACAGCTGGGCAAAATCATCTTTTTTTTAAGGTTTTTTTTTTTTTTTTTTTTTTGCTGGTCCAAATATAAAATCGCATTTTTGTGATTTCGCCCTAACGTCTCCCTCCCATTCTTTATTCCTATTTTCTTACATTCTGCTTCAATTTCTTTTTTTTCCCTCTCTTGTCTACATCTTTTCAAATTCATTTGCAATCTCAGCAGAATCTTCTGTTGTGCACACAGACAATGGCTTCTCGATTTACTGAACATTTTGATGACGAATTGTATTTAATTCATGATCTATGCTATCTTCAAGCCAAATCCATGCAGCTCACAAATACTACCACCAATACCACTACTGCTACTGCGAGCAATAGTTCAATTACAGCCAACCATCACATCTCCAATGTACCCTTATGTCTCATAGCTTCAACCAATAGTACATTTACTGCAAACCTGCATCAATCTATCGTACGTAAAAGATCTCTGTGCAATACCTTTGATTCTTTATCTACATTTACAACATCATCGTCCTTCAACTACTTTACGAGAAAGACCCGCCATTCCAAACAAGAGCGTAATAATAGCCAATGTACCTTGAAGAGACAGAACAGGGTGAGAACAAGACAATTCAAAAAGAGTAAAATTGCCTACGAAGCATCAGATCACCAACTATCTGTGACACCATCTGGGTCCTTCGTATCATTAGAACACCAAAAACACCAAAAAAGTGATGCCTTCCTGTTCGATTCCATCAATCATCCGATCAAACAAAGCGTTCCTCATAGTAGGACGATGCAATTCAGTGAACCAAATACCAGCCATAATGCCATCAAAAATTGGTGTATAAAGCAAAAGACTAAATTTGTTAGATTAAGACAAATTATCTTTGTTTGAAACGTCTCCCATCCATCCGTAACTTACATTCAACGAACGAACAATACCTACAACAAATGTTTTCTTATTCTTTTTGATGATCCATGTTATTATGAGTAATTCGCCAATTTAAGGCATTGATACCCTTCTTGACAGCCTTTGACTGTTGAACGATACTATTTATTGATTTTGTGTTTATTCCCTCTCTTACTCTATCAGCTGTTATTCCCCCAAAATAATTCCCTTTTATTCTCAAATGTTGTATAGAAGTTCTTATTTATTTTGTAAATAAAGTCCATACAGTATTTGATTTGTTCCATTTTCTTGCTTTTTCATTTTCTACATAAACAAAAAAGTATGGATCACGCATATGCAGAAATCGTTCGATTATTTTAGGTTCACCATTGCTGGTTGAATTCAAACATGAGGTATTCGTTTCAATGTAATTCAAGGCACGATATACAGCACACTTTTTTGACTGACAAATAATCCTTAGGCATATAGGATGGATATGACTACATGACTAAATCAAATATTCGGTACTCTAGCGCTCTATCTTTTCATCAGATATGACCGGGCAATCATAACCGGAATATTTATGTTACACCATACATCAATCGGTTTCACTCTGGAACAAATCCGACCGAAACACAGACAAAAAAAAAGGTACAGATTTATATACCCGGAATTATAATTGGACTCTCCCAAGTCGAATCGAATGAGCACAATACAAGAAGAACGACTAATAGAACAATTAGAAGTAAGATGATGACCCAACCTCAAAAAGATCTGCGTTTGAGCCTAACGATAAGCTAAAACTCTAACTAAAAGTTAGAATAGCCTTTACGTATCTTTCATGGGACATGAAAAAAACTTTTACATTCAACTATTCTGTATTTTTAAATCAATGATCCGTAAAAGGCAACAAATAAAATGAAAGGCATTTTTGTACAACTTAAGCCCGCGTATCAGCAGAACACACTGTAGAAACCCTTTTTGATGAGACTCTTCGAAGATGTTACAAATTGCATCCTGAAAGCGACTGCTTGTGTTGTATATTCGTTTGCATCTCGTATACTTGTGTGACTCCTTCATCTGGATGCTATCTCAGCACGCGTCATGTCTACTCGTCATGCAAGTTGCATGGTTAATTATAATCATACTTTATATTACATTAATGACCGCTGCCAAAAAAAGGGCAATGGCTGAATAAGATGAAGGAACTGCTAATAACTGGACAATGTGTAAATTGCAACAAACTTTCATTGTTACCGATAGCTTGACTTTGAGTTTGTAATTAAAAGCCTAGCATGACAAAGGAAAGGCTTTGATACAAGTGCAGATGTTGGTTTCCTTCCGTGAACAAGCTTATTGAAGAAAAAAAGATGAATGTATCATCAGACCTTTCCCAAGTCATGAAACGCTATTGATCTATGCTTGGCTACTTTGCACTTATGACAGCACTCCAGTAGGATTGCTTACGGAATCATTAGAATCAAATTTCTGCGTCAACGACAGCAAATGCCTTAAAATTTCTTATCTATACTAACTTATTGTTTGCGATATGTGAGCATTCCTAAGAATAAAGCTTGCAATCTTTGTGCTAATAGATAAGGCTCCTGTTCTTTGCATGAGAATATTAGCACACATATTTTGATAGAGAAGAATGGACCATTGATACACTAGTAGTATTTTTTTTTTAGTTTTTTTTTGTTTCCCTTTATTATTATTTTAAGAATAGTCAAAGATTTCGGAAAAAGAACCTTGTAGCAAAATTGCTGTATACTGTCTATAGAATCAAGTACCTTTGTGAAGATGCAGCTGGGCAACACAGGCCATGTAAACATAGCAAAGATAAGAAAGATGAAGTCATCATTTTTCTATTTGGATTCTCACACCATTCCAGAATTTACACGCAATAAAGTTCATGAAATTTCTGATCAACAAGAAAGTGGAGGTTGTGGCAGTTTAAGCCAAAAAAAAAAGAAAAAAAAGTTAATAAATTGACTTTGACAGCTAACACGAATGGAAAGCATTTGACACTAATGTACTGTCATCAAATTGTCTTGCTACATCTTGTTAAAAGGAGGAAGGATAGCAACAAAACCAATCATGACTATAGTCTTGAATAGTAACGTCTTATCTATTTTTTTTTTTTTTTTTTTTTTTTTTTTGTCCTTTGTTTAATACTGTCAGGAATGGTAAAAATTCCAATGTAGGCTCAAATTCTTCATATTGCTATGGAATGGGAAAAGGGCCTCCAAAATATGTGTATGCCATAAAAACTCCCAATGCTCAATCTTCATCGCTTTTTTCCTCTTATTAGATCATTCTAAACGAATTAGTCATCATATATTAGAAATAAAAGCATGCTTAGCTACATCTTTCCAAAGTCAATTCAAAGGTCCATTCAGTCTATTAAAGACAAAAAGCTATCCAAGCTTCCCGGTCGCGCCCGTACTAAAGTCAAAGGCTATTTTAATCGTCGTGGTGCCAATGTTCTAATTAAAAATGAGGCTAAAAAGCAAAAAGTACTCTCTCTATGTGATTCATCTATATCCGTGCTCTCTAAAGAAAGGTCAATGAGGTCTGAAAGTGAATTGAACCACCTTGCTATCAACAACTCCAATAATTCAAAAACTAAAAATCTTCTTGGAAAGTTAATGAAGGCACTGGCACATCCTATAATTCAGAAAAAGCCTAATCATCTGAACAGTACTGCTCTATCATTTATTATCGACATATCTCCTGTATCAAATGCTGCTCCTAGCTCTGGCATACCCTTAACAATGACTGCACAAAATGGTTTTACCAAGCTAGAGGAACCCATAAAATATGCCCCATGCAAAACATGTCAAGAACTCAACCTCTTTTGCCCAAATACCAATGAATATGTTCGCCCTGCATACAATTCCAACCATTCTTCTATGTCCACCGCTATTTTCTATGGAAATGCTTTCCGGAATTGGTTCGAAGAGATTTACTTTCCTAACGGTACCGAATTTGATAGTAGCGTAAACTCGTGCTCTACTTTGACAATAATGAACCATTCTCACAAAAGAGACAGCGTTGTATCTGCAAGATCAGATTTTGATAGGGACATCGAGGCAGAAGCGGAATCATTCATCCACAGGTCGGAAAAACTCTGCTTGGCTATAGAGGCTCGACTCTCTGACTTATCTCCGCATAATGTGAATAGTCCTAAGATGGTTTCTGAGGACAGCGCGACTACATTTACAGAAACTATGTCCATTCTCAGACAGAAACATCTAACAATATAATAATGTTATTACATTTACATATTCCCTTTCACCCTATCCCATTCGATATCTGCCCATTTAAATTATTCACTTGATTTTGCTTTTGCTTTTTTTCTTAACTATATCCATTAGGTATCTGCCCATTAACATTGTTCACTTGATTTGCTTTTTGCTTTTCCTTTAACCATATCTATTAGACATTTGCTCATTTAAATTATTCACTTGATTGCTTTTCCTTTAATAAAATTCCGGTCTATCTTATTGCTCACAATCCTCCATTCACAAACGGATGTACTTTGGATGAAACACGTTGATGTGTTGTTTTTATTTATAGTAAACATTTAAAGGGATGTTCCATTTGAAATAACGCATATACGTACTTTACACATATATTGTACAGAATTTACAACTTATCATTCAAAGGTGTGTATATGAAGGTAACTCCTTTCATAACAAACATGATTGTACAGGTAAAAGCGATCTATGTAATTTAATCTATTCTTCTAATAAGTCTACACCAACGCTCTGTAAAGCATTAATGGACCATTGAGGGTATTTTGCTTTATCTCCACCAAAATAATTGTGGAAAAATTGTTTGATCCAAGCGGGGAATTCGTCCTTGATAATTGCCTCTCTCATATTACGCATTAATCGAAGCTGGAAGGCTGTATTATGGATAGATACAAGATGACATCCCACTGTATCTTTTGTTGTAACGACCATGTGTACGTAAGAGCGTGTATAATTTTTACAAGTACTGCAATCGCATCCCTCTTCAATCGGCCCAAAATCGGTAGAATATTTCCCTGATTTTAAAGATAATGTGCCATACATCGTCAATGCATTGCCGAATCTGGCCGTTCTGGTAGGAAATACACAATCAAACATGTCGACACCCAAAGCAACACACACAACTAAATCTTCAGCATAACTAAATTGGAAATAATTTTGACTCTTTAGATAATCATCCAACGTATGGTTAAGGTTGGACAGTTTGAATTTACCCCACGCCCATGCAGTAAATTGGTTTTGTTTTCGGTAATAGATCTGTGCATAGAGAAACACTATTGTTCATTTTAGTAAATAAGTTGACTTTGCTTTATCATTCTTTACAACTTACATTCTCCAAAACTGATCTTTTTCTTCACCACCACTTAATCCTCCAACAGCATAGCCTGGCAAATCTCTTTTGACCATTTCCTCAATGCATTTTTTACGCAGCTCGGTATTTAGTCCACCTTGAATAATAGCAAACAGATTTTGTGTCTCTGGTTTTTTGTGAGCTTTGATACAACGATCCAACCAACGGATCGATCGCCACATGGCTTCCTCTACACGAGGGCCGGTCGTTAGAGAGGAAATAACATCGTCTAGTTGCATCATAATATCAGCACCGATACTGTTTTGTAAAGACATACTGTGCTCAGGTGTCAACATCATGAGGGATCCATCGAAAGGAGACTGAAACTGTACCCCTTCCTCAGTAATGGTAGCTAATTTGAGGAGACTCACCATTTGGAAACCGCCGGAATCAGTAAGCAAGTTTCCATTCCAACCTTGAAACTGATGAGAACCACCCACTTTGTCCAAGATCTCTTGACCTGGCTTTAAACCCTTTCAACCAAGGTATGATATTCCAACAATGTTTAGTTTCTTTGCCCGTATATACAGAGCAACATCTTCCGATCTTTCATTTTGTACTTACAAGGTGATAAGTGTTGTTTAGCATAATTTGACAGTTCATTTCTTCCAGTTGTTGAGGCGTAAAACCTTTTAAACTACCCTGAGTACCGACAGGCATGAAAACAGGTGTGTTCACAGGACCATGAGGTAAAGTGAGGATCGATGCTTTAGCTTTGGTGGTTGAGCATTTAGCAATGGTTTCGTAGGTGAGTGCACTTTTCATTTTAAAGAAGAGACTCGATGCCTGTTTTAACAGTGCTGCTTTAGCTAACACTTTTGAATAATAGATGTGAATGTAGCGGGAAACTACTGGAGAGAAGAAGAAAGATATAAAGAAAAAAAAAAAAACCAAAAAAAATTAAAATAAAAAAATAAGTTACAAGTAACCTGTCAAAATAAAAAAGTCTGCAAAAACTGGAAATAAATTGCTCACACAAAAAAAAGGTCGTTTTGAAGAGAGTTTAGTTTTCAATAGATTGGCACATCATAGGTGAGATATCTAACTTTGTTGATTAAATAGAACTTTTACAACATTATATTACTTATAGGAAGGCTTGGAACGCAGTAATCTTAAGAAGTTTGGCTTCAACTGTTGATTAGGCCAACCTTTGATGTTCAGCACTTTTCATTCGAAAGGAGCTTGAATTGAGGAAAAAGTTTGTTTCTCGCATTTCGAGCAGCAACTCTCTTCTTTGTCTCATAAATTACACAATGGTAAGTTTGGTGAATGCCTTAGTTTATTGCAAACAAAGATGATTCACTAACAACAATGTTATCTCTTCTACAGGCGAAAGCAAAGCAAACTAGAAAGTTCGCTGTGATGAAGCGAATGATCAGCGCTAAAGATACTCGATTGTAAGTTTTGATCGATCACGGACAGATCTGTTTATGTTACCAGCTGTGCAGATTCTAATTTTTGTTTTCACAAATCTTATAGAAAGGAAAATAAGGAAAAGGAAAAAAAGAAACAAGATAAGAAAGAAGAACAAGCAGTTCGTCATCTGTAAGCAATGAATTGCTCGAACAGCATTTGATAGTATGCTTAAATGTATGTATTAATCATTTCTTCTATTTTATTATAGGCCTCAAGTTGCATCGTCTATGTTTTTTGAATACAATTCAGCATTAGGACCACCCTATCACGTTTTAGTAGATACCAATTTCATTAACTTTTCAATTCAAAATAAGCTTGAGCTTGTGAAATCTATGATGGACTGCTTATATGCAAAGTGTGAGTAGTCATTGTTTTTAACTTGTAATAGTGGAACAATTTTACTTATCCAATTTATATTATTAATGTAGCTGTTCCTTGTATTACTGACTGTGTGTTAGCAGAACTTGAGAAGCTAGGCCCCAAATATCGTATCGCTTTAAAGTAAGTTGTCTTGGCATTATTTTAAAAATATTTCTGGTAATATCAGCAACTAAGCATTTCTTCTTTATTACTTTAACTTCAACGTCAACCCTACAGAATCGCACGAGATCCTCGTTTTGAACGTTTGCCTTGTTCACATAAGGGTACCTATGCAGATGATTGTCTAGTAAACAGAGTAATGCAGCATAAATGTTATATCGTCGCCACATGTGATCGTGATTTGAAGAGACGTATCAGAAAGATACCCGGTATTCCTATAATGTCAATTGCAAATCATAAATATGCTATTGAAAGACTGCCTGAACTTGGTGTCAATAACAAACAATAGCTTGTCGACGTTTAATATATTTTATCTTATAACATTAACTCATCATGTACATAGAATAAATTCGCAATCGTTTTGAATTGGTCCACTTATCTGCTCCTGTCAGAAATGCCCACATGTAGTAAAAAAGCCTGATTTAACCCTACAGTACAAGTCAGGCGTACAACTTTAATTATGGATAAAGACTCTCTATTTTGCAGTCACGTATTGAAGATGAGTAAAAATGTTAATGCAGCTGTAAATGATCCTTTTACTTTCTTTATCTTTATTCCTGCTACGTAACCCCACAAAAATGGATCGCACTGCTTTAATTTTTGGCGCCACAGGTAATACTGAATACGTCTGCACTACAATCTAATAATTATTGAAAAGTTCATGAAAAATCAACGACGTAACTTTTTATCTTTAACGTGAAGGTGCGGTTGGTAAACAATTGCTACTGGATGTCTTGAAAAATGGAAGTTATGCACGAGTAGTTTCGGTCGGCCGTCGTCAAGTTGAACTCGATGACAGTGTTCCTCAAGATAAATTGGTAAGCAAGCTTTCATCATTTTCATAATAAAATTCATTGTCATTTTGGAAGAACTGATATCATTATGCGTATTTCATTTTCAAATCTTAACAGGAGCAGAAAGTGATTGACTTTGAAAACCTTGAAGCACACAGAGAAGCCTTTAAAAATGTGTCGTAAGAGCGAAGCATCCTATATGTCCTATCAATCAGTTCATCCCGCTTAAAGCAATGATTCTTATTCGGATAAATTTAGCGACGTATATTGCTGCCTAGGTACAACCCGTGCTGATGCTGGAAGTGCTGAGAAGTTTGTTAAAATCGATCAAACCTATGTTTTGAACTCTGCTAAATTGATTGCTGAAGAGAACAAACCTGCTGGTGCCGATTTGGCTCCTGTTCATTTTTTGTACTGTTCCTCAACTGTAAGTTGTTATGGTTATGTTTTTTTTAAAAAAAAAACAGAACACTTCTGATACTGAGAACTCTTTGAAACATTCACATTTTAACCATGATAGAACGCCAACAAGAATTCATTCTTATTATACCCTAAAACGAAAGGTGAGACTGAGGCTGCTCTTGAAGAAACAGGCTTCGAGAAGGTATCTATCTTCCGTCCTGCCTTTTTAGAAACCGTAGAACCTCGTACACGCCCTCGCACTATGGAATCTATTGCTTTCACTATTGTCAATCCTATTAATCGTTTGCTCAATGCAGGCCTTGTAATCAATGTAGCTACAGTAGCCAAGGCTATGCATAAGGTTGCGGAAGACGCGACCATCAAACCTACTTCTCCTGAGAAGAATGTCAGGAAGTCCGTGATTGGATCATTGGTTTCCGCTTTTTCAAATGCGGATATTGAGAATACAGTGTTTTAACTGCTATTTCAGACTTTTCACAAATTTTATTGGACATTATTAAATCTTAATTTAGACAACTTTCAATTATTTTACGATGAAGCGGTATCTTATTCTTGGACGATTTCGTTGATAATCAATTATCCAGTAACATCCAAGCAGCATTAAGGATGGCGTACAAGCTAGTCCTAAAAATGAGTCTTCATTAGTAAGGAAGTCGCTAAGAAAGCTCTGATTGGCGTGACAACTTTTTCGTCAAATGACGATGTGTTGTATGACCAACCAGATGTTCATTAGTGCCTTTTTTGGAACTTTGCCCAATGATAAAGACGTGTCTTTCTTTTCTCGCGTTTTTGTTGTCAAAGTTAAGTTATAATGAAGAGGTTCTTTTAAACGAGAATAAGATCCCTACTTTTCCGTATTTCGCATTTTTTTGTAACTTACAGCTCTATTCATGTACAAAAGTTTTATTATACAGAAGATTAGATCTATTAAAGAAAAACATAAGAACCAGGTTAAAACGAACCCATTTGGTAAAATGCTTGATAATTGTAGGAGAACCGTCAGATCAAGATATAAGGATTCTGATATTTGTTGTAACTTTTTAGAACATACCAAGTGTCGAGATAGCTATGAACCAGGTCATTTTGACAAGCGTTATTACAAATGCAAGTATTACAAAGCCGTAAATGCTGATGATGGTAAGCAATAAATCTAAATCTATCTTACACACAGCACTTAATTGCTTATGAGTAACCTCCTTAAAGTTGGTAGCAGTAGTAAGAAGAGAAAACAGAGTGACCCAGTGAAAGAGAAGAAGAAAGCAGTTAAACGGAAAAAGACCAACCCACAAGCTGCAAAGTGCCTCAGCTGTGGACAAGATGGCCATGCCACTGCTCGTTCGCCGCAATGCCTCAAACACACGCCTTCGAAAGAAGAACTCATTTCAACTGTTCTTGGTGATGGTGCTACTGTATTCACAAGAAAGCTTCCCATCGACAGTGCGGTGTTACCAACCTTCCGCGAGAAGTTCAGAGAAAGAGTCATTTCGTGCTGCAATGACATTAGGGCTATTGTGTTTCGTTCGCAACTATTTGTTAACGCTTATCTCGTCCATAATAAGAAAGACACACCAAAAGAAATCTTCACCCAACAGTTCTGGTATTCGGTTGGACAACTTGTAACAGGTAAAACAGTAACCAACAAGAAAGCAATAAATGATTCCATGAAAAACTTCTATAAGCAGTTCAAAGAGAAGCATCCAGCTGTCGAAGTAAGTTATAGCTTCACCAAAGGCTATAGCCAATGCTTGACAGAAGCTTGTAAGGAGCTCAGTACCACATATACGAACAGCATTGTTGAACTTTTTGAGCAGCGAATGCTCAAATATCTATACTATACCTTGCAGAATATGTTCCCGGTAAGGATTAACTTTACATTAAACCAAACAGCAGCGAACTCAATATTCTTTTCTCTTTAGAGCATGGTAAAGCGCGATGTTGACGAAATCGCAACAAAATACTGTTATCAAGTGATTTGCAAAGGCGAACCCGAATGGCCTGGTAAAGTCAAGTTAAGTAGTGATGACAAATTAAGAATAGATAATTTGTGCAAGAACTTTGCAGATCTTGTGGAGGAAAAGGTTACGCTTCTGTCATTGGCGGCCGATCCGGTCAAATTTGTCAAGCCCTTGTGGTTTATCCAAGACTACTACGAAGAAGAGCATTCTAATCATCTTGCCTACGATGTTCGTAGGTTACCATTACCTCATCGCTTCTTCCCTTTTCCAACTCCCTCAGTATCATGGCGCTTCATTACCATCAGCATAAACGCCCTTACTCCTTTTTTATTTCCTGGAAGACTTGTAAAGGGCTATTGGAATCAACTTGAACAATTTTGTAAAGTGTTCAACTTCAAAAAGTTAGGCTTCAGAAGGTAAAGTAAATAGCACTCTGCTAAAAGACTCTGTTCTCAAGATTATTCTTTCACTTATATCATAGTATTGCTGAGCTAAAGACAAACACAAGTATGCTCTTCAGGAATCTCATTCGATCTGATGGCTTCACTGTAGACTTTTTATTTAGTCGTAAGAAGAAACCAAAAGAAGACGCCATCATTGATCATCATGGCTTGACGTTGGAAGACTTCTCCTATGAAGAGATCACGGCAAACTACAGACCCACATTTGTTGATCCTGGCCGAAAGACAGTATTTACAGCAGCAATCGGGTTAGAAACAAACAGACATGAGATACGGCGCTGCTCGACAAAAGAATATTATCACATGACGGGTAGTACTCGTGTCAATGCAGAATTAGAAAGGAAAAAGGCCGATTGTACGATAAAAGCGATAGAAAGCAATATACCGAGTAGTAAAACAGGCTCGCCTGAACAGTATAAGAGATATACTATTTACATACTACAACATTTACAGATCCTATTCTCATTCTATGGGCCTGGTATGGTATGGGTGAAACAAGGTTCCGTCTGCATCAAGGCAGACAGCGTGCTGCAGACATGATGGTGAACATGCTTGTCGATGGAGGGATCAAATAAGACAAAGAATTACGGAAGAAAAGAAAGGAGGAACAGATGAAATGGCCAAAGAAGAAGGGCGAAATTAAGCATAAAAAAAGAAGAAAGAAGACGAAACAGAAAGTGAAAGTAAAACAGGAAGAAGAGAAGGAGAAGGAGAGCTGGGAAGAAGAAGAGACAAAGAGCGATAACCACGTTCGGTAAGTCTTGTAGCGATTAAATGTCCACTGAATTTGTGTATACTCACTCTACTGTCTTCCTTCAACAGACGATGGGCCCCTGAGAAATTCAGGCTGAGTGATCACAAAAAAGTTCCTCTGGTTGTATTTGGTGACGGAATGTTCAATAAATCCGCCGTTCATCTAAAAGGCCTTAGAACTGGTGTCGTTGGTATTCTGTGGCGTGCATTGAAGCGAAGAGAGGCTGCTGGTGATCTCCTTTCCATTACAGTTGATGAATACTTGACATCACGCATATGCAATTGTTGTCGCTCAGATACATTGAAAGCATTAGACACCGTGCGTGGCTGTAGTATCCTTGTTTGCAAAACCTGTAAGATACTATGGAACCGCGATGTCAATGCAGCAAAAAACATGATGGCCATCAGCATTTCGGTATGGAAAGACAAGGAACGTCCTACTGAGTTCAGCCGGAAGACAACTTCTTAGTCTTTTGATATTTATTATCGCCAGAACGAAACTGGCTAGATATTTACAGGTAAACGCCTCCATTTTAGTGTAGTTCGATCTTCAAACTCTAACTCAATCGTCTCAAAATCTTGGTCATTTCGTCCAGTTATTTTTTAGCTTCGTCTAAACCCGCAGTTAAAAAACTATAAACTTTTGTCGTCGCTTGCTTTCTTGAAAAGGTCTACTTATTTTTTTTGGGAATATCTTTCCTTTTTTTTTTTGTAATAAAGCTACACTTGAGCGTAGGAGATGAAAGAAGTCGACCCAATCACTGTAAGCTATCCAATATATTCAAGGGTTTTGAGCTTATCAGTATTGACAATGTTTCCATTTGAATATGTATAAATATAGTTCACAGTTGAACTCGGCCATTTATACGAGAAGTCTCTAACATCAGGCACAGTGTCTGTCACAATGAAAAGAAGTATGAGATCCTTCAAATTTAGTTCGAATGTTTAAGGAATTCTTTGGAGAAATTGATAGACAGTTGCCATACTATCTTTCTATAGTGACTGTGGATCGCTTAATAAAGGCTTCTAAAGTGAAGAAGGAAATGCCTAAGGGCGGTCAAGAAGTAGTCGATAACAAGGATAAAAAGGATACTATCCAATATCCCTGTATTGTCCGTGCAGTTTACAAGAAGGTTAAAATCAGCACAATTGTACAGTATTCTAGATCAATTTCGATGATACCCTTTTGATTGAGTTTATCCAATCTAACTACACGAATCCTATCCCATCGTAGGTTGCTCCTGCTGATTTTGACAGATTTCAAAATGCATACAGTACCGTTATAAGAGCTTATATGGATACTTTGAAAAAGAAAGAACGCGCAAAGAAAGTGAAAAAGCCTACAGCGACACCTAAATCAACAGAGTAAAACGAGAATCGAAGTCTCAGTATGAAAAGGATATTTGAATTGTGCGATTCACTTTATGGGCGAACATTTATGATCACTCACTCCGATGGCGAAAGAAGGGAAGAATGCATTGTTGCTATTTTATGGTTGTCACTTGTCGAATAAAGTCAAGCGAGACCATTTATACCAAATTGTAAACTTTACGTTTGAGAGACAACCTTTCCCATTTTCACAGGTTATAAGGTCGGATATAAACGCAGAGCTTGTATTAGCTATTGTATAAGAAGGATTGCTATTGGAAGTTTCCGAAAAAGACCCAGTTGCTTCTGAGGACTTGATTAGTTTCATAGACAAAAAAAGCTTGCTCAGTAATAGGTGCATTGATGTACATTACTTGCTTACTCTTATTGATTCATGTGTTTAATGTCTGTCATGATTCTAATGTGGATGCGTTTCCTTATTTTAGTTTGATTAGCAGTTATACGTGATATAGGCAGAATTTTACATTGGGTATATCAAGTTATGCTTGGAATACAGTTTAAACATGCAGCAAATGAAAAGGGAAATTACAAAACTGTTATTTCTCGATTTCAAACGTGAGCACAATAAGTTTTAAGCGATTCGTTGACTTCTTCTAATACATCAGCCCTGTTTCATATCGCTTAAGGAGTTACGTATCCAAGAATTGCGCAATTCTAGTCAATTTTTCGTTATAAATAGATAAATGTGTGCTCTACCTTGAATTTCTCTCAATAAAATTGTAACACTTGCACTTGTCTGGAAGATTTGGGATATATGACCAGAAAACATGGCCGCTAGTTTGCCTGGAAAGAAAAATATCCTCACAGAGATGCTCTCCTAAGTATTGAACCGCCATTAAACGGTTCATAATGATATACTTAAGACAGTTCTTACTAATAAGGTTTCAATCAACTTTTTTTTGGAAAGATTTTGAGTGTCAATGCAAGGGTAATGGTTATGGTTTTAATAATAATGACCCATTGTTCTAAATGACCCACAAGAAGGTTGTAAAATTTTTTGGATGATTGCATATTGTAGCAGCACTGCTGGATATAGGATATCAGATGGTACGCTCTATGTCTAAATCCAGCTTAATAGATCTCTCATTTATCAGCAAAAAAAATGCCAAACGCTATACACCTTTTGCCAAAATGATGTCGCATGCAAAAAAAAATTAAAGTGTCGCACTTTTTTTTTGGAGACATTGTCTGTTTACCTCTTTCCCCAAATTGCCATAACAATGAGTAAGGCAAATAGAATACAAAAACCAAAGTTGAAACTTATGAAGAACGCCTTCTTTAGCAGAAGAGCTGTTACAATACAAATTGCCACGTGACTATATCCCAGGCACGGATCGAATTAGCAAAATCGTGGCTAAGAATCAGTTTACTATCGACCTGATTACTACCTTGCTTCTGGACGTCCCTGCAGGCCTACAAGACCGGTGACAGCATGTTTATCAATGGTACAGAGTGTGATGTTCTCTAATTGCCTCGTTCAGCAGATCAAAACACTGCAGAACTAATAAATGGATTTGGACGCGATCATTAGATGGGCTACGTCCGAAACGTAGCCAACTAGGTGGACGTGGTCATTACACACACAGTGACACGTGAGTTTATGTGCAGAGCTGTCCAATACTGCCTGAACGTGTGCAAGCGTTTCCGCATCTTCCCAATCCTATTCATAGTCTGTATCTCAAAAATAGAATCCAAAGTCGAACCGTCACAAAACTGTACTTGGTCGCTATGGAAATGGTCAAAAATGACAAAGTGGAAGCCTCACAAACAAATTTGTCAAGCAACACAAAGCCAATTTGAGAAAATAGTATCGACCGTTATTGACAACCGCAACGTAGCGCAAAGATACGCAGATGCAAGGCGACACTATAGCGCGAGTCTCAAAAGCAAGTAGGACAGAATGATACAGGGATCAAGCAACACACCACCAGAAGCAACAACACCAATGGAGCTTCCTAAAGACTTTGATGGTGCTTCTTGTTCTACAAATTTCAAAAACGAAAAGCTGATGGCATTTGTCAATACTTGGAAACAGAATAACAATGGTCGAATGAGTTGGTCTGCCTGTTGGGAAGAAGGAAAGAAGAAGGGCCTGTTCACAGAGTACTCGAATAGCCATAGTTTTTGAAGAATATATACCTAAAGTAAAAGATGATTCCTAATCTCTATCAGCACCGTTAATATAAAAAATGAACAATAATCATTAAAATAAAAATACAAAAATTCGCTTTAAAGTTGGTTTTTTCATTCCAGGCAAAACTGATGTTGACGACGTTGACAATGTTGGCGAAGTTGCAATTTGTATTTTACTTTACGCTTTTACGTTTTTTGACCTATGGATTAGAGATTACTCTCTTCAATTACACATCGTTTGAAGAAACTCATCGATCGTCGACAAATGTGAGGCCAGACGCAAAATGACTGCAAGCACGACACTATTCTTTTTTTAGATGCGGCTGGTTTTTTTTTCTTTCAAAGTGCGACACTTTAATTTTTTTTTCATGCGACATCATTTTGGCAAAAGGGTGTACGCGTCAAACCAGGTTTTTTGACATTGCAATAAACATTTTAAATCCCCGCGTAATTACCTTGTAAAAAAGGACTGTGTACTTTCGAAAGGAAGACGATGGGCCCTGTCACCGCTAAAAAGGATAATATAAGTGTCTCACTGCTTTAACACAAACTCGCTTTCAACACTTCGAAAAGGATAGGCATAGTGTTTGTATGTGTGTGAATAAAGTTTTAAATGAACTTGTGACCTCGGCTTATGAGAAAAAGGACGATACGAAAGCATCATTTAAAATCATTTATAGACGATAGTTCTCTGTATAAATATGGAATAGAAAGGATGAGTTTGATTTTTTACGTCACGATATTCAAATACCATCAAATCCATAAAGAAGCCAGAATAACGACGGAAAGAAATTTAAGATTACACTTCATAAACTGACCTTTTTTTTCTGACTTTTTCTTTTTTTTTCTTTTCTTCCCTTCCCCCTTTCCTTTCGGAAAACTATACGTTATATTACTAAATTATGTCTCAAGACGCGTTGAGTAACAATATTCAGCATGCTATTGCCTCCGTTGTGGGTAGTAGAGCAATTGATATTTGCTCCATTATCAAAGACTTGCAAGGCACAGAGGGTAGTAAGGATGTTGCAGAAGGAAAGAAGGAGCTTATTGATGTAACGTCGACTGAAGTCGAGCAAGCCAAAGCTAAAGAAGATGTCGTTGAAGAAATCAATGAACTAGTTCCTGAAGTACCTGCTGCCGCTGTAAACGAAGCTGCTGAACAAAAGGAGGATGACTCAGCTCCGATTGCTCCACCTCGTAAAGATATTTCCAGCAATGTCCAACATGCTATTGATGCCGCCGTTGCCGCTCGTGCTATTGATCTCTACAGCTACTTTGATGAATTAAAGGAAACCAGCTTGATGGATAAGTTGGCTGATAAAGTGGAGAAGGTTGAGGATACACTTCTGACTGTAAAAGAAGAAGTAGCAAGAGAAGTAGAGGACAAGGCTCAAGACTTAGCCTCAAGCAATAACGACACTACGAATGATGTGGAGAATGAAGAGGAAGTTTCTGAGGTAAAGCATAGCATCAACGAGGAGATCAAGGATGTTGTCAAGGAAGTGCCTCCTGTTGCTGTAGACGAAACTAGAGAAGAGGTGATTGATAATAAGCAAGGCCTTTTGGAAGAATTAGATGAGGTTGTGCCTGAAGTCGAACCTGTGGCTGTCGATGAAACCAAAGAAGAGGCTATTGATCACAAAGAAGATTTACTCGAGCAGATCAAGGAAGCAATCCCTGAAATACCTGCCGCTGCTGAAAACAATGACAGTAGCGCTGCTATTGCTGATGAAACAAGAGATATCAATAGCACCCTTCCCGAGACTGTTGTTCCTCACGAGGTGGATATGAAGGACGCTATTGATTATGCCATTAAGAATGCTGTCGCTTCTCGTGCTGTTGCTGATGAACCAAGCGATATCAATAACACCCTTCCCGAGACTGTTGTTCCTCACGAGGTTGATATGAAGGACGCTATTGATTATGCCATTAAGAATGCTGTCGCTTCTCGTGCTGTTGTCGATGATTATTACAAGAACAGTAATCCCGCACCATCTTTTATGTCAAATGACGTCATGGAAAAAGTGGAAAATTCCGTTGCCGGAACTCAACCAAAATTAGCTGAAACTGCGCAACAAGTCAAAGAAGCTGTTGTTGATACCGCCGAAACTGTACAGGACGCTGTTAGTGCTACTGTAGAAGAAGCTAAGAGTAGAGCCCCCGAGATTCAACGCAATATGGATAACAAGGCTGAGCAAACCAAGGAAGCTGTCACTGAATCAGCTGCTACTGTCAACGATTACAAAGATGCTACCGTCGAAGAAGCTAAAAATCAGGCAGCCGGTATTCAACAAACTGCTGTGGATATCACTAAAGCCACCAAAGATACCATTGTTGATACCGCTACCACTGCTAAGTCTTACGTTGATGCTACTATCGAAGAAGCAAAAACTCAAGCGCCTATTATTCAAGAAAATATGGATAATAAAATTCAAGCAGCAAAGGATACCATTGTAGATACCGCAAAAGAAACCAAATCATTAGCAGATGCTACGATCGAAGAGGCTAGCGTGAAGGCTTCTGCTTATCAACAAAGTATTGTGGATACTGCTAAGGTTGCTAAGGATACTGTAGCTGATGCTGCCAACACAGCCAAGTCATATGTCGATGCTACTGTCGAAGAAGCCAAGGCAAAAGCACCTGAATATCAAAAGAGCATGAATGAAGCAGTACAAAGCACTAAGGATTCGCTCGTTGATACTGCTAACAGTACCAAATCAGTGGTTGATGCTACTGTCGAAGAAGCCAAGGCAAAAGCACCTGAATATCAAAAGAGCATGAATGAAGCAGTACAAAGCACTAAGGATTCGCTCGTTGATACTGCTAACAGTACCAAATCAGTGGTTGATGCTACTGTCGAAGAAGCCAAGGCAAAAGCACCTGAATATCAAAAGAGCTTGGATGAAAAGGTTGAAGGGGCCAAAAATACAACCGTCGATACTATCAATATGGCCAAATCAACTGTTGATGCCACTATTGCTGATGCTGCGAATAAGGCTCCTGCTATCCAGGAATCCATTGATAACAAAACTCAAAATGTTAAGAATACTTTTGTAGACACTGCCAAGAATGCCGAGTCATTAGGCAATGCTACCGTCGAAGAAGCAAACAAACAAGCTCCTGCGATTGAAGACAATATTGCAAATGAGAACCCCTCCACAACTACTGTTTCTACTACTGTCATTGAAGAAACACCCAAGAAGCCTGAACCTGCAATTGCTGTTGCTGTTCCCGCCAGTGAAGTGAGCCCCGTTATACCTGAAGTTCCTGCTGTTGTGGTTGCCAATGAAGTAAGCCCCGTTACAACTGAAGTTCCTGCTGCTGTGGCCACTAATGAAGTGAGCTCCGTTACACCTGAGGTTCCCGTTGCCGTGGCCGCCCGTGAAGTGAACCCTGTTATACCTGAGGCTCCTGTTGTCGCTCCCCCTGTATCTGCTTCCTCGGTTCCTCACACTACCTCTCCTGCAGTTACTCCAATGCCCGTAAAGAAGGAAGAAAAGGTTCTTCCTCCCAAACCTGCCGAAGAACAGAAGAGCAGCGGTTCTAAATGTCTTATTATGTAAAATCAAACAAAAAAACCAGAAAATTTTTCAACCTATTTTACATATATGATATCATCTATCTTTATCTATCGCATTACTATGCAAAATTCATCCTATCTGTATAACTTGTGTATATCCTTTTTCTTTTTTCTTTTTAGATAAAATTGAATAATAAAATGTTTTTATGGTCAAGACATTTTTATGTCATAGCCACCAACAAGATGTTGAACGAATTCTATGAAGTGATACGTCCTTGCTCTTGAGATATTCCTCGTGTTAATCTACATTTCAACTATCTTTTGCAAAATCACATACCACACATGATAAATTGAGGTAACCAAACTATTATCTTCCTATTTTCCCCTTACAGATAACATATCAAACGCTTGCTTACTAACTTGTTGCATTCATACTTCACTTGTTTTTCCTGCATGTATATCTTACTATTATGGAGGCTGAAGAAGCAATGATACTATTTGTACGTCCGCCAGCTCTAACTTTTTTCTTCACGTACTTTTGTTCAAGTGTAAAGGCAGCAGGATAATTGTCTTGATCATTTATGTGTACGGCTTTTTTATAGAGTGTTATTGGTGATTTAGTTGATTGCTGGTGGTATTATATATCGGGAAGAATATGTTTTGTAATTCATGGGTAATCTTTGCTGTCTATGAGGTTTTCTTTTCTTGCGTGATTTTTGTTGAATTGGTTTGTTAAGTTTGTTGCGTTCCTCCCCTGTTCTTGGTGCAAATACCTCTTCATTTATTCTTTACTGAAAATGTAGACAGTTTACTGCTACAGCAAATCGCACTGTTTTGTTTTCACCATTTTATACACCTTCATTCTCCAGGGAATATCCCAGAGCTTATACAAATTGTATATCGCCTTTTTTAAATGGCTATGAAAGAACAGATGACTGTAATGCCCTCATGTCTTTTGCTTTTTCTTCTTCTCTTATGTGAGACTCGCAGTAGAAATGGCATGGTCAACGCTGATAGCCAAGCGTACCCTTGAACTCACTATTACTGGTACTTTTTAAGAAAACACTAGTAGTAGTAGTAGCGGCCTTCATACTATGCATCTGGCTCACAAGAGTTTTGGAAAGAAAAAGTCTTCATATTATGAAATATTAATTCACCGAATTTTCGGGACCTATTCTCTCAAACAAGCGAACAACGCTTCAGTATATAATTATGTTTTGTATATATAACAAATGCACAAGGCAGTTACCAGAAGCGAATGGCTAAGCCGGAGAGGAGGTCGGCTGGGTCATCGACCTTCGCATCCGTTAGGGTCGTGTCCTTATCTATGATTATAAACCATCAATGGCAAACGCAATATGTTGCTTAGAACTTCTATTATTACGTACTACTTATTTGCTCCTCTTCATATATACTTACATAGTGGACGCCATTCAGTTTGACAGGCTTGCTGCTACATATGTATTCACCATTGAAAGGAGTCATTGTATCTTGCTACTTGTTGGCTTTAGACCGGAAAATGACTACGAAGAAAAGCGAGGAACGCTATGTTCTTTTAAAAACCTTCTTTTTTAACTTCTGTTTCTATTATTAGTCTTTTGTAATGTTCAATTTCTGTCTTTTGCATAGGGTCGACGTCCCTTGACTAAGGTAGGCGGGTTAAACCCGAGAAATTATTTGTTTACAAAGTACGGCTTTAAGAGTAATGTAATTAAGTTAGTATATAGATAGAGTTATAGTCGATGTAAATAGTTCCTGCTCTCAGACAAGGAGAGACAAGTATTAAATAGCATTGAATCTGCACGTTCTGAGTTTCTTTTTGGTGTTAGATAATGTAACGCTTCCATCGCAAAGATTAATTTCAGACTCACCAACAGTACCTGCACCATCTTACGAACAAGATAACATTATATGATACGCAAGTGCCCATATTTTATTTGTGACATGAGTCTACAAGGAAATTACGCGAGTGACTAGTATTATTTAGGTATATTTCACATTACGTTAAACTTTTATGTATCAAAAGGCCCAAGACTATAGAAAGTAGCAATGCTATCAGGGCGTCTAGCCAAATAGGCGGTCTAATTAAAGACGTGTTTCTATTATCACAAACTGTATTAATACTACTATTGATAGTAACAGGACTAGCTTCCGTCGAAGGTAACGAGCGTAGTTTAGACACTTTATCATCTTCTACTTGGTCTTTTTGTGATACATTTTGCGGTCTATTTTGTGATTGTTCGTATGTTCCATCGGCCTCCTTATAATTGTCGTTTTCCAGTGCACCCGACTTCGTTCCGTTATTCAAAACAGTTGTCGAAGGAGTACTGCTAGAACTGTTTTCGGGCTTGAAAGATAATTCAAAGCTTGGAATCTCTTCGCCTTTATTTGCTATACTATCCACTGTAGTAGACATGTCTGGCTTATCACTCAAAATGTCTTTCATGATGTCTCCGCAAACGGAGCAAGACCAATCCATGGACCTATTTTTGATTAATGTAAATGAATGAAGGGCTTGAGTAAAATGGTTAGAATTGCAAGCGTTGGCCGTTACTTTACTGTTTGGCCAGTTTTCTTCTCAGACTCTTATCATATTGAAGGCTTCCTATAGCGCCTTTTGCTTCTGTTGGGAAGAACCCGGTTATAGCAAGAAGAACAGTTCGAACTATGATGTGTGAATAGTAAGGTACATTTATGTTACTGTGCTCGCAGAATGTCAAGCATGAATTTAAAGTTCTTACTGCCCCAAGCAGGTTGCCAATATTCCGGATGAAAACCTGTTATACTCAAACAAATTTTTGTATGCAGCTCAAATCGTCCATTAGGCTGTATTAGAAAGGATAAGGAGAACTTTAGCGAGCGCAGAGTCGTTCTGTAGGCTAGATAATTTTGTTACCGTTAAAAAGATGATTTCTGGAGGCTTAAAAGGGTATTCGGTTGGTAGTATGATGCGGCCATGATATCTACAATCAATTGATGTAACGATTTTTATATTCATTTTCTTCTTACAACTTTTTAACAAGCTCAAGAGTACAATTTCTTATGGAAGATCTCAGAGTTTACTAACCTTCCGTCTTCGAATTCTGTATCTTTGGGTCCTCTAACTGTGAAGTGCCATTCAAAAAGGTTGTCCTATAGGAAAAGGGTGCCTCACTTCAATAGCCAGTCTTTTGAACAACCTTAGCAATTGTTCCAGCTGATTTACCTCCAAAGGATGTGCATTATATTCATATGTTTTGTCATTAGCCAGCTCTTTAGCTTCTTTGAGAATCCGCTTCACACCTATTTTAGACAGAAAAAGGTCATGATCGGTCATTCAGTTTAACTTAAGCTCCAGCATGGTATTTAACCGATTCCCACAGTGCCCTTTTGGAATTCACAATTGAGGACACACCTGGATTTTTGAAATTGTATTCCATGGTTTTCTTCAAGTTCAACCGAGCAACACAAAGAGCTGAAGTTTTTAATGAACGAAATACACTCACAATTATGCAGACTTGCACATGAACCGCAATACATACACTGCAGCCGATCCAATGGTGCGTTGAAATAGGTCAAGTTTTTATTGGCTGCTATAGCCGTAGCGAGAATCATTTAAGCTACAGCAACTTTAAAATCGAGAATCTATACTACTCTTGCCATAAGCTTGATACTTCCATCAATTCAAACTGTAATATGAAATACTGATTGCTTACGTTTCTTGCCGCTACTTCCAACTAAATTTGCGTTAAGCAAACATAAACTTGTCTTGCAGTGAGAGCATGATAATTACCATCAGCCGCAGAAACTGCTTTGTAAAACTTGCATTCATGGTATGCCTTGTTGAAACGTCCCGCGTGTTTTGCAATCCTTGCACTTGATGTTTACTAGTCATACGAAACATGATTTGAGGGTTACCACTATAACCTATCTGTGGCAGCGCGATCATGTGTTACTTACCGAAGGACTCGTTTTTGGCTTTATTCTTATGGGCTTCTGCCACCGATTTGTTTTTTTGCAAGATTTTGGCTTTGTACATGGTGAGTAGTAGCTATCAGGATGAGGAAAGAAAGTATGAAAGAAGAATAAGAAGAAGAAGATGGAAATCAAAGGAAAGGCAACTTTCTGTAAATGCTTCGAGTTTGACAATATTTATTGTTTATTACGATGGACAACAACAATTGTTATGTACGTATGTGGCGGAAGAACCCGTAAATCAATTTATCTGATCCATAAAGAACGTCTCGTAAACGTCAACCCTATGTCTATTATGCTTATAAGACCTGGGTCGCGCTAAAAATTCATATATCTCGTAGTACTTTAGACGTAGAGTCGCTATCAATTGAAAAATATCTAATAAACTTCAAAGTAATGTCTCCAATTAAAGTGTAAAGATCTTAACAGGAATTTCGATTCGTATCCTGTTTTTACTTAGAAACGTCTTCTAATAAAACTCAAATTGTCCCACTAAAAAATTCGAAAGTGTAATTCATATACCTCTCCTACCTAAATGGCATAAGTTACAGCTATGAAAAGACTTGTACTGAACCAAAAGTAACCCTCCCTTCACAATGAGAGAAAAAGAAATAGACTGAGTGTGAACGCTGCTGCTTTCATAGTAGTTTTGGGGTAAATTTTTAATTGCTTCGCTTGTGTTGTTATACTTCCTCTTTTTGGCTTTGATCTCCAATTAACTCAACACGTCAAAATGAACATCGACCTCAATAACCCAGTAACAAAGACAGTAATAAAATCGTTTGTCAACAATTGGGAAGCCGAGAATAAGAGACGATTACAGAGTGAAAAATTACTCATTGAAGAACATGAGATGAGTATCAAGCGACATTGGTGGAATAGAGCAGCGAAACCAGAGTCTATTTTATTGCCGGAAGAAAAAAGGTTATTGAAAACCGTAAAGTCAAGGGCTCATTTCCTTGATAGGGGCGTATCTTTGTGCTGCTTACAGATCGGTTTTGATGGTTTAGTTGGTATAAAGAGGAAATAGCTGTTCTTCAAAATTATGCACATTTTATTTAATACCAAAGTGTCCAAATTTGTAGGTTTTATACCCGTGGTGGGCGATTTCATAGGTGTCTTATTATCTTTACAGCTTGTCTATATGTGCATGCAAGCTAACTTACCAAAGGAGTTAGTATCAAGAATGATCTTGAATGTTGCTATTGACTTTATGGTGGGCTTCGTGCCTGGAATTGGCGATGTTCTAGATGTCCTGTATAAATGCAATACCAAGAATGCCTTATTATTCGAAAACTACCTATTGCGAAGAAGAAGGGCTCAGAGACTTAAAGAGCAAAAGACACCCCTACTGAAAGAGGCTTGAATGTTGTATTCCGTTTTTCATTAATATATTATTGTTAATTCTATTACTGAAATTGTTGTATTATATATCATATGCTTTCCATATCTATAAGTTGGGAATAAGGACTTTTTACAAACTAATCTACGTTCACAATTCCTCGATTACTGGTTTCTTGCCGCTTTGGTTCTTATTGTTGGGTATCTTTAGTTTTTCCTCGTTTGAGTTCTCCTCCTCCTCAACATCCTCGTCAGAATCTGACTGCTCTGAGTTCTTCATATCATATACACCTAATCCGAGATTCTATCAATTGAAAACTCTGTCAATAAGAGTAAGTGTTCTTGTCCTTCTTTATCGTGCTTGATGTTACCATTTCTATATATTGTCCGTCTTCATCTACACTTTCAATGTCTAACTTTGAGAGATCTTTCTGTTCAAGCTCCTCGTTTGCTTTTTTCAATTGCGGCAAAAATGCCTGCACCTTTGACAAAACTAGCAAAGTGAATGAGCACATATAGTAAATGCTGAAAATGAATGCAGTTGCGTCAACTTACTATCGCTTTGACCAATAGGTAAAGAACTTATATTCGAAGGCAATGGGAAAGTGGGATCACTAATTGATCCGTTGCCAGAGTTCGATGAGTTAACATCAAGCAATTTTTCTAAATAATAATAATAAATGAGAACGATCGAGTTCAAGAAACAACTATGTTACATGACTACTGCATACTCAAGTTATTTTTCTTCCCCTTGGGATCTAAGCGTTCGGTTGAATTTTTCGACATTAGAAAGTCAAGGATCACAAAATATGTTGAGATAAAATCACAAGAACTGTCAAAATAAGGTTTTGAAATTTCGTGACTTGAATAAAGTATTCCTGTAATGCAGCTTTCAGCAGCTTTTTTTTTTTTTTTTTTTTTTTTTTTTTTTTTTTTTTTTCTTTTAGGCGTCATTCGACTTCAATATACTCCACTCACAACGATACGATTAGCCGATGGTCAAAGAAATAGATCCAAGTTTAAACGAAGTCAACTTTCTTTTAGAAGCTCTAAAGGATGGCAAACGAGTTGATGGACGTGAAATTTACGACATGCGATCGTTAGAAATTAAGTTGGGCTCGGATTACGGTTTCGTCGAAGTTCAATTGGGGAAAACCAAAGTAACAGCGAATGTATCAGCTGAAGTAGTTAGACCCTATCCTGATAAGCCAACAGAGGGACAACTTATTTTCAACTGTGAAATCTCACCCATGGCTGCACCATTTTTTGAAGCTGGATCGTAAATTGTTTTTTCTTTTACTGATTCTCAGGCAAAGACTACGAAGCTAAATACCTATTTTGCACAACAACTTTTTTAGACGCTCTGAGGAAGAAGTTTTAATTAGCCGTATTATTGAAAAATCACTACGCCGTAGTAGAGCTATTGATACAGAGGGTCTTTGTATTGTGGCAGGAGAAAAAGTGTGGCAGATCAGAGTTGATCTATTATTTCTGGACCACGATGGTAATCTTATGGATTGCGCCTCCATAGCAGCGATCACAGCACTATTATATTTCAGACGGCCAGATGTCACAGTTTCGGGAGAAGAAGTGACAATTGTAAGTTATTACTCGATTGTTCGTAGTATATTTAATAATCATGTCTAAATTTTCATTTGGCTTTTTCTGTTTGCACAGCATCCAGTGGATCAAAGGAACCCAGTACCATTAAGTATTCATCATATACCAATCTGCATTACACTAGCCTTCTTCGATAACGGGTAAACAGATATAACGTGCTACATTATAAAGTTATGGTTCTAATAGACATGCTATCATTAGTGAACGCTTGGTGGTTGACCCAAACTATCTTGAAGAAAAATCCCAGGAAGGATCTATGACAATTACAATGAATGCTCATAAAGAAATCTGTTCTTTTTCGAAAGCAGGCGGAATACCGTTGGAAATGAGTCAAGTATTAAGATGCTCTGAAATCGCTGTACTCAAGGTACAAGAAATCGATGAACTTATAAGGAAAGTTTTAGACGAAAAACTAAGGAGATAATGCCTCAGATGCTTGCAAATATTAGGATCTTTTTGCACAGAATAATAAAGAGTAATCCAATATCACATTATAATGTAATGCACTTCATCAGAATTCTTCGTGTTCTGTATCAACATTCAGAGGTTCAATCATCTAGATTCAAACTAAAATCAATTTTTGTAAGGCAGCCGATATCTGATTGTTCGTATGAACGACGTGAACCAAGTTTCAAAGCAATGAAATTGACACAATTCATGGGTAGTTTTCTGCTTTAACTCTCGCTCACCTTTAGTTTTTTCGGACCTTTTACCGACCTCTTAAGAATTAAGCAAATTCCTTCAAGCTGTGCCTGATCAGAATCATAGTCACAAAAAGAGTACTGCATTTTCCTTTTTTGTAAAAGGGAATTAAGCGTAAAAAAATCTCGAAAAAAAAAGCCTTTTCTTAGATTTGATCAGTCAAGTTTACAATTTAAACATGATCTCGGCGATTCAGTGGATCCGTAAAGGAGCAGCAGCCAGAAATCCAAAGAAATACGATCTCAACGATGAAGAATATGCCAGAATTAATAAATTGGCATCTGAACAATTAGAAGAAGCAAAAGATGATCTCAAGGCCGTCGAGTAAGTTGTCTACTGTTATTGAACGAAAACTTATGTTACTAACCGAAAAGCTCATATTTGATTAATTTATTATTAGTAACAATACAGATGCTGCTGAGTCGAAGCCTGAACCTATTATTGACGATGAGTTGGCCGAATACAACTTAGAAAACTATGATAACGAAGTTGCAGCTTCTAATAAGAGTAAAGTTTAACTTGTGATAGTGGGTATGGATAGTATGATTCACCATTATTATGTTTACTTATGCATTGGATAGAGGTTGGAATCTTTTCGAATATCAAAGACCTAGCATACTATGAAAATGATGAGGAGGATCCTTATATTACTTTAAAGCAAAATGTGGATGAGGAGGAGGAAGCCAAGGAGTTAGAAATCTTACCTCACGATAACATGCTTTTAGCGGCAAAGACAGAAGATGAAATCTCACAACTAGAAGTATATGTCTACGAAGAGAATCAAGACAACTTATATGTTCATCACGATATTATGTTACCGTCTTTTCCCTTGTGTCTTGAATGGCTCGATTATCATACACACGCCAGTAAAGTAGGTGATCAAAGTACTTCTGGTAATTACGTCGCCATCGGTACTTTTGATCCCGATATTGAAATTTGGGATTTGGATACTGTGGATATTATGTTCCCTGAAACCATTCTCGGACACACGGATAAATCAAAAAAGAGATCAAAGAAAGTGAACGATAAATACCACGTGGACGCTATTATGGATTTAGCTTGGAACAAACATCATCGCAACTTTTTATTATCCTCTTCCGCTGACGGCACGATCAAATTGTGGGACTTGAATACTTCAAAGTGTGTTCAATCTTATAACCATCACAATGATAAGGTGCAATCTGTTGTATGGCATCCTACTGAGCCTACCGTTTTCCTTTCTGGTTCATATGATAAAACCGTTTGTGTGCTAGATGCTCGCTCCCCCGGTCAAGTAACTCGATGGCACGTTGATAGCGATGTAGAATCTCTTCGTTGGGATCCACATAATCCATCTAATTTCTACGTCGCTCTGGAAAGTGGCCTCATTCAATATTTTGATGTTCGTCAAGCCGTTGATGGTAAGGGTGGCAAACCTGTCTTCACACTACAAGCACATGATGAAGCTGTTAGTGCCTTTGAAGTCAACCCTCTTGTTCCTGGATGTATTGCAACTGGTAGTACTGACAAAGTAATCAAGATTTGGAATACCTCGGATAATAAACCCAGATTGGTCACAAGCCGCAACTTTGAATTAGGCAGAATTTTCTCTACCCAATTCTGCCCTGATTCTCCATTCCAGTTGGCTATTGCCGGCTCAATTGGTAAATTGCATGTTTGGGATATGGCGTCGAATGCTGGTGTACGTCAATCCTTCAGTCACCAAGCTCTGTCTCAGGTGTCAGCTACAGAAGAAAAGAAGCCTGTAACTATAGTGAATGATGAGGATGAAGAGGATGATGATGAGGATATGGAAGGACTTCCAGCGGGCCAACCAGATGATGATGAGGAAATGAGCGATGATCATGTGTAAATATTTTAGACCCAACAATGTATTCCATCAAAATCAATAAAACATGCATTTATTTGCAAAACTGCTATCATGATCCAGTTCGTAAATCGCAAAAAGTGATGCTTAGAATTAAATAAGTGACAGGTGTACTCTTTGTTTTTATCTTTTGCAATATGCTTCACTTTAATATCTGATAAAGTCTTTCGGTAATCTATACAAGTGTTTTCATATTAGTACAATATGAGTACATCATACCAGGGCTGCGCAATTTTTCGATTGTCCTATCCCAATTTCTCTATAATTCTTTACGTGTTTTAGCATAAGAAGAGGCATATAGGTAATTCGCACTTGACAATCCTCCAGAAAATGTGGATTCTAGACGTGTCTAAGAAATTGTATATGTATATTTTATTTATTTATTTTTGGCAATGGATAATATCTATATACAACATCTTTAAACATGCAAGGCTGAGTAATTTTGAAGCTACTTCTGACCCTCTCTCTAACGGTTTTACGATAGACACAACGATGAAAAGCAATCCGCTAGATATCTGTTTTTTTCAGTTTTTTAACTAAGAAATAGGTAAAACGCATCAATTGCAAGGGATATACTAGAGAACAACTGCATATTAATCTATAAGCTTAGCAAAAGCCATAGTATTCTTAGAAAAGTAATCAGCAATGACATCGAAGCCGTCTTCTTCTTGATCTAGTTGCTCAAAAAACAGATCGTGTCTATCTGCATTTGCTTCTTGAGTTCTTCTAATTTCACTTATCATTCTGTGCTGCATAGTGCACTGTGGACATTCTTTGTCGTTCTCACCCAAACATCTCTGATGGAAAGAGTGCTTACACAGGAAGTGTATAGCTGGTAAATCCAAATTACCTTCACATGCTGTACACTTTTGCACTTGGAAAATACGGGCACTACGTGAAAATCAAAATTTAGACTGCGTCGTTTCTGTATGAAAAGACTTGACGCAAAGTTCTCTTTACCTGGTTTTCAGTTCTTCGATCTCCTTCTTCCTTCTGTCTGTTTCCTCTCTATAACTTGAGATCAATTCTTCATTCTACACCGTGTATAGGTTGTTAATGCACGTTCTGCACATTTCTACTCTTCAAAATTTACTTCATACCTGCTTCAATTCTTGACGTTCGTTCTCGATCTTTTTCCCTATATATTTCTTGAGCAAGCCAACGTTAACTACATTAGACCGCGACAAAGCCTGCACAAGCTGTATTGGCGGTAACAAATTTTGGTCATCAATATAGTTCATGACGTCAAGTAATTCATTTTTTGATTTAGCCATGATTTCTGGAGAGGATGAGAAATAAGTCAGCACCATGGGGTATAATGAAGGGTCCTCAGGTCTGGAAAATAGAGTAAGTATTTAACTTAATAAACAATCATGAATTTTCAAAATGGAAATGGTTCTTAATTACCCATATTTTCTAACGCCTTCAATAACGCGTTCTGTATCTTGTTTCTCCATCCAAAACCTTAAAATATCTGAGTACATGGCCATCTTTTCGTATAAATACACGACGCCCTCATCAAATCGTTTCATTTGGCAAAGCATTAAAGCTTGATTTGTATCATACTCCACATTTTCATCGTGTAGTAATGCTAATGCTTTTTGGTGCAAGGTTTTATACTCTTTTCCTTTATTACGATGCTCCTCTGTGCAATCAAATTCATCCAACACTTGTTCCAAAAGGTTGTTCCAAACATTAGCATATTCTGATTTTTGTGATAACGACGCTCCCTTTGAGATAGATTCGCTTTTCAAATATTCATAGACTGCTTCCAAGAATTTGGTGAGGTACTTCGGTCTGTCGATAAAAGCAGGCATGAAATTTTGAGGAGAAGGTGGTGTATAACTTGGGATTCCTGTGCTCTTTCTGGACGCAGATTGTTGCGATAATTTGTTTAGTGTAGGTGTGCTATTTGTATGCTTTGGTAATGTAGGTGTGCTTTGATCGGATAAAATGGAAGAGGAGTCTAATGCATTTGGTCCTCCGAAAGGAAGACCAGCGAGAGCCCTTACATTATCGCTTGGAGCAGGTGATAACATGTTCTCTGATTCATTCGCTTTTCGAGATGGATTGTTATTGCCATCGTTTTCAGGTAAAGGAAGCGTACCCGTGCATAAATCGATTAACAACTGCGTCGTTTCATCAGGAAGATACATTAATAGTGTTTTACTGTATCTTTTTAAGTACTTTTCGGCTTCATACGGTCCTAATTTGCGAATATAATTCAAAGCAACATCATATTTCTTTGTATCCTCCATCACAATTTCCAAATAGCTATCGTGCACTTGATATTTTTCTGCTAAATATACTGCGTGCTCATAGTAACCCGCTTGATGACATACACTGATAGCTGTTTCCAAATCAAAATTTAGATCTGTACCTGTCTGTAGATGATTGTTTAACGTCCAATTGGTTTTAATACTTTATAATACCATGCAAACAAACCTTAATAAACTCATCTAAACGAGCTACATCTTTCAGTTTTGTATAACAATTCAAAAGGAGCGTAGTGTGATCTGCGTTGGCAAAACCCTTGGAATGAAGCTCCTGAAGATAGTTTGTTAAGTTATAGATCCGTTGGGCATCAAGAAACTATAAAAAGAGCCAACATTTAATAGCTGTTCAAACGAGCACTTTCCATATTAAACCTTTACTTTTCGAATAATGTATGATGGTTCCAGCTGACCAATAGTTCTGATATACTGCTCCATTGCGCCATCATAATTCCCCTTATTATATAAATGATCTCCATATTTCTTGAAAATATCGGTAATGCTGTTATCGTCGTATTTCTGCATGTGTGCTAAGTTGATGGCAAGAACATACAAGTTCATTTTGAATAAAATCTCCAATTTTGTAGGCGTATCTTTTTCATTCAATTGATACAACTATTGAAAGGTTGATATTCCATTATATTATTATTAAATTGTACCATACGATCGTAGCAATTACCTTTCCATCTGCACCAACAACCCAAACGGAGTTCCATTCACAGAATATACCATGGATACCACCGACAAATGTGCCTACATATGCCAGAAACTTATTCGCTGTGTCGAAAATAGCTATTTTCGTAAGTTCTGTTGTTGCATTGACATTGTTTTTGTTTAGGTTCAAAGATTCTCTAGCACCGGTTGAGAGATTAGCAGAAGTCATAACAGGTGGAGACACAATAATAATATAATTTGATTTGAACCATGTCAGCGAAGATTTTGGTGTGTCGTAAGCAAAGCAAGGTCCTCTTCCTGTAGGGTCATAGAGGTAGATAGCCTCATCGCGGCCAACAACCATCTCCTGTTGATCGTTCATGATGGCGCATCCCAAACCACAACCTTGTTCATCCAATATAGTCTACCATAAGGTAAAGTTTCCATATCAGCATATAGCCCTATAACGATGTTTGTCTGCGAAATCATTGTTACTTACAGTCGTAGGCTTCACAACAGTCGTATTATACGACATTATATTACTCGTGGTCACGATAAACAATATAACAGATTTGGTCTGTTCACGAAATCCGAGCCCAGTGATAGGCTCTTCTCCTTCATGAATCACCTTCTGCTTAATGACCTTATCTTTCGATAAATCACCGCGAATCAAGATAACAACACCGTTGGCTAATCCAACAGCGAGCTGTGACATATTTTCCAATATAGCAAACGTGGTTACAGGATATGTTTTGCCTCCATGCTGTATTTTGATTGACTTTAATAATGTTGGTACAATATTTTCTTCGTTTGGCTCCGCAGAAGGTTTCAATATGTCTAGATCCCATATCTTAATCAGCGGTGTGCCCGATACCGTGTCTTCTTCCTGTAAGTGAGTCCAAAATGAAGTTTAATCGTTTAATAAATAGAGGCTAAAACGAAAGTATTCACTGAACCACTTTACGCCGATGGTAACAAGTATGTTACTCTGCTTCATCTGCTTTAAATAGGTAACTCTTCCCCCATCATATGCAGTGAACTTTTGGTGCTTAAAAGAACGATCGACAATGTAAATGTTGCCTGAGCTGTGTATAGTAAAAAGGGTTAAGGATAATTACTTCAAGGAATATGCAATGTTCTTAAAGAGAAACTCTGTTAGTCATCTACGAAAAAAGGATATCTGCTACAATGACATGGCCTCTTCCTGCTGTAAATAAAGTGTTGTCTTTATTCTAAAATCAGAGAAAGAAATGTCAGTTGGTTGTTAATGGCGGGATTTGGCAGAAACTGTTATAAATTACTTGAAACAAGGCTGGTATTTTGGTTTTATCATTAGGATCGACAGCTTGCTGCTTATCAAAAAAGTTGAACTGTCTCCATTGTGCCAACGACATTTTTATTCTAGCTTCTGTAACAAGACTTGGAGAGTGATGAAGCGAACTCATCAGGCAAAAATAGCGGCCTTTCAAATGCTTTAACTTGGCACCTTTTTGATTTCTAAATTATGCAGTATTTTTAGACGACTTGCAATATTTATTACAATTTTATCGGAACAATTGTCCATGATTATAAAAAATCCTTCGTGTTCAACGATCGACACGAATCCTATTGACCTGCACCGTTACAAAAGCCAGTACAATTCAAAGGAAGCAACCGAACAAGAAGCACTTGTTACTGCCAACCATATCTTCTCAAAAGTTTACGGAGCCACTTGAATTTGTTCGATCAAGCACATCCATCAAAGATACCAAGAAGCATATCACTTCGTCTTTATCAACTTCAAAATTTAGCAATTTAAATAATCAAGCAGGTTTATACCACTTTTGACGCGCATGAATTGATCTTAGCCTTTTCAACATTGAAGATATACTGAACAGTGAAGATATGCTTCCCTTTTTTCTGGCATGCTCCTATGGCCATCTTCGAATAAAAATGGAAGGTCCATATCGGATTGATCAAAAAGACAGGGAATGAAACGATATTGATTTATATTTTATATTCTTGGTTGGGCTTCCTTGAACTTTCAGGAAGGCTGTCTTTCAATTATGGCATTCACATTTTGGTTTATTGACGACTTTACTATTATTGTATACCTAATCTCTTATCCAATTGAAAAAGCCAGTCTTCTGGGATACAAGGATATATCTTATCAAATAAATCTTCATGATCTTGCTTTTCAACTTTGATCGCTTTATATATTGCGTCGGCATAATTGTTGATCTCAACGGTTTTCTGGAGATTCTTTCGCTGTTGCGACTTCCAGCAAGATAGAAGATCATTCACTTCGGTTGCTGAGAATGGAAGAATATAATCAGATTCCATTTCCTTTGGAAACGACATATTTGTAATATATGTATTGTTACTCTCTTCTGATAACTGCTCAGTTGGTATAATTGTTATCAAGTGATCAGTCTTTACTGATACGGGTGCGATAAGGAGATCCAACTGCTTTAAATTACTGCTCCATAGCTGAGGAGCATTAGATCCCCGATCTGCACTGTTTTTGATATCTTGTTCTCGCTGTTCGTATTCCGTTGTGATCTGAGATACTAACTGCTCAATTTCTACCGGTAATCTCGCTTCTGTAACTTCATACCGATAATTTTGTATGCAGTATTTCATCTGTGTTGGACTCACTTTATCAAATCTCTCCATAGCCGAAGTGAAGGCAAAGACATCATCTATTTGAGATATGCATTGTAGCAATTGTAATATTTGTTTTAATGGTTGAAAATGTTTGCAAATCATTGATGGTGGAAACTGGTTCAAGCTCAACCATTCTTCCAGACTATGTATATTTATACATATTTGAAGAGCTTTGGTGCGGCACAAACATTTTCTTTTCTTTTGTGATAGAATACGCTGTATTACTTCAAATGAGACATATCGCACCAATTGTGACATGCATTGAACAATGATAGCTGGCGGAACGTGGTATGATTGCAGAGTAGACTGAGCTGTGACTAGGCTTTGACTGATTGTATGAGGACTATTAGTTTGAGTATTTTCAAGAGACGTGATTGATGTGATTGAATGCCGTTGCGGCGATAATAATGGTGTCGTCGGTGTCTTTGAAAAATCTAGTGTTGAGTTACCAGCCTTAAAGCTGTTAACATTGATATAATTAACTGCTACCCTGGGAGACACCTCTGTACGTTTAGAATCTAGTGAACTTCTACTAGACCTTTTAAAGAACCTTTGCCAGTCATCAGCAAACTCGACAGTTCCAAGTTCAGGTAAGGACTCAAAATCTATCAAACAAGAATCCAACACTTTTCCTAGTTCTTTGGTTGACTCGCTTACAAAATATGTGTACGCAATCCATACAAGTTCTGTTAATTTTGTTTGGAATTTGTGTGTGGTGAGTGATAAGCCGATATCTTTTTTGAAGTATCTTAATAACTGACACATGTTAGCCATCCAGAATGCTAGTACTTCTGCATTATGGGAGGCTGTCTACAAACCAGAGCGAAATGTGTATCAATTGTATGCAATTAGCAAAAAATAAATAAATCATTGCTTCTGTAAGCAAACCTTGATAACTTTTGCCTGCTTGTTCAAATAAGCTTCCAATATGTTTGAAAGTGATTCCTTGCTAGAATAATAACATGCATACCGAGAAGAGAGAAACAGCACGTTCGCCGGACGCCAAAGCTCGTTACTTGACGAAACTTGATCTTTCAAAGCTTTTACATTGCTAACCTGCAATGCCATATCAATGATAACATGCATATCCATTACATTATACACAAACATTTGGCTATACAGACATCTGTGCCAGTCGAACGTGCAAGATGTCAGTATCTGTTTCGTCCAATCTTTAAAGACGTCTTCATCTTCCTTTTGTATGTTTTCAATTTGGTGGCCCCCGGTTATTTCCTCCTTGCGTTGTTTTGTATTAACTATATCGTTCATTTGGTTGAAATCAGACGTTGAGGATCGATGTTGATTATACTCCTCGCATATCGTTTGTTCATTCGTATAATTGCAATTAGATTCACGATGATAATGTAGTAACATGTATTGATTTTGATTAGTCGGAAACAGCGTCGTTGAAAACTTTGCCGGCAGTAACGCGGTATCATTATTTATCACAACAGCAACAGGAATGATAGGATTTTTTGCTGCCAAGCTATTTGACAGATTCTCAACGATTTTTGACATTGCTGGTATTTCTGCACCATTACCTAATAACATTTTTACACTTAGTGTTCGGTAGCCGATTACTCCCCAAGTTAGTGCTGTCCAGCCCTCTGAGATGTATTAGAAAAGTATGCTTTTGAGTGGCACTCATTGGATTCTTAGTTTTACAGCTCCCTCAAAAAGAACAGACTGTACTTACTTTTATCCTGTTTGTTAATTCGAATGTTCGGTTGTTTTAACAATAGCTCTATGCATTTGTTATGTCCAAAATAAGAAGTGTACATCAAAGGCGTTATTCCTGAATCTTTGTCATCCGATAAGTTGACATTCACTTCCACATGTTCCAACATATGTTGCATTGTTTGCATATCGCCCATAGCAGCAGCTCGGTTAAACCATCGAGCAATGAGCTTGCAACGAAGTTTAGGGTTCCTGATATTTGCGTTGAATATTTTATGATCATAAACAGCGTATACTTCATTGAATTCTTTTAACCTAGCATGCTCATCATAACCTTCCATATTCATTTGCGGTCGATTATTTGTCATTATTGCTTTTGCATTTTTACGCTGTGTTTGTTCGTTTTGTGGTTGGTGTTGATTTTCTGTGGAGAGACTAACTAGCATTTCCTTGACTTGTGATAGTTTACTGCCCATTGATATTTTCGCGTCTGACGAGGAATTTTGATTTATATGGGATGGTGTCACCGGTATTCCCGTATTGGCAATAAGCTCTGATTCACTTGCAGCTCCACAATTATTATTGTTATTTCCACCTTTGGGAAAAGTGCTGCTTGATAATTGAGTAAGTATACTTGAAAATTGTTGGAAACTATCCGCAATTCTCGAGGAAAGTTCTTCATTTGACAACGATTCCGATGAGTTGGACATTGTAGTGGTTGATACCCGACGCAGCAGTTGCTGGTGTTGTTGTGGTTGATGAGACAAAGTATTATGCCTACAGAATGCATCGTTGATTTTAGCAGTCTGTTGAAATCCTCGAGCTTTTGTAAAGTCTTGGTAACTGACATTTGTATTAATAGAGAGGCTGAATGACAGCTTTTCTGAATTCATACGCTGTCTACGGGATGCGATTGTAGGCTGCCTACTGACAATTGGTGAGCTTGGCAGCATGGTAAGTTTCGAGGGATAACCTGTAAAGTTGCGAGATATGCGATAACGGTAATAAAGGCTTAATGGTTGAGAGTATGAAATTGGAAGTCGATTCTAAAGAATAGGAGACAGTGATGCGAAGCAACAGAGTGTGATGAAGAAAGACATTGATTCTCACCAGCCATGAACTTGTATTTCACCAAATCACATTCAGTAACACCAACGTTGGTACCTTAAAAAGTAACGGAGCTTCTAGCTACATGTAATCATTTATTGGCCAAATCATGATACTTTGAAGTATTCATTCCTTTTCGTGGGAAGTATAATAAATTGCTTCGCTTAAATTGACTAAACTACTATTGAAAGAGTATTGTTATAAGGTTGATTGTTATACAATATGTCAAATGAATTGAAAGTGCTAGATTATCTCATGTACACGTACATAACGCTGTGGCGAAGCGGTGTGTCAAATTCTGAGAGATCCTCCTGCTGCTACTTTTGTGTGGTCCTTAAAAATCGCGTCCTGTATAAAAAAGAAAAGGACACTTACAAAATATTTTCTCTGCAATTAGGGCTATAAATTTCAGTTATGGAAGTCGAAGTAGCACCTCATCCTGCAGCAGCAAAAGTCGTTGATTTCGAAGACTGGGCTTGTAACTCTAATGAGTGCACTGAAATTAGTTTAGGTTTGTAGAAACATCATTTGCCCGTTTGAGAATACCATTGAACAATATCTAACTGTGATATCTTCCACCTTGAATCGGAAATATAGTTCACTTACAAAGAGGAGACAATGATTCCAAACAGCCTATTATCTCAACAGGATTCAACCCTGATTTTACTTATTCTGTGTTTGGTGCTGCAGAAACAATCTTTGGTTATAAAAACTTATCTATTAAGGTGAGAAACAAGAATTTTTTTGTACAGCACTGATTTTGCCTATTAACGCTTCGATCGCCTAGATCAAATATACATCAGGATCTTTAAAACCATACGTAGAGATCAACTACACAGATAAATATAAAGCCCAAACACCATCATCTTCAACGAAAGCAGAGGTGGAAGCAGATGATATTAATGCAATACTAGGTGAACTTCTGCCGAAAGAACGAATAGACAATTACCATCAATTTATCGACGCTGTCAAACGGGATTATACCACCTTCAGACCTTTGGGTGACAAAGTGCAGGAATATACCAAAGAAAATAACGATGGGTCCATTGATCATTTCGAAATCTACAAGGTAGCAGTGAGAGATAAGATATTCGCTTGGTGATTATGCTAATAGTTTTGCCTTTAATATCATGCAGTGCTCATTCGCTGATAAGGATATGAGGCGTTATTATTCTCGTATAAAACTATTTGTATTACTATTTGTGGAGGGATCTAGCTTTATTGATGACGAAGATGATAATTGGGAAATTTATACAACGTGAGTGCTATAAAACAAAAAAAAAAAACAACAGAATGAACCTTTGAAAGATTCTTGGGAGCCATAACAGTTGCATTATTCTTTTAGATATAAACGAGAAGATGTCAACAATACATATGCTTACCATTTCATAGGCTACTGTGCTGCCTATCCTTTCTGGTGTTGGCCAGAAAATATTCGAATGCGCATTAGTCAATTTCTCATACTCTCACCTTTCAAAAAGCAAGGCCACGGCAGCAAACTCTATCAAACCATTTACCAGTTGGTTAGAGCAAAGCAAGACATTTGTGAAATGGCTGTTGAAGATCCCAACGATGAATTTTCAGATATGAGAGACAAAAATGATCTACGCTTTTTTTTGAAATGTGATGCTTTCAAAGGATTAAAAGCGCCTGTTCCTGAGAATAAGATCAACGAATTACATGCGAAGTATAAGTTAACAAATCGACAAACACAACGTGCTTTAGAGATGTATTTATTATCAAAGTTAAACAAACTGAACCATGTTGAATATAAAACATATCGATTACAAGTCAAAAAGCGGTTATATTTGGTCAACTATGTAAGTGAGGAAGTTAAGCAAAGTTCGGTAAAGGGACAGTATAACTTAACTACTACCAAACATAGGATGTTCTTCAGGAGATAGAAGAAGAGGAGCGAAAAGAAAAATTGGAACAAACGTATCTGAGCATTGAAGAAGATTATCATCGTCTTTTAGAGCTTGTTTAAGATAGATATTGTTCAATGTAAATAGCAAAAGGAGCATTACCACATGAATTAAAACTTAGCTGTAGGCGAGATAAATCAACGATTACAGTTAAAACACCCGCCGCTCTTGCTGCCTTTTTGAGCACAGACTACCTCAGCTGTAGTAAAGAATATGCAACAGGTCCTTTCTCCTACTGCTTCTCTTTCTAGAATACCTCACTTAGCCTACAATAGCAGTCTGAGTAGCCCTAAACCAGTGTTTTTCTCTTTTTCTTTTTTTTTTTTCTTTTTTCCCTCTTTCTTTTTTCTTCTTTAATCCGATGTAAGTTTTTGCATGAGCAAATAGTTTGGTCTGCCTTTGTGCAATCTGTCTAAACTAAGACTTGTATGACTTCGAAGAAAAGGCAATGGATAAAGAGCTGTACAGCTTAGTTTTGGGGTATAGAGAATGCCTTGAAAAGATATCTGAACTTAATTCCGAAACTGTAAGAGAGAATGTGGACTTACGAAGGTCATCAATAGAGCAACAACTGTTCGCAGATCACTGTAAATCGGAATCGTCAGTTCCTCAAAAAGTGTCAACTGCTGATACTTCGAAAAATATGCCAGAAGCCAGGACAGTAAATAAAAAGCTGGATGAAATCATCGGTAAACTGAAGTTGGACAATGATAAAGTATTAAATAAGCAACTAATGGACGCTGAAGCAGCAAAATTGGGTGTTCAAGTTTACCTCGACAATGTAATATGGAAACTTTTTTCTCGAACAGAATTATTGAACAACGCACTTCTGTTCAACAACGATTTAAACAGGATTAATGACAAAAAATGCTTGATGAAGTTGATGGAAACCTTCATTCATATAGATAGAGAAACACAAACAAATTTTGTTATTCAGGGTGAAGAAGAAGTAGAACAAGAGGATCAAAGACATACATCTAAAGAAATGGATCAGTTTTTGGCAGATTTGCATAGTTGGATGCTTCATGTTAGTGCTATTTATTTGCGGCTCTGTACAACAGATGAGAAAAAGTATATAGTAGAATTATTATCAAAAACAACTCATATAGCGGACTGGGCAATGCCTATGATACAGTTCAAAATGGAAAAAATGTCGAAAGCAGACGATTATGTTGCCATTTTAAAATTAGTACTTTCCAACTCTCATTCCGATCCACTTATGGAAGACAATAGACTTCATTGGACAGAGGATGATTATTTAGCTGTTATCGAGCAACTAGCCATTGACTACAATCTTCTCAATGTGATTGACAATCTACCATCTGATATCAACCCTCAAATGCTGTTTATTCTATGCCAGAAGCTAGCAGATGCACTCATGACAGCCATTCAACTCTTGAAACCGATGAAAATGCTTGCTAAACGCTTATCTCAAATAGTAACCCATATATCAGTTTTACTTGTTGATACAGTTATTGAAAAAGAATGGCCATCATGCCAGCAACATATCGATCTTTTCATCAGTCAACTTGTGAAAGGTTTTTATGATATGGAAGGCGGCAGTGGGTGGTCATTTCTCGCAAACATCAAATATGACGCACTATCTATCAACGCATTATGGGATATCACCTTACATATGCTGCATATCAACACCAATATAATACCTTCTGCTACCAGCGATGTATTAAACGATAACCTACCAAGTACCACCCGATTTCAATATGAACTGCAAGAAAATCAAACACAAGGGTACTTTTTACTCAACTGTTTAGCCAATATAATACTAAGTATACCGTCATTAGGCTTTGACCACATCAATTGCGTCAATAACTCTGAGGATGTCTTGCGTGTCTGTACAATCATTATAATATCTTATACCTTGTTTATGATTGCTTTTGTTGATAAGCAATTACGCGAACATTTTTACAAAGACGTGCGGGATAATTTCAGCCATATAACGCGAAAACACACTTTTACCATTTCTTTGCTTTTCCAATGGTCTGCGCAGCATATCAGCATAATGGAACGTATGGCAATTTATCTCTTTCGTTCAATTGATTTACAGAGCTGGCATATTCTAAGAGATGATCTGCAACATATTCACCAACTATTAATCCTGTCGCCCACTACCACGGCAAATAACAATATGTCTCCTAAATCAGGCCAGCAACAGCAACCAACTCCAATATTATTTGCGCGATATATTCTCGAGCATCTGAATTATGGGTTACGTGATGATACCGTGGAATCTTCGGATATTTCGAAGGCACAACCGTGGTACGATCGAAAGATGCCTTTTTTGACTTATGACATTCATGAGGAAATTGCTTCCATCCTTTTAGATGCTTGTCAACAATATCTGCCTTTGCCAGACAGCATGAGCAACGATGAGACCAAAAATGATGGGAATAGTGTTAGTAATAAGAGAGTAGAAAACTCTTCTTCGTATGAATTATCTGCAACAGATGGTATGCATACCTTGTCAACGCATAGACCAACCAAATCAACAATTTGTGATATAAGTGACAGTGGAAGCAAAAACACGAAGAGATCCAAATTGTCGACTTCTAGCCGAAACTCTTCTGTCAATGCTCCTGAATTTATTGACTGGGCATGGACAATTGTCATGCAGCTCAAACTTTTTGACTGTCCTTCTTCACCACGCGCGAATGATATGGAGGCGACAATTGATATATCTTTCTTACGTCAAGTGCTCAACCACCCTCATCCAGCAACCGCTTCTCACGGTGCATTGTTGATTTACATCTCTTTTATGTTGTCTACTACCAGTCGTCATTTCTTGCGATTTGAGACAGCACATGGATGGATGAAGTTATTAGTTCTCTTGAGGCGCAGCAATAAGCCTGAAGTTTTAATCCAAATACTAAGCGAAATAATTCCATCATTCGTCTATATGCACGGTGATGACTTTTTCAACGATGAAAGTTGGAATGATCTTCTGAAACAAATGGTGGATTTTAAAGCAGATCCTATGCTTATTCAGGCTGGTGGAAGAATGATGAGGGTGATACAGCAACAACAACAACAACTGCGATCGCATCAAAGGAGTAGGAAGAGCCGAAATACGAAGATATTTGGTGACAATACAACAGGTATAGGGTTCATCATGTTTTCAAATTTCTGGCATGCTCATTTGATCGACTCTGTTAGTCACTTACTTGATGAAAAGGGGAAAGGGTTCTCGTATGTCGATTTGGTTATGCACTCCTGGCTAAAGTCCATCTTTAAACGCCATGATTGGATGTGGCATCAAGCCTATGTCGGTATGATGGATACATTATGTCAGACAGCTTGGACACTCCGCAATAAAAATAGATTAGTGCACCATATGTTATTGGAAGAGTACAAGCGCATTCAGAAAGCCAAAGAACAATATAATGCAAACTCGCCCAGATTGTCTAGGATGCTGAAAAATATGGTTATACCGGAAGATGCAGTGGCCACTTTGATCATTGGGGAATGGTCCGTGTTGCGAACCACAAACACATTTAATAAGTCGACACCAGGCATTGAAAATCGATTATTCTGGTTTGCATTTGAAGCATTGATGGTGGAAACAACTGCCGAGCAAAGTTTACGAGAAGAAATAGCAGAAGTGATTCAAAAACAACTATCAAAGGAACAATTACAGCATCAGCAAAATAGTCAAAAGCGATCCTTTGATATAGCTTCAGTGCATAAGCAAACAGCCAGTCATGCGAAGAAACCCATAGAATATTTTGCTATTTATCGCTGGTTACAGCATATATTGATTATGCCCTTTGACCATCCTTTGCTTCCTTTATACCTTCAGATGTTTTTCAGTCTCTATTATCAGGCGATTGTGGAAAGCGGAAACATCAGTATATCCGGCGGCACTTTGTTTTTTGAGAAGAAGCAAGACTTGATTCAAAAGCTGCAAAATTACATTGCAAATCTACAAACTTATCACGGCCAGAAGCTGACAACAACATATAATAGTAGTGATAATACTGCATCACTTTACGTAGAAACGCTGCAGCAACTGTACTACGCTATGTGGCTTTGGTTAGGCAACGCTGAGTTAACAGAGTTAAAAGCTGATTTTCATGACTTGCCTACTCTTTATGATCCTCCTCGCTTAGGAAAAATCTATGCTAGAAAAGAGCAAGAGCAGCCTTGGGTTACTAATGAGGTTTGGCTAGATGTCATTGATCTGAATTATCTGGAACGAACATTCTTAGCTTTTCCCTGGGCTGGGGCTAGTAAATTCAACAAAAAAAGGGACGAAAAAGAGCTGTGCCAGCAAAGCTTGAGAAGCAAAAGTAGCAGTGCAAATATTGTAGCGTCATCCGCTTCTTCATTATCCATTCCTACTTCAACAACAACACGTCGCGGTGTGAGAATTTTAACAGACGAATCTGTTATTAAACCTTTGCCTCCTCTATGTATAAATGAGCCTACGACGACAAGTACAGGTTCAATAAGTAAAAGATTAAAAAAATAACTGATATACAGTGTTTACAGCCTCAAATGGCTGCTTCTGATTTTCCAAATGGTGGTAAACAAAAATTTATTTTGCGTTTTGTTAAGAAAACTCACACATTGTAGAAAGACTTAGACGGCGCTAGCAATAACTACTTTGAAAAGTAGTTGAACCCGACTTAATTGGATGGGTCAACCATTAAAAAGTAGCAGCGTAATGAAATAAACGATTGTATCGAGCTCGTCTTTAAAAGAATCGCTGCTAATTGAGCACTGTCGTAGATGAATAGAGTAATCGTTAACATGTTAGACACGTTGTTTAGCTAGAATGAATAATCTCTAAAGAATGGGAAACAAAGGCCAGTACTGTATTTTAGGGTTATTTTTCAACCACGTGTATGATTCGAAGTCCATCACCTACCAGTTTTGTAGCCCTGCTTCTGTTGGATGTAAAAATGGAGTATTCATACGCGACATTTAAGAATTGCACTTGACAGTATTCGTATTTAACGAAGGAGAGTTATGGCATATTTCTATTTAAAATTGAACATACTGTCATATCTAGTACATACAATATATCAAGATGTCCGATTTAATGAATTATTAAAGTACAAATAGCAATTGTACAACATCTCTAAACGTTGGAAAGTCAGTTACTTTCCTTTTTCTTTTCACGCGAAATACCACTGAGTTTCAACTCACCAAATCACTTAACCTATTCTCCTGAAATTTGTGTCTTTGCAGCAGATTACAGCTTTTTTGTCACTTTCTACAGCAGAAACTCTTCATTAACAGCGTACTCTAATAAGAATAAGGAATATGGATAAGAGAAAGTCAACCACAACCGTCAATAAAAATAGATCATCAGCCATTCCAAATTCAACAGGACCTACCATCGTTGGAACAAGAGCATCGATGGCGCGTGCAAAAGCGATCAATGCTCATTTGCGATCGCAGTCCAACAGCACAAGCACTGCTCGCAAAAGAAGGCGCGAAGGAGTTGAATCTTCTGATCAAGTATTAAAGCGAAAGACCCAAGAACTGAATCAAAAGCCAGCATGGGATCTGAGGGTAAAGTAGAAACCAAGACGTACAGTTTGAGATTTACAGTTATATCAGCGTTCGAACTGATAATTGATTCAACATTATTTAGGGCAGAATTGATGATATGACAAATTTATACGAACTAAACATGAAGACTTGTAAGAGAGTACATATATAAGCAATAATAGCTGATCCTCTGTTAAGCATTGACTGATCATCATTTTCAGTGGCAGAGTTGAAGAAGTTCAAACAAGAATTTGATATCATTAAGGATGAAAAGGAAACCGAAGAAAAGCGAGCATTTCAACAAGTGGCATCTTTGAAAGCCGAGCTACTGGAAATGGATAGACAGCATGAAAGAAAAATAGTAGAGATCAAAGCGGCCCAACGTGTGGAAAAACAAAAAATAGAAGATGAAGAATTCAACCATTCAAGACGATTGCATTCAATGAAAGTCGAGGCAGAAACTTTAACAGAACAACTAGAGCGAGAAGAAGAGAAAGTGAAAACTATACAGGAGAAGAATCATAAACTCAGGGTAAGCTCTGGAAAATTACACAAAGAAAAGCTAGTGTCCTCATCCTGTTTGCATATGCATGTGCATTTGTAGCAATCAATCGAAAAATTAGAGAATAAAGTGCAAAACTTTACTGAGGAGGATAAGCAGCTAACAGAAGAGTTAGAGGTAAAAGTACAAATGTTTGACTTTGATTAGGAAACTACCTTTAATTAACGAGATATGTTTTGAACATATAGCATTTAGAGCGGGTACTAGAAGAAAAGAATAAGCAGATTTCAGAGCGAACAAAGATATTGGAGTCAAAGAAAAAATATATGGCAGAAATAGATAAAAAATTGACGGAATCAAATACAGATAGAGAAAGATTAAGAAAAAAGATAGCAGAACTGGAAGCAAAAAAGAGGAGGTAAACCACAGCGCTGTTCCAGTTTTACTTTCATAATTACAAAGTATGCTTCTAGTTCAAATAACAACGATTACTTTGGTCAAACATAGGGAGGCCAAGCTGAATTATCAACGAAGACATCAACAGCAACAAAAAAAATAATCAAGAAAACCCTCATAATAACAATGAAAGCCATTATTTATTTACAGTTCAAGAAAAAAAAAATTGATTGTATCACTTCTTCATAAAGACGCGTTACTGATGAAAATGTTACAATGAAGTAGTCAGTTTTCAGTTCTTGAAGCATTTCCGAGAAAACTACCAAACTTTTTTTAAAGGATAATAAAGCAAGAGAATGAAAAAATATGTTAAAAATACAGATTTATAGCTCTCGAATTTTTGCAAAGTCCTAATGGAATAGATCAATCCCAAGCACAGTTTCCTAACTTTTCTTGAAATCGTCCAATGAAATGCCCCCATCTGAGAGGTGAGTTATTCAAGATTATGTATAAAGCTGATCAATCTGACACTCTAATACTTTTTGTATTCTTTGTTGCATAAATTGTCCATTTGCTTATTGGGTGATAAACAAAGGAAGCCAAGTTATGACTAAAACTTGGGCGTGATTGGTTCTAGTATATTCCTTTGTGTTCTGGTGATATAAAGGGGCAAATTACAGTCAATGAGTAGTTAGTTATTCGCTCTTATGTCTTGTCTGAACATACGCTGATGCTAGCTATCATACATTATGGTTTAATGTCATGGTTCGCCTTTTTTTGTTCTAACGCATGGTTTTTTCTGCTGGCCTGGTTGCTCAAACTTGCTACTACCAGATGTATATGCCGTACCTTTCCTAATCAGAAACAGTACATACGCTCACAGCCGATGGCTGTAATACCTTTTGGGTAAGGGATATAAAGAAATGAATAAGACTGCCAAAAGCCCTCAATAACACTACTTTTTCTGTCAAATGTGTCATTCTGCTCAAATCTAACTTTTGACACTACACCTCATATGTAAGTATTACAGCATTTCTTATTTTTTTTTTCTTTGCGCCTCTACACGTACTAATAGCAACTACATTATCATATTTCATTGATCTGTCTCAAATCGGTCTCCTAGTTCATATACTCTATTAGCATAATATATGTGAAAGCTTCCTGAACTGTCATTAGCAACAACAATAGCATTATCTATTAAAAACTATACAGGATCAATTTGATTTCTTTGTCGGGCCTATCAAGCCTCAACTTTATTGCTGTAAATTTTATCCAAACTAGGTTTGTTGCTATACTTGAGGAAATCTATGCTCGAATAAACACACAGTCATGAATACGTGCTATTAGAACGACAGATGGATAAGTTAAAAAGATTTAGAACTTCTGCCTACTGCATGCGTAACTTATACGTATATGACCTTGGTCTTCAATTCATTTATTGTAAGTTTGAAATGTAATTGATTAACTTTAGTAAGTTTGATACATGTAAAGATTCTTTGAGTAAGCTTCGAATAGTAGTAGTATGTATATGTTTTTGAAAGGAATGACGGCGCGAACGCATGCAAAGGGACTTGATCTGGAAAAAAATCATTCCGACTTGACTTTGGATTCAAGTAAGTTAAGTTTAAGAGTTTGCCATAAATTTGACAAACTCGGTCTATTGATCAGGAAAAGCAAGTTAGACGGGTATGGTCCGCTGAAAAAAGCATTCTGTGGACAAACCTTTCCGATGGTAACATGGGATACTATGAAAAAATGAAAGGTTAGTTTGTTGCCGGAAATGCAATATTTGAATTTACTCGTTACCTGCAATTTTGGTATAGGTTTAATAGGCTCGCCGTAAAGCAAACATTTGAAAACATATGCAGAAAAATAGTGAGCACTCAACCTTTTCCATAATAACATGTACTGAAAGAATATAGCGCTCATGGAAATGGGTAGATTCTATACGTAAGCATAGAATATCAGTAAAAAATAGCAAGTCATCTTTCGGTTCAGTGCAATTTTAATTACTCGCATCCAGAGATAAGCACCAATACTGGTGTCTACTCTTTTCACAGGTATTGTAGATCTCCTTTTCGGACTATTGTTGTTGGTCGTATCGTCTGGAAGTACGAAAGAAACAGACTTTTTCTTCGAGGATCGAAAACTTTTATGCAGCTTGAGCGATTTTGCTTTCTTTTTTGATCGTTGACTTGTCCAAAATTTCCTTATTCTGTAAAAGGCACCATAATGCTTCAGTAAAAAGTAATCGTGGTTGAATATCTCAAATTTCAAGCCTCCTATTGTCAACAAGAATAAATAAGCGTGTCGTTTGTTTCCTTTGATTGTTTTTCCAACTGTACCTGGTAATCGTTGAGGATCTTTAATACGTAGCATAATTGCGAAGAGCGGGAAATGATTAAAGAAGGCCAGCACAGTTTCCATAATCACTTGTAAAACAATAATCCCTACACGACTCTGGAATTTTCATAAAGAGATGTCAGAATATCATCCTTCGAAGCGGTATATCACTCAAGATGCCTTACCAAAGCAAACGTCAAGTAATAGATCAGTACAGTGGGGAATAAGAATGTGAGTAGAGTAAAAAGACTGGTTCCTAGAAGAAGCTGATCCAAATCATAATCGCAAGAGTCTATACGATTCCTAAGTATATTTCTCTTTTTGCCTCTAAACAGGTTGAAGAGAGAGCTCAAGATAAGTAATTGCCAATTAAAGATACGGGCGGCTACCATATAAAAGCAATACACGTGCAAAGTCATAAAGGCGAGGAAATCGCTGGAGAGGGATATGATCATCGTTATGCCAAATATGCCAGATAAACCGATAGTATAAATAATACGCGGTGTTAGCGGTTCTATCATTTCCGTCGACACCGTCCAGAGTCGGATCAGCCAGAGAAACAATTCACTGAGAAAACTGCCCAGTTCATGGTTCAGCTTTAACCCTGCAGGTGATTCTAAAAACCAGAGCATCATGGATTGGAGTGATTCTACTGTATACGTCTACTTTAGCAAGTTGATGTCATCAGTAAAGAAAAAAAAAAGAAGAGTCCCTTTTGCCATCTTTCTCTAAAAACGATTCGAAACTGATACTTTACAAAGAGGACTTTATGAATCCTGTTTGCCATTATATGTCGATTCGTCATTAAAAAGGTGCCCATGGCAATTCCTATAATGATGTCGTTGGCTACTAACCACATACTATTGTAGAAGCTGATATAGTAGGCTCTTGTCTTTGCCGTATTTGCCCAATTACGCTTACGGATCCTCATATATTGTCGTGGCCAGAAGAATAACTGCTGCAACCGGAGATCAATCTGCTGACCTAACGCAATATCGAATATCAGATAGGAAGCCATATATTCTTTTTTGTAGTCCACTTACCGGCTGTTGACATGTCTTTAAGAGCCACTCCATTCAAAATGAAGTGCGGTAGCCTAAAGTTCAGTAAGTGTAATGTAGCTTCAGCTAATGCTAGAATAAGGAATAAAAAACACATAAATGTAATGGTGACCATTCGTTGGGTATAGTTCCTTAAAAAGCCTTTAGGATTGGTAATCGAAAAGTGACTGAGATGGTCGAGCAGTTGACGACTCCATTCTTTAACATGTTGCAACAGCAGATATCTTGCAGTTGCGTGCTTGTGTTTGAACTTGTTGGATAAATTTTGAATGCCATATTCTAGAAAGTAGGATGAATTGATCTAATTGTTATGGATATGGCTGTGATCAGTGTCGAGCTTTTTCGTCGGCTGGGAGCGGTGGATAAAGCTGATACTTACTTGTATCAAGACCTGACTCAGATTATCTGCTGTTGGATCATTGTTGTCACCATTAATAAATTGTCCGTATTCTAAAATCTTTTCAAGATTGCTGGAAATTTCTTCTCCATGCTTTGTATTAAATCTACTGCTTCTTTTTTGCGATGGCATATTCAGCTCCTTAGGTGATATGTCGAGTTCTAACGGATTCAATGCCAAAAATTGCAGTCGTCTAGGGTTGGGTTGTTCGTAAAATATCATTTGGTATGCTGAAAGGTTGATTTTCTTTGAATTTAAGGAAATGGAGGTTGGTACAGGAACAAGAGCTTCGTCAAACGCTACTTCAACCCATACAGATGGCTCATCTATGAGTATCAAATAGGTCAGAGAAGTTGTTCCCTTACTTATCTTTATTTCTTGTTTTTTAAACATTACTGTTCTCTGTTTGCATGCTTAAGTGAGTATCTTTAACGCGTGAGTTGGCTGTCGTTAAAAGACCGAGTATCTGCGGAGGAACTTTACAAACTCGATTTATATGTGTGAACTCCATACACTCCCCAGATATACAAAAGTCTTTGAGCACTTCTTTGAGTTCATCCAACTTTTAGTTCAGATGTATGAAAAGAAAACAGTTAGGACAGATAAAGCGGCCATGCTGCTGATCGACTCTTATTGGCGACCTCATTTACCTTAATGTTACAGACAACAGATGCTACGCAAATAACACCTACTGCATTATACCATCCAATCAAAAAACCTTCCTTAACTTTGGGAGAACATCGATGCGAAGGCCAGAACAGTTTAATGGCATCAGAGCCTGATGTCATGTCTGAGTATGGCGGGAGGCGCTATTATCTGAAGGTAAAGAGATAATGCATTTTTTTGTGCACTTAAAAAATAAACTGAGAAGTGCAAAAAAATTGAATTCGAACAGAAACCTTGAATTTTGCATATTCGGCTGGCGTTAAGTTTATAATTTACTAAATAAGTTTCTCAAAGTCTTTACAAGAAACACAATGTACCTAAACTCCCTAGATATTGTAAGAAAACTAAGCCCAAATTTGATAGTAGTTGCAGTACGACTTCCGTAATACTAAGGTTTATTAACGCGTATTGTTGAGATTTAGATTATTATAGACATACTTTACTACTTTGCTATGACAAGATGAAGCTGTTAAACTTGATGCAAATGCATAATTTATCACTATGGGTGCAGTTGTTTTCTTTGAAGACTTTCTTCGATTTGGAGAAAAACAAAAGAAAAAATAGGGGGAGGGGCGAAATTTTTTTTTTTTTTTTTTTGTTAAAACTGCTCTTTCCGCTCATCTCCATGATCCAACGATGTCAAAGTAGATTCGCCTTCTCAAGATTAGGGTGGTATACAACCGCTATAAAAGCCTTGATACCAGATAAAGAGCTGGCTGCGATTACAACGCGGTCGATTCGCCCTTTCGCAAATTTAACATCAACTATCGTCAAGACCGAACTAGAAGACGTCGCCACGACTTCAACAACTATTCCTGTATCATTATCTCGCAATATACCTCAAATTGTACAACCAAGTGTAGTCCCGGTCGTCTCTGTTCAACGCGTTTCAGCTACACCAGAGAACGTCGAATATCATCGTTGTGCTGGTTTCAAAAAGTCGGACGGCAGGCGTTGTAATAGACTTGTACGAGTGGAAAGCGTCTCTGCATCAGCCGATCAAGCTTACCATTATTGTCACGATCACCTTCCTCATCCTATAGCGGACAAGGATAGACGCGATAATAGAGGAGGAAAACATACAGAAGCAGAAAGTTTACCTTTTGCAGAAAAGAAAAAGCCTGCCAATGTTCCTGTTACTGAGAAAGATCGGCTAGCAACACCGGTAAAGGTACCAGGCTCGCAAAAAATTTATGATTGTTGGGATTGTAAGATCCAAAAGCTTCCGTTAATGAAATAATAATGCGCAAAAGGCAACTAATGGATCACCGCCCTTTCTTTTATCTATATTTATAGTGTGGATAACACCTCGTATCAGTCGCGTGAAAAGGGAGATGATCAAACAAGAAATGCAACGACCATTATCGATTCGAGATAAACCTGGTTACATTTATGCGTATCAATTAAACGAAGGTCGTTTATCAGGAGTCAAGAATTTTGCGTATTTAAAGATTGGCCGAACGACCGATCCCCATCGTCGAATGTATCAGATAGCCAATACCTGTGATCTGGTACCAAAAATAATAGAGCTGTTCCCCAGTTTTCCTAAATCAAATGGGCCGATGATGCCTAACAACCTGGAAGCTTTAGAGGAAGAAGTGTTGGATTTACCAAAGTGCCCTCTATCCCACCGAGTGGAGCGACTGATTCATCTAGAGCTTCTGGGGCTGTGCAGCAAGGCAGAGTTTAAATGCCCAAAGTGCGGTTGCACTCATAGAGAATGGTTTAAAGTAAGACGAGGCAAAATGCCTGACGGTAGAATGATGACGGATCAAGAGTTGTACACATTAAAAGTGAGACCAATCATTTTAAAATGGATTCAGTATGGAGTGGCAGCCTCGGTTTTTTTAGCCAATAATAAACCATTATCGTCGTGAAAAAAAGTTTATTGTAAATATGCTTCAACATAGTTTTTTTTTAGGCGCTTCTCAAATAAAATTGAAGTAGAGACTGTCTTTGAGAGAATGTTAAGAAAATGGAAGTTCGGTATTGCACCAAGTCAATCAAATTACATGCAACCTTATCATTTCTTCTTTATTGTAAACAAACCCGATGATATTGTACAAGGTATCATGAACAAAATATATATGAAATGCCATAAAATGAATGCAAAAAGTATGAATAGTTTGTATAAACCATGCTATTTTTCTCAAAAAGAAAAAGCGTCTATTAAGTCTAGCTTGTTTTCCTAAAGAAGTCCCTTTCATGATGTCTTTGTTGAAACCCCAGTAGGTTCAGTAGCAGCTCCAGTATTGTTTTCTAATGTATAATCTACAACAGGAGCGACAGCTTTAGTGGTATCCACAGGAGCCTGTACAGCGCCAAAAAGGCGGGTTTTGAGTTCATCCCACATCAACCCTTGTTCCGTGTCCACACCACCAAGCACTGCTGAGTTCTCTTGAGCGCGTCGCAGTAGATAAGGAATGACATCTTCGATTGTACCGTAAGGAAGATACTTGTAGATGGAATAGCCATTTTTACCCAAGGTATAAGAAATTTGGTCTTGCATGCCGTAGAGCTGTCCAAAATGAACAACGCCTGATCGAGGCAGTACATTGTGCTTTTCCATTTCCTTCACTGTCATGATGATAGAATCTTTATTGTGGGTAGCAACCATGAAAACAACAGGTGCAGTGGTACCTGCTAAAGGTTCACTGTGGATTTCTTGGTGTTCTTTCAATTTTCCGAGTAAGAACCGAACACCATTGTTAAAAGATGCATGAGTATCTTCTATTGTTTCGTGAATGGGTGATTCGTAATGCATCTTTTTTGCGCGCTAGGATGGGTTTGTAATATATCGTTTGAGTTAATCGATAGTCCAATGGAAAAAGGAAAATTGAACGTGTTTGCAATAATGTCGTACCTTTCTTTCGGTCACCATATAGGCACCTCGTACCAATTTGGCAGCAAAAGCAAAGTTACCCCTCTCAGCAATCTCCACATCCCTCTCTAACTTTTTCTGCGCAGCCTTCGTATACATTTGATCTAACCAAAATGAATCGATATTGTAAATACATGCCATTTACAATCACTAGCTGTGTTTTAACCCTTTTTGAATACTCACATGTATTGTATACGGTTGGAGAATGCTCCTCATCGTCTCGCCGGTTATATTTGGTTTCCAAAGAAATAGCAACATGGTCAATTGCTTCTTGAAAATAAGACTGCTCTGCATCTATCATTACACCCACCCTCAATTGATGAGCAAGTTGGCACACCTCATTCAAACGTGTCATCATTCTATCGTAAGCTTGAAGGTCCTCTTCTGTCAAGTAAACTTCGTTCTCCGATTTGCTGTAGTCCGGTTGCCACCAAATATTTCTGCTAGCGTTGGAGAGATCAAATAATTTTGCGTATTGGAAGTAATCTAATTCTTTTTTCTCTCGGCAAAGACGATCGAGAATTTCTTCACGAATGTTTCGCTGTTCATCGGAAGACGGTTCTGGGCATATTTGAGTGATGATTTGCTTTAAACCAGTGGCATCGATGTAGCCATCCCTCTGATGAGTTTCGAAGGCTGTATTCAGATAGGATATGACATGGTTCAGACGAAGCAAAAACTCAGGAGGGGCAAAGGCAGTTACTTTTACCGCTGCAAACGCTCCACTTGCAGTGTACTCTTCATTTTGGCCTTGTGACGCTGTTTTTATACAAGTTTTGATAAGGCTGAGCGTTCGCTCAGCTTTCTCATCATCCTGCCAATATTTTCCCCGCTTGGCACTATCACTGTCAACTGAAACACGTGCGTCATCCATGTGAAGGTCAGCTTCTATGCTCAAGTCCAAAATACAATTGATGCCCGATTGCAAAAGTCGAGTCATGGTGGCAACACATTCATCGGCTGTTTCACCACCACAAAATTGCGTAAAAAAGGTATGTCGAACAAACCAGTACATGACGCTTTCCAAATGCAGCTTTTCAGCCAAAGTGATGAGATAAGGAGCAGCTTCGACAAGCCAAGGAAACGAGCATAACTTATAAACAAACAAACCTGTCAAAAGCTCCTCGGTTGATCTGGCTTGCATAGCAGTTCGGTTGGTATCATCTAGAAGTTCAGCTACAGTACTTCTTGTGTTAGAATGGTTGAAGGCAGACATAGGTGCCAGAAAATCTTCTGCTGCTTCGTTTTTTACCACATCATTTTTATCATAAAAGTAATAGGAGGAACCGAGTATCAGAGCAGCAGTCGTTGAAATAGTCTTCAATGGTAGTTTTCTCGTTCTTTGAGTTGAACAAGTAGAATGCGAAGGTGGACGAGTGAAATTCGAATAATAGCGTTGTCTGTAAAACGGAGTCAAGATACTTCTAGCAGAGGTAACATTGTCGTTGAATTCAAGGTATGATTTTCTGTAAACGTTTTGTGAAATCGATCGAGCTGCTGTTGTATGCTTAAGAATGCGTGGAATAAAACGATATTGCATTAATTCGACAGAGACTACGGAATGTCTTTAGATATGTTATTTTTAAGCAATAGTTAACAATGATATTGCAAGGATGAGAAAGAGACGCACGCCAGGCGTTCCGTGTCTATTCCGTATTTAAAGGCATTTCTGACAATGGTATAGAAATGGCATAACGCATTCTAGGGTTCTGCTTGAGTCTAAATATGGCATGTTTTCGCCCGAGGTGAACCAATCACTTTCTGGACAAATTAGGTTGACAGCAGGAAAAACTGTAAATTCTAACAATCATAGATTTTCTGTAATTGTGAAGGAAAGCTTACAGAATTCCCTTATTTTTTTTGAAAATTTCCCTCCCACAAATTGTATTTGGGCTAGTCTGTTAACCTACCGTATCATCATTTTCCTATCATTGAAATTCTCTACTTTTTCAAAAAAATTCCATTGCTAGGCGACCTTTATTTTCCATTAGCACATGAATGATATTTACATCATTGTTTGTACAATTGGGAAATCCAGATTCTGAAAGAATTTTTCAGAAAACTTTTTAATGTTTCTTTACGACCAGCTGTAGCTCCTTTGACCAATGGTCATTTATTTCTGTGGTTATTTCATCAATCTAGTTTGCATAACTAATGAATGATTGAAATTGGGCAGTATCCTTACGATCAGAAGTGTTTGAAACTTTTCTAAAGGTTATCGTGATGTATGTTCCCTTAATGTGCTGTTGCTTGTTGTTTGTCTTTAGAAAATGTGTCTTTTCTTATAAGGTAAAAATGGTTTTTTTCGATCTGCATAAATCGGACATTATAAAATTGTTGAGTTTCATTAAAATTTTGGTCAGTGAACTCGTCCCCCGTGCATATACACATGGAGCTTATAGCGTGCAATTTCTTGTTGCACAATACAATGCGTTTAACGCCAATTTTCAAGAATAATTTCTTTTGTAATTGCATCAAAGAAATTCATTTATTTATGAAATTGAACGACGCTAATAGTAGTTGCCAGAATGCCTTCAATAAAATTCGGGGCCACGAAACTGGAATTTGATTCAATTTTTACTTAGTCCGTAAGCCAAGGAATTGTCAGTTTTGGTGTGATTTTTGCAAAGTCAATACAAATGAGCCTTTAGCCCAACCCTGCCTACACCATGCTTAAAAAAGACAGATCAAGAAGAGATTAAACGCGCCAAATACGTTTTTTTTTTCTTTTTTTTTTTTTCTAAACTCGTTTGGTTACAAGCACTTATAAATTGTGACTTTAATTGTTGAATGACTATATAAGAGTCTACGATGTTACTTTACATTCCCTTCTGAAAATTTTCTAATTTGTTGTACTATGGATCAATTCCTTATTTGTTCAAGTCAAAGATTGATTTGAAAATTTTTCACTTATAAGCGAAACACACAACAGTTAAACTGTTCTGTTATTCGATTTGATATAGTAAGAAACATCTTTAGTACTGCCTTTGTATTTCAATAGGCACATGTGTAGGCTCTTGTACGATACTTGAGGCACGCATTTCAGTCATTGCATTATCTGTTGTTCTGATGCCACTATTGTCGTTATCTTCTTCCGTTCTGAGTATGTATACGTCAGTTTCTGCATCAGCTATTTTTTCCAGTGCCTGTTCTTCTTGTAGCATGGCCTCCGATCTTACCATTCGACCACGGAAAGCGAAAGAAAGCAACATAATAGTTCCAGCTATTACGGCTTGGAAAATAAGCGCATTTTTCATGTCATTGGCTGGAGTACCGTGCGGATTACGTGTTGCATCCATGATAGAAACGAAGATGAACCCAAATAATTGACTGCCTTGCCATAGCAGTGAGTTAGTTGTGGCTTCCGCTACTGGGTATGTTGCTTTTATACATAATAGTTTCAGCACTTATGTTTCGTTCATGCCGATCAAAAACCAAGTATACTTACTTTCTGATCCCAATTCAATGACCACGGGTACAAGGAATGACAATACAAATTGATTGATTGTTGTTACAAGTAAAACTGCAAGGTATGCATCTTTGCGAACTATAGTGCCGGAAGGAAAATGCATAAGCAAATAGAGGAGAGAAGTTTGCTCACAACATCTATCGGAAGCTTGATTTGTCTTACCCAGAAAAATAAATGCTAAATCTGTCCCAAAAACTAACGGCGCAACTGATTTGAGGAACAATTTATGCCTTTTGGTTAGATCCAACAAAGGTCCTGCAACAGCTATACTTATATAATAGAACAATAGTCAATCGAAGTGGCTTCTTTAATACAGAAACAAATTGAACGGACTTACTACACCCTAACGTTCCGGCAAAGAATGCCAAAGCGTTCAACTGTCCTGCATCTTTTTCTGAATACCCATGAGGACCCAGAATTTGGGCATAGAGTGCGCAAAAAGCTATACTTAGGCCTACATTAAAACTATGGATAAGAAAAACAATCCAAAAGTTATAGTTTGTGGAAAGTAACCGTAAGCCCTTGAAAAATGATGGTTTGTCGATTTTTTGCATTTTTGTTGGAGGTGTAGGCGGTTTGCTTGGCAACATCAATAACGTCAAAAAGCTGACTGTTGCAAATACCGCTACTAAATTGACCTATAAGTTTCAGAATAAAGGAAAATCAAATGACTGTCATAATGATCAACTAGCACGGTTAATAGATTACCACCAAAGGAATATCCTTGACATCATCCACTAGAGCTGGAATTACAAACATGACAATAATAGCGCCATAATTTGATGCTACCGAATAGTTGACCGTACGACGTGGGTTAGGAAAGACGGTCTAGATAATTCAAAGCAGTAAAAACGATCCAACTTACCTACAAACATTCCAGCAGTTGCTTGCAAATGTTGAGTAAACCACGTAGCTGAAAACTAGCAACAGAAGAGTACGCGACTGTTATTCCAAAAGAAACCTAAATGCTTAACAGATATTAATTTTTATAAGACTCTTACCATAGTCATAATATTTAAAGCGAACGGAGAGGCAGCACCGCCAACTATCTGACCAATCATGGTCAATATGAAAGAAGGCGGGCTTGTTTTCGTAGCAATGCAACGTATGGCTGAGCCAATAGCGCATAAAAAGCCAGCAATGATGAGCTAAAATAAGTACGTAAACTGTTAGCGAATCCGATCGCTGATATAATTAACAATGATGAAATAAAAAAAAAAAAAACAAAAAACAAAAAAAAACTTACAGAGTGCTTCACTCCCCACTTTTCGAATAGAAAACCTGTAAAAAAGCTGACTAGAACATAAATGATGCACTGTACGTTGGCAAGCCAATTAACTGCTGACAAAGAGACGCCAAAATACTGAGCTGTAGCATTTGGGATGATACTAAAGGTGTATTGAAAAATTGAAACCGCCATTCGCAATACAACCAGCAAAAAGAGTGCAAACCATGCTCGGCGGTAGGTTTTAAGCACGAGTGGCTGCGAAGGGCTTGCGCCTGTAGGCTCACCCTGCAAATAAGACGGAGGTATAATACCGTCGTCCTTGCTTTTCGCATCCTGTTTCCAAGTTAACCACGCAAATAAACTGCTGGGAGATTTTCTAGCACTTTGTGCCATATGCGTTCTCTTTAAAAATTGTAAAAGTACAGTTAAAGATTGAAAGAAAAAAACAAGATATTACGAATAAAAATTAAATGGTTATGGCTAGCCATCGTTTGTAAGGAATTGCAATCATGCCTAAATCAATATTAAGTAGAGGACAATTCTTCCGTACTTAACGCGTAACTACGGAAAATTTCCTATTTTTTTTATTTTTTTTTTTAGGTTAAATTACTTTAGTTTGTTAAGATTGGCGCGTGTAATGATCGTCCAGTCTCGTTGTTTAATTTGCTAGATTTCTCGCCCATGATCTGTTGGTACAATGATTTGCTAAGGTTTCAAACGCCCAAAATTAATTTATTGGGTCAGCATTAAGCTAAAAAAAGAAAAAGAGTTGAAAACGCTGAGAAGTGCGTTATTGGCAGCCGAGATAAAGTTGGGATGAATAGACAGCCCTTAATCTTGTAGCTGTCTCCACTAATTATCTAAAGCTGCTGTTGCGAACGGTCTTAAAAAGAGAATGTTACCAACTTTGCCAAGGTTCATGTCTCATGTTTTGCTTCTTTTTCGTTTTCCCTGAAATCGTTAGACCCCCTTTCTATCTTTAACCATTGTCCCCAAATTTTAATTTGTTAAAATTTGAGTGGAGAAGTGTTAAACAATAAGAAGGGTTCAAGATTAACTTTCATGAACGCCTCAATGTGCGGAGCTTCATCGAAAATCATTTTCTATTTTTACTTGGGTTCCTCATGGGCTTATCTCTTAATAAAGTCAACATTGTACTGAACCTATTTCATGAAACAAAAAAATTAAACCACTTTCGAGACCCTTCGATATCTGTACCAAAAACAATCATTGAAGAGCCGCGTTAATGAATCAACTTGGGTCTAGATCATATAAAAGCGAGGTCGTTCGTTAACGAAAGAGTACCATAATCTCCTCTTTCTCACTTTTTATTGAAAATGGCTCGTTCTTTGCTGCTCGTATCTTTAACTGCTGCTGCTTTGATTGTGTCTTCGTCAGCTCTTCCTCTTACCTTGGATAGCAACAACCAACGTCAAAGTGTTGCAGTTCCTGCCGCCAACATTGAACACGTTAACTACAATTTATATAAGAGAGATGAAGCCGCTGTCACAACGACTACCGTAGCAGTTTCTGCTACCACTACCGTCGTTGATGAAACTCCATCTGCTACTGAAGAACAGCCCACTAACCCTGAAGCTACACCTACTGAAGCAGCTGCTGAAGAAAACAACGATAATAACGATGAAAAAAGTAAGGACGAGAAGAAGGACAATGAAGATAAAAAGGAATCCAACGCTGAGTCTTCTGAAGAAACATCTGCTGGAGAATCTGCTACTGTCGAAACTCCAGGTCAAACTGAAAGTGCCACTGCTGCTGCTCCTTCATCTTCTGAAGCTGCCCCTTCTGAAGCCGTAACTAACGTTGCTCTTTCTGACATGCCTACACCAACTGCTGCTGCTCCTTCATCTTCTGAAGCTGCTCCATCCGACATGCCTACATCGACTGCTGCTGCTCCTTCATCTTCTGAAGCTGCTCCTTCCGAAGCCGTAACTGACGTTGCTCCATCTGACATGCCTACGTCGACTGCTGCCGCTTCTGCTGCTCCTACCGCATCTACCGAAAATAATGCTGAAGCTGATGTTACGGACATTGTTCTTGACGGTTCCTCCAACACTGCTGCTGCTTCTTCTGAAGCTCCTACTGCTGTCCCCACTGCTTCTGTTGATACTACCTCCTCTGCTACTTCTACAGAAGCTGCTGCTACAGCTGAAACCAAGTCTACCCCTGCTAACACTCCTACAGCTACCAAAGAAGCTAGTAACAAGGATGAGAATAAAGACCAAGATAAGGACGAAAAAGAAAACGATAAAGAAGATAAGGATGCCGCAGAAAACGAAAACGCAGACAAGGAAGTAGCGGAATCCAGCAAAGACAAAGATAATGAATCTGAGAGTTCTAAGGATGAAAGCAAGAAAAATGAAGATAAAGAGAACAAGAAGAAGGATGAAGACGATGAAGATAACGAAGATGACAAAAAGAAAACTGATGATGAAGAGAAGGAGGAGAAGAAAGAAGAAAAAATGAACAAAAATAAGGCTAAGGACGATGAAGAAGAGGACAACGAAGATAATGATAAGGAAGACAAGAATAAGGATAAAGAAGAAGAAGACGAAGCAGAAGAAAAGGAGGAAGAAGAGAAGAAGGCTAAAAAGGAAAAGAAGAAAGCTAAGAAGGCTGCTAAAAAGGCTGCTAAAAAGGCCAAGAAGAACAAGGACAAGGATAACAACGATGATGAAGAATAAATAGCTGAATTTATCCCTTATTCCTCTCTACCTATTTTACTTTAACATACACATGTTTAATTTTATATTAATAAAAAACCATTTTTGCACTAAGTTAAAGAATATTAATAGCAGTAGGTCATGTATGGAGTTTAGACTTTGACCAGTCTAAGCGTATAAATAGCCATTTATTTCTTCAACGCTTTTATGATTGAATGAGAATGCGTTTAATGATGTTCCAACATGCCATACTACAATGAAAATATACATATTGCATAAATGAAATAGATATATACAAAGGCAATCATGCCCATTAATCTGATTTGTCTCATGTCTAATCGATAGGTAGACATAAAAGGCCAGTAAAGGCAGACGTTAGAGCACGTTGATGTGCAAATTTTGGTGCATAGCCTCCTGCTCTGGCTTGTTTGTTATTGTTCAAATATTCAGTGTACCTAAAGGAAATTTTTGAGTATACGTACACAATTAACAATGATAAAACATAATTTCGATTTGGATTACGTACGGGTCATGATAGTTTTCTCGTAGAGTATATTCAGACACATATTCATATTGTAAAGATAAGGGATCAAAGTCTTTAGCTTCAACCTCTTTCATATATGTATCAGTATCCATAGCGGTTGTGATCCATGTTGGCATAGAATATCTGCTTGACGGCGAATCAGAATTTTGTTGCTGTCGTAAGGCAGAGGACCGCTTTAAGGCAGTTGCTTGCCTCTTCTGCAGCACTGTCTGAGCTGATTTATTAGACGTTGCCAATTCTGCAATGATTTCTGACTTCTCCATTTCTTTTAGCTTCCTTTCATCCTCTAATTGTTTTATATACTCTTCCCTCTTTGTTTCCTTTTCTTTCTTTTCTAATTCATCCTGGTATAATCTGTATCTTTGTTCGTTCGCGGATTTGGCTTGATTAGCAGCAATACTATCTTTGTTTTCCTGTTCATATGCAGCTATACGTGCTTCGGTTTCAGCGACATCCACTTCGTTCATTAAATTAAATGCTGTATATATACGCGCAGTAAATTAGTTCTTCTGATCGAAAAAAGTCCAAAATAATATAGAGAAAACATACTTATATCTTCAACCATTTCCAAATAGTCATTGTATGCTCTTAAACTTGGAAAATCCTCTGCTCGTTTATTAAACCTGTATAAATAAATAAGAGGTGCTAAGCATTTACGATCAATTTTTTCGCCAACATGCATTATACGACCCTTACACTCGAGCAACTCTCTTACGAATACGGACTTCCTTCTCGACTGCAAGGTCTTCGAAAATTTGCGACATGAATTGATTCTTTCGAAGAACTTGCTGGCAAATAGGACAGGGAGCAGGACCTGCGCTATACAAACGATCTATACAGGATTCACACCTAATCTCAGATCAGGCATCAGTAACAAAATACTTCCTAAAACTGTTAAGTATATATTTGTGTTGATTACATTTTATGAAAACATGGTGATACTAATAACTTGAGATTCGGTGTGAGGTATTTATCACTTTTGCAGACAGGGCATTGTGCATCTTCTTCCTATATCAACGCAAAGGAAAAAATGTCAAGGAATGTCACTGTAAGCTATTATTGGAAAATAGCATTCGTTTACCTGAAATGAGACGATAGTATTTTCAGCTTTACCAATTTTGAGTGTTTGATTCCGTAGCGAAGTAGTCATTTAAGTGTTTATATTAGAAACGATGGTGAATTTAATGCAATTCTCCACTAAACATTATTTTAACCTGTTCGGGCTGTGACTTATTTGAACTTGCTGCCTTCTAAAGTAGTTTTTTTTTTCTTTGCTCCCCTTTTGAATACTTTACAAATATATCGATTGCACCGACGAAAAAGAGAATATATAGTTCAACATGTCTATGCTCGATAATTTGAAGAAGACAAAAAAGAATCCAGTCTTCTTGGATGATGATGACGTGGATATTGATAATATGGACTTCCCTCTTCCAACAGACACACCTCCATCACGACCGTCTTCTTCATCACGAGCTTCAGCTAGCAACAGTGGTTTTCCAAACCTTGGTGGATCTAGTGGAATGCCTGACATGGCTCAATTGCAAAAGATGATGGAGAGCCTCAATGCGGCTGGTGGTGGTATGGCTGGTAATGCTGGTCCATCCACGTCAGCACCTGCATACAAAGAGCCTGAACATGTCACAGTAGCCACGACACCGCAAGGTGTCGTCAAATTACAACCCGAGGATTACAAAGAGTAAGTTTGTCACATTTGCATTGAAGTTTGGCGTTGATACTCATACAATTACTTGTAGTTGGGTCTGTGTATATCCTTGCTACATTAATGCGGAAATGTCATATAAAGAAGGTCGTAAATTATCCAAAGAGAAATGCACCAAGAATCCTCATGCATATCATATGGCTTTAGCCTGTCAAAAGTTAGGGTTAAGTGTTGTATATGAGGTATGAGCAAATAGAGAAACCTGATTGCGTGTCTTCAAGAACGTAGCTTGACATTTTTTTTTTTTTTCAAATTTTAGGGCAAAAGACATCCAAGAGATTGGGCAAATGTTGGTCGTGTTCGTGTGCAATTGAAAGATAAAAACAACTTTTTTATTAAGCAAGATATTATTACCCGCAAACAATTGTTTGAAGCTATCTCCAGGTTGATGCCACAATGCCAGAAAGAAAGCGAAGTACCAAAGACAATAGTATCACCTTTAACAACAATGACTGAAGTAAACGCTATGATTGATGAGCAGAGAAAGGCACAAGGCTTACCTACATTAGCAGAGATGGAAGCTGAGCAGGCGAAGAACACTCCTAGTCCACAAATGCCACCAAAGCAAAAGATGAAGAGAATCCAAGTTAGACGTCGATAAAAGTTATAGATCAATCTTATATGGTTTAAAGAAGTTCAGCAAAAAAAAAAAAGAAAGAAAAAAAAGGAAACGCATCCATTTTAGTATTGATATCAACACTTTTTGTATTATAATTTTCTTAATAAACCAAATCATTAATAACATCAACGCTAATGATAAAGGTTAAATTGGGCTAGAGTTTCTTTTTTTAAAAAAAAAAAAAAAAAAACTAATTCAGTGGAAAAAATCACCAGCTTCCATTAGTTCAATTACCGCTGGATGGACTGATTTCAATATGCCACCTGCAGACACAACTACTGTTCCCTGTTCATAGCAGGCACTGCAAAAACTCATCCCTGCTTTTACGACATCGGCTTCTTTGGTGTTGATCTCACTATCAAGCTGGTTACGGGTTATCTTAGCAGAATAAACGACCATTAGCCTTCTGTTGCAATTTTTTATGGTCTCCCAATGTTGAGAACGTTAGATTATTTAAACGTGCTTTAAGTAAAGAGGGCTGTGAGCTGGTTATCTGCCCTATGTTTCTGTGAAAAAATTGGTCTTCCGTTTAGGTGGATAACTACTTGTTTATCCTATTGATTTGTAATGTGTTATCCCGGCGGACATGGTGAACATGTATTTACATCTATAATGCATATCCTTTTTTTATATTATCTTTATTTATTAAGCATTTGATCGAAGGTTCAAATGTATACAATTGAACATACCGTTTACCAAGCAGGAACGAAAATATGAGCAGTGCGCATATCTGAGATCAACTTTTATTTTAATATTTCGTTAGACGTTGTGAGTAATTTACTCGTGTAAATATATTGCCATCGTGCCTCAAATACGAGAGTAACAACATTAAACAATAGATGGAAAAAAGCTTCCCGTTGATGGCATTCCTCACACAAATTAAATTCATGTGTGAGGAAGCCATTGAATGGCCTGAAAAGCTTCACTTGTTTGAAGGTCGAAAGGAACTTCACCACCGATCGAGATTTATTGCCAAATGTAATTCCCCTATAATTTTATAAGTTTGACTAATTGTTTTGCTTCAATCTTGTTTTCTTTTCCCCCTACTTACCGTAAAAATGACAGTAGATCATCCTGATTGATTGTCAGTCCTGCGAAATCCACGGCGACCAAGCAAACTGTTTCTGTGGTTGATATCATATCTAAGAGATCTAAAAATTGATGTCGGTGAGAAACACCAACCGCTAAATTAAATGGCATACCCTGCATGTTGCCCTCCACGCCTGTTAGGTTCTTTAAAAGATTGCGAGACTTCTTCTGATCTCGCTTCACAAGAGGGTCAGATGAGTTGGATAAGGCAGATACAAAGATTTTGTCCACCAAAGATCTTTCTTTTAATCTTTCTACTTGTTGTTGTAGTAAACGTTGTCTATCATTGGTATTATCAACTGTTCAAAAGTAGAGGCCACTCACATAAAATCAGTTCAAAAGTAGAGGCCACTCACATAAAATCAGTTTGAAAGTAGAGGCCACTGCTATAAAATCAGTTGAAAAGTAGAGGCCACTCACATAAAATCAGTTCAAAAGCAGAGGCCTACGTTTGTTCGAACTTCTTCTTCCAATTGATGGTCTCTACTGTAAAACTAAGGTATGTGTTATTTCCTTTACCTAAGCGAATGAATCTGTCTTAAATCAAGATTCAGTCAGACAGTCCATTATGTTGCAAAGACTCAATTCATGTTTGGATGCTTCACATACCGCGCATCATCTGCATTAGGTTCAAAGTAGACGATAAATTAGTTAATCTCTACGAGGTTGAACGTACTAGAGTATTAAGGTAAAGTAGAGGCCACTCACTTTTGAAATGATTCTATGAGTAGCCTCTACTTTTCAACTGATTTTATAGCAGTGGCCTCTACTTTTGAACTGATTTTATAGCAGTGGCCTCTACTTTTGAACTGATTTTATGTGAGTGGCCTCTACTTTTCAACTGATTTTATGTGAGTGGCCTCTACTTTTAAACTGATTTTATGTGAGTGGCCTCTACTTTTGAACTGATTTTATAGCAGTGGCCTCTAATGCCTCGATCTTCTACAGTATCCATTAATTGTATAACCTTGGTCTTTTAGGTTATAAATCTATTCTTGATACCTTGGTAAACAGTCGACGATATCCTTTAAAATATCATCTAACACATTATATTAGCTACGGCAGACTAAAGGTTTATGTATTCACTTACCGATATGTTTGTCCTTCATAACATAGAGAGAGCGGGCAGATACTCTTTTATCAAAATCATTTTTTATGGTCTAGCGCGCGTTTCAAGGAACTTCAACTTCTTGGTTGATCACCATCTATAAAAAGATTCTGCACTCTTATAAATGAACAGATCAGAGTGGCTCCATAATTTTGAGAGAATATGGGTGGCTGTAACAAGTTTTTCTTCGTATAAATCTGACCTTGGGTCATACGGCAGGTAGATCAAGTTTAGAAAATTTACCAGTTGTGCTACAGATTCTATGGCAGCGTTATTTATTGATTAATACGTTCATGTGAATTTGTAGTCAAACCTACTCAAACTAGGAACCAGGTCTTCTTCTTCGGTTGCTTCCTTTGCATCGCACTGGCTTTTGTAACGGTGCAGGTCAATAGGATTCATGTCGATCGTTCTTGAACACAAAAGCATAGGCTTCTTTGGGTTTTTCGAATAGCAAATCTAAATACTCTCCATATCATCAACCATTTCGTATCATTAATATCAGTTGATATGACTATGTGGTAGAATACAATTGGATATTCATAGGCGGGTATAGAGATGTTAAGAGAATATGGAAATTGCTGGAATAGACATGACCTTTCTGGATAATGTTTGGGTCTATAACTGATACAAGTGGTGTTGCTGAGCCAGAGATCTTTTATCCGATCTTCAGGTCTCTGCTGCGCCATTCATATCATGAATACCTCAGTCTATTATGTCCATTGGATCTATCTTATTATTATCTGGCTTAGGATAAGAATATGTATGAAACATGCTATAGCATTGGACTCTATTATTATAGTAATATTATCTGATAATGCACAGACAATAAAGAATATATAATTTATCCATATGTAATCTCAACAGTGGATAATTAAGTACCAGAAGAGACTAATGTCATATTATGGGATAGTCACATAGCAAGTATTGCAGGATTTATTTGTCTCTGTCAATATCTACATACGGACTTATGCCTCAATATACAACAATAGTCTCAAATGCCAGAAGGTCGTTCTAAAACCACAATACCAGAACATATAACGGAACAGAGTTTATGCAAGTGAGCATTGATAAGTTGGGAGAGAGGGGACGATTAGAACCACTTGTCTCATCAAATTCTAATGTGTAAACAAGAAGAAAAGAGGAAAGAAACCTTTAAAATCGCACATGAGTTTGTGGAGTATTTATAGTTGTTCGTTTCCCTAACTCTCTCCCAATTTAGCAGTCCTCAGTTGCATATAAAGTATGCTTTCGTATTATACTCTGGTAAGTGTGAGAGCACTGCTTGTTGATGCATCAGCTTTGTATAATGTGGACGTAATATGGCTTTATCCTAATGCTAACAGGCTTGATGTCTACTGTTCAATGTTCTTTTATACTAATGTTATGTTCGTCTCGCTGATGGATATGCAGAATTCCTAGAGCACGTGGCAAATTTCTTATTTTCGTTGAGTATACTCAAAGCCAGAATGAATCGCTGTTGCGTTTACATTGTCAATATTATCATTTAGAACCACTATAATCTATTTCATTTTGCGTAACATCTATCATGATATATAAAATAGCATCACATCTGCTTTGCCTTTTTGCTGCCTCGATGACGTTCTGTGCGTTTGAAAAAGATGAAATACCTACGAGCTTCATCCTTTCCATAGCTCTTTACAAGGACGGCCACTGCTGGTATAATCATGTCACAAAATGAATTCAAAGCTATTTCGCCGTAGTAAGTCGTAAGTTTCTAAGAAACATTTTCTGCTATTGATAATTGCTAGAGTGTTAAACTTATCCTCGAGATTTTATTATAGAAAAACAAAAAAAAAAGAAAACAAAGAAACCCCAAGACACAGAGTGTAATGCATTTAAATAGCAATAATTTGCACTTTCTCAATGGGAACAATATGGCTTATCTTTACGACTATCTATTGAAAAAGAAAGATTTGAAATAGGTGGCAATCGAAGCAGAAGTTGACGCAAGACCAACTAGGGTATACGAAACACCAGCCAGTAGTGTATCTATAATGGTTATAGTTCTATGTAACTGTAGAATAGCGAAGGCTATCACCAGTAGAAGTAAGGTGACAATGAGCATAAACCCATAGACTTGGAATGGAGGCAAGATAACCATTTGCTGTACAATGGACGTTGAAATAGACGAAGGCTTCCCTTGCATCGTATTTGCTGAGGAACCATAATAATGGTTATTAGTTGTACTTGAAATTGAAATAGGTACACCGACAGATATAATGCTTCCAATTTTATTGTTTTGCTCTTTTTTAGATAGAGTTAATTGGTGAAGTGCTTGCTCCTTCTTAGAAAAAAACGATGGCCGAAACCATTGTCGCCATTTCGCAATCTCTTTTGTAGAAGCACCGTTTCTTTCAGTTATTTTTTGCTTTTTTCCGAAAAAGAGTTTGAACTTTTGCAGTGGTGCTTGTTTAGCATTGACTATAAGACTATGGTCTGCAGAAAGGAGTTTTTTCTTTTTGAAGAGTACAAGTCGTTTGTCAGTGCTGTCTTTCGTATGAGGGAAACTTCCAGGAAACAATTTTTCTTGCACCATTATTAACTTGCGAACCAATGTATTGATAAAAAGAAATGTTGAAGCCAAAAAAATGGTTGTTTGAAAAAGTAATAGTCTTGGTCTATGGCTATCGTTATTATGATTTTCCCATTTTAAGACCAATTTGTATAATTTTTTTTTTTTTAAAAAAAAAGCTAACAAGCTTGTAATGTTTATTTTATATCTTAAATCAAAAGTACGTATTTACAACCCGGAACTATACCTTCTTTTACAAAAATTAAATAAGCTTAATACTCTCGGTTACGGACAGAGAAGAACATAGGTCCTAATTCTGCTAACCAATAGGGGTCAACAGCCGTGACGCACTGCATATACTCCTTCGACGTTAATACAAGTTCGTGATATACAACGTAGTCAGGTGTAAAGCCTGCACCAAATAGTGCACTTGTAGGATGGAGATGGCATTTCATACCAGTTCTACAATTGACATATTCACCGATACCCTTCAATCTCGCAGCTTGGTGGAAGTAGGCAGAACAAATACATTTACTAAATGAAAAGGAAAGCATAAAGGTTAATATTCTTGCTTCGCATCAACATCACCATCACTAAGACGAGAATAACATACCGAACTACATCCCAATCAGTACCACAAGATACGTAAGGCATTTTAATGGTCTTCATGATATCCATCAACTGTGAGCGTACTTCTCGCGCCTTACGCATAGCTTTTGCATGAACAAAATGCTTTGTACACCAATCATCGCGATAGTGATTGATTTTCCATTGAGTGTATACATGAAGGAGAGTTAAGTGATCACTTTCGGGGACAAAGAACTTTTCTCTGGCCGCATCGGATTCCTCCATACGTTCTTTCGGTCGATAAAATACAGAGGGAACAGATAACATAGAAACAATTGTCAAAACTTCTGCTGTACAGCCCTGTTCTTCAGCAGCAATAAGCATTTTAGCCAATGAGGGATCCAAAGGAAATTCATTCATCTTTCCACCTGCTTCTGTAATATCACCCTCATTATCCAAAGCACCAATAATCCAAAGCTGATACATAGAGTTCAAGATGTTCTCTTGAGGTGGAGGATCCATAAAATCAAACTCTAAAAGATTCTTGACGCCAAGAGACTTCAGTTGTAGTAGCACACTTGATAAATTGGTACGCTGGATTTCTGGAATCGTATTAACAAACATTTCATTTCTATAAGCATCTTCAGTATACAGTCGGTAAGCAACACTATGAGAAAAAGGGAGAAATGAGTATTCGATTTTTTTCATTCTTGAAACCCAATCATGGCTTACCCTGGGCCTGTTCTACCAGCACGACCGCTACGCTGATTAGCATTGGCTTGACTGATGGGTGTCACTTGTAAGGCATCCATACCAATCCTAGGATTATAAACCTTCAATTTACAGTAACCGCTATCGATTACATACATGATGCCGTCAACGGTCAGTGAAGTTTCAGCAATATTGGTGGCGACAATGACTTTTCGCGCGTTATTTTCCGCTCTCTGGAAAATCTTGGCCTGAAGATCCGCTGGCAATTGGGAATAAATGGGTAAAATAGCCAACGGAGGTGGATTATCCAGCTGTTCCATACGCTCTACATAAACGAAAGGTTTAGTAAACGTTTCATTTTGTTCTCTCTCATGACGGGTTATAGTTACCTTGTAGAACTGTACATGTTGCCTCGATATCTTCCTGACCTGTCATAAAGATCAAAATATCGCCAGCAGGTTGCGATAGATGAATAGCCAAAGCTTGCTTCACAGCACTATCCACATAATCTTCACAAGACGTTTTACTGAACATGATATCCACTGGAAAGGTACGACCGGGAATAAAAAAGCAAGGCGCATTGCCGAAAAATTGCGAAAATCTATCTGCATTCATGGTAGCAGAGGTAACAATCAATTTCAAATCACGTCTCCTTGCCAAAATCTTCTTTAGCAGACCCATGAGCACATCAGTGTTCAAAGCACGTTCGTGAGCTTCATCCATGACAATGGCACTGTACTGATCTAAATCGGGAGAATTCATTGACTCACGTAGCAGAATACCATCTGTCATGTATCTAATTAAAGTGTTTTCTGACGTTTGGTCCTCAAAACGAATGGTATAACCCACTTTATCACCCAGCTCACAACCCATTTCTTCCGCAACACGCTTGGCGACAGACATGGCAGCTACACGACGTGGTTGAGTACAACTAATTTTACCGTACTTTGTATATCCATCTTCATGTAAGTATTGCGTTAATTGGGTCGTTTTACCAGAACCTGTTTCACCGACGATGACTACAACCTGGTTATCACGCACAACTCGAAGTAGCTCTTCACGTACGGCAAATACAGGCAAAAATTCACGTTGTTCACGCATAGTACGCGTCCTTGCGAAATCACTGGCAGCCTCAGATGCTTTTAGGTGGGAAGCAAACTTGGAGTCGCCCTTCACATCATCATCATCACGGTTTTTAGATTCTTCTTCATTCTTGTTCTCGTCCTTAATACCCATGACATTACCAAGAGTGGTGCCAGCCATATCTAATTTGGTCGCCTTCATACGTTCAGCTTGCTCTCGCTTTTCTCTAACCAATCGACTACCTTTTCGAGCAATAATAGCCATATCAGAAGTAGGGTCACGGATATGTTGGACAGCTTCCAGTTGTTTTGTAAACACCATACGTCCAGATAAGAAAGGAGGTTTTTCGTCATGCACTAACAAATGAACACGGTTCTAGTAGTAGTAATAAATCAGACTTTTCATGAGTACACCATTCATTTTGGACAGCAATCAAAGTTATACAGCAAATGAAATTGCGTACCTCATTATCATCATCAAAATCAGTATCTACTTCAATTCTTTGAGCAACACCTGAGCTCAACATACGACTTGCTTCCCACATATCAGTGTCTCGATTATACTGTGCTTGTCTCGCTGACAACTTCTTCATCTGCTTCTGGGCTAGCTCATCTTCTTTCGATTTGTCATGCGTTTCATAATCCGCAAAAATATTATGCGTGAGATCCGCTGCGCCTGTATCCTCCATTTGATACCATTCACGATCTAATTGTGCTTGCTCTTCTTCCCACTTTCTACGATCCTCTTCATCACCTTCAAACTCTTCTGGGTATTCTAAAGCTACTTCGTCGTAGGCAGTGGATCGTACAGCGGGTGTCATGCTGTCCCATGTTTTACGAATGGCAGCAGTAGCAGCGCCTATGTTTCGACGACTCGTGTAGCCACTATCGTGTCGAGGCGTTATATTACCTGTCAAGGCACGACGAGGAGTAAAAGCAGCTTGGTCGCGAGGTGTTACATTGGTCCATTGACTACGCTTGATGAGCCCTCCTCGTCGACGAGGTGTTTCTGTACCGCTTCCTTCAAGATGTCGAGGTGTACCACCACTGGAAGTAAACGGCCTTCTGCTACTGCTGCTACTACTGATACTGCCTGGTGTTTTGAACCCATTGTCTTTGTCTCTGCTATGCCTATCTCTGTCTCTATGTCTATTATCGTAGCGGGATCCTTCAAGTCTGTCGTTGTCACGATATCTATCTCTTTCATCACGATCAGCTCTATTACGGTAACTCCTATCATCTCCTCTATAATGTCTATCTACATCACGGCTTTGTCGGTTTCTGCTTGCGTCGTCATCGTCGTCGTCGTCCTTTGTATTCCTTTCTTTATCTTTTCTGTATTTATCGTCCATTCTGCTTATAGAGGTTGTTGAGCGATCGCTATCTTTAGTTGTCGCTGGAGGTAATTCTTCTCTATGTGACCGATAGTGTCGACGCTTTTCAATTTTTGCTGTTGAATTCACATCGGCATCGGTTGTATCATCTATAGTATCCTTGTTGTAGTTTTCTTCAACATCCCAGCTTAAATTCACCCTTCTCTTTTTGCCTGTAGGTTCAGAATGGTTAGATGCTGCTGCTGCTTCTGCGTCAGCCAATCGTTTTTTTCGTGCCAACTCATCTAATCCTAATAATGACTTTTTCGGTGGAGCAAGTGGTTTCTTAAATACAGGTCGATCTTCGTCAGCCTTTGAAGATTTATTTTTTGTTGTTATCAGTCCACCGGGTAAATTGTTACCTAGAACAAGCACTTCATTTCGTTGAACATTGGTATCCATTCGAATGGGTTTGGCGTTAGGATTACTGCTACTTTGTAGCTTTTGTTGCTGCTGTTCTTTTTTGTGATTTGTTATTTTGGTATAAGTGTTGGCTAAAAATTCGCGACTGAATCGCCCAAATGTACTACAGACTACAAAGAGAAAAAGTATATCCCATTAGCTCGACTAGATTAGCCCTTGATTTGAAAAACTACCTTAGCATCCTTCTTTTTGTGTACATTATAAATAAAACTATGATTGGTTCACATATACTTTACCTTTACTGAAACTGTCGAAATCTTTATGCGTGTCTGCAAATTGTATGACCTTTCGAGCAATCAAATCATTTGGGTTTGTCAAATTGAGTGCCCTTGATATATCAATGGCAATATCCCGGGTAAGATCCTCTTCTGGCATAATGAAAGGAAAAGTTAATATTGTACCAAAGAAAGAAAGTGTGAACGTACTTACAATGCAGAAGTGCGCATTTGAACGTACTCCGTATAAAACTCAAAAAGCCACCACTACAATCTCATTGGTTAGAAACAGTTTTGGCATTTTTACAGAAAGTAGACTCAGTACCACAGGCTGCAAGAAAAAAATTACCCTTTTTTGGACTTTTCTCTTTTTTTTGCAACACTTCAGTTTTTACTTTTTTTTTTTTTAAAAAAAAAAACAATAATAATAGAACGGTTCATTCCGCAACTCATTCAATGTCGAATACAACAAGGACTGTTCGATTGACAGTCATTGCCGCTGATGGCCTTGTTAAAAAGGACCTTTTCTTTAAGATGCCCGATCCTTTCGGTAAATGCTGTTATTAATTTGATTTTACACTTGTTTATCTTTTTTTTTTCCATGCTCGGTTTCATTTATTTTTTGTTGGATATTGTAATAATGTATTAGCCGTTGTAACTGTGGATGGCGAACAAACACATACAACAACTGTCATGAAAAAGACCTTGAACCCATATTGGAATGAGAGTTTTGACTTGTAAATATATGTGATGTTATATGTTTAATAAGAAAGTAGCCAACTAAGAGAATTCGATTTTTATTCACTGATACTTTTTTTAACACACCCTGGAATAATTATGAAAGACAAGTAAATAATAATAGTGTCATTGCTGTGCAAGTCTTTGACCAGAAAAAATTCAAAAAGAAGGATCAAGGCTTTCTCGGTGTCATTAACGTCCAAGTGTCGAGTGTGTTTGATCTCGCAGTTGGGGGAGATGGTAAAAGAAAAAAAAGAGCCTTTCCAGCCTTCTTGTCCTAGGTATTAACTATGAACCGATATTGTAGAAATGCTCACTTTGGACTTGAAAAAATCAAATAATCATGACACTATTCAAGGAAAACTTATCTTAAATATATCAACCAATGTCAATGTTCCTATCCGTAATGGTACAAATACCCTTGTGGCAAGCACAAATAATACAGTTGCACGTAATTCTTCGCAACGTTCGGCCACTGCTAGTAATGCATCGAATACCACCGCCCCAGCACAGCAGCAACGCTCTTCCACAAATTTGGCTGCAACTACCACGAATAATACAGCGACAGCAGCGACAGCAGCAACAACAGCGAACTCAGGAGCAGAGGACAATTTGCCAGAAGGGTAAGGAAAGGGTATTCTGTAAAGTGTACCAGCGTAGCCACACTAATTCCCTTTTTGCACCGATAGATGGGAAAGGAGAGTGGATCATTTGGGTAGACCTTACTATGTCGATCATAATACCAGAACCACAACATGGAAAAGACCTTCGTAAATTGCGCAGCTTTTGTTTTCCTTTCTTTACGAGTTTTCGCTTTATATTAAAGAGAATATATATTGTATTTTTGCTATCACGTTAGGCCAAGAACTGCTCAAGACCAACAAGCCCTAACGGAAATGGAAAGACGTCAACATAATGCACGAGGATTACCAGAAGGAAGAGCTAGTAACAACAATAGTACAACTTCATTGAATAACCAAGGACAAGCATCAGGCGGTGCATCTAGTACCGCTGCTACGAATTCAACAACCAACACGTCTACGGGCGGTGTCATTGGTGTTCCGAATGCTGTCTCCACTGCAGGCTCGGGGCCGTTACCACCAGGTTGGGAAATGCGTACAACTACAGAAGGTCGCCCCTACTTTGTGGATCATAATACCCGAACTACCACATGGGTCGATCCTCGTCGCCAACAGTACATCAACACGATTGGCCCTGGCTCCAACCTTCAAGTTCAGGTACAACCCGTCTCTCAGCTTGGCCCATTACCCTCGGGTTGGGAAATGCGTTTGACCAGCACAGGAAGAGTTTATTTTGTTGACCACAACACTAAGACCACCACTTGGGATGACCCACGTCTACCTAGTAGTCTGGACCAGAACGTTCCTCAATATAAGCGTGATTTCCGTCGCAAGTTGATCTATTTCCGTTCTCAACCTGCATTACGTCCCGTACCTGGTCAATGTCATATCAAGGTGAGACGTGACCATATTTTTGAAGATGCCTATGCGGAAGTGATGCGTCAAGTGCCTGCCGATTTGAAGAAGCGCTTGATGATCAAATTTGAAGGCGAAGATGGTTTGGATTATGGTGGTCTATCCAGAGAATTTTTTTTCTTGCTGTCTCACGAAATGTTCAATCCATTTTATTGTCTGTTCGAATACTCGGCTCATGATAACTACACTTTGCAGATCAATCCTCATTCTGGTATCAATCCTGAACATTTGAATTACTTCAGATTCATCGGTCGTGTTGTAGGCCTCGCCATTTTCCATAGACGATTTTTGGACGCTTTCTTTATTGTGTCATTCTACAGAATGATTTTAAACAAAAAGGTACTGGTAGCCAATATGGAAAGTGTGGATGCTGAATTTTATAGAAGCTTGATGTGGATTCTGTAAGTATAACTATCCAAACATGAAACCTTTTTGTACCGTTCTATTGATTGTTCAATCCTTCTATTTCAGCGACAACGATATCACCGATGTACTTGACTTGACCTTCTCTGTTGATGATGACCGTTTTGGTGAAATGGTGACGGTAGACCTTAAAGAAAATGGCAGAAATATTGAAGTCACTGAAGAAAATAAGAAAGAATACGTCGAGTAAGTGATTCAAAATCGAAGAAATGACTGAAATAACAGCAGTGTCTGAGAAATGCATTTTTATTTTACTTTTGTGTACATTTAGTTTGGTAACCGAATGGCGTATTTCTAAACGTGTCGAAGAACAATTCAAAGCCTTTAAAGAAGGTTTCAATCAGCTTATTCCACAAGATTTAATTAACGTTTTTGATGAGCGCGAACTGGAATTATTGATAGGTGGTATTGCAGAAATCGATGTGGATGATTGGAAGAAACATACCGATTACAGAGGCTATACAGAACAAGATGACGTTATCCAATGGTTCTGGAAATGTATTCGTAGTTGGGATAGTGAAAAGAAATCAAGATTATTACAGTTCACTACTGGTACCTCGCGTATACCTGTCAATGGATTCAAGGATCTTCAAGGAAGTGATGGTCCTAGACGCTTTACGATTGAAAAAGCCGGAGAAGTGACACAGTTACCCAAGGCGCATACTTGCTTTAACCGTATTGATATGCCTCCTTACAAATCATATGAAGCTCTTGTTGCAAAATTAAGCCTGGCAGTTGAAGAAACTGTAGGTTTCGGCCAAGAGTAGACTCTATTACATCAGCAACACTTTCCTATTCTACAAATGCATTCCTTACAAATAACCCTCTCTTTTCATCTAAATAATACTCTTTTCTTGTCTGTTTGAATATCTTTGTACATACAAGCCCGCTAAGTATAATACATTTATTCTCTCAATGCACACCTTTAACTTGACACTATTCCAACGAAAACCTTTTTGTAACCTTGTATTACTTTTTATCCCTTTTTTTTTTTTGTGTGTCTTTCATAACTTAATAAACTTTGATCAAATTGTATATCTTCTAAAACGTAAATTGGCTTGCCTTTATTCTGTCCTTAATATATATAAAAGTATTTTGTACACGAGGAAAATTGAAAGGGTGAGGAGCTATTATGTGTATGATATACATCGATGAAAAGAAAAAAAGAAACATCACTGCTATTCTTTGGGTGTTTATATTACAAACATTACAATTATACGGTTCATCTATGCAGTTAACATGATACCAACACCGAATTTACTTTGACCCTGTTCATTTTGAGTTTCAATAAAAACAAAGTTAATGACAATGCTTCCAACACCAGCAGTTTCATTTTTGATTTTATGATTACCTTCATATGATCCAAATCACCACTAATCAAGAAGGAGAATCCAGGCGCCATTTTTTCCTCCAATACAGCAGAGACTCGACCTGTAGTATCAATTTGACCTCTGAAAGTGGCTTGTCTGAAGTCGAATTTGCCACCTACAGTTGCCACGGCTTCTCGTCTACCACCTTGAACCATCATATTCAATTCGACACCGAAATCGACCTTTTCATTGATGCGCTGATAATAACTGGCTTGTATCGCTCCTAAACCTTGGAATTGTGCTGTAGCAATGTAATCTTTACCGGTATATTTACCCACGAATGACATGGCAGTTTCTTCCATATCAGGTGTAGGGCGCTGTAAAACAATCTCAGATCCAAGAACCAGGTGCTGGCTGACAGATTGTAAGTAAGAGGCCATATAAAGACCCGTGCGTTCTAAGGGATTGGGGTTCATGGATTTCAAATTGATAGCATAGTCAGATCCATTAAATTCTTGTTCAATTTGAAGCATGGAATGACCGGCCATTTTTGTGAACTGTTCAAGTGTTTTTTGTTTGGTGATGTTTGTTGGTTTTTTGTTTTGTTAATGCAAAAGTTTCTTGACAGGTTAGCACTAGTCTTGATCTAACTAACCCTCCCCCTTTCACTGAAAATATAAAAATGAATGATTCCTTTACCTGTGCTACAACCTTAGTAACGGCGGCATTGGACCAAGCTTGTCTGAAAACACCATTCAGGTTACAATCGTTATCCATGGTACCCTGCAACATAGTCTAAAAGAGGCACAAAAAAGAAAAAAATTGGTTTGGTATGGTAACATTTCATTTGATTGAAAATGTGCTCGGTTGCTTACTTTCTCTGTCATATAACCAGAGGTAAAATTATACATAGGTGGCATAACTTGAGAGCCTAAAGAGAACTGGTGTTGGACGTGGAAGTTGGGTGAGAGTTCTTTGGCGATGTTGGCTTGAGCACCGTCAAAAAGGTAGTTGGGAGTAAAGACCTCTGTTCAAACCAGAAAAATATCAATGAGTTCATCCTTTACTCGTAGTCTATCAGAAAAAATAAATCATTTTGTTGTACCTTTTGTCACTTCAGCATGAAGTTTTTCGAATCTTCCAGGGTTTGGTAAATTGAGCTGTCCCTTTTGGTAAGTGAACCAACGGGGCCAGAATAGTGGATTCCAAAGAGATCCCGATGGCTTTTGTTCTTTTTCAAAACCGAACGTGTTAGAAAGAGGGTTAAATAATCTAGGTGCAGCTGCTGGTGTAGCGCTTGTTGCTTCAGGTGTTTTGGCAGCCATATTAATATGTTAAATTTAAAATAGTCAAGGAAAAGAAGAGCGAAAAAAAAAAAGTTTAAGAATTACAGAGATGGTTCCCTACAACACCCACGTCCTCCGCTTTAGATTTCTATTTTTCTGCTCTTTTTCACCCACAGCTGTCAGTGATCCTTTAACCCCAGACTTCCTTTCATCAAGGCTAATGTGACTTGTTTCAAACAAACAAATTGCGAATCGAAGAGCGATGACTATACCTCAGCAATAGATCTTTTGCACCGTCTCTCACTAATTATGCACCCTTTAACAACTGCTGCTTCCATCAATCGACTATACAAACTGTACAGCATGAAAAAAAAAAAACCATTGAAGAAAGGGAAAAATAGTGGGGATCAATAGTTAAATAGTAGCAATAAATTGAGAAAAAAAAAAAAATATAGAAAGGCAGTAGAAATCGATAAAGTGGCACCAAGTTATTGATAAAGCGTGTCTCAAGCATCCTGCCCAAGGCAATCACTAATTGCTTAGAAGCAGAGAACTGACAGCACCGCCTTTAACATGGCGAGCTCATATGTACGATTCTGGTCGGCCTTGCGTTAATATGGTGTTGCCAAAATACAAAGCAAGAATTATTGTCTTTTGTTTTATGATAGCTACCTATGGTTTTGATATTATCCAACTTGATTTTGGGTACAATTAATCCATACAACTAAAGGACAGGGAAACAGACACCGCCTATACTTTTCTACCTACCTTGGAGGCATTATATTCATTAAATGATTCCAATGGCAGAAGACAGTCTTTGTCTTTTCAAAAACTCTTTATAGAAAATTCTATCATGTGTGATTATATTCTTTCTGAAAGTAACTTTGCGGATGAAATATGGTGTGAATGTAGTAATATAAGTATATCTTCAATCCAACTTCAAGCATGTTATTCAACTTATATACCAGAGATGAACGGTCTCAATGAGTGAAGATATAAAAACTTTATTGGAACATTTGCAACATGAAACCTATATTAACATGATTTATATGTCATGGGCATGTGCATAACTTCTTTGTACGAATTTTGCAGGCTTGTCCGCGGACCAATGGTGGTAAAATGCAATCGACAGAGCGATCGATTTTCGATTGTCGCGGACCTGGTATTGGGTCGAAAAATCATGACAATTGCCCAGAAATTGGGTTCCTGATATCTTTATGAAATAGGGCACTTATTTTTTAAACTTTACCCCAGTTTGACACAATGACAGCCTTCAATCGTTCGTGCATTTCGAGATTTCGTCAGTTCGCTCAATATTCAACCTTTAAAAAATTATCCCTTCCTTCACAAACAATAAAATCAATACTAAGCTCACCAAAAGAGAATGATGCTCGTGTATCAGTTTGTGGTTGGGTACGATCAGTGAGAAAACAAAAGCAAGTCAGTTTTGCCACTATCAATGACGGATCCACACTCAAAGGCATTCAAGCCATTTTGAATCCGGAAGACGCTGAAAAGTAGGATATTACAAAACTTAATGTAGGATAAATAGGATACCCCGCTGAAACGAACAAAAAATATTTATTTTACGTATCCTCCTTTTATCAACAAAGACTTACAACTGGCGCCTGCGTAGAGTTGAAAGGTTCGCTTGTCACAAGCCTGGGTGCTGAGCAGAACAAAGAACTACAAGTGGATCAAATTGATATTCTGGGTGCATGTGATGGTGTAAGCTATAACGATTGTCCTTTGCATATATCAGCAAGCGCAAGAATAACTCACATGTTTTTGTATTTGAAAACTATCAACAGACATATCCTTTACAAAAAAAACGACATAGTATGGAATTTCTGAGAAGTATTGGTCATTTGAGAATGCGGGGTAATACTGGTAGTGCCGTGCTTCGAGTTCGCCATGCTGCTTCTGAAGGTCTCCGCGATTTTTTTCGCGACAACGAATTCACGTTAACCAACACTCCAATTCTAACAGCTAACGATTGCGAGGGTGGCGGTGAAGTGTTTGAGGTATCTCCTATCAATTGCAAAGACCGTACAGAGTTTTTTAAAAAACCAGTGTACTTAACGGTATCAGGTCAATTACATGCCGAGGCTATGGCATTAGCCTTGTCTCGAGTTTACACTTTTGGACCGGTATTTCGCGCTGAAGAATCTATGACTTCACGGCACTTGGCTGAATTCTGGATGTTGGAAGCGGAGCTTTCATTCATTAACCAACTTTCGACTCTGTTGGATGTAGCAGAAGCAAGCCTGAAGGAATCCACACACTATGTGATGAGGACGTGTCAAGAAGATTTGGAATTTTTCAACAAATGGGTTGATAAATCGCTCATGGAGCGTTTAATGACAAGCGTGGAAAAACCCTTCGTACGAATGACTTACTCAGAAGCCATCGATGTTTTACAAAGAGCTCAAGATAAAAAAGAGAAAAGGTTTGAATTCCCTACAGTGTGGGGCTCTAGTCTTCAAACAGAACATGAAAGATATCTGGCCTCAGAATATTGCCAACGACCTGTTTTCGTGACGGATTATCCCGCACATCTCAAACCGTTCTATATGCGAGCAAATGAAACCAAAGATGGGAAGGACACTGTGTCATGCTTCGATTTGTTGGTACCAGGTATTGGTGAATTGATTGGCGGCTCAATGCGTGAAGAACGATATGATATTTTAAAGCAAAAGATGATGGATGCTAAAATGGACCTGGACGACTACCAATGGTACCTAGATTTGCGTAAATATGGTAGTGCACCACATGGTGGTTATGGACTCGGATTTGAAAGACTCTTATTATGGCTAACAGGATTGGAAAATGTACGCGAAGTTATACCAATGCCGCGTTGGGCAGGTCATTGTAAATACTAACTTGTTCTTATCACAAATCTCTTTGTATATCTTTCCAAAGTTCAGAAAAATTTTTATCATTCTCTTTAAATTAATAGAAAAGAACCATAATGAATTGGGTTCGATTCATATAAAAATAAAATGTATTACTTTTTTATTTAGATCTACTTCACTGTTATGTAATCACGAGAAGCAGATATTATACATATAGTAAAAGGTTGATTTTGAAATGTTTTGTTAAGAGTCTTATTGTATCTTAGTGATATTGATGAGATACCTCTTATGAGGATAACATTTCATATGTATGTTGAGAAAGAAAAAAAAGTGTACTAAAGCTAGTTTTAGCGCCTTTTTATATGATCAGATCAGACTAAAGTATATATGCTAAAAAGTCACGTATGCTTCATATGTTTCAGAAAATCAATCTTTAACTGAAAACTTTTTCACAACCAACCGCTCACCCTTTACTTGTAGAGTAATGTAAGAATTGAACACTGTTATGCAGCTTTCAATTGAGCTCATCAGGAAAAACTATTCAGAAAGGCGGTTGATTTATGGATATACATAAACGTAACATACTGGCTCAAAGCTAAGAAAGACTTTGAATCAATAATCAACCTATTTTATTGTGGAGTTAGAATTATTTTTTTTCTGAAACCACATTTGTTGCAGTAGGTAAGCCGTATTCAACGCAACGCCCAACAACCGAAGTACACTCTTTCCGGAGAGTAAATTCGTCCAATGGCGCTCTGGAGGCAACCGACCCACGAACAACAAATTTCAGCTATTTGAGCCCTGAAACTTGAGTAACGACACGATGAAGGCTTTGGACAAGTAGTTCTACCGACAAACGATGGAAACACTTTGATGATAAAATAGAATATGACACAGACTCCTCAGTATCACTCTTTCATTACTAAAGCTGCGATAGCTGCTACGGTTACGTACAGGAGAACAATGGCTAAAAGATGAATGGTTGAACCAAATTGGATAAACAAAGAAACAGAGACAAACAATGAAGTGGAGCATACAGCAGGAACATATAAAGTTTATAATCAATGTAAATGTACAGAACGCTCAGGCACGCGTTGCGAACGTTGCTCGAATGTTTAGTTTGAAAGAGACAAGTGTTTGCAGCTTCATGAAAAGCGACTGTAATTTGTCATTCGTAAGTCTTAGGCCCCATAAAAAACTTGAAAGACAATTTTAGTGAGTACAACATATGAACTGCGACTAATAACGTCCTAATTGTATTTTTGTTAATGAAATGGTTTCAATATCAAATGATTTCTCCTTTATCTTGATTCACAAGTTGGCACATCTGCAATAGTAACAAGAAATCGACTGAAACCAGTATTTGTTATACTTGTCGCTATTAGTTGCGCAAAGGGCGCTTGATCGACATCAAACTCAGAGTAACAGAAAAGCCTTCTTTTGTAGTGCCATTGAAGCTTGAGATATTCAGATTGCTTGCCTATTACGGGCACTTCTCCAAGCATTTATGAGAATGCCTAACAATCCCTTCAAAATCACTTTATTTCAAGCTATCAGCAGCTTCACTTTAGGTCATAACACTTACTTTTCGAGAAACTTGATGTGTTCCACTTTGCTTTTGACCTTTGACCAGAATTGCTCAATTGAATTGAGCTCAAGAGAATAGGAAGGCAAGTAAGCGCAGCGGTAGCCACGAGATTCTACGTATTCGGCTATATTGTCTGATGTATAGATAGGAGCATTATCCATCACAGGTAGTGGCTTTTCATGTGTAGTGCGGTCCAAAAACCAAGAAGGCACTATTTTGTGATATGAAGAGAAGGGCGAGTATAAGTGGAGAAAAAACCAACGCCAGCCCTTCCACCTACAACTTCCAAGTTATAAGTCGTTTCTTTTCTTAGTGACAAGTTTCTTCAATATACTGAAATGCCTTCCTGAGACCAGTCCCATAGACCAAAATGCACCATAAACTCTACCGTTTGAATTGACGGCTGCGCAAGAATCGAAATAGAAATTGCTGGCAGTGAAAGAGATTATACCTTATACACAAACAATAGCTTTTAGTCGATGTGAAAGCCATCATGGTACTCCTCCATCATCATAGCCTGAAATTTGATGAATATGTGTTTCGTATGCGATAATAAATCGTGCACTCAAAAACTCCTCTTTCAGTCGATAGCCAAATTATGCCATCATGGCAATTATCTCTAACAGTATATGAACAAGTCAACAAAAATAAAAATATAAATCAGAAAACCACGACAGCACCGATATCACTACTATAATGTTGTTATTATTATTACTATACAAAAAATTGAAGAAAACAGAAATGAAGGTTCTTCTAGGTATGTGCTATAATTCTAAGGTTAAAAGAAAAATCATGTAAATTACAAGAAGCGGGCTAATTCACTTGAACCGATATTCAACTCTGGTGATTGAGCATTTAGATGACGGCATAGTTCAATCAAATGAGTTCTTGTTCCTTCCTTCAATTGGTCACTGTCAGAAAGAACTTGAGTAAAGATGTGTAAGAATTGAGGCAGATTATTAAGGACGAAGGAGTTATTGGCATTGAACAATTGGAAAATACAATCGAAAACGGGTTGGTTTTCTTCATAATCTGCCTTCAATGGTAAAACACTGATCCAAGTGGGTAAAACCTGGTCCAAGGGAACAGCGTTAGGATGAGCTAAAATTAGACGGGCGACTGCGCCAGCAGCGTTGTCAACAGTATTGGGGATGGTCTGGTTACTGAAAAGAGGGGAGAGAGCAGTTAACATAGCAGGGTATTGATTGCTTAAATCCATTTGAGTGTGAAAAGTCAAGCAACCAAGAGCGAAAGCGGCGTTGCTACGCACTAACTCATCTTCATCACCGCATGCTTTGACAAAGGTTTGCAACAAACGTTCTGTATGAGGGGTAATGGCATCTTTGATACCAACGATACACTCGCCTAAACAGCCAACAGCCATAGCTCTTTCGGTTTGAGACTTTGTGGGCTTGTAATATTTGAGAATAAGAGGAAGATAAACTTCAAAGTATTTGTAAAAGTGGGGACCGACAGTCTCACAAAGGGCGGCAACGAGATCGCCAGCAGAAGTGATAAGGACAGACTCAGACTCCAAATCATCATCTTCGTCATCAAAATCACCATCATCAAAGGCTTGCTGACACAAAGATTTCTTTTGAAAAATTTCTAATAGATTTTGGGCGATATCATCGAGATAGTCAGCAACAACAACAGGACCCATGAGACGAAGAGCGGCGACAAATTCTTGACAAATTTGAGCAGCAGTAGAGCGGTCGTCTTCCTCTTTCCATAATTCGATAGTCATGGGCACAACAGTTTGAATCAAACTTTTGACATTTTCGTGGACAGTGTAAGTGACAGGAATGCCTACCGTCCAAGGTCCAGGGTTGGACATAGTATATACAGTCTTGACAAAAGTGAATAAGCTTTGATTGGCTGATTTACGTACGCCTTCGTAAAGATGGCCAGTAAGTTTTTGCAGTTCTTCTAAAGAAGGCTCGACGTAAGGTAAGAAATGGGATTTTGTATTGGCAAAAAGTTCACCTAAAGCATCGACAGCAAACTCTTTTTCATCGGCAATAGCAGAATTAAAGTTGAAGTTTTCGAAATCATCCTCCAAATCATCATCCATACCACCAGTGGTGAGGTCAATTTCTTCGTCCAATAAAGCCTCATTCTTTTCTTCGGCTTTGCAAGATGCTAAAAGTTCAGGGACAATGGTAGGTAAGAAAGGAGCGAAATCCTCGCCAAAGACACGGGCCAAATTAGAGAAAAAGGCAAAGGAGCATTCACGAAGACGAGGTGAGTCTAACTTGAGCTGTTCTACAGCAAAGGTCATCAAGTTTTCAACATAAGGTCTGAAAACTTCAGCGCCAACAGCCTCAGCAATAGAACCAGCAGTATCAGTGGCCACACCACGGAGCAATTGATCATCCGTGCTCTCTTTAACGGACATGAGCTGAGCAATACGAGGTAAAACTTGATTGAAGTAAGGATGGAAGGCTTCAGCTGCAGCATGAGCAGCACTGCCAATGGCTGCGATGACGGTAGCACGAGTTTCTGTTTCAGTAGCGTGGTCCAATAAGAACAACAGCTTTTCCATCAACAAAGGAAGATATTGAACGATATCTGCGCCGAGACCTTCAAGGGTGGCATCGAGAGCGTTACAGGCGTGTTTAGTAATCTCAGCATTATTATCATTCATCAAATTAAACACAAGAGGAAGTAAGGTTTGATGATGCTCAGAAATATCACCAGGCATTTCTTCGGCGAGACAACCGAGAGCCATACAAGCAGCACGACGAACAATCATTTCAGGGTCTTGAAGTCCGGAGCAGACAAGAGGAAGAAGTTCGTTCAACTTGCTAGCAACAATATCAGTGCAGCCTTCAACAGTAACGGCAAAAGTCATCATGGAGGCTTTACGGAAGTTGGGGTTGGGGTTTTGGATATAGTTCAATACGAGCGGCATAATAATAGGGAATACATGTTGAGGAGGAATATTAGTAGCTAAAGCATTGAATACTTTGAAGGCCAGCTGTTATATTGACGTAGGAAAAAAAAAGAAAGAAAGATTGAGTAAGTATATCAGCACCTAAGCACTAAGAACGCATGTACGACTTACTCTTGAGGCAGAATCTTCATCAATATCTTCCGGATCTTGCTCAGTACCAATGGGCATCAATCTTTCAGCAATAGGTGCAACGAGCTTTAACTGTCTAATTTTGTGATTTTTGCTATAAAGTGGCAGTGGTAAGTTCCTGAAACATATGAATAAGGTATTACATTAAGTTACTTACTAGACAGCGGCCCACATCAAGAAGGACAACGCAAAAACACGAATACTGTCATCCAATTCCGTATTACCACCGATAGTTAAAAAGAAGTCGATCAAGTTAGCTAAATGGTCGTTGAGTAACGGGGCATCCAACATCAACATAGTATCAAAAACTTCAAATATTTGAGCACAATGTTCTTCATCATCGTCCTTGATACATTGTTCCAATACATTGACTATACTGGGAATCATAGCTCTGAACATTTTCTGTAGAAGCAGATGAGTTTAGAATGGCCATGTCCCCCATTGAAAAATCATCTGAACTTACAATTGTATTCTTATCTTCACTGTCTACAAATTCAGCCAATTTGCCAAGAACTAGTACGGTGGTAATTCTAACTGATTTGCTTTCAGGGTCCACAATTGATTTGTTGAATAATTCAAACAAAGAAACCGTATTGTTCATAAAGACATCAGCAATGACATCGAACAGAGTGTATAAACAATAAATACCGACTTCACGATGAGAAGGGTTCTGACTGCTGCAAGCTTCATACAAAAATCCTAACAGAGCAGGCCACTTCTCCTCAGGCATATCAATACTGGCTACAGAAGAGATGACTTGAGCAATAGAATGACGAACCGCTTCCCTATTACAATGACAATGAAAGTTGTGGTACTTCTTGAATATCAACAGTCAAATTGACAATCCCTCAGGTTGTCTATATGAGAAAAGAGTGTCTAGTTTGCTTTGCTTACTTTTCTTCGCTAAGAGCAATATTCAAAAGTGAGCCACGAATATTGACCTTAACAGATTCTTGAATTTGAGACCACCACTTTGTAATTCTCTTACGAAGTTCAACAGCAGCCAACTGTCTAACTTGAAAGTGAGGAGAACGACTGATAATTTCGACTAAAGCAGGAACACAATCTGCAGAAGCATAATATTGTGTGTTTAAAGCAGAAGTGGCCTATATCCCATGGGAAAAGAAAATAATTTGAAAAGCGCGTAAGCAGCTTATCGTTGAGAAAGTGGAAAAATGAGAGTTCAACGCCTTACGTTTCTGATTGTCTCTGAATCTTGTGCCTGGGCTAGCTTTGTTAAAAGATCATCGAGACCTGCAAGAAATTGCTAGAAATGACAAAAAATCACAAAAACAAAAACGAAGAGTTTAGTGTATATGAATGTAGTCAGAGATGACCATTATCTAGTCTAATGGTTTACCTCCATTCTTGGTCGGTTAAGTAGTAGTGAAGAGTTAAAGAAGGTAAATGAAAAGAGTTTATTCAAAAAAATTTTCTTTTTTTTTTTTTCCTTGCTCACTTTCGTTTTAGGAATTAAGAAAATTCAGGTAAAGTGACTGAAAACAAAATCCCGTCGATCTGCAGAAACCCCAGCCGCGTCGCGTTGTTTATTCTTGCGGAAAATAGGTGGCCGTAAAATCACCCGTTATCAAAAAGCTTCTATAAAGCATTTTACTCCATGCTGCAAAGTAAGTCATGATGACAGTTACGCTAAAGTTTAAACAACCAATAAAAGCATGGACCTTCTGATTATATCCTAACTGAGCTTTGATGATTACTGTTGCTTGCTTTTATATCTGTCGGCAGCCCGAGAAGATCAACGTCAAAATGAACAACGCAAAAGCAAAACATTTGATAAAAGAGATAACAACTGTTGAAGATACAGCAAGCCCTTTGTTACTTTTGACTGCTTAAGGGGAATTTTTTTTTAATAGGATAGATTCAGTATTGGTAGTCATCTGCTTTATTAAATACGTTCGCTATTTACACATGCAATTTTTTGGATGGGGAGCTTGGTTCAGTAGATTCACCGTTTTCCTCCTCTCTTTCTCTTTTTTCGCCTGTTGACACCTCGTTTATCGTTTCCGATACTGTAGCTGTCGGTGTGGAAGATTCAGTAGCCTCATCTTTGACTCCAGTCATTGTGTTGGTAGCAGTTGTGGTTGTTGACTGCTCACCCTCTTCTTCATTTAACTCGCCCTCTTCATGTTCTGTATTTTCTACATTGGAAGAAACAACTGGAGAAGCAACTGAAGTTTCGGTAGGTTCCTCTGATAGCGAGGGATCGGGGCCCGGTGTTGGAACAGGCGCTGTCTCTTGTTCAGGTGCTGTTGTTGTAGTATTGTCCGTCGGCGTTGTTTTTTGTTCACGTTGTGTTTCTTCCTCAACCGAGGTAGCTACAGCGCTTTGTCCAGTGCTAGGTTCCGGCTCTGAGGCGGACATATCAGCTTCAACTGCAGCAGAAGTAGCTGCTTCTTCGGTTGCATTCACTGGTGCGGTTGATACGCTAGGTTCGGTTGCGGATGTAGCCACGGATTCTGTAACGGCCAATGGAGAAGGTGCGGCCACAGGCTCAGGTGTAGCGGCTGCTTCCAAAGTAGGGGTGGAGACAGTAGCCTCAGGCATGGGAGAAGCTGCTCCAACCAAGGGGGATGATATACCAGCAATCGTAGGAGTGGCTGTAGCTTTCTGAGCTTTCAACGCTTCCAACTCTTTCTGCAGACGTGTAGCCCTATTTTGTGCCATGGAAGTCTGAGCTTTCAAACGAGTCAGTTCAACTGAATTCTCATTGATGGTTTTGCGTGCTTCTGATAGTTCCTTTTCGACCTCAGCAAGTCGTTCGGAAGAGGCACTAGTGTCCACCTTGGCTGTTTCCATCTCCTTGATACTTTCATTCAACTTTTTATTCTCTACTTGCAGGTGGCGTGCTCTCTGTAAAAGCATGCCATATCTTCGTTGCAGTTCACTATGTTCATCTGTCTTCTTCTTGAGTTCGGCTTCAATGGTGCCCTTTTCTTCTTCTAACTTTTTCTTTTGTTCTTCAAAGGCCTTTTCATTTGTATTAGAAGCTTCAGCTAACTTTTCCTTCACCTCGTTCAGTTGTTTCTCGTTCGATTCCATTTTCTTCTTGTATTCCATGGCTAAGCGGCCTCTTTCATTAATCTTTGTGATCAACGTTGATTTCTCTGTCTTGAAGTGTTCCAACTCGGTCTTCTTAGCCTCGGCTTCAGCCTTTGCGGCTTCCAATTCAGTATGGATGGACTCCAGTTGAGATTTGAGGCTTTCGGCTTCGGATTTCAGTTTTTCCAACTCGGCGGGGTCCACTCTATTGTATTTCTGAAGCAATTTAGCAGAACGAGCGGTCCACTCATCCTGGCTCTTGGCATAAACTGCAATTTGTTGATTGGCATGTTCCAGTTGACTTTCTAAGGTAGAGATCTTAAGCTGAAGGGGTTCTAATTGCGAATCCAGGTGTGACTTTTCGATAGCAATGGCTTCCTTTTGCTCTCTCAGCTTTTTATTTTCCAAAATGAGTTTTTCATTTTGGAATTTGATGGCCTCCACCTGTAATTTTTCTTTGTTCTCTTCGATGTAATTCTTGTCCTTCAGTTGGGTATTCTCATTCATGAGACGAGCCACATCAGCGTGTAAAGTGGTGACTGTATGCTGGATGGACGCTAACTCGTCTTGAGCGTGTCGTAATTGAGTACTAGCACGTTGATAATTGATTTCTGAAGCATCTCTTTCAATGCGAAGAGCGCTATTGGCTTCTGAGAGTTGTGCAATGATATCTTCTGTGGTACGGTTGAACTCTTCACTCTCTGTGCTGTTTTCTTTATTGCTGGAAGATTCCCAAGCGGCATACTTGGCGACCAGCTCCTTGACAGAATCCGTCAGCTGCTGTCTTTCTTTCTCGAGATCAGCAAACTTGGCTTTCAAGCACTCTTCTGCTTCCGTCTTTTCGTTGTTGACACGTTCAAGTTCGCTCTTCAAGCGCGTCTCCACGTCCATGGCTGCCTCGATAGCTGTCTTGTTCTGACTGATTTCCGCTGTAAGATTCGTGATATCCGCACGTAAATGATTGATGGTTTCACGTTGTTCTTCAGCGTTCTTCAATTCTTCCTCCAATTTGGATTTCACTTGCGTCAAAGCTGTATTGTCCTCTTCTACGGTTTGTTTCAAGGTGGCAATTTCTGAATCCTTGTCAGAAATCTCCTTGTTGAGTTGATCCACCTTTTCTTCCAGGGTTTTCTTCTCTGTCACCAGTTCATTTTGAGCGGCCAAAGACTTTTCATGCAGAGACTTGTAGTTGTCAATGTTGGCTTGCGCTTCCTTTTGCACCTTCAAGGCAGCCTCTGTCTTTTCTTCCAAATCTTTGAGGAGACGATCAATGGTAGACTGCGTTTGTTGGACAAACTGTTCATGCTCCGCTGTCAGTTCATCCGCCTTCTTGTTGGCCTCGTTCAGGGACTGGTGATAGTTCTCCATATCTGTTTCTAATTGACGGACACGATCCTGGGCTTGAGCGAGGAGACGGAGATGCTCGTTGCAAGCGTTCGCGCTATCGCTGGCAGAAGCGGAGGAAGCATCCACTCCATTGGGAGATGCGGTCGTCGACGTACCGTCAGCCGAGGCGTGAAGGGCTTCCTTGAGCTGTTCTTCAGCTGCTGCTAACTTGGTCTGAGCGATGATTCTTTGTTGGTTCACATCCGACAGCTTCTGTTCCATTTCGCTGACCTTGGTATGAAGGAACTGAATTTCGATTTGAGCCTTCTGATACTTTTCACGCATAGCGTTGGTATCAATGGATTTGTAGCCATCCAGCTGCTTTTCGGCGGCCGACAGCTTGTCCAACGTGTTTTGTAATTCACGTGTCAAGCGCTGGGATGTTTCTTGCGCTTCCTTGACGGCGTTTTCTTTGCTGGTCGACAGCGACTCTACTTGGTTCTTCAGGGAGGTCAACAGACCGAGCACTTCGTTGCTGCTTGTGTTCTCTTTGTTCATACGGTCCCTCAAGTCATTGTACGAATGAGTGATGGCCTCCAGACGAGCTTGATGACGTGCATTTTCCTCCTGAAGGGCTTCCAGCTTGGCCTTGGCCTCTTCTAATTGCTGCTTCGCATCATTGGCTTCCTCCTGCTTGAGACGTATCTCTTCAGAGAGTCGTTCATTTTCCGCAGTAGTTCTGCTTACGTTCTGTTTCCAGTCCAACTCTTGTTCTTTGTAGCGGGACACTTGTGCTGCTAAGGAGCGCTTCTCGTTACTGACGATCGCCAGCTTGCTGCGTGATTCGCTTTCCGAACGACGCACACGCTGAAGTTCTTCTTTGAGATGATGGGTGTCCTTTTCTGTCTCCTTTCTGTAAGCCTCAAAGGTCACTTCTATTTCCTTCAATTGCTGTTGCTGGGTTGCTTCCATCTGTTGGAAGCTAAGCACCGCATCCCCGCCTGCTGCTGCTGTTGTTCCTGCTCCTGCTGTACTACTGTTGATGAGCTTTCTGTAATTTTCACACTCTAATTTGGCTGTTTCGAGTTTCTTTTGTAAGTCTTGGTTCTTTTGTGACAGATCGACGGCGGTTTGTTCAGCATCGGAAAGTGTGGATTTCAGATCTTGGACCATGCTGATGTGAGCCTGCATATCGTTCAACGTCTTTTGATACTTTCTGTTTTCGATGATGAAGCGTTGATTTTGTTCTTGCAATTCCACGACGTTCTTAAAGACAAGTTGATCGAGGGGGAGCGTGGGGTCGACGATGGCACGCTGCAGATCAGCGGCTGTATCCTTCAAGCGCAAAGGAATCGGTTCATTACGGCGCTGTATTTCGCTCAAAAGGTATTGAAGTTGAACAGTGGTATCTTTGAGGGACATGGACAGTTCTTCCTGTTGCTTCTTGAATTTTTCGCATTCGAGATGGAGTTTATCTTTGCTCAGGAGAGCCTGATTCAGTTTTTCTTGGGTCGTGTCCAACGCATGCTTCAGACGTTGGTATTCAAGCTTGTATCGATTCAAGTCAACGGTGGCACTGCTGTAAAGCGTCTTGTGATCATGCACTTCACGTTCCAAGCGGTCGACCATGTCGTGCAAATCTCTGTTGGATTGAATCAATTCTTCGCGACGCTCACGGATATCCAAATAGTCTCTAAAGATATCCTCGATATTTTTACCGTCTTTTTTATAATCGTCCAGTAAGCTTGAGAAGGAGCTGTTGTTGTTGTTGCAAGTTCCGTTGGGTTTTTGGTTTTCTTGGTATTGTTGTTGTTGTTGTTGTTGTTGTTGTTGTAGAACACCTTCTGGTATATGAGCAAAAAAGTGCTTACTGTATTCTTTTTCCTTTTTCAATTCTGCTTTGAGTCCTTCTTGAGCGTCTTTCAATGCGTCCATTTCAAGTTGTAGTGTACGCTTCTCTTTCTCATGCGCTTCCGTCTTTTTTTGCAAAGAGAGGGTGTATTGATCATGAAGTCCCGACATTTTGTCGTAGCTGGATTGTAAGCTACCTAGTCTCGTTCGTAAATCCTCGGCCTCTTTTTTCGATTTGTCCAACTCGTCTTCAAGACGAGCAACGGATGCTCTCGCATGGCTTAATTCTTGCTGGGCATAATCGGATCGAATCGATAATGTATTTTTTTCTTTCAACAGGTCCTGGTATTTTCTATTGGCTTCATCGCGTTCTCTAGCCTAATATGCATTGTTTAGAAAGAGAATCGTTTGTATTAGCTCACTCATGCCATACAAATCGTTTCCTTTGTGTATTGGCTGATGGGTCATTTTTTACCCTATCCTGAAGTTCACGTTGACGAGTTCTTTCGAGTGTTTTCTTTTGATTTTCAAGAGAGGCAATTTTTTCTTTTGCCGTTGTCAATTGTTGTTTACAAGTATCGTTGGAAGCCTAACAGGGAACGAAAAAAAAAATAAAAAAAAATAGTGAGTGTCCACTCTGTCTGTGTGGATTTATCCCTGAGGGATGACTTACGGTTAAGGACGCCAGTTGCAAATTCATATTCTCAAGTTTGAGATCCTTGGTCAAGATAGCCTGACGCACTTCCAAAAATTCTTCCTGTGTCTTACAAAGTTCATCTAAAAGCGAGAATAGAATAAGAAGCTCGTTCAGCAATGAATGGCCAAGGCTGCGTTTACCTCTTTTTTCAATGAGTTTCTCTGCAGTGGCCTTGTTCAACAATCTTATACGTTGATCGCTTTCTTGCAATTCTTTGTATTTTTCTTCTAATGCTTTCTTTTCATTTTCAATACTGGTAATGTTGGATTGAAACCGATCCTTTTGACTGTTGGATTCGGAAAGTTGATGAGCTATTTGAAAAACAATAAGCCATTCATGTTCTTTTTCAAGCTGTGGTTTTTTTTTTTTTTTTTTGTTCGACTGTAATGGAAGACGAGTCCCCCGTTGGGTGGGTGACAGCCTCCACAAAAGAAAAAGAAAACATACTTAATGTAGAATTTTTTTCTGTTAGTTCTTTCACGGTTGTCTCCAACTCTAGGTTCTTTTTTTGCAACTCTTCAAAATCAAGAGCTATCAAGGTTTTCAGAAAAATACACATGCGCGTCAATGACTGGCCTCCATCTTTTTAAAGTGCTATCGTACTTTTACCTTGCTTTAAATGAACGGCATCAGAGTCTGTTGTAGACATGGTCGTTTTTTTTCAAGATGCTTTGTTAGCGAGACTTTAAACTAATATACAAGCTGGCTTTCACTTTTTCAGGGATATAAATATGTAGAATGATATAGGTTATTTTCAACAAGACGAAACGTTCATCAACAGAAAAAATAAAGAGAAACGGGGAAAAAAAAAAACAAAAAACAAAAAGTTACAAAAGGAATGAAAATTGAGCTGCCTTTGCGTTGCATTCCATGCTTTCCAGCGGTAAATTATGCTACGTTATGATTGGATAGAATCATAAACGAGGGCTTTCTAAAAGAGTGATATTTTTTATCAAATGCCCAAAATTTTCAAAGGCAAAAATAAGCCCTTTGATAGTGATGGCGCGTGCATGTATGAATTTATCTTTTTCTCTATTGTCAACACGTAGTCGTTTGTGTACGTCTCATTCTTCATACAGAGAGAGCCAATGCACATCACTCTTTTTGTAAAGAATGCACAAAGGATGATTTTGAATACGCATGGAGAGGGGACTCACTTTTTGTTTCTCGCTTAAGGCTGTAAAGAAAATGGATCCCTTTCCACCATCCGCGCGCTTCGTCACCATGAAAGGGTGAACAGTAAAAAAAAAAAAGACAGATATCCGGAAGGTTGTACGAAATGCGGAATGCGACTTTTCATGCACATCAACAAGCTTTAGGTGGAACAAACAAACGAACAGAACGTGCCTTTATTAAATCAAGATAAAACACACCTGGGCCATTTGGCGCATTCTGGCGCATTTCTATTTCTAAACGGGTAACGATGACCATGAGAGGGTGGATAAGAGAAAAGCAGTATTTCTCAAACCGTCCACATTTTTTATGAACCGCTCTAGCGTCATTGGGCCATGGAAAAATTTCTATGGCTCTTTTTTGTTCTTCTTCAGTCACGTTCGGTAGACAGAAAATTTTTTTTTTTTTATTTTGCCCCGTCAGAAAAAAATCTATATAAAGAGCGTTTCTTGAGTTTTCATAGTTTTTTTTTTTTTTCTTTTTTCTTTATACAATGCTTGCCATTTTTCTCTGAAAAAAAATGAACGTCATCGCACCGAGGCGTAGAGGATGTTTTCGTCCGATTAGGTCTACGTATGACTCTCAGATGGCTCAAGCTCGAAAAAGTGATTGTTCGAAGTATGGGCTGATGGTATAAACCTGGATCCTTGAGCGAGGCTTTCGGGCCAAGTTCGGTGACGGGGGGCTGTTAGCTCTCGAACTTTCTGGATGATATATTCCTAAGCCTAGGGTAGATACTATGTATCCATAACCTGAGGCATAACCATATCACCGCCAATTTTATATTACATGGTTTTTTTTACAATAGAAAATAAAAATGAAAAAAGTTCTTATCAAAGCAGTCCCCATTGTATGTATGTCCTGCCTTGTTTCCTCCAATGTGTGTCGTTTTCATGCTTTAAAAAAATTAAACAAAAATAAATCACCACACACATACGCACAGACAAAATGGGAGCCGTCTTAAGAGGAGGGGCTCTTTTCAGTTGATTTTTCTTTTTTTTCTTTTTCTAAGCGGTTTGCCCTCAAAAAAGTGTGTCCAAGATTTATTTTTTTCGTTTTTTGTTAGATGATTCGTATAAGGGATCTTGGCTACAGTTTGACTTCTCTAGACATATGAGGATTAAAACTAAAGAAGCTTCGAAAGTGCCTTGAAGAGAAAAAAAAAAAAAAAGAAAAGAAAAAAAGTTTTTTTTATAGGGTTTTCATTTGTTTTTTTGCCGTGTGACTCTTTGCTAGACTGCTGCTTTTTTTTTTTTTTTTTTTTTTTTCTGAACCCAAAAACCAAAGCCGTCAAAAGAGAGATTGGCCTTTCATTGATTGTAAAAAAAGAAAAAAAAAAAAAGTTTGACAATGACTGGCAGATTAACTCGGTCTCAACGAAGACAACTTGAACAAGAAACACACCAAAAGATCGATCTCGATGATCTTACGAGTTTGAGCCTAGAAGACATTGCCAGGGCAACTCCAACAATAGCAACAAAGACCCAGACGAAAACAACGGGGAAACGAGAAAGTAATAAAAGAAAGACAGCCAAGGAGACAGGCTCCTCGGCCGAAAGTTCAGCTGGACAGCAAGAAGAGGCGGAGGAGGATGCTGGTCTTACAGACGAAGCAATGACATGGGATGCCTCTCCATTGGAGAAGGAGCTGGCTGGAGACAGTAAAGATGCTGAAAGCGAACAAGAAAAAGAGAGTATTGAAACAGACAAAGAAGAAACAGTAAAGGACACAGCAGAACAGCCAACGGTGCAGAGTGATGCTGAGAGTACGTCGGATAGCAGTAGTGATTCTGAATCCGATGACGGTGATGACACAGCGGAGGACAAAGATGAGGATGAGGATGAGGATGAAGAAGAAGAAGAAGAAGAAGCAGAAGAAGAAGAAGACCTGGATGAATTACTCAACAAAGCGCAACAAGCCATGTTGGCCAAAAAGTCAGAAACCATTGACGTTGACAGCACACCCGATGATAATGGATTAGCCCACCTTGATACACGCCATCTCAAATTGGACGCCGGTCTTTCGACAAAAGACGAACTCTATATCAAAGCAGACAAAAATGCAGGTCGACCCAAACTGGTCCCTGAGGCCGTGGCTTTTGTGGATCCAAAGGAGAAAGCATCCAAAAAGGCTTCTGTGGTGGTGAAATCGACGAAAGACGACGAAACGTTCATGACCAAGAAGCAGCGTCAGGCCGAAAGAGAAAAGACAACAGGAAAAGCATGGTTCGATATGCCCAAAGCAGAAATCACCGAGGAAGTCAAGCGAGACCTTCAAGTATTGAAAATGCGTCACATTTTAGATCGTAAGAGACACTATAAAAAGATGGGAAAGCGATCCGATCCCAAGTATTTCCAGATTGGTACCATCGTTGAGGGACCCACAGAGTTTTATTCAGCCCGTTTGAACAAGAAGGAACGTAAACAGACGATTGTGGACGAGTTGTTAGCGAACGAAGAATCAAAGCAATATTACAAGCGTAAATACAGCGAAGTGCAAGAAAAGTCCAATAGCGGAGGCAAGAAGCATTTCAAGAAATTAAAGGCCAAAAGACAATGGGCTAAATAGATCTTTATCCGTGGACGATGACAACCCACTCCACAACCACAACCACGTAGCTATGTATATAAAACATTCATGATACCAACGTTTCTCATTCAATAATAAAAAAAAGCCAGTCTATTCTCTTGTCGTACAATCGTCATTTCTTTTTAAATGAAGCCTAACCCCGCCTTTTTTTTTTTTAAAAACAACAACTCCACTGTCACCGAATTCATCTTTCTTTTTTTTCCCTTGATGAAAGAAAAAACGAAAATGGCGTTGCAGGCTTTAAAACGGTTCTCCACTTGTGAAGTAAAGTATAAACATGTCATTTTGCCTATCCAACCCGATGTGTGTTGTCTGTTGACCGTCGTCTTTATGTCTAGATTGCCGATGCTATGATCAAGCTAGGTAAAGGTCCTTGGGCAGGATACATTCCTGATATTGAGTTGTGGTCACCTACTTATTGTGAAGGAGAGACACGTATCGTTGGACCTGCCTTTACCGTCAAGGTAAAAAGAACAAAAGTACGACTTTTGAGGTGGATGGAAAAGTGATAAAACATCTCTTTGTATTGTGTGTGTCATTTGTATAGATGGTAGAAAAGTCAGATACCGGAGCTCCAACCCCAACCGAACATTTTGTAAAGTGAATCCCTATTTTTTCAGGCACACACACACACACACACACACACACACATTACACTTGAGATGTTTTAACACGATGCATTTTTTGTTAGGCCGATGCAGCAGAAGAAGGCTCCATTCTATGTATTTCAGCACCCCCTCGTAAGTTTTTTTTTTTTTTTTTTTTTTGAGAAAAAAGAGAAAGCACAAGAAACAAAGGCTGATGCAATAGATGAGGATGACCTATAAAAAGACGTTAAAAATGCTGTCTGGGGAGGTTTAATGTCCGCTAGAGCCAAAGCCAAAGGATGTCTAGGCGTTGTGATTGATGGCCGAGTGCGTGATTTGAACGAGCACAGAGAAATGCAATTCCCGGTAAGAAAACACCCATGAGTTGTTGTGTATGGATGCCCGTGCATGGCATGGGGGGTCTTTCCCGCGCCCCTGCCCCTTTCTCACACATGGCCGTGGCTTTTGGCTTCCTTGCTCTTGATCCACTAGGTCTTTGCTCGTTCTCATTCCATTTTACCTCAAAATGCTTTTGTACGCCCGTCTGAGATACAAGTGCCCATCACTTTGTCTCGTGAATCGCCCGTGGTGGTTCATCCTGGAGATATCCTGGTGGCGGATGTGGATGGCGTGGTGTGCGTGCCTAGGGACATGATCGATGCGATTGTGGCCAATTGCGAGAAATACGTAGCTATTGACGACCAGTGCATGCAAGCACTCAAGGAAGGCAAAGGCGTCAAAGAAACTTTCAAGAAATACAGAGGAAATTAGAGAAACATTCTGTGTGTTTCATTGGTTTGAATTAAAAAAAAAAAAAAAAAGACGCGTCTAGATGTTGAATGTATGAATGAACCATTTTCACTTGAATAAAGGAAAAAGAAAAACCCTATTTTTTAATTTAATATTTAATTTATGAAAAGGTGGGTTTCACATGATGGATGGATGAATGGATTTGATTTATTGACTTTTTTTTTTTTTCGGTAAAGCGGGAAAGGTGATATAGAATAAACGCGTTTATTTAAAAGAGGGGAATCATTTTTTCAAGGTGGAGTGGTGGAGGGATATCGATCGTGTTAAAGAGGGTAGAAAGGCTGAGGTGTTCTCATGTCACGAACAGAATGACGTGGATGGTAGTGAAGTGAATGCTGAGGTTGAGATGGGTAATGTAATGACGGCAGTCTCCTTCTTTTGACCAAGATATCTGCTTCATTTGAAAAAGAACAAGAAGAGTCGATCCTACTGATACTACTGCTGTTGCTGGTCATAGGGTCATGAAAATGACGTGGATATAATGCTGAAGAAAATCGAACAGTGGTCATAGAGGGAGAACGAGCCGTTGTGTGCGAGGGCGGCGATAAGGATCGTCGTGGTGGTGGTGATGGTAGTGGTAACGAGGAGGTGTGTGGTTCTTTATCGTAAATGATATCAGCTGAGGAATTGAACCACTGGAAAGGAGAGGCGTTATCAGAAGAAGGTAAAGTGGAAGCCGTGGCAATGGGTGGATACGTATGACGCGAGGGGGGTGGTGGTGGTGTTCTAGGTCCATTGAAACAAGAGGGAACGGGACTTGTTGGACTCGAGGTCATCTCGGGTGAACTGGCTTCGGAAGACGTGGTGGATAAAGTCGATGTCAACGGAATGGGACTATGGCTGTTGTTGATATTACTGTTGTTGTTGTTGTTGTTGTTGCTACTGCTTAATTTACGCGATTTTCTGATGCCTTGCAACGTTCGATAACGATTGAAACAGGTGGCACGTTTACGATGCGGTAGTAAATCAGAGATTTGTCCCCATGTTAACCTTTGAGCCACGCCTTGACGGATAATGTTGTCTTCATATTCGGAAAATCGACTGCGTGGTTTGCCAATCATAGGATGGTCGAGGTGGGTAGGAGGATACGACAAAGATCTCACAGTATCCAAAGAGGGTGACGCTGCTGCTATGGTAGACGATAATGCGGGTGAAGAAATACATCTTGAGCGCTGGCATTGATGTTTTCTCGTAGGCATAGGAGTGACCATGGCAGGTGTGCTAGGCACAGGATTAAGCAAGTCGGATACTATAAAGGAGGGAAAAAAAAAAAAAAAAAAAATGTTGTCAGTCGAGGGACACGTTGCGCTTTTTTTTTTTTTCTCCCAATGATTGATAAGCTCTATGTCATACCCTTCATTTTGTATTATGTTTGTTGTTGTTGTTGTTGTTGTTGTAAAAAAGGCGTGTTTAAATGTGATTTGGCGGTTGCGGAATAGAAATTGTTAAAAAGAGCAGAAAAAAGGGGAAAAGAAAAGGAATTATTTTTTATATATTGTAAAGAGGGAAAAGGAAAAAAAAAAAAAAAAAGTAATTGTAATAAATTGGTATATGAAAAGGAATAAATATTATTTTATGAAGAATTCAAAAATGGGAAAAAAAATAGGACCATTCGCTTTTCAGAGTCCCTTTTTATACATGCAAAAAAACAAGGAAAAAAAAAAAAAAAAAAAAAAAAAAAGAAAAGGTTGATCTAGAAAAGGCAACAATAACAACAAAAATATAAAGTCTAAAATCAAAACAAGATACAGCGTCCTTAACAACAACAACAAAATAAAAATAAACCTTACTAAATATAAGCTGACTCTTTCTTTTTTTTTTTTTTTTTTTGTATGTATGCAAAAACCAGTTAACAACACATTCTGCAGATGGACTGCTATGGTCACTGTTTATTTTTCTAATCGAATGTCTATCCTGTCTCTCTTTTTGCTCTTTTCCGTTTATTATATCAATATAATAAAACAAATGTGTGATAATAGGACAATATATTGTAATTTTTATAGACTCGATTTTAAATATAGAAAAAAGAAAGTGGCGGTCGTTTTACTAGCGAATAAGCTTTTTTTATGCGGCTGTCTAAATTTACCCTTTTTTTCACGTTGTTGAAAATGCTGTCAAACCATGTGGAGATCAATTTTTGGCATTTTAAAAAAAGGACAGAAAAGTAAGTGAGTGAGTGAGTGATTGTGTATCTCAACGGGTCAAGGCCTCCTTTTTTCTTTTTCTTTTTTTTTATAATAAATAAGAGTGCTCTATCTTTTGTTTTTGATTGGAGGAAAAATGGCAAATGAAAAATGAGGTTCATTTATTTATTTTTTTTAGTGCATTCCTTTATGCTGTAGTGGAAGAACGGAGGGGAGTGTGTAAGCATATATAAATATAAACGTAGCGTGTGTGAGTGAGTGAGTGTGTGTGGGTGGGTGCGTCAATGGGTGGATGTAGGTGTGTGCCTTTTTTTATTTGTTTATTTTTAACTTGTTGTCCAGATACGGTTTGCTTGAGTTGTCTTGTTTTTTTTTGGTTTTTTTTTTTTTTTTTTTTGACTTACAGCTGTCAAAGTTCATATCCCGGCCTTTTTGCCGGGGAAAAACAAGTTCATCCATGCGTCTTTTTTTGTTGTCGAAATGAATCAAAGGTGTGTGTGTGTGTGTGTGTGTACGTGCGTGGGTGCTAATGTGTGAGTGAGTGAGTGAGTTGCGTACCTGTAAATAGGAGTAAAGGAAAACGCGTAAATATCTTTTTTTTTTTTGGTTTTATGCACAAACAAATAAAAGAAAATTCACGTTTCTATGGTACAAGATGAAATGTTGTCAAGCTGTGCGCTATCATCTAACGTGAATGACTCTATGTATATGTTTTGTATTAATAGGCACACACATACACACACACACACACCCCTTTGATTGTTTATTGTGTGACTACCAAAAGTATACAATTCAATACAATCAATGACAAATTTAGAATTGTCGTCAATCCATACATTCTCTTGCATTTCATTTAACTTTAAAAAAAAAACAAAACATTAAAAAAACCATTGTCCTACAAACATTGCATTTGACAAAAATGTACAATGGCGTAAAAAAGCATAAACGTTACACCATGAGACATAGCCTTGACCTGACCTAAATAAGCGCCTTTACCTACCAAAAAAAAAAAAAAAAAAAAAAAAAAAAAAAACCATTCAGGTAGTGAGTGCGACAGGCACAGAAAGTACAGCAGCAGTAGTAGCATTGGAAAGTCATTTAGAAAAAAAAAAAAAAAAAGGTACATTACCCGCAGAACAAATTTAACCGTTTTCTTATGTAGGATATCCATGACAGCAAATGACACCCCCCCCCTTTTTTTTTTCTGCTTGAGGTTTGTTTTGTTTCATCCTCATCGTCATCGTCGTCGTTCATCAAAGTTTTCAATAGCACACAACAACTTCATTTACACTTGTTGCCAAACCACCTTGATGCTGTCATCCTTTTTATCTCTTTTCCGTCTAATCAATTGAATGATGTGTTGTGAAAGAACAGAGCTTATTCATACTCACGTAAGCAAAGGCTGAAAGCAATGGAACCTTTTTTTTTTATAACCTTCTTTCTCCGCTACCGTCATTACATAATAGAGAATGGAGAATAAGATAGATTGTTTGTAGGCAGTAGTGTAGTAGAACAACCATGTAACGTAAAGACTCATTTTGTTCAAAGGGAAACTTGGGGATGAAGGAAATCGAACGGAAAGAGAGAAAACATGTGACGGAGTGTCGAGGATTTATTTATTTTTCAATCATTCGTACTTGTTAGGATAGGGTTTCTTTCCATTGACATTGCTTCTGTATCGGAACATCAATAGGACATAAAAAAAGAGAGCCCAAAAGAACACGTCTCACAGCGCCAAAACGCAAATACACGAGGGCGATGAAGACGTATCTTTTTTTTGTTGTCAAAGGCTGCTATGGTAAATATTCGAGCGACGACCTGAGACTTACGCTCAACAGCCCCGTATCCATTGCCATTCCAATTTCCAATTTCCATGTTTCACCCTCCTCCATGACCCCAATGGGCAGGCACGGCGCGCAACATGGACATGTGAACCCAAATGGCTACTTGCACCACAACATGGCTCAGGGAACGGAGAGGACGGCACTGACCATGAACGAACAACCCAACATGGAGGGTTGCTGCTACTTGGTGTCGGACTTGGCTTCCCATCCAATGCTGAAAAATGAGGAACGGTGGGTTGTACCTGAAAATCTTGATGATCACTCATGTTGGGGGAGTGCGGGGGAAGATCTGTACACTCTAAAGTGTCCTTCGTGGGGCCAATGGACGTGGTTTTTTTTTAAAAAAAAACAATACCTATCCTCCATGGGTAGCCCTGTGTGACAACGTCAATGGGAAATGAACCCACCATGGAAAGAAAATCCCTTTGGGAAACCTACTCTTTTCTTTTTTCACATGGTTTTTGTTTACCCAGGAAAAAAGAATGCCAAGAGAATAGAACGCGTCGTCACGATGGGACAACCTTTCCTAATAAAACACTTTAGATCGTGGTAAGAATACATTTGAAGCGACGTGGTGGGGGGGGGGGCGGGTTTGCCATGGCAACATTTCGAAACGTACAAAAAGAAATTCGTCTGCTCTGGGGGGAGAAGGAGGAGGACAATAGAGAATTGTGTTAAGGAGGGTGCAACCTAGCACTTGTAGAGTGGAGGTTTTCCCTTTTTTCTTTCATTTCTCCCACTCATGCTCATAAAGAGTCGTTTGTTTTTGTCTATAAATTGACTTTTCATCCATTTGCTTTCATTTCGTTTCCTTCTTTTCGCCCCCGCCCTTCCTTTAAGCTTCTTTTCGTCCATCCCACCCGATTATCCACGCAATGAAGTTGAACAGTCTGACCCCATTTCTTACGACCTTGTTTGTTTTGATCGCTACTGTCGTGGGCCAAGCAGCCACCGGTGCCAATGCGCCTTTCTATCTCACCCATCCCATTCAAGGGAGTTCCTTGGCAGCTGGAGAATCGTAAGTGATACAAATAGGGTCTTTTGGCCATGAAAGAAGAGCACGGTTGACGCTGGTTTTTGTTGGTTTTTTTTAATGTTCTAGAGTCACTATCAGTAAGTTTGGGCCCATGCAGTCTATGAATGCATCGTTCATTTTCTTCTAAATAGCTTTGTGGTAGCTTGGATCAATGGTTTAGATACAAAAGCAACGGTGACTGTCATCACGGGTACTTCTGCTACGACGATGCTCCCCACGGATTACACTTTTACTATTGAAGGATCTGACGGTGAATATGAATGGAAGGTACAGTTCGTCACCTGTTGGAAAACGTGCTCCATCACCATAGAAGGAAAGGGTTGAACCTTAATTTTAATGCTTATTGTTTTCTGCTCGTTTTAGGTCCCTGCTGATCTTCCACAAAAGGCTACCTTTGCCTTTAAGATTGACTATACAAAAGACGGTGTTGCGTAAGTAAACCATCTCACGTATATGTGTGTGTGTGTGTGTGTGTGTGTGTGTGTGTGTGTGTGTGTGTGTGTACACACACGTAGACGCAGTTAGCTCTTCCAGAAAAAATAGCCAACATGTGATTCCATTTTTTTTTATTTTTTTTCCCTCTACAGTGGTACTACTTATTCGAGCGCCTTTACTGTCACTGGAAGCACGGGAGAGGTCGTCACTAAACCGTTTGATTCTGCCCTCCCTTCAGCTACGACAGCTTCTGCTACGACAGCTTCTGCTACTACGACAGCTTCAGCTACGATGCCTCCCACAGCGGTCCTTCCCGTACCTACGACGGCTGCTGCTGCTACTACTCTTCTTTCCTCTTCTGCATCTACACCTCTTCCTTCCGCGGTATCGGTGGCGAGCAGCATCAGTCAGAATACCCCTCGTGGTACAGTGTCTGCTTCTACCACGCCTATTCCCACTCTCAGTGCAGGTAGTCGCACCACCTCCATGACAGACTTCTTTGTGTGTGCCATGATGATGGTGATGGTGTCTGCTTTCATTTAGATAATTCTTTTTTATTTTTTAAAACCTCTTGTTCAACCCCAACACAAAAGAGATGTAGGGTCTTCATCCTACGAATGACAGTGATACAAAAAAAAAAACCCCATTGGCATTTTTATTTCTTTTCTCATCGGATCGTGGGGAGGGTGAGGGGGTATTTATTGTTTTAAAAAAGGCCGTCATTTCTAAAGAGATGCATATATTGGTAACTGGTGTGAGCAATGGTGAATTCATGACCACTCAGTCCTACTTGTTCAAAGTTGTATTCATATTCGCAGGATAATTGTGCTGAAGAGGGTACAATCGATGCGATAAACTCTTCCAATAACTGACGCGTCCTATTCGGCGTGGAACATGGATGATATTCAATCTATATTCAAAATAAAAAAAGTCCTATGAGTACGCGTTCCTTAAGAGAGAGTGTGTGTGTCCCATGGGTATGAATAAAGAGAACATTCATTACTTCTAATAGTAAGCCTTTGTAAGTCGATCCTAGTAAAATATTGGCTACTCTCAATGTAAAGTCGCCAATGTCATAACTGGTCCCTTCAATGGTCACGCTCTGTCTCAACTGCCATAGATTCTTTAATCGTAACAGAATCAGTTCCAGCTCCTTTTCTGCCTCAATCACCACACTGCCCTCCACCATACAATAGACGTGTTTGGGTTGTTGTGCTAAAGAGACCTGATACAGTAGTTTGCTCTCTTTGGTATACGCATGCGAGGAAGCGGGTTGTGATTTTAAGGACGGTGGTGGCTGTGATGACGATGCGGGTGTGGGTTGTGACGATGATGTTGTTGTTGTTGTTGTTGTATTTGTTGTTGTTGTTGTTGATGACGGTGTGGGTGGAGGTGCTTGCTGCTGTTGCATCCCTTGTGAGTTGATGTCTCGAAACACTTTAAAGGAAAGAGACCAAGGTCCTGTATTTTTGCCATGAAGCGTTTTCGTGACATGTTCAGCAATGTACGTAAAGTCACGCATTCCAGTCGCATTCTTCCATCGCACCAGACTAATCAATAGATGGTCTGTTAATTCAATTCACCCCTCTAAAAAGAAAGGAAATCAAAGGAAATCTTCCCCCATTTACCATGTAACACCCATAATGACGAAAAAGAAACGAAATTATCTTGGATACCAGCCAAAAAAAAAAAAAAAAAAAAAACCAGAAAAAAAGGATGCCAAAAATTCAAAAAAAAAAGGTCTTGGCCAATGAGATTCCCTTTCCCCGGAAATGGGTAAAAGAGAGAGATGGGAGAGCTCTCTTTCTGCCCCTTGTTTCTTTTTTTTTGCTTTTTATCCACTACTGATCATGGCCAACAAACTATCACCCGCAGGAAAAAGGTAATGTGATGAACTCCTATGCCCAACATGAAGCATCGCAATGGCGAGATGAGGAAAAAAAAAAAAAAAAAAAAAAAAAAGGCCAACCCATGCATTTCTCTTTGCAGATTAGCCACGATTATCGTGTCGGCCCCTTTTGTGGTTGCCACTTCATGGATATTATATAAGCGTCGTAAGTCAACGAAAAGCAAGCAGTTGGAAAGGTAGAAAACTCACTGTTTGTTTTTCTTCTAGTGGTGCTGGGTGAAGAACCAAGAAAAGCGGATGGTAGAGCAGTACGGCCTTTAGGTGTTCGCGAACTCCAAGAAAGAGAAAATAACAACAAAATATAAAAAAAAAAAAAAAAATGTGTAGTTATTATTCAACAAAAAAAAAGGGGAGCAAAAAATGCCCCCCTTTTTTTTTTTTATTTATTTATTCATTGAAAATCGATTTTACTAAAAATACAGTTTGGGATCAATTGATAAACGCTTTTTCTCGTCAATGGGGGGGAGAGGGAAAAAAAAAGAAAAGGCCTTATCTCCTGGAGTAGAGGCCCTTTAAAAAGAGAAATGTGTTATAAATAAAAAGGGGCGAGGAAAGAGAGAGAGAGAGAGAGTGGGGCCTTTACAACTTGGCATCCTTGCGGGCAGCGGTGGCGGTAATGTAACCGGAAGGATCGGCTTGAGGGTGGTAGACGTGCATGTTGGCACCCTTGTTGTCAATGTTGAACTTGCTCATGTCGACACCAACGTAGTGCTTGTTGGGCAAAGCATAGGAGACTTCAGCAACAGAGGGGAACTTGGCGAGAATTTGTTGTTGCATGAGGTAGAGAGTAGCTTGGACGGAAGCAGAGTCATCCTTGGCAAAGGTGTCGCAGGTGATTTGCTTGACACCAGCGTGGATGGCCTTGTAGTCAATGTCACGGAGAACAGCGGGGTTCTTGGAGACAAAGGTCCACTTGCAGTCAACAGAGGTAGAGAAGATACGGTCCCAAGTGGGTTCGAGGGTGGTGTATTCATCGACGTAGTAACCGTGGAAAGCGGAACCGGTGGTCTTGAGGACAAGGAGCTTGTCGAGACCAGAGGTGATGTGGACTTCGTTACCGGCACGGTAGTGCTTGACGCTGGTGGTTTGAATGTCTTCACCATCACGGACAAAGGAGTGAGGATGAGGCTTACCGTCAACAATCAAACGGGTCCACTTGTGCTTGACAATGTCAACGAAAGCGCCAGAGATGTGGGCGTATTGCTTGAGAACGTGAGTGGTGATTTCTTGAGCAAAGACTTCAATGTTGTCGACGTTTTGGCTGCGCTTGGCGAGGACGTTGACTGTGTTCTTGCAAGTATCTAGAAGGGGAAAAAAGAATAACAAGTGTAAGTCCCCCTTTGTCTTGTTGCTGTTGCTGTTGTTGTTGTTGCTGCTCAACTTACCAGTGGTGACAACGCAAGAGTTATCAGCCTTGGTGTAAGAGGTTTCAATATCACCTTCCAACAAGAGTCTGACCTGTTGAATGAATTAGTGATGAGTTTCCTGTGTCCCCCCCCTGGTTCAAAAAGACGGGCTGCTCTTAACTTACAGTGAGTTCGGTACAGTGTTGAATGTTTTCTTCTCTGTAGACTCTCAAGAGGCGGACGAGGTCCTTACCATAGCGAGCTTTCTTGAGGTAAACGTTTTCGTAGGCCATTGTTGTTAAAAGGTGATTGATTATTCAAATAAAGTTGATTTGATATAGAAAAGAAGAAAAAAAAAAAAATTGGGCATCCAACAGGGCCCTTTTTATATAGAATATTTTTAATGTGTGGGTCCACACATCAACGAGCCGAACTTTTTCATTTAGGAAATCCCCCAATTTAATTCGTTTAAGGAAAGATAGATAGTTCATTGGAAAATTGACGGGCCATTTCTCCCAGTGCGTCCGTGTACGACCACCCTCCATGAGGGCAAAAAAATGAAAAAAAAAAATAAAATAAAAATATACTGGTATATTTTGCAAAAAAAAAAAAACAAAAAAAAAAAAACAACCCAAATTCTAAAACGTGTACTACTATAAGAGGAATAGCTAATATAGAACTTCCCAAATCCTTTGACTGGTGAGCTCTCGTGTGAATTGAAGTTTTCAAAAATTAGGGTTTCCTCATTATCACAATTTGGATAATGAAGAAAGCCCTTCCAGCCTTACCAGAGCAAGTGGCGTGATATTTGGATAAACAAATAATGACTTTCCAACCCTCCAATGCACCGTATCTCTTTTTGAAGAGATCCCGTCTTTTTCGAACAAAAGCCTTTTTTTTTTTTTACCCTATTGATTCAACAATGAATCATGGGTTGGCTGTTGTTATCAACCAAGCCGTTTCTGCTGTCCACTTTTTTTTGTGGAATAGGCAAGTCTTTCTTTTTTTTTTATTTTTTTCTTTCTCTTTCTTCTTTCTTCTTTCCTGTAATAGACATGTCGTCATACCTTTTTTGAGCATGTCAAAAAAGAAAAATACCTAAATTGTGGGGTATTTTCTTTCCTGCATTTTGGTTCGTTTTTTCCCTTTATCAAACCAAAACTCCGGGCCTTTTTTTTTTTTTTTCTGCGCCCCCCTCGAATATCCCCAAATAGGGTAATAAAAGGAGAAGAGCAAAAAAATGAAAACGTGGTAATCTGAAGAATCGGTACTTTCGGAAAGGGGATATCATCAGTGTCTCTTGAAGCTCTCCACTTGAAGCAATGTAGATACGCTCACTGTGATTCCTGCCCCCAAGTCAATCCAACAACTATCTTTCAACAAGGGATCAGTACTATTCACGGCCATAGAGACAGAGGAGCAGGTCGGTCCATCGTTCCTGTTTGAAGTCTACGTGTGACAGATAAGCTCTATTGTTCAGATCGTCTACGGTGGTCTTGTAGTATATTCAAAATAAGGGAATCTGTTTTTTTGTTTTTTTATTCATGCAATTCTACAATGTAAACTCTCAACCTTTTTTTTTTTTTTTTCCCCTCGTGGCACACAAAACGCTGGGACGTCTATATTCAAAAATAACGTCTTGTAAAACAATAGCCTCTCCCTCTTTTTTTACGCGTCAACAAAGGTCACACTGCCTGAGCTTAGGGAAGGCTTACTTTAAGTCTACCGAGTACAAAAGAAATGACAAGTCGATAGGAATCGATAGGACGACACAGAGACGCATAGACACTTGTCCTTTTCGAGTCAAGCACCGTTCCTGAAAATACAAATTCTAATGATGATTATTTATTGTATTACATTTGATGAAAAAGGAAATAAAAAAATCATGAGATTTGCCAAGTCGTCCGTTTCCCAGTGAGATTTCTATCAACAATTCTTAAAATTTTCTGTGAATTCATGTTGGATGGAAAGAGGGCGTTTTTTTTTTTTTTTTTTTTTTTTTTTTTGCACGTTTTTTACTTTTCTCTTTCGAATCCATGGGATAATGAAAAAAGATCTTTCATGTATTGGGTATATTCAAATATACTATTTCGCGCTTACTAGGATAACCCTTTTTCTACTTTTTCTTTTTTCTTTATTTTATTTTTTTTCCACGAAACATACAAAGCCCATAGGGAGAAGGAGCCATAGGGATTAGAATAAAGTTTGAATGATAGCAAAACAGATACATCTCTGTCCATTAAACGTGTCCTTCTCTTTTCTTTTTTTTTTCTTTTACAATACAAACACACCTGAAGCTTACACAATGATAGAAAGGGGAGGATGAAACAATGTCTTTCTTTTCTTTTTATTAAAGGCAACTAGCGTTGAAAAAACAAGAGCAGGTATATTTTATACTACAACAGCAGCAGAGTGGGATGGAAGGCTGTCACCACTGTTGATGGGAGAGGGAGAAATCAAAAATAGTTGCCTGTCGGTGGGGGTTGATAATAGGCATGAGGAGGAGAAGGAGGATGTTGCCTATACGGATCTTGGTAGGGTGGATAGGAAGGGTAAGGCTGTTGTGATTCCATCGGAGAGGTAGTGATAGCATGCACATAGTCGTAGCCACTATCACGTTGCTTCATGGGCGGTGGTGACGTTCCTTGGGCTGTAGGGCTAGGGTCCAACATCCGTGTCGGGCTGGAGGAGTCGAGGGCTGTCCACGGTGAGTAGGCATCGGCGGCTGCCTGTTGCTGATGGTGACGTTGGCTCCTATCGTAATCGTACAGTTGAAGCGTGTCTCGGCTATGCGTCGAACCTGACTTTCTCTGATGCGTGCAGAGACGGAGGAGGAAACAGACAAGAGACAAGATCAAGCAAGCAAGACCCATCCCTGTCAAATAGATGGAGGGTCCCCATTGATGCGAGAGTCCTTCAATGCGTTGTTCCAACAGGTCAAGCCCCTTCCAGAAGGTGGCCATGATCAATGCAAGACCTGCTGCACCCGAGAAAAAGCCCAGTAAGGAACTGAAGGCGCCTATCCACGGTGTGAGGGTGTTTTGACGATATTGACGGAGAATGAGTGTACCTGTGTGCGTAAAGAGAGACAGCGAAAACAAAAAAGTAAGTCATCTAATGAGAAATTTTCTAATTATGATTTTTTTTTTACTTTTGGAAAAAAGGGGGAGGGGGAGGTGGAGAGAAGGGAAAGTGTGGCAGGGAGGGGGGACGTCACTTTACACACTAAAGCGATGACAGCAAAGATCAGGGCGGGTAGAATCAAGACGGCTGTTTGAAATATCTTTAGGTTGATACGGTCCAGTATATCTGTATATATCTTGATGGATGTTTCATCGTCCATATTCGCCCCACAAAGCTCTGCGAATTGTCGAGCATCTATGTTGTAAGACAATGTCTTTTTTGTGATTAGAAAAATAGACCTCCTCAAAAAACGTCATGGATCTTTCTCTTTTGAACCCCCCCCACTCCCTCGTCTCCCTCTTTACCGAATGAGTAACCAGGTGCTTTGGGTGTGCACGACACCAGTGTCTGAGCATCCTGCGTATTATTATACAGACACGAATCATAGATGCCATAGGTGATGTAGTGGTGGGTGACCGACTCGTTGACTTTAATCAAATAGATCTTTGGTAAAAAGCTCGAATCAAACGTTGTGCCCAGGTTGACCAGCAACAATAGCACAAACGCGCAAACGGTGGTGATGAGTGTAACCGTATAAAGCATTCCGTTGATCTATAGAAGGGTTCTGGGTTGCTGATAGATTGCTTTGGAGTCAATTTCAGAGAAAGGAAAAGGAAAGAAATACAGAGAGAGAGAGAGAGAGAGAGAGAGAGAGGATGTGGATGCTTGAAAGAATAAAGAAATAGAAAAAAAAAAGAGAGCATGTCTTTTTGTTAATTGCAATCATCATGAAATACAAACAGAATTTATTTATTTTTTATTTTTTTTTTTTGGATCCTATGAAGGCCCTTTTTTTTTTTCTCTTAGTCTGAGCTACTCAAAAGGTCCGTTAATACAGCCAACGTATATCACGTATTCTTTGTAGTTTTGCCTTTTGATGTTTCTTTTTTTCTTCTTTATCGTTGTGAATGGCATCTTTATCATTCATCCACAAGAGCTGATAAGAGCAGCTTTGGTAAAAACGTATTGACTATCATTCGTTAGAAAGAAAAAAAAGACTTTTTTCTACTTTATCTATTCACGGAGAGAGCCTTCTCCAACACGAATAGCTGATAAAACGACTCGACTAAAAAAGAGTAGTCACCTTCCCCCCGTTTTCATAGAATAGACATGTGCCAATTTCTGTGAACCCAAAAAATGAAAAATCTAAATTTGTTCCTTTCCGTTGCCCCGTTTGGTAAAAGAATTGCTTATTTTTGTTGTATTGCTATCTGTTGTTTCACCGAGTGGAAAGAGCCCTTGGATGAGCCCTTTTTCTTTCGCTTTTTTTACCCACGTGATCAATAAAGAAAAGCAGCATCAAGGGGTGGGGGACGCGAAAAAAGGGAGGCCCTCTTCTATCTGTTTGGCACATTATCATTCTACACGCCCCCCCCTTTACTGAATCACTTTAGAAAAGTGATCCTGTCATGGCTTGCCTTTTTTTTAATGATAGACAAAGTCACTTGTTTCTTCAATGGATTCTTTTTTCTGCAAGTTGGACTCTACTACTGCAGCAGCATGAATAGCTACCTACATGCATTCAGTTTTTCCCTTTTATTATGTACAAAAAAAAATAAAAAATAAAAAAAAAAATGGACGGGGCGGTGCTCATCTCATCTACCTATTTAATGGGCAGCGACGGCAGGCACAGGTTTCTTCTTACGAGGTGTGCCTCTGCCGTGATTGGGTGTCCAAGGACCCAAACTGTCATTGGCATAAAAGTCCATAGGGTATACGTCTTGCCACTCACTTTTCCTTAGACAGACAGAAGCTTCATAGGGCGTCAAAAGAGGCTTAGGGAACGCATAACCCCAATCGATGGAAAGACGAGGACAAGCAATTTGTATCCAACTAAGAAGGAGAAGGGTTTTTTTTCTTTAGTTTATCTTGCTTTTTTTTGTTGTCCCCCCCCCACCGTTTCTCCTACTCAAAATCACACTTACGCATCGACATCAGCAAACATTTCCAATTTACCGGGGAAAATCTCTGACAAAAGTACGTTGACACATTCTTTTCCTTGATCATGGATAGCCTTTTCCAGATACTGCATGATTTGAGGTTTACCCTGACGACCCAGCGTTCCTAAAATAAGACCAAATTTCTTGGCTTCACTCGCCTGGGCAATAGCGTGCTTACGCAGTGAATGCATCTCTTGGTGGTCGTATCTTTCACGCGTAAATGTCTTGCCGTAAGGATCATATCTAGCAAAAAAAAAAAAAAAGGGGGGGGGGCGTAGATGAGTCTTTCCCACTCGGTCGACCTCTGCTGGGGGCTTGATCACTTACAGGAAAGCGGGTAAATCAGGATTATGAATCATCATGGATTCCAAGTGGAAACGACCGTCACCAATACAAACGATATAATCCATATCTTTAATGATGGGCGATGTACATCCCAAGAGTTCTCCCGGTGAAAGAGGCTTGGATTGCGGGATGATGGTGGTGAAATCCTCGTCGATGAGCGGTTTGGCCGCTTGGAGAGCTGCTGCAAATTGGATCGTGCTGACGAGGACGATGCGCGAGCCCTTTTCAAAATTCTTTTTGACCGTCGCGACAAAGTGCTGTGTGTCAATACCAATGTCGACAAAGACGTACAGCGTTTCAATCGTTGTGATATCGACAGGCACCAAGCAACTGTGGCCGTAATGCACGAGGAAATCGCAGCCAAGCGCTCTTGCTGTGTAATCATCAATACAACACGCACCGTACGTCACATCTCCCATAATCAATGTTTCCGTGTTGCAAAATCTAAAATAATCAAGGAATCGTCAATCGAAGGCTATTCCGTCGCCGCGTGCGAGAAACCTCTCCCCACCCCCCTTTTCATTTCTGTATTTACACTTCAAGAATATCCGAAATCAAACAGGCAAACATCAAAAGACCCTCAGGCAATTGAAGAGCGACTAAATCATCATCATCAAGATGAGAAACAGACGCTGTTAGCATCTGTGTGTGTTTTTCAAAGTTTTTGTGTATTTGTCTGCCTCATCTACCTTTCTTGGCGCCTGATTTGCGAACTCTCCACACTGTTTTATGGATTTCAAAATTATAGTTGGAAGGAAACTATCCCCATTCCAAAACGACGTGGATTAATAATCTGTACAAGAAAAAAAAAAAAAAAAAAAAAAAAAAAAAACTTCGACGTTCTGCACGCAACGCCTTCTCTTTGTTTTTTCTACTCACACTCTCCACAGCTTTATTCAAAAGAGGATCATTCAGGATCTCATCTGGAATCTGATTAGCCACTCGGCTGGTTCTGCTCCTTGGAGCTCCTAAAAAATCACGTTCCGTTCGAAAAAAAGATTAGCTGGAGGAAGAAGCTCAACCCATGGTTTTTCTCTAGAAATTCATTACGGGCAAAACCCACGGCAGCCTCCTCAATCGATCCTTCACCCGTGGGTGCTTTGCCGGCTTGTTGAGCTCTGCCAACAAAACGCTTTCTTGGACGCTTGGGCTTGGCTGCTGTTGCTGTTGTTGTCGCTGATGTGGATGCTCCTGCTGTTTCTGTAGTTTCAGGTATCGGCGTAGAGGCCTTTGAATCCTCGTCAGACCTAACATAAAGTTCTTCTTCTTGATCCATGTTGGAAAAAATATCTTTAATTTTTGCGTGGAGGTGAAGAGAAAAAGTGGTTTGAAACAAAATATGCAGAAAAAGTAAATGTCAAAATGCTTTTTTTTTCTTTTTTTTTTTTTTTTTTTTTCAATGGCAGCAAAAAAAAAAGCGTAACTTTGCACCTTGCGCGCGCATTTTCAAACTCCCAAGCCACCACCCATCAAAATCCAATTTATGCCGATCTCTGGGAACAATGAGAAAATTTCCAATCCCGAGTTACTGTCGAGCATCTTTTTTAGATCTTGAAGGGGGTGGGGGATCATCCAGTCTTAAAGAGCCATAAGCGGCTCGATGTTTCGGTGACACTGTAGAAAGGGCAACTAGGGAACTGCTCAAGTGATCAGCAGTCAATAGGTGCTTCTCAGGAAAGCTGAAAAGTATAAAGTCATCAAAAGCAAACGCTAACTTACCGTTACTCAACTGAAGAGCGAAAGGAGCTGTCAACAAATACATATCTATGTATTGATCCACGCTCCCTCTCTTGACCTAGAGAACTATGTGCTTTCAATACTACACTTGACAAATCACTCTTCCGTTGCCATCCATAATCGACGAGTGTGTGCGTTAAAATTCAAAAAGTATTGGATACTAAGTGTAAAGTTTTCTGGCAGATCCCCGTCTAAAAGCAAAGTGTTTCATGTGTTGAAGAAAGTGTGACAGAATGGAGAGGGAGTAGGATTTTCTGAGAGTCAAAAAAGAAAGTGCCATCGTCCATCGACCCTCTATCAACACTGGAAAAAAGAAAGAATATAAATAGAGGACGGTTTCAACGCTCATTTTTCCTTTTTCCCTTTCTACTCTCTTTTCAAAGCATCTATCTTACTCTTATCACACTTAGCTAAACCCTCCATCATTTTTACACATCCTTCTTTAAAAAAGTTCATAAACCAACGAAATAGTTAACTAAAAAGTCATTTCAAATATCATCTTCAATGACAAAGAGTTTCATCTCAGTACATCTGGCAACAAAGGCTACTCTAGTACTTACAATACTCTGCCCATAGGATGTATTGGCATTCTCATCCGTAGGTAGAATACGCCGCATTTCCCGCAACTCATCCTAGCCTACACGTAACTTTTCAGAATCTAAAATGAAAACAGCTATCGTCGGGACACGTATCACTCTCCATTTGCACGGCTTCCCTTTACTCACCAAGAGAATAGCCCATCGAGAGGGTGAATACGTGTTTGACGATGGGCCTGTTACAAAAATTGGCAACGGCAATGATTCTGGAACGCATCTGGTACGCGCCAAGTAAACCGTTTCTTTCTTTACTGGATCCCGTTTCAGTCCTAAAAAGGGCGTTTTCTTTGTTATCTAGTGACTCCATGGCACCCTTCACTTGACCTGCAAAAAATCAGCCGTGGTGAAGTGAAGCCATGTTACGGAATGTTCTCGTGATGAAAGTAAAGTAACTCTTTATCCGTGTGAGAGTTACTTTCATCATCTCACTTTTACCAGTACATTGTTCAAGGCGCTCCTTCTGGGCGGATACTAAAGGCAGCCATAGCAAGGATGGTAAGCATCAAAGATGAAACAATAGGAAATAGGTTGGTTGATTTGCATGCTTACATTCTATTCTATAGGCTGCTAAAAATGAAAATGGCACAAGTCAAGTGATAAACACTTGAGTGATGTGTATTGATACTGCAAACCAACGAGCGCTCTTCACTTTTGACCACGAGAAGAACTGTTGAATTGCTCAAGTAAGTCGTATAGAATGACACTGTCATCGAAAGCACTTACTCACATACTACGTTGATATAGGGAGTAGAACAAGTTGACAAAGGGCGAACTCCATTCCATTTTCAGCAGTCATGCCAACCCTTCTTATCTTTCATGCCACTAGGGTCCATGCATACTATGAGGCATTTTCATCCGGAAATGTTGTGCTGTATCACGTGCATACATATGCTGTTATGTAGAATACTTCCTGTTGAAGAGATACTGTCGATCTCACTAGATTTGTTCCGGTTGGAAACCATTACATGCTCTTAAAATTTTTCAATGAATCCTTTTGTTCAACATCAACACTTTTTCTCCCTCGTTTTTTTTCCCATTCGAATACGAACATAGGACAAGGCAAAGAAGAAGAAGAAGAAAGGAAAGAAAGTCAAACAACAAGCAGCCGCAATGAGCCCATGGAAATACACTTTCATCATTTACTTCATCCCATTGAATGATAGTTATGGGTGCTAAAAGTGCCCAAAAAGTGGAGGCCTGAAAAAGTACTCGGAATCCCCTAGAAGAGTGCCATTGATTTATGTTGGGTGCTGGAATGTTTGGCAAAAGATGTCGTATTGTCGGTAAACTGTTGGCAACTCTGAAGAAACGTAAAGCTGAAGGTCAGGGGGATTGTCGTCACCATCGATGAATTTGAAACCTCTCAAACATGCAGCCTCTGTTTCTATGATAATCTGCGTTGACACTTCTGGATCCAAGGGTACCGCCGTTCTTTCACTGCAAGCAACTGTCTGAAGCTACGGCAGAGAGACATAAATGCCACTATCCCTAGGATGACATGAACTGAAGCAGTTTGTCGAAAGTCGGGAAAAACCATTGTGTTCAAGCCGAAGGAATTGGCATTGCCGTAATAAACACGTTTTCTTTTTTTTTTTTTTTCTTTTTAACGATCCAGAATAGGACAGGTAATAAAGAGGACGGTTCTCATTTGTTTCGCCCTACTGACATGCTTCCGAATGTACAAACATTTTTATTGGACGGTGAAACAATTGCCATCTAAAAACAATGGTAATTCGTCTAAAATGATAAAAGTTGCATTTAAGATTACCCTACTTGTCTAAAAAGACAGTTCTATTGTAAAAGAAAGCCTATTTCATCATAACAAATCCACCCTAACTAGCCGGACAAGTACGTCGCTTCTGGAAGAATTGTATACAGTCCCTTTTTGGAAAGGAAGAGGGGCGGCATGTGAATTTGGGTCGGATGAAAAAGCAAAACACTTTTATTCGTACTAAAACAAAATGACCGCTTGTCATGTTGTTCCTATGGATAGATGAAATACAGTGTTTTAGCTTCCACTTTATACTTTATACAAATTTTATTGGACAATATCCATATTTAATTTAGATAATTTTGTATTACTTTAGGATGAAATGGTATTACATTCTTGGACGATTTATTGAATAAATAATTGGAGACATTATTTTGAAGGTCAGTGGACATTTTTCAATTGAGAGTGGCATTACGTTAAAGTACTACGAGACTTATTGAGTATTTTAGTGTGACACAGGTCTTATGAGCAATAGATACAGGGTTGTGGTTTACGAGACTTTATTTATGGACCCTATGAATTGAACTACGCGTTAAACTGATCCCAGGCACGTTCTTCCGCCACGTACATAACAATTGTTGTTGTCAATCGTAATAAACAATAAATATTGTCAAACTCGAAGCATTTACAGAAAGTTGCCTTTCGTTTGATTTTCATCTTCTCTTCTTATTCTTCTTTCTTACTTTCTTTCTTCATACTGATAGCTACTACTCACCATGTACAAAGCCAAAATCTTGCAAAAAATCAAATCGGTGGCAGAAGCCCATAGGAATAAAGTCAAAAACGAGTCCTTCCGTAAGTAATACATGATCACGCTGCCACAAGTAAGTTATAGTGGTAATCCTCAGATTATATTTTATATGACTAGTAAGCATCGAGTGCAAGGATTGCAAAACACGCGGACATTTCAACAAGGCATACCATGAATGCAAGTTTTACAAAGCAGTTTCTGCGGCTGATGGTAAGTATCATGCTCTCACTGCAAGACAAGTTTATGTTTGTTTAACGGAAATTTAGTTGGAAGTAGCGGCAAGAAACGTAAGCAATCAGCTACAATCAAGGAAGAAAAGAAGCAAGCAAAGAGAAAGAAGAAGCAAACAACTGGAGATATCAAGTGCATCAGTTGTGACTTACTGGGTCATTCTACTTCTCGTTCCCTCGAATGGAAAAGTTGCCAAAGGTTATACAGCCCAACTGGAACAATTCTGCAAAGTCTTCAACTTCAAAAAGTTTGGCTTTAAGAGGTAAAACTATAGAAGAACTTCTTCAGCAAAAATTATCCCTAATAGTAAACACACCCCTATTTTTGCTTCTGTCATAGTTTAACCGCTTTGAAGGAAAGTTCTGATGTAATGTTTCGAAACATGGTTAGGTCGGACGGTTTTACTGTAGACTTTTTGTTCAGCCGCAAAAAGAAAACAAAAGAAGACATGATCATTCATAATCACACCTTGACTTTGGAAGATTTTTCTTATGACAAAGTACAAGACAATTACAGACCCGCTTTCCTTGATCCAGGGCGAAGATCTGTCTTCACAGCGGCCATCGGACTAGACCGTAACAAACATCAAGTACGCAGCTGCTCTACCAAGGAATAGTATCATATGACCGGAAGTACCAGATACGCTGCAAAGCTGGAAAAGAAGAAAGCAGGCACACTTAAAATGATCGAAAGTGGCATATCAACCGCCAAAAATTCTATTATCGAACAACATGATCGTCATGTACAATATATGTTGCAGCACTTCGAAGCCTTGTCTTCTTTTTACGACGAGAGAACTGCTAAAGACAGATTTCGTTTATACCAGGGTCAAGAGCGTACTGCCAACAACATGGTCAATTTGCTTATTAATGGAACCACAAAGTACAATAAGCAATTGAGGTTGAAGAAGAAGAAAGATCAAAGCAAGTGACCAAAGAAGAATACCGACAGAATGGCCTTTTGTAAACGTTAAAAGAAGAAGAAGAAGAAGCAAAAGGTTCCAGAAGAGAGGGAAGAAGCAGATGCGAGAGAAGTAAGCAATGTTCTCGCTAAGAAAGATAGGTAAGGTTTTTAAATGATAAGCAATTCATCCACTATTCGCAGAAATATTGATAGAACTCATGCTTTCTACAGCAATTCCCTTAAGAACAAGTGGAAGCCTGAACCCTTTAATGTAGGCGACACTAAAAAGATCCCTTTGATTGTAGTTGGTAATGGCATGTTCGGGAAGAGTGCAGTGTCCATCAAGGGTCATAAGACTGGTGTCGTGGGAGTTCTTTGGCGTGTCTTGAAGCGAAGAGAGGCTGCTGGCGATTTACTGACGATAACAATGGATGAATACAAAACCTCTCGAATATCCAATAATTGTCGTTCCAACAATCTTGAAGCATTGAAGACAGTTCCCGGCCAAAGTATCCTTGCCTGCAAAACCTGTTCGATACTTTGGAACCGCGACGTCAACGCTGCTAAAAACATGTTGGCAATTAGCGTTTCGTTCTGGAAGTCAACGGGAAGACCTGCGGAGTTTTCTAGAAAACCAAAATCACCTGCAACAACCACTTAACACCATCCTCTCATCGCCAGCACGAAGCTGGTTTGATTTTTACAGGTAAGCGTCTCAATTTTGTGTAGTTTGATCTTGAAACTATAACTTAATGATCTCAAAAATTTACTTTTTTCGTCTAGTTATATTGTGGCTTCGTCTAAACCCAAAGCCAAAAAACTGTAGATAAATTTTGTTGACGTCAAGTCTATTTACCACCCAATCATTCCAGCTCTAAGTACCGGAATAAGTTGGTTCATAACTGTATTTGTCTTTTTTTTTTCCTCTTTTTTAATTTCAGAACCATTTCAATTCAGGTACGCACAAAGACTATTTTTAAATAAATGTAGGTTACATTTCATGACAAAAAAGAAAAAAAGAAAATAAAAATTAGCCGCTCCTCTTTCAACATTTTGATATTTGTCAGAATGTGTTTTAGTAAACCAGTAAATCACAAGTAAGGCTTATAAAGGATTCTGTTGGATGCATTATTCATGACTGTTTTTCAAGAACCGCTTATGGGAAATTAAAAAAGAGCACATCAAATAAATCTTATGAATCCCACAAGTCCCCCCTCACCTGGGGTTAATACCCAAATGAATTGCAACAAATGCAAAAAAAATAAAAATAAAAATAAAAAAAAACCAGGAAAAACGGAAACTCTAGGCAAGCAACAACATGTCCTTGACTGTATGTATTCCAAGATGAAAGGGAGGATAGATCTCCAACACGTGACAGAGACTCTTCTATGCAAACAAGAGATCTTGATTCGATGCCATCTGATGCTATGATAATGTCAGTGCTGTCTTCTATTCCACAAACGACCAACCGAAATATCTTTCCCGATCAATTCAAATGAAACCTGGCAAAAGACTTAAAGTCCGCTCTATATACGCCTAAAATTTGAATCCACAGATTTGGTAGGGCGAAAAGGTAAATTTTGTCACTATCTTTTTTTTCCCTTTTTTCTTATTTCTTTGGTGCTCTCTTTTCTTATATTCACTTCCCTTGTAAAATAGAACGGGGAAAAAAAAAAACAAACCATTCACAATTACATAGAATGCGCCGTAATAAAACTGGCGTTGACCGTAAAGACCATCACCGACGGTCCTGGTTTAATGGATCCGGCTTATTCAACATGTTTTCTTCAGCGCCACCTTCACCCACCAACGATGCAGTAGTCTCTCCTTTCCATGATGCTCTCGCACGAAACAGGTCACAGTCACTCACGCCATTGACCTGCCTGACGCCTCTGGATACAGCAGCTGCAGCGGCGAAAAGACCCACTCCCTTGATCAAGTCGGCCAGTAGTAAGAAGATGTCCTTTTCCAGTCTTCTCACCAAAGCAACGGCTGCGACACGAAAGAAAAGCGCCAGCAGTAGTCACCACCGCTATGGCCCACACCACAGCAGCAGCAACAGCAGCAGCACAGACATGAAAAAAGGCGGAGCACACAGCAACAAGGCGTCTGCCTCGATCACGCCGGATTCTTTCTCGACCGCTTTCAACACGAACGGCGACGAGGACGAGGAGGATGACTCTTATATGTCCCCCACGACGAGGCGGAATAGTTTACGAAGCGTCAGGCGATCGTTGTCTGACAATAGCAGGGAAACGATGAGCGAATACCTGCTCTGCACCCAACCCAAAGATCAACCGTTTTCCGTCGAATTACTCGAATTGGACGAAGAAGAAGCCGATCGAATTCAATTAAAGAATGATTTGATGAAATTGGCATTCGAAGGCGAATTTTGCTTACCGTTCGACTACAAAGACTTGCCCAAAGGTAGGATTTTGGATGTGGGCTGCGGCCCTGGCGCCTGGTGCATCGATCTTTCTGCCCGATACCCAGGCATCGAGGTGATAGGCGTGGACAAAGACGACATGTTTCCCGCCAAACATAATCTACCGCGCAATTGCCAATTATTGGTATGTAACGTGCTGAGTGGATTGAGAGAATTCTCAGACGCTAGTTTCGATGTGATACATATACGATTTATGGTCTTGTCCTTCACTTTATCGCAATACCCTCAAGTCATCAAAGATTGCTGGCGGCTGCTTAAGCCGGGTGGTTATATTGAAATACTAGAAACAGACTTGACGATTCATTCACCTGGACCTATCACAAAAAGACTGAATGAAGAAAGTAAGTACCCGGTTTTGCTTTAGCTCGCTCTACATCCATATTTTTTGTGTTACGCGTTCATTTATTAACTTGAATCAATCAATCTCCTCCTGAACAGTGTTGGAAGTAGCGAAAAGTAGAGGACTAGATCCCGCACAACAAATAACGACCTTTGACAAAATGATACCCGAAAACGCCATTCAAACCGACGTCAAATATCGTTCGATACCTATAGGTATTTGGGGCGGTCGCATCGGTGTCCTTTGCAGAGATGATATGATCCATATGCTGACGAGATTCCAACCCGCTGTAAGGGCCTTTTATGGAAAGTCAAAACCAGAGTCCGTGGACATGTTTGACGAAGATATTAAACATGTTGTGCGGGAAATGGACCACTACAAAAGCTTTTGCAATTACTTTTTTTTCACAGCACAAAAACCTCATCTTTCACCAACTAACACTCCTCCAGCAAGCATCGTAAGCACTCCCGCGACTACACCTTCCTCATTTTCTTTGAAACGAAACCAACTAACGCAGCAGTCGTCTTTGACTTCCATTATGCATCCGAGAGCATTCTAAGGCTGTTGCTCTTCAAAAAAGCTGATGCTTAACCTTATCCTGTTTATTTATTTTCCCTTTTTTTTTTTCTTCTTCTTGAAACCCTAATCCTCACTTCGTACTACTACTGCTTAGTTTAATCCCTTTATTTTCTAATCCCTCTCTACATATATACTACTTTACTCGACTACTAAAAAGGTCGCTAATATTATCCCCTCCCTCGTTTCTGTAAGGATGGTTCATCCTAATAATACTAATGCATTGGAATAGGTTGATAGAGTAAAAAGTGCTCTTGAGACTCTCCTCTGTTGTGCATATCGCAAACCCATTTACTTGACTCATGACGGTTCTCAATAAATCATAATTCACTGTCTTGATCCTCTCTCTCTTTCTCTTTCTCTCCCCCCCCCTTTGTATCTGTATTTAGAATAAAGTAATGATAGCTTTTTAAAGATGACCAATTGTTTCAAGTATTATATTATGCAGTAGCGCTTATATAGAGGGTAGCTGTAGCTGCTGCTGCTGCAAATAAAAAGAATACAGAGCTAATACTAACTTTGAATAAGAGCTTTTATGCGATAATGTTGGGACTATTTTATATAGCAAAAAAAAAAAAGAAAAAGAATAAAGGATAAATGAATATCATTCATCCGTTCTTCCATATTCACACCTCATACATAACTGTACGTCATGTAGACTTCAGGCCGCAACTTATTCTTCAATTGTATCAATCATATTATTCATGAGAGCTTCTGTTTGAGCATTCAAATGGTCCATATGATTTTCAACATCGGCCACAGTATTTCTAATATCGTGAAGAGATGTCTTGATTCTTTGGCAATCACGTTCAATATTATCCTTGAAACCGGCCATCAATTGCGTTTCATGCTGCGCCTTCAAGCGGTTCAAAGCCTTGTATTCGGTCATGGCGTCTTTCAAGCCGTCCCAATCTCGACTAGGGTCTGTTGCTTGTAAATGGGTCAGGGCGCTTGATTGACTAGGACCGGCAAGAGCAGGAGGGACCGACTTTTCAGTAAACGTAAAAAGGCGAGTATTGCGGTTGTGCGCGGTTGGAACAGGGCGCGTGGCGGCATAATAATTGCGTTGATTGCACATGATACTTGAGCTGTTCAAGAACGAGGATTATTCGCAAAAAAAGAAAAGAAAAGAGAATGGCAAAGACTGGGGAAAGCGACATAACTTTATAGGCAATAGTTGAAAACATGAACTTCTGTGATATATATCCGTTATGAATCTCCTCTCGATCACATCGACAAAACTATTTATCAAAAAAAAAGTAGGCTTTTTCCCATTTTCGTACAGTCTCAAGTTCGTCTCAATATAAATGGTAGATAAAAAAGATATGGGTAAAAGTTCTATAACTAATGTAGATAGAATGTCTGTCCCTACAGACCTATTATCTGTTCCATCTGTTCACACATTACTTTAAATCTTGCGATAATGTCTCACCAAGATCAATTAGCGTCTACTATTTACGGTAGGTATCAAATAGCAAAGTCTATAGTTTTTCTTTCAATGACAAGTTCCCACCAAGCATGTGTCGTACCATTTTCACTAACGACAAGACGTTTCTCATCAGTCGTTGAGAAATCGAGCAGGGGAGAAGACGCATACTAGAGATGGTTACTCAAAGAGTCTACTAACCTTTGTTTTTATTTAGGTTGGCAACAAGATTTCTGCAGTAACAGTAGCAACGATTGCTGTATTATCGTTAAAACACCTCTTTTTGTCTCTGAGTAAAGTGAAGCAAACTGTAGACAAATAATTTTCAGTCAAAAGATCTTTAGAAAAAACTGTTTGCTTTTTCATTGTCTAAGTGAGCTGATGATACCTGCCGTCAAACATGATGCTGTGTTTGATCAAGAGGGTATTGTTTCATTCATACGGTTAATATAATACATGCCTTCACCGATCTTGTGAACACTACGGTCTGAATGGTACTCTATGTTTACTGATAGAGTAAGCCTACACGTAGGCTGTCTTCTGGGCATAGGATATAATCTGTTTGAACATAATGATCAAATGGACAAGCCGGAAAAGCAAAACTGATGTGCAACTATTATTCAAGCTGTAAAACCATTTTATTGTTTGGGAAATGGGCTGATGGCTATAGACAGGATAAGCAGACATTGATCGAAAGGGGTGCTGTTTGTGTCCAATAATAAAGAAAAGAGTGCTTGTAGACAAGCCATACCAAAAAAAGAAAGAGAGGATAATAGAGGCCAACTCAACAGTCAAAGCGTAACTTCTTTTAGAAATAGTTGAATGCTTTCAGCTTTCAAGCTTTTCACTTCAAATGGATGCAATTATACGCTTTTCCTAAAGTGAAAGAAGCCTTCTTATCTTATGCAGAAATTGTATAAATATGAATACATTCAAGAAGAAGGGGACGGTTCAGACATTCCTCTTTTTTTCCCCTTATCCTTCCCCAGATCGCTCGATTTGTAATTGTCTCGAGTGGCTATCCATGATTCCTCAAACCAATGCTAATCATGTTAAGCCAGTCATTGGAGATGCATTATACTGTTCTATGTCTGTCAATACAAACAATAGATTGGTCAACTACGTACTGAAAACTGTCTTTTTAATTTATCCTTAAAAGTCAGATGACGATAGCATTCAGTGAAAACGCCTGCTTAGTAGATGACTTACGAATATAGACTCAATCTATTGTGCCATCATGTTATACCGAACTTCTGATAATGTGCGTTGTAGCGTCCGGACGGATAATGGAAAAACTCTAAACTCTGTCTTGCAACTCCAACTGTATGTACATGAATTCTTTCACTCCCTAAAATCCATTCTACTACTACGTTTAGCTGCAGCATCAGTTTTTACCAATAGAATTGTCCCAATTTTTTGAAATCACAAAAAACGCTATAATTTTTTAACAAACAATATGTTTTTTACTACTAGAAATAGTTTAACCATATGCTCTTGGACCGATACCATTGGTTTCCTTTGAAGCATGGTCTACAATAGACAATCTTATATCCTGTACGATATCCCTTGCTTGCAATCGACACAGACGCACATGTTGCTATGTATTTATGAAGCGTCATTTGGAATCATTTTTCAAAACGAGAAAACGGTTTTCATGCAAGTAGGGATAAAAATGAAATATAATTGGACAATCAATTTTATGTTATAGTACTAACTCGAAGCAATCGTTTCTAAGCTTCTAGCCAGAAAGATAAATTTGGAAAAAAAAAAAGACGACCCAAACGATCAGCCCTTCCTTTTATTCTTTTCTATTTTTTATTTTTTTGTTCTTCTTACATCACTTCATTGACTCTTTTTCTATATATACACCGGTATAACACTTGTTATCAATTTAAATACCTCTACCATCGATTCGATCATAGATGCCTGGAGCGAATTCTAAAACCCCTTTACTGGGAAACAACAGTAGCGGTGGCAGCAACAAAAAGCCGCCTGTGAGTAGACCAAAATACCAGCGTAGACGATCCAGTTTTGAGGCCTCCACCTACAACAGTCAAGTAGTGGCCACATCCTATACAGCGACCAAGAGTCATGGAGAAGATACCAATATACCAGGATTACATCTCTTACAGCTATTGACGCTGACTGTTTGCATGGCTGGTGTACAATTTACATGTAAGTTTATATACAACGCATGCTTATAGGCTATATTGACATCATCTTTATTTCATCATCATGGATGTTTACGTTACTAAAAAATAAAAACTTTATATGATTTCAGGGACTGTTGAATTATCGTAAAGTGGCCATCCTTTATTTCACAATAAAACAAGAGTGATCTTTATTACTGTTGCTCATTTACCTCACCCTTATTTAGTTATGGAACGCCTTATTTGTTATCGTTAGATTTGTCAAAAGAGTTGACAGCCTTGGTCTGGCTAGCAGGGCCATTATCCGGTTTAATCGTGCAACCGGTAAGTAGTTTTTCGGGATTTCTTTTTTTATTAGGATAAGCGGGCAAACCGTAACCTCCTTTTTTAGATCAGTCGTTAAAAAGAGACCCTATCCGTCATCCTTCATCTAGGTCATTGGTGCTTTTAGTGATAAATGTACATCAAAGTTCGGAAAACGTAGACCTTTTATTGTAGTAGCAGGGATTTTAACATGCCTTTCTATGGTGGGTGTTGCTTATGCTAAAGAAATTGGCTACTGGTTTGCAGAGATATTTGCCACTTCATCAACGTCGATGGATCGTATGGAAAGTATAAAGCAAGCTGTAAGTATTCTTTTAGATACTCAAGGGGTGGGGGGGGGTGGGGAAACCGTTCCGCGGGCTGCCCTGAAGCAGAATGAACTATCTTGCATACTTGTATAGGGAGGACGGCAAAAGGATTTAAGCTGATCTTTACCACTTTCCCTTTTAGGCTCATACCAATGCTATTATCGTAGCTGTGGCTTCTTTTTACTTTTTAGACTTCACCTTGAATGCCGTCCAAGCCATTTGTCGTGCTCTTATTTTAGATATTCCGCCTTTATGGCAACAAGATATTGCAAATGCTTGGAGTGCTCGTATGAGTAACACGGCCATGGTCATTGGTTATTTTGTCGGCTTTGTCGATCTGGTCAAGTACTTGCCTTGGTTAGGTGATTCTCAGGTCAAGGTTTTCTGTATCGTCGCCATTGTCGTGTTCGTTTTGACATTAGGCATTACTTGTGTAACAACCAAGGAGAAAACCGTTGAAAGAAAAGACGACGCCGAACTCAATCAGTAAGTTCCCATGACTCTGTTTATTTGTATCAGAAAAAAAGTGCGTCATATTCATCATGATCTCCTCCCCCGTACGACAGGCCCTGGTATAGCACTTTTTATTACATTTGGAGAGCTTTCCGTTTTTTGCCTCGTCCTATTCAAACATTATGCAATACTCAGTTCTTTGCCTGGATGGGTTGGTTCCCCTTTTTATTCTACAGTACGCAATGGGTTTCCGATATTTATTTCGCCACGCATCCTCCTCGTACACCTGATGAACCTCTTGACTGGGCTCAAGGGACACGAGCAGGTTCTTTTGCCCTCTTGTGCTACTCTGTTGTGTCCGTCCTGGCGGGTTTAATCTTGCCTGCTATTGTGTCCTCCAAATGGGCCATCCACAGACGCTGGATGAACTTGTTGAACATTTACACTTTGTCACACTTGACAGTTGCCTTTGCGCTCATCTCGTCCTTGTTTGTAGAGTCAGTAGCAGCCGCCACTGTGGTACTGGCCATTATGGGTGTTCCATGGGCTATCGTACTTTGGATCCCCTTCTCGTTAGTAGGAGAGTTTGTCAGTTACGAAGATGAAAAGCGAAACATGGCAGCGGTGGGTCACCACGGCGCTATCCAACAGTCGTCTTCACATCATCACTCAACACCTCACGAAGAAGAGTCACAGCAAAATAATGATGAGTTTGATGCAGGCATGATTCTAGGCGTTCATAATATGTATATCGTCTTCCCTCAGTTCGCCGTCGCCATTATCTCCTCCTTCATTTTTGCTGCTGCCGACGCTATCAAGGACGGAAACAATAGAAGAGGTGGAAATATGTCCAGTGTGACGCCTGTATTGATCTTTGGTGGTTTGATGGCTATTGTAGCAGCTGCTCTAAGTAGATTCATCGTAAGAGTAAGCGGCCCTTCTTCTTCTCATGGGGTTGCAAAATAAGAACAACGACTACATAACTACCCCATCCCTTCTTTATCTTTATATATACCAAGAAACATCAATAAACGGGATTTTTGTGGATCATGTTGGTTTGTCCTTTTCGTCGAGTTTGATTGGGAGAAATAGAACAAAAATATCTGAATTTCATATGTTTGAAGTTCATATGCCCCCCATTTTTTCGGTTCCTTTCTATCTCCTTTTTGTTTTTTTCATTCCCTTTTTTCTTTTGCACTTTATCACTGGACGGGGGGTTTTTTTTTGGTATAGCAGTTCTTCATGATATGGCAGAGAAGAAAAAGTTTGTATTTGCCGAAAGGAAAAAGGCACTTCAAATGGCTGCTACTTGTGGATTGAGCGTCATTGAAGAAAAGGTGGAATTGAGAGGATACCAAATTTATGTAGTAGAACAATGGTAAAACACTCTTAACGGATCGTTGTCACTGTTATGGTAAACAATGGCAAACAATAAAAAAAAAACCTGTATTGCTTAGGGTTTGCGACCGTAAAGTGCCGTCAAACGTTGTCAATGTGTTTACAGGCGATGAAAGTCATGTTGTAAGTTGATTGAGTTGTGTTCTTTTTTCAAAGGTAGCTTTGCCTAATCTATCTTTTCATAAAATGATACTGATGCTTTGTTTTGCAAAATGCATAACTTATATAGATTCAAGTAGCCGTCATTGCTATTTCAACTGCTGAATTACAACATTCGCGACCACAGATTCAAACGTTTCTTCAACTGGGTGCCCATTTAAAATCGAAACCAACACCACTGGGTGAAATATTATTAACCAATCCGGGCGAATTACCTTATGATATGGATATGATATTAGTCCCCAACGGAGATTACGATAGGTGGATAAAGCAAGCCTATGTTAATATCAACTTGAGGAGAACGAATTGTACAGGAAGAAGCTCGCTTAACCTACAGCCTCCAAAGTAAGTCAGCACAAGTAGAACGCCTATTGTTGAAGAGCATAGTCTTAGTTTTTTCGTTTCCTATCTATGGCTTTTTTCAGTCCAGCTTCGGAAGAGAAATTTAGATCACTCTACAAGATAGCCGATACAGTCCATTTCCAAGATGCTGTCATCAATTTAGTGTCACTCGTGCAGATCGCTCTCTATTTATTCAAATTACTCGACAAAGACTACGTTGATGGATTGTTATGTGATGAAACGACTCACGCACTATGGGCTTTTTATGCAAGCTACATTCCCGCCAAAACAGCTGATTTTCATTTGAAAGAACCATGGATGGAGCCCCACCTCGTCGCCGCTATTATTTCTAAATTGATTGTTTGTCGCAATAAACTTCAGGATGCTGGATTTACGACGGTCAAAGACCCCTTCCTCGATCATGATACATTCCGGTTTGATATTGGCGATTATCAAAAATATAAAAATATGCGGATTACTCGATTTTTGGATAAAGACACAGTCGTACGGTTAAACGAGCCGACAAATCCAATCCATTCTCTTGTGGGGCAGATGAAGGTCAAGAGAGTCATTAAATCAAAATTGGACGATATTTCAGGCGTAACGAATTCACCGTTGTCCATAGAAACATCCGATCCAGAAGTCTTTCGTCATCACGCTACCATTGAAAGCTTACGGGCCATTTGGCGACCCAAGCTGAAGGGGGATTGTACACTACACTGAGCCATAATAATAACTTGAGTCATACGATCAATAATAACGACAGCAGTGGAGGAATGACAAGCCTGATGTCAGAGATCAGTCACAGTAACAGTAGTAGTGATCAACCGTTGCATCCTACGCCACTACTGCAGCCACAGGATCAGTCGTCCTCCTCCAATGAACTCATTCACATGTTGAAAAAAACCACGAAAACAGGCGGTGCGGCTGTGGATATCTTGAAAAATCGAGTGGCAGGCACCTTTCCCTGGATCAATACAACATCGGACAGCAAAGCAAAGCTCGCCACATCACCCACTTCGTCTGGATCGGAGGTGACTTCCCCTTCGCCGTCGGTGACCTCCTCTCCCTCTCGTTCTCAACAGGCCCAGCAGCCACCACCGTCCTCCTCTCCGAACAGTTCAAGCCATCTATCAAAGAAGTCTCTTTCCGAAAAATCATCTCGAAAGCCTTCACCTTTATTATTCACTCAAACATCGTCTCAAAAGAATCTATCAGCAACACCATCTCCCCCTTTATTAACTGCATCCACTCGTCATAGTAAGAAACGTATACCCTCGATTCGTAGAAATAACAAACATAATACCTCTTTAGAACCTAATACTACTACTACTATTGTACCACTCACCTCTCCTATCGCACTCAACCCTACCTTCTACGATTATAATACCCATACCCATCATTCTTACGCACTTGCATCTTCTACTTCACCCTACTTACGCAAATCCAAATCAGCAGAGTCAAACGCTGCAACATTCACTAGCCCCAAATCAGCACCTATTTTGAGCTCGAGTCGTTTCTTTTTTACTGCCTCCCCCAACACACCCAGCGGCAAACCATCCAATACAGATGATCACTATCATTTAGAATCCACATTAGACGATGAAAAAAGAAAAGGTACACTATTTGAGAAAGCATTCGGGAAGCAACAGAAGGAAGATGTTGATGAAAAAGTTTTCAAGGAGGATATTGAAGAACGCGGAGAGGACACTGAAGAAGAAGAAGAAGAAGAAAAAGAGGATAAGGTAAAGGAAGACGAAGAGGAGGGCGATTTTGTGCCCTATCTCCCTCACAGCCAGAAACAGGATGTTGTAAGACGCTATCACCGTACGCGATCTCTGTCAGACAGTCTACTTTTTGATCCTGGCTATTTGACAACCATTCAACAGCAACAAAATACAGAGTGGAAGAAGGAAAGCGATCCAGGCGGAAATGATCTTACCCCTGAGAAACTAAAACGATCCAACACGATGACCCTGGGCACCAGCAGCTATAGCCGCTTGATGCCTCATGCCATCGATATGGATGATCTTATCTTCAACGCGGATGTGTATGGAAAAGAAGCTTCTACCATGGTGGATGGTAGGGACGAAACTGCTCCACAGCGACCCAAGACGATCATGAATGTACAAACTTACCTCATTTTCGAACGCCTGTTGCAAAAACAACGTCAACTTGAGCAATATTACCAACAAGTCAAATCGATTGCCGCCGTTTACGAAAAAACAGCCGATCGTTTAAAGATGACTTACGAAAACCGAATGAAGGCATTTGAACAACTGCAGTCAAAGTCGAGGCGAGTGATAGATGAGCAATCGACTACAGCTCAAAGATTGAAACACGTCGAAGATCATAGTGCTAAGCTTCACTATGAATTGAACGTGCTGAATGACAAGTTGAAAGAAATTGAAGAGAATGTAGGCACTTTCTTTGGCAAAGTGGGGGTTCTGGAGAGAAAGATGGGTGTTTCTGGTGCGAGGACTTCCCCTGCGTCTCCTTCACAAGCAACCACAGGCCAGTCGAGTGCTTCAGCATCCATGATGATTGTTGGCAATTACCTCAACCATTATTGGACAAAAATATCTCAGTGGATGACTTGGTTGCAACCAAAGGAATCTTTATCGCATGATCAAAGTACATCAGATAATGTAGGATCAAGCAGCGATATAAATACGAATGCGCAAATAAAAAATTGATTGGCTGAATCACACAAAAACATGTTTTTTGATTTTTGTTTTAAGAAATATCACAGGCAAAATGGGGGAGGGGGGTAGTTTGCCCATTTTTCTCTTTTGTTGTTTTACCGATGATGCTTCCGTTATCGTCCACTCTCAATGACGGATAGGAACACTCATTACTCTTCATGCGGACAACATCACTACAACAATAGAAATGCTCAAATTGGTTGGTATAGTGCTAGCCTTTGCGTTAGGCTATATGTCAGCTTATCATGAATTATTCGCTTACCTATTACAAGAGGTGAAGAAAAATATAAAATATCCCCTCTTTCTTGAACAAAACATACTTATAAAAGCTAACTGGATTGTGATAGAAAGCTGTACTATATATACTGTTGAGTATTTGTGGTTGTTTTTTGTTAATTTATATACCTTTAGATCGAATTGCTGAAAAAGAAGCAATGGCAGTAAGTGTTTTCTCATCTGACCTGAAAAAAAGAGCAACACTGACGCCGTCCTTTTTTCTTCAACTCCTGTGGGGATTAGAACCCTTTAACATCATTACGAACTTCGGCTCGCGAACATTTACAACGTAGAGGCAGTTTCTAGAGACCAGCACCTGAATACCTAGTTTTCACGATAGAAGCTTTTTTAACTGATTTCCCTCAATAAACACAAACAGACTAATTTCAGTAGAAAAGATACATTGGATATCTTCATTTGAACAGACGCGACAAATGCTCAAAGTGTATCAGATCCTTCGTAGAACTGTTGTTTAGTAAACACTCACTCATTGCCAGATTAGACTTTCATTGGTCGATACGATTTCGCTTGCGAAACATCTTTATAGACTAAGCTTCCGAAGTACTTGTAGGATTTACTGGTATTCACGAAACTATGATTCCATCTACCAACTCTCTCTTCTTTTTCTTCTCAGAATAAGAAGCTGACAATGCCATACAGCCCATTCTTTATCACCCTACTGAACAGCGGATACTGACGATGAAACCCAGTGCTCGAATAGCTTTACTGTGTGCTATATAGTTAACATTATTATGGTACCAATCCATAGTTACTGTTACAAACATGCCGAATATTGTATATGTAGAAAATACCTGTAAAAGAATGATTCATTTCAATAATGAGTTGGAAGACTAAACCCACGGTGATAGAACTCCCCTCAATGACGATATACTTAGAATGCAAGCAATATCAGTAGTCTATTTAGATCTTCAAAGCCAATTGTTTGGCTATTGAACCAGCGAATTGCGGGGCTCAAGATATCGATGGTCAAGTTCTCCGTTAATTATCCTTATTTTTCCAGACCTTTGTTAACGTGGCGTTACGTTAAGATAGGGTACGGATGAATTTAAATGTTTTTTTTGTTATCATTCGATGGAACCCTTCATTTTTTCTTCGATCCCTATTGAGTGACAGTTTCTCTTTTCTGAACCCAAAAGAATTTGTACTGAGTGACACAAATTTCCTCAATTTTCTACTTTTCTGGGTGCATGCAGATCAAAAAAATGTTGGAGAATCACTGTCATCGCATTGATCCGTAAGACTGTTTTTTTTTTTTGAAGACATCGCCTCCACTTTTCTCAAATGACTGTTATAGGCACACGCACAGACATACATACATACACACGCACACATACACACACATTACCTAATAAAGAATTTGCTCCAATTTTTCCGTATATGATGATTATGTAGCAATCACTAAATCTTTATTTTCGTTATTGCTATTATTCTTAGCATTCGTATTAATGGTGGTGGTAGTAGAAAGCTTACTCGCTTGATGCTGATTCTGCTTTAATACAATAGATTCGGGACTGTTGGGTGGGGAAATACGAATAGGTGTGGAGGGTTTAGGTTGTTGAAGATATTGTAGAAAAGGCGAACCACTGGGAGATGCAGTGGATTTTGCATTTATGCTGCTATTGTTGGTAGTTGTAGCGGTGGTGCTAGTGTTCGTGTTGGTAGTGTTATTGGAGTTGTCAAACTTGAGCGTCACTCTACCTCGTGAACGGTCTTCAAAAAGTGTCATGATATTACCGTGATCGCCTACACGGTAAGAGACCGAATAGGGATCAATCCAAAGAACAAAATCACGAGGAAGATGGGTTTGAATGGTGTTTGGATCCACATTCGCTTGAAGGGCAGCTATAAAATAATTTTACAACATGAGTTTTTGCAATCCACAAGCATTCAATTGGACATCAATTTAGCTTACCAGACGTCACAACGGGATCTAATAGACCATTGAAATTAGACAGAGCACGGTAGCCATTGCCTCGATAAGGTTGCTGAGGATCCCAATGGTCTTCGAAACGAATCTTTAACAATTCTGACAGCTTGTCTTTGAAGCGAGCAATGGCATCTTGCTCGAGTTTCGTATTCAAAAGTCTACCGAGAAATTCAACAGCTTGAGCAATTTCAATATGCATTTCTTAATGGAGGATGTAAGACAAAAAAAAAAAAAAAGAGGTTTTAAAAAATGATAGAAGAAAAAAAAAAAAGAAGGAAAGGGAAGAAATAAGTAGAGGGAGTATGTGTATAGAAACGGAAAAAAAGGGGAGAAACGTTTGTTTGTGAGTTTTATATGTGATATTGTGTTTTTTTTGCTTTTTTTTTTGGTGCTTTTTTCTGCTTTTTTTTTTTTTTTTTTTTATGTCTTTTCTATTTGGATATGAAAATGTATAAAGAGAAGAAAGAGGCAAACGCTTTTTTCATCTGAATAAAGAAGCTGCACTAAAATTTCGCTTGTTGAAATCGAGTTTTCTATTTATTTATTTTTTACTATTGCAAATTGTTGATTTCTAGAGCCTCAGCAACTAGTATTTGTGTCAACAAGTACGTTTTCGATCAGAAAAGAGCGTTATCTACATTTTACAGTCTAGTACTCGCTTTATTTAGATAATGATGAGTTGTATTCGGGATAGTCAATGCGAGCAACCTTGGTTGGATCGCACATTTTCATCCAATGAAATTGTTTCAACGTTTACCATAAACGGATTTGGGCATTTCCTTTTTACTAGATTTTTTTTCTTTTTGTTTGACTTGTCAAAAAAAGAGCGTTCAGTTTCTTCGCACACCCTATTATACACACATGGCTGAAAAGACATACTTTTTCAATCAAGAGGTTACAAAGTCGCATGTGGATTTGAACTATTTAGATCTTGATCAACATGAGCAACTATGGAAGCATGTTATTGACACACATCCTTTCAATAAAGCTGTACGATTGAATCACACAGTGGATCTGTTAGTTGATCGATCGAGTCGCTTACTTCAATCTATCTTTCTCTTTTTCTTAGCTCTCTGTCTTTTTACCTTCTTGTTCCATCAATTTGGCAGAAGAACATATGAGTCACAGCCTTGGTGTATATTATGAAGTAGAAGCGCCTCTTTCGATTTTGTTGGACAGAGAATTCTTTCAACTTTACCTGCAATCAGGTAGAAACCAAAATTACATTTTTTATGCTTTTCCATGCCCTGCTGAACAAAAGATTCTTCTTTATTAGACAATTCTCAATTGATGATGCATACATTAGATACCCATTTAAATACGGATGACGTTGTCGTACTGACACCCAAAGGTGAACTTGTATTCAGCTTGACGAAAACAACCTTTGAAACGTTCGGTATGCCACCCATAAAACAAACAAAAGCTGATATCAAACACGTAAAACACAGTAAAGTATCGTGATAACATACAATGTTCCAAGTGACAGAAAACTGTACTTACAGATCCATTTCCAGTCGTCAAGGTGGACCTCAAAGATAGATCTTTTAAACCGGATAGTAAATTATTCAACCGACTAAAGTGGTGCTTTGAAAATACATTGACAAGGTCGTTCAGGATGGTTTTTTGTGCATTTGATAAATGTAAGAGAAGCAAGAGGGTGGTCGCCAAGTCGGACTACAGTATTTACCTTTTTTTTTCCTTTTCCTCATCATCCTCATGATGCATTGTCAGTGACAAAGACGACCATCGATATGCAATGGCCCTTGAGCGTCAAAGAAATCACCAGAAAAGAAATGAAGCCAGAGTTCGATACACTGACAGATATTGATATACCCACTTTCCAAAATATGATGTATGATATGGATCAACAACAAGAAGCATCCCTACAGCATTGGGATACGAGAGCTATGGAAGCCATAGAATGGATAGGTTTGGCTCATTTGAAGGCCAGTCGATTAATGCAAAAATCAAGTCAACAAAAGCCCGTCGATCCGTTTGTGTCCGTCTATGAACCTCCAGTACCTTTATCTGATTCAGCACATACAGGTACCTTGGTAAGATTCAAGGGATTCATATCCGCTTTTGCTGTGGACAATATGATGACCATGTTGAGGTAAACGATACGTTTCTGACCGTCAATACATGGTTGAGGCACGGCATTAAAACGCGCTTTCTCTTTCTTGTAGGAAATTAATGGCATCAGGTGTCACAAAAGAGTGGATCGCCCTGACAAGTTGGGGTTTCAAGGATTCGCCTTACACTTGGGACAAATTTGCTCACTACCATTATTATAATGGTGAAAATGATTACACCTTCTTATTGTTACCGAATAATAGAAATGCATACATGTATCAATTTTATGGTTCGCATCACGTCAAGACGTGAAAATAATAAAGCATTAGCTCTATCGGAAACTGTCTTTCATCTGTAAGCTTACATGCATAGCAATCCGTGATGCTGCAAACACACAGTCCCTGTGTTATTTCCTGTTAAAAAGTCAATCTATATGGCAAAACGAAAAAAGCCAGGAAAATTTTAAATTGAACGATTTTTTTATCTGAAGTTTAAAAAACCAATTAAGCTTACCTTTTTTTTTTTTTTTTTTTTTTTTTTTTTTCTCTCCCAGTAACCGATGGTTTGCCAATCATAAAGGAACAACACAAAAAAGAAATAAATCAAAAAATTTGACCCAAAAATGGACAGCCCAAAAAAAAATAAAATAAACTTAGCATTGACAGGTATATCGCTCTACTTGTACCTTTTCTTTCCTTTTTCTGTTCTTGTAAGAAACAAAGCTAGGATAGAATGAAAACGTCAGTGGTGTTCTCTGCCATTGCCTGCTTCCTATCAGCTACTGCTACGATCAATGCATCTCCAGCAGAGGAGAACGGAGTTGCACCTGACAACTCTGTCTCTACCAGTGTTCTTTCTTTGACCTCTTTTGACAATTTCAAGGAAGCCATTCAAAGTCATGATCTCACCATGGTCAAATTTTTTTCACCCCAATGCCGTCCCTGTCAGTCGTTAGCACCTGAGTTTGAGGCTGCAGCCAAGACCATCCAAGAATACGATAACAATGACCACTTTTTATTAGCAGAAGTGGACTGTACAACCCACGGAGAAATGTGTGCTCACTACCAAGTCAATATATATCCTACGATGCAAGTGTTTAGAAAAGGCCAGCCTATCGACATTTATAGTGACGCTCATACTTCACAGCGTATCGTGGAATACATGAATCATCGTTTAGAGTCCGGCTTATCCGTCATCAACAACAAAGAGGAACTAGAACAGCTGAAAGAAAAAGAACCGTTATTAGCCGTCGCGTACGTGAATGCCAATGATAAGGAGATGATCCAACGATGGTCTGCCCTGTCAGACAAACTCATTGACGACTTTGCTTTTGGTATCGTCATTGTCGATGAGAATTCAAAGGAAGACATACAACAGATGTACCCGTCACCACAGGCAGACCTGCACAGCACACCGACAGTTGTTCTTATGAAGAGATTTGACAAGGGTATGGATGTGTACGACGGCGATACTAACGATCCGGCACAAATGGAAGATTTTATTAAACTCAATAGTATTCCTCTTCTTGGGGACATCAACCCTGATACCTTTATGGATTATGTCGATGCGGCCCGTCCCTTAGTCTATCTCTTTTCCGATTCTGACGAAATGAAAGCTCAATTGACGGAACAATTGAAGCCGTTAGCAGAAAAGTATAAAGGCGTTTATGCTTTTGCGCATATTGATGCTAAAGTCTTTGCATCGCAAGCAGGCTTCTTGGGTCTCGAAAATAACACATGGCCCGCGATAGCTATTCATGATTTTAAAACAGGCGGCCGATACCCTTTCAAGGCGCTCGCCGCTGATCATATTTCCCTATCACCCTCCCTGCATGACGACCTTGACCGATTTCTGGACAAAGTCCATCAAGGCGATGTGCATGAACTCATCCGTTCGGCAGCCATACCGGATCCGCACGTGAATGAAAATGCGCCCGTCAAGACAGTCGTAGCCAAAGAGTTTGAAAAGATGGTGATGGATCCTACCAAGGATGTCTTGATTGAAGTGTATGCTCCTTGGTGTCCACACTGTCAAAACTTGGCTCCCGTCTACCAGCGTTTGGGCGAAATCGTTCAGGAAGCCAACCATAAGGACGACACCGGTATTGTGATTGCTAAAATGGACGGTACGACGAATGATATACCTTTGTCCGCCGGTTTTCAAGTGAATAGCTATCCTACCATCAAACTTTTCAAAGCAGAAACAAACGAAATGATTGATTATACGGGTCCTCGTACACTACGTGATTTCGGGAAATTCATCTTGGAGCATGCGACAAAGCAGAATTTACAGATAGATCTGGATGGTCTGGAAAAGCCAAACACGGACAAAGAAAATTATCCTCGCGAGGAGCTCTAAATAACTTTATCATTTATCGGGGGGCTTCATTGTATAGAAAATGGCGAAAGAAAATAAAAACTACAAAAGTTCGGAATAGAGGGGAACTCACAAGGTATGTGTTGGATTGGAATGGAATGGAATGGACACACACTTGTGTCAACCTGCCTCTCCTGTTGTGCTCATTCATAGATGAAATACAATACTCTATCACTTTTTGGTATCGGTCGATGACTTTGTAGAGTTGTTGATAATGGTGATGTAACCTATGTTGAGAGAGGAGTATCAATGTTCTGTGAGAAGCGACACTTACGCTGTACGCGAAGGATGCATGGGATTTATTATTCTTTTACCAGCAAATGCAATATTGTCGGAATCTGTTCCTACTTCAACCACATAATTATTGCGTGTAGTAATACTATGTGGAATGGCCCATTCATAATAGCCCGAGTTCAGTGACGCTCTATCTGTCATGACATGACAAATGCGCAAATCGTTGCTTTCACCGTAGGCAAGGGCAATCGTAGCATAGCTGAGTGAGGCGTTGAGTGGAACTACTTTCTTTTTAGTGAGATCGTCGTACGTACGTGGTTTTCCGTCTGGTAGCCTATTCTGCCTTTTCACTGATTAATCTTTGGTGACTTTTTTGAACAAACGAAAGGTACTATTCGTTTACCATTCAATAAGGATTTTGTCTCCTGTATGAAACACGTTATTTGCTTGTGGGTAAACCATTGTCAGATTTTGGCATACGATATATTCTATAAATAAAATGGCTGATATCAAAAAATAGGCAAACTTCATGGCTTGAACAAATGAGATGGTGTAGAAATAAATAAAGAAAAGAGATATTGGTAAAAAAGAGACAACGGCAAAAGCATCCTCTTCTTTTCAAGACCTTTTATATACATGTGGATGAGGTCAAACATGAGGGTCGTTCTTTTTCTGGAGAATGAGTAATAAGTTTCATTTTAACAAAAATTCAAAATCAGTTCATTCTATGCAGTTAATGTTATACGGACGATTTGATATCAGCAGATTAACTTATACTTCCACACGTCGAAAGGCTTTGTCAATAGACAAGTGGCAAAGGTTCATTACCGATGACGCTCAGCTACTGTAAAAGATGGAATTGCAAAAAAAAAAATATATTTTGCCCTGATGAATGATCGAGTTCAGATAGTGGTAACATTTGCTTCATCAACCTAAAGAAAGAAATTAGATTTATTTAAGCGGGGTTAAGTGTTTCTTAATATTTTGCTCCGACAGCAGCAAGTGATGAACGACACTATTCCAACAGGCAGTTCGTATAAAAGAAAAAGAAATGGACAGGTGTATCCCGCACTGTAAGAATGACTGTTTGAGAATCTGGTGTATTATTTATTATGGGTAAGCTTAATACAAAAAGGAATATGAATGATATTACAAAATTCCTTCTTTCTATAAATAATAGGGTGAGTTGGCAATATACATATAGCTTGTCATATTAGTCTTGTTGTTCGTTTGTTGTTGGCTCATATAGAATTTAGTTTTCCAAAGTGAGAGAAAGACCAAGCTTGTGAGCATTTTCATTGAGACGAGTAGTATCAATAGAAGCACCAAGGTTAACCTTGACACCAGGGCGAAGGCTTTGAGTGTAGCTGATGTAGAAAGATTTTTGTTAATATTGAGTGTAAACATCAGTTGAATCGAATAGTGTTTCTACTTACGCAAGACCGAGAACACCAGCGTTGGAGATCTTGGCCTTAACAAAGGCAGTGCTATCTAACTTGAGTTTAGCACCGACTTCAAGGGCAACAGCATTGGCACCCTTAGAGTCCCAAGTAGCTCTACCAGAAGCTTCAAGGTCGCTATTGACGTGATGATAGTAGGAAGCAGAGATGTTGGTCAAGTTGTTGGTAAGGTGGAAAGCAACACCGTGTTCAGCAGCAGCATAACCAACGGCAGCATTGTAGCGACCAATCTATCGAGGTTGTAAAAGCCATAGAAATAAATCACCCTTCTCTTGCTAATTTACCGCCCTCACTCTAAAATGAGCTCTATTTACCTTTCCGTCCAAGATGTTGTAAGCGACTTCAGTACCGACGAGGTAGCCACGTTGGCTAAAGACAGTGTTCACATTGAAATTGGTCTATATGAGTAAACAGTGAAATTAAATACTTTTAGAACTCTATCTTTCGTCGTTTCAATATTTATGCTCCATTCGTTCTCATGACGCTCTTCACTTTACCTTGAAAACATCAAGGGTGGCAACAGTGTGAACATTAGGCTTCTTGTAAATGGCGTTGATCTTAGCGGCTCTTTCGTTGACAGAAGGAAGAAGAGAAGTCAAGAGTTCGAGCTTGAGACCCTCTACAAGTTATACAAATAAATCAATTGAGTACACCTGCCTTGTACACTTTTTTTTTTTCTCTCCCGTGCTTCTGCCTCATATAATAACAATTCACTTACTGGCAAGATTGTTTTCGAGTTCGACCTTTCCGTTAAGGACATTGGAAGTTGTCCAAGCTTCAGTAAGAGTGATACCGTTCTTCTTATCGGCAAACTTGGTTTCAATATCACCAACAATGATACCAGTCTTGTTATCACGGTTACCATTGACTTTGAAGATCTATACATTTTTTGCCATTCGACGTGAGTAATTATATCATCGCCTAATGCTCGTTTATTCGTTTCTTTTTTTTTCCCTAAAAATACTTACAACGCCATTAGGGGCAGTGGTCTTGACTTCAAGCTTGACGTTTCCAACGGGGAAATCCTTAGTCAAGAGATCCTTGGCGGATTTGCCAATGTCATTGAAAGCAACTGCAGAAGAAATAAGGTGGTTTTTTTTTTTCAATAAACAGGCTTTCTTAAACATCTTTTTTTTAAAAAAGTTGATTCTGATGGACGGAGTTGTATAGACTTACCAGGAACGGACATCTATTAACAGTATTTTTGTTTGATAATTAAATTCATGTCAGTCATGCTTATCACGGCAGCATACTTGTTATTACAAGTGCGGTTCAAGCAAGGTATACCTTAGAAGAGTACTTTGTTTGAGAGTGATAAATAGAATGAAGAAGAAAAGAAAAGAAACAAATGAGCCGAACACACCTAAAAAAGTTACCATTAGCGGATGTTGAATCAAGCATGGGGCTGGTGTAAGTTGAAAAAAACTGGGGTTGAACGAAGCAAATGGTGCTGCAGCAAACATAAGCACCTTAACAGGCACACTTTTTGACCCCCACAAAACCTAAATTATGAATGTCATGCTCGCGTCATACATTTAATCATTGACCTTTGTCGGGAACGTAGTATCATTAATATCTTTATTCGGGCTGTCCTGAAATGTAACAGACACTGGATGAAAATATATATTTACAAGAGGTTGGGTACTTGTACGTATATTAACAAGAGGTTAACCGATACTGATAGCAATACGGACAGCTTTAAATTGATTTTCAGACCTAAAGAACAAAAAATTGGGAGTTCTGAGACAATATTTTTGGATATATTCTCGATAAAAAATGCCGACTTATAAAACTGTAGAATCTTCCAAGTACCAGGTCTTCCATGATCAGTCCAAACCTCTTGAGCAATGTGATGCATAGCTTTAAACCGCCATTACAACCATGATTCTAACTAATACTACAAGTTTTGCAAAAGAGTATCACGATAATTTGTTGAATCCGAGATCTACACGCGTTACATATATATACACAAATTGATGTAAATCAAATTTTGAGCTATAATTACAATTACTCGTGCAATTGAATACACACTGTTGACGTATTCACCCTAGCTACTGTTCATTGAGAAGACGTAAATGTTATCTGTTTCCGTATGGTCAACAGATTCTGCAATTGCAGAGCTTTCAGCTTAATAAGGTCTATATTGTAGCCTTTCGAGAGGGGTTCTCAAAAGAAGAACATGTGAAAGAAGGGCTGCTCAGACTGTTATGCTCTCAGTCGCAAAGGTGCTTTAGACTGGACAAACTGCATCAGTCCAATTTTATTTTAGAAGTATCCAGGAACAGATTGTCAAATTAGTCCAATTTCATCCAATGAAAGAGTTCGACTTTTTTCCGAGAGCAATTTAATACTTGTAATAGATCTGACCCATAATGCACACGATTAGCTACGGATGGTGTGACAAAGCTTCATCATCTGTACAAAAGATGTCGCTATCATGTGAACAGAAAGAATGCTGTTTCTTACATAGAATGAACTATCGAAAAGACAAAGCTCGAAAGCAGCATTCGTACCTTTTTTTTTTTAATCTTTTTTATTGTAAGCAACTAACACTAAATGGAAAACTTTCATGTATAAATCTCTATGTACAAAAAGAATGCAGATATATTTATTAATATTACATAAAAAGGAAAACAATAATAACAGGTTTACAAATATAGACAAATAAAAGGGTACTATTTTTTTGTTCTAAAAAAAACGCATATTTGTTTGGTATCATTATACCTAATGCTTCAAGCGCTTCTGCTTATCAATAGCGGCTCTCAGTGATTTTTGCTTCTCAAATAAGCTTCGCTTGGATTTGAAAAGGACGGACTGCTTATGGGCAATCATCATAAAGTTCTTATTTCTTGCCTTTTCACGATTGGTAGTACTGCCTCTCTCCTTCTTACCCTTACGAGAGCCGAACTTCTCACGTCCTTCACGACCTTCTTGAATGGAAGCCATTCTCTGTTCATAATCTTGTTTAGCCTTCTTTCGAGGACCCAAGATAGTGGCTTCATCTACGCCTTCGTCTAAATCAGTAGCACCGCGCTTTTTACCCGCTACATACTCCAATTCTTTACTCTCCTTGAGTTCATTCAGTCGTGCAAAATCAGCTGGTGTCAGAATACGAGTAGTAGCCAATTTGAGGGCGGCTTGGCGCTTCTGCTCTTCTTCTTCTTTACGTTTTTGAATGGCTTCTGCTAACTTTTGACGCTGTTCCTCTGTCAATTCTGTTTGCTCTTCGGCTTCCATCATTTTCTTCAATTGACGTTTACCAATACGACGTGTTTTGATTTCACCATTGGGCCCCACCTTGTACTGGTATCTCTTTTTCTTTTGTTCGTCCTCTTCTGCCTTATCAGTACCGTCCTTTTGTTCTTCGTCATCTGAATTGATATTGACGTAATCATCGTTATCAATAGGCACATCGACCCAACCACCTTCTTCATCACTTTCGTCGCTGGAATCGTCGACTTCCCATTCTCCCCAATCTTCATCCTCCTTTTCAGCTTGCTCTAACAATTCTAAACCTTGAAGACCATCCATATTATCTGAAGTTTCACCGAACTGAACAGTACGAATAGACCCATCTTTCAATTTTATGGACGCCGTCTTGCCACGATCCTTACGAGCCAACATTTCAGGATTAAGTTCACGGAAGAGGGCAATCAAAGAACGTGCTGCCATCAATACACCCTTATCACGATGTGTTTTATACTGAGCTAGATCTTGTAATAACGTGGCATCGATCGCCAAAGGTTGACGTGTACAGATTTCACGTACGCCATTGATACCGACTGCGATAACTTCATTGGCGACACGGTCAGTAACAAAATTATTCGCAATCGCTTTCACAACAGGCTCTAAGGCATCTGGTGGTACTAGAGAGTGAGAAGCTTGAGCAGCACACACCAACACAATAGTGACATCACGTTGTGAGGGTTGAAGGTATTTAATTAAAAGAGGGTAGAAACCCAAGATCGTGAGTTGATGAATACCAATAATACGAGAAACCAAATTCATCTTCATCAAACGCACTTCCCATCGATCTTCTTTGGTCGTCAATTTAGAATATAATTTCTCAGCAAAACCTTGAGGGTCGTTGATAAGATGTAGTGCAGAGAAATTGAAAGACTCGGCCTTATCTTTGCTCTTTGACTTTCGCTTCAACTTTTTCTTGGCTGCCTCAAGTTTACGGTCTTTAGCTTTTGTTTTCTTACTGTGTTGATTGGCCATTTGCATTTTTTTTAAATCAGGTACCTAAAGTATGCCCATGGAGTTCCAACCCTCGTTTCAGTAAAAAACTTTCTATCCAATTTTTAATTAAACACAACTTACATCTTCATCCTCCTCTTCTTCCTCCTGCTGTTCATTACTGTTTAAGAAAAATTTGACGGCTGTTACTGAAATCTTCGCGATGGGTGAGAAGCATGCTTCTGCAATGATATTCACTGTCTTTGCATCATTCCAAACATTTTTATGGTATAAATCGATACAAACATCCACACTCTTCTTGGCAGCAATTGCATTTTCTTCACTATTACCGTTTACTGCTGACTCTAACATGGTGAACATGAACGACTGTAATGTCTTGTTGAGTTTGTTATTTTTGGCTTTAGCATTGGAATTCTTGATATCGTTGACAATATGACTGTACAATAGTTCTCGCAGAATTTTATCTTTACATTTGAAAAGGGTAAAGAAGAGCGGTAAAAGAAGGGTATTATCCACAATCCCTTTGTTACGGAGCAAAATAAGGGCCTGAACAAAACTCTTCCTCACATCAACGTGGAGGACTAAGCAGTGCTCCTTTAGTAAGTCGACTAATTGTTGAGGAAAGTCTTTGGTGATTTCAGGATAACATTGCGTGACTTGGCTCATGAACGTCACCAATTCACATAATTCTTTCGACTCTTCATCAGGCTTTAAGCAGAAAATGGATAAGGTGGACTGGAAGTGTCGCCACTGCTGCAAAAACTCTGCTTCATAAGACTTGGGATCACGCTTGATCAAGTTTTGTAACTGAGGCAAGTGAGTGGGCAAAAAAGCGGCTCTGTTGCGTTTTCCCATTCTATTCAGATCTTAATTTTTTGGTTATAGATCTGATTTACTAGAAAGCTTAAACAAAAAAAAAAAAATAAAATAAAAAAAAAGTTACAGCATATTTTAATGTCAATAAGGAATCTCTCCACATCCATAGTTATAAGCCACCCAGACGGATCAAAATGTCTCTTGTGAAACATTAAAAACAAGGCAAACTGCTTGCCGCCTCACTGTAAAACTATAATAGGGGAATACTTTCCACAATCATTTACAATTTGTAAATACACATTATGTTTGTTGAAATTATGCGTTCATTATTCTTAAAAGTGCTACTGAAGCAACCATTCGATTGCATTTTATTAGTTTTCTTTTTTTTTTCGTATCAATGTGATATATCTATTTCAAAGTGCGTTCAAGATCGATAGCAAGAATGATACGGAAGGCCTTTTTCATTCACCATAATCACATGTGTCTTCAATTGACACTGAGATATAACTGCTGGAATGATAGTACGTATAATAAGACGAATCACTCAAAGCTGGCAATTGTTAACGCTATTGTAGCTGCAGTATTACGATCAACTATATATTTCCCCTGCATCAGTATGACAGTGGCTTTATCTTCTGCTCAAATATGAACATAATAATTGAGATGTGACCATTTGTCATGTATCATACCTGGCTAATATGTAATGTCATGCCTGCATGACCACAAAACTCTGTCTCTTTTACTCGTCTGATACCATTTTCATCATCGGGTCAATAAGCAAAGACGTGGAAATTTAAATGAAATCTGATGGATCAGTGGCACCTATTTGCAATAATAGGTGTATGTCTGATCGATAAAGGATGGTTTGACGGTCTCAGCTTTTCATTTACTCTTTCAAAATAGCCCTTTTAGAGTCTTCCTTTTTTTTTTCTTCCCTCCACTTTCTCAAATTTCACTGCCAGTTGACAAAGAAGTACATATGAGGTCAATGACCTACATGGAGCTGACAAGGGTTGGCCTTATAAAAGCTGATGATGCTAACGTTCTATCGTCTATCTACTACTTTTTTTTTTCGTTTATAATCATTTGGTTACTGATAATTTGATATAATGCGTTTGAAGCTTGTCCTGATTTCCAGCTTTGTTTATTTCTCATATTGCACTGCTGCATCTATCACAAACTCCACAGATACTATAGTGAAGAAAGAAGAGGAACATCACCGCCACCACCATCATCATCATCGTCACCATCATTATCGTCAATATGGACCGCGTTTTCGCTCGGTCTTTGCTTTCGGCGATTCTCTTACAGACAATAATGCATTCGAATACTTGTATAATTCTAGAGATGTTGAAATCGATATCACAAGGTTTGAAACCGTCGATTCTTTTTTAAAGATGAGCTAAGTACTGATAAATAGAATGGTAATTTTTCCTTTCTAGTCTACACCCTAATTCAACCAAAAAAGTGAGCCGCATTGATCAATCAAAATACTCATAGTAAAGGCATCTTGTATAACCGTAGTTCTCTTCATTGTCAATATAGCTGAAACGTTACTCTAATGGACCCTTATGGATAGAGTATCTTGCTGACCTGCTGGATCATGCAGATTTATACAATTTTGCCCGCACAGCTGCCACAGTAAACAACGTAAGTACCATTCTTTTTAAAAATAGCTATCATCGGTGATCTCCATTTTCTTCAGTTTGGTTTCTTCAATAATATATTTTTTAATTATTATTCGGTCATCTGACTCTCTTTATATGTCAGTCTCTCGTGGATAGGCACCAAATTCCTGATATTATCGATCAGGTCAACCGTTATATTACCTCAAAGGCTTTTTATAAACATCAGCGTGAGGCTTTGCATTTAATATGGGCAGGTGGTAATGATCTGAACGATATATTTAAGCTTTATTTGAATGACGGCAATAACAGAACTGAAACTATAGATGGAATCATTTCATCCTTGTTTAATGAAGTGGTAAGCTTTTAAAAGAGTACTTGTAACAACAGTATAAAAATAAAATTACAAAGAACATTTTACAAATAACACCTTACATTAATTCCTTTCATTTTACCCAGGAGATACTCCAGGCGACCGGTGCAAAGTATATTATTTTAATGAATGTCAACCCAATACAAGAGATACCAGATCATTACCATCAAAGCGCTGAACAGAAAAATCAGTTAAAGGCCTTGATTTATTATTTTAATGCAAAATTGAAAGCGGCCATCGAAACTTTTCAGGTACAGCAAGAAAATACCAACGATTCAGACAGCATTGACAGTTTTCAAGTGGCCTACTTTGACACTTATCAATGGTTCGAGTCATCCTTTCCAGCAGACATACTAGCAGTGAACGATGGTAAAACATGTCAAGAAGGGAACGATTGCGGAGAGTAAGTAGCAACACTGTGTTGTGCACATAAAATAATGGATGATAGCCAGCAGCTTAGCCTACTTTCTGGTTTTTTTTTTTTCTCTTTTGGCAGTTTGATATGGTGGGACATTTTACATTTCACTACCAAAGTGTACTCGTCCCTGGCTCAAGCGCTTTTCAACTTCATTTTATGCAAAGAATGGCTTGTAGATGCTTAGGACCTTTTGTTTTCTCAAAAATCATACATTGTATCATATGACAGTAATCGACTGCGATAAAGAAAGGGGAGTAAAGTCAATATTGATGATGTTACAAATTATATATCTTTATTAAAATAGGCCAATCTTCAATTTGCTGTTTTCTTTTTTGAAGAGAGGCGTAATGTTTGTTCCTAAAAAGTTAAATAGATCTGTCCTGACTTCTTGGAGATCAAAGATATTGAATCTCTTCGCATTTCTTTCTGTATCAATCACTACTAATTCCAGTGCGTCTAATTTCAAATAACCCTGCTCGACAAGGGTCAGGAGTCGATTAGGTGTACCTACGCCAATATGGATAGCTTCACGACCAAGGAAATCAATTTGTTCTTCGATTTTGAAATGTTTGGCAAACAATTTAGCCACTTTGGCTGTGGAAGAGAAATCTTTCAATGCACTAAAGAAAATGGTATGAGGTATATAAATTAGACTACGGATGTGGATCTCTTATTTATTTCCAGTTCGATGCGCATTCTTCTTACCGAACAAGATCTACTGCTCGTACTGCAGAATGTGTAATGACGAGAGCCACAGGACTCGCTTTCACAGTTGGTTTCTTGCCTAATTTTTTATGTCCTGCTACACCGAATTTGATATAATTGGATAGTGCATCTAACACATGTTCTTGTTTGAAGTTTTCGTTATTCACCAAGTGATCGACGGGTATAGATTGTTCGTCTAACTCGACGGAGGAAAGGTTGGGTAAAGCGATCTTTTGACGGTCAGCCAAATACTCTGCTTGAACAGTGGTATTTTCTGTCCAAATATTAATGATATCGAAAGGATTCAACTGCTTCTTTTTCTTGTTGTTTTTCTTCTTCTTCTTCTTCTTTTCGTTACCCTGGGTGTTTTGTGTTTCTTCTATCGTCTCTTCACGTTTACGTTTTAGGCCGTTCACTGACATATCTGCTGGCTGATCAATGTCATCGTTGGTGTCTGACAAAGCTGCCTCGTCATTGGAATCTATAACAGCATCTTCCATATAGAAGTCGTCTTCAAGCGCATCAGCAGATACAGGCTGCTGCTGTTTTTTCTCGTCTTTGGATACTTCAGACATTGTTTCTAGAAAAATATGTGTGCTCTAAATGCTTGCTCAAATTCATACCTTCATTTCCTTTTCCCAAATGTTATAAGGACAGCATTTCCTCGGCCATTACATAATACAGTGGCTTATCTCGATTTTCTTTTGCGGATCACATTTAAAGAAAAATTTGGGCAGCACAATCTAAGAAGCCAACTTTTTTATTCCTTGACAGATCTGCCCTTTTTTTTTTGAACAAAAATGTCGATCGATGCTGAAAAAGGTGAAGCTCAACCTAAAGTTGACATTGAAGCTTTAGCTCAGAAAAAACCCGAAGAAACTACTTTTGCTGAATTGGTAAAGCTGGGTTGTTAATGATTATAGTTACATTCGTTTAATGTTGGCTGGCTGTAGCGAAAGTGTATTAAACAAGCATATCTATTTGTTTGTTTGTATAAATGATATAGGGTGTCTCTCCTCAACTATGTGAGGCATGTGAAAAGATGAATTTCAAACATCCTACAGATATTCAAAAAGAATCCATCCCATGGGCCATCGAAGGCCGTGATATTATCGGTTTAGCTCAAACTGGCTCTGGTAAAACTGCTGCCTTCGCAATTCCTATCATTCAACGACTTTGGGATAATCCTCAAGCCTTCTTTGCTTGCGTTTTAGCTCCTACTAGGTAAGAATTGTCAAACTCACTTTCATAAAGAATTTATTCAATTTTTTATTTTTTGTGAGAAGAAGTGCTTGTTTGGCGTAAGGGAAAAAAAAGCCTATCGTATTAAAACGTCTGTTCATCCTCTTTTTCTAGAGAATTGGCTTACCAAATCTCGGAAACTTTCGAGTCATTAGGCTCACTTATTGGTGTCCGTTGTGCGGTTATTGTTGGTGGTATGGACATGATGTCTCAATCTATTGCTCTTTCTAAGCGACCGCACATCATCGTGTGTACACCCGGTCGTCTGCAAGATCATCTCGAGAATACCAAAGGGTTCAGCTTGAAAAATCTCAAATATTTAGTATTAGATGAAGCTGATCGTTTGTTGGATATGGATTTCGGACCTAAAATTGATCAGATTCTCAAAGTCATTCCTCGCGAACGTAACACTTTCTTGTTCTCAGCTACGATGACGACCAAAGTGGCAAAATTACAAAGAGCCAGTTTACGTAAACCCGTTAAAGTGGAAGTCGCCACTAAGTACTCCACCGTTAAAACGTTGTTACAGTACTACCTTTTCTTCCCTTTAAAGCACAAAGATTGCTACATGGTCTACTTGATGAACGAGTTTGCAGGCAACTCCACGATCATTTTCACTAGAACATGCCATGATACACAAAAGATTGCCATTATGTTGAGGAATTTAGGTTTCGCAGCTGTTCCTTTGCACGGACAAATGCCTCAGGCCAAGCGTTTAGGAGCACTCAACAAATTCAAAGCGGGCAGCAGAAACATTTTAGTGGCCACTGATGTGGCAAGCAGAGGTATTGATATTCCAACGGTTGATGTCGTGATCAATTACGATGTGCCTCAATCGTCCAAGGATTATATCCATCGTGTGGGTCGTACAGCCAGAGCAGGTCGTTCTGGTAAATCTGTTACCTTTGTTACGCAGTATGATGTCGAGTTGATTCAGCGTATTGAGAAGGATCTAGAACGTAAATTGGACCTTTTCCCCTTAGAGAAGGATGAGGTGATGATGTTGCAAGAAAGAGTAGATGAAGCCCAGCGTATTGCTACTTTGGAAATGAAGGAACAAGAGCACAGCAAGAAGTCCAAACGCGGACGTAAAAACGATGATGATGATGACGATGACGTGGATAAAGAAGAGCAGGGATTAACGTTAACAAAAAAAAAATTCAAGGGTGGAAATAAGAAGAGACGTTAGAGAAATCGTGTATAGAAGCCTATAGCAAACTTGCACACCCCTTTTTTTTTGTATATAGTTTAAATTTTTCATTTGATCGAATAAACGGAAAGCATAGATTTTTCAGATACCTAAAGAAAAATGAAAAATGGAGAAACCGGTGGGGGAGCGTATCAATGTATTTTTCAACCTTGAAATGTAAATTACATATTTTGTAACACAAAATCTGTAAAATAAACCTAATCTGATGTGTTTTATCAGATCAAAAGGGGGCGGGCCATTTAGAAAAGGAAATGGTTCCTGAATTAGGCCTTTTGAAGAGTGTTTCCTCTATTTGTGTTGTAGGATTGTTGATAATGATCTCATTTCTTACTACTATCCGCTCCGATAGATGACGAATTGAACAATTGAATACATCTAATACAATAAAATGATTGTCAATCAATTTGACCGAAAAAGGGAACCCAAATTAGCCGGGATAGTTTATTGTTCAATTGACCCTGTTTTCATCCAGACATAGGGAGAAGAAAGATCCGAAAAAAAGATTTTATTCATTGATAATGTTTCAGTAAAAAAAGTTAAGAGCAAAAAAGAGAAGATGACAAATAATACGCAAATGAACGGCCAAATAACTGAAAAAGAATGAAAGAAAAATAGTTAAAACGAAACGAAAGAATACATGAAAGACAATAGAATTCTAAAAAAAAAAAAAAAAAAAAAATAGTAGTTTTTTTTAATAGTTGGTGATAGCTGTCTTAAAGACATAGTCCCAGAACTTTGAAGTGATGCCATAACCGGCTTCAAAGTCTTTATAATGATGAGCCAAATGATATCTTTTCATTTCCGCAAAATGAATTTTAAATGGCTTGGCATGATGTACGTAATAATGGGTCATATCGTAACATACATAGCCAAACATGCCACCAGCAACCACGCCAAACGCCATCAACTTGGGGAATAGAAGGTGTGCTGCTGTAATCCATGGATAAGCTAAAATGACAAACAGTGTAGGTGGTACAACGAGTCTCAATCTACCGTAATACAAAGCATCGATAGAATGCACATAAAGTTAATCATTGCCACTCTTGACTAATTAGTTACAATTCCTTTTCTGATTCTATGCCGTTACCTGTCCATGGGTAAATAATGATGGAAACCATGAAGCACAAAGTGCAAAAGGTACATCATTTGGTGTTGAGGCATACGATCGTCGTAGTGGAACAAGAAACGATGAAGAGCATATTCCAAGAAAGTCCATATAAAAATGCCGAGGAAGAAGTAGAGTGTTGTTGCTAATGGATTGCCGTACTGAAGAGACTTGTAGAAATTATAACCAACGTAGGGTAGCCATATTAAAGGCACTACCCACCACACTGTTTTTGACAACGGTTCTAAAAGCGGATGTCCAAAGAAATCTGCAGGTCGGTTTAAATAACGAGGCTTATGCACTTGTTCCAAATAATGTTCTCGGGTAAACTTCAATTTGAAGAATTGAGGCACGAGTGGTTTGTTGAGATCCAAGAATTGGTGCACCTTCTTGTCGTGTGCTACGTCCGTTTCATTAGGTTTGAAATCCTCTTTAGTAAAGGTGTTGAATTCTTCTTCAGACTGTAAGAGGTTCACACGTCGACGATGAAGACTGGCACGTATACCTTCCATATGACGAGCAGCTCCCTGATTTATTTCGACCCCCTCGACTGTACCAATCACGTAAGGTTCTAACATATCGTATGCCGATTCTGAATGTTCATGATAGTTCTTGTCATACATGACTGCTGTAATATCTTTTCCCGCAAACTCTACGATAATGTCATCACCACCGGGATGATCTTGAGCAAATTCCGTAACATCATACACTCTGTCATTGAAAATGACCCACAAAGAGTCCAGTGTATTATGCTTTTCCACCTCTTCTAAAGTAAAGACTTTTGACATTGTTTTCCTAGATGTGGAAAGAAAAGAGTTGAAAAAAAAAAAGAAAAAAAGGAAAGCAGGAACAATGGATAAGCAAACAATAAAAAAAAAGCTATTGTTTCGCTTATCCGAAGCAGAAATTTTGAACAGGCGATTTGAAACATGGATTCTCCGAGATTGTTTAAAGAAGAATAAGCTGATTTCAGACACAGCAGTACCGTTTAAGAAAGCTCTACGGTTTTTTTGTTCATGAAATCACCTGATATGTCCATTTTGCTTCTCTATCATCTAAAACAGTACTGCTATTCACTTTGAGTTGCATTGACTCACGTCGAGTAAGCAAAGGCCAACGAAAATATAAAAAGATGAAATGCATACATCGGTATATGAGTAACTAAAAATGATCAAAAGGACGTGAGACATTGATTATGGTCATCATTTGCATTATGAGTTGAAATTCAACTATTGCTACTGTTATGTATGTGAACTCTTCAGCACTCAAAGACGCTCCAAAAAAGGCGGGTAATTTGTGTAAAACTGTAACGTCTGTGCTCCTTTCCTATTTGGAAACACCTGTCATTATGTTAAGGATCCGTAGATACCTCTTTTTACTCGAGCCGTTTTCGGGAGATGAAAAGAAAAGTATGCTTTTGCCGCCGTAAGAAATTGATAAAGCAGACAAAAAAGAGAGGAAGTCTCATGTCCCTATAGTGAGATTACGTCGCTCATAGTGAACACTTCGATTGTCAATTAGAGCTGTTGCATCTCTTACTTGAAATGTATCAAATGTCTTCTCCTTTCATCAGCCGCTTTTAATTGCTCGGTGTAAAAGAGTATCGGGTTGGACCATGGCTAAATAGCTTTATTATTCATTCACAAACACCGATGAGCCTTAAAAAGCTGTAAGATGGGAGGGTTTAGAAGTCCCATGGATTTATTCATATTTATGGATAGGATACTCCGCAGCTTGGAACAAGTAGGCTAATTCTCATTGTAGAAACCGTACTTTTTTGAAAAGGCGATTACATTTGTTAGAAAGATGAAAATAGTCAAAGACAATCCACGATCGGGTATGCCGCACTGGTTCGTAAAGCCTCGACAGTCATTCTTCTTTCCGTAGAAGCAGACAGAAAAGGATACATAATAGGAATTTGTTCCTATTTTTAAATCTATTGTCCTGCCTTTGTATGTATGTATATATATGTGTGTGGGTGTGTGGGGATATGTCCACGTTCATGATATGTTACAATTTCTTTGTGTTCCCATTTTAAATTTGCAAATGTACTGGTGTTCGAAATTTTACATCTTGTGTATAAAGTAGAGAAACCGCCATTTCGTTTCGCTTTCTCTTTTTGTCGACGTCTTTCTCCATTACTATTACCACCTACGAGTATGGTCAAACTTTTTGTTTTGCTTTCAACTTTAGCCATTGCTGTTAGAGCACAAGTGCAATCGCCCACCTCTCTTTTCAATGTTACATCGCCCAGTCCCAACGCAATTTATGTGGCGAGCAGAATTCTTCCTTGTATCTACGATATTTCATCTGAAGCAACAGCCGATAGTAAGTATCTACTATTAGCGCCCAGTACGAGCGGTAACTAGTAGGATTCTAATGAGGTTTCCTTTTCTTTTACCAGAACTTCAATTGTCGATTTATTTAATGGGTACAAATACATCACAGCAAATCACTGCTTCAGCTGATATCTCTCAAGGATTCAGTTTTAAAAAGGACATTAGTGATGGTGTCGTCGCCTATGAGCATCAAATCAATGTAAAGTAGTTTTAGCGTACTGTGGCCAGAAGGATAAGGGGTGGGATATGCGTTGAACGAGTAGTTGGAAAAGAAAGAAGGCATTGTTTTTGGAGATGGAATAGTGATAATTTATTAGAGATCAAAAATCGTGTACTAATCTCGAAAATCATCCTTCTTGCTTAACTTTATGATTGAAAAAGTATAATATACCCACCACGACAGCTGCAGGATCTTATCAGGTGAGTTATATACACTGGTTAAAAAAGTTTTTTTTTTTTTTTTCGGATGCTTTAAAACGCGGCTTAAGATGACTGCCAAGAATGATACAAAAGGTTTTACTCTGTGCTAAAAACACAACCATATATATTGCTTTACACTTGATGATAGGTTGTTTATGTTGACAATGTTTCTCAAACCAACGTATCTATTCCTATAACTATTCGAGCTGCACCTACTCCTTCGCCTTCGGCATCCGTAGGCTCAGGAACATCTGCAGCCGGCTCTTCAGCACAAGCTTCTCCTACCAGTTCTGGAAGCATTTTCAAAGACATAAATGCAGCACCTAGTTCGCTTGTGGTTTTTAGTCCTGCTACACTTAGCCTTGCTCTTCTTGCTTCCATTATCCTCATTTCTGTAAACTTTTGAGTGGGGTGAACTGCTTGTTTGGCTCATAAAAAAAACCAAAAAAACTTTCCGCATAGTAAAAATTTATATATTCATATACCAATACTTATTGCGAGTCTAATTCAATGCTTTACATACACTTTTCTTGTTTAATAAAGTAAGCAACTATTTATAGTAGACGCATTTCACAGTTCTCTGTATGTTGATGGTGAGAATTTTGGCAATTTGAGTATTAAAAAAGTAACCGTACAAAAATTAAGTAGTTGACCTTTGGCTTCTAACTTCTGTACAAAACGGTATTGATTTTATTTTTGTAGTTTATATGTATATAATATATATGAATATATACATACACATATACGATTATGGACAATAAGAAAAGAATATTAAAAATGATGACAATTTTGGAGGTTCGAAAGAGATATTATGTAAGCTATTCACAGATGGGGGTTTTTTTTGATTTTCTTTGCTTTGGTTGTTTGTTTCCATGATTCAATTAAAAAAAATACAAGGAGGTTAAAGGGATATTTTTGGTGTGTGTGTGGTTAATATAATAAATAAAATAAGAAAAAGAAAAAAGGAACTACTTTTGCCAGGCTATGACATTTTTAGTTGACATCCATTACTTTCCTAACTATTCTTGTAGTTGCTGTCGCTCTAGTGTTAGAGGAACTTGTAAATCGTGCAAAAGATGTTGTGTAGAAAGAAACCATTTTGTAAAAGGTAACAGAAATGGCTCGTGCGACAGGGCCTCTAAAACCATAGATACAGCGAAGAGCAATCCACTGTTGCTGACGTTTAGGTACTTTGGTGCGTAATGGAAAACCTGGTTCATCTTTTAAAGTGGGACCGATAGCCATGTAAATCTCAAAAGCAGCGCGAATGCTATCTTGTACTTCTTCAGGCAATCCATCAATACCCTTTTGTGCTTTGTCAGCAATTTGATCTGCTAATTGAATGATACGCAATGAGAACGATTTGAGAGTTTGTTCGCCCACTTGATAAGGAGTACGAGCCACTTTAAGTAAATGATAGATTGTTTGAGGAGGATAAGGCATGTATTGAAGAGGAACGTAACAGCGGCCCACCAAGCTATCAGCGATAATATCACGAGCAATATTAATTAATTGAAGGCACTAAAAAGAAAAATGAGAAAAAAAAAAAAAAAAGTTAGATCTATTTTTGTGTGAGAGCAGACTATTTTTATTATTTAATTACCTGGCCAGTAGCTCTTGCACGTAATAGAGTCTCCTCTATTCTTGATGGGTTATTTTTTGAAGGTCCCCAATTACCACGACCTGTCTTATACATGATAACGCAAGTACAAAGCTCACCAAAAGTACCAGAAATCAAAGCAGCATAGTTCAGCAAGTCCTTTTGTTTCTTGACCGGCTCGCCACGAAGGTCATGTTCCCAAGCGTCGGTTAATTCAGACATGGCACGCGGGCAGAGATAATGAGAAATACGAGCAAAATTTCTAAATATAGCAAGCACATCGTCGTTGGGAAGGAGATTAGCGTAGTATGCCCAATCAATATGGGAAGGTAACGTGGGATCTGTAACAACGGCTAATTTTGATTTTACTGCAGTAGCGCTGGCGGTGGTGGTGGTGGTGGTGGTTGCTGTTGTGGTTGCCGGAGGGAAAAAAACGTCCCGTAGAAATCTGCGAATGGTAATCAAGTTCTTTTCGCATTGTCTGGGAGTAGGTGCGTCATCCACAAGATCGTCTGCAGTACGGAAAAAGGCATATAACAAACACAAATCTTGGCGTAAATTGGTAGGGAATAAGGCCGCCATCGTTTTCCATGAGCGAGATGCAGGGCCCAAAGCGCGAATGGCAGTTTCAAAATCTTCAATAGGGGCGGGATGCAGGAAGCCAGCAGTAGCAATCGAGTCGGGGGAGGATATGCAGATCAAGAAGAGACGCATCAAAGCATACCAATACGAAAAAGTAGTAGCACATTGAATGTGAGCCTGTTCTGATTTGTCGGTTTCTACGAGATGAGGATACATATTCAAGATGGCATCCAAAAAGTCAATCAGGTTGCTTGTCAAAACAAAGCCAAGTGTGATGAGAAACCATTCAAAGAGAGAGAGTTTGTGCAAGGTGCTATTTGTTTGCGCTATGCAGCCGACAATTATTTCAAATGCTGTTGGAATGATAGTAGACACAGCGATAGCTCGCCATCTCTGCACGAAATAAGGACCTGAAAAAAACCACAAAAGACCAATAAATGCTAAGCTAAATGGTACGATACGACTCGAAAGGCTTTGACTAGGTATGATGAAAATCGATAAAGTTAGTCAATGTAGGGTAAAAGGAGGATGCTATTGATGAATAAATACCTCGATATCGCTGAAAAGATGAGTGCAATAGATACACCATGCTTTAAGACGTTGGAAGTATAGATAGTTGATGTTGGCTTGATAAATGTGATGGGAAAATGCCACCTTGTCGACAAACCACAGATAGATACTGTAATTAATGAGATTAGGACGCTTACTGCTGCATCTATTATTAAGCATTGGTTGATTCTGAATGTTGACTCTGTTGCATTTGTATCAGAATTATGATTGTATATAGGGTTGTTATTGTTATTATAATGGCTGCTGGTTTGCAGATTATATACTGCTGCTACAGGATATAACGATGCTGTGTAGTTTGTATATTGCTTTGATGAGAATGTAGGTGTATGAAAATCAAGAGATGTATATCTGTGCTCGACGAAGAATGGTAGTAGAAATGACAGACAGCCGAATATAATATATTTAGCTGTGTCGAGCTTTGTTATGAAAGGTCGATAAATTGAAAAGACTACCAAAAAGGCGGCCATTGTAAGATAGAAATGGGACATAATAGCTATGATGGATATATGTATGTATGCAAAAAGTATTTTCAATGGATAGTAAGAGGATGCGCAGAATTTACAGTAGGAGAGAAACGAAATATATTAATTTTTTATCTTGTCACTTTTGTACTTTCCTTCAAACAGTCGTTATTTATATAAAAAAAGAGAACCGAACTTTGCTCTGGAAAAAAGTTGGAAGGTCTCCCCTCTAGTTAGCACTTTGATTTTTCCCCTGGGATTACACAAGAGAAACCTAAAAAAAATAAAATAAAAAAGAGAGATTAAACACAAAAGAACAAATTTATGTATGTTGGGTCTTCATTTGCTCCCTTAAGATAGAAGTAGTTTTTTCTTTATTAGTCATTGAGCGTTTGAATTCACACTGGTAAATTATATCTTCTTAAAGAGCATTCAACGTATAAAAAAAGCACGAAAATGTGGTTAGAATCATTACAATTCGATATCAACCAAACAAAATTAAAAAAGAAATACTCGACAGATTTCCACAAAGAGCACAACGATTAAAAAAAAAAGAACTAGCTTCTTTAGTAAATAACGTCTCTTAAATGAAACAGTTATACAGTCTTTTTCTTTAGGGTAGCAGTATGTAGCAAAAGTAGTAAGTAAAGTTCGTCAATTGTACAACGTACTGTGCATATATCCCAAGCTTCTTTGACCCGCCTCCTGCGTCATATCTCGTATCCCGAACACCTTAAATTCGAAAGATGATGGCACCTCTCCTACATGAAAAAAAATATTTTTTTGTCAAGGACTTCTTTATCAGTGTGATAAACCATAACACATTTTATTGTTTACAACTTTATGATGGATCGAGAAAAAAAAAAGTTAGAAACCTGTTCAAGTAATGCATTATATTATGCATTTTTGTTTGACAGAAAGAAAAGCAATAGAACCCAAGTAATTCCTATTCTACACTTTTATTATTCTCACGTAGTTTTCTCTGCTAACTGTGCAAAAAGCAATATCACGCTAGAAATTTAAATTTTCGTAGGCATTTGAGTGCAAAGATATACCTTGGCTGGTTTTTTCTCTCTTTGCAATAAAGCGGGATTGACAGACATCCCTCGTTAGCCACCCCTTCAAGTCAAATTCGATTATTTGTTGCTATTTTTTTCAGTATATCTATACTTATCAGGTTATATTTGTTCTCCTATTTCGTCAGATACAGTCTCCGTTCTTTGATTTATCATGGTGCTAAAAGATGAGTTTTGCCACCAACAAACAAATTTTAGGTTTGACTGTCAAGAGAATGTTTATAAACTCGGTAGCTCAAAAGAGATATCGAAAGAAAACAATCTTAAAAAAAAACCAAATACGTAACGCAGGAGGACAATCGAAACGATAACAAAAGAAATTTTATCGTTGGCAGCGTTTAAAAGACTATTTCTTGGTTTGATCGAACAAGATTAAGCACAAGAATGATTATCCTTTTGTTGGTTTTTTTTTTCTGAATAAGCGCGCAAAAGCATAGTTTAGAAATGACAACATGGATGAAATAAATATAGGAGAGATACATACAGGTTGTTATATGCAGTTACTCCATAGTGGCAAATAGTGGCAATCAATCTGGTTCTTCTTGTCTACATTTGAGCTATTTTACTGAATGTTTCATAAGTTTTTTGCGTGCGTCATTCCTCAACAGTTTTTCCCCGTTTACTCTTTGCTCGTAAAAGGGACATGCTTTGTGAGAAGACTTTTCAACATCTGCAATGGTATAAATGTTCTACGCTAAGCACCGACTTATCTGCATGGTCTCGATGCTATGATCTTTTTTTTTTTTTCGCTTTAACCCAGGGGTGGTTCAGGGATAGTGAAATTGTTATTTTTGTTGTAAAAACAAGAAGACTTTGTACATATTAAGGGCGCGTAGAAAAAAAAAAGACCCTAAAATTGACTGAGGAGATGATCATTATCACTATCAATGCTGCTGTTACTGCTGCTTCATGTATTGTATCACAGTATGTTTGAGGCCTTTTCATCGCCGTTCTTCTTTCGATTCTGTACCTAAAATCAACGGAGCGTATGCAGTTAAAATATAAATAGATTATGCCTTATGATGCGTCCACCTTACTTTATACATCAAATAACAGCCATTCTGTAGAGCAGATCAACTGATTCGACATTGTTTAGCTCAAAGTATCTACACGTTACACTCCTACTTTCCTACATAGAGCGCCTATCAAACATAGTTGGCATGGGCTTAGAGAAAAGAGTATGAGAGGTCTGCAGCTTTGGTCGAGAAAAGAGAACTTTAAAAATAGATTTGATGCAGGCGAAGGATGGAGACAACAAACAGCCCTTTTTGCTTGCTGTCTAATTAAGAAACAAACAAAAAACCGGTTTTGAACAGACTTAAAACTTTATGCTAACGCTCGTCTGATTCCGTTTGTATGCATACTTTACTGAATGTTTTTAGTCAAATATCGAAATGTCTGGGCAATGATACCAATTTTGGCTATTTGCTACACAAGTCAATAGCAGAAAATGCGATCATTACACGATAATCCATTTTTGTAATAATAATGAAAACTGGTGATATGGAACTGATCGGCTTGGATTTTTTATTTTAGTTTCTTTGAGTGGAAAAATGGGATTCTGCTGTCCAGAGTATACTTTTTTTTTTTTTTTAGGCGTCAAGTGATGGAGACGTGTACACCGTAATACAAGTGTCTTTTAAAAGTTTTGAAAGCTTCTTTGACTGAAAGCGTTTTATGATTGGCCTCCCCCTGACTCGCTACCAACTACTCTCAACTCTCTCTTTTTTCTTGTTTCTAATTCTCTTATTCCATATCACTCTTTGTCACTCGCTTGTCATTCGGTTCAGCTCACTTATTTGTATCATATCGCACTTGTTGCATTTCAATGGTACATCTGAGGCATTGAATGCAAGAATGGGATGGTTCAAGACGCTGATGGTTAACTAAACCTAAGAGGCAAGACAAGGCAGATAATTGGTGCAACACGCTTTGAACAATGTATAACTCAATGTATCTTTATTAATAAGAGAACAAGAGAGCAGAATGTTAAAGGTAGTGGTCGGAAAGAGCAGATAAAACACTAGATGTATTAGTTATGGATGCGTATCTTATCTATATGTTTGGAGCTGAAACGTTTCTGATAGCGGCAATGCCGCTCATTAAATCGGTTCCTTTTTACGGATTTTGTAACTATTCGCGTCAATTTTCAGACGGCGCTATTCTGTGAGGTTTACGAACGAGCGTTCCTGCTCCTATTCTTATATCACTTGTCAATCAAACCAATATGCTCTGCTTCAATTGGTAGGAATCACAGCTGAAGCAACAAACGTATCAAGCACGTGTCATGATGAATATTGTCCAATTGGATGAAATGCCTTTGCGTTTCGTGGATGGACTTGGTTTTGACCAGAACGGCGACGAACATCTTAATCTGAAAGAGCAGGCGGGCGTGCGTCCAACAACCACAGCACGCTTGCGATGATAATGCCAAGTAATTACAAAAAGAACATAATGAGAAGGTACAATTAAAGCCTATGGATACTATTCGATAACCCTTTTGTTAATAAAGAACAGTTGATGAACATTATGACTTGAGTTAAAGAATGAATGAAAGGAAATAATTGAAGTAGTTTAATTTCAATGCTTCAGACAGTTCTTTTTCTTTTTTTTTTTTCGCAAACGTGGCATCGACAATGTAACGATATAAGCGTTTTTGTTGTCATTGAAATGACAATAAATACGAGCTGATACAAATAAAGTGAGTTAACAGATCACAGTAGAATAGGCACAATACATTCTATCTTTAATTTCTGAGATATGTTGTTGAACAGAAAAGACGCTGAAAGGAGAGGTAAAGCTACACTACTCAAGCAACATGCATTAAAGCTGACCCTTATACCGTAGTGTTGGAACATAAAGGAAAGCATAACCAAGGTGTCAGAGGGCTTGGATATCTCATCCGAGAATTTCAAATATATTCTGAATTCTTGGAATGTTTCAAAGGGAATACCTTGCGAATGATGGTTTTGTACGATGTTATGCAGCTCCAACCACAAGTATTCACAGACATGGAGACCAACAACTATGTGGAAGTGGGCGTAATCAACTTTGAGACCACTTACCTGCAAAGGAGAAGAAATAGACGCGTCGATCGTTTGTTATGCATTATTGTTAATGATATATTGCCGAAGTGCATCCAAAATAACAACAGAATGTATCTCAACATCGGTCATATGAGTCACGGAAGAAAGAAGAAGATGTTCCTATGAAATAAATGCAGAAGCCATCATTTCAACATTGGGGACTGAAGCAACGAATCGTAATCAAGAATAAAAGTACTGGTATCATGTATGTTCGTTTTGAGAAATCTGCTCATATTCGAGCGTAAATTCTGTTGAAGAATTCAAAAAATTATATTTAGTCATTCTATACTAATGGTCCTTCTATTCAAAGATGGCTTTTAAAATACAATCTACGGGCTTATCAGTAATTGATAATGAGGCTTCGCAACCTCGATATGGTCAAGTTGGGGAATTCACGAATCTACTAGCCTCCATCCGAACATTTCATGAAGAATCTCGGGTTCTTGGTGAAGAACAATTGACTACCCTTGATACAAATATAAAAAATATCCTAAAATATGACAAACGAACGACAATACGCATCCCAATGCCAACCTGCGAACACAACGAAGGTATACGGAAGCGTTACAAGTAACCGAAACCTCGTCAGACCATTTTTTAAAAGAACGCTTATTCGTCTGGGATATAAGTAAATCGAAATCTTCTTTCGAACTAATGTAACGTTGTACTCTTCAACTACGTATCTTGATTTCTCTGGTTTGATAGGTTGAAATCAAGAGTTACTGGATTAACCACAGACATCCTGTGACTAGTGGTAGCATTATTATTTGTGCTTTTTTTTCTGCGTCACTATCTTGCAAGCGATTTCGACTGCTTTGAACCAACAGATCAACGCTCTCTCACACACACAAGGAACCTAAAAGTTCGTTTTAGACAAGTAGTATAACACGTATATTGTTTGGTTACGTGACATTGATCAGTCATATGTTGTGTTTTGATTACAATTTCAAGTACAAAAAAGAAAAAAGAATTCGTAACATACATAGGGATTCATATTAAGCCTCAAATTAAAACTAAGTCTGCATTTTATCACTTATTTGATCATTGCACAGATCCACAGATCAAATGACGAATACTTTAATGACCTCTTTTTAGAACTTGAACTTAAACTTGCAACTTCCGATAATCGATGACAGAAATGATGGACAGATGCATAAGACAATTCTGGCAATTTATGAGTAGAATTTCTTTATTGTGACGGAATATCCTTGCCTGAAGCATGGTTTTAATAAGAGGCATTGCGTTTGCTGTTCAATTTTTTCACGTAGAAACGTCTTAAACTTATTGTGCAAAAGCCGATTAGAACAACAAACATGTTTGAAGTTCCTGAACTTAAAAGTACGTTGCTCAAGTAGCAACCTAGAAAGCAGAGTCCGAACGAGCTTATGGCTGTATTTGAGGAACGGCTGACACGCTACCATAGGAAGAAATTCTACAAAACAAATGTAACTGCTGCCTAATCATCTGAAATGGTTTTCTTTAAGTTAGAGTTAGCACTAACCTACACTGTATCTTTGCACTTTTCAATAATTCCGTTATTGCTTTCGATAGCTCACATAGTTGTAGCATCACCATTGAGTGTCATATGACCTTTGTTCGCACTTTTGGAATAGGGAAAAGGAGGCTTGAAAAAATCAAAATAACATTTGGCGGGCTTCCCAGCGGAAATTTAGGCCACGGGAGCAGCGATAAACTTTGTATCACGTAGTGCTAAATCTTTTCTAGTATTATTGACACAAAACGAAAGTACGTTACACTACAGTTCTACGCCGGTTCTTTTTTCTTCCATTTATAGATTCTCGATCAACCAGCCATTTTTCTGGAATTTCCTTAAAGCAGTGCAGTTTTTTTTTTTAATAAGTGAATGGGAGGGCAACTTAGAACCACTTGTTGTTGCTGCTGTCCTGGACCTTTCTTCTTCTATTACTATTACTACGAATATAATGCATTGAAATGAAAGCTGTTGATCAGAACTTTACTACAACGGTTTTGCAATAACCAAGGAAAGTTGCTGTTTCTTTACATGCTCATATTATTAATAAAATAAATATAGTAAAATTAGTTTTTGGAAAAATTATCATCAGCGTGAGAGATTGCGCCCTTGTTGTTTAAATGAGCGCAAAAAGGAGCGTATGGCCAAATCATCATTATGAGAAGAGGGGTCTATTTTCAGAGAACTTTCAAACAATAATATTCTGGCTGTTTGTGTTAAAACACTTATTAAAGCAATCGAACATGAAAAAAGAAATATTTTATTCAAAAAGTAAAGTAAAGATGAGGGTCCAAGACTTCGTACAAACTGCTTTTTTATAAACGTGTTTGTTTACGAAAGTTGGATCGTTCTTCTGCGTATAGATGATTTTATAGTTTGGGCTTTTTCACTGCTTAGAAAATAAAAAATTTCGGCAACTGGGCTTTTTCACTGCTTAAAAAAAAAAAATTTCAGCAACTGGATGAAAAAAAGGCAGCCGGGCTTTTTCACTGCTTAGAAAATAAATAATTTCATTGTTCTACATCATTTACCAGTTGATCTCTATAGAAAGCTTGAAAATCAATCGCGTGAAAATACAAGTCATTGTTGGTCGTGCCTTCAACAATCCTTGTTGACTGCGACTCGGACTCCAATGTGGTAACAAGCTCCAAGAGCCGCGCTTTATTTTCCTTTTATGGTTCAAAATTTATAATAAATTTAAACTGTACTCTATACTTTCCCTTTTCCCTTTTATACCTTCAAAAGGCGTATCAGCTCAATTTTTTTATCTAAAACAGGGAGGGCAAGATTTAAAGCTAAACTAAGTGATTTGATTCTTCAACCAAGAAAACCAAGTAGGGTGGGTTGTTACCACATTTTTGTCCTCGTCTCCGTCAACGGACGTAATTATTATTTTTCTAATTTGTAGATGGTCCCTACAAAATTGTTTGTTTAGTTATTTTATTTCAGATTTCATAGTATTTGCTTACTTACTGCAAAAGGCTCTTCAAATCACCCATATTTGTTGTGAAGCCAGCATAATCCAGCGCCATCTCACAAACCTTATCATTCTCTCGAATGAAAGCAAGAAAGTCTAAAGAAGAATTATTTTTCAAATTTGATATGATGATATTCTGATATAGTTTTGTACCATTCGTGTCTCCATCAACATAAAGCAAGTCTTGCAGTATTGGCTACTGATTAGAATCCCGTTTGTGAAAACTTTGTTTCATGTTGCTACATGGTGATATAAAGACTTTGGCCTAAAATATCCACCATTCTTTGTAGTAAAGTCGCTCTATTATCAGTAGGTATTTTTTGATTTTCTACCATAACCAACAATATGGTATCCGTCCTTTTTCAGTTGGTCGATGTACGCATGATGTCGTAGTATAACATCTATAATGTATTTCGCAACATCAACCATAAATCTATAGTTAAAATAATTGTTATCGTGCAAAACCATTTTACGAGCTTTACCGTAGTATCTGCTGTCCAAAACACTTAGAGCGCGCATTCTCAATCTTACTTTCTCTGAACTTCTCTTTACAATTTTACGTTCAGGTTCATCTGTTAACAAGTCAACATTTTGTTTGTTCAACCATTGTGTGAACGCTAAAAGTGTATACCTGTCGAATTTGGTGGTGAAAGTCCAAACAATTCCCAATATCTCTTTATCATCTACAAACTGTAATTTGTAAAGAGGAGAGTCTGGCGAATGCTCAGCTTTAGGTCGGTATATGTAGTTTATAAAATCGACAATCTGTGCGTCATTGTCTATATTTTTATTGTTATTAGCAATGCTTTCGTTTCTCGTATCTATTTTTACTTACGGAATAAGATGTCCTTCTTCTCATCCTTGTTACTCTCACTTTCTTCGTGTTTCTTGTCTACTTCTTCTTTTGATTTAAAGACAATCTTCTTCCAGTCATCAACAGTCCACTTGATATGCGCTTTTGCCCTTCTCAAATGATTGCGTCGGTGTTCATTAGTCAATGGCAGTGCTGATTTCTTGATCTTGGAATCGATTTCAGATGACTTGAGCACCCTACGAATCGTTTTGAGCAGAAATATCGTGCTGTTGAGCACGAAGGCTTCTGGTAGCATCCACGGCGGTTATATAGTGACCGGTGTAGAACGATCTCGCGAACAGTCTAGCTAGCAAATCGCTGATCTTTTTTGGTCTCCCCATCTTTTGCATTAGGGTCGACCTGATTGTCTTTGGCGATTCGACCAATGGACCTAGTAGAGACACAAGTAGCGGCTGAAATAGCTCTATATGACTTTTTAGCATTGATTTGAGCTATAATATCCACCTTCTTGTCGTAAGGAATGCTTCTGATTTTTACGCTGATGCTTGCTAATGGAGGCTAATGGCAGATTGATCTCCAATTTAACTTAATGCAAGAAGAGAAACGCGTTTCACATGAATATAAAACCAGGAACCTGATTTCGATTGGATGACTTTGAAATTTCTTTATTTTCGCAAAAAGTTGTGATGACGATCATGCTGTGAATGGCGAGATTTCGCCATTTAGCAGTGATAACTGTTACAATCAGTAAATCTGAAGCGAATGTAATGAAAAGCACACCAAACTGTAGCGAATAATACATGAAACGCGAGAATAGCATTAATTCATGACTGGTTCCGGTTGACCTTTTCGATTAAAAATTCTTATCACCGTACTCTTAAGTATGAAGTAGCTTACTCCTTTGAAGAACGAAACGACTTGTTCTGAAAATGAGCCCAGCAAGTCAGCATCTTTTAGATTCAATGTTAGTGATCGCAACAAATTGTTCATAAACTCCTTAGTCTGAAGTTGACCCGATTGAGGTCTTGCTAACGGCGGAGACAGTTATTCGACGTATTTATTCTGTTTGTTCGCACTAAGGACTTCCTCTTCATGAGTAAAATGCCAAACATTGCAGATGTTCCAAAGCCAAGGTGTCAGAGGGCGGCTCTCATTTTTTTAAAAGTGGGCAAGCTCCAGAAGAGTTGAAAATTGCTAGACCTACGAGAAGGAACAAGAAGCGGTCATACCTTGGTCGCCTAGATTCCGAACGATGAACATGAACAATTTTTGTTGCAAAAGCACGGTGAAGGCTCACCTCTTAAGTTATAGTGAATGAAGCAGTAGAAAGTCATACTACACAGTTTATTTGTGCTTCTTATTGTGAACAAGACAGTTAGAAACACTTTGAAGTATTTTTAACGCCATTTTTTTCATTTTTGATTGCAATTAAAAAGTTATAAGTACTCCTTTTAGTTCTCAAAATTATAGCAATTTTGATTAACAGGATCAACCACGAGAAGGTAAGAAGTCATTTGATCCCAAAAAAAAGTGTTGTGGCAGGCAACCCCAACCACGCCTTAGTAGTTGGCCAGGCAACCCCAAACCAAAACTAAAGCTCCCCCTAGATCCTGAAGAGCATCACCTTCAGATTAAAAGCTAGAAGATAGACCAAGTTGTCATTCAGCTAATGCCAGTTAAACCAGCTGGGCGTTCTGACGGGACACTAAAAACATGCAAATAACCGGCGGTCACCTGGTAGCACAGGTGCTCGGTTATATTAAAAAATGAAACTTTCTTTCAGAGAGCTTGCACTACTTCGAGGTACAAGCAAAGGCAACCAAGATTAAATACCTAAAATCCCTGATTAAAAGTGTAAGCCCACGTATTTTATTTATATGGCTGCTTTTAATACTCTTCCCCCATATCACAATGGATAGTCCACCAGCTTTTATCTTAGTCGATGCTTTTATCGCAGGCCTGTTTCATCATGCATCTAGTTGGAAAGATGTGCTTTCGCTATTATTAGTATGTCAACAGTTCAACTATATTGGACAGAAACAAGCAATCAACGTCCCCTTCCACATTAACGCCGATTTCGGTTGTGGAAAGTTCGCAGCTCCTTCAACAATGGCAACAGTAGTACACATTGATTGTAATTCTTACACCGAGGAAGCTGTCTTCAACTATATCGTAACTTCTTTCACAAGCTGCTTTGTCGTTGGCATTAATTTTAATGACTTAAACAAGTTGTCGACAATTAAAAAGATATGTAAGACTGTTTTAAGGAAAGGAATATCGTTGGATATACTTGATTCTTGTAATACAAAGGTGCACGATATCATTTACACGCTCACCAAGAAATACAGTGAAAAATACAAAGATTACAAAATGAAACAAAGTGGATCGAAACTCATCAAAAGGAAACATTCTGAAGATGACTTCATTATGCTGCGAGTTCCCAAAGATACTCGATTAAGACAGAAGTTTTCATTAGCGCATCTATTGCATATTGACGTGTTTGGTGAGATAATAACTACAATACTCGAGTACGTACAACCAGGTAGAGAATACATTCTACCACAATCTATCTATATTGCATCTAATATAGGTTATGTACAACATAGAACAAGATACAGGCCTAAATATAATAATCACCAATAAGCATCTGAACCTGAAATTAGTGACTAGCATACGCGTCCTCAAATAATATAATTCCCATAAAACCTCACAAAGTAAATAACCCTTCTACTTCAAATGAAGAACAATAAAGACACCCAAGTTCATAGTCATCGACTTACAACTGTTATCAATTTTATAATAAGCAACAAATACAACACATATGCCAAATTCAAGTCTGCCAAACGTAAATAGCAATGTTGAAAATCCCTTCGCCACCATTAGCCATATAACTATGTACAAAGATATTATAAATATTTCATTCTTTACTTCTGGTTTTGATGAAGCATCTTCTCAGATTCAACAATTCATAAACTGTATTATCAAATTTAATGGATTCTCATTATTGGTCAATAGCTTCGATGTGTTCTATCATAATCATAAGTATTATGACGATTGTGCTCATGCCTTAAACAGAATTGACCGAGTAATCACAGCTAGGGTTTCTCGCAAAACATACACTGATAAACAATTTATGGAAATCTCAATATTTGCTGGTTATTATGAGCTGTTGGTCGTAGCTGGATATATTCACAAGCATGGGTCAATTACCCCATTCTTAGGATCGTCAGTAGGCAATTTCAAATTAGATGAAGATACTACTACATGTATCAAAGTCCCTGCTCTTGCGTCAGAGTTCATTTGTACCAAGCGTCTTTTGAACCAGTATGTAAAACGTCGCTCTCATAATTTATGGGGATTTCATTGTGCACGATCTTTTGCAGGAGGCATTTACCCTATTTCACCTATTGAGCTAATGAATCATGCTAGTCAGAAAGCTAGGATGCTCAATAATCATCATTTCAACTCTGTTGTTCTTCACCTATTTTCATCTCCAAAGGCGATAAAAAGCAAGGATTTGGAAGCACTATGGTCGCTGATAATCCGTTTACCTTTCTTCAAAACAAAGATGGAAGCAGTCAGTACAACACCAACAAACTTCGCTGAAATGTCTGATATTTTGAAAAAAATCAAAGATGATAGCCATACAGGATCTTTGATTCATATTCTTGGCTCTTTACAATTAAAAACACCTTGCTTTTTCTTATCACTTTATGGTGAGACAGTTGCAAAAGACATTGCACTAAAAATTGTGACACCCCTATAACAGAATTAGTGGAACTCATGAAAGATATGAAGATAAATTTAGTCCAGTACGGTCAAACGAAACAACAAAGAAATAGATATCCTCCTCGTAACTTCCGCCCTTCTCAAACCTTTCCTCAAGGGGTAGTACATCCATCTCAACCACCTTATGTCAACCATCCTGTTATATGTTTCGCATGTAACGTTCTGGTTTGAAAAAAGAGATTTATAGACAACATAATATTATAGTTAACAAAGTGAAAAAAGATTTATTAATTTTTTAGTATTTTTTAAAAGCTCAAAGTAAATAAATCGCCTTACCATGCTGCGCACACCGCTGGTATTTCTTCCCATAAATTGAGCATCTTAACCACTAGAAGTAGTGTAGGACGCCCAACGACTTGATGTTTCTGACTTCAATTTCTCAACCGGTTGCATAGTCACCAATGTGAGTGTTGTATTCACCTACAACATCACTCTAGAGAGAAAGTTTCGGGCTGTCTAACGCCATTAAAATCGTTTTCGGAGGCGGCTAACAACAACCAAGATTTATATAGCACTTTTTTTTCAGATGTTCAATTTAAAGATTATTGTTTGTATTTTGAGTAAGGTTCTTGATACGAATGTTAGCGTCAGGCATATTACCTAATGTTGCTCTTTGTAAGCAGTGGAATGGACCGGTTGACTTTTTTTTTCATTTTTTAAAGCAGTGATCGTACCTGAAGGAATTCCAATCTCCGCGACTCCTTATCTTACTGTGAGCCGCGCATTATTTTCGTATGTAGTAAACATACTTCCAATAGGAGACAGCAAGTCTTACACTTCAGCAAAATGAAGGAATAAGCTATACTCAAGCAAAACTCTACACCTTATTCTAACAATGACAACGTAGACATAAGGGTGAAGAGCAACAACGCTCCCAACAAGAGGATGATCTCCCCAGAAATATTGCAGAACTATTAAAAGTCCATCACTCATTGGCAAATACCAAAGTATAACCATGACGAACATGTCGTACTTGAGGATAGATGATATATAGATGTGTATATACCTTAGAGATTTTAATTTACTTTATTCAGTAACTGTGTAGTATTGTAGACCGTAAATCGAAGAGAAACTACATAAACGCTAATATTACGAGTACCAAGAATTGAGTGTTATGCTTAGTTGACAGCATCGTGTGAGGAATGACGATCTTGTACAACATCATCGCTGAAATAATAAAGTGAAATAGAAAACAAATATAGAATACGTGTTAGTTTTTAAACGGGATTAGCTACCTCGTATAGGGCTGAACAGGTCGTCATTTCGGATATATAGTTTACTTATCTTACTATAATACGTTCCTATATAACATTGGGTAAGTAGTAGAATAAATGTATGGACATGCAGAATAAATTGATTCACTACCAAGATATAATAGGTTATAAATATTGTTTACTGCCTTCTAAAAAAGAATGACCAAGAGGATAGGCTTTAAAAGACTGTTTTCTCAACTCAAATTACCACGCACGAATACTGTATCATTTTCTTGGATAATACTAGTTTCTGCAAGCTGTGCTGCATAATAGTCAGTACGGAAAATTAGTTGCTTAATCACTAGATCAAGCCCAAGGATACTCTTACAAGCGTAGACTGCGCAAGGGAGAACCCTATTCTTTTACGGTACGTCTTTATTGAGTAGAGTAACTTAGCAATCAGTTTCGAGGCCCCGCAATAAGAAAAAGAATGCAATAGAGTTTTTCTTTCTTTTGACTGTTGATTGAATAAAGTTTTACTAGTTTGATCTCGTAAAGCTTTTTGTAATAATTTCACGTACTATTTACAACCTTACCAGTCGTCAAATAACACAGAATGTTGTATATGAAGAATAAAGATAGAACATAAAAGAGGAAAGAAAACAAAAAGGAAATCCGTGAAGACCAAATTATTTTTTATTATGAATAATATGCTGATCTAGAGTGAAGACAAAAAGCAGATACAAAAAAAGTACTTCTATTTATATTTGTGAATATAGTGAAAAACTCTTTCTATCGATCTTTTAGGTACAAGATGTCTTAGAACATAAAAGAAAAGACATATCCAATTGTGACTGCACGGTTAATTGTGACAGAGCAGTGTCTTGACCAGTTGAAACTCTATAAGAAGATAAGTAAGCTGATACTTCGGCAGATCCATTAGTCGTAAGTTATTAACTGTGGGATTGTTGGGAGAATGAACCCTAGTTGTTCCTTCGTTGCATCATTGTTATCCGATATGCCCAAGTGGGGACCTGAGTGGTTTTGAGTCCCTTTTCAAGTTGATTTTCACGTATTATTCTCACCAGCTCCTAAGCTTGGAGATGTAATTTGATTGCTTGTGTACCCGAGGATAATGAAGACATAGGTTGGGTGTCATTTTCTTTTTGTATTTTGCTTTTTTTTCCCCCTCTTTTTTGTGTCTTTTGCTAGATTCTATCTACAAGTAATGTTAGAGGCCGAGGGGAATGTTTTTGGAAAAAGTGAAGCAGCCGCTCTCGTCGAAGCACAACTATACAAAAGAGTTTAAGGAAAGAGGGGAAATGTTGGCTATGAGTAATACTGCCTGATTTAGGGCGTGGTACAAAGAGTTTTCAGGAGGGATCGAAGAGTATTATAAGGACGTTACTTTTCGCGCGCGCGACACTCTTAACCTTGCGTGGTTGGTTCGTGTGGTGTAATTGTGATAAATGGATAAACTGACAATCAATCAAAGAATAGTATTAACAGCTGATTTATATGGACTGATTTTATCAATGCCAGATAGATCAATGAGTAGGGGTTTCCAGGGAATAGCATAAAATTTTGGGTTTATTTAAATCTGAAAGTCTTTACAAATGATAAGCTTTGCTTAATGAAGTTAGTTGCTTTAATGGTTTTTAGCAATGACAAAGAAACGAGCATACAGATGAACCGTTATAAGGTATGACAACAAAACTCATGTCAACAGACAGACAATCAAGAATGTAGACTCCAGTAAAAAAAATAATATAAATGCATAAGAAGAATAAAAGTGTAAAAATAAAATAAAAATAAAAATAAAAATAAAAATAAAATAAAATAAAATTATGTATATGAAAGAAGAGAAATATTTTCTTATCTCACCGTCTTGAACTATAAAACTATTAAACATGTATACATTACTTATTATTAGCATAGAATATTATTATAAGGTTTCCATTTTATTTATTTTGTTTCCACAGTGGAATTGGTCGGCCATGAACTATCCCTGTGCTATTCATGTTACTGTACGTGTAGATTTCTATTTTCATTTTCAGGATATTGTAATGCTGTATTTTTCTTTGAAATTTGCGCTGTTACTTTACTGCGTGTATTTTATGCTTGGCTTATTCACCTTTTGTTGCAGCCCATAAGAATGAATGACAAGGCGCTACAAAGCTCGAAACGAGATGAGCATGCTGTATAAAAAACACAGCATACCCATCTCATTCGAGTACATTTTCAAGAAGCAAAAAGTATTATCCTAGAACGCTCGGGTAGCTCAGAATAATTGCTACTTATCAAGCCACGTAAATGTCTTTAGGCTGTTGGTTCTGAAGAACCTGCAGCGCCGTTCTCTTTACGGCGATTGCGTGAAAATACTTCAGCGCGACCATTGTTATTTCATATGGAATTTGCAATATGAAGCATATTCTTCGCCGCATCCGCAATGCGTTGCCATACAATACCGCAGCGTTGCAAGAGAAAGTACACGAATTCCGACTGCCTATATAGATTGTTACTGATCTTTATTGAAATTCGTATACAAAAACATCACGCATTAATTTCGCTTAAACATATAAACAACAAATAACTTTCAAAGATTGAGCCTTGTTACTCATATACTAAAAGTCATATTGTAGCCGTCGCTATTCATTTCTTAATCTTGGGAGACCTCCGCACTTTTTCCCTCTCAGCGCATTTTTTTTTCCAAAAAATCGCCCCATTGTTGAATAACAGATTTTCACTTTTCTTACTATTACTATTGTTAAATAGAACAAAAACGTAGAATAGATTGGCAGTATTCACCTCTAAATACTATCAAGTGATAAATAATACGGCTCTACCTCTTACTGTACACACTAATGTCAGAAACTACTGTAGATCAATCGGCATATCCCAAAGATGTTCCCCTTGACGAAGAGATCAACGTACAAAAGAGTTTAGCAGCTGATTACCTTAACAATAGAGTTTGTGATTTCAGAAGCAATATATCTAAAGCTGTTCGTGATACCTATCTTGGTCGTCGATCCCTCCCCAACTTTATAAAATATGCAACGACAGTTATTATTGATAAGGAAAACAACTTCAGTCAATATAATATCAATATGAAAGTGCTATTCCTTAATTCTGTCAAAACAGTTGAAACCAAGTTGGAAATCCTGAAAGATAAAAGCGACAAGGATGCCAGTTATGTATCAGAATACAAAGAGCATAATAGGAGACTCATTACCATGATAAAACAGCTAGTGGTAATTTTTGTTAACAGCAAAGTATTTTTATGTGCAACTTCCGCTGATAACCCAATTGTATCAATCATTGCAGGAAAATGAAGCTATTACTACGAATGATTGCAAGATCCACTTGAGCACACAGTTATTAGCAGACTGCGAAATGGTTCCTAGCAAGGTATTATTTGACCGTCGTCTTGTTCGTTTGAATACAGCCATGTTGTAAGTTTACCAAGATAATGCCACGAAATTCTACAAAAAGCGCGTCTTCTAAAATAAGCTGTTGACACCTTAGATATAAACAAGACAAATACAATTTGATTCGCGAAGTTGGAGAAGGATATGCTAGTTTGATGAACGAACTCACTGCAGGCACAATTGACAATGAACGCGACAACAAAGGAAAGCTTATACCCACCCCTTTTGAAAGAATTCCTAAATTCTTAAACCTCATCACCGCACATATTGGTGTATTTCATCTTGATCCTAACCGTGTTTTGGATATCATTCTTGACTTCTTCATTCGACAATTAACTGTGAATTACAAATTTTGGATTCAATTATTGAAAGAGTCAGATTGGATCAGGAAACTGAAACCTACAGATACAGTAAATGGCGAGATTGCATGTAGTCCAAGTGCTATTATGGGACAGTTGTTTGGTTTTAGATTTCATAATTATCAAGTAAGTATCATGAAACGTCTTTTAAACAGTAAAAGCAGAAAGACTAATTGAATGTTTTTGTCTTTAGAACCAACAAATATATCCAACAAGAGAGTTTTACCTTGCACTTGCGATTTTATTGAAAAACAATCTTGTGAATTTGGCCGACGTATTACCTTACGTAATGTATAATACTTGCTTATGCATAAGATAACCAGTACTGATCTCTTTTACTAATTATTGTTGCTCTATTCAAACAGCTATATCCTTATGGTGAAGATATGGAGGATAAAAAGAAGGAATATAACGCAAAAATGAATAAGGAAATCACAACAAACTCTGGTGGAAAATTAGCCATGTACGGTGCTTTGGGTGAAGAAGGCACCACTCAAAAAGTTAAACGCTCGGCTGATAAGGATGCAGAGGACGGTACGCAAACAGAAGCCAAAGTGTACAAAGCAAATGATGTTGTAGAGCTTGTAAGGGCTCTGATCTCAATCGGCGATTTGAAGAACACCCATCTGATGCTGACAGAGTACGACAAGTTGATCGATTTATATCCTGAATTGGCTTACGATATTTATCGCCTTTGTCGAACTATTTTACGACCTGCTTACGACATATTCGTCACAGATAAGAATAGGAAACTGTACAATTGCTTTGCCGAATGCGCTGAACGTTCACAAATGAAAGCAGCACTTGCTACTCAAGATGACTTGAATCCAACTCTACCTTCCCAAATCAAGTTAAAGCGAGTTTTAGTTACAGATGCTTTGTTACACGACACATCAAATTTAGAGAAAAAAGAACGATACACCTTCTTTTATAAAGAATGGCAAGAGCAGCTCAATTATTGTAAAGAAGTAGAAGACTTGACAAAACATTTTCTTCCTCTCATGCGTCTCGCTGGTTATAGAACCTATCTTGCCACTGATTTGGTTCAGAAATTGATTTTGATCATTGATGGTATTATCACACGTAGTTCCGAATTCCCTGACAGCCGTGTACATTGTACCACTATGCTTCGTGAAATTTTGCTGCCTGCTATATCTTTCAGTAATGGTAACTTGGGTACTATGGCAAGTGTTTGGGAGGTTCTTTGTCGTTTCAATTTCCAAGAACGCTACGCACTGTACGGTGAATGGTATTTTGATTTTTATAAGAAAACTGTTGAAACCAAGTTATTGAAGGCACGTACAGAAAGATCCGTCAAAGCAGTTATGCGTCGTATCAACAAGGATGATGTCCGTCGTTTTGGCCGTGACCTAGGCAAGCTGGCTCACTCGAATCCCACGATTGTATTCAACACAATATTGGACCAAGTACAACAATTCGACAATATGGCACCTATGATGGCTGATGCTTGTCGATATCTTGGTGATTTTGCTTATGACGTTTTGGGCTTTGTCTTAACGGATAAATGGACAGGCGCGACTCTTCCGGGTAGAATGGTTAAAGAGAAAGAGAAAGATGATGGCATGCCTGCCACATGGTTACGTTCCTTGGCCATTTTTTCTGGAATGCTGTTCAAAAAGCAAGATATCGATACGACACCTTTATTACGGTATATAGCTCGTCGTTTGCGTGGTGATAATTCTGTACCTGACTTAGTACTGTTAAATGAGTTCGTGACAAAAATGGGAGGCATAGAAATATTAGCAAGCGCTTGCACGGATGATCAAATAACAGCAGCAGGATGCTCTGATTCACTGAAGACAGAAGCATTCTTGCCTATTGCGCCTGAAAACCGCCGTGCCTCTCGTCGTGTTTTAGATCGCTTGCAAGAATCACTCTGTAGAAGCAATGTTGGATTTGAAATTCTCGTTCTTTTATATCATCTCGAGGAAGTTGTTAGCAGTGAATATGGTCTTCCAGCAGCTGACCGATGCTCCAAACTAGATCGTGTACGCCAGAGTCAGTTGCAATATTTTGAACTGTTGACCTCATTATTTGAGAAAGAAGAATTCGATGCATTGATGCCAAGCGTTACTGATTTGGTGAACAATTATAAATTGCCTCTCCATGTCGCGTTGACGTTCAACAGACCCAAAACAAGCTATGCTATTAGAAAGGATATCAATGAGCCGGTCGAAGAAGGTACAATTTGGAAGCCCCTACAGCCATTAAACGAAGTGATACCGAGCTTATTATCCAACCCTCCATTGACAAGCATATTCTCTTCGGAATTCTTCGTCATTTTCTGGCAACTTGGCTTGTATGACATCTATTGTCCCGAAAGTCATTACGAGACAGCAATTAAGCGTCAAACAGAAATAATCCGCCAGTGCCAAGATACGCGTAGTACTTTTTACCAGAATAATCGTATGTCGGTAGTTAGCAAAGCAGAACGTCAAGCTCAAGCGAATTTAAAAACGCTCCGTGAAGATTTGCCGACACATAAAGCTCATGTTGAGAAAATGATGAAAGTCATTATGGCCTCGAAGACGCGTTGGTTCCCAAACATCAATCAGAGACAGCAACAGATTTCTAGTATAATGGAACATTGCATTTTACCTCGTAGTCAACAATCAGAAGTTGACGCAGCATTCTGTTTCGAATTCATCATGCTAATGCATCGTATCAACGTACCCAACTTTTCCAGTCTCACATTGTTCGATAAAATGTTCTCAGACAACTTACCTGTTTGCTTTTTGGCATTCTCCGAATATGAAACAACCATTTATTCACGATTTATCTTCAAAGCGCTTCAAAAAATGCAGCAGTGGCATGCTGATGAAAAATTGTACGTAAAAGAAGCACATGGTGAAGATCTCATTGGCTTCCAAAAGAACTGGAACTCAACACCTACACCAGTTGCTAAGGAAGATTTACTCAGTTATAATGATTTTCGACGTGTGCTGTACAAATGGCATTATAAGACAAGTATGACCATTGAACAAGCTCTTAATTCTGGCGAAGCACATATTATAAAAAATGCATTCTTGGTTCTACGTCAATTTGCACCCTGTTTCCCAGCAACAACTATACACGGTGATAGTATTTACAAAATTGTAAAGCGCTTGTCTGAAGAAGAAAAGCGTGGAAATATCAAAGTTTTAGCAAGAAGCTACCTGGGATTGATAGCCAAGTATAAGACCAAATGGGTTTCGAAAGACGCATTTGTGGGCATAAAAGAGGCTCGACCCGTGGAGATAAAGATTACCCCTAAGCAAGAAAGCTCATCAGCTTCAGAAAAGCAAGATAAACCCTCCTCCACGGAAGAAAGCAAACGTCACGAAAGCAGCAGCACTTCTCAAATTAAGCATACATCATCGTCGGCTTCGTCGTCAAAGGCGGACGCATCACCCAAAGCCACCAAAGAAAGGGCTTCTAGTCGCTCGGAATCACAGCAAGCGCTGCCGTCCTCGTCATCTTCCGAAAGAAAACGGTTGCGTGATATGGACTTGTCGCATGCACGTGAATTAGAGTCCTCGAAATATCAACGCACTGATGACAACAGTAACAGCAGCAGCAGTCGACATCATCATCGCACACCTACTTCATCAAGTCGAAGAGAGTCCCCGCGCGACAGTCGCGATACCTCTATTCAGATACAGATTCCATCTCGTAATAATGGAACTGAATCATCATCATCCTCACACTTAGACATTAATTCAAAAGATCCAAATCGTAAAGCAGCAAGTCGCAGAGAGCCAGCAGGATCTACACCCCGCGGACGCGGCTCAAACTCATCCTCTAGTGCTGCAGTCAATGAACCCTCAGCAGCTACTTCCACAGTTAGCAATAGTAATAGAGCGAACGATGACGATAGATCTAGTAGTCGTACATCTCGAGGCCATAGCGAAGTGAGTGTCAATACCCCTAGCAATAGTCGTCATGACGAACGTAGTGGTAGAACATTGGGAACGAGCTCTTCATCTTCATCAGCTCAGCGTACATCAACGGAGAACCGCGGTGTTAAAAGATCTTTGGACAGTAGTGATAGAGATCGTGACCGTGATCGAACTGATAAAAGAAGGGATATTGACCGTTCCCGAGCTGATAGGACGCGAATTGACGACAGAAGAGACGAACGCAACCGTAGAGATGATCGTAACCGAAGAGATGATCGAAGAAACGATGATCATAGAATGGGTGACCGTAGAGTTGATGATCGAAGGGATAGAGAAAGACATGACCGTCGCGGTCGACGATAAGTAAAAGTCGTTCAATCAAAAAAATAGATAAAGCTCAAAAATGTAAAATAAAAACACGAGAGTTTGTTAAATCGTATATATGTGTTTCAATGACGTGGCGGTATTTTTTTGGCGATGTTTTCTACTTGGGGCTTTTGGGTTGCAAAAGCACGAATAGAATAACTTCTTAATGTATATCCGCTAAGTGGTTTTTGTGATTTTGTGGGCTAAAGTACTTTTTTTTTTTTTCCCTTTTATTTTTGGGATCCCGCCGAGGTAATGGCTTCGTAAACAAATTTATTTTTCTACCTTGTCCTGTCTTTCTACACTTTAGCCTCTGTTTTACGAAATATGAGTACTGAAACAGCATTGAGTGAAATAGAAAAGCTTCGCATCACAACACGTGCCGGTGGTGCGTATATACCACCGCATCGTCTGCGTATGATGCAGCAATCTGTCAAAGATACTACAAGTGAAGAATATCAACGTTTAACATGGGAAGCATTAAAAAAATCAATCAACGGCTTGATCAACAAAGTTAACACCTCCAATATAAAGATGATTATCCCTGAGCTGTTTGGAGAAAATCTCATACGTGGCAGAGGCTTATTCTGTCGAAGTATGATGAAAGCGCAACAAGCCAGTTTACCTTTCACACCAGTCTATGCTGCGGTAGCAGCCGTCATCAACACTAAATTACCCGCAGTGGGCGCCTTACTATTATCCCGTCTAGTCCTGCAGTTTAGAAGAGCTTATAGAAGAAACGATAAGGTAAATTGCTTGCTTTTTTTTTGGCATTCAGGACTTGACATTTATTTTTCTAATCTATTCGCGCGTTTTTCGCAATGCTTTTTATAGACTTCTTGTCTTGCTACCACCATGTTCATCGCTCACCTAACAAATCAGCTTGTCGCCGATAAAGTACTCGCTTTACAAATTCTTGCTCTTTTATTAGAAAAACCTACGGACGACTCTGTGGAAATTGCTGTCGGCTTTATGCGTGAAGTTGGCGCGCTTTTAGCCCAGATTTGCCCAAAGGCGAACAACGCAATTTTTGAACGTTTTAGAACCGTATTACACGAGGGAGCTATTGATAAACGTACTCAGTATATGATTGAAGTTCTATTTCAAGTGCGCAAAGACAAGTATAAAGACAACGAACCCGTTGTTCAAGAATTAGACTTGGTGGAAGAAGAAGATCAAATTACACATAATATCAGTTTAGATGATGATGATCTTGAAGCGGAAGAAAAGCTTAATATCTTTAAAGTCGATCCTGAATTCGCTGAAAATGAGGAAAAGTATAATGCTATCAAGGCTGAAATTTTAGGTGAAGGTTCTGAAGATGAAGATGAATCCTCAGATGGTTCAGAAAGTGGAAGCGAAACTGACAATGAAGAAAGTGAAGAGTCTGAAGATGAAGACAAAATGGAGATTATAGATAAAACGAATGCTGATATCATTGAGCTACGTCGAAAGATTTACTTAACAGTCATGTCTAGTGTCAATTTTGAAGAAGCAACTCATAAGCTGGTGAAGTTGGAACTTCCAGCAGGACACGAGGTATGAGGCAATTTAAACGTTTAGTGGCACCAGAAAACTTACCCATTTTTTTTTTTTTTTGTATCCTTGGTAGGTTGAATTGCCTAATATGATTATTGAATGTTGCTCCCAAGAGCGCACGTATCTCAAATACTATGGTTTGATGGCCGAACGACTCTGTAAAATGAACCGACAATGGGTTGAGTTTTTCCAGAAATGCTTTTCCGACGTTTATGAAACTATTCATCGATACGAAACGAACAGACTACGTAATATCGCGAAATTATTTGCTCATCTATTCAATACCGAAGCATTACCATGGACAATCTTTAGCATCATACATCTGACAGAAGAAGACACTACCTCTGCATCTCGTATCTTTGTCAAAATCTTATTCCAAGAGATCAACGAATTTTTGGGTCTGAAAACTCTTAAAGAAAGGTTGTTAGATCCTTATTTGTCAGAAAGCATGGCAGGAATGTTCCCCAAGAACAACCCCAAAGATACCCGGTTCGCTATCAATTATTGGACTAGTATTGGCCTTGGTGCGGTAACCGAAGACCTGAGAGAATGGTTGAAGACTGCACCTCAACAGATGAGAAAAATGGAAACAGATAGTAGTGACAGCGACAGCAGCAGCGGCAGCAGCAGTAGCAGCGGCAGTGACAGTGATACAAGCAACGGCAGCGAGAGTGATTCAAGCAGCAGCAGTAGCTATAGCAGCAGCAGTGCTTATAGCAGCAGTAGTGCATATAGCAGTAGCAGCAGAAGTAGAAGCCGAAGCCCCAGGAGGAACCGAAGCCTAGGAAGAGCAAGAGGAAGAAGGAGAAGCATAAGTAGTAGAAGAAGTACCAGTAGAAGGAGAAGTAGAAGTAGAAGTAGAAGTAGAAGTCCGATTAAAAGAAGAGGTTCAAATAGAAGCAGAAGTCGAAGAAGAAGTCTTAGTGAAAGCAGAAGCAGAAGCCGAAGAAGAAGTCTTAGTGAAAGCAGAAGCAGAAGCCGAAGAAGAAGTTCAAGTAGAAGCAGAAGTCCGATTCGAAGAAGAAGTTTCAGTAGAAGAAGAAGTTATAGCAGAAGCAGAAGTCCTAGAAGAAGCAGAAGTCCAAGAAGAAACACTAGTAGAAGGAGAAGTTTAAGTAGAAGCAGAAGTCCACTTAGAAGAAGAAGCATTGATAGAAAACGAAGAATGTAGTTTCTTACAGCAGAGTTATTATAAGAGCTATGGTATCAACATAATAAGAAAAATAGTAGAGAGAATAGTATGGAAGAAAAAAGATTTAAGTATTAGAAATTACTATGGTGGAGATCCCCTTCGGCTTCAGCGAGTCAATTGATGGGGTTTAAAGTAGCGAATATAGTAGTTGATAAAATAACAATTTCAAGGATGAGTTTTTTCTTTTTGTATTTTTATTAGAGCTAAATAAAAGTTCACTGTTCATTGCAACTGTTTGATTTGAATGCGAAAAAAAAGGCATTAACCGTACCTTTTCTTTAAAAAGTCAACGTAAGAGGAATCATTTTTTATTGTGGAGCGTGCTTTACTACCTTGAAGAAACTGATTACGAAGGCGTATATTCTAGAATATTCATATTCGATCTTCAGAGTACTTTCAATATGGCTATAACATTAGCAAAGAGCATAGAGAATAATTCCCAACGATGTCTTACAACATTACTGCTGCAGTTGCTTTTGTCTCAAAAAACGCATGTTTACATGATATGAACGGCGAAGAGTCGCATGATCAGACAGATGGCCAAGTGCCATATCAATTTGTGCGCAAGCTAAAACAGGTCGAGAATAACAACTTATACCTGAATCACACACCAGAACTAAGCAATGGTTAGACACACTGTGAGAACCCACACCAGCCGTTAGTATGTTTTACTGACAGAATGGAGTAAATATATAATAGCAAATCGACTCAATCATCGTCAAATATGCATTATTCACTCAAACTACCTTCCTCCTAGAATAGGCTACCACACGCTTATATCTCAACTTGCGATTAGCTCTCATAATATATGATTTGCTATCGTTTATTGCCCCCTTTTTTTTTTTGCTATGAAGGATAAAACAGATATCCTAATTCCAATTTATTTTGAGAATGAAATTTTCCTTCTTACAAGAGAGTTTCATAAGCAACAGGAGCAATGGTTTGAGGAACATTGTTCTTGGTGGAGACGTGACGAGCATCACGGGGTTGAGCGGGAATTCTCTTAAGGTTGAAAGAAACTAGTAACAAAACAAAAAATAACGGACATTTAGAAGAGATGCCCAAACATTTTTTTGTGTTTTCGAAACATGATGTGAATAACTTACCACCAGCTTCCTTAGCTTCCTTCTTCTTTTGAGCATTGGCCTTGACACGGTCCAAGAATTCTTGACGACACTTGGAGTGCTTAACGTGTTCAATACGGACGTTAACACGCTTTTCCATATAGCGGTTTCCAACCTTCTTGTGAACAAGGACACCAACAGAGGACTTGGTGACGTTGAAAATAACACCAGTACGACTAAAGTATAATAGTTAATTAAAAGGTCGAAAAATAAGAGTTAGCTTTTGAATCTACAATTCTACATAAGTGTCGCTTCTATAGGAAATTGTCGTGATATTTACCCGTGGTAGAACTTGTGGGGCATACCCTTTTGAACAGCAGCATTGGCCTTGATATCAACGATATCACCAACCTTGTAGGTCTTCAAGTAAGTAGAGAGAGCGATGACGCCATGTTCTCTGAAGTTACGAGAGAACATGTGGCGAGTACGAGCGCGAACTATGAGTTTAAGATGAACACAATTATGTCGAAATTAACAACTGCTTTGCTGGAAGATGAAAAATGTCGAAAAAAAAGGTGTCCTTTGTTCAAAGTATAAAACAGCAAGGTGAGTTTCTGCATAAAACAAGTCAATACTTACGACCAAACGAGTGAGGCATCTTGTACGAAGTGGTATGAAAAGAGACCGAAAAAGAAGCTGCAGGGAAAAAAATTGTTAATATAGACGAAAGCTGAGGGAGAAAAAAATTCAGTGGCTTAGCGCATTTTGCTAAGTTGGATGAAAAATGTTCCCTAAGCCTATCTTAAATCGTAATAATGAAACACGTGCAGCGAGCAATGGAATACAAAATCAAGTATAGTCTAATGTTTGGAAGTTCTGTTAAAAATGTTTAGATGGTCAGAATGTCATATTGTTTCTTTGCTGGCGTATGGTTGAGGTGAGGCTTACCAATGTATTTTTTCAACCTGCAGTGATATTTCTTGCGTTCTTTTTTTCTTGCCCGCACTTTTGCCAGCTATGTCTACTGTGGCTTATCCTTCCAGGCCAATCATACGCTCGTAGCCGAAAATTTTTTCAGTTTTTGCTTGGGTGAACACTGGGTGGGTCCGAGCGAAGGATTTTTCAAATAAGTAGGATGTAAAAATGAGCGAAAAGCAATTTTGTTCCTTCTCTTTTAACTTTCTTTTGAAATCATCAATATGGCTGGTACCCAAAGAAACTACAGTAAGACCTCTACTGTCCCTCGTCGTCCCTTCGAATCCGCACGTCTCGATCAAGAACTCAAGTTGATCGGTGAATTCGGTCTCAAGAACAAGAAGGAAATCTGGAGAGTTGGTCTTACTCTTTCCAAGATTCGTCGTGCTGCTCGTGAACTCTTGAAGCTCGATGAAAAGGATCCTCGTCGTCTTTTCGAAGGTAACGCCTTGATTCGTCGTCTTGTTCGTATTGGTGTCCTTGACGAATCCCGTATGAAGCTCGATTATGTCTTGGCTTTGAAGATTGAAGATTTCTTGGAACGTCGTCTCCAAACCCAAGTTTTCAAGTTGGGTCTTGCCAAGTCCATTCACCATGCCCGTGTCTTGATCCGCCAACGTCACATTCGTGTTGGTAAGCAAATTGTCAACGTTCCCTCTTTCATCGTTCGTTTGGACTCTCAAAAGCACATCGATTTCGCTTTGACTTCTCCTTATGGTGGTGGCCGCGCCGGTCGTGTCAAGAGAAAGAGAGCTGCTTCTGCTGGTGGTGATGATGAAGCTGCTGAAGATGATGAAGAATAAGCGATCCGCTGGTTCGTTTACCGTGATGCCAATCGTTGTCGTTCCTTCTCAAAGAAGTAATATGAACCTTTGCAAAATAAATTTGATTACATATTATTGATGTTTAATATTGAAAAAGGGGTCCCATGTGGTCTTTTTTTTTAATATCATTCATCTCAATTTTGCAAAGCACCTGTTGTTAGCCATTATGTTTACTCATAGTGGATATCGCAGTATCATATTCCTTTTCAAAGATTGTCGAAAACTGGGGATAAATGAAAATGTAAGTAAGTTTGATTTTTACAAACTCAAGGTATAACTGATTCGTTGTGTCCATCGATGAAGTTTGCAGATGATCTTGTTTTAATTCAGAGATTCTGATCTGATTCAAGATTGTTTTTTTGCTGATCCTTGATTTTTGTTTACAAGCTTGCTTCTTTGATCCTGAAGTTTGATAGTCTGCGAATTGGACTGTGTTAGTTGCGTGCTTTGTCATTTGAGCATGAATGATTCTGTGTGTTTTTTGAGTTGTTGTGTTAAACCTTCATTGCCTTACATTTCCTGTCATTGAAACAGACCATGTCTTGAGTCATCATTTTTTCACTTGCCCAGAGTGAGCTCGGTTTATTCGAGAATCCGTTGAATAGCACCTCCTCTTATGTTGGAGAGGGCTCGAAAAGTCAAAGAGAAAAAGAAAAAAAAAATTTTAAAGACCAACATCTCTGTACTCTTGGGGCAGAACTTGTTCCTTGAACCAAGGCGATGTGGGTTCAAATATGTATACATAAGGCCCTTAAAACTATGTACAAGTGTGGGTGCAATCATTATATATCTTGAAGGGTTATCGTAGTCCTAAAGAGGTTGATTTCACCACTAGAAACGTGGATAATGTGGTTGAATGCCCACGGGGACGGTTGTAACATGTCTTCCGTTGTCCACGTAGAGCTTATCAAGAGACGCTAACGAGTGGTATATCATCATCATCATCTGTTTGCCGGCGAGCGCTAGCAGCTGTATTCGACTGTGTCCTATGCAGTTGATGTTTGGTGGCTCTTCTTTGCTTTTCAAAAAGACGATAACAAATGGATAACATCATATAAATGCATAAGAAAAAAGATAAAACCCACACAAATAAGGTGTTTGTCTCTTGAGGAACGATCGTTCCCGGGTCATACTCTGTCTCGAAAATTGTTTGTGTAGGCTCGTTGCTCGTCTTAGGATCGGTTCTGTTTGTTCCATTCGTTGCACGTGTGGGTTCTATGCTTGGTTTCCCAGGCATTGCAGTTGTAGTGGTGGACTTGATAATTTTCTGCTTAATTTTGAATCTGGTTTGTGGAAGTATATGAAAATTGTCGTAATCCAACTAAAAACAAAATAGCCCGCGCTCAGAACGGAGGCTTTTTCTTCTTTGTCTTCTGGAGTCAACACACGTTAAAGATGTCTTACCACTACCATGCCTTGTAACTCCAATTCGGTGACTGAGTTGTTGAGTGCATCCGTCGTCATCATCCAGTCCAAGTGGACCGGCCATTCCTTCAACTTTGGATCAATATGTCCTAATACTGTATATTTGTCGATGTCGATTTCGTTGAAGTCGGGCTCTTCATCATCATCGCAAGCAACGGATGTGAATAAGTTTTCATCAAAGTTGAAAAACTCGCCTACTACTTTATGGGTGGCCATGTTTCTGACGAGAAATAACACGCCTTGATAAGCATACCGACCGGTTATTTGAATATGAACGGCTGGTGCAGCTGTCCTATCGGACAAGGGAGTGATCTGAACACCATAGCAGTCTTCACAGGTTGATTGAGAAGGACCATGCCCGACAATGGCCATTTTATCAACATTGCACTATTTGACAGTATTGCCATGTTTAACTGGAATGGACTTTAATGAGTGTATGGAGTCAACTTACTGTTCCTGGAGCACTCGGATAGGCAAGCGATTGAGCAACAAGTACTATCGTTATGAATAACAATGGTAGGCATATCCTCATTCCTTTTTAACTTACGAGAGCGAAAAAGCAAAAGATATTGCACCGTGTGGGGTAGAAAAAAAGGGGGCAAGGAAAAAATTAGAGAAAGGGACCAATCAAAAAAAACCCAAAAAAAAACCAGATTTCTGTCATTTATGTACTATGTATAATAGAAAAGGGGTAATCTATTTTCTAGCCGGCTATTAGCGCATGCCTAACCTTGCTTTTTCTGATTCTAATCGTGAATATAAAAGGTACAGAGCCATTTGGTTGCTTTCTTGACTACCTGTTATTGTTACTAATCTTTCTTTTGAATCACCTTGAGGATCGTCAATTTTGATATGGCTGCCACTTAACTGCCTGATTTCGTTGATTTTACTTCCACCTTTACCGATGATGCAACCCACCTAACATTGGGATGAACAGAAAAAGAAGAATAAATAAAAGTTACTCTAATCTGAGCTACAGGAAGAAGAAGAAGAAGAAGAAGTAGAAGAACGACACACGTACCATTTCATTAGGGATATATATTTGTTGTGCCTGGGATGATTGCTGCTGACCGGTACCTGGCATACCCGACATACCTGCCATGCCAGCCATACCCATCATACCCATGGCGGGATATTCGTTATGCCTAAATCCGGGCATCGCACCGTAGCCTCCGTGAGTGCCTCCTCCCGTGCCTCCTCCATAATAAAACTGACCTGCTGCTCCATTCATTGGCATACCTGTCATCGTTGGCATCATAGCACCATAGCCCATAGCAGCAGCAGCAGCGGCGGCGGCAGCGGCGGCGGCGGCAGCAGCGTGGCTGTTGTTATTGGTAGCATGCTGATGTTGACCATTATGGCCCGAGCTATTACGGTGTTGTTGTTGTTGTTGTTGTAGTTGTTGTTGTTGATGTTGCTGTTGTTGATGTTGCTGTTGTTGTTGCTGCTGATGTAGGTGTCCTCCTCCCCTTAACGTTGGGTAACCGGTGTGCATCATATTATTATTGTATGAATGCTGACTATAATTGCGCGCTCCTCCTCCCGCAGAAGGAACGGGATGTTGTAAGGGAATAGGTTTATAAAGTATGACACTCGACGACGCTCGGTCATTGTGTTCTAACAAAATTTGTGCTATACGTTGGATCGCCAGCTGGATAGCTTCTGGTGTGCCTTGAACAGATATCGTACGCTCTGTCGACATGGGCAATGGCTCTTCCGATGCATTCAAACGGGTATGACTCATTTCCTGTATAGATTTGATAACGACTCCACTTTTACCAATCACAACGCCCATTTTGCTATCAGGGACAAGGAGCTTGATAAGCACTGAATTGGGGTCATGTTTCATATTGTTGTTGCTTCGACTATCATTTTCATCGTGTTGTTGCTGTAGTTGCTGTGTATGCTCCGCTAATATTTTCTCACCGACCAAAGAATAGGCTTTGGCCACTGCATGGACAGGCCCGGATACCGTCAAGATTCTTTCATAAGCGCCTTGTACAATCTCAGAAATGGTGACACGGGCTGAAGATTGCTCACGTATATCACTCACATTTTTTCCAGCACGTCCAATGATGACACCGGCATCTTTTGTGCCCACCAAAGAGCGCAAGGCGATTGTTTTCTCAGTGGTGGTACCGGCTCCCTCCTGGGAAGGAGAGCGTTGGTGCTGTTGTTGTTGTTGATGTTGTTGTTCGTCCTCTTCCGTCTTGAGGGTCATCCTTGACGCGTCGTTTCCTTGTTGCTCTTGTTTTATCGCTGTACTGTCTGACAGTTCTTCCTCACGGTTTCTTAACTTTTCCTCAATCTCATCTTCTGATTCATATTCTTCCCATTTCTTTCTAATACGAGAAGAGGAGGCTTCATCTTTTTGATCTTCTAAAGGTACAAAGTGAGGGGCTTTTGTCTCTGGATCGGTAACGGCCAAACGTTTCGCATGACGATCTTCGTGATTTGTTCTGTCAATATCTGTATCAGAAGCTTCGTCGTCCTCAAGACGAGGTCTTTTGGTTCTATCACCATTATTTTCGTTATCTGACATCTAAAGAGAAAAAAGAAAAAGCCATGACTCGGCCGATGACTACTTTGCTCGAGACTGAAAAAACTGTTGCCGAATGTTTGCTTCTTCGCGTAACTTACCTTTTCAACTAGAAAGATAAGCTCTTCAAAGGGTTTAAATAGAAAGGAAGAAAGGTAGCAAAGGTAGAGTGAAAAAAGGGTTCAGCACAAAAAAAAAAAAAAGGTTAAAGGAGAATGGATAAGTAAGGATAGAGTCTGTAGTAGGTCTTTTTGGTGATTTGGGTTCTGGGAAACATAGCATATAAAAAAAAGAAAAAAGAAGAAGTGATATGTAAGGATGAAAATGCTACTATGAAATGTGTGTATCTCTCGCTCCCTCTCTCACTCTCTCTTTTTCTTTTTTTTTGTCTTTCATATTTGTTGGTATATGGACAAGGAAGTTGAAACAAACTCTAAAATGATTAATGAAAAAAGATAGATACCAGTTGACTATTTTCGTTTTTTGTAGAGGGCTTGTGTGCGTAGGTGGTGTTCAGGGTAAATAAGTAAGGAAATGCAGGCTTTTGTGTAGTAGAATTTGTGTAATTTATAGAGTTTGTCCGTTCAGTTAGATGAACTCGATTGAGGGCAACGATGTTTTTGAAAGGGAAGGAAAGTTTTCAAAAACGATTGATTGTCAGAATTGAATTGAGAAAACGAAAATCCATCCCTTATCATTTTTTTGCCCAATCGAAACCACTCCTTGCATCCGTGACTACAACTTTTTTTTTTTCTTGGTCATTTTTTATCCGTTTTGATCTGTATTCTTAAGTTGAAATGCTACTGCATTTAGCATAAGGGGGTACCCATTTTTGCAAAGGCAGTGTGTTTAGTAATGGATGGAAAGAATGCTCGCTTTCTGATCCACAATAAGATATGATTTTGACGCCTACAAAAAAACGTTCAGGGTTCACCTGCTTGTCGTAAAAGTCATTAGACCTTCTTTTCGAACGCAAGAACGATTGTTTCATGGAATATCAATATTCGTGTAGTATAGTGGCTCGAGAATTCCAACTTGAAAGGCCAATACGATTATCAATCGCTTTTACTGAGAAACGTGCATACACATTTGCGTGCGCAGTGACCCAGATCCTCAGAGAAAGACTTTTTATCATGGTGAGATAGCACCAGACATTTGAAGTAGACATAGTTGCTTATATCTGAATCAAGTTTATCGGACGCGAAGGGTTGTGGAGAAACACAATAGCATACCAATCCGAGATATTTTGCTGATACACAGCCATTTTATATCTCATGCAAAGAGCTTCCCAAAGAAATAGCTCGTTTATAAGATACACTTGATTGTTCCATAAGGTTTCATCAGACTTTGCGCTTTAATGTTGCATCGCATACCTTTATTCGAAAAAAAGTAAGAACGACAGATTCTTTTGTGTTGTTGACAGCGAATAGGAAAGGAGTGCTGCTTTTACTGTCATTAACAAAATATACATGGAAAAGTAACTTTTACAACTTTATAACTCTCTAATTATTGAAAGATGAAATGTATTGTAGACATGCATTTACTGTTCACCATCTGTTTTTGGGTTTGCCAAGGAATAAGTAAACATTATTGTCTTGACAATGTTTAATAGTGTTGTTTACGATGTTAATTTTCGTGTCGCGTTCATTCATGCTTTTGGTAGGTATTGCTCGCTCTGTGGAATTCTTCTTGAGAGTGGATCAATTTTATAGCCTTTCATTATGAGCTAAGCACGTCCAAGGTTTTCTTTTATAAAATGTGTTCAATGTATTGGAGAAAACAAAAGTGTTTAAAAAGCAAGAATTCTGATGTTGAATTTCTCGATAACAGCAAAGCAGGAACGTAAAATTATCTCTCAAATGATGACCTATTTTAAGCCTTTTTGTCTAGTGCACATAGTACGCTTTATAAGCGCCCATTGTAGCAGCTGCAATATGAAACATATAGCCACAATAATGCAAAAATTAACCAAAAAAGACAAGATGGGTCTCTCCAGTGATTAGAATGAAATAGAGAGAGAATAGAAAGTTGCCTGCTTTGATAAGAGAAGCATTATCGATAACTGGGATTACCTCAATTCTATAGGTCAATTCGTTTGTACTATACCTCTTATAAGAGTCCTATCCAATATCACCTACCGTTCGAGATTCAATAGAATTTTCTTTTTCCTTTTTCGAGTGCCTTAGAAAGCAGATGCCAATTTGCTCATACGATGAAAATTTTACTAACCTCCGGAAATTGAGAACCCAAGGCCATTTCTACTTTTGTTTCAGAAGTAAACAGAAATTCAGCAAATGGCTTGACATGTAATGATGCTAATATCCTGTTTTATCGATTTGCTGTAACGACATTGTGTACGTTTCAAAAGGGCTTTGAAAGGATCCTGTCTCTACTAATCCGAATTAGGGAATCATCATAGACAGCTCTTCCCATTGTCTCTTTCTTTATGCCTAGGAAGGACTGCGCGGGAATCAATGTTGTTTTTCTTTTTTTGTTTTCCTTCTTTTTCGTTTTCCCTTTTTCCATTGCATGCAAAAAAAACCAAAACGGAATACAAAAAGGAAACTCATCATTTAAACGTAAGTTATTTCGGGTTTTTATTTTTTGGGTCGCTGTATCCATGGGACAAATGGTCAATGGACCTATGGTGCTGACCGTGATGAAGGGAATCGGGGAAACCGATAATTTTTAAAATGGAGAACAGTAAGGAAAACCGTGTAAATCTGTTACAGGCGTGATCTTCTCTACTACGCCTACAGCATTTACTGGTATTTTCTTTTCCCTTTTTTTTTTTTTTTTTTTTTTTTCTTTATCCTTTTTTTTTTCGGTCAACACACACACATACACACACACACATACACACACACACATACAACACTTTTGACTCTTCTTTGGTCTATTTTTTTGTTTGCAAAGAAAAGAGATACAGCAACAGCCCATTACATACAATGCTAAATCAATGGATTTCTTTTTTGTATTAGAGCTTCACATCACAACACATCCTCCTTTTTTTATGCTTTTCTGTCAACATCTGACCTTATCCCGTTTTTATCTGCGGCATTAAAAAGCACCAACTCTACACCTGGATCAGAAAAAGCCTGAAAACTTTTAAAACTCAAACATAGAGAAAATTTTTAATTAACAGATCAGAAAAGAAAAGCAACGCAACAGCACGCCCAACAGCAAGCTAAAATAGTAATAAAATATTACTATTCGTATCCATCTGGATAAATACAAATAGAAATATGTCACAAAGTAAAACTTGGCAAACTTAATTTTGTGGAGGACCTGTAGAAATTTTTCTAAGAAGAAAACCTTTTTCTTTTCCTTTTTTCACTCTCCATTTGCTAGGCTTTCAGCAACAGATTTATTCACCAACGAACAGCATAGATGAACATAGTACAGCCTCTTATCTCTCTCATACTTCTCCAGCTGTCTATAGGCAACAAAAGCTTCAGGTTTTGAGCGTAGGCCCTACCCATGGTCAAGAAGGTCAAACTTTCCAGCTTTCGTTTGACAATCGAGATGCAAAGTTGGATTTGAATTCAGTGGGGATCGCCTTCCATAACTGTTCCACAACCTGTCAAATTTCAATTGACAATGTTACTCAAATAGTGACAGTGTCGACGACAATACCTTCATCACAGTGGATTGCGGTCGAGGATTTGAGTCGAGTACCTGTTTATTTGGAAGCAGAACTTTCCAATGATGAACAGCAACAGCAACAACAACAACAACCACAACAACAGCAGCAGCAGCAGCAGCAAAACAGAGTTCGGTGGCTCGTCAGTTCTTTTTCGTTTTATCCCGCGGCGACCACTGCTCCTACCATGATGGGGGACACCAGTACCTCTAGGAAACGAAAGTCGGATGAATTGGACGATACAGTGGATAACGACTCTTGTAATAGGAACATATCCGATGACAGCCATCAGATGAGGTTTAGACAAGGTATTGCAAGCCCCGTTTTAAAGGTACACGCTAATCCATGTTGAAGGAGGAGCTCTAACGGATATACTTTCTTTCTATTAACAGATTCACATTCGCAAACTGCGTACATTACTCAACCTTACACAGCGAATACAGCCGCTCAGCTTCAAGTACCTCTCCAGCAACATGCTCCCTATATCGGTCTACTGCCAACCGAGCCTTCACCAAGGACGCGTGACTATTTTGACGGTATGAGTGACAAAGGAAATAAAAAGGTGTTTGGCTTGTATACTTAACTCCTTCTTCTCTCTGGATCTCTAGAGCCTGGTTTGTATCATTATGCAACGACAGAACATGGTCTACCGAACAACAGGGATTTTACAGCCACGTATTCTGATCAGGACTATTTGAATCAATCTCATATCCTACAACAGCAACCGGGCGGCGTGCCACCTCCACCGCCGCCGTCACACCCTTCTCCCTATTTGATGCAGATGATGGACACAGCCCTTCCCCGCTCTCCTCAATCCTTTTCGCCCTCTTTGAGTTCCCCTCATATGGCTCAAGCTTCTTTTCAAATGCGATCTTCAGGTTATCCGTCCCAACCCCTCTCCGCAACGCAACGACAGCAACAACAACAACAGCAACAGCAACAGCAATATCATTCACAGCAGACATCGCCCTACGCCTTAATGCCCTCCACGTCGTACCCTATCGCATCACCTTCTACCCCGCTTCTGGCGCATTCAACAGGACAGCCGCCACAGCCCTCATTGCAACAGCTTCCTCCGCCATTGTCCTTGCCACCCTCCTCCACTCAACCCTCCTCTACTGCACAAACATTCTCAACTCATCCACCCTCCTCTCTATCGACGACAACAACAACAACAACTCCAGCTACCACGACAAAGCAGCGTACACGAGCCCTTCCTGAAGATTATACACGTACCTTTAACAAAGGCGCCCATCTCACCCTTCACGGTGACCTGGCAGCGATGACGCGTGATTGGACTCCTATGGAGCAAGAGACACGGCGTCGTCTTGTACAGTTTCAAAAGACGCGACACGACAACACGATCGACTGTTGGTTTCGTCCGTACTCCATCTCTTCTCCTCCTCCGCTTCCTTCACTCCAGCCCTCTTCTGTAGGAACAGAAGCTGGTGCTACTCCTACCCCACCGATAGCAACAGCAGCAGAAGGATCCAGTGCGTCCTCCTCCTCTCACCCAAGATACAAACCGGATGCGAATGATATCGTGATCTCTTGTATTTACTGGAAGGAAAAGAACGATTATTTTGTCACTTCCGTCGACTGTGTCCATTTAATAGAATCACTCATCGATTGTCGGTTTACAGTAGAGGAAAAGAATCGTATCAGGAGGAATCTAGAAAACTACAAGCCGTTAACCGTGGCGAAGCTCAATCCTGAGACGAGTGAGTTTTTCAAATTGATCATGGGATACTCTCACCCGAAACCAAGGAATATCGAAAAGGATGTCAAAGTCTTCAATTGGGTTTCCTTGGGAACCGCCATGGAAAAAGTGCTAAAGAAATTCAGTGCGAGTTTCAGTAGTATACAGAGTGTCAATTATGAAGCCTTTGTCCAATCTGCAGGGGCCAATCCAACACAGCCATCGCCACCGTCACCGCCACCGCCACAGTAAAACAACGTCCTACACTACTACTAATACTACTACTACTACTACTACTATTACTACTATTACTATTACTATTATCATGATGCTTCGTCTTTCCCAATTCCTCCTAGTTCATCTTCCCTGACGCTTTTATTCTTACTACTTATTATCCTCTTGTACATAGTTTTCTTTTATTCATATATATATTGTTTAATTTGTACTACTGTTTATTCTTTTTTCTATCTTGCATTCTAATATTTAATATGTCATCCATAATACAACTTGTTCTTTACAGAGCACACATGTTTATACTACTGTAACATTATGTAAGACATGAATATTGGAAAAGGAAATATAACGTTTCCATGTTGAACCAAGATGGGGGCATTCTATTCAGAGCGTATGAAATGACCGTAGGTAAATGCTGGATTAGACTCACTGCAGCGATAACGTTGGATTGCTCTCAATGAGGAAGGCGTGTATGCCTGCCTCGAGTGCTTTGCGGGCTTTCTTTTCTTTGCGGGCGTTTGTATAGCTGCTAGAGTACCTTTATGCGTCGAATCGCTGTTTCGTAAGACCGAGTCGGGTAACGTTCAGGTACGCAAAGCTTATCCAAACAATGATTTGACTGAGAGGTGAGTGACTTGAGATGTACTCATATTGTCAGGGTACAATAGTAAAACCGAGAAAGGCGTGTATGCCTGCCTCGAGTGCTTTGCGGGCTTTCTTTTCTTTGCGGGCGTTTGTATAGCTGCTAGAGTACCTTTATGCGTCGAATCGCTGTTTCGTAAGACCGAGTCGGGTAACGTTCAGGTACGCAAAGCTTATCCAAACAATGATTTGACTGAGAGGTGAGTGACTTGAGATGTACTCATATTGTCAGGGTACAATAGTAAAACCGAGAAAGGCGCTGTGTCATCCTTATATACAAATGAGGACCTCGTTGTGGAAAAACAGTTTTCAATGGACATGAGGACCCGCTTTTTTTCATGTTCTTTTCTATGTAGAAAGGAAAAAAAAAGGGGGGGAGCGGGCGCATCCCCACCAAGTTCTAGAAGGGTTGCATACTTTTCGAACCTCCATAGATTTTCCAAAGAAATTATTTTCTATTCTTGTTTGAAGCGGCGCACGCGCTAGACCCCTCATTTCATTCATTGCAGGCACCACCTTGAATCGTCTTTTGTGAATAGTTGAAGAGCTTAGGCAGTTGGAGTGATGGATAAGCTGTTGGAGCATTCCATGTATTTTGCCATACACAATAGCAGGTTACAAAAAGGGAATGCTCGGTCTTGAGCAGTGGTTTGAAAGCATAAAGGGTACAGATGAACGCTCTACTGCTTATAAACCACCGAAATAGCTTTTTTGCATATTTTTACATCATGCTAAACAGGAAGGTTTTTCTTTTCTTTTTTTTTTTTTTTTTTTTTTTTTTTTTTTTTATCTAAGGCTATAGTCATCCGTGCCCCTGTTTGAAGTATGGACCAAGATAATTTCAGATGATATGTAAATCCCAACTATTTCTTTTTTAATCACAAAAAAAAGCTGAATGTTTTCCTTTATCTTTCCCCTTTCAGTCACTCTTTTTACATTTTCTTTTTTTTTTTCCCGAGAGCCATGATTTTATTCCAGCATGGTTTTGTTTGGTTCTTGTTGCTTGTGAACCTATTGCATTCAGTCCATGCTACACCTCAATTCCATACAGGTTTGTTCAGCCCCTTAGCAGATGCGTTGCACCCCGCTACGAGAAAAGCGGCCATTGATATACGATTTCTTGTTTTTATGATTGCAAATATCAAGTCAATGATCGATTTCATAATGGCACTATGTGCCCTCCTGTGACACGAAAAGAAGTAAAGTGTCCGCTGTTGTGTGTCACCGATCTCCGTTTGTGCCCGCCCAGGTGGGGTCCCACTGCCTGTCCCACAGGCACCGCCCTGTGTGCAGACGGTACTTGCAGCGCTTCTTGCCCCACCACAGCAGTCTCACCCTGTGCCTGTCATGCTCCAGCAGGACACTATAAAGCATGCTTTCATACCCCTATCAAAGTCAACATTGACCATTATCAACCGGCCAATATGACGCTGCAGCAATATGAAGCGTGCGCCATCGCTCTCTTCGGCCAAGAGAGGCCTACCATCACCGATCCCACGTTCGTGTCATCGTCCTCTGTTCAGACGGATAGAATATGGAATGTATGTGGTGCAGCCAATTCCATCCACTTTCCTATCCGAGGTAAAAAAGTGTCTATGTATATATACTCTCTATGGCGTATTAAAAACCCCTCCCTTTGAATAGCTCCCATTGTCATTGTTTATCTCTCTGTTTATTTGGCTTTTTTCCCTTTCTTGGGCTTGTGGTATCTCTATAAGCGTTGGAGCGAAAAGGTTTACTTTTTTAAAAAAAAAAAAAAAAAAAAAAAAAAGTTTAAAAGTTGCGCGGTAAACTAATGTTGGGGTTGGTTTTTTTTTTTGCTTTTTTTGGAACAGGAGCTGCATAAAAAAAGGATACAACTGCTGGGTGGAGGAGGGGATGAAATATCATCCACAGCAGCTGCAGTGACAACGCCTGAAGAGGAAAAAGTGATTCTCCAGGAGGAAGTCGTGATGTTGAAAAACAAGAGACAGCACAGTACCTTGAGTGATCTGAGCAGTGGTAGTAGTGGTGGTAGTAGCAGTAACATGAAAAAGAACACCATGACAAAGACGCATCCAGAAGACGCTGAAGACGAGGAGATGCGCCAAAGAGGTTTCAAACGAAATATTTTTGGAAGCCTTATGATGATGTACATGGTGATTGTTTCGCTTTTATGGCTGGTGACCTTGTTGATATTGACATTGGATTATTATGGTTACGTACGTTGTTTATTATTGAATAAAGGGGAGAGAGAGACAGAGAGAAGCGAGTGTGCTGATGCTACTTGTTGGATAGGTGATCAGCGGTGTACCTTATGGATTATTTTATGATTCTTACGATCTCTCGAGTAAAGCTTTCTGTGTGGTTTGGTTTTTATCGACAAGCTGGTATTTATCATTGAATGTGATGCGCACCAAGATCAAAAACTACTTTAGAATTGAAACGCCCTTTGATAAAGCGCAATACATTGAAATACGAAAACCAAGAAAGGTCGTCCAAATCGCATCCTCTTCTTCTTCTCAAAGTTCCTCAGGGGACGGGGACACTACCCAGAGGCGGAGGAGGAGGACGACCGATCATGCAAGTTCATTGCTATCGATGGTCACCAAAGCAGAACATCGACTACGACAAGCGCTTGGATTGAACGTGATCGCCCGGACCCTACCTGTTTCCGTCAGCTCTTTTGACGGTCATCGCTATTTTGAATTTCAGTCCACACGATACCATTATCACCCACTGCATCAAGCATTTGAACCCGTGGCCGTCAAGGAGATGTTTAGTATGCATCCCGATCATCTACTGGAAATGAAAAATGGATTGGACAGTCAGACGGCAGCAGCACGGTTGGAAGCCCTGGGTCCCAACTTTATAGAAGTCACTGTGCCCACCTTTTTGCACGCCTTATGGGAAGAGTAAGTAACCCAGGGGAGGGGGGGAGGGGGGTGACAAACCGAACAAGCAAGTTGGCTACTGTTCTTACATACGCCATACACTACGACGACGAATGACTCACTCCTACGCGTTTCTTATGTCTCTTCTAGATTGACAGGCTTCTTTTATCTTTATCAGCTTCAAATTCTTTGGTGCTATTTTTATTTGGCTTATTGGCAAATTGGTCTCTCCGATACCTGTGTTATTTTACTCGCCGCCTTGATCAAAGTGATCGTCAGGATTAAATCCGAGAAAAAAATCAAGAGCATGGCAGAACATACCTCTACGTGTCAAGTGCTAAGAGATGGACAATGGCAGACCGATTTCTCGACCATGCATCTATTACCAGGCGACGTGTTTCGCGTCGAACCCCATCACATCGTTCCTGTCGACGCTGTGATTCTCTCGGGTGATATCGTGGTCGATGAAAGTTCCTTGACCGGTGAGCCTTTACCTATTCGTAAATTTCCTTTACGTCATCAACAGCAGCAGCAACAGCCAGTCAATGAAAAGGCGATGCAAGACCAGAGCCTCTTTTCAGAAACAGTCGTAGTAGAAGCAGCGAGTGCAACAACAACACCCACTTTGCCCTCCTCCTCTCAAGAATTTTCCACCGCTTTATACAAGACGAATAGTTTATATGCAGGCACCACCATCAAACAAAGCTCCAAAGATGCGATCGCTTTAGTGTTGAAGACAAGAACGGATACAGACAAAGGGCAACTGATTCAACGTATTCTCTTTCCTCAAATGGTCTCGTTTATATTCAATGAACAGCTCAAGGTTGTCTTTGGCATACTGTTGTTGTGGGCCATTGTCCTCTTGGCCTTTGGTAGTTGGTGGTTAGGTAAGTGAACAAAAGACAAAGGAGGCAGAGACGTCGTATGGGGGAGGGTCTAAATAAAGTTCTCCCCTCCTCAGGCGGTACGGGTATGACAGCTTGGTTTTATGGTATGACGTGTGCTGCTCAAGTGATGAACCCACTTTTGCCAGGTAAATAAGATAAGGGAGGGGCTTACAAAAAGCGATGCATGGATGAGATAGCACCTTTTTTTGAACATGATCTCTCATGATGAACTCTTTGTTTGTTTGTTTGTTTGTTTGTTTGTTTTCTCTCTTGAAAGCGATTCTCGTGGTGGGTCAGTCGGTCGCGGCCGGTCGATTAAAAAAGAAAGGCATCTACTGTGTTGATTTCCCAAGGATTTTGATGGCAGGAAAGGTGCAAGTGTTTTGTTTTGACAAAACCGGCACACTGACGAACGAAGGATTAGAATACTATGGCGTTCATCCATGCATAGAGGAAGAAGAAGACGACGCGGGACAAAAAAGACTGGATGCGTTGTATCCGCGCTACAGCGATCTCTCGGCGGGATCCGAGCATCAACGCTTGTTACAGATGGGCCTTGCGTCCTGTCATTCGGTCACTGTTTTGGAGGACGAGTATATCGGTAATCCGGTCGATATTGTCATGTTTCAAAGCACGCAAGCCAAACTCGTTTCTAGGGGGGAAGAAGATGCTCATGACACGATCGTTCCGCCTGCGCCGCTGCCTACGTTGCAAGTTCTTCAGCAATTTGAATTCCAGCATGCGAGAGCTTCCATGTCGGTGGTAGTCAAGGATACGCGTACCGGTCATAGCCATGTGTTTTGTAAAGGCTCCTTTGAACGCATGGCCGAGATCAGTCAGCGTTTACCGTCCAATTTTGAACACGTCACGACTGTATCGGCTCGTCAAGGGTGTTATGTCCTGGGGATGGCGCATCGCGATTTGGGTATCCTGACCGAGGAGGAAGAAATGGAACTTTGCACGCACGGTTCACGAGATGACATAGAGGCCGGTGTGGAGTTTTTGGGTCTTGTGTTGTTTAAAAACGTGTTGAAAAAAGACACGGCGGCTGCGATTCACCAATTGAAAGAGGGCGATGTACGTACAGTGATGATCACAGGGGATACTGTCTTGACCGGTGTGTTTATTGGACAGCAATGTGGATTGGCCGATCCTCATACGCCCGTGGTGGTGGGGGATATGGTTCCCGTCGCCGTCGTTAACGACGAGGAGCAGCTCCACTTGAAGGATGAAACAGAAAAAGGACGCGACGCGAGACAGCAGCAGCAGCAGCAACAGCAAGCAGCAGCGCCCATCATGACAGAGACACTGGTATGGTACGATTCGGAAACCCACAAAAGAATCGATCATGTGGATATTGCGTTGGCCAATGGCAGCGAGCTTGCTCTCACGGGCAAGGCTTTCCGTTATTTGTCAGCGCAGCAGGAAGGAGGAGGCATGCGACAGTACCTGTTTTCGACGCGTATCTTTGCGCGTATGACACCGATCGACAAGATGCGATGCGTAGAAATGATGATGGAGCGGGCGATTACGGCCATGTGTGGCGACGGCGGCAACGACTGCGGTGCGCTGAAAGCCGCGCATGTGGGCATCGCCATGTCGGAAGCCGAAGCGTCGGTGGTATCGCCTTTTAGCACGCCCCATCGATCGGTGCAGGCGTGCGTGGATTTGCTGATACAGGGCCGTAGTGCGTTGGCCACGTCGTTTGCCAGCTACAAGTACCTGATCATGTATGGTGAAACGATGGCGTGCACGAAACTGGTCTCTTTTTACTACACACTGGGCTTTTCGCAGTGGAATTTCATCTTGATCGATGCGTTCATCACGGTGTTTTGTTCCTTTGCGGTCACTCAAGCCGGGGCGGCGCGCAGGTTGTCACAGCATCGGCCGACAGCACGTCTGCTGGGGCCCGAAGTGGTGGGGTCGTTGGTAGGACACATCGTGATCAATGCATGGTTTTTGATAGGGGCCCTCGTGTGGCTGTACACGCAAGACGACTTTTTCCGGTGCCATGAATGGGACGCGCGTGCGACGGATGCGTCGAAATGGTGGCTGCTCGGTGATAGCTTTGAAGTAGACGTCTTGTCCTTTGTCGTGCTCTTCCAATTCATCAACGCGGCGATGGTGTTCAATTACGGCTACCTCTTTCGACAGCGATGGTACCGCAATTATCTGCTGCTCGTCATCTGGGCCGTGTTTGTGACAATCGTTAGTTTTTGGGAACTGGCCGATCCCAACGTCTTTGGGTGTGCTGTGCGTTTGAACTGCGGAGACCCTGACGTATTGGTACAACTTGGCTATCCTCGACCTACGTGGTATATTGAGCCTTACAACAACCCGTCCGGACACAATGTGTTGCCAAGACGTTTCCGTTATCAATTGTGGGCCTATTCAATAGGGAATATGTTGACTGTCCATGTGTGGGAGAGATGGGTTATTCTAGGACCGGTGAGACAATGGCTGAGACGTAGATATCCCTTGGACCGCTTACAAGTAGCTCTTTAAAAGGGGGGGGTGGAAATCAAGTGATTTTCTTCCCTATCTCTGCTTTCACTTGTTTTTTTTGTTTTTTTTTTTGTTTTGGATATGAATGTGTAGTACATCTATCTATCGATCCGATCGAATGACTATAAAAAGAAAGACCACTTTTTATGATACCACATGGACACGCCATTTTTTTTTTGTCTATTGTTCCCCCCATCTCGACCAATCAACATGGGCCTTTTAATTCATTTTCGTTTCCATGGAAAAAGAAGGTCATTTTGTTTCTTTTTTTTTTTTTTATTTGAAATAAGGGTGGGAGCAACAATTCACACCAAGCCATTATGAAATTCTTTGGACTATAGCGTTGGTTTCCATTCTCTATATACTCTCATGGAATCACAGTGATGTCTCTTTTCCCCTTTTTATATGGATTTGTACGTAAGCTTGGGATCCATGGACTGAGAGGGGGGGCCATGGTTGCTTACGACATGGAAGCTTTTATTGTTTTTGCTGGATTGAGAACAATAGAAAAGAATAAATGTAGCACATAGCCAATCGGAAACCAAACGAGAAAAAACATAAATTTTAATTTCCGCTCGATGGGCATGACGGGTGCCGAGCTATTGGATTTCAAAAGGAAGAATCCTGCATACAAATATGATCTCCCATCTGTTTTTTTGCCTTTTTTCTGCTTTTTCGTTTATTAACAACACTCCTCTTTTCAAACAAACAAACAAACAAACAAACAAAAGTAACTAAATGGTGACACATTCAAGAGTGGCCATTGTGGGTGCGGGTGCGGTAGGCGCCTCCCTCGCTTATGGTTTGATGTTTAAAAACATCTGCACAGAAATCCTATTTGTAGACGTCCATCCTGATATTGTCAATGCGCAAGTACTTGATTTAGCCGATGCAGCGAGTGTCAGTCATACACGTATCCGTGCTGCTGTGACAGCGCAAGAAGCAGGGCAATGCGACATCATTGTCATGACGGCTGGAGCCAAGCAACGACCTGGCGAGCCTCGCACCAAGCTGATTGAACGCAACTACCGTGTACTCAAGAACGTCATCCAAAGCATGCAACCTATTCGTGCCGACGCTGTGTTGCTGATGGTCTCCAATCCAGTCGATATCCTTACGCACTTGGCGAGAAAGCTCTCTGGGTTGCCTCCTCGACAAGTGTTGGGGTCAGGCACTTATCTCGACTCGACACGATTGTGTGTGCATTTGGGCGAAATGTTTGATGTGAATCCTCAGTCGGTGCATGCGTATGTGCTGGGAGAGCATGGCGATTCACAGATGATTGCTTGGGAAGCCGCCACGATTGGAGGGCAACGATTAACGACGCTGCCAGATTTCGACAAGAAGGTGGATAAAGCCAAGGTCGGCCAGGCGATTGCCGGCAAAGCCATGGACATTATTCGTCTGAAGGGCGCCACTTTTTACGGTATTGGTGCGTGCGCAGCTGATTTAGTGCATACGATTGTTTTGAACAAAAAGGTCGTGCATCCCGTGTCTGTCTATGTAGAAAAGCTGGGCGTCACTCTTTCCATGCCTGCAAAAATCGGATGGGAAGGTGTGCAAGAAGTCTATGATGTGCACTTGAGTAAAGAAGAAGAAGAGCAGTTACGTGCTTCAGCTGACGCGCTGCGAGAAATTCAAGATTTGTATTAGAGAGGCCTTCTCGTTTCCATGATGGATACCCCTCCCGCCCCCGCCCCCATCACGATGTTGCATACATTTTTTTTCTTTATCTAACTACTTATTTAGCTGGGTCCATTGCATCCCATGTATATACCTCTCTTTATATCCTGTTCCTTTCATTCACGACATTATGTAAATCAATAAACGCTTGTTGACTCGGATCAAACAAACACTATCCATCCTATTGTCAGTGGAAGGCAGGCCTTCCTAGGTGTTTCATCACCCGCTTGACGATGCCATTGGTACGACATGAACGTGGTGGTAAAAGGGGAGCTCACCTACTTTTATTGGGTCCTCTCTTTCGGCGGGGAACAATGTTTTAGCCGTCCTTGATTTTTATTTTTGAATGCATTCCACACCCTCGAAGAGAAATCCAGAATGTGTGGTTCCTAAGGATAGCATGGATGGGAGTTCAAGGGATGCAAAAAAGAAAAGGCCTACTTTATTGTACCACTTTATTGATGTGCCTCTCTCTCTCTCTCTCTCTCTCTCTCTCTCTCTCTCTCTCTCTCTGTGTCTCTTCCAATCATGGATGGATCCATGGGTGATTTTGCGACGTCTGATGGGGTTCAAAGGCATCAGACGGTGATGGCTTCTTTACAGAGCTCGCAGCAAGGCATCGTCCAATAGAGGAAGGTAACAGATCATTAGGTCGAGCACAGCAACCCTACTTTAAGCTGGGAAGAGAAAGGGGTTGTCAATCTCTATTGTTTTGGTTTTTTTTTATTATTATTCCCGTAACGTCCTAGACTTGTGTAACGTATCTTTCAAAAACGACACCTGCCAAAAATGAATGGGGGAAACGATGTCAGATAAAAATGCCCACACCGATTCATTCGTAGCAGTAAAAGAGAGTAGAGAACATCGTACATGCACCGTAGAAAAAGACATCTCCCATGGCTTACACACTGTTGGCATTAGAGTTCACTGTGCATTACATATATTAAACACACACCCATATGCCTCACTTTAGTTATCTGTTGGATTCATCTATTACTCGTTAGCACAGTAACAGAAAAAGACTATCTGACAATGACAAAGAAAAAGGTATGTTTTATACAAATAGATGTATAAAGTTTTCAACTTCTTTTTGCGTGCGTCTTTTTTTTTAGGCGCCGTTTTTTCATTATGGCAAATTTTGCAAATTTTGCAAAAAAAAAAAAAAAAAAAAAAGCAAAATTTTACATCCATTCTTCTCTCTCTCTCTCTCTCTCTCTCTCTTTCCTTCTTTTTCCATACTTTTCATTGTTATTTATTCTCTTTCTTGTTTTTTTTTCTCTATTTATTTTCTCACTTTAACACTCGCGTTTAAATCTAAATGTTGTCAGGCTCAGAAGTATTGGTTGAATCAGCACCGGGTACTGCTATAAATACCACAAACACTTCTTTACCCCCGCCTTCTGCTCTATTCAATTCTAGCTATTACAGCAATCACAGTTCTTCTTCCTCGTCTCCTCCTCCTCCTCCTCCTCCTCCTTCAAGCACTACTACTGCCGCTACTGCTGGCAACAACACGACAACATCCAATACGTACATGTTACCTCCTCCCTCCAGCCTTCCTGGCTATCATTTACCACCACCACACTATATGTATAATCCTGGTCCACAGCAACAACAACAACAACAACAACAACAACAACCGCCACATCATCACCATCCTAATGACTATTATTATCCTCCTGTCGCCAACAACAACAACAACAACAACAACAACAACAATTCAACCACCATGGTGGTTGTAGAAGAGAATCAACCGCACCCTCAGAAACCTCAACAAAAAAAACGTAAAAGACGTACCACTGCTGCCAAAAACGCAGCCGATCCTACCACGACCACAGCTAAAAAAACCAAGAAATCAAGCAATTATCATCATTATGAAGTGCTGGAAATGAAGAGCAAACCTCTCAAGACCAAGAAAAAACCAGGAAGAAAGAGCAAGAAAGAATTGAATGAAGCTGAAATCAGTGCTGCTGCTGCTACATTGGCTTCGTTTGCTACCTCCTCCTCCTCCTCCTCCTCCTCCTCTTCTTCTTCGCCTTCTATGTCTGCTTCTTCTCATCATTCCGTGACATCTACATCTACGAAATATACGGCTACCCATACACCGCCTTTAACGACAGAAGAAGAAGAAGAGGGAGAGGATCATGACGTCTTTTACGATCAAGAAGAAGAAGCGGCCCATTGTATTCAATTAGAAGGAGAGGCGTGCGCGAATCCTCATGCCGGACTGTATCAATGTGAACAATGCCTAACAACCTATAAACATTTGAATTGCTTACAAAAGCATGCTTGGGATAAACATCATTTAGTACGTAGAAGTAGTATGACAAAACAACAACAAACTCAATTAATAGAGGTAAAAACAAAGAAAACTTTTTTTTTTTTTTTTAAAAAAAAAAAATTTATCACTGAAAAAAAAAAAAAAAAAAAAAAATGACTATTTTTTGATAGGCAGCACAAATCTTGATGGATATTGCACGCTACGGAATGAAAATACGATTTTAAGTGGGTCTTTCTATAGAAAACAGTATTTGCCCCCCTTCACAAAATACACATAGTTTAAACACATGGTTTTTTTTTTTTTGATGATTCATATTTATTCTATTTCTTTGGAAAATTTTATGTATTAAAAATTCTCCCCCCCTTTTTTTAAAGGTTTTTCCCTCTGTTTTGCATATAAACAGCCATTTCTCCGTTGACTTTTCTTTTTTTTTTTTTTTTTTTACAGAACATTTGAGTCTTTTTGTAGATTAGGAAAGCCATTGGTTTTTGAATAAAAAAAGAGAGAGTTTGTTTACAGAAAGTGCGTCATGATGTCGAGTAATTCATTCACCCACACTTCTCGAGTCACAGTCCAATCAGGATCCATGACCAACGTATGTCTTTCCAAACTGATCAAGGCTCCTGCTAAATGACGTTCAGAACGAGCGTTCCCTAGTAAATTGATCCACGTATCGCGTTCCTGTTGAATCCACTCTTCTGTCACAGCTGACCATAACAAAGCCATTTCAAGTTGAATCAGCGACATGGCAAATGCGTGGATAGGATTTCTATGACTATTCTCTGTGGTGGTCGTCGTTGGAGGAGGAGGAGGAGAACCATGCTCACGGGTATCGTCCTCACGACTCTCCTCTTGCCCTTGTGGTGGCTGTGGCTCACAGGAGGTGGAGGAGGTAGCCGCTGCGGTCACTTGTGCTACCCATGCTTTTCTTTTCGATAACCATTTGGGTGATTTGTGTTTATTGGGTATATGCGACTCGAATTCCAACAACCGACGATTCAATGTTTTGATGGTACTATAAACAGAGGTTTCATAAGAAGGAGGTGCCTCTTGTTGTTGGTTGGACGACATGGCATCGTCGTCATCGTCGTCTTCTTCCGTGGCTGCCTCTTCTTCGTGACCTACCGGTGGTTGTGGTTGTGGTTGTGGTTGTGGTTGCTGCTGCTGAGAAGGAGGAGGAGGAGGACTACCGGCGGCTGGAAGAACAAAAGAAGCCAAAGACCCTGCTGTTTCCGCAGAGGCTGTGGTGGTAGGACGCAACGTCTCCTCCTCGAGAGCACCTGGAGGGAGCACGGCCTGCTGTTGTTGTTGTATGACCAGACGCACAAGCTGATCCACTTTGTCGGTCAATTGATCCAATTTGATCTGCAACTCCGCGTTCGCACGACCTTCCGCTTCTGCTGCCTGAGAGGGTGGCGGCGGCACATACACTTGATACACATCCTCTGTTAAGAGCTCGGCTGATATTCGCTTTGTCCTCTTGTCTTCTTCTGCGAGGTCAAAAGGAACCACTTTGGTCGACTGACTGACGAGTAAGGCGGTTGCTTTCGGAACGACCGCTTGTATGTCACTGAACAAAATAACTTTTTTTTGATCTACTCGCCGCACGGGAATCTCGAAAACATGATGGTCATACTTTACACATATATACTGTTGTTGTTGCATACGAAAAGAGAAAAAAAAAAAAAAAAAAAGAAAGGAAATGAAAAAAAAAAAAAAAAATCGCAGAAAAAAAATAAATAAAAAGGGCTGCTGTGCTCGAAATTTTGGGAAATTTTCCTGCCCTTCCCCTCTGACACAAAAAGCTCCCCTGATAAACCACGCTTTATTACTTGAAAAACCAAATGTAAAAAAAGTAAATGATGGCCACCACAAATAGCGTTAGCACCCACCAGACTGTGCCTGACTGCTTTTCTGCCATGATTTTGAACTGATGCATCGTTTTGCCCAACACCGAGCCAGTATTCATATAATGATCATTCTATTTTAAGGGATGGTAAGTCAGATGGCCCTCTTCTGGACAAAAACGCCATTGGACACATTACCATCTGTTCAATAAAACTATTTCCCGATCGAATCTCTTCGCCAATTTTGCCTGTAATCTAACCCATGCCCGGGGCAAATAAACAGAATGAGGTTGGTTTTGTTGGTTTTTTTTTTTTTCTTGAGCGTCTCCCCCCCACCACCCTCTCATCGCCAACATTAAATACAGACACCTACATTCTTCAAGATCTTTACTTTGGCTGATAACCCTGAAATATCTTGATCGTTCTGACTTTCTAAATACTCTAAATCGCGATCGTTCATCCGTATGCCTATGGCATCGTCATTCTTTTTATTCGTGGAAACAGACGGTGATCCTCGACCACTGCTGCTGCTGTTGATATACGATGAAGGCGACGGTGTTCGTGAGGCCGTGGCGTCAAGCCCACCCAATAGATTGGTTCGATTATGTAAATTCTGATAGCTCCTGTGGGTCATTCAAAGAAAACCACCCATCCGCAAAGAGATGAAGGATGCATGAGTCCTTTCCCATTCACATTCATCTTTTCTTCATCAAGGAGCACACGCTCACCCCCCCCCAACATGTATTTTGAAAAAAACTTTCCCACTTTGAATATGCACCTTACACTGCCTCTCGTACCAAACTGACGGGACATGATGCGTATTGTGTTCTAATGTCGGTCACGGTTTTTTATTGGTGTGGTGAAGGGTGAAAGAGTAGGTTTTTCTTTTGTCTAGAGTGTGTGTCGCAGACTGGAAATAAAAAAAAAAAAAGAAAAAAAAAAAAAAGGGAAAAAAAGTACAGCATAAAGTTTTCTTTTTAGGTAGGACATTTAAAAAAAGCATAATAAATAAGGGTGGGGTTTGAATTTTTATCTGGCATGGTTTGATTGGCTGGATCAACATGGAGAAAGGGGGTCCTATGTACGGCATCGTGTGTCATTTTTATCAAAAGACCACATTCTAATCCAGTCAATGGCCAAGGCGCGTCTATTGCCCTCGCCCCACGTAGGCAACCATGTGTCCCGGGCATTGTAGAACTGATTCATGGCATGCGCATTATCATTTTGCCAAGGCTTGGCTTTATCGTCCGGGAAATAGCCATTCGTACCTCCTACAGCGACATTCAGAATCTAAAATACCCATGTGAGTCAACAACCTAGGCCTATGGTTACCAAAAATAGGCTACGTTACCAAAAAGAATTCTTGATCAAACGGGGCAGACAAGTTGCCCGATTTCCATGGATTCATCGTGGTGTTGGCATCAAATTCCCCGCGTTCAAAAGCAGGTTGATCAAAATCCACCTGCAAAATAGTGGCCGTATCGACATACGTGCGGATACCGTTGGGCGTCCATTCAAGCCCATACGTATGGAAATCATCCGCCCACGTACCATTACGACGGTTACCGCTGTCAAAAACAATACTTTCAGAAGTCCTCAGATATTCATCCAAGTAAGCGTTGGGTCCCCAATGAAGCGTGGACGATATCGTAGAGGCGTTGGCGATAAAGTTTCGATTGCCCACTCCTTCTGCAATATCAATTTCGCCTACAAGTCATCATAAATTAGAAGGGCTTGACGTGAGTCTTTTATGTCAAGCCATAGTGCATCTATGTAAAGTTTTTTTTTTTTTTTTTTTTTTTTTTACCACTCGCAGGCCAACTTCCATACGATGAATATTTAGGCATCATCCAAATAGCCGGCCTATGTCATTGTCATATCAGTTAAAAAACATGACTTGATCTGTATACAAAACAAAACAAAAAACAGAAAAAGAAATGGCTTGCGTTGTTGTTTACCATAACCAGTCTCCTATAGGCATTCTTGCTCTCACTTCCACTCGGCCATAGCGCAAACTAACAGAATCAATGGTTCTAATTCTAGCGGATTGAATAGGGTTCAAATAATTGCCATCCGCTACAGCTCCAGATGATCTATCACAACCTATCAAGACCATGCGTGAGTCTCTTTCTTTTCTTTTTTTTTTTTTTTTTTTTTTTGTCAAAAGGATGGGAGAAAAACGTACCATAGTTGGAATTGTCAGTACAATCCTCGGACGGTTGACCTGACCATAAGGTGATTTTCCCATCGTCTGTCACCGCCTGTTCTCCTACCGTCATCGAAGTCAAGGTAGGTTTCAAGTATAACACACCGTTCTCTACAAAACTATTCGATCGATTGTTGGTATAATACTGAAACTCCCAATTGCCTCCTCCACTCAGTGTGATTTCATGTTGCCACGTTTTCAAATTAAACTGTTCAAATTGGTCTTCAAATACAAGACATTCTTCGTCCACACCTGCGGAGGAGGAGGGTGGCGCTTGCTGTTGTCGTTGGAGCTGTTGAGCATAGTGTTTCGCTGCTGCGTACGGATGAGCGTGGGGATGGTGATGGTGATAATGGTGATGAGCCGCACGGAAGGCAGTCGCTTTCAGTTTTTGTAGTTCGTCAGGCGTAGGTGCTCTGTATTCGAAGGCCACTGTCGACGGAATCACCGATAGAGAAGCCGCGCTCAATAACAGTACACTGGCTTGGTATAATAGCATCTTGGAGAAAATATAATTCTTGAAAAGATAGGAAAAAGATGGAGGGATGACCAAGGGAAAAGCTATAGAAAAATATAATTAAAAACAAGTCAGGGTCTTCACCCTATTACGTAGGTTGCATTAGGAAATTTATTAAAAATATTAAGTCGTTTAATATAATAACTTCCTAAAGGTGATCCATAATAATAGCTACTTTAGAACATCCGCTTTTGAACTGACAATGAGTATAATAACTTTTTTTTTTTTTTTCTAATAATCAACGTGTCGGCATAAATTTTGTACAACGCTGTCTTTGGCTTCGGTCCGGTAGACTGATGTTTCTTTTTTTTCCCCCAGAATTCAAAGGGGTGGGTTTGGCTCACACTTTATCTTTACTCCATTTTTCATTGATCTGTACAAGACATTCACTTTTTTTTTTTTTACCATTCCTCATTGTGACAAGACATTGCATGACTTTACGTTCAGCAACAGATAGACTGGGCACTCACGTGTACGATCAACAACCATCCCTTTCCAAATCTGCAGCATCCCATGCAACCAAGAACCGACCCGACTCAACCGACAAAGATCGATTCATTGAATTAGCACAAGCAGCTCTAGAGGAAGCGCATCTAGAAGAAGAGCGCAAAGGAGTGCTTCAGGAAGTCATGGAAGCCCTCGTTTCAAAAACAGGTGCCCCCCTCGTCGCCGATGTGATTTCTCAACAGCTTCATTCCCAGGATGTGATTGAACGACTTTGTGAAATTCATCAACAACAGCGAGACCAACTGAATCAATCTCCCTACCTCCAGCAGCAACAACAACAACAACAAAGTGCTAAACCCAAGAAGAATAAACATGATTTGCATAAAAATGATACCCAATACCCACATTCCTCTCTAAAAGACGAAACGACAGCGATATCCACATCCTACAAGAACAACAAGCACATGGCAAAAAGACACACCCCCTCTTCTCCACCTTTGCCCCGTATGTTACGCGCGGAATCTGTCGAAAGTATGAAAGCACCCGATGACGAGCTCTATGAAAGTAAAACCGATGAAAGCTGCTACTACAACGTCTATGATGATGATGAATCTCCTTTGAAATTGTTGTTCATGTTGCATCCTCATTATCGAACAAAAGAAAATACGGCCTATGTGTTTGCGGAATACCTTTGGCGTTTATTTAGATTATTATTGTTAGCAAGTTTAGTAGGACTGGTATGCCATTTCTTACATAGTACTTCGTAAACTCAGTACCCCAGCAAAGGTCTGTCTATTCCATTTGGTATATATAGACATGTATACCTCTTTGGCGGTTTTTTTTTTTTTTTTTCTAACCTCATCGATACATCGTTTTTATCAAGCGAATCTCTTTTTTTGTACAAGTATACCATGATGATATCAAAGTCGAAATATATAATATATTTTTCGCCACCCCCTCCCCACTCAATGGAGGGGGCTATCCTCTTCTTGAAAAGCGTGGCTCGGGTGGAATGTTAGACACATGTGTCACTGCTGTATTCTCTGTAACAACCCCTATCGAGGCCACTTGCTGTTCTACATCAGCTTCCTCATCGTAGTTGTCCTCTTCTTCTTCTTCTTCTTCTGTTTCACCAGAGGAGGGAGGCTTAAACACTCGAACTTTATTTGCATATTTACTCTTATTATTCTCATTGCTCCTTGTTTGAGATTGCGATAAAGAGGGTCCATTGACATTGCGCAATGCTGTTTTTTGATAAGAAAGTGAAGGAGGAGGAGGAGCATGATGTGGGTGACTGGTAGTGTTGTCATTCAGTGTATGTGAGGGTGGATGATGTGCATCTGTCGTCGTCGCCGTCGTCGTCGTCGCTGTGGTGGTGGTAACTTCAGTAGCGGTAGAGCCGCCTTCTTGTTGCTGCTGCTGCTGCTGCTGCTGCTGTCGTTGTTGTTTCTCTAATAGTCTTCGATTATATTCTCGTCGTTCCTCTTCGCGTAGCTTTTTATCTCTTCTAAACAGTAATACATGCGGCTCAGGCGCTGTGAATGATGATGGAGAAGGGGATTAAAATCAATGCCTCATTCATCAAAAGATATCCTAGAAAATGTATATTTCATTTACCATAGATCATGTAATGCTCCCAAGATCTTTTTTGTCGAACACCCAATTCTAACCACTCTTCTGTTTTCAGCAGTTTTTCAAAAGGCCTTGGTAGCCATCTTGCAATATTTTTGGGCAAAGTGACATTTCTATATTCATAAGTATCGTCATATAATGACCGTCCGTATTGAATCTGACTCGCTAGCTCTTCAATGTCTTTGGCTCGTTGTTGTCTTTCTCGCGCTATTTCGTCCGCTGTCTTTCCAGTGGATCGCTTCTTTTGGATGTATTTTCTTTTAATGATCATTTTACGCCCTTTGATTGTTTCAGCATTGGCCGTCTGTGTCTGTGTTTGACTTGAGGAGGCTGATGCATTTTCATCATGAGGTCCCTCTGCGTCGAATGGCTGACCTTGAGGCTGTGATTGCGACTGTGAGAAAACATGCTCGCTCTCATGCGATGGACCTGCTGTTGTTGTTGAGCCTGATCTTGACAAAGAAGGTACATTCTGCTGCTGCTGCTGCTGCTGTTGCTGCTGCCGTGTGCTTTCAATGTTGTTCATTATCGAGAATAAAATTAATGCAAAAAAAAAAAAAAAAAAAAAAAAAATAGAGAGAGAAAGAAAAAGAAAGAAAAAAGTCAGGTCCATCAATATTAAAAAAGGTGCCTTGAAAAAGTCACGAGATCAAGTGGGCGGGAAAAACTGTGGTGTGAGCCATCCACCCATTAAGCCTTGGAATAAAGTCTTGTTCCTGTGCCAAAAAGCGTGAATCCATCAACATGTTCAGAGTCCATTCATGAAGGGAAAGGTGGCTTGCATCTTTACACAATATACTTTCAAAGTCTCAACCGTAATAAGGAGCAAAAAGTAGCATGAATTGCACTTGGTAAAAAAGGTATTGCCGTTACTCACTGCACGATCGATCTGCCTGTTGAGCTAACAATTATTTCCTTTTTGATTAAAGAAAGCTATCATTATCGATGGAACGAAAAGCTTCTACGAAAGAAGGAAGCAAGTGTGGCTACTTCTCCTGTTAAATACGGGATATTTTTTAACGTTTCAGTAGTTGGTGGTGAAAGAAGACAGAGAGGTTAGAATTTGCCCTCCCCCCTCACATCGTAAGTACAATACATATATGTTATTGGCAGACGGTTTGACACACGCACACGCATACGCACATACACACATACACACATACACACAGGCACACAGGCACACAGGCAGCGTAGCAAGTACTTTATCCTTTGTATCCTTCCCTTTAAGCGAAAAGAAGGGTGAGCATGAGCAAAATGAAATGAAAAAAATCATTACAAAAAAGGAGAATGCTCTCAAGATATTCAGGGATCGGCCTAGTGACAGATTTGGAAAGTGATAATGCAGGTCTAATGAAACTATATGCATACATGTTTGAAAGCATAGATTGAAGCATAAACTTAGTAAAGCGACTGGTATCTCTTTCGGAAATCGCCACTGTTCGCTTCCCCTTTGAAAGGACAATACGTTTTGATTTGATAATAAGTAATGTACTAGACCGAACAGCCCCCTAATGTGGCTAGTAAAAAAGAGATAAGATGACATTGATAAAAAAAAACAAAAAAAAAACACTCGCTCTATCGATCGAGACTTTTTTCTTTTTATTTCAAATTTCTTCTTTCCCTTCTAGTTACTTGCCTTGGGACCATTCTATTGTGCTATATCGACTTTCAAGCTTGATCACTAACAGTTTTGGCATGAAACTATTCCCCTGTTTTTATCAGCCAAAGTTATTGAACAAGTGTCTTGACGCCTTCCACATTCGATAAAGAACCCTACTGATTTGATCATTATCACTGATCTTACTCGCCGCCGCTTCTCATCCTAGCTCACCATTTCATAAACCATGACAATTCCTTTGCCATCCTCTAGAAAACGCAGACGACGTGACGATCCGAAGCAAGGCTCTGAGGACAACATAGAGAAATCATTACGACCAGAGGCTACTACTACTACTACTACTACTACTACTACTGCCAGCATAGATCTGTCACCATGCTCCCTTAACGCATCACCCTTCCTCATGCAGCAGTCGCCGCCGCTATCACTTCCAACACCATTTTCAACGCCACATAGGACGATGAATGAGGCTCACTATCGGCTGTTGAAAGTAGTGCAATCCATTTGCAAATCGGTCGATCATTTTCAAGATGATTTGGACTATTTGATGTCTGAATGGAACACAATACGTATCATATACGAATCCATGCGAAATGCGTACGAGACAGCCTTGATGGTGGCTGATACGCAAACAGACTGGATAGAGGTAGACAAAGAACTGACCGTTTCTTATGATGACTTGATGGCTCAGGTGAGACATTTGGATAGAAGACTCCAAAAGTTGACAATGGAAATCAAACAAACTCTATCTTCTAATCTGATAAAAGATTGATCGACTTTCCAATATAAACTTTATATGCGCGCACAGACACTTTTTATTTGTTTTTGTTCAATATGACGAAACTCTACAACAAATATATATGTTTGCTATACCCTTACCAGCAACCACTCTAAGCATACTGTATGTACTTTTTTTCCCTTTCCATATTTGTATTTCAGCCTACTTACTTGATATCATTGATTATCTTATATTATTGCCTCTCTCTATCTCCCTCTTTCTCTCTCTCTCTCTAAGGGAGGAAAGAGAATGTATTTATGATTTATTTTTTTTTCCCAATGAATATATGATAAGCCTTACAGAAATGTCCATGTCGAAATCGCCGTATCGTGAAATGCGTGTCCCCGGAAAATAATCTATTAGCTACTGCTTTAAAAATGCTTTTCAAGAAAGCGCTTTCAAATTTAATCGAATAGATTCAAAAGGATATACGTATGTATTGGGTATGTTTGCTTGTTTTCTGTTCTTAAAACTTGTCAAGAGAACAGCTCTAGCTCTTATAAGTTTCTTATTAATGATCATCAATTACTTGGTACATCACGGTTTTATTTGGATGGTTTTTTTTTTCCTTTAACACCAACTCACACATCTTTTTTCTTCCTTTAGATCAAATACGAAATACAACTCACATCCCATCCTTTTGTTGTCCTCAGATCCATAGAGATACCTCCAACTCGAGCAGTGGTATGCCTCAAGGAAATGATGACAAAGCCGAGGCAGCTGACATAGATAGTACTACCCTAGTGAATAGCTCAGAGGATAAGGTGTGCAAAGAAATATCCGATGCTATCGTCTATGCGTATCCGCCTCATCCTAGCATGACCCTTCAAAGCTCGCTTTTCCCTACAGTAACGGCAGGACATAACGAAATATCCAGCATGAGCTCAGCGGATAAACTCAATACGACTGCGCCGTCGTCCTCATCGTTTACACTTGTGATAGAGAGCCATCCAGAAGGGAGAACAGGAGATGCAGTGAGAAAATTAATATTAAAAGTAAGGGAAAAGGAAGGCAAAGACGCGCGAGAAAATGAAGAAAGCGATACATCGATTCAATTAAAGGATAAAGTGAGGAGGGCCTTTGGTCAGTGGTTTACATGTAGCTTCAACAATGAAAATGGCTGTAAAGGGGCTCCTACTTTGGATGCAAACGGAGAGAAGTTGCATCACTACATGGAACAGTTGGACAATGCGACCCTCACAAATAGTCATAGCGCTTTCAGCAATTTATGCTACTACTCTACAGACACCAAGCAATATTTGATTTCGTCCTTCATGGTGACCATCGGCATCTTGGTTCCGGTTGCATTTATCATCATGGGTCTAGGAAAGACAATGGTGACAACAACAACAACAACATCTACTACTACTATGACTACTACTACGAGTGCTGCTGCTGCTGCAAGGACGGACAATACATCCTGATGGCCGTGTGTTTATCAAAAAAGGCCCAACTCTGAAAAAATACACAATGTCTCCTTAAACGTTAGATCATGAACGCTCGATAGCATAGCATGTTAAAAATCATAGAGCTCTGCATATGAACGGAAAGACAAGGAGAACGCTTCATGGATGCTCCAACCCACAGTGCTATGTACGTGCATATCGGATATATAATAATAATAGCCATTTTATTTTGCACTGAGAAGGAATGGAAGGTTCTTTCTCGACCCTCTCACATCACAGGTCGCATATTTTGCAAGTCCCCCCTTTCTGGTAACTTAAAAAAGCGAGCCTGCCGCTGTTGCATAATATAGTGTTCGTAAAATTTTAATTGACTGTACGTAACCTCACAATTCTTAAAAGAGATCTGGCCCCCCTCCCCTTTTATTTTTTCCTTTTTTGCCAAAAATCGGGCTATTACCTTAATAAAGAATGGAACAACTCACAGATGCAATTAGTGAAAGCAAACCAAGGTAGATATTTCGTCTTTAAGGCAACAGAACTGGCGTATTATAGACTTTTAAAGTTCCATAGCATGCCTCATTTATCCTCCAGGCAACAAGCAAGAAAATCCTTTGGCTTTGCTTTTCAAAGCCATTGCTGCATAATGTGACGGTTTTCGCTTAAGCACACTGCACTATTTTCTGTAAACCAACGAAAGCTATCCAAAACGCACAAAAGTAGAGGTTCTTTTTTCTTGACATAACCAACGTTCCTAATGTCTAACAGTTCTGAAAAAGTCAACGTTGAAGACAGAGCTCTCAGTGAACCGACAGCTGAACTGGGCAAAAAGAGAACTTCTTCAGCCTTGGATGTGTCATCCAACGAAAACGACAGCGATGACAATAGCCATAAAAAGTTTGGCTCAAGATTGCTGGAGAAAAAAGAAGATGTCTTCATTCATAATGCTTGGTAATAAAAAAGTTTGTGTACCCTTTTTCTATCAAAGACTCGAAAATGACTTTGTTAAACTAAAATTAGTTTAGGGATCATGTAGAATGGGATGAAGAACAAGAACAAATGGCCAAAGAAAAGATCTCGACTCAACTGGAAAATCCTGTGCCTGAGGAAGAACGAGGTAATTGGATAAAAGATCCAGCGAATGCCTTACATCATCTTCTAATGTTCCTGACATTGATTTTTTAGATCAATATTACAAAGATCCAGCCGATTATTGGAATAAATTTTACGAAAAGAACGAAAACAAGTTTTTCAAAGATAGAAATTGGCTCAAAATCGAGTTTCCTGAGCTCTTTGAAACGAGTGAAGAACATGCTGGCAAGAAGCGTGTATTTGAAATCGGCTGTGGAGCAGGCAATACCATGTTTCCTCTTTTAGAACAAAGCAAAAATCCTGATCTGTATGTGTATGGCGCTGATTATTCCAGCACAGCAGTCAGTATTGTGACCAATCATGCCAACTACGATACAAAACGATGCAAAGCCTTTGTATGGGATTTATCCAGTGACAAGATACCCGACGATGAAATCGAACCAGAGTCATTGGATATTATTGTATTGATTTTCGTCTTGTCAGCATTAGCCCCTGAACAATGGGATCAAGCTGTTACCAATATTCATAAATTGTTGAAACCGGGAGGATTGGTCTTGTTTAGAGACTATGGACGATACGACTTGGCTCAACTTCGATTCAAGAAAAATAGACTGCTAAAAGAAAACTTTTATATTCGAGGAGATGGCACACGAGTGTATTTCTTTACGTCCGAGGAAATTAGCGATATTTTCACGGGCAACGATAAAGAAAAGCCTCTCTTTAAAATTGAACAAAATGCCATTGATCGTAGACTCATTGTAAATAGGCAAAAAAAGTTAAAGATGTATCGATGCTGGCTACAAGGCAAATTCAGAAAATTGTAGCCCAAAACTAAATTGCCAAATAAATCATTTTGGGCATTTATCTGTTGACATAAATTTTGTTAACAGCCTGTCGTCTTTTTCCTTGGAATTTTCTGATATTTTTTTTTTGATCCCGCCCAAAATAGCTCAAAAAAGGTTTCAGCTGTCTTTTTTTTTTTTCAACAAAGTAATGATTGCCCTTTTTTCGTGTTCTTTTTGCTTTCCTTCTCTTATCTTTCACATATTCCCTTCAACTCACCTGTGGCCAGTTCTAAATAGCCTTTAGGGGCATCTACACTAGCACTCGTTATCTCTTTCCGATTCAATTCCGCATCACGCTCAAAAGTGGAAGCATACAAATAGTCACATTACATTGAACAAAGATGACTATGTCAACGAGTTCTTCTATCGCTCATTCAGAACAACTGAAGCAACGTCGATCAAATAACAATGACGCAGATATCAACACAGATGTCATGTTGGCTGACAAGCTGCTAAACCAAGAATGTAACCATTCTGGAGAAAACAAAGTTAAGCATGTGTACTCCTCAGGATTTGTGCAACATTTACCATCACAACAACGGAGTAGCGTTTTTTCAAATTGGGATTGGATTCTTTCTACAGCCTTGACATTGTGGGCCTGTTATATCAGATTATGGAAGCTGTATCAACCTTCATCTGTGGTGTAAGTATTCGTAGATGCACGACGAGAAGGTAGCAGCTGGACAACGCTGTATTGATACTTTTACCATTTACAAAATGTTTTTAGATTTGATGAAGTACATTTTGGTGGTTTCGCTAGTAAATACATCAACAAGAAATTTTTCATGGATGTCCATCCTCCGGTAAATTGCTCTCAGCCTTTATTTTTTATTCAAACGATAAAAAAAAACCCAAACACCCTTTCTAAAACCGTGGTACTGTCATGAAAATTAGTTGGCTAAAATATTGATTACTTGGGCCGCTCAAGTCGCTGGCTTCGACGGACAGTTTGATTTTAAAAAGATTGGCAAGTATGTTGAAAAGAATAGGAATTCGGACTTGACGCGAGTAGAAAAGTTGACAAACGTTTTTTCTGTTCATTCGTTGAGAAAGGGATTATATTGAACCTAGAGTGCCATATACTCCTATCCGTGCTTTTTGCGCATTGAATGGTGTCATGCTAGTTCCTTTCGCTTATTGGACTATGCGCGGTTGCGGTTACTCAATGCCTACTGCAATTTTGACAGCTGCTATGATCTTATATGGTAATATCACATAGAATGAAGACTTCAACCGCTTGGTAAAGAATCAGAAAACTAATCCATTTAGGTTACGATATCAGAGAATGGTTTTATTACGAATAATCGTTTGATCCTGTTGGATTCAATTCTCTTATTCTTCACCGCGTTCACTATACTCGCTTGGATTAATTTTCGCAGATACACCCATAGACCATTTACACTAAAGTGGTGGAAATGGATGGTCTTGACAGGTATTGGATTAGGATGCACCGTCAGTTCGAAATGGGTTGGATTATTCACTATTGCTATGATCGGTGTATCTGTAATACACGACTTGTGGGTGATCTGGGGCGATAAAAGAAACACCGTGGTACGTGATTTTCTTGCCATTTGTGCAATGAATCATTAAAAGCAATCAAAGATCGAAGAATGGAATCTAATACGCCTACCCTCCCTCATTTTATCACTAGGCAAGATGTGCTCAACATTTCTTGGCTCGTGCCATTTGTTTGATCATCATTCCCTGTTCCATCTACCTATCGCTTTTTAAACTGCATTTTGATATGCTGCCATTGACGGGTACTGGTACATCATTTATGTCTCCAGAGTTTCAATCAACTCTGAGTGGATACAAATTTCCAGAGTCGACGAAAGCAGGCAAGTACTTCATTTGGCTAAACTTACCTATAGGTCATTTGGTTCAGCTGCTTACTGCATTCTTTTTAGATGTCATTTATGGCTCAAAAATAAGCATCCGACATATGGGGACCCGTGGAAGTTATTATCTTCATTCTCATGATCACCGCTACCCTGGCGGTAGCAAGCGTAAGTACTTTGTCCCTCTTAGAATGGCTTTTTATTTTCCATCATAGCTAAAGACACCGTATTACGAACAGAACAACAGGTTACACTATATTCTCACGTTGATGCAAACAATTGGTGGTATATTTACAAAGGCGATACAGAAGAAGTCAACGAGGTTGAGTACATCAAGCATGGCGATATTGTCCGCCTCAAACATGCTTCTACAAAAAGAAGACTCCATACCCATGATATTAGACCTATCACCAATGATGAAAAGTATATTAACGAAGTTAGGTGAGGACAACACATCCTATGATGGGAAAAAAAAAAAAAGGAAGAACGTTGTAAATAACTCTCACTCATCGTAACGGCTCACGACTCGTTCCAGTGCGTATGGTTTTGAAAACTTTGACGGTGACGATAATGATCTGTGGCGTGTCGAGATTGAAGATTATGACGGGTCCGATCCGTATGCTAACGAGCGTTTACGTGCTCGTCGTTCAAAGTTTAAGCTAGTATCAGTAAGTCAAGACTGTGAACTATTTTCTCGTAGGTACAAGCTACCTGAATGGGGTTATAAGCAACAAGAAGTCGTGTGTCATAAAAAAGCGCTAAAAGCAAAGACACTTTGGATGATTGAAACAGTTAAAACGGACATGTGTAAGTTGTGTGGTCGTATGTGCACCTTATTTGATACAGACCGAATGTGTTAACGAAATCTCATTTATTCATATAAAGTGCCTGAGGAAGCTGACGTCGTAACATACGAAAAGCCTGGTTTCTTACGCAAATTTTTAGAGTTACAAAAGGTGATGTGGGATGTCAATAAAGGATTGCCTTCAGCACATGCTTATGGCTCTCGACCTAAGGTTCGTCTCTACAGCATAAGAAACAGAAAATGAAAATGAAAAAAGCTTCAAAAAGATGTATTACGAATTGTATAGAGTAACTTATACTTGCTTAATTTGTTTTTTTGTTCAAATTGGATAGGATTGGCCTCTGCTTAAACGTGGTATAAGTTTCTGGTCTAATCGACCTCTCAAGATCTATTTACTTGGCAATCCTATTGTTTTCTGGTCAACCACAGCCTGTATCATTACTTACATTTTGTTCAAATCCGTTGTCACTATCCTCGCTAAACGTCAAATGCTTCCATCGAGCGTTGAACATCGCTTTAGCCGTTATGAAGGAATGGCTGCCTTTTTCTTTGCTGGCTGGGCCCTGCATTATTTTCCTTTCAACTTGATGGATCGTCAATTGTTCTTACACCATTATATGCCAGCTCTTTACATAGCTACATTGATGTTTGGCGTGATATTTGAAGCCATCACAAGTAGATTCAATTCGCCATTACGTTGGTTTATTGTAGTGCTTGCGATCACTACGCTTGTTTATGTGTACCGCATTTTCATCCCTATCACCTATGGTGAACCATGGTCAGAAGGAAAATGTCTTCAAGCTACCTGGAGACCCACTTGGGATTTCCATTGTACATGGTAAGAAATAGGAGAAAAAGGGTTTATGTTGGGTGCGCAGTTCTCATCGCGAATCGTTTCAAACGTAGGTTTAAACCCAAGCTGGAAGCTGAGAGTGTCTCTAAAGATGACAAGCAAGGGACGAGAGTCAGTAAAAAATCCGAGAAGAGTACAAAATCTAAAAGAGTGAAAAAGTCGAAATCGAATGCTGTCAAGAAGAATGCCAAAGCCGGTAAAAACAGTAACAAGAATGAAGTAAAGGAAGGGAAAGACGGTCAGAAAGAACGTGTGACAGCCAAAAAATCAGTACCTCTTAACGATCTGGATTAGCCAGTTCTTTTATACTCCTGTTTATTATGGATGTATTTGAATAAATAACTAGTATAATGTACGCAGTTTGATTACTTTGAGCATATACCGAAAAAAGATGTGCCAAAAAAGCCTCTCATGAAAGATACATCGTGCGCAAATACCCTTCTGACTACCGTTGCGCAGATACCACTGAACATCGAAATGAGGATAATTGTTGCGTAGATGGTATCATTGATGGAGCTTGTATTTGCACAACCCTATAGCATTGTTGCAGTGGTAAACTTCTAAACAATGTCAGGTTTTTGGTTACTCAATTTATATTAAATTTCGTAACACGATCGAAAAAAAGAAGCGTCGCGTCACTCTTTTGCATAAAACTTCAGTGGATCATGGGATGAAAATCATCCCAAACGCATCTGGGCTAGTAGAATACAAATCATCTGACGTATTATCACTCTTCAATTTCACCTTGATTTCCTTTTCTTTGTTTGTGATATTGTGTTAGCCATCTGCGATTTATTAGTCAATCATGTAAGCCGCTCTCAGCTATAGTCTGGTCGTTTTTGCTTATGCCGTGGTAATCGTTCAGCAATTCCCATAGAAGGCATTGTGTTGGATAAAGATCTAAAGATCACAGCTGTACTTGGCAAGGGCAGCTTATCTTTTAAAGTGCATCAAATGATGCTACTTCTGCCCATCGCCGCTCAATGGAAAAGCAATATATTGTAGTTATCATTCAAGAATAAAAAGCAGTATTTCCAATTTGATAGTTCGAAGAGCTTATTCCCATTAGATGGTTGGCGGTCCTAGCTGCTAGTGCGATGAATTATATACGCCATTTGCGATCTCTCACTGAGGAATGGAAGCAATATTAACAGATTCCGTAAGGATTTTCTTGGTGTATAACGGTTCACAAGGTGGCAATAACAAATGATAGAACCCACCTAGTCAGTGCCATGAATTCCTAAATGTAGCTATTCAACTATAAGGGTGTAACTTGTTTGAGGGACTAGATATATAAAAGCGCAATAGCTGCCGCTATTTTTACTACTCTCATACTTAAACTTACATAAAATGGTCATGATTCAATCGTTTATTGCTGGAGCCCTTTTCTTTGTCGTGTCTGGTACTTTAGCTACCAATGTCGCAACTATCTCGAATTGTCCGGCTCTCACTGCTCGTGCTACTGCTGCTGCTGACGTGACAGATCTAAGAATTGATGACATAAAGGTGATTGGCGCGTTAGGAGATAGCATCATGGCTGGTTTCGGTATGATGGGAGTTGATTACGATGGCACCGGTGTCCTCAATACTAGTTTCCTTACTGAATACCGTGGCAATAGTTATGGCATCGGTGGTGATTCGGGTGCTGTTACGCTTGCAAACTTTGTAAAGCGTTATGAACCCAAGGTGAAAGGCGCATCTGTACTCTCACACTTGGTCTCCTTGTGCAAATCTGGAAATTGTAGTTCAGCACTTTGTAAGAATCGTTTTTGTTTTATTATATGAAACACAAATCGCTTTACTCATCGTTCTAACCAACTCATTCGTACGATGCTATAGATCGTCCACTTCGAGATGTCTTTAATGCTGCCCAGAGTGGCGCGGTGGCAATGAATTTGGATTTTGAATTGGACTATCTTATCAGTAGTAAGTAAGAAACCTAACATAAGCTGAGCAATATCCATTTGTTAAAAATCTCTCTATCAGATATGAAAACAGTTGCCGGTAGTACGAGTTTTCAGAACGATTGGAAGATGATAACCATTCAAATTGGTAGTAACGATCAATGTGCTTCTTGCAACAGCACCATTATGGATAAGGTGACTGCAACAGCTTACGCTCAGTATGTCGAGGCAGCAATTGAGCGTATAAAGAATGAGATTCCTAAAACCGTCGTTAATTTGAGTACGTAATAGAACTGTTAAGAGTGTTAGAAGAGGCACCAAGTTGACCTTTTTCTACATTGCTTTTTATTCAGTTGGCACATTCAAGGTGTCTGGTGTTTTCCCTCTCTCTGCTGGTCAAAGCTATTGTGTTCCTAATGGTCTTTTGCAAAATATCGGAGAATGTTCTTGCTCCGCCTCTAATAATTGGGCCAAAATGGATGCTCTTTCAGATGGTAACGATTTCTAGATAAATGAAAAGCATTTAACTTATGACTAACTATGTTATATTGTTCTACAACAGCTTATAATGTTCAGTTACAAAGTATCGCTAACAAGTACAAGGGAACCACTGGTGGTACATTTGCTGTAATGTACAGCCCAGCCCCTATTGACCTCTCCTCGTTCCCCATTGATGCGTTGAGGTAAAGGCAGAATGAAAATACAGCGATTTCTTTTCATAAAAGCCTATAATCTAATCCTTTCTCATTGTTACAATTCAGTAATATCGATTGTTTCCATCCTAGTTTGAAAGGACATCAATGGTTCGCAAAAACTTTCTGGAATCAACTTTTCTTGCCTAGTGATTTCAAGCCATCTACTTATACTTTTGACGCAAATCTCGGTGTAAGTTAAACCGTTTCAACTATTCTAAAACTTGAATGCTCATCAAGATCCCTTTATGTAGGTCTATTGTCCCACTGATAGTGACCGACTCCCCACTATTTAGAGTTACATTCATTTCGTTTATTTTTCTGCTAATGGCTTGGTGATTAAATTGATAAGGGGCGATTTTTGTAATAGAATACTTCACGTTTTTTGCAAGACAATGTAAAGCAAAGGGCGTATACAAATGCAAACAACTTTTATATAATTGATGTTCCAAAGTCTTTAACATTAAAACGATTGGGTTTTTCTTATACTCTATTTCTCAAATGTACTTAAAGATGGGTGATAAGCTATGCAATATACCCACTTTTATCTTTCAATTTACAAAACCTCTGTATTTATTTGTTCCTGATCATTCGTAGTTGTCCCAGTACTACTATCAGTACTTGTATTTGAGCTTGGATGAGAGTCTTTTGAATTGGCTAATACTGATATGTTGTCGCTGTTATTACTATTCTCATCATGGTCAACGCTCATGGAGGTATCGCTGTCCACGAGTATAGCATTGAGTTGAAAAGAGGAGGTATCAATTGTGACGACTTTATCGAAATGCTCCTCTATATATAAATCGCCAACTGATGTTGTACTGGAATCCCTGTCCACAGTCATATCGTCATCTTGTTGTTGTTGCTGGATTATAGAATGTTCATCGTTAACTGATAAACTATCAGACTCATCATTACTACAAGCTGTACTTTCATTAAATACACGACTAGCCATTGACTCACTGTCACCATAATAATCTTCTGTTATCGTTGAAAGAGAGGGTGATAATGACATATCTCGGTTTCGGTGTGCGCACCTGCATTTCCGTTTTCGAAATTGGTGATGATTGATAAGAATAAACTTTTCCAACTCTCGTTTTATACGAAATGATTTGCAATGTAATGGTTTGGATGCATAATGTGCCAACATAGTATTAAGCGCAATACATTTGAATTTGCAAGTAGAGCAGACACGGCGGATGAGACCAACTTTGGGCATGATTAAAATGAGTAAGAGACCAGTAATCGAAGTGATAGTGTTTGCAATTAAATTAATTGAATAGTTGAGATGAGTCAATTTTGCAATATGTTTAACAGTAACATGACAAAGTGCATTGATTGGGAAGAAGTAATGCAGGACTCAATATATTTCAATTATATCTGGATCACCTATAGTAGTTTTAGCAGGGAAGTGAAACGTTTCTAGAAAAGAGAGATGTGCAAAAAATGATTCCGTCCGGATTCGAACCGGAGACCGCCTGTGTGTTAGACAGGCGTGATAACCAACTACACCACGGAATCAGCTGATATTCTGGAAATCAGTTTGTAATATGAGAGTAAAACAAAATGGTAAATCACGTGAGTTGCGCGGATTGCTGCAGTTAAAAAAATTGAAATCCGAGGTACTGCAGGTTATCCAAGCCGCATGGAACTATAACGAACCTGAATATCAGTCCTTTAATATTTTCCACCCATTGGTGCTAAATGTATGAAAAAGTAAATTGCCATGCTTAAACTAGCACTAACGTGGATTATTGTAGGCAGTGCAAAACACTATAAAAGAGTCAGTTTTAAAGTAGCTCTATATACTATGACTTTAAGCACAATAATCATAGTGTGCCTAATTTGCATGAAATGTTATGAAGGAATCGAATTGGTGCAAGTAACAAAGTTTTACCTTGTGCTACAATGCTATGTAGAGGCGGCCGACAGTGACATTTTGTCAGCTGTTGAATCATATTGTGTACTTATCACTAAATTCGTTTGTTACATGACATCTACAGTACGACATAAAGGTAATATGACATGAAAAATGATAGTAGGGCTTCCTTTAGCATGTATACAGGTTTATTAACTACAGAGATTAAATGCGTAAAATATGTATAGGGTTACAGATTAAATGTATTTGTAATTGCTCCTCGAAACAGTGGCAAGAATAAAAGTTTATTAAGACACACTTACTTAATTAAGTAAAACCTGAATACGAATAATTTAGTAGTATACTGAATGTATACTACCAGAATGTAAACCATACCAATCAAGAGCTAACATACGAGTGAACAGTTAAGAACACATTATTTGAACGTTGTCCGTTGACTTTGTTCCATATCAAAAGCCTGGAGAAGTATGGCCATCCAAGAATCACAATATATTGTATTAATAAGGTACTGCAATACACTGTTTAAGAAAGCCGAGTTCGTAAACGAAGGCAAAGCGCGTTTACAAAAAAAATAACCCAACTTCTTTAAAGGAAAATATCAAGCGGGAAAAACTGACATGGTATGTAAATTATGCATATACGCTTCCCATGTATTGCTATTTCTATCGTTGTTTGGTAATGAAGTTAGAAAAATTTCCCGCAGTATGCTGCCTCCCTTTTTTTTTTTTTTTTTTCAGTTGGCAGCGCAACAATGTGATTTGTTGCTTGCCAAATGAAGTGACGTGAGTTTCTCTCTTTGAAAGGTTTCGAGCAGTGTGATTTGATAATATTCGATTTCAGCTTGCAAACTTCGTTTCGGCTCTCCCATTTCTTCTTTTTCTGTTTCCTTTTACCAAAGAAAAAAATCAACTTTTTCTTCTTTTTCTCTCTGTTTACTTTTTTTTTCGGACCGACCACGGGTTGTCTTTTGATTAAACAAGGAAATAAATTTATTAACAAGGCAAGTTCGCTTGATGAACGACTTCTACAGTCTTTCATTAGACGTTCAAGCGTGCTAATAATAGTCCTCTTGTTATTTTTGGGCTTTTTTTTTTTTCTACTTTGGTGTTTTCAATTTAGGAACCTTCTCATAACCTCATATATATAATGACTTTACACGATACACGCACAGCGAACACATCAAGGACTTCTAAAGGTTCCTCTATAACATCCTCTTCAGAACAGAATGACATTAAGAAACTTAAGTCGAAATATTCCGCAAAACTACCTACACTTAAAGTTTTATTTGCTGACTGGTCGGACGAAGACCTTTTATTTGTTCTGGAAGAAGCTAATGGTGATTTGGATCTGACCATCGACAGAATTAGTGAAGGTAAAATAAAAAATTATAAAGCCAGCCTTACAACTCACTTCAATACACCTTTACAGAAAAAACGAAAAATTTTCATTATTGCTCTTTTCTGCTTTCAATGAAGTCTGTTTTGATTATTTTACGCTAATTTTGAAAAAATTTTCCCTACTTTTCAACTTAACAGGACACGCTAGTCAATGGGGTGAAGTAAAAACCAAAAAGTCAAAGAAAGAAGCACAAAAAGCAAAGGCTGCCACTACAGGTGTACCCTCACATAATCAACTAAGCACCATCACTCCTCCACCTGCCACCTCATATCGTGATACTAAACCTTCACAATCAAGATCATATAATGATCGACCTTCTCGACCCGGAAAAGGTAAAATGTCAACATACCCACTTTTTTGTCTTGCAGTAATTATTGTACATAAAGTTGGCTATCTTTGTGCCTGCAATTAACACGTTATTATCTATTAAAAGCGACATCAAACACCTCACGTACACGCTCAACAAAACCATCTACCGGTCAATCTGCATCTTGGGATTCTCAGCCTAAACAAACACAATTTAACAACGATGTTTCTGGTGGTTCCTGGGCATCTATCGCCTCCTTAAAACAAGCAAATGATAATAACGCAAATGACGGTTGGAATCCAACTGCAACTAATAATGACAGTTCTGTGACCGATGATTGGGGAACTTCCTTGTCCACAAACACTACTTCTAACACGAATGCTATGAACGCGAATCCAGACGAATCCAGCGAAGAACAACCAAAGACTTGGGCAAGTCTTCTCAAGTAAGTCCATTATTTTGTGCACATTTGCAAGGGTTATTTAATATTGACCTTCAATTTACCATTTTTTTTTTCTCGTGTTTTTTTCCATTTTGTGTTTTCTCTGCTCTTTTTTTTTTTTTTTTTTTTCTTTTTTTTTTTTTTCCTTTCCGCCTCCTTAAAATTTTGGCAGGTCAAAGCCTAAACCCGAACCCGAACCAAGCAACAGCACCACCGCCACCACCACTGAAAATGCCTTTTTCGAAAACACCACTACTAATAACAACACTTCAAGTGAATGGGATGCACCCAATACCTCCGGCATTAATGATAACTGGAATGCAAACAATTCTGAGACAACAAAGGATGTTGATGAATGGTCTACTCCTGTACACGAATCCGCTCCTGTCGAACCTTCAACAACCACCACTACCTCCGCACCTGCACAAGACGAATCATCATGGGATAAAGAAGAACAAAAGCAATCCGAAACTGACGGTTGGGGTGATTCTGCTCCCACTTCAGAGGAGAAGCCTGTCTTGTCTGCTACAGCTGCATCAGAAACCGTCTCCACTACTACACCTGGATCTCGCCTTCTTAATCAAGAAGAACCTGTTAAATTGCCCGAAAACGCCTCATCTGCTATCTCTTCTTTAGATGTCAAGTTTGGGTCATTAAACGTTGACGAAGAACCAAAGAAGACTGAAGAGACGTGAGTATTTTATATATGTGAATGAAAAAAACATGTCTTTATTAAAACGGGGAACTAAAAATCCCTTCAATTTTGTAGCCACAAGGACACCACTACTGCTCCCGCTGCTTCCAATGTAACAACCGCTCATGATGAAAGCGCTGCTGCCGATACTTCTGCTACAGCAGCTAGTACCTCTGCACCTTCCGCTTCCATTCCTGCTGGTACAGAAACCAAGAATGAAGCGACTGCATCTGCTCCTATTGCCGCTGGTACGAATGATACGTTTGGACAAACTTCTTCTGCTTATCTCAAGCAACAAGAACCTACTGCCACCAGTTCTGCTTATAGCCAGCAACAACAGCAGCCTGCTGCTCCCGTCAATACTGCTCCTCTTCAACAGCCTCAACAACAACAGCAACAATCAGTTCATCAACTCAATCAACAACCCCAGCAACAGCAACAGATTCCTCAACAATTTGGCATGGATCATCTCACGTCTGCTTATAGCTCCTACTTGCCAAATCAACCCCCCACGGGTCTTTCTGGATTTGGTATGAATCCTATGAGCAGTTTGCCTGATTATGGCCTTTATAATACCGAAGCTCAAAGAGCTGCTGCCATGGTAAGTACATGAAGAGCTCTACGTAGATGGAGTACAGATCGATGGGTCAGATCGATAATGGCAGAAGAGGGATCCGACATTTTTGAAGTTATCAGACGAAAATGCTGCGCTAAGGAACAAGATTAACATTCAAACGTTTTTATTTTTTTCCGGGTTTTTTTAGGGCTACTACGATCCTACAGCATTCAGTCACTCACCTTCCGTAACATCCGCAAGTGCTTACGGTACCCGTGATAAGTATAGCCAAGACGGTCTTCACAGCCAAACAGCGCAAACACAAAACATGCCTCAGCAGCAAATGTATCCTACTAATCTTCCTTACTACCAGTATTATTACATGCCTAACCAATTTAATGCCTACCAATCCGCTTATGGTCAACCTTTCGTCAACAAGAGCATGTACCCTACGAATATGTACCAACAACAACAGCAACAGCCCGGTAAGCCCTCCACCACGGCCGCTTCGGCTACTGCCGCTTCTCCTTATGCTGGCGCTGTCGCAGGCACAGGCTCTGTCGCTTCTCCCTATGGTCAACAACCATCCCAACTTTATAATCATCAATATGATGACCTTCAACAAATGGGATTGAAGGATTATCAATTGTCCAGCATGTATGGCAATGCCACGGCTACTTCGCAACCCCATCAACCATTGCAAGGCTTCCTTGGTAATTTGAACACGAATGCTGCTGCTGCTGGTATGGGAGCGAGTGCTGCTAATACAGGTGTCGCGGGTGCTGGTCAAACAGGACAAGCTCAAGGCGCTCAACCCACAACTTCGCAAACAGCCGTCACTGGTGCCGCTGGTCAAGCAGGTCAAAAGACAGGCACTGCTGGTAATGCCTCTGCATCGACACCTCACCAACAACATCAATCAAACCCTCAACAACATCATCACCAACAACATCAACAACCTACTCACCAACAACAGCCTTACGGTAGCAACTATTTCGGACAACCTATGTTCTCCTACGGTCAATATCCCCATCAATTTCAACAACAAATGCCTCCTCAGCAACAACAACAACAACAGCAATCTCAACAACCTTCCCGTCAACAACAATACTGGGCTCAATAGTATATATAACGAGATTAACGAAATAATAAATAATTGTTAATTACATATCTTTTTGTTTGTTGTTATTGCGCGGGAGGATTTCTTTTAAACGTCTTTGGGAGGAAAAAAAAAAAAAGGCATGGCAAACGTGTTGTATTTAGGGTTTCAAGTACTTAAAATAGTGTGTTTCAAGTTGGCTTTGTCTTCCAACATTGGGTTTTATTAGTATTATAGTAAAGTATAATAATAAAAGCACATAGTATAGAGAGGTATTACAAAAAAAAAGGAAAACATTTTTAAAGCAAAAATAGTGGCTATTGAAGAATATTTTGTAAGGGATGTTGTGAAGGCGGTAGCAGTGGGTTAGCTAGAGTGGTCGTTGGAGCTGTTGTACTTGGGGTGGCAGAATGGGAGAGGGAAGAGGTATGAGGGGTCGAACGGAGGAAGGGTGATATGCTACCCAATGTGGTGACGGGAGACGAAAGATGGTGTGTAGAGAGTGGTTGATGTAATTGCGGTAAGGATGGTTGCGTTAAGCCCACTGCGCTGAGGTTTTCATTATTGCTATTCAAGTCAGTGGTATGTGATGACGGTTGCTGTTGTTGTTGTTGTTGTTGTTGTTGTTGCAAGGGATGGTTATGCGGTAAATGATGCATGGCCTGCTGATGTTGAGACAAATCGTACAAAACTATCATGCCATGTTGTGCATGGTTGATACACTGAAATCCACTCAAAGGAGCGCCTAACAAAACTTCGTATAATTCTCGAATATCGACAGGGAAATCACCGTACAAATCGTTCATCATGCAATGAAGTTGAACCAATGTATGGTATTGCTGGGTTGCTCTAAAGATATCAGCTTGCGTAATTTCATTCAGTTTCTGATAAGCAATCTTTGCTCTTTCTAAAATGATCGAGGTACGGTCATGCTGATTGCAAGATAAATTCATAAAAAAAAAAGGCAGAGAAAATGGCTATCTGTTAGAATCCAACAGTTTCGTGTATCATTGTTATATAATTGTCTACTCTACCAATGCATCACCGAACAGCTTGCCATGAACATCTTCCGATAATAAATTCGATGCTGTCCAGCCATTCGTCCATTTTCTTTGTGTGGAAGGTCCTACCATGTCATTTGAGATACGTCTATTAGAGAAACCTATAGCTGATACAGGCGGTTGATTTGTATTTGTTGCTGTTGATGAAAATGGTCTGTCGTAATCTTTTAATGGCACGAAATTACTTGCAACAGACGCAGCCGGTGGTACAGAATGTTGGCTTGATCGCGCGTCACCAAATAAGAAGCTCGAGAAGAAGGAACGAGGCTCTTGACCAGTGGTATCGAACGGTGAAGCGACAGAGGGACGCTTAATAGCATGAGAAGCAGCAATAAGCGGATCTGTGGTCATAGCAGGTTCGAAATGTAAAGCAGAAGATGATAGCGCATCAGCGTTATGATTGTTGCTTAAATGAGCTGCTGAGATACGACGACCTGTTAAGGGTTGACCTATAGGAGCAATCGATGTGATGGATCGACGAGTAGTCGTCGCGTTTTCAGGCTCTAGAGGAGTTGAAACTCGATTATTATTAAACAAGCTAATCATAGGTGAATTATCGTTGATAGTGGAGGGTGTAGAGTTTGAAAGGATGGAAGGAGAAGTGGAGCCTTGTAAGACGTCCAAATGAGAAGGCATGAAAGGTGGCGGTTGAAAGTGATTTGGTGGAAGGATAGAAGATGCGTTGAGTGGTTCTGCATGGCTAGACCTTACAGAAGGGCCTACTAAGGCTTCAATCAGAACCTGCTGTCTATTTTCAGGTGAGGCACCATTGACCATAGGCGAGTGGATACCAGGAGGTGGTATAATATTCTTTGTATTCTCATCAGGGATGACTGATTTATTGGCTGTAGAGCTAGAGACACCTGAAGCTTCGTTGACAAGCGTTTGATTTGAAGCCACTTCTAGATGCTTTAAACGATCCTTTTCATCGTTTTCTTGTTCCAAATGTCCCTTTTCTTTCTTTACTTGTTTCGTTTTTTCAGCCTTAGCTTTCTCAAACTTCTCCTTTTCGAGACGCACTTTTTCAAGCTTCTCTTTTGCGAGACGTTCTTCTTCGAGACGTTCTTTTTCAAGCTTCTCCTTTTCTAGGCGCTCTTTTTCAAGCTTCTCTAAACGTTCTCTTTCCAACCGTTCCTTTTCTTCCTTTTCTTTACGCTTTCTTTCTTTCTCGGCTGCACGGTCCTTCTCTTCTTTTGCTCTACGACGCTTCTCTTCTTCTTTTTTCAAGCGTTCTTCTTCCTTTTGTCTTCTTTCCTCTTCTTTCTTTATCCTTTCTTGTTCACGTCGTTGTCGTTCAGCTTCCAGTTTTTTCTCTTTTTCACGTTTAGCGGCTTCCTCTTCCGCCTTTTTCTTAGCTTCTGCAGCTAAACGTTCAGCTTCCTGTTGCTGTTTCAGTTGCCTGAATTTGTTAAGATGGGTCAGCACACTGAAGAACACAGTAGTATACTTTCATCTAATAGTAATTACCTCTTTTTATCCTTGCGCTTTTCCCTTTCTCTTTGTTTTTTCAGTTCCCTTTCTTCTCGTAAGCGATCTTCTTCTTCCAATTCTTCTAAAAGACGCTGTTGGCGTTCTTGAGCTACCTTCTCCCGATACGCAGCCAGGACACGTTGTTCAAACATTCGCGCAGCGAAAATTTGGAACATACGACGTCCTTCTTCCATACGTTGTTCTTCCGTTCGTGTATCCTAATCGTAAGATGGGTTAACCCTATTGCTCGGGAGGAGGGGGGGGGGCAGAAGTGCAAGGAATGCTAAGTTGAGTCCTTACCTCATCATCCTCTTCGTCAAATGCATCGTCATCCTCTTCTTCTTGGAAATAACTACTGTTTGGGTCAGGAACTGTATCTTCTTTTTGCATTCTACGTTCGGCAAGCTTTTCCATCATGTCCAGGAACTTTTTACCATCATTTTTCAATAGATCATCTGCTACAGTCAAGATACCTCCTAAAGCATTTGAGAATAAACAAAAAGATTTGAGCGTGAGTCCCATCAAGTCAACGGATATACAATCAACATCAAATGGATGAAATTGATTGCTTTTTTTTTTCAATGCAGGTTTCTTTTGTAGAGCTTTTCTACCTTTCACTGTGAGACTATTACCAAAACTAAAATGATCATTATTAGAAGAGTTTCCTCCTCTTGATAAAGCATTATGCCGAATGTGTGCCATTTCCTCAAAACGGCTTCTTTCACCATAATTGGACATAGATGGACGGGCAATGATTTGATCATCTAGGTCATCATAATCCTCCTCCTCCTCCTCCTCCTCCTCGTCTCCATCATTTTCATCGTCATCCTCGTCATCCTCTTCATCGTCTTCGTCTTCTTCGTCTTCCTCTTCTTCCTCGTCGTCGTCCTCCTCCTCCTCGTCGTCTTCGTCTAAATCTTCAAGATCGTCTTCCTCGTCGTCCTCGTCGTCCTCGTCGTCTTCGTCTTCGAGTGGGTCTGTATCATCGAATGCATGGTCATATAAAGCGTCTGAGCCAGGAGGAAGATAGTTTGCTTGCAGAGGATTGACTGTAGAAGTAGAAGACGAAGAGCCCGGTGGACCTGGAATTCGAGTTTGTTGTTGATGGTTGGCATATTGCTCTAACTCTTCATAATAAGCATCATACAGAACTTCCAACTCGTCTTCAATGGCAGTTCTACTTTGTGGTCATTCATTGAAAGGAAGAAAAGATAAAAAAAAAAAAAAAGACGAGATGGAGGGCTTAGAAACGAAGAACACAGAAAGACATGAACGAGCAAAACGAAAGATGAGTTTTACTCCATTACCTTTTTTTCCCGCAAACTGAGCAATTGCAACTATGCTTTTGTTGTTCTTTCATCTTGCGTAAAACGGCTTCTTTTTCAACTTTGACGAGAGACCGTCTTTCTTCTTCACCTAACTGCAACCAAAACTCTCGAATCTTCTGACGCTCTTCTGTATTATTGGTAGTCGACCAAAAATTATCCTCTTCGTTTTTCTTCTTCTTTGCGTTTTTATTCGATTTATTGAGGTGAGTGCTATGATTATTACTGTTACTGTTGTTGATGGAGGATCCGTTATGTTGAGATTCACCGTGGCGTATGACGTGGTTGTTCATCATGGCATCCACCATGTCAGCCTGTGTTTTCCCAACCACGTTATTCACGTCGTCATTTTGAGATGATTTAGATTTCTTTTTATTCTTCTTTTTCTTTTTTGAATTGGACAGTGATGTCTGTAGAGTGGGCACATTGCTATTGCTGTCATTTTGACTACTGTTACTGTGATTAAGTTTTGAGACTGGCTGTTGTTGTTGTTGCTGTTGTTGTTGTTGTTGCTGCTGCTGCTGTTGTTGTTGCAACTGGGCTACTTTATGAGACGTAGACTTTGCCATTTAATCTAACAGTAAGTTGTGATGAAACGGAAAAAGAAAAAAAAAAAAAAAGCAAGGTTAGAAAAATAAAGGCCAACTGCACAACAATGAAATTCGAGATAGAAACGCATATCACAGTCGTTTCTTGACACATACAATCACAGTAGAATACTAACCGACAATAAAAAAAAAAAACTCTTTATTTGTGTACAAATCGTCAATGTTGTAGAAGAAGGTGTAGAATGTTGGAAAAACCAAAAAGTTAACCTTTCTAGAATATTTCCTTTCTTTCAAAAACTAAAAAAGTAACCGAAGAATGGTTGAACATTTGTCAGACGAGCCTCCGTAGAAAAACTTCGAACTTAACTAGAGGATAAGTAAATTCCAGCCAATGAACCACCTTCATATAGTTTGTCCGAATAGACTGCAAAAAATTTTCAGCGCGTCCACATCGGTAATGCACTGCGGTTGGCATTAATATACAAAATGGAACCAGAAAGGGTTGTTTGGGGAGCATAAAAAATTCCCTTCCTATCCTACATCAAGTGACTGCAAGAAATTGTTCCTAACTGTCAGTGCAAAAAGATGGAGCGACAGGACCAGAAGAATACCCATTGAGTCTTACTCTACTTTGGAGAACTATCTTTACGCATTCACTCAGGACATACACCTCCATGTGTCCTGCGCGTGTAGAAGATAATTCAACCTCCTTTTTCTGGTCAGTAGAGAAGTTTATCAAAATCAAAAAAATGATAAAAAACTGTCCATTGCTCGCTTCTTTTTTTCCCCCCTCCATAATACAATCATTCTATCAGCAGTTAGAACCACCAAAATTCTTGAAAAAAAAAGTTTAAATGAGTGAAGGCTGGAACAACTTGAATAAAGATTTCGGTAGGTGTCAACCATCCTCCATAGTCAAAATATAAAAAAGGAGACTTCTCCGTATATGTATCTCACTAGCAACGTTTTTCAACAATAGATCGACTTCAAATGAATTCTGATCAAAATGAATGGGGCGCTGCTCCATCGCAGAACTCAAAGTAAAGTAGCAATAATAAGTAGCATATACGGGTCTATCTGTTCGAAAAGGTAGGAATGATAGCCAGTTCTTGTAATAACACTACATGTTTAACAGTAATAGATGGAATAATAGAGGCGGATATGGACACGGACAACCGTTCAGTCAAAACAGAGGTGGTTACCAATCGCCCTCTTTTCGTGACGGTAGAAATTATACAAAAGAGAGCAACCATGGGTGGAGAGAAAGAGGAAGAGGTCGAGGAAAGGGACGTGGAGGATCCTACAAAAACAACCATCGCAGTTACGACAACGATTACTACAGCAACAGCAGCAGCAGCAGCAGCAGCCATAGTAATAATCACCATTGGCAGAAGAAAAACACTTGGAGCTCCAACGAACCAGCACAGATGAACCAGCCTACACGTTCAGACCATTGGGGTCATAGCCAAAACCAGCAGGAAAACGATCATGCTTCTACGGGATGGGGAAGTGCTTCACCGACAAGTCATAAGGATCGTTGGAACAGTCATCCTTTGAAGGGTAGAGGAGAAGTGACTGAGAAGACGACCGAAGGTTGGGACAGTACTACAACGACATCACTCAATAAGAGTCAACATGCTGAGCAACATGATACATGGCGCCATGAGGCATCAAAACGGAGTCATGACCCATGGCATGAGGAGAAAGAGGATAAAAGCAACGGCTGGGACGGAGTCGTAGAGTCAACAACACCCATCCAAACGGACCGTCCATGGGCTGTCACTACGGCATCTTCCACCGACACCACTCGTAACGATCACTGGAACACAGTCGCCTCTTCCTCCTCATCAAGTAAGGCAGACACTTGGCATACTGCTACTGCGGAATCCATTGGTAGTAGCCATGATAGTAGTAGTGGCTGGGATGCCACTCCCAAGTCTTCCACTCCCAACTGGGGATCGGTGACATTAGATAGTCTAGGATGGTCTGAAAAGAGTAAAAAGAATGTCAAAGAAGCGGGTAGAGGTGAATGGAGAGACGGTACACATATTTTGGCCGAAGAAAACGAAGAATTAAAGCTTAAATTGTTTGGCACATCGGAAGATCATGACACTATGCATACAGGGATCAATTTTGACAAGTACAAGGATATCCCAGTAGAAGTCAAAGGAGAGAATGTTCCCCATGGTATTGTTGAGGTAAAAAAAAAAAAAAAAAAAAAGTCAACCATAAGTTGAATGTCTTCTCCTCTGACACTCCTTATGAATAGTTTGCAACTTCTGGATTAGACCGTCATTTGTTGGATAATATCGCTTACGCACATTACAAAACGCCCACTCCTGTTCAAAAACATTCGATACCTATCGTGATGCAAGGGCATGATCTGATGGCATGCGCCCAAACCGGCTCAGGAAAGACAGCGGCCTTCCTGTTCCCTCTCTTGTCCGCTTTATTCTCAAAGGGGCCTTTAGCAGACCCGCAGGAACCTCCTGTGAAGCGTGGGTACCATAGCTATCAAAAGGCATACCCTCAAGCGCTCATTTTGGCGCCTACCCGAGAACTGGTGTCACAAATTTACAAAGAAGCCAAGAAATACTGCTATCGTTCCTACGTTCGACCTTGCGTCGCGTACGGCGGAGCAGATATTCAACAGCAACTGCGTTTGATCGATCGTGGCTGTCATCTCTTAGTGGCGACGCCAGGCCGTCTTGTGGATATTCTTGAACGTGGGCGCCTGTCTTTTCAAAACATTCAATATTTGGTGCTGGACGAGGCCGATCGTATGCTCGATATGGGGTTCGAACCTCAAGTGCGTCGTATTGTGGAAGGGGAAGATATGCCCCCTTGTGAGAAACGACAGACGTTGATGTTTTCCGCCACGTTCCCTGACAAAATTCAGTCGCTTGCTCGTGATTTTTTGAAAGCCTATGTCTTTTTGTCCGTGGGTCGCGTAGGCGGCGCTACCGAGAATATTACACAAAAAGTTGAACTCTTGAAAGACGAAGAGAAACAGGATCGCTTGCTGCAACTATTGGCTGAATCGCAGGACGCCACCATAACGACGCCAACAGCAGCAGAGAGTGGTGGTGGTGGTGGTGGTGCTGGTCTCACGTTGATTTTTACAGAAACCAAAAGAATGGCCGATGTGGTGTGCGAATGGCTCGTTGACAATGGATGGGCTGCTACCGCTATCCATGGGGATCGTGTTCAGAGTGAACGTGAAGCTGCATTGGATTCTTTCCGACGGGGGACCACACCCATCATGGTCGCTACGGCTGTGGCGGCTCGAGGTTTAGATATCCCTAATGTCACTCATGTGATCTCTTATGACTTGCCAAAGGATGTCGATGACTACGTCCATCGTATTGGTCGTACAGGTCGCGCGGGGAATACAGGTGTAGCTACCGCCTTTTTTACCTACAGTAATCGATTCATGGCGGGTCCTTTGGTGAAAGTATTGCAAGACGCTAAACAAACAGTCCCTGCTTGGTTAGAAGAGATGCGTATGGAAGTGGCCACGAGTCCTTCCACATCATCGTCACCTTCTTCCAGAGGCGGCCGCCGAAGAGAAGGAGGAGGAGCGAGTGATGGCAATCGACGTCGAGTGGAAGAAAGGGGAGGAAGGAGATGGTAAACAACGAGTTTTACATGGTTAAAAATGAAACATCATCTTCAGATTCTCTATATATATTCATAGAATATCTTTACTGTTGCAAAAATATAAAAGAAAACAATTACTTTTTTGCTTATGTATTTCTTGGTTCTCACGTACTAAACATTATATATTGTATGCGTAAACGTATGCATGCAAAATAGATAGGTTGTATCAAAAGGCCCCAAAAAGAAAGGTATTAAGTATTATCAAGATGGAAATGGCTAGGCTACTTTCGTAAAAATAGAGAGTATGATGTGTGATTGTGTACAAAAGAAAGAATACCTGTGGAGGGTATGATTGAGAACGACCGTCGTTGGTAAGGGGTCGTTGTTTACATTTATTCATGTTTGTTTTCTTGAGGTGGTAAAGCCGCTTGCGTCGCATCTGATGTTGCTGTTGTCGTAGCAGTGTCCTGAGGAAGGAGGGCTGCGTCATGGTTGTTGGCCGTGGACATTGTTGTTGTTGTTGTTGTCGCCGTCGCGGCCGTGGCCACTTCATTGGGAACATGTCTTGATTCTTTTCTTTTGAATGAAGAAGAAGGGGTTTGATTGTAATCATTTTCATCTGGCACGTTTCGACCACTCAAACCGGTAGGTATAGAGCTTGAGATAGGGACCATAAATTGCTCATGGGGTGGAGGCTGCGGTAGAGCATTGTAATCACTGTAGTCTTGCTGTGTCGGATAGGGATAGTAGCGAATACCATAATCGGATGGGTGATGGTAATAGGCCGAAGGATTGCCGTAATCGTAGTCGTTACTGTTGGCATGATGATAGTCATGATTCGTGAAATAATGCTGTTGCTGTTGCTGTTGCTGTTGCTGTTGCTGTTGTTGCTGCTGTTGTTGTTGTTGCTGCTGCTGCTGCTGTAATGGATGATCATACCGAGGTGTACTAATGGAAATGGTGGTGTCTGGATTATAGGGTTGCACCAAAGGACGAGAGGGTGGCTGAGAAGCAGCGGCAGCAGCAGCAGCAGCAGTAGCTGTCGTCATCGACAAAGGCCGACTGTTGTTGTTATTGCTGTTGTAAGAATGATAAGCGTGGTTCTTATTGTTGTGGTTGATATCGTTTGCATTTATTGTTGGAGAATCACCCTCATGATAGTAGTGATGGTAGGGAACAGTATTGATACCCTCGTCAAAAATACGGTTGCCACCTACACCACCACCAGCACCAGCATCCAGATCGCTCAGACCTACACCTTCCCCTGAATCATATTTACTTTTGTCTCTTGTTTTACGTTGTCGTCGTCTTGTGAACAAGACAGCAATGATCACTAAAAGTGTTCATGTCAATTATAGAGGGTTACCCAACGAAACACTGGAACAGTTCTATCTTACTTACCTACAATGGCAGCAAAGGCAATACCTCCTACAATCCCGCCCACAATAGGACCTGTGGGTGTGGAAGATGACTGTTGATTATCGGGAGCAGTCAGTGTAGGTGCTGAAGTAACGTAGGTACTATAAGAGGTGGAAGTGTAGGTATGAACAATGGATCCCGAAGAAGAAACCGAAACAATAGGTACTGGTTTGGAGGTGGTGATGGAAGAGGGCGAGGAGAGTGCCGTTGTTGTAGTAGATGTCGAACCGCTACTTGTACTTATCGGCAAAGCCGTAGAAGCAGTTGAGGTTGGGGTTTGAGGTGTTGTAGTAGCCGTAGGAGTCGTCATGCTGCTGCTGGTGGTGGCGGTGGTAGTGCTAGGGATAGGTATTGTGCTCTTTGTAGTTATGGTTGTGGTTGTACTAGGAGGATCTAAATAAAATCAGGGGAAACCAAAAAAAAAAAAAAAAGAAAAGTGGGTACTTTTAGAATACGACAGGGTGGAATGTAATATAAAGATTAAATAGATGGAATAACGAACTGCTAGCAGTGGTAGTAGTAGTAGTAGTAATGGTAGCACTGGATGTAGCCGTAGTGGGTAGAGTGATGGAGGATGAGAGGCTAGAAACACTCGTACTACTATTACTGTCTGTTGGCGTAGTATTACCATTGGACGTCGTGGTGACTGACGGGGGCTCTGTATTTGTGACAAAAGTAGGAAGAGAAACCTAAAAACCAACCCATTGGGGGCGGGGGGAGGTGGGGGCACAAATCGATGAATATCTATGTACATTTTTAATATTTTCATCCAAAGACTTTACAGGCAAATTTGGAATCAAAGTGGAGGTGATTGCATCTACAAGGCTCGTTAAATGCGGCACATCCTCCAAGAGAGGCTGTGAAACTTGTCGTTGGATGTGTCTGTTATTAGGAAAGATATCCATGCTGAGTCGTGAATCAAGTAACCGATGCCGGGCTTTGCTCTTTTTTATTTATTAATTTTTTTTTTTGTGAAATGTGGAGAAAGGCAGAATAAAAAAAAGGAGAGAGAGAAAGAAAAAGAAGAACGGAAACGGATTGAGGGATATGAACACTATAAAGAAAAATAATAAAAAAAAAAAAAAGACGAGGCTTATTGTAATGAGCTTACATAAGGGTAGAAGGATGGAAAGAGGGCTAGACAGACAGTAAGGTTAGCATTTGATTCATAAGCATACAGCCGCATATCAACATTGCGCTTTTGCCGTGGTACGAAAAAAAAAAGAAGCCGAAAATAATCGCAGATCCCTTTATTCTCCTTAAATCATTCCCAATACACATTCGTCCTTTATAGAGTCTATTGTATCAAAGAATCATTCTTCTCGCTTCATGTCGTCTGCTGGAGACTCATTGTTGGGCGCTGTTGCTTTGTTGTTGCTATCACTACTCTTCTCTTCATTTTCACCACGCTGACTATCGTCTGTTTTTGTTGTTGTTGTTGTTATTGTTGTTGTTTTTTTAGAAGCTGCTGCTGCTGCTGCTGCTGCAGCATTAGCGGCTGCATCATTCAATCCCAAAATACTTTCTACGTTGTATTTCTTGAACTGGTTGAAATCTTTTACAACAGACAACATACATGTGTTCTAGTGGGACAAAACAGTAGAATGAGTCTTGGGTCTCTTTGTGTCAAGATCAAAGGGATGATGAACAGATATTTACTTGACACACTTCGGCAATAATGGTCAGATCAGGCTCTTGCAAGTCTACTGTGTGACTTGCTTGACCCACCCTACCCACGATGGAAGCTAATACGGTGGTGACATTCATACGATCCAGCTTTGTACAATTACGCACTCTACAAGCAACAGCAAACTATACAGTGGAAGAGAAGAATAAGCGTTTGCCATCCCTTGAAGAATGTAGGTATGCTTTGAGATGCTTACCTTTTTGGGTATCACGTGTCCTTCAGCATCCTTTTGATTGAAATGAGGTTCAAATATGTGTTGTGCTGCCTTTTCAATATCTTCAATATTGGCATAACAGGCTTTTTCAACGGGTAAAAATCGAGATATATGTCTTGTTCTTTTCACTTTGTTTTCGTGAATGTCGTTCAACATGTAATGTACCAAATGGACAGGTTGAATAGGTGCAAATGTTCGAATGAATCCGACTAAGCAATGGGGCAAGATCAGTAATGACTCGGTTGGGCAGTATGAGGATTCATGATCCTAACAGCTTTTCAATCGTTTCTACTTTACCACATGCAGTGCCTGTTGTAGTGCTGGCGAGTCGTCTCTTTTCTTTTTTGGGTTTCTTTATTTCAGCAAGTTCCTTTGCTATAGAGGCTTCCAAATCCTCTTTCTCCTTTTCATCGTCGTTGTCCCTGTTTTGCTGATCTGTTTCGATAGGATACAACTCGTCTGCATACTGATCACATAGACAGTGAGTGGGTAGGCGGGTGTCAAGAAAGAGGGTTGCCATTTTTTTTTTTTTTTTTTTGCCTTTTTTTTACCTTGTTTAGCACATCCAAAGCTTCTCTTATGGCCAATTTCTCTTTCCCTCTATTGCACATGACAAGGACACCTGTCATGTCAGGAGTGACAGAGAAAGTGCCTTTACTTCCACCGCGAGAGTCCTACACAATGATGGGATCAGCCCATGCGATCGTAAGGGAGGCGAAGAAGGGAATGGCGTGAGTTGCTTACTTCAGCGATATGGTATGTCTTTTGTTTCTTTCTTCGAAGTGCACTATGTTGGGCTTCTCTTTTCGACATTTTTTTCGTTGGTAGGAAAAAAAAAAGTAAAAAAAAAGGCAGGTCATGGGCGTCGTCACTGTCCTTTTCATCTAAATTCAGTTCCAGTCAGCTTTTTTTCTGGAATGGTGAGGATTGGTGTTACGTTGACAAAAAGAAACCATTCAAGCAGAAATGGGCTCTTGTTCTGATGACGAGCATTATTATTGTTTATTTTTCGTTATGGTAATTCTTTTTAGGATGGATTCACTGGATGACCTATTTTTCCGTCTCTCTCTCTCTCTTTTTTTCTTTTCGCTCTTTGACAAACAATTACAAACCCACACGAAAAAGAGATGAATTCGATATTCCAGCATTTGTTTCAAAATTACATAAGCAATCATCATCGTACGGAAAATCAAGGCAACGACCATGGCTTGATCGGCACAAAACCTGTCGATTGGTTGACGAATGCAGCGGTTTTTGCGGGTGCTGATGCATTGCTGAACCGTTATGATGAAGAACATGAAAAGAACAATATTCATTTTTGGAGAAATGCGGGGATAGCAGGTGCTTTAGCCTTGGGTTATCAATATTGGAAGAACCATCACGATCAACAGCAACAGCAGCACCTCACGAGCGAACAAGCACAGCCAGCGCAAGCCTTGACTTACTTCTATCCACAACAGCAACAACAACAACAACAACAGACTGTAGAACCCATGATGATGATGCCTTATCTGATGCCAACACCACCCGCCGTCTTGCCTCCAGTGGCACCTCTCACATCAGCCACCATGTCACTGCCTTACTATTTACCAGCTCAACAGCCATTTTATCCTGCCTTTGGAGAGACCTATTTACCTTTTCAACAAAACATGTGGCAGCTGCAGCAGCAGCAGCAACAGCCATTCTATCCTCCGCATCCTATCATGTCACTTGGGTATCCTTCTCCCTTCGGCGGCATGAGCACACCTGCGTATCCCCAAGGTTTTCCACCTTTTCACGCATTACCACCACCACCACCACAAATACCGTACATGAAGGGTCCTGCTTTTCTATCAGGTTATCCCTCCTACCCCATGTTTTAGTCATGGACCCCCACCCCTCCCCGAAAGGGCACATGGAACATGGCTTGAAGAGAAGGGTCAATAGAACCTATGTATCCATGGAAATGATGATTTAAAATGGCCAGAATAATAATAAAAAGAGAAACAATGCTTGTACAATAGAAAGACGACGACCTACGGAGAAAGAAATATGTATGACAAAAGACTGGTTTCTATTTTCTGCACGAAACATTGGACTCGTCAGGACGAGGATGGAGTCCAAAGGGGGAGTAGGATCGTTTGTTATTACTCATCTTTCACATGCCAACATCAGGCATAAGCAAAGGCGGGTCTATAAAACAAAAGCGACAGATCAGAAAAGACGGTGTTTCATTTCAAAAAAGGTACTACACATAATTGAATAACCGCACAAAAAGGGACTGAGAAGGCTCAAAGGGTGATGCAGGATAGGTGGATGAGTCATGAAAGGGTTCTCATAGGATAAACAGAGAGGGTCCAATGGTAAGATAAAAAAGAGGATCATGGATGGGTATTGAAAGGGGAGGGGGGGGGGAGCAAGACATCTAAAAAGGAGGGAGTGTGGGCTATGCTAAGAAAAGACACATTCCTATTATCCATTACAAAAAAACTTCTATTATTGGCCAAACTCCGAAGCTATGTTTAGGTGTGCGTTTTGTTGTATCAGCCAAGAAAAAGAAAAAATTATCTGCTATTATAGCTCGTTCACTCCTTTTTTTAGCTGTGTGTGTGTGTGTGTGTGCGTGTGTGCATTTTGTGTGTCTGTTTTGTGTGCGTATCTGTCCTCGGTCTCTCTCTCCCTCTCTTTTTTTTTTTTTTTTTTTTTTTTTTTTTTTTTTCTAGGCCTTCTTCCCCTTATTTTATATCCTGTTCGTTTTCATTTATCTTTCTTCTTTTTATTTTTTTTTTTTTCTATTTCTTTTTCTCATCTTTTTGATATTCACTCCACCCCTTTCCAAGCAACCACTTTTATTGGGATGCATTCAAAAAAGCCTAGTTTACCATCTATTCAGTTTCTGTTGAGTCATCAGAATGAGGGTGATAGCCAGGAGACGGAGACGATGATCCACCCTCCTGCTACGCTCAGTCATAGTCGTGGTACAAGCTATAGTAGCCTCCATAGCAATAGTAGCAGCGAGAGTATGAGTAGCGGTTGTCCTTCCAGCACCCTGACGACGCCCACAGCAGCAGCAGCAGCAGCAGCAGCAGCAGCAGGTCAGCAGAGCAGTAGTTGTAGTAGTAGTAGTAGTAGTAGTTGTAGTAGTAGTTGTAGTAGTAGTAATCATCATCCTAGTAGTATGAGTAGTCTTCCGTTTGAACTTCAGCAATTGTCCTTGTCTGCACCTTCCCAACCACCCGCACCCGCACCCACACCCGCAACCGCACCCCCCTCGTGTGTTCAGACCAGTAGCACTCTCCGTCTTCTCGAGGATCGTCCCAGTTGGATGTTGGCCCCACCCTCCTCGGCCTATCCCTATCCTCCTTTGATGACACCGAGTCATAAAAGAAGAGGTAGACCGTCAGGGGCAAGTCATGGAAGATCGATGTCTGATTTTTACCTCAGTCATCCACTCACGCCTCGTCCGACACCCCTCTCACCTTACCACTCTCCTTCTTCACTGTATTATCCTCGTCAAGAGCAGCTACCAACCCCACCCACCCCCTCCGCCCTACTTTTGTCGTCGTCGTCGTCGAAACCCTCTTTTCAAAAGCATCGAAGAACCGTTTCAGCCAACCCACCACGTACCCTCAGCGTCCCTCCTCTTCCTCCTCCTCCTCCTCAAGAAGCAGCAGCAGCAGCAGCAGCAGCAGCAGCAGCACCGGAAAAGGAGACCATGACGTTACTGGTGCCTATGGACAGTGGTGCAAGAGCACAGACGCAGAGTCCTCCTTCTTATGATGTACCCTTTCAGCAGCAACAAGAGCTATTGCATGAAGCACTCAACATGACGAGCAGCAGTAAAGCACCGGTCAAAGGAGGCGGCGGCGGTGGTGGTGGTGGCCTGCTGGGCCGCCGCCGTTTCCCGAGAGAAGAGAAAGAGGACCCACCCGATGTGGTGTGGGTGAGAGAGAAACATCTCGAGGACGAGGCACGAGAACACGATGAGGAGGCGGAGGCGGAGGCGGAGGAGGAAGAGGAAGAGGAGAAGGAGAAGGAGAAGGAGGAGAAGAAGCATAGGACGACAACAACGACAGAAGACAAGACGCAATATACCACCTCTTTCTTGGTGTCAAGAAACGAACATACCGGAAAATACAGCTGTCCTTATTGTCAAAAAGCTTTCAATCGACCTTCTTCGCTCAAGATCCACACCTATTCCCATACAGGCGAGAAACCTTTTGTGTGTCATGAAGAAGGCTGTGGCCGACAGTTTAGTGTGCAGAGTAATATGAGAAGACATCTAAGAGTGCATTCGCGACGACGCCATAAATTGGCGGCGGCCATGGCGGCGGCCCACAGGCATCCTTTGGAGCCCCTGGAGGCAGCAGCAGCAGCAGCCAAATACAACCACCGCAAGAAAACGACGACCACGACGACCGCCATCAAAGGCAGGCGGAAAGGAGGAGGAGGAGGAGCAGCAGGGAGAGGCGAGAAAGACCCAATACCCATCATCGAATAACAAACAAAAAGAAACATGCCAATGTAGAATAAATCGAGTCTTTTGTTTTTTACTTTATATCATCGAGTGTTCCATTCCCTGCTTTGACAAAAAGGAAACAGGATAGAAAAGGACCCATGACCCCATTGTAGAGTCTTTCTTTCTCTTTTGAAAAAAAAAAAATACAATTTCCATAAAAAAGGAGGGGGGATCATCCTACAGAAAAGAAAAAAAAAGCCAAAAATAGAGTCTACAGTAAAGGAATCATAAAGTAATTGTTTCTCCGCCCCCATCGAATGTTCCATCTTTCCCTCATTTGACAGCAGCAGCCATACTATAGCCACCTTTTTTTCATGACCCTTTCACCTTAAAGTAACACAATAGGTATGTGCGAGGGTGGCATCCATACACGGTAAGAGAGGGCACATGGCTCAAGCGCTCTCTCTCTCAGTGAGATTCATGCAGAAAATGAGAAATCTCTTGTTTTTTTCTGTCGAAATTGGATGGGGCACAAAAATACAAAAAAAAAAAAAACGCCAATCATGTTGCTCCATTTTATTTATCATGCAATTTTAACCTAAAGCGTGCAAAAAACCTTTTTTTTTTTTTTTTTTTTTTTTTTTTTTTTTTTTCAAACAAAAGGTTTTCCTTTTAGAGAGACATTGAATGTTTATTGGAAAAAAAAAAATCAGAAAAAGGACGAGCTGTTACATAAAAGAGTAAAGAGAGAGAGAGAATGAATGGAGAAGCATGGTTTACAACCACCAAGATTCTTGTTCACCACGATGAACAAACATAGTATCGTCTTCATCCTCTTCATAAGGAGGGTGAGGGTTTTCAAATTCAACGGCACTGTCCAAAGCTTCTTTCTTGGTCTTGAGTGTCGTTGTTGAGGTAGTAGTAGCTACGGTGGTGGAAGGAGGTGTCGTAGGAGCCATAAAGTCTTGATCCTCCTCCTCCTCCTCCTCCTCTTCATCTTCTTCATCCATCATATCAGACCAAGACATACCTCCGCCACTAAAGAAGGCAGAATCAAAGGAATGACCCGTATTCTTTTTGCTGGTAGCATGAGGAATAGAAACATAACCTTCTTCTTCTTCTTCTTCTTCTGTTGTTGTTGTAGTCGCATAGAGATGATCGATGGATTGAAACTTTTCTTTCAATTCGGTGATGGAAGGTCTCTGTTGAGGATCGACAGCTAAACAGGCAGTGAGGAAATGATAAAGTGACATGGAAATATCAGGAAAGAGTTGCTGTTTCAAGACGTGAGTGGATTTCTTGAACTCTGAAAAAGCAGGATCGTCAAGAGAAGCTTCTTGCCAAGGATTTCTACCAAACATAAGTGCCAAAAGTAAGATACCCAAAGACCAAATATCAGAAGCAGCGGCATCGTAAGGCTTTAGGACAGCGGCTGTGGCTGTTGCTGTGGCTGTTGCTGCTGTTGTTGTTGTTGTCGTTGTTGTCGTGGTAGAGGCGTGGATGAAATGCTCAGGTGCCAGGTAAGAAGGAGAACCACATCCGTATTCCCAAGAGTATCTCTCACGAGTGGCTAAACCGAAATCAGCTACTTTACAAACAATATCTTTATCGTTGTTGTCGTCGTCGTCGTTTTCATGCTCCTCTTCCTCTTCATCGTGAAAACTAAAGACACCCTCGTCTTGCTCGGGTAATTTCAAAAGAATATTTTCCAATTTGAGGTCACGATGATACACACCCTGTTGGTGCATGTATTCAACGCCATTCACTATCTGAAGAAACAATTTTTTGACAAGACTTTCATCATTAGGATGATAATGATCCAGTTGTTGAAGGACAAAGTCAAATAAATCGCCTCCATCACATAGTTCCATGACCATATAGAGGTAGTCATCTTTCTTTGTTTCAATCGTATGGTAGAGAGCCAAGATATGAGGATGCTTATTGAGAGACGTCTGAATATCGATTTCGAGTTGTTGTAACGAGCGTTGTTGATCATCAAGACCAGAGGTAGACAAAACTTTGATAGCCACATAAGCATGGTCCTGTAAAGACTGACCGAGGAAAAGACAGCCGTAAGCACCATGTCCGAGCACTTCCAAGAGTTGATATTGTTGGTCAGAACCGATGATCTTGTCCACCATGGACGTAGCCAATTGAGACCAATAAGCGTCTTGGTGATATGCTGAAGAAGATGATGTTCTTGTGGTTGTAGTAGTCATGGTGGCAGTGGTGGTAGGTTCCATCCTTGGATGCTGTGATGGTTGTTGTTGTACTGTTGTTAACATTGTTGGATAGAATTGTTATGTAGACGAAAATATAGAAAAGTTTTTTTTTTTCCGGATAGGGTAAATTACAGAAGAATATATAAATAAGTGTGTGCTGAGTGTTTTGTGTTTGTTGTTGTTGTTTTGTATTTATCAAATGGAAATGACAGATGCCAGTGAGATGGTAAAACAAGAGCTAGAAGCAGAAGTGGAGTAGTCAAAGGGTAGATTGGACATAGTAATGAGAATAATAGTTAAATAAAAAGGGTTGTTCTTTAAAACGCCTTGATATGTAAATGGTTGTTGTTTGCTGTGAGAGTGGTATACTGCGTTTTATAATAATTCAAAAGGTGGGTTGAAAAAGATATAAAGCCAAGCTTTTTCAAAAAGTTTCGTTTCTTTTTACGTTTCTTCTTGATATGAGAAGGAATCTTGATGAACTTTTTAGACGAGTAAAAAAAAGTTAGAGAGACATGTTGATGGTTTCTATTGAGACAAAAATGAAGCAAAAAGGGGGGTGGGGGTCGGTAAAGGTATCACAGTAAAGAAAGAAGAAAAAGTATCCAGAGAAAAGGAAAAAGGGAAAGAAAAATGAAAATGGCCTTTTATAAAAAAAAAAAAAAAAAAAAAACCTCGGCTGTTTCTTTCTCGTGCTTTCCTCTTGTTTTTATTGGTTTGAAATGATTTCCATGAAAAATGGGCAAGCGACGAATCTAAAAGTAGAAATTTCAAATACACATATTATTTTTTTTTTCCCTAAATTTTTACTCTTAAACCCTGCCTGCGTTCCTGCTCATATGTTTCGGATGGAGTAGAACTCATGAAAATCCCTTTTTTCCCTTGAGCTTTTTCTAGAGTCGTTCCATGGGTTGAGGCCATGCCTGAAAGTGAAGAAAAGGAATGGGGTCTCATCGGTTGACCGGTAAAATCATTTACCTGCTTTATTAGAAAGCATTGAGAATGATGGCGTATTTTTCTTTTTTTGAAAAAATCGTGATGCAATTTCATTGGTTCATTTTTCCACCTTCCCACCCGTTAAATTTTCATTCTTACACAAACACAACAACTTTTGAGTCATTCAACCCTCTCTCTCTCTTCGTCAGTGGAGTGTTGTGGGGTGTGTGTGGTAAGTGGGATGAGCCCAGCCAACGGAAGGTGGGGCCTGAGGTCGCGGGTGAGGGGGTTTGATACAAACACCGCTATCCATGCAAATGGAAAAGATTTAAAACAATAATAATAAATTTCATCTCTCTCTAGCTTTGCTTTATGGAGACGTTTTGCGATACCCTTTTTGGGACATAACAAAAAGAAAATGGCTCAATGACTAATTAAGAGTAGTAATTTTTTAAATGCTTGGGTTTTAGTTTTTTTTTTAACTTTTTTTAATTAGATGTTATTGTTGTTGCTATTTTCTCCAACTACCCACTCCTCATTCCCTTATCTATATATACACTCAACAGAGTCTCTATTCATGCTGCGACTGCTAGCTTATGGCTGTCCTATCATCCCTACTGTTTACTCAAGAAACCCAGATGTCGGAAAGACGACTTTTTTTTTTTTTTTTTTTTTTATTTTCATCATACGATAATATTGAACAAAAGGTAAGGGATCAGCATGTGTAATTGTTCCTGGTTCTTTTTCATTCTAGATCATCCTTTTCATTTGGTTATACTATTCTCCGAGCTCAAACATAGATCATTACGTGCTCATTCTTACACCATTCAAAAGCTATTGAATGAAAAGGATGGGGGGGGGAGAGAAGCGGATATGTGTGTGGGGGCGGATAGAAAGGACTGTCTTATCATTTCATATTCAAAATAAAACCATATTACAATACGGCGTAAAACGGCGTCATTGACCGCTTTTCCCTTAAAAAAGAAAGGTACATCAGGCCTCCCTTTTATCCCTCTCCCCCATTCGTTTTGTAACATTATTAAGAAAAAAAAAAAGAGGTGATATTCCGTTGGGTTGCGTCATGTGTATCATGAACAATTTAATAAGACTACCATCAAATTGAACCTTAACTATTTTAGGCTTTTTTGGGTTCATTTACTCAGTTGCCCAACCGATAAGAAAAAAAATCTGATAAGAAATGGATTAAAAATCAAGTGTCATCTCGTTATCTTTTTTTAATAATTCAAACATGCCAGGTGGCATCAAAGGCTTCTTCACCGTCTTTGTTTGTCCATCCTTTGTCGTTACTGTCTTTTGTTCTGCAATGTATCGAAACGGCATGGTGACAGACTCATGGCGAGAGAAAAAGATCTCTGGTTGATCGATATACGGTATTTCATCCAATGGAACTAGAGCGATCACGTTTCATCACGTTAGTTACGTTGGTTACGTTACTACAAAATGACATGCGTTTCAAGCATGGCCCAAAAAAAATAAAATAACCACTGCAACTTACTCTTATCTTCTACCACTCTTTTGGTAACATTCACAGCTGTGTCCGTGGTCATCTGAACAGGTCCTAGCCTTCTACCTTCAAATCCAAGCTTACGTAATTCACCCGTACGATCTATGCACATACCGCCTTGAGTTGCCCCGTGACTTTTGACTTTTTTTGCATGGCGCCATTGAACTCTCTTACCTACCTCGAGGTGGATGATCGCCCAAGATACCACCAAATAAAAAGTACTTAAATCTTTCTCCATCTTCCGGTGATAATTCCTTTGTTCCAGCTGGATCCAACAAACAAATCTCTTCCTTTTTGATACCAGGTACATGAAGGACATCTTCTTGGTAGCATTGGGCTGATTTCAATTCTTCAGGCATGCCTTCATGAAGACATTTATCCGTTAGCGAAGTAAAGTAAAGATGATCAGGGCCAATGTTTTGTAGCATATGTTTGTATTCTAGTGCACACCATTCATGCATGGCATCTTCCATATGTTCAATAATATAACCACATTTTCTATCGGATGTCTGCGTTGTCATTGTCTAAAGGGTCTATATGAAAGAGAAGGGATGTGTGGGGGAAGCAAAGAAAAAAAAAAAACAACCAAAAAAACCCAGTCCTTTTTTTATTCATAAAGTGACTTTTTTCTCCAATGGGTGAGTTTTACCTCCTTTGTCTCTCTCTCCCTCTCTCTCTCTCTTTCTCTCTCTCGTTCTTTGTAGTGCTTCCACCATGGCATCAAAAGCAACACAAGAATACAGAGCATCGTTTATCACTCTACTATCACAATTATCTGAACTAGAAAAAAAAGGAAAAGACTTTTTTGACGAAATGTAAAGTAGATACCTCATGTCTTGAAGTTGAAGAATGTACATCTGACATGCTCACTCTTTTTTTTTTTTTTTTTTTTTTTTTTTTTTTGCAAAAAAAAAAAAAGTGAGAATTCAGTTTTCGTACCGCACGATGCAGCAGCAGCAAAAGGTAGTTGAAAAAGTTGAACTTTTTTCCCCCCCCCCCTTTGGAGAGGTCATCTTGACTCACCCATGTCAACTACTCTATCAGCGGACTATGATAGTTTACTGGCCTCTCTCCATGCACTCGAATTACAAGCAAAAAACTCTGGCTTATTAAGTATCTCGGGCCAAACCCATACCACCAGCACTAGCACCACGCCTCAAGAACAACAGCCTACCACGCGTAATTTAGCGACTCGTAATGCAGAAACTCTACAAAAAGTAGAGTCTTTTTTCCAAGAAAAAAATCGTTTGTTGATGAATATTCGCGCAGCTGTCAATGCCTCTGCCCTTCCTATCTCCTCCACCTCGACTACTTCCAATACCAACACAGCGACATTGACATAAATGTAAACGGTTGACCTCGATCCTTACTACCGCGTAATAAAGTACTATACCCCCCTCTGACGTATTAGGTTGAATAGAAATATTTTCTTTTTTCCCGACAAGGACCCAACCTCAACAGATAAAAGTGTCATTCACATGTCTCGTGATGAAATCCATAGCCAAAGGCGGCTAAGGTTAGAAGAAACTATGCTTAGCACTCAGTTTGCTTACAAAATATAAAATGCATCTATCTTTATAAGCAAAACATGGGCAACGTGTGTTATAGGATGATGTGACTGTAGAGCTGTTCAGCTTGTCGAAAAAAGACAATGGCTCATCAACGAGAAGGATGCGTAGGAATGTTTTTCATCATCAGATTCAGTAGAGAAGAAGCATTGTCTTGTTGAACGTTAAAAGAGAGTTGCTTTGATTCCGACTATCCCAAATTCTTACTCTTATTTTTCTTGATACTTTCCTAAATTGGTTACAATAAGCCCAAGAAGTCCCCTCCTTTCACCGTCTATTTTTTTAATGATCAAAAAAGGTACGATCAGTTTTTAGCGTCTTCTTTTTTCTTTTTCTTTTTCTATTTATCCAAGCAAAGCATCCCTATTACATCCACCACATTCTCTCATCGCCCCCTCCTCCTCCTCCACCCTTCCTTCATCCATCCATACCCTGCCTCCTCGACTTGAAAGCATAGGCATGGCACCCACAGATTATAAAAGTTATGAACATTACTTGGTAGCAAGACAGGCAGTAGCAGATGAAGCCGTCCATCGACTCACGCCCACAGAAGATCAGAAAATCATACTCATCATTATCGGTGTCTATACAGCAGCCATTTTAATACTATGGAATATGCCCATAGCGAAAATTGTGCTATCACCCTTCAAAGTAACTTGAAAAGGAGAAATAAAAAGGAAAAAAAAAGAAAACGAGGGCCCTTTCATTCATTCCCCCACCCTTTCGTTTGATTGAAGCTACTGACTGTAGGATTACATGAATTCTCGCATGCATTTATGGGCTGTTTGACTTGTGCAAAAATAGATTCTATAGAAATTGATCCTGATGAAGGCGGTGTGACTCGAATGGTAAGCAAACGAGAAGAGAGAGAGAGAGAGACAATGCATTTCTTGCTTTTGACGACAACAGATACTAACTCATACGGAAACTTAGCGAGGCGGACTACCGATGTGCACACTACCGGCTGGTTATTTAGGTTCTTCTCTCATTGGTGCCATACTCGTCATGTGTGGCTTCAACATCTTGGCATCCAAAATCGCCAGTATCTTTTTAGGCGTCTGTCTCTTGTTGACATTATGGTGGGCTAAAAACTGGCTCACACGCGGCATTGGTCTCCTCTTTATCGGTGTCATGGTCTTTCTTTGGTGGCTCGCTCACGGTGCTGGCTTGAAATATTTTGTGCTCTTTGTGGGCGTCATGTCATGCCTTTATTGTCTCTGGGATATTCTGGACGATCTTGTGTTTCGTAAAGTGCATGAATCGGATGCAGCCAAATTCGCTCAAGTCTGTGGAGGCTCCTGCATGTCCAGTCGGGTATGGGGAGCTTTTTGGTTCGTCATCAGTTTGGTCTTTTTTGTGGCAGGCATCTTGATAGGCTTGGCTGCTTTCAAACAAGATCAACAGACCCAACAACAACAAGCACAGGGTTTTGGTTGGTAAAAAGCCCTCCGTCTCTTTCTTTGTTTCATGACCAGGAGAAGCGTATGTGCCCGATAAGAAAGACGATTCCTTCAACACTCACTGAAAAGACACGCGCCATGTTTGGCTTCACGAAACGATAAGGTGGTCTCACTCTCCATACTCTACAAAAAAAAAGAAAAAAAGATGACCACCTAGAGGTCTATGTTGCTGATATACAATCAGTCACCTTCCTCTTTCTAGAAACAATGAGCTTTTCATACCCTCCCTCCCTTTCTTCTCCATTCACCGGTGATTAAAAAAAAAAAACAAGACGCCACTTTGACTTTTTTGCATAGGCAATCAAGCACAAAACGAATAAGCATAGACTCTTTTTTACTCTACCCTCCTCTATTTTCGAAACAAAAAAAAAAACAAAACATTCAAAAAATAAAATAACAGTTCACAGGTCCCACAAAGAAAACAAAAAACATGACTGACCCGAACCTTTTGGTCTGTTCTTTTTTTTTTTTTTTTTTTTTTTTTTTTTTGCTTTTAGGTAACATTTCGCAATATTTACTTCACTCATCCACTGTTGGGTGATGGAACTCTCTCACTCATGATTTCTTATGCTTTTTTCTTTCTTTCTTCTTTTTTTCCCCCTTACGCATGATTGCTTTCTCTTCTATTTTTTTTTTTTTTTTTTTTTTTTTTTTTGTCTTAAGAAATGATGTCTTTTCCTTTTTCAAAAGACAACAGCCTGCATAGCCACTGTCCAACCATGACCGATACCAGTCGCCTTCTGTATCCGTCTTTGCCACACACGTACGACTCCCAACCTACACACACCACTCAGCTGCCAAGAAGGCAAGAAGGAGCCATCCAAGCAGCCCTCTCTATCGATAGTAGTAGCCACGCTCCTAAGAAGGAGACAAATGCACAACCGTATACAACCACAGCAGCTGTTGTAGCGAGAAAATCAAATAGTACACCTCTTCTTGGAAAAGGGACCGTAGCCGTATTAGTAAATAAATCCTTTTTCTTCGCGTTGTAGGAGTGATCTAGACTCTTTGTCACAGAAAAGAAAAAAAAAAAAATAAATTCTGAAATCGTTCCCATCCATTGACATAGGGAGGGGCCCGAACGATGACGGGCGGAAACAGACCTATCTCACGGACGGCGGCAGAGTCTGTCATCAAGTCATCCTCGATGACAAAAGACACCCACCATCACCAAAAGAAAAGGAAACAAAAGCTCTCTCCTATGGCCTCCAGTTATATGCATCCAACAGACCTCTTTGCAAAAAATCTCAGCGATGCCGTCATGGATGCTGAAGGTAAAAACACTTATCTACTTTAAAACGGCTCAAATGGCTGCCACCGCACCTCCCCCCACTAGAACAATCAATAACCCATCCTTTATGCATCACTGCTTTCTGTTTCTTTTGCTTTTTTTTTATGCCTCCTACCTTATGTACACAAATGCATATACCCTTCATAGATTCAGATGATTTGGAAGCCTCGTATGTGTATCATGAGAAATCTCCTTCTTACAGTCTGATAACAACCCACTGGCCTCCTACTTTAACTCATCAGCTCCCTCCTTCCTCCCCTCATGTTACCACCACCACTGCCGCTGCAGTCGATCCACAGCATGCTTATCCTAACAACCCTCCTTACTACTACTACTACTCCTCCACTGAAAGTACCACAACAGATAGCAACAGCCATGACTACTTCTATCCCATCACCCCCAACGCTGCTACTGCCAACGCTAGGACGCCGTTGGTAAGAGAAACATACTCGAGACTTTACCAAATCAATGACAAACGTCGTCCAACCCCAAGATCGTCTCTATCAGACCATGTACACTTGTCGTCGTCCCCCATGTCATCGTTCGGTTCTTACTCGCATTACAAAAAAAAGAGACCGACGTTTCGATATCCTCTGTCTACCACATCCGTCTATCGATACGCTCTTCCTACCGACCATGAGGACCTCCTCGACGAAGAGGCGTTTGCAGCAGCCCTCGCCTCAGCAGAAGGGGGCGCGCCGCTTTTATTTCACCCAGCGTTGTCCTTTCGTAGTAACAGTTTCTTTCGTGGTAAAAAAAGAGCCCTTTATCGACACAGGACCCTACCCACCCACAGAAAGCGTCTCACCTCTCCATGCTGGAAATCGTGCTTATGGATCCTGCTGGCTGGCTTTCTGTTGCTTTGTTTGAGCTGGTGTAGTGTCCTACTGTACGCAGAACCGTTGACCGACGTAGAAGTCGTGGGCATCCACCACGTTCTGGGAACACAGAAAGAGCTCATGTTCAATCTACACATGAAAGCTAGGTAGTAGCGCTTTCTTGCCACATTCCTCCCCTCCCCCCCCAGGGGATTTTATTGAAAAAACTAAAAACAAAAAGACCCTCTTTTCTTCATCGTTGATTAGAAACAATAATCGGTGGACCATTCAAATGATCAACACAGCCTTTAGCGTGTTTGCCTCAACTCATTTCGTGCCTACCACTTCCGTCTCGCTGTCAGCTCCCCATAGCAGCACCGAGACGGTTCACCCTGTCACCCTGCGGCCACAAGGTGTGTTGAGTGCTTTCATTTTTTTTTTTTTTTGTCTATTGACACGTCCTATTTCCCCTTTTTTACTAAACTCTCCATTCTACAGTGGCGAATCCAGTAGAATACCTAGGCACTATTGATCAATTAGACGATCCTTTTCTATTCAAAGGAAAGCCGCTCTTTCAATCGGATCCTTTGGAAAGTAGTGCCACGAGTCAGATCCAAATCAAACATCCAGGCGCTACCCCCCATGACAGCAGTGGCAATGAAAGATGGTCCCTCATCCTACGCTACCCTTACGAATTAACCGTACGAGGCGTCGTCAAATACCAGCTGTTACCTCCATGGTTTACCTCTCTCTTTTTCCCTTTCACATCCTCCGTCGGATGGCCACCCATACGCACGGTGCGTTTGTGTAAAACGTCGGTCGTCGATCCTGCTACTGGCCGTGTCTCGGAGGATTGGCCTGTGCCTGAAAAGTCCATTTGCGATACACCTGTCACTGCTGCTGAAGGCACTTTTCCATCGTAGACCATCCCTCTCTCTCTCTCTCTTCGTTAGAATGTATCCCTGAACGATGCTTTTTTGTGTTTATTCATGTACATGGCTAACAATGCAAACAGCAAATGTATACTTTTTTAAAGAAAAAAGAACCAAAAATAATCTCTATGCTTTTGAAAACCACCCCCACCCCCACTTCCTCGGGCAATGATTTAAGCCCAAACATCTTCTTGGTATCTAGACGATGTTCTCAAGTCATTGAGATAGTGAGTAGCCGTGTCTTTGTCCAATCCGCCGTACACTTGGGCGAGTTGAACTAACGTCTGATACACATCGCGAGCCATTCGATTGGCATCGCCACAGACATAGAAATAAGCGCCCTGTGTGTGAATTAAATCCCAGACCTCTTGCCCCTCTTCTTCCAAACGATGCTGCACATACGTCTTTTCCTGCTCTCTTTCTCGAGAGAAAGCCGTAATCAACCGAGAGGGGGCGCCCAAGCGATCAAAGAGGCCGGGCCATTCGTCCTTGTACAAAAAGTCGAGATCCGATCGGCGACAACCGTAAAATAAGAGGGTGGTGCCGATGCGACGCGCACGCTGTTGCTCTTTCCTATAGACACGTTCACGCACAAACCCACGGAAAGGAGCCACCCCTGTACCGGGGCCTACCATGATCATCGGTACCGAGAGATCGTCTGGCATCTTGAAGCTGCTGGCACATCGGATATACATGGGCAATCGTTGCTCTCTGGGCAAAGCATAGGAAATCGGAAGCGTGGATTGGCCCGTCTGTTTCATCTCATGCATATGCCACAAGAAATTGGTATTGATGCCATACACCGTACGCCCTGGCTCCCCCTCGCCCACCCCCGTGGGCTGGTATTTGAGTGTCACACAAGTGACAGACGCCGTGTGGGGTGATTCGGATGGAGAGGAACAGATGGAATAGAAACGGGGCTGAAGTCGTCCAAAAATATCAATGAGCATGGCAAAGGGAACGTGAGCAAAACGCAGTCGCTGCTCATCGTTGTCGTCGTCGTCGTCATCGTCGTCGTCATCGTCGTCACCACCGATGGAGAGTGCCAGCACATCCACCAGCGTCAGACGAGCATCCACCACAGCGGATGTATAGTGAGCCACATCACGCGTTAATTCTTCCAGATACTGTCTGGCTTTCTCAGAGGGAGCAAACGGAATAAGCGAGGCGAGCACTTGACGACTGGGTATTTTGGAAATGTCGAGATAATGTCTTAATGCGGCATGAAAAGTGGTAGGCACAGGGAAAGGTAGTTTGTCGTTATCGCCGCGAGGTATATCAAACACGGTGTCTAATTTGTTGTGCAGGCCAAACATGCCGGCTGTTCGGCGGACCATGTCTTCTATGTTGACAGGCCACATCGCTAAATGGTCGCCTGCTTGATAAGTCATACCCGTGCCTTGCAAATCAAAGTCAATGTGCATGTAATGACGTTCATCGTCGTCGAAATCGGCGGCATGGGGAAACAGACGGCGGATCCTGACAGGGGCAAGGCATGGATGGGAGGCATTGTAATCGGTGGATGGTGGGGCGGTCGTCATGCTTAATTCGCCGTGATACACCTTTTGACCACGGGCAGGATATTCCACTTCGTTGACATGATACGTCGTCGTCAAGACGTCAGTAGGGCTAGTGCGTTCTTGTACATTCAAGTGCTTTTTGAGTTGCGGCCAGAGCGTCTTCTCTTTCCATTGACTGAAATCCTCTTCCATGGTGTTATTATCGTCACCCAACCCCACATCACCTAAACGACGAGCGCCTAATTGCGTCAAACGCTTATCACATGTTTTTGAAGCACCATTGAAAATGGGATAGGAGCTGTTTCCCAAGCCGAAAAGACAATAGTTGAGGTTGGCGAGAGGCTTATCATTGCTGTTGCTTTCGTAACTGTTGACGGAAGAAAACGAACGTGTTTGTAAGAGATCAAAGAACTTGACAGCATTGTCTGTGGGCTCGCCCTCGCCGTAAGAGGCAATAATGAAAACTGCGATCGTTTGGGAAGGTAGTTTATCCAAGGAGGTCATATCATGTTGGTCCAATTCAGCCACCAGGGTGCTCAATCCAAATTTCTGTTGACATTCTTTCGCAATATGTTGTGCAAAACCTTCCGCTGTACCTGTTTGAGAGCCGTAGAAAATAACAAGTGGATAGCCCTAAATTACAACATTTGTCATAGCTTATATGAGAGCATGTCGGGTTGTTGCTTTTTCCCGTTCTTGTCGCATGTACCTTTGACTTTATCTTGGAAGCAATATCTTTATTCTCTAGCATCTCCTTGGCTCTTTTCCTTTTTTGTAGCTTTTTGTCTTCATCGTCTACAACATAGAGTCGACGAACCATCAAAATGGCTGTGACAAGCGATACGAGACTTTTGACCAAAAAGGTCAACATTCGATAAGGAGCCAAACGAAGAATCTTGCTTGTCTTTTCTTCTCTCGTTCTCGATAGAGAAGTTGAGGACGGAGCCATTCTATGAAATTTTGCCAAGTAAGAAAGAAGAGCGTAGAATGAAAGAGGGAATGAGAGAAATAGAAGTGTTCTATACCTCTCATTTTCAGAGTTTCAAAGTTTTTTTTTTTTAATTGTAACTCTTTTCTGCACTGTCTTGCTGAATATCAATTTCAGAATCTCGTTACTAAAAATTTGAAAAAAGAAAAGAAATGGCAGACACTTCATAATGCTGTCAATATGTCGTATTGAGCGTGCCTTTTTTTGTTTCATGGCCAATCGATGAATGACAACATTGAATGTCCTTTTGACTATGAACTAAAAAAAAAAAAGAGCCACTTTAGTTCCATTGAAGTGCATGAACGCTATCCTATCTCCTGATGTCGCATGCTTATCGCGTAAAGGTTGAGTTTGAAGTTCTACAATGATATGGATTCATTTTATAAACATCACGTAAAAACAACTCAGATGGAGAGCACAGACATATTTTATTTATTTTTTTGCTCATTTAGCAAAAAAGCTTATCACTGTAGAAATTGAATAGAAAGTAGGTATAACTCACCAGTTCATGGTTTTAGAGATGAAAACTCTACCTACCCAGCTTGCTTGGATCAAATGATGGAGCCTTTTACGATGACTGAGGGAGCTTTGGGAAGAATACCATCCAATGCCTATGGTATGACCCAGCCACTGAAAATTGGAAATCATTACGAAATTTTTGTTCTCGATCACTCAAGATGATATTGTATGCACATTGCTTTCTCAGTTAAAATTTACATAATAGCTCCTATGCCACATGAAGCAGTTCTACCTTTCTATATACCTTATGATTTTTTCTTGCAAGGCACAGACATCCTCAAACTTTTTTCGTAACATGAGGGATCAGATAAAAGGTTATCTATTAGGTAAAGAAGTAACTCCATCAGAGTCCTAGTACACAAACTACTGATGTTACTATGTTGATTTATCATGTTCCGTGGAACTAACAAAACGGTCACACATCCTTGGGATGGAATGGATAAATGATGATACCTAGGATGAAGTCATGGGCGGTTGTTTAAAAAGGCACCTCGCCAAAGACCTAGAAGAAGCGGGAGATGATTGTGGGCAACTGACACCACGGACCTAATTTTGGATCTATTTTTTTTTTTCTTTTTTTTTTGTTTACGTGAAAAAAAAACTGTTTGACAGACCGATTCCTCGGATTGAACCAAAGATTTTTTCATTTATTTTTTCATTTGATAGATGGTGCTTTGAAGGCACTATGTTTATACCGTTCACGTTACCTTTTTCACCTCGCTAAACATGACAGAGTCTGATATTACCATCCAATTAGCTACTGCTGCTGACGCTCACATCCTCTCTGATTTGGCAAGACGAACCTTTTCCGATACTTTTGGTGCTGATAACCCTCCCGAAGAAATGGAGAAATGCCTAAATGAAAATTATACCTATGAACTTCAGCTCAAAGAAATCAATGATCCCTCCATGAGCACCTTTATGGCTATAGATAAGAATAATGTCGCCGTCGGCTTTGCTCAACTGCGACTGAGCAAGGAAGTCTACGATTTCATCGGTGATAATGATGCCATTGAATTGCAGAGAATATATGTCGACAAGAACTGTAAAGGAAAAGGCGTTGGAAAGGCTCTTTTACTGGCTAGTATTGAAAAAGCAAAGCAGCTTGACAAAAAGACAGTATGGCTAGGTGTATGGGAGCATAACCCCAAGGCGATTGCCTTCTACGAGCGTTTTGGATTCACCAAGGTTGGAAGCCATATTTTCAGAGTGGGCGACAAAGAAGATACCGATTATGTATTTATCAAGAAAATTTAGATCATCTTTATTATTATAACTCCCTTTCGATAGAATACACTATTGCCCATTTTTTTCTTGTCACTTTTTCGAGCAAGAGCCTCCATGTTGAATGATTCAGACTGTTTGGCTTTTTGAACGTCGACTTTCAGATTGCTTTCCATTCAGAGCGTGGACTCTCAGCCAAAAGATCCTTAAGATTTAATAAACAAACAAGCGTACCTTTAAAATTGAAACCGAAAAGTCTTTGTTGAAACATTGGGAGGTGGGGGGGGGGTAAACAGCCATTGACTGTTGTCCATTTGAATGATACAGGTGAAAGGCCAATAAAGTATATTTTATTTTATTTTTTGCTTTACGCTATTTGCATGTGAGTAACACCAACATACAGCTGTATGGATAGAGTTCGTATCGAGATGCTTTCACTGTCTATTCGTTAACCCTGATGAACTTACTTATAATACGGTCGTGGGAACACTCAACACCATAGGTCTATTTCCGTAACACCGCGAACAGTGAGGTATAAAAAACGTAGCCAGTACATGTATTCTTCTTCTTTTCTTTCAAACAGAGTGAATTGTTGACTCATCCGCCCATGTCAAGCATGTCACCCTCGTCAACGCACACTTTTTTAAAGTACTCCATTGCTATGGTCACGCCTTTCCGCGAGGACGGTGAATTCGATCCAGCCGCTATTCCTGCTGTCGTCCATTACTACATCCATGAATTGCAAGCTCCAGGCTTATTAATAAGTGGTAGTACGGGTGATCAACACTGTATGACTGTGGATGAGCGTAAACAATTATACAAGGCTGTTTGCGAAACCGCTCCTCAAGGATACCCCATTTATGCAGGTGTGGCCGCTTTCAAGACAAAGGATGCTGTAGAGTTGGCTAAAGCAGCAGAAGCCGCTGGTTGCACTGCCATCATGTTGGGTCTTCCTCCGTATCGTAAACCTTCACAAAGGGATCTTGAAAGCTATGTCGCTGCTGTTGCTGCCGATGTGATGCTTCCTCTCTTTTTGTACAACAACCCTGGTAGAAATGGTGTGCAGGTTGAACCCACCACGTTCTTAAAGTTGGCGGATACCTATGCAAATGTACGCGGCATCAAAGAAACGGGTGTTCTTGAGAACGTTCAAACACTCAAAGACTTACTAGGTAGCAGAGCAGACGAGTATACTTTCTTCACGGGCTCCGATGATCTGTACGTCCATTTGGCCAAAAACCGGGGATTCACTGCACTGACTTCGATGGCGGGCAACTTTTTCCCCAAGGAGATGCGTGCTGTCACGGATCACCTTGATAAAAAGGAGTTTGAGCAAGCTGAAGCTATCATGGCAGATATTATACCCAAGTACCAAATGATCAAAGACATCGGCGTCCTGCCTGCAATGAAATATGTACTAAGAAAGCGTGGTGCGCCTGTGGGTTACTGTCCCCCTCCTTTACTGGATCCAACAGAAGAGCAAAAGAAACGTCTGGATGCATTCGTTTAAAAGACCATCATCCCTCATCCTCCTCTTGCTCTTTTAGACAGTGGCATGTAACTTTATTCTTAGCATTTTCCTGTACAATGAAAAAGAAACCAACGAAATAACATCCCTTATGGGTACATTTATCATTGTCATCATGTTGGGGTGGGGGGGGTTCTACAAAGACGAAGATTGATTTTTTTTTTTTTACCAATTGTAAAATGGTTTTGCATTATAGATAGGCTTTGTTTCTAGCAAAGGCGTCCATGTTTTCTTGTATCGTTTCCATCCTCTAATATTTCTCTTATCACTCTCAGCTTCTACAGGTTCCATTTCTTTAAGAATGAATTTGATGTGTGCTCTGGGACGATGCATAACACCAAAACCGCCTCTACCACGTAGCTTGATACGTTTTAGAAATAGCCCTTTGCCTACCCAAGCTTGTGCTGGTGGAATGTAAAGAGGGATACAGATGAGCGTTCTTGCTGTTCAGGCGGTTCGAGTCATAATTGAAAAAACAAAAAAACAACTTACAAATGATCATATTGGACATATCCATCTGAGACTCTGCATTCTTCTTAGCAAATGCTAAATTGTGCATAATCTTCTTTGCTGCTCTTTTATCTGAAAATTCCATCTGCTTAATGGCTTCTTCCACTGGTAGATTGCGGATTTGTCGAGCAAGCATATTCAACTTTTGTGGACTGACTCTAAAGTTGGAAGATGAAAAAGTATACTAATGGGATGCAAGCTGTCAATAGGAGAAAGACGGTGGTGGTGGTGGGGGGGGGAGGGTGAGAGGAAAAGCAAAAAGTACTACATACTTCCTTTACTGTATTTTTCGATTCTACTGCTTCTGCTTCTTGAATAACATTGTCAAATAAGCTTGATGCACCCACATCAGGTCTATGTGTCTCGGGCATCTCTCGTGTCAAAGTGTTACTAAATCAAAAGTGCTTGTTCATCAATGGTCTCGCTCAACGATGCTCATAGTCAATTGACTCCATTAAGGTATACCTCATGTGTAGAGCGCGAATGCTATTGAAAGCTGTAGCTTGTTTGAACGGTCGTAAACCCCTAAGTGCTGCTGTATTAAAATAAGGTACCCTGATTGAGATCATGCTGGACTATTCAGGTCTGAATGTGAATACATACTTAATGATGCGACTGACATCGGTTTCGGTATTTTTGTTGAATCTTGTTATAGGTCTAAAAAAAGAGGGGTAATAAGGCGAGGCCATCTCCTATTTTTTTTTCATGAACATGGAGGGTGGAGTTTATCTCACAAAAATTAAAGCACCGCAATGCAAGTGGGGGGCAACTTTCCATCAGACTGCCTGTCAAATTTGAGTGCCCTATAGACAAGCTTTGTCAATACCAGATGACAAGGGATAAGAAAAAAAGAATGAGTGATCCAAGGATATAAACCAACGGAAAAAGTGTTCCTGAGATCGCCTGTGCTATCCCATTGTAACAAAAATAAGGGGGGGGGAAGGTGTTGCCCTCGTTGGACGATTTATTTCCAAGAGAAAGCGTAGTTATCATTTGAATTCACTTGTCCATCATACACTGTGTTTTTGGAACAGGCCAAAGGGCACATCCCAGCTTCTGATACATAGTGACAATAACTATGCTGACATAAGCAGTGGAACGTATCAGTAATGAAATAAAAAAAGTGGAGCAGCAGTCCCTCTTCTTTGTCATATTACCAATGTTTTTGTTGACCTATTTGTAAGTGATGACATTTTTGAAACATCCCGCCGCGCTCGAGCCTCTCTGCATAATGGAGAGCTTTGGATCAATCCCTCCTCAAATGACATTGCGCGATAGGCATTGCTATTGCATAGTTACCTAGGAAGGTAACCTTGAATGACACCAGACATGTAGCCTCGAAAATCCTCATCCAACGATAAACAGGATGGGCCTAGATGGGGTAGGATACCTTTTTCAACAAAAAAATTTTTATTACAAACTTTTTTTTTTTTCTTTTCAAATGAGAAAGATGCGTATAGAGGAATATTGATGACAACACATTCACAAGGAATTATGATATTCTACAGACATAAGAGATGAGAAATGGAGGATAGATGATGATCGGGGGAAATCAAAATATTTAATATTGCTTCTTGTTCTTCTTGTAGTGGTTGATAAGACCGTTGGTAGAGGCATCATGAGAAGAGACATCACCGGAAGCAGACAATTCAGGCAAGATAACCTTGGCCAATTGCTTACCGAGTTCAACGCCCCATTGATCGTAAGAGTTGATGTCCCAGATAGCACCTTGAACAAAGATCTTGTGTTCGTACATGGCAATAAGAGAACCAAGAGTGGCGGGAGTCAACTTTTGGAACAAGAAGGAGTTGGTAGGCTTGTTGCCCTTGAAGACCTTGTGGGGTACAATGTTTTCTTGAACGTTGGCGCCCATTTCAGCACGAACTTGCTTTTCATCCTTACCGACCATCAAAGCTTCGGTTTGAGCAAAGAAGTTGGACAATAAGATGTCGTGGTGGATACCGTTACGGATGGGGTTTTGAGTTTCAACAGGGGCCAAGAAATCGCAAGGAATCAACTTGGTACCTTGATGAATAAGCTGGTAGAAAGCGTGTTGACCGTTGGTACCAGGTTCACCCCAGATGATGGGACCCGTTTGGGCTTGAACTTGTTCACCGGAACGGGAGACGTATTTGCCGTTGGATTCCATGTTACCCTAATAGGGAGCAAAAGTTAGAAAATGCGGTTTGTACACGCGCTATTTCGTTTGTTTGTTTTGTCCGTCCTAAGCATACCTGTTGGAAGTAAGCAGGGAAACGATGCATGTATTGATCATAAGGAAGAATGGCTTCGGTTTCGGCGCCAAAGAAGTTGTTGTACCAAATACCAATGAGGGCCATCAAGACAGGGATATTTTGGTCGAGAGGAGCATTGACAAAGTGTTGATCCATTTCATAGCCACCGCGGAGAAGTTGTTCAAAGTTGTCATAACCAATGGTAATAGCAATGGAAAGACCGATGGCAGACCAAAGAGAGTAACGACCACCGACCCAGTCCCAGAACTTGAACATGTTCTTGGGGTCGATACCGAAATCCTTGACCTTTTCAGTGTTGGTGGAGAGGGCAACAAAGTGCTTAGCAACATGGCTGGCCTACAAAGTTCAAAGTGAGATTATCAATCAAAAAAAAAAAAAAAAAAAAAAATTTGAAACAAAAATTTTTAGCCCATCTATCCATTGATATGTCATGATAAAACCATAAAAACCACAATATATTGGGCAGAGTTACTCTGAGCCTAGTCCCCTCTCCCTCTATCATTTATATCTGAAAAATCATTTCCATCACGAATTTTTCCGCGGAATCCCAAAATCCAACACAACCATACATGAGGAAAAAAAAAAAAAAAGTACTTACATCCTTAGCGGCATCGAGGAACCAAGCCTTGGCTGATTCAGCATTGGTGATGGTTTCTTGAGTGGTGAAGGTCTTGGAAGCGATGATGAAGAGGGTAGTTTCAGGGTTGACTGACTTGAGAACTTCAGCAAGATGAGTGCCATCAATGTTGGAGACAAAGTGAGGCTTCAAACCTTTTTGAGCATAAGGCTTCAAGGCTTCAGTTACCATAACGGGACCAAGGTCGGAACCACCAATACCAATGTTGACAATATCGGTGATACGCTTGCCGGTATAACCCTTCCATTCACCAGAGCGAACGGATTCAGAGAATTCCTTCATGTGAGCGAGGACTTCGCGAACTTCGGGCATGACATCTTGGCCGTTATCCTTGATAGGCTTATCGCCCATGTTACGGAGAGCAACGTGGAGGACAGCACGGTCTTCAGTAAAGTTGATGTGTTCACCAGAGAACATCTTGGAGCGCATATCCTCAACCTTGGCTTCCTTGGCCAAGTCCAACAAGAGTTGAAGAGTTTCATCAGTAATGCGGTTCTTGGAGAAATCGAACAAGATGTTGGTGTCAGTCTTATCGCCCTTGAAGACACGATGGTACTTGTCGAAACGCTTGGAGTCCTTTTCGAATTGTTCCTTAATAACAATGTTTTTACCCTCAGCGTCATAGTATTGCTGGAGCTTATTCCAAGAATTCAACTTGTTGGCCAAAACCATTTTTAACTATAGAAATGAGATAAAGAAGAAATAATAAAAAAAAAAGAGAGAATTAAAGACCGTATTCTGAGCGACTTTGAACTCCCTTTTATATAGGGAATTTTTTCCAAGGGTTTCTCTTACCCTTTTTTTTGGTTTCCGCTATCACATTTTTCCATAAAACGATTGTCATCAAAAAGCAAAAAAAAAAAAAAAAAAAAAAAAGAAGATTTTAGCCGGCGTTTGTTTCACTTCCTGGTGTCATTCTCATTATCTGTGCTTATTCATTTTAGGCGTTGAGACGAACTTGTAGTATTGTTGATGATGATTAGATAAGCGTCAGCCCCATTTTCGATTTGGGGGGAAGAATGAGCAAAGGCCATCACCTGTTTTGAACTACAGACGAATCTATGCTATGACCATGGCTGATAGTATGAAGCTGTCACCTGATTTGCGTGTTATCCATAGCAAACAGTAACTTTTTTCTTTTTTTTCATGTAACGAGCCCACCAAAAAATGGTTTTCTTGACTGACTCTGACTCCCTAAGAACGACGCTCTTCTTTACTTTTTTAAAAAAAAGGGTTGCTAAGGTATGACAAAAGTCATTGTGTTCTGTTTTCTGTGATCCACATCGCGACGAAAGAAAAAACAAAAAAGAAAGTTGCATAAATTGACAGTGGGGCTCGTCAAAAATGCTGGAATTTTTGCAGATCAGAGAAAATTACCAGGTCGATTTGTTTGCGTGATCAAAACCCTTCTATCCTCACCTTTTCTCCACGATTCCCTTTCCACGGAGACATCATCAAGACGTTGGATGCCCTAACGCACATTGTTGTTGGCTTTCGTGGCGGGAATTTAATCTTTTCCTTTTTAAGATCCTCAACAACTTTTTTTGTAAAGGCATCATCATGCTTCGCTCCCTTTCATTCCTTTCGCTTAACTTATTTTTTTCCATATTTACCGTTGTTGATTTGACAGTTGTGCAATTGTTGTCGTGACAATTCTTTCGCACTACAGATACCATAAAAATAACAACAAAAAAGCACTGTACAAGTCCCTTTCAATTCCTTGTTCGTCCTTTAGTCCTTTGCTAGGTAAAAAAAAAATAAAAAATAAAAAAATAGAGACTTATTGTGTGTATCGTTTGTGTGGTCTTGGAGCATAAAATGCCTGTCTATGTCCCACCCCCCTTTTGTATGAGCAGCTTCCCTAATGCTTCTATCGAATATCAAAGTAGTGCCGCCGCTTCACTCTCTATTTCGAACAAGGCCATAGTTACATGTTCTTATACCTCATTGCATAATCTCTCATTCGCAAGCACGTTCAGTTACCAGAATTGTCTATTGCTCCTTTGTCAACACCCTCGTCATGTCAAACGCCCTGCTTTTAAGGTTATTTACATCAGAATATTTCAACGCCTGGATAGCCATTTCATACATTTTTAAATACCCGGATAATGTTGGTATACAGCACTATCTCTGTAATCAGTTAAAGAAGTTTCCCATGGCCGAGATTGAGTTCTTCCTACCTCAGCTGATGTAAGTTTTGGATGCAGTCTTTTTTTTTTTCTGTTATTGCCATACTTTAGAAAGACTAGAAAACCAGTCAACATTTGTATCAAACCTATCGCTTTAGGCATTTATTAATCACCCGTCCTACCGAATCGGTGGCACTTGAATGTTATATTATTGATGCATGCGAAAAGTCAACCCACATTGCGGTCATGGTAACTCATCATCATCAAGGTAAACTAAACGTCCCATGCGTCATCAGTTTTAGTAACACCATTTGTTTGTGGCGCGATCGTGTAGAGTCTTTGGTATCTACAAGCTTATTTGTCCGACCTATCAGCACAGCCTAACAGTTCCTCATTTCAACTATGCAAACGAATTCTGAATCGATGTCAGGCCATTATTTTTCAGGAAGATAGTAGGTTGAATAACGAAGAAGAGAATAGTCCTCACTACATGGAGCAGATAGAGCAAGCACAAAGAGTCAGAGAAAACTGTAGACCCGCCTTAGTGGGTATGGGTGCGATGTTAGCGGGTATCGGTCAACCCTTAGTGACCAAGCCCGTCGGTAACATTGCTATTGCTCAAGGACGAAAGTCACGAAATTTCTCCATGGTAAGCTCTTCGGATGCTTCCATCATGAGTCGAAGAAATAGTCTCGACAAACAGGGTTTCTATTCCGCTTCCCAACCTCAACTTCCCATACAACAGCAACAGCAACAACAACAACAACAACAACAACAACAAGATCATCGTCCACAAGTATCACCTCAGCAGCAGCAGTCGCCGCAGAAACAACCTAAAAGAAGCAGCAGTAGCCGGCCGTTATCCACCTCTTCTTCGCGCTCTTCCATAGCCTCTGCCTTTCTGAAAGATCATCGATTCAGTGTTTCTGTTGAAGATTTGCATCAGGGCAAAGCATTCAGCGTCACTAAATATTTAAAGGAAACACAGCAAAAGATACAAAACACGGTACGATCGACCTTTCAAAACAACACGGACGACGGTGAATTAGCCCCTCATGGAGCACGGAAGGCAGGATTTACATTGGGCCCCAGTAGCAGCAGTAGCAGTCGAAGCAGTGGAAGAAATAGCACGGATTATTTATCCATCAAAAAGAAAAAGGCACACACAACACAAGGAGGCGCCAACAACATGAAAGCGATGGCTGAATCATCCGTACCTGTTTTGACGCCTGATGAAACCTTTGGACAAATCACCTCCTCGGACGAAGAGGTGGAAGGTGAGAGTGATCATGATAGCCGAGCCCTTCATCATCCACAACCACGACGACGACCCAACTTATGGCAAGGCGCTGTGTCTTCCGATGAGGAGGACGACGACGATGAAGTGGATGCTTTGAAAAAATTGAGCCTGGATGATCGCCGCCATCTCCTGCGCTCCAACTATTTTCGATCTGAAATGCAGTTTCTTTTAGCGCTTGTCGATATCGCTTCACGATTAGTCATTGTGCCTAAACCAGCTCGTTTAAGTGCACTTCATGCTGAACTGACGCTCTTGAATCACAATTTACCAGCAGAAATTTGCATGCCCCTGTGGTGTCCGGCCACAGTAGAACGACCGTATCATCATCGCATTGTCCGTATCAGTCCATCCGACGCGGTGGTCCTCAATTCTGCTGAAAGGGTAAGAAAACCAATCTGCTTGAAAAAAAAAAAAAAAAAGAAAAAGAAGAAAGGGAAAATTAATCAACTCAATGGGGAGTTTTTCATCAGGCGCCTTATTTATTGCTGATAGAAGTGTTGGATGACGAGCTTAGTCTAGAGGAGGGTGTGAAATCCTCACTCAGCAAATTGAAAAAACACAACAAACGACGTAGTCGGCAAACGCTAAGGAAACAATTCCAGTCGTTAGAAGAATGTAGCAGTGATGTCGTGGATCTTGCTGACCTTGGTTCACCCACCAGTATTCGCAGCTATGATACGGCCAGCCCTTCTTTATCTACCACAACAAACGCATCGGTGACATCCACAGCCTTGGGCGGAAAGGGTGGCGGAGCATGGGAAGTGGCCGCATCAGAAACCAACTCGGCTGCTGCTGCTGCTGCCTTGGACAGTAAACAAGACGGTTATGATCCGGACGAGTTTGCCGAAAAAATGAAAACAGCAGCTATTCTGCTTGCTCAACTGCAACGGGGAAACCATCCGACACCTATTCAGCCAGAGGGCAAGAACATTATCAACAGTCCCGCCATACGGGCCAATGCAGAAAACATTCGACAAAAAATCATCACGGAAATGATGGCGCTCGAAGACGAACGTATGGAGAAAATGGTGATTGAGGGTGTCGACAAGGGCGTTGGGGGCGGCAGCGGGGAGGAAGCAGGAAATGGTAAACACTTGGACGATGAACAACGCGTCGCCATGGTCATTAACAAGGAAGATCCGAGTGCTGCTGTCTTTTCTGAAGATTGGGAGACGAAAAAAGAACGCATTCGCGCCTCTTCACCCTACGGACATTTACCCAACTGGCGATTGATCTCTGTCATTGTCAAAAATGGCGCTGATTTACGACAAGAGCAATTTGCTATCCAACTGATACGCGAAATGCAGAAAATTTGGCAAGATACAAAAGCGGGCGTCTGGGTCCAGTATAATAGAATCTTGGTCACTTCGGATGACTCGGGTTTAGTAGAAACGATCAAAAATGCAATTTCTATACACTCGATCAAGAAAGAAGCGTACACAAGAAAATGGAATGATACAGGAACTGTTTTTACCTTAAAGGACTATTATGTTCGACGATGGGGACAACCGGAGAGTGGCCGCTATAAAGCAGCACAAGACGCGTTCATGAGAAGTTTGGCGGGTTATTCGATAGCCTCCTACATTATGCAAATCAAGGATAGACACAACGGTAATCTACTCATCGATGACCAGGGACATATCATACACATCGATTTTGGTTTCATTCTGTCCAACTCTCCTGGATCAGTGGGCTTTGAAATGGCACCGTTCAAGCTTCCTCAAGAATACATAGATATCTTGGGAGGCGTCAATAGCGAGAAATTTGCAGAATACAAAGCTTTGACAAAAGAAGCGTTCTTAGCACTGCGCAAACATAGCGATAATCTATTACTACTCGTCGATATGATGTCGAAAGATTCCAAATTACCCTGTTTCCAGCACGGCGGTACTCATGCATTAGCGGCACTGCGCGATCGTTTCCAATTACATTTAACAGAACCACAAGCGGAAGCCTTTGTAGACAAGTTGATCATGAGCAGCTGTTGCAATGTTTTTACTAGACTTTATGATACCTTTCAATATTACTCACAGGTACAATCCGATACAGTCCGTTATGTTCGTTAGGAGGACTCTATGAGAACTAACTCTTTTTCTTTTTATTGTTTGATTAGGGTATCTTGTAATTAAATAATGACCCAAAATCTCTTTTAAATCACCCTACTTCATGCAATTTATTTGTTATTTAAAGTACATTTATAATAATCACTTAATGGCCCATCATGACACCACCATCCTCTCTCACCATTGAATAAAAAGGAAAGATGCAGGATCAAATAAGATCAAGATTATTTTTAAGGCCTACAGTGTCCTACACAACTTGTTGGGTGAAGTGAATGACTTTCAAGACTCTCTAGTTTATATCATGTCCCATGCATCTTTCCCAAGTCTTACTACTTTTCCCTTTTTTCCTATTCGCTTTCGGCAGAAATAAAAGAACGCGAAATTACAAGCTCTACATTCGTATTCATTTGACCCATTTAGAAATATTCCTATCATCAATTTCCAAACACAATCTCTGTATTCAAAAATTTCAAATATCCTCGTATTGAATCATCAGATCTCTTTGTTTTCATAATCGGGTCACGAAGATAAAAAAGAGGTCAAGTTAGGCCTTTTGTATGAATATTCCGTTATAAAATGGGTCCTCAGAAAGAAAAGGACGCAAAAAAAAAAAAAAGAAAGGGCCCTTCTAGGCTCCATCTTTTCTATCCTCATCCATTACGAAGGTAGGATTAAAGTGGTTCCTTTGAAATCTGCCAAAAAACGAAAGAATTAAGGAAAAAGTAAAGTAAAGAAAAGATAAAGAGCCCTTGCTGCTCCATCACAAAAGCACAAATAAAAAAAGGTTTTTTTCTTCTTTTTTTTTTTTTTTTGGTCACAAAGTGACGTTATTTGATCGGTTGAAAATAAATCCGTAGCAAAATGGACGATTATTACCGATAATGATGATGATGATGTTATCAGAGTTCATTTTATAGTAGACGAAGGAAAATGAGGCACGGAGATAAATTCATCATTCAATATGTGGGATTGAAGACGCGTCTAGCATGTTAGGATATTCGCCGTCTATCAATCTCGTCCATTTCATCTTACTCTTAAATATCTGCAGCCTTTTTTTCTTCATTCTTAGTTGGCTTCTTTCTCTTCCCCTTTGTTACTTTCCAAACTTTACTTTTTCACTCAAAACCTTTACGATCAAGCGCTACAGTTCCAGTTACAAGAAAAAAATGGATTTCTTCAATAGTCAGTGTTGGGATACTTCGAAAGTAAATTAGCAAAATAGAAAATTTTAAACTTAGTAAAAAAGTGATTCGTGTCATTGATATTCATTCTCCACCCCCGCCCACTCGATGACTCTACATCATGCATCGACCCTTTAGGACTTTATGCAACAGGTAAATACAGATCACCTTGACCCCTCCTCACCATGACAGCCACTCAAATTAACTTGTAAACTTTTATATACATCATAAAGATTTTCTCAGACCAAAATCAGATGAAACAGTTCTTTACAACGCCAGTGGACACTTCTTTCGATGTACAACAGGATTTCGAGCAGTTTCAGCAACAACAGACATCCGTCACCGATGAACAATTGATGATAGGGGGATTAGTTCAGCCGCACACAATGTTGAAATTGGACAACATGACAACAACAACGACACATACGACGGCGACTCGAACGGCGACGACGACGGCTCCTACTTCCACCACGACGACGACCACTACACCTTCTTACATTCAGGTACAAAATTTTCCGAACAAAATGAGTGGACCTCTGCATAAAAAAAGTAACTAACAGCCTTGTCATCGTATGGCAAACAGATGCCTGAACTATTTGACAATGACACAATGTATAGTGGTAGTATAGCGTCCTCAGGATGTCATACACCCTACATGGTAAGGGAGAATAGAGATTCTGAAAGTAGAGGATATGCAAAAGCTAGATTTCTACCCTCCTTTGTGTAGATGTCTCCAAGTATATCCATAGCAGAAAAAAGGCGCTATTCCGTTGGAGGCGGCCATTATGATCTGTATCCACCGCAGCATCCGCAACTGCAACATCAACGCTGGGGGGCATCCTATTTGATGTCGCCCATCATCACAACGACAAGAACGCATTCGGTCAAAAGGAACAAACGTCCTGCTAGTTACTCACGTTGGACAATTGAAGAAGACGAGTTACTTCGTCAGGCTGTCCAATTGCATGGCCCGCATAAATGGTCACTGATTGCCTCTCACGTCCCCAACAGGACGCCAATGCAATGTTCTACAAGATGGTTGGGCGCTCTAAAGTAGGTTCTAGGGCGCAATTTAAGGGAATTGAGAAAAAAACCCGCTGAAAAAGAAAGCGTTTTCTTGAGAAAGATTCTAAATTCTTTACGTTTCATTGTAGCCCGAATATACATAAAGGTCGTTGGACGGAAAATGAGGATGCAGTATTACGTTACTCGGTGATGGAATATGCCAACATGACAGATTCAGAAGGCCGTGTTCAACCTATTCCATGGAACAAAATTGCAGAACGTATACCGAATCGTACAGGTATTCAATGTCAAGCACGGTGGACAGAAGCGTTGGATCCGTGCGTTCGTAAAGGTAAATGGGGCGTGGAAGAAGACCAATTGCTGCGATTGGGCGTGGCCAACTTTGGTCGCTGTTGGATAAGAATTGCTGAAACAATTCCTGGTCGAACCCAAGTAAGTATTGTCTCAACGAGTGGGTCACATCAACATCAACCCAAACTAATTTTGTGCATATCGATTCCGACCACCATTCTTAAACATTCATTCTATTAGAGACAGTGCCGTACTCGTTGGATGCAAATCAAATATAAAGAAGACAGACAGCAAAAAGGTAGTAGTCATAATAGCAATGCTACCCTCATCCCACCGGATGGTGCTGCTGATAACGTCAAACATGAGCCACCAACGACAAAGCAACAACGCCGACACTCATCTGCTGCTCATCCGCAAATCACAACGCAGCAGATACAGACACATGATTTGGGCGGTATGGCCGTAGATGATGCTGCTTCCTTTCTGAGTTATATATCATCAGAGGATGAAGATGAACAATTTCTCACAAACATATAGCCTCCCATTTTTAACTGTCACCCTACGCCTTTACTTTTAGATAAACGCATACCAAACAATAAATCACTTTTTTTTTTAAAATTTTGTACTTGATCTCCATGAACTCATCTTACGTATCAGTTCATCCCTTGACGTCCTGTTTTCAAGTAAATGCTATCTATAAATTCAACGATCTTTATGCAACATATTGGCTCCGTTACAACAACGATGACTTAAAAGAGCTCATAAATAAAGAAAAGCCGGATTGACTAGGCCCTTTTTTTTTTTTCTTGGCATTTGCCGTTTTCTTCCTTCATTAAGTGAAAAAAATTGTCAAAATACACACAGAGTTAACTAAGCGAACTGTCCCTTTTAATTCAGTGACTATGTACATCTATTCGTAAATGATTTCAAACGCGTGCATTCATGTGCTGCTAATTAGTTTCGAGTAGAACTAGGGTGCTGTTGGTAAAAGTGCTTTATACAATTTGAAAGATTGAAGGATATTGCTTAAGCAAGGGGGCTAATAAGTCTACATTTGCAACAGGAGGCATTTAGTTCTTTCTGAATCCTCAACGAGTTCCTTTAGATGCATCAAAAGCTTACCTAAAAACGGAGGGTCTAGGGTTGCTACGAGTCATACCCAAGTAGATGACGAAAGGAATGAATCCCCAATGAATAGCAGTTTTGGTAACATCGGCAACCTAACGGGAAGAAAAGCAAAAGTAAGTATGCAAATTTCAACAGGTTCAATCACTTTATCAATAGATAGATTCAAAACATTGAATATTTACTTTATAAAGAGTGTCTTTGGTAGATTCTTTCATTTTGATATAAATAATTGTAGAAAAAAAAAAAAAAAAAGTTAGAAAGGATCGTTGTGCTAGGGGATAGATCTTTAAAGAAAATAGGCATAAAGCGGGGTTCCACAATGGCGTCCAATGAAATCAGTGGCTTGTTGAACCATCCCATTTTTTATGACACTTGTCATCAGCGGGCAAGCTTTTATTGATCAGCAACGCTTTTTTTTTTAACCAATGTCAGACAAGGTCATTCCAAGCGAAGAGGAGCTGATTAAAGCTATTCAAGATATCAAGCTCAACAAACCTGAAGCAGGTGTGAAAACTATTTCTGGGGAGCTTGCCAAAAACCAACCCAACTGGCAAGTCAGTGATAAACGAGTCAAAAAGTTCATGCAAGCCAATGGCTTGATCAACAGCGATGACAGTACTGCTAAAGCCAGCAATGGAAATAAGATTGACCTCAGTAAGGTTGAAAAATCCGGTCTAGCCGACGATCCCTCAGTGCCTGTGTCCTATATTGATCCTCGACTTGACTTTAGCAGTTTAACGAACGCTGTCGAACCTCGTATGGTGGATCCTGTCACCGGTAAAGGTTTATTTGCTAAACGCGATATTCAAAAAGACGAAATCATCTTCAGCGAAACACCTTTCACCTACTTCCCTCCCTGGGAAGGATTCAGTATGGCACGTGTCGGTCAAGCCTGTGGTCTCTGCTGCAAACCTATTGCGTATGTCAACCGTCTAACACAACACTGCGGTCATTGTAATATGTATTATTGTAGTAAGGAATGTCGCTCAGCTGCCTGGGAAAAGTTCCATCAGCTAGAGTGTACACAATTGAACGAGCATATGAGAGCGTTCATAAACTTCTGTGAAGGCGAAAACTGGCAAGCACCCATGGCCGTCAGTCGTATGTATGCACAATTGATCTTGGCCAATCAACGTGGTGAATTAGAAGAAGTACAAAACCATTTGGATGCTTTTGCCACCGTCAATCAGGAAGAACGTCAAGCGAAGGAGACAGAATGGATTTTCATGGAAGCACCTACACGAGAATTATGGAGCAAAGCACGTAAACTGCTCAATAAAGCCTACAGAGACCCACCCAAACGCTGCAAGATTACAAAATCTTTACCTGAAGCCTTAAAGAAAAAGTTATTTGATGATGAAGACACTTTTTTGAACTATTTGGGCAAATTCAACATTAACAATCAAAATGGAGGCATGTATCTGTATCACTCACATATCAATCATAATTGTTACCCCAATGTCAGCATTGATTACCCTCACCGTCAATCACAATATAAGTTGTCCGTACGTGCTATTCGCGACATTAAGAAAGATGAACAAATTTTCGAAACTTATGTGAATCCCCGATGGAACAAGGAAACTCGACAGACGTATTTGGACAAATCCTACTTGTTCAAATGTGAATGTCAACGTTGTAAAGAAGATTTACCATTAACAGACGAATTACGTAAAGGCTTGAGATTAAGACCTGAATAAAATAACATAGAGCAACATTATATAGATTATCTTTCAAAATAAATAGTTTTGCGATTATCATTGCAGCCAGTAGCCAATTCTGTGCACTGCATGTTCCCAGCGAAAAACATGGACCCTTTTGCGGGTGTTTAAATAACCAGTAATAACAATAACTGCAGCAGCAACAGCAGTGAGGACGTGATGAGAATGATCCTAAACGGCCTTTTAAGTTTAATGAATAAAAGGCACATGCCAAAAAAAGCCAAGTTTTTTCCCTTTCCTTTCGTAATTTTACGATTTGATCATACAGGATAAAAGCATAAACAAGACCTGTTCAGAGCTCTCTTTTCTTTCTTTCTTATTCTTTTTCATTTATTCATAAAACACTATACTTTTGTACAAGTTGAAAAGTTTGCCCTCATTACGAAATGACCAAAGACGAGAAAAAGCGTACTCAAAGTCTAGACTACGTAGTGCGATCAGGCATAGCGGGTGGTATTGCTGGCTGCATGGTAAAGACTAGCAGCAAAAACCTCTTGCTAGCGTAGATATTAAGCTTTATCATTATTCTTTTGCTAGGCTAAGACATCCATCGCACCGTTAGATAGAATCAAGATTCTTTTTCAGTCAAGGAACCCAGTCTATGAAAAATATTCAGGTAACTTACAAAAATCAAAGCAAATGTCAGTGAATAAGGATATGGTGGAGGAAGAAAAAGGCTCATGGCTAAAGTTGACTTGTGCAATTGTGGATAGGCTCTTTCTCTGGTGCTTTCAGAGCCGGTTTTGATATTTACAAAAATGCGGGGTTCATTGGTTTGTTTCAAGGACATTCTGTCACTCTGATTCGAATTTTTCCCTATGCCGCCATCAAATTTGTAGCTTACGAGCAATTTAGAGCAGTAAAGTATTTATGATGAAATAGAAAAGTAGTTCAAATCATTCCATCTGACTATAAAACGTAGATTTTGATGCCAACAAGAGCACAAGAAACACCTTCTAAACAGTTTATAGCAGGTTCCTTGGCGGGTAAAGAATAAATGACCATGGAAAAAAAAAAAAGAAATCAAAATTTAATGTTTCTCCTGTCATATAGGCGTGACGTCTGTCTGTTTTACATATCCCCTCGACTTGATCCGTGTTCGTTTGGCTTATGACGTGAAGGAGGCAGGACATAAACGTCCCACGTTATTAGGCACAATGCAGCAAATATTCAAAGAACCAGCGGCAACACGTCGATTAGGAAAATTCAGAATCGTGAATTTCTATAGAGGATTTTTGCCCACGATATCGGGCATTGTACCTTATGCCGGTGTTTCATTTCTGACCTATCATTCCATCACTCAACTCTTCAGATACAATGCGATCATATCACCCTTCACACGAGCGCCACTATCGTTCGATTTAACGGCAAACGACTTGACACCAGCACAAAAGAGAATAGCAGAAAGACCATCGTTAAGAACATGGGCAGAGTTAGTCTGCGGCGGAGTGGCAGGTCTGATTGCACAAACCAGCAGTTATCCTTTGGAAGTGATAAGAAGGAGAATGCAAGTAGGTGGGTCACTGAACCCGTACAAGTTTGTAGGATTTATGGAAACGACAAAAGAGATATATCGCCTGAAAGGATTGAAAGGATTCTACGTCGGTTTGAGTATCGGTTACATTAAAGTAGTACCCATGATGGCAGTCAGTTTTGCCGTCTACGAAAGGATGAAACGCTTGTTGGACATTTAATGGACTTTTGCTTATCAACTCTGATCCGTGCAATCGTAGACGCTATTGCTCCTACTTATTTATGTTCTTTTTATATTCCCGTTTTACGTTATTTTCTTTGCCGATTTAACATATACTCCAATCAATTTTTTTTTTTTGTACCATATTACGAAAAATTATACTTAGAGCTAGCTGTATATATAGAAATTTATGTTATTTATTGAACATTTAGACATGTATTCTCCAAATCATAAGAGACGACATAATAAATAAAATTCTCGCAATGCTCTGAACGAGCCGTAAGAAAGACCCTTTCATTGTTAAAGTCTTTCGTCATGAAAACGTGAAAACCCAACTATCCGCTGATATATAGTAAAATATTCATTCTCTTTTAATTTTATTTAAAATATATATAACGGTATAATAATAATAAACAGACTAAAAAGAAGGGCTATCATCTTGTATGCAGGCAAATAAATAAGTAAATAAAAAAAAATGGCACATTACTTAGAAAACGACTTAATCAATATTGATTTGCTTGGCTTGGTTTTCAACAGTTTTGGGTACAGTCACCTTGAGAACACCATTTTCAAAGGAAGCCTTGATACCTTCACTCTTGATAGGCTGAGGGAAAGCAAACGACCTAGAGAAAGATCCTGACGAGCGTTCCTTCACCCAATACTGTGTACCATTTTTAGCAGGCTGAGCGACTTGCTTGTCCGCATCTGATGTCTTTGTCACTTCCTGTTGCGCTTGTTGACCAGCGTCAGCCGACGGGGTAGTCTGAGCTTCAGCAGAAGATTCAACCGCTGTTGTTTTCTCTGCGGTAGTAGAAGGTCCAGCTTCGTATTGTTCCTCCATCTTGCCACTCAACACCAAAGTCTGATTGTCTGCTAATTCGATTTTAATATTTTTCTTGTCGTAACCGGGTAATTCCGCATGGAGTTCGTATGCATCGGAAGTTTCAAGGACATCGGTAGCAGGATATCGTAAGATATTACCACGGTGGTGTAAGAAAGAGCTTGTCGGACCAGTTAAAAGAGAACGACGAGCTGCATTGAAGAAGGGTTCATCAAAAACAGCCATAGCACGTTGCATGTCGCGGAAAGCATCAGTAAAGAATCGTTGACTAAGAGACATTGTAATGATTTCGAGTTCAGAAGTAATGGATAAAGATGTGTTGGTAAATGTCTTTTTGCTTTTGTTGAAGGGAGGCCCCTCTATATATAGTTTCGTGACAGAACCTAATATTCGGGACGATCTAGAAGTATCTATTTCCTTATATAGAGGTTTCCCGCCTTTTTCGTAGCAAAATGATTTCAGATGGAACATGATTGGCTGTTGTTTGCATTTTGACCCTTTCTCCAGAAATTGCTCGAACTTAGGAGGCCACTCGTTTGACGCAAAATCAATCCGAATTCGACCGTAGCCTGCGTTATTCACTTCTTGAACTTGCTAGACAGTTCTACAGAGTTTACTAGCAAACTGTATATGTAACCCTGCCAACCTATCAGTCATCGTACTATACAGTGAACCATATAAGGAAAGTGAAGGATGCATTTATCGTTTGTCTGTTAATGCGAACTTTCTTCCGTACAATACACATTTTTTCATGCCGTCTATACATATCAAAGATGATGCTCATTAACACTGCTTCTTTGTAGGCCAAAAAAGTAGCTGAGCAATGGGTTTTATACCTACAAATACATAAACTGCAGCTATTTGACATGAATGAGAGACTTTTGGATCTGGGTCCTTTTTACTTGATACAAAAGTCAACTATGCGGCAAATCATGAATACAATTTGAACTCGTTAGTTTCATCACAATGATTACTGATGATTGCCATTGCATTGATAGCCTGCATACTATGTGCAAAAACGCTTTGACATTTTTAGGAGTGTAGCTGACCCATAATCATATATCTTGGCAGCAGCGCTGCTTTATTTTTTTGGACCGACTTGGGCTGACAGCTACTTTTGCTTTTGCTCGAGCTATGGCTTTACTTTTCTGGTTTTTTTTTTTTCTTAAATGACAAGTCTAAGCGAACTAAAACAAAGACTTTTGCATCCTCATTATGTTGTGCACCTTATTTATGGAGGACTTTATATTGCTGTTCGATTGACACATCTCATAACCACGCAATCATATAACTTCCAAGTGAGTTTACCATTGACCCAATGTTGAGCGATGAGCCTTATTAATCAGTCAAAATATATTCTCATGACAGGACACAGAAACTAGAGCTTATCTACTTTTAGTAGGCATGTCAGTTTGGAAGTGTGTCATGGCGGCTACTGCAGAAGAACTTTGCAGTGTGCTTATTTTGTATGCTAAATTCTTTACCCTTTGCAATATCTATTGGCGAAAAGGATTTTGGCTAGCTGCATTATACGGCTTTGGCTGGATGGGTAAAGGAGTTTTACTAGCATTTGTGTGAGTTTTCAAACGTAACTAAAACAAGTTTATTTTATCCCTGTAGCTATTTCAACTGTATTTCCTCAACCATGGTATCGAGGACCCACCAAGATTTATGAATTGAATGAAACGGCATTTAGAGATAGAGTGCTTGGCAGAAATAAACAAAAGGCATCCACTGTAAAGCCTACATCATCGACTTCATCTTCTGCTAGCCCACCCGTGTCATCCTCCTCAACCATGTCCATTGATGATATTAAAGGACCACGTATTACAGAAATCGAGGATGAAAGCTTGACAAATAAACCGCACAAAGTACAAGAAAAAAAGGCGTCGGATGACATCGACCCGAAATATTGGGTAGTTTTATTATATGCAAGCTGGTCAGTGTCATGTCTCAATTTTGAAGCTGTCTTGGCTAAACTATCCATCAAATATGATGTTCCTCATCTAAAATTCGGTAAATTTTTCTTAAAATGCATTTTCATCATGGTGGCTGCCCTGCTAAAGTAAAATGTTGCGTTATCCATTGACGTTATTAGGACAGATCGATGTCGATCTCTATCCTGATCTAGCAGAGGAATTTGGTGTTAGTAAAGACCCTGCGTCATTTGATCTGCCTACATTAATACTATTTCAAAATGGCAGAGAGATCAGACGCCTACCAGAATTGACAGTATCGAAAACGAACGGAAACCCTACCACACGAACGAATGCTGCCAAGGATACTATAGCAAGATTGGGATGGAGCAAGCAACCCGTGAGTTTTCCCCTTACTACACGTTTCCTTCGTTGACTGAATCCTTATCTTACTAATTCTATTCTTCTTCTTTCTCTTCAGGCGGCGGTTGTGAGGATATTTCAATTAGACAGAATTATGAACGAAAAGCCAAACAAAGCGTTATAGAAGTTGAATAAACAATTCTTGTTGGTGATTTCTTCAAGATGATAACCATTGAGGATGTCCTTTTTAAAACAGATCAATAACGATTTCTACCCTATCAGCCAGCACTAAAATAAATCTGGAAGCTTCGTTTTTCCTCAAGTCTTCTGTTGGAATCTTTGCATGGTTTCCAAATTCAGAGAATGGACGATATACTGTAGAATGTATATCCTTTCATCTTCCGCTGCCCTTGATTATAAATCGAACAGACGGTTAAAAATTTGTGACTGACGTATTGAATGTCTACTTTTCAACTTGAACAAGCAGGTACATCATCAAAACTGTTCTATATTCAAAATTATTATGCTGTTATAGAGCCTTATTATACTTGATTCCATGATTTTTCTTTATATCTCATGCTTTTCAAATTAGTTACAGCTAAGCTAAGGCGAGTATCGGTAAAACTTTCAACTTCCAAATGTCTAAGACAAACATGTCGTTTGCAGCAAAAACGATTTTCATTGGACGCTCTTCCAATTTGATATAATTGACTCTGAAAACTTTCAGAATCAGGAAGTGAGATAAAAAAAGTATATAAAGTGGGATTAACAAACAAGTACCTGTAAAAAAATCATTGAATTTAAATTCATCAAAGTTTTGATTCATTTGCTGACCATGTCCAACGCAAATACCGCACTTTTCCAACCCTTGAAGGTCGGTAGATATCAACTCAAGCATCGTGTTGCTATGGTTCCGCTCACTCGCTTCAGAGCCGATGAACATGCTGTCCCCACAGATATAATGGTCGAATATTACAAGCAACGCGCCACTGACGGTGGTCTTTTGCTCACTGAAGCTTGTTTCATCACCCAAAAGGCGGGCTCTTACCCTCATGCTCCTGGTATCTACACCAAAGAACAAATTGCTGGCTGGAAAAAGGTGACGGATGCTGTTCATGCTAAGGGCGGCGTTATCTTCCTTCAGTTATGGCATATCGGTCGTGCTGCTATGTCTGTTCATATTGGTGGTGATCAACCCGTGTCTGCTTCCGCTATTGCCATTTCTGGTGTCAACCTCTTGGGAGAACCCCAAGAAACACCCCGTGCTCTCACCGTTCCTGAAATCAAGAATATTATCCAAGATTACCGTCAGGCTGCTCTGAACGCGATGGAAGCTGGCTTTGATGGTGTTGAAATTCACTCTGCTAACGGTTATCTTTTGGATCAATTCATCAATACCTCCAGCAACAAGCGTACCGATGAATATGGTGGTAGCATTGAGAACAGATGTCGTCTTCCTTTAGAAGTGGTGGATGCTGTTGTCGGTGCTGTTGGAGCCGATCGTACCGCTATTCGTTTCTCTCCTTGGTCTGGTTTCCAAGATATGGAAGATGAAACTCCTTATGAAACATGGGGTTATCTTGCCAGAACCCTTCAAGAAAAGCACAGCGATTTAGCCTTTGTTGACTTTGTTGAACCTCGTGCTGATTTCCAAGCGGACAGCTACAACGAAAAACAACCCGATTCTCTTAATCCTTTCCGTCAACTTTGGAAGGGTCCTTTCCTATCTGCTGGTGGTTATACTTACAACACGAACGCTGCTTTTGATATGGCAGAAAAGACTGGCAATATCATTGGTTTCGGTCGTCTCTTCATTTCCAATCCTGATCTCGTCGAACGTCTTCGCAATGGATGGCCAATGAACAAATACGACCGAAGCACCTTTTATACGCATGACGCTAAGGGTTATACTGATTATCCTATGTATGATGGCAAAAACTAGATTTTTTAGAGCATCGTGCCATTTTTTTCAATCTTAAGCATTCCTGTATATTGTTTATAGCATACTTTTACTTTTTTTCTTAATTCATATATCTGTAAATAAATTATTGCATCCACTTGATCTCAGTAAATGATGTATATCTCGATTTCTGCTGCAGTTCAAAACTATTTTTATCTTATTTTTTGTTTTCCCAAATAATCAAAAGCCTATTGCGTAAGTTTTGAAAGCATGGTTTGATTGCTTTCGATGCTTATTCGATTCGATGTATTTGCGCAAAGGCTCTTTCCCCTTCAATTTTTCATTTCGTCAGCTGAAATAGTACCATTTGTCCGGTTACTCGCACTATTTGGATCGAGAAATGTCAAACCGTTTACCGCAGCTTATCATTAATCTAGAATGTTTATCTGATGGAAGACGCGTGCATTTTTTCTCGACCATTCTTCGGTTGTGGGCAGATCGGTTAGGCGAAAAATGAAAATGAATTTGGGGGCGGGGTTTTCGTCAGCATTTGATGTCCAGCCATCATTTAAACGATGACAGACAACCACATTTACTTTGATCATCGTCGAGTTTGAAAATTTTTCCGGAAAAAACTGTTGGATATTCCTTCTAAAAGAAGAGCAGAACAGCATTTCTATATGAGTATTATATTGATACATGACATGGCTTCGAACATTTTCTACACTAAAACAAGGATCTTGCCTCTATCTGGACGATGGCAGATAGGACAAAAGTTCACATTAAGCCCCAACTAAAAAATGCGTCACTTATAATACTATCTTGTTCGTTCGTTGGCCGATAATTGATCTACCCTGGATCTTATCGTTCTTTTATCAATGAATTTTTTTTAAGCCGCGGGATAGTTTATCCAACTTTAGATAAACGTAGTATCAACCTCCGTTCTTTATTCAATGCTTCTAAACGGATGGTTTCAGGGAGAGATCCATATCAAACTGTTCAATAAGCTTTTTGCATTGCTCTCCCTTTTGCCATTGATCAAACTCTATCCAACTTCACATCAACCGAGATGCGAAGAGACTGAAGCTCTATGTATCAAAGCTTAACAGCGCTTGATCGACCGTTCTATTTTCTAATTTCACTTTTCTATGACAGACCGGTGGACCGTATTAGACAAAATCAAGGTTACTCAATCAGTCAGTAACATCAGCGCTGATGAGAAAAATTATGCACTCCCTTGCTGTGACTCTCCATATTAATAATCCGTTCAAACGAATGCGATCGAAACTTTTTCAAGTGCTGTCATGTTCTTTCTTCGTTCCATATCTTGTAGATTCACTGTCTCAAAAGGAGCACTATCAATAGCAGCAAAAGGCATACCAATAAATAGAAGCATATTCCTGAAACGAAATAGTTATTATCCGATTCGAACCATGTCAACTCAGGAACATATGAAGGCCGTCTTTATTACTGAACAGGGCGGTGTTGATAATATGATTTATGGAGAGGTTCCTTTCCCCAAAGTGACAGATAATTCAGTTCTCATAAAGAACCACGTTTCTGGCATCAACTATATCGATACTTATCACCGTTCTGGAGTCTATCCAGTTCCATTACCTTTCATTATTGGTAAAGAGGGGTAAGCCTTGTAATTCCCTTTTCTTTCTTTTTCTATTTTTTTTTTTTTTTTTTTTTTTTTTTTTTTTTTTGCTGCTATAAACAGCCCCATCGTTAACTGTATTCTCATTTGCGAAAACACGAAAAAAGTGCTGGTGAAATTGTGGAGGTCGGTAAAAATGTAACTGACTTTAAGGTGGGCGACCGTGTCGTTCATTTTGGAAGCGGCACTTACGCAGAATATACAGCAGCGGATGTTTCGGCAGTCGAAAAACTTGCGGACGATGTCAGTTATGAACAGGCAGCTGCTATTGGCATCCAAGCATTGACTGCATGGACGATGGTGCGCGACGGCTACCCTGTGAAAAAAGGGGACACTATACTTGTTCATGCTGCAGCTGGGGGTGTGGGTCTTCTCTTGTGCCAAATGCTGAAACACTTGGGTGCTACTGTTATTGCTACTGTCAGTACCGATGAGAAAGCACAGCTGGCCAAGAAAAATGGAGCCGACTATGTTATCAATTACAGTTGTGAGGATGTGGTAAAACGAGTCAATGAAATTACAGAAGGCTTAGGCTGTCATGCTGTTTTAGATGGTGTCGGCAAGGATACATGGGATACATCCTTGGCATGTACGCGTCGTTTGGGTACGTTGATTTCTTTCGGTAATGCTTCCGGTGTCGTACCTCCTATTTCTATAGGTTGCCTAGCTCAGAAGAATGTGAAACTGATGAGGCCTATGTTGTTCAACTACCTTGCTACTCGAGAGGAATCCAAGAAATGGTGGGGTGAAGTGTTTGAGCTCCTGAGAAAAAAGGTACTCAATTTGCATGTTCACAAATTTTACAAGCTGGAAGATGCCAAGCAAAGTCACCTTGATCTTCAAGGTAGAAAGACCACAGGCAAGTTATTGATCAAATTTTAGCCCATGTACTCGATAAATAAACAGTGAAGAATTTCAATGGAAGTTCGTAAGCTTGCTCATTATTTAGTGTACCTTAAAAATGGTTGCTCCAAATAAAAAAGTAGCGCATATACCAGTCAGGAGCTTACTAGATATGGTCAGTTATTATTAGCAACAGATTTTGCGTCTTATGTGTAACGGGCATCAGGGCTCAGGAACAATATATTACATCTCATTTCGAAGATTTGTTGGCACTACTGCTTCAGCTGTTTGTTTGTAAAGTGTGTTTATAAGTTATACGGCTCATTACGGATTTATCGCCTAAAGTACCATGTCAAGACCATCCAACCATCTTTTAATGTGTCGACGTAGAAAACTTAAATTATCTGTATTCTTTATCATCAATTACTTTTGTCTAACGTAAGAACTAAACACTTGCTTTAAATAGTAGCAGAAATTTACATTATGCTTTTAGTATTATAGTCTATCGTTGTTTTTGTGAGTAGAACCACTTCGATTCGTACTACTGTGAAACAGAAGACCTTTTAATGTATCTGTTGTAGGACTTTTAGGGCAATTACTTTAACCGGGATTGTAAAAGATACAGAAAATCTGAGTGTAGTTGACAGAAAAACAAAAAAAAAAAGAAAGAATAGCTTTCAACGACCATTTTTCCCAGCATTTCATTCCGTACCCAACAAGGAAGAATTGATGCTCTTAAAAGGCGGTTAGCTTTGAACTCTCGCTATAGTTTAGGTCAATGCATCCATTCTACTCTTTTGTCTATGTCCATCTAAAGATGGCTTTTGCGCACTGACTCTCAACCGAACAAAGATAATAAATAATTGAATACCACTGGGAGAGAGTGTGTCCACAGTATAACTCTCTGAAGGATACACGATGATAAGTCTACGCGTCATTATGCATTGTTGAATGACGACTGAAGCCAATGTTATACTCTTCTTTCACCAACTAAAAAAATGAAACAGATCTTTGTCATAAAAAAATGTGATCTTACACCTTTCTTGCTGCCCCTCATACGCGGACTTTTGTAGCGGTGTTTAAATAATTATGCCTTTTTGCTATGTGTAACCGACATCCAATCAAAGACGAAGCAAAGAAAAAAAAAGGAACGGGTTGTTGTACGGACTTTTCTCATTTTCTGTTAATAGAGTAATTTGCATTGTGTAGCCATCGTTAAATTTTTGTATGTCTCTGGTTTGTGCTCAACCTATTTAAATGAAGTAACTTTTCCAAAGCCAAGATTTGCCATTTTTCCTCTCTTTTCTTTGTCTTGTACATTATAGCGCAATTTTTTGTTTCATCACTTAAAACACTATATTCTTACAATCAGCTATCATGGTCGCGACATTGAGAACGTTGACTCTCTTAGTCATTGTCTGTTTAGCTTTCATTCAAGCTTCTTACGCCAGTGTTTTCTCTCAATTGCAATTCATCAAGATTTCCTCTCCAAAAAATGGTCAAAATATCAAAGCTGGCGAAACCGTACAAATCAAATATGTCATGCAACCTCTTATATTAAGTAAATGCCAATTCTACGCAGCGAAATAATACACCATTGCAATAATTAACCTTGCTATTGATTTATTCAGATCATGTCTCTGCTGGCAAAGCTTTAAAATTAGCTATCAATTTCCATAAACGACAGGGAAATAGCAAAAAAGAAAAGATCACCACTGTGTCAAGCAATTGGTAAGTTGACATAGGAAAGATGAGTTAGTATGCTGATAGTTGCATTATTCATTGTTATGCCTTCCATCCACTTGACTTAGTCCTGTTGCTGCTAGAGAAGATAAATATGTTACATACACCAAGAAATGGAAAGTTCCCAGCAATACCAAGCCCGGATCTTACGCTTTTGATTTCAGAGAGCTTGTTCAACTTCGTCGCGGTCAAATAACAGCCGTTGAAACTGTTAAAGTCAACGTTGTTGAAGACTAAATACATTTTCACCAAAGTAATGCTGTCATAAAGTGCATCAAAAAACCATCTGTATTTATTTGCCATATCACAGCAACGAAGAGGGTGTTCATCCAAAGTTGAGAAATTATTGGCCATCTCCATTTTATATCAAACATTTTATATTATCCTCTTATCCGCTTTCATTCTATATCATCATCGTTTCCCTTATTTTTACAAAAAAAAAAACTGTCAAATTTTACACGTTTGCTTTTTTTTTTTATTTTGAGAAATAAATGTCAACCCTATGATATGCTTTCTATTTTCTTCTTCCATCGGCTTCTCCCCGCTTTTTTTCCATGCTTAAACAGATTGTTGTTCTCGAAGAAGGCCGTTTCAGAATTACATCACTAACACTAATCCATTCAGCCCCAAAAAAGGGTTACCTGGAATTTGAGTTTTACCAGATGAGCATCGCACTATAGTGATTTGCGAGACACTTTTTACAGTGGCTACAGCTTGAAATGGGCGCGTTTGGAGCATTCCATTGGCGTGAAATCAGCAAGACAAGTTCTTAATTACGTATCTCAACGTTACTGAACAATGCATACACATGGCAAGCTTTGAAAGATACATGGAAGCATAACCAGCGGCGATCTGAATGTTGGCGACTTGAATGTGAAAAGCGGGTATTGCTGAGCAAACTGCTCAGGGCTGGAGAGAGGACCCTGAATAGGACTATAAAGAGAACATTGAATGGTATCTTTCGATCGAAAACCACAAGGAATTATCAATAAGGCAGTTCAGTGTCCAACTTAAGCTTTGAGGAATTCATTCTGAAGGCCTCAACAGTCAAAAAGTTTATTCTTCATGATTGCGCGCTGACAATCACCAAACTCGTTTGCCATCCAATTGCACGAAATGATGATAAGCGTTTCAAAGAACGCCATGACAGGTAAACAATTATGGAACGCTACAGAAATGGATTGCATGTATCGTTGTATTCCTTGGAATGAGAGCGGCTTTGAGTGGGCCTCTCCTCGAGGTATGCCCGCTGTTGTAAACCCTCCAATCAACAGAAGTAGAGTCTCATTATACACCGGGAGCTAATTTTGGCAGCAGTGTGATCAACAGTGATGTTAGGACACATCAAATGGGTAAGAGACTCAAAGTAGCTGATGGGCGAGAAAGAAAGGCTACCACTGTTGCTAACAATAGTAAGTTGGGTCACTATTTGAGATTTTGTTGCAGCAAACAATGGACAATCCAGACAAACACGCTGAAATCTCATTGTGGACAATGCTCCTAAACGAACTAAGAATGAGGCGGAGAAGTCCATCACTAGCATTGAACAATCAATGTACATACCCTGCTAGCATAACCGCTGGGATTGCTTATAATTGAGCAATTTTGCTTGATAGAAGGAGCGTGGTCAAAGATTAAAAAAATATTCAACAAACTAGAATTGCAGAAGCATGATTTTGAAATCGTTAGCACAAACTAACTTTCACTGGGTTTAAAACTTGAAATTTTAGGAATACGAAATCTCTTTCACCGTAATCTGATTCATCTGCATGAAAATCGGAGTTTTTGCACCTTTTCCGACAAAGCACGACCAGCCAACTGACTTTGCTTGCCTTTTTTCCATTAGCTGGAAAAGGTACGGTGAAAATTTGAAAATTGCTGGTATAGGACCTATTGACGTTGATATATTTGAAGCTATTCTGCGCTTTCGAAACAACGCTTTTCTTTTAGTTCAGCATTTAAAACAACATCACTTTTTTTTTATATATAACCATGTGCAAAATTTTGAATTACGGTTCAGTTAATATTGATGAATTCTTCACAGTTCCTCATATCTGCAAGTCAGGAGAAACATTATCCTCAACAAATTATTTTGTTCGTGCTGGAGGAAAAGGTATGTAGAGTGCCAGTTTGCTAAACGACATATTCGGCCATAGTACTTTTGCATGAAACCAACGCTATATGGTCTCCTTTATAGGTGCAAACCAATCCATAGCACTAGCAAAGGTAAGATGGGAAATGGCTTGTTGATAATAATTGAAACAGAACGTGCCAACAAAATTGTGTAGGCCGGAGGAAATGTGTATCATGCTGGTCAATTTGGTCATGATGCTGCCTGGGTAAGTTATACTACAGAATTATAGTCACATAATGTGCAAAGATAGAAAGGCTCATCGCCAAAGTCTTTGTTGGCTCCAGATTAAAGAATACATGCACGACAATGGTGTTGACATGTCCTTTTCAAAAATCAATGATAAAGAGGTATGCGTTTATATGAAAGACCCTTCGAAGAGCCCCGGTAAACAGAAATGAGATATTAAAATTTGTCTCCATCTTCTTAGCGTAATGGTAGAGCGTTCATTCAAGTGAGCAAAGAAACAGGAGATAATTGTATCGTTCTCTACCCAGGAACAAATGCCTGCAATACAGCTGAAGAGGCTGAAAAGGTGTTACAATCATTCGGACCCGACGATTGGATTATCCAACAAAATGAAATCAGTGAGGGGGGTGCAATTATGAAACTTGCTGCGGAAAAAGGCTTGAAAGTCTTATTCAACCCCGCGCCCTTAACGAAAGGCATCTTGAAAGATTTTCCTTTTGACAAAGTGACTATACTTGTCGTCAACGAACATGAAGCTGCGTCTCTGTATGCAGAGATTGGTGGCAAGAAGGAAGTCAGTGGACTAGATTTAGCCAACGAGTTATTAGAACACTTTGCTGCTATGGAAGGTGTAGTGATCACTCTAGGCGGTGAAGGCGTAGTGGCAAGATTCAAAAAGGACGATGATGTAAGGAGTTTTCAAATTGCTGCTAGAAAAGTAACAGTCAAAGACACGACTGGTGCTGGGGACACTTTTGTGGTAAGCAGAAAATACATTTATGTGACAGATGCGAAAGTCATAGCACGTATATTTGTCTGATTCTAATTTACACTCGTCTACTAGGGCTTCTTTTTGGCTTCCTTTGTCCGTAATCTATCAGAAGAATATTTCAAGCGTGTGCAGCTTGCTCTTGATGAAGCTAATTTTGCTTCTTCACTAGCGGTTCAGCAGGAAGGTGCAATGACTTCTGTACCGTCATTAAATGAAGTTCACAAAGCGATGCAAGAATAAAAAGAGTATACAGTAAAAATGTTGCTGTTCATTCTATCAATCATTCAAATTTTCTTAGTTGTTTAGAATGCTGAATAAAAAGGCGGCGTAGAGCGTTCTTATGGGCTTTTTATAGACAGGTCACTGTGATTTCTATTTTATTTCTACGATACTATTTTAAGCATTCAAGCAATTAAGATCAGGCCAATCGTTTTAAAATGCTGTTGGCTGATCCCACAACTGTACAGCTCAGATATTCTATTTTTGCAGGGGAGAATAAAGTGGTAATAAGTCTTGTGTCGCTTAACGAACAAAAAGAAAGGAAAACAAAGCCATACTTTTAGACTTTGCATTTCTTTTTATCGGTCATTTGTGGAGTCCTTTTCCCTCTTTTCGGTGTCCTTTTCTTCTTCCTATCCTTTCTACTAAGATTATACCGCTTACTACTCCTCCTTCCTCAACCTGTCGCGGATACAATACATTGTAGAATCATATTTCTTAGCAGATATAAAATAGGTTAATCACTCATTTTAACCTATATCTCCCTTTATAGTCGCCTCATTTGACTTTATTCTTATTGATCTCCATTCCCTTATTTATTTGTTATATCATTTGAGGCCTGCCTAACCCCATCTTCTTACTGTTATTTATTCTCTTTGATCGTCATCACAAAAGAAATGAACAGCAACGTCCTTCTGTTTTCGTTATTCGCATTTTTCGTCGTCACTGTACCCGCCCTCCCACAAGATGTAACATCAACCAACGAACCAACCACAATTGACAATCACGAACATACCGCTACAAGTACACCATCTACTGCCATACCCACCGTGAAAACTGATGGATTCACAGATGAAAATATGAACGCCAAACCATCAAACCAAAGCTGGTTACAGCAAAATGATCGTTACATTTTCATCATTGTTCTCGTATTATTGATCGTAGCTATTTTGATCTATTACATTGTAAAAAGTATCAAGGGCATGCGTAGGAGATTAGCCAATGAAAATCACAGCCAAATGATAATGATGCAAAACAAGAATAACGATGCTACCACTGCTACTCCACCCGCAGGTGCCAATGCTGTTAATAGTCCATACTACCAGCAACAGCCATCGATAGTGCCTTATTCACCATCACCATTAACAGAGACAGTGTCTATAGCAGATGTAAACAATACCAACGGTGCGTATAAAATACCCGACAACTACCAGTATTATCAACAACAGCAACAGCAACAGCAGCCGCCGCCCTCACCCTCAAGCCCTCCACCTTCCTACCATACTCATCGTTATTGATTTGTATAACATTATTTGTATTGCCCTTATTTATTGCCTTTCTTTGTTTTCAACAATCCAGGAACAGGAAAAGGCTACATTACTGCTGAGGCAAATGAATAAAAAAAAAAAAAAAGTTGTTCGATGAATAGTTTGAGCTTGCAACATCATCAACGTGCCCTACCAGTTCACTCATATTTTTGATCGCAATTAAAAAACATAAGCTTTACCGTAGTGGGAGAGTAAAAGACGTTGAGTGATACGTACATAGTTAATGCTTTCTGCACTCGTATATTTGTTTAAGAAACTTTTTTCTGGGAATTTATGTCCTTTTCCCAATCCACAGTGGTCTTGCGTGAGGATAAAGTGCTGATGCGTTTCTTAAATAGAAAAGCATACTTACAGCTTTTGCATTATTTGCCATCCAATGATACGTCATCAAATCAAATTCCGTTTTCAGATATCAGGAAAGAAAGTGTGCACAGAACGCGTGTCTGAGAAAGTCACTTTGCACTTAATCGCCTCCTCTACGATTCGTCATATTAAGCTCAGTCAATTGAACGCGAGAGCTTGTATATTCTTCTTTTTTGCAGGAACATCTTCTTTTCTTAGATATCGACCTTTCTATCTTCAGTTTTTAAAAAAATGGTAAAATAACACTGACTTGCACTTGACGGACATGGAGCATGGAAAAATTCTTACTTCGATGCTTCTGGTAATTTCTTTTGAATAGTTCAGAAATCAATATGATAACGATGTCTCGACTTGGTCACCTCAAGGCCGTATTCATCAAGTCGAATATGCTGTTGAAGCAGTCAAGCAAGGATCAGCTGCTATCGGTTTGAGAAGTGAAAAATATGCTATTTTACTCGCTTTGAAGGTATTAACAACGAAAGAGGAAATTATGGTAACTGATGTCAATTACATTTTTGACATGACAATGATTCTGTTTTTCAACAGCGTTCTAGTGGCGAACTTGCTTCGTATCAAAAGAAATTGATTAAAATTGATGATCATATGGGCATTGGCATTGCTGGTTTAACCTCTGATGCTCGTGTGTTAAGGTAAACTCACTGTGCAATGGCTGTAGATGTTCATGTCGGCATACAACTTTTGAGGGACAGTCCTGAACTTTCTTTTGTTTTGTAGTAATTTCATGCGTTCAGAAGCTATGAGATCTAAAATGTTATATGACAGGCCTCTACCTACGCAAAGAATTGTGAATGCAATTGCTGACAGTAAGTATATTGCACTGCATTGAAGGAACGAGTGTTTATAGACTCATCGGGGCACGTTATTTCCTATTTGAATAGAGGCGCAAGTCAATACTCAACAATACGGCCGTAGACCTTACGGCGTTGGTCTTCTTGTGATCGGTTATGATGTAAAGTAGACAGTACAACAGCAGCATGTGAAAAGGACGAAAAGAAACTGATGCCGTATTATTATTGACATTTGTTAGGAAACTGGACCACATCTTTTCGAATGTTCTCCTGCAGGAACTAGTTTTGAATATCATGCCATGTCCATTGGTGCACGATCTCAGTCTGCTAAAACATACCTTGAAAGATATTATGAAGAATTCAAAACCTCTTCTTTAGAAGAACTTGTTCGCCATGGCCTTCAAGCACTTCGCGATACATTACAGCAAGATAAAGATCTTAATATTCACAATACATCGCTTGGTATTGTTGGTGAAAATCATCCATTTGAAATCATTGAAGGTGAGGAATTACAGAAATACCTGGATTTACTTGGTGAAGAAACAGGAAGAACAAGACCATCAGGTCCCGGTGCACCAACAACAACGACTTCAACCATGACGGATGTAAATGATGAACACGGTATTGAACAGCCCGATCCTTCTGTTGCTGTTGCGACTGAAGCAGCAGATCCAATGGATACAGATAATTAAAAATGATAATTCAATAAAATAAAGTATCAAACAATTCTCATGAATAAAAAATGGAAGAAAAATGTGTATCATATCTGTTACTTGGGATTACGGCTTTGAAAAAGTGAAAGCCTTTTAATGTTCTGGGAATCTCCAATTGTTTTCGTGGAAACTGAGTTTCAAATAAGAAATAGTGGAGGAGGTGGGCCTCCTGGGGCCATGGATTTTTCTGCAGTCTTTCATTTGCTTTTAATAGATCTACATTAATTACTTTCATTGAAACAAAATGGTAAGCATGCAATGGTCTTAATAGTATGAAATAGTTGGAATACACAGGTTAACGTTTCTTGTAACCACTTCTGCTTTCACTATTCAGTCCTCAGCTGTTGTAATGGGTTTCGTAGTGGCAGGTGCAGCAACTGCTGGCCGATTGGGCATCAAGGCCTTCCAAGAATATCAAAAGAGACCAAAAGCACCGAGACTCTCAAAATTCTACAAAGGAGGGTTTGATCCAAAAATGAATAAAAGAGAAGCCGCCCTCATTCTTGGTTTGAGGTGATTACCACTATTGATTGTAGAGCTATACTATATACCCTTCTAATATTTCTTTTCTTTTTTTTTTCTTTGGTCATCCTATTTTCAGGGAAGCAAATATGACAAGGCAGAAAATCAAAGAGGCACATAGAAAGATCATGTTGTTGAATCACCCAGATCGAGGAGGCTCACCATTCCTAGCGTTGAAGATTAACGAAGCAAAAGAATTTTTAGAAGGAAAAGTGAAGAAATAACAATGTCTTTTTAAAATTTAAGCAAGGATCAACCATGTACTTTTATCTATTTTTCTCAATTTACCCCGTAAACCGTTACTGTACAGAATACACTTATAAACTTCTCCAATTATGTATGATGATTAGAGGCTCTTTTGCATTCAAACAAATATTTCGTTAAACTAAAAGTGGAGTCAACTTTGACAAACGTAATCGATCTCATTTGAGTTTCGAACCAATAACATTATTTTGTACTCTATCGCAGAGAATTAGTATTATGTGAAAATTATAAGACACCCTTTAAAAAAACAGTACCAAAATATGAACAACATGTATACGCTTCTTTGGTACACTTGGATGAATTATCTTGATTATCCTGTGTTGTAGGAGTCAAAACACAATGAGTGGAAAGATTTTGGGAAATGATTTGATATTCACTATGCTATTCTTCAATTCATTATTCTCTTGTTCATACCATAATGCCTATCTTCCTCTGTCTATAAGTTTATACAGGCTGTTGTTACGGTAAAAAATACAGAAAGAATTGAAATGTATGATATAGTGAAATTCAATCTTTTAATTTGTCGAAAAAGCTCAAGTATTGCTCTAGAAAGATGAACAGAATACGAGAGCTTATATGAGTATAGAGTCAAATTCTTCATCAGATAATGATAGCTTTCAATGACAATAAAGTATGCTTTATCTCGGATTTTTCTCTGGTTTATTGTTCAGTTCATTCAGGATGGTGGGTAAAAGCCTGATTTGAAATTGCTGTAGCATCAAAAGTTGGAAAGGAGAATGAACGCGAATCAGTCGTAACACCCTAAGAAGTTTCTTTAGTAGTCTGGATACCTAACTTCGTTCTCGTAAACTGAAAGGGAGAGATCATTGGTAATTGAAGGCGCATTATTTTTGTCGCCATTCTCACTATCAGCAACAGTCTCATGACAAAATTCTCGAGATTTCCTACCAAGTACAAGTTTCGTATCAGAAGTTGCTTTAATGGAAGAATTAGAAGCGGTAGCCGCACCAACATGTGATTCTCTAATTTCTTGTATGATTCGGCGCATCAGTTCGATATCTCCTCTTCTGTAGGCTTTATCATGACTACTAACACTTTCATTGCTACTTTCAACTTGAAGCACATACTCTGGAATGGATTCACTTCGTTGACAAGGCACAAAGTCACCATGACTCTCCGCATCTTGCTCAGAAACAGGAGATGAAATGCTAGAAGAAGTATCAAAGTGCTGGTGTACTGGAACAGATGGCTTATCACACACTGTTGGGCGAATGTGTGATTGGCTACAATCATTTGTGTCTGAGGATAGTATGATTTCAGCATGAAAGGTGAGCGCCTGAAAACTGGGGCTTGAATCTTGCGCTGCAGATGCTTTAGTTTCGCCCATATCACCTTTACTAACACTTTCTTTTATTCTGTTAGCATTGAATCTTCTTAAAGACTCTTCCTTTACTACTAACTTAACAGAAGGTTCTTCATGACCAGGAGTGTATCTACCGTTAGGTTCAATAGTCCCTTTCCTGATTATATGAGAAGCCAAATCCTTAGACTTGTTCATTATGCGCGCAAGTTTATGCTTTTTTGTCTTGCTCCGTTTGCTTTTGAGAGGGGTAATAAGTATATTCTTCTTCCTAGTTTCAGGAGTTTGAGAGATTTCTTCAGTTGGAATCTCTTTCGTGCTATGAGTAGCAGATGCAGATTTGTATTTTTTATGGTTTTGATCAGAAGTGGCTGTTGCTTTGGCAGGAATGGTATTTGCCGACTGCTCATCAGTGTCATGTTTTACGCTAGTGTTTGTAAATGCGTTTTTGTTGCGCTTTCCTTTATGAAAACCCTTCTTAAGAGTAGCATTGTTTGATAGCGGATCATTCGTAATTGTTTTTTGTTTGTTTTTTCTCTTCGTCGACACCTTTTTTAGTGACTTAGTACCAGATACTGTTGATATACCGAGTAGTTTACTAGTTGAAGATCTGAGTTTCCTGCGGTAATCATCCATGATATGCTTTTTTGAGTCTCCCTGTAGTCGACGCGTTTGATGTTGATTTTGTTATAAATGAGTGCTCACTTAAGGACAATGAATATATTGTATGAATAAACCATACATAATAGAGTGAGCAGCAATGAGTACGGAGGAAAGAAAAAGGTAGAAATGCTACAATTCTGCGTTTCATTTCAGCATTAGGAAAACCTGTTATAAACTTTGGTACTTTGTGATAGTTGACGTATAAATTTTTACTAGCATTAACAGCACGTAATTCCTTTTTCTGATAACCACATCTATTTGAAAGAGCTAAATGATATCAGTTTAAAATGGTTGAGGAGGGTTCACCTGCCAATGTAAAGGCAAAACGATAAGACCGATTTTGGTTGTTTATCAAGAGTAAAGCTTCTTTTTGTTTATAGCGTCGTGTGAGCATACTCAGCTTTACAATACGATTTTAAAGATCCTGTTTCTATGTCAACTTCGAATTACGTTACTGCAGAACTTCTTCACATATCCAACCGACGTGACCTTGTCAACGCTATATGCATGGGAAGAGATCACTTGCCTACTTTCACAATTTCCATTACAGTTCAATTTTAGGAACGAGAAATATTCCCTCTCACAATTATCAATGAATTCAAATGCTATTTGTTTATCGCGCATCAAGGATTAAGCTGCTTATCTCAAGCGAACCTTTAAAAGCCAATGAACTGTTTTTATATGTCTCAGATCACTATTTTAAACATCAGCCGATTTTCGACCTGAAAGAAGGGAAAAATTTCTAAGCGGGTAAAACTCACAATCACAAAGTTCATACCTTCATCTTCGATTGTCGCGTTAGTTTGGAGATGAAGATTGCTTATTCTTCTCCCACTTTGTCGATAGTTACACGTGCAACATAGTGTTTGGATTTATACAGCGTGAGGTGGGGGCCGAGATATTTCTGTAAGAATGTGACTTGATACAGTTTTTTAACTGCGGGTTTAGACGAAGCTTAAAAATAACTGGACAGAATGACCAAAATTTTGAGACGATTAAGTTAGAGTTTGAAGATCGAACTACACTAAAATAGAGACGCTTACCTGTAAATATCAATCCAGTTTCGTTCTGGCGATAATAAATATCAAAAGACTAAGTAACCCTATGAGCATCGTAGGGAAGATGTTTAGAATGCTCTTCTTCGTAGCAGTCTTGGATAAACCACAAGGGCTTGACAAATTTGACCGGTCGGCCGCCAATGACAGAAGCGTAACCTTTTCCTCCACAAGTCTGCAAAGTTCTTGCGAACGAGCAGTGGTATGGCCATCTTGTCCACAGCTGAGGCACTTTGCAGCTTGTGGGATGGTCTTTTTCCGTTTACCTGCTTTCTTCTTCTCTTTCACTTGGTCACTCTGTTTTCTCTTTTTACCACTGCTACCAGCTTTAAGGAGGTTACTCACAAGCAATAAAGTGCTGTGTGTAAGATAGATTTAGGTTTATTGCTTACCATCATCAGCATTTACGGCTTTGTAATACTTGCATTTGTAGTAACGCTTGTCAAAATGGCCTGGTTCATAGCAATCTCGACACTTGGTATGTTCTAAAAAGTTAGAACAAATATCAGAATCCTTATATCTTGATCTAACGGTTCTCCTACAATTATCAAGCATTTTACCAAATGGGTTCGTTTTAACCCTGGTTCTTATGCTTTTCTTTGATAGATCTAATCTTCTGTATAATGAAACTTTTATACATAAATAGAGCTGTAAGTTATAACAAAAAAAAAAGCGAAATACGGAAAAGAAGGGATCTTATTTCGTTTAAAAGAACCTCTTCATTATAATTTAACTTTGACAACAAAAACACGACAAAAGAAAGACACGTCTTTATCATTGGGCAAAGTTCCAAAAAAAAACAAAAAAACCATCTGGTTGGTCTTATAACATCGTCATTTGACGAAAAAGTTGTCAAGCTTTTTGTAGCTTGTCCTATTGCAAAGTCACGCCAATAAGAGCTTTCTTAGCGACTTTCTTACTAATGAAGACTCATTTTGAGGGCTAGCTTGTACGCCATCCTTAATGCTACTTGGATGTTACTGGATAATTGATTATCAACGAAATCGTCCAAGAATAATATACCGCTTCATCGTAAAATAATTGAAAGTTGTCTAAATTAAAATTTAATTTTGTCCAATAAAATTTGTGAAAAGTCTGAAATAACAGTTAAAACACTATAATTCAAAGGATGGAACATTTTTTTTTAAAATACAAAATTTGAATCTTTAGAGTGCGACAATGTTTTGAGAATTGGTATATAGCTTTCTTTTCAGTTCTCTCTTCTTTCCGCACTATTGACCTGAAACTATCGTTCGTCAGGATGTTGTCTACTATCAGCACAAGCAAGTATCAAGAAAATTTAGGAAATGAATTTTCAGCTCCAAAGACTAAACATTACTTTCTACTTTAATTTTAGTTTTCTTTTGGATTGGCGTACTTGCTGTAGTGCCGTACCTTATTTTGGTCTTTTACGGTGCTTACTGCTGTCCCGAACAAAATTTGAAAAAGAAATACAATGCTCAATGGTAGAAGAAAAAAAAAAACAGCATTTACACAAGAAAGGTTGTTGAACGCGACACTGATGAACGATGCAATGATATTTAATAATATAGGGCTTTGGTCACTGGCGGTAGTTCAGGTATTGGTGCCGCTATTGTTCGTAAATTGGCAGGCCAAGGTTTAAACGTTGTTATTGCTGCACTTGATGATGCTACCTTCAAACAATTCAAGGAAACCATTGTCAAAGAATTCCCTAATGTTCAGTTCCGTTTTGTCGGTTGTGATCTTTCTGAACCTACTGGTGAAACTTATTTGAATGCTATCAAAGAAGCCACTCACGATATCGACGTGCAAATTTTGTGTAATAATGCTGGTTATATTACAACAGGTGGCTACGCTGATTTACCCATGAAGCGCGAATTAGCCAACTTTCACACGAACGTGACCTCAGGCTTGGTCTTGACACACCATTTTGCTGATTTGATGCTGGAAAAAGGATTGAAAGGCCTCATCACTTTTACTTCTTCAAGTGCTGGTTTCATTCCCAATCCTATGTCTGCTCTCTATTGTAAGTAAACCTAGTAGTAGTGAGACACCTTGTAAGATAGCGGTACTAACGATTTATACATGCATGGTGTATTACAACTTATAAGCTTCAACTAAAGTGTTTTTAACTACATTTGCTGCTTCCCTCGCCGCTGAACTTGCTGAGCCTAAAATCGATGTACTTGTGATCGTAAGTTATATCAAATTTATTTATTATATTTGGAAACAAGTGGTATAGCAAAAGGAAGGGCACTCCGCCTGAAAGTTGTCTCCTTTTCTGACCGAGGAAACTATGTACCTGTCTTTACTCATACACATTTGGCCTATTGTTATCGTTAGCATCCTTCACCCATCAATTCAAACTTTTACAGTAACGCCGGCAAAATGTCTGCTTTGACATCTGCTCAAAAGATTTCCTCTCCACCATCAGTTATCGCCGATACTATTTGCCGTAACGCTGGTAAAGTTGTTGTCTCCGATCAAGGACCTATCACTGTCATTATGAAGATCATGATGACGAAGGTGATGGACTGGAACGTGTTCACTGAAATCATGAAGCTTGGTTTACGTTTCAATGGTGATTATAAGGCCATGAAGGTTCAACGTCCACTCAAAAAGGAGAACTAGAAAAAGATAGAGTTTATTAACTGAGATGAGTATAAAGAACAAAACAAGAACTTTTCAAAGTGAAAGAGTTATATATTATATAATGAAAGCGCCGAAATTTGTCAATAAAGAAGAGCATGTACAATAGATAAATATTAAAAAAAAAAGGAAAGAAAAAACTAAACAAAGGTAAGGGAATATTTGAAATAAGTTATAATGTGTTCCCCAAGGGAGGGGGGGGGGGATACCGACGAGAAGCATAAATAAGACTGAAGGGTTATTGGCAGAACGGATGATTCAATAGCTCCCCCACCGATGGCCTAGCTGCCGCATCTCTGTTCAGGCAATGCTTCATCAATATAATCAGATCTTTAGATAGCGTTACTTTTGCACCTGTTCCGTCTGTTGCCTCGAAAGGAAATGGAATGGGGTGGGCATGGTCAGGAATTTTAAGGACCTTCTGAGGTGGGGTCAAATGATAAAATGGAGGCCGACCATAGACCATATGGTATAGTATGCACCCTAAGGACCAAACATCGCTCGGCTTACCTTGCTTGATAAGGATACGTTGACTGAACGATTCATTGACTTCGATTAATGCTTCTGGTGACATGTAATTAATGGTCCCGACCTTGTCAAAAGAGTTAGAGTAAAAAGAATAAAGGGTCAGAAGAATGTAAGCAGTAAGGGTATTCCTCGCTCTTACGGACAATACCTGATTATCTCTGTGAATGTGCAATGTGTCATCTTCTATTTTTTTGGCTATACCAAAATCAATCAATTTCAGCGTCCCTTTAACCATAACAAAGTTTGCTGGTTTCAAGTCTGTGTGGACAATCTCTTCGTCGTGAATTGTTTTCACTGCTAATAAAATCTACAACAAATGACCCGTTAATCAACGGAAACGGCTAATCTTTGTCGTTTTTTTTCAACTGACCTGATGCCACCAGCTCCGTATGTTACTCATGTTGAATTTCTTTTTATGCTGACGCTTCAGAAGGCTTGCTAAATCAATCTCGCCTAATTCCATGACAAGGTATATCGCATCTGGTGTAGACATAAAATCGAATAAAAGCACTACAGTGTCGACATTTTCAAGCCTTCCTAATTTCCTCATGAGTTGTATCTCATTTTGTATGCTCTGCCTGTCATCGTCTCGCTTTATTTCTATCCACTTCAACGCAAATATTTCATGATATCGGTTCGATAAAGCCTGGAACACCCTACCAGAACTTCCTTTTCCAACTTCTTTCAGAATAACAAATTCGTGACCATTAATCTATAAAACAAGAACCTTTTTTTGTTAGGGGGATTGCTGTTTTTGTCAGATGTATTTTTCTTCATCTCAGTCGCGCCTACACACATACCAGAACTGTGTCTCCTAATTTTGGCTCGCCTAGTCTGATATTATGCATGTCGTTTTTATGATAGTTACTGAAAGAAGGCGGTGATATATTCATATTATGCTGACTGCTACTACTTCTTCTCCTGCGCGAATGCGTTGCTACAGACGTTGATACTCCAGATTGTAATGGTTGGTATGGTGAGTGGGGTATATTGAATTTGAAGTTCTTTTCGTCATGCTTTGCCGCATGTGGTGATGCATTATCTTCTTGTCTGAACAAATAAGGAGACGTGAACTCCTTCTATAGTAAAAGAAAACATTCATCATCAATATGAATATTCTGCTACGACCAAAAATTTCATCATTCCAAACCTTTATTGCACTGTTTGTACTGATATGTAAGTTGGATACATTATGTTCCAAACTATGGGTATCAATGCCTTCTCTCTTCAACGAACCTACAAAATGGCAATTTAGTAAGGCAATAAGAATGCAATAATTCCATACGGTATTTACCGGTGAAGCTGCCTGTCGAACCTATTGTTCGCGAATAGTCAGTTGGCGTTGTAAATCCATTCAAAGGCGTGATTAATCCATAAGAGGAAGATGATGAAGCCATTGTCCCTTTATCCACAGGTGACGATTTTATATCGACTAGACCCGCAGCACGGTCTGTGGGACTTGGGGATTCCATGACTTTCCGTTTCACCCTTCTAGGACTAAAATCATAACATAAAAAAAGGGACAATAGTTAAAACAGCTGTGAGTGAACAGAATATAAATGTGATATTTACTAAGCTTCCTCTAGTACGTCTGGTGAACGTCCAGGATAGTCGGCATTAAACGGTGATTTCGATGTACTAGCATTGAGAACGTTACTATTTGTTTGTTTCGAATTCATAAAAAGTCTCCTTTCAAACTCTTCGCGTTCCTGTAATTGAAACAATAAAGTAAGTTCAGGACGTTGGTTCCATTCCTAAAACATGGTAAGTTGAATAATTTAAAGTTTTACATTAAAACCTGAGTCTTTTGATTCAAGCTCAAACAACATTGGATCTTCGTCATCGGTGTCTGCTTTGTCAAAGAGTGTCTGAATACATTGAAAAGTGGCATTAATATCTGAAAGTCGGTCTGCTTCGCTCATTTAACGGTATCTTGATATGATATGATAAGAATAATAATATGAAAGCTTTTGTGTTTTTTTATCATATAAAGGGAAATTTTGTTTTCTATTTTTTCCAATGAGAAAGGGATGCCATTTTGGAAATATTTACAACAGAGAATCGTCACGACGCAAGCGAAATTGTGCTGAGGTGAAAAATCAAAGGACAAGCTTCAAAAATACACAACCCGCACCAGCAAGAATAAGTTATACGAAGCAATGACAGTCTAAAGATGCATAATTAAACTGATTTTAAATTCACAGATAGGCATATATGAAACGAAATCCATGACACTGTTCAATAAGGCGATAGAACATGTTGTTGGCGGATTTCAAAAAGAATCTACACCTATGTATCTAATATAGAGTACCATTGTTATTTGAACAATATGAACATACTTTAAACTTACAACCATAGCAAAACCATTAAGATATTGATACAAGATTTTTTTCATTATTAAAATACATAATTACAAAAATAGGGGAGCGCCAGGGGTGCGGTTTAAAAGCTACGAAATACAACGATTTTATCAAAGATGATTTCACTAAAACAGACCGACCACCTCGCCGTTTTCATCCAAGTCAACATCAAAGAAACAAGGACGAGTAGGTAGACCAGGCATGGTTTGCATAGCACCGACCAAAGGATAAAGGAAGCCTGCACCAACCGAGGCACGAATATCGCGAATAGGGACAGTGAATCCAGTAGGGACGCCCTTGAGAGCAGGGTCGTGACTGAAACTGTACTGCGTCTTGGCCATGCAGATGGGTAAGCCGGAAAAGCCTTGACGGGTATAGGTTTCAATCTTCTCCTTGGCCAGATCACTGAACTCCACACCGTCAGCACCATAAATTTCGCGACAAATCGTTTCAATCTTCTTCTCAATAGGCAAGTTGAGTTCATAAAGGAATTTGAAATCAGAGGGCTGTTCGCAAGCCTTGATGACAGCTTGGCCCAAGTCGATGGCGCCGAGACCACCACGAGCCCAATGATCACAAGCAACAGCATCAAACGCACCAGCCTTCAATGAAAGCTCACGAACCAACTTCATTTCAGCATCAGTATCACTTGTGAAACGATTGATGGCGACAATGACAGGTACACCAAACTTCTTAGCATTCTCAATATGTTTCGTCAAGTTGCAACAGCCTTTTTCTAATAATTCGAGATTTTCCCCAACGTAGGCTTCTGGCAAAGGCTTGCCAGCAACAATTTCCGGACCATTACCATGTGTCTTGAGTGCTCTTACAGTAGCAACAATAATGACCGCGTTAGGCTGCAAGCCGGAGACACGGCATTTGATATCAAAGAACTTCTCCATACCCATGTCGGCACCAAATCCAGCTTCTGTAATTACATAACCGGGCTCCATATCTACGCCATCAGAACCTGCCAACTTCAAAGCAATCTTATCGGCCAAGACAGATGAGTTACCATGAGCAATGTTTGCAAAAGGGCCAGCATGAACAATAGTAGGAGTACCTTCCAAGGTCTGCATCAGATTGGGCTTGATAGCGTCTTTCATTAAAACAGTCAAGGCGCCGCCAATACCAAAATCATCCGCTGTGATAGGCTCTCCGGACTTGGAGGAGGCAACCACCATATTACCTAATCTTTCTCTCATATCCTTCAGATCAGTGGCGAGAGCCAAGACAGCCATAACCTCACTGGCCACAGTAATATCAAAGCCTGTCACTCTTTCCATACCCTTTTCAGTGGGGGCTTGTCCAATAGTAATTTTTCTCAGGAAACGATCATTGACATCGACACCACGTTGCCAAGTAATGGTGGCAGGGTCCACATCCAAGCGAACAAAACGAGCTATTTCCTCCGCTGTTAACTCACTAGGGTCTGTCTTTTGAATTCCGAGCTTGGCTAAACGTTTCAACATCACGGGCGCGAATTCTCGCTTGCCACCCTTCTTCACGGGGCATAGACGATTGAAGAGAGCCTTGTTGGATTGTGTATTTTCATGGAATATACGGGCATCAATAGCAGCGGCCATCAAATTGTTGGCAGCGGTCACAGCGTGAATATCACCTGTCATGTGCAGATTGAATTCATCCATTGGGATAACCTGAGAATAACCGCCGCCAGCAGCACCACCTTTAATGCCGAAGGTGGGCCCTTGTGAGGGTTGGCGAACACAGGCAAAGGCAGACTTGTTGAGATGAGCACCAAGTGCTTGAACGAGACCTATGGTGGTGGTTGATTTGCCTTCACCTAAAGGAGTGGGTGTGATACTATAGTTGTATTCAAAAATAATAGCTGCTTTTAATGTCTTTGCCTTTCGAACTTTTTGCTTTGCTGCTGCTTTCAAGTTACCCTGTGACAACGATGTAGCGACCGTCCTGACGATGTTCAAGTCTCTTGAGCACATCCAAGCTGATCTTAGCTTTTGCTGTGCCATAAAGCTCGTACTATTGTAAAAAGTCATGTTACTTTTTACTGCGAAAATTTCTATATGAATGGACTCGACTTTGTAAGTTATCTTACTTCGCTAGCATTCAAACCAATTTCTTTACAAAGATCATCGATATGCTTGGGCTTTTGAGCTTTAGCGATCTCAATGTCTGAAGGTACAGGTTCTTTCAATTCCAAAGGAAGGGGAGCAATGTCACGCTTACGACTCAAAGATAAGAAACGTTCAGCACTGATGAGAGTATTGTTCATAAGCATAGCAACGGTCATAGGACCTACTCCGCCAGGTACAGGTGTAATGAAAGAAGCAACTTCTTTGGCCTTGGCGAACTCGACGTCTCCCACCCAACGGATACCGGATTTCTTAGTTTTGTCTGCAGATCATATTATAAATACAATGGCATCAATAGAATATTCCTTCCCCGTCCCCGTTTTTGCTTTGCTTTGACAGGTTGCTTGAACGACAACCGTATCGATTTACTCTACCTTCAACGGCATTTGTACCAACATCGATGATGACAGCTCCAGGCTTAATCCAATCTCCCTTAACAAGTTCCGTCTTGCCTGCAGCAGCTACAACAATATCAGCTTGTCTCACCTACCATTATACAACGGAATAAAGAGGTTTTGGTCAATGTTGTGTGTGGGTTAGTAAAGCAATACTTTTCCATTGCTCTTACGATCTCTTCCACTTTGGGAGTTCTAGAGTGACAAAGGGTAACAGTAGCATTTTCAGAAGTCAACAATGTAGCAACAGGGGAGCCCACAATATCACTACGTCCAATGACAGCAGCTTGTTTACCGGCAAGTTCAACACCAGTTGATTTCAACAAATGAATGATGCCCTTTGGCGTGCAAGGTAAGAATAATGGTTCCCCTTGTCGCTTGGCCATGTTGCCAATATTAACGGCATGAAAGCTGAAGGCAATAGATTATCTTGTCAGTCACTGCTCGTCTACCTCACTGATTTGGCAAAACAAAAACTTACCCATCGACATCTTTTTGATAATCAATAGCTTCGATAACATCGGCTTCATTAATATGACTTGGAAGAGGCATTTGAACCAAAATACCGTGAATGCGATAATCGTTGTTCAATTGCTTGACCTTCCTTAAGAGATCTGTTTGAGAAATATTTTCTGGTAATTTTTCCATGGTGATAGATATGCCAGTCTGAACGTATAAAGTGGGAGGAGTTACTACTTCAACTGTACCCTGTCTGCATGTTCACACAATAGCTCTTTCTTTACCTCTTTGGCGGCCTTATCTTTCATTTTGACATAGATTGAAGAGTCTTCACGATTGCCTACTTGTATCATGGCTAAGTGAGGGCTGAAGTGAGGGTATTTTTCTTTGATAGAGAGGATCTTTTCTTTGACTTCATTTCGAATCGTTCTAATGAAAGGAGACAGGGTTAATGATTAAAGTCCTCGAAATGTCAGGTTGGCTATGTGAGCTTTACTGGGCAATAGCCTTTCCATCAATAAGAGATGCAGTCATTTTTGTACGACGGGGTATTGAATACAGAGAAGAGCGACGAAAAGAAGAAGCAAAAGAGGAAAACGCTACACGCGAAGTTATGGGGAAAAGCATTTAAGTGTGCTTCCGTCTCTGCTGTCTTAATATTAATCCCTGAATTTGATTTTTTGTACGTTGAGAAAAAATATTGAGATATTTTAGCTCATCTTTCTGATCTTATTTTGACCCGAATCTCCAATTTTGATAAAGAATTTAAATACAGTTTGAGAAGACAAAAAAGGATTAAACAGGGATTCTAAACCCAGTCAACCTTGCATTGCATAAAAAGGAAAATTTAAACGGCCTATGAGAAAGAAAACAGGCACCAGGCACTAGACACAATAAAGTTTTCAATCGTACAAATTTTAAGATTATCATTATGAGCGTTTTTTTTTGTTTTTTTGGATACTATGGCAACCATCTCTTTAAAAAAAGTTAATTAGTCACCGATTTCGTATTGGCATGAGCCAGTGGCTAATTATGGATTTATTGTGCGTAACAAGTAAAGTTTGAGAACACATGTGTATAAGTATTTCTCTCTTGATTGTTTCGATGTCGTAACACCGGGCTTGCTACAGCAGTATTATCTTGACCTGTGTAAATAACAGTAGCATCTGCTCTAATTCATTAAATATATTGTTAACATTGTGATGCTGGTTTTGGATTGTCTAGTGGTAGTTGTTGTGGTAATAGACGGTATACAGTAGCTGTAAGGATATATTGTGGGGTATCCTTGAAAGGGTTGTTATATTCCGGTAAGGCTTCATTATGGTGTAGCTGAGCTAGATCTTGATTCTACAGCTTTTTCAGTAGCACTGGTTTTCATTCTTTCAGTTGGCTTCTCGTTAAATTGTCATATATATTCTGCTGATGGTCTCTTTTAAGATCAGTGCTGCTCTAACAGCATATCTTTCCTGGCTTTCATTTTCAGTTTTTTTTTCAAAAAAAAAACAAACATACCATGTCAATCATATAATAACCGCTATGAGGTAAAAATAACAACAAACAACATTCGATGTGTGTTCAGCGACATGAAAACTAGTGCCTCGAAAAGTAAGTAATTATGGAATACACAAAAGAAACAAAGAGGCAAAAGTTTGGATCGGGTACTGAGGAAATGCACGACATTTCCCATATACTTTGCCTCTTCTTTGAATTTTTTGCCTGCTGTATGACCGATCATTCACTAAATCGAGCAATGCATCATATGAAAATTTTGGTTTACGCCTTCTCCTTATTTTCAAGAACGGTGACGATCCTTTCAGCCTTCCAGCAAATTTTTGTCGTATATGTGTCGTATATGTGTCGTAGCTTTGTCGTATCAATAATGTCAAATCAGTAGAATTCAGTCTGGGTGTTTACTGTTATCTCAACATATTGAGCTATGTGTCAGGCATAATATAGTTACTGAGCAACAGAATTTGATTTTCAGAGTTGAGGGATTTCACCCCCTTTTTTTTTCACTCATTTGGGAAGGTTTGAAGTGGTCTTGTGCTTTTGAACCGTTACAGCCAATCATTTCTAAATGACCAACGAGAAAGTAAACAAACAATAAGCTATATAAGAGGGAAAACACGGCAGCCATGTTTCTTCCTCTGTCTTTCCTATAAACCTACATTCTGCTAATAAAATGACTCACCGCTACAAAAACGACGTGAAGTTCAGCTTGTACCCTCATGAGATGATCAATATGATCCCGGAGAAAAGAAGCGCAGACTTGTGCAAACAAGTGCGTTTGAACAAGTATGTTGAAAGAAACTCGTCTCCTTGTATCATCAGCTCTATCTATTAACACCTCATTTTTCACGTTTAGCTTTTACTTGGACTACAAGTATCAGTTTGAACAATTCGGCGAAATCGTCGTCGAAATCGATGAAAGGGCCCGAGATGCCCTTGTTACAAGAAGAAACCGACGCTTGCAACAGCAAGTCGTTCCTCCACCTCCACCTCCTCCTACTCCTCCTACTCCTTCTCCGCCTTCTCCGCCTTCTCCTCCTACTCCTCCTGCCGCCACATCGCCCGCTCCTCTCGATGACTCCACTAACGCCGTCAGCAGAGGACAGAAGCGTCCTCGTGAGTCTGACGACGTTAGTGGACGAGAGAGCACCAAGAGATTAAAAACTGGTCCTCCTCCCAGTCCGTCTTCTGTTGTTACTTCCATCAACACCGTTAATCTGACGGGTTCGTTTTTGCCCTCTGCTGGCAGAGAGGCTAGTTTCACCGCTCCTTCCTCTGTCATCAGAGGTCAGAAGCGTTCTCGTGAGATTGACGATGTTGGTGGAAGAGCAATCAAAAGGCTAAAAGTCATTCATATTGCTTCTTCACGGGAGTAATATGATGACTTTGTTATAAATATCATACATAAGAAAAGTGCAATAGTTCGCTTGTTAAAAAATAAATTATCTCTTGCTAATAAATAAATAACCTCTTGCTAATAAATATTCTAAATAACTTTCTTAAAAATGTGGCTACTAATTGATGTTAAACTATTTTGACAAATGGGCTCTAACCTTTTAACTGAGAAAATAATATGAGTAATAAGCGGGCATCAAGTAAAGGTGAAGTTGATACTGTCTTCATTTTGATCATTGTTGACAATCATACCGAACAGGACTGCTAGTAGGCAATTAATTGAATAGTTTATGGGGCAAAAAAAAAAAAAAAAAAAAAAGGAAAAAGTCAAGAGGTTTTATATACACTAAAGAGATGAAAAAATTTGGGTATAAAGAAAATACATGTCCTCCGTTAAACAAATTATACCCTTTCTCGTGAAATTCTTTCCCATAGATGCTATATTTTTGAAATCAATGAAAGAAATACCTACCTGTATCGTCATATAACCTGATTTCAGAAAAGATATTTCTTCCAAACAAATGTAACAATGACACACATACGCTTATGATAATGATGTCTTTACTGGGACTTTATTTTTGTTTCTTCTGATCTTGCTATAGTAGCAGATGCTTGCAAGAAACTCTTGAACAAAGGCACAACAAGTGACGTGGTCAACACTTTTATCACCGAAATAATTGCAAAGACTATAAATAAAGCGGCACCATAAATATCCAGATGATGCGTTTTCAAAAACGACATACGACGATCAGCAGTTTCACGATGAATCAACTTGCCATCTTTATGCGTAAAGGCTACTTCTTCCACCAAATCAGCTGCTCTTGCTATAGAACGTCGACTATGAACTTGCATTAAAGCTTGTGCACGCTTGACATTCTCCTTGATTTCATTGTTTGGATCCATAATGACATATTCAAACAACTTCAACATCTCTTCAGGACTGGTGTGTGTATCAAAGCGGCCACCAAGACCGCTGCGTTCGACCATCACTGCATTGATGGGCTGATCAGCAAAGAAGGGAAACATAAGCATACGTGTACCGGAATAAACAGATTCGTACCAAGAGCCTTGTCCACCATGAGAAACAAAAACATGCGAAGAGGGGTGATTGAGGATAGCAATTTGAGGTGCCCAGGTGATTAATTTAACATCAGGATGACCACCTTTGAAAAAGGAGGAGACATCGTAGGTAGTATTAGAATAGGTAGTAGTGACAGTATCTGGAAAACGACCGGCTGCATGAACAGTCGCCCAAACGATGCCATCAATGTAGCCACGTTCTAAACATTCCATTAAAGTCGTTAAAATAAGCTTGATTTCAGCCTCGGAAGGCGTTGCATTCTGGCCAAAAGCGATATAGGCGACACGACGATGCATATTCAAAAACACTTCAAGATCCGGTGTTAAGGGCTTGTAGTGAGAAGGCATGATAGGACCGACGAGTTCTGTAAGGGGGTCCAACGGTCGAGGAGCAGTGAAACCGTATAAACTATTAATGATTTTCAACGAGTCTTTCCAAAGCTTAGAAGAGTAATAGTCATGTCGTTTGATACCGATATCACCTGTAGCGGCAGCTTTCATGGCATTTAATTCGCGATAGGCTGGTCTGAGGTCATAAAAATAACGGAAAGGGTAAATAAGCTTGTTGTAGAATCGGGTTGAGAAGGACTCGAATTCCGTTGTTGGCTCAAGAGTCAGAGAAATGTCATCGTTCGTGTAAGGTGCACTAGATTCTGCCACGATAAAGCAATACCATAGGTAACAGTTAGTAACAGAATTCAGTATTCCTTATATCTAACTTTTTAAAAAAAAATTGCCTACCTTCATTTAAAAGTATCGTAGAAGTAACAATGAAAGGGAGCTTCAAGGATAGCGCAGCTTCCAAACATGCATCAGCAAAATGATCACAGAGAACGACATCAACATTATTTCTAATAAAATAATCCCTGGCAAAGTGATAGTCTGATTTACATCAATCAGTTAAAAGAATAAAATATCTCTAATGACTTGGACAATATCACCACCTACATGAATCAAATTTGCCTTGCATCATACTGTAACCTAAGAACGCATTCATGGGAGTATCTAATCTGCCTTCTTCAGAATTCTTGAAAGTTTTTGCTCTGTCAATCTGTACTATAGGACCAACAGATACTGTCTCAACATGCTTAAAAGGTCTACCAAAGGCTGTCATTTCATTCTATAATTGTATGAAAAGTTAAAGAAAAGCGACAAAGCATGCAAGTATTAGTCCGCATCGATGCAACAGAGAATCACTGATAGAGACATAAACAAGTATATATTACAGCAGTCAAAAATTTTGCATTATGTCCCCTTGCACCTAGCTCATCCATAAAACTCAATACCCAATTGCAGTGGGATGAGCCGCCAAATGCAGCGAAGAAAGCGATATTTTTTACGCTGTTGTCATGTTGATATAGTGTGTTTCTCAATTGCTTGAATGAATCTTGATTTGAAGCGTTCGACGATGGTGTGAGGTCATTCTGCTGAGCAGATACAATTGATAATAAAGAGACACTTGCTGTAAGTAATAACGAAAATTTCATTTACAGTTTACTATCAGTTTGCTATCAATGATAGTAAAAAAAGGACTCAAGAAAAGATGCTTTAATCGAAAACAGGGGAGTTTTTCCGTCCTCGAATGAACCCTTTATTAGGGCATCTGGGCTTGAAAAATTTTAGCAAACAAATTTAAACCGGAGATATGGATTTGCGAAAGTACCAGGAACGTACCTTCCCGAGGAAAGGTTTCAAATCGTAGAAATTGAAGCTGATCTGTAGAGGGGACTTTGAATGGACGCTCATCAAAATGGAATCAAACAGATACAGGAAGGCACAGCAAATTTTTCAACCAATTTTCAGCCACGACCTTGGTGATTCCTGATTATTTTGGTTCGATAGCCTACTACACAGCTTCCAGCGGTTGGTTCAAGTACGGGAGCTACGGTAAGATGAATTTGTGAAACATAAGATTGGTAATGACTTTCCGTTCTGCGTAATCGCTCCCTAAAATTACAGAACCTTATGGCGCTAATCCTTATGTAATGCTTTGGCATAAGTAGATGAGACTTGTATATACTTGTTCTGGAATAAATACACACATTCATTGTCAGTTCATATTAGCAAATTTTAGTGAACCGTACGAGCGCACTATTAATGAAACGATTCAAGTCCCTTGAAACCCTTTCAACAAAGAAGGAATTGGGCAATACAAAGGCGTAGCATGAAAGAGCCCGCTGTGAAGTATTTCAGACAATTATTCTTGCGAGTTTTTAAAACAACAGCAAGATTGTTTGCATAAGCTATTATTGGGATGCGTTGAGCCGTTATTTAATTGATGTCACAAACTCAAAATGTGATTTTCTTCATTGAAGTCGTGCATAGGTGTGTCAATTAAGAATAATAAGCGTCATTGTCAGACAACATGCACCTCAACAATTGATCTCGTAAATATCAGACATATTCTTAATCAGCAGTAAACATCAGTATTGGGATGCCACAAAAAAAAAAAAAAGAAAAAAGAAAAGTTGTATGTCGAAAGCAGAGGGAAAAGAATCTGAGTGAATAATATCAACACGGCAAGTAACCTATTAGTATAATTAGTACTCACATAGCGTTGCGTCTTATTTAGCAAACTCAGTTGGTTGAATAACGCCATATCAATTAGAATTTTGTAATCGAAATTTAATTAAACAAGTATACCACAATAATTTGTAGGCATATGTACAAGTAAAAATGAGACGAGTTGCAAGAGAATAGGGAGCTTGTTGACTCGTCAGCCTGTTTGGCGTGACAAGAAGAAAAATTTATACAAAAAGCTCTTTTATGTCTTCTCTTCGGTGGTCTCTTTTTTTCTCTTCTTTTATATATCAACGACCATCATTTTCATATATCCACTATAACGCTTGCTTGGCTTTAGTGGCAATCTACTGCATACTATGTTATTTATTCCCATTGATCTTGTCTTAATTGACACCGGCAGACCATAGGACAGTTTACTGGACCTCATAAATGCCTCTATCACTAATGGAGCGGTCGTCTGTCGTGTTCTGGGATTCTAACCCTGAAGGACAGCAGTAGATTGTTTGCCATGGCCCTTCACACCTTTTCTTCTTTTGGTTTTCCCCTCATTTATCACTTGGTTATCAAGAGTTGTTTCGTCTGTTTAGAGCTTTAATCTAATCGATAAGTGCTTAGCGAGAAGGGCAAATCGAACACCTGCTTTTTGCGGAGTACCTTTTATGACCTGGCTTAGAACTTCAACTTTTGTAATCCAAGCTTCTCCAAGTTCATAGTTTGTTTTTTTTTTTCTTTTTGAGCAAGTGTAACATGTTGTAAGGATTTTGAATAGATATTAGGCCAATATTCCCATAACAGCCTATCTAGTTTAACTGATTAAAGCACGAGTAGTTAATTTACTCTTATTCAGGTCCGAGTCCCTGGATAAGCTAAACTCAACGCATCATGCACTTGATCGTCTTTACAATAGTCTATATTTCGTATACTGTTTCCAATTGCTTTAACGTGGAAAAGAAGGGTTGGTGCGAGAGGGAAGGGGTTGTTGGTTGTTTCATGTTATGGCTGTTTATCCTTTATTCTATAAAAGCTGATAATTAGAGGTTATCTATGCATATTCATTCTAGATGTTACATTATTTCGGACCGAGGTTAGCTACAGTCTCATTTACTTTTAAAATGCATGCACACTAACAGGTACTTACTTTTTCTCACTCTAGTACATCGAATTTCATAGCGTATATTATCTATTTGACCTTAGTCAAATCATTTTACAATGAACAGTAGCTTTGTTTTACAGCAGTCCCTCGTTCATAGAGTAAGCTCTTTTCGATCCTTTTTGCAAATTCATTACATCGCTTCTAATTTTTAAAAGTTATCTGCAAGTACATAAAACAACGAGTGAGTTATGTTTGCCCTTATACCGCAATTTGTCTTTTCTCCGTTTAGTTCTTCTCATTTTCTGCCTGTCTGTTTGATTTTCTTCCGTTCTACCGATCTCGTACCATAATTAGTATTAGATTGTCCTTTTTTCTTCTCCTTTTTTTTTTTAAAGATATAGTAAGAAAAGTAATGGAACCACCTAGTGCATTTATTCAAAGATCTATAGCATCGCAAAATTCAACAAAGATAGAAGCATAGGAAAAATCACAATAATACTCTCAATGAATCGTTGGGTAAGAGGAATAAGTTGTATAAATAATACCGAAAATCAACACTTAACGATGAAATTAACAATTTTCTGTTGAATAATGACAAACTATATAAGGATGGGATTTGTGTACGCACGCGATTGCTGTAGGTAAAGCTTTTAATACTCATCCTTTGGCTTCTGCTTGATGTCGAATATATTCTCTTTCATTCCTATGTTTGCTTTCGCAATTTTATGAATTCTTGCCATATGTTCCCTATGCTCAGTTATAATATTATTATAGATCATTTCGACAGTTTTGAGCACTGGAGGGGATGAAAAGTCAGCACCTGAACCGATGACTTCTACTATGTCTTGAATTGCTTGAGTCATAAAAGTCCCTACATCCCCTTTCACCTCGTCTTTAAGAGCTTGAATGAACCTTTTCTGTAGCTGATTGATGAGTGTGTTGGGACGACTGAATATCGCTCGCAGAACTTCCTTTGGACGAGCTTTGGGTGGTTTTTTTAATGGTGCCGATTTTATTGTTTTTCTTAATTGTTCTGACTCTGTTGCTTTTACAATGGCGGCATGCTTTTTTTTCAGTACTCTTGCTGCTGCTCTTTTTCTACGTTTTTCCTGTTCTTGTATTGCTGCAGCATGTCTGGCTTCCTCGGCTTGTACCATCTTTTCTATTTCAACTGTTATTACCATTCTGTTGAGTCCTACAGAAGTCCTTGAATAATACATCATTGTCATATCGCGTGCTGTCTGCTGAACATCATAGTTAGTTTTATGATCAAACGGATTACTCCCTATGAAATTAGCAACATTACTCTGATGCTTTAACACTTTCAAATATTGAATTATATTTAGCAGCTCTTGATCAGGGCTTCGTAGATCATTATGATCAAATGTGTTGATTAAAATCGCATTATAAGGTTGTCTAAGCAATTTAAACAAACAATCATCCATAATAATTGTATTTTTCGCGTTATATTGTTGTAAAACGTTCCATACTTTCTGTAAATCCTTAACGGTACCCAAATTTTGCTCGAATTCTGTGGGTGTTAATTCAAGGTTAGACCTATCCCAAACGATGAGGGGCCGAATTAATCCAGCTGGATGCAGTTCATCAAAGATTGTATCGCACATAAAGTTAGTGTAAGTTGATATACAGGAACTCCAGACCATGACAGTAAAGTTCTTGACGGCAAAAGAAAGGAATTCTTTAGTGTAAGGACGTGTATAAAACTCCAATTCCTTTTTCTTAGTTGTGCCGCGGGAGACAAAGATTCCCTTTAGATCGAGAATCAGCAATTTCTGGCTTATCGAGCTCTCCGCATGAAAGATGGACGGTTCCTTCATAAGACTGATGTAGTTAGGCGATAAAGCAAATTTTGCTTCTGCATTTTCGTTCAAAAACTGTATTGTGTGTTTATCAACAATGTCATACAGTGCATCGAAGTTATCGGTATATTGATTGTATTTCATTCTTTAAAAGTGACAAACAAAAACCACTAAAAAGCAGGAAGAAAGAGCAACAAAACAAACAAAAAGTTACAAACCTCCTTTTATACTTTTTGAAATAACGCTTATGCAGGATTTGAATCGTACAGTATTACAGAATATGTTACATTCGATTTAGAGTATAAACAGTTCAGATAAAGTAAACTACATTTAGACTATCGAGTATTCTAACAGCTAAAACGCTTTATCTGATGTGGACTGCTCCAACGGACAGTAAATGCCTCTAGTGCAATATATGTTGGCATTCAATAAAGATTTTTACAAACCTCAAATTGTAAGTATTGCGAAAAATGATACACTTTATGAAAAACATTATAGTACGTTGATTAGTACGAGCCCAGGAAGTAGACAAAAACCTACCGGCCAACACTGTTAACATGATTTGTTCTTGCTCTACGCACTCATCAAAGTGACAAAAAGTAAAAGTGAAGAGCGGGGAAAAGGAAACGCACAAGGACAGGCTTTGTTTCGGCTTCCCAGCCGATCTTTTTTTAACCTTCACTTGCATTTGTTTGTCAATTTCATTCTGTTGCCTATTTTATCAAATCTTAGCCCTCCCTCAATTCTTTTTGTCAATGAGTCCAACATGAGGTCTTATCCCAATGCCGACTTTAACGAGCCATACTCCTCAGTATCATTTTCATACAAACAGTTAACTTCTCCCTACCCAACACATACCAACAGTTCTCCTTACAAATTCGACAAATCCTCCTCATCACTATTTTCAAAATTCAACAAGCAACAGTTACTTCGTTGGTACCGACAGCATCAAAAAATCTTCATCCTACTTGTATGTCTCATATTATTTCTAATCTACTATTTTCAAGGCGTCATATCCAACTTTATGACATTTGTCAAGATCAAGATGAACAATACCATGTTTGATCGAGGCTATGTGGCTTGTGGTGTTCTCCGTAAACAGCCTATGTTATACGTCCAAGATACCCACCATGTTCAAGTTGTCTGGGAAATGAATTGTGGCATGAGTAATAAAGACATGATATTGTCCTATTGGCCTGAAAGCAGCCAGAGCAATAGCAATACCGAAAAGATAACGATTGGACCGATCAAACCAAAGGTGATAGATTCGTTTCATACGCTTTATAGAGCCACTATTGGACCACTCATACATACAGGACCTGTACATTATACAATTGATATTGTGAAAAAGGACAGACAAAAAGAAGGCAACAATGACGACGGTATCAGTAGTTGGAATGTCTTGAGTAAAAAACGAAAAACCATTGCCAAATATACATTTCATTGGTTTGCCGATGCAAAAGAAAAGCAAGAAGAGCCTATTCGTATTGCAGCCATGGCCGATAATCAATTTGGGCTTCTCACTTTCTCAGCTATACTGAGACAAATTAGAAAGCTACCTCAGCGCAAGCAACCTCATTTCTTATTACACGCTGGCGATGCAGTGCAGAATTATCCTTCTTTACGACAATGGCAGACAGATTTCGCTGCTCCCCTTACCGCTCATAATCTCATTCAACGTATGCCTTTAATATATGCACACGGCAATCACGATTATGATCCGACGGGCGAATATATATATACACGGTCACAAGCCGCGGATCCATGGTTTTCTTTTTCTCTCGGCAACAATACTGCCCGATTCATTATTTTAGATAGCAATTTAGATTGGGAACGTCAAGATCAATGGCTAAAAGATGAAATTAAATCCGACCTTTTCAAAGCAGCTCAGTTTCGGATTGTAGTAGTCCATGTACCGCCATTTCTAGAATACTGGGAACCGGAAGCCTGGTTCAAATTACGACAGAGTGAATGGGGAGCATTTATTAAAGATCGATTTGTTCCGCTCTTTGAGGAGGGTGGTGTGGATTTAGTGATTTCTGGTCATCAACACAATTATGAACGTGGTGAAAGAAATGGAATTTCGTATGCCATCATAGGCGGCGCAGGTGGTGATATTGACTACGAGCAAGTGAAAGATTGGGGAATGTACGAGGCCAAACTCTTAGATTTTCATTTCGTTGTACTAGAATTTATACCACCAGCGAAAACAGAAAGCGGGAAAATGGATAGCTGGTCTTTGCACTGGGAGATGTTTGATGTAAATGGACAGAAAATTGACTCGACCGTTTTGATCGCCAAACAGCAAGCTTCAACCGCATCACCATTGGAACAGGCAACAATTGATAAAACAGAAAATATTTTACAAGCTATAGCCGAAGGAAATACCAACCAGCCCTTATAAGAAACAGTAAGCTTCCATTAGCATGATGATCATGCCTTTCAAGGAAAATATTTGTTCAACAAGCGATAATTATCAAATACCAATATCTACCTCTTTAATTTTTGAATGTGTACATATTTATCAATATTCTTACATTACTATGTTTTGTTTTTTTTCTGTAAATCTTTCGATGTTGTCCCAAATTTAATTTATTTACAATGATCTTTTTCACGGCCAGTTTACTTTAAGAATGAAAGGACAAAAATTCCATAGCATATTGATCAAGACTTTGTTGCTTATTACCGTTTATGTCCTTTACCTATACAGTACTTACAGAGACTAAAAGCACTTATTACATTCAAGCAGGTAATACTGATTTCTACACCGAGCGAAAGCCGCCAAGGCAACGTAGACAAAGAATGAGATATACCCTGTTAAATTAATCTACAACCGAGAGAATCGAGAATATACTAGCTATTGACCAAAATTCACATGAATGTCAATGATCATCAAAACAACCGCATTTATGTAGGAGGTGGGTAGCAAATCGCTGAGTATAAATTTGGTAGACGAACACGAAAGTACATGACTAACGATATTGTATTGGCGTGATCAAAACAATGGAACTACATGTGACTGATAGCTTTGAGCATCGAAAAAAGATAGGTCCATTGGTGTTGTGTGAGGATAATAGGCAGCAATTTCATATCTTCAAATATATCAGCTTTTCTTTTTTTTTGCTGTGGATAGATGAGTATCGCATTTCCCTTTCTGATAAGGTTTATATATTCGTGTGCGAACTGATACAGGTTACCGTACTTTAGCAATTGATAGTATGACTGATAGGTTTAAAAGAAGATATAATAATCAAGATTTTAACTATGTCTGACTGAATCCATCAATCCTGCTTCTAAAGGCTTAGCCAGGCTTTCATCATTATAGCAATTCCCTGGTTCGACTGAATCAATAACCTCATATCAATTTATAGAAAAAGATGGTTTGAATTATACTCATAAACAACTTTGATGTACTATATGAGCAACTGGCGTATATCTACATGCATACAAAAACTCAAAACCACTTTTTATAATTCAATTTCATCCTTACTGACATAGTATCTGAAGAATCACATGAGAGGAATAACATTATGTGTGCAGTTGTATGATAGTTTGATAATTGGGTCGGCATCCTTCCTAATTGTAGACATAATGGTTTCAGATGGGGCTTCCTGAACCCGCGGTTGCCTTGTTGAGAAATTTTTGATTTTGCTATTGGTTGATGTTCCTTTGGAACATTTATAAATGCAATCAAAGAGATTTAGTACTATCCGGTGCTCAAAAGAGGATGAAGTAGTTTGGAACTCTTTATTTTGCCGGTTAATTTTTTGAAAACTTTGGGACTCAATAAAGATAGTTCATATCGAGGCACTGGTATATCTGAGTGGCATAGTGAAATAATCTTAAAGGGCACAAGAGCAAAGATTCTATGCGGTAGTTATTCATGATTTAGGCTAGCTTATGATTCAGTTGTTTAGTGGTTCATGAATGTCTTTCTGAAAGATCAAGGTTTTTACCAGTTGCAAAGACCTCACGGATAATGATGGAAATCAAATGAACAGAGTATTGTTAAAATGGATCTGATGGGATAATAATGACATTTCTTTTTGTCATACTTTTTACGGAAGTAACAAATAAAAAAAGCGGAAAGGAACTTCTATTTCCCTTTTGTAATAACGTGTGTCCCTCTTCCAAATTGAGCGATTTGGGAAGCACATAATTTTATTGATCTGTGCATGGTTTATCAATTTCTGATTGAATAAAAGCGCTGCAAGAAATTTAATCCATGAAAGTATAGACAAGTCAAGTAACACACAATGCTTGCAATTCAATTCAAATGTGAAAATACTTGGCGAGCCAGGTTTTTCTTCATTGATTTCCTTTTTTCCATATAGTTCGATGTTTTCATATGCCTTTTTGTAACTGAATCAATTTAATACAGTAAATCGAAATCTCGACGTCATAGTTGCCCAGCAAAAATCAATTTTTTTCTACACAGAAAATCAAAAAGGTCAATTAACACTTTATAGAAAAATTGAGACTTGTGTCGTCTAGTTCTACTTTCTCTTTCTTCCTCATCTCTATACTCCATCCTTTGTCATTCCCACTTTTGCCACCGACAATAAATTTAAATCCATTGCTAATACGATAACAACGAATACAAACAAATCATAAGCGGAGTAAAACGTTTACAATGTTCAGCAAAGTGAAAGATACGACACGATCCATGGTACAAGAGGTGCGTAACAATTTAGACCCTTCCAAACGTAACTCTATGGATGCGAAACGAAAAAACAGTATCATTGACAATAATACGATGCCTAATATGATATCACCGAATAATACCGACATCGACAATAATCATCAGCATCAAAAAAAGAACAGCACCAGAAGAAGCTTATCATTCAATCGTAAAGGAGTGCCTATCGTACGGCCTTTTACGATTCAGAAAGAAGGCTCTTCTAGCGAGTTGGATGAAGAAGACGACGAATCCTTATACACAACTTCTATTGAGACAACCGGACATTATCTCGCGAACGAAGAACATCGCGAATATGACCCAACAACTGCCGAAACAAAGCCATTGGGTGCAGCAAATCAAGATAATGCAACAACATCAGCAGCGCCTTTTGATGCAGCAGCTTTAGCAAGAGCTGATGTGCTATGCGGGTCTGAGAGGCCCGGTATATTAGCTACAGCCTGCGAACTTGAACTAGCTAAACAAAAGAAGAATGAAGAATTTCATTCTATTTTCAAGACAATCGATGAAAACGACATACTTATCGATGGTAAGAATGTCCAAATTCAAAACAAATTAAAGCAAGGAAAAAGCCCAATTCACAGTTATTGAAACCCATATTTATTGCAGTTTACAAATGTGCGTTGCAAAAAGATATCCTTTTACAAGGTCATTTGTACGTTTCGGAACAGCATGTATGTTTCAAATCAAATATCTTCGGATTCGTCACAAATGTAAGCTCAACTTCAAACATGCAGCAACTTAATTGAAATTTAAATTATCCTAACTTGAGCCATTCTCAATGAAAGCTTGTTGTAAAATATTCTGAAATAGTCAAAATAGAAAAGAGAATGACAGCATTAATTATACCTAATGGTATTCTAATAGAAACAGAAGCAGCCACTGTAAGTCATCATAAAAAAACCAATTATTAACAAACATCGCCATAAGCATACCCAACTTTTTTTTTTTTTTTTTTTTTCTTTTCCTTTTTCATTAGCATATTTTCGCGTCTTTGCTCTGTCGCGATCAAGCTTATGATCAAATGGTCAAAATTTGGGATCTCCGCAAAAAGGCTTCATCTATTACTCCTTCAATAGCCATACCAGCAGAGGCTTCTGCTCACGACGCCGATGATGAAGAAAATCATAACGATATGACCTCCGTAGTATTGCCCGCAGCAGCCAATGACAATCATGATGATTTGGCTCTCCCTAACGATACTACTATTTTGGCAGCTTCTTCTCCAGATTCAGCCATCATGCTTAATACCCCGCCTCTGTTGATTACTGATAAGGACTCGTTTGAGCAGCATCAAAAAGATCTAATAGAACAACAAAGGCTGCAAAAGGCTGCTGCTTCTTTGGAGGAGGAAATTGAAAACGATAAAGAACAGGTGGGAATAACAAAAGAAGCCGGCGTTGACACCTCGCATTCTTCCCCTGGACATGACACCACTCTGAATGGGGCGGCTCGCGAAAAGGATACATTTCTTGCCACGAAACTGGAAGAGCAACAAAGACCTCGTGCTGCATCTGATTCTAATACAACGCCTGCTGATACTTCAGTGCTAACGAAGCCTAGAACAACCACAAACGGCACATCGCGATTGAATCTCACAGCCAGTCCCGCTCTCGCAATGAACAATACACTATCACAGGGAAAAAAACCAATGAAAGTTGTCCCATTGAAAAAGTCCCGTGTCTGTCCATGCACCATCAATAATGAACAATACCATCATGTTGCACTCAACGAGATCTATACCGGAACCGTAGAAGCTATGTTCAAACTCTTATGTGATAGTGATTTCCTGCGCAATTTTTTGGAACGTTACGAAGCTTTTGAAGATGTTCAGGATGGAGAATGGCGACATGGTCGTCGTGAAGTGACTGGAAAACGTCGAGTGAAAAGCGCAACCTCCGGCACCAAGATTGTCAAGGTTTTATTTCAAGAAAAGAAAGCCCATCGAAAATTCCCTTACTACTGTTGTATAACAGCAACCAAATCTATGCCGGATATGCCTATGGATGCCATCTATTCCATTCAATCCAGGACGTGTATCACCCGCGTACATAGAGATAAGGTGCATGTTTTGCTAACGTTTCAAGTTGCTTTTACACAAAGCAATTTCACGAGCTGTAAGTCTTTAAGAATAATTTTTATCCTTGCAGGCCCTGAAATGTATGCTCATTTTCCGATTTAATTGATGATAGCCATCATTGAAAAAAATGCTGCTGCTGACCAATTTAGGCTCTATAACCGACTCAATGCTGTATTGCACCGACCTGATCTTATTCAAGAACTTCTTGCCAAGGATCCAAATAGTGACTATATCCTTCACAGCTTGCAAATACCTACAAAAGCAGAGGAGGAACAGAGAATCAATGCCATTGAAAAACGCAAATGGTCCTACATCCTATGTATTGGTTTAATCGCTATTCTCTTAACCCACTCCATGTTGGCTTTCAGATTGAGACGTATTGTTCGCCACATAGAAGTTATCAAAGCGCCGTCCCAGCATCCTTATCAAAAACCTATTTCAGCGCCAGTAGAACACAAGCCATCTTTCCATGATGAACACTCTCTTTTCGACGGAAATATAGAAGAAGTGCAATGGGTCGATTCGCAACTGAAGCAGATAGAAAAACGATTGAGTTTTTTACAATCAGAAGCGAGCGCTTATAATGAACGTTTAAGAAGTTTGAAGCAAGAATTTGACTAACACTTGACATTTTATAAATACTTTTCATTTTTGCCTCTTTGTAATATACTTGTATTGATATCCCTCTTTTGAGCTTGTAAATTGAAAATCATTTTATATACACACAACTTGTAAATACACTACATTTTAGTTGAATAAAAACTAATATATTATACTTTTATCGTCAATGCGTATAAAGGGAGAGTGATATGCAATTGTGCAGGTTTCCTGATAATAAGGGTATTAATTTTTACGTACCAACCAATGCAACAATGAAGAAGCAATGCATAAGTACATTAAAATAGTATTTGATTGATTTCTTGTCCTACAAAAATTACCTTTCCAATAAGCACAGATGTGGCGGAATAGATAGACAGATAAAATCTACAAGCCGTTGCCATTAGATGATGAAGTGAGGAGATACAGATGCCCGTGCTTTTGCTGTATTCCTCCCCCCCCCACAGTGGCACTCATTCTGTCTGTAATGATTCATTGGACGCAAGGCTTCTAGTCGCCAATGGACGCATGGAAAAAAAAATGGTTGGACTTTGTAAAGATTTTTATTTCTCTTGTCATTCTAAGCGCAACATTTTATATACTTGGCTTCCCGTCCCTCTCCGAAAGCAGCTTTTACGCGTAAAAAAAATAGAACACGGTATTAGGCTATGGTTTATATCAGCTGCATGCTTTTGATAGAAAAAGATGTTCTGGTTCAACAGTTCACGTTCAAAAAACCATAAGCGATCCCTTATGCCTTTTTTGCTCGTTTCATTTGGAAAAGATGAAAAAAGGTTTTATTATTTCATAAGGGATTTTTCGCTTTATTTGCTTGACGCTTTTAGATCACTTTCAGCTTATCCTCAAAAAAGTCACAATTGAACTACTAGATAATACAATGTTTTCTTTACGTTGTGGAATACAGTCTAAAGAATACAAGTGAGATTGCGGAATTTGAAACCGACTTTTTTATTCATCCACCAGAATTTATGTTCCAGTGAATCAGCCTTTTTAGTTTTTGACTTGCTTCTTTGATTCAAAGACAAACATTGGTCACCACACAACTCTATCGATTGAATAATGTCGCAGTACGCTATTGAAGGAGCTGGATCCAGTCGTCCCGATGTGGATATTGATGCACTTCCTTGTGAGTTTTTGCTGTTGCTTTGAATCAGCCTGCTCTAACTGCCTGCATAAACTTACTTTTTTTTACAATTACAATTGAACGTTTTCATGCTTAGATGTTGATCGTGACGTGGACGATGAATGTAAGTTACTTTCTTTCGATCAGCTTTGTTATCTGTTCTTTATTCCTAGCATCTCATTGTTTCCATCTCTTTCATTGCTCTCCCAGCTACAAAGCTCACAGTAGAGAGATTAATAGAACAGGAAATGCGTCGTATGAAAAGAAAAGATCGTTCCGAGTTGCCTCTGACGGTCAATTTATTTGAGAAGAATGAGCTTTTAAAACAAGAAATGGAGCGTATCGCAAAAAAACAACCTTTAGATGCCTTGGATACCAAACGATATGAATTGAAAGGCCCTGAAGAGGATGAGGATAAAGAAAGTGTGGAAACTTGGAAAGCAGCTGTTGACAATGCGAAATCACAACTCGAGTCGCAAGCAGGAAGGTAAATGAGCAGTACATCCTTCAGTTGAATTCCAGAATAGGATAACTCATTTTTTTTTTTGATCGTGTTACCATAGTATGTTCAATCTGGAATTGCTTTCAAAGTATGGTGCCAATGCTTGGCGAGTGCACAATTATCAGTTAGAAACCTCAATCAACTATGTCAAAAAGGAGACCGAAAGATTACGTCAACAAATGATGGAAATCAATAGAGAGCGTAAACAAGATCAAACACAAGCAGCCGCCTCATTATCATCGTTAGAAAACAAATGGTCAGATTTGATATCACAGAATTTACAAGTGGAGTTGGCTTGTGCAGCTCTTGAAAATGAAGTAGAAGAATTACGAAGAATGAAACAGTAAAGAAAACTGTATATAAATGTTGCCAGTGTATCCCCTATTTTTAAAAAATTATGTACTATCCAAAAGATGACCTATATCAACTGTGAAAGTAGTGTTTCTTTTTTTGTTTTTTTTTTTTTACTTTTTGACATCCAATTTTGTCTAACGGAAAGAATGGACAAGTTGAGGGCAAAAGACGACAAGTAGAACAAAATGGAAGGCTCTTTGCAATGACATCCATATCAAGTTTAGAACCAGCATCGTACATGCCGTCAATGTAAATTTGTATTTGACGAGGAGTACTCTTTTCTCAACCTAATAAAATCATCTTTTCCTAATATGCGCAAAGCAAAACGTTTTGAACAACGATGGAATGAGAGAAGAACTCACTATTCTGAAACCCCACTTGAATAGCCCCAGAACCATTCCATATCACGACCTCCATCTATCTAGGCTATATGTCTAGAATGAAATAGGATTGAATAAGATATGTTTTACTCCTTTTTTTTTTCAGTTTGGAGCAATGTGAAAGAAGCGGTATATCATTTATAGATGCCCACTTTTTCTTGATGGAACACACTTTAGATTAGCCAAGCTCTACAGTCTATAGTTCGATTCCTAGAATGCGATAAAGTGACAATGGAGGATGAGGGATATTCTAATTTACATGCTTACAGTATCTGTCTGAGTGATGTGGAAAAAACAATTCATTTTTTTTTTTTTTTCATGTAGTCTATGAGTACAGCAGATAGCAAGAAAAAGAACTATGTACAAAGGATGAATGATGTTATAAATAGAGATGGCAAAAAATAAATAAGATGTTGACGCTTTTGTTGATGAAAAGACTATCGTACATCATAGTGTTGGTATAAAGGCATTAAAACAAAAGTGAAAAAGACGACCCAAGCAAAGAGAAGGAAGAGGAGAAAGACACCAATATAAACAAAGGATCTCTTTCTTCTCAATTGACTTCCTACCTCTGTTCTTAATTTCTCGTATTCGCCTTCTTTATCATTGTAAGTGTAGGTGTAAGCGGTCATCGTGGATGTAGGAGGTGGTGGAACGATGGTGGTGGTGGTGGTGGTGGTGGTGATGACTTGAAGTGCGTGAGAGGGCTTGTCATCAAGTTCCTTGATAGAAAGGTCTAACTCGTTCTGTTCTTCAGAAAAGCGTATCAGCGCTGTCAGTCTACGCTCTCTTTCTTTTCGGTTGACTTGCAACCAGCCATTGAGCTTTTTCTTATCCAGCCATAAGAAGCAGACGGCGAGCACCAAGGCTAAAACCGTGATACCGAGATAAGCATTCAAGACACGATCGTATTCATGCGCCATATCGGTCGCATCGTCCGACGCGTCACCATCGTGAAAGGTTAAATCTTGCACATAGCCGACAATGACGGACAGAATCGTACTACCAATGTTATTACTACATTTATGCAGTCCAATCGCCACACCCACAAGTTCAGTGGGGACGAGGAGGGCTGAACTACTGAGAATCGACACGGGGCCTAGAGAGAGCGCGATCGAGATGAGCATGATCCCTACATCCGGTGGCGTCCATGTATAGGATAAAAGAACAAGACCCGTCAAGAGGACCAAAACACCCGCGAACAGCATATACAAGCGTTTACCATAGCGATGTGCATAAAGGCCCAATAAAGGAGCCAAAACGATGGGAGCCAACTGGGTCAAGCTACTGACGTAGCCAGCTTTGACACGCGTGGTTTTGAATCGAAATTGGACAAACTCGGTGGCGATATCAGTGAAGCTACTCAGGACGCTGGACATGGTAAATTGTAGCCAAGGCATCATCCAGAAGGTAGAAGGAAGGTAAAGGAGAGTGCTGTAATGGAAGGCATCCTGCTTTAAACGCTTGTAACGCTTGGTACCACTACTTGCCTTTTCGTCCTCCTTCTCTTTTGTTGTTCCTTTCGAGTGAGAGTGAGAGTGGACTGTGGACGTGTGTTCCAACATGTGTTTTTCTTTTCCCAACAACGTCGCAAAGTCTTGTTTGACCATCACGCACCAATAGGCCATGTTGGCTACTACAGAAAGCGCACATAAAATCATGGCTACTGTCACGGGTCTTGTTGTTGTGCCGGCGTAATCAGCCAAGGGATAACACACTGCTTTCGCAATAAATTTGGTTAACCGCGCCACGGACAGCATGATACCAACGACAATCGAGAGTTGTTTATTTCGAAACCAACGAGAGAGGATGGCTTCCTGAAACGTGACAATGACACCGTCCCCAAGGCCATAGATGACTTGACCAGCAAGCATCATTGGATAATTGTTGTTATTGACGGCTACGCTAACCAACAAGCTGCCGACAAAAATAACCATGCTCGTGGCGAGTGTTCCTCGCACAGTGCCTATGGAAGAATTAAAGTCATCGGCAAAAGCACCTGCGAAAAACGGCAGGACAGTATTCACGACAGAGACAGCAGACATAAGAATACTAAATTGAGTATTGTTGATATTCATCGACTAATGGGTAGGTGGGGGATGAATGAGTGAGTGAGTGAGTGAGTGTTTGAAGGTGCTTTCTTTGTTTCGGATGGATAAAACTTACGTGTTTGAGTGTCGTCTTGAGTGTACCGAGTGTTGCTTCCATATAATGACAGCCAACTACGAAAAGTACGAATTCAACATGGAATGTTAGGCTACATCTGTTCAAGAAGAAAAAAAAAAAAAAAATATGCCTTGAAAGATTACCTGGCATGATCAACATGGAGAATAGGACAACAGCTTTTGCCTTCCATGATATATCCTGCCTTTCTTTTAAAAAATGTCCAGCTTCTCGTTGTTCTTCTTTACAACGAGCACGAGGTTCAAGATCGGGCGGCAGTTGCTTACTGACTTTTACTTTAATTTTTTGTTCTTTGCTGACAAACTGGTCTATTGCGATTTCATTTGCTGTGAACGATGGTTTATTGGTATCACAGCATAAATTATCATTTCTAATGGTCACTGGTAAAGAAGTTCGGCGATGAAGGGTATTATTATCTGCAGTGAGTGCATCTGAAGCACCTTGTGTATCTCTATTGCTGTTGACGTGTGGCAGATCTTCTTCTGCCTTGGACTCCATATATTCTCTTCAAAGAAGGGCGGGTGGATACAGAAAGGAAAATATGGAGATAAAACTGATGATAACAAACAAAACGGACTCTATATATATATATCTGTTTGTAAAAAAAAAAAAAAAAAGATCAAAAAATCTTTTTTTTTTTTTTTCTTATGTAAACAAATACTACACTAGAATTTCGAAAAAAGAAAAAAGGTCAATTTATTATAATAAGCAGCATACAAGTTACTTGAGGCTAATCGGCAAAAAAAAAGTTGTGGATATTCGGATTCATGGAGTTTTACATTCATTCACTTTTTTTGGGCATTTACGCCTTCAGCACAACTCAACAGAACGTACTATAGCCCTTCAGAGCCTTTGAAATGGGGCTGGATGCCGTATGTATTGGTGTTTAGCGTTATAACTATATTGTTATGATAAGCGTGATGGATTGGAATTGAATTCATTTTTTTGTTAGACTCAACAGGTACACCTGCTAATGTGAGGTAACGCCAAGTCGCAAAACAAATGAATAAAATTAAAGAGGCCCTTTTTTGTCAACAAAATAAAGATGCGCTTACCATTGGTGTGGATATTGAAATGCATGCCGGAAAAGCACTTTATTGGATCTTTTTGTCTGCTTTACCTTAAAAAGACAGAGGGCTTGAGCTGTGGCAAAAAGGACAACAGACATGATAGGTTGAACAATTGGCGAACAGCCCGTGCTAAACGGGAAAAGCCTGCGGAAAAACGAAACAAGCGCATGTTGGTCACAACAGCAACCCTTTTTTTTTTACGTAAAAGGAATGCTTAACAAGAGTTCGGTAGGACGTCAACCAAAAAACCAAGTAAAACAGTCTTGTCAAGGAATAGATGGGCCTTTACTACATATTTTCTTACTATTGGATGCATCATAAAGATGCCTATAGACACACCATATTTAATTCAGGCCATGACTGCTATCGGCCCTTCATTGAATTAATGCAATCATGAATGCATTTTTCTTTTTATTTTTATTTTTTTTTTTTTTTTTTGTCTAGGGGACGCTCCTGGATTTCATTCTTGTTCCCCCCAAACAGCATGCCATTACCCATATCAAAATTACTAACAACACTACTCATATTACCGTCGCTTTTACTCATATTATCAGCTACACAACGGCTACTCGTGTCGGCACAAAACGATGCTTCTTCAACATCAGCCATACTTGATGAACGCATAAATAACATTGTTGTTTTTGGAGATTCGTATTCTGATGTCGGCAATCAACAGAGATTAACAAATGGTCCGCTATGGAGCGAAAATTTAGCAGTTGGATGGAACGCTTCTTTGTACAGTTTTGCATTTAGTGGAGCAGTATGTGATAATGATCTATATCCTAAGGAAAACACTTTTATACCAAGTATCACGGATCAAATCGAAATGTTCTACGAACAATATCAAGCCGATCACATCGATATAAAAGATGCTATGAACGAGACAGTCTTTATATTTTGGGTTGGATTGAATGACGTATTCAAAATAACATCAACGACAAAAGATACATCAGAAGAAGAACAACAATATAGTAGAGTGGTGGAATGTATTGGTACAAACATTCGAAATATACGCAAGTTATTTGGAGCAAACAAGTTTATTGTGTTTGGCATACCTCCTTTTGAAAAGATGCCCTATTTTTCACCTAACACCAACACCAACAGCAGCAGCAGCAGCAACAAGAGTAGTAGCGATCCTAAGAACAAAGAGGCCATGGAGAGGGCAGCCCATCAATTAGACGAATTACTGGCCAGACACGTCGAGAAAATGAACAAGCATCTCCAATATTTGGAACTGGATTTGGTAGATGTGCATAAACTGATTGATGATATTGTCTCGCAACCGGCTATCTTTGACTTGAAGAATGCTCACGATGCTTATTGGGAAATATGCCAAGGTCAATGTCAAGATGACGTGAATAGCTATGTTTGGTGGGACTCTATGCATTTAACAGGTGGCATCCATCGTCTCATTGCCAACAGCATTCTTATGGCAGGTTCACTCGCCCCCGAGACGTATTTACCGGATGACATTGACGTAGAAGCCTACTTGTATAAAGAAGGAAATGTACAGTACAAATCACCCAAGTTCAAAGCGGCCAAAAATACGGGCGAGATCGAACGAGCGATCCATAAGTTGAATGAGGACAAGTTATCAGAGGCCATGAATCACATTGTCAGCGAACAAGAAGAGATTTTATCGAGTGAACATAACAACGATGAAGCACCCGAATCAGCAGCAGATCGTAGTAGAAACCACCACATTGTCGAGTTCAGCCATATCTATCTGATGATGGGCGGGCTTATCTTCATTTCAATTGGCTTTCTATTGTTTCTTCGCAAGACAAGAAGACGGGGTGCCGCTAAAATGAATGCACTTTCAAGCTTGTTAAAGAAGAACCATAAAGCTCTGTTTCGACCTTTGAGGAATATGGACAATGAAGTATAGCGCACGGGAGCAAAATAAAAAAAAAAAAAAAAAAAAAAAAAAAAATAATAAAAAACTCAAATGTTGTCAGACAGTGATGGCACTTTTTTCACGCGTTTTATACTTGTCCATCAAAATGTATGGATCTATCTTATTTTGACAGTAACGGTTCATTTTGACAACTTTAATACTCACCTCGATTCTGTGAACTATTCAGAATTTTTCATTTTTGTGCTCTTCCCTTTTTTTCCCCTCGCCCCTCACCTCATTGATTCTATCTGATGGATAATATGACTCTCGCTTATCAGCAGTCTGATGAAGATACACTGGCCTCTAGATCATCGTTCAACGGGAAAGAGGTTGTATTCAAGACCGAGGAAATAGGCAAAGACAGCTTCTCGGTCCACAGTGGTTCTGTTTGTACAGCACCTCTATCTCTATCACCTTCAGCGACAGACTTTAATCATTTATGGGAGACGTATGCTTCTTCCACCGCTAACTATGGTATCGCTCTTCATCCGTCCATCAGCAGCAGCCATCACAGTATGATGGAGCCGATGGTACCCGAGGATCACTACCAACTCTTCGGTCCTAGTACGGCTACCCTCAGCAACATGGTGAATATGACAAGTAACGATGCGAATAGTTTGATCAGTGAAGAGTCCTCTGTCACCACCACCACCACCTCTTATTCCTCTACCTCTTCTTCCTCCATACATTTGTTTGGATCCAATACGTACGCTCATTCAGACTCTCCTCCTTTGACAAAGGACACTCCCTCGGCTTCCGTCATCAGCTCACACTGTCTATCGCCGGCATCTTATCACCCTTCCTCCTCTTTATCAAGCTTAACGGCCACTCTTCAATCACACGATGAAGCATACAAACTGCAGCCTCATGGGCCTACTCTACCGGGGAAGCTCAGCTTCTTTTTATGTCATCAAACATCTACCTCTCTTCCTACGGCGAGCACTACACTTAGATCCGCCAACACCACCCTCTTAAGTCAGCACCAGGCTCTGTCCGCCGTCTTGAATGGAGATCAGAGCGGCAGCGGTACAGACGATCCTCATGCAGCAGCAGCAGCAGCAGCAGCAGTTTCTGGAGACCATCACAAGCTTGCAGCAGAGCATCAAGACATTCATTCCATCATGTATCACCAGCATTTAATTCCCGCTAACACCACATTGGACTGTATTTCACCTGAACATACCTTCCTCTCTCCGCCCGCACCTGCATCGTCGTCTTGTAGTACGACGATCGCTCAAACGAGTCATTTCCATTCTTCTCGCCTTCTGTCTGTAAAGAACCACCCTCCACCCTCACCCAACCCACCACCACCACCTCCTCCTCCTCCTCCTTATGAAACCGATGACGGCAGTAGCTCAGACAGTGACCTTGCCCATTCCTCCAAGAACCCATCCACCCCTCTTTTCACCAAGAATCCTACCATTGTTCGCCAGCAATTGATGGCCTCAAGAATCAAGAAAAAAGCAACCCTGCAGCTGAAAGCACCTGGAACGTCTAGTAGACAAAAGGTGCCCAGCCAGCAAAAACACCAGAGCAGCAAGAAGAAGAGACCTTACAGTGAAATGGCAACAAAACCGTCCGATGAATCCAATAACTATCCAGGCGTCCTCCTTCATCCATGTCGGCAACAGCAAGAAGAAGAGGACAACAACAACAACAACAACGACGACAACGATGAGGAAAAATGCCCTAGAAAGAAAAAAAAGACAACACAGATTTGTCCAACGGCATCCACCACGGTTTTAGAGGAAGCAGAAGAGTTCGAAGCAGCAAAGAAAACAAGAAGAACGACAACGTCCTATGACAGTGAGACGACGTTCTATTTAAAGTCTATTTTTTTCGAAGTGTTTAGTCAAGGCCTGGCTGTCAACACCACAACGCATTCCAGCAGCCATAGTAGTCGCTCTGTCATGACCAGTAATGTTCATAATTTGACCACAAGCAAATTAACAAAAGAACAAAGGAGAGAAATCCATAGAAAGACAGGGTTGCCTTCTCGCAATATCACTTATTGGTTCTCTAACCATAAACGCCGTTTTGCTCCCATGTTGAAGGTGTACAAGAAATGCATGGAACTCAATAAGGACTTGAAAACTTACAAGGACTTTGTTCAATACCGCAGAAAGCATCGCTTGCCTGATCAAATCTCGCCGTTGGAAGTCTTGGAATACGAAGCCAAGTATGAACAGCCTAAATGACAGTCCAAACCGCTCCATGTCCGAATGGCAAGAACCCCATTTAAACTATACATTAACTATGCGTTTATTATCACCCTACTTAGAAGTATCTCTTAGAAAGCCATGTTTCTCTTTTTTTTCTTTTTTTCTCTCTCCCATTGCTTGTTTTTGCTGCTTGAAAAGACTCACAAAACCACCCAATATCATGTTATTATTTGCTTAGACCAATCATCTTCACTCTTTATTGAAAAGAAGAAAGTTTTTATGAATAAATCTTCTTTTTTTTAAATAGGAAAAGAGAAGGCTGGAGTTTCCAGACTCATCCATAGCGTTATCCAACGCGTTCTTTATTTCGCGTCAACTTTTCCATTGATTTGTAGCAAAGAATGTGTCCATTTTTTATCAGAAAATGCTTGCATTTAGTAAGATGTTCATACGTGTTCAATTTGTAAATGTTGGTTTTCTCTATACGAGAAACCGACAAATCCATAGGAGGGACATCTTTCTCTTTTCTTTTAAGCGGGGTTCAGAATTTGCAGTGGAGATGCGACGCTTGTTAGGGCAAAGGCCTAAGCACCAACTCCATCAATGCGAAAGATTTGGGGTTTTTTTTTTTAATTCCCTGACTGAGCGGAACAAAAAAAATTTCATGTATCCTTTTTTATAACTTATCTTTATCCTTACAAACCAACGTTTTCTTTGCTTTTCTTCTCGACTTTGACCCAGTACCATCACCTTCTCACCCTCCACTACTTGAAAGCTGCAGATGGAAAGTAGCAGTAGCCATAGGTCTCTGCTGCATGCGAGCAACGGAACGTCGTTTTCGGCATGGATCGTTTTATTCTTTGCCGTATTATTGAACATGTCTATCAATTTGAGATGGTCCACTTTCAGTCCTGTTGCTTCTGTGGCGGCTGACTATATGCAAGTCAATCTCTCTGCCATTACTTGGCTGTCCAATTGCGCTACTTTGATTTATATTGCCATTGGTTTTTGTACAGGTTGGATATTTGAAAAATACGGTATCAAAACCAGTGTAAAGTTGCCCCTAAAATTCGTGTGTGTGTGTGTGTGGGATCAAGAATGGTATTCTGATGTCTCTTGCTTCAGTTTATTTTAGCTGCTGTAACAAATATTGCAGGGTCTTGGATCAGATATTTCGGTACATTTGCGCCTGTGCACCAAAGATATGGTATCATCATGTTTGGACAGGTAAGAAAAAAAATTCAATCATGACATCGAAACACTCTAAAATTTATGCCACCCTCCATGACTCAGTGTCTAGCATCCGTAGCAGAGCCTTTTATTATGAACATTGGTACACACGTAAGTGATCACTCGGGAACATGACTTCCATTTGAAAAAGAATGCTGATATCCAATGGCGATCGGTTAGTTTGCTGCCATCTGGTTTTCTGCCAAACACCGTGTTACAGCAAATACATTGATATGTAAACTCTCCATGTGTCATTTATTTCAATGGATCAAGTAAAAATTGACCCTTATTTTTTCTTTTCTGGTAGCCTTACCCATAGGTATGATTGTGGCGACTCTTTGCATACCTAGAATTGCCGTCCAGGCTGATGATATGCCAAAAGCCGTAAGTACTGTAAAGCCCTTTTTCGTTGTATCGTGAGTGAAACCATTCGCTGATACTCGCACCACATAGCTTTTGATCGTAGCTTGTATCTCTACAGCTTGTGGTATTCCGTTCCTTTTCCTTCCTGCTGGTCCAAAGGTGCCACCTTCCGAAAGTGCCAAAGTCCAGCGTCTCACTTTCCGAAAGAGTCTGAAGCTCTTACTCTCTAATCGCAATTACATCCTTTTGGTGTTTGTCTTCAGTATCGGTTTCTGTATGTACGCCTCCATCATGGCTATTACCAATTACATTTTCACACCGTATGGCTACAGTAACAAGGATGTCGGTTTGGCCAGTTTTGTACGTATCATGAGTGGTGTCGGTGGTGCTTTGATAGCAGGACGGATCACTGACTGGACTGGCCGACATACGCTCGTGTTGCAAGTGGCAACATGGATGACAGTGGTCACCACTCTCATTTTATACCTCCAAGGTAACATAACATGTGTAAAGATCAGTCACTATCTCAGCTCACCTTTGTTCATTCTCCATCCCAGACCTCGTCAATACATATGCTTTCATGTTTGTCTCTTGTTTCCTCCATGGCTTCTTTGTCTTTTTAATTTTTCCCGTGTCCTTGGAACTGGCTGCTGAAGTCACTTTTCCAGTACCTGAAGCCGTCAGTGCCTCCATCCTTTGTTTATTCTGCCAAATTGGCTCTTTTGTGACCACCTACGTTTTGGACGCATTAAGGGATACCAGTCCTACCGCCCATCCACCAGGTAATATGAAACATGCTTTAATTTATGCCCTTGTTTTGTCTGTCTGCGGTGCCATCCCGTCGGTCTTCCTGAAGCGAGATTTGAGGCGTCTTCACCATGACAGAGAAGGTTATCCTGCGGAACAGCAACCATCGTCTCAAGAAGAGGCAATAGAAAGAAACAATGATCTCCTCCATGAGCATCAGCAGCAGCAAAACATAGCATCATCGCCGTCAGAAAATTTGCATGATATTCTTACGACCGCTAAGTCGTGATAATTTTCCATTTTTCTATCAAACACTCATAGAACGCACCGAGTGCACCTATTCTATAACTATCTGTATATAACTTAATAATACCCTCGCATTGTTTTAGATTCTTCATCCCACTTACCTATCTTTGTTTTTGAATGGATGACCAGTGGAAGAGCAGAGCTCTATCATTTTCAGACAGGTACAATCAGTCATATCAGGTGGATGGACGAACAAAGATCCATTTGAATTTGCACAAGTGTTACATTTATAATTGACCAAGCGTGCTTTATTCCTATCTTTTGTCACTCGGCTATGTTTGATATTATCGCGTCACCGAGCACTATGTTCAAAAAAGAAAAAAGAAAAAGGTGAGAACCTCTAAGGACCGAATCAATGCTTTATTGCATTCATCTCCTCCCCATAGTGTTGCTGGACGCTTTGAGATACCTCCAGTTTGACATTAGATAGGCATTCTTGAAAAGAAAGTGCTTACCTATTCCAATCAAATGGCTGTTCATTTGAGGCGCTGCACGATTGTCTACGAAAGGTGTTTAAGCTATTGCTAGCTTGGTAGCGAACACCCGTTTGTGGCATTGCTGTCTACGCACAGAATCTATAGCGATAGTAGATGTATCGCACAATAATTTGGGTTGCAATCATGATACAGAGATTGCCAACAAGTTTTTTTTTTTTTTATTTTTTTTTTTTTTTTTGCTGCTGGGCTAGTTGAAATGATTGCGTTCACCGCGACTTAGACAGTTTCTTAGATATGTATAATGTTCATAGCAACCACATTTTTCGAAAGAGGGTCGTTTTACCGTAACTTTTGCAGTTGTGTACTCATCTATAGACAGGCGTCATCTTTAACAAATAATCGTAAGTAGGTAGAGGAGTACACCGTTTCGATTCTTCTTCTTCTTCGCAATGGGTGAAAACCAGTCTTTTCAAACGTATTAACTACATGGATTTTAGCCACGACACAGGTTGTGAGTCCCTCCCTTGTGTTGTTGTTGTTTATTTTATTTGTGAAATCAAGCAAAAAATTTCTTATGTATGCTCATCAACACGTCTACTTTTGCAAATTGACAAACGAAAATGATGGGCAACCGTCCTTTATTAGGTGAATGTACTTTACAATACTCCTTTATTGGACCCATTACTTTCGAAAGCCTGTCCTTTACTCATTGCCGTCAAAGACCCTCATTGTTGTGTATGTATTACTAACACTCACTTGTGTATTTCAATTTGCGCGAAAAAAGATTGATATTATCCTACAAAAAGGTATAAAGAAAGAGGATCTATTAGGCCAACTCTTGTGCCTTTTGAAGAGAAGGTGGATTTGTTGGCCCCGCCGTTCCCTTCATTGCTTCTGAATAGCTTGGTAGCATCTGTAATAACAATGACATTCGTCTGGAAGCTTTTATTACCCTTTTTTAACGAATTGTCCGCTACTCACTCAATGTGTCCTTTGCGCGAAATGTATGCTTCATTGACAGATTTAGTATCCCAGCTCGTTCTTCAATAGTAACTATTTGGCCCAACATTTTTCCTGTTGTACCAACAGCGTACAGTAGCTTGCAATTACGCTTTAGCATAGCGTTTCTCACACTGGCCAATATAGGCTGTAAACTCGTCGAATTGTTCTCAATTTCATTTTTGGCGATCCATCACTTAAAACCCGTTCTTTTCGTGTCTTTTTATAGTTCCAAGCCTCTTTTTACCTAAACGAAGTGTGCGCATTTGATCATTCGTTGTGTATCAAAATTAGTTTTGTTGTACCTTGTTGAGCAATGTTACCTAAGCCTAAGAATGCAAAAAAAAAACAAAAAAAAAAAACTGGCTCAAAAACCTTTTTAGCTGTTATTGTACCACACACCTACACACACACACACATACAGGTTGAAATGATCTTCAAATAGGCCCGTTTGAAGAATAAGTTCGGAAAATTCTCAAAGAATGGCTGATGCGAATGATGCAGCACCTTATGATGACTACTTTTTGTGTTGCCATGCTCTCCCTTGTCTTCCTTAATGAACAATTGCAAAAGAAGAAGAATGTTTTATCTTTATTTTTACTTTGTCAATCTCTCGTGAAAGCGTGCCATGACAGAGTGGTACAACTTTAATATAAGTGCTTCACTTCAGATCTAACTTTGTAATCAAACTTCACCTCGTCTAGCCAATGAAGAATAAGAAGGAAGAAGGCTTTGTCTATAAACGTTACTACGTGTGATGCAACACTATTATTGTACTAACTCATAGACAACAATGATCCATTGTGAATCAATAGCAGTTATTCAATGACAAAGACTTTTTATATTTCTCCGTTGCCTTATACATTATTGCTTGCAGCTTGCATGGATGAGAATTTATAATAAAGTAAAAAGGGAAAATAACAATAGTGTGACCCGACTCTTGTGTACTTGATTGGAAGTTGGCTTATGTAATGACGTTCCTCTATAGGAATGTAACTATGGATACTGTTCAGCAATAGCTGTTACGTTGGAGGAAAAAAAAAAAAAAGAAAAAAAAAAAAAAAGAAAAGTTTTTTTGGTGCTTTAACTAACCTTCATAATTAGTTAGAATGCACGTTTCTTATTGTTCTTTACGAAAATTGCTGAGCAACACATTGTTTGTGTGCCTTGTAGAATGTTCTACTAAGCCCAACCGCTCAATCGCCCGATCGCCAAGACCATTGAACTTACATACATCATGCTGTTCGAGAGACACCATTTGAAATTCAAGCGCCAACAAGTGCTCATTATTCTTAACTATGATGAGGATCCGAATCTCAACAGACCGATCTTTCTTTGTGCATCACTTATGAATGATGCCACTTTTTTATAGCTTATCTATGAGAAGCATTCAACTCGAGAGAAAAAAACAAACTTTTCAAACACATAAGCCCTTTCGATCACGTCCCCCTCATCCTTTTAAAAATAGCCCTTGAAAGTTGCATTTATTACATTTATGGCGATTTTGCGCCAAAGTATTCATCATCAAGGGCATCTACAGATTCCCAATTATTTCATAATGGTATCATACCATACTACATACGTGCAGAACAAATGGTAGAGCGACAATGTTACACGTAGAATAAAAATAGAGCAAGTACTACCTTGGTTGTTCCCCCCACTCCTTTCAAAAGCACGGCTTGGGCGATCCTTCTCCAAGCCTCACGGCAGCAATAATTGGATATCACGCGACGTCCTCTGCTGACTTGCTTCATCTCTTTCAGATCATAGAGTGCAAAAATTGTTCTGTGTTCCCCTTCATGTCCCCTATAATAAGACGTTTCTCTGCTATCTATGTGTGTTCCCAACTCCTAATAATAACCACTCCTTTTCCCCAGATTAGGTATACTTTAAACCGGGTGTCTTCAGCCTTTCTTTTCTATATGTGGTGTGTTGCAACCATCTATTGTGCTTTTCTTGTCATTTAAATAGAGAGCTCATCAAGAAAACGGTCGTCTCTTCTTTTCTGTTTTGAAACTTTATCTTTCCTTCTCTTCCTTCCTTTCCATTCCATTAATTTAGCCTTTTGAACTTTTTTTTTCCTTTCCGTTTCATTTATATATAAAGTAGGGAGCTAGGCAAAATAGAGTGAACAAGAGCAAACGAAAAATAGACAAAAATATGAGATATATCTTTGCAGCAGCATTGCTGACATTATCAGCATCTTCAGTATTAGCAGCCGATGTTCAATATTCCGTCGTCGCTTTCCCTTCCGGCAATCAAGGTGTTGGCGTCTCTGTGAATGGAAAGATTACAGCTCTCCAGCAGAGTAGTGTTCATCCCAACATTTACACTGGTACCGCTACTTCTGGCGACAGCTACCAGTACGTTATCATGGACGGCCAAAATAATCACCCAGAAACGGCCACCCGTAAATTAGCACAAGGTGTTACGTCAACTGGCAATGAATTTTTCAACCGTTCCAGAACTGTGTGGGATGTACCAAGCCTTCCTCAAGCTTTCAATCCTATTTATCCCAGTAAGCTTTTTTATGGATCTTCAACGGGTCGTCCTAATTGACTTGGAGACTTGAAACTTTATTTTTTTAATTTTTTTTGGGTTGATGATCTATCTAACTTGGTGATGCTTTCCCTACTTTTTAGCTCTGTTTACCAATTTGAACAAATCCAATGAAATTGCCACTATTATCATGACAGTCAATGCTACTGCTTTGGATGCTATCAATCAACAACCTACAGAAAAACTCGATGATGCTCAAATCACTGAGCTGGCTTACATTAGTCACTCCGAAGTCTACAAGTTCCAAGGGGCTGGTCTTAGCACCAGCGGCCAATCAACCAAAGACTTTTCCAAACAATCCTATGCTATTGATTTGAACAAATACAACAAGAACGCCACTACGAAAGCTTTATTGTACGGCCGTACCTCTTTGAAACTTCGCGCTGAAGAAACGGATGCCACCTTTGCGTAAGTTGTTTACTTTTTCTTGTGAATGTACTCTCCATTTTTGTTACAATACTCACACGGCCTATCATCTCTGTCTTTCATGACACAATAGCCGTGAAAAGCTGGTTCTTGACATGCTTGCTGCTTCTGGTGGTGCCACCTTGTCTGGTTCTTGGACCCGTGTCTTTATCAATAATGAACCCTATGGTCTCTTCTTGCTCATGGATGACGCCTCTACTCATTTGATTGACGCTGTGCTTCATGGCGGTAATTTCCAATCCAAGACCACAGGTAAAATAGGATCCAGCAACTCCTACGTTTGTCGGCTGTTGCCCCTTATCACATCAATTATTGCTCTACTCCTCCATCCCATATCTTTTTATTTATTTCTTTTTTTGCTTGACACTCCTTACGGCAGCATTCAAAGCCACTATTATTCTAACTTTTCTTTTGTTTTTTGTTTTTTGTTTTTTTTTTTCTAATGCAGGTGTTACCTATAAAGGCAACGCTTTGAGCGAAACTGTAGAAGGCAACTTGGTTTACAAAGGCGACGACCCTACACTCTATTCCCCAGATATTTACAAATTAGAAGACACGGGTGAAGACAATTCCATCAGCAAAAAGAACGACAGCCAAAAGCTCATCATTGATTTCTGTAAACGTTTGAGTCAAATAGATGCTCAAGAGGCCAAGGATGCTCAACATCCTGGAAGTATTGCTAATCTCATTGATCCTCAACACACTTTGATTCACATGGCTATCAATTTCCTCATCGGTTCTTGGGACGGATTCTGGTATCAAGCCAGTAACTACTATCTCAACAACGAGCTTGGTAGCAACAAGTGGACCTTGATCACTTATGATTTCGACGAAACCTACGGTAACGGTGTGGAAGATGCTGCCATGAACACCGTCCCTTACCAAAACTATGCTCGTCCTGGCTCCCAGCGCCCTCTTGTCAATGTCTTTTTAAACAACACTTATTATGACGCTATGTTTCAAACAACGGTCAAGACCATTGTCAAGCGTTTCTTCAAGCCTAGCGTCGTGGACCCCATCTTGAAAGTATGGTCTGAAATGTTGGCCGAAGATATTACCTGGACCCGTAGCATCCCGGGCCGTTCACCTGGTATCAAGACTGCCTTTACTCTTCAACAGTTCCAAGAAGGTTTATTAGGCAACACGACCAATGCGATCAGCCAATGGGTCGCCAAGCGTTCGTCTTCTCTTTTAACACAATTGAACTTTACAGATACAGATGATCTCCCTCCTTTACCTGCTTACACTGCAGGTAGTCATTTGGACGCCAATGGAAATGTCGTAAGCAATAATGGCAACCCCGTTGCTGGCAATGGTAGTGTTGCTCCCGGCGGTAAAGCTGATGCTACGGGTAAAAACGCTGCCGGTAGTACATCAGCAGCAGCTCCCTCTTTGACGAACTCTCTTAAATTAACAGCTATGGGCGCTACCTTGGTCACCTTTGCTCTCTTTATCCTAAATTAAAGACCTGTAATGCTTAAAGCACATTAACTACTTTTCAGTTTTGTCCCGTCTCCCCTTTTTTTGCTTTCTACTTTTAGCTAAACTATCCTTTATCATAATTTATAACGCTCTTCTCGCGTAGACGAAAAAGATAACGTCAAAAAAAACCGAAAACAAAGCCAGTAGAGGGTGTTTCAAACTCCTTTTTTTTCTTTCATTAAAAACATGGTCTATTAATATCTTGTTGATAGAAAAAATGGTAATGGTAGTCTGCCAAAACTCTATCTAAAGCTTTAGTCCATTGACATTCATGTACATGAATGTTGATTCACAATAGATAACAAGTCGTTGTACAGTTGTTTTCCCGAATGTCTTTTTCAATCTGTTTGGTTCACGCGCATTTGTTGAGTGTGAAACTGGTATGCATGTTTCAAAAATACAAGCAGATCATACTTTTTTTTGCTGCTGAGTATCCCATAATTTGACACGAATAAAACGGCGATCTTTGAATAGATCTCCTTATAGCTTTGACTCCGAAAAGGAACAATGATGAAGAACCAGAAAAGTTATTTTCGAACAGTGACAATTCACCTTTGACGTCCCTTATTCAGTGCACAAATAAAGTATGACTGAATTAACATGAGCCATGTTTTCTTCATTCTGAGTGTCTGTCTGTCTGATTCAGATGGTGCCATTGGCGTGATACCTCTTTTTTCTTTCTTTTTCTTTTTTTTTTGGTCGACGATCCTCCGAGATTGACTAGCCGGTTTTCAAGTTTCAAATCCCAGAGTATAATTCTGCCTAAATGGGGCACGTTTCTCTTTACTTACTTTAGTCTCTTTTGCAGCTTCTCGTCAGCTTAGAAGTCTTCCATTGATAACGCGTCGAAATCCATTGATATTCATGCGTCAAGAGATGGATGTTCAAACATTATTATACTGGTTGCATACTCTCCAGAAAGGTACATAGAAGCTGTATATACTTTTAAGAACGGGTACTTCCTTCTATGTGATTCTATTATGACCTGTTAAAGATCTTTTTTGCCTTTTTTAAAAGAAACAAAGACTATTTTTAAGAGCAACGGCAGCAGACATGCTTTACCCGACTTTTCAAAATCTATCTTGGCAAAAAAAAACCACACACACATGTCTCTTTAAGCGTTACTCTTGGGCAAACTATGGGGAAGAGGGTCTGACCTAACAGCGCGACTTTGCGTACTTTGATTTTCTAAATGTTTCAGGTGACCTGAAACCATTGAGCGGGATCATGGATATCTCGGCTTACTCCCTCCCCTCTCCTTTTCCTATTTTTGTGTATCAATGAACACGCCTCAAGAACGGTTATTGATAGCGGCTTTCTCCATAGCGTGAATTAGACTATAAGTGGGCCTTTAACAATTCAAATATCAGAAACGCGCATTAATAAAGAAGCTAATTCTAAAAAATTTTTTTCTGCTATTTACTACTACATGCAACTTGATTTGGAAGTCTGTTTTTGAGAGCATTTCACCATTTATTTTACTGCTGGAATTGTTCTAAAGCTATCCACCGACCTTTCCATGATCAATAGAGAGCCCTCTCAATGGCAAAATAAATGTAATGTCACACTAATGAACCCAGTGTGTTGAAATAGCTGTTTGATATTTTAACGTCTACGCTACAAAAGAAGTAGTTGTAAATTTAGACAGACACTCTAAAACTGGGTGGTGTGAATGATATTTTTAACCTGGGAAACATAAAGAATGTTCGAAACTGGAGCTCCATTCTCTATCTATTCGCCGTAGGTCAAACCGAGGTCAGCAAAAAAAAAAAAAAAAAAAAAAAAAAATGGCCATAGCACAGATGGCTGCTATTTCTTTGCAAATCACCTGTAGCGAAAATATCGTATTGGATATTTGTTGTCTTTTCGACAAGAAAGGAAATATCATCCAACAAAGCAAAAAGCTGAGTTTCTTATGAACACATCTTTCCCGTTTACACCAGAGGGTTTTTGAAAACAGAGAAAGTGGTGTTTATGTCCTTGGGGTCCTGCATTGATGTGTATGCATCATCATTTTTGCAACAAAACTGTTTGAGACTGTGTAAATACTTGGTAAATGCTCAAAATAGCTTATTCCTAATAAACAACACACCCCTAGTCTTTCAATCATTTAAAATTTCTCCTTTTTTCAAATTTCAATATCCACTAACTGTGGCAAGTATTTCAAGGATATCCCTTTGATCTCGCGGTGAAACATCCCGTTAGAAATACACGAACACCAACTTGGAAAAAAAAAGTCTGCTCGTCCGGATTTGAGTATTCTATATGTTAGCATACTCCACGCAATTATACATAAGTACATACATTACTTGACTTGCATGTGAGCTAGTGTTTCCAATGACGAATGACCTATATCCGGACAAATGGTGATCTGTAAACTTAATATCGACAAGGATATAATGCGATAAATGTCAAATGGCTCAAAATGACGAGGTTCCTAAAGACAGGAGCAGATCTATAGACTACTAAAAAAAAAGTTATTTCTGTAACAATAGCTTTAGACTCTGTTAACGTCATTCCTTGTACCATTTACAGAAAAAAACAATCAAAAAAACCATAAAAACCATAGAAAAAACCTTATAGTCTACGCTAGTTCTGTACATAGTTCCAAAAATGGTGAATAAAAATCGTTGCATTATCCCAACGCTCACACAAGCTATTTTCAGTCAGTTGAAGCGGCGATACAGGAATATTCATCATTCAGCAATGAATCAAAAGAAAAAAAAAAAAAAAAAAAAAGTTAGCAAAAAATACAACTAAATGCTCCTGCTCATGTGTATATATGGAAACATCCAATGCGTATAAATACAGCGCTATTCTGTGAAGAGTACTTTTTTTCGATTTTGACTCTTTCCTTTAGTCTCAAATATACCAATCATGAAGTTCACAACTACTGGCTTGATCAGTTTAGCTATTACTCTCCTATCTTCTACAGTGTATGCTAATGATGTGACATACTCAGTCGTCGCTTTCCCTGCACAAGGCGAAAAAGTCTCTGTCAATGTAGGCAATCAATCATATCCTTTACAGTCTAGCTCTACCTGTCCTGGTGTCTATACAGGTAACGCTCCTTTTGGTGCTGAATATCACTACGCCCTCGTCGATGCCTCTGGTAAGGCAACAGCCGAACCTTTCAAGCGTACCTTGGCTCAAAATTCCTCCACCACTGGTAATGAATTCTTTGGTCGCTCAAAGACTTTGTGGGATATTCCTGAATTACCTCAAGCTTTCCCTCCTATGTATCCTTGTAAGTTGTCTTTTCCTGAGTTTTGTCTTTATTTCCAATATTGAAACTAATAGTGATCTTCTTGAAATAGCTCTCAAGAGCGGTATGTGGAGTGATAACGAAATCGCTACTGTCATCGTCAAGGCCGATGGTCCTGCGCTTGACAAGATCTTGAAAAAGCCTGAAGAGGACCACAAATATGCTCACGTGTTCAACCTGACTTACGTCAACCATGACAGCTGTTACACTTTCACAGATGCGGGTATTAGAAATAGTGGTCAATCTTCAAAGGAATACGCTAAGCAATCCTTCAACCTTAAACTTGGCAAATTCAACAAGGGTTCCGATGACAGATTGTTCAACCGTAAGGCCTTAAAGATGCGTGCTGAAGCGGATGATCCTGCTTTTATCAGAGACAAGTTATCCTTGGACGTTCTCAAGGCTTCTGGCGCTATTCACTTGGACGGAAACTTTGCCAGACTTTTCGTCAACGACAAACCTTATGGTTTATATCTTATGACCGATGATGAATTCGTTGGCTTCACCGATAACTTGATGAACGGCGGTAAGGCGGACCCTAACATTGGTGCTACCTTCAAGGGTAACTCGATGAGTGCAACACAATGCGCCGATTTAGTCTATAAGGGTGATGACGAAAAGAAGTACGACTTTTCCGATATCTACTTTTTGGGTACCGAAGGTCATGATAAGAACGTTACGGATGAGAATTACGGTGCTCCTTTGATCAGCTTTATGAAAAGATTAAGTGAAGTGAAGCCTGGTACTCCCACCGAACCCGGAACGTTGAACGACTTGATCGATAATACAAACCAAACCATGGCTCAACTTGCTGTCAACATGCTTATCGGTGCCTGGGATGGTTTCTGGTATGGCGGTACCAACTTCTACTTGACGGAACATCTCGATACCAAAAAATGGAATTTGATTACTTACGATTTCGATGATACCTTCGGTAATGATATGACAGACAAATCAATGGTCACCGCTCCTTATGAACAATATGCTCCCAAGAATGCCAAGCGTCCTTTCATTGATGCCTTCATCAAGGACCCTTACTACAAGCCTCAATTTGAAGCCATCCTCAAGACCATTGTTGAACGCTACTTTAACCCCGCTACTATGAAGAAACGTCTTGACGCCTATACTGAAATGTTGCAAGAAGACATTGCTTGGGACTACAATCTCAAGAAACCTTCTCCTGGTAGGGATGAAAAGTTCACTCTCCAATCTTTCAAGACCAACATGTACAATGCTTCTAATGACAGAATGGGTATTCTGGACTATATCAACCAACGTTCTTCTGCTACTGCCAAACAACTTAACATTACTCTTAACAATTAATCACTTAAGTTACCTTTCCTTATTCTAATTGTAACGCTGCCTAATCGCCTCTCCCTAACATGACTACCCGTATTACTCACTTCATCCATGTTTACCTTATTCACCTTCTAATTTAAACAGATCCCCATTGTACAGTCTAACCTATTCGCGTTCATATAGGCAACCCCCCCCCCTTGTTTTTTCATTATGACTTTGAAAGTCAATTTCTATTTTTATGTAATAACTTAAAATATTCTTAATAGACATGCGAATGATTATGTTGATTCATTCCTTTTTCTATCTTAATCAGCCTTTGATCAAATTTGTTTGTTATTCCTTTCAGCATATTCTGTTTCAAATAAATTGAGTAGATTTCATTGCTATTCATTCTATGATTGAAACAATCGGAATGAGTTAAATAAAGTTTCTATAAAGAAGTGGACTGCCGCAAGAGATTGAAATTCCGGACAAAGCAGCAAACTATCCTTCGCCCTGATAGTTTCTTTGAAATTTTCGCTGACCAATTCAACATGGCCCAAGCGCCCTTCTTTTCAGATACATGGAGTTTCATGTGTCGATTATTTAAGTATGAGTTGATTTAATGATTATCAAATGAATTTCTATAGAGTATGATCAATGTATTGTTTCTGTTTCTTTGTTTGAATGCAGATAAAACGCACATGCTTGAACCGTGTAGTTATGTAAGGAATGCTCACTTCAAGCAACACTGGGATAAAAAAAAAAGACTCCATGACAATCTTATCTATGGAATTGGAGCCGTTTGTAACAATGTGGAAATCACTCTCTTCCCCTTCCTATGCAGCAATGAGCGGTTTTTATTGTCAAGCCACGTCAGTCTATTATTAATGTGTTTCTTTTTTTTTTTTTTTTTGGCTTTGTAAAAAAGTAGGATAGCCAGACTACAAAATACTTCATGCACTTGTAAAAATGCTCAAACAAACTTGGTAACTCTATAAGAAAAAGTTTTAGGTCTTTTACTGAAAAAGAAGTGGTATAAAGTGCTTATTGTGCAAAAGAGGTGGATGACGACGGCTGAGGCGCCTGCTGCTGTTCCTGTGATGACATGTCTGGTGTCTGTACAGTTGGCACCTGCTGATATTCCGTCTGTTGCTGTGATGGAAGCAATGAGGGTGGTTGTTGCTGTTGCTGTTGCACCATCTGTTGTACTTGCTGCACTTGCTGGGTTTCTTGCTGTTGTTGCTGTTGCTGTAATTGCTTTTGTTGCTTTTTGATCAAGAGAAGCAACTGATCGCGATTTTTTAGCAGCTCTTGTTGTAACTCGGGGCTTAATTGACTATAGTGGCTCATCAATTGAGGATTTTGTAACAATGCATTGGCTTGAGCAAGTCCGTTAAGGTAATTCAGAGAAGCTATCAATAAATAGTGCAAAGTTAGAAGCCAACATCTTGATAAACCCTTCCCATGTCAGATCACTTTTACCTTGATTTTGTGATGGCTGTGGTAATTGTCCTACTGTGGGTGGAGGTATCATCTGTTGCATTATTTGCTGTATCTGCTGTTGCTGTTGTTGTACTTGTTGCACTTGCTGTGTTTGTTGCTGTTGTTGTTGTTGTTGACGCAACTGTTGTTGTAGCTGTTGTTGAAGCTGCAGGTCTTGTTGTTTCTTCGCCTCTTGCTCCAGCCTGGCGTTTTCTGCTTGAATTCTCATCAATTCTTGCTGTTGAGCTGCTTGTTCTGCTGCCACTCTCGATTGTTCCTCTGTCAGCTTTTGCCTTTGATCAACAATCACTTGCCGGTTCAACATAATCTTCAGTTGAAGCATATCCTCACCATTCTCGCCAATCTTTTTCGCAATTGCCGCAAACTTATCAAACAATTCGGTCTGGCACTTGAAAATCTCAATCATTGTATGATCTTGACGTTCCAAAGGAATTTTATTAGCGTTGAGATCTCGCTTGGGATACTGGTAGATATGGTAAGGGAGTAATCGATCGATCGCATCTTTGACAGATTGAAAGGGTGTTTGGTAATCGGGTGCTGCCACGCTTTTTTGATCAGCCACCAGAGCGCCGAGGAATCTCTTTTTGATCTCACGATGTTGCAATTCCTCTTCCGGTAAGCGTTTAGATAAAATAGAGTCAGAAAGGGATTGTTTCTGCTGTTGTTGTAACGGTGTCACTGGAGAAGGAGATGGCATACCGGGTGTCGCTGCAGAGGATGATATTGATGTAGAAGGTTGCTGCTGGTAGGTTGATAAACTCTTTCGTGCCATATTGGTGGATGATGTGGAAAGAGCTGGAGACGATCTATTGTCACTACTGACCGGCTGAAGTGATGGTTGTGTGAATGTAGAAGCAGTATTGATAGGAAAAGGAAAGGATGGAGTTGAGGGTAACGAGGAGACAGGTGTATGTGCATCAGCAGAATGAATAGCAGTAGGTGTTGTAGGAGTAGATGTATTCGTCATACCCATGCTTTGCTGCGAAATCTGCTGTAAAGCAGAGTAGGGTTGCTGTTGGGTTGCAGCAGCGATAGCAGGAAAATTCGGCTGATTGAACTGTTGTTGATTCGTTTGTAATATACGTTTCTTAGAATATCGACCTGTTTTAATATATTTTCTCGTAGTTTTGCCATCGAAAGAAGCAGAGGTCATATTCATCATGTTTGGCGGCTGCTGCTGCTGCTGCTGCTGCTGCTGCTGTTGTTGTTGTTGTTGTTGTTGTTGTTGTTGTTGTTGTTGCATCATTCGCTGTTGCTGCTGTTGCTCCAGCTCCTCTCGAAGTTTACGCGCTGTTTCTTTCAAAGCATCAGCCTCAGCGGGAGTAGGCTGTGGAGGGACATTTAACGAGCTTAAAGGGTCTTTATTCTTCGGCACAATAGCTTTAACGCTGCCATTGTCGCCTGATGCGCTGGGTTGCTTTTGCATTTGTTGTGCAACTGCATCCATCGTACCAGCATGTAGCGAATGAATTTCCTTTAACAGCTGCTGGCGTTGATTCTCTTCGATAGAAGACACCTGCATATTGTTTGGTAATTTATATATAATTTGATCTTGCTTTCGTACCATGAGCACTTTTAAACCTGCCAATGTTAATTCGGTAATTACCTGCTCGTCTGCATTGTTGCTGTTGTTGTTGTTGTTATTGGTGGACGGTGTTGATGGCGTACTGGGTGTAGCTGGTGTGGCAAGCTGCTATTATTTCAGATGGAAGGAAGGGCTTACTGTTAATAAGAGAAACAATCAATTGCTTCATTCGACAAAAAAACCAAGCATTACGTTCTGTGCGGGAGAAACATTGTTTGCGATATTATTATTATCAGTGCTCATACTTTCTGGGCTTTTTTTATCTCCCTCTCGACTCCAAGTTGCTAATAGTAGAGAATACCTCTAAATGGTGAGTTCAGAAATTTTTTTATTGGCCTTTTTCAAGCTCGTGACTTGACATAAACTGTAGGTTTAATTCAATTTTGCGAAATGTTGGGAAAAGAATAAGCCTAAATTTTGAGATAGTCAATGTAATTTCTCAATTCAATACCTACACATTCGAAAACTATACCAGACCTTTCTTTTTCCTTACTGATAATCATAGACAATTGATTCTAATTGTGAGATATCTAGGAACCCTTTTTGCGGGAATTGAAAGGCTTGCTTTACATATGATCAATAGTATCGTCCGCTGCTGGCTCCATATAGGACATTCATTAACAATATAATTTCATTTTTAGAGAAACTTATAATATCAATGATTCGGATGCAATGGAAGTCTTATCCAGTTGAATTTCATCTTGATGGCTCTTTGTCGCTACTTCCTATCCTTCATACTCCTATTATAGAAATTTATAGCGCAATCGCTATACCTTACAAGGAAGCAAAAACTCATGTGAAAGATTAAATTTTAAAATAAGCAGAGGTTCCTTCAACCAGGCAGTATTACTTGATTTAAATTACTGTTCTTCAAAAAATTAGAAGGTATGCTGCTCTTGCGAGTCATTCCTATTTCTTCGCCATTTAAAAATAGTACGCAAGCTTTGTTCTCCAGAATACTCTCCTCTTTATGCTGACAGAGGTATCTCTCTCTTCAATAGGATATCTATCATGCGAATGTTATACTTTCTTTTATAGTTGTTAGAATCATGCGTGTATAGTTTTCAAACTCCTTTACAGGAAGCTTTGGCATTAAATCCAAGTTGGTTTAATTATGCCAGCATGAAACTCATCCCCGGTCCATTCAAACTCCTTTGGTCTTTCCAGCTCTAAAATAAACAGTTACCGATCAGACTTATAGTCATGCCAGTCAATGAGGATGATGCTACTTCATATTGGAGCCAAATAAACCGGAAACTCAACAAAAAGCCAACGGAAGCGACAGCTCACAAAAAGGTTGACGATTGGGCAGACTCAATCGTTCAAACTGTCTGGCGTCCTGTCACTGTAGGTTTGATTATTGGAGGACCTACGCTCTACATTCTTCGCAAGTACATCATTGGCAAACGTTTTAAAACTGCTGCTCATATTCCTATCGAGTATCTCGAGAAGCAATGCAAAATACGAGGCAGAGTCGTATCCGTAGGAGATAGTGACAATTTTCGACTATACCATACACCTGGATTAGGTTGGAATGGTTTCTGGGCATTGCGGAAGATACCACAAACTCGAAAGGAGCTTCGAAATCAAACAATATCAGTGCGAATAGCAGGTGTAGACGCACCAGAGGGTGCTCATTTTGGTATGCCTGCTCAGCCTTTTTCAACGGAAGCCCTCCAATTTTTGAAGAAATTAGTTTTGAATAGAACAGTTGAAGTGCAACTTCTGAGCCGAGATCAGTACCAGAGAGTGGTAGCGATGGCTTTCGTTAGAAGACCACCGTTTTTTCTAAAAAAGAATGTCTCTGTGGAAATGGTGAAAGCAGGTTTGGCGAGTATTTATGAAGCCAAAGGAGCACAATATGCTGGGCAGTTTGAGCAATTACAGAAATATGAAGCTTACGCAAAGTAAGTATAGGCACATGGTTTGCATATTACTATGAAATGATTTTTCAGCCAGTGTAGATGCTGATTTCGTTACTGATAATTCACAAGGTCCAAAAAGAAAGGCATCTGGTCCTTAAAAAAGAAATATATTTCACCTTCAGAGCATAAAGCGAGGTAAGTTTGAGCTTCAGTACGCTTGATCAATTCTATGTATTAATCATTATGTTGACTTGTAGATACCTCAATGGAAGCAGATAATGACCTATATAATCAGTGACTTGTGCTACCTCTGATACTGTAAGTGTTCTTTTTGTACACCATGTATAGAAGTGATGAGGGAGTGAACCTTTCAAAATGACAATTCTATATGTTCATAACTGCCGTTGTACTGCTGCTGGATCTGCGGCAGTAAGCACAATCGAGATTCTTTCTGAAAAGGAAACGTGCATCCTTCTAAAATTCAATTTAAATGTTGCTATTTAGACTTTTCACCGTGTCCTTTCTTTTGTGAGCAATATAAATAGCATCTATTACTGCCTTTGATAAGGACAATCTATTTATGGTAACAGAACAACTACTATTAGTATTTTGGATCGATGTTATTGTTCATTCGATTATGCTTAATAAAATAGATGCTCGAATGTTGAACGAGCAATTAAACAGCCTTTTAATTTTATATATTTATGCTTATTTCTTTGAAATTAAGCGGCGAAGCATTGTTAAAGGTTTTAACAACCCTCCGTCCATCAAATGGCTGACGTCTGGAAGAATGATTTTAAGCAAGTTCAAACTATGTTGAGGATTAAACATACTTTATACATTGCAGCAATAAGTAAGGTCCTAAAACTGATAATAGTGTGGATATTGAGCTACATGGAAGCAACAAAGTAAGTACCAATCTCTGCGTCAAAATATTGTCGCTACGTTGCAAATGTAGGATTTTAGCTATGTTTTCTTATCTGGATTAAGTAGCTAATCTGTACGAGCTCTAACCATTCTTCTACTTTGGCCGATGAGAACACTGCATCCCAATACTATTTGGATTAGGATATATCGTTCGGGCAAACACATGCGGCTATTCAAACAATTTAAAAAGCTTCACAGTTACAGTGAAAGCTTTGTTTCAGTCTCAAAGCTTAATTCCATCAATAAATGGAAGTTGAAGCAATTGAACAAACTTGCTATAGTTACAGCGCATTATCGCTATTCTTGTATTCCGATTTAAGCTCTTTCCTATTTTTTTTTAATCTTAAGAGTCATCACATGTCATAAAATAACCTTATACGATGCTATCAATGTCGTCATTTTCCTCAGCTCTGTATCATTTATTCGTACTAAAACACTGCACATTGATATTCTGCAGGAACAAGCTTGGTCTAAATGCACATCCCTTACAATCCCTCAGGCTATAAGGAACAGCCGGACTTGCAAATTGACGAATAGAATGATGCAGTAAACACGCAAAAATTCAGATGTTCTTTTTAATCATTTGTACTCCTCTTTTCTTTCTTTTCTTTAACAAGCTATCCCATATATCTTTTAAAATTTATGTCTTCGCCGTTGCCAGTGAATGCCAAACAACACAACGGTAAAAATAATAGTAATACCAATTCTGATACACAACTGTCAGGCTCTCTTGCAGCTGCAACATCAGAAAGAGCACAATCTATTGCTCTCCTAAGTTCATCACCCTATGGCTCTTCTCCAAAGAGTTTTCATACCTATGGCTCTATTAGCAACAATTTTGGCGGTGGATCAGATGTAGAACGTGCTATAACAAATCAAAGTGGATCCCTTTATAGACCGTTATCTTATAATCCAGAAGATGGTACAATTAGTGTAGATTTACCGGAAGACCAAGTTGCAAAAGTTGTCAAAAAGCATTTAGTGGATACAAGTAGTAGTTACTATGAGCCTTCAATTCATTCTACAGGAGCTACCAGCAATCATTTAATTAATGCTAATACTAATAATGATGATGGCATCGGAAGTGTACATCAGCTACCTGGTGGAGCGATCACACATGATATCTATAAATGGGCCGACGATGTAGAACAAGAGCAATTATATAAAAAGAAACGATCTCAATCTTTCCACATACCAAGACCTCAGTTTGATCCAGCATTAAAACACCCAGGAGGGTTCCGTAGACATTTTATTGTTAAAAGAGCGAAAAAGGAAGGAAGGGAGCCACCTCATTGGATGACACGAACATTTGTTGATTTCTTGGCTTTATATGGGCATTTTGGTGGAGAGGATTTAAGTGACGAGGAGGACGAAGAGGATAGAGACGAAGAAGAAGGCAGAGATGATGAGGATACGGAGGAGATATCACCATTGATTAGAAGAGCTCAAGCGAATGCCGTACAGGGAACAGCTACACCAGCAAAAGCTGTCTTTCTACTACTAAAATCGTTTGTGGGAACTGGTGTCATGTTCTTACCAAAGGCGTAAGTATGACAGTTTACAAGCGAAGGGAAAATTGCATGGCATATCTAATAATCGCTTCTCTAATACAACAGATTTTACAATGGTGGAGTGTTGTTTTCAACCGGTTTATTGTCTTTCATAGCTCTGGTCTCACTGTACACCTTTTTATTGTTGGTCGAAACCAGAAGCAAAATTCCAGTATCATTTGGTGATATTGGTGGTATATTATTTGGCGCCAAAATGCGATTCGCTGTTTTGTTGGCTATTACTTTTTCTCAGGTAAGCTTTCAATAAGCTTGATAATCATTCAAATAACTAACCCAACATATTGATATTGGCACTAAATTTTTCAAAAATACAATTAGATCGGCTTTGTTTGTGCCTATATGGTGTTTGTCGCACAAAATGTCCAAGCATTAATTGAATCCATATCACAATGTGATCTACGTATTGATTTACACTATCTAATTCTTGCACAAATTTTGATTTTCGTACCATTGGCCATGATCCGCAAAATACAAAAACTATCTGCATTTGCATTGATAGCAGATTTGTTCATCTTGATCGGTTTGATATACCTCTATTACTACGATTTCTTAACTCTGTCTAGCCAAGGGATCGCTGACGTTGAATGGTTACTCAATTACAAGTCGTTTCCTATGTTTATTGGAACTGCGGTTTTCACGTATGAAGGTGTAGGATTAGGTAGAGTTCAACAATTGTAATATGAAATATGATAAGCGAAAAGAGGATCAGAGCAAAAGGGATTGTCTATTATAGTAACTGGGCTGCAAGCAAAAATGTTAAGCTAATCTATCACCTATCATAATAGTTATTCCTATTACTGAATCCATGAAAGAGCCAGAGAAATTCCCCAAAGTACTCTCCGGCACGATGCTATTCATTACTTGTATTTTTGTTAGTGTGGGCTTTATTTCTTATTTAGCTTTTGGTAGTCAAGTGCAAACGGTCATTTTATTGAATATGCCTGGTACCAGTGTCGTAAATACTGTTCAAGGTCTCTACGCTCTAGCCATTTGTTTATCCATTCCACTGCAACTATTCCCTGCTATACGTATTGTAGAAAATGGACTGTTTACACGCTCTGGCAAATATAATACCATGGTCAAATGGCAAAAGAATGTTTTCCGCTTTGTAGCCGTTATTTTATGTGCTTGTATAGCCATTGGAGGCTCAGGAGATTTGGATAAATTTGTCTCTTTGGTTGGCTCACTATGCTGCGTACCACTCTGTTTCCTATTCCCCCCTCTATTTCATTTGAAGGCTATTGCGAACACCTGGAGACAAAAAGCAATTGATATTACTATTATTATATTCGGTATTTCTGCACAATTATACACGACTGCCATCACAATTGCTTTATGGTCAGAAAGTGGGGAGTCGGCTCCTATATCGAGATGTCCCAATTAAAACAATCTCGTTCAAATGCTGCTGCAATAACACTAACACACAGTCCGATAAAATACCGCACGCATAATTTTTACTTTGAATAAAATCGCTTTTCTTCTTTTTAGAGTGGAACCTGTCACGAAGTGATTCAAAATGTCTGCTACAACTTCTCAATTACTTCCTTTAGGTACTAACAATGAACATCAAAACATGTTGACTGACAGATAGTCTGCTTGACAACAATTAACATTCTGAAATCTGTTAGAACTTATCGATAAATGTATTGGGTCAAGAATCTGGGTTGTAATGAAAAATGAGAAAGAGTTCACTGGTAAATTGTTAGGATTCGATGATTATGTCAGTAAGTAGACAATCTTTGATCTTCGACAAGAAATGGTGAATGGAAGTATTCTTTGCTAATCAAGCTGCTTTCTGTTAGACATGGTTTTAGAAGATGTCACAGAATAGTAAGTATAAGCGTTTCCTAGTTTTGAATCATAAAAGAAACTGTGCAGAGACTGAAGGAAACGATGTCTACGTTATAGCGAAAATACCAAAGATGGATATGTTACAAGCAAGCTAGATCAAATTTTACTGAATGGAAACAATATTTGTGTGGTAAAGTTTTCTGCTATATTTTATTTATAATTACTTCTCATAACCAATATTCCGCTTTTAGTTGGTACCTGGTGGAACTGGGCCAGTCTAGTTGAGAGGAAGGAATAAACACAAGAAACCAAAACAAAAATGATACAGACTATAGGAATGTTTTTGATGATTTCATAACAGACTCGCTAATAATATAAAATGTATGTTTTGTACAGTATATGCAGCATATGTCATAATAAGTTTATTCTTGTGAAGAGACGGTCTGTGATGAATAGGTTGATATTTGTGATGACAAGCTAGGTACTTGGGAGGAAGCGGTTTGCTGATGAGGCTTACTAGAAGGATCTTCTGCAGGAAGAGTAGGGATTTGTATATATTCTGGCGCAAAGTCGATCCTAATCCTATTTTTTGCGCTATCCATGGCTTTGAGTGATAATGTATGTTTCAGGTAGCAATATATGAAAGCTGTCATGTAAGCATCGAAGTAAGCTGAGTGGGCACTTCTACCATCATTTAGATTACAGGTATAATAAGTAGGGTAATTTGATGGGCCCATTTCACTATTAAGGACAAGTTGTATGTCATGCTCTTCGCAATAGTTTGTATGATTTGGGTGTGAGCAATAGCCTTTCATCTGTTGAAGTACAAAAAAAAAAAAAGTTTTTAGTATTCCATTACTGTTACTGCTAGTTGCACCATATAATTGCCCTTACCGCGTAGTCTCTGCATACTTTAATCTTTTTTTGCCTGTTAGTATTTAATGAATTGTCTTTTGTTGTTGTCGTGTTTTCTTCAATTGATGTAGACCTTTTCTTTATTGTTGTTCTCTCTGTTTCTATTTCGAAATGTATGGATTTTCGTTTACTACCAATCTCGACGACTTTATCAAAAGTTGTATCAATGATCGTATCATTCACTTGAATATCAAAATACGTTTTGTTGTTTTTGTTTGACTGATTATCTTTTGTCGCTATTTCAGCTTGCGGGTCTTTGTAGGCATCTATTCTAAGACGATCACATTTTGCAAATAGATAAGACAAAAAGGTAGCGTTGAAGGTGTTTGTATAAGCCATGAATTTTGTATCGTAGATGCCAGATGGGAATGCTGTAGCAATTTTCGTCAAAAACTCTGGGAAAGTGTCGGGTAACGGTCCAATAAAACTGTAATATAGGTACATGATATCATGTAGACCATTGTGAAGCACAAGGGGTATTTTCTTGTATTTCATCAAATCCACTATTGTGTTTAGCAATTTTGACAACATGACTTTGCTTTTGTCATCACTTTTACTGCTACTGCTATTCAACTCTTTCTCTTCTTCTTTTTTAATCAATGGTGGCTGGAACGGAATTCCTTCAAGGAAAAACTTATTGAAGTCGAAGCCACTGGCAGCTAACCAAGTCCCTGTACCTTTGCTGAACAAAATAGGGCCTTGAATCAATGTTAAAAAGTTGAAGTTATCAAATTCATATTGGAGGCCTCTACTGTTACTATTATCAATATTCGCATTATGCAAGGATGATTTATCTGCTGAAGATGCGGTTAGATCATTTTCTCTAGCGATACTCAATCCAAAAGAAACTATACTGTGCTGTTCCACTGCTTGTTTGATGGCTAAGTAATGATGGTGAATGTTGTTTACACTGGATTTCTTGCCCAATCCTGTAAATTCGAAATCGATGGCAATATGAGATGCGCCTGAAACTTTCCTAATGATATGAGAGTATACTTCTTTGAGGTTGGATCGTGTAACTTCGATATGATTGAACACATACGCAGTCGAAGGTGGCGCTTCAGCCAGGTGTTCTGCCATTGTAAAATAACCGTAAGAAGCAAAAGCCAGTCTCTAACAAAAATCTGAAATTGAAACAATTTAATGCAGCTGTAACAATTCCCGAATGACTTGAAATTATCTACACAGGAAGTGTAAATGGTTTGAGAGCTTACAAATCTGTTATATCAAAGAACACAACATTTTCGAACACATTCAGTGTTAATGCAACAATTTATTAAAATAAATATGAAAATTAAAAATGAATAGACTGGTGGTTCATAAGCAATCAACAACACATTAAACAGAAAAGCAACAAAATTAACAAGTTTGGTATATTCATAAAGATAAGTTAACTCACGAAAGGCCACGAAGTATTTCAAGCGCTTTCTCCGATCTCCTCAAGAGAGAAAGATTTTTGTTCATGGCTTCTCTGTTTCTTGCTTTTGTGGCTTCGACCTCGTCTTCAATATCGGTACTACAATCACAAGCAGAATCAACCTCTTCATCGTCGGAATGATTTGTGACATAAGCACCTAATCTACTCAAACGCTCGACAATGGCTTGGTTGGTACGTAAACCGTCTAAAGAGTGTCGACGCATCATACGTCGTAAATGTAAACTGACATTTCGCACTTGTTCTGTCATATCGTTTTCCAAGGCTTCAAGGTTTTCACTGTCTTCAGCCAGTTCTGGAGCAAGTCTCCAGGCTGTGATCCATGCTTCGAGACCAGTTACAGAAGTAACGAATTCAGCAAGAGCTAGAACAGAACTCTCCAGATCAGGCTCATTATCTTTATGCTGTTGTTGATAATGGTGATAGCTATTGTTGTAATGATGCTTATTATGCATTATTGAATGGGTGTCATACGCCCACATCTTTTTGACTTGAGCCTTGATCTTTTCTGCTTTCCAAAGCTCAGCTAAACCACGACGGCGTTCTTCATTTGAGGACTGCTTCAGTAAAGTAGCACCCAATAAAATATGAATCATTATCTTCTTTGTCAGTTCATCTAGCTGGTTCAGGCGGTCTTTATGACCCACAATATCATTGGCATTTCCCATCATTGTCGTCGTTATTTCACGGGAGACCAATGAGCGAGGAACCTTTTGAAGAATAACTTCTCGCAGTAGGCGTTCAGCAGTTTTGACGTCACTTTTCCAAAGTGCATCCACTGTCGCTCCTACTGCAGCGAGCCAATGAGCTAAAGAATGATAATCACCAAACGTATCGCTCTCAGGTCGTGTTATATCCATGAGCTGAGAAAAGGCGGTTTCATAGAAATCAGACTCATTTTCTTCTTCCACCATGGCGGCTGTCAAAGGCTTTGCTGTGACAGAAATAATCAAACGGCCAAATTGTGTTTGAAGGTTATCCAACAAATGCAAAGTGGCAAGAATGCCAACAGGTACCAGTACAGGAGCTGTCATTGACAGAGACAGTTGTCCTCTATTGTTCGTTTTTTGCTTTGGACACTGCTCTTCACCAAATTTTTGGATTTGCTGATTCATCACTTCGAGTGTTTCATTCCAAGCTCGCGACGCAAGCATAACGTCCATACGGTCTTCAGCATCATCTTCATGGCAATCGAAAAGAAGTACGCGCATTAAAGGATCATCTTCTAAACCCGACTCATCCATAGTAAGACGCCAGAAATAGCGGGAAAGCTTTTCAGAGATACCATGATGAGGAATGATAAGGGCCATTTGCATAGCGGTAGTAGCATAAACGCGGGAACGAGATTGTTCGATATACTCATCCTCTTCAAAATCTTCCAGAAGCTCAATTAAATTGAGCACACGGAAACAGGAATAAAGCATAGATAAGCGACTCACGTTAGGGTTACCACCAAGACATTCGACTTCATTGAGTTTTATCCACTTGCAGATCTCAATCCATTGTTCTTGTGAGTTTTGGCGTTTCCCTTCTCCAATTTGATCATTGGAAAGAAAAACTTCGTAACCAAGCCAATGACGACAGATAAAGCGGGATGCTTCCTTTATAAGTGCAAGGAATAGCCCAAAAGTGGTTTTATATTTTTGAGGAAGAGCATCGGCTATTTTGCCATAGTTTTTCTTGCTCATGTAGTCGCTTTCTAAGGATTTGATCAGCATTTGATAAATTTGCATGCATTTTTGATCGCCAGGCGTTAATGCTGTAGTATGAGAGGCGATACTACCATCTAAAGAAGAAGAGGACGAATGGCTAGCAGTTGACTGTTGGGAGTATTTCCTTGAAGAAGACCTTTTGTTAATTTTTTTGATTTTGAAAAAGCCGTGAGCCAAAAAAAAGCGGAAAACAGGAAAGAATAGTTGAAAAAGGCATATAGCGAAAACAGTAGATCGAATAGTGGACCTAAATAATAATTAGGAAAGTAGGTGAGAAAAAAAGAACAGAAATTATTGTACTTTACAGGGTCCCTTACCACTTATCATGAATGGGAAAGACAGCTGAGAGCAAAGTGCTGTTTTGGTTAGTTTCAGGCAGCATTAAATTATCAGCAGTACGAGACACATGGTTGTGGCTCTCAAACTGCTCCTTTGATGTGGGGCCGGCAAAAAGTGGCGACGTCGAAAAGAAGCTGATAGCCATGAACACTGCCATGAAGACGCGATTAGTTACACCCATATTATTCTGTTGAGATGGCTGTTGTTGCTGTAAGGCAACATTAGTATTAGTGGCAGCGGTCATATTGTTCATTACATCTCCTGCACTTGGTATAGCTTCAGTGCTACTATCTCTCTTATTGGCACTGCTCTTTTCAGTGCCTCCATTTTGACGGGCTCTTTTTCGACTATTGCTATTAGCTTTACGCTGTTGTTGTATTAATTGTTTCTGTAACAAACGTTCTTGTTTGTTTCGTTTTTGAGCTTCCTTTTCTCTTTGAGCCCGTTCGGTACGATAACGAGCCAAAACTTCGCCACTACCCGGTAATTGAGATACAATTTCTTGCAATAACGTATTTTCATGACGTAAATCTTCAGCAGTGCGTTTTAAATGAAGAATATATTCCGTTGCCTTTCTTAAGATAGTAGCTTTATTGAGTTTTGTAGCTACAGCAACACCGTCTAAATATTCTTCACCATCTTCTAAATCATCATCTTCATCGTTAAGAGTAGCAGCGCGATGAGAGCGTTTGCCCACACCATTGTTAGAGCGAGGATCTTTGACCTTGGCGTAGAGCAAAGCGGGGACAGCGTTTTTCAGTTCGGCGATTCTGTCATTGATATTATTACGGTAGCGTCGTTCGATAGCGTTATGGGCTGTCTTTTTTTGCTGTGGAGGCATAAAGGCATCAGCGGACGTCATAGTATTTAATTCGGTATTGGCATATAAAACTGCAGCTGCAGCCGCAGAGGAATTACTGCTAGGATCGATATGCGAAGAAAAGCAAATAGCATCATTGATGACGGGCGATGGGTTCGAGATAGGAGGTGTGGTTAAGCCAACATCAAGGCTTGGGGATTTTTTTGGTATTACTTCCTCTAAAGCAACGAAAAAGAAAAGCTCAATGATGAGTACAGTATGGATTGAGAGAAATAGAAATTTATTTTACCTTGCTTTAAGATGTTGTTGGCTGCTGTAGCTTGAGTAACTGTATCGAGCGGATTGGAGGGTTGCATATGCGTACTATTTGCATGAGGTATCGTCTGAGACTGTGCCTGGAGTGCAAAATCGATAGCAGAAGGCATAAACAATTCATTTTTTGGTGATTGAAGGGTTGTATCAGAAGCATTATCTGCTAATAAAGGAGACGTTAGATTTTGCTGCTGGAGCAGTGATTGACCATGGTTATTATTATTAACAGAATTTTGTTCGTTTATTTGTAAATGTTGTGGCGATAAATTTGCTGCTGTCTGCTGATGATGAAGCATAGAATCTGGACTACCGAAGGGCGAGAGAGTGGTAGAAGCTATTGTGTCACTAGCTGGCGAGGCAACGAAAGGTATGTGTTCAGGCGAATTGGACGCATAATTATTGATCGCATTTTGTGTAACAACTGTTTGTAGGTGCAACTCGTGAGGTTGATGGTGTAAAGCACTTCTAGCTGGGACAGAGTTAGTAGCAGCAGCTGTAGTAACTAGCCCAGCTACTGACTGGTCATTCAGTAAAGGTTTTCCACCGGTCAGCTGTTGTTTACTACCATTTTGAGGCAATAAAACATGCTGCTGTTGAGCATAGTGGTTGTTGTGTCCATAATTAACGGTTGACAAATAATGTCCAAAGTTCTGCCATGATTCTAATTCTTGCTGCATTGCTAATTGTGCTTGCTGTTGAAGTTCCATATCAAACTGGGATAAAGACAAATAAGAAGTGTGGGTGTTGCTATTTGATTGGTCACTATCCATCATTTTGTCCTTTATCATTGATTTTTCGTGTGTATATAGTTCTGCAAAAGTTTCCATCAATCCAACAGTTCAAAAAAGCTTTTAAAGCTGCTAAGATACTAAAAACCGTAGAAACAGAGAAAAGACTAAAAGTCGTCCGCAACTTTTTTTCTTATGAAACTTGTCGGCAGAAAGCATCCAGAATGGGCTGATTTTTTTCATTTTTTACATTATCACTTTACCCAATATTACTGCTTGCTGAGTATAAAAAATGGAAAAACAAAAGGAATTGTCTGCCTTTCCGAGCTTCTTGGGCCACTGACAGAATGTCACTATCTGGCAGGTACAGTAACGAGAAACCGGAAATCAGATAGAGCTACTGAAGTCCGTTATTCAACTTTTACGTCTTGGCTCCTTCAAAATTTTTTAATTTTCCAGGAGAGCCCTTTCTGGAACTAAGCGCTTCACAGATCAAGATAATACTGAGCCATGACTGAAGATTGAAATTCTTAAATACGATAAATCAAATCAATATTCTCCCTCAGTAATCAGTTTTTAGCAGAAATCTCAAAAACTAACATCCTTCGATTATAAGTCTCAAAGGAAACAGAGCGATCCATCATGTTCCACTTCGGAAAAGACTCATGGCAGGGATTTTGGAGTTTGAGATCTAACAAAACAATTGGCAAAATTGAACATTCAATATAATCTGGTAAACCAGTCTTTTAACTTTTGAGCTCTTCGATATCATAAGTTGGTGATATTGGTCGTGTCATTATATCAATAACAATATCGTAGCAATCAAAATCTTGAAGCATTTCAATATCATCTTTTGATTTGCTTTTTTTAAAGTTCAACTACCATCAGTAGCACCAGCAGATTGGCATTTAACATATTCCGCCCCCAAAAAGAAACATAATTTGAACTTGTGCTCAGAACAAGTGTGCTCTAACAAAGTAATGGTGACCCTTCCACAACAGTTGAGGTTGCATCTCAAATGTTGGTGTTTCCTATTGGCTTTTGTGGCACCTTATCACGAAATGCTCGCTTTTAGGATATGTCATTCACAATTGAAGAAGATTCATGACATTTTGTGGCTTTTGCATTTTTGTAGTTATGGTATTCTTAATTATAGTCTTGTAACAGTGTGTGCCTTTTCATCTTTCATTTTCTTTACTTTTCTTTTACATGCCTTGCATTTCCTTTTTGCACCTTTCTACAATATGAAAACAATTTTGCGCACACTCAAACACATACTTTATCTATCCATGATAATTATACCATGTGTAGTATCTCGGAGTTTTGATGACGAGTGGTTTCCTTCGGTAAACTTCAGCAATTGCTATGAAGACGGCAGTTTTGGTATCTTGAATATGAACCGGTATTTTGATACAGAATCCTCCGTCTATTATCTCAACTTGACGGGTATATCGAGTACAACTGTAAGCAATTTGAGCAAGAACGGATCGAGTAAATAGAAAAGAACATTAAGCAAATAATAATAATGACGACAATGGCAAGAGAACGGCATGCCAACCATTAATTAAATATAATGAATACCCTTGTACTTAGTGTCCTCTGCTTCTACACTTCAGCTGAGGTTTGGTTTTAAAGTATTTACGGCCTCTCCACAGCAGTTCTGTCCTGACGTCGTTGAAGGGTGTCCTATTGATCCGGGCAAAAGCTTTATAATCAAGAAGGTAACAAAAAAGGTTTCTGAGCCGAGAGACATAATAAATTCAGTAAAAGATTATCAAATTGATCAGCATTACACACATTCTTTAAACCGCTACTATTTATAGGTCTTTAACTTTTCGAAATCACTAACACATTTATACCCATTAGCTGATATTACAGCACAATACTCAGCCGTAGACGCAGAATCTAACCATCTCACATGCGTAAAAGTTGCTGCCATAGGATATCAAGATCCAACATGGCAGCGAATTTTCACTTACATCCCTATCAGTCTTACACTTGTGGCAGCTCTCCTTTCATTGATAACCACGATGTTTAGCCTCTTTCAGCGAGATGAACAACAAGATGATGATACTAGTGTTGAATACGAAAACTCTTTTTTCGCAGCATTCAACTATACAACTATAATATCACCGGAACTGTTAAGGCTAAAAACGCCTGGATTCTTCGATCTGATATTTTATGCACAATTCATTATCATTGTGGGGTTATTCAATCTGGACTACCCTCGCTTTTATGCATTACTTACGTCCAATTTTTCTTGGAGTTTTCTGATCTGGGAAACAAGTTGGGTCAAAGGCCTTACTCAGTATTTATTTCCAGTGTTAATGGCACCTATTGACAATGTGGCGTCTATACCGCACTATACATTATACAAAAGACAACAAGAAGCAAACAGTTCAACAGCAATAGAAACACAGTCTGCGACTAATTACAATCATACCAGTAACAATTTTAAAACTACTGGAATAGCAGACTTTGCTGCGGCTTCTGGTTTAAGCATTAATGATCTTTTTTTCACTTTACTTGTCTATTTATGTCTCATAATGGCTATTTGTGCTATTATATGTCTCTGTGTCTGGCTCGTATTACAATTTTGGAGTCGACAAAGTACTTATGGTTCTGCAGAAGATGAGGATAAGCAAATCCAATATAAAATCAAAGCCCAAAAAGTACGAGATTTCAGTATAGGTAGGTAAAATCTCGCCGCTGTACATGCAGGACACCATTTTATTCAAACAGACTCTTTTTTGGGAACGCAATGTAGGCATCTTTATCCGGATCATCAGTTTGTTTTTTCTGCCCATTTTTACGCATTCATTTTATCAGCTCATGATACCCTCTCTATGGTATATCACGTTATGCGCTGCTATCCTTCTTGTCGCACCCTTGTTGATTTATGGTTTCATTTCCATCAAACTCCTTCAAATCCGACCCAGCTCTCTACTGTTTACAGAACTCAAACTTCTCTTACGCTACGGTTCACTGTATAACACATACACAGACGATTCATTTCGGTTTTTTATCGCTATACTCGCCAGTAAATTCGTGATAGCAGCGATGATCGGATTATTTCAAACAAGCAGCTTGGCACAGCTTATCGTAGTTATTGGAACTGAACTGATTTTAACAGTGAGCACTTATATAAAATGGCCGCATTCAGATAGCCATGTTAACCTGTTCCATGTGATCCTTGGCTGCATCAAGGTTTTTATACTCGGTTTGAATATTACCTATCTTCCCCAGCTTAAAACATCTGCTCTATTAAAGCTGTACATGGGTTATGTTCAAATGGCGCTTCATAGCCTAGTTTTTTTTCTATTTTTCGCACTTATCATCAAGAATATTGTTGGAGTGATGTTTGCAGCTTTACAAGATCACAAAATTAACATCAGAGAGGCAGATAAACCACGTTCACGGGAATTGCTATCCTTTTGGCGTCGAAATGACAAGAAGAAGAATTTCAGAAGGAGTAGACATTCTGCAGAACTCTTAATACGGCAAAGTCAGCAAAGTACAACACAAACGACTGCCACAGCAATAAGCCATTCGCGTACATATAGTTACGAGAATGACACGCGGCGCTTAACTTTGGATACTCAGATGTTAGAGAAATTAACTCGACCTTATGAAATTCTTAACCCGTTATCAAACACAACGCGCGTCAGCTTTATAAAGCCAGACGAAATTGATGACACTCCATCCATCGCAGCAGGCACTGTAGCGAATGCAAGTAAAGCTTCTAGTCAAATTTACAAAGAACTTCGGTAAGCTGTCTCAGCCAAGCTCCGCAGTTAAATTATCATAAAGGACAAACTGTTGCAACGGATGCAACAACTTGACGAAAGAGTGTAGCTGCCGGATACAGTATTTGCGGCAAAACTATACCAAGTAATACCATACACCCCCTATAGACAAAGATAAGCCGTTAAACGACGTCTTGCAGTCATCATCATTTCGACTACCCAACAGATGCTCTCAGTTTTATACATATTACAGATATCCATCATTACGAATTACATAGACCATACATATTTCTCAAAATGTAATTGCTTACTTAATTCAGTTTACTTTATTGGAAAATTATTCGCTTATACGTTTTCATTGTCAATTGTTGTGGCGGACGATTTTAATAGAGAAAAGCTTTGGTTTGTTTAGCCTCTGTACTTCATCACCCACGAATCGCTTAACTTGGGTCCAAGGGAAGATTGAGAAAATCATTTCCATCAATCTACCGACATATTTACATACATCTACAACTTCCTTGCCAATCATATTTTCTCTTGCGTGAAACGAAGGATCAGGCGCATCTTCCCCTTGACGATAGGCCAATGTAGAGCTAAGATAGCTCTATCTTGGTGAAGAAGAGTAAGAGTGTCTGCTCACAGACCCCCTGCTAATGGCATTTCGAAAGCAATGAAAGTATGAGTGTCTTTTGGATAATGCGTGGTTAAATTAGCGAGATGAACAGCAGATGGTACGAGTCTATGTAAATGCGAAGGAAGCTCAGGCATAAGATCGAGGGTTATGGCACCTTTAATGATTTCTAAAATGGTATTGTATTCCACTGTTGTTAATCTCGCGCGAAGGCTTTCGCGCCTTCTAGAAGAGGGTCTTGGTATGGTCCGATGAATCTATATAAACCATAGCAAATACCTTGTCGTACATCGCCTTCTTGGAACTCGTTTCACTTTTATAATTTTTAAGAATAGCAAATATCAGAAAGCATATGACAGGAATCATTCTTGTTCGACGCTTTGAACTATAGAATACTCTCAACTCATCGACAAGTTTGTCAAGGTCACGATTTGCAATTGAGATAATTGCTTCCCGGTAATGCTGTATCCACTGATGATCGGGATAGTATATTTCAAATTTCTTCTCTTGGAGCTTGTTTTCTATTCGCTCTCTTCTTCTTGCAATGTTAATGTAGTATGTGAAAACATTGTCATGGATAAATAATTCAATGCTCTGAAACCGCCGCCACTCATGTACAAAGTGTATCCATCTTTATCTTTTATATGAGAGGGAATATCTACTTATGATTTCGCCCGGCTGATCTCTCCAACAATATCAGTGAAAGCTTTTTTTGTTTCTTAGTTTGGTCGTTTTCACAAGCCGTTAGGCAGTTTTTCATAACAGCTGCTCCAAAGGGTAATGAAACGGGATTAGATGATGTCTCGATAGAGCCGTTTTCATGCTCTTTTTAAGTTCTCAGCATCAATTCTGCTAAATTTAGGAACGTATTCTGTGCGTTTCGCACTCGCATTTTAGTTTCCAATTTCTCTGATTGTTGGTTTGCGGTAGAAAGATCTTGGCTGCAGGTACACATGACTTCCCGCAAGAAGGAATTTCAACATGTAAAGCCCGGAAGCAGAAATTAACTATTTGCAAAGTTCAATAGTTCAATAAAACAACTTTTTCGTTCCGGACACACCTTTACAGTTATCATCCTCTAGGTTTCGTTAAAGCTGAATAAGAGGAATAAATAAGTGGGTCATCAGTCTTATTATTGCTGGAAAAAAAAAAAGTCGTACAGGTACAGCCATATTGTTCAATTAGTCTGTTAAGAAAGTTGAAATGCAGAATAGCACCCTATTCAAACATTATCAAGTTGCAGATTAGCTTTAATATTCAAAAAAGAATAATTACATATAGCAATTGAGACGTGCCTTAAATTTGTATGTCTTATACTAACAGGTATACGTATGTATCTGTAACTGTTTATGGTATTCCATCAAGAATTTAAAAAAAAATATATACTTGTTCATAAGTTTAAATAATAATTGAAGGAAGGTCCTCTCCGAACTTACTCTGCCAGGTAGTAATGTAAAGCATGTTCAATTTTCTGAAAGAAAATCTTATTCGATTAGCTCCTATTACCTTGGCCACTAAACTTACTAATAGTTCAATGCACAAGACATCATCAAATTTTCTTTTAAAGCGAAGGCGAGCAGCAGATAAACAACTCATGATCGGAAACACCAACAATTAAACATGATAATAACGTAGAAATTTACTGTTGAAATTGCAGCCATGAGCAAAACTTATTTCAAATGCATTTGATAGAATAGTATTTGCTAGTGATAATATCTGCGAATCAGTATCGTCGTATATATAAAGTGATTACGAATATCGTTGACTTTTGGTGACATTACTCAAAAAAAAAGGCAAATTATAACCAAGAGAAGCAAAGAAAAAGCTATCAGCTGTGAACTCATTGAATAACTAGATGTTACTGGATAGCTGGAAAAAAGAAAAAGATAGAATACAGTATTATATATCAGCTGTAGGTAAAGTGGCTACTCGATAGCTCCATTACACCAACGATCACATTATATGTATATTTGAAAAATGAGTTAACTACTTTGTCCAGAGCGATGTTACGATACTTATCAAAAGGTTTTTAGTAGAAGTTGTTGTTTATTGAGGGTAAATGATGCATAAAATTAAAATATACTCATTTTATCCGAAATAAGTCTTAATAAAAATTGATAAGCACAAGTTTCTTCAAGTCTCTATATCAAGCATAGTTGATTTACGGCAAAATTGAGAGTGTAAAATAGAATTTAAAGGTTAATAGTCAACCGTAATGATATTTGCAATTTAAAATTTAAAAGAAGTGTTTTTGTTATTAGGTAGCAATATTCAATGCCATCAAGCCGTTACTTTTACATAAAGCTCAACGTTCAAAAAACTTGCGTGAAATTGTGCATCTTTTCTAATTCTTAATTTAGGCAGTAGTTTTTAGACCATCTGCTTATAATCTGGAAGAACGTAAAAGTTCATTGGCTCAGAAATCTGACTTTGTTCTCACTACCTTTTCTGGAAAAAACTAGGGAGACTCCCAAATTTGAAGTATATAATAGCATTTCATCATAAATCCATAAGTGAACCGATATACGCATCCATCCGCATAATACAGGATAATGTCTGAACTCGATCTTAATAAACCTTTTGGTAAATAATTGATCCATTTCCTATAAACTTCAGAAGAAAAAATCTGATAACAAAATTGACATTTCAGCGAAAGAAATTTCACATTCTCATTGGAATGACGGTTTTGGTGGAGATTGTTAAAATTCATACATGTCGCTAAAAAGAAAGGTTACTTCATTAAATCTTAGATCCTTTTGCTGATGTTGAAGAAGAACAAGGTGTTACTCACACCAATTATCTTCGTAAGTTCGTGGAGTTCATAGCCTTGTGGCCTTCTATCCATTTTTTTTTAATGTATGACATTTCCTTGTAGATCTCCGTATTCAGCAGCGTAACGGTCGCAAGACTTTAACTACTCTTCAGGGTCTCCCTAAGGAAATTGATACTAAGCGTTTATTGAAGGCTGTCAAGAAGGCCTTTGCTTGTAACGGTACTGTTGTTGAAGATGAGGAACACGGTGAGATCATCCAAATGCAAGGTGACCAGCGTCAAAAGATGGCTGAATTCTTGGTGTCCGAAGGCATTGCTAAGAAATCCGATATCAAAGTTCACGGTTTTTAAGCACTACAGCCTACCTACTGTAACCTTCTACATGTGCCAAACAGTTTTACAACTTGCATATCGTCTACGATGTACTACCCATCGAGCAAGCTCATAAAAGTGCTCGATAATATCATTTTATTGTATATTCTCTCAGTTTTTCTTCAACCAGGTACAATGTGTTCTTTGCATCAAACATGCTATCTTTTAATATATATTCAGCTGATAATCTTCGAAATCATTCAAGTCAGTACTGCAAAGAAATACACGGAACATTAAAATAACTGATGGCTTCTATTGAGTGTTATGCATTTTTCATTGTTTATGAGAAAAGGCGCCTTTTTCTTTCATTTTATCAAAAATATAGTACAGAGGCATATTGAGAATATAATACACCGACCTATTCTAAAACGTGCCAACGCTTATTCAAATTTAGCGTGATGGACTCGGTTTCAGAAGAAGAAGATTGGCAACAATTGTTTGTATGAAAGATATAGTATTATTGAATAATACCAAGACACCAGATGGGTATGTCAAAGCACAAGTACTTCGTTTACGCAATGCTTCAGTTTACGTACGGCTGCTACTTATCCGTGCCATGTCTTCAGTCTATGTTGTTCGTTGCTTTGCTTTTAACGAAGAAGCGATAACAACTTGAAATTGTCAAAAATAAAGTCAAACGCTGCTGAGTAGCGTCAGTGTTTCACTAAATTGGTAATTGTTTTACCAAGATCTTAACAATGCAAAAAGCAGATTTTTGGCTGCAATTATGGTAAATGGAACAATCTTTCGCAACTCTAAGCTTAAGCCTCAACGTTACTCTACTAATCATTCACACTTATCAATACGAGATCAAATCAGAAACTTCTTGAGCGATTTGATTTCCTTTAGTGCATTTTGATTTGCTTAGGGATCGACTTTTCAGGCGTTCTCGAAGAAAAAGAAATGGAGTTGAAAAAAAAGGGGTCAGAATTTTCACTATCTTCGACACTATAGAGGATCGTTGGTAAATCCAGTATGATGATACCCGACATATAGCTAGTAAACCTCTGTAATTTATTTTACAACGTTTAAAAGTTTTTCAAGTCTTGCGATCATCAGTATACCGATTCTGCTGAAAGACAAGACAGCATGGTAGAAATATCGCGCTGTGGCTTTTGATTAAGTGATCTTCACCCCTTTATTCTAAATGAAGTCCGAAAATAAAAATCCTTCTCTGTTTATTGATTCCATTCACTATTAACAGAAGTCGTTAAGCAATCAGTTAGTATGTCTGACGATCCACTCATAAAAGTAGAGGTTTCGATAAAAGAAGAATCGAGAGAGAGCTCCTTTGATGTGGGGACTCCTAATTCTTTGGCCACTGTAAGATCGATCAAGGTTACAACACCTCCGTCCTGTTATTGACATATATCGCTTACTTTTACAGGAATCAACAGTAGCAACAACAGATGGCGATATGGACAAAGAAGCTACTGTTAGTCTAAGTGATACAATGATCAAAGAAGAGCTAGCTATGGAAGAGACCACGAAAATGGAACAAGAACAGCTGATGAGAGAAGAGGTATATCTCAATTTCGCTGCATTATTTTCCTCTCTAATTTCTTTTACCTGCTTTAGGCACAAGCTCAGTTTGATACAACTGTTAAGGATCAACGTATGAAAAGATTAAAGTTTTTATTGGAGAAGTCAGGCGCTTATGCTACTATTCTGGGACGTAAACTTGCTAAACAACAAGAAGAAGCTCGAGAAAAGGCTGAAAAATTGGATGCTGCTGCTGCTGCTGCTGCTGCTGCTGTTAATCCTACCGACTCCTTGTCTACTCAACGTGAGAAGTCTACGAAAGGACGTACAACACGCTCAGCAGTTAACAGCAATCCCAAAAAGAGAAAGACAACTGATGCAGATTACCAACTAACAGATTATCTCAAGGAAGACGTAAAATATATCCATCAATTTTTAGTAGTAAAATTGTCGTGAATTTTACTGACAACCATTTTGCCTTATAGGACCTGAAGAGGCGTAAACATTCCAATGACAGTATCAGCGAAGCAATCATGGAAGAGAAGAAGGAGGTGAAGAAGGAGGTGATGACCAAACCTTCCTTTTCTGCCCGTCAACCTGCGCTTATCACAGGTGGTGAACTTCGCGATTATCAATTAGCCGGTGTAGAATGGCTCATCAGCTTGTGGGAAAATGGTTTGAATGGTATTTTGGCTGATGAAATGGGTCTTGGCAAAACTTTACAAACTATAGGTTTCTTGGCGCATTTGAAATCTATGCAAGTAGCTGGCCCTTACTTGATCGTAGCGCCTCTATCTACTTTGGCTAATTGGGTGAATGAATTTAGACGATTTGCACCTTCCATTAATGTTCTCCTCTATCACGGCTCTAAGGAGGAGCGACAGCATATGATTTCTCATAAGATGAAGAAAAAGAACGAAATCTTATTTGATTTTCCTGTTATCGTTACAAGTTTTGAAATCGTCATGAATGATCGAAAATATCTACAGCGCTATAATTGGAAATATATTGTTGTTGACGAAGGGCATCGATTGAAAAACATGAACTGCCGCTTAATTAGGGAATTGAAAAGTTATTCAAGTGCAAATAGACTGTTGCTTACAGGCACACCTCTTCAGAATAATCTTGCAGAATTGTGGAGTTTATTGAATTTCCTATTACCTGATATTTTTGATGATCTGGATATGTTTCAATCCTGGTAACGAGCAGTATTAACGTCCCCGATCTACATATTTGTTTACTAACCAAAAAAAAAATATTGCTCAGGTTCGATTTTTCAGATATCAATAAGAAAAGTGGCCAAGATCGTATCATGAAAGAAGAAGAAGAGGACCAAATTGTGTCTAGCCTACATACCATTCTTCGCCCCTTTTTGCTGAGGAGATTGAAAACTGATGTTGAGCACTCACTGCCGAAGAAGAAAGAATACCTTTTGTATGCCCCCTTAACGCAACCACAGAAGGATTTGTACGACGCTATTATTAACCGTGATCTGCGTGATTACCTCATCAAACGAAAAACAAAGAAACAAGACGCTAGCAATGGTGAAACTGTTAACGTCAATGGTACGTCTGGAGAGCGTAAAGTCGAAGGTCGTTACACCAGGGAATTCAAAAAGCCTATTAGCTATAAAGAAAAATCAGACAGGCAATTCTTCAAAGAGTTGGATAAGCAAACAGAAGAGGATCACAGTAACAGGGAAAAGCAGATTGCTGAACAGAACCAGCGCGAGGATATGACGAAAGCTGTGAGACAGGTCAATGGCTTACATTTACAAAACTTGGTAATGCAACTTCGAAAAGTGTGTAACCATCCTTTTTTGTTTGATTGGCCGATTGATCCTACTACTAAGGCGCCTGTTATCAGTGAAGAATTGGCTGCACAGTCTGGCAAAGTGCTACTTTTGGATCGTCTTCTAACAGGATTATTTGACAGAGGCCACAAAGTATTGGTTTTCTCTCAAATGACGAAAATGTTGGATATTTTGGAAGATTGGGCTGTTACTTTAAAAGGTTGGCCTGTTTGTCGCTTAGATGGTAGTGTGTCTCAAGAAGATCGTCGAGCACAAATTGAAGAATTCAGTGACCCCAAAAGCAAAATCAATCTGTTCTTGCTTTCTACACGTGCCGGTGGTCTCGGTATTAACTTGACAGCTGCAGATACCGTTATCATTTTCGACAGCGATTGGGTAAAGGATAATTTTCGCTATAAGTTTGTAATTCGATATTATGCAAGCATGTATTGATATGTTTTAAATTATTTAGAACCCCCAAATGGATTTACAAGCTCAAGATCGTGTTCATCGTATTGGACAGAAGAAACCTGTATTGATTTATCGCTTGGTTGCGGCCAAAACTGTTGAAGCAAAGATACTTGAAAAAGCTACGGCAAAACGTCGCCTGGAAAAATTGGTCATCAGCAAAGGCAAATTCAAATCCCCTGTAGGCGCGAAATCCGCACAAGAGAGTACAGTTCGTGAGTTGGCTGAAATTTTAGCATCCGAAGACGGTGAACAAGTACAAATCGTTGCCCAAGGAGATAAGGTTATCTCTGATGAAGACCTTGAAAAGCTGCTAGATAGAAGTCCGTCGGTATTTGAGACTAAAAGCACTAGCGTAACTGATCAATTTAGAGAAATTGACTCTGCGGAAATGCAAGATTCCAAGAACGAGATTTTCGCCACACGTACATAGTCCATATATTTCCTTTCTGTTACTTGTTCATGAACGTAAACTTTCAGTGCTTTCGGTCGTCTGCATTGGCATTTTCTTTTCCCTTCCCCTCCCCTCCCAACCCAAAAAAAATAATGCTTGTTTCCAACAATCATAATATGCATAAGCTGAAACGTTGGACTGCAATTATATCTGATACCTAATATTTCCTCTTTGAAGCTCGTTCGAAATATTACGATATTTTTTAACAGTATAAAAGATGAGGAATAAACCTTATGAAGACGTCCCATAAATGTTGTTTATTCTTCGGTCTGAGCAGAAGACGCTGCATTATTGCAAAGTAAAGGTTGTTATTAATCGGTTAATGCATATGTGCATTTCCTTAAAAGTTGATACAGTACTTATTGCCTCTATAGAGTTTGCTTCATGTTTGCAAAATATCAATTATTTTCAGCAAAATGACCTGTCTTTAAACGAAAGAAACGCTATAAGAATGAGCTTATGGATTGATTTTGGTCATCAAATTAACGACCTGTTTACTTTACCGGCAGTTATTACGGTTTCAGTCGATTGAACGGTAACATACTCATGCGTTGCAAAGCAATGATTATGCTCTCAAGTGAGCCTTCACGAACGCGCTGTTTAATTATGTTTCTCATCAGATTGATTGCCCCTTTTGACTGCTGGATCAGATGATTAGCAACTCTACGAGCAAGTAACGTCTACACTCTACATAAATGAAATTTTTCCAAAAAGGTTACCGTATAATATTTTATGTATGGACGACCTACGTTTTACTTTTCATATATAGTATAAGAACTTTCTTGATAACGTATGACAATTTGCATTTTCTGAAAATTAATATCCTACGACGTGCAACACATCAATCAACGCATCCAACTTCTGTGATTTATATCTGCATTTTATCAACAATAAATTATGCATGCAGTCCATAGAAGTGTAATTGATACAATTATCAATTAAAAATCATATTTCAAACATAAAAATCAGTAGCACAACTTTATTTCCCATTTGTAGATGTCGTATATTGGCGTTCATAATTAGCCAACCATCACAAAGACATTATTTGCGTGACGCTGACATATATAAGCAACGTGTGCAGAGCAGTGGACATTATTGTTCACACTATTTTAGTGAAGTGAACCAGTCTATGCTAAATGGTTCATCACGTTTTTCGCTTGCACCAAAAAGTAGCAACCCTGGAATTTTCCTAGATGTGATTAACCCATCTGGCAGAATAGATGACCAGCCTTCTTCTATCCGTGGATATTTGTCAGGATTGGTGAATAATTTCAAAGCAGGAACTACCCTTTTATATTTCTTGGAGACCCATATTGGATCCGGTTTCGATAAAGACCATATTCTCACATGCCCATCAATACCCGAAGCTGCGACAAGTTGGTTAACGGGATCAACATCAAAGCCCAAAGACCGATTAATATTGTTGTTATCAATGTATCCTTTCAATTGCTGTAGAGGCTGTCGCTGTTGCTGCTGATCTTTCATTTGGCGTTTATCCCAAACTGCTATATCCCCATTCATTGCTATAGTAACAATTTCATTCTCGTTTAACGCTTGTATTTGACAAATAGATGAGCTTTCTCTCACAGTATAACTGCTCATATATTTTAGTCGAATGTCTTGAAATCTAATTTTTCCATCTCTATGCCCAACCCAGTAGTTGTTGTTGCCGTATTCATGATTGTTAAAGCCCATACATAAAGCAAAGACAGACGATTTTACCTTCCATAAACGCGTCAAACGAATTTCAGAATTAAGCATATAGATGGCTCTATCGCCGCCAGTGATTATGCTTTGAGAGCCCCCAGCATTATCATTACAACTGACACTCCACAACATATCTCTTTTGGGTTTAAATGCTCGGGCACGGATAGGTTGATGTTGAGAAGAAATTGTGCCCCGGATAATTTCTTGGTTATCCCGTGCGGCTCCACTTTCAGCAGAGGGGAGATACTGTTGAATCTCTTCAGCTAACAATGAAGTTGCCATTAAATAGTCCAGACAAGTGAGTTGAGTTTCTTCGGCTACAAACACAGACTGGCAAGGTAGCCCTTCGACTTTTATGATACGATTACTCCTCCCAAGACCATTAATCAAAGATCTATTCTGTGGGCCTTCTTTCTGCCAGACCTGGAACTGTGGTTCCAATTGATATCCAAAGCGCTGAAGTAGTCGTCCTCCTGCCAAAAAAAATTCGCCATAACTATCGAAACCTTGGGTTAACTGTACGAATAAAGGTTCGTATGTCGCAACAGGATCGCATAACCTGACACTCGATCGCTTTGCCATTAGCTTTAAGAGATTCGCTCCACCAAAAAAAGAAGAGAGTGAACCACCATTGATTTTTCTTTGTTGCAAGTAGTCAATGATATTTTTCGGTATTGTTGTAGAAGGGGAGTATCTATTACAGACCTTCACCTTTTCTTTTGCTGCTAATGCTGCTCTCTGGTCTTCCTCTTCTTTCTCCTTCTCTCGTTGGAGCCTCTTCCGCAATTCAGGTAAGCTGAATGGCCCTGATGGTGTAATTTTATAATATTTATTAGTCTTCAAGTCATGGAAATAACCGGGAATCGCGAATGACATGACATTTGGCTGTGTATGCAAAGGACAAAAGAAAAAAGTAGTCCTTGTAAGAAAAAGAGGAAAAAGTAAGCCTTACAGTACTTAAAAGCGGAATTTGATTGGACGCTATACATTCCGTTTCATCATAAGAGATAATTCGCGTTCTGATAAGTTTCTTCTTATTTAAAATCTCGACGATTCATGACAACTTTTGAACCGAATAAGTCCATCGATCCCTATGAAGCTCTTCAACTAAATCGAGAAGCAGCAACGCCTTCAGCTATAAAGAAGGCATACCGCAAATTAGCCCTTAAAACACATCCAGATAAATTACCGCAAGATACGTCTGCAACGGCTAGAGAAGAGGCAAATGCTGCCTTCCAAAAACTGAGCTTTGCTTACGCTATTTTAAGCGACCCAAAGCGTAAAGAGAGATACGATCGCACTGGAAGCATAGAAGAAAGCGAATTTGACAGTGACTTTAATTGGATTAGTTATTTCAAAGAACTTTGGACGGGTATTGTCAGCTCGGATACTATCGAAGCACAAATCAAAAAATACCAAGGTGCATACAAGATATCTGATAATTATGGTGCTCAGTAGGCACAGCTATTGATCATACATTCCAATTTAGGCTCTGATGAAGAAAAGAGAGATTTACTTGCATGTTATGCAAAATGGAAAGGCGACATGAACCAAATTTTAGCATATATGGAAGGGTCAACAGCTAAAGATGGGGAGCGCTTTGAAAAGCTCATTCGTGAAGCAGCAAAGGAAGGACTTGTTAAAGAAATTTACAAAAAGTTTGAACAGACAACAACAACTAAAGCTCATAAACAACGACTTAAGAATGAATTGAAAGCCCAGGCTGCATTCGATAAAATGTCAAAAAAGGATGGTTTAAAGAATTGCAATAATAAAACGGAAGACACAGTAATAGACAGTGCTGGTAAAGGCGACACATCTGATGATCAACTTGCTCGACTCATTCATCTACGACAACAAGATAGACAAGCCAAAATGAACTCTTTTTTTGATAAAATGGAAGCTTCAGCTAAAAAAAGTAACAAAAGGAAGAAACGTACTGGGGAAGAGGACATCGATGAAGAAAGCTACGATTTACCAACCGAAGAAGAATTCTTAGCAATACAGAAGAACTTAATGAAGAGTAAAAAAAGTAGGAAAAAAGCTGGAAATTGCTGAAAAGAAGACATTGCATGAACAGATAATCCAAATTTCCATTTCATCAATTCGAATTATTTCAATTTAGTTCTTAAAATGCATAATGTTATAAAAGCGTTACTTCAATTATGACCATTAGCGAGTAATGAGTGTTGTTATTTCATGGCCTGTGGTTGCCAGTTTGCTGTTGTTACATTGAACAAATCTCGGCACAAATTGCGCAACGTGGCTTTTATCCGCTGCTTCATTCCCCGAAATTTTACAGATTGATGATTAATACTAAAGTCGTAGGCACCTTTTGTTTTCTTTTTTACTATCAACTCAAACCATATCATGTATAGCATCGGCAGTCAGTTAAGAGCTACAGCTCGCCTCTCTAACCCTACCATCAAATTATGGAGTAATTGCAACAGATTGAGAGCGGTGGGCCTTACTAATCCTAATATAACTTCAATGCAATATGTGGCTTCTTGTTTGCCTGTACAGAGATACAGCAGCAGCAGCAGCAGCAGCAGCAGCAGTAATAATAGTAGCTGCTGTCATAGTGGAAAAAAAACGCAAAAGGCAGAACCAAAACTGTTAGATAAGGCTTTTTGGACTGACAGTTTAGCATGGCAGAGGACCAGAGTAAACACTTTGAGGTATTTTATATGAAAATACTAGCGTTTTTAGCATACCCCGCATGGCCTAATAAATTTCGCTTTTACGTAGATGCCTCTTAGGATGCACAACAGGCGATTTCGCAATGATGTGGTACCTGCAATTAAACTATCCTGAAGTAAGCCCAATAGTAAGCACAGCGGCAGCCATGGTAAGATCTATATACACACCCGGAGTTCATGTGTCGACGTTATCATTCATACCATTGCTGCTCTAATTAGGTGGCGGGTCTATCTTCTTCGTTGGTTTTAGAAACGGTTTTATTGAAACGGTCTATGAAAGTACCTGTCCGTAAAGCATTCAATACAGCTATGGGAATGAGTTTTGTATCTATGCTGGTAATGGAATTAGCCGAAAACGTTACAGACTGGCACCTGATGGGTGGCCAAGTAGCTTTCCAAGATCCAAAGTTCTGGTTGGCGGCTGCTGTTAGCACTGCTGTCGGGTATATCGTTCCTTTACCATACAATTACTGGCGGTTAAGAGCACTCGGCAAATCATGTCATTAGTTGTTATTCAATATGCAGTGCTTCAATGAGATTTTTGTTTAGATCAGTTAAAGCAGCTAAAAAGCAAGGAACATCAGTCTACTATACCAATAAAGATATTTAAATTACTTTTCTAACCTTCTACATCCGCAAGTGAACTGTCTTTCTTTGCAGCAATCAAATACATTTCAGTGTAGTCTTGACAATTACTATTATAAATCGTCCGTAAATCATCATTCAAGGAAGCATGGTAAAACCTATTACCGGCTATCCAATGATTGGAAGTTGAACGTGAATAGATCTCATTTGTATGACACAGCATTTTTTCGAAATCCTCCTTAATATTCAGTAAATGCAATAAAATTTCATTTGTCAACAATGGTTGTTGGGCTGCAGTCTGCTCTTTCTGATCCAATGCTGCAAAATCTACGGATGTTTTCATATCCAATGTCATGTTATCATAGAAAAACCACTGATACTTTCTTCCCAAACGAAGACTACATTAAGAGAACGAAATTAGTACTTCTTCGATGTGTATGTTACGGACTTCAGCTTTCCATTTTGAAGCCAGACACTACCTTTTCTGTCTTTTCTTCCTCATGTCCCTGACAACTGTATTAATGAGCGACTCTACGTCGCATTTGTGTAAGTATTGCTCTAAACTTGCATAATAAGAAGGACTGGACAGAAGGTTTTCGACGTCTTCGTTTTTAGGTAACAAGAAGCTCCAGACGCACTTTGATTGATGCTAAAGAGACAATATCAGCTTGGGCTATCCTGACCAAATTTGTAACCTCTGTAATCAACAGCTTTGACAAAACTTTACCATATATACAATTAAGTAATATTCGTACAGTTGGTGATTGTTTTGTGGGTTCTCAATTGAACTACTCAAATGTGTCGGACTATGTAAATATACTCGGACATGATTTGGTTTTGTGTGTGGCCTCTCCTCATCGTTCATGTTTATGGATTCTGTAATGCCTGTCAAATACACGCCTCGACTATCCTTTGGTTCTTCTGCGACTGATGAGGGTGCTATTGATAGAATTTCTGATAAGTGATCACTCGAGAAGATATCGTTCGAGTGATCAAAAGTCGTACGGCTAGTTTCTGTTGATTTACTCGTTCCAAACGGCAAATATTTCAGTAAAGGTGTTTGCGTGAAAGACTTTGCCAGCTGTTTCAAGTTTGGCATATTCGTAGTGGCTGGCATTTCTGTTAAAGAATTGGTGCTTTGTTTTCTCTGGGAATTCTTGTGATATGCATCAACTGTACGCATTACGTATTTCCTTAAAGCACAAACATCATGAATATTTAGGTCTTTTGATCTGTATAATACTTCATTCTCATGAAGAATAAACATATGGCTTAATGGAATGCCCAACTTGATTTCTTTTCGTAAATCCTCTTCGAGGTCATTGATTTTCAAATAATCCTTTCGTAAAATGGATCCGTTAGGCACACCGTTGAAAACAGCTGTAAAGCACATAGTATCAAGACGGTTAAAATCCCATTTCCATATCCATTCTGAAAAGAACTGTTCAATTAAATGCATTAAAGCTCCAATCTTCTGCGCCGATGCTGTGGTCGAAGAACAATGCGTACTGGTCGTATATTCCGTACCAAAAACCAAAGAAGAAAATGTGCCATTCAACAACTAAATATCACCACGAATTGAGTCAGGCCCGAAGTTACTCTATGTTTTTAACTCGACGTATGCAACTCTCTGCTCTATCTTTCTAACTCACTTTGAATTGCTCATAGCCGACTTTTAATATAGCTTCAAGAGCTCTGTCATTCAATTGAGAGTCCAGATACTCTGTAGCTAACTTCTCTTTTCCTTTCGAGTCTTTCAATTGTTTTCTAGAAACACCTAATTTAACACACATATGCATCCAAAAACCAGATTCCGGTTGATAAAAGACCATGCGGTTCTTTTGTGAATGTACACTCTGTATAGCTGAAGCCGACGATGAGAAAGTACTATGAAACACATTCAGTTTCAAATACTTGCAGACGTCTAATCTGGAAATACTGGTAGACTATATGTATAATTAGTACTTACGATGTAAAATTCACCAGCGCCTGAGCTAACCCAATTTGCTTCATCTTTTCATCAGCAGAAACTGTTCCTTTAGCGGCCGTGTAATAAAGGATTTGGTTTGCAGCATTATCTTCCATAGCTCTTCCAAGTGAAGAATTATAGACACAGAAGTACGATAGAGCTGGTGGGCTTAGTTTTAGCTGATGATTATCCTGTTTTGCCATGTTAAAGATACGAAAAAAGCATCAACACGCCCAAAGTGAAATTAACGAGGAAACGGCGTTCTTTTTTCTTTTTGGAAGAAATAAAGAACTGAGTTTTATTGAGCTTTGAACTGTACCATATCAATGAAGGATGGGACTAAAGAAAGTATAATACGCGAATAGGGATGTTGGATTGTGCTAAAAGGAATATTATAGAGAAGGGCACATTACAAGGATAAAACAAAATATCAGCACTGACTAATGCAGGATATAACAAGAGAAAACGATAAAGGATTAGCAATTTTAGTCGTATCCAAAATATGATGACGGATATCGGCTAAGATGCGTTTGGAGAGGTATATGGTCAACTTATAAGGACATAAGCCCTTCAAATATGGTATCGCGTTGTGAAGAGTATAAGAAGGTATATTCGATGTTCATTTCGCGGAAGCATCGGTGAAAACTGAAGGAGCTGAAGGTATTTAAGGAGAGAACGATAGTCGAAATGGTGTTATAGAAGGTATTCAAGATAAAGGGTCTATATAAAGAATTGAATCGGGCAAGAGAGAATAAAGTGATCGAAGGTGGCAGAAGGTTTGTGACATAAGGGACATCAAGCGGAAGATGTAACTTGGATTTACAGTATTAGGATCGTGACACACTATCTATTTATGTCGCTTTCCCTATGGTCAAATTTTACCTCTGTTCAGTTTAAGACCTTCAACAGTTCTGTTCCTATTACCACCTTATCTTCCTTGTTGTGGAAGATATTGTGGTTCATCCCATGTTGCTGCTAGCTCGTTCTCTATGGTGCGGCGTCCCTACATAGTGAATTCCTCTCGATCATATCTCCATCACCAAGGATCTTCTAATTCTACCCAAGGTTACATCAATTCAACGAGAATATTTTATAATGTGAGGTAGCACTCACCATACAAATACTCAACGGGCGTCAACATACATTCCATCCGGAATTTCTGTTAAAGATATAAAAGACTGCACTCAGTCTCGCTATTTTTTAGCAAATTTTTTAGTTTTGCTATTTTTGTACTTTTTGTGGTGTTTGATTACTTGTTGCGTGTAAATAGCACGTAAATCGAAGACTAAAAGCTTAACGAGATCAAACTAGTAAAACTTTGTTTTCAATCAAATTAACAACTCTAAAGAGAAGAAACGTATCTACCTATTTTCTGGACTGCAATATTGCATAATTCATCTTTTATCCTCCATAAAAGGAGTTATAATCCTTAAGATTTGAATATCATCTACTCTCAAATATGACAGATACAACAAACTTACGGCAGAAATGTGTATGAAACACATAGAGAGTATACCAAAGCGTATAAGAGTAGTTATTCAGGCAAAAGGTGGTTCTACAACGTATAAAGTCTTCAATAAAAGTAGTTTACCCCTGAATCTTGATCGCAAAAGATTGCATGAAATTCATACAGAAAGAAAATGGTCGAAATGCAATAGACGATTTGTCAACATCTACTTGCAAAAGCTAGTTTTGTCCGTAGCAGGAGTATAATTATGGTTCGAGTTACCCTTAGACTTACGATTAAACGCTTTATGACCTGGACTATTTTGTACCGCCTTAGTTCGTGGTGAAGTCCTTTGCGAAGTACGTTTCGGTTTGGAAGTTGGAGATGAGGAACGTGAGATGTCAGTAGAATCAGCAATCTCTTCGATCTGCGTCAACATATGACCTTTGTCCGTCACATCGAAGGGAAATTCAGATTCCTCAGTCGTGAGTTTGTTCAATTGAGCAGTATCCTGTTTAGGCACACTACCCTTCAAACGTCGCCAATAGTTGATAATGGCTTGAGGATCTGTGAACATATCTGCAGTAATCCAACTGTCGTCGGCAGCAGTATAGTTTTTCCAACGTACTTTATATTCCTTTTACCGGGTGCACTACGATGACCAACAATGGCATCGAATTCATACACTTCCTCTGATGAGACAACTGCATCTTGAGATACCAGTTTTTAAGTCGGAATGTGTAAATTATCGTGACAATAACAAGCCAATCTCATCACGAAGGGTGTAATTACCATGATCTGTCTTGCGAACGACTTCATAAGGGCCTTCATAGACAGGAGCGAGCGACTTTTGAATACCCTTTTTGCGGACAACCACAAAGCCACCCACAGGAAAGTCAACCAGACGATGTTTCTTATCAAACTGTTCTTTCGTCATTTTGTTATAGATCTCAGTGCGTTCCTTGATGGTAGGAAAGTCAAGGTCAGACATATATTCAATGCGTTTGAGTAATTCGTCAATACTCATCGAGTCAACGTCATCCTAGGGGTCATTATAGAGAGATATACATTTGTCATTTTACGCGCAAACATCAGACAGAATGGACTGGTTTGTAGACGCTTGGAAATTTTACAATTGAGCATCAATTGTACGGAATTGAGTAACATATCCCAATTATCCTCATAGTTATCTAGGATCAATTTTCATAGCCTCACAAAGTAGGTCCAAAATTTGGTTTTTCCATTCAGCACCACGATCAGAATTGATGATACGAGGGTAACCGATAAGGGAAAAGATTGATACGAGTTCACTCGCAACCGTTTTAGCAGACTTGTCAATGATGGGACGAAGAATCACAAAACGAGTAACTAAGTAAAATCAAGATGTATGTACTATTTTTGGAAGTGCAGGGAAAGGTCCACACAAATCCATTTAATAATGCCAACCTAGAGTATAACAGTATAATGATTTCAAAGGGTTATATCCACGCTTGGAAATGACGAATTTTTGACACGTAGAACATTGTTTGACAATTTCAAGTGCGTCTTTCACGAAACTGGGTCAGTGCATACCTTCATCTTGTCGTATGCGCTTAACAATGGCTTCAGCACCAAAATGATCGAACTCATGTGCTATTTTCAAAATATCAGAGCGATATTCCTCGGGAGAAATGATGTAACTGTCATCCATATTTTGGACGTAGTTGATTTGAAAGTTTTCATCCACATCACACAAGTGATTGAGTTGTTCATCCAATGTATCATGGATGGTGCGGATTGACCATTGTTTGATGCGAATGCTACTGTATTATTCGCGGGAGGTAAATCATCATCAATTGAATCGTTAGATTCGACTTCGTTATCATCATTGCCGATATGACAATAAAAGTTTTGAAAGTTGGAAATTCTTTCAATGCTGATTAGTTCATTTTCTTCAATGAACTTGTCTTCGTTTGACTTTATGATTTTATTGCCACTCTTCTTTTTCTTGCGAGCTTTGGCCTTTTGATTACGGTTTTGCTGAAATAATTCAGGAAACAAGGCTTTGTGTTTCGAAGAGAACACGATCCTGTTCCTGGGGAAACATACGAGACAATTTATCGCTCATTACATTTTCAACGCCATGAATCCAGACAACTTTCATATTTGGAAAGGAGAGGATAACTTCCATGTAACGCATCATCATCATGGACAGGTGTTTGGTAGTAAAAAGATATGATAAACTTCTGTGATCCGTATAACATATGAATGGTTTCGATCCATGCAAAAGTTTATAGAATTTTGACAATCCAATGGTCAATGCCAAAAGTTCCTTTCGGGTCACACTGTAATTGCGTTGGCTCTTAGACAAAAACTTGGATGAAAAAGCAATATATTTGATTGCTCCTGTACCCTTTTCTTTATCGACATATTCTTCAAACAAACAAACACTAATTGAATTAGCGTCTACAGCCAAACTGAATTCATGGTTCAAATCGGAATGGCTAAAGACAAGGTTTTTCTTTTTATAATTTGATAATGCTATCATAATGTTAATGCATATCAGGGATCTATACCAGTGTTTTCTTTGTGCTGTAGCGTAAGTGATTAAGCGGCGCTAGCTTGTGGTAAATGAGCACGAACGTCCTGACACCCAACCACAAAATTTCATCATAGCTTTTGCTATCATTGGTTTTGGCCAATCGCCGATGTTTGTCAAACGACGAGGATCAATGGATTTTTCTTGCTCTGAAATACAGAAGGCCAAGTAAATACACAGAGTTCTGGGCAAAATGAGTTTTTTCAACATTGATAGGCATATTGTTTTTTGTCAATGCCTCAATAATAGTTTGCAGTGTTCCAAATGAGATGGTAAATCTTTCGAATATACAACCAAATCATCAATGTATATATATACAATTTGCTTCATATCCTGGAATATTGTTTTCATAACATTCTGAAATATACCAGAAAGGGATTTCAAGCCAAAGTAAGCACCTCTAAATTGCCAGCTTTTGCCTTCAAAAGTAAATGTTAATTTGTGGTGATATTCTTTAGCAATCTCCAATCTGTGGAAAGCACCAGAAATATCAAAGACATTGTAAATCTTTGACTCGCGCATCTCATGATAAATGACATCGATAAGAGGTGTGTTGACGTTTGATACGTCTTCCAAGAGATTGTTGATACGTCTTGTATCCAAACAGATTCTCCATTTTTGTTTGCCTGAAGGGTCGGGAGAACCTTTAGGTGCAATGGTCAGAGGACTATTAAAACCGGATGGTTTAGCCGGCTCAATAGTTCTATCATCTGCCCATTTTTGAATTTGTTCTCTTACAACAGGTTGAAGAGCATAAGCGACAGGGTACTGTCTAGTATAAGCCACTGCATTAGGAGCTGTTTTCAAATGTACGATTGCCTCAGGAATCGGACATAAATTGTGAAGATTGATTTCTGTATTCGCCTTAATATACGGCTGAAGTACCTTCATGAAATCTTCATACTCTTGTTCAGAACATGCTTTGCTAACATTTGGAATATAAACCTCGTGGTTAACTGAATCTTCGAAAATAGGTTCTTCTCTGTCTTCGAAAGAAAAAGCAATATTTTCTATTCTAATACCAAGTTTAGGAATTATCTCTTCCCAAGAGTACCGGTAATTTGCTCATGTTTTCAGGCATTTCCATTACCTCAAAGGAATGGAGAAATCCGGGCTTACCTCTATATTTGACTTGGAGTGGTTGCGTTTCTCCTGTCGTATTTGAGGCACGATGGCAA